GCAATATGTATAGGTATATTAGTAATATTGCACATTCTATAGGTAGGTACGCGTAGTACCCTTGATAGGTATGTTTGCAGCTTAGTATAAGCTACCTATATTTTCCATGGCAGGGCTATTCGAGAAAATGTATGCATGCTGCTCTCCTAGAAATTTCAGCATAGCTAGGTAACTATCTACTACGCCGTAGTTATTATCTGCCGACAGCATAGGCGCCGTAGCCTACTAAGCAGTCCCCGGAATTGTCGTCAAGGCGCTAACGGGCTTTGCAATGTCTTAAACAAATGGTACCCTGAATGCTTCTAAAAAATTTCTAGAGGGCGAATTGGGGGTTGGGATCTAGTGGGGGTTTCATCGTTTCCAGGGGAAAGGAACGCCTTCCCCATTCCCACTCTTTCGCCAATCGCGCCCTTAGTGTACCTAATGCTCGTATGTGAGTTCGGCTCTCGCCCCTGGAAGAGAAGCTGGTACGGGAGTCCGGAGTGGGTCTGATAGAACCATTAAGAAACCTCAAGGTCTCGTTGAAGAAACGTGGGAAGGGCTATGTGTACCAGGTAGTTGGTCGTGCTCAGCGCTGTTGGTTAATGCACGATAGACAACTGTATATGTAAGTTGTAGGTAGGTAATGTCACCTGGGTTTTCGCAAAACGAGCCCTCCTGCCGCCTGCCCCATTCGAGGTAGCGCAACCGGTGCATCCCGCAACATAGGATAAGATAAGTGTATCTTGAGGGGATTCACTGCCTACCTAGGTATGTAGTCAACCATGCTGACACACCCACCATGATGGCTTTACTATGTAGAGCAGGTAACAATCGTATGTTGAGGTTGCGTTTTCTTCTAGAACCTGTCGTGATCGTCAAAATGGGTTCTAACACCTGCCTTCAAGGGGGACTTCGCTGGTGATGAATCCTCATGTGTAGACTCCTTTGGGCTCCTCTGGTGAGATGTGACGGCTCCTATGCTTACAACGTGGAGTAAAATGGCAGTTGGGCAGATTTGAGTCTGACGTGGAAGGTTATGAGTTATCTACATAGCGCTGACAGTTCGAACGTGAGGGGGGTTGTAGTGTTGTAGTGGCTGTTGCAAAGCCTCAGTCAAATCCCGGTATGTCGGGTCTGATGATAAAAACGATTGGATAGTAATGCGATGATTCCAATAATTCCAATATTTTCCAAGCAGGGCCAAATTAGAAAATGGGGTTTCGTCGTTGGATCACCACAAACCACAAGCTAGGTAATTACATATTACATAGTAGTCGTGAATGACCATCCACGTAATAACACGACAAGAATTTTGGATGTTAAAAGGAGGCCTAGGCCGTTTTTAATTCCTACACTCAAGAAACACGACAAGAAATTAGCGCGTAAGTGTGATGGAATGTCAACCCAGCGAGCAGCGGAGGCGCAAGATGTGATAGAGGGACGAATCTATCGTCGGAGCGTGGGGTTACGTCGGACGATTGGCGGGTGCGCTCCGCTTGTTGGCGCCCTGGCTGGCGAAGCACCGCGACTGAGAATGCAACAAAATGGTCACAGGGCTGCGTGATATTTGGTTGCTCATCGAGAGGAGGAAAATGTGACTATCAGTTTGTGACTATTACCATAGTAGTTTTGCCTTGGATATAATCCCTTGGATAAGAAGAGATTTGATGTAAACTAGGTAGCCCAGGACGGTCAGGACCTAGGTAGCCTCGGAGGAAAAAAGAAGACTACATGATTAGTAGTAGGGCAGCTAGGGCTACTACTATACCCCAAAGAACACGTGCAAAGGAATCATCACTTACATGTATGCATTGAAGCTAATCACATGTTCAAATGTGTGTATGTATGTATGTATGTAATGTAGTAGGCTATGATGACATGTGAGAAGGAGGCATATACGATAGGCAAGCATATCGATATTTCATTTGTTCTTTCTTTAGAAGTAAACTGATTATACAGACATCTGGATGAATGTATTGGTGCTACTTCGTATTGTAATCTACAATATATTCACAATCAATTAGATTATGCATGTAAATACATTTGTAATATTGAAGATTGAGAAATGTAAAATTGTAGAGAATCTTAATTGGATCAAACATTGAAAGACTTGACTGTATTGTGGCTGAGGAGCTCAGCTGATCAGCTTTTCATATGCGGAGAACTTATTAATACTACTAGTTGACAAGTGAAAACCCCAACTTTTGCCGCCACAATTCTCCGTACGGAAGCGAAACAATTTCCTTGCCCGTCTCATTTCTGTTCCAATGATGTATTGTACAGTATTTACATATTTACTGTCAGGTACATGCCTGGGTTAGAACTTAGAACATTGAATTTGTGACCACGAGAACGGCCAAGGACAACGCATACGTTCAATTAATGGCTCCTGGATGGCACATGGGCATACCGCAGTATCTGCCTGATCAAATGTTGACCAAAGCTGGCCAACCCATCGAATATACTACTAGTAGTACATACATTGTATTATAGATAACTAGATGTAGGATATCTTTTATGTACATATGGCATATGTACCTCCAACATATAAATATGGACGGACATGTACAATTTAAAGGAAAAGGTAGGTACATACATACCTACATAAGAATAGCTGGCCCTGTCTTACACCTGAGCTATGCGCTGGCATTCTCGTCTGGGGGAATAACGTGCTCGGATGGGGTCGTGTTGTCATTGTTGCGAAATGGTTCAAATGACTGTCCAAATTCGATAACCGAAGCCCAATTAGTGGGCAGTCCGTAATAGATTCAATGCGGGGGCGGTCCGTTGACAGAGGAAAACAACATAGGCCGTTTCAAGTTACTAAAAAGAGATAGCATCACAAGGTATGTTTGCGAGGCGACTTGCTTAAATTTTAGCCCGGGCCCAGGCAAACCAGGTCCGTCGATCCAAGGGGCCGAGTAGAGTCACGTCACCGGCGCTGCGTGCGTACTCTGTTCATCCTACTGACTGTTCCTACTGTTCATGCTGTTCATAACAGAACAGCACAAGCAATCAAATGGTGCACCTGTAACAATTCGACCAGATCCAACGTTTGGCCGAGCAAATCGGCCGTCACACATGCCTGTAATCTCTCTTTGTTGCCTGACTCTGGCCGACATTGTGGCATTGTTCTGATACCAGCTAGCAACTTCAACACCCAGCTTCTACCTGTAATTACCTAGTAACCGTAAGGAAGGATCATGATTCAAAAGATAGTTGTATTAGGTTCAGCCAGTAAGTCATCAAAGGTCACAAATCACACATCAATTGATTTCTCGCAGCTGAATTCACAAGTCGTGTCATTTTCGTGGTGAACTATTTTCAGCTACCTCATGGTTATTGTACTATGAAGTGATATTCGGATTCATATGATATTTAATGATACCTATGTAGGATTTCGGGAGCCCAAGGATACATGTACACGACAACCCTGACTACCCTTCAAAACTACCATCAATGATATCTACCATATCTACTAGGTAATCAGCTGACCCTAACATCGAAAGTCACAACTACAGCATTCCTCCTAGGCATATGATTTGCCAAGAAGCCATGATTTGTATGATTGACTCGCGATAGGTAGCCTTGTAGGTTAGATATGTATGCCGACATGTAGATATGGTAACTTGCCTGAAAATGACATCTGGAAGACAACGAAGGAGAATGATAGCAAAATAGGAAACGATAAGCTTGCAGATTGGCCAGCTCACAGATTTATGACCACATTACCGCATTAGAAACAAGAAGCTGAACAAACGGGTGGCATGTGCCTTACTTGGGACAATGGAGGGACCGCTTGCGGGTCCAAAGTGCAAAAGGGTCTGCTGGTCAGTTGCCTTGTCGGCACTGAGAAGAAATGAAGAATTGAATGCACGAACATGAATATCAACTGCCCTAGGTAACTACTACATAGTAGTATGGTAGGTAACTACATACACTATGGTTAGTATGGACTGTATGGTTACTGGTAGTTATTAGTATGGTTAGTTACTGGTCACTGGTCAGCATTTAAAAACGATTGATTCGGGAAACTGGACCTACTGACCGCGGGCGGGTTTCCGGGTACGCATGAGAGAAGATTGAGGAGAGGGCTTAAGTACCCCAATAGGAATTTAATACCTAGTTTGTTCTAGACGCTACGCTAACTTCAAGTCTATTCCTAAAAGAGGCAAAGGTTTTGTGCACTAAAGGGGATATTTCGGGGCGAGTCTGGCCGCTGGCGGTCCCATCCATCGGAGAGGGAAACAAGCGCCCAGTGCTAAGGTTTGTATGTAAGTACCTAGGTATAGTTATACCCAGTACGTACCTCTGCGCGTGTTGGCAAGGGTTGATTTAATACTGGGTACCGTCAACTTGTAACTCTGTACCGCCCCTGGTCCCCTGATCCTACCTTAGTAGTACGTACTACCAGTAGTTCCGCCGCCACTACTCAAAGTACCTCCGGTACCTTGACTCTCTCATCACCCCAAGGAATAGAGTGCCCCGCCCTAGAGGACCCAGCAGAGAAATAACCTTGGAAAAGGTACAATTATACAAGTGTACAAGTATACATGAGTACGTACTCACTTTACATAGGTACAAAGTACATCAAATATGTACATGGAAAAAGGTACTTTCATATGTACCTAGTAGCTAGGTAGTAGGTACGTACCTTACCCAACGAGACTTGCACACCGCGCCTTCTGCCCTCCACCTAACCTACCCACTCGACTCCCTCCTATCAAATACATATGTACACACCTACCCGCTCTCTCCCTCCCCTTCTTCTAAGGAACCTCCATCGTGAACCGACGAAAGAGTTAAATTTACTCTTAAAGTGCTAATATCCTCGGCGGTCGTAGCATTGATCACGACTAGCATTAATCTACAGCTCGAGTCCACTCCCCACTCAGCTAGTATCCTCTACGAGAAGCACGCAAACCAATATACATCACCAATTTACTAAACTTCGACACCTTTATTCGATCCCTTCTCCTCGACTCCCCCTTGCGCTTCGACGACCACGAAAGAACATTCTTGCCAATTCAGTACATTTTCGGTGCCGAATATCCTCTGGACTACCTCTGGAAACCCTTTTAAGAATTATTACCACCTGAGCTGCCGTCCAATTCGACATTCGCGATCGGATTCGCGAAACCCTCATCACCATATATTCTCAACTTCTTTGTCATAGTCTGCTCGAGCAGCCGAGCAGCCACTTTGACGACATGCCTTGTAAAGCTGAAGGCCTAGTCCTGACCGTGGACCCAAATGTCATCCACAAGGTCGACACAAATAATCCTCAAAATCTCTTCAGCATGTGGACTGGTAGGTACCCTTCAGGGCTTATTTTTCTTTCTGTCTTTTGTAATTGCTACTGACCCAATGTCTTAGTCTTTTCACGATGTGCCGATTCAGTAGAGCAAGGTCGGAGATTAGAGAACCTCAGCTGGCGATTATGGAATAGAGAAACCTTTTGCTGCGAAGCCAAAGGTTTATCTGCCGCCGCCACCACATTACCGAAAGACATCCCAGAGCACCAACGATTACCCGAGGTGCCTCAATTATCTGGCAGCGTCGACTCTGTTGCCGACGAGGAGGCTATTGACTTCACCACCATTTCCGACCCAGTTGAGATTGTTCGACCCCGAATCGTTCGACAGGACTCTTGTGCCAGTAGTCGAAGTAGAGGTCGTGAACGTCACATCACTTCGGACCATCTGGAAAAGATGGTGGTCTCTATCATTCAAGAGAAGGAGCCTAACCTAGCGCCACTTCCGGATATGAGCTCTCCTTCGGTTGAGTCGTCGGATGCTGATCAGACACAATCTTCTTACCCAGAAGCAGAACAAACACCCCAAACACCAGTTAGCGAAGCCGCATGCGAATTAACCGCATCATACCAGTCTTCGACACAATCAAAGAGTCAAGAAGCTCCCGCCACTACAGTTATCCGGGGCTTCTCTCCGTCGCACATCCCATCCTTCCGCGTCTCGCATGAGCCTAAGATCACCGTACAAGACCCAATCCCCGATCCCCAATCTTCTCCCGCCCCGAAACCAGTACAGTCCAAGAAGCAGCCACCCAAGTTCAAGCTAGGCGACTCTTCTAGCAACGAGTCCTCGCCCCAAAGCATGGAAACCCGCCAACCGATGCCGCCGCCTTCCAAGCGGCCCATGTTCGAAGTTGGCGTTGGCTCTTCTGGGGATGATGAAAGCCCTTCCCTCAAGAGTGCTATGCATTCTTCTCGTCCCGGCTCTTTACTCAGTGCCCAAAAGAAGCAGACTTCGTTCAACAACCAGGTGACTACACGGACTATTCAGACACCCAGTGACCAATCCGATAGCTATATGGACGAGAGTGCCATCGATGACGACGACGAGGATTCTGAGTGGGAAGATTCTATTGAGGAGAGCGGCAAGTCGAGCGTGGATGACGCAGTCACATTCAAGCGTGTGCCGTCAAAGGCAAACCTTACCTCGCAGAGGTCGTTGATCAGCCTCATGTTTGCCGGGCAAGAGGAGCGAGTCAAGGGTCTCAGCAACTATGCTTCTCATTCCACCCCTGCGATCCCTCAGCGTGCACGAAACCTCCAAAGTCACTCGAACATGAACATTGTTTCCTCCCCGAACGATTCCGATACTGGGCTCGAGATGAGGAGGGGCCTGCGACCTACACCGCTCAAGCCCATCACAGAGATCCCTCGATCCAGCGCGCAGCCAATAATGACGAACCCGCAGACCCACCACCACCAAGCTGCGTTGTCTCCTAGGACAACCAGGAGGAACATGTTAGCTACGGAATTGACCGAGTCGCTCCGTCGTCAATTATTGTGGGAACGACAACAGAAGACATCGACTGCCAACGCGGTCCTCAAGAGGCGCCACACATCTCTCGATGTAGCCAATCTGAAGCAGTACCCCGAGAAGGCCTACATGGGCAAGGCCAAGGCTAAGGACGAGCCTAACTCCAGCAGCTGGAACCAGTACTTCAGCCGAGAAGACTTTGGTGGATATCATGCTCAGGGCTGGTAATCCGCGATATAATTCCAGAACTTACGAATGAGAATATACCATCATTCGAGATGCCGGCGAGCACTCGATGGCAGATCATCAAACTGCCCTGTACATTTTTTTACTCGGTGTTATTTTTCTTTGGGGCATTGCGAGGAGGTTGCTTTCCACAGTACCGATTGCATGCATGAGGCCGGCGTTTAATGATGTTGTTTAATCAAGAGGCATCGACTGCCCATAATTCACACACTGCATGGTTAGCTAGTGGGTTGATGGCGCACTGATCCACGGCGTTACAGAGCATCATTTACAGCTTACGGCCCAGTCGTCGGGTTAATGGCAGTCACCTTCAGCTTTTTACGTTTTATCTGGCACTTAATCGGCGTTTGCTACCTGGAATGATACCACGGTCCGCATTTGATTTCCGCCCTGGCAAAGGGCTGCATTTGCTTTCTGCTACTCATAGTGTGTATTTCAATGGAGAATCAGAGGGCGACCTCGCAAAGAATTGGGAGCGGGGACCAGAGGGGGGAGGATGAATTACAAAAAGGGAAAATCAAGGAGAGTGTATTACAATACTTTACAGCCTTGGCCGTCACGGCGAAAAGGAAAAGGTTTGCTTGTTAAAAAGGTGCGCGGGACAGCGACCCAGAGCAAACAAAATCAGGGAGGATAACAAAAAAGAAAAAAAAAGAAGCATGCACCACGACCACAAAAACATAGTAAAATCTTGAAGGTCTACAAAATAAAAAGAATAAAATGACATCAAAACACTTGATAAGACTTGATGAATCGTGAATCGTGAATCGTGATCCTATAATAACTGCTATGTCTGTTTACTATTGTCTAGGTAGGTATCCAGTCAAGTCTGGTATACATGATTATTGGCCTTTGGTCTTTGCACACCGTAGAAGCTGGAGCCAGGAAGAGGTGAGGGCCAAAAATGACACTGCGCTGCTGCAAGCTGGGGGTACTCAGTTCCACAGAAGTGCATGTGAAAATGAAGGAGTTTAGCGTCATTGGTGTTCTCGTTAACGCAAGCCGGCGGAGAAAAGAAATAAAAAGTTGCAACGCTGGCATATACACCACTTATTCTTGGTGGTCCCCTTTTTTTTTTTTGGTTTTGATTCCTGAAGGGGGAAGTCTTCCAGACGACTTCGGAACCCATGTATACCGGACAGATTGTTCATATGTGAGCATCTTAAGACGCCTAGGTATACAAATAGAACTTAGAGCTGGTTTTTGACGTTGCGGTTGCGGCTACGGATGCACCCACCACCACCACCAACCCATACCCATATCCATACCCATACCCATACGACGCCAATTACTGTAACGTGTAGCAGGGAGGTAGGTCATCCCGTTTCGGGTATGCCGACGGGTTGTCGTTCGACGACCTGGGTGATGGTCACGCTGGATGATATATATAGTAAGCAAGCAAGCAATTTCATTATTCTCTTCATTATTGCGCTACTATTGCTATTATTATTGTTGTTGTTGTAATAGCTACTACTAGTGGAGGTAGGTAGATATTCAAAAATAAAAGGGGGCCAGAATTATAATTGTTACGTATAGCTCGGTCGGTATGCAGGTCTAGACACTCGGAAAACAACAGTATCTTAGGTAGTAGCTATGGCGATTAGAAACTCGCGAGATGCGCCCTTACCCACACCACTTGCAGCACATTACATGAGAAGGCAGTCAGTCAAGCTGCAGTCAGGACCCTTGATCGACAACCCTTTTTCTGCCGGCTGTCGTTCCAGGGAGAGAACTCTCCATCCATCCATCCATCCATCCATCCAGGGCTCTTGGTTTTTTTTCTTTCAACACTAACCTGTAACCTGGGTACACCTACCAACTCTGGCATCTTACCCACAGTAAAAGACGTATGGTGTTATGTAAGATATATGTATGCTTATGGTCTTTGACATCTAGGGCTCTTAGAGGCTGTTTGGGAGCATAAGTAAAAAAAGACTTATGGGGAATTAGTGGGTTTTTAGCAAAAGGATAAGTAAAGTGTTTGTGAGGTATAATTTTTCTGAAACCTATTATAATTTTACTTGTGGATCGAACCATAATACTTTTTTTTTTATTTAATTATTTTTTTTAAAATAGTTTATGCTTATTAACTTTTCATAAGCAGTTATTTAAGTGTTTATTTTTATTTATATCTTTACTTATAAAAGGGTTATAAGGGTTATAAAGGCTTTAAAATATACGAATAACCTTAAAAGGCTTTAATAAAGCCTTTTGTTTTAAATTTAAGATCCGATGTAGCGGTGTGGTTACTTTAAAGGCGGTTATATAGGTATTATAAGCTTAACATATAGCGGCGGCAGTTAATTTTATTAAATACCACCCGCACCGGGCTAATTAAAACGCTGTAAACTAAGTTTATTAATTAGTTAATTAATGCGATTTAAATAAGGCTTTAATTAATTAATTTAAAATAATATTAAAGAAGTTATTTAAGTAATATTTATGAAATATTAAAAGGTATATAATCGTATAATAAATTTAAGTTTAACTTATCGTATTTTTTATTAACGCTTGGAAAATTTATATATATAACATACATATAAGTTAATATTTATATATAAATAATATAAGTAATAATATAAACATATTAATACTTATCGACATTAAGAAATGCGTTAATTGGTCGTGGTTTTAGTGGAGAATAACCCCATAATTAAAACGCACTTTAACATACTTATATATTAAAGTGTCACGGACCATAAGTATAAGCAAAACTTATGCTCCCAAACAGCCTCTTAGACCCCTTTCCCTGAAGATCTTCTGACTCCTTGCTCCTCCTCCCCCCTCCCCTCCCCCTCCCCTCCTCCAATCCCCAATGATCGTCGACGAGTCGTCTGGGGAATAACCCGTTTTCATTGTTTGGCTTTTCCATTCAGACGTCTTTGCCATAGGCAGCTTGACGTAAGTAACATATGTCGGCAGCTAAATATACATACAAGGGCCAAGTCACAAGAGCGACGACCATGAGCTACAATGCGGTAGGTAACCTAGGAAATAAATGGAGTCGTTTCGGGATTCGCGCGCATACACATAACTAACCTACATGCACACACAGCATTGAAGTTGAAGCTTAGAAACAATGGGGAGGGGGTTTTGAAGGTACGAGGGTACATTGAATCCAATTGATACTACATATAATCATGTACATAGCATTGAAGATGTCAATTGATTGCAGATGATTGCTTGGGATCGTACTAGCATTCTCGGATGCGCAAGCGAGGGTTTTTCTTCCCCTGCCTACGGATTGTACCTACTTACCGGCTGTACCACTATTTTGCTTAACTACTAGCTGGGCCGTTGGAAGAAGACGAAAAAGAAGAGGGAAGAACGTAACGTAGATGGTAAGAAGGTAAAAGACAATAATAGTAATAGTAATAATGACAACAATAGCAGTAATAGTATAAATCCGGGTATTCGGTTTTCTTCTCTCCAAGACATAGTTACATATAACTACATATAACTACATCTGCGAGTAGGTACCTAGTATTGCTACATACATCCGTAGTTAGATTCCGTACAATACATAAAAACCAAGAATTACTAGATTCGGACCCTTGGGATCTCCTTTAGCGGGTCTGCCCGTGTAGATGGATGGGTATTAGATCCAACAGCGTTATAAGCGCGGTCAACATTTCGACATCGCATCTAGCCTCTAGGCAGTTACCACCTGTGTAATAGCTTCACTAACATAGCAGTAGGTAGTGGTAGTATATCTAGTAGTAGTACAATACATACCTAGCTCTGCTTACACAGCTACATATCTACTTGGACCCCTCTTCTTTATAATCAAAAATTTTCCCTTTTTTTTTTCTTTACCAGGTAGTTATAGTTAGTTAACTATGCAAAGTCACATTCCCCCTCTCTTTTCAACCCCATTTATATAACTACGAATACTTTTTAGAGCAAAGCTAAGGCGATGTTACGGAATTTTATGTGGCCCTGCGGATGACGGCTCACGCACAGCAGCAGCAGCAGCAGCAGCAGCAAAAAGAACGAATCCCTCGTCATGTTAATATTATTATTTATTTTTCCTTCCGAGATCGACATTCCAAGTCTCCCATCTGAGTAAAAAGGGGATTTTGGCCGACTTGGCCTTTGCAGAGTTTCACTCGACCGCCAGGATTGCGGGCCAGGCAGGCAGGCTTTCTCGGTGGGAAAAGAGAGGATAGGTACCTAAATAGGTGGTGTTAAACTACATACATGTAGTGTATACCGATCCGAGCGGTATAGATAAGTATAGATAGGCAGTATATGTAGGTGTCAAGCGGTGAGTTATCCGCGCCGCCAACGCTAAGTATTCCTTCCTCCAAGTTACAGGTGACAGGTACCAGGTAACGGAGGGGCCGTAGATATATTATACCTACATATATAGGTATGTAGCCTTAGATACATAGAGATGATTAAAACCTCTCAAGGCTGAAAAAGAACATATATACATGTAAAGCTCAAGCTACCTATGTACATACATACATACCTGTATGTAACTCTGCTCTGTGCTGTGTGTGACAAAGAGCTCATGGCTTATATGTCCTATAGGATTTACCCCGCGTGGGCGGTATAAGCGATGGAAGCTTAGCAAACGCGAGAAACACCACAGCTTGACCTCTTACAACTCGTCTATATATATTTATCTGGTGCTTTGTATCGCACGAGACATACAATACATACCCACTTACCTACCCAGCATCAACACCATGTAGTACATATTTACATACCTCGCGGGTGGTGAATATATAGAAATTCAATAAATGAGCAATAAAATCTCTAAATTTAAAAAACATAAAATATTCTAAATTACTTCATCCCACACTTCCCAATTTTATCATTGGCCAACTTGTGTGTCACGAGTCACCGCTGAGATTGAGTTGTCTCCTCTCCCCATTAACCTTGAATCACACCTCACCTCCTATGCCTATGCACATGTATGTAAGTATATCGTTACCTACCTACATACATACATGCCAAGGCATCTACATACGAACTGGGCAGACATCAAGTTAGGGAATCAGGTAATAGGTGAGGTGTAGGGCAGGTATACCTCATGTGTGCCTACTTAGACCTACATATGTACATATAATGTACATACATTACATATGTGAGATGTACCTACAATAGGGGTAGGCGGTGCGGTTGCGTCTTAGAGTACATAGTTATGTAAATTAACCAGGTTGTCTTGAACAACATGGGAATTTTCAAGAAGAACAAAACCACCATCACCACCACCATGTAAAAAACCAAAGAAAGACAAATAAGTATTAAACAAAGAGCCCACTCTCATGCATGACATGAACAAATCACCCCTTCATAGGGGGTTTTTTTTTTGACTGACGATAGGGCTTATCGGGGCTTTATCGAAATACATACATACATACATACATACATACCCTAGGCAATGTGGGTTGGGTCGAACACACAAAGCACGATGAGTTGGCCTACCACACCCAAAAGCTCGCCGTCGCGTGCCAAATCAGCGTTCGAGAAAACCGTTCGCTCACCGACTTTTCTGAACTGCAGGCATAAAACATTTTTTTAAAAAAAAAAAATAATAATAAAAAACGCAACGGCGGCTCCCCGCGCGCCTGGTAATCAGATGCTCACAAGAAAAAAAAAAGAAAAAAAAGAAGGTCTTGGGGCTGGCGCTACCTAGGGGCATGCAGCAACGGATGCACTATCTTGAGATCATGACACTTATGTAGTGTACCTATGTAGGCAAGGTCTGCCTTAGCTTTGGGCCAGGCTCGTGAGATCTAGATACCTACCTACCTACCTACCTACCTACCTATTTATTTTATTCTTTTATTAATTTTTTTTTCTTAGGTAGGTAGGTGTATACCCCTCTTTTTATCGTCTTCATGAGTTGTTGCGCGATGTGGTTTGTTTCAAAATAGGGTATAGCTAGGCGCCAGCAACAAGTGGTTTATCGCAAGCCTCACTCACCCATCCCATCATCCTGTATTATAGTTAGTTATCAGCTGCCCAGCTTCCACGGGCCATCAGACGGCCTTCCCCCTTCCCCCTCCCCCCCTTTCCCTCCTTAAGAAAAAGCCAACGTTCAGCCACCTTTACCGTTATATGTTGTAACTTAGTTTCTTTCTTTTCTCTTCGGGCTAGATACACCTTTTTTTGCATGCCCTCTCCGTCCCGTAGGTAGGTATGTATGTACGATGGGAAACAGGCCTACTGGCGCCATTCTGCCGTTTTGGTGGAGGCACCAAATCTTCCCGCCCGTCCGGCATATGCCAGTCATTTGAGTTGCGGCGTCTAGGTAGCCGAGGAAGCCCTAGTGATGGGCATACATACATACATACGACTACCTGTATGTAGTATAGGGCAGATAGAGCTAGTACGTACGTACATACATACATACATATAGATACAATACTACCATGTAGTGTATATGTAATATGTATATGTAGGCAGGAGGGCTGATAGACATCCTCGATCGGAGAATATTGATCCCGTGAGAGGCTGGCCAGACCAATATAAATCCCAATCCGTCCATTGTCTAGATGGATATGTACTAGGTTAGGTAGGTAAAATAGATAGATACTGTAGTAGCATGTAGATACATTACATATATGTATGATTTTCCACCGTTGTACATACACATTACATACGTGCCTAGGCACCATAGCGTCATAGCAGCTGCAGCTGGGAATCCGCCGGGGAACTGGATTGGCGCCGATTCGAACGGGTTCGTGAAAGTCATTATCGTTGTCCCTCGTGGGGGATGGAGTAAGGAAAGAGAAGATTGGATGGATGGGCTAATAGCAGGTTAGGCACACACAGAGAGAGAGAGACAGAGACACACACACACACATCTGCATCTGGTGGTCAAGATCCCTAAACAGGTATATCTCAACTAACATATTACTACATAGTAATGTACAATATTTTGGGCCATATGGCCCGCTGACTTGGGACAGCCTACCAAATCTATGCACCAATGCGTTGTCAACCATAGCTCTTGTGATGATTTAACAAGGGGGGGGAGGGCAGCATCAGATGTGTGTAGGTATAGGTACAGGTATAGTACCTCAAATGCATAGACGAAGATGCTGTGGATGTAGGTACCTAGTAGGTATTGCAGAGCATAACGGCGCGATATCCAAGAATTAAATGTATATCAATTATTATTCTTTTTCTTTTATTTATCAATTCTTTTTTTTGTTTTTTGTTTTTTTTTTGTTAATTGATTGTGACCATGAATGACAATTCTTTCAACCCCCATCGTCGTCATCGTCATCTACATATTTTTCCCAGTAATTAAAGTCGGTTTTGCTGGGTTCCGAGGTTGGCAATGAGGGGGAGATATGTACTACTAGTAGTACCAGATTACCTAGTAGTTAGGTATTTTTCTTCTGTTTTACCGATCGGTCCTTTTCTTTAAAAATGCTCTTTAAAACCGTTTCGGCACCACTCGGTTCAATTGAGGATTGCTCAGCTATGGATGGATCTCTTTTTTAGTTCTTATGGTTGTAGGGCTCTGCTTGCAGTGTTTTATGTACAACCAGGTAACTATGTATGGGTTTTTGACAGGTACTCAGGGTTTACTGTGTGCTAGGCTGCTAGGTAAACTTAAAACACCCATGGAAATATCCATCCATTTTAGTTGGTTTTAATAACTTAGTTGATTAAATTTAGCCGCCAAGTGATTCGCCATCGCGGAGAGTGTGTGCCCCGCACTCTTCTAGAAGGCTTCTAGCGCTTCCCAGGTTCTGTTCAACTCAATTGATGTCAAGGTGGAGCTGTTAGGTAATTGGTGCTTACATAACAGGCCCTTCTAGCACATGATTTCCCTACGCGGCTCCACCAAGGAAACTCCAGAAACTCCAGAAAGAGACCGAGAGTTAATCCATTTCTTTTTCCAAGTGGGCACTAACTACCAGTCTACCATACTATGTACTAGTAACTTAGTAGTAAGTAGTTAACTATTACTTTAGTTATTCAGGAACCCTATGGTAAAAGAGCCCCCTTCTTGTTCGTAATAAGGCCGAAACGCGTCCATGCGAGAGATACATATGGGACGACGATACGTAGGTATCGATAAAGAGAGAGGTTAGTGGAAAGAGGCGAAAAGAATGACGAAACTGATCCATCTCTAATTATCACGCGACATTCATGAAGATCTAGAGAAAGAAAAACGAGGCGGGCTTTTGAAAAAAGAAGAGTGAATGTTACGTTCCTTGAGTTTTGTGCAGCCATTCAGAACACGAAAAACCCCCTTATTGACTTTTCAACCCCGTTGCCTATGTTACGCGTCCCATCACCAACCAAAAAAAAAGGGGGGAAAGCAAATAAGTTTGCCACCTTTTGCCCTGCCACTCTCCGCTTCTTCCACTGCCCATTAGCCTGTCAACATCAAGCAATCCATCCGTACCTATCTCTGCCTCTCTACTGGACATACAACGTACATATCACATGTACGAACCTGTCTGTACTTACATAGGTACTGGGTAGCTAGGCAGTTAGACACAGGTAAGTAGATAGACACACTATGTAGACATAGTTACCGTACTACGCACCACCCGCACACCCTGAAACTCTGCGGATCATTCCATTTGTCAGGGGAAAGTCTGATGTGCCGGGGCCTTTTTTTTTACTGCTGCTGCTGCTGCTGCAACACGCAGAAAGGGTAGTTAGTTAGTGGTGGTGAGGGGCGGACCTGAGACGAGTCGTTCAGAAGGGACGCCGAAGAAACCGCCCTATCCCAAGCCGGCCTGGACGGATGATTAAAAAGGCCGTTCCCAGCCAGCCAGGCCCCATAGCCCTTTTTTCACGGTTTTCCCCGGCCACGTGGAGCCGAGGCGCCGGGAACGTTGTGTGTGTCTATCTGTCCCTACACTGCCTATGTAACGAGGCTAGGATCGCTCCCAGGGCTGTAGTAAGGTAGTAGTTAATAACTAGCTAATAACTAACCGTAGCCATTTGCCATTATGTACCTTACCTAGGTATTGTATGCATATCATTGTACACACCGCCAGACCTTGTCAAAAAAGAAGTGGAGCGTGCTAGATAATTTCACGGACGCCTGACATCGTCATCGTGGATATATCGGAAAAGAAAAGGAAAAGAGAAAAAAAAAAAAAAAAAAAAAAAACAGCCACTTGAAGATCCAAGGACCCTCAGCGGCTTCCCCTCCACGATCTATGGAAAGCGTCTCCATTTTACTTGCTAGGTTACTGTTAACTAGATCTCTCTATTCGCTATACGGCAACTGAGTTATGTACCCTTACCCTTCCTTATGTACAATACATACATACCCTACTCGCAGGGACCGGTTGCTTGTTAGCTTAAGGTATGGATGGTATGTAGCTTAGTTACATACCTAGCTGGGCTGGCTAGGAGAATATCTCCTCTACTTGCTGCCTCTCTAGATATGTAATTACCTACCTACCTACCTAACCCAACCCTACTGCCCGCCCCCTTTAGCGGCCGGAGCTATTTTATCAATGGGCGAGGCGATTAAAACAGGAAAAGATAGTAGTTAGTCGTCCCTGTGATTCCCACCCACCACGATGGACCCCTAGAAAGAAGAGCCGCGGCCTTGTTAAATCCACATGCCTAGGACATAAGCTTATTATCCTACCCTACGTGCGTAGGTACGTAAACGTGAGCAAGTTAAGTGCTAGGTAAAGCAGGAGTCTAGGCGAGCTTGGTATGCATCGTAGTATAATTGCACTGTTACATAGGTACGCACGGGGTTTGGCGGTACCTTACCTTACCTGCTGCGCTGCGCTGCACGTGCGGCGCATCAGTGCGGCGCCGGCGAGAGGTGCTTCCGGGCGCCGGGATCTGACATCCAGGACGGGGGTGTGTGGTGTTCGCGGAGGCGAGCCGGTGAGCATCATGTAACGTCGGTCTGACCCAGCGCCAGCGCCAGCGACAAAGGTATGTAGATAAAACTGATAGATAATAACTACATACATATCCCTAGGACCCCTTTGTGTGTGTACCTATGTGCCCCGTGCGGTGACAGGTTGGCAATCGCTTGGGGCAGGAGGCGGAGGATGGATGGATGGATGGATGGATGACTGGAAAAAAAGGGGGAGCTGACATTTGGTCATCGTGCATCCGGATCGCCGAGTACTACATACGCGCCAATGGCGATGTTATTATCACGGATGATTAATTGGGAAGAACCGTATATCTATTATCCATAGATACATAGTGTACCTACCTACTTACATGTCTCGGTAGGTAGCAATCCAAGTCCCACAATACACACATACCTAGGTAGAGTGCATACAAACTTGAAGTAACACGGCAATGCAGTGTTGACATCGAATATATATCATTATCGCGTGTCTCGTAAACTCTGCAAGATCCAGTTTTGTGCCAACGTAGACACCAAAACCCCATGGGCACGGCACGAAACTCGGGGGTGATAGACAATGTAATGTTCAAAGCGTTTTTTTTTTGGATACATGTAAACAATTCGATATGTAATTATTCTTTTTCCTTCTTGTAACTATATTTTTTATGGTTCTTTATTTTATCGCTAATATATTCTTAATTTATCGATCCCCTATTTTTATTATTTCTCAAGTAGAATGGAAAAAAAAAACAAAAAACACGAACAAACTCCACAAGTATTTCCGCTTCCCGCATCACATCTTTCTTCCTCCTTTTTTTTTTTGAGTTCAACGCCGCGTATCGTTAGGGCGGAACCGCACAGAGAACAAGACACCCAACCTGACCCAAGCTTCTGGGATGACTTTTCCCAAGGCGTGGGCGGAGGACCCTTTTGGACCCTCCCTCTCTGGATCTTTCCCACGAGTTTTCTTCTGCCATGTACCGGTTTTAGCTTCGAGGCTTGTTGGCGAGGCCTCACTGTGGTGTCCTACGCGCCGTCAGCTGACTACGTAGGTGCATTACGCGATCCCGACGTCCTAACCACCCACCCACACACACACACACACACACTCCCCTTTTCCTTTTCCTTGTTTGCGTACCTAGGTATGTACCTAGTAAGCGAAGGTACCTAGGTTAGGGTTAAGTAAGTTAGCAGGTTAGGTAAGATACATACATGGCGAGGGAAGTATTAGTTGTTCTCCTGTGCGCTGGGTCGACCGTCCGTTCCCCCGCCCCGAGCTACGATTTGGCATGTGGGTGCGACTCCGAAGGCCTTATTTTCCTCTTTTTGGATCTTGCCCCGAATTGGCGAAGAGTCGCGTGCCGGACTTCATCGTCACCCTAACGATTTGTATAACCGGCGACTTATCTAGGGCAGCTATCTAGGTGGTAGGGACAGGAAGTAGACATGCTGGTTAAGGTAGAGTGCCCATGATGATGCTACTGGACTTATATGAATGACCAAGTGAAATATCACCCGATACTACCCCCATCTCCGTCCCAGGTTCCTTGCGACAGTGGTGATAGATATATGTCATGGTTAAGTATCGCAGGAACGGCGAAGTCGTCAGGCAAGCACACACCTGAATAGTGAGCTGGGGAAGGCTGACGACATCAGGCCCTCGCACAAGCGTCACCAGCCACCCCCAGACTTATATACGAAAGCTTAAAACCGCTTTTCTGGCTAGCTCCATGATTCGCTCCCCAAGCTGCCGAGATGGAGCTAGCTACATGTGGTTGGCTACGATTCTACCTATCGGATACTTATGTAAGACAGGTGGTACATTACCTACATTGATATAGTGCCATCTACATAACCTTTAGTCTCATCGAATGGGTTCACGTCCCTCGGAACCAGAGCAGAGATGGTTCTAACTCTGAAGGTGCCCCCCCCCCCGGAGCCGCTTCCACCCTCTCAAGCGAGGGCCTTGGGGGTCTAGGCCTGCCCGAAGCTTCGCGCCGGCTCGGTACACGCACAGATGGCTGGGCTTCTACCCAGATTCTCGGAATGTAGCGTCTTAGTCGAATCTAGGTTCGTTGGAATAGCTCTTGCAGCAGAAAGTTTCCCATGTGAACGGTGGGGAAGGGGAAAGGGGTGGGTGGGCAGGAGACACTAGAGAATATTTAGAGTTTTGCCTAGAATACGAGATGTCAGGAGCCCAAGGGGGATGATCGCTAGGTAGGTAGGTATTTGAGGTACATATATTTATATCCATATGGATATCTACTTACCTAGGCAGTAACTGGATCGATGGAATTGAGCAAGGCACTAGAAAATAGGAGAGTCCATGTCTCCGTGGTAAATCCGATATGTCGTACGGTACCCTGCTTGCCATGACATATCTTGTAGTTACCTAACCTGGTTTATCCCCTGAATTGGCTTATATATAATGTTATTTGAGTACCTATATACCGAATAGGGTAGGTTATGTAATTGTAGGTACCTGTATTAGCTGCGCGTCTTGTAAGACCAAGACCCCCTATCCCCAACATTATATATCCGTATTTGATGAACCCCTATTTTGGCTTCAAGAACAAAAGACTAACCCCCAAAACTTGGTCCTAGGCCTATGACTTGAAGAATATGAATAGTCTGATGATGTGTTATGTAATAGCCGTAACGAGAACGAACGACTTACTAGGTATACCTTATAGGTATTTGATCTTAGAAATCAAGACCACAACATCTGAGGGACCGAATGAAAGACCTACGTAACTATTTATTTGAATAGAAAGAACGTGGTTATAATCGAATTCGCGCTGCCGCGCGAGATCTCTCGAATACTGTGTGTAGGTAAAGAAGAGAATAGTACACTGAGCGCTGGGTTCATCTTAACCATGACTTTGAGCATAAGGAAGAAAACTGATGGGCGACCACATACGTGCATGAATTATTGAGTAGGCCTGATCTAGCTTCTTTGCATATGAAGGAGGTGTATAGCAGTTGATATAGATACACAACGACTGCTGAGCCTGCCACTTACACGCGGAAGGGAAAGGGGTTAGGCAAAAAAAAAGGGGAGAGGAAGAAAAACGGTACAATGAGGATTTAGCCTGTTACATAATTCATGTTGAACCTGCTGTGAACTTTCGTATATAGGATAAATTACAAGGAATATTACAAGGACTTCGATGCGTATCAAGCAAGTAACTAGATGATAGGCACCTACCTCCCTAGGTAGTTAATTAGGTAGGATCGCCTTCGTCCATCTTGAACATATCCAGAAAGGGAGGCATCCAAAGGCAATCAAAGCTACGACGCTTCGCGTTGAGGGAAGAACTACTCGCCCCGCCATATCACCCGCCGGATCAGCTGGATACACGACGAAGAGCAACATGGTCCGAGATACATCTAAATAAACCAATGTATCCCGTGGTATTGATACAATCTGACTGCATTAACTGCACGATATAACACCAAATACGACTAAAACGTAGAAGGGTGCTGCCAATCTAGTCGTGGGCCAGCCTCCTCTCTGTCATTCCATATAATATACCTACCAAGAACTTTGGGCCTTGCAATGTTCTTTGGGGTTATGGTGGTAAGTAGGTATTATACCCACATCGAAGCTAGAATTAGAGAAGGGGTTTAGCAGTGATATGAACACAAGATTGAACATCTAGGGACGAAAAAATGGTTGCCATTGGCAATGTGAACCCAAAGAAACGTTTGAAGAATTTTATAAGTGAATAATTGATTTAGAAATTGAGCTCGCTACATGAATGCTTAGAATTTCGAATGTAAGAGCCACTGCTTCTGGGTATAATGGAGAATTGGCTCTTCAACTGGGGAAAAAGGTATCTCCATCATTACATGAGAAAAGGAAAATGCTGAAACTATAGTAACAGATGACTCGGACATAGCTCTCCTTTCTTGAAACTCCAGAGACCTAAAATCCAGGCTCATCTCTTTCCACCTTCGGTGTCGAAACTGCATTCCTATCAGCAAAGGGGTCATTTTCATCTTCGTCCACCAAATCATCCTCTTCCGAATCTGGCTCTGGAGCTGGATGTAAGATCAATGCCGGTTTTGACGCTGCCGAAGGTCGTGGGGGCGGCATAGGCCTGGGAGGAGGGCTTGGGTTGATACTGAGATGAGCCATTTCTGACACTGGGCTTGATGGGTTTGCCGGTGACATTGATTGACTATGCTTCTCGGTTGCCACTAGTCACGATGATAAGTATTGGGAAAATTTTGATCCAACGCAGCATAATTGCTTACTTCTGTAGAGGTGTGCTTGTTCTGCTAACTCATCCTCCGAGTCACTGTCCGCGTCAATAGAACGATCCAGTTGCTCGTATGTCATGAGGGCCACGACAAGCTCGTCGTTGGCATGGAGAAGGCCACCAAGCCATTGCTCATCTTCGACATGGTGAATCTACCGAGGTCAGTAAGTCGTCATCAATAGCATGTCTCGAAGCCATACATAACGTAAGATTTTCCTCCTCAGTTTCTTACAAGCTTCGAATCGCTCCACAGCTGCGGCGTTCTCTGAGATTCGTTCTCGTTCCCGGTTAATACTTTGGAGAGCATTCGTCAAATTTGTGGCTGCAAGCGAAGACTCGGCGATTGCGACCTTCATGGTATCCTTTTCAGCTTCCAGATTGAAGGGCTTCTGTTTTCTCTTGTTCTTGTCCTTTTCTTTCTTCTTCTTATCCTTGGAGGAGCTAGAGAAGAACGAGCCTGACCCGGACGTTGATTTGGTATGACTGAAAGACTGAACAGTTTGGCTGGGTTGAGGGTAGGCCACAGGCGGTCGTGAGGACGAAGCCTGAGATTGGGGAGACTGCGGTGGTTCGGCTTCGTCCTCCGAATCGCGAAAAGGGTCCTGTTCCGTTTCACGGAGCACCTTGGACTTTGCTTGAGTGACAACTTGTTTGCGTCGTGGGAGTTCCTATCACTGTTACCCTCATGGGTCGGTTTCTGATTCGCCGAAGAGTCTTACCTTATACAGCATGGCGATCCTTTCGAGGCCAGGGGTACTCTTATATTCGGCAGCCCAGCCCCTGAATAGCTCGGAACACTTTTTCTTAACATCTGGATCTGACAGGTCCGAAGTACCGCATACTCGCAAGCGCTCAAGTAGGGGTTCGTCAATGAAGGTTCGCTGGAAACGTGGCCCTGCGTTCTGAATCAAGCCGTCGAGAAGTACAAGTGCTCTAATTTGCCTATGAACGCTACCATACTTCAGCTTCTTTCTCAAGGCACGAGCAGCTTCTGCAGGGCCAGAATCTTGTAGTTTGATGACCTCGACTAGGTCAGGGATGCCGCTGAGGTCGTCTTCTTCATATTGTTCGCTAGTGAGACGTTCTACTGTCACCGTAACAGCAGAGAATGGTTTCTTCTATTTCAGAGTTAGAAAAGCCCACAAGTACGGACAAGTGACCGTTTCATCTTGTAGTAGAGCAACGAGTGAAAAACTTGGGTGGTGGTTGTAGATTGTAGATATCGGCTCTGAAAAAGCGCATGATAATGGAGCTACCAATGCACGAATAAGGCACATGCGCAAGACTTACCTGAGAGAACATATTGGCGGGAAGTAGAGCTCTGACGTCAGGATAGATGGGCGTGTATAGATTCGGTCCTCATGAAAAGATTGTGTAGATATGTCGAGATACGGAATTAACTCCGGTAGATATCAGTGATATGTAAGAATACCACAACCTCAAGGCGACCACCAGGCTATTCAAACGAGCAGATGTAATGCGAAGATCCGGTAAGGCAGAATAAGTCGCAGACGAATAAAATCGCGTGGGTTCCTATAGATAGATGAATGTGGCCTGCAGTCAGCAGGTCCTGGGTACCTAAAGTACTAGGTAGGCTGTCAGTCCGACTTCAAAGCCTTCAATGTTCAACACTTTCAACACAAAAGCACTTGGGAGTCAGACTTGAATCAGGGCTACCTAAGCTTAGATGATCTTGCATTCCTCGACAGTGATTGGAGGTTGGAGATTGGAGGCAGATCGATGAAACAGCTCGGGGGAGAACTCCGACGGAAGTGAATCGAACCACCAGTAGTAGGTAGGTGTAAATGGAGGTATTATGTCAGGTAGGTATCAACTGTCAGGCACATGTAGGTATGCCATACGTTAGGTATGTAGCCTACGAGGTATTGAAGCTGGTGAGGTTCAACGTTCGGCAAGCTACTTTGATCAATGCGGGACATGCGGGACATCATTTGAAGGTTGAGGTGGGGGTGGGGTCTTAAGTGGGCCTGAATAAATTAATTGGCACTTCATGGCAGTAACCACCTAGGTTAGGTACCTAGTAAGGAGTCAAACTGTCAAATGCATTACATAGGTAATATTGTTTTTATGGCAGGAAACACTACGCAACGAGAATGTGCCTTCTATCCATGAATCACCTTCAACTTCAACGTACTTGCCTACATACCCTAGGTACTTGAATATTGTTGAGATACTTAGGCAGCAGTTAAGTTGAAACCCCTAGTTTCACACATAGTAGTAGGTACGACCTACCTAGGTTAGGTAGGTAGGTAGGTAGGTATGTATTATATTTGGTTGAGTTTGATTTTGTTAAATTCAAGCTTAATCTCCCATCTACACCTTTTACCAATTACATACGTGTATGTATATTATATAATATGTACATCGATGATGTAGGTAACATTGAATCTCTCTCCACTATCTACTAGCTACCTACCCTAGGTAGGTAGTAGGTATGCAATAGAAACCTAACCACAGTACGTCCCATTATCAATCTTGAGGAGATCTCCAGGATATTTATTAGTTTACAGCTATGACTACTCAAATAGCCAGACAAGCAAGCTCGCAGTCACAAGAGGCCGTAGATATTGTCGATCAAAGATCCCCCCTCGTCTCTCATAGAGACCCTCACACCACGAACCACTCCCAGGACAGCCCTAAACTTCCCATCACGCCACCATCTCAGGCTCGAAGCAGGTTTCCAATAGTTGATAGCTACGAGCTTGCATTGCTTGAACAGGCCAGTCGTCATTCAACTAATATGAACACGGCTATTGTGCCTCTAGAGGCTTCGAGCTCGCCTACCCGTGTGCAGGGCTTAAAACGTAATCGAATGGAAAATGAGGTAGCCAATAATGCCGATCGATCTAAACGCCAATTATCATCATCTACAACACTAGCATCTAGTCCGTTCCTGACCCTCAGGGTTACAAAATCTAGCCCCATAAGCAACCGAATTACCTCCCCCATGACAAGGGAGTATCCATATAGTTCTAGCTATAACGATATAACACACCGGCAGGCTATTAGACCTAAAGAATCACTAGAACAAGCTTCTACTATAGAACAATTAACTTGGCATCCCACTTATAAGCTATACAAACATGAACATCAGTCGAATCACTCTCACAACCAGTCTAGTACCTTAACAAGTGCTAGCCTGTTAAACGACACGAGATCCCAGAGCGAGATGAACAGTAACCACGGCTCAGAAGGAGAACCACTTATGCCAGATAGTCCCCAGACTGGAATCGGCACCATCCACGGTGAGGACTACCCTTTAGATGGTGGTCTAAATGAAGAGGATATGGTAAACCTTCTAGACACAGGTATGGCCGACTTCCAAGAAACGCACATGCCACCGTCTAGCGTCATTCAAGCTTGGGACCATGGCTCGAGATCGGCTGCAGAATACGATCCGACTCTGCAATGCTCGTCACCATCATCTTCCTCAAAATCACCGAAGGATTCGCGAATGATGTGCATGACTAATAAATTTGAAGACGACCAAGACTATCTCCTTGACGAAGATGTCGATTGGAATATTGTATATTCCATCACAAGCACGATGAAAAAAGATCAATCGACGGCTATGCCTACGGGCCTAGCACATCCGATTATATCAGACAGTGATTCTTGCAAGGGAAAACCTGTTGAGCAAGACTTTCATGGTGAGACGACACTACCTTTGAAATCATTTCTCCGGCCCCCTTTTCCCGGAAAGGTTCGTGACCGTTCTGTCGTCCCCGGATTGTCATCAGATATCGTGTTGCGAACTTGCTTTCGAACAGGAGTAATGATTAACCAAGCAGCGCGTTGCTTTGACAGCCAGCAGGATGTTGTCTTCGAGTTGTATGCACGAGTGACATACTCGAATCGCGCAAGCCTCGAAAGGAGACAGCATTTTCAGTTCCTTGACCTATTCAAAGACCTGCGCCCATGTCCTTCAGGGGCCCTTGTGAATTGGAGAGTCGGAAGTCAGCTGGATAGACAGAGTTCGGCCTTCTTAAGCATGAGCAACGGGCCTAAACTGTGTCGCTGCATCTGCAAGCCCATTAAAGACCCCATAATTCCAAACGGGTTATACTTTGCTATTCTTTCTATTTCGGAAACCAGCTGGAAACAAATCGAATGGAGAAAGATGGTAGTCTGTGGGAGCTCAGATGAGAAATCTTGGAGAGATGAAACCTAGACGATGGATGGGTTTTGTAGGTAGGTACCTAGGCATATGGCCTGCATATATGTATTCGTAGAACATGGAAGAATCAATCTGCTTTCGTGCCGCTGTGGGAGAGATGGGCTTTATTAATGATGTACAGGACCAATGGAACAGCTGAAAATAAAAACATTCACTGATGAATACATAAAACTAGGTACTCTTCTAAGGTTGCCTTGGTCAGTAATGTGATAACAATGTGATATGTATCAATTGCTTGCCTTGTATTTGGAGAGTCCTGGGCTAGAATCGTGCCGCTCAGGTCCGAGAGGCGGAACAGCATGGGCGGTTAGAAGACATCTGAATGTCTCACTACCTAAGCAGCATTACTTATTATGTACATGTATACCTAAGATAGATACAGGTTAATACTAGGTTAGGTATATTTACGTATGTATGTATACATAGCTGTATCTAATGTTGGGTACATACATATAGCAGGCTTTGAAGCAATCTGGACCTGCCTAGGGTATGAAGCTGAAGCAAAGCAAAAAGCAAAAGAAAAAAGAAATCAAATGTACCTAGGGCAAGCCCTAAGTTGGAAGAAAGGGGGAGAAAGCATTATACAAGTGCATTGTACTATGATTGACAATACCTAGTATTGTAGCCATGTGGGGGAGTATCGTACTGGTATTATATGTATGCCTGTAGTAGGCCCTGTACATCCATGTATGTGATATAGTATATAATATATGTAATTCGATTGCTTTGTTGAAGTCGTACAGACTAGCATCCCCGACAACGTAGAACGAATGCCGCCACCCCCCCTCCCCCGGCCCTCCTTGCCTACTTTCATGGTGTTACGTTCAGGTGTTGGTAGGTCTAGTGTACTGTATTGTATGTACCTAGGTAGGTAGGTGGGCTACCTACAGCATAGATGGATGAAACATCACGTGCTTACCTCCACAAATCTCCACAGGACTAACAACCTAACCAGCTTAACCTAAACTTAATCATCGACGCCATTTGGGCTCGGAAACTCAACCGACTTCAATATTTTTCTGACAGCAAAATTGGGTACGCGTTTGTCGTGTTCTCATTCATTTAATTTGGTAGGATTCATATTCAGTTTGTTCACCAACAAGGCTCAGTTGGGCTGTACGTGTGATAAGAAGAAGGCTACATATAGCTATATCTTACATACCTAGGTGCATACCTGCATACCTACTTACCTACCCTATCTCACTTTCTTCTATCTCGTTCTCTTTTACAACACCATCATTCAATTTTAGATTCCGATTCGCTTTCGAAATCGGATTCATATTCATATAACAGAATACAGATACTTACCTACATGGTATCTACGGGGCTCCGACCATTACTCCGATTAAATTTTCTAGGCGACCAAACCTGAGGCCGCATCTACTCTACTCCGTCACTACCCACCCACGCCTATCCAAGCTTCGCAACTGTTAATTATCATCAATTTTGATGAAAATTTAATTCATCTAGAATTAAAAGCTAGGTTTTACGTACCCGGGGGCATCGAATTGCCACCCCTAGGACACATGGCCTCACCTATTCTTTCTAATGGGCAGGATTCCATGAGCATGCCTTTTTCCACGGAGGCATCAAGCCGACTTAATCAATATTTCCAGGTTGATAGAGAGAGGCAGTCCTTCATTCATGTAGGCCTCTTCGCCACCCTATCATTCTCCGTTTATAAACGCATTCTACTTCGTACTCTCTTGGTCAGCTTGCTAATACAATTCAAATAGAGTATTCTAGAGAAATATGAAGTCGCCACTACGAAGATTACTGCATTGGAGCTTGACTTAGATGATCAAAAAAGATCCCGGGCGATTTATCAATCCCAGGCTCTGACTCTCGAGAATAAGGTGGAGAGACTTGAGCATCAAATTGTGCGTTTCGCTATTCTCACTTTCATGATAGGTAACTTGCCAGCTAATGTTTTTGTAACAGAATAGGGATTCATTCGTTGTCGTACTTATTGATGGCGATGGAGCTAAATTTGCCGATGAATTCCTACGTGACCCTAATGGGGGCGCGGAAAGAGCCGCTATGAAGCTCAAGCAGGCTGTCCGGGAGAATCTCAGAGACACTGGCGTTGGACAGGAGGATATTCCCATAATTGTCCGAGTCTATGCTAATCTCAATGATCTGTCTAAGTCATTGCGCCTGTCCCGAGTCATTGATTATGACGATGATATGCGACTGTTTGCAGAGCGTTTCACCAATAGTCGTGCAGACTTCGACTTCATTAATGTCGGAAAGGGCAAAGAGAATGCCGACTCCAAGATTAGACGTACGTGCCCGGGAATTGAATGGTGCCCTCCTCTTCCACTCTAGTAACTATACTTATACCCGTTTAGGCATGCTTAATCATTACTACAGAAACATCCAGTGCAAGAGGATATTCCTTGCCGGGTGCTGTCACGATAATGGTTATCTACATGACCTCCGCGATTATACGGGGTTTTCTGATCGCAGACTCGTACTTTTGGAGACTACACCTGCAGAGCCTTCATTTAGGTCCCTTGGCTTTCCTATCATGCGTTTCGACAATGTATTCCGTTCGGAGCCTTTGAACAACGAGACGAAGCACGGGTTTTCCATGATGCCTCCTAAGCCTTCTCCTATTCAACCAAGTTCAACGCCGGGACCCATTGCTCGGCCTGTGCAGCCTCTCCAAAAGTCTGCTACCATGCCGCCTGCTTCGCAAGAACAGCGGCATTCGTCTACCCCAACTTCGGCATCTGGGACTCCATCGTCGCCAATCCAGCCCAGTTCTACACCCGAACAGCAGGCCAATCAACCGCCACGTGCGGCAAGTGTTATTAGCTCCGGAAATGGCGGTACTTCGATTAGTTATGCGACAGCTGGTGGAGTGAATGATCTCCAAAATGTCACGGTCAAGGCCCCCAAACCTAAGAAGCAGCCAAAGATTCTATATTACAACGCGGATGGTTATCGTATTGACCCGCCTACGCAACATCCACCTAGAACGCCTGCCCAGACGTCTTACCAGGCCAAGTTCCAGTCTATCAAGCCATCGGTGTTTTGTAACGACTTTTATCTAAAGGGCCGGTGCAAATGGGGTGTTGGGTGCGATAAAACCCATGATGCTGAATTAACTGCGCCGGAGCTTGCTATTCACCGCTATAAAGCCAGAACTAGTTTGTGTCCCGCAGGGCCGTATTGCGTCGACTATGACTGCTACCTATCCCATCATTGTCCCCGAATTCCCTGCACTAGGGGAGATATGTGCCCATTCTGGAGTACCGACAAGTGGGGAAATCTACACCTAACGAAAGATCAGCTGGAGGCAACGTAAGTCTTATTCGTCGCACGCATATACATAATTTTATTATTATCCATTTTCAAAGACTAACCGCGTTGTTCCAATGCAGAACTAAATGGACAGAAGGTATCGATCTACCCGAACATCTAAACTAGGTTTATAGGTCAAAAATCTAGAGGGAGAAACGACGTCCCATGCGGACCTTGTCTTGACCTCTTCTATGTTACAATTAAGAACAGGTGTGGAGGAAGAATGTCCATCTGTTATTTCAGGGGGGGTTGGCTGAGTGGCAGTGAGTTTTACACACAATTTTAAGAACAAAAAAACATTATGTTCTTTGCCCCGTCAGAGACAACGAACACGTGAAGCTCGGGGGCGGACACCAAAAATCTGTATTAGGAATACTTCTGAAGTGGTCCCAAACGATGAAGTAATGATTTTTTTCATTGTAGAGGGGGTCTTTTTTTTTTTTTTTTTTTACCTGTCCCAATTGAGTCGAGGAATATGCCTCGGAGGGACTGGTATCATTGCTGAGCTAGGTAGTATCTACCTCTTTTACCTACCTAGGTAGCCGACGGGCACTACATAGTTGCTATTATTGATCATGCGTCTTCTAGTTGGGTGCTTATCTACCTGATTTTGTTAATGGTTGTGCCCCTATTCTCAGTGATATCGTAGCTGTATCTGATTCTACCTACCTACCTAGGCATCGCCCACAACAGTCCCTTTCCCTTCCCTACTAACCTTGGGTAGGTGCTACATACGTGAATATCTACAACTGTAAACTTTTTATCATCACCATCACCATCACCATCATGACTATAATAGGTAGATGGACATTGAAAATATTAATATTGGTATTCTCATCATTAGGCACTACACTGCACTACTCTACACTAGGTACAGCAACGACGACGACGACGACGATGACGAATCTACCTACCCCTTCCCAAGCAACCTACCCCCCGGCGGATCTGCGCAGTGCTCATTCTGGCGCTCCTCCTCATTGACCTGGCGCAGCGCCCCGCGGCCCGACTTATCCTCCACGAGCGCCCGCAGCTCCTCGGCCAGCCGCTGCTCGAGCTTGTCCAGGATCCACTCTGCTTCTTCGCGCGTGTCCATGAGGGGGCTGCGGTGGCCGACCCAGCTCCATTTGGTGATGGTGGTGCTGGGGGTGGTACTGGGGGTGAGAAGGTTGTTGTTGTTGTTGTTGGACTTGTCCCCCTTCTCGGCTGACGCTGTGGGTGCTTGGGCGGCGGCGGTGGTGGTGCTGCTGTGGCTGCTGCTTATTTCGGCGCTGTTGTTGTTATTTTCATCGTCGTTGCCGCTGTCGCGTCCGCATGTATCACTGTCGTTTCCAGTGGTGCAGATGTTGAGCTTGGCGCTCTTGCTCTTGCTCTTATTCTTGTTATTACTGCTGCGGTGCTGTGGTGGTGGCCGCTTCTCTGGCCTGCGATGATTGTCCGCGTTGCTTTCATCTTCGCCGATGAGTCGGAGGTACCAGGCCCTAGTTTGTGGGTTAGCATACTCATTACATACACACTTAGGCTCACAAGTATAACATGTTTGATTGCGGCCTATTGCTATTTGTCATTGTGGTAATTTGATGCATAGCTTGTTTCTTTTGTTTTTTTTCTTCTTTTACAAAAAGGGGGTGGGTGGGAACGAAAAGAACAGGGATCACTTAGGGTTAAACTCACCACTCCTTAAATGTGTACTTGCGCGGTGGCGAGTGTCGCAGGTGTTGAGTTACGCGCTGGATCTCGTCTATCAGGACGAGGTGGTATTCAGCGCGAGTCTTAGGTAATTCTGTAGGCAGACTCTCTCGAGCTATCGAAGCAGCTCGTCCCGGGGACTTGGGTGTAGATGGAGACGCATTAGAGCCTCCACCTCCTGTCGATTTTCTTTTTGACGAAGCTGGCTCGTCTTCCTCTTTAGCATCTTCGTCGGCCCTGTAGTTGCTTGCTAAATTATCGGCGTCAGAAGTCTTTCCTGCATCTCTCCTCGGTCCATCTTCGTCGTCATCGTCGTCGCCATCTAAACGTCTACGGGCCGCTCCCAGAAAGCCGGGAGGGTCTTCTTCAACTTCTTCATCATCTGCAAATAACACGCCACATGAAAATTTTGCTAGAATTTGTTTCGTCGACTTTCTGAAACCGTGCTCGCCTGGAAGAATCGTAATGTTTCCAAGAAGTAGCGTGCCATCTTTGATGCTTTTTATGATTGTGTCTCCCGCGTTGGAAATGAGAACAGTCATGGTAGGCAAGGCTAACAGAGACCAGAAGACGAAAAAGGATTTGGCCGAGTTCGACACAGGGGTAAGATCACCATATCCGACGGTCGTTAGGGCTGTGAAGGCGAAGTAAAAGCCATCAAAATAGGTCCATCCCTGGTACGGGTATTCGCATTCCTGGAAGATTTTGGCACCCACGAGCCATAATACTACCCAAGTGGTAGTGGATACAGCCATGGCGGTCCATCTTTCCTTTTTGGATGCTCTGTTGTTTGTTAGTTTATATTGACATGTAGGGGGTTTTCGTCTCAATTTCGGTCATATAGTTTTGGACGATGGCTTCTCAATCGCACTGTAGAAAGATAAGACAATAAAAGGCATCAATAACTTACTACCCCTAATTAGTATACGAGCGTAATAAGATAAAGATGAAAGGGGCCCTATAATCAAGGCAAGAAAGCCTGAAGCCTTGGGACTGCTTCATTGCACGTACCTGACGTTGAATCTTTCGCATCAGATGGAATTCCCTCTGACGGCGCTCGAATTCCGTCCGATATGATTGTGCACTATTGATATCAGGGGTATCTACACCCTCATCATCAATTGGGTCAAAAACACTGCCGTTTCCCTTCTGCGTGATACGTCGAATTAACTGACGGCGCTGTTTTTCCAGCATGCGCGCCTCGAGCCTATTCTTTCCACGATCGAGGATCATACTTCTAATCGAACCTATCACCAAACCGAGGCTGATAACACCGACCAGGGCATATGGGACCAGAAGACCACGACCGAGACGGGTCTGCGGAGATATGTCGCCAAATCCTACAGTGAAAAGAGTAACATCCGCCCAGTATACAGCATCAAGATAGTTCCAGCCCTCGATCTTAGAGAAAGCCAAAGCGCCCAAGAGTAAGTACATGAGAAACATGATGGTCTGGAGCATCAAGGTTCTTTGGCTGGTGGTTAACTCGAAATCTTTGCCATAATGACCTGCCTGGGCTCCCCAGACTGTGACAGTCATGAGTGAGGCAACTATAAAGTAAAGAATAGCGGCATACATGCCATAGTAGAAGGCCTGAGACCAGACGTATTCGATCTCAGGCTCGATTTCTAGCGGACCGCCGGCGGTGGAACACAAGGCTAAGAGGCAGATTGCCGAAATATACCAACCGGTGATGGTTACGGGCTGCGCGATGGAAAACCGCATTCTTTTGGTCATGTTTAGCAAGAGGAATACATTTGCGACTAGAGCGATTACTAGCTGGACGGCATTAACGGCCAAGAGCCACGATGGATCTTGGATGAAGACGGCTTTGGTGACATCAGATCCTGGAAGGATATGCTGTCTCCAGTTCTTGACCAGTGCACAGATACTGAAAGCGGAGGCAACTGGACCGAGGGTGCCGGCTATCATGGGGAATGCAGCAGAGGCGAACCACCATCGACTACTCATGTCGAGTTTATAGTCAGTGTTGGTGTTCTATGAACTTAACCTCCTAGGTACCTAGGTATGAGTTGGGTTGGTTTCTTGCCTTGGGTCTAGATAGACCTGGTCGCTCATGATGGCATTGTGACCAGCCTTTTCATTTTCAGAGCGGTCAACGGCCTGGGTGTGTTGGTCGATGTTATTGTTGAGATTGGCATCGTCCATGTCGACGAGTAAGTGGTCATGCTGTAAGGGAGGATGTATAGGTCATGGGGGAAGACTCGGAAGAGAGTGTGATAGATATGATTAATATACAGTTATATGTACAGAGAGATATATTTACAGAAGTTGATGTCCTTTTTTTTGGTAAAATGGATGAAAAAACACGAGATGACTAGCCTAGCATTTTCATAGTTTTAATATGTTAGAATCTAGATAAGAATCGAGATATTGAATTATAAAGAACGGCGTCTCGGGTCAGACGACATTCTTTATGGAAGTTCCAGCACAAGTTGTACTGTACTATGTACAACTAGTATGTGGGATGACGTCGCTTGGCATTGGATCAGTACACTAAAATGATAGGCTAGGCCACATCTGACAAGGGTCTGAGACTTCAACGTTGTCGAAATGACAACTGATTGGCCCCTCTTCCCACGCTAAAATCTTCACCATCAAAAGCAGCAAAAACGAACGAATTTCATCTCATCCAAGTCAATCATTCACTCATTCCATTTTAGGTTTATTATTTCTTTTCTTATCGCTTAACACGTTTAAAGCATCTCACATCTATTTCCCATTTTCTTGAGGGGAAAGAAGATGAGAAGATGGACATTGATTAGGGGGTTACCACGCTTTGGAGGATTTCCAGGATTTCAAACACAGAAGCCAAAGAGACATTTCCACTCATCAAACGCACTGAACGCTGTCGCTAGCAACGTAAAACATGTCAAGGTTCGCGTTGGTTCATCAGGCACCGTGACGATTGAGTAAGTTGGTCATGATATTTTATGCTATTTATTATATCATAGTAGCTATAAGCTACCTACTTATAAACCAAGCCCTTATTCCTGACTTCCAGCTATCACCTAGTTTACATAATGTTGACAAGGAGTCGAGAGTTCCCTTATTGGTGTACTTACCACCTTATTCAACAGCCTCTGCATGTAAGCCTGCAAAACTACCAAGATTTGCCCAAGGATGGCCGACGGCTGTGATAAACTACCGTTGGCCTGGCTTCGGCCCCTTTGACCAGCAGCAGGCGGCTGCATTAGTATCTTCTGAGGGATCGCGAGGGGAGGCTTATGGCAAGTCTCAGTGGCCAACTCCCATTCACGATGTTATCAAGGCACACGATTGGATTATTCATAACCCACGCCATTTTCATGATGCCGGTCGGGACATCTATGTCGTTGGCTCGTACCTTGGCGCCTCGCTAGGCATGGCGTTGGCCCTAACGGAAACCCATCCACGTCGAGAGATGGGCATCCGTGGATGTGTCGCTTACAACGGCATATACAATTGGACCAAGTTTCTTTACCGACACCCTGATTACGATGATTACAAATCACCCACGTTACTCGAGGCAGTACTGTCTCGGGATATCCCAAAATTTCAGGAATTGAGGCGGCAGGCCAAAGAACTGTTCAGGACGACGGACTCTCTCTTCGATCCTTACGCGAGCCCCGGCCTGTTCTTCCACAGTCCAGGCCTTCGCCCACCAGAATTTTTTGACGACGGGAAGGACGGAAGCAAGGAGGTCAACGAACCATCAGGTGCGGTCAAGTTTCCCCCAAGGTCTTCCACACTTGCGATCCCGCAAACCCTGCTGCTGCACTCTAATCCTCCCCCACTGCCATCATCAGTCAAACGGGAACTAGAGAGGCACGGCCAAGGAAATCACAGGAACACCTTCAAAAGCCAGGCGTTCGAGCTCGCCAAGTCGATGCGCAGCAGCGTCGTCAAATACGACCTCAAGGAGCGCTACGGACTCAATCACGAAGTGAGGGAGCTAGAAGCTGAGGCCAAAGAATGGGTGCAGACCTACGATGTAACAGACAGTAGCAGAGGCTATGATCTCAGCGACGAAGCAGAGGAGCTGGCTGCCGAATGGTTGGAAGATCTTATACCACGGTAGAAAACCTTGGGCATCTAATGAAGAAACTATTGAATTGGAATTATTGCGTCTATCTTGTCACTCTCATGCTACCATGTGCCTTAAAAAGAAGGATGTAAGGATAGGTAGAGATCTTGACTAGGTAGAGATGTTCTTAAATACAAAACCACGATGCATCGCACTTTCCTCCCTGGCGTACCTGCCACCATCTCTAGAAGAAGAAAAAAGTACTTAGGGTAAATTTAGTAAACCGTCGTTTCACAGACTAAACCGAAGAGTTCAAGGTTCGCTATATAAAACTGGCAGATTTTGGCACGCGCGACGCTAGCAACCACCGTTCACGTTAACTACTAGGTACATACCAAAAAATCGCAAGTGCACCGAGCCCACCCCAAATTACACGGCCCAAGTGGAATAACCTTTTAAATCGAAGCGTTTAACCTTATCTTTATCTTAAACCTTGTAAAAGCCTATTTAATTACATTATTTAAATAAATTATATGGCGATTATATCTTAAAATATAAATTATAAATGGTTATATATATTATATTATATATATTAAACTTTTTAAATTAATTTTTTTATTTTAAATATGTTTTTTAAATATATAATTATATAAGTGTAACCGGTATTAATTAAAAGCGTATTAAATAATAAATCGATTAATATCGGTTTTAAGTTAATAAAATATTTAATTATAAAGTTATTTAAGTAAATAAGTTAATTAGGTTAAGCGGGTAAACGTATGTAATTATTTTTAAAGTTATTTAAAAGTTTATATACGATCGCTTAAAAGTGTTATATAATAAGTTATTATATAATATCTCCTAATATATATATTTAAATAACTTTATAATTAAGTATTACATTTATATTTAACTTATATTATTTAATAAATAATTAAATTTTCTTTTAATTAATATTAATTATATTATTATAATTATATATTTTAAACGTTTAAATTAAATATTAAATAATTAATGTTTTAAGCGATTATATATTAGCTTTAAAAGTAATTATATGTTATTTAAATAACCGGCTTATTAATCGAAATATTAATTTAAAACCGGCGTTTTACGGCTTAAAAAAGCTTTAAATTTAAGGTTTTAAGGTTTAATAATAATAATAAATATAATATATATAATTACTTAAAAATATATGTAATTACTTAAAATATTTATATTTTAAGATATAATTAACATATAATTTATATGGGTAATTTAATTAAGTGGGTGTTTATAAGGCTTAAGTAGGGTTTAAAATAAAGATAAGGTTAAACGCTTTAATTTAAAAAGTTATTTCACCTGGGCCGAAATTACATAACTAGCCCATGTTAGTTATGTATTTTTCTTTTCCCATTGTTTAACCGCGCCACCCACCAACCAACGCAAGCCACCCCCCCCCCCACCACACCTAGCTACCTAGTTATATAACGCAAACTATCCACCCAACGAAACATCGAACAGGGATGGGCATTGGCACACACACACACCCGATGTGAGAGATGTCCCATTTCCAAAAGGGTCTGATGGTCTAGTGGTAGGATTCTCGCTTTGGGTTCAGGCATACAGTTCAGTCCTGGCGCAAACTTGCGAGAGGTCCCGGGTTCAATCCCCGGTCAGACCCTTCTTTTTCGTCTTTTATTCTACGATTTCCAAATCTCTTTTTGTATGTATCCTTTTTTCTTTTTTTTTTTTATCTTCGACAACTTCATCCGATGTTTGTTTATCGTGGTGTTGATTGATTTGGTAGTTATTGGTTGGTTCGTTTAGTTAACGGCTATTTAGTTATTTTCGGGGAGTTTAAAACTTTGTTTTCCGGCTGCAATTGAAGCACTGTCTGTCAGTCAGCACAAACGAAACGCTCCGAGTAAAATAACGGGCGAGACGCAACGCTAATTAATGTTTTCTATGTACTTCTGAGGCTGCATTTATCAGACATCATACATACACACTCGGAACTGCACACATGTGTAGATCTATGAGAATTGAGTATTGAGGTATCTATCGTCTACTTTCTACCTATAGGTATTCATACAATCCATCCATACTTCGTACCAACATATCAAGTAGGTGATGCGTGATACCAACCCAACCCGCCTCTACTGTTATATATATATATATACCATCTATACCCATGATCTAAAATTCCTAGATACAAACAGGTATATACCAAGGCGCCCACTATACATGACGATGCATATGCCCGCTCACACCCCCGTTAAAAATTGCAAAGAAATCCCATATCATGTTAGTTATCACGTACAATCCTGTCTACCAACCTCTCTTCCACCAAGCCTTCTTTTTCTTCTCCTCGTACCCCTCCTCCTGGACATTGTGTTTCCCTACAATCGTCAAGAACACCTGATCTAGTGTCGTCGGCGTGCACGAGAAGTGTTCGATGCCCAACTCTTTTTTATGAGCCTCAAGGACCAGGATCAGTTGGCCTACGGCGCTGCCACTGTTGCTACCAGCTTTTTCGGTGACCGCGCTCGCCGGCACGGAAAACCGCATCTGCCCATGATACGTCTTCTGCTCAACCTGGGCTGCGGGCCAGGTTTCTACAACCCAGCATCGCAGCCGCTGCATCTCTTCGACTGTGGAGTGCGGTGCTGAGTTGCTGACGAGGTGAACGTGCAGCGCGTCGCCGAAACGCTGGCGCAGGTTGTCCGTCGTGCCCATGGCCAGCATGCGCTTGGCTAGAATACCAGCACGGTTGGCGAGCGCATCGGCCTCCTCCATGCTGTGCGTCGTGAGAAGAATGGACCGACCGGGTACGATGGAGTGAAGTGTGCGCCACATGACCCGCTTGGCCGCTGCGTCCAGTCCCGAGGAGGGTTCGTCGAGGAGGACGACGCTGGGGTTACCCATGAGCGCGATGCCAAGGGACAGTTTCCTCTTATTCCCGCCAGAGAGCGCGTGCGCCATACGGGTCGAGAAGGCCTCGAGGCCCACGGCGTGGATAACGGCTTGCACGTTGTGCTCGATATCTGGGACACCTCGGATGCGCGCGTAGAAACGGAGATGTTCAAGAACCGTCATCGAATCGATTGCATCAAATTGAGGGCATACACCTAGGTGAGCTCGGGCCTCAGCACGACGACGGCTGACAGAAGTGTTCTCCACGAGAACGTCGCCCCCGTTGCGACTGGGTTGGATATCACCGCGAATCAACGAGATCGTCGTGGACTTGCCGGCGCCGTTGGGGCCCAGTAGAGCAAACACTTCTCCGTGCTGAACACCAAACGTGACATTGTCAACAGCAGTATTTTTGCCGAATGACTTGGTTAGATGTAATAGACGGAGACCGTCGCTTTCCTGCGCAGTGCTAGTTACACGAACGAGCTCATTAGCAATCTCCTCATCCGAAGCCGTTGGGTCTTCAGGCGTTGTGTGTGCCTTTTGCGTTATACGGTTGATAATACTGCGCCCAGCTCCGCTGTCATGCCATAATATAAACCCAAACAAAAGCACCGCTTGCACGATCAGGTAAAGAATCGGACCTCCGTAGGCAGTCAGAGCACCAGGGTTGCTCTGAATTTGATCTCCGTCGCAGGTCATCGAGAAAAGATTGAGGGTGACGAACATAGTTCGAACCACGGACCCGATAGGTAGGACGGCCGAGATCACGAAATGTGCGATAAGAATAGACTGATCAACGGTGGTGACTGACGCATATGTGATGACACACAAGTATGCGATCAAATAAATCAAAAAGCCAATGGCTTGGCCAGCTGCGGAGAAGGCATATGTCGATAACTGATTCCCGCAGAATAGGGAGATTACATATGATAGCAGGATCGATGCCAACCCATAAAGGATAAATATGAGGAAGAGATACGAAACATTGTACCAGACATCTGACGATGCAGCAAATATGGCAGTCACGATTGCAGAGGAAACCAGGATGAATGCGAAGTCGAATACTGTGTAAGACACCCAGAGCGGAAGGGAACGCACTCCATTTGAATATTGTAGGCCGCGGACGTTCCGCCTCCTCTCGATATTTGGATAGAGCCCGAAGAAGGCGGGAGAGATGGAAAGAGCCAGACAAAAGTATATCAATAGCTGCAATGAATCGCCAGTAGATGGTGCCCAAGGTATATCAAAGGGTGCATAATTCGCCGCGATGCTCGTGTTCGCCAACATGATATCGAGAGCATTTTGGCCAAAGACGGAGGTGAATATGTCTCCAGCATCTGCCTCGTATGTGAGGGTAGGCAGTGAATTAGCATCTCCCAGCCACCATCCAGCTGGTTTGACATCCTTTCGCCCTTGCTCGACAAAGGTATTGAACTCATCTAGAGTGTCAACCAAGTGTAGACTCTGAAGAAGATAGGTAGCATTCAGACTCGAGCCACCTCCACTCCCGTTGTCGGATCCAGACTGATTTTGGCCTTGGTAGATTGGGAGGAAAAGTCTTTGCAAAGTAGACTGACTGAATTGCGAAGATGGACCAGCTACTAAAAATAAGTCATTGTATAGATTAGAATAGCCTGATGTGTCGGGCGCGTTTTGGTTGGCTGGGCTGCACCCAACAGGGTGCTGATCGGTGACATAGAGAGAGGTTAAAGCTGCCGCTATGATCGGGATGAGAAAAGCTAGCAGGTATGGAACCCAGTTGCTTTTGAATATAGTGCATCGCTTCATGAATAGAACCACCATCTGCCTCATAAAACCAACTGGCCGCCCGGATAGCAATTCTAGCCCGTCTTTCTCAAGCTCAGCACCCCTGAGTTCCTCTTCAGGGGTAGCTTGCTTATCATTGTCCGCTTTAGTAGAATATGAAGTATGTGCTGGTACTGCAGCACTCTCGCCTTTGACTTCCTCGGCCACCTGAAGGAACACATCTTCGATAGTCGGGTTGGAGAACTTATAATCACTGATTCCCGCAGCTTCTAGAGAGCGTATGACTTCTGCAGCAAGGCTAGAGGATGGTGCAATATAGCTTATGACATCGAAGCCTATCGTGCGAGTAACATTTTCCACGTCTGGAGGATTCTTGATCTCCCTAGCGTTGAAGACATGGACTCGATATCCGGCACCTAATCTGTCCTTGAGTTCCACCGAGGATCCTTCGGCTCTTAGCGTGCCCTTGGAGAGAATAGCGATATGGTCTGCGAGTAGATCGGCTTCGTCGAGGAAATGGGTTGTGAGTATAATTGTTCGTTTGCCACGCTCAGCTAGGAGGATGTCCCAAATCTTGCGTCTAGAAAGAGGGTCAATTCCGGACGAGACCTCGTCGACACAACAGACGGCACTTCCACCAGTAAGCATCATTCCAAGCTGAAGCTTCCGTTTCTGACCACCCGAAAGCGTCTTGGACATGGCTTTGATTTTTGGCCCAAGGTCCACGGCCACAACTAAATCTTTAATATCTTGTTTAGATGCAGTATTCTTAGGCGACTTTAATCGATTGAAGATTTTGATGTGTTCCTCAACAGTCAGTTCATCCCATAATACGTTCTTTTGCGGTGCGATGCCCAAACCGCCGGTTCCATCAATCGTGATACCGCCGCTACTTAGCTTGCTGATGCCAGCAATGGAATCAAGTGTTGTACTCTTTCCGCTACCATTGGCACCAAGTAGAGCCAGAATCTGTCCCCTTCTTGCGGTGAGGGTCAGGTTATCCACAGCCACTACCGGCTCTTTTGGCGCTGAACTAAATGGAAGGAAACGGCTCAAAGGATTGGGCTTATACACCTTAGTGAACTTATCAAGTCGTACAGCATCTTGTGGTGCAGATTCCGCAGTTTGATCTTGAAGAATGGTGCGACCCTTCGTGGTCGTCCCGTGAAACAAGCGTTCAAGATAGGCGCCTAGGATCGGATATACGATTATCTGGATAATGAGGAACACCCAAAAAACGATGCCGGGTAAGTCCCATGGATTTTCAGGTGGCGTTCTTACTAAGTCTGCTGGGAATGAATACCTTTCGTATCTGGCTATAAAGGTCATGAACCAAACAAAATTACAAGGTGTCTACATAGGCATGGGTTAACAATGATTCATTTACCGGAAGGAAGTTGTGTGTGCTCGCATCGTCTGAGGATGAAATATGATACGATTTGAAGGAATACCTACGAAAAGCAAACTAAGAACTGTGACTGTAGCAGTACTAGGTGATGTCAACGTCTGAGCTAGGATGCCCAGCAGGATGTATGTCACCGTTGTCATCACACCCGAGAGTTGGGACCGCTTGAAAAATGATGCACCTAGGATGGAGAGTGATGCCAAAGCGATACCAGCAAGGATGAAATATATGAGTACGATAGCAACGCTTGTGTTTGCCCAGACTCCACTAGCAATGATTATCGAACCGATGACCCAGCCGGGGAGGTATATTAAAGTGAAAGCGATATGATACGAGAGGAGCCTCGAGACCTGTGCCTGCCACCGGTACTTTGTAGGCATCGTAGCATCAAGTAACTGAGACATGCCTATTTCTCTTTCAGTGGCGATATGACCGGTCATATGGTAGCAGATGCCGATAACAACCACGAAGAAGGATACAGCAAGGAAGTTCGTTAACGATGATTGATAATTACGTCGAATTCTCGCTTCACGTTCTTCTGGCGTCTCGGGAGTATATGGATACTCCTCTGTTATGGGAGGGAATTGCGACCCGCCATCCGTAACAGAAAGAGCAGCGATTGCAGAATCTACAGCCCGCTGTAATGGGAGGGCGTAGACCTGGCCGGCATTATTAGTTTGGGTGACATCGACCTTGGAACCGAGTGCGCCATCTGCTCGTAGAGTATAGTTCCATAATGCCCCATCCCCTTCAGTCGGAGAGGAGTAGAAGACTACAGCGCCGTAACAAGGTGATACGCCGCGCAGGGAACTTCGACACGCATAGGCCAATTCGGATATGTCTGTCAGCCTCGACGCATTCTTTCCAGCCCCGGTCACCTCACTGGAGAGCGTGTCGATAACACGATCGATGTCACCACCGGAAAGGCCATTGTTTACAAAAGCTACCGTATTCCGATTCGTACCATCTGCAGCAATGAGGCCATCATGAAGCGATCTGACGGCGTGAGGCTCTCCGATCCCGAACACAGCCGGGGGCACGAATAGATTTCGCGCAAATGTTAGAAAGGCTGCTAGGAGAATGGGAAGGAGAAATGCTCTAGCGAAAGTGGCGGCGAAATGGCGAAGTACGACAATTTTGAGATTCTTGGCCGTCAAGGTCCAAGTTTGTCGCAAAAAGGCCATCTCGGCATCAAACAGCTCTAAACCTCAAGTACTGCGAATAGGCTTGTCAGTGTCGAGCTATATAGAGTTGATCGTCTGCTGACGAAATCGCAACGGGGTTTATCGCGCCATGTATAACCAGACTCTAAGAAATTATTTTCTATAGAGTGATTTTGTAAAGTACAGTACAAGAAGAGGGTGAGAGAGAAGGGAAGAGGATGATGATGTTAAGTATGTATTTAAAACGTTGAAGAACATTGAATTGGATGAATGTATAATGTATGCAGTACATAGTTATGAAACGACAAATAACGGTTCAACACTAAAATTGTACATATAATGTACGCCATATGCACTAGTAAGACTGGCGCATGCAGGTATCTGATACATCGTACAAAACCTACAAGCCACCACACATTACGCAATACACATCATGATGCGACCTTCAATGAGCGCTTGAACTATGTACCAGGTACCTGGCACAAACAACTTGAACCTAAAATCAACCCTGTTCAGCCTTTCGGGGATACGAGCCGGGCATTGATTTCGCCCGACTCTACACATTGTATCACATTGTGGTCTGGTACTTTAAGGTTACACAACACTTCATTGTATCAAGGCTTTATCAGGCCAAGCCCTTGCGCTGCTGCATACTACAATGACATACATACCTACCTACATACATACATACTAAGTACATAGTATGTAAAGCGCTGCCACCAAATCTCACCAATCCGTTCCTTGGCACTCGTTTGTTGTCATATCTGCTTACATAGTAACTATTCAAAATAGTCTTTGGAGTAACAGGCCATGGAGATAATAACTGTAAGGGGGCGGATGTTCTTTGACCGGGCATGGAGGCTCCCTTTATTCGTCTATGCTTTAAATCGGATAACTAGTTACAAGGTGAATAGTTAGGTACGTAGACTCTGTTCTTGCAAACTGCTTCCCTGAAAATACGGATGAGAATTTCGTTTCGCGAAAAACATTTGAACACTCACGTCAGACGTGGCACGGCATACGTACTGTAGGTATCTAACCTAGGTAATTATCCCTTCGTATTTCCACGTAAGTTGTATGTACATCGAATCGCACCTTAAGATCAATGAAGATTACCGCGAGGACTATGTATGTAACGCCGAAACATATGCCAAGTCGGCCACTTTCATTCAGAAGCTGCCTACATGTACCTACCTACTGTACCTATCCGTCAATTACATATTACCCGATGGCTGTGCCCTTTTCAGCTTCGCTAACAGAAGCAAAGAGGACAGCCAATCAGAAGACAGTTCTTGGACACATTAGGTAGGTACTGTATGTACTAACTACCTATATATCTAGTTGTGGCGGCACATGCGCCCCTGCAGTGTTGGCTCCATCTCGCTAAGTGGAAACGGGATAGTGGGTTGTGGTCTTGTTGGTGAGCTAGTAATAACAACATAGAGATCCTACATTGTCCTACATACATAGACTTACATCCGACCTCCGTCCATATGTGTAGTCAACCGTTTAAAGGCGTGTTAGGTACATGGGCTTGATAGCGAAGGAGATACACGTAATTAGCCCCCTGTTCGAGTAAGATATTGCGAGTACAGTCATCAAATATCAAGTATCATATACAACGTCAACGCTGAACCGTAAATAGTGAGGGATATCTATACATATATGCGCCAACTTCAAATCTATACTTCTTCCTTCATCACCATATATACTTGGCACATAAGTAGGCCACGCAATCCATCGCAACACCAGCATAGGTATGCCGTATAGGAGGTAGGTAGGTAGGTAGGCATTCAGTCAACCATGAAGCCCCCTGCCATGTCCTCATCATCGACGATGAAGCCGCCAGCCTCGTCACTTGCATCGCTTCTCAGCGCCTTGGCATGATCATCACCGTCGCCCGACTCCACAACGTCTTCATGATTACCCTCTTCATCTGAGTCGACGTCAGCCCAGATCCGCTGCCGGACTCTCAGGCTCATCAAGAACAGTCTCCAAGCCTTGAGGACCTCCCGGGTCCGTTGCGCTTTTTCGAATTCTGCAACCTGTTCTTTTAGTCCATCGATGACCGCGCAAACAGCTTCTTCGTTTTCCGCGGCCACGACTGCTCCGTGGAGAACGGCGGTGCCGTGTTTCCCCTTAAACAGAAACCCAGTTAGAGCCGGGGCGTAGTCAACTCCTAGTATGAAAGCTGCCCGGGCAGCGAGCTCGTCCGGCACATATGCACCACCTTCCGGGACCATGCTCGGGACATAGAGGTCTAGATTCCTGAACCGATTCTTTGGTACTCGTCCATTGATAACAGGGGGGTGTTTGAAGAGTATAGTTTGATCATGTGTATATATTGGTGTTCCAACTGTTCCACAATCATCATCCTCTTCGTCGCCAAACAAGTCCGCTTTAGGTTTTACCCGTTTGGGCAGGAATTTAACAGGTATCTCATTCGGGAGAACCTCTCGTCCCATTCGATACCATTTCTCCTTACTACGAGCAATCCGCACATCCCTACGCCGATAGATCTTCTCCAGCGGCCCTTTACTACCGGCACCTACTGTCCCCGAAGCAGACGCGCCTGGCACAAGCACCTCGTTCCGCCTGAGATGTCGCTCAAGCGCGTATATCGGGTGGTCTTTGAAGTCAGCTACATTTCGAGGCATTGGTTCCCGCAATTCCAATTCAGTCAACTCGTTATTCTCAATCTGGTCTAGATCTGTCGTAATGCCACGAGAGAATGCTTGTAGTACTTTTCGCCACCACTTGTCCCCAGTAGCTTGTGCACTTTCAATCCGCATTTTTCTAGTTTTCGCATTATAAGCTTTTACATAACGGCGTGTTACATCTTTCGCCGTGCCATCAGATTCGAAGGCAATGACATATGCCATGCAGTTTTCTCTGTCAGAGGCTGGAGGTTCTAGTTTCTGAGGTTTCCAAAAGGAGTCAGTCACCAACGGGTCTGCAGGCTGCCATTTCTGGTGGCCCTCATCAAGTATCTCAACCCAGTAGATAGGATAGGCGGATTCACGGATTTTCTTAGGGACTGGTGGAGGTTTGCGAGATGAGCTAGCGGGGGTTATTCTAGGCGGATAATATGCCATAGCATTTGGATGCCCTAAACGTTTGGCAATTGGGGGCCCAGAAGCTACTGGCGACTCAAAAGTGTTGTTGTATTTTGTCATTCGAGCATATTGCTCTTCAATAGATAGCTTTCCTTTTGCTTTCGGTGGCTTTCCTAAGGCAGGCCCACCGGAAGTAAAAGCGAGAGGCTGAAGAGAGCATACGAGCCTAGCTTCTACACCGGCACTACGGAGCAAAGCGCAATATAATTGAGCACCAACGTCTCGTGAGCCGCGAAGAGACTTGGCTGCTTCGCGAAAGTCTTCTTTATCCATAGGCGACTCTGCGTCGTCTGGGAGCTGGTACTGTGATTCTTGGTTAGCTTTAGTTCTATAGAGATGATTCAGGCTCGAATACATTCTGTAGATGTTCCTCATTATCGGCCCAAAGCGCTCTCCGAATTCCTCGCTCGGTAATCTGAAATCGAGTTTTATACAGAGTTCCAACGTGTTGTAATCCTTCCTTAAGAGATTGCGCCTGTCCAAACTGTGTAAGACTTGTGCTTGGGTTGAGGTATTTAATCATTTTGTTAGTGAGGAGAGGTCTTAATCGCTCTTGGACAGCAGAGTCATTACACCAGCGATTCCTGCGAGCAGCATGGTATAACAGGCAAAGCAGATGCATCCTATGTATTTCAATGCGATGGTCTTTCTCTGCCCTAGTTATCGGCTTCCGCCTATCCGCAGTTTTCTGGATATTTACGGTTGTTCGCGCTGAGAAGTCGAGTTCGAGATCCTTGTCACCATCTGGAATCGAATCTAAATCTGGAGGAGGAAGCGAGAAATCGAAATCCTCAAATTGCATTTCGTCATCCTCTTCTTCCTCATCTGAATCTCTCTCTACTGTCTGTATGGTTGCAGTAGGAGGTGGCACGTCTTCGAACTGTACGTCTTCATCGGCTTCGTCGTCTTCATCATCTACATCATCACTCTTCAAAATCACTTGTGGAGGATCGGGTCTTTTGGGGGATTGATGATTATGTTGACCGGGTCGCCGTCTTTTTAAGGGTCGCTCTGATGGGGTCACGCTGGACTGGGTATCGGCTTCGATGAGCATTTCGCGATAGATATCGGGAACGTTGGAGCGCATTGCACCGGATCTTGTCGATCGCGACCGCGAGGTCCTCGAGGCTGCCACATTAGTAGCATGACTGCCCGACGCAGTCCGCTTTCTCCCAGCCATGGAGATGGAGTTGTACAGATTAAAATGGTTATTATGACAAATAGTAAAATAAGAGAAACATTAAACGAATTAAGAGACTGTTAAGTCAGAAATGGAATATAGAACATTGAATTCAAAGATGCATTGGATGGTGTGTACATTATGTACATTAATACATGATACAATGATACAATGATACACGGTTCAATTGAAGTTGGTGCTGTCGCATTTAATAAGGCTGCCTACTGCCCACTGTCTGCGAACAATTATGTACGTGGGGCTTTTGCTTTTGCTCTTACATAAACTCTATTACGACTATGAAGTACGCCAAGATGCGGGAGGAATGCCATTTAACTAAATTTTTAGACGCCAAATAAATCTCGAGTCCACGTGACTTTAAGTTTCGCGTTTTACGGTAACATTTGAAATGTTTTACGTCGTTGCTTGTCTTTCTGTCTTTTTGTCACTTTTCACTTTCTCACCTTTTCACTGAATAACATCAATGATTGAATTCATTATCTGTTACCCCCCATTCTAACTACACAATGCCTATAATCCTATGTAGGTATTATGTATGTATGTATGTACTAATCTACATAAGGTACTACCTACCAAACACACCTTTTCTCTCCTATTTTCATAAACATGATCTTCTGGTCTCATAATAATAAAAAAGGGAAAAAAAGGACAAAGATACTCGAGAGTACATGGACTTGGTACCCCATTTTTATATGCATGGCTTATCGTTTGATCTTCTCGAACTAAAAGCCTTCAGTGCCTCTCCACGTTTTTGAGATGCTGGGATTATTTCCCAACTCAGTTATACCTTGTCCGATTTCGCTGTTACCAGTACCTACCTACATCTGTATGTATTGTACATAGGTAGGTAGGATCGTTGGTACTGAGGTGTATCCTTTGCCCGAAGGCCTTGGCCTTAGCTGCGAGACGAACGACTCTCAGAAGAAGCAGAGGCTGCTGCTAGGGCTTCGGCTGCTGTTTCGGCCTCTGCCATCTCTCTTGCTTCTTGCCAGAGCCTATCCCAGCATTCGTTGCACATTCCGTCGTTCCATTTGATGACAACTTTGTCCACCTCACCTCTAGGTCCCAGGCACCTTTTAAACAATTCGGCGCAAGTTTGAGGCTGTATGAAACCCCAGCAGGAGCAGCCATTCCAACGTTGGTAGAGCTCCTTACACATTGCCCAAAACTGAAGGTCAAGAATAGGCAGAGTCTAAACGAGAAATGATGCGCCGGAAGGACTTCAGACACGATAGTTCTCGTTGCGCGAGAATATCGTAAGTAGGAGCTCAGAACTAAGCTGACAATCTTGTGATGCTAATCGCCGATACTTGGGTATTTGTCCCCAAGTCCCAATCTCCTCCGCCCATAAAATGAATATTCGGATGATCGAAAAATCTCTTGTGAGCTGTCTAATAACAGCAGCGACCACCCGAAATGTATGTGAGTCTCAATTGGTCAACATCGAAATATTGGCGTATGATACTGCCGCCTCGTGATTTGAAACTTTTTTTACGGCAATGAATCTCAGTTGTCTAGTAACAACATGATCATGCCACACCTCTCAAGTAGGCAGGCGAATAGAACAAAACCTGGAAAGGTTAAGAGACGAATTGGAAGAGTGCCGTGGAGTTTCGGACTAGAATGGAGGGTTTGTGAAACGGAGATGGCAATGTATGTAAAGCATGAAAATGGAACTCCGGTGCATTTTGTACAGATTTAAACTCGCATCTCCCACGCCTCCCACACCTCCCACACCTCCAGGGTCCTACAAGCCTAGAACAGCTGCAGGGCGGTAACAGCTCCTAGCTGCAGTGCCCCACCGTGGCTTGCTGTCAAGACCCTGCCAGGGCTACCTACTTCTGCCTACTTCTGCCTACTACATGGAATGTACAGTAGGTAGTGAGTTTTTGTCGTACGACTTTACTGCTAACCAGGAGAACCTAACATACTTTCTAGTCTTGCCTCTAGTAGTACCTAATATGCAGTATTAGTGTAGACTGTCTAGTAGGTAGTAGTGTTCCAAGGAAGTCACTTACACGAGCATAGCATTCGAAGGGATCGAGATCTACCTAATATTCTCTAGTAATCTCTACTGCTATCTCCGCATAGGACAACTTGCAGTAAGTTCTCATCCCATTATCGGCTTTGTCACGCACGACACAATACACGACACAATATAACATACATGTAGTGTTATGTACTAGTTGCCTAGGGGGATAATACCTTGGTAGGTAATGCATACCATATTACCATTGATGTAGGTACTATATAATATTCCAAGGTTAGTCCCTACTTACCTGCCTAGTAGGTACTAGGTAGGTAGTGGTAATGCTTGAGAATCCATACATGTATGTATCCCTTCTTCGCGTTATTTCTAAATGTTTATTCTCAACAATCCCACTGCTCGCTTCGGAGTCTAATTGAAAGCTGACAGGCGAAATCAGCTAGCCATAACAAACTCCCTACTAATATCTCACCATACCCCTTTAGTTTAACTAGGGGGTGGAAGGACTCCAAGAGGATATGCCGGGGAAATGGACCTATTTGGTTGGATATTCGGCATTGAAAGATAGGATCCCATCTCAACATCCTGGTTCGCAAACACCGGTGTTTTGCGGAATGGATAGAGACGAGTGAAGTGGTTGGCTATGTTTAGCAACTTGCCCTCCTCGAATGGCTGGCCCAGTATTTCCATGCCAATGGGGACACCAAGTGGTGCATCTCCAGTTGGCCTAGAGAATCCTACCGGCACCGTAACAACCGGAAACCCTGTCAATGCCCCGAGGATACCGTTCCGCCCCGCCTGCGACGGCGAGCCGAGTTTGACTACGAGGTTCTTCTGTTCCGGATAGATAAGAGCATCAAAGTTCCCCTTCTTGAAAGTTTCATTGACTACCCTCCTGAGATTTTCGATGCTCTGCTTGTTCGCCACATACAAATCATCGTCAGTCGATAGCTCTTTTGATTCACTTATAAAATCGTATTGAGACGGAATGACGAGGAATTTTCCGCTCGCGTACACTTCGTCCCAGGTAGTCGGCCTATCGCCGTTCAGGGTTGGACGGGAAAGGTACTTATTTACTTCCTCCCTGAATTCGAATTTCTGCACATCGAACAAGGCAAGGGCTGATGCATTGTATATTCCGTCTGTTACGTTGAAGATCTCCGCACTCTGGGCTGTGAGGAAATCAATGGCGCTTGAGAAGGCATCGATAACCGGAGCTGTCTCGTCGGACGGCGTGTGATTCCAGAATCCGTCTAGCAGGCCTATACGAAAGACAGACAGGTTACCGTCGTTAAGACCTTCTGTATAATCCGTGCCCCTAACTTCTGGTGGGACGTGAAAGGTGGCGTTGTCACCTTCATCAGCACCAACACTTGCCATGACGGTCAGGGCAATGGCTAGATCTTGGATGTTTCTTGCGATGGGACCAATGTTGTCTTGTGTAAAGCTGATGGGTATGATGCCTGATCTCGATAAAAGTCCACGAGTCGGCCGGACGCTAACGAGGTTGTTTGCACTTGCAGGGCTCCGGAGGCTATTGACAGTATCTGTGCCTGTGCCTAATATGGCCAGACTTGATGCTATTGCCGCACCCGTTCCTCCACTGCTGCCCCCAGGGGTCCGCGTGGCATCGTATGGATTAATGGTCTGCCCGCCTAATGATGATACAGTGAGGCCCTCCAACGCCACTGTTTCAATCTTGGTTACTATCATTTCGAGAGGGGATATCGAATATTAAGGGAAAATGTTGGTGCATACTTTCATGCAAGTTGGTTTTGCCCAAGATAATAGCACCTGCATCTCTCAATACTTTAACGGAAGGGGCGTCGACAGTTGGACGGTTGCCAGCCAATGCAATATTCGCCCCGGTCGTGTTCATCCCCACAGCATCGTAATTATCTTTCAGCAGGACGGGGACACAAAGCAGTTTCCCTGCCGTGTCACCAGCAGCTATTTTATTATCCAACCCGTCGGCTTCGGATAAGGCATCCGGGTTGAGGCTAACGATGGCATTGATAGTCGGGTTCAACGCCTCAATGCGCGCGAGAAACGAAGAAACCACAAGGCGGCATGTGGTCGAGTTTGTGAGCAGCGCAGTCCTTACGCTCTCGATAGTTGATTCCAGGGGATCGAACGAGGAGGTCTGGGCATCAACACCTAATGTCCAAAGAAAAAGAATGCAGAGTATAAAGACCGCCACAGACGGCCGCCCCTGAGAAACATTTGAAGCGAGTGGCTTCATGTTAGGATCTAGTCTCAAGGACTTTGGCACGCATACGAACGCTACCTAAAACCTTTTACACGCTGAAGCTTTATATACCCTTAAGATGCCTCTGAGGTACTTCGTGCCTCTAGTTTACCCATTTAGGCGGTAACATTTTGATATGTGCACCGAAAACCAGGCCCCGCGGGGCGACATTGGAAAGCACATCCACATACACCGAAAGCTTGCCTACCTAACCAGTCCTACAAAAATTAAGCGGGCTAATTCTCGATGGAGACGTGTACATATGTTCTCACGGCAAAAACGAGCTTATCTGCTACTATGTATGTATGTATGTAGCTGGACCTGAGTACAGAGCCGGGTGATGCAGAGATTCAATATCAGGAGATAGGGAACCCCGTCTTCAGCCAATTATCTCAGGGGTTTGATTGACTGCAGATGTCTTTAATTAGGTATTGAGGCAATATGCCCCCCCATTGCCCCCACGTTCGCTCTACGTGCATGTACTGCGTACCTAGGTAGGCACTCGGTATGTACATGTATGCGGGCCTGCGTATCATTACCGAAATAGCCACTACTTAGTATGCACATGTATAGATGTAGGTATGTATGAAAACTTTACAGTACCTCGATTACGCGCTTCCAGGTTCTCGACATGTACGTCCATGGATACATACATATTTCTTGCGGTGACGTGCGGGAGCCTGCGTGCCTGGTTAACGTCGCTAACTGAACTATCGAGTACAATGACTGCCCACCTACACAGGCACCTACCTAAGGTTGGTACCTTTGCACATACATACATATGTACATGCTAAACATTAAAGCCTTCCAATGAAAACTAGAAAAAGGCGAGGTTACGTGTATGTAGGATGTATATAGGTAACATATATTGCTCACGTTACAAGCGTACCTAGTAGTATGTATGGTACGCAGGTAAGATAGGCACTTGGTATACGTGCAGGTTAGTATGGTATGGTGTTCCAAGAACCCCTCTCCTATATATGTACAATACCTAAGCCAGCACCACGAATAGAAATCGGTATACATCCAATGCCTACATTAGGTAGGTTAGGCACATACCTACCTAGCTAGCTTTCTCCTTCAATGTTTCCAATTCCCCCAAGCTCATTCTCTTTTATAGGTACCAATGATGTGTTATCATATGCCTAGGTATGTACATGTATCTCCTACCTATTGCATGAGGTTAGCGGCTTCGCGCCTCGGGCTAATTGGCCACAGGCTTTTGCGCTGCGCAATCTCGGGATCTAAGGAGAGATCGGCAGGGTTGCTGCATATGTATGTGCCTACATACACACATGTATGTACATTGACATTTGCGAGAGCCGAGTCTTGACGTTTTGTGAACGCTGCATTCCCCTCCTTCAGGAAGTCGTTGCTGGTTCGTTCGTTCGTTCGATGTTAGGTAGGTACCTACATACCTATTAGGTATGTATGTAGCAGTAGTACTATGCAGGTACCTAGATGAGGAGAAAGGGGGGCATCAGGTGAACGAAGATTGCGTTTCATAGCTGGGTGCAATACACCTGGGCAGTCAATGTGCTGGGAAAGCATTACATTACATACATGATGGTGGAAGCAAAATCGTTTTTTAAATTTCCCTAAATATGTATTTTATGTATATGTATACCAGACTTCACAACCCCATACAATGTAGGGAGAATGGCACATACATGTGTATACTTTACATGATGGCTCGGCGATTCCGCGAAGGGTAATCCATGATCCCATCGAATCACAAAGCCCCTCCCATGCCCTGGCCCGGCCCCCAGTCTCGACGGTGAGACGGTTGTGTAGAGCCCGAGTTTCTCGAACTCGGGTTCTACGGGGTCAAAAAAGCTACGTGCCACCTGATATCAGACTATTGGCAATAACCAAGCACGAATGCATGCTCTTCTCCCCCAAATGCCGTAAAACTAACTTTTCTCCGTGCTTAATGGGAAGCTGCTGCTACTACTACTCCGCCGCGAGGCTTCACCCTCACGTTGCCGTCCTGGATCGCTTTGTCGGGGATGTCGGCCAGCGGGTCCTTTTTATCCAGGGCGTAGTTTGCGCGGTCACTCCGCGACATCTTCAGGATGTTGTATCTCTCGCCGCCGATCCTGTGCTCCCTGGAAAATCTCCGGAACTAGCAAGATATGTAAGTAAGTCGATAGGCATAATTCGGTAAGGCTATATATAGACTTACTTTACGCTTCCATTCCCATCTGTCAACTTTAGACTGGCCGGAAAGTGGCTTAATCTTGCCACTCTCGTTTTCCAGCGCCCTCACCTTTTCGTCCGTGCCGTAGCATCCGGCCTCCTTCAAATCAATGCCAGCTTTCTTTGCGTAGGCAATGACCTCTTTACGGTACGGCAGCTCAAATTCCTGGTCCTTCAAGGTATCGAGCCAGTACAGGTAAAATGTGATGACCAAGCCTAGATCCTTGATGTCAGAATCGGCTCTAAGCATTTTAGCCCGGTCAAGCTCGTTAAGCGCGGAGACGAAAGCACGGCCAATGAAGGCTATCGTGGTCTCCGTCTTTTTCTCGTTTAGTGCTATTTGCAGTAATGGTTAGTATAAAAAGCCTTGGGATTGCTGGTCTGAGTCTCGGCCAAACTAACATATCCAAGCGTTGAGGGGAATTTCTAGAAGAAACTGCATCATGGCGGCGATGATGGCCCACATCTTCTTCAGATTCTTCTTATCGCGCTTCTTCTTTCCGAACTCCTTATCAAAAGCAACAAGCTACACGATAAAGCACAACGTAAGTGGTTAGTTCATTGCATTGTGCACGTGCTGTAAATTTTGGGAGATTCTGAGAGCTGGGTTTTTGCTTACCATATTTTCAATGACTTCTTGCATTCCATGGCCGTGGAAAGTTTTGGAAATAGACATGTTAAAAAAATCGGGGTTGGTGAAGGAGGCACGCCTCTCCCACGCGGAAAACAATTTCCAGGTCTCCCACATGGCAATCCATCGGTGCTCCGGATGCTCCGTTGCTGGCTTCATTTCAATGTTGTCCTCGGCCCGGATTTCTTGGTTGTATTGGTCAAGTAATTCATCATCGTCAACCTGGTCCTCCTCGTCCTTATCCTCATTTTCATTCTCAATATCAAAGAAAGGGCGGAACATGCAATAATAATCAAATGGTGGTCGTGATTCCGATCCCTCGTCATCGTGCTGCAAGCAAGGATGGTTGAATATATAGTAAGTGGGTGGTGGGGGGTGTGTGTGTAGGTAGAATGGGGTTGGTGGATGGATAGACATGACATACCTCATCGTCGTCTTCGTTGGAGCTGTCGCTCACGTTTTCCTCATCTTCACTTATGGGCCGGCTACGCATCGTACCGCCCCATACAGGTCCAGGTCCAGCCTGGTCATTGCTTTCTGCCCGCCCCCGCTTCTTGGAATCTGTGAGTGCATCGAAAGGTCTGAGTTTGTATAAAAGATAGAATGAAACTAGAACAGGCGCAATGGACAGTACTAGGGTCCTTTGTGAAGGTAAATTGGATGAAAGGGAACCCAGCATTGTGCCGGTTTAAAAAAGAATGGAAACGCAGATATTGGCGATGTATCTCGAAATACCCTATGTATGTCTTTTTTTTTTTGGGAAGAAAGAGATATGTCCAAAATCAAGACGGTCCAAGTTCAAATTTGTTCGACCATATCTGTTTGACGGTTGACCCCGCTGTAACGACACGATTCTCTCACGGCGATCACGTTTTTAAAGGAACAAAATAAAGTGGATGGAGGCTGGCCCTGGGCACACTACGTTGGAGCTTGCTTAGCTAGATTTAGAGGGACAGAGAGGGCACAGAGTGACAGAGGGCCAGGAGGGCTGGGCTTGGAGAAGCTATACAAAAGCTATGACCACTCAATGATCCCGTTGTATCCACCTCGTCGGCACCAAGCACTTAGCACATGCAGACCGCCCTTTCATGTTTTAGGTAACGTCCCACATCGGAGCTTTATTATTTATTTATGTAGGTCCCCAACGGCTAGTTTCCTTCAACAATTTTTATGTTGTCCTTTTTTCCTTTTTTTTTCCTTTTTTTTTTTCTCAGTATCCTGGGTATCTACATACATACATCCATAATGCCTAGCTTCCAACCTACGGTATATAATTGCTTGCAGAGTGTGTATGTGTGTTTGAATTCAAATGTGACAGGCGTGGCTAAATCGCCATGGCAAACGAGAGTTGTGACTGCAAAGGTTAAGTACCTGATAATGCAAACAATTATAACATTGAAGCCTGCAGGGCTCATCTGAAAGAAGACAAGAAGCCATCATCGATTCTCGATTCTCAAGACAATATTCCATAGTTGAAACAAGGATGATCTACAACCACCCGTGACCCAACCTACCTATTACTTAGTTACCTGTTACTTACCTACCTGCCTAGGCAGTAAACTAAACATGACCGGATGTTGCCAAGGATGCTCTTCTCAAACCTCGGATCTCCACTAACACGTCACCGAGCCACCTGCCCGGCTCTCGCGCTTCCACGACGTGTCCATAGCTAGCTACTAGGTACCTAGTGATGGATCCTTCTAGTCAAAAAATGTCGTTGGTACCTAATCACAGACTCTGCCTACCTACACTAGTCTTAGGCCTTTATCAAATATCAACAACTACACTACCGGCATACATATGTAGATAGCCCTAGGGATCCTAGGTTCAGATAGATCCATGACCTCAAAGCAAGCACCACACCTGGGTAATCTGCCGGACGTCACCGTCACCGGATTAGAAGTTGCTAGAAAACCTGGGAATACCGGAACCGGCTTCGGAGAAAGGATCGCCCCGAGTGTCCGAATCTATCGGAAGCATTCTGAATTTGGAAGTGAACCAACCTCACCTAGGTATGCATAATATTTTCGGATTTGAGTTAAGTTAATGCTAGTGCCATCGTCGTCGTGCATTTCTGAAAATATTTTATGCATACATATTACATATTACATATTACACTTCCCGTAAGTTGCCGTAACTAACCATTCCCTCGATCAAGGCTATTAGGTTAGTAGTTACATGTAGGTAAGTACTAGTGTATGTATGTACTATACATATGTACTGCATAATAGTGCATATAAGTATTAATGTACAACTTGAATAGGGGTAAATATAGGGGGGCACTATCACGTGACCAAGAATTGCCCTGTGTTCAATTGATGTTCCTATTCCCAGATACAATACTACTACTATGTACTCGATGGTGGTAGGTACGCCTTTCAATGTTTGCCACCACTTTCTGCTGAACATCTGACGCCAAACCAGACTGGCTACGCGGGCGCCTTGTTGCAATTCACTGTCGTGATCTGCTATATGTTTCAGCTGGCCCAGATTGCGGCTCTTTTGGTCAACGGCGTAGTTTTATATCGCAGTTTGGCGATCGCTGGTAGAGAGGCAAAGGGGAGATGAATCACTGGTGGTTTACGGTAAACGTCATATGGTTGTGCTTGGTTGCAGATAAGCTGAAAGGCATACGACTAGATTGCTGGCTCAGGGTTATACACAATGAACTTCCTTTGGGTACGTGCCAGTAGCTTCTAGGAAATATCATGGATATGCGTTCGTTGGGCCATTCTACCTAGGCAGTACCCCATCTCATGCCACAAGCCTTGAGGAACACCTACGGTAACCTTGGCCATAAGATACTAGGCAAGAACGCTTTTTTCATCTCTTGAATATATTCCTCGTTTGAACTTTGACTTTTAAGAAATCTGAAAAGTCTCTAGGTCCATCCCCTTGTCTTCCACCCAACCTTCACCTCCCATTATCCCATAAACATAACATTCCCCTACGAAATAGTACTGACCACTTTCCGCAGTCTCTCTCAGTAAGAAAGGAGTCTTCCCACCGCTCAGCAAACATATTTTATCCCCAACTTGAGCATTCCAGGGAGCCAATCCAATATACCCTTTGGATGTCACAAAGAGTGCGCGGTGAGCACATGTATCGTACAAACGTTGGAGATACGGCACGTAGTGCCTAGAGACCGCCCACACATCCCACACCTCACGAAGCTTATTGAAAAACCTCCCCTTGCCGTTTATCTTTCTCCATTGCTCGTACAAGACTCTTGCCGCATATGTTGTGCCTTCCGTTCCGCCAAGCGAGAAGCTATCCAGCGGTTCGATCTCTCCGATAGACGATACCCATCCTTCCTCGTCGAACCACAAGTCGACATATATGCGGTCGGCCGAAGGAGCTGCGCCTTCTCCGGGATAGTCGCCAATGTGTGTTCTCCAAAAGGCCTCGAGCCGGCCTTTCTTACCTCCGTATGGGCAAGGAGACCGGTCCCGCAGTGCAATAGAGGACCACTCTTCAAGTTCTGTGATTCCCCATCGAGATAATGGTGGTGTCTCGGATTTGGGATGCCACGGTGGAGAAATTTCCGTGATCGTGTCGAATTCCATGCCGGCGAGTGAGAGAATCTTGTCGTCGAGATCTGCCGACACCTCCGCGTAAGACTGCCTGGCTGCGCGAAAAGCACCAGCTTCGCCCGCTTTCTTGCCCCATTCGAGTAGAGGGTTTGGATCTTGGCTTGTTCGTGCAGCCCAGTTCGGTACCCATGAGGGAAGATCCGGGAATTGGGAGTCGTCAAACCTCGGTGGCTCTTTTTCGTCTAGTAACCCAAACTTTATAGATGCTCTCCCCAGATTGTCCCAGGTCTTGTCGCATCCCTTAGGGCACGTCTGCCGAACTATTCGGTTTGCCGGCGGGTGGACTTTCCCGGCCATGGGACTTTCATGATGCCGAGTCTGTGTTCGATGGTCGAAATACGTGACAACACCTTCATCCAAGCAGCGCTCCCATCCTTCTGGTAGTCTTACTGATCCCTTGCTTGGCTTCTCGTCTTCCTCGTCCTGCACCATCACGGATGTGTCATGGTATCGTGCTCGCTCATACACGCTATAAACGCGCGAATTAACGACGGGCTTAGCCACTCCGCGCCAATAGCGAACACAGTTGATAATATCCAATGTTCCCATTTTAAGTATGACAGCCCTGCAAAAGCGGGTATAGATCTCCGTAACAGGACGTGAGTAGTCCGGGTCCAAAATGGACCCCGTCTCCGGAGGCAAGAGTCCTAAGAACCCAAAAATCCTATCTCGGGGATCAGTACAGGCCAGACGGCGAAGCCTATACAGCAGGTCGTAGAGGTTGTTCCCAGCATTTCCCGTACTGCTCTCCGACCACTTCTGCCTCATGAAATTAATGTCGTCAAAAGTGCTGTCCGCGAAGGACAAGAGTTCCGGGTGCATAATCCGGGTCAGCGCAACCTGCTTAACGGCAATATTCTCCTCCTTCGTCTCGGCGATCAGCCTCTCCCACTCCACCTCCCAGTCGCCGCAGAGAATCTTGAGTTTCCGAGCCAGAACCGCCTCCTGGATGATCCAAACCCGGCTCCACCACGGCCGACACATCAACTCGCGGATCTCGTCTTTCTCCAGCTCGGTCCTCTGCCGGTCGGCCGTCGGAGAGAACCAGGAGCCAGTCTCCGCTGCCGCCCCGCCGTCGTTACCGAACAGTTCTTTCTCAATCGCCCAATGTCTATCGCGGTTCCTGTTATTCCGCGCAATATTGTTCGTCGTAGCGAGCCGGTTCAGGCCGAGCTCGGCCCCTAGGCTCAGCTCACCCAGCCACACCGCGACGCTCGCCGCCGACTCGTAGACCGCGCGCATCAGCTTCACCTGCGCGCCGCGCTCCGCCAGGTCGTCCTGATTAATGCATATGGCGTCGATCCACAGCGTGCGGGGCTGCTTTCCGTATCTCAGGTGGCGGAGAACGGCCTCCAGGTTCTCGAAGACGGGAAACGTCACGCCGTTGAGCGTGATGGTCTGCCCGGCGCCTGGGCCGCCCCACGTGTACGAGAGCGCCTCGTAGTAGGGTGATGAGCTGAGATGCACGGGGTGCAGCGTGCATTCGATGGGCGAAGATAGCTCGGGCGCGGCGGAGAGCTCGAGGAGCCTGATCTCGCCCGCCTCGGAATCGAGGGGTTGGTATATTGAGGTGCTCATTTTTCTTCAGATTCTATGACGAATACCTAGGTACCTACCTAAGATAATCTAAAAGTTAAGTCTGGGTTCACCAGTAGTTAAGAGTGGTCTCCCCCCTGGCTAAGGATCTCAATTTTCAGGGGTTATGGTCACGTGTAGAAACCCGTTGTTTGTAAAATCGATCAGGCAGCAGTAATTGAATACAGCCAGAACGGGTCTAAACCCTTCTCCACTGCATTACGCGGCTGAAAAACAGGTCGCTTGTCTCATGTTGAAGGAGTTGGGATTCGAATCCATGATCAGAAGCCTAGTGTTGTGGTAGGTAGGTGTAGGTAGGTAAAGCCCGCCGTCAAAACTCGAGCCCCGTTCTTCGATGGCAAGAGCACAGGTCTTTGAAGAAGAAAGATAGACACATTATACAAGATAAGAATGAGTAGAATAAGTCGAATCTATTACATTTTAATTCATTCAAGCAGAGTGGAATGGATATTATTTCTACCTGACTATCAGATTATAGGAAGGTACCAAGGTGAAGACTGCCATTCAACGCTTGAATCTTGTAAGGAGACAACCCAAGTTATAACAACATCGTCAAGACTCTTCCGCAGGGAGGGCAATGTCTGCATCGCCCAAAACCTGATGTTTGTTAAGTTTTGACGATATCATGGCAAACAGCGTTGTTCTCCATAACTATCATGACATAAGTACGAGGAAATCAAATCAACATGAATACTACCTAGATAGGTAGGTAGCGCTGATAGGAATCGAACCTGGTCCCGTTAATAAGTTTATGAGTAAGTTGGTGCTTAGGTATGATAGCAAGGACAGGACGGGAATATCTTCGAGTAATACCTCAGGGGCTCCGACTCGCCGAATACACGGACATGATGTAGTTATCACGAGAGATAAATCTTATACCTAAAGACAAGCCTCGGTCCGGATCTCGGTTGTAGCAGTACTTACCATGCTTGGGGGTCATGGACATGTGTCAATCTAGCAAAATCCTCTATCGGGGATCACAAAGGGTTCAATTATACCACAAAGTCGGCACGTTTGCGTTTTCTCGGCTCTCGTAAGGCGTACCGGGGACAATATGATCCGCTACAGCCCACACACTCCGAATTCTGCAGCTTTCAGGGTCCAACAGCGCCGAGTTATGTATGTTTCATAAATCGGTGGAAACCACCACTTGCTCCGAGATGTGGGGGAAAGCCGGTGATTGACGGCTTCCAAGGAATCGACTTGCAGATAGAAGCCTACCTATAGGGCAAGACAAGAATGCACATGTAGATCAGGGTTCTACCATCCATCCTTCTATACGTCATGCCAGATATACTCCTTACCCACGTGGCGCAACAGGGAATTCGCTCTCGGCTCGCTAGAGAAACCTGGTTTATCCCACGCCCCCTTCTGAGTGGACTCAGAAATCCCGTGTGACTGGGGAAATCGTATCCCAAAACAGGAGCCTGGAAGTTGTGTAACTTGGACTATACGTTGGGCACCGCTCGCAGATTATAGCCAAACCATTCCGTAGGCAGGTGTTGGGCCCTTGGATATCTCGCTACATACTGTACCTAGTAGATATGGCGAGTTAGCACCAACAATTCCTTTCGAACAAGGGCCTAGGACTGTAATTGGTGCTAATACTGTTGTTGCTATTGGAGCATGTTCATGATGTGCGTGATATACAATTGAGAAAGCTGCAAAGGGATTGGTGGACGGCCTGACCTTTGACACTCAATATTGGCTCATGGAAGGGATACATAACTCCGTAGCGGCATGGCATAACGAGTAAGCATATCATTATGCGTTACGCTTTCAGCTCCGAGAAGCATAGTTACGCGCTTTATGCTTGTGATAAATTGATCCAGTGCCTACTTTGGTATCCTAGGTACATACTATATGTACCTGGAGTAATTGAATACGTCTGGTGGATATGCGGATCTATATGTTTCGTACCTAACTTAGGTACGGCTAAATGTGATTAGTAGGCATGATACCACGAAGTTTTAGATCGTTTGGAGTTTTATGAGATAGTACCTACCTACCTATTACCTGGTACCTGGTATCTAACGTATTGTTTGGCAACTCGCTTCCAGATTCGCAGAATAGAAAGGTCACCTCACACCACTCTACTCTACCATCAGCGCTGGTACCAGTCTGTCGGAAACTACTGTACATAGACAGAAGTATAGGTACCATACGATACTTACACCTGCACCTAAGCATGCGTGCTATGAGAGGCGCATAACATGCCGTCCCCGGTTTCGGGGGTTTCCGCGGTTCTAGATCTAAAAGTCCAGCTTTCTATTATATTCGAGGTCTGCCGTCACATCCCTGAGCTCTTCGATGGAACCTAATGTAACCAGTATTTGAGGATCATCACGCGATCACTATTCCAGAAGCAGCAGAACGTGCTTCTCTCATATAAGTTGGGCCCTCTAACTCGTAGATTGGGATGCTTACATCTAGGTAGGTAGGATGGCTGGAAGACGCGTGTTGTGTAGACTCTTCGAACCAATCGAGGGCAGATGGGAAGTTATCGAAGATTGCTAATGCACTATAAAGGGCAGAATATGCCACTGATACAGCATAATAAGCTGACAGGATTCCGGAACTACCTAGTACATGAGTAAGTAGGTTAGGCACCTCTGCTAGGCGAGATACTTTCTATGTAATTGGCAGCGATGTGTTTCATCCGCCAGTTGCGCTGAGACCAGGCTGAAAGGGGAATGTGTCTTCTTCAACTTGCCTCTATAAGACGCACTTCCGGATGTTGTGAAATCCCCACAGCCCTGACCGTGTGCATTGCTTCACATGAAATGAAACTATACATGTTAGTATAGCAGGGAAAATCTTTTCTCATACTGCTACTATCAATGTGACTACTATAAGACTGTACGGTGCTTCCTACCTAGGTAGTCGGGCTGGTCAATACAGCATGTACACAGTATGTATGAAGAGATTCAGATATTCAAGTCCGGATAGAATAGATCTTACAGTTACATATATGTATTACCTAGGTACAATACAATACATGCCACTGATGTATATTACTAAGCTTGCCTGCCTGCCCGCCTACACTACATCATCATTGATAGTAGTACTGACCCACGTATGTAGGTACCTAGGTATGTAGGAACATACATATTAATACATGGTATGCCCCGGTTCACTTTCGAGGAACATCTGGAAGGTTCAAGGTTATGAGGGTAGTGTAACCCCCCAACATTGGCAATCCCCCACAGGTACAACAGTACATACATACATCATGCAGTACATAGAATCATAGATTAGATTCAATGTTCAATGTTCATCAATGTTCTTTCTTCTTTCAATGGCACATACGGCACATACCTCCTCCATAGTACCCACATTCGATGTTTGACCTATACAAACTCTCTCCTTGAATTTTCAGGGTCCGACAAGATTAACACTAACTCTGATATGCACGAGAAAGAAAAGGGTGAAGAAGGAAAGGGATGACGATAAAGTTTGAGACAATTGAAACCATACCTACTACCCAAGTGGCCCAAATGGTAATATCAATGCTACCGTACTCATATCTATGTACGAGAAGCAGGCATGCATGCTACCTTCCTTTCCCTTTGCTAAATCCTAGCTGCCCAGCTGGATACGTTGGATAACCCATAAGTAACCCGCACACGCTGGGCTCTGGACGCCCACCTAGTCGATCTCCTAACTCATCCTCCATCCGCCGACTGTCATGGTTGGTTTGTCGAACCTGAAGCCCCGTCCCAACGTTGCGGTGCCTGGGAGAAAGACAAGCACGACCTGGCACCGTAGAAATGCAACAACTTGTCATAGCCTTCCTTTGGGGGCTCTTTATGAGGCCGGATAACGAACTGTTTCCCAAATTTAATACGACTTCTTCACTGTCTAAACACTTGATTACTACTATTGTACTACGTCCCGATCTTGTCCTACACCCTTCGAATTCTGCCTTTACCGTATTTGCTTCCAAGCTGATTCATAGATGACTGTATCTACTTAATATGTTCACCCTCTTGGGCCGTTAATTTGAAACCGTCTGTTGCGAGGCAGGACGACCAACTATGCGATAATCGGCATCTATACACCGCTAGTATGGTCTAATTAACGACGACCTGACGTCCGACGAAACTATAGAGGTCATTTGCATCTTTTTGACAGCCCAAGCAATGTGAGTAACACTGCAGCTGCCTTTCCGCCAATCCTGATGGGTACAGCCGACATCTCCATACCGCCCGAGCGGCGAGTATTCACGCCCATCATTCCCGCATTGCCACAATGTATTCAGCCGCCTGACAAGATCTTATAACGACTAACTGGGTCTTTCGTCATAAACGACCTCCCGGATCCTTCATCACATGGTCATCGCTAGCCTTGGCTATCTTCCCGAATCATGACGGCATGACCATCGTGTACGTCGGCTCCTCCCACTCCACTTTTAACCCCTAAGTGCCGCTTAACATGAATTTTATTAGCATCCAACCGGGTGCTGCAGCCGCCCTACTCTGTCTACTATGTAGAAGCCCCTAGCCATCTAGCTATGACGATACCTGTGCTTATGATGTTGGTGTGTTCATCGACACCGGTGAATGTGACTATACTGATGTGGTATATTATTAGGTAAGTACCTGAAATATAGCTTAAGTGGCCCTCGTTGACCAGGCCATAGCCCTTTCCGTGCAATTCCCCTGACTTGCGTCCAAGCCTCCTGTTCACCTGCTGAAATACTACACAATTCTCTGTAAGTAAGTACTAATTACGTATTAGTCTTCCCCATAAAGTGAGAGTTTCTTGTCTATTGGCTAATTCCAAGGCCCAGAATTGGCTGGATTTTATAGATGCTGTATCACCAATGTCATCGTCAGTCCACCACCGACTGTCTCTCATTTTCCGTCCGTGTGTATACATTTCACGACGTATCTTGGGGGTCTGTAGGTAGTGTGCCTCCCTTGGGTAGGTACCTACAATACAATGCTGGGCTCAACCCCCCACATCTGTAGCTAACCCGATGCATTATAGGTACTTCCAGAGTACTCTACAGTACGACTACTTATTCATGGAGGTATACTCGTCCCTGCAAGCCGCCGTTCTAAAGATATAGCCTCGGGGTCCTTGAGTGGACGTTATCATGTTCTGGTGCATAGAACTCCATCTAGCGACCCTCCATCCGTCATCCGTGTTAGCCTTCGCTGCCAATACGAAAACATTTAGGTAACCCTTGTATCCGCAGTTCGATATATGTAGGTGGTGCAGATCTTTCCCTACATGGTGCGTGGCTCTCCTTCAGCTATCATATCCCGAGATGACTGATCCTGAGGGTTCCTTTGGACGCCACTAGCACAGGGTCGGGTCATAGTGAGAGAAACAAGAGGGTAAGTGTACCGACTTTCTGGAAATTGTGCTTCCCTTCATTTTAGTCACGGAAATGGCATGTTATCCGTCCACCGGTCTACCATTCTTCCCACGTCTTTTCCTTAATCGAACGACTCATCTATTTTCCTTGAAATGGCTCCTAATGTAGGAGTATATATTCTACACCATCCTGCGTCACTTCATATCGCTAGTATTAACCGCTCATCATCTCTTTGTCTCTCTGTCTCTTACACTCTCTATGTTCTATCTAATCTATCAATATTACCTGCGCTCTCCAAGCTCACTATGGCACCACATCTTGACATATCATCTCCTACCGAAAGCTTCACAGCGAGCTTCAATGGAAGCCCCTTTCGATCTTCCGCTTCTTCTGAATTGAGACTGAACTCTCGGGACTCAGCCGAACCACATTCCTCACCTGATAGCTCCTTTCATGGCGAACTTATGGACGGAGTTTTCCATATGACGCGGCCATTGGTCCCCGGAGTCTACGTACCAACTATGTGTTTCTTTGATCAGGAAACTGAAGATGTTGATGTTGGCGCTATTGTTCACCATGCAGTTCGGCTTGCCAAGGCTGGAGTGACGGGCATCGCAACTCAAGGCTCAAACGGTGAAGCTGTTCACCTTACACATGATGAGCGCAATCTGGTCACATTCACCACTCGCACTGCATTAAACGAAGCCGGGTTCATCCGTGTACCGGTTATCGTTGGCTGTGGAGCTCAAAGTACTCGTGAGACTATCCAGTACTGTGTTGAGGCGTGGAAAGCAGGGGGCGACTATGCCCTCGTATTGCCTCCCTCATACTACGCGTCCTTATTTGCACCCTCGTCCCAAACAATTGAGGATTTTTTCACGACGGTTGCTGACGCGTCCCCGATACCCCTTATCATATACAACTTTCCTGGCGCTGTAAATGGCATGGATTTAACGTCGGATACAGTTATCAAATTAGCACAACATCCAAATATTGTCGGCGTCAAGTTCACGTGCGGCAACACCGGGAAGCTAAACCGTGTAGCAGCCGCCATGCGGAAGCAGTCTGAAAACTATAACCCGGAAAGGCCGGAGTTCTTGGTTTTGGCAGGCTCAGCCGATTTCTCTCTCCAGTCATTGATCGCAGGAGGACACGGCATATTAGCAGGGCTTGGAAACATCGCACCAAGATCCTGCATCAAGACTATTGAGCTGTATAACTCTGGTAATTACCTTGAGGCCCAAGAAATGCAGGAAATAGTGTCACAAGGTGACTGGACAGCCATTCAGGGTGGCGTGGTAGGTGTTAAGGCTGGCCTTCAGGCGTGGATGGGCTACGGCGGCTACGCACGAAGTCCTCTTCCCAAGCCATCTGCCGAAGAAATGAAAGCGTGGAAAGAGGGGTTCAGAGCACTGGTGTTGCTAGAAAAGTCCTTGTGAGAGGCTCCTAACATTCAAAGACCAAGGCATGCGAAAGACGCAGCTATAAGCACCATACTCCGATCGTTAAACCTTTTCACACCTTTGAGAAGACTTGCAGCAACCGCTCTTGGGTGTCGAGAAAGGCCCCTCCTTGAGGCTATGTGGATTTTATGCAGTACAGAATTTATGAACACGATAAGGCGTTTAGGGGGGTGGATGGTAAGGGATTCCGTTGTTCGTCATACCTGACGCCCGTTGGTAGTGATAGGGGGCACTGTATGATCATACATCGCCCTCTGTCCCCTTTCACCTTTCGCGCCAGGCCTTATTTTCTAACGAACCATCGGGGGCTTTTGATTATACCTAAGTAACACTTGATGCAAACCTATCTAGCTCAAAAGGGCATGACATTTCGGCTACTTAGGTGCCGTATATATTGCCCAGAAATTTAAACACAATCTACTCATTTACACACACGCACACACACCTATCTAATATTTGCAGCTATTTGCAATTAGGGCAAATGACGAAAGACTTGAAAAGGTGAAAAGGGGTGTAAACCTTCTCGGCTTATCAGCCGAGATGTCTTATTTCTTTGACGCTCATGTCTCAGCCACCATTAACGGTCTAAGATTGTAAAAAGATAAAGCTCCAAGGTTCCATAGCCTGCCTGGGCCGAATGGCCTTGGTGGCTTGAAGGGCGTACATATCTACCTAGCTAATGCCTCCAAGAACCCTAGAATACCCACTTACTATGTCACTGTTCAGACGCCGAAGCATCTGTTCGAAGCTATCTAACTAAGCCGATAGGGTACTTAATGATGTCTACCACCCGGGAGTGTCTCAGAAGCACTAGAAACAGCAATGCCTTGGGAATCTTAACAATCGGAGACGAGGGCGAGCAGAACAAGACTGATTTACTCAAATGATAGTCATATGACCAATGCCTAGTACAACCATACTATTCATCAATTTTGGTGTATGGGTCTACTTGTGCTTAAAAGATCTTGCGTTAATCTGTGCTCGGCCGGATGTGTGTTCTTACTATTCAAAGACGTGCTGGCACCAATTTTGCCTGGATCAGCTTACTATCGGTTCAGATACAAAGAGCCGTTCGGCAGTAGTTCATACCGGACTGTACCAAGTACTTTTCATGTTACTCCCAAAGCGGTCAGCAAGTAGCCTTGATCCTCCGCTTCAAACGGTCCGGCTATGACTCGAATAAGATCCATGCAGCGTGGGAGCGTCGTGGTACTGCAGGAAGGGTCCCTCCCCCCACTGCCGCGCGCCACACGGTAATGTGCTGAAAGCCGTGAGGCTGCATTGTATCCCGGGATATCCCAAGGACATCCCCGGGAATTGGCGCTGAGTGAGATCAGTCTCCGATAGGTTGGGAGCTGTCGACTGCCATGTGGGGGGATGACCTTGGGTTGTTGTGGCTGTTCACGTTCCTGCAGCTTGCCGAGCCTGGAAAATATAGGTACGTGGCTGGTAACACATACACACAGCTTACACTTGTGAGTCGCGGAGGACTCTAAAACATACGATCTAGACTCCTTGTCAATGGCCACAAGATGTGATGTCCTGAGCCACTTGATGGCCGAGTATCGAGCGACTACCTCTAGCTACCTACATACCTGTCTAGGTAGTAACCTACTACCTACCTACCTAGACACCTATCTACCACTCGGACATTACTCACTTCGAAACTCCGAGTAGCGACTCGAACCAGAATCTCGCGATATCAAAAACAGAACTAGTATCTCTTCACAAGGCGCTTATGTGGTGCTGCCTCACTCAACACGTCATATGTTTACCTTTGACGTGACGGCAGGCCTCCGTAAGCCTACCAGGTAAACACGTTGTCTCTTCTCAAGGCAGTTCAGAGAACAGCAAGTGAATCACAATGACTGCAAAGATGCTCTTTTTGAGTTAGTGTGTTACCCCGTATATTTCACCAGTGGTCGTGATCTCATGATCCTCTTTAGCTCCCGTAACTATCATCGAATCACGATAGGGCCTCCTGTAAATGATCAATAAGTATGATGCGCGACATGGTCATCAGAAACTCCCTCAACTGTACCGTGAAGGTTACTATAGGTACCTGTACCTATCATTACTTCTAGTTTACTGTTCGGCATCATCATCGTTAGTGGCATTGATGTCTATAGTCAGAAGACTAACCATTTGGGCCGCCTATGCACCCATCATGGCCCTAGCATCCCGTCCTCAGTTTGATGATCAAGCAGGGAAGCCCGTTCCCGTGATAGGAATGGCCACGGGTATCAACCAGACGGGCCAACCTCCCATACGGTGGGAAGTCAACGCCTTGCAAAACGAAAGCGGTCCTCGATGGTACTATGAGCATTTAGAACAATTTTCAGCTAGAATTTGACCTCTAACCTTCTCATCCATGATAGGGATCTGTATATTCAAGGTCTCGCGGCGCTGCAGAACAAAAATGAAGAGAATGAGCGATCCCACTTTGTCATATCGGGTAAGAGCCCTAAGAAGCTGCTTTGGTTTTATTAGCCTTTCTATATCCATGTCCAGTACTCAGACTAACCTAGGTACCTATGTAGGGATCCATGGAATGCCTTATGAACCGTATAATGGAGTTGGCCCAGTTCGTGGCGGTTCAGGCAGTGGGTTCTGCCCTCATGGCGTAGGCACCTTTCCCCCCTGATACCTCCTTTTCTTTTGTGGCTTCTGGCATTAAGTAGCTCACACGTTACTAACAATAAAAGGAGACGCAATTTGTCGCATGGCATCGCCTTTATATCATTCTATACGAGGTAAGAGCTCTAAAACATATGTGTATATCCATGTCGTGTTCATAATTGATTCCTTATTCTATGGAAAGCAAGTACTCGGCCAAGAGATCCAGAATATTGCGTCCAAGTACCACGGTCACCAGAATGCTTCCGCCTACAAACACGCTGCTCAAGTCTTCCGCATCCCGTACTGGGACTGGGCCGCGAGTGCCCGGCTCCCGCCGTCGTGCGCACAGCAGAACATCACGGTCAACGGCCCACATGGCCCCCTGACTCTCCGAAATCCCCTGTACAGCTACCGCTGGCAGACATACCCCCTAAACCAGAGCCAGTTCCCCGGATCAGGAGATTGGCCCGCCGAGACGACGCGCGCATCGAATGGAAAGGAAGACTTCAGTCTCGGGGCAGTCAATGCGAATCTGACAAAGGTAGCGGACGAGCTGAGAGACCTGGTTGTGAGTAAGCATTACGTAGTTACCTACACATAGGGATGAAGCATTGTTTTATCTTTTGGCTAATTCTAATTCAGTACCATACCTTCACTTCTGCCGAGAGCTTTGACCAGATGTCGTCGATGATGAACCCGGCGGGAGTCAGCCTCGAGGCGCCGCACGATGTCGTGCACAATGCCGTCGGTGGCTCTTTCGCCTCTCTGGACATAACGGCCTTCGATTCGCTCTTGTAAGTCATCTACCTGTTACCTACCTACCCACCCATCATAGTCATTCTCATTTATTCCTCTTTTCACCATGCCCCTTTTCTCCCTAACGTAATATACATTCCCAGCATGCTCCACCACGCCAACATCGACCGTCTCGCCGCGCTGTGGACGGCGATCCACCCCAACGCCAGTGCCTACCAATCCACTCCGTACATGACAAACGGCCTCTACGCCACCGCGCGCGGCGACAACATCACCGCCCACAGCCCCCTCAAGCCTTTCTTCCGCGCCGGCGGACAGGCGTTCCACACCAGCTTCACCGCGGCCGATATCGACGATTTCGGGTACACCTACCCGGAGCTAGCGGAGTGGGCGGGACGGCGCGGACGCGGGGTAGAGGAGGAGAGGAGGAGGGCGGTGATTGCGCAGGTGAATAAGCTGTATGGGGGCCGTGGAAATGCAAGTAGCAAGTATGAATATCCTGACCTCCTGGCGGGGCGAAGCGGGAAAGACAAGAAAGTAAGGGGAGAAGGAGGAGGAGTGGAGGAGGGGGTAGAGTGGTTTGTAAAGATCGCGGCCGACCGGTCCGAACTTGCTCTCCCCTGTACGCTGGACGTGTACGTGGGGGGTGAGTTCGCCGGGCGCGTGGCGCTGCTGGGGATGCCGAGGACAGGTACAGCGCATGCGCGGGTTCCATTGCAGAGGGTTATTAGGGGGTTTAGGCGAACAGTGGATGGTATTGTAGATGGCGATTCGGTGGAGAAGATGGTATGGGAGCGTGTGCGCGTGGTGGTAAAGGGGGTAGGTTGAACCTCCCTCCTCCATACTTTAACCCCTTTTCGGTATTTTTTAATGAAGAACCGAACCGCTAACACATTCCTCTCCCACTCCGACATATAGGGCAACGAATCCGTCACGAATGAAAAAGCAACTGCGGGTCTGCGGATACATCTTGTCGCCGTGCCCATTATCACCCCTCAAAGCAGAATTTCTGAGTTCCCCAGTCATGGGGCCGGGAGGGTGTGTGCTGAGATATCTCCTTCGACTTGACGCGGCATGCGGCTCTTCTTATAATCTAAAGAAGGAGAAACTTTTCTTTTCTATTCCCTCCTTTTTCTTTCCTTATTTATTTTCTCAAATCACTAATTCTCTACAAATAAACATGAGATTGTACGCGGTGCTGCTTGAAGTTTTGCGAGCATGTCTGGACTTATGGTGCTTTGTTTGGAGGCTGAATGAGTTACTGGTGGGTAGGTAGATACCTAGGTAAGGAGGTAGATAGACACTAAGTAGTTAGATACCTACCTACATGCCTAAGTATACTACGCCTCTCTAGGTGCCCTTCTTACAACAGAAGCGCAAGAGCTCCACAAGCTGTCGCAAGAGCCATCCCCAACAACCCTCCCTTAGCCATCCCCGACGCCCCCGACGTCTCAACCTCACCCCCCTCTCCACCACTAGCACACGACCCCTGAACCTCAAGCAGCACGCCCTCCGCGCTCTTCACACTAACTTCCAGAAGCCCATCCTTCCCAACCGCAAGCGTCTCCCCAGCTCCCTCACTGCCCACAATCTCATCACCCGTCAGCGGATCAAACGTAACCCCACCAACCGCAACCCCGCTCTTCGCATTGGTGCCGGGCCCCGTGAGCCTCGTGACATTGACGCTCTGCCCCTCGCACCACGGCGTGTTGACCGCGAGCGCGCGGACGGGTCTTTCGCCGGCGCTGAAGGAGGCGCCGTCGGTCGCGGCCAGCGTGGAGTTGTTCGCGAGGCCCTCGGTGCCGTTCCAGACGCCCATGTCGAGGAAGACGAGCTTCTTGGGCGGCGCGTTCTGCTCCGCGTACACGGCGTAGCCGCTCAGCGAGCTGGAGTTTGCGCCGGGGAGCGCCGCGATGCTCAGCTCTTCGTCGTCGTCGTCTTGCGCGGCGGCTACCTTGGCGACGAAGTAGTGCCCGTACCAGTTTGCGCGGATCCCCGGCTGCAGGGTCTCGTTCTTGCTCTGGTAGGGGAGCGGGGTGAAGGCGGAGTACTCGCTCTGGGCGCCCAGGTGGAAGTAGGTCTTCTGGATGCCGAGGGAGGCGCCCATGAGCACGTAGTCGGCGGTCCAGAGGGCGGCGCCGAGGGTGTCGCTGATGCCGCTCTTGCCGCTGCAGGAGACGGAGTTGGTCTCGCCCATGACGAGGGGGGCGCCGGCGGCGTCGGCGGCGGCGACTTGGGGGATGTACTGCGATACGTTCTGTTGGGTGTAGCGTGTTAGTCTTTGTAGCATAACGTGTCATTTCTGTACTTCTTCTTTTGCAATCTTCGGATGTGGAGTGTTGAGACTTGAGCTAAGCCCCATCACCTCCCCCCCTTTATTTTAAAACCCCCCCACCAATAGAGGTATTCGCAACGCAAAGCCTAAAAAGAAGAACACGCTGATCACTTACTATCCCACAGTTAGCATTCACTCATCCACACACATACCCCCAAGACATATTGTCAAACTCACCAAGCCAAAGCACCGTATGGTTACTCAACAGATCCAAGCGCATGCGCAGCCAGCGCTCCGTGTCGCACGTCGACTGGGGGTACAGATGCGTCGCATAGCTACCGATGATCTCCTTATCCTCGGGTCTCGCCACAAGGCCCCCCTCGCCATTGGCAGTCAGGTTCGCGATGTCGAAATCGTCGACCTCGTCCTGCTGGTCGGGGACCCACGGCGGGTCCGCGAACACGCCCGCCTGGAACTTCGGCCTGTCCGCGTCATCGTCCAGCGCCGCGTACCACTCGGACGCGACGATCTGGCCCGTCAGGTTCCGGAACTGCTCGGTGTAGACGTCGATGCCCCAGGCGGGGTAGGGGTCGCGCCAGGCCTTGTTGATGAAGTGGTCGATCTCGTTGCCGAGCTCGAACATGGCGAGCTTGTCGCCGAGCGCCGCGTGCGCCGCCTCGGCCTCGGCCACCGCGATCGCGAACGCCGAGTCGTTGACCGCCAGGTTCAGCGTGTAGATGATGTCGGTGTCCTCGGGGAAGTAGTCGGCCCAGGTCTTGTACCAGCCCGCCGTGATGTTGAACTGCTTGGCCGTCAGGGGCGCGGGGATGGAGACGGAGTCGTTGCCCGTCGGCAGCGACGAGTGGAAGTACGTCTGGTCCGCCGTGTTGCCGCCCACGCGGATCGGCGGCGGCTTGCCGGTTATCTTGGCGATCACGCTCATGAGGTTCGCGGCCACGGGCGTGCTGATGTAGTCGCTGACCCATACGGGCTCGATCGAGTACCCGAGCACATCTGGGACGAGCGAGCGCGCAGCCAGGTCGCTTGGGATGTCGACGGTGGTGTCTTGCGCGATCGTCTCGGCAGCGGCTACTAGTGCCGCGAGGGCAACTGAGCGGAGAGTCATGGCTGTAGGAAGATAGAAGCTATGCCTGGGGGTGAAAGGGATAGCTTCGAGTCGTTGATGCTGCTACTAACCTTGAGAGAACTTAAGAAAAGCCAGCTCATCCCAACTCGACTCGAGAAGAACGATGGGCATTTTATTATCAACATCAGACGCCGCATTGGTACACAATTCGAAGGTTGGTAATGCAATCCTTCAACCCATTTTGGGGAAGGGTGTGTTCTTGGGAAGCAGGTACGAGGTAGCATCGTCAATCTGCCAGGACTCTCCAAAGCCGGGCCCCCCCATGAAAGCTGTCATTCTTATTGGTATGCATATGGGGATAGCTCGATGCGGGGAATTGGGGATGGGGAACGGGTGACGATCCGGGGGAGCTCTAGCCGAAGGTGGATGATTATCCACCTGTGGGAATCATTGCGCTTATACCCCCTACCTAAGGTAAGCTTAGGCACCTAGGTTAAGGATCTTTTATGGGCCTGGGGTAGTTAATAGGATATATCCATAGAAATCTCCATACATACCTACATACCTAGGTATTCAGGTGAATAAGTATTGATGTTCATATACCTACATAGGTATGTAGGAATGTAGGTATGTACATGTAAGCGGTGTAGAATTTTACCTCCTTAAGGAGAGCTATACTTATATCCATACTTCTCCTTACTCTCCCTAATAAACTCATCCAACTCGTCCAACTTCTTCCTCACCTCCTGGTCCTTCTCCCTCGCCTCTCTTAACGCGCCATTAGACAGCGAAAGTGTGATCGGGACCGTGAACCCCTTCTGCACGGCAGGCAGCGTTCGAGCCACCTGTGCACGTTGGGGAACGCGCCGGCGAGGTCGATTCCCCCGTACATACTAGTGTTGGCCCAGCCTACCATGCTGATGTCCGCGATACTGTACTTGCCCGCGCCGGGCCCCGGCGCGTAGTCCCGGCCCGCGAGCCGCTTGTCCAGCACCCCGTACAGCCGCTCTGTCTCACCTACGTACCGTTGCACTGCCGACGGGACCTTCTCCTTGGCAACCCGGAGGAAGTGGTTCGCTTGTCCTTGCATCGGGCCGACACCTCTGCTTCGGTAGAAAGTTAGTAGATGGACGCTCCGTAGTGGTATTTTTTTTAATAGGCCACGGGGTAAAATCGGCTCTACTTACTGCTGCCAGGCCATCCACCGCTCGGCTACACTGTAGTCGTCGCTGTCAACCGGGAAGCTGAACTTGTGCTCCGGGTCGTAATGACGTGTCAAGTAGCTTAAGATCGCCAGGCCCTCGAAGGCGGCGAAGCCACCTCGGTCGTGGTCAACGATGACCGGCATACGACCGTTCGGGCATATCGCTGTGAATCACGGCTCCTTTTGCGTGTTCTTCAAGATATTGATGCTCTGCACCGTATACGCCGCTTTTAGCTCCTCCATTAAAATGCTTGCTTTTTATCCATTGGGTGTGCCTACACACGCATTGGACGTTAACAACAACCCAAAAGTCTACGGGACTGAAGATAAGCGTAGCGTACCGAAGCTTAGGGGCTCAATACCGTTCTTGGCAATGAGGCCGGATGGTTCGGCCATCTCGCTGGCATTCTCAGACGTTAGACTACGTGACGCGGTGCGGGATGTTGAGAAAGGGGTTCTATCAGATAAACTCATTGGCTGCCTAATTTGCTTGATACAGAACGTAGGAACTCTTCTAACTGAAAGACGGGTAGGCAAGACTCTTATATGTTGTAAACCCCAAGCCAAGGTGTATGTCGTCGTTGGAGTCATGCCGAACTGTTATTTGTCTGCCCTATCTACCTAGGCACTTAATAGCTAGGTGGGTATACGTGTACCTAGGTAAACATGACGGGTAATCTCAACTCTCTTGGTAAGCCTTCCTTGAACAGTCTGTTTCGCCTTGAGATAGCATTTGTAAGCATTTCGCGGGAACTCTTTGGATGATGCGGGATACGAACCTAATCGAGACTTCTGGTTGGTAAACCGAACCACTAGATGTAAGTCGGAATTTTCATAATTCCCCTACCTTCCAAGTTGACATTAGGTTACAAGTCCAAGATCATTCGCACCTAGGTAAGCGACTGAGCACAGCGAAAGCATCTCATTCGTAAACGCAACTACCAACAAATTTGCCTGATCATACATACAATTATAACCGAAAGCCAACTAGAGCACGGCTCACCCAAGCTTGCCAAGGAACTCACTCGCTTCCTATCCTTGCCGCCCTTCATCAATACATCGAAGCCGACCCTAGTGCAATTTTTTTTGGTACTGCGTATGAAATCAAACCCAAACGTAAACCGAATCCCTTTTCGTTACAAGTTTTCGTATCCTCCTAGTTCCTGCAAATTACCACCAGTGCGGTGCGATCGACCGGCCGTATGGAAAGCGGCCCAGTATCTAGATAACGTAAGGGGGGGTTTTGCCAAAAAGGAGATGAGGCAAGAAATTTACCAGTAACCGCCGCCTCGACGGTAGTCTTCCCGAGGGTAACCACCACCCTCACGAGCTCCATATGCTCCATCCCGTGGAGGGAAATCTCGTGGAGGTCGGTCGTATGTACGACCATTGACATATGGGTCCGGAGGAGGACCATAGTCGCGTCGATAGGGGTCCTCATAACGTCCACGAGGAGGTGGGTAATCGTCAATGGGCCCACGGCGCGGCGGGGATCTGTAGCGACGGTCATCGTAGTAGTCACGACGCGGAACGCTTCTGTCGCGGTAATCTTCGCGATAACCACGAGGGCTATAGCCACGAGGCGGGCCGCGTCGGTCATAACCCTCGCCGGGTGGACCATATGGTCGACGACCTACAGGTGAACGAGAACGACCACGGTCGCGGGCCGGGAAGTCTGGTTGAGTCTTGGGTCCTACATTAGTACCTATGCATCAAGCAACAAACAGTGGGGACCTACGTCGGCGATGCAGTTGACTCGTTGCCCTTTGAATTCGCGGCCGTCAAGCTTCTCGACGGCACTCTTCAGATCAGCTGCATTTTCAAATTCGACAAAGCTGGTGGCAGGCTACATGTTAGCCAATTATAAACGAATTAAAAGGGTTCATTAGGGAGTTCAACATACCCACGGCCATTGCCGTCGCGGCCTGTCTCTGAATAGACGACATCCAAACTGGACTGTCGAGCGAAGTCTTTGAGGTCCTAGATCCAGATTCCATGTAAGTGGGAGTCCGAGGAGAGGTGCAAAACATGTGTGGGACAAGGCCATATCTCCCAACTCCAGAAGCACCACCAGCAGAGGAGTGCGGTCAAACCAATCCAAGCCGGCCGATAAAAGTCCACCATGGAAATCCTCAAAATCCTCGAGGCACCTTGGCCAGCTCCTATAAGACCTGTTCGCCAGAGTTCGGAAGAGCTAAATCGATGATCATAGACATCACAAACAAGAACCAGCATGCTCGCTTTCGAGGCGAGAAAAAAAGCACATGGCGCAATACGGCTCGCTTTACCGAGGAAGGGGAATGAGGATATGAAGCCAGAATCCGAGGGCGGAAGAACGGGAAAAACGGGAGTTTAACAGACCTGCCAGCTGGTATCATTGGGAAGTCCAGTAATTTGCATGCGATGGGGAGTGCGACGAGGGCGCGGAGCGCTGCGCTCGTGTCCTCCGAAGCCTTCGCGGTGGCGAGAACCTCGGGCGAATTGCACAGTCAAGCGTTCGCCCATGAAGTCAGATCCATCTTATCGTGAAAGATTAGCCAGGGAAACAACGTAGTAATCAGGAGAGACGGTAGCCAGGAACGGTCCAAGACGTACGGAAAGCTATAGCACGACGAGAGGTTAGCTGTGTAATATGCATAATTGATGAACATTGTGCGTTGGATGCTTACCTGGAACAACATCGCGCGCGTCCATAGGGTCCTTATATTCGATGAAGCCGAATCCATTCATCAGCTTGACCTCGGTAATTTCGCCAGTGCCATGGGTCGCAAAGTGAGCTTCAACATCGGCCTTGGTAGCTAGGCAAGGTAACCAAAATTAGTAACTGCGAAAGAGTGATGGCAAGCAGGGCCAAGCTTCGTCACACGCGAAATAAGCTTGCACTACGCAATCAGTTATGATTACTTACCACCCTTGGGCAGGTTGCCTAGATAGAGCCGTGTCGCGGAAACCTCGGTAGACGCCATAGTTGCGATCGGTATCTGCTAAAACTGAGATCCGGTCAAAGAGGGAAGGAGACGAGACGAGACGTGACTAGACGAAAGTCTGGATCGACGTGCGCGCCAAGTAAAGAAGACGTCAATCTTCTAGCTGTCGCAAAAACTACGACAAACTCAGTTGGAAATGGTAAGATGGATTGTTACCCAGTTAAAAGAATTGCGCCTATGAGCAGGGAACTGGGAGAGTAAAAGAGGAAATTCCCAACGGGGGGAGGGGAAGAAAAGCTCAAGTGGCCAAAAGGGCAGGCGGCGAGGATGTCGAAATGGTCGAAATGGTCGAAATGAGAAGAAGGGTTAGAATAAACCAACTAAAAGGTTGGGTTGTGGTTATAAAGGGAGTGACGGTAAGGTCTGAGTACATATATTTCGTTGCTAGGTTGCATGCAGTATTATTAGGTGTGTAGATGCCCAAATACTGCTTGATACCTGCAACTTCGAAGTATTATAAAAAAAAAAGGTGATAAGAACGTGACAGTGATGGATAATGATGAGTGGGAGAAGAAACTTGAAAGAGTGCAAGAAGAATGGAGGTGTGAAGAAGCACCGTGCACCGTACACTATCTACTATGTAAAAATTGTGGAGGCGGTAGAGTACCTACTACCTAGTACTTTGCGTAAGACAAGGTACTCCGTATGTAGGGATTTTGCTTTTTCAAGATCCCCGCACAGACCGGGCAACGGTAGTACCTACTACATATGTGCATGCAGCTGCCTTAGTACCTGACTAAGTGGGGCTCAATATTGAATATGTACTACATACATACCTAGTAGCTTACATTAATGTGAGACATTCATACATAAAGTATGTAGATATGTATGTAGATATGTATGTACACAAGGTTAGATATGTATGTATGATGTATGCAGATGTGATAATGATTCTTGCTTCAAGTATATATCCTCGCAATCTCTCGGCATTTCAAGAAGCAACATACATATGTACTTGAACATTACATATGTATGTAATTGCCATATACATCAATAACATCATTAGCTAATAAGATAAACCTTCAGCTTGTACGAAGTACTTCAAGTTAATAGATACCCCGGCCCAGGCATGTAACATTCATCCTTCATTCGCGACCCGAAAACATAAACATCTCAATATCTCGCCAGTCCAAACGCCAGTGCTATGCTATCACGAAGAAAGTACAACAAGAATGATGAACGTCCCTAACCCATAGACAGACAGATTAAAGCTCGTCGAATAAAATGTCAACAAGTTCATCCATAATTGTAAAAGCCAAGTGAGAGCTATAATAGTATATAAGTCAGCGATCAGAATCCAGATGTACCAAACCTAGGAGATTTCGGAAATTTCCACATTACTTACTTCAACCTCGAGTTATTGAGTGTGGCAAAAATCCTGCGACTCGCCGCTTGTGCATTTAGTCGTCCAACCACGTTCCCAGCCAAGTCCGGAACAAGGGTAGCTAACATCAAGCTTGCCTCTCTGCGAGTTTTTGCCTTTTCCGATGTTGACCTAGGTTGCTTGTTTCTATTAAACTGTCCATCCGGCCACAGCGTGTTTCTCAAAAGGTCAATATACTTGACAATTGCTTCTTCTTGGAATAGTACTTTGAAATTATCTCGTACTTTTCGTTCGATAGTGCCTCCCAGCATCTGGTGTAGCACTACAACTACAGCTCGACCACGGAGCCAGTTATTGCCCCGGTTGAGCCCGAACACCTCCAGGAAGATATCGCAAATCGGCTTGATAAAAGGCTCAAGCTCCTTGTTTTCAAACGCATTCAATTCAGCCTCAGCTTCGGCATTCGTTATAGCATCCTCGTTGACACCGAGTGGTATCGTGCTCATCTGACTTGTTGCCGCCGCGATTAGATTCTGCCCTGCCACCGAAAGCTGGTCTAGTACAGGGATGTTCCCCAGGATATCCTCCATGCCGTCGGCCACCGAATCGTACAGTCGGGTAATCATGTCCTTCTTGTCTTCACGACTCAACAGGTCCTCCCCTGGAGTAATTACGCTTTGCGATAAGAAAGCTCGTAGATCCCTGCTACGACACACGTCTGGGACGAGAAGTAGCTCGCTGAGGTAGCGTTCCAAGGCATCACGTCGTTTGCGAAGAAAGTCGCTTTGAAGTTTCATGACCATCCTCCGTCGGGGAAAGTCAAGATTTCGTACCGACGGGTATCTATTCCGCAGTTTCTGATGAAGGTCGTGGAACTCGCTATATCGTCGCGTCACGATCCAAGTGGCTGCCGGCATCTTCTCACCTGCATCCCTCTGTACCTCTATAACGTACAGCGCAAATTCTTTGCCATCTTCCTCTCGCCCAACTTGGATAGCCTTGATCTTGATTGATGCGCGCCCGTAGAGACTATTGTCGCTCTCCTGAATTACATACTGCTGCCTCTGTAGCTCCTTTCGCCTAAGTTCCCTTTGCAGGCTTGCTCTCGACTTTCGTAAAATGCGCAATTCCGCAGTGTTGTTAGTCAACTCGGCCTTCTTCGTCAGTGACTCTATAACAGCCTCTTGGGCGGCAAGTCGTTCAATATGATTTGTCAAAACTGTGATAGCCTCTGCAAGACCCAGGTCGCCAGGTGCCGCTTCATGCACTTCGTCTTCAGTGTCGCCAACTTCATCCTGATTGCGATCTTCTTGTTCATCCGATAAGAACTTATCTTCATCGCCGAAGAGATCGTCATCCACGAACACGCCAATCCTCGATGCTGCACTAACGAGGCCGAGGGATGCCAGACTAGGCTTTTCGACCTCCTTCCCAGACCCAGACTGCGTTGGACGTTGTTGGTCCATTGAACCCCTGGCAGAACGATTGTCCTGGGCCGAGAATATGCTTGAAGCTCCGTCCTCATTCCCAAACAACGATTCCCGAAGATCTTCTGCTGTTTGCGGTCGCTCGTCTTCCATAATATTGTTGAGCGCCTCTTCCACCGCTTGGACAACCTGGGTGTCCGGCACAGGTCTCGAGGGTTCTTGGTCGAGACTAATGACAGAATCTGCCATTGGATCATGCTCTAGATCATCATCATCGAACAGTGGCGAAGACGCGTTCTCATCCAGCGACCGCCGCTGGCCTAACAATTGCTCTGAGCCATGGTTGGAATTTGTGCTAGCTGCATGGAGATCGGTGGTAGACAAACCCCGTCTTACATAGCCGTTAGATGTATTCAACCTTGGGTTGAGCTTTGCCATTGGAGTGGGTTTCAATCCATACGACTGAGATGCGCGAAGCGGCGGTGGGTTAGTGGCTGGTCCAGCCTGGGACTGATAGGCCGAAGAGCTATTCTTTGATGCTTCTTCGGAAGCTAGAGCCTTATAGAATAAGTCAGATTTCTTGAATGCATCAAGGTACCTGGATTGCATATCCTCAAGCACAGCACTTTGGGTTCGGAGCACGGCACGGCGTGCCTTGTAATATTGTGCTGGTGTAGCTGCCGCCCCTGAATTTAAAAAGTCCCGAATAACTCTTCGAGAATTCGTTGGAACCTTGAGCTCCGACTTAGACAGGTATGCCTGATCGATTTGGGCGATATCGGTGCGGTCAGATTCGGACCATGGGCTTAGATTTGAGGGTACATGCTCATCATCAAGTCCGTCGTCTTCTAATGGATTTCGTAGACCATCTACAACTAACCAGAACTGCACGAGGGGCATCAAGCCCTGTCTATCCATGAACTCCATAAAGTAAGAAAGGCCCGACGTATCGCGTAGTAACTCGACCAATGATGCATTCTCAAGCCTTGAGGTTTCATTACTTGGTGACTGATTGGGGGCTAATGGGACATGTCGTCCGTCACCACCGGCGGCCAATTGCTGGACTCTCTGGTCAAGAAGTCGCTTACCCATCTCTAAGCGACGAATATAAATTGCATCCAGTCCTGATTGCTGGGAATCCTTCTTTAACTGACTTGCCACTTCGCTTCGAAATCGTCTCGCGTCAGACAGGTTGTTGAGTTTACGAATCGTACGGATAAACTTTTCGAACCGTCGTTCGCTATCCCCTGGACCGAGTCGCGGGAATGCCACCGGCTTCGAGCTTTTGGGGGCCGGGGAAGCATGCGCATCCAAGGCTGCGCGAAGCTTACGGACTGTTGACCTGTCTTGCAACATACTCCGTCCATAGTTTTCCATCATTTGGTTCCAAGTATCGGGTTCAGAAAGCCGCTGTAAGGTAGGGAATAGGACAGCGCAAGCAACGATCTCGCGGATGATGCTAAACACAGAGCGGCTATCCAGCAAACTGCTAGGAAGTACGCTTGGGAGGAGCTTGGCGACAACATGCCGCAGGTGGTCTAGCTGTACCAGTTTCGTATCCGAGTAAGCTAGAGAGGCAGCAGGGTGTAGCTTTCCCTCCCTATATTTGGCGGCGATAGCCAAGTCCAGCTCCTCGGATTCCGTGACATCACGATTCAGTTTGCGGCCGCGCACCGCTCTCTCGGCGTCATAGAAATCGCGAAAATGAGCTGTTAATATTGGGACGATTCTACTCGTTACTACTTCGACCAGATCGGTTTGGAATAGACGGTCACGAATTTTGCCCAGCGCATGTCTTATAGTCTTGTCCACCTCGTTCGCGAACACCGGGTTTTTGCTTATATGTGAATACCAGGACTTGACAAAGTCTCGTACGATCAGCTCGAGTAAATCGTCTAAAGCGCGGGATATATCGTGAGATTCGGCATATAACGGAGTCTTGGTATAGGTTTGTTGAATTCGAAGGGCGGTAGCTTCTTTATACCAGGATTCAGGACTTGAGAAGCTGACTGCATTGGGCCTTGAAGATCTATGTTGTTGAGTATAGGCCGAGCCGCGAGAAGTTAGAAGTAGTAGTAAACCAGCTAGAATGGTTACAATTGCGCCGCTGACGAAGGCGTATCCAATCCATCGAATAGCAGGAAACCAGCTTGTAGCATAACCCCATGCAATGAAGCAGGCTACGCCAGCGAGACTGATATCTCTCCCCTTAAGGGCCATACTCCTTTATAAAAGGGTTCGATTCATTCGTCATGGTTTGTGTGTTGGGTAAGTGGTAGAAAGTGGCATGTAAGTCCGAGTCGGATGTATTATTCTTGCTACACGTAGGTAGGTACAATACCGGTTAGTACTATGTAAGGTTGGTACTATGTAGTGTTGCAGCAATTGAGGAATGACGGCGAGTTGGACGTTGAAATGCTTATCGATTGGTGCTTTGAATATGAATTTCCGTTTCAATACAACCGTATTCCGTAACGGGGGTACTAGTACGCAGTATGCTAAGCACAGACCACCTCTGAAAAGGTTCGAATGCTTCTATTATGTACTACATATGTACCCTTTCCCCTTGGCGATCTCCTTATGTAGCCAAACTCCAAAGCCTTTGACAGATTTGGAGACAGTACCTACTATGTAGTAACTAGTACCAAACAATTCATAGATTCTTGCTCACCAGGACGGGTCTTCCACCCGTCGGAACAAAGCAACGAATTTCGGCCCCTTATTCCTCTCCACCTTCTTCCCTTCCTCAGTCTCAGTTCTCATAACCTTCACACATGGATCAGCCTCCTGTTCTTCTTCCCCAATCCTCTCAAACGACGGGTGTGCGTCAAAATGTGAGACCATCCACTTATGCAAATCCTCCACATCCGTGATCGTATACGCAATCCCGCCTAGCTTCAGAACATACGCATACTCAGAGCCTAACGTCGTAGATACGATCCTAGCCTTATGCTTCCGTTGCTTGAAATGCGGATCCGGGAAGCAGATGAAAATCTTGGATAATTGGCTCTTACGGAAGAAATTTGGCAGGAATTTCATCGTGTTCGCACGCAGACAGCCAATATTCTGGTACTGCTTCTGCTTGGACTCCTGCAGGCGGAGGGCCTTGATTCGGTCTTGCACAAACTCTGCCACTTGCGATCGGATCTCCATACCGAGAAGTAGTGTATCTGGCATCACGGGCGACAAAGCCACAAGCAAACCTCCAAAGCCACAGCCTATGTCCACGACCTCGATGTCTTGTGTGAGCTTCTTTGGCAGTGACTTCACTGTCGTTTCCACGCTTTCTTCATGTATCTCAGTAGCTGGTTCTGATGGCCCATTTGGGATGAATGCAGGAAATAATGTTGACCAGTCCATATGTTCTGGACTAGTTGGACTATCAACAAGTAAGTATTTGAGCAACCGTATCAGTAGCTGTAGAAGCTAGACTAGACGGACATACTATGTCAGCCTGTGATCGGAGAAAGGATTCGCATGTGCTCGTTGACGATAAAACTTCTTCTTGGGCAGATTAGTAATACCATCTTCCTTCTGAGCTAGGCGGTAGTCTTGTCGCTTCTGCTTTTTGTTGGCAGGGCCCGGCATGATGGCGTGAATATGATGAATTGTAATATTTCCTTAAGGCTTTTTTAAAATTGCAGATGACAGATTTTTACGCCCTAATTTCATATATCATGAGATTTGAGGCTGGAAGTGTTACGCAGGTGATATTGAAATTCGCGTATTTTCGTAAAATGGGTAAATTAGATAAATTGCACAGTTAAAAGTTAGTTACGCAGTAGATAAATTGGATCCTTGCAGAAAGTTAGTGGGGTAATAAAATGGATTGAGATGTGAGAAAGCTAGCGGCTATCTAGTGGGGACACCCGCGGCAAACGATAAAAAGATAAGAGATAAACACGCACCAATGCAGCAAACATCGATGTACGTAGTGCGTACATAGGGGAGTGCGTAGTACGTACCTCCTACCACTGACCCTAGTACTAACTTGAATAGTACCTAACTACTAGGTAGTAGTACTGTGTAAGCAAATAGCTCCGGTTGGACGGTACGCGAATACGTAATACGTATGTAGTTTACACTATACAGCACTAAGGTAAGCTTGAGCTCGTATCCATACATAAAAGTACCTACGGCGTACATAATGTATGTATTCGCTTTGTTGCCGCAGCAACCATGCCTCCTAATTCTCACTGAGAAGAGCGGCGAAACAGAATTTGAACAGCTGAGTCTCCACGAACTCCAAATATTGATCAACGACGAACCATAGACGCGGTTCCGAACCCTATTCTTTTTTACAATTCAAATCCAAGTAAACTCACAGCCCTGATGAAGAAAGCCCAACTGGTAAAGTTAAGGACTTCGAGAACAGGCTCAGCCGTTGAACGCGGTTAAGTCCTGAACGCTCTGAAAGCTCTGGACGCTCTGAACGCTCTGCACTGCACGCCTTGAACGCTTTGAACACCGCTTTCATACATATTGACGTACATTACATGCATACATAGTACAAGACATTTTCTATGCATGGCAGCATTCAGCGTATCATTCATCTCCTAGTCGCAGCAACATATTTGTTTTGTTTTCAAATATACTAGGTACTACTCCTGCTCATCCATCTCCATACTCAACGTCATACCTCCTCTCTCACATACAATGGCGTCCGTGGACGACTACCATATCTCGGCCAACATCGCCCCTAGCACGGGTCGATCCAACCAGCACCAACGTTCAAAGTCGAGTGTGTTGAAATCTTTTATCCACAGACGGCACAACTCCGATGGCTCCGAATTACCACCTACCAACCTTTTATCTCCTTCGAACCTAACCCTCGACACTCCCCCCACTCCCAAACATGATAGCTACGGTTTTCCAAACTTTTCTCGGCCAGCGGCCTTAGGCGAAATTCAGCAGAACCAAGTCAGCAGCTCTCCTCGATCACCTACTAAACATCAAGATCAGTCAAATATCAGTCAATTGTCCCCCACCAAAATCGGATTCAATACAATTTCTACCAAGCCGTCGGCGGTAAAGGAGGCCGAACGATTAGCTCGACTAGCCAAACAAAACGAGGGCAAGCCCAAGAAGACCAAGTCGGCCACAAATCTTGTGGGATTTCTGAGCCGTCCCAAAAGTTCCAAGAATCTTAACGGACAAGCCAGCGAGGACGAGATACGGTTCAAGAAAAATAAGGAGAACCAGCCGCCCCAGGAGGCGGCTCGAGCGCCTATTTATGCTCAATTCTCGAGCGGGGCATTAGAAAAGCAGAACGATCCAGATTACGCAAAGGACTCTAACGCGCTCAACCTCCCTACTAACGGCAAGTATTCTTCCAACGCGCCCTCCAGCGGCCGCGCCAACAAGGAACGACCCAAATCTTACCACGCACCTTTTTCTCAATCGGCCGACATGAAGCCAGGCCAAGGTAGCACCAAGGCCTCTCCGTCTAAGATACAGAGGGGCCTGAGGCTATTTGGCGGCGGCGGTAGTGCCAGTTCGCAGGATCGACCCCGTTCACCTGAGCCTTCCGAGCGAGTACTCGATCCGAAAGACATCGATAAGCACCTCGAAGCCATGCTAGACCGACGCAACATTCCCGAGCACCAAAGATATAAGATGCGAAGCTTGGCAGACACCATCAAGATGGAATTCATACGCCAAGACTGGGCCGAGAGCAGAGGTCTCCAGATGGCCCGACCGGGAAGCCATGACAGCGATAGTTCCAGCCTGAACGCCACGCAGGCGAACGAGCAAGCGAAGCCGAAGAAGTCCCGCGGCCGAAGCTTCACGATGTCGAGGGGCAAGAAGTCGGCGCCCGGTTCTCCGACCAAGAAGTCTAAGGGGGAGGGATCCATAGGTCGGCATTTCCGAAGTAGATCCACGGACAGCGTCGCCACCAGCGACCGCCCCTTGTCATCTACGTCGAGTACAGGGAGCAGCATATTCTCCAAGGTTAAATTGCAGCAAGGCCCCGTCGATTTTGTGGCCTACTTGCGTAAGGTACAAAAACCGCAGCTGGTCGAGGTCGGCAAGCTCCACAAGCTACGTCTACTCCTACGAAACGAGACCGTAGCTTGGACTGAGGAGTTCATTCGCCAGGGTGGTATGCAAGAGATCGTAGCACTCTTGCATCGTATCATAGAGGTTGAGTGGAGGTACGTTTTAGCTCGAAGTCGTTTTATCGCCTAGCCAAGCTTGATGACAATCAAGGTTTACTAACCTAATGATAGGGAGGAACATGAGGATGCTCTTCTGCATGAGAATCTTCTCTGCCTCAAGGCATTGTGCACCACGGCTCTTGCCTTGCAATATCTCCATTCCATCCAAGCAACGCTATTCCCGGCACTCTTGCATATGCTCTTCGACCCAGAAAAGAAGGGTCCCAGCGAGTTCACAACTCGTGGTATCATCACTTCGGTGATGTTTACCTACATACAGTCAGCACCGCCCAGTGATCGTCCGATCCGAGCCAGGACTGTACTCAACCATCTACGCGATCCCGAGCCGAAAGAAGATGAGCGACCAGTTGGCTTTGTATTCGACATGCGCCGAGAACGCCCGTATCGCGTGTGGTGTAAAGAGGCCGTCTCAGTCACCAAGGAGGTGTTCTGGATTTTCCTGCACCATCTCAATGTCGTCTACGTGCCCCGAGACAAGGATCGCAAAGAAGCCACTAGTCCGTCCGGCATAGACAGCGTTACTTACATGCAGACCCACTTCCCTCAGGAGAGACCACCTGTCCCCGCCGCCCCTTACGTTGGTGGTGTGGAATGGGACGCTACGAATTACCTGGCTTCCCACCTCGACCTCATGAACGCCATCATTGCATGCCACCCCACAGCAGAGGAGCGCAATAATCTGCGTCGCCAATTCCTCATCTCGGGATGGGAGCGTTGCATGGGAGGTAGCTTACGCCTCTGCAAGGAGAAGTTCTATCCCGGTGTACACGACGGCCTGCGGACTTGGGTCGCGGCTGCAGTCGAAGACGGCTGGAATGCGAAGGACGTGCGATACGGACCAGCGTCAGAATCCAGGAGCCCGACGAAGAAGCAGGTAGGTGCTGGGGCTAATAAGGGCAAGAATAAGGAGGAGTCGGCCCCGAAGATCGACATTCCCAAGCTAAATCTTGGATTGAGTTCCGCACATAGCTCGGCTACTCCCGCAGGTAAATCAAGCGACAACTGGCTCTCGTAGCCAGAAGCCTTGCTGCCACGTTGGGGCCCAGCACCGGGCGGGTGGGCTCCTAGATAGGAAATGAAAGGCACCAAGCCCGAAGCTAGAACGCTAACGGATGTGTTGGCTGGAGTCTCGTGCTGGGTTAGAAGATATCATTGTCGTCGATGTATTGTACCCTGGAGTTTTATTGGCTTTCAGGGGGGGAGTGTTGTTTTTCCCGCGGGTCTCATTGTCATTGCTATGCCTCATGATTTGGGTTTTCCATCTTTCCTCATCACTTGGTAATGACGTCCAGTTGGACAAGGCTATTCACACGCGGTAGATTGAATGATCATGACGGTTATGACTAGGGCACAGCTCAATGAATACAAATGAAGTTTAAACACCTTATCGTGTATCGTGATCTGTTCTACGTTTTTCTTAAATCGTATCAGCACGTGCTGCCTTTGCTGTTTACGTGGCTGATAGCACCGGCTCCTACCATACAGAACGAGCAATTCAAGTACTGGATGGAGTAAAGCCGCTTAGGGGGGGAGGGGAACACTTCATAGACGTAGGAGCGGTGAACGTAGAGCGTAAACATCCGAGTACAGCTCTTGACATTTCGTCCTGCTTGGGAGGCACGAGAACCTTCTTGCCGGCTGTCCAAACCACGCTCTACTGGAGCCAACGTTGATAATAGGTTCGAAATGATGCCCAGTTATCGGCCATGTTAGGGAGATCCATTGGAATTATACGAAAAGGCCCTTGGAGAAGAGTAAGGGATGGCGTCTCGCAGACTAAGCAAATTACACAACGACAGCCTAACTTAATCCGGGCTCAATAACAAGGTCTGGGAACAATAAGCTTCCGTATGCTTTGACCGCTATCGGCTCCGTGCAAGAAAGGCGCTTCGTCCGATCTTCTCTGGAGGGTGGATAGGGTGCGGTAGGCCTTGCTTAAGCTGTGCGTAAATCGCACAATCATGTCGCGTGCTTCGTTTGCCGAAGAGCCCGGACCCACGGTCAGCTTCATACCAGTGCCAGACCTAGGGGCTGCTCCCGAAGTTGATCGACAACATATCAGGAAGCTCCATCAAATAGGATTCTATACAAGGGGGTCACGATGAACCCCATACTGCAGTCAGACCGCGTGCTAGCCGTTTAGGGGCGTAAAGGTACTCTTGGTAGGAGTGAAGTTGCCTTCGCCTAGCTAGGCCTGTGATGCGTTGATGAGGCGTTTCGTTGGCTTACAGATTGCAATGCTGCTTACCTGCGAAGATCTTCGGCGTGATCGCGTGGTATGTTCCAACTATATCCGCAAGGTGACGTGGTTTAGGTTAGCGGCGAGAGACTTCACGATGGGCCAACATGAATAAATGACACGATACGTTCAGGAAAATGTCGGTTTGGGTAGAGATAGCCCGGGATAGGGATAGGGATCTGCAATGCATAGTGAGTGAGCCGAACGACTACACTAGAACAAATTGCATTATCCGCAGCTTCGAGGATGATTTCAGGTCAGGGCTAGAATGAGTTGATGCTAACAGCGTATAACCTCTCATGGACGTAATGTAACCGTAACCCTTTAAGGCCATGGCTTCCTATTGCTTTCACCAGCGTTCAGCAGTCATCCGAAAATATGATGAGTCTCTTCTTGCTGCGGAGCCGCAGCTGCGTGGAGCCAATTAAAAGGGTTGCCGACGGCGGAGAGCAGATCCCTCAGCATGACGGTGTAGCAGAAAGGGTATTGCTCCGTTAAAGTCGCATGGTGGGTTATGTGAACCGGGGAATACAGAGCTGGCCCAAGATATCGTTATCCTTGGCGACTCGAGTGACTGGCAGACTCATCCCCAGGTCAGCGTGGTGACAGCTCTGCAGGAATGTTCGGCTTGGGTCACTCCCTGTACTCTGATAGGTGTAGAAAAGCGGGATAAACTCGGGAGGCTGGCCAGGGACGCGGGCCTCATAGCCAATAGTCGAGTGCTTGATGTATCATGTGTTTCACTATATTCTGAAGTTATAGGATCGAGAAAAAGAGGGCGGGGGATAAATGGAGTAGCAATAATTCGAAACGTAGAGTTCAGATAGATCGACTCGATCGAGACCATCACCAGTGACCATCACCAGTGTAAATCTGTTCTTGTCGACAATTTTTAACAACAAGTTAAGACTTGAGGAACCGCCAGAATCAACTCCAATTGCCAAAATCCCACCTCATTATGCATCTTAGGTAGCCAGTATATGCACTAAGCTAATCCCAAAGGGTTTGGCGACAAATGGAAGTTGGAAGAAGTCAGAAATCGGAGCCAGAATAAAGGGATAATACTTATTGAACCTTCTTCTACTCTTCTTTTTTCTTTTTTTCTTCCTTTTTTCTTCCTTTTTCTTGTACGTACACGGTAAATCACGTCAGAATCCTAGTGCATAAAGATGTTGAGGAGAATATTGAGAATGTCAAGTTTAAATATGGATGTGTAGGTGAGTTAGTACATATCTTATAACGTGTTTTTTTTTTTTTTTTTTTTTTACTTTTTCTTTCTTCTTTGAGAGAGAGAGCAACTTACATGTACATACATGCTCCCTTCTGAAGATGTGTCTTGATTAAGGGCCAGTTACGTAATTGTGTAACGCTGGTCATTGTAGAGGAGCCCATTGTAGAGTTGGAGCGAATTTAGATACGCAGATACGTAGGTACCTACGTAGGACCGTCGTAGGTAGATACACTATTACACATGTAGTGCATTTCCTCTCTTGGCAAGTGGTTTTCTGCCAGGTGAGAATCCACCAATCCACGATGGGGATCGCTGTATCTCCCAGGAGTGACATATGTAGCTTTAATAGTACGTACATGTATGTAACTGATTGATGTTACTTTGATACTTTGATACTTGACATTACCTAGTAACTATCATTGATGTTTTTATTGATCAGAACCGTTGACATCAATGATTGAATACTACTAGTAGTACCTACTAGGTATATTACATGGCTATTATACATAGTACCTACGTAATGGAGTCGGGCCAAAAGTTGTAGGCTTCTACATATTAATGATCGTTGGTATGGATTCCCCATGTCAATTGATTAACCTTACAGAATTACTTTAAGTCGGATTTACCCCCTCTTGCGATCTGATCAGTTACTGTAGGTACATTAGTATATGTATGCTACTAAGCACTTAGGTATGTACATTGATAGCACTATGAGTACTAGTTAGTAGTAGTATGACTATGTAGGTACTACGTAGTATTGTATTGTGCCTCAAGGCTCAAGTGCTATGGTCACTATGTATGTATAGGTAAGTGCCTACATCAATACACGTGTAGGTGGTAGGTACCTAGGGTAGTATTGATAGTTATATGTATGTACAATACAATACAATACATGCTGCCAGCCTGCCACATGTGCAGTTCAATGTTTAGCCGACAAAGCACTTGAAGTAGTTGAGCCCTACATTGAAAACGTTAGGTACCTACCTGGTACCTATGTAGGGTACTAGCCTACTAGGTTAGAGTTATGTAGGTACCTTCTCAGCGTCTTAAATCTTACAAGTTACAAGCCCTAGACTTAACATACATGGACTTACATACATAGTATTACATAGTACTATCCATGAGTAACATGAATTAACTATCCTGATCCCAGCACCTAAGCAGCCTTAGACACACACCTTAGTCGCCTGCTAACTTGAGTTAGTAAGGTTCCGCTGGTTAGCTCCTTGCTTTAGGGCTCTCTTCACCCGGGTATTGGCAAGTTAGCTTGGCCCGCATAAGCAACCCCCGGTCTAGAGCTCAAGTGCTCCAGGGCTCTTCCTAACTTTACCTTGGTGGGAGTAGCCCATGCCGTATATCGCTATCGCTTACCCATTTTTTACTCGTTCATCAGCCTTCGTCATCACCACCGAATCGACCAGAGCAGGTCAAAGGTCTGTGTCTTCAAAGGCTTGAAAGGCTTGCCAGGCTTGCCAGCATATCAGAACTTAGAAGGTCGGTCCCCTTGCGGTTTCAGGGCGCTTGGGAGCTTAGGACCTTAGGACCTTAGGCGCCATCAACTAAATCCCCCGACCTGAGCACGCACCGGATAGTTCCTGCTACTACATAGTACTACATTGTATTAGTATAGCACTTGAGCAGTATACAGCAATAGATTAGCGACTGAGCAAAACCAGTTTGCTCCTTGCAGCAGAGAAAGTCAAGGAATTCACCCTATTGCACCACAGCTCTCCCATATCAAATTCTCGCTACCCACTCAAGTTGCTAAAGGTGTCCAACTACCTCCACATCTGCGACACCTTGCAGAAGTCCTGTGCTGTCATCGAATTGTGCCGTTCCACTGCCAGTTCCGGCAAGGCAAAGTTTCCAGCGGGCTACCGTGTTAGTGGCCCACATTTCATCAATATCAACATCTCCATCGAAAACTTCCTGCAAGCCGCGCCGCTCCGAGGCCAGCGCGAGCCCACCGAGCCACCAGAATTGTTGGAACCCTGCCCGATTTCGTTGTGCCGACGAATCCCAGGAGCTCGGTTGACACTTGCCAGGACTTGTGCACAAGACCCGACCGAAAGCTGACCACCTTCAAATTTGTTCGAAATGTCAATAAAGTATGTATCAACTTCTCCTTATTCATTCTTGCTCTCATAGCTCTCATAGCTCTCATATACTTGAGCCACGAACTAGTCCTTTTCCTTCCAGTTCAGCCCACAACCCACAGTCCACAATCCAAAGTCCACAGTCCACAACCCACAGCCCTTCGACCTCAGCCCTCTCCTTTCTCCTTTTTCCCATCTCCCACCTTCCGTCACCCTTCCCCCTTCTCCCCGTCCGCAAACTTTTAGGATGTAATATCCTTCTCTGTCCTCCCTAAGAGCCTTGCTCTTCCTTCCATGGACTCAAACACGCACCATCGACACTCCCCTCCCATTTTTTGTTTCGTGTCGTCATAATGGATTACGGGCTTCACGACCAGCATGCGTCCTACATCCTTAGTCAAAGTAACAGGGGCGAGGAGGACACTAACCTAGATGCTAGCTGGGTCATGCTCTCCCGGGCCGGGGAGATAGAACCTCTACCCCATGAATCCATTCTGCACAGAACGAGAGGTCGGATAGCTCTTAACATAACCGCCCCAAACCAGCCAGCCGGCGTCCCTCCTCTTAACATCAAGAGTGAGAGCGGAACGGCATACATAACGAATCAACGAGTAAGCAGCACTGTGTTCCGCGTTCCGCGTTGCACTATAGAGTAATGAAGTACGAGGCTGACATTCTCGCTTAGTTAATATATCTCCCAGCCAAGCCTACTGAGCAGCTCAAATCTTTCTCATCTAAGATACTGGGCTGCCAGGATAGCCGTATGTGCTCGTCTTGGATTGGACCATGGTACTGGGAAGCCATGGTGCGACCAGTCCCTGACGGCAACATCGCGCCGGAATTTCCAAGGGTGAATGTCAGATTGACTTTTAAGGATGGCGGCTCCAGCGAATTTGAGTCAAAATTTGTAGAGCTTAAGGCGCGCCTTCACCATGCGGCACAGATCGCAGAGGAATCAGGCCAGAGTAATTGGGCCCAAATCGTTCACGACGAACAGCTGCCAGAATACAGCGGCCCCCAGGGAGGCAATAATCCCGTCCTACCAACTGAGGAGGCTCGCCGAGCAGATGAGGCAGTTCAGGAGCAACAAGCCCATCAACAAACTCCGGACGAACCTCCACCAAACTACGACGAAGCACAGGCCCAGGCAGTCACTATGCGCTTTGACGAGCGGATGCGGGAGGAGGCCGAAAGACAATGAATTTGTTTTGGAGTGGCTATTTTGAAAGATGGATGCGGTCAATGGATTTGGGCACCCGGCGGCCTTGGATTATTGACGCATCTCGAAGTCGATGAAAATTAAGAACTTGATACCCTTCCCAACCTGGAAAGCAAGAAGATGTGCTGTCCTCATTATACCTAGGTACCTAATATGTATCTACATTCCCACGACATTCAGAGTGTTGTCATTTTGAAAGGAGCACAGTTGAGAGGGAGGTGGAGCTAGTCCTCTAGGGGGGCTAAGAGAAGTTGACGACTATACCTCAATAAAGGTGAACATAAAATAGCACGAATAAGCCAGCTTGCTACATAGGTATCTATATATTATGTATTTGTCTTGGACACTCACTTTGGATACTTATACCTCATTATTAGAAGATTAGAATATTGGAGCGACTATAGATTGTTTACTTCTAGGTAATATAGATCCTCTTAATAAAATCTTCACCAAAGCCATTGACTTTTTATGAATGATAAATTTCAACTGGGTGAGTAGAGGTAATGTGTTAAACGTATAGTGTAGTGCTATTCATATAACCTACTAGGTAGACATATGTAGGTTAGAGAATAGAGAATAGCATCAATTCAACCAACAGCAACATTGAACTTTGACTATATGTACGTACGCCAATATGATATGTACCAAGTAGTATATAGTACATAGTACCTAGGTTAGTAGAGTTTGAAATATGGATCTAGTTATGGATGGAACATTTTAATGGAATGGTGGAATGAATATATGAGCCGAGAATCACGTGATCTTTTTTCGCAAAACCTCGATCTTTAGCCAATCAAAGTGTGTCAATTGCTGATGCTCTATTTTTCTCGGCCGCCCACGTTTCTTTTGAGACTGCATTTCATCACCAACCTTTCGTTCAACTCCGTTCACCCCGTTCACCCCGTTCACCCCGTTCACCCTCCGAAAATAAGCCAAGGCACCGAACCCGCCTACACATCCACCCTTTGAGCAAAATGGGTATTTGGGACGCTATTCAAGACCTCGTTGAGGCAGCCACGCCATGGAGCACCGCCGAAGCCGACGCTCCAGCTGAGGACAAGGTACGATTTTTACCTAATTTAGGATGCCCTACTACCTCGGCACTCCACCTCCACTGCCTTCACTGTCTTCACTGCCTTCGGTTTTCGTGCGCTGCCATAAAGCAATCTTACTAACTACTGCTGAAGTCGCAGGACAGCGAGACTGAAGACGGGGGCGACGAAGAAGAGGAGGAGGAAGATGAGGAAGAAATTGAAGATCCTAAAGAAAAATTTGAGGAAGGTTTGTTGCATACCCATACATACCCGACACCCGACGGCATCATGGGTATTTGCTGACGGTTACCCTGCAGAGTGCAAGAACTCGAAGGTTTGCGCGCCCGCTAAACACCACTTTGACGAGTGCGTCGAGCGCGTTACAAACGCATCCGGTGAAGGAGAGGCAGGCGAGGACTGCGTTGAAGAATGTAAGGGTTCATCACATAACCGAGCATATACATTAGTGGTCTAGGCACCTAGCTAACATGATCTCCCCGGTAGTCTTCCATCTTGCGCACTGCGCGAGCCAATGCGCCGCCCCCAAACTTTGGTCTGTCCTCAAATGAGCAACGCAATCCAGTCTCGAAGCCCCGCCAGCAACCTCACATGATAAATCAATAGAACTGATGGAAGGATGGTACTGGACGGCTTTCTTGACTAAGGCAACTTACCCGCTCATTATCATGCGACCCCGGTCAAGCAGGTGGTGGTTTTGTAGCACGATCTGCGGCTCAAGCAATGGCGTGCAGCCAGGATATCTCCGATCCACTGCCCTATGTACCATACATTGCATTATCAGTTAAATAGATCTCTATTCCTCGAGTCTGGTAGCGGGCCTATGACATTTTCCCTCGTAATTGGTATATTTGGCTGTGGATATAACGTTATGAGCACAATATGTTTTATGGTATAACAGCTCGTTCGCATGAGTACCTAAGCATACATAGAGCAATAGACAAACGAGATGTCTTGCTCTCATGTATGGTGTTGCATGTTCGATCAATCTCCCAAACATGTCGAGTTGTCATGATGCAATAAGAGCCCCTTACCCTGTAATAACAACGATGATTTAGTATACCTAGTAGTATACTACATAACACATATGCACCTTTAGAGTGTTACAGGAATACTACCTATCTCATATATGTAGAGTATGATATTGAAACAAGAAAAAAACAGGCGAAATAAAACTGATCCGATGTTGGAAAAAGGGTTGGAGTTGAGTGCAACCAATTGTGTAATTAGGGTGACGATATAGGTACATGGCATAAATCGACATAAATGGACCGAGATTCACGAGGGAATTTGAGAAAGAGATGTTACACGGACACATGGCCGAATGTAGCAGGTATGTCGAACCGATGGCCAATCAAAGCTGACGTTAAAACTATATACCCGGCGAAACTTACCAGGGAAGGAACTGCTGACGAGTATGGTCTTTAATGGGGGTTCTGGTATTACACTCTGATGTGAAACAGGTCAGGTGCATACCTCACCTTAACCTTACCCTTATACATACCTAAATATACTGCAGTTGGAAGTCGTTCCCCAAGTGCAACACATATGTGTGAGTAGGTACTACCAACCACTACATACTAGGTAGTGTGTAGTACTACTAGCTAAGTACTACACGGATGTAGATGGGTAGATACGCCGCTGGCTGTCCATGTCTCAATGTTCCAAGCCTTCAATTCTTCATTTTCCTATAACTAGCATGCATCACTACTGGGTAGTCTCAAGCTAGCACATACGATGTTTTTCTAAAAAGCTGCGCCGCTTATCTTCTCTCCTTCAATATTGCCATTTTACATACCACTCCCCCTTTTCATAATGCGATAATGAAATGTGCCTATTCGTCTCGAATTTTCCCTGTCATTTGTAGGATATAACAAGCCGCCCGATATCTTCCACATACCGTCGTGTAAAGAGCCATATCAGACCAAACACACTAATATATCCAGCTGGCTGGGCTTGATGATCGACACACAGAACGAAACGCGACTAGCCAAATATATACATAATTGTGAAAGAGAGTCTATTCTCTCACACCGATAAGAGCTTGGCTACTAGGCATAGCCTTCGATCTTTACAAGCAACCTGGAAGTCGTCAATAAGCAGCCACCCGAAGCGCCATCGTAGATCGGGGCCGAAAAAACGGGTACCGGCTGTGGGATGTCTCGCACCAACAACCGTAGAACTGATGACACGCCGGCCGACAGCCCGACCACTACCGACTCGGACACTCAGCTGGCACGCGAGCAGTTCGCCCTTGGTTCCATGGACACAGGATCGTCAGGCAAACTGAAGGGTGACCGCCCGGTCTTGTCTCCCAACTTGACCGACGGGGACAGGGACGATCTGGCAACTTTAACTAATACTAATACTGCTACCCAGCTCCGAGATGTGGAGAACTCCTCGGTCGAGAATGGCGACGGCGTGAGCGTCGTGTATAAAGTGTATAAGAGGCGATGGTTTGGTCTTGTGCAATTAACCCTGTTAAATATTATCGTCAGTTGGGATGTAAGTTGCCAGTCTTTATCGATCAGTAGTCTCGTTGGCTCACACATGCCCCCTGTGCTATTTTATTTGCCTTTCCTCACATCACGATCTTGCCTTAGCAATATGTAGGTAGTATCGTTGTTAACACTTCGATGCTCCTCTATCTATGGATCTTACATTACATTATATCTTATATCACAACCAACTGACTGTCTACGATATTTAGTGGCTCACCTTTTCGCCTGTCTCGCAATTTGCTGCGACTTACTATGACACAACCGAATCTGCCATCAACTGGTTCTCGACAGGCTTTCTGTTCGCTTTCGTCCTCATATTTCCCGTCACTATTTATGCCCTGCACTGGGGCCCCAAACCGTCCATCATCGTCAGCGCCGTATTAGTTCTAGTAGGCAACTGGATTCGCTTCGCCGGATCTAATTCGCGCGATGGTGGGATATACGGCGTGACGATGTTCGGCCAGCTCTTGATCGGCCTGGCTCAGCCCTTCGTCCTAAGCGCGCCTACTCGGTACTCAGACTTGTGGTTTACTAATAGGGGCCGCGTCGCTGCCACCGCTCTGGCTAGCCTGGCAAATCCGTTTGGTGCGGCCGTCGGCCAGCTCGTCGTGCCGTTCATGGTCACGGGCCCCCCTGATGTATCTAATGCTGTGCTCTACGTCGCCATAATTGTACGTCTCCCTCGCATATTTTTTGTAACTGTAACGGCCTAACCACAAATCTAGTCATCCGTGGCTGCGTTTCCATCTTTCTTCATCCCTGCGTCGCCTCCTACTCCCCCGGGCCCATCTAGCGCCACACCTAAGGCAACACTCCGATCCTCTCTACACCATCTGAATTCGCTCGAGCTGTGGCTCATCATGATCCCATACTCCATCTACGTTGGCTTCTTCAACAGCATCTCGACGATTCTTAACCAGGTTATGATGCCGTACGGCTTCTCGTCCGACGAAGCCGGTATCGCAGGCGCTCTGCTCATCGTCATCGGCCTCGTCAGCTCTGCCATCACGAGCCCCATAATTGACCGTACCAAAGCCTACTTACTTACTATTAAGCTTGCCGTGCCCATCATCGCTTTGTCCTACCTTGCTTTCATCTGGATGCCTGGCACCCGCAACCTCGCGGGCCCATACGTCATCCTCAGCATCCTCGGCGCTTCCAGCTTCTCCCTCGTCCCCGTCGCCCTCGAGTTCCTCTGCGAGATTAGCCACCCCCTGAGCCCCGAGGTCACGTCCACGATTGCCTGGGCTGGCGGCCAGCTATTCGGTGGCATATTTATCATCATCGGCGACGCGCTCAAGGCCGGCCCTCAGGCGGATCCCCCGTTCCACATGACGTATACGCTCATATTTACCGCTGTCGTCGCCCTAGTGGTTGCGCCATTACCCCTTTCTCTAGGACTGTTCGGGCGTAAGGATAAGCTTGTTATGAAGAGGGTGCAGAGCGATGATAGGGCTGGTGGCGGGGGTGCTCTTGCTGCGTAAGAGGATATATCCGCAGAACTATATTTATGTGCGTGGGAGCGAAGCGATCATGATGCTAATTTCATCTGCTATCTAATGTATATGTCTTGGTTAGTTTAGTATAAGTACTTACTATATATATACCCTACAGTACTGCTTGCTACACTCCTTATACTTACGTGTCTACCTCATACACTCTTAAATTTTTAATCTTGCGACTTGGGATGTTGGGGTTCTAGACATAGATACCCAACTGAGGTATTCTTTGTGGTATTACTATCATATTGGTATCGCATAACTGTCTGTGTTGCTTCTGCCACTACTGCTGTTGAGGGCATTTGTTGCATTATTATGACATCCATGATGTCTGTCAGAGAGGTACCTCATGGCTACCAGCTGAGGTGGTAGATCAATGAACTACCTAGTATATATATAGGTATATACGTAGCCATCTACTACATATCTACCTATCCTCGTTGGATAGGCAGGTAGGTAGGTACTTCGATATGCGACATGTACATCGAAAATCGAAAGTCAAGCCTACCTAAATGAGCAAAGCAAAGTGATATCGTGATATCCGCAGATGTGCGCCATGCAAAATGCTAAAGGTCAATATGATCGATCCATCATAAGAAAAGCCCTCCTTGGTTCTCAGAAAGAGTGCTGATCCCATAATTAATGTCCATTCTGATTCAACGCCGCGTCTCCCTTTTTAAGCGCAAGTTCCCACGCTGTCCGTAGCTTCTCTAACTCGGTCCAGCATTTTCGTCCGTCGTCCTCGAACTGGATGCGCTGGTCCTCGGTCAAATCGACGGCGTTCCACTTTCTTCCGTGCATATCGGGTATGGCGGCAGTGGGGTCTTCCTTCCACGTTTTGCCGTCTTCGACTTTGCCTTCCCAGCCCCAGCCCTCGACCTCGGTCTTCTTGGGCGCGGCACGGCCAAGTCGCGATGTGCTCGCACCCCATTTAACATGCTCGGCGCGCAGGGAGTCCAGGGTCTCTTGGTCGGCGAGGGCGAGCCAAGATGTGGCACAGGCGCCCAAGTACGGCTCGACAGGGTGCCAAGGGGAGCCGAGCCAGCGCGCAAGATACATGGCAAAGGTGTAGGCCCAGAACAGAAACCAGTTGAGAGGAAATAGCGGGGTGCAGACAATGCCGGGGTGGGAAAGATAAAAGCGAGGCTTGATCGGCTTGTCGGCGACGGCAGGGGAGTCGAAGTAGGAGGCAGATACCTTCTGTACACTCGGTAGGTCGGCTGTCAAACATATAAGATCCGTTATGCGCTTGCTACTCTCATAGGGTGGCTTTTTGCGCCGTGCTTGGAAGTCTTCGAAACTCAAATGATCTTGTCCAGCATCTATGCTGCTTGTCCAGATAATTCGGCCGGGAGGTTCGTTCGGGTCTGAGCGGGCCATAATCGGTAGTAGCTCGTGGGCAAGAAGATAATGCCCAAATACATTGGCGCAGAAGACCTCTGCTAGCTCAGGTGGCTCCCTTTCCATCTTCTGTACCGAGCTCCCCAGCAGTCTCCGCTGATCTAGCACCGCAGCAGGTAAAGCTATCTTAAAGGAAGGAAAAGTACAGCTTTGTACGAGGCCTCTCAAGAGAAATTGTCTTAACAGCCCGAGCCAATTTATGCCAGACCAACCACCAATGCCAGCGTTGAACAGTGCCGCGTCAATGCGCGGTATCTGGACATCGTCTATCAGTCCAGTTGGATCGTGAACTTGGCCATGAACTAATTGTTCGGCAACTTGATATATCGAACGAGGGCTGCAGAGGTCGAGCTGAACACTGAGAATATGGACTCGCGATATGACGGTTTGAGGGTCGTATGCAGGACCTGAACGGGCTCGAAGTTTTTTGGAGGTATTGGCAGCCTTCTGTAGGTGGGCGCGTAAGGAGAGGATGGTGTCTCGGGACTTATTCACAGAACGGGTCGTGGGTATGAGGATCAAGTGTGAGGATAGAGATCGCGAAGTGAGGAATTCATCGATGATTCGTTGACCGATACCAAGACCGACACCACTATAACGATTTCCCGTCTAAGACGATGAATTTCCATGAATACATGGGACAAAGGAATAGCTTACCTGTTAGCTCCTGTTAGAAGAACAAAGTATTGTTCATGGCTCGCAGCCTCTGCCCAAGGAGGAGATACCATAGTCGGTTGAAGATGCCCAGGTATGGGCGAAACCCGACTTGGATATTACTAAGTAAGTATCAATTGCATATGACGAGGAGAAATATGTAGTCATCAGCCTGTGTTTATACAGTAGCAGTTTAAAGTGACGCGAACTGGACAAGCTGTGTTTAATTTCAGGGAATGAATTGAGGCGGTGAGAGTAGGTAGAATCTAGAAGTGGTAGCTCTTTAAAACCCACCTAACCTAGTGACCTATGTAGGGTACCCTTAGGTTAGGTACATTTGATGTGTAGATTCACTGTAGAAGAATCTGCGAGGGGCCGTCAGGGTAGTAGAGTGGAGTTTAGTTAACTATGTCTACCTCGTACCCTAGCGCCATCTTGATGTATGTAAGTAGATGCTACACATTGTAGGTACAATATCGTTCAATGCTCTTTCCAACATTGAACATGAAGTCATACAGACGTACGTACGTATGTAGGAGGTTCCTTCCGAGGTAACTACATATGTACCTAACCTTAGGGTACTTCAAGGTTGTATGTAAATAAATATCCGGTTTCCATCAGGTGTTTGTGTAACCACAATTCATGTTAATGCAGGCCGTCGTCCTGCTGTATTCAATGTTACCATCAAATTCAATGTTCATCATTCATGTAGGGTACCAAGTACATGCAGTACCTCGCTACCTACTACACTAGTACCTAGTAAATATATGTACACTAATCTTGATTGACTTCGGCTGCTTCGGTGCTACTAGGATGGGTAGTGTAGTAGACTTTTTCAGGGCGAGTGCACATGTTTTGAAGTTATTACATGCATGTGATGTTCAATGCCGTGACTTCCTCTATCCCCTTGACCGTCGCAAGGCAGCAGAGGCAGCAGATTACTATTATTAGTAACAGATACATCTCTTTCAACCCACTATACCCACAAATATCCATAACCCCATATATTGATCCATATTTTATTTCAATACAAACGCGGTACAAAGCTGGCCGGCGTTACCAACTTGAATTTAACATAAACCTTATTTTAAATGAAGCTATTCCCATTTACGGCTCGTACGTAAATGCACTTCAACGAAGCTCTAAACCAACCTTTAAACTTTAGAAGGGGTAGTTTCCGTGGCAGCTTTGTTAATTACGTAAAAGTCAGAATGTATCTTGGTGTTAGGTTTGTAAGGGAAACAATATTTGGGGACGTTTTTGCCGGGTTGAAAGGAAGCATATTAAATGTTGAAGGAAAAAAGACGCGATCCCGGTATAACATTTGTAATATGGCATTGTGTAATTCTAAGTACTGTTGGTACAAGTGGCGTGCGCAAAGTTTGGTGGGAAAGTATGTACCTACCGAATAATTGAATTTAATTGGACATTAGAAATATGGAGCGATGGGGAAATTGGCTTGGCTGTATCTTTTTCTAATAATAGTAATCTGCTGCCTCTGCTGCCTTGCGACGGTCAAGGGGATACATGTGCAGAAACAGACCTAGGATAGGTGAGTGAGTTACAGTAATAATGAGGTGATTGTAACAATCTCTGATTCTCTGAAGACCGGATCCGTACAAATGGAAACTTTTGGAAGTTAGAAGAGATAAGGCTCGAATGACCACCACGATATTTATACATAAGACATAAGACATAAGACATAAGATTGATTTGTTCAAGGATCGGATCGACAGGCACGCGGCATAGCTGCTTTCTCAGCTTCTTATTTCTTATTTGATTAGATCAAATCTCATTTGCATCTCGCTTTTTTTATTTTACTCCTTTCTTCATTTATAATACATTACACGCATAATTACTTGCATCATTTGTTATACCAAATATTATCATCGTGTATCTCTCTCACGCACACCTCTCGCGACCTCGGAATATATACTTAAACCTACGTACATACCATTGACCTGAATACATAATTATCCACACCTATCTTCAAAGTCCGATCACCTCTCAACCTTATCCGAGTTCGATAACGAAACATCGCGACATTGTGTGCACATTAGCTACTTATCCTTGACCCATGGGCCATCGCTACCATAATACTACGACAACTTAAAAAAGTTCAGCTCTGACCTTTTTCACCATGCACAAAATACCAACCGACATCACCATGGATTGGCTTTCTCACACTTTCCAGACTGGTCTGTTCCTGGACAATGTCTGGACCGCCATAACCTGGATCGCCTTCTTCTTCGTGTGTACCCAGTCTGCCCAAATCATGAAGTCCTTGATTCCTAACGTTTTTATTTACTATTCATTAGAAATTAGCAAGCTTCGCCTTTGTTGGCCCTCTCTTTGGCCTCATCATTTTCGATTTCTGTCTATGGATTTGGCGATTAATCCAACTCCAGCCGACAGACGAAGCCCAACCAAATCACATCACGATCGAGACTAAAGAGCAAAGAACCAACCCAACGGTGTCGCCCAACGGAACCAGTTCCGCGACAGCCCTATCCACTAACCCGGTCACGAGTCAGAGGCGCAATGTTTACTTGGGACAGACCGGCGACTAACGAGCAACGTCTTAACATTTTGGCTGCTAGGGCGACAACATAGAATTCAAGAATAATGCAAAAATAGATCATTGATAATACTTTCATTTTTAATACTCGAAATTTTAATTACGAGATTTGAGACAGTACTTTGATCAGGTCGCTGGTGACTCCCATGGCCGTCACTTCGCCCCCAGCACCACTGCCTTGTATGATGAGTGGGCTTGCTCCATACCTCTTGGTATAGAAATTAATGATGTTGTCGCTTCCTTTGAGCGCTGCGATCGGGTGCGATCTGTCGAACATCTCAAGGCCGACCTTGACAGCCTTCGTAGCTACATCAATACTACCCACGAATCGTACAACTTTGCCTTGCTTTTGAGCCTCAGCCTTGGTCTCCTCCATTTGAGAGTCGAATTCCGGAAGTCTCTGCAAAAACTCGTCGCCACTGGAGACGGAATCCAACTCCTTCGGAATCAGGCTTTGTACGGGGAAAGAAGTGGGTGATTCGATGGGCAACCCAGCCAATCGCGCAAGTATAGTTAGCTTCCTAGCCACATCGAGGCCGTTTAGATCGTCCCGAGGATCCGGTTCAGTGTATCCCAGCTCCTTCGCCTTCGTGACTTCGGCAGACCATTGGCCACCGGAACCCTCAACAGGGGCGAACGAGTTGAAGAGGAAGGACATGGTACCGCTGAATACACCCTCAATCTTGGTCACCTCGTCACCGGTTTCCACTAGGTCTTTGAGGGTGGAGATGACTGGAAGACCAGCACCGACAGAAGACTCGTGGTATACCTTGGCTCCAGATGTTGCAGCAGCCGTGAAGATATCCTGCCATAACTTGTACGATCCTGAAAAGGCCTTCTTGTTGGGTGTAACAATGCTGATACCGCGACTGAGGAAGAGAGGGTAGGTGTCGGCTACATCTTGGGAGCTGGTGTTGTCAACGAGAATGACTTTGGACGGAGCTGCAACCAGATAGTCGGCTAGACGAGGCAAGACCATGGGGGCCTTATCGGAGTTGGTGAGTTCTTGGATGGCATTGTCGATACCGATAGAAGAATAATCGTCGCTAAAAAGAGCCCTTTTGCTAGTGGAGATGTAGCAGAGACTCAGCTTGGGTGTCGGTCGTCTCTTCGAGAGTGCCTCGAGTTGAGAAAGGAAGGCTTTGCCAACGCCTCCAGCGCCTTTGTGACAGTGAATAAGTTAGCCAATTGGATAGCCTTGGTATTATTAGTGAAATTTATTTACCTATAACGGCAACAAAGACCCTATTAGTAGCAGCCATATTGTGAATTGTATTTCAGCGGCTTTTTTTTTTTTTTTTGTAAGAAGATGAGTATTTTGCGTATCTAAACGTGGGGTAAATCTCAAAAGGTCTTCAGTTCAGTACCCATCTAGGTATTAGGTAGCCGATGGCGGGGCATTTCACCTTAAAACCTGGAAGTTAGTTAACTATACATAGTGGAGCAAGCTTTGCTGGGAACTGCCCCGTTAAAATACTAAGTTCTTGGCACTACGCACCTAAACATCTTACTGATTCTTACTACCTGGTACCACTACGAAGTACCTCCACGTGCCCATACAGTGGAAATAACTTCAACCTTTATTCAATCACCTTCAAACACCGCGCCACCTAACAACATATCCCTTTAGGGGGTTTGATATTTTCCTCTTCTCCAGTAGCAAAAGCCGAAAGAATTAGTTTCGTTCAATATGCCACAAGACCCAAATCTGTACGGCCAACGTCCGTCCAAACGGCAAAAGAAAGAGATCCCGTTATCCAGCTCTCTCGACTTTACCTCTCAACTCAGCTCCCTCCTTTCCACGTCAGCCTCCAACTCCGCATCCCCCAGTTCCGTGGCAACTTCCGGCCGCCTCCGCCCATCTAAGAACAAAGACGACATATTCTCCGTCAAGGCAAAGCGGAAAGCGGGAGCATCCGCGCCGGGGAGAGATGGAGACGACAATAGGAGTAGGAATAGGAATAGTAAAGATGGAGCGAAGATCTCGCTGAAGGATGTTCGTGGCACAGAGGAAGAGAAACAGGACCATGCGCGTGCACGTCGAAAGATGGAGGAAAAGGCCCGCCTGTATGCTGCCATGAAGCGCGGCGACTACATCGCGAAAGAAGGCGAGACAGCACCCCTCGTCGACTTCGACCGCAAGTGGGCCGAAACACACCCCGGAAACGGTGACGCCCCCCACCAAGACAACTCCAGTTCCGGAAGCGACAACGACTCAGACGAAGAGGAGGCCGACAACGAGATGGTCGAGTTCAAGGACGAGTTCGGGCGCACGCGCCGCGCGACCCGCACCGAAGCCCTCCGCCTCGAGCGGCAGCGGCACCGCAGCGCCCTCGGCGCCGCCGAGCTCGAGTCCATGGCCGCGAAGCCCACCCGGGCGCCCGAGCGCCTCATCTTCGGCGACGTCATCCAGTCCGCCGCCTTCAACCCCGAGCACGACACCCTCGACCGCATGGCCGACCTCGCCGCCAAGCGCGACAAGGAGCCCACCCCGCCCCCTGACACCCACTTCGACGGCGCCGCCGAGATCCGCACAAAAGGTGTCGGCTTCTACCAGTTCAGTCAGGACTCCGCGGCGCGGCGCGAGGAAATGCAGAATCTGAGCAGGGAGAGGGAGACCACGGAGCGCGTGAGGAGGGACAGGGAGAAGGCGCGCGAGGATAGGCGGAGGGAGATCGAGGAGAGGAGGAGGAGGATCGGGGCGAAGCGCGCGGAGAAGATGGCGGAGAATTTCTTGGATGGGTTGGCTGGGGCGATGGCTGGAGGCGGCGGCAGCGGTGACTTCGGTTCTGGTAGTGGTATGGGTGATGCTCCTGTTGACGATGGCAAGAAGCAAGAGGAGACGAAAGAAGAGTAAAGGCTAATAATAGTATTTCATCTACTAAGTCTACATACGGGGCATTATAAAGATAAAGGTTCAGGATGGTTATAAGCGTATTAGATACCGGGCGGTAACTAATGTACCTATGAGATAAAAATAATTTGAAGATCCCCCCCCCCCCTTTTCGCAACGCATCGTCATATTTACGATATTTTTCTTTTCATAGTCTTACGAATGAGAAAGACCGTGTTCAACTTATTTACTGATGTTTTGTCTTGTATCCTTTAACTCATCTTCCTCTTCTCCTTTACTTTTTCGTCTTGGTTCTATTTACATTACCCCTTTTCATAACAGTACCCAGGTATCTATCTACCTTTGTGCTGGCACTACATACAAGAACGCTCCTCCATCATCATCATCAGCTATGTGTCTAGGTTCCTATACTTCCCGTCCTTTTCTCTACCCTAGGTGCTAAAGGATTGCATCTACTACTAGTAGTACATACATCCCTAATTTATACTAACCCATACTTCCACGCCCCTGAAATTCCCAAAGTAAAGATTCACCATCAATCATACACACATGACACAGAAATAAAATAAATTCCCGTTCCAAAATTATCAATTCATACTACAATACCTATATAGATAGGTATCTCGAATCTTGAATCTCGATTCGATCCATGCGGCTATATACCTAGATAACGACATAACGTGTGCCTATTTATCTATAAGCCACTTTCTTTTTGCCTGCCTTACCTACTCAGTAAATATTTATAAAAACACGAGTGAACAGAGAAAGAAAATAGAAGAAGAAAATGACACTATAGATATGATGACAAGCCCCCCCTTTCCCTTTCCTATCGACGACGACGACAGCAAGAAAACATTTCGCGACCCAAATACTAAAACAAACACTTGGTTCGCCGCCGTGTACCCAAACGCCATACGTAACCTGCCCACCGCGCAACAATGAGATTTAGATTCGGGGATACGAGTAGACAGTAAATAAGATAGGCAAGGAAAAAGTCGGCGGTTTCTGCCGTTTTTCCCCCCTTAAATAAAACAGCACCCCTCTTGCCTGTGGGTGTGGAAATATAATAAAAAGCTTCCCCTGAACGCCATAATGTGAATGCGCTGCAGTCTCGTAAGACAATGACGATGCTATATACAGTTGATTTTCAGCTTGCTTCTTCGCTTCAATATACTCAAACTCCGAGAGAGACAAATATGGTCCTTCTTTCTCATACGGGGCCACGTATAGACCATTCGGCGTTCATGTGAGCCACCACATGCAGCCGCATTCGCTCATCTCGGTACCTTTAGCGGTACCCCGAATGCCCAAGTAATGATCCATGAAACTCCGTTTTGAATTTTCTGCGGAAGGGGGGGGTGGTTCGCCAAAGATCTTTTCGTCTTCGTCTATGTAAACTTCGACTTGTTGGCCCTTGGAGTCTAGGACAGGAATTGCTGGCTCGCCTTCGCCGACAATCTGAACCTGGCGGCATACCGGCTTGATCGCCGTGGAGTCACTATTGCGACGTTCTTCGACCTTGATGACCCGTGGGTACACGGACATAAGGGGGGGCATAGGAAAGTCGATATCAAATGGCCCGGATGCAGATGCGTCTGGAGATAAATTGGTGGTTGACGTGGCGCCACTATCGGTCGTCGGTGTGGATGGAGTATGATCTTGAGGGTCGCCATGGGGCCCCAGTGAAAGTTCACTAAAGTCGCCGCTATCCCCAATGCCCGTCGGTGTCGGCGTAGTCTGTGCGGTCGGGGTCGTGATCAGTCCACCGCCAGCATTCACGCTAGAAGAGGCCACTGGTGTGCTTGACATCGAACTAGCGTCAAGTGGGCGGCTAAAGCTATTGTTCTGCTCGGCATATATAAACGTCTCCAGTATGGTATTATTCCACTGACAGATCCATGGTTTATCCCCGGTGAGAGCCATAACTCCCTTTCGCTTATAGTCGTTAAACATTCGACGACGATTTTCGGCAGTCAATGAGGGAGAAGGAGCCCCAAGTGATAGGTGCTGCTCAGGCACGATAACAGTTTTGTTGTAGGCGACGGCAAAGTTCCACGCTGGACCTCGAGGAAATTCGTATAGGTCATTAACAAGCCTAAGCGTCACGCCAGTCAGGTCGGGCGGTTGCATTCCATAAGAGTAGACGTAGTTGTCCATAGTCCAGGTGTCGTTGTAGTTAAAGCCGAAGGAGTAGTCCGATGTGTTTGGTTGGTTAGGTAACCTTTGAATTTTCATGGAGAGATGGGATAAGACAATATTACAGCTCCACGCTTGGGCAAGCGTCGAGTCAGTAAAGCAGGTGTTAGACATTCGATTGTTTCGAAGAGGCATGGCGAATTCTCCCTCTTGCAGTGGTGGCGTAGTAGGTGATAAGGTACTAAGAGGTTGTGTATCCCAGTCATTACCAGGTGTTGCCAAAGGCAAAGGTGGTCTAGACACAAATTTAGCATTAGAAGCCTAAAAAAAAAAAAAAAAAAAAGGAAAGGAAAGGGGTATAAAGGAAAAGAGAAAAGAGAAAAGGCCTCTCTTACCTATCTGGAGGTGGTTTCTTTTTGAAATGGGGGTTGACAAGAGTGCCAACAACAGCGCCGAGAATTACTCCCACCAATACAAGGACGATAGCAGCGAGTATAATAGCCCAGCATGGGACGATACCCCAAACCCTCCTTTTGGCAGTTACTTGCCAGTCTTTCAATGATTTTTTCTCGTCCGAGACCTCTGCCCTTGCTCCGTCACCTTCTCCTCCTAATGTTGACCCTGAAACATTATTTAGCTGGCGCTGGCTGCTCTCGGACGTAAAGCTGCGGACAGATAGTCGAGATTGAGGTGAGTTCGCGTCGCGTAAATCCTCTGTCGACGCGAATTCGGGGTCCCTCGTGGCTATTCCGATACCCCCGGCGCCCGGAATTGCTAGCATAGGTTGCACGGGCACCGGTGCTGGTTGAGGTGTGTCCAAGCCCATGGCTTTCCTATTATACGTCTCCTCTGGATACCTCGTGTAAGGGGGTAGTTGTTCGGTATGCCCGTCAGGGCCAATTAAGTCCGCAACGTCTTCCCCGTCTGGTCCGATTCTTCGTTGGTAGTTGTCGGTTGTCCCTGGGAAGCCAACGTTGATTTCTCCTGGCGGCGTCGGATTAGATACTCCACCCGTTTCTGCGATGGTGTTTTGGGGGTACATCTGGTATGGATGCGCCGGGCCGCGAGGACCATTGTACGACCGCTCTGAGATGGGCGCAGTCGAGGTGGTCGCCAAACTAGCCGTTCGTGCAACTCGAACATTCTGAGGGTACATCTGATACGGATGCGAAGGACCAGATGGGCCGTCATACGGATCCTCCGGGTCAACAAATGGCGATAATGTTGAACCAGTCGAGTCTCTACTGGGTGTCCTATTACTCTCCGACACTGTCGACGACCCATCATGCTGCAGAGATAAAGAATCATTTCGACGATGCGGTTTGGTAATACTCGACGGTCGCGGCGGTGGGATCTGTGCCGTAGGATGATGATCCTGTGGCAGGGTGGATGGCATTGATATTTGAGTATGTGGCGCCTCCATCGGACGAAAGCCATCTGCAATTCCCATTGCCTGCAGGTCGTAATCGTCATCGTCGACCTGTGTGTTAGAAAACCTCAGGGATGCTCTGAGCGATGAGCTACGGTCCAATTCGGACGCTTTGTCGTTGGTGGCGCCCATTGCCGCTGTCTGGGGTGAATCTAGGGGATCACTTCTGTGGGTGCGAATGGACAGAAGATGCCATGCAGCATCAGAGGCACGAGAAACGACGACCTTGACGCCAGAAGGTCATCGAGTATTGTTAACCAGATGGGTTCCAGCCTATTTGGTGATATATTTCGATATATATATTTGAGTTATTTCCTGAAGTCGTTGATCCGGGGGGTCGAGTGTCGAATGTCGAGTTGTCGAGTTCGGTCGATCGTAAAAGTTCGAATGTTGCCAATTGCAAGTTGTCTGTTGTGTAAGACGAGTTGTGTGAATGGGACTTGGACTGGGACTGGGACTGGGACTGGGACTAGGAACTGGGACCAGTGAATGGGACCAGTGAATGAATGAATGGGACCAGCCGACAAGTTAGAAAACAGCCGTTCTACCCAGCGTTCTTACCCAGCGTTCTTACCCAGTACCGCACCTAATACCTTACAGTCCTTACCTGCCTTACCTGCCTAGTACATAGTACTAACTATCTACTAGGTATTATTACTAGCCCTGGAAGTATGTCCTTCAGACTCCTTCTAGGTATGGGCATGTATTGTACTACATGGCATACCTTGTCTGCCCAGTAGCTACTACCCACCCAGTTAGTTTCAGTGGACTACTTAGACGTAGTGGCTGTACGGGTTCGGCACAGGGAGCCCCAGTTTACGATCAGGGGCCAGATACTGGAACTAGTGGGTTTCGGACTTTGGAGAGGGGGGTAAGGGCCTGGGTGAAGTACTGCAGTCATAGCCAGTCTAACCTCATTGGCGCGTTATTTACATTGGATGGTCCGGCGGAGGGAAGGGATGATGATGATTATCTACATACATAATAGTGTACCTCAAACTGTATATATATATATTATGTACTCCGTACCCATACACTTGATACATATTGTATCATTGATGTATTGATGTATGTACTGTAGGTTCAATGTTAGGATCAATTGTGTGTGAGTTATTTTCTCTTCCCTTCAACTTTTATGGATTTGCTTGCTTTCCTTTTTCAAGATTTTACTATCCAAGTTGTAAGTTGCTTGATACTATGTTATCTATCTACAAATCCATTCTAACGATACTGGGCAAGTGTCGTTACATTCTTATGCCTGTATGTAAAGATACTACCAAGGTAGGTATTTAATTATATACGATATACGAGTTGTGTGCAATGCTAGTTAGAGGCGTATAATGCGACGAGAACTTCAAGGTTGCGTCGAACTTTTTTTTGAAAGTGAAAGCAACCTTGGAACATGAAAGCCAGCAAGATTTGAATTTTGGATTAGCAAGGTACTGTACCTAGATATCATAGATGAGTCGATCGGTTGGTCTCGCCCAATTTTCTTTCCTTTCCTTTCACACTCATCAAGGCATGAGGGCTCCATTCGATCTCTTGGCGATGACACTTTAAGGTTATTGTTAAATGTGCGAAGTTGGAAGGCCGAAAAACATGAAGACTTTGAGAGTTTGAGCGCCCGGTCGTTGATGATTTCAATATATTGGCCTTGTCCACGATCGAGATTCTCTCTTCCCAACATTCTTCCCAATCACCTTAGTAGTCCTTCTACTTGTCCTCATTGTCAAAGCGTATGTATAAAAAGCTTTTATCCAATTTGCAATTCACCATATTGTTGTATAATGGCATCAGAGGGGACTGTGGTTGACGGTTTGACGGTTTGACGGTAATATGTAACCAGTTGAGCCTATTTGTAAGTTTTTCGTAGAAATAATCCCGGATGGCGGCACGAGGCCGCACATGATAAATGAACTTAATGAAGAGAGGGGGGCGTGCAGATAGATCTCGGTTGCGTGAACTACTACATGTACATATTAGGTAGGTCAATAGATACATAAGGAAGGCAGGTATCAGATATGTACCAGGTCTGTAGGTTACCTACAAGAAGGTACATCCATTGATGTATTCAATGCTACTAACTACTATGTAACAAGAACATTATGAATACAGCCGGGTTCCGGACGAAGTGGAGTTTTGAGCAATTTTACTGGTTTTTTCCCTTCGTCTTTTTTTTTTATATTAGTTACTGGCTCTTCTATCCAGAAACCACATGTGCAGCTGTCTCCTCTTCTCTCCTCCTAGCCAGACACCCAGCTATGTTTATTTAATGGTTAAAGCGTAAATGTGGCATTGGGCCATTATAGCTGTTGAAAGTTTAAGAATCTACTGCCGATTATGTATCATTGAAGCACTACAATATCTGCACTTTAGGGTGAACCTATGTAGAATAGTATTGTACAACATTATACATATATACAATTCTACCTAAACTACCGGTACATACACATGTATATGTACGAGACACTCCGTGGCCCCAGGCCCGTACTACATGTGTCAGTAGGTAGGTACTAAGCGGCGGACTGGACTCGATGTCGGCACTTATGATACCTGCCCCTGAGCGGGTCAAGCTTCTCTTTATAGATCTCCCAGGGACAACTTGTACTAACTTGAACTAAAGTCGCAGATATTGAAAGCACAAACACCAACAACACATAATTAGTGGAGTAAAATACATACTGTACAATACAATACAGTACAATACAATACAATATCTTACATAAGACAGGTATGCTGTGTTGCTACTAGAATTATGAGGTTTTCAACATTCTACGCGCGCTTTCTCAACTTTGAAGATAATGCGGCAGATATGGTACCGGGCTATTAGTTAGATTACGGGAAAGGGACATCGAACTACAAAGACCTAATCGTGTTTAAAGCACGCAATCGAGATATGAACCATGACTTACCGTCTACATACCCATACCTCGTACTTACATAAAGTGCCTACCTAGTAACATACTACTAGGTATTGTACATAACTAATTGGTTGCATAAATAAACCTTGGACTTTTTGGATTTTTCTTTTTCTTTTTTTCTTTCTAACCCAGAACCTAATCTACCTCCCAGGTCCCCCCTAACCTTATGTAGTCCTACATATAGAGCTTAGTCGGGACCGTTACTAGGTACATGCTATAAATGATGTATTATTCATGTCTAGGGGCCTTTGCTATCTTTAGATTCGTGTAGGTTAGGCATGTATGAATGTTGAATAACTATAGTTATATGTTAACTAATATGTCGTAGTTGTCTAACTAATTCACAAAATTAAGTAAGTACATATCTAAGTATGGGATAGGATGACCTAATCATTCAGTGCGACGCACACGCCCCTATATGTATATACGTGGTAGGTAACAGAGTTACATGTTATATTGATTCATGAATATGTGTATATCTACATACGTCTTACATACATCGGTTCGTGTACAACATAATCCACGTTCTAGGCATGATCATGGTTACCACGAGCCTTACATGGTACCGTCTTACCGTGCTTGGTTTACTCAGCTTTATCTTCAAAATTCTCTTCATATCTCCCTAGCGTATCTCGCTATCATGAGGGCGTCCTTTGGGAGGAGCATGCGTGAGGCCCACTTCAACTTTGCCTCTTCCTACACCCCATTAAATCATGGTTCCTTCGGAGCCTCCCCTTCGCGTGTTACGGGATATCAAACATTCCTACGGGGCCAAACCGAAAAAGAGCCCGACACCTTCATCCGCTTCACCTATCCCACACTCCTGCGGGAATCAAGGAGGACCATCGCCCCCCTGCTAGGAGTAGAGACGGACGAAGTCGTCTTCGTGCCCAATGCTCTCACTGCGATAAACACCGTCTTGAGGAACTTAACCTACCAAAATGGCGATGTCATACTATACTTTAGTACCATATATGATTCATGTCTAAAGACTATGCAGTCGCTTGAAGAGACCACCAATGTGAGAGGATACTGCATTGATCTGGTTTATCCCGTGGAGGACGATGAGATTTGCGAGAAATTCCTTGCGGCCGTTCTCGAGACTCGGCGTCAAGGCAGGACCACCAAGCTAGCCATGTTTGACACGGTTCTTACTTTTCCTGGAGTGCGATTCCCATGGGAACGCGTGACACAGATATGCAAAGAACACGACATCCTTAGTTGCATAGATGGTGCGCATGGGATAGGTCATATTGATTTGCGTCATCTAAATGAAGTCGGGCCTGATTTCTTGATAACTAATTGCTACAAGTGAGCGCCACCCCTTTTTCCTTTTTTTTTCTTTTTCTTTTTCTTGCTTACTTCGACCTCGGCTCTCCTCCATCCTCTAGTCATCACTACCTGCCTAACCAATGGCCATTGTAAACTAAACGTGTTGTAACGATACGCAGGTGGCTTATGGTACCTCGCGGCTGCGCGGTGTTATACGTACCTTATCGTAACCAGGCTTTGATTAGGACGACATATCCAACCGCGGAAGGCTATTTGCCAGTTAGTGAACGCGAGTCGCTATCCCCGACACGTTATTTCGTCCAGCTATTCGAGAAGGTATCTACTGTGGATACTACACCATACGTTTGTGTCCCTGAAGCGTTGGCCTTCCGGGCCCACGTTTGTGGCGGCGAGGAGCAGATACGTGAATATTGCATCCGCTTGGCACGAGAGGGCGGAGAAGTAATGGCAGCTATGATGGGAACCGAGGTTCTCAAGAGCAAAAAGGGGCCTCTTCGGGATTGTTGCTTCACTAACGTGAGACTGCCCCTGGATGTGACGGAAGAGCAGGAGAGCGCGAAGGATACAGGCAAGATCCCGGCCAGAGAAGCGAAGGCCGTGGCCGACTGGATCACCAAGACCTCCGTGGAAGAATTCCATACATTCATACCAGCGAGGTATTACGCCGGCGCCTTTTGGGTTAGGATATCTAGCCAGATCTACCTCGAACGAAGCGATTTTCAGTGGGCTGCCAATGTCCTACTTGATCTCTGTAGCCGAGTGAAAAAAGGACAACACTTAGTCTCTGTAGCTAGTAACAAAGGGACAATTCTTACACCCTAGGTTCGGTGTGTCTGTTTGAGAATGAAGTTGTGTAGAGAGAAAATTGCCAAAGACGACTGAATTTCCTTTCAAAGGCTAGTAGTCATGATACGTACCTGTGTAAGGGGGGTGAAGACAACACTTAATTATCTAAACTCTGCAAAACTAAACCGACAGACGTTCCAAGATACTAACCTAGGTATGTAACCGCCCGTGCTTACATAGCAGGATACAATATAATTTTAGCAAAGACGTACATACACTATGTAGGCATGTAAGGAGTTCCGGAAATGTTACCCAATCAATTTTCTGTGGCTGATTTTCGCTCGTCGGTGTATGCCCTGCGTGGGGGGTATGAGGTAGGTATAGGAGATATGTATTAGGAGATATATTAGGAGCTGTAAGAGCTGTGAGATGTTAGATGTGAGATGTCAAATCTCAAATATCACATGTTTCATCTCCGTCCAAGGCCATTGAAAATCCATACAATTGATAGGTCAATTGGCGGCGTGAACTTGGTTGGCGTACTGTAGGTACTAGGTAGGAATGGTATGCATACATTACATTACATTGAAATGTAAGCTTCACTTTCGTCATCCATCATCCATCAACCATGAACTAGAACTAGACGAGGATACACACCGTCTTACCTATCACAACGGCATTGCGTATCATCCGACTGCACCCCAGAATCAAGTTTAGGTAAGTCGGAGAAAAGGGTTCTCTTTTCTCGAAGGTCTCGAAGGACATTTGATGTTTAGGATGGCACGTCTGATAGCCAATCAAAATAAGTCATCACCACTGGTCGGAACGGAGCCGGGGCGAAAGAAATCCCACTCAAAAGCAAACGGAGAAGGCCAATACATTTGGAGTTCGGAACACGCGAGGGTAAATTCCAACGTTGCTAGGGTTGTATCTCTCCTCCTTCTCCTCTTCTCCTCAAAGCATACCCTCCCTACCTTACCCATTTCCTCTTTCTTTTCGGGCGTAGTACTAATTAATTAGGTATTTATGTAGGAATGAATTTACCTAGGTTAGTGGGCACCCCCCTTTTCACCTTGGTAGGTTTAGGCAGTATGTAGGATATAAGTAGGTATCTAATAGTATGAGGGCCCCCAAGTCTATAGGCCCAGGTGCCTAGGTGCCTAGGTGCTTACCTTTTACCTATTCCCTCACGAGACAGCTACATAGCTAGCTTTCCCCAGAAATCCTACCTAGCAAAGCTGGGCGAATGAGGCTCAATCAGAAGCAAGAAGTGTGGGCATAGGAGCTTAACATACCTACGATTTTGGTTTGGTTCAGCAAAGGCAATAGCTCATCTATTCTACTGCCGCTGTCATTGGATCAGTCCCTTAGTTTCGACCCGGGAAACGGGGCGACCGTGACTTTTCGTGTTCATTCTCGCCCGTAATTCGTAGTTGAGCCGACTTTGACTCAGGTGTACTGCATTGCAGCAATGCACAGATTTCCCTCTCACACCACCACCATCTCCTCCTCCTCCTTCTTGCCCCCCAAATCTCATGGGCGATAGTAGGGCAAGCGATACGTGAGTGGCTTACCGATTTGGTTTGCAAGAGAGAGGCAGAAAGAAAGGGAATGGTAGATTACGGATGAGGCTTCCCTTGGTATCATCCGCACGAGATGCTCTCATCCACTGACACATCTTCCTACCAACTGCATAGGTAGGTACCTACCTACATGATAAATCCAACCTCGAGGAAAAGGGCAGAGGGCAGAGGCTTACCTGATTAGAATGCATCTGCATCCTTGTTAGCCAGTTCTGCCAATTCCCGTCGAATCGATCGTTGTGCTCACCGTGGCTTACACCCCACCAATCTCCATCGCCGGCATATACCACAGTAGCGAGATGCATGAGGTGCAGGGGGAGAGGTCGCCCGCGCACCACGGACGCCGTCGCTGATAGGCAGACAAGCTCTGCCCTGCCCTGCCTGCCTGGGGAGCCTCCTGAACTGAGCGTTGGCACTTAACATACATACATACATATCTACGTATATTTTTACATACATTTATACCTGACGTACATGGCCAACACAGTCCTGAAAAGGTTCACGGTGTCTACCTAGTATGCAAGATATGTATCGCACACCCCCCAGTCGTCATGTCATAGAAATATGTATAGGTGCTCTTCCCGGACTGACTGACGGACTAAACCTCTTCGCCTCGTTTTCCTGGCTCTTCTAAACCACCTAGCCTATAAGTTGTTTAGCCACTGCTGTCATCACCATCACCATCGTCACTGTCCCACTTCAGATTCATGTTCACCTAGCCCTTTGCCAACAAGGACGACCCCTGTTTACGTACATACCTAGGTACTACGCTTCGAAGCAAACGATATTTTCTTTCTTTTCTATTATTGGCTTTTCTTTCTTGGGTTTCGCCCTCCCCCTATATTGCCATTTCGGCACACTACTATATAAGTCCAGCCCGCAATCCCCCTACCTACCTACCTACCTCCACCATGAGCCAGCGTCCCGAGTTCCGACGCCCAGGTTCCGCAGCCTCGGACACCTCGTCGTTCTACTCGTCGCGCTCAGGGTCGTCACTATCGTCGCACGGATCCTCGTCATCCGCAGGGTCGGCGGTCGACTCGCTGTACTCGGTCTGGTCGTCCTCGGAGTCGGACTCGTTCGTGTGGCGGGACGACCCGTGGGGGTTCTACGGCGTCGGCGGCGCCGTGACGCGGTACGCCGACGACCGCGACGACCGGCGCCGGCGGTTCGCGTCGCACGTCCTGAGCGGGCCGTTCGCCCAATTCTACAAGCGGCAGCGCCAGAAGCAGCATCATCACTCCTCGTCCTCGTCCCGCCCCCGCGCTAGCTACGTCAGCGTCACCGCCGCCGGACGACCAGGTCCCGGAAAATTCCAGCAGCAGCACCATCCACCACCCCAATTCCACCCGGGGCCCGGCGGCGTCGAGCCCCAGTTCCACCAGGAGCCGCCGCCGCAATTCTACCCCCAGGATCAGCAGCAGTTCCACCAGCCTCAACAGCAGCACTTCTACGGGGGACAGCAACAGATGCCACCACCTCCACCACCCCCCCCTCCTCCGCCAATGCAGCCAGCTGGCGGACCGGCAGGCTTCGAGAACGGGTTTATCCAGCTCGGTGGTGGCGGGGGCGCGCCGCTGCCGCAACAGCAGCCTATGGACCACGATCCGTGGAACCAGGGAGGAGCTGTGTACGGAGAAGTCTACGATTAACCAGAAGTAACAAAAAACTACAAAAAAAAAAAAAGCCTCGGGGTTTTATAGTTTTTCGGTTTTTTTTTACTATTACTTAACTGTTACCTGCCTACCTCCCCACCACCCCCCTTTTTCTCCCCTGGGAATTTTAAGCAATTGAGCGACATATCACGAGAAACGATCTCTATTCTACGTGTTTATATTATTATATTATTTTGTTTTTGGTATGAGTGTAGTTGGGGAGTTTCTAGATACTTTGTGGGTTTTTTTTTTTTTTGGGAAGGGTGGTTTTGAACCTCTGAGTTGGAAACGGCGTTTGATCAAGGTGGAAATCCCGTACGCGGGACAAGAGCAATGGATGGGATCCATCGCTACCTACATTTTTTTCTGGGGACGGCCAAAATGGCCTACATACCTGCCTACCTGCCTACCTAGGTGCCTAATGAGGCATACCTTTACTTAGGCAGGTTAGGTAGACACCTACATAGATGCCTATCTATATAGGTGCCTATGTAGGTATGTACCTACCTATAGCGTGTACCGTTATGTGAGTAAGTATGTGGTGAGCCGCAAGAAAGAAAGGGGAAAGGCTTCATTGATTGTGGGGAGAAGGGAAAAAAAGAGGGGAGCGGGAACAACGAGGGCCAGTCTCGTTTATTTTCCTTGCCAGAAAAAAAAAGATCAGGGCAAGAAATGACAGAAGCAAGACAAAAAGCAAGACAGAAAAAGCCAGAACCCGATATGCGAGACGCGAGAAATAGGGGGAGGGGAGGGGCGAAAGCAGTAAACTTACATACCTACATCCTCCAGGGCTACATGTAGGGTATGTAGGTACCTAATGACGCATTTTCACCAGGGAAGCGCAAATGATTTGAGGACACTGGAGCGAAAGATCTTGCCTTCAGGTAATAATGAATGATATAAGTTGTACATAGGTAAAAACCCAATATTTCAATATTCTCTCCGTGAACCCCAGGGGGCGGCGATGCTTCTGTTTCTCTCCATCCCCTTCCTCCGTCCTTAGGTTAGGTGCAGAATGGAGGATATAGGTAATAGGAAGGACTCGCTATGACAGGCGAACAGTTGTCAACCTTGGTTGTTGTCAAGTTTGTTGTTAGGCAGATTAGTGAAGTCAAGTGTGTAAGCCCTTTCAGACTGCGATTCAAGCCCAGCTAAGGCGCCAGGAACCAGCCCAACTAGGCACCCAGTAAGCAACATTGCATGCATGAAAGGAAAGACTGGAGTCCTCCCCAGACTCATTGGAGAAAGTACGCCTACCCAGATCAGAAAGGGACGTCAGGCATAAAAGGTTAGTATCGAAGCAGCCAAGCACATAAGCGTAAATCGGATTCGGATTATTCGACGCTTTTATAGCAAACCGGGAAGGGCGCTGTATCGAGCAATCCCCTGTACTGTATGTATAACGCATACAGGTGCTGAGAGAGAGAATGCATCAATACGATTCTTCATCGCAAATGATTTTCTGCGGGGAAGTCAGATTGTGGGCTTTTTGAGTCAACTGCCTTGCCTGCCCGGCTTGCTTAGGTACAGCACGCTATGTTGCTGCACATGTAATAGGTGCCTAATATGATTTGAAAAAAAAGGGACAACAATTCTCAGCCAATTGGGATGTATAGCAGTGCCCAGGAAACGGAGCATTTCTCACACATAAAGAAATGAGATGAATGAAACTTCAATCTGATGGCCCCCTTTCCCGATGAAATGTCTCGGCTGATGGCGAAAGCCCTCATGCGAGAAAGCGGCGGTGAACGGGGGGGACGGGCTGAGTCTTGCAGCGACGAGCCGGGACAAAGAGGAAGAACTTGGAAGCTGGAGGTAAAGACTGGGAACATTTTGAACGTCTGAGCCACCTTATCCTCCGCATTTTACTAACAATTGGAACGTACTGTACGGTAACTACGTGACTCACGCCGCTATACTGTAATTTCTTGCCTACCTACTACTAGTAGTAGATACTAGATAGGTATGTATGGTCCTTATTAGCCCCGTAAAATGTAATCTACGCCGGCCGCAAATGTTTCGGGTTGGCTCCCTCTCTTTGCAACACGAAATCTTACATACATTCTACTATGTATATACAACGGTCGTGTGGCTGGTTACAACATGTGCATGCTGATGCCGGATTTGCGACCACGCTGTGCATCACCAACATGTGGCAAAAGTCCCCTTCAGTGTCCCTTCCGACCCACTACGACAAGGCCATAGTCGGCATCTGGTAACCCAAGACGTCAGATATCTGGCGATGTGAGAATAAGCTAGATGGATACATAGTTACATGTATTCGATGAGTCTTACGGCTTCAATTCTAGTCATTCCGCCACCTTGGCTTAGGTACATGTTGACCTGCGGGCTAGGTCCAACCGATCAATCATCATCAACGGAACCCTTGACCGTGCTAATGCTATACTGACTAAGATTGAATCATTGGTTGAGTATAGCCTTCTTCAGCTTTCACGGCTGGTTGCCTGATATTGTAGAATTGATACATATGCCGGGGAATATATAGTCTTCCATCGCTGCTAGCTACGTATCGATGTTGCGACTAAGTACGCTCTCCCATTCTTCGACACAAACTAGGTAACTACCTAGGTTGGCCTCTTTTTCACGACTGGAATTTCACCTACTAGTGCCATATCTACCACTAACTTTTAACTTGCCATTTCTCGATACATACCCTTTATTCTTTTGGCGACGGCCATGGCGAACCCATTTCCGGGGTCATTTGCCAGCGGCAATGAATCTGGCGGATCAACCTGCACTCCTGGCGCGCCACAGTTGCCGCAGATGCCACAGATGCCTCAGATGGCATTGCTTGAATTTTTCTTCCCAGGCTTCTCCATGTTTGCCGGCGCGGCACAAAAATATCTCCATATCGATCTCAGCTTGTACGTGCATGTACTGCTGTTCGCAGGGGCTCTGACAGTTGCCTGGAACTACATGAGCTCATATATGTGGGACCAGCTTGAGACGTATTTCATGTCTGTTGTCGATATCCGGACCGACGATGAGATTTACAACATTCTCATGGCTTGGGTGGCCAACCAGAAGTTTTCGCAACGGGCCCGACGTTTCGTAGTTAACACTAAATTGAGCTCTCGGAACCAGTATGTTTGGGTTTGGGACTACAGCGACGATGACGACGAGGATGGAGAATCCGAGAAAGCAAAGAAGAAACCTCTGTCGTACACGCCCGCTTTCGGTAGCCATTACTTCTGGTATCGTGGTCGCCTCCTCTTGTTTAGAAGGACGGCGAACCGGGAGCAGACTGCTGCCTTGCTGATCAGTGAACGCGAGGAGATATCGCTTTCGTGCTTTGGCCGCAACCCCTGGATCTTGAAGGAGCTTTTAATGGAGGCTCAGCAGGTGTACAATGCAAAGGATGAGCACAAGACCCTTATCTACCGTGGTACCCTCCGGCCAGGATCTACGGATCCCAGTTGGCAGCGTTGCATGGCGCGAGTCACTCGGCCCTTTTCCACGGTAATCTTGAACGAGAAGACGAAGCAAGATCTCATTGACGATGTCACTGACTACCTCGATCCTGCTACTCAGCGCTGGTATAGCAACAGGTGCGATATGTTTTTTCCTTTTCCATATATTCAGTACTGAATGGTCTTCGCTAACATCATGATAGGGGTATTCCATACCGTCGTGGCTATTTGCTACACGGCCCCCCCGGCACAGGAAAGAGTTCGCTTAGTCTCGCGCTGGCTGGTTTCTTCAAGCTACGAATTTACATCGTCAGCTTAAGCTCCATGCTCGCAAACGAAGAAGGGCTCGCCTCCTTATTTTCTGAGCTCCCCCGGCGCTGCGTGGTTCTACTCGAGGATATCGACACGGCAGGTCTCACCCACACTCGTGAGGATAACCAGGCTCAGTCACAAGACGTGCCCAAAGATGAACCGGATACCGCAAACAACGAACCAGCCACCACTACTAGCAATGAACAGACGGGGAGGTTATCCTTGTCAGGACTGCTCAACATCCTAGATGGTGTAGCCTCCCAGGAAGGTCGCGTACTCATTATGACGACAAACCACATAGAAAAGCTTGACCGGGCTCTTATCCGCCCTGGTAGGGTTGATATGATTGTGAAGTTTGGTCTCGCGGACGAGGATATGACAGCATCTATTTTCCGCGCCATCCTGGGGCGCCTCGATGACGACGAAGAGACCAACGCTACTAACATGTTAACACTTGACCCCGAAGCTAGACAGAGGGCCGAGAAGGAGGCAGCCAAGCAACGAGCGGCGGAGGAGGCACGCATCAATAGCCAAGCTGCTGAATTTGCCTCCAAGATACCAGCGCATGAGTTCAGCCCTGCAGAGCTGCAAGGCTACTTGATGAAGCACAAGCGAGACCCCCAGGCCGCCATCGCGAACGTGGATGATTTCATTGTGCAAGCCCGGAAAGATCGCAAGCAGAAGGACCTCGAGGAGGCAGAGGAGAAGCGGAAAGCCGAGGCCAAGATAAAGAAGGAAAACAATGATAAAAAGGAGGCAGAAAAAGCACAGGAGAAGACGGAAGATAAGGAGGTGAAGTCTCCAGAGGCTGCTGAGGCTGAAACGACGTCAACGGAAACAACGGTCACATGACAAGGATATCTAGAAGACAGGGAGGCTTGTCATAATTGAGGAGGTGGAGCTCTTGATATCTCCCAGCATTTGCAAAGGGGAAAGGGAACAATCATGGGGTCAGAATATACCATTTCAAGACTGTGATATCAATACTAGCGTAGTCTTTGCATATCTACTCGGCGTTTGGGAAAGCATAGGATAGATTTGAACAAGCTCTGGTACAAACCGGCCAAGTGACGGTAATGGGCCGGCTAGTGTTATTACGTGAGAGGCAAGGGGAGAGGTATATAAGTAACCTACATACCTCGGTAGTTTATTGTTGAGTTGGGCAACAACTTGAAGTATATACTAAAAGAGAGAATGATTGGCCTTGTTAAAGATTTCTAACCTAGGTGATACCAAATGTGCCACTGCTTACTCCTTTGATGACCTACCTATGAGTAGATACCTAGGTAGGTGCACCAGGTAGTCACATTTTAGGAAAATTCCGAATAATGTTGTTGTGATTGCTGTTATCGTGGCTACTTTTGTTGAACCTGGGCTAATCATTGATGTATTCGTCATGATTGCTTGGAGGTTTGGCATTTGAATCGTTTTTGATATTCCAGTAGAAGTTTGAAGTTGTGCTAGGTTAGTTAGTTCAATGTTCAACGTTCAACGTTCAATGTGATTGATTAGTCAGTGATGTTACCTACCCTAGGTAGGTAGTATGTGATCCAAGTATACGGATACCGGCAATTACCTCATTGAGAGTCTTACTTTCTCACTTTCTCACCTTTATACTAGGCTTTATACTAGGCAAGTATGGTACACTTGTCTACCTCATGTGTTACAGCGTTTTGTTTCAGTCGATTGAGAAGCTGAGGAAGGCACTTGCCGGTTCGGCGCCGTGTTAAATCGGATGTTTACTGAAATAGGTAATTTTATTAATCCGGTTAATGCCCGGTTTGTAGATGTCAAGTTGAACCTTGTCGCTTTAAGATGTTTCAGTGTTCAATGTTGTGCAATACCTACATACAAGCACATGCATGCGTGTTGGTTAACAGCACTTTGAGGTACATACTCAAACACGCCATCCCAAAGGTTCTAATTTAGGGTTGTCTGCTAAGGCTAGTATTGTACTACATGTGTAGGCACTAATCTACATTATCTACTACATAGGTAGTATCTAGTACTATCTACTAGGTCATATGTACTATTAACAATGAATTGCTAACGAATTCCAATGCTAGTCGGAACTTGAACAGGGCTAAACATATTAGTTCATCACTATCGTACGTGACTTTTCTTCTCTTTCTTTCAGGTACAGGATTGGGACTAATCAACGTCAACAAAAATCTTGTTGACCTTTTTTCTTATTAATATTTTTCTAAATCGTCTCATCTCATCCAACAACAACCTTATCGTCCTAACCCTATTCCATCTCATCTCCTTTCTCCTTTCCCCTTTCCCACCCCTTTTTACCTTCTACTCACTATTACCTAGGGTACTCCCTAATCCGGCTTCCGTACACTCTACTAGTAGTAATCTTGAATCTTGATCAAGTTGTTGCAATGAGGGCAAAAAGTAATAATACACCGTAAATAATAGTGCTGTTCAAATCATCTCGTGACAACATAGACACAAAGACGCAAAATATAGTGCCGATACCTACCACGTCGATACACGAAACAAGGGCTAATAGGTGAGTTTTTATCAAGTCGTCCTAATAAGATCCTCCCCCACCATGGATAGTGCTATGGTACCTAGTACTATGTAAGATAGTATCACATTATGGATCAACACATACAAGCACACACGTGCAAATCCACAACTGCCAGCTGGAAGTTGCCAAGTTGGGCACATCTTCGGCTTGCCCCCCTGTTGATTTACAGTAGGGTTCCATTGCTAATAGGCGGTGAACCTGGCTACCAAGTCCCCCAAAACAGCAATCCTAGTTGCATGTATCTTTTGTATGCATAATACTTACCAGGTACATAGTACTACTCCCACAGATTGATATACAACCGACTTGCACTCGACTTTTTCTTCCTTTTATTTTTTATTTTTTTATTTTATAACTTCTCTATAGCACAACCTTTTCTCTCTTCACCTCATAACACGAACATTGATCTACTCCTCCTCACCATGGCTTCCCGTCCTCAGAACATTGGCATCAAGGCCATTGAAATTTACTCTCCCAGCCAAGTAAGTTAACCATCTGCATCTTCATCTGCCCCTCATCTTTTTTGTGTCCCGCCTTCGTCTGCCCCTCCGACATCGCGTGAGGCCCACGGACCTCACGACCCCAGAAAGAAATCAGAAATTCACTTACTGATGCTCTATCGTGCCCCGCAGTATGTCGAACAATCTGAACTCGAGAAGTTTGACGGTGTTAGCACCGGCAAATACACAATTGGTCTTGGTCAGACCAAGATGACCTTCTGCGATGACCGAGAGGGTTGGTTCTGCTATCCTCCACCCCTTGCCTCCCTCAAGTGCTAAGCAAACGACCTCCCCTTACAGATATCTACTCGATCACCTTGACTGCCACTTCCAAACTGCTCAAGAACTACAACATCGACCCCAACAGCATTGGTCGTCTTGAGGTTGGTACCGAGACCATCCTCGACAAGTCTAAGTCTGTCAAGACTGTCTTGATGCAATTGTTCGGCGAGAACACCAATATCGAAGGTGTCGACACTGTAAATGCCTGCTACGGTGGTACCAATGCTCTATTCAACGCCCTCAACTGGGTCGAGTCCTCGGCTTGGGACGGCAGAGACGCCATCGTCATCGCTGGAGACATTGCCCTCTACGCCAAGGGCAACGCCAGACCTACTGGTGGTGCCGGGTGTGTTGCGATGCTAGTTGGTCCTAATGCCCCCATAGTCGTCGAGCCAGGCATGCGCGGAACCTATATGCAGCATGTCTACGATTTTTACAAGCCCGATTTGACCAGCGAGTACCCGTACGTTGACGGCCATTACTCGGTCAACTGCTATATGGAAGCTCTCGATGCTGCCTACCGTGCCTACTGCAAGCGTGAGACACTCCTACAAAACGGCCATGCAAATGGGAACGGAGCTACCGAGGCCAAGACGGGCCTTGACCGCTTCGATTATCTAGCCTTCCACTCCCCTACCTGCAAGGTGGTCCAAAAGTCGTACGCACGCCTCTTGTACCATGACTACCTCGCCAACCCCGACAGCCCGGCTTTCGCAGAGGTTCCTGGTGATATTCGGGACATGGACTACCAGAAGTCGCTGTCCGACAAGGTAGTGGAGAAGACGTTCTTGGCTCTCACTAAGAAGCGCTACATCGAGCGCGTTCAGCCAGCTATCCAGGTCGCTACCAACATCGGCAACATGTATTGCGCCAGCTTATACGGTGGCCTGGCTAGCATAATCTCCTACATCGACAGCGCTACCCTCCAGGGAAAGCGTATCGGCCTATTCAGCTACGGATCCGGTTTGGCATCGAGTTTCCTCTCGATTCGCGTCAACGGCAGCACGGAAGCGATTTCCAAGGTGTTGGATATCCCCAACAGGCTGGCTTCCAGACGAGCAGTCTCCCCCGAGACATACGAAGCTGTAAGTTGAATCGCACCTAGTCTATTATTCATACAGACATACATGGATACTAATAATTCTCCTAGTTCTGCGAGCTGCGCCATAAGGCTCACCTTCAGAAGGACTATACTCCCCAAGGCGATATATCCACTCTCGCCAGTGGCACTTATTACTTGGAGAAGGTTGATGACATGTTTAAGCGAACTTACTCCGTCAAGGCATAAAGGAAGAAAAAGAAATAAGCATTATTTGTGATTCACAGTTGATATAGACCAGCATTGGCTTACCATGGTACTCAACTAGACATGGGTGATCTTTTTTTTTCTTCAACTCCTAGACACGGAGGCTTACGAGCTTACCGGAGAAGTCATATATACACAGAGAGAGATGAGTGTGGGATAGAAGAACCATTACTAATACGTTGAGCGACGACAGCCGCCAACTTGTATATACCAGGAGTATCTCACGTCACGACTGGCATGCAGACTTAATGAGAAATCGCTGATTCCGAATCAAACTATCTGCTTGTGTTTTTTTTGTTTCTTCATTGCTTGAGACTATTGCTTGTTATCCAAAGGTTACATTCACGGATGCTTATCTAGACTTGTACCTTATGTAGGTACGGACACATGTGTATTTTACGCGGCTTAAAGGTACAAGTATACCTAACTAACCTATGTAGGTGGTATGTAGGTCAGCTTCACGATACTACGTTAGGTATTCATTTATGTAGGTATCTACATGTATCTAAACACTAGCCAATACCAACCTTGGGATATAACCATGCAGTTCCCGATAGGTAAACCATGGGGTTTTACCCCATGTGTTGAGAGCTTCCACTTCTGAATGGCACTTGTCATGCAGCAGAACTAACCTCTCCCTGGCATGTTTCTTCCAGGGTCTATTCTCGGGTCTCTTCTCCGGCAGGATCCAATCGCAGCCGATGTAGGAGATAAACGCAGCTGCTTAAGTAGTTAATAGGTAGTTAACTACCTATGTAGATACATATAGGGGTGTTAATCGAAATGTTTATAGCGTATAATATCATATGTATCTCTTCGTCGGGAATTACTTACTTGACTTGCTATAGGAACTTTTGCTCGTCTTCCTGTCTATGGAGTTTTTCGGTTGAGTAGGTATGCATATTTCAGCTAGCCTTCTACATATTAATGGGGGAGAATATGTAGTTTGTAGTGCGTAAGTGGCGCCTGTGATATTGTCTACCCACAGAATGTGAAGCAAGGGCAGAGTGTTATAAGAACGACACCGACCGAGCCCGAATATTAAAGCTCGGGGTCCTTCTGTCTTGGGTTGGTCTGCTGCTGAGTTGTTAGTTTCCCGTAGAGCTGGGATGGGAAAGGGGGGTTATAGGTATTTGTGTTCGATCATTGAAGTACATGGGTACCGAGGTAGGTAAGTATGTAGGTTAGAGGTATGTAGGGATGGCAACGTGGACAGCGCATAAGTGGTAGGTATAAAACACAAACCCAGTTACTACCTATTCATACCTAGGTAGGTACCTAGGTAGGTAGGTAGGTATCCATCACTTTAGAAGTAGACGCCGGAAAAGAAGCGGGGTGGATAGGTAGGTACCGTATTGATACCAAGTTTTAAAAACGACCTAATTTAAGACGACAGCTAAATTCATCACGAGAGTCGTTTCTAGTATTGGGTTTCGGGGTCATAGTAGGACTACCCAGATTACATTATGTAAGTTGAGTCCGCATGGTGCATACATATACAGAATTGATTACATATAGGTAGCTACATAGTCTATCGATATATATCCCGCTCTCTACCTACCTAATCTATTCCTTTAACGTGATGGCGTTGGGTGATGGTACAGAGATGCCTCGGATCGATACCTAGAGGCGCACAAATAAATGCAAACCACGAACACAACACCCTACGGGTGCCTACCTACCTACCTAGGTAGGCATGATATATAACTTCCCCTTATCCATGAATGCTTTAAGAAACCTTCTTCTTCCCCTCCTCCCCTTCTCCCACAGCACCCCCTTTCCACTTCCACGTCGCGTTCCGGTGCAGCAAGTAATCACGGCTCTGGATGCTCTTCCAGATGCCCCACAGGCCACCGACGGGCCACAGCGACTTGAGCCAGGGCTTCCAGCCGCTCCTCGGGGCCACGTGCACCTTGACCTTGTCGTAGACGCTCGGCAGCGAGGTCGCCTTGTACTTGCGCCGCAGGGCCTCGTACCAGGGGCGGTTGCCGTAGAGGGCCCAGAACTCGGGCTCGTCGTAGTACGTGTGCGCGTACAGCCACTTCATGCCGCCGAGCGCGGAGACGCGGTGCTCGAGGTCCCGGTTCGCCTTCACGAAGGCGGCGGGGTCCTTGTGGCCCCAGCCCCAGACGCCGATGTTGAGCATCATGCCCCCTGTTGCCGCATTTTTGGCACCATCGGAAGCAGCAGTGGCAGTGGAGGTGGCAGGGGAAGATCGGAGGTGCGGGTGAAAGCTAGGGCCGGCGGGGGTCTTGAGGGGGCAGAGCCACAGGGGCCAGATGTCGAGGTTCTCGGCGACATAGTCGACGAAGGGCTCGACGGAAGGGTAGGGCATGCCGACGTCCTGGACGACGAAGCGGGCGCTCTCGCCGCTGCCGTGGAGGGCCCGGTACAGCATGCGCGTATGGAGGAAGTCGTCGAGGAACCAGCGGAAGAAGCGCGTGAAGGGCACCAGGGGGCGGAAGTAGTCGAAGGCGGCCTCCCCGACCCAGAACCCGCCGCGGTCGTACCGGAAGAGGTACTCGGCTAGCGGGATGTACTCGGTGACGATGCCTTGGGTAGAAGAAGAAGCCGAGGACGAAGACGCAGATGCCGATGAAGGAAGCGCCTTAGTAAGCTCCCGCACATGCAAGTAAAACCACGGGTCCCACGCATGGCTGAACGTGTGTATGCTCTCGCCGTCCCCGGGGCCCTCATCCGTCATCTTTCCACTCACAACAACCCCGTGGTTCTTGGAAAACAGGATGCCATCGACATAGTCATTCCCCTTCGCAGCATCGCACTCCTCCTGGACGACCCTCACGGCCTCGGCCACGCTGCTCGTCCGCCTATACGTCGTGCGCACGAAGCGCTTCGCCTCTATGAGCTGCAGCTCCAGCAACGTCGTCACGCCCAGCGTCCCCAGCGCCCCCGCCGCGCCCCGGAACAGCTCCGCGCCCTTTTCCTCTCCATCTCCGGGCCGCGCAAACACGACCTCGCCATCCGGCAACACCATCTCCACCCCACAAACGCTCTCGTCAAAGTACCCATGGCGGAAACTGCTGCTCTCGCCCGCCGTGCCCGCGAAGCCGCCGCCAGCCGTGATGCCGGGGAACTCCATGACGACGGGGGGCACGAGGCCGAGAGGGAGAGTGTGCTCGACGAGGCGGTCCATGGGGACGTTTGGCTCGACGAGGGCGCGGCGGGAGGCCTTGTCGACGGAGAGCACGTGGCGCAAGGCGCTGATGTCGACGGTGCGGGCGCCGGCCTTCTGCGCGGGGGGCCGCGTGCTGTTGGTGCTGCCGTGCGCGATCCGGTACGGCTCCCCGCGCTCGAAGAGCGTGCGCACCGATGCCGAGACGAGGCGCACAGCTTGCTTGTGGCGCTCCATCTTTTTCCTTTTCCTTTTTTTTTTCTTTTTTTTTCTTTTTTTTTCTCTCCTCTAAGTAGGTACCTAGGTATACTCTTGAGGAGTAAGGGTATGTATACTGTTAAGGAGTAAGGATGTTTAATACTCGGTAATTTTAATATAAGAGATGTAAACTTTAATTACCGTAAGCAACGGGATCGGATAGGTAACCGACGAAGCCGGGAGCTTGGATTTCTTTTTCTTCCAAGATTCCTTGCATGTAGGTACAGGGCATGTACCTGCCTAGGTAGTAGGTACACATTCTTATTAGTACCAGGTACGCTAACAAAGAGCTCGATTTAGGGTCCACGGGTATCATGACAGGGGATGCTTACAGCACTAAGCCATCCTGGTAGCTGCCCTGAACAGCGGGTAGTTATGGTAGCTAAGTTATGGGTAGCCTGGGATCAGGGGAATCCTTTAACTAACATCTGGTTCATCTCATCTCACCTCATCTCACCTCATCACATGGATCTTATACTACTCCTAGCCCCTGATATACACAACTTGTATGACTTGTAGGCATACATATATAACTTATGATATTTTATATAGAAACCTTCATAACTAGTATGTTGGTACTAAATAAGTAAAAGTGGCTATCAGCATTGCATCTCTATTCTATGTTCTCAATGCCTAGTATATATGTCCTGATGCAAGTAAAAGCGAAACTCCCTTTTGAAAAAAAAAAGAAAAAAAAGAAAAGAAAAAAAAAAGCCATCGCTATAAACCATCCATATATATCCTACATTATACAACTCACAACTTCGCCGGCACATCAACCAGCGGCATCTTCTTCTTCTTCTCCCGCCCCAACACCTTCAGCAGCGCCAACCTTCTTACATCCTCCTCCGTGAACGGCGTCAGCGTATCGACATCAATATCGACCTCCTCCAATGTCTTCGCCTTGATCGTCTTCCACGAAGACTTTATCTCTCCTTCCCCTTCCCCTTCCCCTCCCCCTCCAGCAACAGCCCTCATAAAAGCACCCCACCTATCCAAGCACCTTTTCGCCTCCGGCCTTCGGGGCAGTATGCTAGAGAAAACATGCGGCATAGCCTCGTACTCCTCGAACACGACCGTGACCCCATCTCTTGCCATCCTCGAAGCGAGGTACTTGATCTCGTCCGCGATGCACTCCCAGCCGCAGGAGACGTAGACGGGGGGGCTGCCCTCCCAGGCCCCGGGGCCGCACATCTGCAGGCTGGCCAGCGGGTGCAGGAGGTACGCGTCGTCGGCGTAGAGGTGTCTGCGCGGCGGGTTCGCGGGCCAGATGTCGTCGGGCGGCGGTCGCTGCTGTTTGCGGTGACCCCCCTCCTCTTTCTCCTCCGCGAGCAGCCGCGGGCTCGCGAGGTAGCACCACCGCTGGTTCCGCTCCCACGACGGCATGCTCTGCGTGAGGTCGACCCAGGGCGAGCTGAGGGCGAGCGCGGCGGGCAGAACAACCTCGCGATCCACACCGAACCAAGCGACCTTTCGCCCCTGCCGCCTCAGCTCGAGCAGCGTCTGCAGGAGCGCCACGCAGAGGTTCCCGCCCGCGCTGTCGCCGCTGAATACGATGTTCTCCGGCGCGACGGCCTCGTGCACGGCCCCCGGAGGCGGGTAGAGCAGCGTGAAGTAGGAGACGAGCGCGTCGAGGAGCGCGGCCGGGAACGGGTTCTGGGGCGCCAGGCGGTAGCGCACCGAGTACACGCGGCCGCCGGTCAGCCTGGCGAGGTGCTTCGTGAGCGAGCGGTGCGTCGCCGGGTCGCAGAGGTAGTACGCGCCGCCGTGGAAGTACAGGATGGTCGTCTTGTTCGTGACCTCCTTCATCAGCTCGCCGTACTTCGCCTCCTCCGAGATAGCCGGGGGCAGCGAGTCCCTCGTCGCCGCTGCCCTGTGGCCCGTCCACTCGGCCTCGACGGGCACGATGTCCGGGATCCTAAACGATGGCTCCGCGTTTCTTTTGGCTTCCTCTTCCGGGTTCCCTAAAGAACTAATCGCGGCGAGCAGCGCATCGCGGATCCCCTGTTCGGGAGGGACCTTGGACGCCACCGCGCTAACCCACAGCCTGCCCTTGACACCGGGGTCTCGCAGCGTCATGGCCTGCGTCACCGATACGGGTCTTGGTTTCCCATCGAATATCGACCTCACGACCGATATGATCAAGTCGCTTCTCAGATCTAGATACTTGGCGCTCTCTGACCTCCCCAAGATGTGGAGGAGGATGATCTTGATGACCAGAGGTATCTGTGGTAGTAATGTCCACACGAGATCTAGGCGTCCTAGGCCGGGCGATTGGCCCTTGTCGTTGTTCGTAGCCATCAGGGCTGGTGTTGGGATGGCAAGGGGAAATATTGAAATTCGAAGTACGCTACTGAGTACCCAGCTAGTTCGGTTTGAAAATGGAGTTCGCCTGTGTACAGATATATGTAGAAAACAGCAACGCTAAGAGACGAGGAACGAACGAATTACGGAAGAAAAGATTCGAATAAATTACCAAAAGTAAAACCATCCGAAGGTGACTCGCTGACCTCGATCCGTCTCCGAAAGTTATAAATATAGGTAACTTATAAATATGATCTATATAAATACAGATAAGATTTAAGACCCGGGAATAGGAAATAGTGGTTCCTTAGATACTATCCGGCCGGGCATATTTGAGTTCGGAGGTGACATTTACAAATAAGTAAGGTCACTAAAGTAGGTAGGTAGCTCACATACCTTCCTAACCTACCTACATATAATAACATATATGTGGATGGCTGGGAAGCCTCGGCATCTTTGAATACATCGCCTCCCGCCACTTACCGAATCTGGGCGTTTCTTGACCATGGCCTTGTCTCAGAAAAAAAAATTGGCAAAAAAAAAAAAAAAAAAAGCTCGTCATACATGGGAAACCCGTGGTAAAAAAGGGGGATGACAGTATCAGTCTGGTTATAAACCCACGACATATAAGAAAAAAGCATACCAATGGTGATACATGGATCTTAATTAAAAACTCATTTATTCCCATCCCTCCCGAAATCGAACCATAAACACATTTTACCCAAAAGATGAAATAAAAATAACACTTTCCATCTTCTTCGTCTTCTCATCTCCTTTCGTCTACACTTTCTTTCGTCTACATTTCTTTCTCTCATCCCTCTTCCACCACCCTCCCACCTCTCGCATCTCTCCCAAGATAGATAAATGGATAGATAGATAGTTAGATAGGTAAATTAGCTAGGACGGGAACCTTTTACCGTCTCATCCGAATCGACCGAGACGGCGGCTCTGGTTTGTTACACGTAGTGCAGAAGATATGATCGATAGATAGATGGATAGATAAAATAGCATGGACACTTGGAGCAAAAAAGTCTTTGAATCCAAGACCCGGGGCAATTTCTTTACCTCCCCTCTCTCCCCTTGTCGGGCCTTGGCTGCTTGATACAGAACAGGAATTAAGACGAAGAGAGAGATATAAAAAAGAGAGGGAGGAGTATGCTATTCATCATCATCTTTCTTTTTCTTTCTTAAACTCTGCCATCGAAACAGGGCACCGATGCCCTTCACAGTACCTACGAGCTGTTGCCGTTGGCGCCGTCCTGCTGCTGCGATGCGGTCGCGCCGCCCTCCCTGCCGCTCGCTACCAGCTGCCACGCCGGAATCGACGCTTTCTGAGCTGGCATCCCGCTCCCGAAAGGGCTGGACCGACTTCCGAGGGCTGAGAGGTAGTCTTGTTTGCTGCTGCTACTCTGCGGTGGCGAGCTCTCATCTCTCACCGCCTGCTTCGCGTCCCCAATCTCCTTAGCCATCATATCGATTCCCGGCGTCGAGACTGCGCTGGCTGTCGGCATTCCCATAGTGCTGCCCAACGGCATGAGGAACCCATTCGAGCTGATAGCTGGCGGCGGTGGTACTGCGATGCTGCTGGGAGGAGTGGCTGTGGTGTTGTTCATTCTCTGGCCGATCAACGCCCTGAGACTCTTGACTTCGTTGGTGATCTCCTTGAGCCGGTTGTCTGTGAATTCCTTGTTCGCCGACATAGACTTGGGGATGACGCCCTTGAGGCCCTTCATCTCTTCTCTCAGCCGCTCCGTCTCATCCTCGTGTCGCCGACTGGCTGATTTACTATCTCTCATGAATGACTCTAATTCCTCGAGCACCTTGTCAAGCTTCTCTGTCCGTTCCTTCTCCGATTGCTTCAATTCGTCCGTGTCCTTGGCCAATTGCTCAAGAGTTGAGAAGGCTTTATCGAACTGCTCATCTACTAATGACTTATCCTGCTCTAATCTGTCTGGCGTAGGAGGTGAAACTAGGGGATAGATATAGCGCTATTGTCAAGGTTAGCTCTCACCCTGGACAAGACATGACGTGACGTGACGTGACGTGACGTGACGTTTGATGAATAGATGCATCCCGTACCTTAGTGATGAAGTATAAACCATATCCGACACCACCCATTACCGTGGCCATAATAAACCAATCTCGCCAGTCCCTCTTAGGGGGCTCTAACGGGGGTGGTTGCCATCCGTAAGGTTGGGCTTGGTATTGTCCATAGAAAGGAGGTTGTTGTTGTTGTTGATGCTGATGTTGTTGGTGTTGTTGCTGGTGTTGGGGAGCAGATGCGGGTGGCGAGTGTACTGGCGAAAGAGAAAGTGCAGTCGATGGTGAACCACTACGTGCAAAGGCTATATCAATCTCTTCAGGCGTTAAGTGTTTTGATCGTAAGAAAGATAATTTGTTTTCGGTCGGTGAAGAGACCACATTTGGGTCCTGCAAGACTATTGTCGATCACCGCTTGTTAGTATTTCTGCTTTATCCCATTCCATCTCGTATTTATCACAGGTGAAAAGTAAAGGAAGTGGTATGATACTTACAGGAGACCGCGGAGGCCACGATATCCTCCCGTATCGGCATGTCTACAGGATGAAAGCCTCAGAGAAGATTCATGTTTTTTTTAAAAAATGTGTGAATAAATGACAGCGGTAAAGCTGTATTATGGAGCTCTTTGGGAATTAATTACAAGACTTGTCGCGTTGAGGCTGGGGACACAAGTACCCAATGACGAACCCCTGCCACATCTAACTCCATTGATTGAGAAAAGGGAAAGGCAAAGGGAAAGGCAAAGGGCAAGGCACTTGCATTGACAACGGACCGAGGCTCACGGCTTTTCCATAAGGTGACTAACTTACATAAGCCAATCATTTGAAATCACGTGTGAATCCTTGAAATGGATAACTAAATGGATAACTAAATGGATAACTAAATGGATAACTAAATGGATAACTAAATGGATAGGTGGATACTTCTCCCCTTAAAATCAAGAAGTTGCGATTGGTTTCCGATGTGCTTTTTTTAGATTTAAGTTTCCTTTTAACTGCATTGATAGTAATTATCTACCTAATTATCTACCTAAGGTACCTAAGGTACCACTAGAATATGTACTACTACCTAACTATGCACTATGTAGGCACCTAATCATTTAATGAATGAGCGGCATATAATAATTATCCCGACGGACAATGTCTTGCTAACACTCATGACCCCATCCTCTTAATTGTACCAGGACCACGTTACCGTACTTTATATCGGTCACGGAATCCATTACATGACGCATTTGAGGATCCATCCTATGGAGATACCGATAATTAAGCTTTAATGAAGACATGGACATTTGAACCGCAACTTTATGAAAAGGCATGGCAATTCTACTACAATCAGCCTAGTCTCGTCTAATCTCTATGATGGCCGTGATCACGATCGGTATACACAACCTCTTCTCCCTTTTGACTCATTCCCTATGCCAAATCTCTAGATCAAGCACGCACATCTCAACCGCATTTTAAACACTTTTCCACACTACTTATGCACGTGCTAGCTCTACCAGCTCATCATCCCCGTCGCACGATCAAACCCGCCCCTAAGCTGTGTATCCCCCTTGACGACCTTGCCCTGGAGAATCGTATACCTCACGATATTCTCGCAGTCTTCTGGCCGTACCCTTGCCAACCAGATGCATTGTGCCGCACCCACGTCTCCTACCGTCTCCTCGCCATCTTCCACATCCACAATAGGTTTTGTTAATTCTGGTTCCTGTCCCGGTGGTAGTTCCGCACGCTTGATGTCGTCGATGCCGAAGGCATTGGGCCGACGGTACACCATCATGTTAGCCGAGTACTTGTGACCTCCGACGTGATTTGTGAAGTAAATCCCCACCCCTCCAGGCCGCTGGTCGTCGAGGTCCCGATCTAGGCCTAATAACCGTAGATGCCTCTCGAGCTCCTTGCGGATGAGCGGGGCACTCTGGCCACAGCGAGCATCGCGCGTTTTGTGAGAGCACAGCAGCACGACAACGCGGTGGGGGCAGGGCCGTACACGCATGTCACCGACGGTGGACTTGGAGGAGGAGATGGCTTTGGGTAATGGGACGGGTGCAATGGGATCCGAAGTCGTGGGCGCGTGCGAAATATACTCGCTGATGAGGGAAGGCACGGCAGGTGGCGTCACATTCTCGATTATGGAGAAAGCGGGCAAGAGGAGAAGCGTGGTCGGTTGGGAATAGTCTGCATGGTGGGAAGGCGTGGGCATGTTGGAGGCTGAAAGCATGAGGCGCTACGGTAAATTTGGTGTTAACATTGCCATTGCTTAAGTACTTGCTGTTGTTATAGTTGGTATGGGGGAAGAGCACCTACACCATTACTTGGCTTACTTGCGTGGCCAAAGGCCTCCATCACGCTTCCCTTTTCGTTTTCAACATCTCTGCACCAATCTGTCTTGCTAGTCGCAACTAGCACATGAGTGCTCCAAGGCTTGATGTTGCCATACAGAGGATGAGTATCTTCAACCTTGAACCCGCGCGGGTACTTTATAGTGCAGCTGTCGCAATCATGCTTGCACTCCTCACCATCGACATCGGGCTGCGTCTGTGGGAAGAGCTCAGAGGCTCTGGCACTGCCAGTCAGCACTCTGCGGGCGCCCCCGAAAATTGACAGGATTCCCGCCGCCGCCATCCTCTCTCTCGCTCGTTCTCCCTCGTTTACCAGTGCCGGTGCTGGTGCCGGTGCCGCCGAACCGTCAAATCAACAAATTGCCGAATTGGGGAAAAGGATGCAGCTTTTAGTGGGGCTAGAGTTTATCGTATCAGACGGCCAATTTTCTTATCTGATCCGTCCGTCAGTTAGTTTAAGTGGGGCGCTTGAGGCTAGTAGGCCATGCATTAGGAGAACTGGGGAAGCACTGGTTGTGTGGTATGGTGCAATCCGACAGATATATAAGGTTTTGAAGATGGATTTGTAATTCTTAATAGCATATACCACTAAGTTGGTTAGATGGGTAGCTGCTAACCTTCTGAACTTACCAATTTCTAATTTCCCTAGATTCTGAGGGTTTGCTTCAATATGTATTGTTGTGTATAATGTGTAAAGTGCTGGGGTTTCCTCGGATTTAAACAGATCGAAAATAAGCTATTGAAAAGAGATCCGAGTTAACTATCGGGTTACATATCTATCCTTCTCCTTTCCCTATTCCCCTTTCCACTATCGAATGCAAAAGGGAGAGAAGGAAATATAAAGAAAAAAGATGTGACAAATGCAACCGAAGGAAGATGACAAACTTGGAATAAGAATAATAATTCCATTCGAAACCCAACCTGAGTAGGCACTTGGCCTTATTTATTGTATCTTCCTTAACTGACAGGGTCATTTCCATTCGGGCAGAAAAGGGCACGTCCACTCGGAGAAAAGACTCGGCCTTTTCTTCGTATTTCCGAGGTAGATCGTGTGTTCTGTTTCAATATGTAGGTGCCTACCGTACTTACTAAAGTAATGGCACTGTATTATGTAGATGGCAAACCTATAATTCATGCCACAACCCGAGTAAACCGATTCCTCAACATTTAACCCCTGCCAAGAATCAATACCATTGGTCTTTTCTATCCAGGAGTGCCTCATATTGAAGGAAGCTTTGGTTATGTATACCATGTATCCATAGGACTACATGCAGCTCTACATGGCAGAACACTCACGCAGGCTTGAGTCATATGCGGAATATCGCCCCCTCATGCAAACAAATATGAGATTGTGTCACGGCTGTCTACATGTATACAAGCCGGGGTATATGGTACAATTACATTATATCTCCAACTCCTTACGAGAAAAAGCCTGTGGTCGAAATACGTGCAATTATGATCGGCTCCTAATCCAAAACTAACAAAAGAAAACCCTCTTGACTTTTATGCTCCTTCACTGGCATCGTCGTCTGACGAGAACCCGCTCTTCCGCCTCCTTAATTGTCCCCTCTGCCGCATTGCTGCCCTAATTTTGTTGCTGGCTTCGTTGAATCCCTCATGCGTATCCAGTACTGTGAAGCCAGAGACCGGAAATCCTCCTGATCCAAAACCACCGCCGCTGCTGCTACTTCTACTCCTGGACCTAGAAGGCGGCCGCGTAGCAAATATGCCAACTGAGCCAATGTTGCTGAAAGATTCGTTCCGGGGAATTGCCTGGCTCGACCGCGTCGTATTCTTCCTCGACAAATGAGGTGAATCTGGTGGAGTCGGTTCCGTCTTGGGGAGTCCAGCTTGGTCGAGCAAGCCATCTGCGCGGAACGGGTCGGAAACGAGACGGGCTTGCTCAAAGTCCTCATACATATCGGGACCGAGATCGTTGATGACCTTGACTACTTTGTCCGACAGTTCTGCTCTCCGCTCCCGTAGCTTATGAATACTATAGCCAGATGTTGGACTAAGACACAGGACGAGTGGCCTGAGTGACTTGAGTATGTCCATGCCAACTTCACCAAATCGTAACGCGGCAAAGGTAATGGCAGGGAAGACAACCCAACCGCCAAAGAAGAAAAGCCAGAATGGCACCCATTCTGGTACGCGGCCCCACAAACGGTCTTGGTACACTTTGATGCAAAACAGGACGGAATAGAGATTGTACAGCACCGGGGTGAAGGCCATAGCTACGAGCAGTTTCCAGGTAGCCATAACATCTCGGCCTTGAATCTTGACTGAAGAAGCTGCCAGTGCTTCTTTCGCTTTCTTATGACTGATATACTTGGTAGCAATGAAGACCGGGGCGAAGAGGACGAGACCAGGGATGACGCCGATAGACAGGACAAGCATCTTGATTATCCGATACAGAAGGGTGAAGATGACGGTAGGAATGGTCATTTTGGCGTAGGAAACCTGGTGATCCTTGATGTTTAGGTAGTGAAGTTGTTTGTTATAATCCTTCACATTGTCCATCAGGTCAATGATACGCGGATCGTCCTTGTATTTGGAGAAGCCTACAGCTAGCCTCCTATTTAGTTCAACCACCATTGGCAAAGGTAGCTTCTTTCCGGTGTTGTAGAGTCTCCTGGCTGCTTGGATGCACATCAAGGTATCGTAATCCGGAGCTGACACCGTAACGGCACTGAGAGCTTGGTGAACCATGTCCAGAGTCTGGCCGATCGCATCCCTTCTTTGGTTATTCTTATACTTTTCCACTATATCATTCGGTATTTGGAAGGGCGCCCCAAACTCGACAACTGCCCGTGATCGAAATTTGTGTGCGTGGAAGTAATTCATCCCAACGGGAACAATCTGTAGGCCGCAATCGGGATCTTCAGCCAAGGTGCCCAGTGCCATAATAGCAACACCAGCCTTCAGGGGCAGCAATTCCGTTCTATCATGGCTACCACCTTCGGGGAAGATTCCAATACAACCACCCGTTCTAAGACGGTTGAAAACAGCTTTGTAAACCTCCGTCTGATCGATGTGAGGAGCGAGCTTAAACTTTGTGCCCTCGTAGCCATCTTTTGGGCCTGTTAGTTCCTTGTTGGTAAAGTTTCCATTCTCGTCGATATCATCCCGACCGGTAAGCTGTTGTAGGGGGACCTTTCCCTTGAATGGACGCTTAATTCGAACCTCCTCAGGGCCAATGATCTTGGATATATCGATTGAGCTACCTGACTGTCCTTTTGTGGAAGGCAGGAAGATCATGCCTCCCACCTCGGCGTCCTTCTCAAAATCAGTACCCACACCTCGTACCAAGGTCGGGTCGTTGATCGGATCGGGGAGGTAGATGACGCCTGAGGCGGGTTTTGCTTTATCTTGTGCGCGGCCGACAGGGACAGAACCTGTCTGTCGGGATCCCCATCCAATAAACCCATGAACAGATTTTTCGGCGATCAAAAGCCCGACGCGTCGTTGTGCCTCGTTTTTTAGTGTTCGTTGCAAAACCAGGCCATCGACGAACTGATTTGCATGAGGAGCCGCGACGAAAAGGATAGGACCGGTCCGAGGAACTCGCCATGCGCCTCTCGGGTGGACCTCCCGGAAGAACAAGTCTACCAAGACAGAAAAGGTGTGCAGGAAGGCATCGTACTTCCATGCCGACATAGGGTAGAGTTCTTTCTCTTTATGGTCCTTCTTTTGCGCAACAGTAGAAGGAGGTGCCTCCTCGGCAGGAGTGCTGTCGGCCATGGCTGTGGAAGCGCGGGATGTAGTAGTTGGTAATTAGGAATATTCGGATATGCTGGGAGAAAAAATAGATCGAAGGGGAGATTTCGTGATGGTACCTAATCCATATGCCACACTGTCGGTTTTGGTGGCGGGAATAAGGAGCTAGTAGTCAAGTCGCGCGCAGTCTTTCGCGAAATCTCAACACGATACGTTCCAGAGAAATGGAGCTGTAAACGAATGGACGATGCTGATAGAGCGCGGATGATAAAGCAGTGAAGCAAGTTTTCCTCTTTAGAAAAAGGCTCTGGCTAGTTGGCTGAGAGAATAGCCATTAACAATCTAGCATAAAAGCAGATATGAGCGTCATCTTTCAAGTATGAAGAAGGATGGAAAATATAGTTGTAACTTGTAAATCAAGGCTCACTCACGCCACGGAAGAAAGGAAAATCTCGTCAATCACAGGCCAAAAATCAAGTACGGCGCAAGAAAAATGCAGCCACAAAACCCACAGCTCACATACGACCCACTAGAATATGGTGGTATGTATTGTACTTGCCAGGTATGCTAGGTACCTATCCCTACCTGTACGTGGAGAAAGAGCTAGGTTAGAACATCAAATCTTGAGAAAGAATTGAAGGAGGGGCGAATGGACAAGTAATCTACAAGTCTGGTAGTAAGCACCTAGTACTGCTAGTCTGCTACAGTGTGCTAGTACCAAGCCTGTAATGTTAAGTACAGTCACTGCTGAGTACTAGGTACCTACCTAACGTAGTACCTACTAAGCACTTCATCCGAGGTATGTCATTTGCTGAACTAAAATTTAGTGTGGAGGAGCCGCAGGATGTTCCATATACATGGTACTACCTAGTAGGTACCTAGTAGCATATGCCCAGGACCCAGGTACAGCATCATGTACCTTTCACGAGACACCGCGGTCACTTGATTGGGTCAATTGAAGGTTTCTAGGTTTTGCCTAGCCTTGCTGCTTTAAACTCTAGGTACACATACATAGTTATTACTAGGTAGCTTAGTACTAGGTAGCTGTTCGCTTATCTGCAGTGCATTAATTACAGTATCTGTCAAAAATAGCATCCATGGATTCAACCTTATGTACGGGCTAATATCTAACTAAACGGATATTATACCGTCAACTCACAAACCCCTCCATCCGTATCTTCTATAGCCAAGGCGGGGTTGTATGTTGAATTTTTTATTCTTATTTTTTGAAATTTTATTTTTCAAGACGCCTTCTTTCTGAAACTTCAAGTAACACTACTGACTTTCAACTATCGTAATAATGGCTCAACAGTATGTAGTATCACTTCAACATAAATCTAGTTGTAAGCCTACTAACAACATACTAGAAAGGTTCTTATGCTCGGTGCTGGTTTTGTCACTAAACCTACACTTGATATCCTTTGTGACGCTGGTATTCCGGTCACTGTTGGTAAGCGCTCCAATAATTATCTCCTACTGCTTATCTCTTTACTAAACCCCCAAAGCTTGCCGGACACTTGAAAAGGCCAAGAGTCTTTCCGAGGGTGTTAAGAATGCCACTCCTATCTCCCTCGACGTTGCAGACGATAAGGCTCTTGATGCTGAGGTAGCAAAGCATGACTTAGTCATCTCTCTTATTCCCTACACATTCCATGCCACAGTTATCAAGAGTGCCATCAGACAGAAGAAGCATGTCGTCACAACCAGCTATGTCTCTCCAGCCATGTTGGAACTCGACCAGCAATGCAAGGATGCTGGAATCACAGTTATGAATGAGATCGGCTTGGACCCAGGTATCGACGTAAGTAACCCTATACACCATTTCCGCGCACGAGTAAAGTTAACATCGTAATAAAGCATCTATACGCCATCAAGACCATCTCTGAGGTTCATGAAGCCGGTGGGAAGATACTGTCGTTCCTATCCTATTGTGGTGGATTACCTGCACCAGGTTAGTATTTAAGGGTTAAGGGGTAATAATACTTGATATATGTAAGATGTGCTGACTTTAAAATCAGAGGACTCTGGTAACCCTCTTGGATATAAGTTCAGCTGGTCATCTCGGTAAGTTGGGCCTTCCCAACCTTATTCCTATACCCGATATTTGTCTCTGAGCTAACAAAGATAGTGGTGTCTTATTGGCTCTGCGAAACGCTGCTAGCTACTACCAGGGGGGCAAGGTCGTCAATGTTGCTGGCCCCGAACTCATGGCTGAAGCCAAGCCCTATCCGATCTATCCCGGATTCGCATTTGTTGCCTATCCCAACAGAGATTCCACGCCATACAAGGAGCGGTTGGTCACCATTTCTCAGCGTCGAGGTTTATTTGAATATATATATATATGCTAATATGCTTGGGTTGAATAGATACAACATCCCTGAGGCAGAGACTATCATCCGTGGCACTTTGAGATATGCTGGCTTCCCGTAAGTGACACTACATATTTAGCGCCCCAACTTTTCCCCATTGCTAACGTTACGAAATAAAGGGAGTTTATCAAGCTACTTGTTGACCGTACGTTCCATTCCCATAAGCTGTGGATTTAAGTCCACGTGATGTATCCACGTGATGTGTTATATGCTCAGGAGTAGTTGCTGACCTTGATTCAAGTGGGGTTCCTTAGCGATGACGAGAACAGCGCCCTGAATGAAGCCATCACATGGAAGGAGGCTACCCAGAAGATTCTTGGAGCTTCGGGAAATGGGGAGCAAGATTTGATCCAAGCCATTGCTAGCAAGGCTACCTTTAAGGACGACAAACAGAGCGAGCAACTTTTAGCAGGACTTAAGTGGATTGGACTGGTAAGTCACTCAATATTCTCTACTCTCTATTCTCGATAGGGCCCCATATCTACATATATCGTAGAAGCTACCTCCCCGTTTTACATGTTCTTCGATCAGTGATGTTAACATCAGAGTCTAGTTTTCCTCAGAGAAGATAATCCCCAAGGGCAACCCACTTGACACACTATGCGCTACCTTGGAGAAGAAGATGCAATTTGAGGAAGGCGAGCGTGGTAAGTAGAGTTCTTGGACGCGAAAAGACCTCTCCAAAAAAACATTGGAAGAGTAGCACTTATATTTGATAGACCTGGTCATGCTTCAACACAAGTTTGAGATCGAACATAAGGATGGCAGCAAGGAAACTCGAACCTCGTCCTTGTGCGAATACGGTGCACCAACTGGATCAGGAGGCTACTCGGCTATGGCCAAGCTTGTTGGAGTTCCATGTGCCGTTGGTAAGTTGATACAGCTCCCAACCCTAAGCTCGTATATTGTCATCACTAACGATATTCTACGCAAAGCTGTCCAGCAAGTCCTCAATGGCACTATCTCCGATAAGGGTGTCCTCGCGCCCATGTCTCCCCGAATCAACAACCCCTTAATAAAGGAGTTGAAGGAGAAATACGGGTGAGTACTTGTTACCCTAGGTGACCTTGCAACGATATACTGATAAGCTTTTAGCATCGAGTGCAAAGAAAAGGTCATTGCATAGAGGGTTAGGATGAATATAAACGAATTCACATGAGAGATGCGGTCCGGACTACGGTAAGTTTAGAGACTTGCAGGGTTGAGGCCAACGGGATCGGTTCTGAGAGAAAATGGTATCATGGTGCAGGGAAAAGACGAGCTTGAAGAAAAGTTTTTCGTATCTAACTATCTCGTGTTCCTACTACATATAGAGATAGATACGTATGACTCTTATGCTTAATAGACAAAATATTTAAAAGGTCAGTAGACCGGTATCGGCTCTAATTGTTCATCTTCCGTTTCAAAGACTAACTATTACGGCGCTTGAAAACGGAACCTTGACTGTTTTACGGAGAATGTGGGGGTGACGCTTAGATTCATACCTACATAAATCGGTAACTCCAAGTTCTTATCGTATCAGCTTGAATCCATATAGTTAAGTACATGCTCTCAAAAGCGGCGTCATTTATGATCTATCTGTAGGTACATACATAGGTAGGTAGGCTATATTCACCGAGATACGGCTTTGAAGACCGATGAACCGATTATTTGTTTGTTTATCTCCCCAACCTTCTCGTCTTCCCACTGATAGTTGAAGGCTCGGGTGGAACCTACATTTATGTAAGTACATAAGTGGTAGTACTAACTACCTACATATGTAGTATCTCGATGTTGGTTTTTGTTGGGTATTCTGTGATACGCAATATTCAAGTTGTTGTTTGTGTACGTAGGTACGCATTTCCTCAGGACCAGGTGCCATGCATGTATTGTACATATATTGAGAGCACATATGAATGTTTGCAGGTAGATAACTAGATACCCAAGTAACTAAACTTCCAAAGTGCGCTTTCCCCAGCAGTAGCATCCTTAATTCTTCTCGTATTTATGGCGTGTGAGATTACGCTCGTATTTACACAGGTACAGTAGGTAACTACATACATATGTATCGTAATCGAAATAATTATCCGCCCCCTTAAACCTGCAGAACGTGAAGCGCAATGGCTCTAATGTACAGTAGTACCCTCTTTAAAGGGGGGCAAGTGTTGTTGGTAGATACCTAGGTACGCTAGAAGTTAACCGCTATGTAGTATGTAGGTAGTATGTAAGTAGTATAACGATGCCTACTTACTGTTTAACGCTGTAGATGGGTCTTATACTACACAATTAGGATACTCCTACTGCTGCCGCTACGAATGGTATTAAATCCGTGTGTACCTAGGTAGCTAACCTGAAGGATCCGCGAAGACTAATTTTTCCCCTTCCTCTTTCCCTTCTGCTTTCTCCTATCCTCAGGCACCGAGACACTGCCTTCTTGAACCTCACCTTCCTCCACCTTTCCCTCAGCCTCGAGTAGTTTTAACTTTTCCTGGCCCGAGATGAACATGGACAGGTCGTGATTCTGGTCTTTCAAGTCCGCGTTCTCTGCACTGAGCGCCTCGACCTTCTCGCTGAGGCTCTTGAGCTCCTTGCTCATATGTTCGATCCGTTTCATGAGCCCCTCCGATACCTTCTTCTCCTCTTGAAGGCTCTTTCCTAGTCCTCTTGCAAGCTCTGTTGACTTGGTTGCGCGGTTGCGCTCGCGTTCCACATCTTTTTCTAGGGATGGGATCGTGTTGGTGCGCTGGTGGTACCCTTCTTCCTTGATGGCTTTGAGCTCCTTCAGCGCTTCCGATGCTTGGGCCGCAGCCTTCTCCGCAGCCGCTGATGCCTTTGTGGCCTTGTCTGCCGCTTTCGAAAGCATCTCCTCAAAGTATACGCGCTGACTCTCTAGCTGGCTGGTAAGAAGGTGAGTATATTCCATGCCGATACTCTCTAGTTTGGCCCGGGGTACAACGTCCTGGTCCTCGTATTCAGAAGGCCCTATGTGCTCTCCTTGACGGCCAGGCAGCTCGACTACTTTTCCGTCACCCTTATCTCTTATCAAACGATGCACCCACATATCGCCAGCGTAGTCCCAGACGTGCTGAGTCTCCAGCTCCAAGGAAAAAGTATGAGCCGTTTCTTTCCAATGCTCTTTCGCGTGACCCCCTTTGTAACGTCCGCAGCCCACATTGCCACAGATGAGACATATCCAGAGATCGTCGGGGGAATCACATACAGAGCACAGGTTAGACACGCGGGAGCCAAAAGGCTGTACGTATGGGTCGTCAGGGTCATAAGGATTCGATCCATGGGCGTTCGATGAAGAGGCAATCGGGTTGGTGTGCCGACAAACAGGGCAACCAGACCCCTTCCATTTCTGCAGACAGAGGCAGTGAAATACGTGTTGGCAAGGGATTGTTAGTAAGCCTGTAGTGTCGTCCATGCGCTCTAGACAGACGGGACAGGTAGGTAATTCAACTAAATTTGGTGTTGGCGGAGGGAATGGCTTGAGTGAATTTGATGTAGCCGAAGTAGATGGAGTGAACGGATCTTGACTGAGATCTGGAAAATTGTCGTTCGGACTAGATGGAGTCTCGAATGTGACAGATTTGATGAAAGCAACAGCGCACGTCTCTGGCTACCTTGTGTTAGTCTCCTTGCAAGTTCTCTGGCCCGAAGGAAAGGAATCATACCTCGATGTCATTGAAGACTTTGCCGTCAAACTCGCGCCTAAAGAGCTGCGCTTGCTTGCTCTCCCGGAATTTCATGAGTACGAGGTATCTGTTCATCCGACCCGTCATGACCATACGGTAATGGCTAACTTGGTCTCTCCACTTCTCGCCCACAAACCCAAGGAAATCACTGGGAGACAGATAACTTGGGACGGCTGGAATACAGACTGTCGTACAATCGACCTGAGCGCCATCTTGTCCCTCATCGGCGTCCGACAAATGCTCGGGAGATAGAGTAAGTTCATGACTTTCTGCCTCTTCTCGGTAGAGATGAACGATACCCCAACCTAATTCGGTATTCTTCGAAGTAGTTAATGGGACGTATTTCGCCTTTGTAGACTTGCCTGCGCCTCCCATAGAAGGGCCGACTGCGGCGGCGGCTGAGGAAGATTGCATGATGCTCTGGTGTTCGAATGTGTCCACGTCTATACTCTCGACCTTAAGTTGTCCGAAACGCCAATCCTTAACTGCGGTGCGCGGATTTATGGCTACGTAGGACTGGGGAGGAGGAAAACTGAGGGTTCGTTCTCGGTGTTGCCTCTGGCTGAGTCGTATGATATTTCGGTCGTCTCGGGCTTCAGATGGTCGAGGAGCACCACAGTCGATGACACTTGGGTCAACTTTGGCTTGCGTTTTTAGGCTACTTTCTCGTTGTCGGCCGTAAGATGCCTTACTGGTGCGAGCTGGTATGGCCGTCTCTGTTCGAGGATGCGCCGGGAGATTTTCGAATATATTCGATGTCTTGGTTGGAAGCCAGAGTGGACCGCCATGTAAATTCAAACCCTTTCCAGTATCACTGGATGTAGGCCTCGGCGTGGGATATATCTCGAACTTGATGTGGTAATAATAAGAAGGCATTACCTCACGTTAATGTTTTAGGATGCGCGCAGTTGGTTGTAAGCAGATCATCCGTATGAATATCTTGGGAGTCGTAATAAATTCGTATGGCAATTCAGTGAGACGGTAAGAAGCCTATTTTTCGAAAGGTCAAATGAATGGCTATCTCCATTAACATGGCAAACAATAGTCAAATCTGGCAACGACATGGCTCGAGCTATTACCTTGGGCCCTTGGGGGAGTTTAAAGGTAGAAGAACACAACAGTGTCCAGTCCTTACAATTTGGATGGAATTCTTTTGTTAGACAGGGTACGTAATGCTGCTAATGCAATACATAGTTATTAGGTTGGGGTAGTAGCGCGCTTTCACCCCGCCTACATTCGGCGTCCTCCGTTTATCGATCCCAATGACGTTGATAGCAGCCAGTCATCGATTTACATAATAACTACATATTTCGCATATTTGAAGATATTAACTATACCATGTTCAATGTTGTTGGTATAAAGACAACAGTATTACTCGCATCAATCACTGTCACTGGCAAAGCATCACAAAATAATTGTCAACGAATCATAATATATTCATTGTTAGCATCAGATTAATATGATGCTATTGCGGAACCATTATGGTATGATATTTATGCCGAAGTCCATGACCCTGTCCTAGGGCCAAAATCCATCAACGCCAATTCGTGTCGAAGTCAATGTCGTCATGTCCCCACCATCACGAAGCTACTTACTGTCCACCACGGAGACGGAGGACCAAGTGGAGGGTGGACTCCTTCTGGATGTTGTAGTCGCTCAGGGTACGGCCATCCTCCAGTTGCTTGCCTGCGAAGATAAGACGTTGTTGGTCTGGAGGAATACCCTCCTTGTCTTGGATCTTGCTCTTCACATTGTCGATGGTGTCTGATGATTCAACTTCGAGCGTAATCGTCTTTCCCGTCAAGGTCTTGACGAAGATTTGCATACCACCACGTAGACGAAGGACCAGGTGTAGAGTCGATTCCTTCTGAATGTTGTAATCGCTCAGGGTTCGGCCGTCCTCCAACTGCTTACCCGCAAAGATAAGTCGTTGTTGATCCGGGGGAATGCCCTCCTTGTCCTGGATCTTGGATTTCACATTGTCGATAGTGTCGGACGACTCAACCTCAAGTGTGATGGTCTTTCCCGTGAGGGTCTTGACAAAGATCTGCATACCACCACGGAGACGGAGGACCAAATGGAGGGTGGACTCCTTTTGGATGTTGTAGTCGGAGAGAGTGCGGCCGTCCTCAAGTTGCTTACCAGCAAAGATAAGACGTTGCTGGTCAGGAGGGATACCCTCCTTGTCTTGAATTTTCGACTTGACGTTGTCGATGGTGTCCGAGGACTCGACCTCAAGGGTGATGGTCTTTCCGGTTAGAGTCTTGACGACTTTATCGAGATAGTTAGTACATTGCGTAATGAGTTATGGATGGAAAAGGTGTATATTGTAACTTACAGATCTGCATGCCACCACGCAGACGGAGGACGAGATGAAGGGTGCTCTCCTTCTGGATGTTGTAGTCGGAGAGAGTGCGACCGTCCTCAAGTTGCTTTCCAGCGAAAATCAATCGCTGTTGATCCGGGGGGATACCCTCCTTGTCCTGGATCTTTGACTTGACGTTGTCGATAGTGTCCGAGGACTCAACCTCAAGGGTGATGGTCTTGCCGGTAAGGGTCTTGACGAAGATCTGCATCTTGTCGGTATTTTCGCTGAGAAATGAAGTATTTGAGAGGTATCAAGTGGTTTATGATGACGATGATGTTTAGTTTCGCGTACGAAAAGTGGTTGATTGCAAGAAAGATGGATGTAAAGGGAAAGAATGGGAAAGGTAGGAAACGTTGGCAGGACAGAGTTCAAATAGGCGTTTACAGGAGTGGCAAGCAGGGCATGGGTACCTGGGGCGCAGTGACCTGAATGGAAGCCTTAGGAAAAGGGAAGGGGGTGGGGGCATCTCCTGGCCAATGAAATCTCAGCATATCGGGTCGCTCAGGAAGTGAATCATCGGAAACAACCATCAGTCACTGTGAAATAGCGGGGGAAAGAGCCAGAATTGGCTAGGTGTTTCCAGGAGTTGGCAGGTGCTACTATGTTACAGTATGTATTTCTACCTAGCACTCAATTCACTACCTAGTAAAGAGGCAAACATTTGCACAGCACGGTTGATAATCCAAAGTTGCGGGTACTTACGCAGTACTTTGACCATTGCGCCTTTGTTCACTCAGCCACGTATCGGCAGTCGCGTCAGCTATTCCGAAGTGGTCCCTACCTGCTTTAGAATTTTGCGAATGCTCGACCATTAGGATAATTGACGTTTTTATGAGAGAGTCTTTGACTTGAATGATAGGGATTTACTTCAGGTTGGAATATGACCTCCAATGTCTACATACATACTACCTAGGAGTACATCATGATAGTATGTAAGGTTTGATGGCGGTGAAAGCCGTTATCGTACGTCATGCGCCTAAAACTACACTAAGTATCATGTAGTTGTAGTTGATCAAGGGTTAAGATAAGGGAATCAGTGGGGAAACTTGAAGGAAACAGCTTTCAATGTCGGAAGGGGCAATTGCCTAGGATATCAGTTTGATGTCATCAGTGTACTTCGTAATTAGCGTTTGTACTTAGACAACGACATCAACATTTAAATGATTGAATTATATTCAGTGTTAAAAGTGCTCGCCTCATCAAGTATACCATTTATACCGGATAGATACCTTCTTACTAATTCTACAACATCTTCGGGGCAAGCCGGGCAATACATAGAGCCTCAACTTTCGGTGCCGATCTTTACAAATGAAATATCGTTGTCACGGCGATCGCTTGCTTCACCATTGCTTCAATGTTCTATACACTCAAAGACCATTTTAGGCATTCTGGCATGATATCTAGTAGCGCCACTAACTTCTTACATAGTAGCTACTCTCCGCAGGAACCGGCCGATGCTTCCGGGACCAGTGTGGGGGGGTTCGTTCAACGTTCACAGTCCGGTCGTCACTAAATTGGTGATTATCAATGGGGGCCAAGTTATGCGGGAATATTTTACCACTGTAGCCCATAGTATGAACAGTTCAACGTTGAACTTACTCAGGAGTTAGAGACTAACTAGGTAGGTACTGTACTGTATTGTACAAAGTACCCGATGAAGCTGAGCCGGAGAATAGAAAGACTTGTCTAGATCAGATCATTCGTCCCCTTTCGTTCCCATACGTCCCCCCCCCTCCCCCCTTTTCACAAAACAATTATACCTGCCTAGGATACATTTACACAAAAGATGGTGCCCTACTTTTCACTAGTCACGACGTTGTATTCAATATTCGATGGTACTTAAATGGTATTATGTATGGATGCGTGACCTTGTCAGCTTGGGGTGACATTTTGCGAAAAATACAGGCGAAAAGAGGCTTCACATGCATCATGCAACATAATCATCCTCCAATGTCTAGACTCTAGACACAAAAGTTGGTATTCCACTTGCACTAAATCATTTCTTGGGTTGGCCTGGCTCGGTTTGGTTTGGTTTGGTTCATCATGTAGTTATGCATGGTATTAAATGGTAAGCAAATTCCACCCCTATTTGAGAGCGTCAAATGGAATGTATTCAATTATTTCGCGTTTGTATCTTCTGTCTTACGATACGAACGAGAGTGAAAATCACTACCTTCACCGAGGAGAGCCTCGGATTCTTCATGTATCCATCCATTTAGTGATTCATAAAAGGTCGTCTGGACTAATTAGGGTCTGTCAGACACCCTGAAATCTTGCATGTACTCTATGCTCTTGTACGTAACCACATTTGTGCGTGAAATCCGTAGCTTCTTCCCACATCATAAAAACATGATCCATTGAACCGCTTTTGGTGCTTGCGCGTGACGATAAAAGGTCAACATAATTTCAAGTCATACAATCATCGAATCTGCCGTTAAAAAGGTCGTAAAATCGGAACAACATGGCGTATAAACATCGCATGCGTCGAGGGGCGGTGACCAACCGGGAAGTGAGAGAAAGAAGGGGAAGATGTACTTGATCGACAAGGGTGATAGTGGTCAGGTCATGATAATAAGATCATATCCTCAAATAACGCCGTCGCTAAATGTTTCCGTCAATCTGGACAAAGGAGAGGGACATATTTCCAAATAAAAAATAATTCAAAAAAATAATTCAAAATATCAGGTTGCCTGCACTTCATGGCATGCATATTTCTCGTAAAATCTAAGCATATCGCATCATCTTCATGTCAAAATCGGAAGCCCTCTAGTTGGCTTTGATGACCAACTTCGATAAAAACTTGTTCGATAATGAGTCAAAGTCGTATCGATCAAATTTCGACGTGTTTCTTGTCCTCAGGTAGGATTCTAGTTTTGTATTAGCAGGTACAACGGAAGTACAGACGATTTATTCTCTTACCGTGCTTCAGGACATGTTGTCGCACTTCAGTCATAGCTTCGCAGACAGCGACATTGTTGTTCAGGAGATGTCCATGTCTCTCGGTGTCCCAATCAATTAAAGCTGGGAGTTTCTGAGAAATGGCATGGAAGAGGCCAGTGATGACACCGACAGGAGTGCTTTCCATGTCAGAGCAGAACTTCTCAACCGCCATTGGGTCAGGTACTCGGTAATGGCAGTCGAATTGCATCTCCTCCCAGACAGCCAGCAAAATAGATGCTAGCATAAAGATGGTGGGCCAGTTCTTCAGACGGTCACCACTGTACACGCTCGAGTATAGCGCCGAAAGCTCCTCCAATATGTCCTTCTGTAGCTCTCGCCACATGTCCGCCATGGCGCACTTAATCTGGAAGTTGATCATCACAGGAGCTACATATTTGCCAAAGTACTTGGAGTCTTCGTCGTCGATTTGACCCTCCATAGATTGCTCTGAGCCCTGCTGCTCAACCAAGGTGATGTGCATTGTCAAGTTGTAGGCTAAGACGAGTTTCAGAGCCTTGCGGAGAACCGGCAGCTTCTCCTTAGTATAGAAGCGGTAGGCGGTCTTCAGGATTTCAGTGATGAAAGGGGTGCCCTCGAAATGGTCATCAATGAAATTCTCGAAGCCATGCTCAATGTGTTTATCGAGGTACTCGGCCAGCGCGTCAGGGTTAATTCCGCCTTCGCCAACGTCAAGTTTCTCAGTCTTGAGTTCAAACTCAATTGGCTCTTGTTCCACTTGATACGACTCAACCCAGTCAACTTGGAAGCATTTATCGTCCGCAACAAAAACTTCGCGAACCATGACGGGCAAGCAGAAACCGTAGCCATGAGTAATCCACATCACACTCTCCTTGGGCGCAAATCCCTTCACATTGTAAACAGAGACGCCCCGGCTCAGATGTCGCTCGTAGTCCGCTTTCCAGTCCTTCATGAAATAACCGATATCCTTGATATCAATGCGAGTGCAGGGGACTTGCCACAGTCGAGCGTGGGATGGCTGACAACCACCACAAGGCTCACCCTTATCGCATGTCTTCTTGAGGAACTTGCACCGAAGGCAAGCACGAAGTTTTCTGATCTCACTAGCTTGCTTCCTCTGCTCAGGTAGAAGCGGCCCCTTCCGACGTCCCACCTTCTTCTCAACAGTACCATCCTTCTTTCCGTTAGACGTTCTCCTGATAACCGACTTGGTATTCTTAGGGATAGGGTTGTTCTTTTTGGGACCCGAATTTCGGCGAGCCGCATTGTTGTGAGGCGGGGAAGCCACACCAGATCCGCTGGCGGGGCTAGGTCGATTCGACGTTGAAGACTTGATAGCCACAGGCTCGACAGCAGCGGCAGGACTTATAATTTCATGCGAATGATGGCTCTCTCCGTGGTAGCAATTTCGGTGGCTCGCAGGATCCGAATATGTGTCGGACTCCGGTGAGAACGGGGAATAGTTGAAAGAGCCTATATCCTCGAAGCTGCTGCTGCTGAAGTCAGCTGGCTGACCACTTCCATCCGAATGAGAGGCATCCGAGTTTGTCCTCAGGTGCAAGGTCTGGCCGGGATTGAAAATGGCCGCATTTTGAGCTTGGGCCTGTGCTTGCTGGTAGGATTCATAGTTCTGATACATATCGACTTGAGTCCACCCATTGTCGCTGGATCCTGGGAGCGACAAAACTTCGAGGTAAGTCCCCGTTGGAGATTGGCTTCCTAAGCTCCCGAAACGCGGAAGTCCGTCGGACGGAAACTGCAACGAAGCCCCAAAATCTTGCCAGTTTCCCATTCCCATACCATCCCACTGCTGTTGCATAGCGCGAGCGTCCTCAATAGGAGAAACGTTACTAAAACCCTGCTGTTCCATCGGCATTGCGGATTCAAGCGCGCCTTGGGGACCATGAGGCAGATACCCAATAGCGTTCGTCTGGTAGTTTGCGGTAAAGGGGTTAAATGGCATCAACGCCTGGCTCTCTTGCATGAAATGGCTAATATCGTGAACGGGAGGATGCTGCTGTTGGTGTTGCAGTAGCGTCCAGTCCGTCAGAAGCGGCGGAGAATGCGTCTGCGGAGGAGCAGTCTGGTAGGGCGAGTGATGTAACGGACTCTGCTGTAATGGGCTCTGCTGTAACGGACTCGCACTCGATTGCGCGGGCGAGTGTGACTGGTTATGAGACTCGACTGGAGAGGGCACATTGCTCGAATTCGTGTTTTGGGGAGCTGCCATATCAAGAGGCACTGGCCATACGCCCGGAGGGCGAGTAGGAGCCATCGCTGTAGCTGAGAGCGCGGGATTGGTGCTGGATGCTGTAGTGGTGTACGGATAACGATCCCGGTGATCGAAAGTGGTCAAATCCAACAAGGCATCCCCCCCAGCGACATTGAATTCGAGGGTCATTGTCGTCAGAAGTCAGGAAAAAGGGAGGAGAATTCAACTGGGGGATTTTGGACGAGTTCCGCTAGTATTATTGACAAGCAGACACGACACCGCTCTTTCATAGAATCCCCTCGCGGTGCTGATGGGCAGCTTCTGGGGGATGGAAGGGGGGTGGAAAAGAAGTCTGAATGTGGAGGATGTAAGATTTTGCGGTGGATGGTCGAGTGAGATCGAGGGAGTCGACGGGGAGAAGCCCTTGAAGGCAATGAAGGAGACATGAGATTGTGCGAGGACACACGGGAAACTGGCGGTGAGAAGAATAACGCTGGCGTCCCATCTCCACCTGCAACATGCAGTATTAGGGGCCAATCATGGTGAGCCAGTCATGCAAGAATCATGGGACGGTGATACTAGATAGGACAAGGGGGTAGACCGCGAGGCCAATAACCAGCCGTCTATTTAGTGGGCTCTAGTGGGCTCTCACGAGTTAAGTTACTTTTTGTGTGATTCGCACTGTAATGAGTACTTACACTACCAGAGATCGTACCAGACTACTACCAGTGTTACAACTCGTACCTTCAACTTTTACAGCGAAGATGGCGGGGCAAAAAAGGAACTACCCGACTAAAAAGCCCCTACTAAAACTCTCCGTCTGCCCACATTGTAGGCAACTAAATTGAACCTGAGTTAATACCTGACAGCCCTGATGGATGCTACTGCAAGCACTAACTAGTGTACCTGGACCTGGTACAGGCTGGTAGTTGTAGGTTAGAGTTTGTACAACTGTAGCAAACACCACTGCCCACCACTTGCCCACATTACCCACGGGTAACAACCAGCATATGAAGGTAACAGCTATTCCCATTGTACAACGCCGTAGTTGTACCGTACGCCCAATACTGTATTACCCGCCGCTTCAATGGCGGGGTATCAGACCCTTATCAGTCCTAGTCTCCCTTAAATCCCGTCAAGGTCTAGGACCCAGTCCTCAGTTGTCCCCATCAGTCCCCATCAGTCCCCATCAGTCCCCATCAGTCCCCAGTCCCCAGTCCCCAGTCAATTCCTAGTCCCTAGTCCCCATCCGGTTCCTTATGTTTCCTTACCTACATGTTCTCAATGGCAGTCAATGCTCATACCTGTGCTCCGTATTGTACATACACCACACTCCATAGTATGTGTGTCTGAATCTCATGTTGAGAAAGTAGATGATGACATGATGGGACGCCTTTTGACGGCTCACTGCAGATAATTTGTAGGACTGCGTCACCCTAAGTCAACATATGTTTCATTTCAATGCTTACAGTACACAATCTCTACACTTTCAATGCAACACACACGTCGCAAACATCCAGGGATCATGGATACCACTGCTGCTGCTACCACTACTCCTACTATTCCTACTACTACTCCTTTGCTCCTACTAACTAGGTACAATACAATACCTACATATATACCATAGTACTGTCTAACTGTACCAGTATGGATGTATGTATGTAGTGGTTGGCAGCTTGGCTGGACAATACCAGACATACATACATACATGTCTACCCAGGTAGGTAATGGATCGAGCTCGGGGATGCCAACCCCGGGCCTCGGAACCCCGAGTGGATTTTCCAACGTGTTGAGGATTGACGAGGCACCAAAGTGCGAAAGCCGCTGAGCCGGCCACTTCAATAGTCGCCTTCCTGTGGGTCGCCTTCTTCCGGTTTGCGGTTCCCATTCCCAGTCGCCAGTTCACCTAGGCTAGAAAGACTAGTGAGGTAGTGAGCCAACGAACGAAGCGTACAAATACGATCTCCAGGGCTGGATCTGGAACGGCTTGAACGGGTGGTCCTACTACTCCTCTGCTTAGTTGTTCTCTGTATCCATACATAGAAGCAATTTCCACAATCCAAGAGGGGCGAGAGAAGCACAAATGGCTAACTCGCAAAAACTTCGCGCGACTTTGCCCATACGGGAGATTTACACAAGCACCTGGGCAGACAAGTTCCCACGCCAGTGTCCACCTCTGCTCCTTTACTGTGCATACTACCCTGCCGTCAGCTGCACCGGAATATACGATATGGTGATACCCTTCTCGCATGAGCCAGTTGAACGTGCTGGATCTTCGCATTGCATCCCTTACAATCCAACCCTTCTATCCAACCATCAAGTCGCCCAGATAAAGGTCGCTTCTGATCCTCTTTTTTTTGATAGTGGTAGAAAATGATGATACATGGTGTCATGCGCTTCTCGTGTCCCGAGCCTCATGTCTATCCACGATGTCCTAAAATAAGAAGAGCCTCAAAGCTTCGAACCAAGTAAGTCACTGGGCTAGGTATGCTCGAGATGAACTGTACGTGATAACCACGCGGCTGTCTTTAGCTATGAGGCTCTCATGCTCCGCATGGTAAACAAGAATGCCGGCAACTATTTAGATAATAGGGTCTTATGCAGGCAGAAGGCGAAGGATCTTTTTTTCCACATACGTTACCAAACTGCCCAGGCCCTAGAAAGACGGCGCTAATTACGACCCTTACAGAACACACAATTACACCTTTTGGTTGCATTCGATAAAAGTCACGGAGGATTCATTATGGTCTATCTGGCTACTCCTGACAACAAAACACGACTATCCCTCTTGGAACTTCACACATATCAAGTCTGATCTTCATCCGAGCTTATTCGCACTCACCTAGGTACCTATTTGGGTCGAGACTTATTGATAGGCAGCCTTGGTAAGCTAAAGCTAAAGCTACACTAATACTGTAGATACATACGTACCGTGGGCATTTACTACCGACAGGATTGATCACGTCGTGTGATGTGGATATGATCTGTTCGATTTGCATGAAACTCTGTATGGTCCAAGCTCGGCTTCTGATCTGACCTTGCCATTACATACGAAAATCACCAGATCCATGTTTTTTTAGCAGGACTCTAGCCGTGCTAACCGCCAATAACAGCAACTACAGTATTTACTTCGCCTCATTTTTATATTAACGTGTGCTAAACCAGGTGCTAAACAAGATCTGATTCCGTTGCTCGCAAGTTTTATCTAACCTACCTACAAATGTCAAAGCCTAATGTCAAAAAATTTGCCCCCTGCTGGGAACAAGGTGGTTGGTGTGAAGAAAAATGCAGGAGGCTGGTGAGATTCATGAACCGAATACATACATAATGGCAACGCTCACAATACTTAAAGCTAAGCCTCAAAATAACTATGTATGCGGCTAGCTAAAAAAGCAATGTAACCCAACAACAACACAGGCCAGTAACAAGATCCCGAACCCGTCCGGGAACGGGCTTGCCGTTTGTATGACTGAAAACTCGCACCGGTGTTATGGGTGAATTTCACCTGATCTTTGTATGTACTACTAGTAGTACAGCACACATTCTCAATCGAGACAATGTTCAAGGTTCACTCACCTAAAGCCCAGTACTGAAAGGACCATTGAATGGCAGGTTCAATGTTCGCAATGAATACCTTGGTCATCTCGTCTTGGGTCAGTTTTTGGCGACCTTGAAAAAACCCCGAGTTGTTGCTCGGCAAGTTGCCTTTCCGAATCAAGCAATACCACATTGTACTCAAGTAAGACCTTTAAGTCAGTGATGACTTGAAGTGAGGTTTTCCGTATCATGTCAGCTTCATTCCGCATAACTCGGGTATCATCACTAAGCGCACCGATCACTGACCCACGGAGGTCAACAATATATAGGGGGTAACTAGTTATGTACATGTAGGTATTGATTATGTATGTATCTTCAACGATTCTCGCGGAGTGATTGGCACCCGCAGTGTAGGTAGTAGAACTTGAAGCAGTTGATGATGGATTTATATATAATCCGAGATACGAACTGCATACATATATCACGAGTGACGATGTAGTTACTTGTACGTCAAAGATATCAATGATATGGATGTATCTCCTATATACATAGCGACTAGTTATATTCATATTCATATAGCGTTTAACTGCATGCAGATATTCGGCATATAATCTACCTGATATAAAAATGACGTAGGCGGGGAATTATTTACTCGCCGAATTTTTACCATTTCAGTGTTTTTTTTGTTCTGATAATATGTAACTACAGTACCTGAGCCTCCTGAGGTAGGTACTATGGACCTACATAGTACATATGTAATGTATGAGGATCAATCTTCCCTTATCTGGTTTTACATATCAGATTTGTTAAGGTACAACTTATCAACCAAGGTTACCAATAAACACGGCTCAAGAGCCTCAAATAGTTTGGGAATCTCAACATTGAAACATCGAAAAGTTCAAGTTACAAAGTACATTGATACGAATGTTTTTATTACCTTTGTTGTTGAGCTTTTAACAGGTCATGTGGTTTCACGTTCTTGGTTGTTGCTAGCGTTACGAGTAAACATTTGTGCACTAGAATCTGCATTCCAAGCATCCCCATAGCATCTCTACGACTGCAAACTTTCATGGACCAAATCCATCATCTCAGTCTCATATGCCAATAAAGACTAGTCTTGCCCGAGCGCGCCAGCGGACTGTGTTTAAACGGAAGAACATGGCTTCCAACGTGCTCCCTCCTGGCCCCGCCGACGACACATCTCACTTGTCCTCTCAGCCCGACTCATCAACTCACACAAGTCAGGCACCCCCAATGATCCCAGATCTCCACACCAGCTGGCCCCCTATTCGGGATGAACTACAAAGCAACACATCTATGTTTCAGGATGCCACCGTGAAGGAATGCCTACCTTTCTTGTCTGCCATAATGGATAATGTACCCTTCAACCAGTATGGCGTGCCTCGTCTAGATCGAGAACGGCATATACGCTTCTTGCGCAAGAATCTGAAGCGGCTGCCATCTCCATACGTAGCCCTAGATGCAAGCAGACCATGGGTTTTCTACTGGTGCCTTAACGGCCTATCCATTTTGGGCGCCGACGTGTCTGACTACCGCTACGACCTCATCGAGACAGCACGTTCCATGCAAAATAGCACCGGTGGATTTGGAGGCGGCTTTGGTCAGCTATCACATCTAGCCTGCACGTATGCCATAGTCTTAGCTCTATCCATTGTCGGCGGAGAAGCGGCATATGAGGTCATCGACCGAAGAGCTCTCTGGAAATGGCTTTGTGCCTTGAAGCAACCAAGCGGGGGATTTCGGATGGCTGTCGGAGGTGAAGTCGACATAAGGCAAGTTAGTGTCATTTAACTTAGCTCGAGGATATGAAGCTAACAGTTGTATCAGGGGGGCTTATTGCGCAGCTGTCTTGATTACCTTGCTCAATCTTCCCCTAGATTTGCCGCCTAACTCTCCAGCATGGACAGCAGACCAACCAACCTTATTCACGGGTCTAGCAGACTTTGTAAAACGATGTAGGGAATTACAAAAAGCATCTCTCTTTCAGGATTTTACTGACCGAATAGGCCAATCCTTCGAGGGTGGGATCTCAGCTCAACCAGGTGGTGAGGCACATGGTGCTTACGCCTTCTGTGCCCTAGGCTGCCTTGCAATTCTCGGTGCTCCGCACCGTACCTTCGCCAGGTCTGTACTCAACATTACTAAGTAAACTACTAAACTAGACAACACGCTCTCATACTAATTTCTGATTATAGCTCCCTCGACGTCCCCCGGCTCATCTCTTGGCTCTCGTCACGGCAATATGCTCCAGAGGGCGGATTTGGTGGCCGCACAAATAAGTTGGTCGATGGATGCTACAGCCACTGGGTCGGCTGTTGTTGGCCGCTGGTTGAGGCCAGTCTCGCCGGGCCGTCCAGTCTCATGTTCGACGTAAACAAAAATAATAACTCGGACATGGATCTCCATAATTTTTATAGTCGCGAAGGGATCATCCGTTATATATTTTGTTGTGCACAGGACCAATCAAGAAGGGGTGGCATGAGAGACAAGCCAAGCAAGTAAGTACAGCAAATTTCGCCTTAATTCCAAGCCTTCTCTAACCAAAACCCACAATTAAAAAGAACTTCCGACCCGTATCATACTTGCTACGTACTCAGCGGGTTATCCTCAGCTCAGCATGTAACGCGTTTGCTTGCCTCCGATGGTGAAGGTATGATGACGCATTCGCAATATGACGTCTCGCCGTACAAAGAAGAGCCCCAGATTTATGATGAAGAAGACAGAGTCAACCCAACTGATCCTGTCTATTTCATACCTGAGGGGAAACGGAAAGAGATCATGTCGTATTTCCTATCGAAGCCGGGGTTTTGACCCGCTTGTGGCCGCATATCAAGAGGCCAATATCCGACACTGCGCCGGACCAATACGAGACAGGCTGAGAATCTCCCTCACAATCCTACGATGCTCCGATCCTCTATCCGCAAATATGGGTGTCAGCATCATGGCTCTTCACGTGTCGAGCTATTTAACATAATTCCAATGCTAAGCTTTGTAAAGTTGTTCAATATCTTCCTCGGCTGAGACGGGTTGACCCGTAGACCTGCCTCCATAAAAGGGGTGGTGTCGAGTGCGTAGGAAACTCAAAGCATGTGGCTAATGGATGCGCCCCTATCCTTACTGGACGGTGTGCCTCCGCAGTTACACATCAAGACAGTGCAGCGAGAAGCTCGTCTGCCAATATTGGCTCACTCATCGCACAGGAAGGGTCCGTAAACTATGACTATACCCTTTTCACTCCCTTCTACAGGACGTGTTATGCACTTTGCAATCAGCAGCTAGACCTATACCTGTAATACAAAAGGTTCATCAAGCAAATCCGCCCGAGTGACGTGAAACAGAACCAGCTAGAGGGATTCCATTGCATTCGTTAATCTACTTTCTCCACCTCATGCGGTCATGCTGTCTAACACGATAGACGGTACCTTGTTCAGCCAGTTTAAACGAAGTAACGAGCCAACACTGGCCGACATAGTGGCGAACCTCTCCCAGAAACTGGATTCAACCCGACTTGCCAGAGTCCGGAAGGGACGCCACTGACTTATATCTGAAGTAGTCTAATTCGGAAAGTTGACGGCAGACGGCAGCTCTAGTTTAAGGTAAGGAGCTTAATAAAATCATACGACGGCGTCCATTCTCTTCTAAAATATATGGCCACGGCCGCATAACGGCGGTCGAGGAGGGTTTTTTTTTTTTTTTTTTTTTTTTTGCAGAGTTGCAGCACGAGCTCTGTACATTGCTGATCCGCTCAACATAATCGACAGGTTGGCCACATGGTGTGGTCGTTTCGCATCCCGTTCCCTACGCGTACCCCCCCATACTACCTACCTACCACCTTGTTTGTACTCAGACGGCTACATTAAGTCCCTGACGTGTCAGTCTCCATCCTGGGGCCTCTCTATGTGGCCATGACCTCAGAAGGGGGGAAGGGAAGGGGGGGGAGAGAAGAAACGATTCTCAACCGAGCTAAGGCGAGGGAGATAGTAGCACACACATGCGCGATCAGTGGAGATGATGCCAAATACTAACGACGTAGTAAGATGCCGTGCTACATATTCTCGCAGGCACATGGAGGGAGGGCTCGTTGACTCGAGGATCGAGGGTTGTCATACCGATCTGTCTGTCTGACTGTTCCTAAAAAGACAATGCCTTAATAAAATAACTATTATACTTTTCAATATTGGGTTTCTTTTATCTTTTCTATGGTCAGCTCTATTCCCATCGCGATGGGATGTAAATTTGCTCGTCCATCCACGCCAAGTGCCCACTGATCAATCATTATTATGCTCCAAGGAAAGCCGGCATAGTATTGTTGGAAGTGGACTTTCATTATTCAGGGTAAGATACCTAACCTAGATAGATACCTAGGTAGAATGAAAAATGAATGTATGTACATCCTAGCCGGCCGGCCTGCTGGCCGGTCCCATAAGCTCTACCAGGGAGGCTAGGTCACGTCTTTGGGCTTTAATGTATGTAAACAAGGCTTGCTGTAAGGCCTCTGCCTCTGCCTCTCCTCTTTTTTTTTTGCCTATAGCCGCCTTTTTTTTCGGATGCGCGAACCGTCCTTTTTCGTACGTATGTATTTTTGGCATACATTTTTACCTACATTGCGTGTGAGGATCTTGCAGAACCAAACGCCCCTTTCGAAAGGGGCTTCCGAAGGCTTGGAAAGAAGGGAAAAGGAGGAGGGGAAAAAAGGGGCTGCGATAGACTTCGCGGTTCTCTGTCCCGATCCCTACCTGCTACAGTACATCTGTATGTATGTAGGCAGTATGTAGGCAATACGTATGTGGTAGGTAGGCCAGGTTAAGATACCTTTCCCAACAGACCGGACAGGCGTGCCTACGGCGCGGATGGACATCGCGTCCAAAAGGTCTCGGATCTCGCAAAGCACGTTGCATTTCTGACAGACAGACATTAAATCTACGTATGTATGTCTCTGACGAAGACCCCAGGTCTCATAGATTAGGTAGGATCGCGAGCGCTCCTTAACCGCGTAGGTGGATCGGCAACATCCTTAAGACTTACATGCCCACGTTAGTGCTGTCTCAACTCGAACTAGTATGTACATAGTATGGCGTTATGTATAATGCATGGCATGAGTTACGTTACCGATTGAAATGCTTGTCTATGTATGGGGAGGTATTATGTATGTATGTATGTAGGGAAGGGGGAACTTTGGACTCCTCCTCTTTCTTTGTTTTCCTTTCTGGCTGGCTGGCTGGCCGGCCGGCCGGCCTTCTAGATGTCATGGACGGGTTTCTATCGTCACAAGCGGACCAACGAGAAGGGCCCTTTAGACCGAATGATAGTATATAACTTAGTAGTATACATTCTTACAATATGTATAGGTATACCTACATACATATACCTGTTTACCCTAGGTACCCACCTACGTATGTATTGTATTGTACGTAGTATCATGTAGTGTAAGTACGGGTCACGACAGTGCCCAGGTCCCAGTTATGTATACTCGAAAAAGGTACCTACAGTACCTTGAACGAATTTCACACCTTTGACTTTTCCCCTTCTTGTTATTTGCCTCTTCACTTGTTGATTAGTATATCTACACTAGGTACCTAGGTATGTACGGCGTAGTAGAGGGTATTCCTACATGTAATTACTGAGTACCTACATAGTTTGTAGTCACTAGGTAAGCTCATATGTATCACCTATTGCCTATAAACTGGTAAGTAGATTGTGTATCTCAGAGGCTTCCCCTCCCGTCGCTATTAACATTAGGTAATAACTATTTGTTTTTATTTTTTTATTTTTTGTTTTTTGTTTTTTGTTTCTACCGAAAATCTGTCAACATGCACAAACATTGTATAATTGCATGAAGTAGGTAAGTTAGTTATTAGGTACTAATAAGTAGATACGCTGAAGTATCATGTATTATTCAGCTACTACTGTATTTAAGCGTATTTCTAATGTGGGACATCAAAGATTGGTCTGGGCGTTTTTAGAGGGTTAAAATTCCCCAAAAGATACACTAGAAATAGAAAGAGAAAGAAAAAGAGGGTAGTTGGAAAAAAGAAGAAGAAAAAGAAAAGAAAAGGAAAAAGAGTCTTACCGGCCGCTACTTTAAAGTCCGAAAGTTACATCCCGCACTTGTCTTGTTCCCATAAAAAAATACACTAAAATGGTAAAAAAAAAAAAAAAAAAAAAAAAAAAAACTCATCCTTCTTCCCAAATTCCACACACTCACACTTCTGTGTTATCGTATACAATACCTACCTAGTTACATACCTAGGTACACAATCATTGTCACAATGTAGCAATCAACCTTTAAATGCTGTTTTCCCCTCCGTCCCTAGCTATCCAAACTGCGCAAATCGTCATCATGAGCGGCATCCTATTTTCCTCATACATATGCAACCAAGAGAAGAGAAGGTGGTCAGGCTTGTCGGGCTAAGGTCGTGGTCGGTACCGCTACCTAGTACATACGTACCTCTCTAGTACTCCATGTCTACCTCAGTCGCAGGCACAGGCGCGTTAGATCGACTAGTACCCGTACCCAATCTAACATGCACAAAATAACGTCTATCTTGATTTAATATCAAGCGGCAATGATGAGTTGTCATTGCATGAGGTGTTAAACGTCTGTTCTTCGCCTAGTCGCCTTGCTACTCCCGGACACTGCCAACGATCATTGGTTCCAAGTCCATAGGCTCTAAGTGGCTCCTGTCGGCCTTCGCAGGGTCTTCAATGGCTCACCAATCGCCTCTTAGGGCAGAGACCAGGTTCATCGAGGGACCGGGGTTGCCCAGGCAGGCTAGCCAGTGTTCATGCATCTCATTCTTCCTCACCGACTTGATGGTTCCGGCGAGAGCCAGTCATCGAGTCCCGTTCCAATTTTTTTACTTCATCTTCCGCCCTAGAGGGAAAGAGGGTAAAATAGTAAAATAGGTACCAAGTGAGGAAGAGGGGCCTAAGGAAGAAAGAAGTGTTAAGTTCAATGTTCTTGAAGTGTTGTTCGACCAATTCCGTACAGACCTACATATATGTAGGTACATACTTACATACCATACCTACCAGGTCTTACATACCTACCTACAGTAGCTACCTACATACACATACATACACATACATACACGTATGTACATACATCTCCGCCTACATACAGGTGTAGTACAACAAATAGTACTTACACACTACTACACGAAACCAGTATGAAGTACACGAGGCTTAACACAGGCACCGAGTGCCACCGACTCGACACAACAACATTGAAGTTGCAAATACTGTCGAATGACTTCACTCATGTGCCTACAGTTATACTCTACATATGTATCCACGATATATATACATTTGTATACTCTCTTGCCTTGCTACTTACATACATACCTATTATACTAACTTATAGATATATAGCTGGGTAGCTCATAGCTACTAGGTACCTAGCCATGAACTACATATGAGCTAACCTACTTGCATATGTAGGACCTACATATAGGTTAGGTATACTTATATAGTAAGTAGGTAAGTAAGTAGGTATCTATCTATCCAAGGTTAGACAGGTACTTACTTTGTCAACTGCCAACCAATGGGTCTCTCTGTTTTGACCATTGGTGTAGGTATTGCTTACGTTGTTTATTTTCTTCTGGCGTTGGTCGCGAATCGCCCACCCCCCTTCCCCCGGTCCACAATGCCACGATGGGCGCCGTTCGTTTCTTCTGTCTGATCCAGTGGATTGGCCTATAATGACCTTCTCAGATCCGGGAGTCCATCCTCACCGTTAGGGACCCCGCCTTCTCTCATCTCTCAGTTCGATCTCCGAGTCCCGAGTCCTTGTCATGTACATGGATCTATCTACCTACATGGTAGGAGGTGTACATGCCTACCAGGTCCTACCTACATAATCCAGGCGCGCATACATCAAAATACAGGCATGGTTGTACTATGTAGTAGCAAAATAACTACTACCTACTACCTAGTAGGTGGGCATATATGCACGTACGTGGGGAGGTATCATTATTGACCCTTTTTTGGTCGTCCAAAATAACGCCGTCTTCCAAACCGTACCAGCCTTTTCTATTGTTTTGATTGAGTGCTATTGCATTAGTGGCCGTGAGGAGGGCATCTTGGAATGGCAGTTTGTTTCTCGCTGTCTTCTCGACCTTCCCCTCCAGACAACGAACCGGGCATATCCCCAGCTCCATCCCTTCCCTTCGTTACGCTGCCCCGAGAGCTCTCCCCCCCTGGATGAGGAGACGTGACTAGGTGGCCAGGCCTTAGTGGGCAAAAAATGTTCGAGCTATCTCTGCTTTTGGGACTTGTTTTTTCTTATTATTTTTATTATTATTTCTTTTAGATTGTGTTTTTTCTTGCAGTTCCGCCGAGGTCGTGGATTGGCCGCAGAAACTGGTTCCAGTTTCATTTCGCCACTTTCAATATGCTTACTTCTGCATACATCATTCTCTTTATCCAGCTGGTTCCATTGTTGTTGGACAGGGTTATGGAGGAGAACTCGGACGGAGACGGCGGTACCACATTCTGCCAAAAGGAGTACGGCCAGACTTATCAGAGATGATCGTCTAAGGGAAATGCATACCCCATGTGTTGTGGTGGAGTTGCCTAGTCTCTCGAAGGTTTATCAACTGGCAACGACACGCGCCAGCACAGCAAGATGGGGTCACACTCTTCAAGAGCCGCATCTACACCTGCGTCTATCGACCTGGTTCCCTTCCGTCCCATTGCCCCTTCGGCCTTGTCTGTTTAATTGCGTCTTTACAGATCCCTGCCCCGCACTAACAACTCAATTCTGCAATAAAGCACACATGTCTCGCCGTCGATGGCTCGTCTCTCTGCACCGCAGCCCTGAATACGTAGCCTAACCTCCCCCTTCTTCAACACCACCACAACCACACCTCAGTCTTGTAGTACAGAACTCATCAACGACCCTCAGTGCTGCCCTACCGCCCGGCCTTGCTTGATCCTCTAATTCCCTCGTACAGTTGGGCTTAACTGCATACCCAAAGGCGTCCGGAATCTCATCCCGTGTCTGCTTACGACACTGAATTTTCTTTCTTTTCTAATAACTCTCCGGGGAAATCACGCACATACACATACACCCGACCGATCTTTTTCTTGGTGGGGGTGTTTCTAGGGTTCGACAATACCACCCTGTTGGATTTTCTTAGAGTTCTGGGCCATTAAATTGCCGCCAGCAAAAAGCGAGCAAAGCAATATGGGAGGATTCTATATGCAGTATCTTGAGAGTAAGTTTGTCTACGTGCTTTCAACACGCCCTGCGGCTGCTTTGTCGTCTCCGATGACCCCACGATGATGTGCGCGGTGGGGCCGGACAGCGAAAAAATGTTCATCTCACACGTGGACAACCCCTGCGTCGAGGCACGATCCCGCGAGAGCCCCGAACCCCTTGTTACCAAAAATATTTCATGTTAAACGCCACGTCCCTTGGATGCTATAGTTGTATGGCTGTGCCCTGCACGTTTCGATCTGGGGTGTTCACGATCAAGTTGTCCTGTCATGCATGTTTTATGCTCGATCTCCGTCGCGTCATCAGGGCTGCATATGTACAGCGGGCGTTAATGGGCATCAAATGGGGGAAATTTCCAGGGATTGGCGAGCTAACATGGCATCCGATAGGCCTGTGCCGGCGCCGTGGGTGGCGAGACCCTTCGTACGAGTGTCACAGAGATTCCAGTGGCTACACGTGCCTGGTCTTGGTGAATGGACGCGAATACCAGACAGACCTGTCGTACGAATCGGACCACCTTGCCCAGGAGAACGCTGCCATGAGGGCCTTCATGGTGTGCCGGAACTTTTCTGTCAACGGGGGCATGCTTGCGCGTAATGGGATCGTCCAGGGTCTCCCAGCCAATGACTCGACCAGGCGCAAGAAATCTCGTCACGCTTCATCCAGCCACGGCCACAACCAGAAGGAGAGCCGCCATAGGTCCGGAAACCACTCGAGCAGCAGTTCGACCGCATCCTTCGAGTGAGGGAAAACGTTTTTGCGATCGCCGCCCGCCCGCCCCCCCTTGATGGGAACTCTGACCATATACGACCATCGGCTAATTCCAACCAATGAATACAAAGTGAGAAACCAGAAGACGTCAAAGATTGATATATATACACGTGGTGAAGCTTCACAGCTTATCCTCCCCAGGCATATTCCGCAGAATACCCCATTCAGCATTTATCCCGATGAGAAAGAGAGACAAAAGTTTGCATACAGACGAATTACGACTTTGACGAAGACCTTGAAACGACTTTATGAGACAGACCTAATGTGGACATTTGCGTGTTATTGTCCCAGGGGAGAGGGACTTAACATTCGCACTGATACGTTTTTTATTGACTTTCTATTTCCTATTCTAAGAAAAAAAAAAAAGGACTTGATGAGACCACACCCACTTTTCCCTCGGGCCGCGGGAGTTAACAGAACCAGGCCGGTTCAAAAGGAAATACGGATTCTTTTTTGGAGGCAGCCCTGCTTAGCGATCACCGCTCTTAGGGTGCTATTTCCCCTTTAGTCTCCATTTTACTATTGCTTCAGCAGCCATTTTCCGAATGGCCGTGGATGGCCTGGATTAATGGAACCTTCCTTATCTCGAGATAGACCTTTTCTTTTTGGGTGCCTCAGGACGGCTCGGGCTGGCCAGTATATGCAAAAATGCGGTACACACCCCTTTTCCCGCCCGTTACGCTTTTTATTTTTCTTCTTTCTTTCCTTTAGCAAAGTCCTTTTGCAGATATGGTTACCGCCTGTGTTTCTCTCCCTATTAGGCGATGAGAAGGGGATCTATCGAGATTAGAGTTGGGTTGGGTGGATGGATGGATGGAAGGAAGACGAGGGACCAGAGTAGAAAATGGGAGCGAGGCACACGAGTGCGAGGAAAAAAGAGACAGAGAAGTATCTGGGCGGGTGGGCAGGCGCGTTTGATTTCATTATACATTTATATTCCTTAATCAGTGTTTCTAAGATGGAGAAGCCCTGCCGAGGGGGGGAATGCTGTTTCTCTTTTCTCTTTGGTTGGAGGTGCTTATAAAATTACGATCTCACGGCTAGATAGATGACGATGATGATGACGATGATCAGTTCACGAAGAATCGAATTTACGACGTTTCACGACAATGACGAATCTCACAGTCGCGAACTTTTGTGTTTCCAATTATTTTTCTGTTTTTGATCCAAATTGCCAATGACTGCATACCCTATTTAACTTACCTACCAACTTACCTACCTATCTAGGTAGGCATTTATTTACCTGGGTATTTGAACTAAATGAAATGATAACCTTGGAAGTCTACTTCGTACTACATATAGGTATCTTGTATGAAGATGGTACGAAGTATAGGAGGTACATAGAGTTACCGAGGCGGCGGATCTAAGCTTATTTACTATCCCCGAGTCGGTTCCTAGATCGTCCTGATGATTCGGCGCCGGGGACGCGGGTAGGAAGCCCTCCCTTTCACCCCTTGCGCCTGGTTCCTGTGACAGGCACATGAACCTGCAGGGCGTGACACAGCATCTACCAACATGGGACGGTATATAGACGAGATGAGATTTCTATATATACCTAATGTATATACATACATCTGATGTATATCATACATATACTACATGTAGGCATAGTTAATACGGCATAGTAAGTATCTGCGGATAATTCAATGTTCCTTCGTCTATCATGGTACATATATGTACACCGAGGAATATTGCCACATATGTAAGTACATGTAGCACCGAATAGAAATTGGAATACCTGGTATCTTAGTAGTATTAGTAGTTAATACTAGTTATATGTGGTAGGCTATTTATGTACCTGACCTGGCTAGGTGATCTTAACCTAGAAACCGGAATAAAAAAGGGACTAATATACTCAGATTATGTGGTTCCAAATTGCCCGAGGCCTTGAAGGCCGGATGATGGAACGGTTCGAGAAAAACCTGGCGACGGCGGCGATATCTCGTATTTATAGACTACATGTACATACATAGTACAGCTTCAAAGTTGTAATAGGTGCATATTAATACGTATTACTATGAGGGTAGTTATGTAGTTAATACGAGAACATTGATGATTAATGATTGAATGCAAGTCTGAAAATGCCCGATACGGTACCTGTGCACTTCCAAATTAGGAGTGGTCATGAGCCGTTTTGAGTTTGCCTAACCATGCCAGTTTAGCTTTCAAAGTTCAGGTTCAGGCCCAAGCCACACAGCCTTACGGCCACTAAATCTTATGGCCACTAGTTAATAAATACATAGTACGTATTGTATTGTACCCTGATAATCCGATGAACATACTAGGTACATAACTACTTCGTATATCTAGGAATGGTTACATAGTCACATTAATTGATGAGATATTAAGGTGAAAGTATTTTGAGAAAAGTAGCACAATACTAAAATATGATAACTGAAGAAATAAGACAATCAAAACCTTTCAATGCCATGCATACACATAACTATATGAATATGGATATGTCACTACATGCTGTAGGACCTTAACGGGCCTAACCTGGTAATTTCAATGTCTCGTACCGCGTGGGGTGAGAAGTCAGATGTGATTGGTGCGAGATACTTGAAACAGAGAAAATGTAGCTGCCACTTTGTGGCTGATGGCCTGTGCTTTTATGCATAGTAACCTTGAAATTTAAAGCTTTTCGTACTAAAGTGCCAGCTGCCAGGGGTCTAGGTACAATTACTACGGCGTACAATACATGTACGGCGTAGGACATTGTACTATGTAGGTACTACTAGGTAGGCATAGCAGGAGCGAGGAGGGAAGACTAATTTCAAACCATTGACTGGCGCGACGAGCATTTGAACCTAACTGGCTCTAAAAATAAGAATAAAGGGGTTAATTCGTAAATTGGACACCATTTATTCTCTCCTTCAACCAACTTTGTTCAAATTTCGTGACAATCTCAAAAACTTCTTTTACTCTAAAAAGAAAAGAAAAGTGTTTAGGTGTCCTTTTTTTCGAGTCACTTATCCCTTGTGCCAATCATTAACCCACTAATTCATTAAGTTCACTAAGTTCACTAAATTCACTAAATTTCCACTACTTTGAGGCGTCAAGCTCCCGTTAAAGTAGAAACCTACAATTACCTACAGTACATAAACATCAATCTACTTTCCCCTCGCGTCGATCGATCTGCATAAAACCCCAAGCATCTACCACACCGACTTGTGCCTCAAAAAGAAATCCCCTCTCGCTGTCAGGTCACCGTCGTTCGTTTTCAATTGCAGCAACACTCCAAATTAGGCCTCAACTCTGCTATACCCATTCACCCCAATACATTTTATAGTCTAGTACTTATCACCAACCAGTCAATATGAAGGGTATGTATTTGCTAGAAAAGCCCAACAGCGTTCTATTCAATGGCAGCTTGCTAATTTGTGCCCAACAGCTATCATTCTCGTCGGTGGCTTCGGCACACGCCTACGGCCCTTGGTACGTGCTCAAAATTAATCATCTAGATTCATTATGCAGTGTCAAATCGCACAATGCTGCTGACAATGCTGCTGTCTCGGACTCGATCATTAAAGCTAACCGGACTCCGCCGTAGACTCTTACTATGCCCAAGCCCCTAGTCGAGTTCGCCAACAAACCCATGATTCTACACCAGATCGAGGCTCTAGCTGCTGTTGGTGTTACCGATGTTGTTCTTGCTGTCAACTACCGTCCAGAGGTTATGGAGAGAGTGTTGAAGGAGGTCAGTACTTAAACCTACGAGTTTAAACCCCGCCAGTTCTCCTTCGCCCCTTCGCCCCATATGCTGACATCAGGTATCTGTAGTATGAGGACTCTCTAGGCGTAAAGATCCACTTCTCTCTCGAGAGCGAACCTCTCGGAACTGCTGGCCCTCTCAAGCTAGCAGAAGAAATTCTGGGCAAGGATGACACGCCATTCTTTGTCCTAAACTCCGACGTCACTTGCGAATTTCCCTTCAAGAAGCTCGTCGAATTCCACAAGTCTCATGGTGACGAAGGTACCATTGTCGTCACCAAGGTCGAAGAGCCCTCCAAGTATGGTGTTATTGTCCACAAACCGAACCATCCCTCGCGAATCGACCGATTTGTTGAGAAGCCTGTCGAATTTGTCGGCAACCGCATCAATGCTGGTCTATACATGCTGAATACTTCAGTGTTGAACCGCATTGAAAAGAACCGCCCTACCTCCATCGAGCAGGAAACCTTCCCTGCCATTGTCCGCGACGGTCAATTGCACTCCTTCGATCTCGAAGGTTTCTGGATGGATGTTGGTCAACCCAAGGACTTCTTGACTGGTACTTGCTTGTACCTTTCATCCCTGGCAAAGAAACAGCCACACTTGCTTGTCTCACCGTCCGAGAGCTTCGTCCATGGTGGCAATGTCATGATTGACGAGACTGCCAAGATCGGTAAGAACTGCCGCATCGGTCCTAATGTCGTCATTGGCAAGAATGTGGTGATTGGTGATGGTGTTCGTTTACAGCGATGCACGCTCCTCCCCGGATCCAAGGTCAAAGATCATGCCTGGATCAAGAGCACTATTGTTGGCTGGAACAGCATCGTCGGCAAATGGGCTCGTCTTGAGAACGTGACTGTTCTCGGTGATGACGTTACTATTGGCGACGAGATCTACGTCAACGGTGGCAGCGTTCTTCCACATAAGAGCATCAAGGCCAACGTCGACGTACCAGCTATCATCATGTAACCGACCCCAGCAATTCCTATTGCTCCTTTGAGTCGCTTCCACTTCAACTTTCGACCCTTCATGTGTATATCTGGCACCTTTCACTCGTACGATTTCATAATACTTTGATGTTTTCGCCCTGGACTTGAGGCGGCCTCTCTTCTCAGCATTTGTTAAATTCCAAATTCCCAAAATAGGACGGCGTTCTGGTCAGCATGGGTCATGGTAGACGATTGTCATTGTTTCCCGAGGCCCTGGCGAGATGACGGGGATTCCTTACGGGGACGGGAGGACGATGGTCGTTTGTCGTCTATTTTGCTAATTAAAACTATAGCCCAACGCGGGGGTTACTGGAGATGGATCTTGCTCCTGAATACGGAGTTTGTCACCCACGCAAATACGTGAGGGCTCACAACTTCAGCACCCACAGGTCCTTCTCCTCACATACTGGGCTTATATACAAATAAACACAAGACGAAAAAGGTGTCTAATGGAAAGGAGAGATGACGCGGATGAGGTTGGGCTGGAGAGACACTCCACCCGATTTAATGGCGAGATGCAGATGTGAAGTATACGATGTTATGGACGATGGTATAATTGGCCGGTTCTTGTTAATATTTGCATCGATTGGCTTAACACGTGGGCGTTGAGCAGCAGCAGCAGCAGCAGCAGCAGTATATATCAAAGGAAGGGGGTTTGGGGTGTTGGGTTACTCCCAACCTTCCAGGTATTACCTCAAGATGCTGTGCGTGTGTATATGTGTATGTGTGTCCATTCCCCGAATTTTGATGGCCCCTTAGGTCGCCTATTCTCGATAGGAAAATTCAAAATTATTTTTTAAAAAACAATTGCCATCGATACATGATTGGGTGTACGTGATTCCTATGATGTTGTGGAGTTGAAGTCTTGACTTTTGTGAGGTAATGAATGGGTATAATAACTACCCCAATAACTACTGGTTTTCTTCACGAACACAAGTAGGTATCTACAATTCTACATAGGTATTAATGTATATTTATACTACTATATACCTACATAAATTAAACGTAAATGCCTACTCTAATACTACCTAGTACTAGATAATAGAAGTAGTAGAGGCACTTAGATAGTTATGTACTGTGTAGTGGTGGTTGATGGTGTGTAGATGGATAGGTGGATACTATGTAGGTAGATAAGCAAATACATGGAGTAGCCTACATACGCAGTCGTGGTCAGATAAGAGGTCGCATACTCCTACTAGGTATATACCTAGGTGTGTATTGTACGCAAGGTATCAATATATATGTGTGTAGTGTATGTTGGTATGTATATACCTACCTAACCTAGGTTTATACCTAAGGCATGTAATTATGTGGTGTTCCATGTAGAGTATGTAGGAACTACCACCATTACTTAAGGGTGAGCCACCTTCCATGCTACCTATACCCGCCTCAGACCCATACATGTGTGCATGTTGTGGAACATCACTGCCCTCTTCCTTGAATACCATCCATCCATCACCATCGACGTCCAATGCATGGGGGTGACATACAACGGTAAAGAAAACAAAATAGTCATTGCGCTGTCGAGCGCTTCGTTCCATCCAGTAAGTGAGCGACCCGCCCATAGTTTCGTGATCCACTATTGATCATCAATCACACCACTTTCCCGCAGCTTGATAACTTGACGAGTTTATTAAAGAGTGGCATCCACTTCCCCAGTTGGAGTTTACAACGTCGGTTGCCTTAATATATCAGGCCTTGACGATTCGACATCGTCCTCATTCCATTCGTCTCGGACCCATCCGCGGCTCATTTCAACCGCCCTCTCCCAGTGTTGATACATGCGCTGGGCCTTTTTACGGTCGACATGAGGGTCAAAGACTCTGCGACCGTGCTTCTTGCGTGTGAGCTCTACCAGCTCGTCGAAGCCGGTCCAGCATCCTTTAACTGCGAGCCCTGCGGCGATAGCAGCGCCCAGGGCCGTTGTCTCGCGCATTGCCGGGCGCTCCACCCGGATGCCGCTAATATCGGCCTGGGTTTGCATCGTCAGGTCCGAATTTGACATACCGCCGTCCACGGCGAGGGAATTGAGTCTGTGACCAGAGTCCTTCTCCATGGCTTCTAGAATAGCACGCGTCTGGAAGCAAGTTGCTTCAAGAGTTGCGCGGGCGATATGGCCTCTTTGAGTATGTTGTGTTATACCAACTGCGACACATTAGTATGAGGTCATCCAAGTTGTCAAAATGACAATGAAGCAATACTTACAGAGTGTTCCCTTCGCGTCGTCAATCCAATATGGTGCAAATAGACCACTAAAGGCAGTGACGAATACAACCCCACCGTTGTCCTTGACACTTTCTGCTAACTCACCAACCTTGGTAGAATCACGGATGAATCCGAGGTTGTGCATCAAGAACTTGACGCCGGAGCCGCCCACTGCTATACTACCCTCCAAGGCATATACGGGTTCTTGGCCCTTACCGAAGTCGAATGCGACGGTGGCTAGCAAACCATACTTAGAGAGCACCGGCTTGCTACCCACATTGTATAGCAAGAAGCAGCCAGTACCATAAGTGTTCTTGGCTTGGCCTGGCTTGAATCCACACTGGCCGACAAGAGCGCTGGACTGATCGCCCAAGCAGCCTGCGATTTTCACACCAGCAAGAGCACCTTTGGCAATTGTCCCAAAGGCTTCGGGGTCAGATGAGGGCACAATCTTGGGTAAGGCGGCCTTGTTCTGGTCAATACCGAAGAAGTTGAGCAGCCTATCATCGTACTGGAGGGTATGCAGGTTCATGAACATGGTCCTACTCGCATTCGTGGTGTCGGTGACGTGAATATTCTTTTCTATACCGTTCAGACGGTATATCAACCAACTATCTACGGTACCGAATGCGAGACGGTTTTCTTCGTATGCATGTCTTACGGTCAGGTTATTTTGCAGCAGCCAGACGAGCTTTACACTGGAAGGATAGGTGCTTAGAGGTAGACCGCATAGTTCAGGGATGGAATGGGCGCCTGGGTAATTCTTCAAGTCCCGAACAATATCCTTGGTTCGAGTGTCGGGCCATACGACAGCATTGCATAGGGGCTCGCCGGTGTACTTGTCCCAACATACTGTGGTTTCTCGTTGGTTCGTGATACCTACCGCTTTGACCTGGGACTTGGAATAACCCCGGAAGGTAAATTGTTCCATTGCCCGCTCGATACAGGTCTCGACAGAGCTAAGCAATTCAAGGGCGTCATGTTCATGCCATCTGTTGGTGCAAGAAGTTGTATTAGCTGATCATGATCGTATAGGGGGTATAAGTGTGGAGGATGACGTCATTGCATACCCCGATTCTGGATAAAGATTTTCAAACTCCATCTGATGACTGGCGACTGGATCCATATGGCGATTAAAGATTAGGAATCGAGATGACGTCGTACCCTGGTCGATACTACCGATGAACCATTCAGGTTGCCAAAGGCCATGGCTGGTGGTGGTGGTAGTGTTACGTATGGGGGTTGTGGTTGTGATAGTGGCAGTGTTGCCGTTGGTATTGCCATTGGTATTGCCATTGGTATTACCATTGGTGTAGCCATTCACACGGCCATTGGTTCGACCGTTGGTATATCCATTCGTGCGGCCATTACCATTGGTATAACCATTGGTATGGCCATTGGTGTTGTTGGTCTCACGATGGTCTCCCATTGCGGCGCTGTCGCTTTGCGTCGCAACTGTTGTAACAGCTCGAATTGCAATTCTATTCACGATTCGGTTTGCAACTGGAGTATGTCCTGATGAGGTTCGTAAAAGGTGGGAGACAAGGTGAGGCAATTTAGCCTTATCCTAGCAATTAGGGTCGAGATGGTGTGAATGGTGTGTGGTCGGCTTAAAGGAGGCCGAGTGGTAGCCCAAGACAGAAAATGGGGTGGTGGTGGTAAGGGGTACTTTGAAATGCGATAGTGCAGATTGGAAGAGAGTTATATATCGTCTATGATGGTTCGAGATAAGAGGAAAATTAGGATAGAAGAAAGAGAAGATTGGGGAGGAAGAGGAGTAGGAGATAAAGGAATAATAAGTCTTGTTATATGAGGAGAAAAAAGATGATATGGTGGCGTAATACCTCATGGTCTGGTATATATAAATACCTAGGTAAATGAAATAAAAAAGGGTAGGGAAGTTCAACTTAGTAGGAATATAGTAGATCGTGCACACTGTCGTACCTCCCGTTATACTGTATTGGTCCTTGGCAGTCTGGATGGATGTAGGTATGGATGTCAAATGTATGGGACGTGTGGATGTACCGATCTCACCCGCGGGCTGAAGCTCGTTTCTCACAAGGATGTTGGGAATGTGTGTGGATGGACGAATGGATAGATGGATGGCAATGGATGGCAATGCGAATTGAAAAATACCAGTACCTAATGCAATTGCGATAATGCAAGCTTCCAAGCTTAGAAGCTTTGAGAGAAAAAAGGAACAGGGATGATAGAGAGCCGCCGCGCCCGTGTCTTTGGAGAGCGAGCTGGAGCAAATGGAGCAAAGAGAACAAATGGGGCAATAGAGCAAGCAGAATGGAGCATCAGGTACGTAAGGTTGGTTAAAGGTTGGTACAGTAAACCTTGGCCATAACGATATGGAAAAAACACCACTCTTAATTCGTTATAGAGAGGTATCGTTATGTAGAGATGGACCCACTGTCATGGTCCGTGTACTTCCGTTGTACCTTTACTGCCATTTTATTAGAAAAGGTACTTACCTAATATTGTTCTTTTAAATTCCTTTCATATTTAAAAGATATTATGCAGTAAGCCAATTTTTCGGCGATTAGATATCGTGGCGGTGATTAGATTTACCTGAAAAAAGGACAGTCCAATTGGCTACCAAACGCAAAATTCCACTTATTCCACCAAAAATTTATCAAAATAAACGGTTTTTTACACATGGTCCATAACGATCTTGGTGGTGGCGGTCAAAAAATTAACGATATATCGCTAAGGTTAAAATATCGTTATTTCCCATACAAAATTGCAATGTTCCCAAAATTATATCGTTATACAAAAATATCGTTGTCTACCGAATCGTTATGGCCAAGGTTTACTGTACTACCAAGTAAGATGGTCCGTGGAGAATGGAGATACTATGTAGCATGCGGGGGACACATCATTGGATGGTTGAGTACTACACATGTATTTACTAGTAGTATCCCATCGGTCATATACCGGGCTTTTGTGGATTAACAAAATGGATTAACAAAATGGATTAGCAAAATGGACTAGCCTAGGGCTTGTCTTTCCCATCTTTCCAAATCTCTCTTAGAGTGAACTTCTTGTGATTCACCCCCACCTTCCATAAATTATAGAGGATTGGTGGAACATTTTGCAATTTTTTGGATTGAAGGGGGAAACCTCCCATTAGTTCACATGGTCAATATCAGTGTCACTACGGGTCAAACTAAACCTTGAGCTAAATTCAAAATTCAAACTAATACAAGCCAGGGGGGGCTATGTTATTGTGTACTTGCCACTACTTGGTACTGTTATGCTTACAATGTATGTATTATTAGCATACTCAGATCCAAATGTGCATGTACAGTGCTACCTAGCAGCTGCCTAGCTATGCACATTTCTTCTTAAACGTGCATTTGCACCTGCACCTGCACCTGCATGTCTGTACTCTGCAGTGTCTGCACTTGCATTTACGCTTACGCTTGCTCTTGCGCTTGCACTGGTACCCGAAATCCAAAACCCCCTCAATCCTTACAAGTAGATATTCCTAATTCCTTCGTTATTGTTTTTTTTTCTTTTTTTTTTGTATGTACTTTTTTCTTCTCATGTGAACGAAATCTTATTTGCTCCATTATCCAAAGCTATGACCCTATTTTCATCGACATCTTTTATCTTACTTGATCTTACGCACAGCTGCCTAGGTGACCCTTTCTGCATTCCCTGCCTAAGTGCCTGAAATGGGACCTCAAGGGGTGGATGGGTGAATGAGTGCGAAGGGGTAGAAATGGCAGAAAGGGTAGAAGGGGTAAAAGGAAAAGGCAGACGAGCAAAACAAAAAAAAAAGAACCTCCGACGCCGCCCCTTGAATTGTTTGTTGAGTGTTGAATGCGGTCAAGAGCAACAGCCCGTTGTCACCTCGAACAGCTACAATCGGCGATGCAAAAACACGAGGGACCACTTCACGATAATCTGTTCCGCGTGAACAATATTGACAAGTTAGAAGGCGTGTTTGCGACCGGGCGCAAGTTATTCATAGTATTATATGTGGACTGGGATAGCCACGTATCTCTGATTTCCATACATGGTTTACGTCAACGACTTTTCCTTGCAAATTTCCAGCTTGGTTTTTTTTTTCTCCGTTCTGTTTGCTCCCAACCTAGCAGTCCAGCTGACCCTCTCCTCTTCTCTCTTCTCTCTTCTTAGTCCTTTCCATCTTTGCTCCTTTTTTTTCTCACTATCCTTTTCTCACTTTTCCATGTCACCCTTTTCGATACCCCCTCTATAAAAAACCCCCTAAAAATTTCAGATATGAAAACCACAAACTTCTTCGCGGACTAAGTATTCAGCTAATCTTGGGCCTTCGTTTCTCCTACCCCTCATAAATTCTCAATCATGAGGAATTTTTGTTCTTATTTTTTTCACTTTGATGCTCTGTAGAATTTCAGCAAAGGTGATTGATTAGTAACTACGGGGTATGGTTGGGTACATAAGAAGCGATGAATACCCCTAGTTTGAATGGGCATCATCGCATTATCGGTTATATAAAGGTAGAAATTAGATTTGGTCTAGATGTTAATTATGGGTTCCACCCGTTGCGGCCAACCTCGCTGTCGGTCAATTGTGGGCCGGGGCCTCTTAAAAGTGTTTTGTAAAGTCGGAAGATCATCGGCTTCAACTTCTCTTCCGAGATATTATGTGGGGCCGTTGAACACCGAGTCCGGGGCATCTACCGTTGCTATGCAGGTCGTGCTCGTGCAGATGGCGTTTTCCAGACAACTGGTGCACATGTTCGTCCTTAGGAACGCGCGGTACACATGCACAATAGCATGCACCAACTCAGGTCTCCCCTGCTACTCGGCCATCCTGCTTGCTCCCCCCTTGCGACGCGGACCATGTAGGCAATTTTATTGGTTCCACCGCGGTGAGCCAGCAAAATCTAGAAGCTGGACCTGTCGATTTTTAGTCTCGCGTGACACTTTGCATACCGCTTTGATTCCCGAAACCCATTGTCTTTGGGCTCCGAACTACATACCCTCCCGAGTCCTATCTTTTGCCAAAGGGGCATAAGGTTTCAACGGGTGAGAAAGGAACATATTGTTGGTGTAACTCTGGTTTTTTTTTCCTTTTTTTCCTTTTTTCCTGAATAGGAATCCCGAACGAAGCTTAGATTGTGCCATGATGGATACGAGTGATGCGGGTCTGGGGCAGCAGAAGAACCCCGACTTCGCAAAGCAAGGGGTAACTACATATACAATACCTAGGGTACCTACGGACCTACGGTCCTATGCAGCAAGCCCGAAGTAAAAATGTACTCCGCTCACTCAGTTCACTATCGTGACGCGAATTCCTCTCTCAAAATTTTCGGCTTTACTCACTCAAGCTTGAGTCGCAAGAATAAAAGGCTTTGTTTGTCGTCTGCCTCGTACTCTCTACTATCATTGCCACCCTTGTAGTTTTGGCAGTGTTAACCTCTATGCGGGTGGGGGTGTAATGTATATATAGATATATAAGACCCTTCTTTGTCCTCTATGAGCCCCCTTTTGATATAATGATATCTATCTTTTTTTTTCTTTGGTAGACTCCAGTCCATCGCCTATGCCAGCATACTCCCCTTTCCTGTGGTGGGGGTTGAATGTCAGCCGTGCGGAACCTTCCATATCTTTGATCGGAATGGGTTCTAGATTGGCGCCGGCGAGATCTGCATTAGAGGCGCCTAATCCCTGACGTATGTAAAAGCCTATTTATCGGGTTAAAGGTAATCATGATGAGAAGACCTTGAAAATGTACGATAGTTAAGGACTGTGGTGATGATGATGGCAGACGATTAACTATCTGGAAAAGGGGGATTAAGGGACTCGGGGATGATGTGGATCAAGTGTGTGCGCACATGGCGGGTTGCGGGGTTCATACATATGTACATTCCCAGATACATATCATGTGCTAATAATATCAACCACCATCCACTACGCTAGCTTTATTAATTCTATATATCATGGGGCCTAGAAGGACTCATTAATTTTAAGCAAGGGAACTTAATCTTTCGTGGGATTCAACCATATACAGTGCCGGTACCCCGTTTTCCACAAAAGATAGCATACGTCGAGTTGGCGAAGAGCTACGCCGTTTTCAGAATAGCGAGCGAAGCGATGGCGCAAATATCACGATGAGGGAGGGGGGATGACGGAGTCGAGTATGAGGTATTCGTCCCCCCTCTAAGCCGCATAATTCCAAGCCGGATCGTGATTCACGGCGGTGAGACCTAGTAAGATAATACGTAAGAATACCCCGTCCGAAAGCTATCCTATCTATATATATAGGTATATATATCTCTTAAAAGTTCGAGGTAAGGGCCATTCGGCACAAATCTATCGGACATCTTACCACCTTTGGCCATTCGGACATATGCGTATTCGATCTTCAGTCCGCCTACCTCTTCATAAGAATTATCTCCGTCTAACTATAGGTTTCGGAAAGAAAATATACCCTTACCCGTGTAGCTGCCCGGACCGCTAGAGGAGGACCTAACCACGTACCGGGTCATCGAGCGAGCACTAGACGTAACTTCAAGGAGCGGTAACTAACCTCGAGATACCCTTTCCCTTGACTAAGGTCATCGGCCTTGGGCCGGGCAAGCCCGTCCTCCGGTCGCGAGTATATAACCGCCACGTTCTTCACCACCCGCTCGTCTCTGACCATCGTTCCACAATAACTCGAAGCAACCTTTTTCTCCCCGCGGCATCGTTAGTCAGGCCGTATGTCCGGGATCTGACCTATACGAAGCGAGAAAAGGATGTTCCGCGCTCGGCTAAATTCACCATCCTAGCCGATCCGGAAGCATGGCTATCAATGCTTGCCTCCCGATCATCGACATAGTGGCTGGCCTATGCGGTCCGGCCTTGATGATCTGGGGCAGGAAGCGAGGTCCCCTTCCTGGTCACCCTGCAGCGTAAGCTTATACCTGGGCTCCCTTGCATTTACTCTGTGGATGTTATGTGTCCCTTTAGGTCCACGCCGTGATATCCCGATCTAGAATCTAGCGTTGTTGCCGTTCTATATATAGTCCGAGAGTAGAAGCGATAGCCAAGAACGAATATATCGAAACTAAGTCTCCCGATCACGAGCACTTCAGAGATTTGGTCATGCTCACCAGAAAGTCTACCTAACGTTCAAGGCCTTACTACGATGCTGAGCGTTTTGTGGGTTGCGCAGACCGAGGGTAGTTACGAAGGCATGTTAGGCAAGCAGATTCAAAAACAGTCGACGGGAAAATGTGACTTTCAGGGGTTCGGGAACTACCGAGGCAGCCATACCCGGAGCCTCCATATCAACGAAGCAATGATATTATGAGGATATTACAAGCAGGAGGACGCTCTTGGTAAGAAATCATACGGTATGTCTTGAACTCGACCCTCCGTGCTAAAATCGCTACGGTACCTAGCAGAGCGCTACGAGAAGCATATGTGTGAATAATAGCGAATCGAGTGTAGGTATTATCCTAACGGATGACTATTCCATTCTATCTAAGCCAAAGATGGCTTGCTTTGTATAGGAGCGCACAACCGTGTCGGAAGCTAGCCAGAAGCCTGCTGTCTGTTTTGTTAAGAACCGACACGACAGCTACCTACCCTCTTACCAACTGGCAACGCCCCGCGTACGATGCTGACTACAGCCAGCAAGCACCTCCAGGGCTTACTCTTATTGTGGGCTGAGAGGGTAGATAGACTGGCCTTCATGAAAAGGTAGTGTTGCTGTCGTATAAGACGATTGGGATGGGTAGATAGGCGGGTGGGTGTGATACAATGGCGGCAACATAGTTGAGGTGACGATGGGTTCAAATCCAAGGACTACGAAAGGCCGTATCCACACGACGAGCTCGTTGCCTCCTATGTCCTTCTACCCCTTAAAAGATAATAACTTCTAGAGTATAGATATCAATACTAGGTATCTACTTATGTCGCTCATGGAAACGTACTTATACTTCGCTTAGATAGAATATACAGTAGAGAAACCTACTAGGTAACCAATAAGGGAGGTCCAGGTTCAGGAGGAAAGTCATGTGTGGTTAGATTTTAAATGTCAAGTTACATACTAAGCGTGTATCGAGGCTTGTTATAAGATAGATAAGTTTTGATCAGATATTCGTTTTGTTCTCTCCAACTTCTCTTTGAAGCTTCGCTAAGAGGAAAAAAAAAGGGGGGGAAGGGGTTAGCTACAGGACATCTCCATACAACATACCTATATAATAACCCTCTCGACTAAGCAGCATAACAATAACTCATCTGAATATTTCGATCTACATCACACCTCATCAGAACATGCACACATACACGCACACAAGAATATAGAGTAATCCAGGCTAAGAATTTGGTCATATACCATTCTCGTATACACCTCTCTCTCTCATGGTCTCATGACATACTAGCTGGGTACTATACTACGAAGCAAAAGATTGCTCTCTAAAAACAAATATTTTTATGCGAAAAGGACAGAATGATAATGAGACGTTTTCCCGTCTCTCGCTCTCGCTCTCTCTCACTTTGAGGCCCCCCTTCAAAACGCTATGGAATCCAAGATATTCGATAGCAAACGAGAATTTGGCAATGATAAAGATGAAGGGAAGTAAAAAAAAAAGGTGCTCGCAGCAGGTTTTACCTTACTTGTAAAATCCTCCACATACAACTCGACAACATTGGCCTAAGAAAGGCCTCTGTCTTGTCTTATGAGGTGATATGTATGTAGGTGCCGTGTACACTATGTGGGACAATGATCATCGACTTAGACGGCTCCCAGACCCAGCAACACCAAGTTCGCCACATTCATAGCGACGATTATGAGCCAGATCACGCCCGCAAGGATGGAGATCCACCACGGGTTCGCCATCTTGACGGGTTGGCTGCCGCTGGCAGGGCCGAGCTCTGTGCCGTTTGCATCGAGGCTGAGAGCAACACCGTTCAGGGTGAAGGCATCCTTGCCCTCGGTCTTATACCTCGCATTGCCTGGTTGGACAGTCATATACTTGTTAAAGCAGGTAAACCAAATGAGCGGAGCCGAGACGAAGGGTAGGACAACGCTGAGCGCAACCTGGCTACCGTTGAGAGCAGCGTTAAGTTTATCGCGGCCGGCAGCACCTGCGATGATAATACTGGGCGTAATGGCAATAGACCGCGTGATGAGGCGACGCACCCATGGCTGCATCCTCCATTTAAGCGCGCCCTCACAGATCATCTGCCCCGAGATGGTGCACACGATGCCAGCCGAGACACCCGAGAAGAGTAGCGCCAGCGCGAAGATGGTACCTGCCGCAGGACTAATGCTCTGCGACAACAAGTCGTGGATCCCGAAGATGTCAGCATCAAGGGCGTCGGGGTTGTTGTACAGACTTGCGCCAGCGACGATTAAGATAGCGCTATTTACGAAGAGCGCGAAGGAAAATAGAGACAGAGCTACTTCGGCGTACGAGTACTTGAGCGAGTGCCTGATGGATTTAAGGCTAGGCACGTAGTATGTCTTTCCTCCGGGTTCACTATCTTTGGTGCTGCTATTTGCCGATGGTGTCTCGAGCGGAAGCAGACCGTGCTTAGTATCGTAGTCTTTGAGACGGCTTTGCACTATACCAGAGCCTAGGTACAGCGAATGTGGCATCACCTAATCCTCAATGAGTAACTGCGTTCAAGAACTAAGGGAATTGACTGAGTGCGTAGATTATTAGGAAGAGAAAAAGAAGAAAACGGAAAGAAAAACATACTGTAGCACCTAGGATACCGCAAGCCTGAAACAGACCTCCGGATTGAATGATAGAATCATTCGGTACATAGCCTAGAAAGACCTCTCCAGGGGTTGTGTCTTCGATGAGGGAGAGCTGAATGCAGAAGCAGATAACGACTCCCATGACAAGGAGCATGACGAAGACCTCAAACATACGAAGCCCCCTCATCGATGCATCGGGCCGGTAAAAGAATAGAATGATCATTACATCCAAGATGGATATGGCACAACCAGCCACCAGGGGTATCTTGGGAACGAGCAGGTTTAATCCAATGGCAGTACCAATGACCTCAGCAATATCAGTGGCGATAATAGCGGCCTCGGCCATGACATACAAGAAATAATTAACCCATTTTGGTAGAAATGTGCGGCAAGCCTCAGCTAGGTTGAGTCCTGTGACGGTTCCCAACTTGATAGAGAGGCATTGCAGAAGGATGGCGAACAGGTTGCTCATCAAAATGATGAACAACAATCGGAATTGATTCTCAGCGCCTGCACTGATGTCGGTGGAATAATTGCCAGGGTCAACTGCAGAATTGGACTATGTTAATAAGTTCTCGGTTTATGTATGTATGCATTTACTTCCCTAGTAAGGGAGACATAGGAGAATTATAGGAGAGATATGGGAGGAAAAAAAAAGGAAGCAAACTCACTATAAGCTACAGCAACTAAGAAGCCTGGGCCGCAAAACTTCCCAAAGGTGATGATAGTATATTTGATCTGATCCAGTTTGTTTTTATACTTGCGGGATTCAATTGAGCGGTCATCAGGTGTGGTGGTGTCGTAACCTTCAACCACCTTAACAGACCCCCCTTTTGAGGTCTGGCCAATCGTATGACACGGGATGGCCAGATTGGGGGTGCTCGCGCCACGGCCATCAGGGTCCTCATCCGTGGTAGGGGATATGTCCTCGGCTATAGGCTGTCCTGAGTTGTCCATACTCCTTGAAGAAATCTTTCTTCTGGAGTTGGCGATGCCATTGAGATCTTGGTTTGTGATGAGGTCGTTTGAGAAGGCGTTGGGACTTTGGTTCATACCATTCCCTTCCCCTTCCCAAGGTTCCTCAGTATGGGATGTCTGGTTCATGTTAGCCCACCTTTTCTCGCCCCCATCTATTTTTCTTCTTTTTTTCCTTCTTTTGTTCTTCTCTTTTAGGTATTTAGGAAGAAGGCACTGAGTACCGCTAGTGGGTCTAAAATATGTATGAAGGAGGGAAAAACAAAAAGGAGTTTGGGAGTCTATGTCTCTGTTTTTTGCCCAAAGAAGTTGTCCAAAGACTATCTGTATGACCCTGAATGCATGTGAAAGGTAAATAAAGATAATAAGTAAAAATAAAAAATAAAAATAATAAAAAATATCCGCATGGCACGGTCCGGAGGGTATCGGAATAAGAAAGTGAAACTCGTACCGGAAGTTTGGATTCTATATGACCTGATTCGTTAATGATTTTGCTTAGATGCTAAAATTCGGTTACTTGACATGGGCTCCCTAAGCATTGTCCCCACTGAGGAAAAGAGCCTGATGGAAGCTTGACTAATGAGAATTTAGGTAGTCCTTACCCCGGAATTTAGCACGTAGCGTACTAATTCGTAGGGAATGTAGTCCCCCTAGTCCCCGAACCGTTTCCTTCTCTTCTTGCATCATCAATACAATATCGATACAATCACGATATCTTCCGTATGACGATGTGACTCCGGCCACCACGAGCCGAAAGCCTGCCGGAATTTCGTGGTAATTTGTGGTAAACACACTCCACTGTGCTACTATCAGGTACGGTTAAGTACTACCAATATATGTATAGAAAGTTCTATAAAAGACAAAACCGTGGTACAATAAATATGTATGTATGTATGTATGGCATGTATGTAGTGACACTTCTTTCATCCTTCGATTGCAAGATGGCACATAAGAGCTTTTAAACTTCTATTGTCCTCCCCTCCTCCTTTGTAAGTTTATCAATCATATCTGTACCTTGTAGAATCTCAAAATCTCAAAATCACAACACCAGGAAACCACTGACTAACTGATTATGCTGTTTCATGTCTATGTGCCTACAGTTGCAGTAGATCGTAGGAATACACACGATAGAGTATATGCAGCGGCTCAATACATACCGACATGCTTCATGCTTACTATCTACATACTACCTACATACTACCTACATATACGCAGTATCATATCATACTTATTTTTCGCCCTGTTCATGTATATGCAGTAGCAATGATAGTAGAAAGGAAGGTATCATGACATTATGCACTTGGCTCTGTTATGATAGAGATGCTTCTCAAAGGTTACACTTTGGTTGTATTGCTTGCTGCTCCTCCTTCAGCATGTCTTGGAATAGTTGCAGATAACTTGGAACTCGATATTATTTTCCTTCTACTCGCTTAGGTAGTAGTAGGTAGTGGTAGCTACTATAGACACTAGGCACTATGTACACATCTCTCTAACTAGACTCGTGATCATGTCTTTTTTTTTTTAAATTCTCCGTACGGGTATTTTTTTCATGTAAATGCTTCTCCGCGCAGTCTCCGGAATCGTACTGCCACATTGCCATTGCACATACATATGTAGGTAGGGTACCTACATATACATATACATATGCACCGATGCACGGAACGCTTCCGGGAATATCTTCAACGCACCCCTTCTCCACACATCATGGATGTAAATATGTAGTCCGCCTAGTAAGCCATTTCGGGCGAGTCTCGGTAAAACTGGGGTACCGCCGACAATATCCTAAGCTTGGTAGATAAATCGCTGATCATTGAGACTTCTTGCTGCTCGTCCTTTTATCGGTGCGCTCTCTTTCCCTCTTTGCGTATATCTCGGCTGTGAAGGGATTCTCGTACTTGAGGGCGATCTGATAAACGACAAAGACCCAGGCGGTCAGAAGGATCCCGGCCGGTTTGCCATACAACAGGGCTGTGCCCAAAAAGCTGCACGTTGAGCCGTTGTACATAGGCGCATCCGTGATGTTGAACGGGAAGCCTGTTACAATGTCGTCCATCAGAATTCCGAAATAGTCTCCTAGGAAGGTCCCCGTGATGCCTAGTTGCCAAGTCGAAGACAAGACTAGTATATTGCCGGCTGCAACAAGAGCATATGCGACATATTTGACCTCATCCAACTCGAGCAAAGGATAGGATGGCTGGTGGCGAAGGGCACGTTCGTACAGGAAGTCGCGCACTAGACCGATGGAGAAGATGGTGATAGCCAAGGCATAACATGCAGTCTGTGAACGTCCTCCAAACAGCTTTGTGAGTGTCTTGTCGCGGTATTCTGTGAGAAAATGTTAGAAATGCATACTACATGTACCGGATCAGAACCGGGGTTAGCAGACCTGATCGAGCTACAATGCTGCAGTTACTGTTAGTCTCCCTGTTATGCAGATATGCTTTATTGCTAGGTATGAATATGAGGGTATGATGATATGATGAACAAGGCATGCAACTCACTTCCAGAATAGCGGATTGAACGCAATAGCACAGGCAGAAACTAAGCTTATCAGCACACATTGGTCACTCCGGCAGTTAATATATTATATGTCGGTAGGTACACTTGACATACTAAACAAACTTGTCTGGCTTATATCAACCAGCTTAGCTGTGGAAGCTTCAAATGATGCCATGACTTCGGAATTGTACGTGGATTGTTGCACAAGTTGACAATGACGAAAATGGTGACGATGACGTTACTATGTAGGGTAGTTGGAGAAATCTAAATCTACATAAATACTATGTAAATCGTGGATTTCAAGGATTTCAAGGGTTTCAAGGATTTCTAGGGTTTCTAATACGTGGGTAGAGAGAGAGCTGAGAGAGACGTGGCCTGGGGGGGAAAGGACATCTGGAACGGGAATATTGAAGGGGAAACTTGCATGTGGTTGGTTCCAACTTCCCAGGCTCCGAGGTAGGTGCTATGTACCTAGTAGCTAGGTAGGTACGTATTAGGTTAAGGTAGGTACAATACACATTTAGCCAATTATTTTAATTGGAGTCATCAACTGTTCAAGGCACACTGAAGGTTCAACAATTCCCTGCCGTGTGAGACATTCACCAGTCATATGGTCTCATCCTGCACCTAGCTAACGCTTGAGCCACCTTGAATTCTTCAACCATTACTACTTACTCCCTTACATAGGGCCATAGGCACCTAAAGTCAGGACTTGAGTGTCAAAAGGGAACAAAATAATAAAAAACTGGATGTCTTTAACGTTATTTCTCATGTCACAACCTTCAATGTTGTATTCAACCAACTACCTGCACTGATCCATGGACGGCTCCATCTAGAAGAATCAGCCAGTATACTAACTACGCTTCTCCTTGAAAGAGGAGTTGGACTTAGCCAACCATTGCTTAGAGCCTTGGGGTATTCTATGGATAGCTTCCAAGGTTCTACCTACCTATTCTAGACCCATGAGTCTATCAAACGAATCATCATCATCTGCGCGTCCTTGTCTTTTTGGTCGTCTGCGTCGTATCCTCTTCCTCTTCGTCTTGCCCCTTCTTAAGATCATCCTCCAGACCCCACTCTTCTTTGTCGTACCAGTCCTCCCCGTCCGACATGTCGTGATGCGGCCCAACATGCGCCTCGAATTTCGACCACTGAAGAACCGTCTTCCGCAACCTGTCGGCTCGGAGTAGTCCTTCGTATAGTCGCTTTGCTCCCCGGCATACTTCCTCCTGTTTCTGTACATATAGCTGCAACAATCGCCGCATATCGTCCGCTTCCCCTTCCGGGATTCCTAGATCCCTATCGGGGCGAGCTGATTGGGGATGTAGGAAAAGAGGGTGTATAGGGGGTTCGTCCGTGAGTTCTGACAATACTGATACAGCCCGGCTACCCTCATGTTCTGTTTCCCTACGGGCTTGGCTATGCTGGGCTACTTTGTCTGCCCCCCCCCTTCTGGTGGGCACCGCTAAGGCGTTCGTTGCTAATGCGCTACGAGTACCCACCGTTTGCGACCCTTCAACCCCATTACCGGCATTAACAACTCCGGGCTGCCCATTCTCGATTGGATCAGCTTTTGTGTCTGCTTCTTCTGGCTTATCAGGTCCCCCGCTAGGTTTACTGCCTTCGGCATCATGACCCTGACTCTCGGTAACGATCTTCTCGTTCCTCTCTAGAGCGGCGGAGTTGTTGTCGGCGGGGGGTCCGGTATTGCCCATAGGGGTATCAATATCGCCAGTTTTCACTCCGTTGGCTGCTATTATATCATTGATAGCCACAGAAGGATCGTCTTTCGTGGCGGTCTTTACACCCTTGCCAGTCCTTACTTGTACATCCTCCAGTGACAATGTGTTGGCATCCGACTTCACAGATCCTTGCGCCTGGCTATTATAATCTATAAAGTCATCGCGATATAGTTCGATGTCATTAGGACCGAGCATGAGTTCGCAAGGCGCCCAAATATGGTCACCGACAAGTCTAGTCTGCAGGTGCTTGACTTTCCACAGCGCTGCATTTTCTTTGTGCATGATATTACAGCTCTGCTTCGCCAAGTCTGTGAGGGTTTTGGTAGTGTAAGGGCGCGATAAGGTAGGATGTGTGGGGAGTTCGGTAACAGTGGTTAGGGGGGCCAGAATATCTGCAATAGGGCGATCGTTAGCAATCTGGGAAACCAACAAGCAGAGGGGAAGATGACGAACTTTCGAGTCGCACATTCGCGTATGGATTGAATTCGGCTGCCGAGTTGGTAACATCTTGAATATATTCTTGGTCGTCGTCACTGTCGATTTCATAACCTTCGTCGTCAATGAGCGCTGGGTTTCGGCTAATGATGGCTCTCTGGTAGCCGGCATGGTTGACGACCTAGAAGAGATGGCCGGATTAGATGGGGGTCTTTTTAAAAAAAAGATCATCGTCACAAAGTTGTACGTCAGATTTACCTCCTTGTATACTTCAGGTCCAGATGGGGGTGCCAGTTGTCCCTCGTGGACAAACCTGGCCCTTTTCATCAATTTATGGCCTCGATTACCGTGGTAGTGGATTTCGGAATCAGAATCAGACTCTGAGGGTCAACGCGTTAATAGGTAAGCTGAGCAATCTATATCAGAGAGCTTACCATATGCCTTTCTCTTGCGGGCCTTCTTCATCGCCGCAATGGTCTCAGCGAAGAGAACTTGCTGAGACGTCATTGCGACCGTCTGGGCCTGTGACCACCTAAGTTTGTCGTTGTGGTATGTATATGAGGTATTCAATAATTGTACTTGAAATACCAGACCGTTGATGACGTAGAGGTCTCCTTAGTCGATTATAGAGTCAATTTTCGTTCGGTCGCAGGTTGGGACTGACGAGAACAGCGGATGTGGGCTGGATTAAGGAATCGTGAACGGTTCAAGAAAATGAGCTTCTGAGCTTCTGAGTGTCGAATGTACTGGGTAGTGTACTAGGTAGTAGTGTTGAAGAAAACAAGATGCTAAAATCTAGTTTCAATGAAGAGTTAACAATATGAGAATGGGTAGAAGAATACTGTCAAGAACAATAAGTTGGAAGAAGAGCTGGAAAGAAGAGCAAGGCTGTGTTGCCCGCAAGTGAGTGCGCGCGCAGGGACCAATTAGGACATCCTAGTACAATACTGTATTGTACTATGCCGATAATAACATAACTATTGCGCTAACACTTCTAAAGGTAAAGTCATTAACTCCCAATGCTTCTACAGCTCCATATTTTAGCCGTTATCAGCTTTATCAATTTTACCACTGCCCGATAAAGATGAGCGGCACAAGATGCCGCCGAGTTCCCGACCTTTAAGTGGGATCCCAGGATTCCAAGTTGTTTATACCAATGTGAGGTGAGGATGTACATGAACCCAAGTGCCCCCCTGTTGATCACCTCAAACTCCCCCCATTTTGGGCCGACGACTATACCTCATTCGGACAGGCATTTGGGCTGAACAGCTTTTTTAGGCACTTGGGTTCAACTTTTTGTCTCTTAAGGTTTATTTTTTCAAAAACAAAAAATTCATAATTAATTATTAATTAATTATAAACATAACTTTAAAAAATAATTATAATTATTATTAGGTTTAATATCTTATATATTTTAAGAGTTTTGTTATCCGCACCCCCCTTTTTTGATAAACAGGCCTTATTCGCACCCCGGTACATTAAGATCGCAGCGCAAAAGGTCCGAGCTTTAAAGCTAGCTTCCATCAAAAGATCCAGCATAACTTCCAACCCAGGAATCGGATTGAAGTGCATCTAACTCCATTAAAACCGTCTCAATTATACAATCCAAACGATATACGTTTCAGATTGATGCGACCGATGGTTGCAAAGTTATTTGAATTCAAAGATCAAGAAGCAGCTTGAAAATGGTACAAGTTGAAGTGGTCCGTGCGTCACATGATGCCCCTCGGCTAGCGCCAGGCTAGCGGCAAAGGGTCTATTTGACTCTTTTCTGAATAACTTTACAGCCACCGGTCGGATCAATTTGAAACATATATCATTTGGATTGTCTAATTGAGACGGTTCTAATGGAGTTGGATGCACTTCAATCCGATTCCTGGGTTGGAAGTTATTCAGGGTTATATGTTTGAAGCTAGTTGGAGCGCTCGGACGACCGGCATTTTGTCGCTTTTTTTCCATGTACCGGGGTGCGAATAAGGCCTGTTTATCAAAAAAAGGGGGTGCGGATAACAAAACTCTATTTTAATTGTATTTTAATTAATTGTTAATTGATTTTTAATCAATTGTAAATTAATTTGTAATTAATTCTTAATTAAGTTTTATTTAATTATTAATTGATTAAAAACAAATTGCTATCGGAGGCTTATCCGCACCCTAGTACATAGCGCTGGTCCGGGCTCTCCAGCTAGCCTCTAACATACTATCCTTAATAACTTTTCCTTCAATGGATGCATCTTGATGTAACCAGTATCATTAGAACCGCCTCAATCAGCACTTCCAAATGATATATGTTTCAAAGAAATGCGACCAGTGGTTGCGAAGTTATTTAGGGTTGAATGAAGTAAGCACTTTTAACGCTAGCCGAGGGCTATCACGTGATCCATGCGCCGATTACAGATGTATCTTTTTTCAGGTGCTTCTTAATCTTTAAACTCAAATAACTTCAGATTCAGATATCGCATCAATCTGAAACATATATTGTTTGGAAGCTCTAATTGAGGCGATTCCAATGATATAGGATGCACTAGAGCGGCAGCTTGGGCTGATTGAAGGTTTGAAGCTTGGGCTTTTTGCAGCCCGTTTTCTTTGTACCTGGGTGCAAAGGCAAAACTCAAAAAAATACGACGTAAGACTCGAAAGTTCAAATAATCAGGTGGGCCCCTGTAAAGCATGTGGCCAATTACAGCTCGCTAAATTCCGGATTTTCGTGTGACCGAGCCCCATTCTGGGTGGGCTTTATAGCGGGACACTAGGCCTAAAATGGGGGGAGTTTGAGGTGATCTACAGGGGGGCACTTGGGTTCATCTACCTCCTGATGTGAGGTCACTGAAGCCTTGAAATATAACCAGAGACCGTACCTAATAAATTTACAATTTACCTTAAGTAAGGCTACTAACTAACTACATGTAACATTTAAAAATGATGCGATTACATCCACAACCACAACCATTACTACTACCAGACCATACTACATAGTTTGAATCTTCGTTACTTGGAGCTTTAAGCATCTAGTTGTACTTCCATCATTCTTGGGTCATATACATTTCTTGACTTTACGAAACGATGCAAAGTGTATAGGTACCTACCTATAAGGTATAGTATCAAAAGACCTTAAAGCTGATCGTATATTTATAGTTGGACGAATGATGAACTGAGCCGACTGTAAATCCACCTTGGGCCGATCTCGTTCTGGCATGACCGGTCTCGATCTGTTCGTACAAACCTATTACATCAATGCCTCCCGATCTCCTGTACCGATAGACCAATGGACGACTATCCCGCAGGTAGTCTGGACCACAATGTCCCCTTCCTCGTCATCTCGGGCCTAGGCCATACTCATACCTCTACCAGGCCCCTTCTGATGGACCCGGACTTGAGAGAACAGAGCATACTTGTTCGGTCTGAGCTGCCTCCTATAGACACTCGGGAAGCAAAGACAATTCTGCACTATATCCAAGAGCAGGATGCCACCGACTTGCCTTGGAACTCCCGAGATACCTCGAGGAAATACAAGTTTAGAATCAGGACCATTGGGAGGGAGTTCTTGCTGCCGCCTCGTCGTGCACGCCTTCCTGAAAACTTCGAGGCGCCTCCATCTTCTGTTACTTTACATTCTCCGTTCTCGCCTCTCAGTCCTGGTTCTACCTTGTACCCAGATGGCTTAATAGATACGCGATGGATTCAAAAGCACCAGGAACTCATACCTAGTGTTTGCTTGGCTTTCTATAGTCTGGTCTCCGACCCTACTCTGGCGACCCTGCACGATAATCAACTGAAAACGGATATCAATGCTGTCAAAAATGCCATCAGCCAATCTGGCCATAGGTCTCGTCTAGTCGTGGTGATCGTTAGTGACCAGTCGCCAACATCCGTAAGCCAGTTCCAGGACAGGCTGGACAACATCAGGAAGAGCACAGGGTTGGACCCCAAGACTTCACTCTTCGTCCTGCCCACACAGCGGACCGAAAACGAACTAGAGAGTGCAGTTGATAACATTCTCGCCGTGGTATTCGACCAAGCACTCGAGTTCTACCGCGACCTTGGCAGACACGCACGTAGAAAGAAAGGAAGGGGGTTTGCGCCGCATCCAACTGTCCCGCCGACGAGTGGCACTTCTCATACCTTATCTCTTCAAGGTTGGAATGTTCGCTATGACTTCAAGACGGCCATCTTCTCAGAGTTTCGCCAGGATCTCGAAACTGCTTTACGTTCTTATGAACAAGCATACGAAGCGCTACTTGGCGCCGATGTCCTCGAAACTATTCCAGGCTGGAGTCCTCGGTTCAACGATGCTCGGCTCCTGGCTGATATAATAGCTGTACGAGTATTGAAATGCCTCTTATGGGCCGGACAAAGTACAGCCGCTGTGAGAAGATGGCAAGCACATCATGATAGGATAGCGTACCTAGTAGATCGAATGGGACGAGGAACACATAACTACGGATGGGAGGCTTGGGAAGCGCGATGGAACACGGTCATGGCTAACCTGATAGAAAAAGTCAAGTTTCCAGAATTAGAGCCATCTACTTTGCTACCTCATCGCCCGCCAGAGAAGATCGTCTCAGCCGAGCGTTTGCAACCATGGGAGTTACTTCACCACCAAGGGTATTGGTACCGTGCAGCCGCACGACACCTTTCCAAGAGACGGAGGCTAGCGTATGCCATCCCCGAAGATGACCGGAAACCACCGGATACGGCCACATCGACCAAAACAAGCAACGCTTACAGTTACGACACTTACATGTGTCCAGAACCGTACGACGAATATCCAATATTCGGAACTGGGGTCAAGCATGGAGAGCTAATCTTGAAGCACTTGGTGTTGGCGCGAAGTGAATTCCACAAGCGCCATCAGTTCAGAACATCGGCGGAGCTAGCGCTTGGATGTGCAAAAGAACTGGAGACAATGAAGGAGTGGAAACAGATATTAGAGATACTGGCGCCTCTGTGGAGGAACATGTCCTTTCGTACCGAGGGTTGGTGGGACATCATGGAAGCGGTGAGCTGGACTTTGAGGGGTGCAGCTGTACAAGTTGGCCGAAAAGACATTATTGTCGCCATTGACTGGGAGCTTCTGAATAGGGGTGAGTAGGACTAACCACAGAAGCTAACTCAGGGGGTTAACAAATCATAGGTTTCTCTAGGCAACCTGGCTGGCATTACGACATGACAAAATCATTGAATGATGTAGCTGGCGAAGGTCGACCCGTCCTAAGTATCAGCGATGAACACATAACGTCGTTCTTACAGGCCTCGTTTATCTTCAAAAATGAAGAAGGAAAGGCTGGTCAAACAAGCCTTGCCCAACTTTCAATCACATCGAATTCGTTCCTGGATGCTGCCCCGGTAGTCCCCGAATCGATTCGAGTCGAATTTGACGGCAGTTTACGGACGATTCGTCTAAAACATCAACCCAGCGATGTTCCAATATCAAAAAAATCAAGGCTACGAGTCACTAAATTAGCGCTGTTAGAGGCAGAGAGCAGCGACGGTGCTGGCTCTGATGATGCTTCAGAGACAAGCGCCGAGTCGATTCCTACACTTTTACTTGAGGGGGTAGACGACTTGACCCTATTACCAGGCCAGACACGAGTTTTCGAAATGGACGTCCCTTTGAGAGAACCCGGTGATGCTAAGGCATCCTCGATAGAAGTTACAGTAGCTCCGCCATCCTTCGTGTTTGGATACACAATGAATATTCGAGAAACAAACTCTGTAGGCTTATGGCATTCACAGTCATCTTCACGAAACAAGATTACGCGATCAAATCCACAGAAGATCAAGGTTCTTCCAAGGCCACCAAAGATGGCTATTAAAATTGTGAATACGCTTGAGCAATATTATGCAAGCGAAAAGATTGAGCTTGAGATAGAGATCCTCAACGAAGAAGATGTGGACGCTAACACCAGATTGGACATTGTCCTATATGGGCAAGACATCCCTAGCTATAAAGCACGAGTTGGTGATAGTGGAGAAGAGATGTCGAGCCCGGCAAATGTAGAAGAATCGCGACTGGATGGACTGCATGTCGGAACGATATCTAGCTCTAACTCTGAAAAGGTCACTATGACTCTTGACCCTATTGATGGGCCCATGGTATTTGATTTAGTCGTGAAGGCACGGTACCATCTCGTGTCGGACCCAGGGACACCAATCATCCAGCAGGCAACTTATAGCTTAAACGTTGTCAACCCCTTCGAGGCGAGCTATGATTTATTTCCTAGGCTACATTCTGAGTGGCCGAATTTCTTCAACACCGAAGCTGCGCAAGACTCGTCTGACGGGGATAAGGAAGATATCCGCCCTCGAGGCATAGCCCAGAAATGGTCGCTGGCGACGAGGTATGCCTCTTTTGCGCACGAGAACTTGGCCATCACCGATCTGGACGTTGGTGTTATTTCCACTCAAGGACGCGTAAGCTGCAAGACGTCCAAAGGTCAGTCAATTGCGGATAAGGGCGTGATTATCAGCCCCAAGACGATAGAGGAAGCACATTTCGAGGTTATTGCGCAGAAGCTAGACCTCGATGACAGATCACCAGCAACGGCGGATCTCGTTTTTACTATTAGCTGGCGACGAATCACGCCATCGAAAGGGCCGGTAAACACGACAAAGCTGCCGCTGCCACGATTTCTTGTCGCAACCTCGGAACCTCGGGTTCTAGCCGGGGTATCCTACTACTCACCACCCGGGCCATCTTCTTCCTCTTCTTCTGGATCTGCATCCGCATCCGACTCAACACCTCAGCTACTATTCCTAGACATCACGATCGAAAACCCATCCTCGCACTTCCTGACGTTTGGACTTATGATGGAGCCAAGCGAAGAGTTCGCGTTCTCGGGGGCTAAAACTACGACGCTGAACGTACTACCCATTGCTCGGAGGTCTGTAACCTACCGCCTGCTGCCGCTCGTCAGGGGTGCGTGGATCCGGCCTACGCTCGTGGTACGTGATAAATATTTCCAGAAGGTCCTTAAGATCATCCCAACCGAGGGTATGAAGAGTGATAGAGATGGTGTATTAGTGTGGGTCCCACCCGAGGAGGACGAAGCGGATGGTGATGATGATAATGGTACCGCAGATAACGAATGAGGTTACTTCCTTGAAGGATGATGAGTAAAATAGCTGGGAAAGGGAAAGTTAGGATGAATAACGGCGGCTACAACTATATAGGAGAGAAGGTTCACATTACATACCTACGTACCAGTACATATGTATAGGTAGTAATTTTGATGAACCGAATTAAGTTCTCACGATGCAGCAAGCATAGTAGGCTTGTACCATATTATAAATGAATTGGCGTCCTTTGCTCTTAACAAGGGGTGTGTGTGCAACAACGATAGGTATAACACATGCAAATCTATATATAGTGCCTAACGTATCCATACGATGCATACGCCTATACATGGTAGCCTGGATCTGACTCGGGGCTTAGGGTTACCCCGTTACTCGGAGATTCCGAGCAAGTTACATCCTTCAGCTATCGCAATCATATGTTAACTCCTTGCCACGACCATAAATCCGAATCATGAATGCGCATCGCAAGCCACCATCCAATTAATGAATGCTGGACATGTCACTTTTCAAAACTACCAACGGTAATCTTAGCATAATTACTGGCTATTTATTACAATTCTCCCTTGCTTGGCTCTCCTGCTTGGCTACGTCGATGTAAAGAAAAAGCCCAAATAAATATTACCTATGCGGTCCTCCCTCCGTCTTCTCTTCAGAGGAAGACAAGTACCTTCTTGCTCCTCTCCTTCCTCTTCTTCTCCGAGACAGCAGCAAATCACAAAAATGGCATCAGTGACAGGCGCAACTGCCACGCTATCGTTAGCAACGTACCACAGCACCGTTACTGTACGGCCACCGCGGCCTGCTGAATTCCCGGGTCTTGGCCCCGAAGCTCACCACGTTAAGAATCGCCATGGGAAGACCGTCAAATTCCAGAATCCGCACACGTCATGGGGCCCCCCTACACCTTTGGGCCTATTAAGTTTGTTCACGTTCGTACTCTGCCGTCTATTTACACTTTTTACTCTCTCTTTTTCTTTTTTAGAAAGAAGAAAAAAGAAACAAGGTTCCGGCGCGTTAGCTAATGATGCCAACCGCGCAGGAAGTTGGCAACGGGCTTGATGCCATCGCCGGATGCAAAATTAGAAGACAACCTCGTGCCTGTCATAAATCCAGAGTTGCTGCCAACGCGCTCATCTCCTTCGCCTGCGCTCCGTGCCACTTGGCTCGGCCACGCCTGCTATTACGTGGAATATCCGTCGGGGCTCCGGGTCCTGTTCGACCCCGTGTTCGAGGACTGCTGCGCGCCCGTCAACTTCTCCTCCTTCAAGCGGTACACGCCGCCTCCGTGCAAGATCGCCGACCTCCCCTTCGTAGACGCCGTCATGATCAGCCACAGCCACTACGACCACCTGTCGTACCCGTCCGTGCAGGAGGTGCAGAAGCACCACCCGAACGCGCACTTCTTCGTCGGCCTCGGGCTAGAAAAATGGTTCAAGAAGGGGGGCTTGGAGAACGTGACGGAGCTGGACTGGTGGCAGGATGCGGAAATCACGCTGGCGCCGAAAGAAGGCGACAAGGAGAGCGGGCCCATCACGGCGACGATATCCTGTCTCCCGTCGCAGCACAGCTCGGGCAGGACTTCGCTGGACCGGGACACGACGCTGTGGTGCTCGTGGGCGGTGACGTCGGGGGCGCCGCCGGCAGACAAGAAGTCGGTGTGGTTCGGGGGCGACACGGGGTACCGGTACGTACCTAAGGTAGCAACGGGGGTGGACGACTACGGGCCGGAGTACGAGCACCTGCCGGTGTGCCCGCAATTTCGGCAGATTGGGGAGCGGTTCGGGTCGTTCAACGTCGGGCTCATCCCGATCGGGGCGTACTACCCGCGGCCGCTGTTCTCGGGCATGCACGCGAACCCGCTCGACGCCGTGGGCATCTTCCTCGACACCAAGTGCAAGAAGGCGATGGGAATCCACTGGGGCACGTGGGTTATGACGCCCGAGCCGGTGCTGGAGCCGCCGCAGCTGCTGAAGGAGGCGCTGGCGAGAAGGGGGTTGCCGGAGACGGGGCTTTTTGATGTATGTGATATTGGCGAGACGAGAGAGTTTTAATTCCGAGGGGGGGGTGTTCGATGTCAGGAGGGCATAAGATGGGATTATGGAGTTTGGTGGTCATAATCGAAGAGTATGTACTGCTAGTATGGATGATCATTAATTAATTACTTACATGACTACTTACACACTTGGATTATTATGTAATGGGGGTTTTTATTCATAGATCCCATCATCATTATCATCATCATTATCACCGGCAGGACAGGCCGTTTGACGATCTTCAAATGAAGACGGGATAGATGACTAACCTAGAATACATAGATGACTGGAAGGAATGTATTGCACAATACATACCTATTAGCCCTGCTGGAGGTATTAGGGGAGGTATTAGGTAGCAGCTATTAGGCACTGATAAGGCCCATAAATAAATACCCTAAAACTTAAAAACACAATGGTCCAATGAGAACACCCCATATCACTAGGTACGGAAGGTGGCTGCTACTGCTACTACACTGGCACACTGCAGCTACAGTAGTACAGTACAATACAGCTAACATGCTAACCCGGATTCTACGACCCGCGCGTGAGCCCGTGAGCCGAGCCCGTGATTCATCCCGCGCTTTCTTCTTCTTTTTATTTTTCTTTTTTTTTCTTTTTTATCAACAACGCTACTAATACAGGACTAGACCAAGCGAAACCAAACGAGACGAGGCCAACACATCAAATGACTGACTGTTTGCTCACCCATCCCGAAACATCCTCTGTGTCATTCACATCATCCCGTCTGCGCCATTTGAAGAAAAAGAAGAGGAAGAGAGAGAGAATCGATGAAGCCATTTCGTCACTTTCAATTATCTATCCTCCCTTCTACCGTACTTACTTAGGTATTTAAATAACCTGCTCGACAGTCACTATGCATCAACGACCCCATTGGATTTTCTACCTTTATAGCTCTAACCTCTCCCAACTTTTTCCCTTATAGAGATATTTATGTGGCCGGCCTTGTGATGTACTTCGGTCTTCATTTTTGCTTAGGAACCTATAAAAAACGAGATATCAGCTAAGATGGATGGTCCGGTTCAGAAACTGATGGTAGGTACATTGACGAGTATTACCAGTACTTAATAAGAAAACTGCTTTTGAAATCAATCCTGCCGTGTTTTATGGTCAATCTAGTTAACCTACGAGTATAGGACGAGCTTCGGTCGCTCCTAGATGAGACCACAATTCTTTCTATTTCCAGTGACTATAACCTGGAAAACCCCAAAGAATTTGCCCAAGTGAGGCAAATTCTCCTCACTATATCTCAAGATGTAGAAGCCGAAGAAGCCACTGGTTTCAATCCGAGTGGTCTGGGGGATGATGCTATAGACATCAACCCCTCCAACCAGGACAACGATCCTGACGTCGTTGGCACAGCTAGTAGTGATATAAAAAGCGTTGGTGGGCTCACTACTACAACAGAGAATTCCTTACGCCCAAGTCTCGTCTCTACAGAATCGTCTAGGGCGTCATCACGGGAGACTCCTGGGCTCATCCACGTCAATGTCTTTGACGGACTCAGCGATGGCGACAAGGAGCATCAACTTGTCACCATGTTCAGTTCACTCAAATCCATTGATGTGAAACGGGCACTGCGAAATTCAAATGGCGATGCGAGTCTCGCCATGGATGAACTCCTTAATCTACAGTGGCTTGAACAGACAGGTCTACGTCCTAAGGGTGTTGACGGCTTCTATGTGTCGGACGATGACATACCTAGCAAAAAGAAAAAGGGAAAGAAAAGAAAAGGATCCAAGGCAGCATCTCCCAAGGCTACCAATTCGAAACGTCCGCTGGAGGATACAAAACTCAGTGCGGCAGCACATAATGGTGAGAGTTAGGCTCAGTTGTTAATTTTATATTTGCAATATGTGACTAATCTGTTGACAGACAATATCACCCTCATATCTGATCGACTCAACCTAGCACCATCCGAGGTGACGAGCATTTACCGACAACATGAGTGCTCTTCTGGAGCTACCGTTGAAGAAATTTTAAAGAATTACATTTCCCTAAACTTAGAATCTACAGATTCACATTTACAGTCCGAGATCCAACGAGAGGCAACCAAAATTTCCTGGGTGCCTCCTGCATACATCAAGGCAGCCTTCGAAATATGCTCGGAACCAAATGATGCGAGAGATGTGATTCACATATTGAAAGATCATTTTCAGAAGCCGAAGACGACATACGTAAAATATGACGTATCGTATAATGTGGTAGCGTCAGATGCGGATGTGATAGAGGCCCCATCTCCACACGCCAGAGCGACAAGTCCTGAGCAGTTACCAAGAATCTCTACAAATATGCGATCATCGACGTTTGGTTCGCTCCAGCAGGTGCTCAATTCACCAACTAACTTGCAAAGTGCAGCTGTTTCTTCCGCATCTCTCGCAGAATCAAGAAGGCATTCAATCGCCGCAGCTAGCGCAGCAAACCAGAAAGGCCGATCCAATCACTTATACAGACAGGTAGGGGCATTCTATGCGGAAAGGGCCCGTGAGCAGACGGCGGGATACTGGCAGGCTAGTAGCTTAGAAGCAAATTCCCACGTCGACCAGCAAAGCACGCAAAGCGTCATCGACCTCCACGGGGTCACGGTGCAAGATGGCGTTGAGATTGCTCTGGACCGGACATGGAGATGGTGGCAAGGTCTTGGGGAGGAACGAACTCGGAAGGCGAAGGCTGAAGGGCTGAGAGTCATCACCGGCATTGGAAGGCACAATGCGAATGGACTATCACCATTGCGCAATGGCGTGTGTAAGGCACTTGTTAATAACGGATGGAAAGTTGAGGTGATGACTGGATGGTTCCTCATTACAGGAAGGAGAAAGGGGCAATGACGATAAACTTGAGCCGCATCCCAAGAGCCATGAATAGGCGGTTCACACAAGTTTCAAGTTTACGATATGCTACATTCTGCACTGGCACCGTTTCGAGGCGGAAGATCATGGAGGCGTGGATTGTGCGAAGGAAATTACCAAGGCTCGTTATTCCCACTATATGGAATACGGCTTTTTTCCTTTACAGGGAGGGCAGTCAGTGTACTTTTTAGGTTACTTACGCCGTACAGGCAAATTCGATAACAATACCAGGATAGAACATAAGCTGAACCGAGCTGGGCTGGGCTAGCGGTTGGCATTGGTCAAAGGAGGGTTTGGCCTTCAATGTTTGTTTTGCTTATGGAACAACGATTGGCTTATACATAATATCTGATTCATTGATGAAGAAAGTTACATATCTGCATGTAGGTAATCTGGAGATACATAATCCAAAGCCAAGTGAGAGCCCAGTACCAGCCTCGTAGTTTACGTATTCCCCCGCAAAATACCACGCTAATAGATACGGTATTGTACAATTCTGTCAACGTCGGTGGCGATTTTATTTTTTCAAGTGTTTAAGTGCTTAGTACTACTGTAGGTACGAAGTACTTGATGGCAATTACGTAGCAGCATTCAAGTAGCTCAATATGGAAATAAGTTCGCAGAGCATATCATAAGTATTCTAGTACGTAGGCATTTCAATTAACCCCATTACTTTAAGTTTGCTTTTATGGCTTTATCGAAAAGACGGCCTTGTAACTACATAATGGTTAAACTCTTAAGCAAATTCAGAAGTCCCTAGTCCGCGGCAATGCCGACACAGCGCCGACTTTAGCGGTCTTTTTGACTAAGATAGAAGTTGCGACTTACAAACCAGAGAGTTACAAGAGTTCAAAGTTGCTATAGTACATAACTAGGTTAGGTTACATCAATGTAGTAGTAATGTACAAATTACACAAGCCGCAGACCGTGACAGCCGTGAGTGAGTAATAGCATCCTAGTTTTGAGGCCCACTTCCGGACATCTTGCTTTGATCAACCTTGGAACTTCAATGTTCAATTCAATTGATGTTCCTTGCCGACTTAGCCTATCCAAGGTACTTCTTCGAACTTTACACTTAACTACCTACTACACAGTCCACACTCTATTACCAGTTACCTACCTACCTAGTACATGTACTTATTGAATATAACTTACGTACTTTAAAATATCATACATACTGAATTTCGACTCTCTTCTTGACTTTTACTATCCTAAACCTTAGTTATTGCTATTCCATACTCTGGCGTCAGCTATCTCTATTCCCTCTCTCTTTCTTATTTCTTAGAATAAGCCCTCCTCTTCTCTTCTCTTCCCTGTCCCCATTCAATACAAAATACAACCCACACAATCTAGCTATTGTAAGACGAGAGCACCCTCGCGTGCTATATTCAACTACGATGACGAGCGAAACTGCCGCGCAATCGCCTTTGGCAGCATCCGATATGACCCTGGAGTCTTACAAATTCCCAACCCATCGTTTGGTGCGACAACAGCGCGATCCCGAACGCATCCCTCTGGTGCTTGTTGCCTGCGGTAGTTTTTCGCCCATCACCTACCTCCATCTCCGAATGTTTGAGAGTATGTATTTTAGAGTATTTGCCGCATTTCATCCATGAATATATTCTTTTGCTCCCTTTCCTCTGAAATTAAGGTGTTCGATTGAGAAGAAAAAAAGATTCACCATTTCTAATTGAACCTACAGTGGCCAACGATTACGCACGCATAAATACACAGTACGAGGTTGTCGGAGGCTTTCTATCGCCAGTGTCTGATGCGTACCGAAAAGCTGGCTTGGCAGAAGCGCGACACAGGCAAGTAATAATCTAGAACCCCCCCTCCCCGGCACGATCATCGTATAAGCTAACATGTATTTTGTCATGAACAGAGTAACCATGTGTGAATTGGCAACAGAAGAGACATCAACCTGGCTGATGGTTGACCCTTGGGAGGCTCTCCAACCCCAGTATATGCCCACTGCCAAGGTGTTAGACGTGAGTATAAGCCATTTAGCCCATCACAAGAGTAATCGCTGCCGCTCAATGGCGTGAATAGCACTCCCGATATCGCTATGCAATTATTCTGTATTTGCTAATCAAAACGTTTAGCACTTTGAATATGAAATCAACAGTGTTCGCGGCGGCATTCTCTCCCGGGATGGAAAAAGCAGCAAGCCAGTTAAGATCATGCTACTCGCAGGCGCAGATCTTATCAGTACTATGTCGACACCTGGAGTCTGGGCCGAGAAGGATCTCGACCATATCCTAGGCGGCTTCGGAGCAATGATAATCGAAAGAAGCGGAACCGACATAGACGAGGCTCTTGCCAACCTTAAGCAGTGGGAACATAATATTCATGTCATCACGCAGATTATACAAAATGATGTGAGCAGTACTAAGATTAGACTGTTCCTGAGACGAGAGTGAGTTTATACCCTTCTTCTCCATCTTCTTCCCATAAATCGAAAAAAATAATAATACTAATGGGACATCCTACATAGCATGAGTGTGCAGTATCTGATACCCGCGCCGGTGATTCGATATATCGACGAACATAAGCTATACACAGAAGATAGCGGAGCAAAGTCGAAGGACAAGCAAAATGCAGAGAATTAAGTCATCAACAAGCTACAGACAGACGATTTCGGTTATTGACGCTTTATCGATGCGTACGTCATCTTGGTAACTGCTCTAAGGCAACCAGGGGTTTGGGGGGGAATAGACTACGTCCTCGAGGTCCTTAATGCTGCGCAAAGGCACAAAAAGGCATAAAGTTGGTTGCGATTTATTTTCTCCTTTTCCCAAAGCTTAATACAAAGCCACGACGACACGCGACAATGCCATGGCCTCTTACTCGCCCCGATTCCACATTTGAGCCGCGGAACCGTGAGTTTGGGGGGAGAGGGGGGGTCGCTTCGGGGCATTCCCCAGTTAAGCCAAAATGGGTCAAAGAGAAAATGAGCAAATGAGGGGCAACCAAGAAAAAGAGGGGGCTAAAAGGTCTCACGGGCTTGTTGTGATTTTTACCCCCTCCACCACCTTTCACAGCCAGTCTAATCATCTACAATGATTCTACATACCTACATATGCCATACATATGGTAACCCCAATCGGTATTAATTCCCCGGTGGAGTTGATAGTACATGCTACCTACACGGTACCTAGGTACCCAAAGTCCCAAGCAACACCTGGCACCTTACACCTTACACCTTACACTTTGGGGACTACACATGTACTATTGCAGGCTACAACATTACCAGTACCTCCTTGCCTACATTTAGGCTGCTAGGTACATACTTTGGACCATCTCAAGATGCTTACTGGCTGACTCATCGAAGAAGTTCGGAGGAACCTCTACTCATACACCCTTGTCACTCACCCCTGTCGCTTACCCTTGTTTCTTTATTTTCTTTTGGGTTAAAGTTATGGGATATTGAGATATTGAGATATTGCGTTATTGGTTATCGGTTATTCCCATTTATTAGAGATGATATCCATCCGTCCATCCTATACATAGTACACATAGAGTGTACTTCCATACCTTATGTAGTACTAGTAGTGCATTACATTATGTACAAATATACCTGGATACCTACATATATACATACATATGTAGATATTCTTACGCCTTTTTACCTGCATCTTGCATCATGAAGGACTACTCTCTCTTCCCCCCCCCTTTTTTTTTGGGACTGATATTGGATATAGATTCGACTTTGAGCAGGTAGAATTATAAGCCGCATAACCCGTTTAGGTCATAAGAGTTAGTATAAGGTAGGTAGTGCCACGGGACATTCGATACAATGTCGACCCCGGTTTTGCTCTTGTGTGCAGATGGGTGTCTCTGTGGTACTCTCGGCAGTTGTATACTAATGCTAAGCTATATACGTTTATATATAGGTACCTAAGGGTCAAGTAGGTAGGTATTTACTGTTAAAGGAGTGTTCTTGAGTAAATCACCCCCTTTTTTCACTTTCCCCTTTTCTCTCACCCACTCTTCATCGAGAGTAATGAGGGAAAATGTATATGGCAGAGTTCTTATGTAAGTATATGTAAGTATGTGTAAGTTAGGCTACTGGATTTCTAAGTTCCTCCGAGGCAGCCTCCTTCATTTTACGTCTCATAGATAAACCCATCTAAAAGGTACTAGGAAGCAAGCTCAAAGTAAACTGAGCTAAGTGCTTATTTCGACCATCACGCCTATTGTCCATATAAACCTAGGCATCTCCCTCTCTCGTTGAGATAAAGCTCGAAGACTGGTTTAAGATCAGGGTTTGTTGAGAGGAAAGGACGTTCTAATATGACATCTTCCAAGAACCCTCCACACTAATCAACCTTGACACCAACCTTGTCGCCTCTCTCTTGAGGGAAAAGAAGAAAGCTGCCTGTGAAGATGCGGACATGTTTGATATTAGGCAGTGATCTTGAAGAATCTTATTGCTCGCTCTACATGAGAGTTCACTATGTATATCACACTATGATGATACCTAGGTATTAAAAGTTTGCCGAAGCAATAATGGGTGAATTTTGCTAACTGCCTAGGTCGTGATAGCCTTCACGCCACTTCCTCTCCTTGTCATCATGGGTAAGAACTATATAGCTTATTTTTTTGGAATCAAAAAATAAATATATATAATGGCCCCGTGTTCTTTCCCAGCTTGGAAAAGGGTATATAAACTGCAGGTCCACCCCCAGCGAAGCCTGTGAGAGCTCCCAACCGGATTACCCTCCTACAGATTTTTCAAGTGAACGAAAAGAAAAAAAAGAAATAGGACAAGGGGGGAAAAGTCCAAATCAAATTATAGCGATGGCTTCCTCCGACAACAGGGCGGCCGCCACCATCATGGCCAGCGCCTTGCTCCTCCCCATCGTATCTCTGCTCGACCTCGCCTCCTTCGCCGTGAACTGCGTCGCCACCGCCCTGGGCATCGACACCAGCACCAGCCGGCGGGGGGACACCCGCACGTTCACGGAAAAATTCCTGCGCGACATCCGGCAGCCCCCGCCGCCCCCCGGAACCGTGTGCAAGTGGCTGCGGGCAAACCTGCTAGCCTTCTACGACGGGTGGGTGTACGTGCAGAGACAGAGGCGCCAGCAGCAGTGGCGGCCGGGCGGCCCCGATGATGACTCCCACGTGAGCCGATATCTGCGCTGCCGGCACTGCCTCGAGATGGCGGTGGAGTACTACGACGTCGACTCGGAGGACGACGACTACGACACCGACTCGGAGGACGACTACTACACCGACTCGGAGGACGACTACGAGACTGACTCGGAGGGCGACCAGACCGAGTACCACGACTTCGGCAGCGACGGCCCTATCGGCCACAATAACCACAGTGGTAGCGCGGAGCAAAAGATCCGAGAGCTCATGTTCCAGAAGGAGGACCTCCAGCACCAGCTCATCGAGACGCGGGTGCTCCTCTCCGACACGGCCGACGCCAACGCCAAGCTGAAGAAGCAGCAGGCGTGGCTGCAGTGGCAGCTGTTCGCCGCGACGGACGGCAGGTACAGGGAGAGCGATATGCCCCAGCCCGGCTCGTATCTGGCCCCGCACGTGATGCCGCCGGCGGAGGAGACGTACAGGGCCAAGGGAGAGGAAGAGGGCGAGCACCAGCACCAGGGGGAAGGCGAGTACGAGAACGGGAACGGTAGCGAGCAGGGATATAATAATTATGAGGACAGTGTTGCCGAGCCGGGCACGGAGGGCCCTGATTACGATGGGGATAGGGACGAGGATGAGAACCAGGCAAGGAGGGAAGACCCGGACTTGGAATTGGGCTTGGGAGTGTAATACGGGGATGACGACGGATCGTTTCGACGGACAGGAGGACCCTAGAGACACCGGGTCCTCTCTCGTCTAAGATTCCATCCACACCACACCGCCACTACCACCACCATCGCAAGTACCCGGTCCCTTCCACCTTACCCATCCACACTCTGCCCCCTCCTCATTTATAAGTAACTAGTATTGGGGAATTCAATCCATGGATAGATTGATACATTCCAGGTTACATACCTAGGTTAGGTAGGTTAGGCCAGTCTATCCTCCTCCCTCCCCTGAGGTACTAGGCAGACTAGGTTAGGCACAAAGCAGCTACCTACTATTTAGGGAGATAGTATAATTTAAAAAGGCCAGCGACGAGCACTCGATACCTATGTGTACCTATCAACTGGATGAATCGCATCGATTGCTTTTATGCTATCTGTCTACTGGCTGGTTGTAAGTGAGTTAAAAGTTACTAGATATTCCAAAAAGAAAACCCCCCAGCTTCGTTCTTATTTCTCTCTCCTTCCCCCTTCTACATATTATAGCCTCAGTGAGAGCTACTGGGGAAGCTTCGCCATTATCCACTTGTCCAATACAATCAATACAATAATATACCATCCCAATTTAGCCCTGATTCGTTTGTTTCCCTCTTTTACTCCTAGTAACCCAGAACAATGCACTGTTTGTTGGACTTGCAAATTTCGCCTGTAATTTACATCTTCAACCACCCCTACTTCCTTCCCTCTTTCTGCCTCTCGTCTTACTATTACTCCTACTCGTCATCGTCCGAGTCGCTCATGTCATCTGGGACGAGGGCTCTATATCTTCTGCTGGCTAGATCCTCGACAAGCCCCCCTTCACTCTCAGGGTCCACGTATCCTTCTCCACCAAAGAGCGAGAGCGCCACGGGCAAGAAGATGAGGGCATGCGTAGCTGCGAGGACAACAAGCGCGAGCCAGACGCGGAAGTAGTAAATCTCGAAGATCTTGGACCGGGTAAAGGCTAGGACGCAGACGCCAAGCAGTTTGGTGATGGTGATGCCACTAAAAACAGAGCCACCCACGTTGACAAGCGCCGTCCAAGCCCGGGCGTCCCTACCACGGAAGCGATTCTTAGCCCGCTCCATTACGGAACCCGATGGGAACATGAAAGCGCGGGCGATGTGGGCGCAGAACTCAACTGCGATACCCACGCAGATGATCAGATTTACTAAAGACACAGCGTTAAGCGACACGTCGAAGGCCGCCATCGCGCCAATGATGTCCACAACCGTCATGGCAACGGTTAGAGTGACCACGAGCGCGGTGGCGACTGAACCCAAAAGAATGGTTGACACGACGAATATGATAGCTACCGCGGAGCCGAGGAGCGCACCAGCCAGATTGACGATGCTCGCATACTGATCGAAGAATACATAAAAGACGCTGTAAGGGAAAACTTCGACGCCCGTTTGAGCACTGATATCATTAGCAATGCGGCGAGCTGATGCGTAGGCATTAATAAAGTCGTCTTGACTACGCAGTGGCTTATGCATGGTTCGGAAATGGCTCGCCGAGATAGTGAGTCGTTCACTATCTACGACAACAGCCTGGCTGTACGAGGCCTGGCCAGCCAGAGGGCAGTCATCCGTGGTGGGAGACTGTAGGTATTTCTGTAGGTAATGGACGAATTCATCTCCTTCAGGCATGCCGTTCAGAGTGATGTTCCAGGATGGGTCCCGATCAGCAAAGCACACCTTACGGTCTTCCTTGCAGCAAGCTTCAAAGTCTGGGTTAAGCCAGAGGAAGAAGTCATCGAGCCAGCTTGCAGTCGGCGAGGAGATGTAAGAAACGTCCGGCCGTTTTCGCTCTTGTTCTAGTATATTCGTGAGGGACAATTGTTCGCAAGATGTGAAGCGCGAGCAAACCTCTTGCTGCCCGGCGCGGTACGTTGCATTCAAATCTTTGGTGACAAAATAAACAGGTGGACCGGTATCCATGTAGCTGTACATGTCATTGAAATAGTCGATGAGATAGGAATCATCGGGTAGAGCAACTCGCTGGTCCAAGCCAAGTTTTACGTACGGCATCAAAGCAATAGCCGCCGCAAGGAGCCCGAGGAATGCTGCAATGACGAAAACTTTGACTTTCTTGCCGAGGAGAGCAGGCGCATAGCATTTTCGAATAAATTGCTGTAACCAACTCTCATCCGGTACATCATACGGGCGAGGGCCGCCAGGACCGTTGCTACCGCTTAAGTGAACACGGGCTGCCTTGACCTGGACACAGGGGAAGCAGTCTGCTCTGTTGTCTTCGGTGCGCATTTGGTTGTAAGATAAGATGGAGATGAAAAGCGTCATCTGAAGTAGCGCGTTGATGAACACAGCACCTGCGGCATAGACGGCGAAATTTCTGACAGCTGGCATTCCTACGAAAGCGCCGAGAGCAAAGGAGACGGTTTCTGTAATCGCCGAGAAAAGGATTGAAGGGCCCATTCGCCCGAGTGCTCTGGCTATCCTCTCCTCGACCATAGCATCTGGGTGACTGAGGTTGACACGTTCAAACTCGTGGACGATCAAGAAAATGTTGTCTACTCCAACAGCCAACACAATAAAAGGGATAACTTCAGCGATGATGAGCGTAGCCTTGATACCTGCCCAAGAGAACAGCCCAATCGACGAGGTAATAGACATTAAGACAATCAGAATACCAATGAGACCGAGTGTGAATTTGCTCTGGACCAAGGCAACAGATGGGTTCCTAAGTAGTTCGCGGAGAGTCATGGTGGATGATCCCAGAGCAAGCGACACATAGACGAACATGACAAGATAACTGATGACAATAATTGTGGCGTCCGAATTGGTCGACTTGTTCAACTCTTCCTCCAAACTGACTTCTGTAGAGAAGGAAAGTCGAAGGCCCCGATCTGCTGCTTCCTTTTGAACATCCAGTAGTCGGTCTTTTAGAGACCGCTCCCAATCCATAGCATGTTCAAGCTCTGAACTGCCTTCGGCATGGTTGTTGACAACCCAGGTTACTGTCATAGCTCGTGCTTCGGTGATATCGTCCATACTGTTGTAGCCACCCAGGATCATATTTGGCTCTATGGGTTGTCCAAAATCAGGCCGGCAATTCACAGGAGACTCGGCACATTCCTTGAACTGCGACTGCCAATTCTTCGTGCCATCGAAGTAAACCGTTGCAGACTGCACAACACAAGCAGGTCCGGTCGGTTTGAAGCACACGTCCTGGAAACTAGTGCTAAACTTTTTGCCCTTAAGCTGCTTGACGCTGGCCTCCACCTCTGACCACCATAGTAATGTGTCGTAGCTTAAGACTGGGGAAGGACCATATGGGTTGGTGTCATTCACTAGGAACACTTTCTCTGCGCGATAAAATGGACCAAAATGTTCGTCAAAAAAGGCCTTCTCCTGAGCCGCCGCCGAGTCTGGGCTAACCCACAGTCTTGCGGGATCCTTTTCCACATCAAATTTGACCCAGCCAACGCTGAGGACAATGACTAATATCAAACTGAGGAATATCGTAATTCCCGGGAATCTTGCGCAGAGATGGCCGAGCTTGCTAAATGTAGTATCGCACCAAGTATTTATCGCGTAGTTTCTTTGCGGTCGGTCGAGCATAGCTCCATTACGAACGAGGTCGCCTTCATCTTCATCGTCACTGGGCTCAGCACCGTGCAGCAGGTGAAGCCGTTCACTCCGCCGCTGCGCATGCTTCATCCAAGCAACGTGACCGACTAGGGCGACGATGAGGGTGAAGAGTAATATTCCATAGGTAAATATCGAGGCGAAAGATAGGCAGGGGAGAACACCGACTCGACATGATCCCGCTTGTTTCACATCCGGCAGTTCCGGACATACAGCAGGACAGTCGACACACGAACATCGGAAATTGGGATCTTCGTCGTTGCACTTTTTGGGCTTCATGTCGCGCGGTGCCATACGGGGCTCGGTATACTCCACGGGGAAGTTAATCTGAAAGGGTGACCCGATTGCTTTCTCGTCCCCAAGGAATTTAAGGAGTTGAGTGTAGTTCTTCGCACCGCCGCCAATGAAGTCCATAGCCTTGGAGTTCGAAGCGCCGAACTTGACTTCTTTACAACTATCGTAGAAGCCCTCGCCATATTCCTTGGATATCAACTGGTCTACCTCGGCAACCAAGGTTTTCCCATTCTTCTCGATTGTTTTGGTTACGTTTATGAACAGCGACTGGTCCGGGGAGCAACTGAAGGAGCAAAAGAGATTATAGAAGTTTTCTTTGCAAGCGGGACAGGAACCGATGATCTGATTCGGGGTTGATAGCTCAGACTTGAGTGCATCAAGCTAGATGAATGTTAGCAAGTAGCTATTTTAAACTCTTTTAAAACATGAAAAATCTCAGAGGATGAGATGAGAACCAAACGTACCTGTTCTGGGCTACAGCAGACCTTGCTATCTTTCCATTTCGCGCCGCATACCGCCTCAATGTTTTTGGCGAACTCGGGATCAGGAGTAGTAGCTAATTCGTTATCAACACATGGGAGCTGTTTACCAAACCAACTCTTCTTGCCGCAATGACCTCGCATGGCGCAACGGCCAGCTTCATGTTTTGGCGTATAAGCCTCATCGGCCGCGACGCCGCTGACAAGCAGCAGAGCGCCAACGACGAGGCGGGATATTCGAGCCATAACAATGCTCTTCTACAAGTTTGTTGGATGGAGTAGTAGCGGAACCATGGGGATTGATGTATTGAATGAACTTGAGATATTAATATTGTAAGTGCGTAAACTACGATGGCGATGGTAATGGCGAAGTTAATGCGTGATGCGATGATGTGTGATGGGAGAACGGATATGATGATTAGGTTAGGTATTACACATGAAGTGGTAAGAACCTGGATGTTAAGGAATGTATGGGGTAATTTGATATTTAGCAGCACCTACATTAGTACCTACATACATACCTGGGTGCTTGGTTGTGCCCAGTTAACCAGTGCGTCATCAAACCATAAGCCCAATGCCACTCTCCTCGGTCCTGCATCGATTAAGTCTTGGCATGGCTAGGAAGTGGGTGCCAGGTCATCCATATTTTGCTGAATACGGCCTAAGCGCATCCGCTTTTAGTTAAGAATACGATGGTACCTGTCTGCTTACAGTGCTTAGACTCTGCTATGTATGTAACGGATAGGTATGTAGTTATGTAGTTACTACTAAGTAGTATATGCATTTATTGCATATGTAGTCTAGTATTCGAAGCTCTCGTAGACAACTTCTTCACCTTCTATCCACTTCAATAGCCTTCTCAACATATCTGGTCCAGTACACGCGTAAAACTTTCTTTTCCCTTTCTCACCTTCAGCTAGGACATCATTTTCATCCATTCTTCTCTCCAACACCTCGGCATCCAACTCTTGAATTGCAGCTATCCAGGCTCTCCCTTCGGTGTCTATTTTTCCCGTTACAAAAAGCCTTGTGATCCCACCTAGCCCGTCTATCCTGCCTAGTACATCCACGGCGAGCGGGAGATCCTCTCCTTTCAGACTCCACAGGGTTCTTAGCGTCTTCCCGCTACCTGCCGCCCTAAGAATCCCAGGGGCTTGTGCCATCAACGGCGTGATCCCAACACCCGCAGCCACAAACACACTCACACCATCCCGTCCATCCAAAGGCAGTCTAAACCCCTCGGCGCCGCCAAACCCTAGCACTGGGATCTCCAGCGAGACTCTCGAGTTCCATCTCTCCAGGAACCTCGTGGCCGATCCGTTTCTGCGGACTGTGATCTCGAATTCAGGCTTGACGCCATCCCGGAGACCTGCTTGCTCATCCACGGCATCCACGTCTAGCGGCCGACTAACCGTAAAAGTCCGCACGAAGTCATCGTTGAGACTCTGTGGATCGTCATCACGCATGTGCGCGTATCCTTCATCCAGTTCTGCCGCAAAGTCTAGTGTAACGTGTTGCCCGGGGCGCCATGCCTTGAGCGGTTTCTTCTTATTTCTCGCCTCTACTTTGAACGTATACCTTGCGATCGTGGGCGTGATGACCGTCCGATTTATAAGCTCCGCTGTCGCAATGGCATCTTCATCTGCTTCTTCTTCTGTAGAAATGACTGTCTTCTCACACGCCAATCTCCTTACGGCAGGGTTATACGGTGAGTAATCAACCACGTCGCCGCGAAATGTCAGCCCATCCCTTACGAATCTCGCCTCTTCGACGTCAATCTTTATCGCCAGTTTCGCACGCGGCATGTACGCTGTTGCCTTCTCGCCCACTAGGATGCGCGTTCGGCCGGTGAGATATATCACATTACCCGTGGCAAAATCCGGAATTACGAGTCCAGCGTACGGATCCTGCTGAAGATTCCCAAGCGTCTGGTATAGGCGATTGCCGGAGAACTCCGGGTAGACCAGCGTCACCCCGCCGTTTTCGGGGGTTTCGTTGCGCAGAATGCGAAGGAAACCCGGGGCGCCACCACGGTGGTTCGTGTCCATGCTTTGATTGCCGTAGCGACTTGCGATAAAGAAGAGGTCCGCCTTACGGATCAAGTTAACGGCGCCTTGTGGTAGAGGAATGCCCGCTCCCTCGCTTACAAGCTCCGGCGAGGGGGTGTGAGGGGTTATGTGCTTCTTATTCAGATACTTTGGGCAATTCCCTAGAGACTCTTCGACCTGGAATGCCATCTGCAAGTCGCCTACTGCATTTGCATCTCCTTTCCTCGTCGCTGTACCCACAACCATCCGTCCCGCAATCTTGACTCTATCCCTCGTCGCCAAATCTATTGATAAACCCGCCATCAGCACCCCACCTTCAGGCTTAACAACCATATCGTCAACAATATCCCTGTCACCCTCCCCCTTCCCTTCCTCCCCTTCAACTGCGAACAACGCCCTAAATACTGGATCAAACCTCGCATCCACGCTCGCCTGAACGCCCAGGATCCCCCGCGCAACCGGCTGGCAGAAGCCTGCCTCGCCTCCCCAAATTGTCGCCCATGGCCTCCCGCGGCGGTCCAGCGTCCCAAATGCAACCAGCGGGGATATCGCGATGCGATAAGCAAGCATCTGCGGTAGCCCGCGGTGCGTAGGATTATCCCGGTGCGGTAAGCGGAGCAGCTCATGTACCGCTTTCTCGCCGGGGTGATACCCGGCCTCTTCGAGGGTCACAAATTGTGCCATCTTTGCGGGAGCTACCTATCTGCTTCGTATTGAATATTAATCTCTCCCTAGTGACTAATCAAGAAACAGAAGAAAAAAGGTATGCTGTCGTTTGCTCGTTCAGTAACGAGATGCGTAGATCGAGTGAGTTTACAGCACGTAGTAGTACATGTAGTAATTAAGTTGGCTATTTTTGAAGGGTGAGCATTGTGCAAGGTTATATACACCTTTATAGGTGTGTATACATATCTACCCAAACGACAGTTTGGGATGGATATAAGACGGATTACTAAACACCCTACATCCATGTCGTCCTTACCATCTCACATGGCTAACTTGGAACATTGAGTTTAACGTACTAATCTGGACATAATATGTGCAAATCGCCACCATTCACCTCAAGCGTCAGCAAGAAAGGTAATCCATGAGAAGTTTTGGGGCATAATGGCTGACCATTAACCATACTCGCCAAGGATGATGTGGGATACCTATGCCTAACGCCCTAATGATGTCAAATCAAGAAGGGCGCGGCTTAGAAATTACCCACCTAGGTACATACGGACTACATTCAAATCCCGCGGGAAATCTCCATATATGATGACCATTGTTCAAAGGGGGTTAAAGCCGAGCAGCGTTCCGTTGTATTCTACAATAATAGCTCGAACTTAGCTACTTCGTTGTTGCTCGCGGATGTTTGCGAATGTAGTAAAGTACATAAAAGTTCCGTTCATTAATATCATTTGGGTTCGCCATTCAACGCCGTCTTGTCCAGACGCTTCCCAGCCAATAGAACATCCCCTTGGATATTGCTAAACCACCCACGCCAGTTAGAATGGAACAAAGGACATCACCAATACATCCCCTCCCCAAATGGTATGTATGAAATTAGGGTATCTGTCCATCCCTCTACTATCACATAAAGCCATTCCCCACTCCTTTTTTTTATATTTTAATACAGAATATTAATACCTCGGAGAGCCACGCTGCGATTCTAGATCGCCATCGTAACCGTCATAACCATATGCAGGCCTCATGTTTTCTCGACCGGACGGCGTTTCAGGGCGCTGGTTGAAGTATCCCTCGGGCTGTCGAGGTGGCATCGGGGCTGTCATGTTTCGTTGTGGCTGAAACCTCTGAGCTGGAGGCATGGGGTTTGTGACGCTGCGAGGTGGATAAGGCTGACGACCGTAACCCGGTCCACTTGGGGGACCACGATTCGACATGATAGACGGAGCTGGACTAGAGCGCCCGCTAAGCCGGTCGATCGGACGAGGCATAGGTCGACCGTAGCCATCCATTGGAGGGGGTGAACGGGCAGGCTGTGGCATAGATGGTAAACCATCTGGCGAATAGGTAGAGGGGCTCGAGGCGTAACCGCCACCATATCCATTTCCGAATACACTTCCATTCGTCTGCACACGACTGGGCGGCATACCTGGGCCGTAGCTCCGATTCGACATTGCAGTTCCTGGTCGAGCAGGCGGCGGAAAGTTGTTCAGATCCATCTGTGGTAAGGTTGGCGCCGGTGATGCAGATCGTTCAAAGCCCATCGGAGCCGCTCCGTCCATCAACGGGGCACGGGAAGAAAACCCTGTAGATGTCGTCCCTTGTCGTGATATTGGTGGCGGTCGTTTCTGGTCCCAGGAATCAAGCTCAATACCACGCAAAGAACTAGGTCGGGAGTCGTATGGTGGCAAAGTAGCCATAGTGTCATTGCGGCTGAGCATAGGCATCTCGGGAAGTTTGTCGTCGTTGCCAGCATCTAGGAAGGTCGGCAATGTCGCTTGTCGTTCCATCGGTGGCTTTTCACCCGTCTTCTTTGCAGCCCTAAGCCCTGCCTTAAGTCGATCACGTTCTTCTCTGGCGAGTGCCTTGTTGACCTTGACTGTTACAATCGACTTCAATCTCTTATTGACCTTCCGTTCGCAATAGCCATGGAGGCCACCATCCTGGCGAGGAATGTAATGCCAGAGAAAGAAGACGTAGAATAATACGGCAATAAGTAGGAACAACATAGAAAACACCCAGATGATCAAGGTAAACACCATACCGGAAAGAATCACTACCTGCTGCTTGTTTTCATTGGCAAGATGCTCCAGTTTGCCCATGAAGTTGCCGAGCGTGCTCTCGACTGAAGAAACATCGGTTGGAATGAGATTGGAGTTGTAAACAGAATACAACGTCATTGCATTCACCAATTGACGCGGTCCGGAGCAGAATATGGTTCGAATCCAAGCTTACACCAAGTCAGTAACATACTCGCCCGACTCTCCGAGATCATCGCTTACCACTAAAACTGAAATAAGTGAATAGGGCGACATATTCGGCACCCTTCTTAGACTTGGTCAATTCGGCAAAAACAAGGAAACGTCTCCATCCCTGGCCCTCGCCAAATCGAACACTCTCCAAGCGCACTGCCAAGTTATCGAGATAGCATTCAGCTACGCTTCCTCGCTTCATGACCCTCATTGCTCGTATATGTTCGAATGCCAGATTTATGAAGGATGCGATGATGCAGATTGAGAAAACCCATTTCGATACGTCTATTGGAATAAGCTGCGTGGGCTCAATACTGGAAGACCATGTGTTGAAAGCCAATAAATTGACGGCAGTGAAGGTGTCAACACTGTAGACGGCCACGGAGATAATGAGAGAAAAGTAGAGGTAAGCGTAGGCGAAGGGAGTAAAACAAGAAGTCGACTTGAAATCTTTCAGACTCTAGGTAACGTAGTTAGTATGGCATTCGACCTACATGTACTGGTGCCTTGGAGGAAAACCTACGATCGCATCCCACGTCTGCTCGGGTCGAACCTCGACCTCTTTTCGACCTAGACAACCCATATTTATCGATGCGATAGCCTTCTCCCTTCAGACAGGAAGCAAAAGATAACTGGCAAAAGGAAAAAAAAGGTGAGAGGAAGGGGTATCAGCGATGGCGATCGAGAAGTAAAAGGCGATGTGAAAGGCGAAAAAAAGGAATCGAAAGGGAATGAATGTAGTCGCAATTGTGATGCTGCTTCGTTGAATGTCCTCGTCGTCGTCAATCGATGATCAATTGCCAAACCGGACCGGCCGTTCTGCACATCCGTCGTCCCTCGCCTGCGAAGTAATCGACTATGCTTTCGAATCGAAATGAAAGCTACGGCTAGGGTCGCAGGACAGCAAAGAAAAAAAGAGTTGAGAATAGAATGAGATTCCCGGAAGGGGCTCGTGAAAGAAAGACAACAGTGGTGAGGATACCGGTCCCGAGTCGAGTCAGTAATGATACGGTCTCAACGCCACTGACGGAAAGACATGCCAGTTAGCCAACAGACAAACTAGCGGGTTTCGACGATTCCGATAATGCGGGAGCCGCGGTTATTGCGGATTCATTTCGGCCAACGAGGCTACCTATCGTAAGTTGGACCTTGCACAAGAAATTGAGAAATTGAGAAAGTGTGCTGCACGGCCGTTTGATATGTTGGCTGATGTCGTTCGGCTTTGTTTGATCGACTCCTAGGGCACAATGAGGGAGTGCTTGGACGTTCGTGTGTCAAAAGGTCGAATGGGGCTAGATATGGAGTGGAAGAGAGACTCGGGACTGTGTGGGTATGTTAAGGCAGATAAAGCAGTTAAGGAATTGAGATCAGGTTATGATGGAAAAAGAATGAATGAATGAATGATGAATGTCGTCTTGATTGATTTCTGGTTGATTTCTGGTTTCTCCAAGGTTTCCAAGGTTTCCAAGGTATATAATTCGACCTCGCACCTCTTCTTTGAGAAAAGGGAATTACGTTTGCACCTTGCACTTGGCGGTAAATGAGTGTTCAAGCAATTGAGCTTTTACTATGGTACACTATGGTACTAAAAGACTAAAAGATGGAGATAGGATAATAGGGTATGAGAAAAGGAAGACGAGGGGGGGTTTGGCTGGCCCCTACATTCGGGTTTTCTCACTTTCGTACTCTCTAAACAGATGCATACGCATCAATACGCATGTATGGGGGGTGGAAGGGAGGGAGAGAGCCAGGGTGACAGTTTTGGTGGTTTGAGATTAAAAAGAATAACGGGGATTTAAGCATGGAGGACAACGTAGTAAGGTGGAACCAGATGGTCAATCAGGTTGTTAATTGGCTGTAACCGTTCCTAATTGGACCCCCTTTTCCCCTGTCATGCAAGGTACCGACCCCAAACGTGGTTTAGCGCTGAACCCCTTGTGGTTCCTTCGGCGGTTTGAGAAAGATAATCGTCGCGGGGGACCCTCTGTACTAGTGCGTGTAGTCCGTTTACCGTCCTGTAGTGTTTATCTTGGCGCTCTGCATTAGGTAGGTACTAGTGACTAGTAGTGAGTTAGCCCCGCTACAGAAATCCAAGATTCTACATAGTAAGGCTAAACACGAAAAGAATCATAATAAAACTGTTCAATAATTAACTAAAAAGGAAACGCAACGCAAAACATCGAAACATCAAACGTCAAATAGTTATTATATCAAATCTTGACATATCCACTTAGGTATGTTTCCAAGCCCGTGATGATTCGTTATAAGCATCGAATGGCTTTTAGCGCTTGACCAGTTCGAACCTCCTCAGCCAACAACACCGACCTACAGTACTTACATACCTAGGTTAGTGTACTGTAAGTAGGTAGGCATGCATATGTAAGGCTCCTCCCGAGGGGCCCCAATCGCAGCGCTTCTATATATACCTAATGATCGCCTACCTGCATGACAGAGCCAACCAGTTCCGAGATGGAAAGTGTACAAGATCCGCAAAATGCCAAGCCGACGATTATCTCCATATTGCAAGCAAAGAGACTCATGTTCGAATTTGCATTTCCCGTGAATTGGCTTTCTTTATGCGTTTTCCTGCCGAGATTTGAATGGGGACGAGAACGGCAGGGGGGGTTTCACTTCTGCAGTTCTGCTACCTACTTTGATGACTAAGGCTCGGACCACCATGTAAGACATGTCTGTGTCTACCTACCTACATACTAATTACTACTAGTAGTACCTAGGAATACTTTCAGCCAACGTACATACATACATATACATATGTGTGATGTATGGAAGTAGGGACATCTACAACGTTCTAGTTCTGGTTCTAATAGTAGGTAAATCTATGGTATGAACAGAAATGGGCAGAGTAATGGATGCGGACGGAACTAGATTGGGCATTCTGGACGAATTTGTCTCTGGAATGTCCCCCTATCCCTTGTACGGACATGAGAGAACAAAGGCATTGAAAGATATCAGCACCATTGAAAGGTATCAGCATCATTGAGAAAAACAGCATCATTGAAGGGTATTAGCATTCCAAAGAAGCCCACACAACATAACCTCCCCAACCAAGTCAGGTTTACATAGTACAATTCATAACCTGTTCCTCTTCTTGGATATCTCATTTTATCATTACGTCTTGCTAGAAACTGACATCACCATGGAGTTTGGGTCCCCTTTCGATAACCTCGCAAAGGCTGTCGAGTATGACTTCCTCACTGAAATTTCTCCCGGTGTATGGAAGATAAGTCGCAGACACGACAAGGTGGAATTTATCGCTCATGATTTCACCGACAAGTTTACAGATAATCCCCATATACCCCTCGAGAAAGGAGGATCAGACTTCTATCACTTGCTCCATTCAGGTAATGCCCCGTTGGAAGAGGCGCTCTCCAGCGTTCTCAGCCACGAGAATCTAGTATCGTTAGTGGATTGGCTCCCGGTCCAGAAAACAGGTGGCGGAGGACGTCCCCAGCTACGCTACTACATCGTCTGGGACTTTTGTAACGCTGGAAATCTGGGAAACCTGCTTGTCGAAAAACCTTTAGCCCCCATCGTCAACAAACACCCGCCGGATTACGACGAGGAACCGTTCTCGCCCAACAGGGTACTCGACCAAGGGCTTACAGAACCACCAGAGCCACCAAGAGTGATGTTCTTGCCAGAATCTCTTTGTTGGCACGTCCTGGTCTCAGTCCTTAAGGCCCTGGCGTGGCTACACGATGGTAGCCGGCAGATAAATTCGCACGGCAACGGTAATTATGGGATGACGCCGAGCCGAGATTGGCAGCCTATACTACATCGCGATATCCACCCCAACAACATATTTTTCTGCCATCCTAGACGCAGGGAGTGGTATGGATATTGTAAGCTAGGAAACTATGGCTCCGTGTCCATATCCAACCACCATCACGGTAACGGCAAAGAGCATGCTGCCTCGCGTGCTCGAAGCAAGCCCCTAGCACCGCCTCCAGAGAAGGGCTTCCAGCCTCTCAGGGAGCTTGTCCAGCTAGACGCTAAGTGGAGCTATACCTATCCTGAGCAGGTAAGTTATACACCCCCCCTCCCCCCTTTTCCCTTTAGCACGCTGAATTAACCATGGTCCATTAGCGGGAACAACCGTACACTGTAATTAGCGAATGGAGGGCTTTTGGAGAAATCATGCAAGCGATGATGATCCCTCCAGCTCAGAAAAATCACTTGGCTTACGTGGGCATGACGCGGGTGGAAGAGAATCTCAGGTACTCGGCCTACTCAAGCGGGCTGAAGAATATGGTCATCAAACTGATGACGCTGAACCCGGACGAGCGGATGGAAGACGGCAGCTACCGGTTCTCGATGCGAACGTGCATCACGAGCAGGCTTTGCGTCGACGCCTTCACGGCCTTCCAGCATTGGAGGCGGACGGGCGACCTCGAGGCGCAGAGTATGATCATTTCCGAACAGGAGCTTGCGCAGCAGCTGGCGGAGGACAACGCGGAGGAGGAGCGGCTAACTGACTCGCGCCGCGAAATCGAGGATATCCTGACCGCGCAGGACGAGCACTTCAGGGACATTCCTAGAGAGAGGGAATTGATCGCGGCGCGCGGCGCGGAGAGCCCAGTTAATTACGAAGAAGGCGATCCTGAGGATATGGACGATGGTTTTTTGCACTAGGTGACGATAAGACTTCTGGAGTCTGGAAAGGGGGTTCGTTGTTGTGTTGTGTTGTGTTGTCATGTTGCGTGTACTAGGTAGTTTAAAATAATACAATGTTGTAGACGCGTTGTTTGTCATACCCTTCATTGAGTTACGTTTAATATCAATAGATCTCCTTTGTCAGCTTCTAAAGCTGAATAAATCCGAAGAACTTGTAGTCATCCATCTATCCGACTCGTGACTCCCAACTTTTCCACGTTCCTCTATTCCACAAATTATACACCAAGTCGCTGATACCGTAACCCTTCCGCCACCCGCCCCCCTTGGACCTCTCCTCGCTTATCTTCCAAAACAGCGTCCCATCGTAGCAGGCCCGCAGATCCTCCTTCCAGACCCGCCCATCTTTCTGCAGCAACAGCCACGTCGTCCACAACTCCATGAACGCAAAGCTCCAGCCGGCCGGGTCAGCAGCGCAGCGGTTCTTGCGCCACATGGCAGCCAGCTCGGCGACGTCGAGGCCGCCGGTGCCGCCGGTGTCAACCCGGCCGAACAAGCGGTCGAACTGGTCGGCGCGAAAATGCCCGTCGCAGTCGTAGACTCCCGAGTCGGAGCCGTGCTTCGCCTTGTAGATGTCGCGCACGTAGATGCGCAGGCACGGGTCAGGAAGCCACGAGCAGCCCAGCCGTGTGGGGTAGGAGAAGAAGATGGGGATGAGCAGGGAGCCGAGGGAGAAGAGCACGCGGAAGCCGAGGTCGCGGAAGCCGCGGTAGACGTCCCCGGGCCAGATGACGCCGTCGTTGTCGCGGTCGAAGAAGGCGACGTGCTGCTGGAGGACGGTTGGGGCTGGGGGGTTCTTGGAGGGCTGCTGGTGGTTTACATCTTCACTGTTTGCTAACGTTGACAACCCCTTGGTTTTGCCGTTGTCGTAACGGCGATGCTGGAGAAGGGGGCTAGTGGTAGTGGTAGTGGTGTCTGCCATGATTACTGAGAACTATGACTACCTAGGTATTGTAGTTGTGCATGGTTGCATGGCTGCATGGCTGCATGGCGCAGATTATGGCTAGTCAACGTCATATGTAGGACAGTAAAAGTCCTTTCGTCCCAACATTTTGACTCGCCTCAATATGTATTATTTGGATGCTTATCCAAGACAGAGACTTATCTTGATGCTTATCCAAGACAAATTTGAATAAGTGCATAAGTACTTAACTAGTTATTTGGGTTATGTAATGAAAGGCGCTCGGACCATATGATCACAGTTGCTTGCTTAGGGTATCTACCAATACCTACAGTATTGTATTGTACAAGTACATACCTAGGTTAGGGTACCTAGAGTCCGAAGACCGAACCCTTCGACGTCACGTCCAAACAGCTGAACTTTACTCATTTACTCATGTCTGGGAACCCTTTTTTTATTTTTTTACTCTTATCATTTTCCTCACACGACACTCTTTCCAGCTCACAAATCACAACCCGACCATGATCACACGACAGTGTTGTTCTACCAGGACCCTCGACTTGCACCGTTGAACTCATTCAACCCCCTCAAGATGCCACAATCAGCTCCAACACCTTCGCTCCTCCTAACCAAACGTCTAACCGCTTTCCTTAACTCCAACCTAAGCCCGCAAATCCACACAGCTGTCCTAACTACCCTCTCCGGCAAGCTCCTCGCCCACGCCTCGCCTCACTCTGTCGGTACCCTGCGCACACAATGCACTGTCGCCGCCTCCATATGGGCACAGTACTCGTCCCCCGCGGCCAGCGCCCACATCGCTGCCGCCGTCCCGCAACCGCAGCGACGAACATCTCAATCCGAACCCACACCTAGCGCCGTGACAATCCAGCTTAGCGGTGGTATAATGGTAGTGAGGCGTCTACGGTGCGGCTTGTTATTCGTGTGTGTGGGGCCAACGGCCGCGACCGAAGGGACCGAAAGAATTGACCACAGTAGCCACGCGCAGGGACGACCCGTGCCGCCGCCCCAACAACAAACAACGGGGGAGCTGCATCCAACAACACCGTTAGGCTCACCCTCGGAGGTAGAAAGTGTGGTCAGCACAGGGGCGGCCACAACGGCGAGCATGGCAACGACGGCGAGCGCTGCGGCTTCGGCTGCGGTGGTTATGCGGCGGCAGGCAGAGGAATTAGCACGTTGGCTGGATGACAAGTTGGGTTCGCTAAGCGTGCTCGAGGAAGGATTAGGGTCTGAGATACGATAAGGGGTCGAAGAAAGGAAAAAGGCACATTGGTTTAGAAACAACCGGCTGTTTTCCCACATTCTAACCCTCGAGGCCTAATTACCCTCGATATCATAACCAATCAGCCATCTTATCCGGTCAAACTTAACGTTTGCCGGTCACTGGCTGTTGAAACTGTCTACCTAAGGAGGTAGGTAGTTATATGGACGAGACGCACTCTCAATACAAAGGGGGCGATCTGTGTTCAGAGCTCGATAGGTACCTATACAATACCACTACAGCTACGGAAAACTGGGTTGGAGGGTGGCTTCAAGGGGGTTTGGAAAAGGGTCGATATAGATAAATACCTATATACAGGGGGGGCATGGGAATAGAGGCGGAACAAAGAATTATCCGTCCATACATTCATGCATCCCCTACTCTATCACATACCCTCTAGTGATAGAATTGAAAGATATAGCATCGCGCCGAATCGCAAGCTAGGGCGAGCCGCAATACAGGCACGGCTTAAGGGGCATACCTGATCCAACTTATAGACCTAGCACCGCCCCGGACAGAAGCGGAATTTCTACTTCATCAAACACCACCTCTACGAATCCTCGCATACTACGTACCTAGGTACCCAGCCAGGCTTTGATTCTCGAGAGTAAAAGGGATGTCGACGATATATATGTGTATAAGATTTTATTCGTGTATTCGGTGACTTTCCGATATCGAGCGAGGCTGGAGAAGAAGGGAGAGGAATGGTGTGTACCTGGGAGCCTAGTTATATCTCGGTAGTTGGAGAATTCGTAAATGATACCGCAATTCAAGTTTTGGTATATACGGGTACCTACCTGGGCACCTCTCTACCTGCCTGCCGACCTAATGTGTCCAGACTGTGATCGTAATTAAGGTATCCAGCTTCAAAGGTGGGTATAATAGTTCGTCGAGTGCTGCGATGAGTAAGGGGGAAAAGAGACAAGTTAAGATGGATCGTAGGGTTACCATTTTCGAGAGAGAAGTTATCGTGAATTGGGTAAGGGGTGCCGGTAGACAGGTAGGAGGCGAGAAAGCAAGAGAATGGGAGTGTAGTGTAAGGGGCGCAGGCCCAATTCCATGCCCCCTCTATCTCCTCATCCTCCTTTCTACCAGGTTAGGTACCTATCTAAGTCCTGATTAGACCCCCTCCCCCCCTTTTCCTCCCCGATGCCCTTGCCATCACCTTTAGATGCCCATCGTTATTAACCCCCGCCCATCCCCTCCCATCTTGTAGTACACCACCGATCACGCTAGCTACCTTGCTTCTCAGTGGTCTAGGCAGATGCTTGGTCCTTTAGCAACGATGATGAGGATCAGATGTGCAGGTTTGGTAGTTACCTACCTACTTTCGTGAGTGAATTCTGCGTGATCTGCCTGTAGGCTAGTGTGATTCAGTACGGCGAATGCGTAGTTGGGTAGGCACAAAGATTGTTTTTGCACTATGTCGTGTGACGATAGCTCCTGTGTATATTTTTGGGTGAGTGACTGAATGCCTACATTGCCTAGATACCTACTATAACCTAGCACCTGCGATGTGGATAGGTCATCGGCCATCTTGTCTTACACGAGGATCTGCAGTTGAAGCTGATATCCAGCCCAAGATATCACCTGGGCAAACAAGCATCTTTCTCATGTAGCCTGCCTGCCTAGGTACTTACCCACCCTCAGAACCACAGCCCGCACACCCGTCGAAGCCTCTACAAACCCATCCCTGTTTAAGGCAAGGAAAACCAGAACTTAGCATAGGTACCGCTCTCCCTAACAGCGGTTTATAGTTTCCATTCCCGATGGCCGTAGACCGGAATACCATCTCCCTGGACAGACCAAGAAGAGGAAAAAATAAAGAGCGAAAAGAAGGAAGAACCCGTTCAGATCCAACACACGTTGATACTCCATCGTGCCCCTCTCCCCCATCTCCTCCTCATCCTCCCTAGGTAACAATGCTAAAGGGAATTGGTTGATAATATCCATACTTGCATGCCATGGCCACATAGCCCCCCTTCTCCCAAGAAGGTTTAAGTATAATCCTTCATTCTCCATACCTACACCCACCTTTCCTTTTCGCTGGCAGTGGGTTTAGTTCTCCTAAAGGGGCTACCTATTAATTAGGGAATAGGAAAAGGAAAAGAGCCAAGAGGGCGGGGGGGTTGGTGGCGAAGAAGAAAAAAAATGCTTGCTTCCTTCACCGGACCCGCTTCGATGGTGAAAAGTTGTCGTGGGTAGGGCGATCGCCGGGGGGATGGGGAAGAAAAAAAACAACAACCCCTGCCTAGGTAGGTATGGGGAAAACGAAACGAAACGAAACGAAGGTTTGCTTGATCTGATATGATCTGATCTACATCCATACATACTATTACCTAGCTACATATGATATAGGGGGGGAAGGGAAGGGAAGGGAAGGAGGGAGAGGAGATACGGCACCTACCTAGCCTGGCCCATCCCGTCCCGTCCCGTCCAATAATATTATGCTCCCCTTACACCCCCCAAACTGGATCTCGCATGGACATTTTTGATACAGAAGTATAGCGCCGACTATCCGGTCTCGGTAATTGTGACCTATCTACCTACCTACTTACCTGTCATTTGTCCCCCGTGTCTTCCTGCAAGATGCTGTATATTCAGGTAGCGAGCGAAAGAAGAGAAAAATCCCGAGAATCTTGTGTCCCGGGAGAAGGGGAGAGAGGGGAAGATCAACTGTTTGACTGGCTCAACAAGGCCAGTAGAGCTGCGGATGACAGGTCAGGTGAATGCCTACTAGGTAGATATCGTGGGGAATATGCAGGCATGCGTGTATCCCTACCGGTCTACCAACCTACATACACTACCTACTAGATACTAGATACGAACCCGAGCACCCTTTTCGGGAATTTCCTAGTTCCACCGCCCGGGTTAGCACCCGTCCTATGACACGGGTTCGGGTCACCAGTCCTCTGGCCGATCGTCGAATGCGTGATACCAATCTGTGGATCAATGCGGGCATATGTAGGTAGGAAAGGGGGGACAACATTGTGCCCAATCGTACCCAAATACGATCTACCACTTTTACTCCGTCACGGAATGGTACAGCTGCTGTGTTTTCTGGAACCACGGGCATGTGTGCACATTGGCTTTGATTATACAGTATTGTAAATTCAGACAATTTCCAACTATGGTTAGATATATGTTAAGCCACCTAAATGAGCCTTCGAATGTACATGAAGGTAAGAAGGTATCCGCCCCTTAACCCCCTGAATGATTACCACAAAATGGTTTCTCATGAAACTTTTCTATCAAACACAACGGTAGCTCATGATAGATGTAAAAAACGAAAGGGGGTATCAAATGCAATGCCTAAAAGCAGATATCCATGGATATATGTAAAAGCCTACCCAATACCAAATCTCGGTGTAAATGCCTAGTAGCATATATCGGCGACGGGGTATCATACTTCGAAATAGAAAAATTGAAACTTCACGCCCAACGCCTTCCTGCCCCTTTCCGTGATTGACTCTGCGTTCTTCGAAATTTCTGGACGTATTCCTCAACAAAGTCTTACGTGCTCATCTACCAAGTCTTCTCGGCTTGAAAGCCGACGGAGTACCTCGGCGTAGGACTATCCCAGTGAACCGGAATCATGGTCAGCATGTTGATAAATCTCTTTCCGTCCTTTTTAAAGTTGACGACTTCCACAGATAGCTCATTGTTGGACTCGACTGCTTGCCGCATTGCTTTGATGAGGTCTTTGTCCACGTATTTGCGGACAGAACGTTTCCGGACGTTGCCATCGGGTGCTTGTAAGAATCGACAGTTTCGTCCGAGGACTTCGGACTGGGTGTAACCAGTCAGTTCTGTGAATGGCTCCGATGCGTATACTATGGGATAATCTCGTTGCGCAAGATCGCACATGATCAGAGCACATGATGCGTCTATGGGGCCAAGATCGATGACCGGATTTGGTCTTGCCATGACTCGGATCTTGAAAGGGGTTAGAGATTATAGTGTGATGTGAGCAAGATATCTGAACTGACAAGGATACTCATCATATCAAAGCCACTCGGAGCATATAGTCCAGGATAGATGATGTTGTCGTGCACGGTGTCGTTTTGCCTCGTAGCGACGCTACTTGGCACTGAAATAGTGGCATCGTCTTGATAATGGTACTATTTCGTGAAGATTTGTTAGTACCTTGTTACGAGTAAATAGAAAAAAGAAAAGAGCTCTAGGAACGGGTTCAGGGGGCAAGAATGGTGGATGAAATGTGATAACATACTTGGAGTGCGTTTTCCTCCCATGGATTCATGATTGACATTATAGCCGGAGTTGTTTGTGATATGCCTAGCCAGCGAAACTTGATACGACGATGAGAAATAGTGGCTATCTCTCCAAAGAAATTAGGGACAAACAAGCCCAAATTTATCGAGATGTCAAGAGAACTTCATAGAATGTGTAGTAGGTAGTTTAGATGTTGAGGAGACAGTGTAGAGGAAATTTTAGATTTAATTCCTCTCCAGGGTTGCTTACCTAGGTAAATTATATAATGAATTTTTCCCCCAAGCCAGGACGGTAGTGTGGCTAGGTTAGGTTATAACGGACGAGATGACCGGAGAGCGGTGGTAGAAGTCAGAGTCCACTCGGTCTGACTTCCGATTCATGTGTCTCTTTTCACGAGGCTTCACTACATCGGGAGCACTACCTCGGGGTGATGATGATGAGATAAACATAGGCTAGTACAGAGTAGGTAGAGACAAGCCTGCCAGTTGGCTGACAGCACATATCGTTTCGTATTGATGAAAAGGCGGACATCGAATTGCAAGCGGGCAAGAATAGTGAGTGGCATGTTCTAGACCACATGGTATAGAAAGTTTTGAAGCATCCAGCATGATCCAGCACGATCCAGCACGATCCAGCATGGATGGGAAAGTAACATGCAAGATGTACCTTTTGTTAGCAGATCGCGGCCGCTAGAAATCATAGCTATGATCGAAACACATCATACATAAAAAGGCCGGGTTGTACTCTAGTGATGAAGCCCCATGAAGTACCGATGATGGAACACCGTTCCCGGAACGATCTAATGCAGCCCATATCCTAGTTTAATATGTGTTGGGCCAAGAAACGGGCTTGCATACCTGTATACATACTTACCTACCTACATAAGGTAAGAGGTATCCAGAATTCCCTTTTCTCGTTGGAAAATCCATGGGAGTCCGATGGGCAAAAAGAATGCCAATTTCTAGTCTTAGGGGGATCTTAGACCTCCACTACGTAGCTTCAGACTCTCAGCTCTCAGACCTTCAGACTCTCAGCTCTCAGACCTTCAGACCTCAAGGTCTCAGGTCTCATGCTTAATGCTTTATGCCCGTGTTCATGAGACATGCGTGTATTGCAGGTCCAAGAAGCAGTGTAGGTATGTACTGTATGCGTAGTTATTATAAGTATGCAAGTAGCTTATATCCATAAACCAGTCAACATCGAAGTTCCCAGGGGCCATACGATACGATACTGGAGGTATTGCATACCTAGTACTTAGCATCATGATAGGCATACCATATATGTGTAAGTACAGGCGAAGAAATCGAATGGCTTTGTGGCTTGGTGGTTCGTGATACAGTTGTAATTACCATCAAACCTGCATTACAGGTTACATATGTACATGTATGTAGGTATATGTAGGTATATATGTAGGTACATGTGAAGATGAAGAAGCACATTGAAGATCAACGATCAATGATCAATGTGGGTGAAGGGTGAAGATTAAGTTTGTTGTATTACAACACCAACAATCCTTAACTACCTACCTAGTAGTACCTACCCTAGCTAACTTTGAACTTTGAACTTTGACCCTACGTAGTACATACTAACCTACTATGCATCTAAGGAGCACGGCTCGATCGCCGTAGAAGCTCTTGCCGTACAGATCTTGAAAAAGATCTCGAAGCGTCATCATCATTGGGTAGCAACTTTTTAAGCTCCTGATCAAGTGGGTCAGCATCATGGAGCTGCCAGAGCTGGCCTGGTTTAAGTATCGTACTAGGCAGCTGCTAGGGGGTTAATAATCAGCCTCAATAATTACATAATATTCTATGACGCGCCGTAAAAAGTAAAAAAAAAGAGGAAAAAGAAAAAGAAAAAGAAAAAGAAAAAAAACACACCTACATATCTATCCTTAGGTAGGTTTAGGTATATTGCCAACACATTCCCACAACTTGAAGTAAACAGGTACCCTAGATACATATGTACTTCCCCTAGAGACAACCTCGTTATTAGACACGTGTCTCACGCGAGTTAAGGTTATTTTCGTACACGATCGATTCGAGTAAGCCTCATCGTCGATCTCATACTACTCCTTGGTAATGGGCGACGGGATGGTGTTTTTGTCGCTTACATAGTACTGTTATGTACCTATGTACCTGCTAACGGCACTCATCAAAGACATCTGGAAACTGCATTCAATCATGGCGTCCTGCCGCTACCCGCCTCTGGGTATAGGTGACATCTGGAGATCTTCCACCAAACCCTTGGCTCATTTACCGATCAATAGCATTATCACACCAACCCTTGCTTACAAGTTTCAGCTATATTATGTAGAAGACCAACCTCGGCACTCCGTAGACTACATAGGTATGTATGTATTCTCCCAGTCCCGGAATTAACCAAACCCGGCCCCCCTTATTATATCGAGTAACACGGCCACATCAGGACTCCTTAGTCCACCAGCTATAATCATCATTTGCGTATATTGCCTATCAACATTTACACACACATAAATCACCATCAAAGTCAACTTTATAAACAAGTCGTACAGCAGAGAGAGAGAGAGAAAAAAAGAGGCGTATCGGGGCTGAAATCCGACATCTCGCGAGTTGAGCCGCCCGAGCGCCTCCGTTCTGTAGTGTAACCACTAGCCCCAGAGCTGCAGGCGTCAAATCCCATTATGATTGTTTAGGTAATCTTTTCGTTAACTCAGAATTGCTTTTGCTCGCTTCCTCTGTTTTACCTTGTAGCATACCTCAAAAGCCACCGGCAGCATAGTAGAGTGTAGATTTATGCCATCTACTCCCTACCTGTCTAGCTCTTTAGGGACGGAACCTTAAAACGCCACTGCACCAGTGATAGAATTAGGTAGGCAGGTACTCATATAACACCTATTAGTATTTCCTTCATCCTGTCTATAAGTTAGGAAGGCCAGGCTAACATCGAATGTATGTCCAAGTTCAATTTGAACTTCACTTTTGGAATACAGATCACCATCCATAAGATAGACGGAGAACCATTGATCAGAGAAGAGTGTACAATTAACGTAGGTGAATTACATTAAAGTCGTGGCTGTAGTATCACACAGCCTACCTGCCTATTCGCCTATGCCCGGGGGGTATTTTTTCATGACTTCACTCTGAAGCAAGTCTCTTCCTTTCTCATCCCTTTTCTTAATGCTCGTTCATATCGTACTTGTGCTTGCGCGTCCATCATCTCTCATAAATGCCCCCATACCATGCCATTCCGTCAAGCCCATGCGAATGCCGATCCATGCGGGTATATCCACCTCCGTCCATCCGCCAATCCCGTCGTTACATATCAATCCGACTTACGAAGCCATCTGTAGGATCGGCAACCATAAAAAGATCGTATGGCCATGAAAAGGTATTCGTACACATTATCGTAATAAAAAGTTTACTTATTGGGTAGGTAAGCTTTTAGCCCTCCACTCTTAGGAGCTAATAGTGCAAATAGGTAGGCTATTCGATGCCTATCATTTTGGGGCAGAAGAGAAATAATCTTGCAAATCCATGCGAAGACTAAGTCTGCCCGGAAATAGTAATAATTCCTACCTTCTCAAGAGCCATTCGTAGAAAAGTTCCAATTATGAACTGGGAAATGCTGACAACGGCCGTCAACACGATTTTCACGACCCACACGACTACGGCGATGATTATCGTGGCAGTCGAGGAATCGAACAGAGGGCCGAGCAGTCAATGCAGACCAACGAGCCGGCGGTTCTTGGCTTGCAGCTGGCGGAACTTTTTATCGAGTGCTTCGTGCTGCTTTCTGGACTGAGCCCATGCAACCTCGGCATCATCGACACTCATAAGCGGTGCACTTCCAATAGATGGCACCGGAACGCCATTAGCATGCTCATGGCAAGAGTTATACACACTGTCCGCCGAGGCGGAGGTGTTGCCGAAGTCGTCACCGGGTCGGCCCGAAAACATTTTTCTCTGGTCTTCGGCATTCTCAACCGAGGGGCAGATCCACGGCGCCAGTTGCTGCAGGTTGACGTTACGACCTGAGCTGGAGCTAGAGCCGGCGGTCTTGTAGCCACCCAGGTTTAGGGAGGGAAGAACATGTTGGTTGATACAACTTATGGCCTCCTCACGATGCATCTTCCCTACCGGGTCACTGGGATAGTTGTCTGGTCCTGAAGGGAAGTAAGACGGCGTTCCATTAGGCACAGCACGATTCTTCACTAGACTGAATCCAGTGGCGGGCGTGTGACGGGGTGCAGCGAAAGCAGTGGGACGAACGCTGTCTGCTCTTAGGCGATCCTGAAGCATAAGGAACAGATCAGCTTCATCCTCCGTAAGGTTAAGCAAGCAATCCCCATTCGGAGTGAGTAGCACTGTGTGCTCGTTCACAATTTTTCGGACGGGCTGAAACGCATTCAGCTTGTCCTCGTCTTCCTTAGTGACAATAGCCTTGAGAGTTGGTGGGAGGGATCCCGGAATGCCGTTGGGCCAGTCGGAGCGGTAGCTTTGCGTTGAAGCCTTGAAAAAACTGATCGCTTCAGCATTGGAGAGACTGCCACTTTCCATGACAGCTCGGAAAACATCGCGAAGATTGGGAATATCACCAATATCCTCGTCCATCGGCTGCTCTAACTTGGGCTCCGGGGTGTGACCAACATAATCAGGAGTCAGAACCGTGGTTTTCGTAGACTCGTTCAACTTAATAGACGTGTCGACGACTGCATGATTCTTAGGAGGACTCCTAGCCGCCTTGTTCTTCTGCTCTCCATTCTTGGGTGATTCGGCTACCGAGATAGAGCCTTTGCTACCCTTACTAATCCTCTCACTTGTATCTACAGAAGCCGTGGTGGGAACACCTTTCTGAACCACTGATGCATCCGATTGTGGCTCTGGGAGACTTGGAGTTTCCGGGCGGCTCGCGGTAGCTGTCTTTTTCTCCTTCTTCTGCTTCTTCTTTCTTCCAAGGATGGGAGCGATCTCTACTTCTTGCTCGACAGGCTTGGTCTCAGAGATCTGTGCAGCAGCCTCCTTCGAAGCTTCTTTGCGTTGTTTGCGCTGCTGACTCTTCGTAGTGGCGCGCACAGATGCTGAACCAACTTTCGAGGGAGGGGGGGAGCTGGTTCGAGACATAGATACGGAAGCACTGATGATAGATGCAGTATCTGAGATCGCCTCACTAGCCGGCGTTGCAGGACGATGAGAGGAGCCAGCTATTCCAGCAGCTCGAATCGAAGCAACAACAGATGGTGGTATATTCATAGGCGAGACTTCCGTCTTGGGAGTATTGACGAGGCGTAGAGTTTTGGGGGCCGCCTTGGTCATGGGAGAAGACACAGATGCAGAAGTAGTCGTAGGAGTTGGAAAAGTAGAGCCTCCTTGAGGCTTTTGAGCTTGATTAGCACTGGTCGGAACTTGACCAGACAATTTATCTATTCCATTTGATGCTTCGGCGACACTAGTCTGGGAAACTGTCTTGGTGGCGGCCGCGATATCAAGAATGGCAGGAACCGGACGCTTGTCAAGTTTGATGGTCGTTGCCTTGCCTGGGGGTGCTTTGCCTGCCGTGTCACTAGTAATTTTCTTGGTCTGCGTTGCTTTCGAAGAGGGCTGTGACTTCGACGGCAAAGCTGGGGTTACCTTTGGGGGCGAACCGGTCTTCACCGAGTCAAGAGCTGGGAAATCTTCTTCCTGCAGAACACCTTTTCCCTTTGACTTCGATGCTTGAGCCGCGATGTCTTTTGACAGGCCGCTTTTCGCGGCAAGCTCTTTAATGCTCTTCTTTGCCTCAGCTCCGCCGGTGGGATCGGCTTCTTTCTTGGCCGAGGATGTTGCCCTTGCAACGGCCTTTGGAATAAGAGGAGTCACGGGTCGGGGAACGGCAGTTGATTTGGGTACCGTGCCTTGACTTACCGGACCGTGCGGTACCGGGGTCGAGCTCCTTTCACTGAGTTGTACCGGGGGATGTGAGTGATTAAAGCCAAGCCCGGGGGGTACAGACGTCCTTCCACCATCTGGCAGGAATGGTAATCGAGGCTCATCAGGCCCATCGTCATCCGCAACTAAGGCGTCTACGGATGAGGATACTTCATCGAGTGGTAAGAGATCATCGTCTAGAGGACAAAATACGTTAGCTACTGGAATCGAAACCATATGGTCAACTACAATACGACGAAGGAGACTGAAAAAGCAGGTGTTACGTCACAAAGCTTCCATCGTCGTCTTCCACAAGTTAAACATGACAATAGCAATTGGGTATGAGGAAGAAATGCTATATTGAGCAACCTCTCAGGCCTGGTCTGGAGGATCGACCTGCGTGTTAACATACATGAAGAACTGTGTGGATGACGACGATGGCTTGCCTGACGTGACCTTGTAACCGAATCATGCTTGGGGACAAACAGAATAGTGCCAGAAATGAAGTGTGCATCTTCTGAAAGGCAAAGCCCTGGTCGGGAAGCCTCGTCGTTTCCAAGAGCAATGTGGACGCCAAATGCAACCTAGACCCGCCCTGGGCCATGCCTCTGCAATGCTCGCTCAAACAAATGTGTGGTGGAATATTCCGATTATTTCCCTGATCCTTTCCGAAAACCTAGACGCCACTAGACACCCCCTAGCTGAAGTCCAGCAGTAAAAACAAACGCGCCGCCAAACACACCACTACGCGCCACGGAACAGCTACCATCTGCCACCGTAGACGCCACTCCCATACACCATGTTGGGATTGTACCCACCTGAGTTTTGACCACCATACAGCCCCTGTCCGACTCCGGAGCTGGTCCCCTGTTGCTGGTGCTGCATTCTCGCCTGCAGGATACTCGGGTCTGCAAGATCTACTAAGCCACTCCCCCCAGAGGAGGAAGTGTTAGCGTGTCTGTGCTTCTTCCCCTTCTTCTTCTGCTTTGGTCCGAAATCTTGGAAAGCTCCAGGCTGCGTACCGTGGAGCGATGCCAGGAGGCCCGGAGCCGGAGCAGGAGCTGGGGTGGAGGAGGTAGAGGGAGGGTATTGATTAGTGAAAGGAAAGTACTCACGCTTTGCGGCCTCGTGGGCCTGGGTGCTGCCCGCACCTCTTCCACGCATCAATGACTGGAGAAGCTCGCTCGAACTATCCTTAGATCCCGCCCCAAATGTTGATCCTCCAAACGAATGCCCTTGGCCGAACATTCCACCGTTGACTGGAGTACTCCCCGCAGATTTCAGCCCCGGAGGAGGTCCCGGTATAGATGTAGAATACAACTGGTTACCTGGCTGCGAACGATACGCGGATGGCATCATGGATGATTGCTGAGCCATGTAGCGCGGGTCACCAGTCGACTTGACGTTAATCGAACTAGAATTGTTTTCATTCGCGAAGCTGAACCTCGATTGCTGGCGACTGTGACCCTGAGATTGGAAGAGAGACGAGGTTTGTGGCGAGATACCCGGCGGCATCTGTTCGGCGAAGCTGCCCTGAGGTCGGACGAAAAGCTGCTGCTGTGGTGTAATGGTACGACCGCCACCGCCAATAGAACCAATACCTGCAGAGCTTTGTCCATATGAAGTCAGACTTGGTCCGAACAGGTCGTTTGTGTTAGTTCGCTGAATCGGGGGTTGCGTTGGATTTCGCCTCTGGTCAAAGCGACCACCGTCACGACCCTGGTCTCTATCCTCAGGTTCTCCACCAAGTGCGAGACTACCGCTCTCAGGCTCACCTTCGGAAGGCTCCAGGTTTTCGACTGCTTCCTCGCTATCGCCCAGGCGATTCTCCTCCTCATCCCTCAAAGCCCGTCTTCGTCTACCCCCATTAACATCGAACAATGGGGGATAGGAGTCGTCCATTTCCTTGGGTGGCACAAACGCGCTCTCCGGACAGGCGGCAAGTTGCTTCATAACGACATCAAAATCAAGCACTTCAGACTTCACTTCAGGTGCAAGGGGTGCCTGTTCAGTATCGGGGCTTGTTACCACAGGCGCATCGGCCGCCGGCTGCTTCTCAGCCTTTCGAGTAGCTGGAGCGGGAGGCTCCGTGGGCGGGACGGTTTCAGTGGTCTCCTGCGCGGACTCACTAGTTACTGGCAACGAAGTTGAGATAGCGGGACTCGAGGCAGCACCGCTGGTAGCATGGCTGCCTCTTCTACTCCGCTGCTGAGTAGTACGTGCCCAGTTCGCCGAAGCCGGCAGTGCTGGACCGTCACCAGCATCCGAACCTTCCTTGCTAGAGGAGCGGGCCATGGCTTGCGATCCAGCAGGTAAGAATGCATGTGTCTGTTGTCGCGACGTAGATCGCGAGCTTGAACCAGCATTGGCGAGCGGACGTTGTGTGTGGACACTATTTAACGAAGAGAGATCTTGTCGAGAATAACTGTCCTCCTCGTCGCCAAGCTCGTGCAAGAACATGCACTGACGGTTTCCACATTGTTCGTGTCTGAGCCATGCCGAGCAGTACTTAGTCGTTCCTAGCTGTGCCTTCAGGATGCGGTCACCATTCTGCGAGCCGTGTACGGCCTGTATACACCGAGCAGCATCATCCTTCTTCTCAAACGTGACATAGATACCAAGGGACTGAGGTTGACCATCGGCAGACTTACGATTGCTAATCGAAATCTTTTGGATGTTACCATACTGGCCAAAGAACTCAGGTTTGCGAAGAGTCTTGAGCAATTCGTCTTCCCGTACAGTAGGTGTTAACCCCGTAACGTAAACGAGATTCTTTTGTACGACGCGAACCCCCTGGAGATTCTTGCGGCTTTCCTTCTCGGCTTCGCGTTTCTGAACCTCTTTTTGGCGTTGCTCCGTTGCTCGCTTCTTCTGGTTCTTCTGGATATTGGCACGAAATTCGGCCTCCCTAGATTGGATTGTATTAGCTACCTTTACACTAGTGGCCAACCCAATCATGGTATACGTACTCTTCATGTGTGACAACCTTCCATTGTATATCCTTCTCGTCATAAGGTCGTCGGCATGCGGGGCACAGTCCATTCAGATTGTTCTTCAAATTGTTGAAGCAGAACTGACAAATCTACGGTGGAGACATTAGCAATGCAGCCGGGTATATGAATTAAGGAGATTCTGCCAAGCCCGTACCTGATATCCACAAGGACAAGGCCTAAAGTTCCGGTCGGAAAGATCGAATTCTTCGATGCATAGAGGGCTGTAAATAATGTGTCAGTGGTGGACTTTGAGAACAGTAGAAAAATCAGAGTAGATATGAAGCGGTGTGGTGATAGGCTTACCAAGTGTCCTCTTCATCATCAATGAAGCTATCTTGAGGAGCCATATTGTATCTGTCGAGCCTGCTCGGAAACTTGAGGCTTGTGGACGTAATGGCTCCAACACTAGGACGCCCAAATCAGCAACGGTCGATCGAGTATGAGGTTGGTGTCTGTCGGTGTAGACGTAAAGGTGTACACCAGAGAGGCGCGTCGAGTGTGGGTTGTGAGGTTTGGGTTGAAAAATCGGGTGATTATGCAAGAGCAAAGAAAATATGGTATCGGAGTGTAAAAATCATGCGAAACGCCTATGAAAAGAAAAAGCGCGTCTAAGAGGAAAGTGTGAGATGTTGAAAGGGGAACTGGTTTTGTTTTTTTTATTTTTTTAGTTTTGTTTTTCGTAAGGTCGGAAGAATTAAGCTGGAGAGAAGAACAGACCAGTTGGATGATTGTGTGAATTTGGCGTGAAGGTGAAGGTGAAAAGGCAAAGGAGGTTTATGCGGTGCAGAAAGATTGGATCAGGGCGCCGCCAAAAAGAAACGTTGACCCGATTCGCGCTAAGAGCCCTGACTGGCCTATTTTGGCTTAGTACCTTCAGCGCCAATTTCGATTTTTGCCTCAGCTCTAAGTGCTGTACATACAATTCATTGATTGTTCCTTCCACCGCTACATGTTTATATGTGCCTTCTGCATTCGTGCTGGATATACATGTACCCAGTACATACATACATGTAAATTGACACTATGTTGACCATTGAAGATACGTCTATGCCATGTGCACTGTGTACTGTGTAGTTATGGGTACTTACCTCCTGGCTATGTCTTTAATACCTTATGTAATGTTTAATGGATCTTCATACCCCTCCATATGGAGGAGTGGACAGCAAGTAACTATTCGCAAACTGCGCATTTTATAGACTGGGTACACCTACAATTATACTTAAGAAAATGTGCTTAAATTACCGTGGTGCTCTTTGCTATGTACTCTAGATTTATGTCCGAGGAACAGGAACGTGAATTGAGTTGATTATTGGAGATGTACTTATTATAGTCACATGGATGTGTTACGTCACAAATAGCTGGTACTATGTACATACCTATAGCATCATTGTTCAATGTACGTACTATGTAGGAACATTGAAGTAAAGCGCTCAAGTGCTTTGTGTTCACTGTTCGGGCAGGGGTATACTAATTATTAGTACGTAGTAGGGCAGCCCTATGTACATAAAAGTTCAACGTTGAATTTAATTCACAAACTTCAAAGGAACATTGAACTTGCAAGTAACAAGTATTACTACATAGGTACCTACCTAGTACTGTACCTACAAGTGCCATCAATGATCACTGCCATGTGGTTGCCTATGTACATGTACCTAGTATGCACTAGGTAGGTACGAAAGTACATGAAGTACTGGCACCAGCTGCTAGGTTAGTAAATGCAGTCAGTGTCGGCCGGTCGGCGTAGGTCCGAATGTTGTTCCGCAAATTTTGAATAATCCCATTTTGATTGGACCAGATCACGAATCTACATATTCTCTATCTATCTAACTACTACCTAACCTAACAATTATTGATCGCATTTCCCATTTGTACGCACTGTGGAGAGACAGCCTTAACCTAGGTCAAGTTTCAACATTGAAGCTTCAAGTCAATGAATGCATTATAATAATACCTAGTAATCAATTGGTTCAACTATCATCCTCCATCCTCCACTGACTATGGCGACCAAGCTCTGCAGAGGCAGAGCTCTCGCCTCAACTTTGCGACCCACGAAACCTTCGTTATCATCCCGAAATGAGCAGATTGTACGTTGCATCGCCTCGACTGCTCGACAAAATATCGTTATGCCCAAGGATGTCTCGAACATGAGAAAGGCACCGCGAGACCACCCCAAGGAGCTCAAAGTTCCCCTCGTCAACCCCGCCGACAAGTATGCCACCAAGGCTGATCAGCTCCATCGTTACGGAGCTTGGCTCATGGGCTGCATGCCTAAATATATCCAGCAGTTCTCTGTCTGGAAGGATGAGCTGGTCATCTATATTCCGCCCTCCGGCGTTATACCTGTCTTTTCTTTCCTCAAGTGTAAGACACCCACACTTCCATTCTTATTCTTAGTCCAATAAGCGACGCACTGCGCTAATTCAAAGCCAGACAATACGGCCGCCGAGTTCACCCAAGTCAGTACCATCACTGCCGTGGACTTCCCAACCAGAGACCAGCGATTCGAGATTGTCTACAACCTACTAAGCGTCAGACACAATGCACGGATCCGGGTTAAGACATATGCGGATGAGGCAACGCCAGTTCCGAGCGTCACGCCCTTGTACGATGGCGCCAACTGGTACGAGCGAGAGGTTTACGATTTGTTTGGTGTTTTCTTCCTCGGCCACCCGGACCTACGACGAATTATGACCGACTACGGTTTCGAAGGTCATCCTTTGCGAAAGGACTTCCCTCTAACCGGGTACACCGAGCTCCGATACGACGAGGAGAAGAAGCGCATCGTCACGGAGCCGTTAGAGTTAACCCAGGCTTTCCGTAACTTTGAGGGAGGCTCGACGGCTTGGGAGCCGGTCGGGCCTGGTACCGATCGCAAGCCTGACAGTTTTAAGCTGCCTACACCAAAGCCTGAGGAGAAGAAGGAAGAGCCTAAGAAATAGATGTCGATTATCCGTCGTGTACATATATGTGATACAATTGACATTGTTGCTATTTGGTATCGTCGTCGCATTCTTTATCCCTATCACGAAATGAGGCTAGCTAAGGCATACATATTCATAATATGCCATCGGGTGGCAAACTCATGCCCACACTCATGCCCACGTTCATGAATACTATAGAGTATAACAACTGGTATACCTATCTCGAAAACTAATTACCTATGCCAGTAACTACCCGGCATACACCACTAGATCACCTCACCTAATTTTAGGGCTGGAAATATTCAATACCGATTTCCACCTTCTTGCTCGGCGTATTGGGCTCAGGTATCGGTGTCTTCGCTGCTGGAGCTTGAAGTCCGCTGACCTGGGACTTGCGGCTTCCCTGAGGCTGTGTTGCCGGGCAACTCATTGCATTATTGTATGTTCCGCTTCCCTCGCCGGATGTGCCGTGCCCATACTCGTCTTTGTAAAGAAAGTCAATTACTGTCCTAACTTGACAGTGTGTATGTACTAGGACCGGATACCCCGAAAATGAAATATTTCGGATGCCAAACTTACTCAAGTCAGGTTTGTAAGTGCTCAAGGCCGCAGCCTGTTCGTATAACGACGACATTGTTTATCTCGGCGTAGCGATGATAGTGCCCCTGACGATCGTATGGCTGATACTCGGGTTTTACTCGCTTTGTCTGTGGTATATTACACTGCATGAAGCGATAAACGTGTAACCTACATAGGTGTTTTGTCACATTGTTTTCGTCACATTTCAGCAGTTTCCCCCACGCCCCTTATTATCGTAAAGAGTGGGTGATGATGGTGGATTGGCATCAGGACGATGTCATTGTGATGTATTGATTATTCAGTCGAGCATATCGATATCTACCCTTAGTACAAATATTCAAAACATGATTAAGCATACATGAGTAGATAAATTCAGTTGACTACATACGTATCCTAGGTGATTTGTGCCTTACCAATCTTAAATATATGTACGTTTAGTATCGTTGTGTATGCTAGTAATGTGATACCACTTGTACAGCCACGCTTGGGAATGCGTATCGAACGAAGTGATTATACTCTGAGCGAGGAGTTCACGTTCGAGTATTACCTAGTCATCATAGAGCTCATAATCTTAGTAGCGAGATATCACTTGGTACCTCTTTCCAGGTATTATCCTAAAACAAGGATCTCGTCTTTGATACAGCCAAGTCTCATCACTTGTTGAACCGACCTCATATATGATGGAAGTAACTGCTTGATGGTATGGTGACGGTTCTATAGTAGACCATAGCAGAGCCGTGGCTTCTGCAAATGCTTACTTATCTTTATGTCTGCTGGGACCGGTGCTAAGGGATCTCTAAACTATGGCTACTGGACTTATAATATAATATATGTGAGAGAGTATTCGGATGCTTTCCTTCGTTTTTAGATAATCCTATAATCATCTCACGGACCAGTCGTAAACATACGTACCTAAGCCCCTTTATGCTGTATAGGTAAAAGTTCTATAGTCTATCCAACCGATCTGGCTGGAAATCGAACTCTATTACCTAGGTACTTAGAACGCAGGAATATATCTTATCAAGCAATACAATCAGTACGGCCATCAGTATCTTAACCTGGCTTGTAATCCACCCTCTCACATGACAGGCGCGGTAAATCATCATTCTCAGTTTTGAGATAAGTTATGTATTGGCTGGTGTTTACTTTCCATGTTGCTTGGTGTAAGTCCCATATTCTAACATCTCTTATGTTTACATAGTAGACACTAGATACCTAGACGAGTAGCTAAAGTACCTACCTATTATTATGCGGCCAATTCTCACGCGCCGAGCAAGTGAAATAGAGTTTATAATGTATCTGATCATCTTGCGGATGGCTTATTTAGTTCGTGGGGTATACTTTCTTGGCCATCCCCTTAAGTTTGCGCTTCTGTTGCTTAGGATACTGCGCTTCTATGATATCTAACACTGAACTTACAAGTCCCCGGCCTCTGACATCACCGCAGCGAAAGTCCATACGACGCGAAACCTCCTACAAAAGAGTTTGAGTTGACAGTAGACACCCAACAGCGCAGCATAACTCGGTCTCTGCACAGCTCATCCGTACGGAAACATAGGGGTTTCCGGGGCTTAAGCTAGCTTTTCGTCCGATCTATCAGATGACATCTTACAAAAAACACTAGGAGAAGATCGCAGGCCAGCTCCTGATCAACCCCCTTGTGATAAAATCGCTACGTGCGATATAGTGGCGTCAGCCATTCGTGACTCCCACTTACACGACAAGGGGCATCAACTACAACACAACAACTTAAGCAACGCGACAATTTCATCATATAAACCAATCTCGACATCTAAAAATACGCATTCGCTCACGCAGGGAAATCAACCAAATCAATAAATCAATCAGCCAACAATGGCAGGACTCAAAGACGACTGGGACTACGACCCCAACCGGTCGAACCCCTATTCCTGCACCCTCTGGATACCCACCGACCACGGCCGGATACCCGCCGAAGCGACCGACGTAGAAGTATGCCAACAGTATGTTTTCCTTCCCTCCCTCCCTCCCTTTCCAATTTCCTCCCAAGCATACATATATTTCTGCCTTCAAGGCTATTATCTATCTATTTATCTCCGACTAACCCACCCACCACCTTACCCAGATACCAACTCCACAACCACAACTTCTGCGCGCTGCACCCCAACCTGCGAGCAAACTACCCGCCTAGCACCTGCACGCCCTCTTCTTCTTCCGACGACACTGGCGGCGACCCCGCCGTCTACTACACCATCATCGCCGGCGTCTTCGGCGTCGGCCTCCTCGCCGCCTGCATCGTCACCGCCATGCTCTTCGCCAACCGCTGGGGGCGCCGCGCTAATAAGGGGGCTTCGTGTTGGTGATTTTGTCTTGCCCTGCTTTACGAGCCTAGCTGGCTGGCTGGCGACCTACTTAATCTAATAGGTCCACGGGTACCAACATATATGGATCTTTGACATTTCCATCGTGGGTGCTGAGTAAGGTACTAGGTATGCCTAGAAGGAACCGCGCCTCCTGGAGGTCTTATCCATGAATTGCAAGATAAAACGAAACGAAACATGCCAGGATCTACATATTCGAGCGCAGGAGACACGAGAAGTGTAAGATATAGATACAGGGCGTCATATTAAGGGATTTCTTTTGGGAGTTTGTTTTGGATCTCATGTGCTTCTATGAAAGCGACGGAGTTGATGAAGGGGTTAAGAGCCAAAAAATAGAACAAACCAAAACCGACACACGGGTTGGGTATGCTTCAATGTCATGGATACCAATTGTTTTCCCATTAGAGATCGGAGGCATTGTATACCTTCTAAAATTACAAAAACTGTCTCATGACAGCTAACAATCCCGTATTGCCGTTGATTGCCTTCCAAGACCTGGAGGGTTATCAGTTCTGATATACCTCACTTAATCACTTATGTCCCCGTTGCATAGCATCCCTAAAACTCCATTTCACCATGCCACCTCTTCTGTTTGTAGAGGTCTTCGACTGTTTCTTTTGCACTAAGCTACCTCGTGTGTAGGTACCTTACTTATGCATAGCCCCTGAAATTGTACCTGAAATCGCACCTGAAATCATAATCACATGGCCTCATCATCACGTGTCTGAATCACAACTAGACATTCAGTCAGACTCATCTTCCGAGTCCCAGATAATTGGTGGCGGCGCTCGAATCTCGTCGTTCACCAAGCTATCTGGCAGCATCTGGCTGCGCGTCGGGAACTGGGAAGATCGCAAAGAATCGTTTCCAGTCGTGCGATAAGCCGTGGGGCTGCTGCTAGGAGGCATGTTGCGGAGTATTATATCGCTCAACGGGTTCATTCCGCGCGGGAGTGACTTCTCGGGAGAAATATTCGGGCTCGAAACCGTAGTAGCCTGCGAGGGTCTCACAGAACGAGGAGTCTTTTGGTTTGAAGAGCCATGCTGAAGTTTAGGCACACTAGGCTTGGCGTAACTAGTCTCGGGTTGGATAGCTTTGCTAGTCGCTCTAAGCGACGACTCACCCCGCGGCTCCGATGCGGGCTGCGTCGGTGCACCTAACTGTAGTTTAGGTATATCAGGTTCCGCAAAATCCTCATCCTCCTCAGAAAATAAGGCACACTTCAGATTGGCCGTGAGTTCTCCGATAGCTGCGGGTGGAATGTGCTTGTATGTGCGCGGCGAAGCTTTTATCCCAGATATCTTCTTCAGCTCCTCTGGAGAGAGGGGGTCGTTGAGCTCGTAAACCTGAAGGATCTCGTACGCGTAGATCTCACCAGATCTGCTCGGGTTGTATATCTGGTAGAAGTATCTTTCAGGCAGTTTATTCTGGTTGAACTCCTTATTTCCGATACCGTCTTCATCTTCGATCTCTCCGGGTCGCTTCGCAGGGCCAACTTTGAACATATATTTCACCTCCTTTGATGAGGTCGAATAAATCCAAACGCGTTCCAGGAGGTCGTCATTCACGTGCCACTTTCTGAATTCATGATTTTTCCTACGATTGAGAATCTGCGCCAAGGGTTCGGGAGCAAGTGATATGAGTATATCCGAAGACCCATGCTGCGGACCAAGAGCGCGGATAGCTTCTAGAGACAATCGTTGGCTGTCTGGATATTGACTGAACAATTGTGTCTGTGTCGATTCCAAGTCTGGATCTGATGGCCGTTTCGTGGGAGATGACATTGCTGTATGCTTTACGGCGGAAGCTTCTGTTGTAGAGGGTCCCCACACCCGCTTTGGCATTGGCGTGGGAGTGGTAGACACCACTGATCGACTTGACTCTCGTGTATCATCCTCAGACAATGCAATGACATTTTCTTTGGTTGAAGCGAGAAGCTCGGCCTGTGTCTCTTCTCCGATGTCTCCGTAACAGGTCTCCTCTGCGTCTGGTTCCATGGACGTGTTCTGGTCCCCAACAGCTGTTTCTTCTAGCTCATCCTCGCTCTCATATAAATCTTCGAGATCAGAGTCAGGAACCTCCTCGGAAATACTTCTCAGGGGCTGGAGGGCAGGCCGTGCTGGAGTCTTTCTCAGAACTTTTGGTATCTTGGGCTCGGTTCTTCCTGGCGTGATGTTCTCTTTCTCTTCTGGTAGTTCAAACCGTAGTCTCTTACTTGGAGTAGCATTGGCTGCCGATTTCTTTGGACTAGGCGATGAGGTGGTAAACGAGTCTGCGATGACTCGGCCCTTTGATATCTGCCGAACCTTGGCAAGAGTCATAGGGGAGGATTTGGTGGTTGACTTTGTCCTTAATGGCGAATCATCCCATTCTACGGCCCTCTTTGCCATTGGCGTTGCTAGCGATTCAGGCGATGTACTGGAGGGAACCACTGCTCTCAATTGTGCCCTCGTCTGACGATTGGTTGGCGTGGCAGAGATTCCCGATTTTGGAATTGAAGACTTGAGGTTTGATTGTTGTTGTTGGTGGTTAGATTCTTCATCATCCTTGAATCGGATTGGATCCTCCACCTTTTTCGGAGTCTCTAATATGAAGTCCGCATTATCCTCGTCTTCCGAATCGGCGATTTGCCAATCTTCCTGATTCTCCTGATCATCTCCCCTGCCAATTTTTGGGAGAAGTTGTGTTAATGTTTGTGTATGGAAGCTGCTTGACGGGGCTGGGTTGGGAGCATCTCCCAAAGTCTTCCGTCTCTTGGCATCCCTAGGCTTCTCCTCTACCACCAATTCATCGTTAGTAGTCTTGCGACGGTTGCCACGGCCCCTCTTCTTGGGCTGAACGGCTTTCACAGGCTCTGGAGCTGAAGCTACCATAGCCCCGCTTTCTTCTTCGTCGTCATCTGAGATGAGGAAATTTTCCTCGGGCATGGATGGCGATACAAAATTCATCTGAGTCAATGTTTCTTGTCTGAGGGATTTTCGGGTAGTGCGAGGACGCCCATAGGTTTTGACAGCACGTCGACGAGCCGGGAATAATTGCTGTTGGGGAGCTGGAGCAGTTGATTTGTATGTGGTATCCTTAGAAGACTTGCCCGAGCTGCGTGTTTGGGGCGCCATGATTACAGCTAGTCGCGACGTGATATCTAATAGGATTATCACTCACTAATGCTGCGATCAAGTGTAGGAATGGTTTTTGTAAGATATAAGTTGGAATCTAATTGATTGATGAGAGAATGTAAATTAATACGAAGAAGAAGACGAAGAAGAGTAGTGCTATGTATTAGAAAGTGACGTTGTTCATTCTAAAGATGTACAATTATTAACTAGCTTTGGAGATTAGGTATGGAATGGAAAGAAGAATGCTGTGACGCGTTTAAGTGGTGGGGGTGCATTTAGAGATCGCGCCTTGAAAATCAATTAATTTTAGCGTGTGTAGTGGGCCGTTCCAATTACTACTAGGTACTACATGTAGGTATTGTATGCGAGGTGCCGTAAGTACTGTATGTACCCCACGCGCGAGACAGTTCGAGCCCCATAAATTGATAATTGACCGAGGTCAATCATATCTCCCCTGCAGCTGACTGGCACTGCCAGATCGGCTTTGAGATCAAACATGCAGCATGTACCCTGTAGCACTGTACATACCGACACAAGTACCGGAGTACGGCCTCCCATTTAAATCACCAACATTGGATTCCTTTATAAAGCCATCCATGGATGTGCACTGCACTTGACACTGCAATAAATTGGAATTGATAATTTCCACATAACATCCAATTCACTTGGTCTTTTTTCTAATCGTTACCTGTTTGGCATTTCTTGAGTTGGATAGATACTGCCATATACACCAGTCAAAGCTGCACATGAACCGCGGCTAAATCGATCAAAGCAAATAACTAACTAACTGTAGTTCAGTAGGCAAACTGAGTATAAATAATCGGTGTTGTCTATGCCACAAACATCATCAAAGGGCAAACAGGGAAGGGAATTGGGATGCTTTGAGGGAACTTCATCAAACACAGCCTTGACCATCTTGACCATCTTGACCATCTTGACCTTCCTACATTGAACCAAGTTCACAGAAGCTTACTAAGCAACGAGTACGAGTACGAAGTGCCCCTGAGTCAAGCTCGTAAGCGAAAGCTATTTCCAGTACCACGGCCCCAGCATTCGTAACCATGGCATCCTCCTTCCCCTTCCACGTGACGGAGCACACTGTGCCCTCGCAGCACATCCGCGAGTTCCCCCGCGCGACGTCCCGCTCGCAGGAGGACGTGCTGTACCTGAGCGTGAAGCAATACACGCCCATTGACAACCCCTCCCCCCAGCCCGGCGACGTCACCATCATCGGCGCCCACGCCAACGGCTTCCCCAAGGAGCTCTACGAGCCGCTGTGGGCGGACCTCCACGCCGCCTCTAAAGCCCACGGGTTCCGCATCCGCGGGATCTGGATCGCCGACGTCTCGAACCAGGGGTACAGCGGCGTGCTGAACGAGGACGCGCAGGGCGACGACCCCTCGTGGAACGACCACGCGCGGGACCTGCTGCACCTGACCAACGTGTTCCGGGACTCGATGCGGCGGCCGCTGGTCGCCGTCGGGCACTCCTTCGGCGCCGCCATCCTGACCAAGCTCTCGCTGCTGCACCCGCGGCTCTTCACCACCCTCGTCCTCCTCGACCCCACCATCACCACCTTCTCCCAGCGCCCCCGTGGCCTGAACCCGGGAAAATCCGCCGCCCGCGCCTCCGCCTTCCGCCGCGAGACCTGGCCCACGCGCGACGCCGCCATCGCCTCCTTCCGCAAGAACCCCTTCTACCGGACCTGGGACCCCCGCGTCCTCGACGCCTGGATCCAGCACTCCCTCCGCGACACCCCCACCCCACTCTACCCCAACCCCGCCACCGACGGCGCCGCCACCCTGCGCACCTCGAAGCACCAGGAGGTCTTCACCTTCTTCCGCCCGCTGTGGCCGTACCTCGACCCCTCCACCGGCGCCCTGGACCGAGACGGCGCCCCCGACTTCGACGTCGAGACCTCCGACGTGCCCCTGGACTCGGGCGCCGTCTTCCCCTTCTACCGGTCCGAGGGGGCCGCCGTGCTGAAGCACCTCGCGGAGGTGCGGCCATCTGTGCTCTGGGTCTTCGGCGGGGATAGCGAACTCGGCGAGGCCTCGGGCCGCAAGCTCAAGACGGAGCTGTGCGGGACAGGGGCCGGCGGCAGCGGCGGCATGAAGGCCGGACGGGTGGACCAGATTGTCGTAGAAGGACGCGGCCACCTGTTCCCCATGGAGCTGCCGGGCCAGTGTGCGCACTATGCAGCAGAGTGGATCGGTAAGGAGATGAAGCGGTGGCGTGCCAAGGAGCGCGAGTACGAGGAGTGGACTAAACTATCTACAAAGGAGAAGACGACTCTAAGCGAAAAATATCTCGATAATGTCGGTCGTCCGCCGCCGAGAAAGGCTAAATCGCTGGCTAGTTCCGAGTCCAAGTTATAGGAGCAGCGCCAAGGGCCTAAGTTATGTGTGTAGTTCGATAACCTACCAAGGTAGTCACATAGTAGTTAGATATTTAGGTAGGTAGGCAAAGGTTAGAAAGCAGTAATCAAAGACACAGCGAATGAATATTAAATACTATGCCATTATTAGACACAAAAAGGGGCATATTTTTAGAAATCAATACTTTGACAAACTGGGTCAATCTATCTACCTGATGTAGCCACCCTCATTGCAAGAGTAAAATGAAGTAAGTGCTAGGCCTTGTTAGAGCTGTCCAGTCTGATGCCAAATACCACCTGGAATCGTGTTGATCATCTCAACGCCGAAACGACCCTTCCATGCATCAGACGAGTCCCCCAACCATTCCTTATCTCTTTCGTGCCTTATTCCGACTTCCATCTTAATTGTCAAGGGTCGTTCATGACGGACGTCGAAATTGAATTATGGCAAATTTTGCCAGGAATGAAAAACACCCCAGTCACGCCAGCACGAAAAATGAATAAATCAATGCCTCATTCCCCCTCCCCTCATCAATGCCGTCCATGTATCACAATATTGATTGATTCGTGAAAATTTGCATGTGTTTTGCTCTCCTAGCCCCTCAGAGATTAGGAGAGATGGAAGGCACCCTGACCTTCCTTGATAGCAGTGAACAACTGTCGTTTCATGCTCTTGATAGTAGTGTAATCGGGCAATTTCAGGTAGTTGACACAAGTCATGACGCTCGGTAGGTAGTCGTCTGATGTGTAAGGGGGTTCGCTGGGTTTGCAGACTACCGTAAACATGGGAGTCAAGCTCTTGAATCCTATTATCAAAGTTAATGTTTTGTCTGGTAAGTAATGGAACTAGGGTAAAAAAAAGACTGACCACCGATAGGGAGTTTCGGACTACCAGTAGTAAATTGTAGGAAGTCTCGACGTTGTTGAGGGTTCAACTCGCTCATGGTCTGCAGTAAATTGCGAACAGTCCTGCTATCCATGTTGAAACCATGGTCTGCCTTGATGGAGTCCATAAGAGCTGTAATGTGAAGGTTAGTTTTGGTAGGACTATAAATGATTATGAGAGGGAATGGGAGGGTGCTTACTCTCCAGGGACCAATCCTCATCAACCTGGCCAAACAATTCCACCAATTCATTGGGGGTGAAGGCATTCAAAGCCGAATACGGGAATACTTGGGAGAAACCAGTGCGGAAAGCTTCCACCTGACGTTTGACGCCTCGGCCCAATGTTAAATCAATGACCTTCTCCAGATATGACTCGACATTGTAGATGGTGACCGGGATATGGGATCCGCCAGAGACGAGCTCAATGTCTGCATAACCAGGTAATGTGAAATCCAGGGCTAATTCTTCTAGCCTTCCATTGTCCACAATGATCTTCTCAATGTCTGCAACCTTTTGTGCGGGAGTACGATTAGGGTCTTCATCAATCGCCTTCTTAGCCATGGCAAACTTCTTAATATGCTTCAGAGAATTTGCGAGGCCAGAGTCCACCGCTTTAACAGCGCCTAGGGATGGCTTCACACCCGAAGAACCTTCGCCAATGCGGAAGAAGATGGGGTTGAAGTTGAGATCGATAATGCGAGAGTCAATCATGGATCGCGCAACGAACTTTCCGAGCATCTTGAACAACTGTAGAATGACATTTGCGCTCGAGTCGTCATCACTTATCGGTCGAGGGAATAGCGAGCCAGGAATGAATTCCGTGTTCTTTGAATCCATGTCACGCCACAACCTGAGTTTCCGCTTGGAGAACTCCTTGGATACTGTCGAGTAGAACTCGAGGGTAGGACCAAGGCCCGTTCCAACCTCTTCGTAATATTCAACTTCGAGGATGCTCTGCGAACTGCCGTAAAGCTCCATTACCTTCAGTGCAGATTCTAGTATTTTAGAGCGCGAAATTCGCACCTTTTGACGCTGAAGTCGTCCAAGGAATAGGTGCTCATCTCGTCGGTCACGGCCCGAGGTCTCCTCCTGTTGGGCATTTTGCCATCGGCTCATAGATCGGGCATAACCAAATGACGTCGACTGGAGGAATAAGTGACGAGTTTCGAAGGGGAACAAGAATGGATACAGCCTTGCCAGATCCTCGCTCCAGCTCGGTAAGCAATTGCTAGCTACGATGAGCGGTTCCTCTAGCTGCCTATTGAGCTTGGCGGTCAACTTCGTATTGACAAACTGGGAAGCGGGTTCCACGTTGAGCTTCAGCATATCCTTATTTTCCACCATAATGTCTTCAATGTTTGCGTTTAGGTCATGCAAAATGTTGAGGAGGCGAAGGATTGATGCGGCGATTGGGTTATTCGAAAGAGAAGCCGGGACACCATTCACGTCAGAAGGAACGTCAAATGAGGATCCAAATCCGGTTGGCTCAGCCGGCGGGGGCCCTTGAACACGACGGAACTTGATAACGTGCATCGTGGACCACACACTACGACTTAAATGATCATCGGGCTGGGACGAGGTATTGTGCACTGCTCGGTAGATGGTCGTCTCATTCGGGATTACTCGGTCACCGAGACTAAATTCAATGTGCCAGTCTTGAGGAACCGACTGGATAGCAGCCGCATAAGAAAGCGGCCGTGATGAAGTTGAGGAGCTTGGAGTTGGCATGCTTTGCTGCAATCCCGAGGGCTGAGGAGGTGCACTACGACTGGGAAGATAGGCGAGGCCACTCTGGGATGGAGTCGGAACCCTTGTTCCGTCATCTTTCCTGGCGGTGATCTTCCCACTGTCTGCCTCTACTAAGTTGACTGCGGATGGATCCGGGGCAAGTGTATTTTCAACGTCCTCGTCGAGCTCACCAACTATAGCATCAAGAGCGCTGCTATCCCCAATGTCAGCCTCGTCCTCCTCATCACTGATTGGCTTCTCATCGGCGCATTCTAACGCATTTTGTAAATCTTCATCATCCGGCGGGGGCGGCGGAGGGGCTTGCGCCTCACTTGGCTGCGCCGTCTGGCGCCGTGTTGACCTACGAAGAATCGCCTTCTCTCGGCCAGAGCCTGCTACCGACCCTGGGGTAGATGGTGTGTCAGATTGCCCGGACTGTTTTGACTTGGACCTACGAGGCGGGCGAGAGCCAGAGGCCTGCGCTGGCACCGGAGGGGGCGGGGGATTAGAATAGCTCGCTCCCAGTCGCTCGGCTAGACGTTCTGCTGATGGTAGTCCTGCTGAGCTAGCCATGGCAGCTAAGGCTCTGGACAGCCCATCTCTCGCCCTTGGGCCACGAGGGCGGTCGTGGAGAGTGATCCGTGGACGTAACCAGTCATCTAGTGCCTTGAACGTTGCAATAGCGTGAATATGGACAACAATGGTGCGAAAAGAGCGAGGGATGTCGGACTCATCGTCGGCCACCAGCCGAAGTTTGATCTGTTTGGCCAGCATAGATGCGGCGCTGCTGCGATTGCCATCAAATGTATTGTGATGTACGGTGATAACCTCGAAGTGCTCTGATCGACTAAGGAGATCCTGAAGCTTGTGGATCATAATACTGAAGGGTGTCGTGGGAGAATCTGCAGTTGCCGTTTTGGGTCTCGAATTCACATATCGGCCCATGAAAACCTCAAGGAAAGCAGTTCTCGCAGCGTTGGCCAGTGTCTCATCAGGATTGCTAAATACCTCCTCCAAGATACGCACGAGCCCCGAGGCGAGCAGCTCGGCACTTGTCACACTGTCCAGGACGTCGGCGTCGAAATAAGAGGACAACTTTTCGAAAAGTGCTGTACCATTTTCGGGGGACAGATCTTTGGTGGCAGTCCTTTGAAGATAAAATCCTTCAATTTCGGAGGCTAGGCTTGCGAGACCCTCTAGAATCTTGCTTGCTTTCTTCTTCATACTCTTACTATGCTTTTCAGTCTCATGAGTCTCTAGGAACACCCTCGCAGCTTCAGCAATGCGAGATTTCATGGATGGGATATCGGTAACGAAGGGGCGAGGAGGTCCGTCGATAGACATAGTAGATCCATCGGAACTAGCAGGGGAACCTGACATATCGTCGTCGTGATGCTCATTTTCTTGGTCGTCTTCGTTCTCGCCCTCCTCATCCTCGTCCTCTTCCTCTTCGTGCTCTTCATGCTCTTCGTGGTCCTCATCTTCCTCATCCTCCGAGCCGTTGTGTATAGACACTCTATCGCCCTCGTCTCCTGAAGTCATACTATGGTCCGTTGACATTTCGGTTGTTTTATGCTCGGGCTCTTGATAATCCGCTGCCAGCTTGGTTATCTCTGCAATGACGCCTTCACGGTAAATCTGATAGCGGTATATATCGTCCAGTCGATTTAGGAGTAGCTCTGTTACCTGGACGGCTGACATCACAAGTGAGGGGTGATCCTGTTGAGATAAGATCGAGGCCAGGAACGACGCATATGGAACAGATTTCAACGCATCGACGAGGATGTCTTTGTTCAGGTTTGACAGCATCTTCAACTGGGCAGTGAGCACTTTCTGCCGAACGCTTAGATTCACTGTACTTGAGAAGGCGTCTGTTAGAGTCGGAAATAGGATGAGCGCAAATCTTCGTACTTGGTCTCTGCATTCATCGAGAAGTTCCAGCCTCTTTTCGTTGGCAGACTTCCTTCGAGGTCGGAGTGAAGAGGGCGTAAGAGGCTCGGTCAGATCCAAGCTTGCAGATACCTGGGATGCCGAACCATCGGGCCATCTCAAACCCGGAAGCAGCTCACAGATTACATTAAGAGTCTCGATGATCTGCTCACGAGGCCGATGGATCAACGCCTGCATGATTACTACACTGTCAAGCTTCGAGGCGACATCTTCCGTCTCGCTTGGGGGAGAGACGCCGGTCAAAATTTGGTAGAGTGTCTCAACCACATTCAATTTGAAAAGCTCTGCGGACAGGCGTGGACTGGCACGAGCTGTGATGGCCAACACTCGAAGAAACTGTGTATGAATATTGGCACTAATAAGGTTCGTAGTTCCAGGGACAAGGAGTCGTAGTATGGCCTTAAGTAGGTCCACGCTGACCAGTTGCTCTAGCTTCGACGACTGGTATTTGAAACTTTCGATTATGCGAGTAACACAAAGTGAAGCTTGTTCTACAACACGCTGGTCGCTGCTGCTCAATACGTTTAAGAGAATCGGCATAACCGCCTCGATCCCGCTAAACGAATCTTCGGGGATGTTTCGGCAGCAGTTGGCAGCAGTCGTTACGGCCGCCCGTTGTGTGCTCGTGGGGAAAAAGTCGAGGTAAGTAAGACAGGCGTGTAGGCCGCCCTCGCGTACTATACTCGTAGGATACTCCACTGAGATCTTTTCCAGCGTGCTCAGCGATTGCTCAGCGAGATCGATATAGTGAATCTCCAAAAGCTTTTGGCACAAAATGGGGACAGCACCGCCATAGACCACATTAGCCGCGCTCGCCGGTAAAGCCTCCATCAAGTTCGCAAGGCAACGACAAGCAAGAAGCATGATCTCAGAATTCTCATCGCCTGTGAGTTCGTTAGGTTGCATTAAGGCTACCAATTCCTTCACGAATGCGTCAGGGGAGAAATGACCAGACAGATTGTCCTCGTTGGAGACTAGTAGAATCTGAGCTAGCTCCTGTAGAGCAACAAGCTGTACCGATGGATCGCCTTTCTGTCGAAGGTTATGGAGGATGGTGCGTAGTGTAGAGGACATGCCGGATACCATCCCAGTAAGAGCTCTGAGCGTGCTAGACAGGCCTGAGCCTGGATGTCCCCCAAACCCACCGAATGGATCGTCATCGTAATGACGGTGAGGTTCCTCCTCATCCTCATCATCATTGTCATCGCTGTTCTCATCGTCTGGGTCGTGCGCGGGGGGAGGAGGGGGGGGAGGGGGTGCTTCTGCTTCGCTCTCATGCTCCTCAGTTCCCGTCATGGTCGTATCGGGGTCGGGGGGTGGATGATTGCTAGATGTTCGCTTCGATCGTCGAGTAGAGCCGGAAGCAACTGTTGTAGATAGGTCTAGTCCGAATTGGTCAGTATGGAAGAATTGCAAAGTTTAGAGTTTATTAAATAAATGGGGACACAATATACCTGATGCTACTGGCACGCCTTTCTTGTTGCGACTCGACTTTCGACTTGACGAGGCTGAGGTTGAATTTGTAGAATCCTGCATTCTGGCTGGTGGGGGTGGGTCAGCAGCACTGTGGACAAACATTAGCAATCTACACTACACAAATAAAATAAAAACTCCCCTCGCTGTAAAAAAAAACATACGGGGTTGGACTGGACATAGAAGCCGTGTTCTTTCCTTTCCGCTTGCGCGCAAAAGATGCAGGAGTAGGGGCAGGTGGGGCTTCAGGCGCTGGCTCCGAAACCTTCTGCCTCTTAGATCGACGAGGAGGCGCAGCTGTTTCGGCCTGCGAGGCCTGGTTTGGCAAGTTGCTATCCGCAGGGACAGATTTCCTCTTGCGTGCGGGCGTAGGCTTCGAGGAAGACTGGTTTGCGTTGGTGCTGGCTGCGGCGGTTGCAGATGACAGACCAGCAGGATTATTACCAGAATTGGTATCCGCCGGCGATGCTCCTTGGCTTGCCGCGTTGCGCGCGGAGGAGCGTGTGACTCTGGAAGACATGAGTACCTAGTATTTAATTTGAAGTACTCATGTGAAATGTTGGTGACTCGGAATGTATGTATGAGGGTATGGTATGAAGGGTAGGTATCGGGAAAAGCAGGAAGGTTTGAGATAAGCCTCGCCTCGGAAGCTTGGACCGTAGGACAGTCCCTCGTTACGAGAACATAGGGTTAGACTTGATCAATCGCAAAAAGCGCCTGACAAACCTAGCAATTGCCTATGGCTGTGATGATGGGTGGTGATAGCCTTTAGCCTTACGACAGGAAGACGAACAGGCAGTTATGGAAAGTGTAGATGTATTACTTGTGTTGTGTGTCTTGCCCAAGATGGACAGATGACAAAGAATGTCTGGTTTTGGGGATTGAGATATCAACTACGAAAACCTCGAGGTGCGAAGATCATACCCCTCCCTTGAAGAATTAAGGTCAGTTTCCCTATTGAAGGACACTGGCCTGATTTTGGGATGATATGATGTAGAGGGAGGAAAGACGGAAAGACGGCGAAGTGTGCGTATGTTTGAGAGGGAACTGGAAGAGATTGGGTTGATAGGGAAGTTGTCAGGAATGAATCAACGAAATCTGATACGAAGAAAAAAATAAATAAAGTGGTGCGTTGCTCCTTGGGTTGTACCAAGGTATCATGTAAGTTAAGTGCAATGAATAAGAAAAAAAAAAGCATTAAAATAACAATTTAAAATGATAAAAATATGCTCATTGCGTATCTTACCTTGGGGATATTGATATAGAGGATGATGGTGACAAGGCAGGAGCGGCTGACGCCTGGTTCAGGCTCTGGTTCAAGTTCTGGTTTAAGTTCAGATTCAAGTCTGGAATAGAAGGAAGTCGCGCTTGAGTATCGTAATTATCGTTATCGACTGCCGATCGAGAAGAGCGCAGATTCGCAGCAGAGGGTTTTCGGTCTGCCATGGATTACGCCATGAGGCACGGCGGCGATAGGTTGTGACAAGTCCAGTACTAAGTATTCGGGCCTCGGGCTCGAATTTCCTCTTTCTGAAGTCTTTGGGAGTATTTTGCTTTTATGAATCTCCTGGAACCAATCTGACAAGGGGCGTCGTCGTTAGAATCGATTAACGGACAGTATCATTCCTACATCTAAGGTCGATATCAAGATGGCAAGTGACGTAGAGGTAGACGTAGGTACTAAATGGACCAAGACATGTGATGGAACTTGGGCGATACAGTATCGTTTTCGTTGTCGTCGAACGAAGCTTCGGGGATTTGGTTGGAGGTTCTATCGGAGGAGGTTCGCTCGAATGAATGGCCACCCGCGGGCGGCTGGATGTTGGGCTAAGGTAAGTGGGTTATGTGGGTGTATTGTGGACGTATTGTGGACGTATTATGGACGTATGTATTGTGGGTGTGAAGTGTGGCAGGCTTACATTGTTACATATTATAGTACTATGGATGGAGATATTGATGTATGGAGGTCTGGTAGTTGGTTTTACATACCTAGGGTACATATAACTATGGGTACCTAGTACCAACTTTGTAGCGCACATTCAATTGGGTTTAGCGTAGTGGCCGCTTTTGCAACGATATTTTGACATAAGTTACGTAATATAAGAAAACGGTTGTCTAAATCGTCTTTAAAACGGTTTCTTAAAACGGGCTTTTAACTACATGATAGCATGATAGTAAGCAATCCTGCCTTTCTAACCGTCGTAATCGTAGCGGGTACCTTGTGTTACAGGTTGGAGCCTACTGTTCGATGTGTCAGCCACCCCTGAGTCACTGGAAGACTCTGTTATAGCTGTGCCGTAGGAAGCCTCCAGGGCTACTACGTCGTATGTATTAAATACGCATACCAAAGCCGTAGCATTGTTATTCCGGGCTTATAACAGGACAAATTCAACCTTACGATTACGCTTCTAATTCTAATTCTAATTCTAATCCTGATTATAGTAGGTTTATAACGAGAAACTACGGCATGACATAATCCTTACTTCAATGGATTGGAAGTGTTATATACCGGATTAGGATAACTTACTATATGTAGCCATGATATAGCCACTAGACCCCGCTGCGGGGCACCCGCAAAAGAGACGGAATCTGAAAGACCACGAGCTTTCAGATTATTAGGATTGATATTTAGGATTGATATGTTCTACCCTAGGGATGTCACAACCGTAACCGTGACAAGACCGTTCACTTGGTTATTGATCCCTATTCCATATATATATTAGATATATCACCACTTGCTTAAACCGCAATTACTCGGCCGGTGGTATTTCAGACGGTGGGGTTGGAGGAGCAGACATGGTAGTGGGAAGCCCAGATAGACATGCCACCATAGGATATGGGTGGATGGTGTACTGATTCTAAAGCCTTCTTAGGCATGAAAGGCCCTTAAGAATATATATGTGCAAAACCACCCCGTGATTAAGTTACCAGATCGTCTACATGTTGTAACCTTACAGATGGATATACTTGCCATTACATTAATCTGGTAAGTTGGTTGGAAGACACGAAACCACACATTGTCCGTTTATTATGGGCTGGATTTATGCAAACGGGCTTGTGTAGAGTCAAGAAGTAGATATGTACATATTAATATGCTCAGTCCAAAAGCGGCGTGGCTCAGGTTGTCATCCCGCTTGGATACATCGGTTCGTAGTGCGTACATAGTTCGTGCGGGTAGGGGAGTGTGGTATACTTTATTTATAGTAGGGGTGTGGTTAAGCAGCTTCCAGGGCTACTGCACAGTACTACCACGTAGATGTACTATGTATGTTCTTACCGATTCTGTGTATTTCCACGCCTAAAGATACGGTACAAGATACTGTATCCCTTTGCGGGCTACGATAGCATACGTGGGACAAAAGTCACGTGGTGCCCCAGTTTAATCCCTGGATACATTGAGGCACATACCCATATATTCCACTTGCCATCTATTCTTCCAAACATCGAGCCTGTAGAAGAGTATATTAATTGATAAGATATATCAAATAATTGCCGGGTTTTCAATGATTATATCAGTATTTTTTTCATACGAATAGATGGCCTTGGAGGCTGATTAGGTGTTGAGAACCTAGAAATTGAAATTGAAAGCAGGCTAACCTTTAAGGGCTAGCGCTTAAACGCTCACGTGATATCCCTCAGCATCACCATATTATACTCAACTTTAAATATAACAATCACATGAAGCCTTAATACGATGCAACTAGTATTAATAAATTCCCTTATTTGATACTTATTTATAAATCAAAGCACACCTTTATAGACATAATACTTAAAAAGTTATTTGAATTGAAAAGTAATTATTTGTCAATAAGCTGGGCATTGGTTCGTGTGGCGGATCTAATATGCTAGCCAGAATAGGCTAAAGTGGTAAAACTGGCGATGTATTGCTAATGTAGCTTGAAAGATAACATATACATTTCTGACACTGAAAATTTGGTGGAAGAGGAGGTACTCTTCAACAGATTTACTTGATTGGATGCATATCGCTTTTTTGCCCCAGTTTTGCCCCACGTATGCTATCGTAGCCCGCAAAGGGATGATGTGCAACTCGAAGCTGCTGCTCAGGAGCCTCAGGGGTGCCATTACACCGTTGACGGTACTAGGTTAGGTGCTTACAAAGGTAGTTACAAAGTTAGTTCGAACGTTACAGAAGCGTACTAACGAATCTCCGTTACGATAACGCTATTATGGTCCTAAATTGTTAATTACCGATTACTACATATCCTTGTCAGACTAGCATTCAAGCTGTAGCTAGTATTAATCATATCGTCAAGGTTACAAGTCTTGTAAACTCTCTAATTTGCGTCTAAAACAATAGGTACATATGTAGGTTTAGTAAACATCACATCCTCCTACATAGCAGGTAATCATATAAGAGTGGCTATAAAAATCAAGAATAAAAAACACTCTTTAAAATTCTCCTTTTTCGTTGACAAGCATAGCTAAGAAAGCCGTTAGCTCTTTAACGAAGGCCGGCTAATGGAGAAATACCTAAAACCGATTCATCAGCCAATATATTGGCACTTGACGACAACTACTAGCACCTACCAGGCAGACACTAGGTATATATTGACTTTATGGCAGATACCTATCTCGTATCAAGGTTACTGAATGTGTACACAAGATTTAACTGAAAACGCTAGAGATGTATTTGGATATTGGATATATCGGAATAATGAGGTTCATAGAAAAAGGGTTAAAGCTTCCTTTGACTATGCTGGTGCTTCAAGGCAGCAAGACTAACTAGGTAGGTATATATTAAGGCTTCTGAGCTTTCAGGCTATCAATGCCGCCTTCGAACTCGGTCACATCATACTCGTCCGGGTATTTCTCCAGATGCTGTCTTAGTTGCTCCATCTGGGCCTTCAAATCAGGGGTTAGGTCCTCGTATACGTCCTCAAACATAGTCCGGATAGGTGGCTTCTTCTCTCGCTCTGCCTCCGAGAACGCCTTTAGCACAGCTCGCCTGATGCTCTCTCGGGCGTCTTTCTCCTTAGACTCGTCCCAGAATCCGTTTGCTTCCATGTATTTCCGCAGTCTCGCAATAGGATTATCCCTGCGCTTCCAGTCTTCCACCTCGACCCTTGCTCGGTATGCAAACGAGTCATCCGATGTGCTATGATGACTAACACGGTAACTCATCGCTTCTATGAGGACAGGCTTGCCTCCATCCTGAAGAGCCATCTCCTTAGCTTTCTTGGTGACTTCTCTGACTGCCCAAATATCATTTCCGTCCACTCTCACGGTGTCAATGCCGTAGCCAATTCCTCGACTAGCAATACCATCGCCCCGATACTGTTCTAAAGTCGGTGTTGATATTGAGTAACCATTATTTCGGCATATAAAGATGACTGGACAGGACCGTGTAGCAGCAATGTTCAATGCGGCATGGAAATCACCTTCACTTGCAGCTCCTTCGCCGAAGTACACGGCAACCACACGGGGAGGTAAGGATGGATCGTTGATGCGCTGCATTTTGAGGGCATACGCGGCGCCCGAGGCGTGTGGGATCTGTGTCGCTAAGGGGGATGAGATTGTATGCTATATCAATCAACTGGGTTAAAATACTGAGCTATTACTTTGCGAGTCTTATATGAACTTACTATGTTTAGCTCTTTGCTACCGTAATGCACGGGCATGTTTCTCCCCTTCCCCCGGTCATGTTTATTCGCAAATAGTTGGTCCGTGAAATCCTTCAATGTAAAACCACGCTGTGCAAATATTCCCTGTTCGCGATATTGACAAAACACTACATCTTCTCGGTTCAACGCTGAGGCAGATCCAACACTAATGGCTTCCTCGCCAGCCGATACCATATAAAAGCTTATACGGCCCTGTCGTTGGGCATCAAACATAACAGGGTCCATTATGGAGACAGTCAACATATCCTTATACAATTTTACGACCTCCTCATTGCTAAGATCCGGCTTAAATGAACTATCAACAATGTTGCCATCTTGATCAACTACTCGGTACGTCGGGAGGGCAGGATGATCGGAAGGGAGAGCAAATTTAAGATCGCTTGTGAAAACACTCTTGACGGCGCCGGGAAAAGAGACATGTGATGCTCCAGGACGCTGCGATATGCTGCTCGCGAATCGTATAGCGGTGTTCTGGAAGCCAGATGAACGAGATCGGTGAGGTGTAGAACGTAAAGCTCTTTGAAGAGATGATTTTGAAAGTATTCCTGCCCTCATGATTGCTACCTACCGAGGTAATAGGTATATGTTATGGCATCTCTTGGAAAGAGGATTGCATTCTATGATGAATGATGGACTCTGACTTCCGTCGTTGTCGGTCTGACGTTTGTATTGTTTAGAAAGGGAACTCCGATGCTAAACGACGACGTTTAAGCCGTAGTAAAGCGAAAGGCTTAGTTATGCTATGGACCTAGGTAAAGGTTAGGGAGATTAGCTTGTCTACCCTAGCTCGTCTTACCCCAGATTCTTAAATCTTGGCTCTATTACGTAAGTCAAAGCATACACTAATAACGTCATATCTCTTTTCTTAATTCATTTAAAGTTGAACGTTGGATTTGAGGCTGAAGTCTTGAGTATAAATTGATACGGTTGACTTGTAGTGAGTGACATGTGTTAGTACAACGTGCACAGGTTCATGACCTTGTTTCGTAATATTGAAGTTGCATACACATGTACCTACATTGTAGAACCTGGACCTCGCAAGTTGAGGCACCTATGGTAAATATGAATATCTGAGAAAACAGATATAGGCCTCGAAGAAATCATCGTAGGTACCCAAGAGAAGATTTAATAGCTGATCATAGGAAATGACACATCATGTAGGAATCTGACCAGTTCACATATCAGATCAATTGATTCCAAGATATCAAGTAGGTGCCTAAGGCGGCGTCTAGTAGGTAAACGAGGTTGTACCAAAGTTCCAACCTGAAAAGCTTTTTGCGTGATATCGTGATATCTCAGGTAAACATTAAGGCAAACATTCAAACAGGTAATAAACAATACTTCCCATTTCCTAGATGGAAGAGACCTACCCACCGTCCTAACATCAACCCAATCCTTACATTCTCATCATATGCACTACCAGACGGCCTTTTCCAAATAATTACGACACTCTTCTGAATATATCACACTGCCTCTTCTGGACGCAATATTGTGCCTTCCAATTCAATTACCAAGGCACATAAATACTCAATCATTGCGTCTACCAAAAGCAATCAATTTGCTACCTACAAGAGGGCAGATAACCCGGCGACACATACATATACACACACCACACGCAAGGAAAGACCAAAAACCCTCGAGTCTCGAGACAATGCCGCCCACTGGAACGTCATCAATCGGCGAAAACGTTGTCATTGCACTCGTAGTACTTTTCCTCTCGGCAGGCATCGGCTGTCTAGTCTGGAGCAGCCTGAAGCAGACAACCAAATTTGCCAACTTGATGTTCGCTGCCCGGCGAGCCCAGCGAGAAGAAGCGGAGGCAAGACAGGAACAGGAGCGACAGGAGCGACAGGGGTCCACGTCGACATCGACATCGACATCGGCATCGGATGCCGGTGCTACTGTCTGACAAGGTGAGCCAATGAATTTTCCTCGAATGATATCCAGCACTTTTGATGTTTTTGTTTAGTTGTTCCGCGTGATGAACATCCTACTACGCACTATGTAGTGTATGCACTTAAGGATACAGTCCCTTTTTTGAGTGAGACATTCAAAGTGAATGTGACTTGTATGTCTATAGACTTATATGTCTATGGATGGATAAATGTTGTTTCTTTCACATGTATGGTTGAGTATGGTTGAGTTGAGTTGAGATCAGTTGAGATCAGTTGAGTTCAGTCGAGTTCAAATGTTAGCGACCAATCGCGTCTGAGATCATCCAATTCCTTGGCATTGGCCCTAACATCCTGGATCCTGGTCCTAACCTACATGTAGGTAGGACCTGGTAGGTACATATGTACATACATACACACCTACCAGGTACTAGGTACCCCCACATGGCAGGAGCCGAAGTGATGGACCGATCGCCGACCGATGGAGCACAATTTTTTGATCCGTACTTAACCTTCAATTCTCCGTTCTTTACTTCGGTGCTCCGGCTTTGCTTTGCTAATCAACTGTTTGTTTCTTATTTCTTATTTTTTCTTATTTCACTTACTCAATTCCAGTTAATTACTCCTACCGTCACAATGGTTGCTCGCCAATCGGTCCTGCGCGCAGCCGTACGAATATCGAGACCGACATATTGCCCTCTTTCTAAACATACAAGACCTTACTACAACGCCGAAAGACAACGATATACCCAACGACGCCAAATATCCTCGACTTCAACCAATTCCTCACCAACAACAACACCCCGTGAAAATGGTACTACCACTGCCGCCAGCAGTAACATTGATAGAAGCGGCACGACCCACTTCGGCTTTCAAGACGGTCTGTCCGAGTCCGACAAGACAGAACGTGTGGCCGACGTCTTTGATAGTGTCGCCAATACCTACGATAAAATGAATGATCTTATGTCCTTTGGCTGGCACCGCGTCTGGAAGTAAGCTTTTCTTGCCTACCCATTCCCGCCCTTACGCCCATTATATCCGCACTCACAAGCTAACTAACTGCCTTTACAGGGACCACTTCGTATCCTCGCTCAACCCCGGCCTATCCACCTCCACCCCCCCCAAACCCCAACGCATCCTCGACGTCGCCGGCGGAACAGGCGACATCGCATTCCGCATGCTCCACCACGCCCACGTCCTCAACGGCAACCCCTCCGTGCACGTAACCATCTCCGACATCAACGCCTCTATGCTCTCCGTTGGCAAGAAGCGCTCCCTCGCCCTCCCCGCCTCCCAGCAAGCCGCCCTCTCCTTCCTCGAAGCCGACGCCACCTCCTTCTCCCCCACCGCCGTCCCCTCCAGCTCCCTCGACCTCTACACCGTCGCCTTCGGCATCCGCAACTTCAGCAACATCCCCGCCGCCCTCAACGAGGCGTACCGCGTCCTCAAGCCCGGCGGCATCTTCGCCTGCCTCGAGTTCAGCAAGGTCACGAACCCGGTCCTCGACGCCTTTTACAAGCGCTGGAGCTTTTCTGCGATTCCTTTGATCGGCAACTTCGTCGCCGCTGACCGCGACTCGTACCAGTACCTCGTCGAGAGCATCGAGCGCTTCCCCTCGCAGGAAGAGTTCTGCGCCATGATCCAGCGCGCCGGCTTCGTCACCGCGGGCCAGGGATGGGAGGACATGACGGGTGGTATTACCGCGATACATAAGGGCATGAAGCCTCTGGGAACGTAAAAACGTGACGAATGGTGTTCTGTGCAAATGGACGGGGGCAAAAGAACGAAAGGTTAAGGTGCTATGGAAGGCAGGCAGGTGGGTAGGGAGGTTACCAAGGGGAAAAAAAAAAGGCAAAATACGCTTTGTACACTACAACTACTCCCTGTATTATACCTCCCAGAAGAAAGAAAAAAAAGGAAGAAAGCCTACATGTAGCCTCCAGCTAGCTGCCTACCTGTGTACAAACGGGCAGCCAAGGCCATACCCACCATGCATAGAAAGAAAAGCAACTCCCCCAAAAGGAAGTCTACATAAACAAACCCAACTCTTCCCATTGATCAAATTAGAGTCTTCTCTTGCGTAATAGTAAACAGTAAAGACTAATTTTTAATAGGCAGCAGGTAAGGAAAGTAAAATTTCGTTCTATGCCCTCGCTTTGAGAAACGGTCTCTTTTCGGTTGTGATAAAAGTGTATGTAACCTACCTAGATGCATGTTCTATTTTTGTCCGTTTGCTTGCCATCTACTATATATACTTACCTCGATCTAGTAGGTAGGTAGATATTGTATCTATCTATCTCTAGATCGTGACATTGCATTGTCTGCCTGCCTGCTCTAAGCTATTCCATCCGCAGTCTATAGCTTCACATGCATGGGATGTATTAGAGCATCTAGTTGTGGCACATCTCGTAGAATAGATAGGTACGCAGCCTATACTTTTTCATTTATAATTGTAATCTTGTTTACTATTCATTGAACCAGTTTGCAATGGTTGCCCGTAGACGATCTATTCCGCCTATGAAGTACAACCCCTTTAAAGTTGGCCTCAAGGCCTAACGCCTAGATATTACAAGTCACGGCACAGAAAATGTAGAGAGTCCTCAATTAAAGATCAATTCATTCCGGGAGTATTAGCAGAAACCCCTATCTCGATGACCTAGTCCGGTCCAGACTCAGAATTGGTGCAAGAAACCGATCCGTCCTCGCGGGCGATTAGCGCGAAAAAAAATGCCTCGTAGGTTTACCGAGAGAAGAACGTCGTCAGTTTGCATCCCGCAAACCTTTCACATAACCCCTCTCCTTTCCCGTCCCCTTCCGCCTCCAATCCCTCCTTCGTTCTTTTCAGTATGACGAAGGCACTAGTTATTTTTCCCCCTTAGCAAAACTTCCTTCGCAGGCCGGCAGATTCTCTTTAACTCCACCTGTTTCAACGACAGATAGTTGCTTCGCGGAAAGTTGCCAGAATACAAGGTAAAGTTCGCGTAATGTCACGCGAGGCCATTAATAATAGAATGTAGGTAATATGCAAGTACTGATAGTCGACAAGTCGTTTACGAGTCGCCGGTAGGAGCTGGTGAAGCAGTACCACCTTCACCTTTGCTCATGCCCCCACGACCACCCCTGCCGCCTCGGCCGCCTCTCTCACTACGACCTCCTCGAGGTCCACCGCGGCCTCCGCGCGTGCGACCAGTCTCAGGACCGCTCTCACCGCCGCTAAGGGTTCCACGGTCACCGGCACTACGGTATCCACTTGCGTTGTCTCTTCCACGTCCACTACCCCAGGTTCCGGCGCCTCGACCACTGAACGCTTGCTTGGATTCGCGGGGCTGGAATATCTTGACTAGGGGTCTTGATCGGTCCTCGGACTGGCGGATCTTGAAATCGTCCGAGAGACTGGAATAAGCACCATCACGCTCGTCTAAAGTCTGGAAATGAACAACCTTGTTGTTGCTATTATTTCCCCACTTCTCGATCTTGGCGATCTTCACTTTGTGCTCCTCAGGGAAAATCTCTCGGGTCTGGTCGTCACTCTGGACATTCATAACGAATAGTCCGATGATGCTATCTGCAGAGGGTCTGGGCGCAGGTGACGGCGCAGATTCCGGACCATGGGCTGATCCATTGGTGCCTATGGGTTTCTCGTTCTCCTTGCCAGCTACCGCGCTAGGGGCTGGAGACGATGATGTCGGCTTGGGAGTAGCGGGCTTGGGGGCCTGTAGGGGAGTCGCCACTCCAGGCTTCGTGGGCTGCGAAGGATTTCTTTGCGGACCAGAAGCGGCCGCGGGGGCCGCTGGAGCCACGGGGGCCGCATGGGGCAAGCCAGGTGCTGGGGACGGTGTGCTCTGAGGAACCGTCTGTTGCTTGGCACCGCGGTGCGAAAAGTTGAAACCTTGAGCTCGCATTTCCGTTCCAATGCGACCGTCTTGTATCTCTAGGACCAACCAACCAAAGGCCGCGTCTGCGAGGTTGAAGTTCCACATGTTCTTGAACGCACTCTCATCAACCTGACCCTGAGCACCAGGACCGCCAACTGGACCACCAAAAGGGTTCCCACCAGCTGCAGTCCGAGGCATTTTTTCAACAAGTTCCAGGGCGTTACGAAGGAGATTTTGTTGGGCCTCATTCTGCTGGATTGCAGGCTCAACCTCGCCCTTGACGGTTTCCCAAACGTCGTTAAACGATGCCTTCGAGGCGGCGAGTTTGCCACGATAGTGATCCAGGGTAGGGTTTACGCTGAACTCATTGTAAGAGCTACCATATCGAAAGTGAAGACCTGCTGAGATAGAAAAGTCTGCCTTGAGGCTGACTGAAAGCTGGTTTAAGATCCCCTCTCGAGCGGGAGACGCGTGCGTGATGAAAATGCGAGTTTCGGTCGGGTCGTAAACGCGGTTAGCTGTGTCGACCAGCTCGCCCATCTGAAGTAGAGTAGTCCACATAGTGCCCTGTCCACCTGCGATAGTAGTTCTACCCTCGCCGTTATCAAACAACTTGTGCATGACTACCGCTCCACCAAGGCCAAGGAGTCGCAATTTGACGCCACCAATTTCCAACAACATAGATCGAGCCTCGTCAATGATGTGCAGGTTGTGGACTTTATATTCGGCGGATCGAAACTTCTCCAGCACGCGCACGTCCTCGCAGGCACCCCAAACGGTATAAACCGGTACATCGAGCTTGACTTGACCACTGATGAGCAAAGGAAGCTCAGACAGAGGTAGTTCTTGCGGGGAGAATCGCGCTTTGACGGAGCCCGGCCCTCCTTGACCGATGGCCTTCTTGACATCTTCATTGATCAATGGCGAATACTGAGCGACATGTTTCAACGTTCTGTTTCAATCGCGCTTTAGTAAAGTTATAACCTGTTAGGGAGGATTCACCAACTTACTTCTCTGCGATACGCTCTAAAGATGTGTCGTCGTAAAAGCCAAAATCTCCGGTATGAATAATGTGATCAGCTCGTGCTGACTTGGCGAGCTCGTTCAGGGATCGTAGGTTGCCTATTTCATGATTTTTAGCTGTACGTTATTTTCTACCGTGGCTTCGGAACCACCTTACCTCGTACGTCGGCTATACAGAGGACTCGGATAGGACCCGACTGGATGACTCGGCCTTGGTTAGGCAGGAGGGGTACGGCGCCTGGAGCAGGCTGGCCGAGGTTCGGGTGGCTTGCCGGAGCGCCATTAGGCATGTAGCCTTGGTTGTTGTACGACCGCTGCTGGAAACGGCTAAGAGTTAGCGGTTGATCCCCTCCGTAATCAATTAAGAAGTCCCCGAAGCGTTCAAGAAGCATGGGAACAGCCAAGGGCGGACGCGGCAGGCGAACGCGCAGAAAGCTATCATCGTCTAGAATAGGTGGAGGAAGGCGACTAATAGCAAGCTGGCGCTCATGATAAGACTGCTGCTCACGACGTTGCTGCTCACGAAACCACTCTTCCAAAGGCGACATCATGCGCGCGCCATCAAGCTGAGACTGTAACTCCAGCTGATGCTGAGCGGCAAGTGATGGAAGGGAATGGGGATATAGTTGAGGATGACGATGCATCGTTGTCAGAGGACTGGTAGGTGTCATAGCTCTCTGCCGGGGATTCGTCTGAGGGTGATTGAGGTGATGAAACATCTTGAGAATATTGGAGGGAAGAGGGATTGTGGTGTTGGTAGTGGAGGGTTATTTGAAGCAAAGTAAACATAAAGAAGGAAATGTGTGGGTGATATTAATGTAAATAGCTGTGAACCATAATTCACAAGGTGCAAAAGGAAGGTAACGCGCATAATGGTAAGGAAAAGGGTATTTACATACAGCCATGGGCAACAAGAGTCTTTGATGATGAGAAGTTTAATGGGGAAGAAGTCGAAATCGAGAATATGAATCGAGAGGTCGAGGAGTTATCGAAGAAGGATATGTCCTAATAAACAGTTCGTAATAGTTCGTAAATGGATTCGTTTCGTCAAAAGAGATGAAGGTAAGGTTAGGAGTCGCGAAGTATGGATCGTGGTAATAAGGAATAAAAATTGTTAAAATTGTCGACGATGAGGCGCGTGTACGAAGAAGGGTTTGAGGTTTGGGGGTTTGGGGTTGGAGTTTGGAGTTTGGAGTTTTTGGTGGCCAAGTGGCTCTAGTGGATAGGAAAAGTAAATAAGGTCCAGAACAAATGAACTGAACTGAACGGGTATCTTAAAAAAGAATGTTGTATCAAAGAGTTGACTGAGACACGACTGAGGAAATATGAGAAGCTCGCGTGATCTACCGTCTGCTATTTTAAAGATGTAGGATAGATAGAGCTTCGTAAGGCGGAGGATGGGATGATGGGAGTTGAAGGGTAAGGTTTGGTAGGCTAGGGTAGTAGCCTTTTTTTTTTTCTCTTCTTCTTTTTTTTGTTTTCTTCGATTTTCAGCAGGCGACACCAGTGAATCAAGGTTTGGGGCGCCCAAAAAAAAAGTTTCAAAAAGTTAGACTGGGGGGGGATTAAGGGAATTCGCGACAATCAGAAGCTACACCCCGCTTTGATTGGCTGTTATCACCATTAGCACCTTCAGCCTTGGCCCACTTCTTTTTCCAACCAGGTACCGAGATACCCATAACCACGGGTATCCTTCGAAGGTCAACAGGTATGAGGTACTTGTACATCAAGCTAATTGAGTACCTAGTACCTAATATTCGACGTATTAGCCTCCAGAGTGCAACATATAATGCTACATAATATGATAAGGCACTGAGTGCTGTATATAATTTCAATTTTGATACCTAAACACTACTAGGTACTTACATCAATATGGTACAGCTGTCTAGGTTAGGCAGGTGCCGTTTAATGTTAACATCTATAAACCATAAATTGATAATTAACTTGAATATATCCATGGATGTATGTGTAGTTACAACATTGACTTTCAGGTAATTACTACTAGTACTAGGTATTGATCATCTATAAAGCCTCTACCTACCTAGGCCATCTAAGGAAATGCCAACATTGAATGTTCAACGTTTGTGAACAGCATGCAGCATGGGGGCCCGTCTGCTGACTCATTATGACAGTGCACGGACCCACTCGGGTAACCCTTCCCCGGCCGCCTTTCCTACATAGTAAGTTATTAGTAACTAATCCTCCATTCTATAGTGGGCTCACACCAACCACATTCTTCAACTGTTCAACATGCTTCAATATCTCTATTATGTATGTCAACCTCCCGAATCCAACTCAAACTGTTTGTCAAGTAGGTACTATGTACGTAGCTAATCTTAAATAGTTTGGGCTCCAGTTATTCGTTCGACTGCGTAACCGTAATGACCCTAGTTGATCTTACACATCTTACACATCATAGCCAACGAGGCCTGGAATAGAAAATGCCTAGCTTTAGGCACATATTTATACTACGTATGTTTTCCAAGACAGGATAATACCTACCTACCTCCTTACTAACTGACCAACTTGGTAAAATAACTAATGTAGAAAATTCCCATCTTTTGATCATACATGTAATTCCACATCACAGACCCATAGCTTCAAGTCATCGTCATAACTCACACCAAAGCAGGGAAGATGGTATGATTTTACTCGTAGGCCGATTTGATTTCTGATTATATTCCAAAGGGGGACCTACTTGTCATTTCAGTACCTATCCCACGCGTAAAGTCCCCGCTAGTATGCTTCCTTATCGACATCGTAAAAGATGCTGCTGCCTTCAATATATTTCCTCTGTTCCGCCCCCTTCTCTCTCAAGCAGGCCTAGCAAATTCTCCCGCCCACCTTCTCTCTCAACTGATTTTTGCTTTCCTCTCCCCTTTACAGAAGGTACGAAGGATAAGCAGGTATACGAAGCCAGCAGACTCTAGACAGAGGGAGCCAAGTAAAGAAAAAGCTTTAGCTATCCCTCTCTTTTGCAAATGCCGATTCAAATATCCACCCCAGACACCATGCTACCCACTCAGCACAAGGAATAATAGAAAGGCTTCGGCTATGTGAGATGGGGAAGGGGGGGAAAAGGAGTCATAAAATGTTCTTGTTCTTTCTCTCCTTTCGTCATTCTGTCTTGATAATCCACCCTAGACGAATACTGTAGCAACTGATCCCCGGCGCCGCCACTACCACCACCAGAAACTCCAAGAATATGCAGTGAATACGATCGCTATACGAGTGTAGTTTTCAACTTCGTTTCATTGGTTGGTACCTATTTTACCACATCTCTCCCTCTCCCTCTTGGTTTTGGTGGTGCCCATTGGCGTTGGCGTTGCTGTATTGCATATAAGTAGAATAGTAATCTTTGTCTGCCTCTTGGCTGCCGTACTCATCTGCGCCCTGATAGTCACTGTCCTGGTTTGTTCGATCCTTGCCATGATCATAGTCATAGATCTCGGCCGCTTCTGGGTAATCACCTGCTTCATGTTGCATGCTGGGATCTTCATATTGTTGGGTTGTTGACTGGGCTTATATTAGACTTGTGGGTGATATTCTATTTTGATCATGAACTTACTCGATGATATTCAAAGTTGTAGCGGTCAATGCTATCCTGCGCTTGCTGCTGTTCCAAGTATTGCTGCTGCTCCTCTTGTTCGCGCCGCCGTCTCTCCTCTTCCTGTAATCTCTTCTGTTGGGGGGATTGAGGAACTTGTAATTGAGGGTGCATTGCTTGAACCTTTGCGAGATACGAATACATGAAGTTGCTGAGTAGAACTTGGCTGTAGAGAGCACGTCGAGGATTGGCGAGTTTGATATGTGCCATTCGGTAGATGGCCCGCTCTTCCAGAATAGGAAACCTGGTCCAGGGATAGTCGACATCAGGGCGTAACGGGCGATATGGAACTGGTTCTGGCGATAATGATCTTTGTGCTTGGTGTTTCTTACTGACCGACTCCCTCTCACTTCTCCTCTTACTGCTTCCAAAGAATGAGGCGAATAATCCGTCTTTCTCCTTCTTCTGTTCCCCAGACTTACGGCTGCTCTCCTTCCTCCTTTCCTCTTCTAATTTGTTGTCCACAACATCACGGTCGAGCAATAGACTCTCTCGTCCTTTATGGAGTGCTGTGTCAATCGAGGTCTGAAGCACATCGAGTCGAACGTTATCGTGCGCCTTGTCTACGAATGCCTTGGTCTTGGACTTCTTACTCTCTTCATCCTTCTTTTTCTTCTCTTTATCGTCACTCTTATTAAACCATTTCCAGGATGTAGCCTTTGACTTTTCATTTTCGTTTTCACTTTTATCCTTCTTGCCCTTCTTCTCTGGTTTCCTCTCCTCGGGTGTAAATGTAGGGATGAAAGTTAGCGATTCGGTGCTAGTGGCACTGCCGCCTGGAAATGGTGAGGGATTCTGTGACATGTCATTAAGTGTTCGGTTCGAAGCGCTCGGGGTCCTATTTGGTTGTTGAGATCGGCCTGTAGCTTGTGGCGGCGAGTTCTGGAGCGGTTGTCCATAATTTGGTCGTTTACTGGAGCGGGCGGGTGGTTCGGCGGGTACTGGAGAAGCTTGAGACACAGGTTGAACAGCATTTCTTTGTGAGGATGATCTTTCTGGAAAGGGCCTACTCATTTCTGTAGCCTGTACTGTAGAAGGTTCTTCCTCGGCTATTGGCGTCTCAATTATCTGTGAAGTCGTAGAGGATGCCATGATGCTATCAGCAGATGGTAAGCGGGTTGGTCCTTGCGGTCTAGGTGGGTCAGCCTGGCTTCGATCTTGGTTGTTAGTCTGTTGAGAGTCTTCGAGTAATTCTATCGACTGGTCTTTGGAGAAAGTTTGTTGTCGTCGTATGGGTCTTGTTGGTCGTGAGAAGTTCTCGGAAATCGGCTCTGATTGCACGCGTGTTAAGCCATGTCCTGGAGGTGCTTCGACAGTTCCTTCGTTATGATGCAGTTCCCCGGTCCCCTCCTCATTCTTTTTTGCTCCTATGCGCTTTGAAAAAGGCAATCGTTCGTCCGACCTGAGAGAGCCGCTCTGCCGATTTTTTAGACTGCCACCCTTTCGGTACGTGGTACGTGTTGATCGACGCAAGCCCATGCCCGGCGCGACAGGAAGAATAGGCATATCTTCGGAGCCCTCACCCCCTGAGTCATGACCGGTAAGTTTCTGTACGACTTTGGACGGATCGTTAACAAGATCATCGAGACTTAGTTCCGGAGGCCCTTGTCCCGATCCCCTCTCAGACTTCCTTCTCTCTAACCTCTCAGCACCGTCGACATATCCTTCTGCGCCATGGCCTCCTACATTGTCAATTTGTCTCGAGAGCATAGATTTCTTTCTCCGTAACCCGCTCGAATCGCTCCTCTCCAATCCATCTACTGAGAGAGTGGATTCGGATGATCTCCGCTTCATCGATTGAACTCTTTTTTCTACAAAGTTTTTGAACTCGGTAGGGGCAAGCTCTGGGTGAACACCAGCAGGAACCCACAGTAATCTTGATGGGTCAGCGTCGTCGTCTCCTTTTGGTGCTATAGACGGCATGGCCATGAGGGACATTCCTTGAAAGGGGAGTAGATCAGGGTCGCTATTATTAGAGACATCCATGGACATACGGCGTAGGGCTTGTAGATTGCTCAGCTCTTGAGCGATATCGTTCGGATTGTCGATATTGGTGATAGGGTATTGTTGAGCATCTTCGCGCATATCACGGAGCGTAGGCGACATGGGAGAGATGGGTGATTTGGGCCCCGACTCGTAGGAGCTACCCCTGGATGGACCTCTTTGGCTTGGCGTCTGGACTGGGAGCGTCTGAGCTTTTTGGACCGAGTTTCCGTTTATTTGAGCAGGTGAGCCCTGTAAACTTGACTTGTCTGAAGTTGTTCGAAGAAGTGGAGGCCGACGGCTGTCTAGCGAGGGAGGTTCCGGTTCACGAAGCTGAGGTATTTGCTCGCCTCCGCCGGGTGATGCGACAAAACTCATAGGGCGGGAATCATTATTCTGGTCGTCGTCATCGTCGCCGTACAATATGCCAATCGTTTCAGTTATGTGGTGGGTGGGATCGGAAATCGAGAGCTGATTAGCATGGCCACGCCGACTCGCAAAACTTCCGCCGGCATCGCGAGACCGATGAGAGGTCTAGGCATTTAGTCAGGTTAGTCGCAAATGGGCCTCAAACAACAAAGGGAGGAAGCAAAAGGAGGGGAAAATTGAGTGGGCTTGATGACGGGGACAAGAAAAACTTGTATCCTTGAGACAGTAAGCCAGTAGACTGATATTCCAAAGGCTGGTTCCAAGACATGCGACTAAGTGTACATTATACTAGAGTATATAACGTACCATCATCGAGGGTATTCGTGGCGACCTCGCGAGAGGTTCAAAGCCTCCAGGATGAATCCCCCCCTTATACTACTACTGTTAGGTTGGAGGAAGCAGAGTCTTGTTCGAGTCGCGGTGTTATCATGGAGGTTGTAAATGTGAGATCGAATTTCCAATATCGCGGTTGAAGTAGGATATCCAATGAGTAGCCCCCTGGGATACATGCAATGGGATGAATTATTATACAGTTAGACGGTTGGACGGTTGGACGGTTGGACGGTTAGACGGTTAGACGGTATGGTGGAGGCGGGGCGCGTCAGGTCAGTCACAAGGCTTCAATGCTGGTTGTTGTTTGCGATAATAGCCTAGATCTGTAGGTAGGTATGTAGGTAGGTAGGTACTACATATGTATGTATGTATGTTGGTATGGGTAGGTATGGTACCGAGTAAGCTTTGGATATGTTCAGCGGCGGGTCGACTTAAAAAAATATGGGTGTCGGACCAGACGGTTTTAAAGCAAATAAAGGGGTGTATCGGCCGAAGTTGCAAGTATAGAGTTGTTGGGCTCCGAGAGTAGAAATGTTTATATTATCACCTGGGGCAGGTAAAATGTTGTAGGTTCAATGTTCAAGTTCAGTGTTGGTCTCGTCACTCTGTTTAATTCATGAATTAAACAAGTTCTGGTCTCTGCTTGCTTGTCTTAAAAGAGTTCAAATGTTCTACATAAGTAGGTTAGTACAATACATTGAATGTTTACTGACTTAGTACAAATGTTGGTAGAAAAAAAGAGAAAAACATGACAATCCTGTTAGTACCCTACTATCTAGGGTAGGTAGTGTAAGGTACATAGTAGTAAGTAATTGGGGTATTAACATTGAATTCATCCATTCGATTAGATGGAGAAAGTCGATTGATTGGTATTGTCCTCCCTCTACCACTTAACAATCAGAAGCTTAGAGCGCTGCATTAGCGCATCTAGAGCCTGGCATCTGGCCCTCTTTTTCTCTTTTTGCCCCCCGGCTTATGTATGTATGTACCTCTCTCTAGAGTCTACATAGTAGTGCCTAGGGTACCTAGGATTGTAAAGAAAGCAGGTTCAACCCCCTGGTAATGTCACGTGCGAGCCTCCGGAATGAGTAATGAGGGATACTTACCTACCCTTGGTAGTTAGGATAGGTAAGCAATGAGCAATGAGCGAACGGTAATGAAGCAAGTTGAAGGAGCAAGGACCGGGAAACTGGCCACTCGGGGGCCATTTCCTCTCCAGGGCACTTGAGGACAGGGCTTTTTAGCGGCCGCGTTCCACTATGACCAGTACCCAGGGGGGTACTACTACCCTAGATAGGTAGCCCTAGAGGTTTTAATCAAATGGTTAGCAATGCGTACCCAGCCCGTTTGATTTCCACCTTACCACCTGGGCAGTCTCTTCAAATTTAACTAAATTTAGGTACATACATAGTTACTATGTAATAGTTATCAAGCGAAGTTGCATACGACGTAGTACGTACATGTAACTAGTATATCTTTCTATATTACGCATACTATATAACTATGCATATCTCTCGAATCTCTCCCTTGCCAACTCTTATCAATCCCATCAGCCATCAACTCTTTTCAACTTCACATCTTGAGTTAACTACCTTTAATATGCGTTATATACATGCCTATTTATATGGTATAACTATTCAAATTCTTACCAAAGACTATCAGCCTGCATGTGGATTGTGAGTTCGCATACTTAAAAGGTAATTCATACGAGCACGCGCCATCGTTTTCGCAATCTAGCAACCATACCTCTACTCCCATTCGACCACCATATGTAGGTGGGAAGTATTTAAGCGCTGGCAACACCCCTTAAAGTTTGCGCTTACAAGAATACAAAAAGGGGCTGGCATCTGGGCAGATTACGACGTGAGGATGGTGTCTGAATTGTGATGTGATTCAGCGTTACCAGGTATATCAACATCTCTTTAGATCCATCTACTTTATACTTGATGAAGACACGACACTATTGTCAAGCTATTATGAGACCCATCTAGACTACTTAGGCCGTAAAAATTCAACTACGGCGTAGTACGTCAGTCCAGATATGTTAAACTCACGAGACCAATTATTACATGTACCGGCAACTACGACGTATTTCGCTACAAGTTTGTCAAATATGCCATCACTGCCTATCCCTGAGCCGTTATTTGGGTCTGTAGATCGTAGCCCAACACTTGACAATTATGTCACAGATGTATGGCTTCGAAAAGCACTACTCAGAAAGTTCGGCTTGAAAATGACCGATTCCAAGACGTGAACAACAACGCGACAATATGTGTATATATGTATACTGCTAACATAAGCCTACAAACCGTACAATGCAACTCGCTTTAATATGATGGACTGGCTCAAGCTGTTGAACATAACCAAAATAACCGAGCAAAAACACAATGAGGGATCTGATCCTATCGTGTGGGCAAACGAGTGATAATTATGTATGTAGGACAGCCGAGGATATTGATTAGATCCTAGGCAAAGATCGACAATCAGCAACTAGCATAGTACTTCGTACCACGGAACCCAACAACGTGGGCGTCTCCAAACCTAATCTGATTTGCAGTACGTCCGTCCGCCCATCATAGCTAGAATGAAGTTTAATAAATTGACTCTCTCCAGACTCCAAGCATAAACCTGTCAGCCTCGAATCGGATATAGAATTTCCAGAACCCTTAACGACTTGATTATGTAATTGGGTATATATTCCTACCTAGTTATGTAATTGGGTATATATTCCTCCCTAGCAGGTATGTAAGTGAACAACAATGAAGACACGCTCGGAATCACCACGGCGTCTAGCTAGCAATCCCGGAGATTGGAGAGCAAGGGGCCGGTGCAGATTCACCGGAAAACAAACATCCATGAGCCTTCCAGTCGACTTACCGAATAATATTGCCTTCCCCGCATGAAAATAGCACAAAGCCTGCAATGGCCGAAAACATGCCTGGAATGTACATAGTATGAGCACGCCGCCATTGACCAATGACGAATGACCCCTGACGGCCTGTTCCCCAGATTCCCCATGCTTCCCCATGATATTGTTCACCCGAGGCGGTGTCCTGGCCAAGCTAAGTTTACCGTAAGTAGATTCAGGAAATTTGAGCGGGGGTGATCATGTTGATCTCGGTAGGAAGATGAGACGAGATGATATGAGAAGCTAGGTAATTGCTTTTACTCACCCATACATGTACCTGTTTCTGAGGCGTGCATGGTGTTTACATGTTGCGTCACCTCACTGTGTTACACGGCGCATGGAGCTCTCGCTCTGGCGATGTTCCGAGCTATGGAAAGGTCCGAATATGTAGGTATATAGGAAGGCATGGCTTCCACATGTCCTCGATGTATGTTGCTGCTACTACCTAGCTTTCCACCTCATTCAGTTCAGTGGCATACTTAGCACGGTACTCCTTCGTTGCTTCTCGCCATGGCTTCTCGCTCGGTTTCGTTCCCGCTCGCCTTTGCGAGTTGGGGTTTCCTATTTTTTGGAGATACCCTCGCCCAAAATTGTTGGAGAAATACGCCATGCACGGGTCCTGAGACAGCAGCTTTCCCCGGTGCCTGGGAATCGAATATGTTCGCCCCAGCCTCGCGAACTGTTCATCCCAAGGCTGCCTTCGACCTTGATAATGGGCAAAGCTCTTTGCCAGACCCCGTCTCGCTAAGCCGTGAACAGTCAGGCGTCTATTATGATTTCGGTCTTGAGGTTGGAGGTGTCGTGAGCATCGAGTTCACCGTGTCATCTACTGATGGCGAAGCTGCCCTAGGCCTGGCTTTCACGGAAGCTAAAGAATGGCTTGGTCCAGGTTCGGATTCTTCTAGCGGCCAATACGAAAGGGACGACGGTGCAGTTTGGGCCAACTTCTCTTCGACCGGCGAACAGACTTATACTATGCCAGTTGAACGCCTCCGCGGCGGTTTTCGATACCTGACCCTATTCCTCGATGGAGCTAGCTCTTCTGTCACGATCAAGAGCGTGAGCCTAGAAATATCCTTCCAACCAACCTGGTCAAACCTCCGAGCCTACCAAGGATACTTTTCCAGCAGCGATGACTTGCTCAACAAGATTTGGTATAGCGGCGCCTACGTGAGTAAACCCTCAAGCTATAGGATCGTCCTTCTACTTCTAATGGAGGCTTCATTGTGGAAACAAACAAGCTGTTTTGCAATATGAAGTGGTCTACATTTCATGATATTTCATCATGTGTAAGGAAGCGAATGCTAACCTCATCCCTTACAGACCCTTCAGACAAACGCGATCCATCCCCAGACTGGACGACCCTGGCCCCCTCCAGACAGTCAATGGCTGAACAATGCTACCATTGGTCCTGGTGATACTATCAACACCGATGGTGCAAAGCGAGATAGAACTGTGTGGCCTGGCGACATGGGTGTTGCCACTCCCTCTTCATTCTATAGCACTGGAGATATTGAGTAAGACTCCTCAAGCATGTTGCTAGAACCTTGAAATTACTTTGCTGATCATCATTAGGAGTGTGAAAAATTCACTTGCAATTCTGTATGACCTTCAAGTTAGTATCACGTCTCACAAATAAGATATTGTTCTAGATCTACTTGGAGCACTTTGCTGATTAGTTTTTATAGGCAGAAGATGGACTCTTCCCCTTTTCTGGGCCGCCACTTCTCGCACCCAATAGTGATACGTATCACATGTAAGACCAAGCCTGCCTTCTCCCCCCTTTCTTGCCAATACGTGCACTGCTAATCTTAAGCTCGTTCGTATTACCAGGTGGACTATGATCGGGACGTACAACTACGCTTTTTACTCTGGGGATCTGGACTTTGTGCAAGAACACTGGACCAAGTATCTCGCAGCCATGGACTTCCTTTCCAGACAACTTGACTCATCCTTGGGACTTTTGAATATTACCGGTTATGAGAATGACTGGGGTCGGTTCTTTGTCAACAGTACTCTGGCCCCAGCGCAGATGCTCTTTTACCATACCTTGGTAACTGGCTCTACACTGGCTACCTGGCTTGGTGACACGACGGGGCTCAACACGACGTGGCTCCAAACCGCCGCGGAAGTCCGAAAGGCAATCAATGTGGAACTTTGGGATAATGAATTCGGTGCATTTGATGATAGTATCGAGGCACGCGACACCAACACTGGTCTGCATCCCCAGGACGGCAATTCCTTCGCCGTGCTCTTCGGCGTCGTGGACGCCGCATCGGACCAAGCGCAGAAGATATCCACCGCGCTTACGAAGAACTGGACACCAATTGGAGCCGAGAGCCCAGAACTTCCTGGCGAGATTTCTCCGTATATCTCTTCGTTTGAAATCCAGGCGCACTTGGTGGCAGGGCAGACGCAACGCGCCCTCGATTTGATTCGTGACAGCTGGGGCTGGTATCTGAACAACGAGAATGGCACGCAGTCTACTATGATCGAGGGATACCTGATCGATGGCACTTTTGGATACCGACACGATGCCGGATATGAGGAAGTCTATGCGTATACTTCCCACGCTCGTAAGTATTCTTTTTAAGTCAACGCCTAATATTTTACCTACCTACATAGGTGTCTATACAAATACAAACCTCAAAGGCTAACGTGAGCTTGTTTTAGACGGATGGGCGACTGGACCCGTCACAGCATTGACTGAGCACATTCTCGGACTCAGCATCACTGGCCTGGCTGGGTCGACCTGGAGACTTGCGCCCCAATTCGGAGATCTTACGCATGCCGAGGGTGGTTTCACTTCTGGCCTAGGCAAATACTCGGCGTCGTGGGAACTGAGCAGCGCTGGTGGCTACACGTTGGAGTATAACGTGCCGGAGGGTACTAGTGGTGTGCTGGTACTTCCAGTTTATGATCAGGGCAAAGTATGCAGTGTCGTGATAGACGGCGAGACAGTGTCAACTGATCTTGCGAAATCTATCAAAGCACAGGGTAACTTGCAGGTATACACGACAAAGGGGACTGGTGGACAGCACCGCATCGTGGTTAGCTAAGGGTGTCGTCGTATATGTATGTATAGGTCTCTAGATACCTAGATTTGGGACAACAAATCCTTTGCGCTGCTGCTTTGCTATAGGCAGAATCATATATGACTCAAGGCCAAAGATATCGACGTACGTATTTGATCTTGGAATGTGTCATTGGCTAGTTGAATACATAACGCCGTCATATGATAATTTTGGTGTGACTCACGTATGATTGAGGGTTAAAAAGGAAGACATATGGTGCCTTGGGTATCTATTTATCTGTCTACCCTAGGTATATAGTAAGTACATGGAGGAGGATAATGAAGATGTAGATATTAATCCGTTATTTATTTTGACATCTCCTATAACGAGTTGATCTCGCTAATCGGGGTACCGCTTAAATACATACATACCTTAGGTAGTATGCAGATACTTCGTAGTCGAGTCCATTAACGCGCTAAGAACGTCAGCTGATCGCGACCCGTTCTCGCGTTAATTACAATTTAGGATTCTTCCAAAACGCGTCAGATGATTTCTAGAAAACAATTTCGTCCCACTTGTTTTTTTTACCTACAACTGTACCCAAATATGTACTGAACCGATGTCATTTAAGTCAATACATGCTCTGTCCCGAATCTCCCCTCTTGGCAACCTTATGTAGGTACCCCAAACTTAAATATCCATAAGGTAAGTTACTTGTACCTAGGTAAACTAGGCAGACCACGCAGACCACGCAGTTTACACATAATTCTTGAACGCGCCCGATCCAGTCTACATTCAATCCTAATCCTTCTCACCTCCCCCTCTCCTTTCTTTCTTTTAATAATCTACATTTACACTCCTTCCCTTCCTCATAGGAATGTCTTGAAAAAAAAGACCATCAACTCGACTTGCATTTTATCAATCGCTTTCACAAGCCCCGACATGGCAGAGCAAGAAAGACCCAGTGGGGTCTTCAGCGATTGCGCTGTCGTTTTCATCCCGCGTGGAGATCTCAATGAACGAATGATTCAAGAGGTATGTCTGTCGCAGTCTATAAACGAACGCTTGTCCGACACGCTTTTTTGTTCCCAATGGACTGTCTATCGTTGCTTATTATAGAAATAGTTGACTCTTAGCATCACGAATTTTGGCGGTACTGTTCTTGAGCAAGAAAGACCGAAGAGAGGGAAGAAAGATGTTACAACGAGCAATATACCTTTCAGACAGGCTACCCACATCATTGCCAACACAATTGACTTCCCCGAGTACACTCACGCGGCGGCTATGATGATTCCCGTCGTCAAGCCTGCGTGGATTCAAGCATCTCTAGCCAAGGGCAAGCAAGCCCAGATACGCCCCTTTACACCCGATCCGCGAATGATCTTTTCTGATGTGGTATTATCATGCGCCGATATCCCAACTACTGACAAAGAGGCCATTATTGGTGCCACAATGGCTATGGGTGGAATTGACTCGGATAATTTCTCCAAGACTACCACACACATTTGCGCACTCTCCATGGACCACCCAAAATGCCAATTGGCTGTACAGAAGAATGCCAAATGCAAGATTGTTCTTCCTCATTGGTGAGCGTTTTCCCATCTAGGATCTAGAGAAGGAGTAAAAGATAAAGTCTAATCATATGCTCATTAGGTTCGATGATTGCTTCAAACTTGGAAAGCGAATTGACGAAACCCCGTATCTTTTGCCCAACCCAGAATATCTGCGCGCGAATCCCGAAGACGAGGTTAAAGTACCATCAAGCTTGCACCTTCAAGGTGCCACTTCAGCATTACCGGACTACCTACCCAAGCCCTCCGATGACTTTAGGGAACGCCCTCCTGTTTCTGTTTTCCGGGACAAGAAAGTCATGCTGTCAGCAGACTTGTCGATTCGAGATCGGTTAAAGGAGATTATTTTCGGACTGATTGTTCACAGTGGTGGAGAGTTGGTCGACGATGTGGATGCCTGTGATATGTTCATTTGCGAGTACCGCGATGGAACGCAATATATACATGCTTCACAAATGGGCAAGACAGTTGGAAACCTGTCTTGGCTATATTATCTCATCACGCACAATGAATGGACACATCCTCTGAAGCGTCTTCTCCACTATCCGATTCCACGAGGTGGTATCCCGGGCTTTCAAGGCGCCAAGATTACAATATCGAACTATGGTGGAGAGGCCCGTATATACCTCGAAAATCTGATCTCTGCTTGCGGAGCGGAGTTTACTCGGGTGATGAAATCAGAAAACACACATCTAATCACTGCTCGTAAAAGTGGCGAGAAATGCGAGGCTGCTTTAGAATGGGGCATCGAAATCATAAACCATCTGTGGATTGAAGAGAGTTACGCCAAGTGCGAGATACAACCGATGGCGATTGAAAAATATACGTGTTTCCCATCCCGAACGAATCTTGGCGAGGTCACAGGTCAGACACAGTTTGAAGAGACGAGACTTCGACAGTTATATTATCCTGGTGGGCCCGAGAACCCCAGCCTGTCATCTAAGCGAACTCAGAAGATATTGGAGATGGCCGGTGAGAATTCGTTCTCGGAGGGTCCAGCTGAAGGTGTCTCTATTGGCCGGCAAGCACACAAGGATTTCGATATTATGAACGATATGGATGCCGAGTATGCACAGAAGACGACCGAGGTCTTTGGAGTGCCAGCACCACAGACGCGGCGTGCAACAACTACCCAATTCGAAACCCCTGCCAAGAGCCTCCAGATCCGTCCTGGCAAGGAAAATGAGACGCCTTCCACGGTTTCTTCTAGCCGAAGCGCAAAGGACAAGGCGCTAAGCCGACTATCCGTCCTTGCACCTGATATTGCTCTATATGAGAAAGAAAAGAAGCGAGCGATAAAGGATGGGCATGGCCCCTGGGGGGGCAAGCGAGCAGCCGATCAAATCGAGCGTGAAAATCTTCACCGCCGCCGCAGTGCGTCTAGTCCATCCACTGCGGACGAGGAGAAGGAAGAGCAGAAGATTGAGAAACGGCCATCGAAGAGAGCACGACCCACCCTCCCAGAGGTCAATATGAGAGTAGTTCTCACTGGATTCCAGCGATGGGTCAATGACAAACATCGGGAGGACGCAGACCGAGTAAGTAAACATGATAGTGAATTGTGAGTCAGGCCATGCTAATGTTTTGAATTAGAAAAAGTTGCGTGATCTTGGCATTGCCGTTGTCCCGGATGGTCAAGCATGTGACTACCTTGTAGCGCCACACCTGGTACGAACAGTCAAGTTCCTCCGAAATCTCTCCAAGGGAGCTACCATTGTGTCTTCCAGCTGGGTCGAGGATTGCCTGGACAAGAAGGAGCTTCAAGACCCCCACGAATATATCCTTAAAGACAAAGAGAACGAGAAGAAATTTGGGATAAAGCTTCAGACCTCTGTTCAGCGTGCCCGTCAGAACAAGGGGAAGCTTCTTTGGGGCATTCCTATATATTGCACGGCCAGTATCAAGAATGGTCCAGCAGGTTACCAAGCCATCGCCGAGGCCAACGGCGCCATCTTCATGATGTACGGCGCCAGGAGTGGTTCCACGATCAAGCCCACTCGACCGGAAGAAGATGAAGGTGGGCCCGACCCAGTGTATTTGCTAAGCAACACGAGCCCAGAGGAGAAGAAGCTGTGGACTAAATTCGAAGGCATGGCGAAAAAGGGTAATATGGAGCCACGTATTGTTGCTGCTGATTGGCTGCTGGACGTGGTAATGAACCAAGAGATAATATTCGACGAGAAGTATTTGGTGACGAATTTCTTCAACTAGGGTGCTACCTACCTAAAGTACCTAGGTAAGGAGGTGGGCGTTTTGCATTGGGTGCATATTCATTTTTTTTTCTCTTTCAGGAGCATCAGAGAGCAATCATTTGCTTTCATGTTTTTACGTATGAGATCCGTTGCATGGCCATGGGGTTCCGGGAGACAAGACAAGGAGAAAGAAAAGGGAAGAGATAGGAGATGAGGGGATGCGAGGCGTTTTTACGGCATCATCAGTATCGGCTTTTACCTGCTGTCTGCTCTTGGCTTCTTAGCATACAGCATACATCATACACTCGCGCATGGACATACACACATATTTCGTTGCTATTCTGCCTCGAGGTCTGGTCGTCGGCTCTTAATTGTATATACCCACTTGAGGTTATCTTATGAACGTTCTGTCTCGAGGCTTCAGGGTTTTGATGTTAAGCATGCCGGTCTTTGATTCCCACATATGACCCCTTAACTTTATGTTACATAGTGATGGCACTCAAGAATAAAGGCACGCCCAAGAAGAAAAGAACTAGTTTTAGCCAATTTAAAAGGTAACGGTTTTGTAACTTGACTACATCAAGGGGTAGGTACCTAGGATGGTTACATGTATAGTAATTGCCTATTAGACACGCTAGAACAGTAACGACTCTAGGCACGGCGAGGCGCCCAACCTCGATCTAAACTACGAACGAACGAGAATGAGTAGGAGCACCGGTTTTAGGCCATAACATGATCCTCGATGCCTATCTGTTGTGCCACCTATACCTAGTGTGCGTGTATGTTCAAGCTGTCTCCTTCTCTCTCAACCGCTTCATCGACTTCCCCTCCACCAAAAAGGTCTGCTTAACTGATATCTTTGCTTAGGCTTCGAGGTACCTCGAGGTTCCGCATCCCGGACTACCTAGGCAGGTAGGTCCTTATTATTGGCTTCTCTGAGAGCCTGCCACTGAGTGATTATATGCATGCCTACCTGCTGACCAGCCTGCTCTGGTCCCCAGGCCGCTCGTCTAGCACTTAAGTTTCGCAAAGTAGCCCTTTTAATAACTCGTTCTAAAAAGGATACCGAACTCAGGCAACTATTTACCCCAGGCTCTTATGATGTTTGGCGGTGTTTAGTGTCTCCATCGCTAAGCTTCTTCGAGGACGCGAGGTTATTTAGACAGGTGGCGCCTTTGACCAGGTGGTAAGGTTGCAATGCGCATCGGCGTTGTGCTAAGTTGCTTCGCCGTATAGAGCTCCAGCTCTTTAGTAACAAAACCCGCCAACAGTGTGGATGGCCGTCAGTGTGCCGGTATCGAGACGCAAGGAGGTCTAGCCCCCCGGCCAGATGCTAAATATATAATAAATATAGTCATGCGCGGCACATGAACGTTTTACTAGCCGTAGACTCTTTATTCTCGGTTTCAGAAGAACTTGACGCCCTGCTGATCCTCTTGGCCGAAGATCTGGGCCTTGCCGCGCTTTACGAGGACCTGGAGCGCTTTCTGGAGTAAGTCGGGATCGAGGCCGTAGAATTCTACAATTGGTTATTATTAGTATGATTTTGTTCCTTTGAAGAGAGAGAAAGGAAAGAGACAGCATGGAAAGACAACGAAAAAAAAAAAGAACTCACCAGTCCCCCGCGTCCCCTCGCCCTCTGTCAACTCATAAAGCGTGAGCACCGTCCCCTTCTGCGCCGTCTCCTCGACCCACCCCTCCACCAGCGCCGCCCACTCCTCCGGCGTCTTCCAGTACACCCAGTAGACATCCCCTGCCCCCCCTCCCCCTCCCTCCCCATCCTTCCCACCCACGCGCTCCGCCCTGCCCTCCCGCCGCATAAACTCCAACACCTCCCGCGCGTCCGCGAGCCTCAAATGGCGGCCGAGCTTGCGATTGCGGAAGAGCTCCTCGTGGGGGGCGCCGTCGTAGGAGAGCGAGAGCCGGAAGAGCCGGTGGTGTCGGCAGTAGGAGAGCACGAGGGACGACCATTTCTCCAGTTGGCTGTGCAGGGTCGTGAGGTTGGTTTGCCGCGTGAAGAAGGGCGGGAAGTGGTATTCGCGGGGGAATTCGAAGGAGGGGGGAGAGGAGGGGGAGGAGGAGGATGCTGTGGTTAGAGACATTTTGGGGGCGGAAGAAGGGTTGGAGTTGAGGTTGAGGCTGAGGCTGAAGGTTGAGTATAGTAAAATCAAGTAATTGAAGCTCTGGAGATCGATGTCTACAAAGTAATGTTGAAGATTACATGTGAGTATGTAATTACTAGGTATAATTACTAGGTATAAGTACATGAATTACGAAGTAGTGGGGGGTATTTACCCCGCGCTAACGGGGCTTAACTTTACTAACCTTAGGTTATAACGTAGTAAACGTACCCTAGGTAGTGACCCTAGGTACTAGGTAGTGCAATTGTAAGCGTTAGGTAACTAGTGCCTAGAATAAAAAGGGGCTTCTACCGCCCTTTGCCCCAATACATACAATATCTATAATATACCATCGTAAGTAGGTAGGTATGTATGTATGTCTGTCTGTCTGGACGTATGTATCTAACCTACTAAAGTACGTACGTACACCGCATCGTCATCATCATTACGGTCATTTCTCACCTAACCCTAGGTATAGTCCATCCAAACTCCATGCAACCTACAAGACAATATCTCAAGAACCAAATTTCTGCAGTAGCAGCCGTACCCATACCCCCTTCGAATCGATGCTGCAATCTCAAATATCAAGGTTACGGGTATCATCCCTCATCTCCTCGCTGCCGAGCTCCTTCTCTAGCTCGTCCGCTACGAATCCCTCGTAGTCCTCTAGGTTCTTTTGGATATGGACCTTGAACTTGATAATGTCGTTTAACATCCTCTCGATCTCCGTATGCAGCTCCTCGCGTAGGGAGTTTGCTCGTAGGGTCAACTGTTCGTACCTAGGATAAAGAGTTAGCTACGTGACGCCTCTATCTTCACTTTTCTTTTGCTTTTTTGGGGCAGTAGTGGTAAAGGGGGCTTGACCAGGGGCTTAATATGGAAGGACGTACTCGATATTCGTGTTCATCTCCCTCTGTTCCATTAGCTGCACGGATTCGGTGAGCTGAGCTCGCATCTTGGCGAGTTCCTTCTCCATCTTCTCGATCTGCGCATCCGAGGCTAGCTTTCGTGTAGTAGTGACCTAGTAGGTTGTCAGTAAGCAATCCAAGCATATGTAGAGAGTTGAAAGAAGGGGAGAAAGAAAAAAAAGAAGCAGAGTTGACAAACCTCCTTGGTTCTTTCGTATTCTTCCCCCGCAGCTCTGACTCTATGTTCCAGAGCCTCGACCTCGTTACGCTTGTCCTCGATCGCCTCCTTAATACCGTCAAGGAGATCGTGATCCTTCATCATCGCATCCATGGCCATGGTTCGTCGCTCAGAAATCTCCTTCTTCAAAGCCAAGAAGCGGTTCTTAACGTTCCCACGCAGGTCTAGGTTGAGAATATGTGCTGGCTGGTAACCGGTGACTGGATCGGCTAGCAGCCGTTCACTTCCTCCCCCACCCGAGTATGAGCCTTTCATAACAGATCCTGTGAAGTCCGACTCATTGACTGTAACCGATAGTTCATATGCTGCGCCCTTAGCATTGACGGCCGTCGCGGGGATAAGACCAATCTGGTAAGCGAGAGTGTTGTACTTATCCACGAGCTGCTCCAGCTCGTCTAGTCTGCGGCTAGCTTCCATTTCTTTCTCTGCTACCCTCTTCTTGCCATCGTCAAGCCGTTGTGTAGCAGACTCTATACCCTTCTGCAGTCTTTCGCGCTCCGAGGTCATGCGGTCAATATCCTGCATGCTTATACCCTGGTCGTCGACTTCTTTCTGCAATGCGCGGCGCTCTTCTTCCGCCTCCTTCAACTCTTCCATCAATTTGTCGAGCTCTTCCTGTAAGACCTGGGTGCGGTTCTCGTATTTATCCGATCTGGATAGAGCAAGAGCATTGTATTCCTCGAACTTGACCTTGTCCTCCTCCATTATCTTGAAGTTATTGTCAAGGACGCGGGGATCCGGAGTCGATTTCTCGAGGTCCTCGATCTCTCTAGCGAGTCGAGCATTCTCCCCTTCAAGCATCTCGAGCTCCGCTTGGTACTTGGCGTTGGATCTCTCGAAAGCAGCAGCCATACCTTCCACATGCGGCGCAAGAACCTTTTCGGCATCATCATCACCGGTATCCTCGTCCATAGCGAGCCAATCCCGGTACGCTGTGCTCAGAAAGTCAAAGATGATATGATCACCGCTTACGTCGACCCCGCTCTCCATACAGGCTTCGTCGTAGCGGTTGCACGTGTAACCCTCGAGCATTTGTGCGAGTTGCATCATCCAATGGAGTAGACCCAAGAACGTGCTCCAGTTTTGGCCACCCACGGCGGCGATCTGTGACTTGGTGATGCTCTTTTCGTAGGGGTAACGCAACTGCTTCAGGATGGGAGGAACCTCCTGGTCGATGTTCTTCAGGAAACGGTAGCTGGGATCGATGCGGTGGTAGAGCCATTGGAACATGTAGTTGAAGTCCTTCTGGGTTGGTGATTTGATGATATTCTGCGATAGGGTGTGCTTCATTTCCATCTCAAAGTTGTGTTGGGATAGGTAGTCTAGGAGCTCTTGGCCGATTCGAGCCTGGAAGGATCTGTCCCTTAATGGGCGTGGATCACGCGGGACACCAGCAGCTTGGGGTGCTTGTTGGAAGAAGCTCTGGTGATTGCCGGGACCATTGGAGGAGGTTCGGGAGCGGTAGATGCTGCTTCTACGCTCGTGCTCGGAAGATCGCATGGGTAGACTCCCGGACGCGTAACTTTTGATGGTTGAGCCTGGATTATTCTGAAATGAAGATCGTTTTACAGAAGACATTCCCATCTCGGGCAGATTAGTACCAGATGAAGATCGTGAGAACATAGGTTGACTAGGGCGACCAAGCGCGAGGGATTGCCTAGATCCCGACATGGAGCGCATGTTGCTGCTGGAATAGGTGCCGCCGCCATTTCCGCTTATTGAGTTGGATCTCTTCATGGCCGATGCAGGTTGAGGTATCGCAGAATTGAGATTAATGCCGCCAAGGGTCTAGAGGATACAAAGGAAGTCAGTCATACTAGCTACCAGTAGTAGGTACATATTGAGCTTGCGGTCGCATTGTGTTGCATCGCATCGAATGAATGAATCTTGAAAGCTTGCGCGTTGGGCGCATTCACATAGTACACATAGGATGCAAAGTAGGTAGTAATACGTACCTCTCGTGGTCGACGAACGCTCCAAAGTCCAGTCTCCTGGGACATTGTAGGAATAAAGAGATTTCTTTTTCTTTTCTTTTCTTTTCTTTTCTTTTCTTTTTCTTTTCTTTTCTTTTCTTTTCTTTTCTTTTCTTTTCTTTTCTTCCTTCCTTTTTTCTTTTTTTATCTCTTTATGCTGCTACAGCAATAGTTGGTGTGTATGATATGTAGTTGGGAGAGTTGGAGAAAGCACATGCAACTTGAAGATCCATCTAATGGGCCAGTTCAGCGTCGCAAACCTTGTTTAGGGCTGCCCGACTAATGTAAACAATATGTGATTGGGTGAAAAAGGGTGACATCAACAAACTAGGCAGCGCCATGTGGGGTTACTATATAGCCCTGGAGGTTGGTATTGATTTAACCATTGTTGTTATGTAAATAGCCGTCAAAATATTTAGATTAAACCTTCAATTTGTACATAGGATACAGTACTACTAGTAGTACATTGTAGGTACACAGTATCATCCTTAATGATTCAATGTTCCTCATCATCTTCAACTTATTCGTAACAAAAGAGAGAGAAAAGAAAAGGAGAGAAAAAGAAGAACACAAAACATCCATACCTTCCAGGTTCTTACTATTCATCTCTTACAATTGTACGAAGTACATGATGACGATAATAGTAATAACAACACTAATGCCTATCCTCTAAGCTGGGCGGCAATGATGCGGCGAATTCTAATCATCGCAGGCGCACCGGATAATCATACGCTTTGTTGGAAAGAGTCAGATCTATTAAACCAATTCTTAGAACCTATTGCTAATTTCGCTCAACTCGATGGCTCATTAGTCGATACAGCTACAAATATAGCTCCGGGATCAGTACTCGATATTCCACTATGGAGATCAATCCCACTCGAAAGAACTACTTTGCCCACAGGCTTCTCTCAGCTTCACCAAGTAGGAGATAGCTATCGTGGAAGTGAAGGCTTTTTTGCTGCTCTTCCAGTCACTTCAAAATCAGCCTTAGATTGGACACCAGCCGATAGGACAAGCCAGGAAATCATGAACCACTTCTATGACCACTCCTTGGATATCCACGACAACATATCGGCAGACATATCCTCATCTCAGTTGCCGTCTCTGAGCTTCAGCACCGACGAGTCCTCCTTAGCTACTACAGAGGAAAGGAGCATTCGTGACTCTTTTCAGGGTAATACTTCTTTTTCAACTGTCCAGAGACCGTCATCTACCATTCATTCAGCCCATCTAAGCGACCTCGAGGATGTACCAAGTGCCTCATATTTACAATCCATCGCCCCACAGACGATGACGGTGAACCTCGTCGTTGGCATCATCTCCATCGCTGAGCCACGTACCGTAAAAACCAGATGGGGGTCCACCAAGTCCTTGGTCGAGCTTCTGGTAGGCGATGATACCAAATCTGGGTTTAGTATCACCTTTTGGTTATCATCAGAACACAATGAGCCATCTACCAAGACTATTAGAGAGCTTCGCAGGCAAGACATTGTGCTTCTCCGAAACGTTGCCTTGAGTGTCTTTATGAAGAAGGTCCACGGCCATAGCCTAAGAAAGGGCCTTACTAAAGTTGACCTACTTCATCGGAGAAAATTAGACAGGACTGATCATGGCGGCCTATATAGTCGAAAACAAGTCATGTCGAAAACCTCGGCCCAGCCCCAGCTGTTAAAAACACGTAAAGTACAGGAATGGGTCATGAATTTCGTTGGCGGCGGTGGTGGTGGCACAGCTCTTGGGAAGAGAAAGCAGAACGGGAAACCAATAAGGAGTTGGGATATGCCACCAGAGGATACACAGTAACTCCTCATATTAAACGGTCGCTTTAGGTTAGTCGCCTTCTTGCTGTATTCAAAAGTCGAAATTTTCGAGTCACCGATTGTCATATCTTCGTTCCAAGCCTTAGTCCAGGCTTGGGTTAGTCAGAAGAATTTCAACCATGATCATAACATCCACCACTACCTACCTACCTACCTGCCTGCCTATCCACTTAAGAAATTCCAAAGTTATTGTAGTGCGGGCAGGATTCTCTAGCTGGTGTTACAGGTATAGATGGTAGGATTCTACTAAAATTCATTAAGGATATTTTCGATGTCTGCAAAGTTGTCGAGCTTAGGCATGGACAATCACATACCTAGTATGGTATTGCAGTCATCCTCGGCTACCAAGCAATTGGCAACGCCAAATAAAAGAAGTGAAATATTAATGATTAACATTGTATCATGGGTACACAACCAATTCCACTAATATAGCCAACTAAGTATGTCTGCAACTTCAATGTATATGACTCGACATTATCATTTCATAAAGAGCAGAGATTCTTCCCATACCTTCACGAGACAGCAGGTGGTTGTCGTAGCACCTCCGTGGACGTCAGGTAACGACGTGTGAGCAATCTGAATGCCTAAAGAATGTGTACCTAGGTAACTACCTAGTATGGTTAACTATTAGTCCACGTGACTACTACTTACACAGAAATCACAAACCGCCAAATCATGATGTAACATCACGTGATTTCATGTGATAGCACCCATATTCCAAAGGAACATTGAAACATTGAAACGTTGAAACATTGGACATTGAACATTCAATGTTGAACATTAACATGTTGAACATCAACTTCAATTGATTTGATTGAATATACATATGTATGTACTATACATAGTTTGTACCTAGTTAGGTACCATTGATCCTCAACTTTCAATGTTCAATGCTACATATCAATTCATTGATGTATCACATACCTATTACCGACCTACCTAGTACCTAGGTATCAGCACCAACAAGATAGGATCGACAATGCACAGCCATCCACCTGTTCCGATGGCCACAAACCGCTATATCGGGATACCAGTCATAGACGAGGAGATGAAAACTGATGGCGGGAGTCAAATGATCGAAAGATCGACTCTTTTCAAGACACGAAGTTTATCAGATGGAGGGGGAACACAACTATCATCGTCACCACAGATCCTTGAAGCCTCTCGACGCATGTCTAAGGATGATACAGATAGTTCTTTGACAAAGGATAAGAATCAAGATCCATCTGGCCTTTCCGTAGCTGTAACAACGACAACGACAACAACCACAGCTACAACTACAACTTCAACTTTAACTTCAACTTCAGCCATAGCTACAGCTACATCAGGAACCGCCACTCCCGTCACCCCGCGACGACCAGATTTCCTAATGCGCGGTTTGCCACTTCAAATGTCACAGTGCGATCCCATCTCTTCCACCCAAACACCCAATAACGCTAAACTCGCCCCTCTTTCCCCTAAACTGGACCACTCACAAATATATGCATCACCAACTAATATCCTACCTCGACGTTCTCGAGGTTTGGACTTTTCAAGGGCTGCTACCAGCCTACATCACTCTACTTTAGCTGAACAATCATCCCCTGATTCATCACCCACCATCGGTGGCCGCGCCATGTCTATCCCTAGCTGCCGCAGTGGTGAGTTTGGCCAAGACCAACAAGTGAACTCCCTTTGGTCTATGATGGGAAGCCAGAAGCGTCCAAACATCTTTAATTCTGTGGGAAATGCGAGTACCCACTCCATCGCATCAGATTCCTCCTCTAACTCAGGTGATGATGATTTCATGGATGACGAAATGGAAGATGCTATTTTCAGCAGTGCCCAAGTTACTAAGAGCCAGCAATCTGGCCCCAGTAGCAATGTGGTCCCATGGATGCCTAGCACATCGTCGGCTATGAATAGTTTGCAAAGTTTCCGCACACGCCGTCGCAAGCATCCGAAGAAGAAAGTACGCGGCCTCAACGGACTCGGATTTAGTCCTGCTGCAGCCGGTGCATTTTCTAAATCGCCACCTCAGAATGCTATGAAAGAGATGAGAGATGGGCCTATTCCCCACGCGCGCCGCGAAAGCATTAGCTTCGCCGCTAACCAGCTGCATATCTCAGGTAGTGAAAGCGAAGACAGGCCCATGGAATCCGGTGAGGCCTTATCAAATGGTATTAGAGGTGTGGTCAAGCGAGCTGTTACAAGGAGAGGTAATCTACTGGTAAGTCTTGTAGCTCGATGCGCTATTGCAGCATTTAGGTACTGATCGTATTTACAGCCTAAGACAAAGGGGTTCGCGCGTATTCGCGCTGCTCTTGCGGAGGAAAACGCACCGGTGGATTCGGAAGTACGCCGAGAGGCAGAAGTGATTCGACAAGTTCGTGAAAGCGATGTGAACCTCGAGCCTCGTGTACCATCAGGGCCACACGCACCTTTAGACATACCAAACCATTCTACCACCCAATCCTCTCCGACTTTGGCTACTACGCAAGAGTTTCTGGATGACATTCCTGAGGATGATATGATGACTGACGCGGCCTTGTCGAGCAGTTTCAAGCAGCAAGCGATGAAGAATTCAAAGGGTAGAAATTTTTGGGAAGCCTTCTCTGAAACTAGCAGCGTAGCGGGCTCCCGCACAACGCCTCCGCCCTCAGCCTTCATGCCCAGGGGATCCTCATCCGGGATGAGCGAAGACGTCAACATGGATTCGCCTGGCGCAAACCTTGGGATGGGGGGCTCGGGCTATGATAGTTTACGAACAGATGCTACGCAGCAGGCTACTCTGGGCTTACTTTCACAAGGGGGTGGCATTCCGCCAACTGCAGCCGAGATTACTAGACGAATCAACAACAAACGTCGTCGGGATGATGACTTTGACCCCCATAGCTTCAAGCGCCGGGCGGTCAGCCCCGGAATGAACAGCGTGCACAATTCGCCTATCACACAGAGTCCTTTGCAACGAGACATGCCCTGGGGCTCCCGACCGGGTAGTAATCACGGCGCAGACAAAGCCTCTGCTACTCCAAGTGAGAACGGAAGTTCTGGTGGAAACGCTAGTGGGAGACCGATTAATAGTGTCAAAAGCCGTGTCGGGTTTCAGGGTATGGTAGATACAAACGACGGGCTGATGCGCATGAGCATCGAGTAAACGAAAGCAAGTATGAATGTGACTTCGAATAGCAAAGTGCTGCAAACGAAGATCGGGTCGTATGAGAGGAAGGGAAAAAAAAGAAAGGCCGGGGTCCTTTTATTCTTGCTACCGTTGATATAGGCGTATGGCACAATTTTGAGGGGCGTAGATACCTACGAAGGGTAGCATTGGAGTCTCGGTCTTTTGGGAACGGTAATCTCGGCGGGTTGATTTGATTCAATGCTGATTTTACACGTAGGGACTGGTACCTAACGGAGTACCTTGGGAGGGTAGATCTATCTATCTGCATTTTGCGACTAGGTAGTAGGTAGGAAGGCAGGAATTCTGAAGTCAAATAATCAGTTCGACCCCATTCTACCATTTTTTGATGGCATTGTGATAGTGTACACTTGGCATTATCTCATATATGAGTGTTTTGTCTTTCTGTCTAGGTATGTGATAGCAAACAGCACCACATGTTCGTCCTATCCTACATAGTACCTAGGTAGCTCTAATTATACGCGTCATACCTGCTATCCTAAATGTTGGAGTCTCCTTGACCGTCTCCTCCCTGTTTCGGATGGAGGCTCGATCAATGCCTTTTCCTCCTCCCCCTCCTCTTTCTTTTGCCTGCTGGGTTTTCGTGCTACTTTGGTAGGGTTGGGCTTAGTAACATCCTCTTCTTGTTTAACCGGAATCGACTTGGTGGGTTTAACCTTCTTGCTCGGACGTTCGTCCATTCTCGCCTCGCCATTTGCTTCTTTGCGACTCTTGCCCTCGAAGAAGCGGCTCTCTGTCTCATCTTTTATTGGTGGCGGGGATGTCTCTTCTTCGATTTCATCTGGACTCGTGCGCCCTCTCTTCGTCTTTTTCTTCTGCACGCTGGGAACTACACAGCTTGTCCGCCCGCCTACGGTGATGTGGGTGATGCTGTCGCCGTTCGGCAGGGTGGTGGGGGAATCTTTCTTCCCCTTGCCCCAGCGGTGCTTGAACAGCCAGTCCTCGGGGAACTTGTCCGAGTTCCCCAGCTTCTCCACGGCGGTGTCACATACATATCGGATAGCCTTGTACAAGGTGCTGATATCTACGTCATCGAAGTCGTCACAGTATTGCTCCGGGTGCAATTTGGCTTGGTACATAACCTCATCACCGACCCAGTTCCCAATACCGCTGATGGTTGATTGGTCGAGCAGCAAGGCTTTGACGGGGACGTGTCTACTTCTCATCTTGAGCTTCAAAAAATCCTCGGTAAATAAGTCTTTGTCTACCACGGGATCAGGCCCGTTCTCGACCAAGGGTGAATGCATCCTAATATCTTTGCCGGGGCACTCCACGAGCCGGATGCGTCCAAAGCGTCTGGCGTCAGTAAAAGCGACCTCTACCGCGGGATCGCCATCGGTCTCGAGATGGAACTTCCAGTACTTGGGCGGCCAGAGCTCTTTGTCGTTTTTCGTCCTCTCGACATAACGCGTGTAGCCCGTCTGGATGCCCCTGATCTGCACCCAGCCGCTCATGCCCAGATGCATAACGGCATGCGGCGGACTCGACAAGACCATCCAGAAGTATTTCCCCTGACTCCCGACGTCTAGCACCTTCTTGCCGGTTAGAGCGGTTTGGAAGGCGGGACCGCTCGTCCCGACCTTGCCAAATACATTGCTATCATCAAGGGCCACAATGGTCTTGATGACTCTGCCAACGAGATGTTGGCGAAGGAAATGAACGACACGAGCAACTGGTGAAAATGTCAGTGAGATTAATAAGAAGACAATGCTAACAAAAGGGTCGTCTTACCTTCGGCAATTTCGGGCATTGTAGTGGGCTGGCTTGGAAGTGAGAGAGGGAGTGAATAGAAGGATCTTGAAATGAATGACGCGTATAGGTAGGTAAAACTATCTGCTATCTCCCTAAGCCCAGGGGTGAAGCATAACAATAGATGCCTCCTATCATTGACGTAGGTGTGTAAGTTGACCCGTGAAGTAAGTACCTAGGTACCTAGAAGGCTTCAATACCTAGTACCTACTAGGTTAGGTAGTATTCGTATGTACTGTATTCAAATTGATGTTCAATGACTGGCTCAATGTTGTCAGTACATGCATATGTACATAGTAGCAATTATTATGTAGTCGGTAAGTTTAGGAAGAAATGGACGAATCAAATATTAGTTAACGGTACATTTATGGATGGATCCTTGACGACTAGGATAATTTTTTGGGACCAGCGGCTGATAAGCCTGAAGTTCAGTGGTTAACAGTGGGGTGTTCGACAGTTCTTGCTGACGTTATTAGCACATGTGCAGCTCTTTATGTAATGTACCTCAGTACCTAGTAGAATTTTTTAGAAATTTTCAACGCTCTTTGTCTAATACAGGGTCTGTAAGGTGCACGCACTGCACGGTGGTGAGCCCCGCGGTGTAAGTACTATACTACCTAGTACTATGTACTGTAACACCTCACTACATTGCAATTGGAATCGCGCACAAATTTTGTCTAGACCTCGCCATCCCGTCATCTCATTCTAAACCCAACTCAATTCTCAATCCCAATTCCAATTCCCATTCGATCCCGTTCTTTCCTTCACAATGGATCTTCTCTAGGATCTTCAAGGTCTCTTCTTATCGCATCCTATTAAATATAGTGTTTGCTTCAGCTTGAGACCTACCACCTCCAACCTTCAACCTATAACTGACAAACTACCTTGCTACAACTTCTAAACTAATTCGCTACAACTTCCAACATTGAAGGTCTCACTTCCTTTTACTTGCGATCTGCTCATCTCGGGTGGCCAACTTCTGGTACACATATACTACTACTAGTAGGTACCGTGGACAAATCTAGGACACACATACCTAGTACTGACATCGGCATATTTGACCTACCGCAATCGGAGCATTTAGGGATTCCCCTTTGCCTGAACTTACAAACCTTGTATCTCTCAAGTTTTTTCTTCTTCTACACCTCTTTAAGGTTGCTTGCATTCGCTACATAGCACACACGTTCAACACTGTTGTGTATCTGTGTGTCTGCGTGTGCATCTTCCATATCCCATCTTCTCTTTCGACACCGCCTTTCTTGCCTGCTGTATACTGCCCAAGATGGTTAGGAACATCGTCATTCTGTCTGGGAACTCCCACCCATCCCTCTCCGAATCTGTTTGTAAAATGCTTGGGATTCCCAGTGGTAACCGCATATTGAGCAAATTCTCTGTTGGCGAGAGTCGCTGTGAGATCCAGGATTCGGTTCGAGGAAAAGATGTCTTTATTATACAATCTGGAGGTGGTTCCATCAACGACCACCTGATAGAACTTTGCATTAGTATGTGTCAAGAAGCAAATCCTTCAGCCTCGTGTCATTGATACTGACTGCGACCAACAGTGATATCCGCCTGCAAGACGGGCTCGGCTAAGCGCGTCACGGCAGTGCTTCCATTATTCCCCTATTCAAGACAACCAGACTTGCCCTATAACAAAGTCGGCGCGCCACTGTCGAAACCCCCCACCGAAGTCCCAAAGGACAAATACACCTTCGAGAGTGTCCCAGCCACTCCAGCACCTAATATCATGAAGAGCGCTAGCTTTAACAAAGAAACTGACCTTGCGAGGGTGATGAGCAAGACTACCCTCTCCAATGGAGCCGGAAATGGCATAACTCGAACCAACAGCGAAAACTACTTCGCCAATGGAATCCCCAATGGCGGCGACAATGCCTCAGCCCAGGGCAATGCGCACAACCACACGTCAAGCCATGTACGTGTGGGGAGCTACACTACCCACGACTACGAGAACCCTGGTCTCATATCAACATTTGAAGCAAAGCCCGGTTATAAACGATGGGTTGCCCAAGCAGGAACCCTAGTAGCAGACTTGCTCACCTGTGCAGGTGCTGATCAGTATGTATCCTGTGTTTTCTTTACCCTGGTGAAGATATAGGGTGTTTTCCTAATAAAAATTCTAGTGTCGTTGCACTAGATCTGCATGATCCTCAATACCAGGGCTTTTTCGACATCCCGATGGATAATCTTTATGGTCGGCCGCTGCTCAAACGCTATATCCAGCAGAACATTCCGGACTACAAGGAAGCTGTCATTGTGAGTCCAGATGCCGGTGGTGCGAAGAGGGCCACGGCTATCGCCGACAGCTTGGGCATGGACTTTGCCCTTATTCATAAGGTAAGGTGATTGTGTTTTCGTATGCTTCTTCCAACTCACTCAGTCATATTAGGAACGAAGACCGACTCGAATCACGGATCGACAAAATGCGACGATGATGTTGGTTGGCAATGTTGCTAACCGAGTTTGTATTCTGGTTGACGACTTGGCGGATACGGCCAACACCATCACCCGTGCCGCCAAGCTCGTACGAAAAGAAGGAGCGACAGCGGTTTACGCCCTCTTGACGCACGGCGTACTTAGTGGTGATGCGATTGCACGAATCAATGCGTCGGCACTAGACAAGGTCATTGTGACCAACTCGGTTCCCCAGGACGAGCACAAGAGGATGTGCCCCAAGCTTGAAGTATTGGACGTGGCACCAATATTCGCCGAAGCAATCCGCCGTATCCACCATGGTGAATCAATCAGCGTTCTGTTCCAGTATGATTGAATGATGGTAGGAATTCAAGATAAGAAGATGGGAGTTATCCCATCCACTCACGCCGAGTTATTGTTACAGAGACTGTCTACCAGGACGCAGTACCTCAATGATATCTTGACGGGTCGCATTTCACCCCTGAACAAATCCTTCTCGGGTTTAAATGCCAGTGACGTATTTCCTGTATGGGGGAATTCATTTTATTTGACTCGAGCCTCGTCACTCGGTCTTGGGCGTCACTCATTTACTTTGGAATGCATGAGGTTGAAAGCAACCTCCTTTTTTAAGGTAGGCTAGACTCATTAGCTGGTTTATTTTTTACACCTGCATTTACCGCAACGACCGGGCACTACTGGTAATTGGTTGGGGACTTGCAGCAGAGAAGAAGAAGACGACGAAGATGAAGCAGTTGCATGTCATAGACAAGTTTCTAGGTGGGCAGAGTAACAAGAACTTCCCAAACGCCTTACGTATTCTGGACCGTAAATGCTGCCAATCCCAACATATGCTAGTTTTCCTATGACATGTGTTATGAACTAAACAATCCTTTCTCAACCATGTACCTAGCAACCTACGTACCTGCATGTATGTAGACCACTCTACTGAAGGCTAGGTACATAACCGAGGGTAGTTGGTAACTTATGATATCGCAAAAGGGGAATGAATATAGGTACCAAGTTGGACTGGCTTCTATACATGTATATCTCTTCAATGCTGAAAGATAAGAATAAAGAATGAAAAAAAAGACTATACCTAAGTATATTTGGTTCACTCGTGAGGCATATCAATGTTATTCATTAGCCTCACATGGAAGTACTCATCCCTAGGCATGTTTCACGTGCTGGTGAAGTAAACGAGGCTTACGAAGCATCAACGCTTTTACAACTGAGTCGATCCTCCCTTTGCCGCCTCAGCCTCTTTCCAACAACGTTTAAATGCTGAACAGACAGGATACTTGCATAGTAGTCTTTAATTGAAGTTACTATTAGTATGTACCCAATACCTGATATTTATCCAGCGTTCGGTAAAATAACTGATAAGAGGTTATTATGTATTGTGATACATGTGTTACAATATAACTACATGTATACGGAAATGCTAGGAGCCTAGGATGGTATTTAGTACTATTTACATATGTAGGGCCGGCAAAACGCTAGTTCGAAATTGCCGGCGTGGGTATGTAGTTCAACCCATTTCGTGCAGTGGACCTCGGCATGTGCTTTAACTTTTTCCAACGACCAAAGACCAAAGCCGCCGTTACGGTTCCTTCCCCCAGCTTTTTTCTTTTTTAGCTCCTTATTCCGTCACCTCACCTGCCTGCACTCTGCACTGCACACCTACCTTAATACTTACCTATCCCATATATCCCGAATGCCTCCCTAATCTTCAATTACATCAACACGCAATACAATACAAACTGCAAGTTTCCAATCCCCAGGTTGGATTTAAAACCCGCTTTATAAACTCATCAACTTAATTACTGGTGGGGTGTCTTTTTTCCTTTTACTCTCTTTTTCTTAATAGCATCGCTTTTATTACTTTCCACTACGCTCCCTTTCAAACTCAATTCCGGATCTTATCATCGAATCGAATTTCGGTGAACTCACTACAAAAGAGCCTACTACCCCGATTTCATTGCTCCCCTCCGGCCCGATTCAATTTCAAACCGAGTCGATCGATCGATTGATCCACAGCCTCCGTACAGGCTTAGCCACGTTACGTTTTTATTCTACCCCATTGATCGGTACGCTCGAGTCTGCGAAACCCGCCCCGACTTCCGAGGAGGAGACAAAGTAGACTGGAAAGAGAAAGTTAGCAAGGAAAAGGAAGGAACCAAAGAAAGATAATCTCAGTCAAAATGGTCGCCGATACCCTCGTCTACCACCCGTCGGTGGCGCACTACCTCAAGTTCGTTGCGACGACGGTCGGCCGCGACAAGCTGCTGCGCACGGTGCAGTACTTTGCGCGGTTCTACGCGTGGTACCTGTTGCGGACGAACGGGACGCGCGCCGAGATCGCCCCCTTCGAGGCCATCAAGAAGCAGTTCGGCCTCGTGCGCAAGATCCTGCGCTTCGGCAAGAACGTCGAGCACTTCAAGGCGGCCGCCATTGCCGCCGACTCGGTCAAGACGGCCGTCGGCGTCGGCGCCGATCCCGTCCTGCGCTACACTGCGGTCGGCCGCCAGCTCGGCTACGCGGGATACCTCACCCTGGACGCGACCACGGTGCTCGACGCCATGGGTGCCAGACCGTGGGCGGGCGCCAAGCGCGCCCAGAAGGAGGCCTACCGGTTCTGGGCCATGGGATTGCTGTCCAGCGTGGTCGCGCAGCTGTACACCCTGTACCGGCTCCGGGAGCGCGAGGCCAAGGTCGATCTGAAGGAGGGTGAGGGCGTGGTTGAGAGCAAGAGAATTGCCTTGTAAGTTTTAATTCCTCCTCTTTCATGAAAAAGGAAAAAGCAAAGGGACAGAAAAGGAGAATATCTGCTAATGTGAAAATAGGGAGAGAGCTGCGAGCCAATTGCAACTCACGTCAGACCTCTGTGATCTCACAGTCCCCACGTCGGCACTGGGCTGGATCGGCTTCGACGATGGCTTTGTTGGCTTGGCGGGAACTCTGAGTAGTTTGATCGGCGTGTATATGCAATGGAAGAAGACGGCGTGAACGGGCAGGGGAGAATACTGACAGAGCCGTGGACTAGTTTCCTGAGAGGCCTGTAGGAGAATATGTATAGGGGTGTGTGTGTGTTTGCGCGCGCATTGTGGTAGGAGCACCTAGACTTTGGCAACATTTTGTTCGTTCATGTTTAGGAGCTTCGAAGCAAAGGATGGGTGTAATCACACATTAACCTACATTGATGTTATACAGTACATTGCCTCGTGGCCCAGCTAACAGGGACAAGTCACACAGTTAATGTACAAATGTGGGAGTCAGTTGGGAGTTCATGTTGATTTCCTTATACCTACGACTAGATCATTGAGATTATTATTTCACTACGTATCTGCCTACTTAGACAAGATGGAGGGAGAGGGATAATGAAAGAGAGAGAGAGAGAGAGATGGTGATGGTGATGGTGATGGTGATAGTGGGGAGGAAGGAGTTGTTAGATTACCCCAATAAGTGAGAAGAAGAAGTTGCTCTATCAAGTACTAGGTAGTCAGTTAAATTTCTTTGAAACGTTTACGTAACATTGCTCGTACGGTTTAACGTTCACAGGGATATTCCTATTCCGTACCTACATAAGTTTGTTTGGACTGAAAAGCTTCAATTTTCCTAGCTAAATTTTCCTAGCTAAATGTTCCATGTTCAAATTTTATCTTATCCATTTGACCCTGGTAGTACATGTTAGCTACTACATGACAGTAGTACATGTAATACCTGTCCTTGGCACGGGGTATATCCTCGATATCTGATAGGCTTCATCGAGTTAGACCATTCAACGTCACTCCCATCTGGAAACAAACAAAAAGGATCCTCCTACCAAGTAGTACCAACATGGAGCCTTGCAAACTTGCAGGTATTGTAAGATGGCTTATACAGATAAGGAAGGTAAATAAGCCTGTCATACATACAGACTGATACAGTAGTATACATGTGCAGATCACTGCACGTGTGATCTATTTATCTATCTAAAGCTCAATTTTAGATTAATATTCTTAATATTCTTATTCTTCAATGTTCTTTGCCTCTTGTTCACTGGCTTGCTGACTTCTTGATATTATGAACATATACATGCCACCTATTTAATATGTTTACAATATAACCTAGAGTATCTATCTATAGGTATGTAAAAGAGATATTTAATATTTTTTAACATTCTACAGTGATGTGTTAACTTAAATCTCTCTCACAGTTTCTCCCATCTACTTGGCTGTCAGCTTAAGTATACGCCGTAGGAAGCTGGAAGAAAATGTTTTGGAACAAGAAGAAAGAGGAGGAGGAGGAGGAGACCGTCTCAGAGACGCCCGTGGATATAGCACCACCCATTGACCAGAAGCCCTTCTTGCAAGCAATCTGGCCTGTCATCGCTTGTGGCGCTGGTCTTTTCTCGGACGGCTATGTCAACAACGTGTGTTCCCCAACTATCCTGCAATCTGGCTGTGCTTTGTCGGCTTACATTTTTTGTGTTTTGCGCCACCTAGGTCATCGGCTCAGTGAACACGGCCCTTACTGCTGAGTACGGAGACGTTTACACTTCTTCAACCGCTGCTAGTGTGGTGCCAGCCATTGCATTCGCAGGCACGGTAATTCGCCCTGCATACTTACTTGGATAGATAGATGATCAAGCTTACATGTCCAAATATAGGTAGTCGGCCAACTAGTCTTTGGATACCTGTCCGACAAGTGGTCACGCAGGGATTCTCTCCTCATATCGACCATCATCTTGATCGTCTTCACCGCCCTTGCTGCTGGTTCTTACTACCATGGAGATCCCGTAGGCATGTTCAACATTTTGACCGCCTGGCGGTTCGCGGTAAGTCCAGCCAGCCAGCCTTCATCACAAAGCCTTAATTATGATTACTTATATTGACTGAACTCGTAGGTCGGCATCGGCATCGGAGGTAAGCATGTTAGCTGAAGACTGATCTTAACCGTAAACTAAGACGATTCCTATAGGCGAGTACCCGGCCGGAAGTGTGAGTTGCGCCGAATCTAGCGGCGAGTTGAAGGGCGGCACCCGGAACACCTGGTTCATCTTATTCACGAATTCCATGATCGACTGGGGATTCGTCTTTGGTGCCTTTGTTCCCTATGTCGTCGCCGCCGCTGCCCACAACATGTATTACAGCACCATTTGGCGAACGAGTCTTGGCATCGGTGCCGTGTTCCCCCTTGTTCTCTTCTTCCTGCGCCTGAAGCTCAAGGAACCTGAGGAGTTCTCTCGAAACTCGATGAAGCAGTAAGTCCATCTGTAAAGAATGCCGCGGTTGGAAACGTTTTTTTCCTTTTTATAAAACCCCACGTACGTACGTGATATGCAAGCAACCACGGCTCACTTTATATACTATAGTGCCAAGACCCCCTATCTCTTGGCCTTGAGATATTATGGATTCCGGCTGCTGATCGTCAGTTTGATCTGGTTCATCTACGATGTAAGTACACTTTCCTTTATACGACCTAGTTTGGGTATTTATTTATAGAGGAAAATGCACTAATGATCTCACAAGTTCTCGGCCTATTCGTTCGGCATCTATTCAAGCGCCATCCTCTCCAACGTCTATGGCAATGCAGCCCCCCTAACGACGATCTTCGGATGGAACACGGTTATCAATCTGTTTTATATCCCAGGAACTATGCTCGGAGCTCCAATAAGTGACCGCATTGGCCCTCGCTATACGCTCATTCTGGGGCAGGTTCTGCAAGCCGTCGTGGGATTCATCATGGCTGGATGTTACGCGAGTCTATCTCATCCCTCTGTCGTCGGTGGCTTTGCTGTCGTGTACGGTATATTCCTGTCCCTCGGCGAGCTGGGACCCGGAAACAACATCGGCTTACTAGCCGCCAAGACCTGCGCGACGGGCGTTCGCGGGCAATACTACGGCATCGCCGCGGCCTTTGGCAAGATAGGTGCCTTCGTCGGCACCTACGTCTTCAAGTACATCAACTCACCCGACGGCGACTCCATCAAGTCGGCCCAGTACAAGTTCTACGTCAGCTCCAGCCTGTGCGTCTTCGCCGCCGCCCTGGCCCTGCTGCTCCCGCACATCGGCCAAGACACCATCACCAAGGAGGACGCCGACTTCCGAGTCTACCTCGAGAGCAAGGGCTGGGACACAAGGCAGCTGGGGCTCAAGAGGGGCGAGAGCATCGAATCTCTGCCGGGGGCGGGGGAGTCCGACAACGCTGTGGCCGAGGAGACCAAGGTCTGAGAAGAAGAAGAAGAAGAAGAAGAAGAAGAAATTCAAGTTGGAGGATTGGCAGGACTAGAGTTGGAATGGCCGTGTTCGGATAACAAACCCCCCCCTTTCCCCATCTCTTAAGTCTATCAAGTCTCTTTCCTTATGAACGATACCTACCTAACCTAGGTTAGTGCATAGGTAATTAGGTATAGTACATATTAGTTACCTACCTACCTACCTACCTAACCTAGGCGTGTATAGAATACCTAGGATAATACTATATCTCTTGTTCTTATCCTACTACTGCATTACATTATATTACATTGATTGGACAGATTAATATAACCACCTGGACGAAGATGATAATATACCTATCTATTCAACAACCCCTTATTACATACCTAACCACATACCTTATACATACCTTAGGTAAGAAAATAGGCATGACATATCATTGACTGACTTGAAGGCGACTTGATAATTGGATCCTATACACGTCTGCATACTAGTTACATATGTGTGCCTACTACCTAGGTTATGTATACCTAGTATAATACCTAGTATCGAGGTGTCATATACATAAGTCCAATGCTTGGTAACTAGGAGCACTGTCTGATTCCTCTACTGGGTGTCGGTTCAGTAAGTTATCAACTAGCGTGTAGTCCGCCAACAGCCTCGTCCCATCACTATTGATAATACAGCGACATTGGAACATATCCATGAAATTTAACTTTCTTCATTTAATACGCCCGGGTATGCTAGTTAACACAAGACAAATCTATAAGTAGAATTACAATTCATCGTGTCCTGAAGGTTCGTCATCATCTGCGGCACCACCGGCACCACCGTACATCTTGGATGTGATCGGATAGGCAACGTTCGAGAGCTTCTCCTTCTGCTCCTCGAAGTCCTCAGCCGTGGCCGTAGCCGCGTTCTCCTCAAGCCAGTCAGTCGCCTCCTTCACGGCGTCCAGAATCTGATTTGGCATTAGTAATTGTTCAAAAAAATCCAAAGGGGAAAAGAACGTATAGGAAATCAACTTACAGCTTCCTTGTCTTCCTCGTCGATCTTGCCACCAAGACCATCTTCGTCATTGGCCTGGTTCTTCAGGTTGAAAGCATAGTTTTCCAAACCGTTTCGAGCCTCAATACGCTCACGGGTAGCCTTGTCCTCCTCAGCAAACTTCTCTGCCTCTGCGACCATGCGATCAATTTCATCCTGGCTAAGTCGGCCCTTGTCATTGGTGATAGTAACGGACTCAGTGTTTCCAGTTCCCTTGTCGTGAGCCGAGACCTTCAGGATGCCATTGGCATCGAGCTCGAACGATACTTCAATCTGAGGGACGCCACGAGGCGCAGGCGGGATGTTGGTTAGCTCGAACTTGCCGAGTAAGTTGTTGTCCTTGGTCATAGATCGTTCGCCTTCGTAGACCTGAATCAAGACGACGGGCTGGTTATCGGCGGCGGTAGAGAAAATCTGGCTCTTGCGAGTCGGGATGGGTGTGTTGCGAGGAATAAGCTTCGTCATGACGCCACCAGTGGTCTCGATTCCGAGAGTCAACGGGTTGACATCCATAAGAACAACATCTCCGGTACCTTCCTCACCGGACAAAACACCGGCTTGGACTGCAGCACCGAAAGCAACAGCTTCATCAGGGTTAATACCCTTGCTGGCCTTTCTACCGCTGAAGAACTCCTCGAGGAGAGCCTGGACCTTGGGAATACGGGTAGAACCACCGACCAAGACGATGTCATCAACTTCGTCCTTCTTGATCTTGGCGTCATCCAGAACCTGCTTCACAGGCTTGAGAGTACGCTTAAAGAGATCGATGTTGAGCTCTTCAAACTTGGCCCGAGTAAGAGTCTCTGAGAAATCCTTGCCCTCAAAGAAGGCTTCAATTTCAATGCGGGTGGTCTTTTGTGAAGATAGGGTTCGCTTGGCCTTTTCAGCCTCACGCTTCAGTTTACCCATTGCCTTGAGATCCTTGGAGATGTCGACATTGTTCTTCTTGTTGTAGTTCTTGGCCAGGTGGTTAATGATCCTCTGGTCGAAATCTTCACCACCGAGATGCGTATCACCAGCAGTAGCCAAAACTTCGAAGACACCATCTTCGATGGAGAGAAGAGAAACATCGAAAGTACCGCCACCAAGATCGTAAACGATGATGTGACGCTCACCGCCTGTCTTATCCAAACCATAAGCGATAGCAGCGGCAGTAGGCTCGTTGACAATGCGTAGCACATTGAGACCAGCGATGATGCCAGCGTCCTTAGTGGCCTGTCTCTGGTTGTCGTTGAAATAGGCGGGAACAGTGACGACAGCGTGGGTAACCTTCTTGCCCAAGTAGGACTCAGCAACCTCCTTCATCTTGCCTAGGATGACGGCAGAGATTTCTTCGGGGGTAAACTTCTTGGTGGCACCCTGGAACTCGACCTGGATGAGAGGTTTTCCATCCTTCTCGACCACCTTGTAGGGGAAGTGCTTCAAATCATTTTGGACTTCTTTCTCAGCCCATTTCCGGCCGATAAATCGTCTAAGAAAAAAAAGGTTAATGACAGCTACAATCAACTAGACACAACTTTCAGCATTGACTTACTTGACGTCGTATACTGTGTTTGTAGGGTTGGATGCTGCTTGTTGTTTGGCAGCATCTCCGACTAATCTCTCTTCCTCGGTGTAGGCAACGTATGAAGGGGTAATTCGGTTTCCTTGGTCGTTGACAAGAATTTCTACTTTTCCTCCTTGCATCACACCAACGCATGAATATGTGGTTCCCAAATCCTATATGAAGATTTTGGGTTAGAGGTGGTGAAGGTCATCGGCTGCTAGAGAAATACTTACAATACCAATAACAGTGCCATAATCGGCGACATCATCTGCCCTCGCAGATCCGACAAATGCGAGGGGACTGAATAATACCAGGCTCCAGGCTATCATGCCAAAGGCGATAGTCCAGTAGCTCTGGGAGCGAGCCATGGTGGACAATGGTTGTTGCAATCTAAGCAACAGTAGCCAGATGGAGGAGGGGTGAGGGGAAAATGAAGAAGGGGAGGGGGATAAGAGAAAAAGAAGGGAAAACTGTAAAAGCCCGAGCAGTGACCTACAACCAGAGTTATTGGGTTGGTTGACTGCAGTCGAAGGATTGGTGAGGACTGTAGTATAGAGAGAGGTAGGGTAAGAACGGGGAAGAAGAGTTTGCTAGGAGAGGGAGAAGAAGAAGAAAAAAAAGCGAATCGACTGTGTGAATTTCTTATAGGGAAAGAAAATGTTCAAGATTGAAGTTGCCAGCTTGCAAGAGAACACATTGCAATAAAGGGTGGGTCATATGCCAAGACTAAGCTTGCCCCTTTTGTTGCATTGCCTCAGCCATATGTAGGCCATATGTAACTAAAATAACCAAAATAACCAAAATAAGGTTATGTATCACAGATCCCACACTAGGTACCCTGAGTACATACCGTACAATATGTGTATATCCATGATACTAGGTACTGCCCAGGTGACTACTCCTACGCGCTGGAACCTTCCAAGTGCACATGTGGAAAGTTCCAACCTTACAAGCTTCCAAATTTCCTTCCTTATTTTTCTTTAATTCTTTTTTTGGCTTCTTCGCCGCAATGAAAAAGCCAGATTACCTCCACTAAACCCCAATATTCAACCTTTACTGTATGCACATACCCATATATCACCCCCACCTAATGCGGGACATACTACTACTAGTACCTAGTATACTACATACCTAGTAGTATGTAATACTTATTATGTACCTAGTTATGTACCTAGGGTATCCCTCCCCGAACCATACCATACGTAGCATATAGGAATTTGTAATGTGCCTAGGGTATGTATTGGTAGTCAAGGCCCCAGGCAAAGTACGGAGCCGGGACATTCGACGAATGTGGCGATGGATGACGCCTGCAGCTATTGACTCTTTCAAGAAGGCCAGATTTCTACCTATCATGGGCAGCACATAACAGAGACCACTTGTTCACAATCAACCCTACTACCTATACATACATCATTTACTGTAGGTTAGTAGTTTATGTAGCAGGGTAGTTAGTAGATCGCCTTTTTCTCTTCAAGTTTTGTGACTCATGTATATACATACTGTACATACATATAGGTATGCAGGTACTACAGTATGTAAAATGTCGTTAACATTGAAAACAGCATCAGAAGATATCATTGATGTATCCCTCATCTAAATAAATTGTGGCTGGTAATCTTTCTCAGAGCCTCAAACGTGGCGTAGAATCGTATATGTACAGTACATACATAGTACTGAATCTACTACTGATGGCACACTACGAAGTATGTACGTCCCATATATAGACCTAAGTGCAACTTATTCCAACAGGCCGGCAGCAACAGTATTACCTCCACTCCTCAGCACAACCCGCTGCCCAGCTTCCAACGGTACCTTGGTCCCCATCTTAATCACCACTCTGGCGACGTTGGCCGGCTTCACAATCCGAGGTCTCTTCTTTAACACCGTACCCCTGGTTTTGTCGAGGAGTGCAGGTATTTCCGAGATCTGACCTGCGGCATGTAGACGACCGCGATGAACATCTACCTGCATCGGCATTAGGATATCGAAAGCCAATACTTTGACCGTAAACGTGTCGACACACGTAATCGGGTGTTTTGTATCGCACACTATATCGCCAACACGCACGTGGATCGGATCAATATTGCTGAGGTGGATAACCACATTCTGCCCCGCCACCGCCCAATCCACAGCTTCTTGGTCAAGCTCCAATGATTTGACATAAGCCTTTTCGCTGCTAGGCTGAATAAGCAGGGCATCACCTGTCTGCAGTGACCCCGCATCTATTCGACCGGATATTGTGAGCGCGCTCTGTGATGATCGATATACCTCAGAGATGGTTAGGCGTAGAGGTTTATGTAACGCCCGTGCCATCGGCTCAGAGCTGTCCAACTCCTCAACCAGAGTCTTCCCGCTGTACCAACCCGCCGCTGCATCTGTAGACCTCTTCGTTACGTAATCACCATTCAAGCCCGATACAGGGACAAAGCTGATGTTTTTCTGCTGGAACCCTGTGGCTGTCAAGAAACCGGAAACTTGTTGTGAGATCTCGTCGAAGCGAGCCTGTGACCATCCAACTGTGTCCAACTTGTTAATCGCAACTATCACGCGCGATACTCCCATACTACGAAGGAGAAGGGAATGCTCCCTCGTTTGCCCTTTAAGACCCGCTTCAAATGCTCCAGTTGAAGCATCCACTACCAGGATTGCAAAGTCGGCCTGGCTTGCCCCGGCAATCATGTTAGGAATAAAGTCTCGATGCCCAGGCGCATCTAAAATTGTGAATGATGTGGTCTCCGTCTCGAACTTGTTTGTTGCAATGTCGATAGTTACACCTCTTGACCGTTCCTCTGATCGTTGATCCAACACCCATGCAAGGGCGAATGAGGATTTACCCATGCTTTCGGCTTCTTTGCGATATTTTTGTATTGTTCTAGAGTCAACAACATTAAGATCAAGGAGTAATCGGCCCATCAAAGTGCTCTTTCCAGCGTCCACGTGGCCTTGCCGCATTAGTATACGTGCCATAGCTATAATTCGCACGAGTCTTACCGACGACTACAAAACTTGCGTTCTTTTTGCTCTTGGTCTTCTCAAACTCCTTCAACACGTCAAAATTCTTGCTTCTGGGTAATGGCGTATCATCGACTTTCAGGCTTGCCAACCCATCTGCGGCTGCATCACTTTTTCTTGCAGAGTCGGCCTTTTTCTTGGCTACATTAGCAGCGGTCTTTTTGCTGCTCGCTGATCCCAAAGTATTAGTATCCTTATTTGACCACCATTCTCTCCAAGAGCGAACCTTGGGACTGTGCTTTCAAGATAACATCATCTGGACTCGGCGCTGAAAATGCGTCAGCTACTGACGTATTCATACTCATATAAGGGAATGGGTAATGCCGCGAAACAGGCTTGGTCGAGCTGCTAAGGGGGTCGAGGAGCGCTTGGGCGAATGAAGAAGGCATAGCAATCTCTGAGGATAAAGCTCCTAGTAAGGGGCTAGGTGGCGTTGGTAGATTTTTTGGTTTGTCCTTTTTAATTTCGGTGATTTGATTTTGAGATTGGCTATATTTAAGATTTGGGCAACCAGGTTCGCTTTGGTTAGGAACATCCGTTGCACTTGTTCTCGTGAACCTTTCGGTTTCCTGGGGGGCTTCAATAGGTGATCGGACGTTCTCCTTGTCTAATCTAGGGTCTCTTGAAGTTGTAGAGAGATTGCCAAACTGCCGGATTGTCCCGGGGATTTGTTTGTCCTCTAACTTTTGCTCATCTGCCTTCTTCTTGCGAGCAGCTGCGAGGGCTTGGAGTTTTGACATCTTGCCTGTCGTGCTAGCGCCTCCCAGCAACCCCCCTCGGATCATTGGGGGTTTGATAAATGTTGTTTCTCGACCCCTGGGGATATTCAACCACGGCATGTCGCTGAAGAAGCTGGCGAATGAAACAGGCTTCGGATACACCTCACTCTGATCGACTAAGATATTCCAAATCAGCCTCTAAAGAAGTGGATTTCTGGCACCTACACGCTTGAGACGCACCTGGAGCCATGGGATATCGCATATCTATAACTGACCTCCCCGCCTGTGCAGTGTTTTGTTTTTGTGACAGTAAAGCAAAAAAAAAGGCACCTACCTCCTTTCTTTTTCTTTGAGGGCGTGATGAATTTGGAAGTCAAGTAGGCCGTTGACTTGTCGATATCGTAGTAGTAATGCCAGAGAGCTTCTTGGATTTGCTGAGTCGTGACCTTGGAGGCTTCATTTCCAAGTGCAGTCCGAACCTGAGCGGTTCCAATATCTAGCTGGGCTTTTTTTTTGGTGCGAGATTAGAAAAGGGTGATCATGAAATTGGTGGTTTATTTCGGGTACATGCCTCGATCTTCTTGGCTCAACTCTTCCTCTTCTGCAAATGCGTCTCCTTCATACTCATCAAGGTCATTCTCGTAATCGTAATTCCGGTATGCCTGATGACGAGACATTTCGTCGGCCAGATGCAATGAAAATCTAGTTTTTTATTCTTTTTTTTTAAAAAAAAAGAAGAAGAAAAAAGAAAGAAAGAACAATTCCTGCTATTTAGCGAGCTTTCAAAGTACCAAAGAGAAGACGACGAATGAAGGCCTTGTGTAGAAAATTTAAGGTTCGTAACATATAAGGTGGAAATTGAACGATCTCCCAAGCACTTGAGGTTCAATGTTAGTAAATGGTAAAAAGTAAGTTGTAAATGGTCAGGTCCCTACCCTAGGTATGGAATAAATGGGGGAAGCTAAAAGGAGGGGCAGGGCGTTTTAAGGCTGCAAGGTTAATACTTTAATAGATGACGTAACAAAGTTAACTTCAATGTTCTAAGCCTCAGTTTCATAATTCTACATAATTACATAACTACCTAGTAGTACTACTATGTAACCTACTTAACCTTAGGTAGGTATGCACATATGCACAAACTTATATGTACATTATCTGTAGGGTATCTCATATAATCAACAATTAATTACTCCTTGCTACCTATTTACCTACTTGCCTACCTTCCTACCTAAGATAGGTACCTAGTAGTTAGGTGGTATAGACCCAGCCAAGGTTGCTAGGTGCCTAATTAACCCTCCTCACACAGCTCCTGCGAAACCGAACTAGGTATCCATGGATACCATTATATCACAGTAACTAGGGCCTCGGCCTCCTTACTATACACGACTAGTTTCATAGGTCAATCAAACTCTCTTCCACGATAGGTTGTTGAGGTGTATGCTGAGGGGCGGCAGGGAATGATTCCTGTGTGTAGCCAGTGTATCCTGTACTACCCGTTCGATATGCTGGAGAGCTTTGATCCGCATGCTGCTGCTGCTGCTGCTGTTGCCAATATGGTTGTTGCGTTTGTCGGCTGGGCGGTGGATATTGTTGTGGTGGTTGTGATGCTTGAGTGGCAATCGAATCAGGCGTCGGAGGAACAGACTGCCTGTTGTAACCTAACGTGTGTTGAAGGTTTGGGTATGGTGATGTTGCCGTCTCGGGAGGAACGCTAGGCGCGGTACGTTCGTTGGGGGGCTGTGCGTTGTTATAATAATAAGCAGTGTTAGGATCCGTGGCTGACGCCCCAATTGACTCGGGAGTTCCATTGATCGGGCCTTGTGACGAGGGATGAGGTAGTACGTGAACTGTTTGTGGATTGTCGTTTGACGTGAAACTTCCTTGAGTGGGATATTGGACTGTTGCGGATAACCCTTGTTGCTTCTGCCAGCTGTCGTTTCTCTGGACTGTATGATTTGGGTATTGATTGTTTAGAGACACTGGTACGGGGCTTCGCTTATCGTAACCCGTATACTGTTGCTGCAACCCCTGCTGAGCGTGCTGGATATATCTATGCCCTATAGGCGTTCTGCCAGGATCCGGGACTTGCTCGCCTGTGTAAAAATTTTCTGCCGAGGTGGGAGCCGCTGGCTCCATGGAAGGATACGGGCTCGACTGCTGCCCAGAGTTGGGCAGATTGTAGGCACCAATGTTGTGCTGACTATAAGCTTTTGAGAGGCGCTCCTCTAGCATTCTATCATAATATCGAACAACAGTAGACAGCTTAGCATGTAGGTCGAGGAGCGTATCTAGGTTACGGTCAGTGCGAGGACGAAATATAACATCTTGAATATTACTTACCATGCTTGCTCATCGTTTCACCATACGTACGTGCCAACTTAGGCCTCAGTGCACCAATCGAATCATACAGCTCCTGAATCTGTGGCTCCCTCAAAATCGTGCCGGGCGGCTGAGTCTGCAGCCTATCAACGAGGGTTGAGAAGAGGTTGATGTTCTCAGCCTCGACCACAGTGAGCTCGTAATCATTCTTAGGGAGAGCAAACGAAGTAGCCGATGCGCTTTCGGTACTATTTGTTTGCTCTTTCAAAGCCGCCGAGTGTTTTTGCTTTTGTTCTTCCATATCTGCTAGCGATGCTGCGATGGCAGCCTTCAGGTCTTCATCTTCCTCCTCGAGCGCGCCTGCTGGAGTAGATACTTGGCCATTTGGTTTCGCATCCGATGCCGAAGGGGTGTTATCTGTAGGAGGAACATAGCCCTTTGAATGACTTTGAACCTCTTCCAGACTCATCGCTAAAGCCTTCTTGAGATCTTCATCGAATTCATCGTCGACTCGGGCATTCCGAGGCTGCATAAGAGATGTGCTATGATTTTTGTGTGGAAACGACGGAATCGTGGGAGAGCGCTCTTGTCTACTGAACCCGCCCTTGCTGGACCGGTCTGTTAGTTTAGCATAACAGCCATCATCGACTCGTACGGGCTGCAAGATGCCTAGATGTGGTAAAGGAAGCGTTTTCGTGGAGCATTGCTGATCAAAACAGTTGCCGCAATTACGGCAGTGGTGCTTGCGGTTCGTAAAGGTAAACGGAGTGCGGCACCGCATACAAACGTCTGAATCAATCCATTCCGGGGGCTACCGTGGACTAGGTTAGTCAAATCGGAAAGCGCGGGTTAGGAGCAATACATACAGCACTGCTGTCGATCATACTGCTTGCCACAGTTGTTCGAGGGGGGAACTGGAAACCTTCTCTCTGCAGTGACTTGTATATCTCATCGATGTATTTCAAGTCATAGCGACCTTGAGTGGCTGCAGCCCAGGACTGTATCAACTCTAGGATCTTGGCTCGGACTTCGACGTTGACAGCGGCGGGACCGACCGCGTGTAGGAGAGAGACGAGGTTGTCCATAAACTCTCGAGAGGCAATCTCGACAAGAAAATGGGAGCCGCCATTCTTGACACAAGTGTCCGTCAACTAGACTATATGTTAGGAAGGGAGGGCGACGCTGAGCACATACATGGCGCGCGCGAGACAGGGAGGGAGAGAGAGGGGGGGAGATAAGGAATTACATACGTTCAACGCGCTTAACTGAGTGTTGGGATTTTTATTGCCGATGCGGCGCTTCAGCGAGCGCATGGCTTCTTTGGGCTGCACCGTCTTAGATCTGATGACATCGGAAATCTCGAGGTTGAGCGGAATATCTTCTCTAGAATTCGAGGATTGGATTTAGCATCTTTGCAAAACTTGACTCGAAGAGGGAAAGGATATAAATAGGTAGGTATGCATACAAGCTGCTCCCCGTTGCTTTGTCAACTTGCTCATCCAAGGCGCTATTGGCCGAGGACGACCACCAACCTCCCATCATCGTGAGAGAAAGTAGATATTCAATGTTGTTTTATGGACTTCAGTAGATAGAAAGCGGTAGAGGGAAAATGAGATGAGAAGTGGGTGGTGGAGGTCAGTCAAAATGTAGTAGAAGTGTAGATGCCTAGATACTACTACATACTATGTAATAGTATGTATGGCATGTGTGGTATGTGTGGTATGTGTGGTATGTGTGTATGTATGTATGTATGTATGTATGTATGTATGTATGTAGGTAACTATTGATGTATGTATGCATGTACGTAAGTCCTGGAGATTTTGAGATGATGCACGGGCTACTAGTGTACTTAGTATTGACGCTAGTATACTATACATAGTATACATCAATGATATATGTAGTTATTGAGTATGTAGTTATCTAGATATCCATCAGATTCACATGTCGAAATGCCCCTCCTCTGATGCACTATGCATGTATGCATATAGTAAGGCTCTGTGCCTATTGAATAGTACGTAATAACTAGTTAACTACCTAGTAGTTAGTTATATTGTTAGTAACTAGGGGTCCATCCATCCATTTCCATCCACTCAATCCGAACATTGAAGTTAGTTACTAGGTGTACCTAACTACTAGGTAACCTAGGTGCATACATGTAAGGTTAGTAAGTATTCATGCACATGTGCATATGTCATTCCCCCCCAAAAGAACATTAAAACACTAAAGTAAATCTTGGGACGATGACTTATAAACTAATACCTTCACAACGTATTACTACTATTACTATTATAATACCAATCTACCTAAAGCGATACCATCTTGTTCTTCATATACCATTAAGTTGAGGCGTTTGGCGGCCTACTTTCTTCATTGTCCATTATATATCATACCTCTTTCATACCTAGGTACATTCCTTTTATTCCTCCAATCTCTTTCAACTTTCCGTTCTAGTATTTATCCAACCCACCTCTTCGACCTCGAACACCGTGACGTTAGCGATCTTGGCCCTGCTTAGAAAGAATGCCCTTCCATTCCAGTCCTCGTCTTGAGCCCTATACCGATACATAAGACTCAACTCTTATTCGACCTTAACCTGTTTCCGTCTTTGCGCAACCTGATTCTTTCTATTTGCAATCTCGACCCTTTTTCGCCCCCCCTCCCCCCCCTCCGGGGACCCCGCGCTCTAGAGCTTCACATCTTTTTACTCGCCTTCGATAGATCGTATAGACCGAATAGATCGTTACTTTTACCACCCTGTATACGTCCATGAATAACATGAGCTCCGTCGCTCTCACGAGAGCTTCGGCTACACCCATCTCTGGACAAGACACTATGACCTCTCGCGTAGGTGGCAGCGCTGGAGATGTTGTAAGTGGAAGCCGGGGGTATGCGTCTGGCGGTACTCCAGGCCCAGGGAAGACACCCTTTCGCCATATCGATGACCTGGTCTCTGTTAGTGTCGACCTCGATCCCCACACACCGCTGCGCAAACTCCTTCAAATCGGCGATAACCACATGCGGCAAGCTATAACCTTTAACGAATTCGGCCGCCCAGATCTAGCGCTGCAGGAGTATATCAAGGCATTCACCATTGCTGTCGATAAGGTGCCTAGACATAAAGAATTTCCTACCATGAAATCCGATCGGGGAGATCTGGGCCGGCTGTATAATGACTTCAAATCGAGGATCAATGTTAACTGTGCTCTTTTCAGCGAGATTAAGGACGTCATTAAAGAAGATAATCGACGGAGTGGTGTGCAACCAAAATCGTCTTCCGAAACCGCTGAACCTGAACCCCAGTCCAGGTCTAGCACATCGTCAAGGACGTCAACGCAAGCCCAGGTCAACAGCTATGCTAAGCCACGGAATAATGGATCTGATAGCTACTACGACGTCTCGAAGGCTAGTAGTCTCCTAGACGTGCCCGCTGGTACCAGCGTAGGACCCAAGTTGAAACCTCCAGTACAGCCAAAGCCCCAGTCACTGCATGGAAAAGCTATCAAACCAACGCCAAAGGCTTCCCCGAGTGACCTTGCTAATCGATTTGCTCGATTGCGCGATTCTCAGGGACCTGAAGCTTCTAGAGGAGCAGTCGAGCAACGCCAGTCGGGTAAATTGGGAGAATTGCCATTAATGCATCCATCGCATTCGGTCGACATGTCCATTCCAGCCATGCCCAAAGTCCCAGAAGCAATATACAATCCCGCGAGGGGCACTGTGACGAGCGAGATTGCCAATTTACCTTCCAGTACTCCTCGGGGTATGTTTAGTCGTACAAACTCTGTCGCCCTAGCCGCCGGTATTTCTGACCGGTCATCGATGGAAAGCCCAATAAAGGCCTCTGGTGGGGGACAGTTTGTCACGGCTCACACCTATCGGGCACCTCAAACATCAACGCCGTCCGGGGTATTGTCACAAGCTGAGATTCCGGTAGGGGACGTCATCACAGCTAAAACGCTTGCGAGACTTTTAGATCAGCGTCACTCCGGACTTCAGCTTCTACTCATCGATGTTCGTGATCGCGATTCTTTCAACGAGGGCCATATTCAATCTTCCGGGACGATTTGTGTTGAACCTGAGATACTCATGCGGGAAAACATTTCGGCCGACGAGATAGCCGACAGTATGGTACTTGCGCCTTCCATGGAGAGACTTGCAATTGAGCAGCGCGATAAGGTTGATTTGGTAGTCATATACGACGAAGATAGCGCATCTATACCATCTAGGGTAACTGGAAATGCCCAGGAAATGGTGTTGTATAACCTACGGCAGGCATTATCATACTATAGCTATAATAGACCACTCAAGAATAGCCCTAAGCTGTTACTAGGTGGTCTAGATTCGTGGATAGAAGAGTATGGAGAGCAATCCCTCGAGATTTCTCCCACACATTCGATGCGCCCAGACGAATCTTCATCGCATATAAAGGCTACAAAAAGACGACTCCGAGCTAAAACCCGAACTCTCAGTTCGAATGAGGTTAAACAATTCGAAGATATCATTAAGCAAGACGAGGCTCAGGCGCCTGCTTTCGACTATGTTACATCTACAGAAGACTTCATCCGTCGGTTTCCAAGCATAACCGGTACCCCCGAGTCTATGAGTTCTGCCGTAAAGGGTCCGTATAATAATGGGGGTGTTTTGGAATCGCCTGAGGATGATTTTCTTGATGGTATAACACCAGCTCCTCCTAGACGGCCAGCGCCTACCTTCCCGAGAACTCGATACAGCGGCTTGGAGTCCAGAGATGAAAACCCAGGTGTCACTGGCTATGCGATGATGGCGGACGCTACCACATCACCTGAAATCGGGCAGCACATAACTGGCCTCGATAACCTTGGAGCGAACTCTTGCTATTGCAACTCTACTGTACAGGTTTTACTTGCCTCGCCTGGGTTCATTGATGATATTGTGAAACCAAATTGGCCGGCTGAATGGTGTCCGGCCAGTACGGCAGGGCCCAGGCCACCACAATTGTTAGGCAAGATACTAAAAAATCTATTACAATGGATGTACCGAAGACAATTCAAGTCAATCAATGCCACAACACTTCTAGTACGTATTTTTCTTATTTTCTTAATTTTTTTTTTTATGTTTTTTTTGAAAACAAAATCCTTCTTCCCCCCCTTTCATATGGCTCGAATATATGCTTACAAGCGCAAAGCGCTATATGCACTCCACCCATAGAGGATATCGGGCTGCGGGCAAGTGGTACAAGCTTGGCGACAGTAACCAGCACGATGTTGATGAGCTGATTAACTTCATCTTTGCTTCGCTTGCATCCGAGACTGACAAGACATCTGAAAATCCATACAATACTCCAAAGCCACTGCCCCCTACAGCATCCAATCTTGTCAGTATGTACGACTTATGGAACAGTACGCAACGTAACGAGCACGGATACAATTTTGTTAATAAACACTGGTCGATATTTCAAATGATCACACAGGTTTGCGCCTCATGTAAGCACAGAACTTATAGCCAAGATATATTAACAGCACTGTATCTGCCACCGAAATACGGACAAAAGAACCTATTGGTGGATATGATTAACAACGCATTTCTACCTGATACCGTAGAGGCCAAATGCAGCGCTTGCTCTCACGTTGGTGTGGTAAGAACTCCTTTTCTCGCAGGCATTCCTCCTTTGCTCCGTATAAACCTTCGAAGACAGGGGGCTGCCAACGACAACAAGGACTCGTCATCCATTATATTTCCCTTGGTACTTGACTTGACCAAAATTACCTGGGATCATACGGAGCGAGTGGCATTCTCTCAAGCGGTGCACGAGGGGTGGGACACCAAGTTTTCGCAGGCGCCAGTCTATGACCTTTACGCCATTCAAGTTCACCATGGTGCTACATATAATGCCGGCCATTATTGGTCCTGGGTCAGAGGGGACCAGCCAGACACGTGGGTCAGATGTGAGGACTCAAATATTGGAAGTCACTGCGGTGCGGACTGGACCCGTTCGCTTCAAGAGCTGCACGATTGTCCCGATTATAAAACACCCGTCTCTCTGTACTACAGCCGAAGAGATGTTCCCAACAAATAGACTTACCGCTACCTAACGTGTATTTGTTTATAACCAAAGAAGAAGTTGGTCGAGGAAAGGAAGAAAAGATGGATGCATGCATGGCGGACAACTCACTGGGCGGCGTTGAAGAAACTTGAGATATCTATTAGACCTCCCCCTATTTTTTTTCTCTCTCTCTTTCTCTCCCCCCGCGGCCTAGTCGGGGTGGCTCGAATCTTCGGGCGAAGCCTTTGGTATTCCTTTATTACTTCTATCTATACCTATATTCCCTTGCTTTTTTTTTCGCAGACCTCGGTGCTCAACTCTCCCCGCCCGAGTTCATATATATATATATCCCAACCCCCCCTCTCTTCTTATATGCATAAATAGTGTTGCTGTAGTAAATACCTACCTAGGAAGCATTGTGTATATAAATAAGCAAGGAAGCGAGCAAGCAAGCATTGTCTAAATGTTAGATTTATACCCGAGCCAAGTTAATCGTTTGAATTAAGTCTTAAGTTATACCTAGGTATACCTAGTTAACCTCCATCTGTTACCTCCTTTTCCCTGGCTATCTACCTAGGTGTCTGTTTGTGTGCCTGCCTGTCCGCCTGCTTAACTCAAAGTTACGAAGAATTCCTCGCTTGGCTGCTTCGTAGGATACATGCCTGCTAGATAGGTACGTAAGTATTACTATAGACGGCTTAGAACTGGAGAGCGAAAGAGAGAAAGGGGGAAGGGGTGCGACTGTTTTGCATATACCTACCTAGGTAGCCTACGTAGGCAAATTTAGTCTCTTGCCACTTTTAGCGAACTACGTAGCCTAGGCACTAGACTTGCTTGCCTATACAACTTCATGACATCCATATAGAATAGGAAAAAAAAGCGTCGAAGCAAGATATATCCCTAATAGCCCCTTTCTCTCTCTCAGCCCACCCATATAAGATACCTAATAGCTCTAGATAGGGAGGGAACAAGACACCTCCTAGGTCTAATATGGATGGTTCATGGCTACCTTGTCTAGGAACCTAGGTGGGTATACATTAACAATGACAGTAATATAATCATCCATCAGATCGTATTCGCTATATAGATCCAAGACTACACGGAAGTATGTAGAAGTACATGCCATAACTACTAAATAGAGCAAAAAGCAACGCTGATGATAGGTGCCTACATACATAGGTATGTAGGCCAATATACATATACAATCCGCGAGATCCCGTCTTTCCATCCGAGTCCCTCGGCCCGACCAACCGACCGAGCCCATGGTTTACTATTCGTAGTACGCACCTAGGTAGCGAAGAAAAGGAGGTAACAGACACATACTTATATATATGCATATATATAATAGATAGGTAGAAACCTGCCTGTATACCCTCGCTGGACTCTGGCAGGTTGGATATTTTTATATATTACCTAGGTGAAGTACCTACCTACTTACTAGTAGGTAAAATGTCGAAAGATGTAGGCTAATCACCTAACCACATCGCTTGAAGCATTCGTCAATTTGCTTCTTATAAGCCTTCTTTAATGCCCGGCGGTCTACTTTCTGTGTTGCGGTAACGAGACCCTTGCACATTCCGTTAGCATACGATTTCTAGAAATGGGGAGAAGTGAATAAACAGAAAAACTCACAGTAGCAGGCGTCCACTCCTCCTCAACCAGCACAACACCGCTCACCATCTCAAGACCTGTGAGCCCGGCCTTCTTGCCAGCGATAGTCAGATCTTTGTGCACAGCAGCCAAGACTTTCGGGTCTGTATGTGCGTGCGCATGGTCAACGTCCAGACTCTTAGCAAGTTCGTTGAGCGACCTTTCATTGGGACTGATGACAGCAATGGCGCGGGCGTGATCGCTATCACCGTATACCATGAGGTTTGCAACGTACTCGCTACCACGATACACGGCTTCCAACTTCTCGAGTGCAATATACTCGCCTCCCTGCATCTTGACTAGGTTCTTGACACGATCTATAATCTTGATGTGACCCACCGAGTCTATCTCTCCGATATCACCGGTCCGGAACCATCCATCTGCGGTGAAGGCCTTCTCCGTCTCTTCAGGGTTCTTGTAGTACTCCTTGCATACGGGTAGACCCCTGAGTAAGATCTCGCCTTGCGGTGGAGTGCTCTTGGCATCATAATTCAGATCCGGCAAACTGACAAGCTTGATCTCTAGGGATGCTGGTACGGGGCCAATGGCATTAGGTGTCCACTGTAAAGGACAGCCCAAGGCACCATTGGCACATGTCTCCGTTAGACCATAACCTGTTATCATCGGCGCAAGCACCATGCTTACGAACCGTCGCGTACCATCCGATATGCCGCTCGCACCATTGAAAAGGAACCTCACCCTTCCGCCCGTCGATTCGCGAACTTTGTTGAACACCAAAGCATCGAGTAACCCTGCCCCGGGCAAACCAGCTGATATCAGCATAGACTTGAGACTGTAGGCGCCCCAGAACAGGTTTTTGGTTAACGCGCCACCAGAGTTAACCTTCGCCTCGATGCCTTTCCTGATGGTCTCCCATATTTGGGGCACGCCGACCATGACGGTGGGTGCAAGCTCTCGCATATCACCAGCGCAGTTTCGTGTGGATGAGTCGGCTAAAGTACGTGGAGAGCCGTAGCCCAACGTGCCGCCAATAAACATTACTAGATTCTCCACAGCCATCTCGAGGATGTGTGCAAGGGGTAAGTAGGCCAAGATGACATCACGGTGAGAGACGGTCTCGGCGATAACAGTGGTAAGGCCAGTGATGCCCGCCACGATGCCTTCGTGCGTGATGGGGACTCCCTTTGGAGTTCCGGACGAACCTGAGGTGTACATGATGCAGCACATGTCGGAGGGTTTCGGGGGTACTGGGTCTGTTGGGTTTTCCTCGCCAAGGGCAACGAGTTCGGAGAAGGATATTACAGTGATTCCTGCATGTGCGGCTTTGAAGTCATCCAATTCTTTATCAGAGATGGGGATATTACTCGAGTCATTGTAGACCAAGAATTTGACATCTTCTGCATTCTTCAAGGGGCGGCTGGCGGTCTTTAACAGGTGAGGATCGGTATACATCGCTTTGGCATTCGTCTGGGTGAGGGAGTATTCGACAGCATCTGGGCCAAGAGTATCGTATGCGGTTGCTATCGTGATAGACTGAGAAGCGCAGCCATGGGCCATGCACAACCAATTCGCACTTGAATGATATTTGAGTAAGTTGTGGTGATCTTTGTGGAGTAATTGCATATGCTTGTATATCTTACCTTGTAGTTGCGAAGATGTGTAATACGTCGCTGACCTCAAGACCCAACTTTCTCAGTCCGGCCCCCACGCGCAAAGCCTGAGTCTTGTATTCGTTGTAGGTAAGAAACGAGTAGGGAGATAATTCGAAGTAGGTCCACTGTTTATCGACCTCGGTCTTGACACCATCAACAACTTTGGGAACCTTTTTGGTCTCAGTGTGAGTTTTGATGAGCTTGCGAGAACCTATTGCTGGTTTATCTCCATGCTTGTCGGCGCTGTCTGTTAGGACGTCATATATGGTGGTGATGTTAGAGGCAGGGCGATTGATGAGACCATCCCTGGCCTTGAAATGCCTGTATGGTTTCGTTTCGCCTTCGACTTCTGGAGCTCCAGGTGCTTCAACCATAAATGGTGGTTTCTGGACCATGTACAAGGGCAAAACGCCCTCGAACTGAGTAGGAAGGGCCATGATTGAAGGATTGGAGGCACAACTACTATTACTACTATTACCACTACTAATACGACTATATCAGTATGTAAGTAGTAAGTAATGTGTAATATGTAGTATGTAGTGTGTAGTATGAAGGATGGAAAGATATAAGGATGTAGGTATGTAAGAATGGAAATTCCAAAGTGATGCTGCCAAGTTGATCAAGGGCAGGGATGGGAACTTTGTCTTTAAGAGCTGCCAGGTTACCTAGTAGCTTCGTACCTGCGTGCGCAGTTGGTAACTGGGCAGAGCCTTGGTTTGTAGACGTCAGCGGGGCAACCAATCTGCCTATCAATTGCTTAATTGGCTGGGGTATATATGAATATGTGAATATGAATATAAAAGATGCTAGATACTATAAATCTATCGAGATCAACTGAGAGCTGGCACGTCTTGGCGAGAGATGTAAGATATAGTGCATGTTTATAAACCCCCCAGATAACTACTGCTCGTCCTAAAGTAAAAATATGACGATATATGCCTCGGTTTATTGAGATTAAACTACAATTTTTGAACGTTTACCTACCTACCTAGGCAGGTACCTAGGTAATTATGTAAGGCACAGTTAGGTACATAGATTTTCAAGGCTGCATATCCACAGATCCATGGATGTAGGTTAGTTATGTAGAAGACAAGCTTCTTCACAGGATGCCGAGGTATCGGAGTTGGAACTGGAGCATTTAAAATTTGATAGGTAGTAGTTAGTATATACTTCGTATTGTTGTTACATAGTAATTACCTATTAGATGGGTGTGGGTAAATATTAAGGATCGCCTATGCAATTTGAGATATTCAAATGTTGTTCAAGTGTGGATGCCACGATGGTTACATACATGTACCTAGTAGTTAGGTAGGTACGTACATACCTCTAGGTCCATGCCTTTTCGGCGTTGTGAATTTTCCGATAAAAGAAAATGTGGGTCTAGGCGGGACCTTTTCTAGAATTTCAGATTTTAGAATTTGGGGGGGAAGGGGAACCACTAAATTTGAAGACTTGTAGTGTTACTTCGTACTTGCTGCCAATTCACTAAGGCAGAACTTCAACCAACTCAACAGCTTCATATACCCACCATATATCTTTCCAGACTTTTGCAATATCCAGTCCAGTAACTTCGGTCCAAAGGGAAATAAGCCTCTGAAGCAGAAAAAAGCTCTTCTGAGCTACAAAATCAGGCAATATGGCTATGAGTATGTGATAACTGCCCCACCATGATTTTCTTGGATATTGTCATTTTACTAACAGACCACCTTCAGATCTTGACCTTAGTAACGGTATGTTACATTGGTTTCTCTCTATATACATAACCAAAGGGACCTTCAGATGAAGTAGGAGACCTCGAAAATAATCTAACGTGTATCCCTTTTCTAGCTTCTGTTATGAAAGATGAGCAGGGGCGGCCATTTATCATTGTAAGAGAGTGAGTTTTACCCTTTCCCTTCGCCTCTCCATTTCCTGTTTCTGCTTTATCTTTAGTACCTAGAAGAACTCTTCTAATCCATAATTCTACCAACCTATCTAGCCAAGGAAAGAAGAAGCGCCAATATGGAAACGAAGCCGTAAAATCACATATCCTCGCCGCCCGAACCGTTGCAAACATCGTCAAGACCTCTCTGGGTCCTCGTGGCCTCGACAAGATTCTCATTTCACCCGATGGTGATATCACAGTTACCAACGATGGAGCTACCATTCTACAACAGATGGAGATCTCGAACCACGTAGCGAAGTTGTTGGTCGAGCTCTCCAAATCCCAGGATGACGAGATTGGTGATGGTACAACTGGTGTTGTTGTGTTGGCCGGTGCTCTCCTTGAGCAGGCTGCCGAATTAATAGATAAGGGAATCCATCCTATCAGAATAGCCGATGGCTACGACCAGGCCTGCGACATTGCTGTGTCTGAGTTGGACCGCATATCAGATACTATCGAGTTCAGTCGCGAAGCGACAGAGAACCTTGTTAAGGTTGCGAGGACAAGTCTGGGAAGCAAAATCGTATCCAAGGCACACGACCAATTCGCCAACATCGCCGTTGATGCAGTCTTATCTGTTGCCGATCTCGAGCGAAAAGATGTCGATTTCGAATTAATCAAGGTGGATGGCAAGGTGGGTGGTTCATTAGAAGACTCACTATTGGTTAAGGGTGTCATCGTTGACAAGGACTTTTCACACCCTCAAATGCCATCAGAAGTCAGAGATGCCAAGATTGCCATCCTCACTTGCGCGTTTGAGCCGCCGAAGCCTAAGACCAAGCATAAGCTCGAGATCACTTCGGTCGAAGAGTTCAAGAAACTGCAGAATTATGAGCGTGAGAAGTTCATTGAGATGATTCAGCAAATCAAGGACACTGGTGCAAACCTGGCCATCTGCCAGTGGGGTTTTGACGACGAGGCGAACCATCTATTGCTGCAAAACGAATTACCGGCAGTAAGATGGGTAGGTGGTCCAGAGATTGAACTTATTGCTATTGCTACCAATGGTAGAATAGTACCTCGATTTGAAGACTTGAAGCCCGAGAAGCTTGGCCGAGCGGGTATCGTACGGGAGATGTCTTTCGGTACTACTAGGGAGAAGATGCTCGTCATTGAAGAATGTGCCAACACGAGAGCTGTCACAGTCTTTGTTCGAGGAAGCAACAAGATGGTAAGTTTTCATCAGCTACCTTTTTCTACAAACAGCAACTAATCCTTTCAATAGATCATCGATGAAGCCCGAAGATCACTCCACGATGCCCTATGCGTTGTACGGAATCTGGTGCGTGACAACCGGGTGGTTTATGGTGGCGGTGCGGCAGAAATCGCTTGCTCCATCGCGGTGGAGGATGCGGCTGTCAAGACCCCTGGCCTGGAACAGTATGCGATGCGCGCGTTCGCCGAGGCGCTGGACGCAGTGCCCATGGCACTAGCAGAAAACAGCGGTCTTAACCCCATCGCGACGCTGGCTGAGGTCAAGTCGCAGCAGGTCAAGGCCGGCCCAGAAGGTCGTGGCATCTTGGGTGTCGACTGCATGAACGGCGGTAGCAACGACATGAAGAAGGCTTTTGTTATTGATCCCCTTATCGGAAAGCGCCAGCAACTTATGCTGGCCACCCAACTGTGTCGCATGGTGCTTAAGGTTAACAATGTCATCATCAGCGGCTCCGGAGACCAGGACTATTAGGTACTCTTCATGCGAGAATGCATGAGTGCTCCGAAACATGAGGCATGAATCACCTGCATAGGTTCCTAGAAGCCGTACCCGCTCGTAGCGATGTCTACGTCCTGCGGGAAGAGAGGAGACGGACAAAGGAACCAAGGGCGAGAACCTCATCATGTACGGATGTAGATAGAGAGACAGACAGACAGACAGACAGACATATGAGACTTGTAAAGGTCAAATAGTCAAAAAACGTCTAGCTTAGATAGGTTACCTACATACAAGACTCACTTACCTACCTGCCCACCTAGGACTTACCCACCTATTAGGCTACACAGGTTGGAAATATACTCGCTGTCTACGACGAAGATGTCTTGTTTTCTGTTGCTTGCATGATTAGTCAAATACGTGTACATATGCACGATGCTTCGACGACATCGAAGATAGGGACAAGGTAGGTAAACAACGCTTATGATTTCTTTTTCTGGGAAGTTCTCCCCCCTCCCCCCCCTCTTCCTTCTATTTTGAGTTCAACGCTCTCTCTGCCCCCCCTTTTCTGTTTTCTAGCCCCTTAACAACCACCTGGGTTCGCTAGCTAAACAGGTTGGTTACCTTCTATAGACAAAGTAGGGTCAATGGTCGTTCGTAGGTAGGCTAGGCACCTAATATATATATAGGCATACACATATCTAGGGCACCTAATTAGTTATTTTGTAAAAACAGCCGCCCCCCCTTTTGTTTCCTTTTGTCCCCCACCCCTTCCTTTTCTCCGAGCCTCCCTACCTAACACCCTAACCTTTCTGCGTCCACTAACTAGCACGGCGTATCGACAAGTCTTATGGCTTAAGGATGACTTGACTTGACTTATTTTCTTTTTGCAGCTGTAGACTATCCCTTCCCCTTCCCAACCACCCCATCTAACCCATATCTTTCATTGTTAGCTTTCGAATGAATCACGCAAACCCAAATCCCTGCGCATTTTCAAGCGCCATAGCAAGTCTCTCTCTTAGAACATCTTTATCGCGGTATTCGGGTAAGAGCAACGTGCCGTAGCACGTATAAGCCGTCGGAAGATGTCCCGCCTCGCCGTCTTGTTCCCCGTTTTTCTGCACGACGAACTGTATGTTGGCCATGCCCCCGATGGGTACGCGGTCGCTGGCAGTTACAAACTCGAGCAGCTTGCGGCGCATGCGGTCATCGTATCGTTTGACGATAGACCAGAAGTCACGCACCGTCCGATGAGAACTGTCCCAACCCACGTAGCGCGCTGCGCGTCGTAGTTCGCTCACGTCGATCTCTTGCGTGCCTTCTACTATGTTCTGCAGGAGTGATGGCGTTAGTAGCTGTAGCGACTTAGGGTGTAGGCACGCGCGGAACCCCCGCGCCAAAGCAGCGAACTGCGGTGCCACGGAAACGTCTGTTAAGTAGCGGATATAGTCGCTGACATAGGCGTTACGGTTATCGCCGGTAACAAGCGGCGCATCCTCGGGGTTGGATGCTGGGAGGGGGGTGCCATCTGGTTGATCGAAAAATTGTGGCCAGGACGTCTGCCGCGAAGGGTGCATTTCACGGGAGATGGGTTTTCCGAACATGGAGGTAGAGAACTCGTAAGTGAGCACAAAAACGTCTTCGACTGAGCCATCCTTCTCGTTCCATTCAAGAAGATTGGTCAGTCCACTGGCAAGATCCGGCCACCCATCCGCGATGTGATGTAACTCAGTGACAGGCTCGCCTAATAGCTTTCGATAGAGTGCTTTGGGAAAGGTGATTGGCAGGGTCAGTCCGTTGTACACGGCGAGTGATATTAAAAGGCCGATAAGCTCGAACTTCCATTCTGGTTGTATAGAGCTGGGTTGGAACCATGTCATCCGTGTTCTGTCGTCAATCGTGAAGGCGCCATAATCCGGGTTCAGGGCATCGGCGATAGCAAGACGAAAGAATTCCTGTTGTACTCCTCCAGAGTCGAATCCTTCTTCCCCGGTGTCTTCACCAAGATGGACCTTCAATGGCCTCAGTAATTCACGCTCCTCACGACGCCAGAGTTGATTTAAAGCATCCCTTAACACGCTCTTCCGGCCGATATCCAGGATCAAATATTTTGCCGAGGGGGTCTTCAGCAGCTTTTGAAGGAGATTCTTTTGGTGCTGGTCGGTTACAAGGCTCTCGGGGGCAATGATGGCATTGATTCGACTTTGTAGCGAGCTAGATTCCTCGTACGAACGACTCATCCGTGAAAAGTTGATGGCCCGGAAGTACGACACTAAAGAGGCGGGGTTGAAGATATAGGGATAGTCTAAGAGGTGGACTTTTTGTCTCGTTGCCGTGAATGATAGCCAGGAAACTGGCATCTGGATAGGGTCCAATCTCTCGCCGAAATACTCGGAACGGAAATGGGCGTCACCCAGAAGGAGAGACTGACGCTTTTGATCTGCTTCACTATTAGTACAATTCAAATATCTTGGATGGAACATACTAACACATAGCCGCTATTAGGGAGAGCGCTCCCCCAAACGGGCCGTCTCCAGGCACGTCAGGTTTCTCTTCCCACTCATGAAGCATTACCGCTCTGGCCCAATCCAACAGTAGTATTGGAACCCTTTTTTCATGTAGAGTTCGCTCAGCTTTAGAGAAGTTCAGAGATGACTGTGTCGAGGAGTCAAGATGTGAGAGGAGTATATCTAAGATATCTGGCTCTTTAACCTCATCCTCCAAGTGCAAGTCAAGCTCAATTAGCTCGTCAAAGTATCGCCGTGTTGGAATAACCCGAAGCAGCCTCCGTGCTAGTCGTAGAGCCAAGTCATCGGTGAAAGCATCTTCGTACTGCAAACTCAATGGAATGGACTCTCTGGCGGCTTCGCCACCCCCAGCGAGTGGCAATCCATGGGCTCTAGTCCGAGACATTTCATTAAGTTGTCTCGTGTCAGTCACCAACGGAGCTGCAGCAATCAGAGCATGAAAGCATACAGACATGAGTGACGCAGCCTCCGCATTTGTGAATGACTTTTGTGACCCTGAGAACATTTTCGAAGTCGGCGACCTGGTGAATTGTAGGGCCTTCGGAGGGGAGAATAGACTCGCGAGAGCAATCCAGAGACTATCAAACACGAGACTCGGTGCCACCCTTGTCAAGCGTAGCATACAATACCATAGTGTCTGTGAGTCAACCATTCCATTGGAACTGGTGAAAGAGTCTAACAAGGCTCGTGGATCGCTGAGAACATGGAATATGCTTTGTTCGGCGAATAGTTTCCACTGCAATTTCAAATCCTGAGGATAAGGAGCCTGAGACTTTCCTTTTCGTTTCCAAGACTTGAGCCGACTTGACGTGCGCTTGATAGAACTACTAATAGTTGTTGGTTCTAAGAGGTGCCTTTCGGAGGTAGCATCCTCTTGCAAAACATCGCATATAAAATTGATAGCTTGTAGATTGAGGCGTGAAAGGGTTTGCGGTAGGTAGCTATCTAGCTCAGAAGTTGAGTCCAGTGAGTCCAGATTGTCGCCATTCGACAGGATATGTTGTTGTTCTTCATCTAAAATATCTAATGATCGTGTAGTCTCTGTACTGCTTGGAGTTTCTTCCCCATTCACACCATCCATCTGAATACAATGCTCGTTCGTGGGAGCATGAGATATCGGGGGCTCTAAAATGTCACTCTCTCTTATTGCATGCACGTCATTCTCCGTCACTTGAGAAGGAGTTCTCGCGATGGATGGAGGCCGCACAAGCCCTTTGGGAACCTTCTCAGATTGGGCAGGATGTGGTTTAGTCGACAGAGGCCCTTTTTCATCAGTGATAGATTCGACTAAGGGCTCAGGTACGACCTTGGTTTGCGGCTTGGAGACAGAAGAAGTGCGAATTTGTGCATTGGAGTTTCTCCTTTGATGTGACGGCGGGCCTTGTTGTTCTGTATAAACACGCTGACAATACTCGCTAGGCTCTTTCTTTGCTGTGGGATTTGATGAAGTGTGCCATTCATGCCCAGTGTGAGCAACATCTTGACCCCCTAATTCGGGTATCGACGGAGCAGACAAGGGGCTATTCATGTTGTACTGACTACTAGATGGAGTTGGATTTACCCGAGAACCCTCCGGGATGTCCAAGCTATTACCTCCTGCCGCGACTCTTTCTGAAGTAGCTTCCATGGCGCTCATATTATTTGGCGTTAACCACTCGATCATCTTGAATGCAACAGTCCCGAAGACGTTCGCTGCAAAGGAGCGGTAATCTTTGCTAATCGGTTTCTCCGTGATCTGTATCGAACGCGTAGTACCAGGTGGGAATAGCTTGTCGCCCTTTCCCGCTCCATCGTCAGACTTTATAATGTGATTTTGGTCACTTCCCCTCCGACTTGCGTATGGGGTTGTTGGGCTGACGGGTGTAGGCACCTGTCCCCCTTTAGATACTACCCGATCTTGCACCCGCTTAGAGCGATTGAGCTTCGGGCCTGAGACACCGTGTGCCGTGTCAGTTGTATCGCTACGAGGCGCGGTATATCTTAGACCGAATCTGAGCGACTTAACGGCATCGCTAGGACCGGCTGGGAGTTGGAGATGGGGACACAGTCGACTATCGGCGTCATCTTGATTTGCTAGGTATACGGCCAAGGTTCTCGCACTGATAGGATTGTATCGACGAACAGGAGCTTTGCCAGATAGTCGCTTTCTGCAACTGAAACACGAGGGAGTAGTACAAGCGTTGGAGCCACAACCGTATCGGAGTTGGAAAACGAATCTAGGAAGTGTTAGGTGTTAGATCAGGAATTAGAGAAATGGTTTGCGCAAGCTTAAGCGACTTGAACATACTTCTCAACTAGTAATTGGAGACCGTGGCGACGGCTGGCGCGATGAATAGCATAAACCCTCTTTGGGTTTTCAACGTTCACGACGAGTTCCTTGATTTCGAATGGGGCATCAATAGGCAGCCTTGGAAAAGGGACTTGCAGCCATAATGCAGCGAGTATATCGGCTTCAGGGCTGGTGTGGTCAGGGCCATTATCCACCGGCCGATTGACTGCTCGCGTCATGACATAAGGAACGAACGAGCCCCCGTACTAGCCGGAAGCAGGTATAAATCGCAACACGCGCAGGTTCTCGAGGATGAATGGAATATTCTATAGTTGGTTTTAAAACGGTGATGGGCCTCAGTGGTCGGACAGTCTGTATATCGGAACTATGCAAATTTGGGCGACAAGAGGTAAAAGTGTCGGCGGTCGAATGGCGCAAGAATAAGAAGAAGAATAAGAATTGGAATCGCAAATAAGAAACAAGGAGAAGAACTGGATTTGGATTCGGTATGGCAATTGGGTTAACTATTACAACTTGAGACTCAGAAAAAGGTAGCGTAATCTAGGTCGATAGATAGGTGGGTAGGCCTGGCGTAGGTAGGGGCTTGGTATTTACCTGGGTCACTGGTATAACTGGTAGGTAGTAGGTGTATGTAAGAGGTAGAAAGGTAGTTATTAGAGAGGTATTGATTCAGATTGTAGTTACTAGTTAATGGTCGTTAAGATAATGTAGTACCGATTACCGAACTGCCATCACACACTTCACTCGGCTCGAGCCGCACATAATCTCCAAGGCTGAGTGCACGGATGTTCCTTCAGTTACTCCACACTGGGCACTTGGGCAGTTTACCTAGACTAGGTACCTATGTAGTAGGTACTACTAGGTACTATACATAGGTACATATGTATGTATTGTGACGTTCAATGTTCAAATTCAATGTTGCAGTTGCCCTATCATGTACAGCCTATTTACCTACCTAGTACATATACCTACTACCTAACCTAGGGTAGTCATGTATTCCCACATTTCCCTCATCGATGTGACTCATTTGTAAGCCCATTGTTATTACATTTAAACTTCAACATTGAGGCTTCTATGTCTCATGTGTTCTCAAACCTCAAGTGACTCCTATGTACTGTGTATGTATTACGTACCTACATGTACCCTCCATACCTAGGTACTACGTACATGTAGTTCCTTACATAAATGCAATCATTGATGGATCTTGGTGTTTGAGGGTTAAGTTCAACCTTGAATTGTTTTGTCTGAAAGTGCCTATGGTTTATTACTAGGTAAACTTTAATGCTAAGATGCATCAATGATATATGTAAGCAGGTACCTAGTAGGTAGGTACTAGGTATGTACATCCTTACGTGCATCTATGTCGGTACTAGGTAGATATGGGGTTTAGAAGTAGCCAGATACTTAGGGCATACTTAGTATGTCCATAGTTATTTCAGTGTAGTACTAGGTATGTAGTTGAAACTGACGTATGAGTGAGTGCTGGATCTCCAAATTTCTTTTTTTTTTCTTTTCTCTCTTTTTTTATTTTACGGCAATCACCAACCAAAGAAAAATAGCCCCACCAACGCCACTTTAGACCCTAGCAGAATTTTGACGATTATTGGATTAATTCTTTTATTAACCTTTTTAACTTTGGTTGATACTTTGGCATCGAATCTGATTAATTCAGTTTCGCGACAAAACCCATAACCCATCATTCCTTCTTCCAACCTCACTTCACCTTCACTCACCTCACTATTCACCGACCTTACCCTCAATACCTACCACAGTAGTGTATGTACAATCACTGTATTAAACAGTACAGTACAAGCACAACTTTGGCCCTTAATCTCGCATCCGTCACAAGCTTCAACTACCACTAACTAGTGTAATCTGATTTTATTCAGATAAAGCCTCATATCAACCCCTCCCCCTCCCTTCTCTTCTTAATTTTCAGTTCCTAATTCCGAACTTTCCTTCAACCTTTGCGCCGTCTTGACCTGAGAACCTACTATATATTGGTAGGATTGGGGTATAAGAAGTCCTGCCAACCCGGAGCTTCCGTTCTCAAGTCCTCTAGTCATCAATCAACAAGTAGGAGGGAGCAAAACAGAACAAGACAGAGCAAGGCGCAAAACCTTTTGCCGACCGGCTTTGATAGCAAATCGTCTACGATTTATAAATCTCGATTCACAAATCTCTTCACTTATAGCGACTCACCAAGTTATCTCGTCTACACATGGCTACCGTTGCAAGCAGTCGGCCCTCAGGCGCCGCTCTGTCCCCTAAACAGGACTCTGCACCATCGCATCAATACACTTGCAACACATGTCAAGTGGCTTTCCGTCTCGCTGACACACAAAAAGTTCACATGAAGAGTGATTGGCAGTAAGTCCCCCCTTTGATATTATTTTCCTATGCCTTCATCATCTTCGCATTTACCTTTTTATTACAAGTATATAATATTAACCACATTTTAGTCGCTATAACCTCAAACGCCGTGTTGCGTCGTTACCTCCCATCTCGTCCGAGGTCTTCACCGAGAAGGTCTTCCAGGCCCGCGCTGCAACTACTGCCGAAGCAAACCGTGCTGGCTTCCAACAAGCATGCGAAGTCTGTCAACGAACGTATTATAGTGAGAACTCTTTCCAAAATCACATCTCAAGTCAGAAGCACAAGGCAAGGGAGGCGGCTTTACAACGCCAAGTACCCAGTTCAGACGATGCTAGTTCAATGATGAGCTCTACCTTTTCTCTAGGCGATCCTGTTTCCGCCCAGGATGCAGTGGATTCTGATGCCGAGGAGGAGTTCAATGAGGTGGTCGAAGGTCTTCAGAAGACCAACCTAACTGAACGCCCTTCTCCTGTTAAGCGGCCAACAAATCCTCATCCTTCTGCCGAAGCACAGCATAAGAGAGAACATCATGTATCAGAAGAGCCTAGTGAAGTTACTTCTGATGCATCGACACCTGTGCCAAAACTCACCCTCAAGTCATGCTTATTCTGCAATTATGATTCGCCTACCGTTCCCTTGAATATTGTTCATATGGAACGTATTCACAGCATGTTTATTCCAGAGAAGCCATACCTTGTCGATGTAGAAGGTCTCATGGGTGCTATGCAGCAGCGAATCCAAGAATTCCACGAGTGCTTGTACTGTGGCAAACTCAAGGGCACAGCCCTTGCTGTACAAACACATATGCGCGACAAAGGCCATTGCAAGATCCCTTATACTACGATAGATGAGCAGGTCGAGATTGGTGAATACTACGACTTTAGAAGCACATACTCAGACGGTGAAGAGTCCGAAGATGAGTCTGTTGATGGTAAACAGAACGGGGGAGCTAAGCTTGGAGCCAGACGATCAGCCAAGGCTATGGGCGAGGATGGAGATGAAGTGGCGGAGGATGATGAGGGCTGGGAGACTGATAGTTCCACGTCGTCTTGCAAATCAGAAGACCTAGGTTCTATCCCAGTTGACCACCACCTTCAGCAATTTGATCGACTAAATAAGCATCCTCACCACTCTTCTTATGACCCTCGACACCACCACCAGATGGATGGATGGCATTCCCATGCGCACAAGCACCGCGCCATCTTCTACGACGATACTGAGCTACATCTTCCCTCAGGCCGTGCTGTTGGTCACCGATCTTTAGCAAGATATTATCGTCAGAACCTCCTCCCTTATCCTTCGCTTACCGAACGTGCGAAGAGGTCTGCCATTGAGGCGGGCACGTTGGATGATGGTATTGCTCGGATACCCCGTGGACGAAATGGTGCTGTGACCAACCGCGCAAATGGCGGACTTGGCATGGTGGGCGTGTCGGATCAAAAGAGAGATGAAGTTCTTCGAGCAGAGAGGCGAAGTCTTAAGAAGGCAGAGCGAGCAGACAGACGGATGCAGTGGGCGGATAACAGCTCAAAGAACAACCAGAAGTATTACAACTACCAAATCTTGTGAGGCAGGCCAGGGATTTGGGGCATGGTTGCAAGGAACGAAGAGTTGCAATCTATGGAAGGCATTCGATTGCAACTCCAATCGTTATGCTGTGTGTTGGTTGGTATAAAGAGCATATTGATTGCTACTACCACGAGAAATGGCAGAGATGACCGGATGCGGCAACCAGGTAGCATAAGTAGCCAGTATAAGTAGGTACCTAGTTGATAAGTTCAATGAGGCTTTTAATGAATGAACTGACAGTGCCTACATAGTATTTGCCGTCCTTGTTAATGCTTTTCCAAGTTTATTTGCCGTGCTTTCAAACTGTTATCTAGAGTAACTATGTACCACTCCTACGGAGTATGTCAACCGTCAACGGTGCTACTCCTATTTTGAAGTATTTCGGTGATACTCGGCGAAGATTGACCGATCCAAATGTTCCCTGATCAGGTGATACATCTATTTTCGCTCAGCTTTTCCACTTTTCCACTTTTCCAATGCTGGCCATATGTACCCTGGGTATTCGTTATACGTAGGGCTGCCTATTACACACCGGGGACATTATTACGAGATATTTCTTAAACTACAGTACCTAGGATACCCAGGGCACGGTAGTATCATACGTCACCGTCTTAATCAGCAATCATTGATGTTTATGATCAATTGATAGTTAGTTACATAGTATTGGCTTAAAGAGTAAAGCTGTCGGGCCGAGAGAGATGCCTGCCTACATAATACCTGGTAAAGGAAGAAGCATGGGTTTAGTAACTTTGATTGATAATTGATAATAGACAGGAAAATGGTACCTAACTACTATCTTAACCTACTTGGGTAGGTACGCAGGTGACATGTTTCCTATTTCAATTGATGGATGATGGATGGATATTCTTGCCTCTTCTTTTACATTAGGTGTACCTTGCATAATACTATGTAATTGACTTCTAGTTGTCTGTTACACGCAGCTTGTGCCGCACTGAGAGTTGGGGGTTCTGTTCTGTGCCGCACAATTGGGAAATAAAAGCCGCGTCTCTTATTGGACCGTTTACCCGTCTTCAAGGTTGAAGTTGCTTTTGATTTGCCCGAGTTACAATGTTACATAGGATACCAGGTACTAGCCTCTAGGATTAGTTACCTAGGCTGGGGTACTTATTTACTATTGGTAGTTAACTAATATCTTGTAACTATTTGTTGACAGGCAATTATGTAACTTACATACATCTCCACAGATATAAGACAGGTCCTTTTCCAACATTGAACTTCAGCTGGGTGTATTTCTGCCAGACTGCTAGACTGCCAGACTTATCGGATCTGATCTGCCAAAGGTGACTTCAAGTAATCTACCTAATCTAGGTAGAACATTGAAAGTCTAAGGCGACAAGATGCAACTTACTAGCGTCGCGCCCGCTGCTGCGGCTTTGTTATCGGCCTTACTTATTCAGACTACTGTCGCTGCTGATGACACCGCTTTTATCACGGCGTTGCCTCACGCTGGAGCAGCTACTTCGGATGTATATCCTCCAGAGGGCAGTATGTGATTTCCGAGTTCTTTTCGTAAATATTCATTAGGATAGGTATCTACTTACCTATGTAGTCTATATATATATATATATCCATATGTATATGTAGGCTAGGTATACATAAGCTCATAACCGCTAACAAACCGAACCAGCTACCGTTGATCCTGAACTTTTCCCGCCTGAGTCTAAAGTTGGATTTCCGGGGCCAACTCCCACTGGAGTTCAGCCAGCAGCTATTCAAACAGCTGCCACTTATCCCCATAACCGAGGACCTTCAAATCAGTTTCCTCTAGTCGCGCCCCGGCCGCATGGCAATAGCGTGACGTCGGATGAGTTCGACATCACCAAGTATTGGGGCAACCTGTCCCCTTGGTATTCTTTGTCCTCGGCCGACTATGGGCTACCAGATACCAGCCCGCTCGCTCCGCCGGGGTGCAGCGTCACCCAGGTGCATTTGCTATACCGCCATGGTGCTAGGTATCCTACCAGCGACGCAGACCCCGCTCAGTTTGCTAGCAAGATCGCGAATGCTACCGAGAAAGGATTTGAGGTTCGGGGAGACCTAACCTTCTTATCTGACTGGACGTACAAACTTGGTGGCGAGCTTCTCACCCCCTTCGGTCGGAGTCAAGAGTTCCTTCTCGGCATCCAGCACCGCCAACTGTATGGCCATCTCCTAAACAACTTTACCGAAGCCGGTACCATTCCGGTTTTCCGAACTGAGTCGCAAGATCGAATGGTGAAGACTACCGAGAACTTCGCGGCCGGCTTCTTTGGTGTTCCAGAGTACCTGGACCAAGTGAACATCGAGATTCTTGTTGAATCTCCCGGAGTGAATAATTCCGGCGCTCCCTATTATGTTTGCGACAATGCCAACGTTGCTAGTCGAGGCTATATCGGGACCGCGATGGCAAACCGTTTCGCGAAGAATGCCTTTAATACGACTATTGCTCGTCTTAACTCCCAAGTAAGCCAATACCGATACTCCAGGCAATGTCTGGGATTGGTGCTAGGCATCTGATTAACAAATTTCAATCTAGATCTCGGGCGTTGAGTTCACCGTAAGCGACGTTATATCCATGCTTCAACTCTGTTCCTACGAAACGGTCGCGCTTGGCTACTCCGCCTTCTGCCCTCTCTTCACCCAAGAAGATTTTCTAAACTACGAATACTTCTATGATCTTGTACGTTCTCCTTACAAAACACGGAAGTTATACATGTTGACTAACTTTTCAAGGAATTTTACTATGAGTGTGGTCCTGGCTCACCGGTCTCCGCCGCTCAAGGAAAGGGTTATCTACAAGAATTTGTTGCTCGATTTACTGGGGAATATCCCCAGCCGTCTTCAGCTCTAAATGAAACTTTTGATAACTCGACCACGTACTTCCCTCTGAATCAGTCTATCTATGCTGACGCCACTCACGAAGTTGTGGTTCTCGATACCCTTGTCGCCTTCAATTTGACGGCGTTGTTCAAAGGGCCACCGCTAAGTGCTGCGGGAAACCAGAGGCAGAACAGTTTCTCGTCTAGCAAGTTGGTACCATTCGCAACTCACTTCACTGTCCAGGTTCTCGAGTGCCCGGCTTATCAGCCTACTAAACAGATGAGATTCATTATGTAAATCACTCCGACTTTTTTTGTTGTTTTTTGTTTTTTTTGGGTTCTTTGAACAACGTCAAGAAGAAATGAAGCTGATAATCTGTCCAGAAATGATGCCGTCGTCCCTGTGGCAGACTCGTACCCGGGTTGCCCAGCAGACCCGCATGGGCTCTGCTCATTCGACAACGTAGTGTCCGTCCTCAAGGACCGTATTGACGAGATAGACTTCAACTACGACTGCTTCGCCGATTACGAGGCCGAGGAGGGTGTGGATTATAATGGTAGAGCCCCTCGGAGCTAGGGCCATCTACTGCAGGCGTCAGTACCACCAAGCCTGCAGAGCGAAGAAGTTATGCTCGTCATTTGGAAAGTCTGTCTCGTGTTAGGAACACTCCTCGTGATGGGGTACCAATTTTCAATTGGATAGTACCAACGTATCTAGGTAACTACCTAGGTGTGTAGGTTTATACATCGGTATGAATTATACGACTATGATGTCTCGTCAAAATCATGTGAGCGGATATGATCGTTACGAGGTTGGGGAATGAGTATTATGGGCATCATCATTTATTTCTTGGGGATACCTAGAGAGATCTAAGGGGTAGGTGCAACGGCACACTTCACCTTCACGACGGTTAGCGACAATACCTAGTATGTCATAGGTATCTCATACTAGTTCCTTAAAAGCTCTTGGCTACATAGTGGCTAGCATAACTCTATACAATCTAAATATACCAGATCATTGATCCTTTAAGTCGTGTAAATATACCGTAGTTGTGTATAGTGCTTGATTTTAGGTGAATAATAGCTACTTCGCAGGTACCTACTACCTACTATCTAGTTACCCTAGTTAGGCACTTGAGACGGCGGCTAAGAGGGTTGCTTGGGATTCAGGCCCTTTACTTGAAAGGTAAGAATAAACATTCTTAGACTCGTCGTGAGCTTTTAGTGAAGGGGTGAGTGATACACGTGGCAGGAAAGACCCAGCCAGATGAGTTAGTTGACCCCAATGCCTATACCCCTGATCGAGTCATATCTACATCTATGTAAATAGTAGCCTAGGTTGGCGGTAGACTTCAATCTAGGTAGGTATACTATAAATAGATACCTAACTTAATAGTTTCTTATATTTTTATTTACTATTAAGCCATTCGGCTAGGCTTTCCTTGGCGTTAAGCCAACCCCCCCCCCCCTTCACTTGTCCCCCCTGACTACTAGTTGCCAAAATCTGTCAGATCTATCAAAAAAAAAGTATGCTCAAGGTTCGAGGCTGAAGTCTATTGCCTACTCTACCTACCACATGGCAGTCCTTTTGACGTGTGTACCTACTACGTACATTAGGTAGGTTACCTGGGCACCTGGGGATATTGATACTACTAGTTATGTAGGACCTAGCGAAAGTAACCGATGGCTTCACGCCGAAGGCTTGAGGTGGTCGCTGCCGAGCCCGGTCTTGCACGGCTGTGGCTGTTTAAATTTCTTGGGTGGGGATTGGTGCCACTGGGTATGTCATGTCATGTGTGTACGAGGTTGGTGGGAGGGTTGCTTACTATGTAGCCATTGGGCTTTGTAACGGAAATGTACCCAGGTCAGGTATGTGTGGGTGAGTAGACTGATAACGAGTTATGTAGGTGAGTACCTAGGTAGGCAGGTAAGCTGTTCTACATACCCATCATCAACAGTAAAAGAGTACCGAATGGCAAGGTGTGCTCGTGCGTTGTCCTCTTCTTCTTCTTCTTCTTCCTCGCCAAAAATGAGGACCGGTACGGTCACATAAGCACTACCCGTGACGTCTGGCGTCTCTAGAGAAGCTTGAGAATCATAGCAGCTGGAGGCGTTAGAGTGTAGTGGCTTTCCGTCAGCATCATGCCCTTCGCAGTGAGCGCTGGAAGGTGGTATGTTAGTTGAACCTTGGTGGTGCGAGGGCCCGGATACGAAGAAGTATGGGAGAGTGTTAGCGTAGGGGAGGTAGGTAGGTGAGTAGCTGGGCAGCATGGCAATTAACGTTTCCAAGGTTCAATTTTATCTGTAGTTGGTGTTTTCTAGCCTGATGTAAGTGTATGTACTGGAGCGTGAGGGTAGAGCTAGAGAGGTGGAAAGGGGGGAGGGGGGATACTAACTATACCTGCCTGCCATCTCGCCATCTCGCCATCTCGCCATCTGCCACGTGTAGTCTTCGCGGGCAGACACCACGTGGGGGGTCGAGGCCGGTCCCGCCTTGGCAGTGGTAGTGAGTGGCGAGTGAAATGATGGGGATCAAGCGCATCGCGAGGATTGTGCATGGAAACTCTATCAACTGCTATGCTTGGAAAGCCAGGTTGCTTGGCTAGGGAGGTAAGCAGGCAGGTGCTTAGGTTAGGTTAGTTGTGAGTCGATAGGACACTGAGGCACATTAATGTTAGCCTCTGGTCCTAACGAAGCTTGCAGGTGGTAAACTAATTCGTTCACTGGCCTCCCCCCTTGAAGGAGTTGCATGTGACTGAATTCGAAATCAGGTACCTAGGTAGACAGGTGTAAGTTACGTAGTCTAGTTGATAGGTGGCCTTTCGTGATGCGTTACAATGGGCAACGCAAGTGAAATGTACTGGGAGAGAAGTATATTTTGAAAGTGGCTATTGTATCATTATTGCTGAAGCGAATGTATCGAGGGAATGTAAACTGCCCAGGTAGTAGATATGGGAAGGTAGTGAGAATCCTTGGAGTCGAGTAGGTTGAGTCAACTTGCTTGCCGTTAATAGTAAATGATATGAATTACCCCATGCTCGCCTTCATCGAAAACAGGAACATGTCAGGTAGAGTTGGTGTATGGAATAGTCATCGGCACTGATAATACGTACAAGTCACGACTGCCACGAAACGCTGCCTACCTAGGTACCATAGCGTGAAAGTACGTGTGGAGTAAATAATTTACAACCTTAAATGATTTAAAAATAGGACATTATTTCAAAGGTTTGAAGTACCTTCCCACCTTATTTCTTAGGGTAGGTACAAGTGTCAATTGTTTGATCATTTCGATCAAACAAAAGATGGCAATCATTTGAATTTTGTAAATCAAACACCATAATTTAGGCTGAATAATAGCATTATATGCAATTATTTCATATTTTGCAATCATTTCTTATATAAATCCAGGAAGAACCCAATCCCGGTATCCACTTTTATATTTTCTTTAATATTTTTTGGCCAACACCACCTTTTCTTTTTTTTTCAACACTACAACACACTCTTTTTCAAAAAAATTTTCTTCAACACCACAACACATCACCATCTTCAATAACCATCTTCAATAACCATCTTCAATAACCACCTTCAATCACCACCTTCATCAAAACACCACAACACATCACCATCTTCAATAACCATCTTCAATCACCACCTTCAATAACCACCTTCAATAACCATCTTCACCACCATCTTCAATCACCACCTTCAATAACCACCTTCAATAACCATCTTCACCACCATCTTCAATAACCACCTTCAATAACCACCTTCAATAACCATCTTCACCACCATCTTCAATAACCACCTTCAATAACCATCTTCAATAACCACCTTCAATAACCATCTTCAATAACCACCTTCAATCACCACCTTCATCAAAACACCACAACACATCACCAAAACACAACACCACCTTCAATAACCATCTTCACCACCATCTTCAATAACCACCTTCAATAACCATCTTCAATCACCATCTTCAATCACCACCTTCAATAACCACCTTCAATCACCACCTTCAATAACCATCTTCAATAACCACCTTCAATCACCACCTTCAATAACCACCTTCAATCACCATCTTCAATCACCACCTTCAATAACCACCTTCAATCACCACCTTCAATAACCATCTTCAATAACCACCTTCAATCACCACCTTCAATAACCATCTTCAATAACCACCTTCATCACCACCACAACACATTACTTTTTTCAGGTACGTACATCCTTACCTTATAAGAAAAGAATCTCTACTAACTTTTACCATTTCAACAAATTTTCTTAGGTACCTACTTTTCACTAAAATCAATGGTTAGTTCAATCTTTCAATTCCTACATGTATGAATATAACAATCAAATAATACTAATAAAAAAACTTAGAAGATTTTTTACATCGATCAAAACGATACTTAGCGGATGGACCAGGTCCTATTGATCAATAGGTGGGTATCCTAATTGGATAGGTGAAGCTGTTGTTATTGTCTATATATATGTATGGTGTAAGGTATGTATAAGATGGAAAGTGGAAGTGGTGGATATGTACATATAATCCAATAATACTTGAATAAAGAAATAATGTCCCAATTAAAAATAATTTCCAAATTTGAATTGATTTCCAAATGTAAATAATGTCTCAACATAAATGATTTCCAATTGTAAATGATTTCCAATTGTAAATGATTGCCAATTGTAAATGATTGCCAATTGTAAATGATTGCCAATTAAGTCATGAACATGAGTTATTTCCAGCCATTTCCTAGGGGCCAATTATTTCCGCCACTCATACTTTCACGCTATGGTAGGCAAGAAGTTAGGAGGGCATACTGTTGATTGTTGATGAATGCTATCCCGCAAAAAAAACCCGAAGATAAAAAAAAAGAAAGAAAAAAAACTTGTCCCCTGAAATTCATCCCAACTCAACCCAATCCAATCGCTCCCAATGAACCCAAATCCAGATCCTCCATGTCGATGTCGATAGCCACTTGATATATCCATCCATCCATCCAACCTGCGCCTGTGCCGAAAGCAAAGGGTATCCTTCTGTCCTTCCGTCCTTCATATAAACCTCCCATGATATTCCATCCCGCTTCCTTCCTCCTTTCCGAAATCTGGCCAAGTTGACTCCAAAGTCCAACTGTAAAAAAACGCCTCCACAAGTAAACCTTCCGTCCCAATGATGGGCCATATGTCGTGTGACTGTCGTGTTCCCATCTGTGTCCGTGTAGGCGCGCTAGCCAGCGCGTCTGAAATCCTTAAACCATCGCTGATGCTTCGTAGGTATGGTATGTAGAGAAGGGGGGGTAGATGTGGTTGTGTGTGTATGTCTGTGCTTGCATATGTGTATGCGTGTATGTAGTGGGCTGGTATCCCGAGCCAAGGGGCTGACTGAAGTTGTCGTGATGCTTTTTTTTTTCTTTTTTTGGTGCTTTTTGTTTTGTGCTGCTTTTCCTTCTTCTTCATCTTAAGAGGGAGGGAGGGAGGGATATATATACATATATCTCATGTGCCGAATTCGATAGAACGGCACAAACTCGTAATGGTGCGCTTTATCTATCAGGATGCGTGAATCCTCTCATGTATATGAGCTTTTTGGTGTCCTCGTCCTTGATGTATTCGATCTTGTCACCCTGTAGTCCGAACACAAAATTCTTCTTGGCGTCCCTGTCGTGCTTGTAGATAAAGCGACGGTGCTTCCTGTCGTAGATGGAATGGAGTCGCACGTAGCACCCATCCATATAGGTGACCCAGACTCGCGGGTGCTTTCGACCGCCTGAGCGTCTGGCAGGGGGTTTGTTGTTGCGTCCCCGGACCGGACATGGTGTAGGATCGGGACTGGATTCCACGCTGGATTGCCGGGTTGGCGTCTGAATGCGTTGATCCGGGGTCGGAGATGTTGTAGGATCGGGACTGACTTCTTCGCTGGATTCCATCTTGATGGGTGGATCCTGGGATGGATATCGTGAAGGATCGGGGCTAGATTCCACACTGGACTCCGTCTTTATGGGTGTATCTTCCTCGATTGATCGCCTGTACAATGGTCGATAGCAAGGGGAGTCGTCCTTTTCAATGGATGGAAGTATGGAAGGTATGGGCTGTGTGGGCTGTGTGGGCCGTGGGGGATACATGCTGCTTGGGGCCCATTGGCCGACGACCTTGATCTTGGTGGCCTTAGCCTTACCCCGTGTTTTTTCTGACTTAGCACTGGATCTTGTAGTGCTGGGGTTTGTTGTGTTGGCACTTGATTTGCTGGTGCTGGCTTTCGAGCCCAGGTTGGTACTGGTGTGTGATGAACTTGAAGAAGGCATTTTGAAATAATAGTAATAGTAGTAGTAGTGCTGCTTTGAGCAAGTTTGTTATATTCGTGAAAACGTTGTTGTAATAATAGTAGTAGTAGTGGTAGTGGTGATGCCTTGAACAAGTTTGTTATATCGTGAGTACGTTGTAAGTGCTTGAATGATGTAAATTGGAAGGCTGCTAATAAGGCAGGCTTCAACCGTGTCGGACGGGATTGCTGGTGGTGCTTTGATGAAGACTGGCTGAGGAAGACTGGCCGAAGAAGGTCTGGGTGAAGAAGGTCTGGGTGAAGAAAGACTGGGTGAAGAAAGACTGGCTGTGTTTTTTCGAGGGTGTCCGGTCTTTATATAATGGAGATTTGGGAGAGAGAATCAGGGATGTCTTTTGTGTAGGTTAGGTTTTTGGATGACTGGATTAATAGCGTTGCTTGAATTGAAAATTGTGTACATATAATTTCTCAAGGGCAAACTTTGAAGCATTCTAAATGCTCACTCACTAGGCCATACTATGGTCGTACACTACGCTATTATATGTGTTGCTGTTAGGTTACTGAATGCAAACCGTAGGTTTACCCGGACACATATTTCCATTCGTACCTAGTTACAATCCTTGTCTTCTTATTAGACGATGCCTTTCCAGCCATCTGTGAGTAGGTACCTAAGGTACCAGTTTTCTCGGAAGCCTTTTGGACGAGTTGGCTAGTACTTACAGAAGTAGCTTCCCATGGAGATACCTTTTGCTACATACATCAAAAGCAATGATTCTGACAGTGGTACTATACGACTAGCCTTGAAGAAGTTTCGATATAAAGCTTGATGAGGGATGAAATCTACCTACTGGTAAGGTGGGCAAGTAAGCGTCTCTTCGATGCTTTCCTCGATACCTATGTTGTAGGAAAAGGGCGGACAAAACTACGTAACTGGGTACCTGGTAGATACACACATTTTGCCGAAATAAACATAACAGCTGAGCTTGAAGATTGGTGACTACTAAGAGGAGTGGCATTAAACGTGTTCAAACTACCTCGTAGCTAAACAGGAAGAGCCTGCCATTGAAGAAAACAAAACGCCACCAGAAATTTGGCGGATCGAATGAAATGCTAGCCAAAGTAAATTGCCATAGCCAAATCGAACCTACGTGCATTTTGATGAAGAGATATTATTCTTCAAGTTAGACATTTATTCAAAAATCTACTTAATGTAGGGGCATTTGGAATAATGGATATTCACAGACATCAGATAACTGAGCTTATCTAAGATGTCTTCTCTGCTTGGTATATTCACTACCTAGTAAAAGAATGTCGAGAGGCTCGGCCGGTTAACTTTGTTTATTTCAGGCCTTGTTATCGTTTTCTTTCTGTACGGGCTTGTCTTCTGGGGAAAAGTTTAAGCTAACGCTGTTAACACAGTGCCTCTCATCAGTGGGCGTCGAGTATCCCTCCCCCTTGAAGACGTGACCAAGGTGACCACCACAATTAGCACAACAAATTTCAATTCTAGCCATGCCGAACGTGCTATCCTCATGTCTTGTAACAGCTCCAGGGATATTGTCAAAGTAGGCCGGCCAACCGCAGCCGGATTTGAACTTGTGGTTTGCCTTGTACAGGGGGGCATCACAGCCTGCACATGTATATACCCCTGAGTCAGAGAAAAATTGGTCGTACTTTCCAGAAAATGGCCTTTCAGTGCCTTTTTCTCTCAGAACTTTGAATTGTTCTATAGAAAAGGTAGGTTAGTAGAAATGGAAATAGGAAATAGGAAAGGGGAAAGGGGGCTTATGGTACACGCACCTTTACTTAGAACGGCACGCCACTCATCAGGGCTTCTCTCGTCTGGATAGGACATCTTTTTCTGAGAGTTGGAGCTAGAGCTGAATAGACTGCTGATGAATGGAATAGTTGGCATAGATCGAAGGGTGGCTGATTTGGGCTGTAGTGATTGAGTAACTGAAGGACGAAGTCGAGTAAAGTTCAAGCTAGAGTAGTTGTAAAAAGCACGAAGCAAATGGGAGAAAGGTGGTAATCGCATGAGATAGATGATGTATTTAGGTCTGTATCTACTTTAAAGTAGATAGTACGAAGTAGGTAGGTAGTATGTAGTTATATATATTTTTTGTAGATGGGATTGTAGTTAAAGTAGTTGAAGAGGGTATGATAAGTTTGACGTGGAGTAGAGTAGAGTATGATTTGGAATCAACGGGAGGGATGAGTACCTAAAATGAATTAGCTTTAACTACATATGTAAGTACAGGCCTTTGAAGTCTAGGGTCGTTGATGTCGTCTTCGGAAAGCGAATGGCCCACAATTATCTGCCTTGTTGACGCTACTTTCGAACAAGGGTTGGGGCAACCAATGCCAACCAATGGCAACCATCCCAAGTAAAGGTAATTGAGGTACGTACTAAGCTCAGGTATGTATGTCACAGCCTAACGCTTGGGCCAAATCGAGGATAGCCACAGTTTCACTGATTCTCAGCATCCCAGATTGGACTTTCTTAATTCCATATCAATCGGTGCCACAAAACGTAACGACACGATATACATACAACATACATACCTAGGTACCTTACCTACGCACCTCCTCTTACCGAAACATTGAACAACATCATATCCTCCTTGATTACTTCTAACCTCTCCATTCATCATCAACTACAAAAAAAACTTTTCAATCTCGGATTTTATACCTGAACTCAACCCATTCTCATTTTACATCAATCGGTGTCGCATCATGTCGAGACGACCTCCTAACCCTGCTGCCGAAAGGGCAGCCCAAAATCAACAGACCATTAAAAGTCTTCTGAAGTTAGATGCTAACAAGACATGCGCCGATTGTAAACGAAACAAGCGTACGTCCTCTTGAGTACAATTGATCATGTCTATCAAATTCAAATGACTCACCTTCTCTATAGACCCTCGATGGGCGAGCTGGAACTTAGGTGTCTTCATCTGCATCCGCTGCTCGGGAATCCACCGAGGAATGGGCACCCATATCTCCAGAGTCAAATCCGTCGATCTAGATACGTGGACCGACGAACAATTACAAAGCATTTTGAGCTGGGGAAATGCGCGCGCTAATAAGTACTGGGAATCTAAGTTGGCTCCTGGTCACGTCCCGTCCGAAGTCAAGATCGAGAACTTCATTAGAACCAAATACGAGCTGAAACGATGGGTCATGGATGGGCCCATGCCAAGCCCTGCCAGTTTAGATGTTGATGGAGATGATGATGTTCCACTAAGCATCGTGAAAGAGAAACAAACCATTGACAGGAAGGAATCGATGCGAAAAAGTTCCGTCGGGCACCAAGGATCATCGCGAAGCCCAGTCCCTCCACCGCCCCAAGCCGACCTTATCGGTGGCGATGATCTCCCCCCGAGAGCGAGCACCACCGGACCAGGTCCATCGCATGTCCCTCCCAAATCTGCCCCAGCACCTCCGAAGGCATCGAATCCTAAAGACTCGCTCCTAGGCCTGGACTTTCTGGGAGAAGCACCTGCCGCCCCCCCACGACCAGCAAGCACAAACAATACAGGTGGCATGAGCGGCCAGTCGAGACCTGATCTCAAGCAATCTATCTTATCTCTCTATGCTTCAGCTCCACGCCCCCAGCAACCGCCTCAACAACACTCACATTCTTCTTCTGGGTCCTTCGGGGGATTTGGAGGAATGCAATCTCCTTCGTTGCAAACCTCAAACGTAGGACACCAGTCCAAGAATTCGACTAGTGGCGGACTCAACGATGCATTTGCTGGGTTGAGCTTTGGAAATATGACGTCACCAAAGAGCCCCCAGAAAGATGCCTTTGCAGGCTTGACGAATATGTCTAGTAACAGGTCGACTCCCCAGCCTGCAACTTCATCGTTTTCTAGTCTCAGTGGTGGTGGTTTCTTTGAACCCAAGCCCACTCACCCGGCTCCACAACATCAAGCCAAACTTTCCACAAGCACGTCCGATAGCTTCGGTGCATTCAGCGCAGCTGCCGGCTCTTCCAAACCGACGCAGTCCTCTTCGGCAGCTTTAGGCGATCTCTTTGATTGGTCTAATCCTTCTCCTCAACCATCTGCCGCGCCGGCTCCTCCCAAACCGGCTCCTGCCATATCCCCAAATACCGATTCTATATTCAATCTTTCCGCAACTCAACCGAAACCAGTTCCAATGTCAGGACCTACTACGAGCACAGCATCGTCTCTGAACACATCCGCATTTAATAACTCGGATGTTTGGGGCAATGCATGGGGTAACCCTGATCCGACACCAGTGCCTGCTCCAGCTATGAAGAGTCCATCCCCGATCAAGTCTCCCGTTTTACCCAGCGGTAATGACTTTGGACCTTGGGGTAGTACTGGAGGCTCCTTCGCTAGCCAAAGTATAATGCCGGGCGCTTCTGGAGGATTTGCACCAACACCCAAAGTCGCAGCTGATGAAGAATTTGGTGGGTGGACTAGCAGCACAGGTGGAAATACTAACAACAAGCCAGGGGCGAAACCCATTGGTGGATTTGGCAGTGAAGATTTATTCTCCAACGTTTGGCAGTAAAGTTGCTTGGCAAATGCAACCTATACGCCGTGAAACAAGAAGCCTCTACAAGAATCGGGGGGAAGGGTTGTTTGGCTTGAAGGCCAAGTTGCGAAGGCATAGCCCTTTGAGGCCTTTGCTATGTGCATTGCAGTAGCTGATCATTAGGTAAATATATAAAACTAAAATCAGCACATCACAAGATACTGGCTCTTGTAGATATTGATAAATTAGGCTACAGTTACATTCATTATTCTGCGTAAACAAGGCTGAAACCATAACGCCTGTGCCATGTTATGGGTTTTGTTAACCCAATGTCAAATGAATATGGGCAAACTCGCCTTCCATATCTCAATATGGAAGCGACTGCCTGGTGCCACGTAGACATCGATCCCGAAAGCGAGGCATCTCAATGGTTCTTATTCTCGAGTAAACGTGCCTCCTTTCTTCTTCTTCTTCTTCCTGCTGCAAGTTCAACTAAGCGCAGTCATCCATTCTTCTTTGTATCATGAAACCCTACATTTGATACACCAGGTAGATAGGCATTCGAAGTCTTGTGTAACACTGAAGCCTCCACACGACTGAAGTTTCACGGGCTAGGTAGGTCTATAAGTACTGTATCGTATCGTTTAGGAAGAGAGAGATCCACTCGCTCTACGAAAGTTTGAGCGACGGCTTTGTGTGTTTTCGTTGTTCTGTATGTTGTCCGTACGTACGTGATGAGGCGTCTAGAATACCCATCTTAGGATATAGTATAGCACTATGAAGATGCCCACGAGAATGCTAGAGAGCTTCAGGATGGCTACTTTGTTCCCCGACGCGGCCATGCGACCTAGTCGACCGGCGGAGCCCTTGAGCTGCGATGACATGGACGAGAATGTGTCGGACTAGATAGAAGACATAAGAAAGTTACTTTTGGTTAGGCTAAACCCCGTCTTGTCTGGGTCTTGGAAAAAGGGAGGGGGTGGAGGGGGAGGAAATGAATGATGGAATTGGAATAGGGCACGGCAGGCAGAGGTGGGTGCGTACAGTGTGGTCGATGACATCTTGTGCCCTCGCATTGTCGTATATATCTACCGTCACGCCGCGCAAAGAGGATACCTTGGCGGAGAGTTCCTCCAGCCGCGCATTGTTCTGGCGCTCGCGCTCGTAGGCTTCGGACATTGTATTGTTTTTTTTTTTTTTTTTTTTTTTTTCGATGGGGTGGGTTCGAGCGGTTCTTTGGATGTTCCGAATAAGAAAATGTGGTGGCGGAAAAGGGACAGGATTAGTTACTTGCGTGTTCGATGAAGGCGCAGCAAGTTTGGCTAGAAGCGACTAGATGGATATTTGGATGGATGGATGGGATGGATGGGATGGATGGATGGTAGTGGACGTAATAGCGAGCAACGAGAACCTCGGAACGGGTACGTAGGGAATAAATGGAGATGGTTGAATTCGAAACTTGGGTAATTTCTCAAGGGACCTCTCCTCCCTCCCCGGTGTGGTTGTCGTGTATTATACTGTATTAAAGCGATTGTCGTTCTTTGTTTCCTGCAAAAGGTATTCTGATTCGGCTTTTTTTCGTCTTATTTTATCCAAAATTCAATCTTGGTCGTAAAGATAATGCTTGGTATCTAGGGTAGGTAGGTAGGCTAAGGTAGGTGCATAACACAATTCAATGTTCCGTGACGGGAAAAGGAGGCGACGAGTGCAAGATGACGCAGGAAGGTGTGGCTGGTGGCAGAGCTAGTGTAGGGCACGCCACGGTTGTGTCTTGAACATTGAACCTTGAAGTCACGGGTAATTTAACCTAAAAGTTGGCAGCTGTACTGCCACTTGAAAATCCAACATCATTGGTAATTATCCCAGCCGATTTATGGGAAGTGGGTCTCATGCTGACCAGTGACTTCATCGCTGGCTACATATTTCATGGATCACATCTGAAAGCCAGGAAGCCTAGGCTTAGGTGTTCCTTGTTGGAGCTTGCCGTTGTTCCCGCTTGCCCCGCCGATAGGTGGCAGAGCAGAGCTTCTTCAGCTGACAGTTGCTTTCCACCGTCAGTAGGTAAATAATAAAATGTTCACTTGCTTTATTACCTGCATACATGTATCGTCTACTATAATCTATCAGTGATATTGAACATACCACTTAACCACCTTCAATGTTGTTGTAAAAAAAAAAAAAAATACAATAAAATACAATATAACGAACGAATCTTAGAACCCTCTTTTTTTCTTAAATCAGATCTTCAAAGAAGTCCACCTCGGCTTGCTCACTCCCCGCAGTTCCCGATATCCATTCTTGTACTCTACCAAGGCTAAGTACAAGCCTTCTTCGCCTGTCGCGAACAACATCTAAAATCTCTTCCTCGGAAAAACCTGGTGATCATTTTACTCTTTGCTTAGAGAAAGCGGCCAATTTCTCTCAAGATGGGTCTCAACAACCCTCTTCCGTCGTCTATGGCGTGTAAGTTCTTTTTCCTTGTTTTCCAAGCTACCCAGGTACTACTAATGCGCATAGTCTCGCGCAACTCGTCATTGATTCTGACTGACAACTAACCGCTTTTTTTTTCTTTCAAATAGCGGAATGCAAGAAATGCGGCAAGATTCTCACCTCGTTTATTGACCCACGTCAAGCATTCGGACCCGACAAGATAATTCCTCCGACGGTTCTCGCAAATGCAAAGGTGGGCGAGCTTCCGCCAAGTTCCGTCCCGAGACCTCTCTCTAGGGACTTGGCTGTACCCATCTGCACGTGTGGCAAGCATGACTAACTATTTCTCATAGGGCCTGGCGATCCTCACTGTTATCAAAGCTGGTTTCCTTGGATCCGCACGTTTCGGATCCGGTCTTGTCGTTGCTCGTTTACCTGACGGCACATGGTCTGCGCCCTCTGCCATTATAACCGCGGGTGGTGGTTTTGGTGGCCAGATCGGCTTCGAAATAACCGATTTCGTTTTTATTCTCAACGATTCACATGCTGTCAAGACATTCTCCCAACAAGGCTCCATCACGCTCGGCGGGAACGTCTCTATAGCAGCGGGACCTGTTGGCCGAAATGCAGAAGCTGCTGGTGCTGCGTCTTTGAAGGGTGTAGCGGGTGTGTTTAGTTACAGCAAGACGAAGGGCTTGTTTGCTGGTGTGTCGTTAGAAGGTTCTGCGATAGTGGAACGTAGAGATGCGAACGAGAAACTATATGGCCAACGCTGGACAGCAGCACAACTCCTATCAGGTTCCGTCAAACCGACGCCGCAAGCCGCACCGTTGATGGCTGTCTTGAACTCAAGGATATTCGCGGGTGTGCGTCAAGGCAATATCGACGACGCTATGTACAACGACGTCCCTGTCTACGACGACCGACATGACGACGTGGTGTGGAATAACCAACGTGCTAGTGTTCCTGTGCCCCCGCCTACCGGACAAAGTGAGTTTGGAGCACCAAAGCGCGCGAATACCTGGCAGGACGATATATATGATCAACCAGCTAGCAGCGGGCTTGGTAGATCCGGTACCGTGGCAGGCCGACAAAACAATGATAACGACTATGTATATCGCGATCGCCCGGCTACCGATGACAAGAAACCGGGTCCTGGTCGACCTGCAGCGCCAAAACCTAACTTCGCTAGCAAGCAGGCGATGATGAAGAAGAATGAAGCAATCGCGCTGTTTAACTTTGAAGCCGACCAGCCGGGTGATTTGGCATTCAAAAAGGGTGAAGTTATTACTGTGCTGAAGAAGACGGAGAGTGATAATGACTGGTGGTACGTAACATACTTACCCAACTTCATATACCTAGTGAAAGTAGTGACGCTAATGTTCATTGCTCGCAGGACTGGCATGATTGGCTCGAGACACGGCATATTCCCAAGCAATTATGTCAAGATGAGGGAATGAAAGGGGTTGTATGGCCAAGGTCCACAACCCTAGGACCAACTCCTTAGGACCGATTTTGAGAACAGAGAGGCGTCATCGGATGGTGGCGGGTATGGACATGAGGAACGGAAAGCAGTTATGAAATTGGTTGCTTATTTAGATACCTGACACGCTCTTGGAGTACTTAGATTCTAGTCCCTCGCAAATGGGTTTTCTATTCAACTGGGATGGGTTGGCGGTTCGCTTCATGATCCATTGTTTACCTAGGTTTCTTTCTATACAACACACAGGCATTGTGAATATGATTTTGAATATATATATATATCGGTTGATGGAGACTTAAAAGCGACTTTTAAGGCGGACTTACGAAGTGTCAATGGAAATACTGCGAGATATTGACCTAGTAGATACAGGTGCTTGCCTGCCTGCCTGCCTTCTAGTGCTTATACTTGAGGTTCATCTTTCGAAACTGGATCTTCTTGATATAAGATGAATTAAATCGATAGATCAGAAGAGACATATAAGCACTTCTAAGGTATAAAGTAGGTACTTTATACGTGCTTAGAACCCTACATAGCTATGTAAGTACACATTCCCATCTCTCGGAATCCCCTCCGGAGCAGCAACCGGGGACGCCCCACTTTACCCGGAGGGCGTATCGCGTATCCGGGATATCATGTGTAGCGGGAAAACCTTAAAAAGTTTCCCGCGTTTCTCTTTTTATAGTTGTACGGGGCGTGGCGCTTGTGCGCGTGAAACTATATTTCTAGGTAGGTAGGTATACGAGCCGCGCAGTAGGTATCTAATTTTAGAAGATTGGGAAAGTGTATCTGGGTAGGTAAGGTAAGGTCGAGGTTTGGCTGATGGAACAGGGAGTGTCGTAGCTTGGTGCTTGGTGCTTGGTGCCTGGAGGTTGGAGGTTGGAGGTTGGAGGTCAGAGGTTGGCATTGCACAACTGCGGCGAAGTGTGACGGGGCGGGTAGGTAGGTAGGCAGGAAGGCAACTATTTTTGTGGTTGTGTATTCGTAAAATCATATTGTTATACCTATGTTGCTTCGTCATCGTAGTTGCTTAAGTTACTTATCACTGATTACGACTAAGACAGCATGTTTGCTCGAGTTGGGGGTTTACGCGAAGGTGATTAATCAATATCTATTTTCATAGGCTTAGGTATAGGAAGATAAGTAGGTGCCTACCTCATCGTATTGATGAAGGTTTCTCCATCCCTCCTCCTCCTCCTTCTTCGCCGCCGCTTGATCGTACTATCTCGCAAGCGTGTGACTATGTAGGTATTCACCAGTGAGATGCGACGGTGGCCTCGAGTACTATGTTGAAGCACCTCTATTGCTTCCAGGGCTACTACCTATGGAGTAATTTCCATACATACACCCATACACCCATAGGTACTCCGTATATACATACATGTATGTACATAGCTGTTGAATGATACACAAATGACGATATTCATAGATACCTAACTCCCACCACTGCCCCCCGTCGCAGTGACCTCGTAAAAACCCTATCCTCTACTGGTGATGTAAGATCCGTGCAATCCTGACTACTTGTCCTGTGCTATGTAGAAGCCCTTTTTCAAGTGCTCCCTCGATACGGCGTTTAGGTGTCTACCTACCTACCTGCCTGTGTGCCTGTGTGCCTGACTGCCTGTTTGCTCGCTTGCGGGTCACTCGCTGTCCATGGGCTTTATTTAGATAGCAACTCACCTATAGTTATAGATCAAGGCTGAAGGTCGTGTAAGTGGTAGTATCCTCATTTCTTTTTTATTTCCTACCGCTCGTGATACTGATAAGGTCAGGTAGGTAGTAACCATGTCCGAGCGTGAAGCAACGTGTTATACAAATAACTAGTTATTTGATTGATGGACGCTTATTTTCTCCTTTCGCTATGATGTTTTCTTTGGGTTTCTATTTTTTATTATTATTTTTTTCAAATTCGCTACCGTGCGCATTAGGTAGGTAGGTATGCTGGTGCCAGCCCATCATGTTCCTCTTCATCCATTATCATCTTTGTCATTGTCGTTGTCACGTATCTATGTGTGTATGTACACTAGGCATCATTTCGTTTACCGCGGGGGCCCCTTTGCTATTTTTGGCGTGTGGGGTGGTGGGTAGTTAGGTAGTAGTGGTGGTGATGGTTAATTGGCTGGCTCGCTCGGGCATTAAGCGCATCCCCTGGTCTACAATAGATATTTATTTACCTACTCTACATGGGGCGGTTCTATCCGCCACTCGGATACCCAAATACCCTAACCTAGGGTTAGACAGTAATTGTAGGTGCGTCCATACTGCAACGGGAAAAATCTGGGGTTCGGGCGATACCACAGTAGGTGCCAGGTGGGTAGTGTAGGTTAGATAGGCTACATAACTACATACGATATAATTATTATACTTATTATAATAGTTCAATGTTCAATGTTACAGCAGACACAAGATAAGAATGGGGTCACGGTAGTGTTATGGGTATTCAATAACAACCACCTGGCACCGGGTATGCAGGTACGCGTGAATATCCCTACCCTACCTTGAAAGCACAAACCGAGGATTTCAATAATAATATTATTCTTCTGCATTGCCCATTGCTTGTCTAAGTGATACATAGGTAGGTACTCTACCTAGGGTTGTCGGCGCTTCATGAAATTACCCATTCGTATAAGAACAGAAAGGGGAAATTAGATTTCTTCTTCCTTCTGGGGCGGGTTGTTTTTTATTTTATTTTTAAAGTGGGAAGGAAATAGGTATGTAGTTCTTATTATATCTTTTTGGTTTTTTTGCGCTGCGCTTATTGAAACCAGCGGCTCGATGTGTGTAGGCATGTAGGCATGTAGGCAAGGAAATTTTTAAAGCAATCATGAGAAGGCGCTTGTGGTTTCAACCGCTTAGCCGGAGAGACGTGTATAGGCATGTAACTAAATGCAAACGCCTTGATGTGATACGACGATAGACGCGCGGTCGCGAACGTAGCCGCCATCAGCCTCGGAAAGTATTGTCGCCAGGCCTCCGGACCCAAGCGCTACTTGCTTGCTTGCTTGCTTCCTTTGCTGTGCGCGTGTTATCATTGATGGGATGGGATGTGTGTATGTGTAAGAGTAACGTTGAATGTGTATATGTAATTTCCGTAAGTTTGGGTGGTCAGTAACACGCAAACAGTTGCTCTTTTGTTGTGTTTGAAGCTTGTGATCAAGACTTGGGCATTGCATCGTATTGTACGATACCTAGGAAAGTAATCCACCTAGGTAGGTAGTCAAGTCAAGTCTGCCCTTCCATTTTATTGAGACATGCAGCTCAGCTACAGAATTCAGAAATTCAATGTGGTACCTACTGTAGCCGCTATTTGTCAGAGTTAGAGACAGTAATATAATATCAGGAATATCATAAGGGAGGTCTAGTTAATTGTTGCGCATGTCGGTCCTATGCGGATCGGCCGACAACTTGAAAATACCTATATCGAGCCCACCCTCCCCTTCCCCGTCTGCCCTCCATTCCCCAGAGAACGCCTCTCGTGTGGCTTTGCATCTTCTAGATGACATGACGTGCATCGGAGGGATGGGATGGCATCAGCCGATTTGGAATACCGAGGTGGTTAAAAAAAAGATCATGTAGAAAGCGCAGTACGGCCGAGGCACTTATGTATGTAAGGACGGACATGTATGAACTTCTCCCTCCATTTGCGGAGATTGCGGGAGAAGCGAGACATTCGAGGCCGTAAGCCACAGCTTGGCTCCCTCCCCTTCCGGAAAGAGATCGTCGTTTTTCTTCAGTGAGAAAGGGAAAAGTTGGGGATCCAGGCCTTGGGACTGGTGGAATTGGCATTCTGTATGGCTTCGATGAGCCACACTTGGTGCTTGTTTTTTTTTTCTTGCCCCTTGTGTTGCTGAAATATGTACCATGTATGCAGTCCTGTCTAGCAAAATCTCCGAGGCACAAAAAAAAAATGTCGTTTACGTACTTACTATGTACATACTTGCATTGATGCTCATCCAAAACACATTCGGCTCGAGGCGAGTAGGCGTAACGTCGCGTTAGTCGTTGGGCCATACGTGCGTGTGCGTGTATGTGATGCGTGATGCGTGATGCGTGATGCGTGCAACGTGTAAACAATTTACGTTTACAGATTATTTATTTTTTTTGTTTTTGTTTTGCATATGTGAATGAGTTGTCCCATCATGGGGTTCGGGGAAGTCTCGAGGGGCTCGTGTATGTATGTCTCTAGGGTCCTTGGGTGGTCTTTGGTGGTCAGCCACCTGCACCTGTTATTTGGCCTACCGAGTTCCCATGTGCCTGGCCCGGTTTATTAGAGCTGTGGTAGTAGCCCTGCTGGAGTTGTAGTCTAGCCTCAGGTTGGTTAGGTTAGGCCATCAGCCACGGCATATCGAGTATCGAGATACCCATTACTATGGTGCGTCTAAACACAATCGCAGGCCCATTGGTCCAGCCTTAGTTAGTTATGGCCTGGACTCAGTGGACTGCCTTGATCCAACGAAGACCTGGCCAATGGCGGCACTTGAAGCCGCTCCTCAAGATGCTTTGACGTGTTTTTGCATGGGTAATATTCGGCTTCTACGAGCTACATACATATTACTGTAGAGATGATTCAACTTTGGTCTGTTTAGTGTTTTGATGCGGTGAACGGCGGTGAGGCCTTGGCCTTGGAATTAGTTGGCCTTTATTCTGGTACGAATCGGCCGAAGTGCGGTGCAAATGCAGTATTTTCAATGCAATGCATTCCTGTTCTGTCCAACGTACGAGCTGCTCTATTCAGAAGAAGAAAAGAAAAAACCAGAAAAAACAGAAGCCCCTTTATGAATTGATGTGTGATGCCTAGTTTTTTCTGCTGTCGGTGTTTCTATTATCTGCCAAGTATCTGTGACGTTGCACCTCATAGATAATATACAGGATTTATATGATTTACTGGTTGCTCCGCAGTATGCTTTCGATCACCGCTGCCTTGTCCACAGCATGGTCTGTTCTGTAGATCAGGGATGACGATGATAATGTCAATGATTAGATCTGTAACACCAGGTAAGATCGTTCGCTAGGGCTGGACAAGACATTTTCTACTCCAGGGCAGCCAGGGTTAGGTTTCTGGGCGTATCCAAGGGACTGCGTAATAGTACCCAATACTGCACAAACATGGAATGCAACGCCTCTAACCTAAGGGCCGGCCCTGGGGAAGAAATATTTAAGGCGCCCCTCCCTATCTACTATACGACGTATAGCACAGTAGTTATGTGCCCTATTAATAAATGGAATGTCAGGGAGCTTCATTCCAGTCATATCCAGGATTTAATAGATTGTAGTTATATCAGATCAATTCAAGTGCATGTGCCATGTAGTTAGGTATAGGGAAAACATTGAATCTCAAAACATCACGACGGCAGCGCATTATAGAATTAGTGTGGAGGTTTTGCTCATTAGCTCATCTGTAGTTATATGCAGATACGTAACGCATTTTGATTGAAATGGTTGAAATTAGCTAATATGCGATCTTCAACATGTAGGACCACTCTTCTCCGTTGAAGAACCGCGGGGAAAGGTTTAGGTATTTTGGCATGAACGTTGATCGCGGAGCTTTTGCTTCTTGTTAATTGGTAAGTTCAGGGGCTGTATTTCTTGAGATGGGCGCAGATTGGGCGCAGAGGAGGCGGGGGAAGGCTTGTCTGTCCATCTACTAGGTTAGTAGTATTATCTACTCACCTACCAAGTAATAATACTGTATGTATTTAAGACATCCATAGATGATTTTCCATATATGATACCCTTAGAAGCCATGAACTGATGCTATATCACCACCCATTCTTTGGAATGTTGCCATCGCCTCAACAACTTGAAGTTTCGCCACAGATACCAACGAGTGGTGTATAGCCAGAACTTGTTACAGGATGCACATAACTATGAACTATATGTAACGACTAGATTTTCTTTTGATCCAATCGCCCTCGTTGCTTGAAGATGCGTCAACGTCTTAGTTGGGTAGTTGGGTACCTACAGTAAGGTAGACACTAGGCTAGGTTAGTGTAGTGTAGTGTAGTGTAGTGTGGTGTGGTGGTGTAGTTTAGCAGTATGAAGTTATAAAGAGTCGGTCAAGATCTGGAGAATTCCAGTGACGAGCAAGAAAACTGGGGAAGGCCGGGGGAGGGACTAATGCCCTTGTCCGTTTCGTTTCGTTTCGAGAAATCTCAATATCAGAGCATGCTTGAATATTACTGGCTCGTTCTTGATTTTAGTCGACGATACATACATGGCATCTTACCATAATAAGAGTCACCAATAAGATATTATAAGAAATTATAATATTCTGCAACGAGAACTCGACAGAGGTTCAATGTTTAGGGTTATCAAGAATTATAATTTCTTGTCATGCAAGATTGATTGGGTTTGATCAAGTGTAACTGATGAGTTTCCTGTGACTTGCTTTTCCCGAGCTCCATGTCTTGTGTCTTGATGCAGGTCCATTGGCCCGTCACCACTTGAGTGTATTTTCCCAACAATACTTTACATACTAGTACCTACATACATGTAGTTCCAGGATGTAAATATATTTACCTACTTCAAGGTTATCTACATATCTATGTACAAGCGCATCAATAATATTTACATGCACAGTTAGAGTCGAAGGGGCCTGCAACGGGAGTGGCCATGGCCATGTAAGCAACATGCACATTGAATCAATGTATGACCTGCTTCATGTTTTGTTATTCGAGGTTATTTCTGTTGGAACGTTATTAGAAGCGATTATAAGCCTCTTAGGCGAATGCGCTAACCAATGTGAATCCATTCATCGATGACTTCGTGTGGCGGGTCTAGCGACTACCTAGATAGGGCCCCCCTTGCCTACAATGGCCCTACATACTATGTACATCTTCTTAGTGGCCCGGGTGGTTCCAGTCAACGTCTTGGCCTCAGTCCGGACCCCTCTCTCACTTCCAAGATTGTTTCATGTCTTACAATCTTTGGACCACTTACACCAATGAATCACTCGCCAGTCTCTGTTATTCTCAACCCCGTCTCAATCAAAGGGATCACACGGCGCATACTGTAGGCGGGCGGGCCCTGTATGAGTTGTAAACGTTGTAAACGTTGTGAAATGTCAGCCATTCAGATCATTGCGACGCCAGTCTTTTGGAGGGCCTATGTTTGTATGCTACATAGTTACATGTTTGTGTACATGCCAAGTTAAGGGTGAACATCTACTAGGTAGGTTGAAAATAGCCACGACAGGCTGGAAGATGGCCCCTGGTTAGCGATTCGCGATTCGCGATTCGCATCAGATGAACCATATTAGGCCAGCCCTGTAGAAAGGAGCATTGAAGGGGAGAATATATGAACAAGAAAAAAAGTAGATATAGATCTGGAAACGCACACCCCCTTTTCCCCAAAGATCCCTTTCATCATCATTATCATCATCAACCGTTCCCTTTCATCATCTAGAACGATAGAGCAAGCACTAGTTTCCACCCAAGACGACACCCAAAAACACACCCAAGAAAGATACCCACTGTGTGGAATGAGCTTGATTTCTGTTTCGATAACACGATATATCATCCAAGGGAACCGGTTATTTTCATTACGACAAGCAGCCACCCACGTTGACGACTAACACGAGATTTTTTACGTTACGATACGATACCAAACCCACCCTTTCTACTAGGTAGACTCAGGCCAGTCTATCATCATCAACGTCCATTTACATTTAGCAGCAATTTAGCAATAAATAATTTGCATATCTTCAACCCGCCATTTCAAGCCCCTCTTTTCCACCATCCACCATAGTCTCTCCTTGACAGGATCGACAGAACATTTGAACTTCCCCCCTGGTCTTAATCAAAGCCTGAGTAGATCTTATTATATATCAGGCGCTTGTTTGCACTCATTTTTTCGCCAGTCTCATCCGAGATACAAGACAACGGTACAAAGCACAAGCTAGCTGGTCACACAGCTATCCGACAATTAGAAAGCAGCGGTGTTCCTGGTTTGAGTTTATTATATTTACATTTCGTTAAGATTTCGAAGTGTCACGATATCACATTCACTTTTCATATTCTTATTATAAAGACTCCTTCGTTTAGAACAAACCCATCCAGGATCCAGGACCACTTAGGACCAGGACCAACTAGGATCCCCAAATCCCAACATCAGCATTCGCTGCGCCTTGAGGCTCGGAGCTATCGGTGCCACTTTTGCTAGTCGTCAGCATCAGCTAGATTCGTCAGTCTTTCATAGGTGTTTATGCTATATACCTAACATTCTTTTTTTTCCCACTACAACGGCCACACAACGGTTATTCAGCCTACTTTGAAGTACGCAAGACGCAAGACGCCATTACCGATTCGGAGGTTTATTTTTTTATTTTTTTGCATCTGCAATCTCTCACCAACAGTTCGATCTACACTTATTCGAATCTCTCCGATCCTTTGCAGCCAATCTAGCGAACTCCAGGTCTTCCGCCGGCTCGGGAACCTCGCATTCCTTTTTATTATTATATCACATTTCGGCCTTCTTCTAGCCTTTTCAAACGACTTCTAGAAGCCTGTCCATTACAGCCACTTTGAGCCTGTCAACCTGCCAACGCACTAATTCTTCATAAAGCCGTCTTATCTTATTTATTCGGCATTGCATCTTTTTTTTTTCGCATTGAATAGTTCGGCGATAAATCGAAAGAGGAAAAGCAAAGCCCACTTATAAGAAGTTAAGCCACATACCAAGTTACGCGGACATTCGGATAACACGATATAATACGACAACACGTTTTGATTTTGACGATAATTGGTATTCATTGTCATCGTCGTCATCATCAGCATTGCCATTCAAGCCAAGCGAAGTAAAGCAAAGCAAAGCAAAGCAATACCTCGGTATCTTGTTTTAGGTCTTCATCGCCGGTCTCTTGACAACCACCACAAAGTGTACCACGATCCCATTCCATCCAATTAATCAATAATCCATCCATCCATCCAAATCCTTACGGAGACGGAGACAAGCGAGACAAAAATTAAAATAAAAAAAAAACTTGCTAAACTTAAACGAAGCGACCATTTTCCCGAGGCAAACCCGGGAGAAGCGATCCGACCGACATAAAAGTTTAGGCAAGTAGGAAGTTGCAAGAGCTGCAAGCTGCAAGTTGCAAGTTACTACATACAAGTTGCAGGTTACAATTGGGAAACATTGTACCCTACATAGTACATACCCGTGACCCTTGTCGGCTGTACCTTGCGCACTTGACAATAGTACGGAGTACTTGGTCTACTTAGTACCAATTGAACTTCCCCCCTCCTTCTTTCTTTAAACCATCCCGCCCCTTGTTCCCTGCCCCCCTGCCCCCTGCATAGGCACCCGCCCGAACAGCTGCACCTACCGAAGCACCTGCCCACTACCTAGTTCAGACTTAGTTCAGACCTAGTAGTACGCATTGCACCGCACTTGCACTGAATAAACGGACCCCCTGACACATTCACTGGACTTGTCTCCACTTTATCTTTCAAGGTACCTGTCTACTACTACATAGTACAGCAGTACCTATCTACTTTGATAAATTCTCCAAAATCCAAGCAGAATCCAGCAAATCCAGCAAATCCAGCCCAGGCCAAGGCGACTTTGGTGCGTCAGCCGTCGATCGTACCAAACTTGATTAGCTTCGTTACTTGGACTCAGCCTCGACATTCCTCACGTCACACCCACTTACGCACCCTTTTACAGTAATTGTGGGCATTTGTCGTCGTGGTTCGTGGCCCATCGTTTGCCGCCTACCAAGTCAGTCAGTCAGTCAGTCTACCAGTCAGTCAGTCACTCTGTCAGTCTGATATGACCTTGAGCTTCGCCTCGTGATACACCCATAAACAACCCATATATCGCCCATATATCGCCCATATACCCCTACACCCCCTTACACGAATAACATATAACTTACATCCGCTCATCTCCATCCTATAAACGTATTCGTGTACGCCACCCTGGTCGTATACAAGTCCCGTTGATAAAAATATAATATCATCGGTCCATCCCAACGTCTTCTCTTCCCCGGATTTTCTATTTGGCATTTCGTGTGCCCGTTTTACTTTATATTCCGACACTTGGAATACTTTAACTGCTGGAGCTGGAACTTACAACATCAGCTTACCTAACCTAAACACATCCTTATACCCAGGACTGATATTCAGTACATACAACCATGTCTTCGACATCAAGGATACCTATGAGCGAGCTTAACGCTTCTGCTCTTGAACATTTCGTCTACAAACCAGTGAGCCCGGCCATGATTGCCTATCTAGCTCACGCAGCGCGAGAAGTTATACAATGCGACCCGAACATGATGCCTCCACCGGCTCAGCAGTCGCAAATTCCCACACCACCCCGAACACCATCCCCAAAGGCCATCCGATGCGAAGATAATGGGTTACCGACGCTGGAGGAGTTTATCGCCCAACTGGTCCGTTCTTCTAATGTACAGGTGCCCACTTTGATGTCCACACTGGTCTACCTCACACGATTAAAGTCGCGATTGCAACCGATGGCCAAAGGTCTACGTTGCACTACGCACCGGATTTTCTTAGCAGCACTCATCCTTTCGGCCAAGTATTTGAACGATAGCTCGCCTAAGAACAAGCACTGGGCCAACTATAGCCACATGGGTGTTGAGCACTTCAACTTTGGGTTCAGCCGGACAGAAGTTAATCTGATGGAGAAGCAACTACTGTTTTTACTGGAGTGGGAGCTAAGAATTACGGAGGAGGATTTGTATCGCGAGCTAGAGCCCTTCCTAGCGCCGATCCGCGATACCATCGAGGCTACTCACGCACGCCGCATGCAACGCAAGGAGAACTTACGAAAGAAGCAGGAGGCCGAAGAGTGGGCCGCCGCACAGTTCCCAACTCCGCCGAGCTCACGGGGCAGCTCGCGGTCGAGACCGACTGCATCGCCTTACGGTGTGCGCATGGTACACGACGAGTCTTCTCCACCAGAATTAGTTTACAGCTCATCGATGAGCTCGAGCAGTGGAAGCTCCTACGCCTCTTCATTTTCGTCTCGACAGCAATCGCGGTCTTCAACACCCCTCTCTGAACCTGATGACCACTACGTAACTTACGTACACAACTCACTTTCCGAATCTCCTGTTGAGATCGTCCTCGATATGTCACAGCCGGCTCTGGACAGCAGGGGACAAAGCCGAGGGGGTGACTCCAAGCAGCTGCTCCCGTACGAAATTAGCGCCGATGACCTTCGAGCTCTTCAAGATGGTAGCGCGAAGGCAAAGCGAGCGAGAACTGGAAGGGGCATGTGGGGGCGTATGTTTGGTGGTGTCGCCACTAGGTGAACAGCCATTCGCACGTCTTCTCATCTGTGTTCCATTTCTATCATCACCTTTTTTTTTGTTTGTCTTTTTTTTTTGCTTCGTCACGCATTTTAGCAAGGAGTTTTATGGCTTGGGTGTGGGAGGCGCTTATTGTCACGAATGGTCTAAGACTCAAAAAAAGGGGGGCTGAGGAATTCTGCGACTTCCTTTGTTTTTGGTTAGGTGCCTTATAGAGATATAGGGTGGGACCTTATCGTCATGATACCTACCACCGCGGTTGTTTTTTAATGGGGGGTCGGCGAATAGGCATGGAAATAGGGTTGGGCATGGGGAGTGGGTATCATAATGGATCGGGAAGACATAGCAGATGGAGAGCTGCGATGCATTCTGGCATTTTTGGGAAAGGGGGCAGCTTATACAGATCATCGGTGTTTAGGTGGTTAAATGGGAAATTCAAAAAGCGAGTTTCCTTCTTCCTACTACTCTTCTAGTTTGTTTTCCATGCCTTCGTTGTTAACCTCTGAGGAGAGGCAGCGGCAAAAAAGGGTTGTGCTACAAGCAAGCTAGACCGATAGTCGAAAACATTACACATAGTTAACCTTACTTGAATGGAAAAGATTCAATATTCAGTAACTGATTACTTGGCAATATGCTCTTTGCGTGAACATCGAAGTAGGTACCTACTAGGTAACTAACTAGGTTACTGGGTAACAAGCCTACAGGATACAACTACCTAGGTAGGTATACCGTCTACCATGTTGCTTGGAACTCACCGAGATGATTTACATCCAACATGTTTAGGTAAGAAATGTAAGGATGCATTACTTTGCTTACCATTGCCCAGCGACACATACGTACCTACCTACCTATACGGGGTGGCATTCAGGATAGGATGTCGTTAGCTTTTGCGTAAGTAATGCAAGTAACTACCTCATCCTAGGCTAGTCTAGTATGTATTGACAACATTATCCAATCCCCGGTTCTACGGCAGTCTCTCTGCCTCCACCCCCGAATTTTTTGTTTCAAGTGCTGGAGTAGGTATCGGAGCGAATAGGTAATAGGCCCGGCCCGGCCAGTCGGTGGTTTATGTGTGTTGACCTATATTTGGATTTTTTTTTTTTGTGATCTCTCTTGCTTTTTTTTTGGTGGCCTTGTGTACCGAGGCAGGTAGGTAGGTAGGTAGGTGAATCTTGGGTCGGCGGTATTCTATGCAAGATAACCTTCCATCCATCCATCCATCTACGGTTGAATCTGCATTCGGTAGAGCATGTCATCCTTGGGTAACTGCCTAACCTACTTAACCTACCTACTTACAGGATAACATTTAATTTACAAGACCTTTTTTACTTGCTATGTGTAAGGAGGTAGGTAACGTTATATTTCGGACCCGCCGACCCGTTCGGCCAGTCTACCTACATCTGTGTAGTAGGTATGTATGCATGTCGGTGGTTAAGTAGGTATGCATCCATGCATGCAAGGTCGTTCGCTCGGTATTTGTTTTCCGCTCCTACATACATACATACGTGGGATGCTTTTCCAGAAATAGGGTGGGTTGGGCAAGGGAACATTGAACAGCATAAGGCTACTGTAGGTTAGGTACATACGTATATACTTACTTAACCTTAGAGTCTTACATGTAGATACGTCCGTATGTGCCGAGGTACAATACCATGTAAGCTTTTAGGTATGTATATTCTTCAATCTTTTTTATGTCTGTTCAACGTATCTAAGATTTTGGGGGCCGTTGGTGTTACCCAATGCATCATTACCCCAGAGCACAGTAAGATCCATCCGGCGCCCGTTGCTACCATGACTAAATTTGTACCTACCTCGGTAACTAAAACCTAGTCATTTATTTCTTTTTTTTTACTTTTGACTTCCTTTACTTCCTTTTTAGGGCTGTGGCGGTGTCATTCACTCCTCCGTACCTAAAGTTAGGCGGGACGTGGGCTAATTATCAGGTAAGGACCTTGTAAGGGCAGCGGATTTGAAAGTTGCTAACAAAACGTTGGCAGATTCATCATTGCTGTGTAAGTTGCTGTTATGTACTATATGGGTGCACGGAATCTTATCTCATCTAGGAGCAATCCATGGATACTAAAAAAAAAAAAAAGAAAAAAAAGCACCAGCCTTCGGAAGGAAGGGGATTGATTGATTTGAAGAATGCCCTTTTTTTTATCATCTTTTTTTCTGCAATCTGTGCCTAGGAAACGGGCTTTGAAGAACTGCGGCTCGAACATTGCGCCTAGAAGGGCCGACATGGGGCGTGTGTCTCTCTCCCTCTGTTGTCATGGCGATGGATCGTAGGCATTCTTCTTTTATCCATCACTGTCTCAGTCGGTCAGTCAGTCAGTCAGTCCACGCAGAACTTCTGCGAGGGATCAGATAACCTAGATTCCTAAATTCCTACATAGGGAGAGAGTCACTTAGGCAGTGCTGACTTGACAAGTATATTTAGGTAGGTAGATTCAGGCATGGGTATTGGCGAACCTGCATATCCACGATTGCGCTTGTATAGATCCCGTCGCTTTCTTTTTCGTACTCGCACTTCTGAGAATTATCGCGATGCAGCTAACTATTTTCAAAGTTTTTTTCCTCTTTTTCTTTTCTCCTTCCTAGGTAAAATACCTGGGGTACTTGGTTAGGTAGATACTCAGGTTAGATGGATCGAAAACCTGGCACCGGCTTCGACGAACATCCTGGCGCAGCCAACCGGCGGAGGGCGGGCCCGAAGGATCGAGGTTAGGGGGGTTATCAAGGCTTTACCTAAATCGCGTGGCCTGCGTACATAGGTATCGTAGCGTTTAGCTGGCTGACGTTTGAAAGGAATAGCTTTGCATCTCTGCCTACCTGCCTACCTGCCTGCCGACCTACCTGCCGACCTACATAATGGTAGCGTGTGAGTCGATGGAGGGTTGGATCTTCACTCTTGTTGTCCATCCGGCCCGCGAGACAGCGTGCCATCCAGCCTACTTAGGTAGGTTACTTGGGTTTACAGGCAGCGTACATACGACGTAGTATGGATGCAATACTGCCCCCATAGCGAGGAGAGAATCTCGGAGTGATTCCGGTTGGTGCCTACGTTTCTAGGTACGGTAGGTAGTGGATGTTCAATATATCTACCGCCGGTCAGCCCATTCGGAAACCAAAAGCATTTTCCTTCCTTCACCCCTCTCCCTTCCGCGCCTTCTACTGGGGCGTTTACGTGAAACGGCGATGGTTTGCGAGTGTTGTTTCGCTGCGCCGCTGGCTATTTCTTCGTTTGTTTGTTTGTTTGGGCGAAGAGAGAGGCGGGCATGCGGCGCACGGCGTTGACCCAACCGACGGAACCCGGCGCCCTTTCAAAGGGCCATTACTAAGTACCTAACCTAGGTACCTATTTGAACGTTATATCATTCAGTTGGCAACTTTGCCTACCGACGCTGCTGATGGTGATCTGTTCAAGCGTTTGTTTGTTTGCTTGTTAGGCATATCTACCTAGGTAGTACCTATACCTATTATCCAACGAGCATAGCCACTACTACGCCACGATGCCTGTTTGCTATGATCCAGGGCTAATTAGCACCTTAGATAGGTAAGTAAGTAAGAGCCACGACGGCGGGAGCTGAGGGAGCAAAAGAAAAACGTGACGCTGACGATGAGATCCTAGTGGCACATGAAAACATCCCAAAAATCGCTACTACTTGATACACCTAACACGTAATTACACACGTAGATACTTAAGCCCAGAAGAATGGTCGTTGTTTCAACCCTTGTTGATGGCCACGAGATTGTATCGATATCAGATGACATATACGACAATGTAACCTTGGAAAGGTCACTCTAGAACCCAACACCGGAAGACTTGCAGAAGGGATGATGACGTTAGGTGTCATCTACCCTACATAACAACCATGATCCGACATATCGTAGTACTGATGGTTAAACCTCGGCATTGACGCGGTAGGTGAGTAGGTATCTGGATGTGTATCTGTAAATACCTATATATACTATTTACAACATTACAGTATCCTTATAGGCACTCCTACTTTGATCCTGAGATCATAATCACAAGGCAAACTCGACCGTTCATGATGTACAATACCTGCCTACCTTAGGTATTTCCCCTAACCGGAAAAAAACTTATCAGTTGTATGGGATGAGGCATTTGCCTACACATACCCTCTGCCTTACAAGGCAATCTACTCCTAACCAAAAAGAAAGGAGAAACATTTTATTTCTCCCAAAGAGATGTGTGCATAGTCGAAGGAGCTCTAACCTTCAGGAACCGATCGAAAGTGGGAAAATATCCCAGTCCCCCATTGCGGCACATACACGTATACCAGCCAATCCGCGCAATCCGTTTCAGCTTTTGCGCCTGAGGGCTACCGCTGCATAGTATAGAGTCCTAACGATCTTCGTTGACTAACTATATCTAAACGTTTCTTTTTCGTTTTCGGGCTCTGAAACATACTTGCCTACATGTAGGTAGACTACTACCTAAGCACTTTAGGAGGTACTGGGTATATACCCCACTCGGAATTCGTATACCCTGGAGTGACGGCTCCTATAGATCTTGGTTGTGTTTCAAGATCTAGATTCTAAGAATGGAATGGTAAATGCGCCGAAACATCTACATTGGGTATGCCGAAACATGTTTGCACCCCACAGGGCAAACGATATGTACCGGGTAGGTGGGTTGCTTGGGCAGAGTCTACTATTTGCAGGGTCAGTATAATCTATGCCCTTTGTTATAATACCCCTATTATAATCAGAGTTTGGCAAAGACTCTTCTTTTGCTCCTATTGACATACTTCGGGAGTTGATGTGAAGCGTATACGTAATCGGTAACGTAGGTATTGTCGGCCGCGTGTGGCGGATAGGCTATTATTTTTCTGCGGACGATATACCTAACTCAGCCAGCCTAGACAACACGCCACTGGACTGCGTCAGTATGCCCGCAGTGATTGCTACTCGCCTATGTAACCACATTGAAACCTCCCAAGCCTGTGATCTATAGCATAGCTGAAGCCTGAAGTTATGTGCCTGCTTCCATGTAGACCTTGCGACCCCTATCCGGAGCTTCGGTGAGGGCTTCTATCTAGTCGCTAGGCAATGGAGTATACAACGTACAATATGTATGTAAGGAGTATCACGCCCTCCCCCCTATACTTTAGGAATAGGAGGCAGACCTCATGATAGTTGTTAATACATATGATTCTTAACCTACCTACCTAGCTTCTATTCGGTCACTCGACTACTGCTGCAAACCCCCTATCGCCCGTTGCAAGACTTTAAATCAAGAGATAGACCCTAGCATACTCCAACATGATGTGATATCTACTAAATCAAATCCAAGTCTCTTTCTTGTACTTGAGATCAATATGTAGTGCTTAATAGGTATCGCACTTTAACTCTTCAAGATCGGAACAGTACTAGCATCGAAATTGACTGCCCCCCTTTTATGAGTTGGTACCAGAAAGAATCCCCCTTATCTCGAGCAAAGACTACAGGTGGTTGGTCATACGACTTGATAAGACTCACTATTATATCTAATTAGTCCACACTACCTACTACCTCAAGTGAGAACACTCTCAGACTGTAGTTGAGATAGGTATAGATATATCGTATTTCTAAGCATAGCAATGAACAAGCAAAAGGACTGAGAATGATAAATGTATACTGCCTCTATCCTACCCAGCACAAGCACCTACCTCAGTAATCGCATAGGCATAACATCACTCTTGAACGCATTCAAAAATCTCTTGCCCTCTACCTACCCCCTTTTTCACTTCCTCCCACCCAAACCCAAACCCTCACCCTCACCAACACCCCTCTCCCCACCCCCCGCCACCGAAAGCGCAAAAACCGCCATCGCCGTCGTAACCCCCCGATTGCCCACCCGCACCCTCGTCGACCCATACTGATACATCCAGCCCCCCTCCCACCCGCCATCCTCGCGCTGCCGCCCCAGCAGCGCGGCGCGGTCCCCCTCGCACCCGACCCCCACCTGCGCACACGCCGCGACGCGCATCGCGAGGTCCAGCGCGCTGCTGCTGCCGCCGAGCCCGACCCGCTCGCGGACGCGCGACTCCAGGAGCGGCGCCAGCGCGGCCTGCAGGTGGGCGTCGCGCGGCGATGCGCGCAGCAGCCGCGCGACGAGGCCGAGGCAGCAGTCGGGCGAGGGGTAGTACCGCGTGCCGTGCAGGTAGGAGCGGGAGGCGAGGAGGGCGCGGATCAGCTGCAGGGTGCGCGGGAAGGAGGCCCCGCGGTGGAAGGCGTAGAAGCAGCAGAGGATGTTGGCGCTGACGATGGGGTCGGTGCGGGGGCGGGTGCGGTCGAAGTAGGTCTGTTGTTGTGTTTAGTGTTTGGTTACGCAGGTAGGTGATAGGTAGGTGATAGGTAGGTATTGTTTGGTTGCTCACCTGGAAGGTCCCGTCGTCTTGGACATACTCGGCCATGGTGTCGAGGATGGCCGAGACGGTTTGGGTACACGACGGTCGGAAAACTTGGAGAGCGAGGGATGTGGTGTCGAGATCATCTGGGAAGAAACCCCCGGGGATGAGCGCGGCTTCTCCTGGAGCACCTACAAGTTTTGTTAGTTGCTATCGTTCCGCTGCATTTGCCGACCTTGAGAAGGGAATTTGGTATTTACCAGCGAAGAAGTTCCAAGTCTTCTTAGATTCCCAACTGAGATCAACGAGGGTGCTAGCAGCAGTTCTATCAGTGGCTTGTCTCATGGGCACCATGTTCCCCCCCCTATTGCGCGAAGATAGCTAGGTAACTTACTGGTCTTTCAACGCATCTACAATTAGCAATTTTGCGAAATTATCTGCAAACGTGACTCCAGTGTCCGTGATTGAGTCACACTGCTTCGCGTTCTGGAAGAGATATCTCCAGCCCCTGGCGACCGGACTGTCAAACATCCCGCGCAGCGTCTGAGCTGTCGACTCTCCGAAAACGAGCCCCTGGATGCCCAATCCCTGTGCCGCACGCACATTCTCCTTCTTATCGTCAACGAACACGACCTGGCTACCTGTTAGGCCAATGCAGTCGAGAACATGACGGTAGAACCCCGACTCAGGCTTCCGCGTCCCTGCCGCCCCCGAGGTAAACACTCGGTCGAAAAGCTGCCAGTCCATTTTTGCGGCAAGCTGTTCGAAGTCCTCTTTGCCCACATTGGACATGGCATACACCTGAACGGCAGGATCCTTTCTCAGCTCGTGGAGGAGTGAGACGATGGCATCGTCAGGCTGCAGAGACTCGTGCGCCTGCGTAAACGCCTCGGCGATCTCAGAAGCCGGGATGCAGAATTGCTGGGCACTTTGCTCGTAGCAGACGTCCCGGGTGATCTCGCCGCGCTCGTAGCTGTGCCAGACGGGCGTCGAGAGAATGTCTTTCAGTTTGCGAGCTGGGATGGTGGTCTTGGTATTGGCGGACCAGGTGAAGAGGACGTCGCCCAGGTCGAAGATGATGGCTCGAGGGGGTGCTTGCAGGGAACCCATTTTCTTCTAACCTAATAGTTTTGTTTGATTTGGTTTATTCTACATTTAATACTGAGGGGACGATGGAATTTTACATATTTGGGTTGTTATATACTCGGGAGCACGGCAGATAACTTATACCAAGACCTTATACCAATATGCAGTTGGTTTGTTGGCCAGCATATTTTACGTGAATACCAACAACATAAGACATGCAGTACTTACTCCCTGCTACCACTGCATTTGATTCCAGTCCAGCATAATTCCATGTTCATGCAATGGCAAAGCCTTTTTAAGCCCGTGGGAATAGTGTTGAAACGCGCCATCACGACACTCATCTCGCCCAGCTTAGTATTTTTATAACAGTATTATTAATAATGTTATTTTTACTTTAAAGTCATTATCAATGAACCTAGTAACAGAAAACTGGGTATAAGATCACGTAAGAAGCTGCTGATTTAGGTAGAGGTAGTATCTACTACTCTTCTGTCTACGATATATTTTTATCGCTGAGCACATGGGGTGGGTATCACTATCTCCTCAAAAGAATTCCGGTGCTAAGCCCGGATATATAGCTCGAGCAAGGGAAAAAGGGAAACTGGTCGTTCTCTGACGTTGAGAAAGTGGCAATACTACGTACAGTAAGTTACGTAGATAAATGGTCCAAAAAGTTCTCGCAGTCAACTCTTCGTACCCCTATTGTTTCGTGACCCCCACTCATTCATCTCCTTGTGAACTTCTTTTACGTCCTATCATTATAGAGTAGGTACTGGAATTTTCTACGATGGAAATGTATTATTTATTCTCTAGCATCGATTTTATGCTCAAGTCTATGACTGCGTATTTACTTATCCTCGTGTTTGGTATCTTGATATCATCTTCGCACTAGTTAAAATCAAGGGGTCGAATCGTTCTAAACTCTTATACCAACAGCGCGGGCACTTCATTCCAATTGAAATTTTACCCATCTACTTATTTTCACTTTCCCGCAGCACCGCAACCCCATGCCTCACCTCCCACTCCCTCACATCCTCACGCGTGGTAACATAGATCCCCCCCGCCGGGAGCCCCTTCCTCTTCGGCGTATACTCGCTTACATACAACGTCTTAATCGGGTCCACGATCGGGGGCACCGACTCGCTGCCGCCCACCTTCGAAAACACCAGCTTGCCCGGAAACTGCCAGCGATAGTCCAAGCGTTTCGGCAGCGGGAACCAGGGGATGGAGAAGAGGGAGTTCGGGTAGCGCAGCACGACAAACGCGACGACGAACTCCTCGCGCCCCGTGTACAAGCCCTGCGCGTCCATGTCGTCGACCGTCTGCATGAAGCGCGCGCTGTAGTTCAGCATGCCCAGCGAGCTGCCCACGTACACGTTCGCGATGAACTGCCGGCTGCGCCAGGCCCGCCTGGGGTCCCCCCAGCACTCCGCGTCGTCGATGTCCGGGTGTCCGTCGCGCTGCGAGTACTCCCCCATCACGACCCCCGTGTCCCGCGACACGCTGACCGCGCGGTCGATCTTGGCGGAGTCCAGCCCGCTCTTGACGAGGTCGCCCCAGACCACGCCCGAGGCGTCCGCGGGCCCGTCGTCGAACAGGAACCCGGCGTCGACGTACATCCAGCGGTCGCACGCGAAGGGGTTGCGCACGATGGCGTCGTACATGACGAACGCCTTCGCGTTGCACACGGCGCTGTGGTGCGCGCGGTTGTACCGCGCCACGGGCCGCAGCTCGCCGTCGGCCTCGCTGTAGCCGTCGAACTGCTCGAAGAGCCGCGGCTGCGTGGTGGCGAAGTTGGCGCGCTGGTACGCGTTGGTGGGTATGTCCCAGACAGTCGCGTAGGAGTCCACGATGTACCAGTGCGGGTCGTCGGGCCGCATGGCGCGGATGGTGGCGGTGAGGGTCGGCGGCACGTAGAGGATCGTCTGCTCGTTCATCTGCGCTATGCGCTCGATGCGCTGAAGGTAGGAGGCGCTCTGGTGGATTGGTCGCGCATCGCCTTCGTCGGGGCGGGGGTAGAAGATCAGGACGATGGTGGGTGCGTCCGGGCGAATAGGGGGGATCTCTGGGGTGGTTCGGAAAGGTGGTGGGCCATCTGCTGCTTGTCTACCCGAAAGGGCATCTTGCCATTCTGCAACTGCGCGGCCATATGGTACCACAGGGGGCTTTAGGTACTCGCGTGGTGATCTTCCTCGGCGACCGGCCCATGAGATAAGGGGCTCGTCGATGGGTGTAATATCTTGAACATGTTTCAACTTCTCCCTGTAGGAAGCTGGATCAAAACTATTTTCATACGATTTCATTTTGCTTAAAAAGATGTTAGATCTAGTAGAGAGGGTTAAACAAGTATGTAGTTTGGTTACGCGATATTGAAGCTAGGTAACTTGGTACTCATAAGATCTTAGGTTGGAAGCCCCTATATTGATTATCTACCTATGCTATTATTATATATCCTAGCAAGTGCTTCAATGTTCTGTAATATCTCAATTTGTTTAATATCTAGGTAGCTAGGTACATATGTATGCAGGTGGTCATCCACGTTCACGAAGAAAGACAGTGTCAGGAGACAAAGGCGTTGATAATCATAAAATTGCATGGTTTCACCCTTTGGATGCCCGGCAGCAATCCCGCTGTGATCTGTGAGAAACACGTCCTAAGAATGGGTGAGTATATCAATGTTTGATTCTGGATCCGACTGTTATTTATTCCTACCGTGTGAGCGCTCTTGAACAATAGTCATCAATAATCAGGTACCGCGTACCTCCGTATATTATCATCTCATTAGTCCCTTACCCAACTCCAAATTATAAGTAGTAGGGAGTCCTACAATTATCTGAAGGCCACTGGGATTAAATAGAAGTAAAGTGTAAAGGTGATGGACTTTGTCATTCACCCCCTATTCCGTCACGAATGTCATGTGTTTGCCGTATCTGCAAGCTTTACGCCCCAGCTTGGAACTTCAAAGGAACTTCAAAATAGAAAGCCTTCCGGGGGACTCCCTTCGGGTGGTACAAGTTAAATGGAAGGGAAATTCTCTTCAGTACTAACTTAAATGAACATATGTGGTGGGTTGAAAGATATCCAGTGTCTCATTTTGGCATGACTACTGTCATGAGGCGCTGGGCGTCCAGTTATATTTATAGGCTAGTATTGTCATAGCAGTAGCGTCTATGGTGACGAGTAACTGTCAGATCTGTACTACACCAGACCGTCCCTTCCGATTCCCTGCTCGGCTATAACTACCTAGATCCTCTACTCGCTATTGCGTGTCAATACGACATAACATGATCTGCCCCCTTTTTGTATTAACCTACTATCGTCCAAGCATATCCACATACCCCCTTTTCTGAACAACCACTATGTCCTTTTCGAACGACGTCAGTATGGACGAAAGCCAACAGCCTACTATATGGGGCTTATCAATCACATTCTCTATCATAGCCATCGTCTCAGTTCTTCTTCGTTTCAAGGCTCGTCGAATCCAGGGCGAACAGCTGGAATCTGATGATTGGACTATCCTCGTGGCCCTGGTGCGGCTCTCCTATCGGCACCCATCACCTACAACTACCTATGGACATCATTATCTCTAATATATAGGCGTTTGAAGATATTAAGTATGGGTGTTACGGTAAACTTGCTCATGAGTAAGACGTATTCGTCTTAATATCATCAGTCTGGCTATTATTCTGACCACTTTGCAACTGCATAGTGACACAATGCGGTGGTCTCGGAACCCACACGCGATATGACGGCGACGGGAACCCTCTTGATCCCGGGCGCATCGTCATCTTCGGCAAGGTAAGCACCGTGATATAAATTACACCTATGCTTGCTCTACGATCTGAAACTAAAATATTCGTATTCACGCAGACGACATATTCACTGGAGATTCTAGTCTGGCCTGCCGTGGGAATGACCAAAACCAGCGTCCTTCTACTGTACAAACGAATCTTCATCACTCCGAGGTTTAGGGTAGTTACCTGGGTTGGGATTGGCGTTGCGATCGCCTGGACCATAGCGTTCACCTTTGCGCTCATGTGTATGCCCTTTCCCATTAGTGAATGACTTTCATCCTTCGCTAACCTCTTGTCCTAGTCATATGTCATCCGATTGCCGCGAGGTGGAACTCAGAGATCCCATATACTCGTGGCAATTACTTCGCGTTACTTGCCGTTGCCTTGGCGACAGATGTGGCCACAGACGGTAGGGCATACATACCCATAGCGCCCGGCCGCGTCTCTATCGAACCTATACTCACATCATCTCATAGCTCTAGTACTCTTGCTACCAGTTTACAAGGTTTGGCAGCTACAGATGCCCATCACTCGAAAAGCCTTGGTCACAGGTATCTTCCTCCTCGGTAGCTTGGTCAGTATCGCCGGTATAATTCGAACCCACTTCTTGGCTCAAGTCTATGATGTGCTCACAGAGGCCCCCAAAGTAGACGTCACTTGTATGTTACCTAATTTGCATGAGTTTTCACTGGCAGTAGCCTGACATCAGTATCAGGGGTTTACGCGCCAGACTTCTACTGGACTATCATCGAAACCAATGTTGGTGTGTTTAGCGCGTGCGCACCTACCTTGCGTCCTATTCAGGAGCTTGCTACACGCAAGCTCTCCTCTGTCATCCGCAAGCTTTCCTTTCCCAACTTGCGAAGCTCGGACCCGCCACTTGACTCGTTATCGAGTATTAACAAGGGAGACAACATCCGTCTCAACTCGATGGAAGAAGGCTCGAGCTTTGATAGCAAGTATATTTCGTTTACGCCAGAGCAACTGAGAAACTTCCTCTACGTCTAGATGCTCGGCTTTTTGAATGAGGATTATACTCGTGGAGTTGGGACCATTTGTCGCATGTGATGAACAGTTTGAGATCAAGGTAAACATCAACATCGATGAAGTAAAGGCTGATTAGTTCTGCCCAAGTACTAACCTATGATTCATGCTAGTGGAAGAGACGAATATGTTCTTGGCTTGGATATATCTTCGAGACTAGAGGCCATTCTAGTTTATCGCAAGGGAGGCTTACTGATACTATTAACTTCTGGGACCTGAGACATAGGAGGTATCCAGGATTTGATAAAAAGTAGAAATGACGGAAAATATGACCGGAATTCGGGCCATAGATATAGTCAACACTTCACCCTGACAAGCCAATGCGCTTATTTTGAAGTTTTGTTGCTGACTTGTATTCCATTCAACACTGTTAGGTAAGTAGGTAGACAATCGATCCCGCTCATTGGTAGCTATTCGTAAGACATGCCGGTTCTTCACCTAGTAGAGCCCCTGTAATTGGAGCAATACCGACGATTATCTGGGCAGCTGTAAGGTCTACCACGGTATATCAAATTGGCCGGCTCATAGCAGATGGGTCCTGATATATACGTATCCGGCTAGGACATTATGAAGCTGAATAAATTTGCTGATCACAGGGAGACCCCCAAATTGAAGCCAAAGCCCGACTTTATGTACACGGGGTGCACCTCAACTCAACTACGGGCAAGACTTTTGAGATAGTTGGGAGTAGCGGTAAGATCTCGTTAATGATACCGAGGTTCGAACCCGGCGCATTCTCGGCCAACACATGTTAGAGCCACAACCCCTTCCTCTGCAAGCTGTTTCCAGAAGAAATCGAGATGGAAATTGTGATTCCCCACGAAATAGTACCTAGGTAGACGATTCACCCACCGAAGATCTATCGTACCAGGGCACATTCTACAATGCGCACCAATGAAAAGATTCTAGAACGCGTTCTGAGGCCTAAGAAACCAACTTATTGGGAGCGAATTCTTTCAAACCCCTCAGTTGATCAGAAAGGTGCACACAAGACACCGTATGTGTTACACCGCTTCCCATGCCCCCGAGACACATACATTACTTTCATAAGGGCGGACTCCAGACCAACTTTATCAACGGGTGATCACCGCTCAAACCACGGGACTTTTGGATCAACGCCGAGTTTTCAGGGGAAAATCGACCCCTCATCAGCGATCGACGACGATAAATCAGTTGAAGAAGAAATTGCAGCGGCTCCCAATTTCATTCATCTTCGACGTTGTTCCATCTCAGATCTGGTTTTATGAAACCCATATCGAAACAGGCGGCATGGAAGCGGAGATGTATGGCCCGTATGGGCCCAAGAAAATGGCTGGAGAAATATGGGAAATATCTGGAGGCTGGGTAGGTAGCTGTTCAGGTATTGCCCCATCAATGCCCAGTACTGAGAGTTCGAATGAATTGGCCCTGGCGGATTAAGTCGTTTTTTCCACATTCGAAATTAGAAAAAAAAAAATGATGTGCATGCTTGCTTAAAGAGTATCTTTGAACATAATAAAGGGGGTTAAATCATTTGTCGATTTTCGTTCGATTTCGTCGAATGGGAGTTAGTTATACCGGCCCCCTAAAAAACGTGTCACGTTTCCCACTAAGAACCTTAAAAAGGTCCCCCCTTTCAAGATGGGCCCACCTATTTCCGAACATTCCCAGCCACTTACAAACAAAGCTCCCAGCCTTTTGATGGGGAAACTTGTTAATTCCGATTGGGTACCCTACTAGGTATCTTTGGCATAGTTATTGCTATAACATAGTATAACAAATCTGGCAGAAGAGTTAGAGGCTCGGAGGGGTAACAACCTTGGTAGCAAGTTCGAAGGCAGACCTAATGTAGGTTAGGCAGCTAGTCCCCGATCCTCCCGGATGCGGACATACAGATTCCCGATGCTTATGAATGGACTTTGATTTATCTCCGCCGTGGTACAGATATGTATGTGCATAAGTCCCTATTGACTCCAGTAGTGAGACGAGGATGTGATCTACATACCCGCGAATGGGTTCCAAAGTTCCCATGTGCTGTCAGCGTGGGCCGGCACCACATTCAGCGTGGACTGCGAAAGAAAAAAGGATGAGAGGTAGGTACCTAATATTTAAGGCCTCTATGCCCTCTCTGCTCTTTTCTGTTGCGATGTAGTACCCCAGAGTTGTTACGAAAAGACCCTCTTGAACTTGATAAGAAACCAAAGTCATATTTGTCATACTTGTCGCCCCCCAGAATCACCATGGCGTCAACAACCGGCTCGGATGGCCTCGTCAAGCTGACGGTCTTCCTAAAGAAGAGAGACGACATCTCTCACGAGGAATTCCACAAGTAGTATGTGTTTTTCCTGTTTTCCTTTTCAGCGTGAACTTGATACGCACCTATACCTAGTCTCAGCCATATCTCTAACAACAAAAACAGCTGGGACAATGAGCACGCCAAGATCTTCCTCTCCGTACCTATCGTCAAGAAGAATGTAGTCAAGTATACCCAGTTTCACGCGAACAACGGCGCCACCGCCGACATCACGAACTTCGGCTTGGCCATGGTGGGATATGACGGTGTGGCGAATATATGGGGAAAGAGCCTGGACGACTTGTTAGCAGTGAGTTACCTATACAATTTGGAGGGGATTATCTCCTCGATGTACCTTTCGTACTCCCAACTAACGAGTGCCATCAAGATCTACAACGACGAAGAGTTCTTGAGGGTTTCGGCTCCGGATGGCGACAAGTTCTTCGTCCAAAAGGAGATCGCCGTGATGTATGGATGGGAGGAGGATAAGTGGGACAAGCAGAAGGACAGCTGAACGACGAGAGTGGATTGATTCACATCGCTGCTGAACCGGGAAGACGAAGACGGCTTACCTCAAACATGATTGAATTTTGTCCAACGTTTCCAAGCAACTAGTGTCCTTAGATGATTACATGAATGCAATTTCTCTTACCAAACCAGACTTGACCCAACCTCTGGCAAAATTCCTCCCAGAACCTAGTAGGACTAAAATCCACCATACACGACCGACCCAGCCGTCGTACCATATTCCCAAATCGCGACCCCTTTTCTTCCTTGAACTCTGTACGGCTCGTGTCACCGCCCCCTCTGCAACAACAGCAAGGCCGTTCAGCGCAAAGAACTTGGCCTCACCGGCTGCACTGCTCCAATCACCTCCTAGAACACCCCTCACAGAGAACGAATGCACGAACGCACTGGACAAGAACCCGCCAAGGACCTTCCCCACGTCTGCAGGCTCATGACTGTGCTTTCCCGTAAGGCTTCTCTCAATCCACTCCCCAGGCCAAACGCCGTACACTAGGAATAGCCGAGCGAACAGCCGATGCCAGCCGTAAGACCAGAACCTGCGCACGCTCGTCACGTCCCATATGCGAGTGCTATATAGGGGCGGAAAGAAGGCTAGGGGGCTGGGCGCTAGCGGGCTAAGCATAATAGCAAACAACGAGTGGCCGAGAGAAAATGCTGCCATGAGAAATGCTCCTAGGGCACCCGTTAGGAGGAGCTGCACTAACAGGGGCAACTCCGAGTCGAAGAGTTCTCGGGATCGCCTCTCGTCGTTATTGAACAGCTCTGGCGGGTTTGCAGTCGCGGAAGAGGAAGCGGCAAGGTAACGCACGTACACGCTCTTGATGATAAGCCAGCTTACCAAGAGCACAGGAAACACGTGAACGAGGACACTGTGCAAGCGGTTTCCAACTGTGGGTAGCCAAGTCTTCCGCGTGTGCCGGACGTCTGCCGTTGTCCATGTAAAGCCAACACCTCGCATGCTCAATTCGAGCTCGAGGGCCCAAGAGGCGCGGTCTCGGAATGATTGCGGCCAGCCGGACTCAGTAGACGCCGTTTCAATAACAGGCCGTGGGTTTGGCCCGTGCAAGGTACGTTGCACGGCTAAAAAGGAGTCACAGGCGACATCAGGGATAGAATTAGACATCCTTCGGGCTATGTGGGTAATTTCCTCGGACAAGTTAGAACCTCTCCCCTCAGCAGGTTGCATACGCCTAGATCCCAAAGAATCATCAGCTCGTACGGGTTTGCCAACCGCAGGATCGGATTTGGCCACGCGCTTCTCGCTATATAAGTCGGACTCTTCCACTCCCCCGTCGGACCAATCCGTGGCGGATCCGGTATCCTCCGGAACAGGTGTGTGGGCCCTTGACTTGTGCACATAGTTGACTCGTCGAGGAATATGCTTGAAGCAATAGGGGCTTATGAAGAAGACATCCATGACTCTGCATCCACCGTATAGACCGACCAGTCCGAGCTGATATGTAAGTCCAATACTCTGAGGCACATGGTAAGCAAGTGGTAGACGGAAGAAAAGAATTCCGGCTGTTAGAGCAAGGATATTCCGGATTACGTTGATACGTGTAGATTGGACGGCAGGAGGTGGAGGTGGAGCAAGGAGAAGTAGAGCAAGATAGTAAGTCAAAGGAGGCAGTAGGGCTGCGATGAAAGTCAGAGGTTTACTTCCTGGTATAGGATGAAGACCTAAGCGCGGTTCTGGGTCGAAGATGAAAGCGTGAAGTTGGGTAAAGCATTCAGAAAGGGACGCTACCATCCCGTTATTACCTGTGGCTTGATAGTTTATATTCCGAGACATGGTGCAACATATCTAGGTTAGTATGTACTAACCAGGTAATTACGCATTTAATGTTGATAGTAGGAGGCTTTTGAAATCATTTGAAACCTGGAGATGCGACTACCTAGGGTAAGACTTAAGGTACCCAGGTAAGGTAGTACCGATGACGTGTGTACCCTGGTAATATCTCCAATAACAAAGATAAAGTTTCTTGGTACTGGGCACTTTCCCCAAGATCTCGAAAAATGCACTAGTACCCCTCACAGTATGGATTAGCACCTGGCCGCCTGGGCACTTATTTAGGCGGTGCAGGGGTATACCGTACCTTCCTCCTATGGAATTTTAACAGTTGATGTTATTCAGGTGTGCCTACCTCAACGCTTGCTTTTCGCTTTTTATTTCTCTTTTTTACGTCAAGGCGTGATTATTTTTCATTTTCTAACTATTGTTTAGTTAAAAATGACTAAGCAGCAGCAGCCGTCCATCTCACTCATATTTTCTAGGGATAATAATCCGGTCACCTAACCACACCTTAAAAAACAACAGAAAGCATCACCACCATCATCATTACCACCAATATCGTCACCTTCATACATACCATCATACCATGTCATTGGAACAACTACCTTCTGAGATTTTATCCGAAATCTTCGGTTATCTCACCTATCGGGACGGTTATCTGTATGAAAGTCGTGGGTACTCCAGTCTCTGTGCTCTCGCTCGCACATGTCGGCGTTTCTCGGATATTGCTACTACAATCTTCTATACACATCTGACTCTTGATGTCAATTGGGTAGACACCCAAGACCATATACGAACCTGCAGCCTCAACAGATGTTCTGACGCAAATCCCTCTCTCGTAAACCGTATTGATTCCGCCGAGATTGATTGGGACTATGTAGACCTCGAGTCTTGTAACAAACTCGTCAGTCACTTAGCCAAGTCAACCACTTTAACCAAACTCACCTGCATCCTCCATCGCGCACGATGGGAAGCACTTCCGGCCTTGTATGACTACGCTAGCGGCAGCTTCCCCTGCCTAAGACATCTAACCGTTGAGCTAATCGAGTTTAACAATTATTGGGACTACTTGCCTGTCGAACAACTAGAGAAACTTTGCCAGCTACCGGCATTGGAAAGCCTTACCATCCGCGTGCCCATAGGAGAACCCAAAACAGACGTCAGGCCAAAAATGATACTCACCAACTTGACCCATTTAGACTTCGATTACCGCCCCGTTTCTTTCGAGGCTTTAAAGTCGATACTGCCGAGGGCCCCCAACTTAGAGTATTTACATCTCAGTCTTCCAGGTTATGGTCAAGAGTTTGAACGAAAGATGTCTGATGACATGGCAATTCCAGGATACGAACTAACCGGGGTTTTACATTCCGCACACTACGGAACCCTCCTAGCTCCCGTGGCAGGTAGTCTTAAGGAGTTGGCGTTGGATGGTGATAACGTATTATTCACTCAGCACGACGGCACCACCATCGATTTATCACAGTTCGTGAATCTGTATCATCTTGAAGTCACTGCGTCTGTTCTCTTCGGCCCTCACGACACTGCAGCATGTTGCCCATGGCCTCGGGACGTCCGGAAGGCACTCCCACCACATTTAGAGGCACTCCATTTGACGTTTGATGGTGACCAAGGCATGTTCTGGTCTGTCGAACAGATGAGGAAGCACCAATCTTCGCAGACCTTCGATGAGCTTTGGGCATTGAGGCTTGAAAACCATCATGTTGACTGGCTCGTTGAACTTCTTCATAGAAATAGCGTCAAAAAATACCCGCTCAAGACCGTTACGATCAGTGAGCAGCCCGTAATTGACCGAAATCAGAGCTGGAAGGTGGTGATATGGTACGGGACAGATTACTTGCAAACTGTTGCAGGTGAGGCAGAAGTGGATGTTTCTATCAGACTACTCGTTCCTCGAGATTTTGAATCTCCTGAGGTTGAGGTTTGGGAAGAGTCCCCTGCGTTTGGTAGAACTGGAACATACCCACCGTCGGCCTAGTATCGTCTTGCGAATACAAAAGTTACCTATGAGGAATAGCTGGTTCATCGCCGCAAAGGTATTGCCTGTCTCATGCTTAGGAGTAATATGTGCATCTTTCCCAAGGCTAAACCTGAACCTAGTTAGGCACTTGGAGTAGGTAATGATAATCGATGTGATGTGAACCTTTGTGTTCGCCTACTTTGTTTGCGTTTTGGTGGTTAATATAAACTTCCCTTTGTCTTGACGGGTAATTTAATTCAGTCCATCCAACCAACCAACCGGCCAGCCCTTGCGTCAGATGCCTCCCGTATACTTACTACCCATCGCTGCCAACGTATTCTCGAACTCTCCCTGGCCCCTAAATACAATAACAATAACAATCATCAGACAACCTACTTACTTACCTACCTACCTCACTACCTCGCCCCCCAAAAAGAACTTGTCACAAAGCCAAACACACCAGGGCACACAAGCAACTCCACGATGAAGCCTTGGACGACGACCCTCGCCCTCCTCCTCTCCACGATCGCCCCCAGCGGCGCGGCGAGCGACTTCCAGATGATCGAGTTCGAGGGCGACGACTGTTCCGGGCACATAAGGAAGGCGCATGTAGGGCTGAAGCCGGAGTACGAGCAGATCAAACGTACGTTCGTACATGCATGCATACATACACACATACCGAAACACCTCCGTACTGAGTAGAGCAGGGCAGTAGAGCACCTACCTACCTTTACATAACCAGCTCACCCCCCACTTACCTACCTACCTACATCTAAAAAAGAAATGCACATACTCACCCGTCTACACCCGCAGTGAAACCGGAAACCAACACAATCTACGCCACCACCACCAACGACGGCATCTACCGGTGGTACGCCTTCACGTCCACGACGGAAAACGGGTTCGAGTGCGCCGGGAACGTGCTGGGGCGCGTGTGGCCCGGGTGCAAGCGCCTGCGCGAGTGGCACCCGCAGCGGGCGAGGTGTGTGAGGTGGTGCAGTCTGTGGGCGGACGAGGGGGATGCGATGGCTTGTGTGGGGATTGGGGAGGGGTGAATGATTGCTTTGTAGGTACAATATGCTGGCGTACCTAGGTGTTGAGACTGGAGGATTGTGGTGAGGTGAGGTGAGGTTAGGTGAGGTGAGGTGGGTGGGAAGGGAGATGAGTAATTAAATACCTAGGTACCTAGTAGGTGGCTGGTAGCTGGTAATGGGACTGCGATGTCGACTATTCGGCGTATGATTGCTGTAATCTAGGATACACGTAGGACCATGTACTACGTATTGAATGCGTACATACTTGTCCTACAACACCGAAGAAATGAAGTATTCATCAGCCATCAGCACACTAATTCATATGGAAAAAAAGGTCACCAACTCATGAAATGCCCGATCACACGATATCAAGCAGTTCCTCTCCGAAGCCTAGCATGAAGCCAAGCACCCGGCGAGAAAACGACGAAGGCTGAAGTACGTAGAACACGACCTCCAACCTCCTTTGAGCTGAGATGATATTAGTATCTAAGGCGGTCGGCCAGTTATCACTCTTCAAAAAGAAGGCGGTAATTTGTTGTAAGTAAACCCAAGGCCTGCAAGATATTAGCAACCAAGTAGCCGCGTGATTGTACCTACCTAGCTACTGTTTTAATGTTAAAAGATTTAGATAGAAAAAAAATCAGTCTTATGGATCATGCACGGAATCTCTCCACTGGAGATGGTCTTAAAAAGTATAGAAGAAATGTCTGAATTATCCATCCCTTTCCACTTGGCTAGAGGCCAATAGGCCGATGCGGGTGTGTAAGGGGAATGGGGATCAACAAGAGGATAGGAAACAAAGGGGCAAGAAGACCGACAACGACACAACTGTGTCGAGTCGGCCCTCAGCCTACTAAATTACACATTGTAAACCAATCCCAACCCTAACGGAGGGCTGGTTTTAAACGCCTAAGCGACCGGGAAACAGGAAAGAAAATGGTATCATCGTGTCATCCGAGAAACGCCGTGTCTGTAAATCCTAACCGGTTCGTATGTCTGCCGTTGATTCCAAGTATGGTATTGGCCGACTCCAACGGAAAGTTCGCAAGGTTGTGCCAATATAATCCTCATACCAATTGCCCAGAATATATGCTCCTACTAAGAGCATCACCATTAGTGTGGCTTTTGTTGTATAGATATAACCTTGGAACTCTGACGGAATATGAGTTGCAACGTAGTTCACGATCATGCACTTAGTCTCTCTGAGGTCTCCGCTTCTTGACTTCGTACTCCTCGTAGCCGACGGCTGACACGTGTTCAAGGATGCTCCGTTGTCCCTCGAACATAGAATAGTTTCCCGCGAAGAGGGGGGCGAGGAGGGTATCGTGCAAAGAGTGCGGACCCTTTTTCTTAGAGAGTTCCGCCATGCGCTCTTTGAGAACCTTGTGAGCATGAGCGAAATGAGCCATTATCATTGGTGTGTTGCTCGAGCCACCCGAAATGTCATTCTCGGGGTTATTAGGGTCAATGATAGAGATACGGTCGAAGTTGCGATAATTGATTCCTCTAACATCGGTCTAGGTCGATAAAGATAGCTTAGTTAGTACACATTCTAGAAGCAATTCGGGTAAAACGCACCTTCGAGATTAGCATTGGTGGGCTTAGACAGATAGCCACCGTCTTATACTTGAAATGATTGCCATAGTAATCGAAGAACTCCATAAGAACTTCGCCTAGATGATGTTCGGGCACCATAGTACCACTTTGGATTTGTGGGACTTGGTTGAACAAGTTGACAATCATACAGATGACGGAGAAACCGCCAATGCCACCATTGACCGGCTCGTTTAAGCCGCGCATCATTAGGAACTGTTTGATGATGGAAACCAGGATCGGCATCGCAGGATACCGTTTCTTCCACTGGAGGAACGTCTCGATGGCATAATGGCCACTGAGGTTCTCGAAAGAAATATCCACCTTCAAACCGGTTCGCTTATCGGTATACTTGAGAAGGGGTACTTTAGCTTTGGCAATGACATTGATGTCATTATTGTAGGCTGCGCGATGGTAAAGGAGGTGGGTTCGTAAATTATACAGGTCCTTCTTCCGGTCATAACGCGGTTGACGATAATCACAATAGCTCTGCGAGCACACTGCAATATCCATATCCGAGGTCGGTAGATACAGACCCGACGTAAACGAGCCGAATGGATATATATCCGCATCCGACCATTTCTCCTTCACAAGCTTTCGGAGGTTCTCAATTAAATCCCCCCGAACTCGATTCTCAAAATCGAGGGGGCTCACAAATTTGTAGAAATCGAGGACCTCGAGGTGGAGGCTAAAAATAGATTAAAAATGAGCACAAATGTAGAGAAAGGATGGAGGGGCATGAAGGGTTTTGTTTACCGTGTTGCTATAGAAGATACCTCTGAATGATCAGTTGTTGACCAAGGGCACGAATTATCATCGACAGGTCGCCATTCTGGCACCATATTTCCAGGTGTGATATGCATCTTTGTAGATGGCTTTGATGAAGATTGTGGTAGTAATTTGAATGATTCGTCGTATGTGCGTTTTCGAGAACCGAAAATGTTAGAAGGTGTTAGGTCAACGGGATTGGTGTTGGTGCTTGCACCATATGCACCATTTGTACCATGTGTGCTTGAACTTGGTGCGCCAGTTGATGTAGCTTCAGCGTGTGCCTCGTAAGTGGATAAGGAAATGGGAGGTTTAGGTGGGAGAGTTGATGAGGTAGATAAAGGTGCAGACGTGTTCGTGCCTGAAAGTTGTACCGCACCAACTTTTTTAATAGACTCTTGCGACCTCTCGATTCTAGTCGTTCCTCTCCAATCCTGTCCCTCTGCATCATGACTCACACTGTGTTTATTGTAATCATTGCGGTTATTTTGAGTCCTTGGGTTTTTTTTGTTGTCGTACCTGTTGTCCTTCTCGTCACCACTCAAATCACATGAAATGAAGTCCAGTCCCTCTGTTTGCGTCGTCGGCTTCTTTGCTTCAGCCTCCACACGCGCCTTACGAATTAATTGGACCATATCTTTCTTCTTGCGCGTGCTTTCATCAGGAGGAGGGAGGGCTGTATATGGGTCAGGATTCGACCATCTTGGTACTTCTTGTTCTGGCTTTGAAGTTGTTGCAGCCGATGTGCGCGCACGCTTTCTTGCAGGCTCGTCTGCATCCGAGTCCGAGTTGTCCGAGTTGTCCGAGATGTCCATAGCAGCCTCGTCGCTATCTGAAAGCTCATCAACATCGCGGTAAGTAGCTCGCCCAATGGTATTTCCTAGCATTAGTTCTGCACTGTCATCATGTTTTTTACGCAGGAGAAGCCGGTCAGCTGGCAGTACTTTTTCATAACGTCCCGTGCGGGGCCGACCGGCGTTCGATGGATATTGGCGTTGCTGGCGTCTACGATCATCAGTACGACGAGGGCGGGTATCGCGACCTCCTGATCTCTCGTTCTCGCCATGACGTAAACGATGAGATGAGCTTCGTTCATCGTCATATCTGTCTCTACTATAAATGCTGTGTGTGGCAGGTTGGAGATAGAATGGTTCATACGCTCTTCCAAAATCTCGCTCTGGGGGACGATATGAATCGTAGGATTCTATGCCGGAAGGACGTTCGACGCGAAAGGTAAAATCACCTTGAGGAGGCCGATGGCTGTCACGGTCGCGATAATCGTCATTGGATCGATGGCGGTCGTCTGAGCGAGTCTGACGCAGGCTAGAATAGGGGCCACGAAATTGGTGTTCACTCCTTCGGTCTTGTTGGCTTTGATGATCGTTCCATGATCGGTCTGTAGGGGGTGGTGGAGGAAGAAATGAGGGCGGCGGTGGCTGCGGAGGTTGCGGCTGTCGATCGTACCTCTCATGGCTTTGAGGTGGCGGAGGACCAGATGATGAGGCGGGATAGTTATTTCTATTCATCTTGGGCAGACCAACGCTTTTGTCGTCGAGATCGAATATTGGAATGAATGCTCTGTTCTGATCCTTGGGATAAGTGGAAGAAAGAATGAAAAAATAGTCGTTGCGCGAGGAATGCGGGCTGGGTACAAAGTCGTACAAACCTCTGGAGCTAGTGCTACTTGCTAAAACGCGCAATTCCGCGATTGGCTCGGACCATTTACATTATCTTTATTAATCTTTAAGCTAAACCCTACACAGCTTTATGATTTACATAATATAGTTATTCCGGAGAAATCCCGGCTTATTCTTTTACCATCTTCATCAACATTGAAGTCCAGTAACCTTCCTAGTATCTTTATACTCTAGAACAAATCAAAGATTCAGTATTTAATCAAAACAAGATTCTAACAGATTTCTCTCTGGAACAATGCTATCTCCACACAGGTACCTAGCTATATCTCACTCAATGCTTCATTCAGTCGAACTTGGTAATCCAGGTATTAGCCGCCATATCACTACTACCTCTCTGCTTTCTAGAATCCATAAGAACAGGACCAATGGATATATTCGATCACATACTTCTTGATGAAAACAATGATGTGTAAGTACATATAAGGCATTATAATACGTTCCCCGCGTAGAGTTGAGCTTTTCTATTGATGGCCGCTTAATTTCTTTATATTATCACGGATCACTACGTCCCGTCTCCCCTAATGCGGTGTCGCGATGTTCTTCTTATAAGTGAGTCTGCAATTCCTATGCTGAGCGATAGCTCTCTGGCCATCCCACTTTGGCTCGAACACGGATCAAGAAGTAAACATGAAGGTACAATCGATTATTCTCGGCCTCTCGGCCCTGGCCTCTGGCCATACAATTTTCCAGAAAGTGTCGGTCAATGGGGTTGACCAAGGACAGCTAAAGGGAGTTCGCGCCCCTGACAGTGACTATCCTATCCAAAATGTCAACGATGCTGCCTTCGCTTGCAATAAGGACCTCAAGCACACTGATAGCACTGTCATCACCATTCCAGCTGGAGCAAAGGTTGGCGCCTGGTGGGGACATGTCATTGGAGGTGCTCAGAGCGCGAACGATGCCGACAACCCAATTGCAAAGAGTCATAAAGGTAAATCAAGTTGGATGACTATATATACCTAAACTTGGTAGATGCTACTCATGTTGCATAAACATCTAACCTCTCTAGGCCCGATCTCGGTGTATTTAGCTAAAGTGGACAACGCCGCCACCGCCCAACCGACCGGCCTCAAGTGGTTCAAAGTTGCCGAGGATGGTCTGAGTAACGGACAGTGGGCGGTCGACAAGATGATTTCTAACAACGGCTGGCATTACTTCACCATGCCTACATGCATTGCGCCCGGCGACTATCTTATGCGAGTGGAGCTCATCGCTCTCCATGGCGCCCAAATGCAAGGACAAGCACAGTTTTACATGGAATGTGCACAGTAAGATACCATTCCCTATTTCTTATTGTTTCCTCCAATAAACCAATATCTAATGCGAAATTAGGATTCGGATTACCGGCTCTGGAACCAATGCTGGCTCAAATTTCGTTAGCTTTCCCGGCGCTTACAAGGCTAGCGATCCTGGCATCCAAGTCAACATCTATGACAACAGCGGAAACCCATACATGGGTGGTCAATCGTACAAGATTCCTGGTCCGTCTGTACTCACTTGCTAGCTTGGAGATAGTGTATAGGTGCGTCGTAAGCTCTACATGTTACCCGCATATATTCCTTGCCTGAGACTAATATGAGTTTCGGCTTCCTATCTCTAGTCTATGGTTTGGCGATGCTTGATAATAGCACAATCCCCGAACCCGAGGCATCTGGATCTTATGTTTAGAGCCTCATGTTTTAGTCTAAAGAGATATTCGCACGCTATGTCCGAGTGCCCAGTAGGGATCGTAAAGACATATGTTAATAAAAACTATATCTAGCTCGAGAATTATTATATCTGTCAGATCCAAATGAAGACTTCTACCCACTACTGGTATTCATCAGATGACCGTACGTCCTTTTTAGGTGATCATTTTTTAATAATATCCAATAAACCCAGGTAAGGGTAGGAGATCGTTCTGATATATTTCAGAGAGTTGAAGAACCAATCAGGTAAATGGGCAGCTTTTCTGTCGGCCTATTAAGAGTATTCACAGCTTTCCTTCTTCCTTTCGAGTTAACTCATATAACTTAAGCTTACTGAAAACTGATATATTCGATGGGATATAGAATAATCACCTAAATAGATAAGTATTCCAGATCGATGCTACCGTTACACAAGATCTGCTGGTACATACAGGTACATACTACCTACCTACCTTGGTAGGTAGGTGGTAGACTGGTAGTATTAATAGAATCTCGAGTTCGGTTACCGGTACCTGGGTGGGTACTAGGTTATGTACATAGGTACTAGCCAGGTCAACCCCTATTAGCCACAACGCCCAGTACGTCCCCATCACATCATATATCTCTCCAGAATCCTCAAGCTGAGATCATACCCGGAGCTAGCATTAAATGAATGAATCCTTCAGAGCGTACTTGGGCCCATTGTACCTTCGTATCAATGCATATAAAGCATGCTTGGTGTGCATTGCTGACGCCACAACAATGTTCGAGGTGCGGTCTAATCCTTGCCCCCCTTTTTACCTAAATCAGCAGTAAGATTCATAGGTATATCGAAGCCCTAGATGGGTTTTGATTCAAATGTACAAGTTACCTACAAGTTTATGATGTGTTGTCGTAAGCAGCCCTGAAGATATATCTCATAAATCAGGCCTCGCATCCCCTTCTATTTCCCCATGTCTGTCTGCCTACATCCCTAAGTCCTAGAACGAGTCCGTCCGAAAGTAAAGACTCTTGGAGAACATTTCTTCAGTATGTTGTCTGTTAGTTTGGTAGTATCGACAGTTTTAAGCTTGTCAAGTGCTATTGTTATCAATCCCTCGCGTAAGGCATCTTCGAAACATCCTCAGGCATGACAGCTTGATTAACAACCATCGCAGCAGAGCCCTATCCATCTCCTGATCCAGAACAGACTGTTATACGATGGCTTCCAAGTGCTCAGAAGGTTCGCGGTGTCAATCTTGGATCGCAGTTCATAGTGGAGCCTTGGATGGCTCAGGATGAGTGGAATAGCAGTAAGCATCCTCAACTACGGTGTTGAATGATGGATTCACTCATTCGGCATCTTATTATTGTATCCATACCTATCATTGAATAACACTTTACTTACACTAAGCCATGTAGTGGGATGTGGAGGCACCAACGACGAATGGCAGTGCGTAGAGAGACTCGGGCAAGACGCAGCAGACGCGGCATTCAAGAAGCACTGGAGCACCTGGACCACGCAGAGCGACATATCACAGATCAAGAACCTCGGCCTCAACACCGTCCGCATCCCCGTCGGCTTCTGGATCCGCGAAGACCTCGTCAACCAGGGAGAGCACTACCCTCGCGGCGGCCTCGAGTACCTCGACCGCCTCGTCGGGTGGTGCTCCGACGCCGGGCTCTACGTGATCATGGACCTGCACGGCGGGCCGGGGGCGCAGTTCCCCAACCAGCAGTACACGGGCCACGGCGTGGGGTACCCGGGCTTCTACACGGCCGAGAACTACGAGCGCGCGTGCAAGTTCCTCGAGTGGATGGCGGAGCGCATCCACACGAACCGCAACTACCGCAACGTCGGCGCGCTCGAGGTCATGAACGAGCCCGTCCACGCCAGCGACTACGGGTCCCAGGCCGCGGACATGATCGCGAATTTCTACCCCAAGGCGTGGAGCCGCATCCGCGACCGCGAGAACAAGCTCAACGTCACCCCGAACAACCGCTTACACATTCAGATGATGGTAAACATCCCCCATCCCCCCCCCCTAAAAAGCCTCTATCGAGGTGATGATCTAACATCAGCAACAGGACACATCCTGGGGCTCCGGCGACCCGAGCAGCCACCTGCCGGACAAGACCTTCGCCATGTACGACGACCACAAGTACTACAAGTGGGACCCGTCGGTGGCCACCAACAAAGCCGGGTACATCGCCGCCGCATGCCGGGACAACCGGGGCGGCAGCGACGTGATCGTGGGGGAGTGGTCTCTCTCCGTCGCGGACTCGGTGCAGTTCAACGACGAGTTCCAGATCAGGAACCGGCCCGACCAGGTGGCGTGGTACCGGCAGTACTGGGCGGCGCAGGCGCAGACGTTCGAGAAGTCGGGCGGCTGGGTCTTCTGGACCTGGAAGTGCAACTGGATCGGCGGCATGGACGAGTGGCGCTGGTGCTACCAGTCCGCCGTCGCGGCGGGGGCCATCCCGAGGGATGCCGCGAGCGCCGCGAGTCTGCACCCTTGCTGATAGACAGGTGCCTGCTACGATCAGTAGGTACCTAACCAGAGTAGACCGTTGTTAATACAGGCGTGCCTTATTCTCCTGGCAAGGGATGCCTTTTTTAAAACCAAAGAAACGATTCCTATATTTCAATAACAGGAATGGTACCTTATCCTAGCCTTTCAATCATCATTTTGAAAGGCTGTATCTAAAACTTTTTGACATGTTCTGGTCTAGGTACCTACCAACCTATGATGTAGCAATACCTCATGGCACTCAAAGAAATCCAAACAATCCCCCTATCACAAAGGCATCGTTTACTAAGAATACACCAAAGACCCGAGCAACAATAGGATTGACGCAACACTCTAAGATCTATGTTTAAGTCTCGATAAGAAAGGCCGGCATGGCTGAAACCACTAGAGAATTCCATTGTCCTTCCAACTTGTGATAAAATTTCGCGCAGGCCCCAGACTACCGATGCGAAAGGCGTGTAAAACCTCACCTCTTTTTTCTCTCCTGACTTCCTCTTACTCGGTGCCTTAGTCGTGCTTCTGTCGATCTCTTTACCAGTTGCGTTGCATGCCTGAGGTAGGTCCTTTATATATCAAACTCGAACAAGCAAGACGGTTCTCTCTTAAGGCGATAAGCCTGGCCGATCCTGCCCCCAGCGGCTTGATATCCATACCTACCTACTCTGTCTGCACCGCGTTGCGTCTATACTAAGCCGGCCTTGGTAGAACCAAACACCTAAGTTGAGTGAAGCACACACTGACACACTGAGATTGGATTGGGGAGTTTTACTACTTTGCTAAAGAACAAACTGCACTTGACTTCCAAGGATCGCGATTTCACCACCCACTTACCTGCTAGGTACCTACCCAAGCACGTAGTTCATTACTCACCGGAATCGGCAAGATGTGCCGAAAGATCTTCCACCACCAAATGCACCACGACGTGCGCACGTTCATGATTCTCGACCCGAGCATCGAGCGCCAGGCCGTCTTCGTCAACCCGCGACACACCAGTTTCCACCGCTGCGAGCTCTCGCCTCCCACCGCAGGAGCATGGCCGCCGAACAAGCCCCACCAGCCGTCGTTCAAAGCACCTGCAAAGTCGTCGCCGCCAAACGAGTCGCGAGCGACCTCTGCGACGATGGACGCAGAACAACAAGAAGAAGAAGAGCAGCAGAACACGCTCGGGTGCCAGTACCACACCTGCTGCATCTGCACGGAGGAAATCGAGTTCTGCGACAAGTTGCTCGGCAAGCAGTGTCCGCGAAAGCCCGGGTTTAGAGTTCCCGACTCCGACTCCGACTCTGACGAAGAAGAGGAAGAGCAAGAGCAAGAGCAAGAGCAGAAACAAGAAACACGGAAACAGAAACCAAAAGAACCAGAAAAGAAAAAGCAAAAATCAGAAGAACCAGCAAAGAAGAAGCAGAAACAAGAAACCCAGCAACAAAAAGCCGCCGAAAAAGAAGCCTCCCACGAGCCCGAGGAATGCGCCCTCTTCACCCTGCAGCACAGGCACACCCAGCTGCCCTACTTCGGGCTGCCCGGGACCCACGACCCCTTCCCCTCGACCTGGAACACGTCCGCGAAGGAGCTCGACTCAGACTGGGCGGGGTGGTTCCAGCGGGACGAGGCGGAGCAGCCGGCGTGGGAGGAGAAGTTCTTCCTCGCGTGCGAGAAGCTGTACACGCTGGAGCAGGACGCGAAGACGCAGTTCCTCGTGTACCGGGATCTGCTGAGGGTGCTGCTGGCCACTATGATTACGAGGGACACGAAGAACGCTGGTGGCAGTGGTAGTAGCAGTAGTAGTATCAGCGACTACTACGCCACGCGATTCACGGCCATCAACGGCAGCAATAACAACAATAACAACAACTTGAACATCAACGGCACCAACAGCGGCCACAACACCAAGCACAACACCAACGGGGACGACAACGGCGACAACGGCGACAACGACGCCGACATCCGCTACAAGAACGCCCTCGGCCAGGCGCAGCTTGAGGTCGCCGAGAGCGGCGTCGAGCGCGCGCAGGTGCGGCTGACGGAGCAAAAGGAAAAAGTCACCGCGCTGATGTGGTGGGCGCGCGGCGTCGAGCGCGACGACCTGCCGTCGTTCGTGCCGATCTGGTGGATTCGCATGTGGGCTTTGAAGGACGAGGCCTTTACCGACTATTAAGTTGGGTGAGCTGGGTACCTTGCTCTTGGTGTGCGTGTGTGTGTTCTTTTCGTCAGTAGGTAGGTGTTACCTCTATATATATACATATACCTAGTATGCCTCTCTATGGTAGGTCAGGTATTTTGGCGTTCGGGTTAAGGAAAAGTAATAATGGCGTAGGCATTCTAGATTTATGGGTGAGCAAGACACCCTAAGTTAGGTAGGTTATCATTAGTAGTTTTACTTGAATCTGTTTCTCGGGATTTTGAAATAGGAGGGTGCTTTCAACTCCTATTCGGTATACGATGGGTATCATGTTTGAAGTTAGGTTAGTTTGAAGATTCAAAGATTCAAGATACACAATATTCTTTCTTGACCCAGACATCAATGATAGGTGAAAGAATGCATGGTGATGAAAAACTGAGGAGAAAAGGTTCCATGAGTTTCTCGGACTTGAAAAACACACAAGTTAGATCCGCAGACCGGACATTTGGTCATACTTGATACCCCTTATTTGATATAGAAAGGTAGGTTAGGCATGTCTCATACTATTTCTAGTTCGAGCAGACGAAATAGGGGTATAGTCCAGGCTGATGAATAACTCAAGACCGATATATTTAGAGTCGTGATATTGTTCTACCTATCAAGGCTTGCGATGGTCCAAGGTCTATCCATGCCGTGATTAAAAGCAATGGATATGACGGATATCAATCGTGGGTAGTAGGTATTATAGCTGCTCTGTTATATGCCCAACCCTCCGAGGTCTGGAAAGTGCCGGAGCACTCCACGGAGAACCACCTAAAGCGGCAGCGCAAAGAACACACTCCTTCATTCCTCGCCAGGGGAAGACGATCTCTATAATTTCTGCAAATCTAGTTCCAGTGTCAGCCACGAGAGAGAAACATTTGGTTAGATGCTACTTTTAGCTTTTATCCGGAGTTCCTAATCTTAGGTTAGGTGCCTACATACCAAGTGCTAGGCGCGTAGCACCCAACAGCATATAGTCTTAGTAATTATAGAAGTCCCGTTACACATCCCGGTGTAACCAGCCGTGGCAAGCCTCGAAACGGATACCGCTGACGCTTGACAGCTGCAGGTTACCGCGTTGGAATGCCGCGCGTTTGCCTGCTTTGAAGGATCAGGTACGTACTGGGTGGGATATAGGTAAATGCCTAGGTATGTAGGTAGACAAGATATGCCGCCCGTATCTATGAAGCTACCTTGCTCCATGTTTAGCTATTCGTACGTAGTAGCCAGTAATGGTCGAGACTTAAAAGGTGATATTGCTGCCTTTGTTATCCACCTAGGAGCTAGATATTCAGCCTTAAATATGTAACGTGCCACGATGTTAGACATCCGCCATCTACTTATGTAGGTAACATAAACGTCAAGGTTTATTGCGGTTAGAGCGTTGACGATCACTAGATCTAGACAGTGACAGTTGCAGGGATTCCGATCCCACCGAGAGCGGAACTTCGATGCTCGCCAAAACAGCTATGATGTGTGTTGTTAAACAATAACTCTTTCCAAATCTAGATATTAGCAGTCTTTTTCCTTTTGTTTCCTTTTATGTTGAATTAACTACTGCTTGATCTCAAGATTGCCGATATAACTAACACGAAACAACGGTGGGATAATACCTAGTATAACGAGCAAATGTTGATATCCATCTATAAATCTCGCGCTATTGCGTTAAACGCAGCTGTCATGATGAATATGGCAATGCTCATTTCATCGTTGCAACCCTCTTCTCTCTCTCATTCGAACGGGGGTCGTGTTAGGCAGCCTATTATGCAAGTTACTTGTTATAATTGAGTTGATGCCATAATATAGAGGGCAAGGCGTGCTCGGAACCAAAATCCGAGTATCGATGGCACTGCACGGCAAAGAAAGGATCTGGTCTCAGTGCATTGCATCAGCCCATGGCAACATATTCTTGTTTTTTTCTTCTTTTCTTCCCTTTTTGACGTCTCTCCTCTGGATCTGACGCACCCCGCACGGTTTTCAATTGGTAGGGGAGCTGGATAAATTGAGCCGGCCGAGACAAATCCAATATATGCGGCTCTTGGGAATTGCAGGGTGTCGTTCAATTTATTACGTACTAGAAATCGTGATTCTTATGCATTAGACTTTCTTGTGTAGCAGTCAGGGGCAAGACGCGCTGGTACAAATCTACCCTTTTTGATCGAATAGGGGCCAGGGGTAACTATTTTGATCAAAATGCGGAGGTTGCCGGTGTAAGTGACGAAGCTAAGCAACTATGTTCCTATCGTTGCAGTCCAAATAATATGGATGAAATATTTTCATTTTCCATTTCCAGGTTACTCGGTACCTCTGCCTTCTTGAGATCGAGAGTCGGCGTTAACACAAGTCGTTAGGTTATGGATGTGGGAACATACCATGTCCAAAGGAACAGAACTTTTCGGGAAAAGATCGACGGGAATTAATATGACTATCGAGAAGGGCAGAAAGAAGCTTAAAAGTGACAGCTGTGATCAGCAAGATCTAATACCTGTTGTTACATTAGTATGAAGTCGAGGTATATCTTTATCATACTTGACTTCTCTAGCCCTCGAATCCAGTAAGCAGGCGTGTAGCAAATGTCTTCTCTAGGCCTTTGCTAGGCTGGACATCTAGATCTTTTCTTTTAGATAGCTCACAAATCACCCGGCAGAACGACCAACTCCCGAGACTGCCCCTGTAAACAATCTGTAGTAGCACGCAAGGTCATGGGTAGGATGATGTGGCAATAGGAACGGTACCCGTCGATTATTCCCTACCTAGTAGTTGCCAATCATACCAAGAAAAGCTCCAGCCCATTCTGTCGGCGACTGTTTGAGATCGGACGAATAAGATCCATCGATCTATATTGACGTTTCGATGAAAATGTCGATAGCTGGCATCGTATATACCCAACTGCTCGAGTGATATCATACAATAGGTGCCGGAGGTGATCGAAAGGTATGTTGAAGACATGATTCCATTGGGGCGCATAATCTCGAGATGCGTTGGCCTTGGAAGTGGAAGTGGCCGTATAGTATGGTAAGCAGCATAAATAGATGCATCTGGTCGCGTCGGAAGAACACATTTTGCTCTTTCTCTTCATCAGTCTCAGCAAGCAATCCCATCACGACTCGACTCTTCTATCAGCACTCCCAAGTCGTTAGCAACCTACTTCCAACTCATTCCCTCTTTCAAAATGAAGACCTCATTCTTGACACTCTTTGCCTTTGGCGGGTTCCTCGCCACTACTATTGCTAACCCCATCGCTGCTGGTAGTGTTGTCGAGAAGCGCCAGGACCTTGACGCCATCGAGACAAGTCTGGAGACGCTCTTCACTCAAGTCAAGGAGCAGACCGCCAAGATCAGTAAGCGATCCATCCCCATATGAATGGTACATGGCCTTAGATATCAGTCTAACGAAAAGCTAGACGAGACTCTGACTCCTATTCCTGATGCCGCGCCGGCGGCAGACGCAAAATCTGCTGCTGAGAGCATCGCTCCCCAGCTACAAGCCCTCGCGGACCTGTTCGAACAGGGCGCCACGATTGGAAAGCGCGCCATTCTTGATGCCCGTCACGGCAAGGAAGACATTTTCGCAACAGTCTCAATCATCTTGTGGGAGCTGCTATTCACTGTCAAGTTTATCCTCATCAAGCTTGGCCTTGGTAAGAGCCCAATACTTCTTGATTGACATAGAGACAAAACTAATACGTGGAAACATTAGGTCCCGTCTTGTTTGACTTGATCCCCGTGCTTCTTGCTACCGTTGGTCTTGTCAAGAGCCTCAACATCCTCGTTGATGGGTTGCTACTTAGCGTCAAGTTCATTGTTGACGACCTTCTCTTTGCTGTTGGCCTTGGTCTCACTGGTCTCATCTAGATGGCCGACGCAAATCAACAGATTCGTACTTTGGGCTAGGCGACCGAACTTAGTACGTGCTGAAGGGTTGTAGCTCGGGTTCTAGGTACAAGAGAAATATTGTGTCATTTTCTTTTCTCTTACGTTCCTTATTTCATTTTAATGAATGCGGCGGCGGCACATATTAGAACTCCTCGGCTGTGTCGAAAGCGACAAACAGAGACGCCCGTTTATTAAGTAGTAATGAGAACAAACGATATGCTACTACAATAGAAGTTTGACGTGAATCTAAATTTCCTTATGTCCCTAGGTTAGTGCATTGTAGAGGAGAGTCAATAGTCGGAAGTTCTAAAATGAATACGAAGTTAGAAGGAGGGGATGATTAGGGGAAGAGAGAGGAGATAAAGGAGTTTCGACAGTTTCGACATTTCCGATAGTGGGGTTGCGATTTCGACCAGGATCTTGTAGATCATACGAAAAGCTAATGCGTCTGATTGGTCAATGGCGATAGTGAAACCCAACCCTCCCTAGATACCTGGTAAGGAGATCGCCGTTGAGGCTCTTTAAGTTTTCTAAACATAGCGCCTACCTTTACACAATAGTCTCAGGTCTTAAACCTTAGCGATTGGCCAATGGGATGAAAAGACCGTCCGGACTTAAAATCCATTAACAGTAGGCACCTCGGCTACTAGTAGGTATTACTTGCTACCTAGTACGCAGTCAACCATGGATATCAGACATGAGACGAAATGCCATAGACTTGGCGTCTTGAACATGTCACTAATCGGCTACACGGATTGAATCTCGTCTTTTTGAGTGTGAGTGTTGGTGTCGATAAAAGGTATGAGGCATCCTCGTCTCGATTTATGATCGACATTCTTCTAGGTTAATCATTTATCACTTTTTTGCTTGTTTCTTCTTCATATCCTTCTGGAAGGGGTTCTTTCGTTTTCGTTTCTTTTCCCAATTCGTTCGTTTCTAGCCAGGATTAGATATCCCCTTCTCTGCTGATCATTCAACACTTGCCTTTCTTGAAAGCAACAAAACATCAACTCAAATAACATATACCGAAGATGCGTGCCTCACTATCTATCGTCTCCCTCCTGGCCGGAGCTGTCGCCGCGGCACCCGCACCGAAGATCCCCTTCGTAACGGCCACTGACGTCATACCTGCCCCTGCTGTCAACGCCCGACAAAGCGCAAGCCAAGCGTGCTTCGTGATCGGCTCCGAGACGCTGCCAAAGGAAGTCTCCGATGTTGCCGCCGCTTTAGCTTCATCGGTGACCTGCGACAAGTCTGCGACCACCATTGCCAACGTTCCGGATGTGACCTCTGGGTCTACGACTTTCTCTTCCATCGACTTCAGCCAGTCAAGCCAGACTGCGCTGCAATTCGCCCTATCGAAGTTCGCAACAGCCAACCCACTCGCTGACACCGACCTGCAGACCTTCCAGGATATGCTGGATGTGTACCAGGCGACGGAGGCAGGCATCCGCAGTGTGGGCGGATCTCTCGCTATCAAGGTGCCAAAGTTCTTTTTGGAGATGCAAGTTAGCCGAATCCAAACTGCGCAGGGTAACCCACCTACCGCTGCCGGACTTCAGGTAGACCACCTTCGCGACAAGGTCCTTAAGAATGCACCGCGTGAATCCAAGGACTTGCTCGACCAGGTTACACAGCTTGCGACGGTGTTGAGTTAGAGAATAGAAGATAAAGAAGAGATATAGTTAGCGGTCTATACCAGCGACGGAACTCGCAGATACCTTCTAAGACAGTCGCAATAGCGTAATTGATATTAGCGTATGACGAGTAGAAACATCCTTATTCTATGAACAGTGTTGTAGCAATCCCTAGGTCGATTGCGTCTATAAACGCCAGTGCTCGCAGCGCTTATGTCTATTCGTACTTAGACATATATGTACATGGATTATATATTTGGTGATAACAAATCGTATTTTACACATCTCTCCACCTGTATGAAGCCATTAGTAAAGGTCATAAGTGTGACGATAATAAAAAAGATGGAAACAACTTACATCTTCTATGCTGGCCTTCATGAATCTTCTTGCCTCTAGCCCCGCCCAAACGAAGAGCATGGAGAAATCGCCGCCTTTCATCATCTCCGCCCCGCTTTGTGCTCCCAGTTGTCTAAGGATTGGTAGCGAACTACTCAAGAGATCGACGTTGGGGTCGAGGCTGCGACCGATACCCTCAAGGAGTAATATACTAATGACGACATTTACAAAATCGCCTTCTAACCTCACGTGATGATGTCTGACCATGTCTAGAACCTGTTGTAGAATGTCCCCGATTTTGACGTTGCCTAGAGCAAGGGTGGAGCTTTTGACATTCAAAACGAGATGTTGCATCTTCAAGGCGAACACTTCCTTATCAATGACAAGGTCAGGTTGACGGCAGCGTTCACACATCAAGTGGCCTGCCTTGTAACCGTCAAACTCGGCAACGGCGCGGAAGAGGTCTAGAAAGTTGCGACGGTTGGTCGCATTGAGCTCCGTTACGAGTCCCGTGTCAATGAATATAAGCTGTGGTCTGAATCCTTCCTCATCGATTTTCTTCAGTTCCGCTTCCCAAGCCGCAGGGTCTTTGCGCTTGCGATACGGGCGAAGGCGTGCGAGTACTTTCTCGGTAACATCAGCCTGTTCCTCAGGATGGGGCTTCTGGCCATGGCTCTGGTTACGCAAGCTAAGATTAGGCTGATGTGCTTGATAGAAGCGAACCATGATATTGCCAGGATGTAGATCAGCGTGCACAAAGTTGTCAATAAGTAGCATGCGCAAGAAAGCATCAAGACCTTCCTGAGAAATATCCTGCTGGAAAACACCACCCCCATTCTCCAAAAAGTCTGCTAAGGGTATACCTTGTGCAAACTCTTCGATTAGCACTTCCCGGGTTGTGAATTCGAGATAGGGGAATGGAAACCAAGTTGTCGTGCGGTCCTTAAAGTTTCTCCGGAACTTGGCCAAGTTGGCTGCTTCTATACGAAGATCAAGTTGGAGCTTCATCATCTCTCCAAACTGGGCAACTTCGTCGGGCAGGGATAACCACTCGATAGTAGGTACTACATTAAGGACCGAAGCAAAGAACCCCATAATACGGATATCGCGACGAACAGTTCGTTCGACACGCGGGTGTAGAACCTTGACGGCGACATAAGACGAGGGAACACGTTTCGGTACACTCTTGAGAACGGTGTCGACTTTTTGGCGGACATTTTTTCGGAGATTACGTCGAGTATCCAAAATATCGATATCGCCTGGGGCGGTAAGATCGGGTTTTAACTTGGCTTTGTATACCTGTGCGATAGCGCCTACACCCAGGGGTTTCTCGTGAAACTCTTCGAAAATGTCCTCGAAGCTCCTTCCATCGAATGCCTTTTGAACTATTCGCATGGTAGCTTCTAGGGAGTGTGCCGGGGCATTGGAATGGAGTTTAGACATGATATCACACATTTCAGTGGGGAAAATATCAGTCCTAGAGGCTGCCCATTGACCAAGCTGCAAGATAGATAAGTCAGCTCTCTACTCATAATGCGATTGTGTCAATACTAGCACACCTTGATGAAGGCTGGGCCAGCCGTTTCCATAGCCTTGACCAGCAGATTATACCACCATAGCGTTCCAGATCTCTCGTTGTCATGATTTGGTTGGCGACTCCCGAACCATATGGCTGGAACAGAAATGATAACCGGGATGAATATAAAGACTAGTTCAACGAATCTGATGCCGGTGCATAGAGGCTCCCAGAGATAAGAGTCGAAAAAGATAAATATCTTGTGACCAAAACGATATAACCCTTTTTCATCAGCTTCAACCTTTTTCTTTAACTCATCTCGTGATACTTCTAGCATACGACCCTCTGCTGTTCCTTCTGCACTTGTGCTATCTTTCTCGGATAGCTTCACGAAGGCCGCAGTGCCAAGAGCAGCATGGGCCGTAGCGCGGAGTATCCGGGTCTTGGATTGAGAGTTCCGCCATGATGAAGGGCCAGGGAGCCGGTGTCTAATAGTTGAATGCCATCGCCCGAAACTTATGGTGGTCTTGGGGGCTTGAGAGAAAGCTCGGCGCGCGCAGTTCCGGCCAAGTAAGAGGACCGGTCTCATTTCTATACAGGTTCTAGGATTTTGTATGTGAGAAATTATAACGGAGATGTAGTTTTGATTGGCATGATGGGCCACCCAATCGTATGCAAGCTATTAGTGTAAAGCCGACAAGTTCCAACTTGGAGGTTTTCAGAGATATGGGTATGCTATTCACACATTGTTGCTATTCCATGCAGTTAATTGGGTTGAAGCTTTCTAGGATCGCGTAGCTCGGAAGCACATGCGAGTGATACGGGTATTGGGTAATGTGACGTAGTAGATTGCTATCGATAAGCCAGACACGCGCTTCTAAGTTCAAGGCTTGCAGTTCTGGCAGTGTGTAGCCCCACTTCGTGACGGCTCCGTCTTTCCACAATCTGATGACTGATAAGGTTTTGCTAACTGACTCAACCCGAGCGCGGCAAATTATGTAGGCTTCTTTTTTTTTCTAGAAAAAAAAATTAAACTTGAGTTAATCAACTTGAAGGCGACATACTTATCCTTTTCTTCTCAAGATATTAGAAGCTGAATATAGATTCAACTTTTATATATCTTTGTGTCCCTATATTCCCCCTATTTTCATATCACTCTACTTTCTCCTCTTCTATACTTGTCTCGATATCAATTAGAACCATGGGTTGGTTTTGGGCAGACGGTCTTCAGACTGGAGCCCAATCGCGATCCTCGTCGCATTACAACCTTCCTGCACGAGATGGCTCTAGATCTCCCCCTGTAAGTCGCTATACAATGGATATGGCCAGTGTAGAGATATAGTCATTAATGCTTTCCTAATTAGCCAGGTTGCCCAATGCATCAGAAATCCGCCGATGCCATCACCCCTCCCTCGGCTTGTCCCGTCAAGCATGCCCCGCCTTCATCGGAATCGCCTTCGTCATGCCCCGTTGCTCACGACTCTCGTCCATACGTAAAAGAGGCCGAAAGCCAATCGGCGTTCTCAAAACTCAATCCCCTTAACTATATGTTCCGTGACCTATCTCAAGCCCCGGCAGCAAACCAAACGCAAGCGCTTCCTACGTCACGAGAACCATCAACTATTCCCAGGGGCGATGGCGACGGTAACTGGGAGTACCCATCTCCGCAGCAAATGTACAATGCTCTATTACGCAAAGGCTACACCGATACTGATGTCACCGCTGTTGAAAGTATGGTGAGCGTTCACAACTTTCTAAATGAGGGAGCATGGGCCGAAATCATGGATTGGGAGAAAAGATTTGCCGGTGGCTTGTACAAAGGCTGGCGCCTGTGCAGTCATGGAGAACAAAACTTCGACACGATGGCCAAACAGTACGGATACGATAAGGAGGTCGAAAATCTGAGCCCGGGTCTAGTCAGATTCCAAGGCCGTCCGAAAGACATCACGCCCAAGGCAGCCATGTTCCAGGTGATGGGTTGGATATATCCAGGAGCCTTCGGGTAAGATGGAAACAAATACTTTGATACATGATGCAGATATAAGCTAACGAGAATCATAGGACTGAACCGCCATTTGATCGACACGATTGGTATGTCTCTAGAAATACCGATGGCCAGCAAAAAGAAGTTCGTTATGTCATCGATTACTACGAGGGGCCACCGGAGCCTTCTGGCGAACCCGTATTCTACCTCGATGTACGACCGGCCATGACGGTAACGGGAGCCGCCGAGAGAGCGTTACGATGGGGATGCGACGTGTGGTGGAAAGCGATAGGAGGTGACACCCGCGAGCAAAATCTCCGAGAGAAACAGAACAAAGCAAATTGATGATAAAATAACCCGGCGAAAATAAATATCACCACTATCAATGATTAATTCGGCGCGGAGTTTAGGATTGCCTTGTACGATGTACTATCAAAGGGAGGCTATTGTTTTTACGAGGCATAACGAAGTCTCACGGTGCATAATGATTGCTCCGATTTACGAAATACCTACGTTTATTATTCTGTATCATTCCATGTAATTCGCAGATTTGCCATCCCCTCTTCTCAAATTAGAAGCAATGCACCACATCTGTTCATATTCGCTCATCCGAGATTCCAACGTGCCTACTTCGTACGTAGTATCTACCTAGGTACCAGGGGGGGTTCATGAGTGATTTATCGATTTGGTAGGATGGTATGGTCTAGATTTCAAATCAGGATGAATTTTCTTTCGTCAGAATTCTATTAATTTTATAGCAGTTCTGGAGGGGTATGCTATCCATCTGGATGACCTTTACCGCCGCCGTAAGCCGTGGTTAACAGGATCCATTCCCTAATATATGGATAGTACCGGGTAAAATTGTTAGCAGGTGCTCCACCAATAAGCGCTACAGATCCTCAATTGGGATTCCCCTCTACGCCTTGCAGATCCGCCATGATTATTCCTCCTGGCTAACCTAGACTCATAAAGTGCTTTGCTTTTTTCTGTCAAAATGGGTAAAACACATGGCAGTTTCCTATAACTACCTAGGTAAGGGTACACATATGCCTATAAATAATATATTATTCCCGGTAGGACGGAACGGAACGGGCGTATTGCCCAAAAACCAATCCCCCACACATTAATTACCAGGTAGATTTCGAAGTCCGCATGACGTGTTAAGATCCTATCGAGATTCCTCCACCGTGTCCACTTGCGCTTCCGCCGGGGGCTCTTTAAGATGCGGGAAATGGATATTATTGCATATATATATATGTTTATTCAGAATGTCGTGAACCCTACCCAGAGTGGCATGTTTTTTCTTCTTTTCTCCCCACGTGGTTGGCTCTGGAATGCTTCACTACACTATTTGTATACTAGTACATACAGGTATACTATAACCTAGTGCTGTCGACTACTAGGCACCTAGTGAACATCAAGACACCGCTCTTTGGTCTTTGATTGTGCGATAGAAAAAAAAAAATCTGCTGTTCGGCCTAGTATATATAGTTATGTGTATGTGTGCGTAAAGTGTCGTGAGCAGCACTACGCTAACACAAACCACCTTCTTCTCTGGGTGTCTAAGTGAAGAGCGCTTCTTGTAAGTCTCACTACCCAGTCCCTGCTTATCGCCCATCACCAATCTCTCTCACTAGACTTACAAGCTACGCAGCGAGGCTTTGTATACCTACCTACCTACCTACCTACCTACATACACATGTGTCTGTAGATACCTAGCTAGTATTGACCACCCAGACCGAACCGGCAACCCTGTTCAGTAGCCGACGAGATCAATCATCCGCCTATCTACATCTACCTACTCGTCTCTCTCTTCTCTCCCTAATGCTCCCCATCATCCCCCACACGACCCGCCTGAACCGGAGCCTTCTCGAGAGCCTGTTCGGCAGCTACCAGGCGACCACGCTCGACGAGTTCTGGGTCGGGCTGCTGGCGCTCGAAGCCCTCCTCATCGCCGGCGTCCTCGGTCTGCGCGCCCTAGAGGCCGTGGGCTGGAAGGCACAGAAGTCGAAGGCTTCTCGATACAGCTAGAGTAGTCCGCAGATACTAGGTACTAGGGACTGGGTTAGTGGCTCTGGGGAGTGGTACAGCTATCTATCGGGATTAGGATAGATATCTACTAGATTCCAGCCTAGGTAATTACCTGTTCGGTAATCGCGGCAGCCTAGGTAATTGATGAGATGGCAGATAGCATAGATCAAATCGAGATTATCTTCCCACGTGGTCTTGGGGGACTCGGAGTAGCATGTGACTTGCATTTTTGATAGCTAGAGGCTAGAGCAACTTCCCAAGCTTGCTGCTAGAACCGGCCCACTTGCTTGCTACAGTTAGATGCTAGGTGCTAGACAGGTGGTTGCTAGCATCTGCCGAAGCAGGTACACTAGGTTGCGCGGGTAGACATTCCAATAATCGCCTAGGTCACTTACTTGGTAGCTAGGGAGCTAGTGAGTATCAGGAGGTGACATCGCGAACTTCATCATCGTGAGATTGAGCATCTTCGCTTTTCCGGATTGGGGCTAGGGAGGGTTATATCGGAGAGTTTTCCAAGGTTATTAGTTGCTGGGAGGTGGTAGCCCAGCTTTTGAAATATTGAAATATGCATAGGCACCTACTAGGTATTACTGTAAGCCCAGAGTGCCATCTCATTTTCAAGCCTTCAAGGTTCGCATGGAGCAGTGGAAGATGCCTAGGTATACAGCCGAGGAATTGGTTGTTTAGATAGGTGCTTTTGGCATCGTTCTGATAAGGACTAGGTCAGGTACGGAGGACGTGAGGTTCATTTCCCCCCCTCTCTCCAGCTTGCCTCCAGCTTGCTATTTTGCAGTTATGGTTCAATATTGGCGTTTCTTGATGGTGTGAGTGAAGCTCTTTTCAGTAATTGCTTCGTGCTGGTTGCGTTACCCTGCCTAGGCACTCGGCAGCTAGCTCAGCTACATATACCTGCAAGGTGATCAATAAGATTATCGAGATAGGAATAGTGTTGTCACCGAACTAGGAGTTTTCCACGCCTCGAGGTTACTCTCGTCGATAAGCTAGTAGGTAGAAGATTGGTGGAAGCTTGGTTTGTCGGTTAGAGGAGATGGTTCATTCTGATGTGATGAACTTATCGACTGGGGCTAAATTCCCCTTTGGAATACTACCTTCCTTTTACCAGTATGGCTTTAAGAATTTAGTCTAAGAGAAATTGGTTCAATATCGTAGGTGAAGAGAGTTTAGTGTTCTTGTGTAGGTAAAAATTCCCGAACTATGTGAGTTCTCATCTTACCTAGGCAATCTTGTGATTACTGACACATTATCTAGGTAGCCCCTGGAAGGGAGCGTCGGATGATGAAGGGATCCAAGTTCAACGGACGATGCCGGCGTTGACGAGATGCTCTAGCATCCATGCAATCCAGAAAACAACCTACTCTCACCTCTTCAGCTCCTCTCACGTCTGCATACTAAGGCGACTGTTCGTATGATTCTTTAACGCTGCCTACGGTTATCGCGGCCGGGGATATCACACGGGTTTCCGGATCGACAAACACTTTACCTTTGTCGACACAGGGTGGACCCACAGCAAAATATTCCGACCTAGGTGTGATCCGTATCGTTCACAGACGCCATCTAAGTGGCCGATCTCCCGGAATGTTATAGTGACTCCTGGCTATGATCATGCGAGAGAGATGGCAGCAACGTCGGGCACGTGGCGATGGACGGTATGTCGAATAAACGGAATAAGAAACAAACTGGCTTCTTACATCTAGATCTAAAGTTGCTGTCGCCTTTTTCCCTGGGAGCGCAGAGAGGATATAAGTAGTAACTACCCACGACGCGCTTGAATCGTGCATGAGTGTGTTTCTTGGGTGCCCAGGTGGTCAATAATATGGCCATGCTCTTAAGACGGCCGGGCCAGTATTCCGCGGGATCTAGCACGGCAAGAAAGTCCCGATGACGCTACGGCTTGATGGAAAAACAGGGACATAAACAAGAATTCATTGCAGCGTCAAGGCTTGATAACCCAGGCGCCATGCTGCGCCGTATGATCCTATCACAGGGAAGTTTACCATAGTCTACCCAAAGACAAAACAAACCCTACCAACTTACATGACATCGACAGGAAATCTCGCCAACGCCAAGGTTCGCCATAGAAGTCCCGGGCAGCTAATGCTTAAGGTTACTCCAGAAAAAAAAAAAAAAAAAAAAAAAAAAAAAAAAAAAAAAAAAAAAAAAAAAGAATTGGTACTTCGTTCGAGAAGTGTGTGACCCACGATATATGTAGGGGCGTGTCAGCAGATTCTACGACCTTATGTGCCAATATTGAGCGCGGGTCTTTTTCCCATTTGGCCACGCTGCGACACACCGCTTACATTACCTTATGTTGCTACCAGGTATGTTATGTACTATGGTAGAGCCCAGCGTCTGGGTCATGGATGATTCTGCATACGAGTTCGTTCATTACAGTAAAGATTTGCGTAAACGATCCCGAAAGTAGGCACAAGTGGATATGGGTACAACCCTACCTACCCCCTATCGTTATCCCCCCTGCAGCATTCCCCCATCCGAGCGCAGCGTTATGGGAGAGTTTACATAGCAAGACAGCGCTGAGTCCTTGATTTGCGATCAGCCTGAGAAACTCTTGGGTCGCCTTAAGGGGCGAGGGAGGGGACGCGCTAGAGGATCTCTGCCATGATCCTCCTAATGCTTGTGTCGGGAAAAAGGTCTCTAGTTTCGGTAATTGATCGTGAAAATGATTCGAGAAGAATTTTCAAAGGGGAAAGGAAGAGATAACATAGGTAGACCTAGCATACCATGTGATAAAGGCATGCCATGCAGTAGTTACTGTAAGTGTCGAAGTTCAATGTTGGTTGGGAAGGATTTTCTACATATGTAGGTACAATACATGTAGATGCCTACACGGCAAACCAACCGGGAGCCAGGGATTCCCCATCATTATCATCATTATCACACCCTCCTCTGCATAAAATCAATAACGGGTAGAATTTAATCTTGAACTGAATCTCGTAGGTTCATGCGAAGGGAGTTGCGGCTGATAAGGGATTCAATGTTGTTCCGAATATTCTGTGTAGTTCATGTATTCGTATTAGTTAGTGGGAAGTTGATGTAAATATAGGCACTGGTACCCATAGTCCCTAGTATATACTATAGGTCCCATACCCAGATATAATACTCTCTTGGTTAGTTGCTCAGTACGAGATCAACAGCTAACTTACAAGTACGAACCCAATCTAAATTCGGTGACCAGGTTCACGAAACTGTCTGTCTTAAGATGCTTACCTACTATTATGGACTTACTAAGTTACCATAGTATCCATGAATAATATTGTGAAGCATAGGGACTATGATACTACATAACTACATACATAGCAACTAGTTATATGTACCTATAATAACTAGTACCACCCACTGGCACCCAGAATACGAGTCCAATGCACGCGATGACGCAGATTGCAAACAACGGGCTGTATTCCACGATCTTTACAAGGTAGTACCTAGACAATAGTCTAGAGGACTCTACCGCATAGTAACTACTAACTACTAGGTTAGGAGCCTACTACATAGTACAGTAATGAGTGAAGCTAGACTTAGCTAGTACCTGCAGTACCTGCATCAATTCTTGTTTTACGTAAGACTAGCTATGTAGGGTCACATCGAGATAGCTTCCTTAGACATAGGGACATAGATTATGGACATAGACTCGAACGCATGTGCCCTTCATTTACATAGGTATCTCTAACTATTCTCTAGTGAGGGCTATTAGGGCTTATCGGTGGATTTCATATAGGCATTCACGAGCGAGGAAATCGAGATTGGCATTGCAGGCTAACTAAGCGGTACCGGTGCGATGGTTGCATCTGCTCACCACGCTATGCTGGAGGGATCATGTTATTTTCAGTACATAGCATGTTGGTCGATCAAAACGGTTACCAGAGTCTTCGCCTTGGGTAAGGGTATGGTCTTATTAGGGATCTTTTTCAAGCCCAGAGTTGGAGAGAACGAGTCGGATTCGGATTTACATATGTGTGTGTACTATACGCCATATGTGTGTAGTTATGTGTGTATGTGTGGTGTGGGAGTGTGTGATAATAAACCTAGTCAGCGCCGCTCAGACCTCGACCTGGGCTGCCGGGCAGTCTAAGCTAGCTCAGACTCCTTTTTGCCCTTGCCATACTCCATGCAGTTAAAGGCTCACCAGGTATTTTAATTACCACGTCGTACCTCTCCCGGGGAGCAAACACCGGGCGAGACTGTCAAACTAATACCTACTTTGAATACTTACTGGCATTGGATCCGGCTCTTGTCAACCTTAAGCCCCGAGTTCTAGACAACTTACTTGAACGTGAGGCGCGCAGTACTTGCTAGTTAAGTGGAACTCACTCACAACTTCTCTTACACCTTGAATATCCATATCCTCGACGACGAGTGGGAATTTTGGGAAACTGCATGACGCTAAGGGACTGTTCTACTGTTGGTTACCCATACTGTTAATCTTTTAACTTGTGGCAACCAATTGCTTTTCTTATTATTATTATTTTCGACTTGTTTCTATATACACGAAATCTCGTCTCTCAACTCAAACCACACCACTTTCAAGCTCGATGCAGTAACGCTTGGTGGATGAACGAACAAAGACAACAATAAACGAACGGCGCTTACTCCGACTATTACGATGAGAACTACTATGCTGCCATCTTAACAAAGATAAGAAGTATATTTCCGGCGATCTTCAATTGCAAAATAAAAAAAGCTTGGGAAACGATCTACAGAATACCTTCTCGTCGCACGTGAGCGTATGCGCGCAACCTGCCAGCATGATCGAGCTCGGACGAGCTGACTACGATGTCTTTGCTAATCGAGTTCTATGGGCTCTTTTCGCAATCACCACAGGTATATATGATGCCTTCATTGCTTTGAAAACTCACCATGAATGCCTTGATTCTTACTAGATGAACTCTTGCTATAGTGATTGTTGGACTAAGGATCTTTTGCCGTCTGCACTACGGCACAAGCCAACGAGCTGGACTGGGCTTGGACGATCACATCACCGTCGTCTGTCTCGTTCTAAGTCTCGTCGTGAGTGTTCTCATAACGATAGCCTCTGGATATGGCCTCGGGAAACACGTCTACGATCTGAATGAGGAGCAGAAGAGCATAGCGCTCAAATACAATGCGATTATCAATGCGATCTTGGTCTGGCAGTTCTCGTTACCGAAGTTTGCCATCATCGCTATTCTAAAGCGAATACTCAACTATGGCATAAGGACGTCGGTTGCTCTCTGGACTCTTGGCATCACCTCGCAGGCCTGCATATTGGCCGTCTCGATTTGGTGGTTTAAGCAATGCGAACCTGTTGCGTTTGGATGGGACAGGCGAATCCCCGGTGGAAAATGCGCGGACATCAACGTGATGATCAACCTAGCCTACTTTACGTCGGCCTACTCGGCATTCCTCGACCTCTTCTTCGCCTTCTATCCGATTCCCTTTGTTATGCGCTTGAAGATGCCTTTGCGAAACCGTATCGCCGTCGCCTCTGCGTTATGTCTTAGCGCTTTAGCATTCGTCGTGTCTGTCGTCAAACTGGCAGCCCTCGGTGAAGCGTTTTCCATCTCGGCGACTGATCCAACTTGTGAGTTATTCCATACCATTCGTGCCTTTTTTTTTCTTTGTTGGAGGACCAATACTCATACCTCAATCGCGCTTTAGACCCCGTGCCATACCTTGATATATTAGGCATGTCGGAGGGATACATTTTGATCATTACCTCCTCTCTCCCCACCCTCGGGCCACTATTCCGGGCCGCGAAGGGAAAGTTAACCACCCGTGAAATTACTACGAACCATTCAGGCGCCAACATAGGCTCGGATAGCCGCCACAGCTTACACAACAGCTACGGCCGTTCAAAGGAGCCGATGCTCTCCGATGAGTTCCATAGATCAATCAGTGGGGGCAACTCGTCTAGCGTTGACGACATCCCCTTGGTCACGAACCCTAAAGCAATGTATCCTGGGCCAGGGGAACGCGGTATTCAGAAAACGGTGGATATCTCGATGATTTCGGAAGTGGTCGAGCCAGATTCTCGACCGCAACGGCATGGCGCTCGGATATTTTAAAAAATGCGGCCATACTTATGTATTAGGTTTCTGATAACTATTCAGATTTTTGAAAAAAAAAATATAGGATACACGAATGAAAAAAAGCTGTTCTCACCATGGCCTGCCCCGTGATTAAGAGGTCTTGCGCCGGGTGATAGAAAGTGTACAGCAGTAGCTGAAAAGCTAAATAGAGGCTAGGGGTTAGGTTATATTGGGAATGATAACTGTTGACACTTTTTATGACTAATGGAAAGGGACGTGCTGCCTCCTTACATAAGTATGCCTACTAGGCATGTATGCATCGCGTGCTCCGCTGCCTAGCATCTAGGTAGATGCCAAGGCTAGGTTTTCCTATGCCTGATAGGTAGTTCTCGAGTTTTTCAGGGTGAATGATATCACATCGTTCGAATGGGTTCCAATCGTTAGGTCCTATAAGCCATGAATCATAAGCTTTTGCTTGGCCATGTATCCTTATAGGTTTCAATACAGCTCCTATAGTTGCTGGGAGGACTACCCTAATTCATTATTCACGAATGACACTTCTACGGATTTTTGTCTGGTTTTTCAGATGCCTAAACTTCGTATACAAAGGGAGATTACCTCGCGGCAAGGAAAGTAGGAGTATCCCTAGGCAGCTGAACATTCCGGAAGTGGGAGAACTTGGGGGCTAGGACCTACCCGAGTTGAGTTAGAAGTAGTTGGAATACGGAAGAAATATGATACATCAATGGTTGCAACTATGTATGAATTATACGTACCTATACATGTATCAATGTATCAGTATATCATACATGATCAAGGTAATGCTGTCGAACTTCATTGGCGGATGACCACGGCCAAACCATACTCCAGGCACTGGCCAAAGTATCTATTAACTCTCAACGTGAAAGCAAGTTGAAACTGAACTTCCCCTTTACAACTTCAATATTTTGCAAATCAAACCTTAACCAACGACAAGCTCTACTTCATCTATAAACACTCGACATCATGGAATATGCGGAGTCTAGTAGTTTCGAAGATGGCTCTGACACATTCGAGATAAAGGATCACGATCTACTTTTCGGGCCATCTTTTCTAGATGGAAATCTTGAGGGGAACATAATTTTCCTCGAAAGAAAGATGCCTGAACGGTTGCCGGCCAAAGTGATAAAGGCCTTGGAAGCCGTAAAGTCAAATTACGAATACCCAGAGCCACCAGCAAAGGAGTTTCGTAGCAGACAGTCACTTACATTGGGAGCAACAGGCCGGGGAGAGTGCAAATACGGAGTTAAATATGGGGACGCAGACGACAACGAAGACGATGATGACGAAGTCGCCGACGACGGTGATGATGTTGATGATGATGATGAGGACGAATATGAGAACGAATATGAGGACAATATCATGACCAATGAACTGTTAGAGGACGATATAAATATAGCTTTCACGAAAACCCTACTCACAACTGTGAAGGACCTAGGAGGCTCCAAGATCAAAGCTACCTGAACTGGCGCCAGACATGCTCTACGGCTACCCATCCACCTTCCTCCCCAATAACGCCGAGGCCGAAACAGCCGCGACCCGAGCCAACAAGTATCTCAGCGCCCCGCTCATCAGCTTCGACATCCGAGGCGACCTGTTGCTCGGCACGTACAAATGCATCATGGCCTGCGCCACCTGCTCCAATATCGCCACCTCTGACGACAACCGCGTTTGGCGTCGTGACGAACGGCTCGGAGGCAAGAATCTACATGTCCTGGCGAGCCAAGCGCAAGAAGGCCGGCCGCAGCGATAAGTTCATCGTGTGCCTCGTTGAGAATTTCCTCCTAGAGAAACGAGACGAGTACCTGAAACTGCGTATGTGCGTGCTGAACATCGTCAGATGGGGGTTGGAGAGAGAGGCGGAGATGGTCAAGGCGGTGGAGATGAAGTATTCGGCCTAGGTAAGTTGGGTAAACTAGAAGTGAGGATTAACTATGTATGTATGAAGGAACGAATTTCATTGGAAGCTTTTATTGGGGGGGATTTGGAAAAGGCGGTTGGGAAGAGGGAAGGATAGGGAAATTGCACTAAATGGTGGTTTGTGGCTTATGCGTTTACAAGTGTTACACGTTAAACCAAATTCGGAAGCCTGGGGTATAATTTAGGTGACCTGATTAGTACATTTTGAGAAAATTCGAGTGATTGTGGTGCACGCCAGCCGGTTGTGCATTTTAATATCATCGATATTTGGTAGAATTTAGGGCTCTAAGGGTGTTATTCAGGCATTTTGCATGAGCCTAACCGTATTTGGGTCTCGAATTATTTAATTTATTGGGGCATCTATTTAAGTACCCAAGTAGTTGTACCTGGAAGTCTACCTAAGATCTAAGAATACGTATGTAGAGGCTGCTTTTAATCTATTTATGTGACTTGGTTGGTCCGTGTATTAGTTACCCCAGAAAATAAGGGACCCACCTAGATCACTTCGATTCAAAAACTCGGGGTTGTCCAATCGGGACTTTTCTTTTTGACACACTGACCTAGATTAGGACTAGCGCGATCTACGGTCGGTTGATCCCGCTGATTCTGCTGCCCCGCCAACTCTTCCGATTGTTTATTTAAGAAATCCGTCTCCCTCCATCCTATTTATTTCATACTCTTCTTCTTTCTTTTATTCTCCATACGTCGCGGTCGCACTCGACCACGACCACAAACAAGCAAGCTCAATCAACACAATAGACCAAGTACCTTCGGCATCGGTTCAAGCGTGGAATTTCCTTTTGTTTTTTATCCGCTTGAACTGCCCTGGCGTTAGGGGTACCAAATGCCCGGGGGCTATGCCTAAAGACAGCGCTCAATCAAGCAGGTGCAAGATCCTCAGTACAGTGCTCGAGGGCAGAAACTCCTGCCCATTTGGTTGGGGGGAAAACAGCTGTCTCTGACAGTCCCCACTGGGCACAATCTTTGTATTCCACGTTTGTCTCACCCATATTCGACGTCGAGATTCCACGAAAGACCGGAGAGGGAATGATACCCTTGTGTCGACGAAACGGAATGATACTCTATTGGTCAAATCGGTGGGGGGCTTTCATTTTGCATTATGCATCCTGCTTCTAGCATCTTGCATCTTGCATTTTGCATTCCCTTTTGGTGGCATCATCTTCACGGGTGTTGCTGCCAGGGCAAGCGTGGCGCCGATGTGTGATTTGTGTAGGTTTCAATCTCTACCCCCGAGCCTACCTGCCCACTTGCGTTGTCACTCGGTTCGGTTGGTCTGGGGACTCCACATTGCAATGCGATTCAAACATTTCCGTTCGTCGAGTATTCCCGTTCTGGTTATAAAACGTTGGATTTGGGGGTAAGTCCAACTCACCATGGGTCAGACCTCTGTTTCGCCTTGTTGCTTTGAAATTCCCATACATCGTTGTATAGCCTCCCGTCCAACAAACACACCCGCTTTCTCCACGCCGTGCTAAGCGTTCCTGCTACGGGATATGGCAGTTGACTCATACGATAAGGACTTGGGGTGTGGTGGAATTTCTAACGAAACCACCTCCAAGGATGTGGCTATTGTGTTCTATTGACTTGCTTGTTGGGCACTCGTGCCTACAATTTTTTGGCTTACAACGGTTGCTTTCGGGCAACCGATTCTTTTTATTCTCTTTTTTCATCGCGATCTCTAGCCTGGCCAGGGATGTGAGGAAGAATTTGATATTCACATAGAATCTCCATTGGTATGGAAAGAAAATCTTTTCTGTTGCCATTTATACCATCCCTTCTCGCTAGAAGATTCCAAGAAGGCATCTCCGGGAGGCTGAACCTAACTAGCGAGTGTATGATCTACTATGATTGAAGTAAAAAAATACTAATTATACCCAGTACACAGAGCGGCAGCAAGACGAAGCGCGGAAGAGGCGATGCCCACATTATCAGCACCGAACCGTTGTATTTCAACTACAAGAACGTCCCGTAAAAGTAAAGTAAATTAAGAAATACATATCTGGCAGATATTGAATTGGATGCTATTCACGTACAACCTTCATCATCTTTAATCAATGTGCTTCAACATTGATAAGCCGCATAATGAGCAAATCCGCACACGCCATATTGACGCGATAACGAAAATCGCGGCAGGCACACACAATCCTTCGAACTTGGACTGTGAAGTCGAGATCGTCTTAATAGCCTAGCACAGTTGGTATCTGCTCAGGGAGGCAAGTGCCGGCTAACCTACCGCAAAATTTTTCTTTTCGCGATAATTCCGTCTTTTGTTGAAGAGCGGAACTCTACAAGTGAGTGAGGGTTTGTGGATCTACGGAGCACGCTTCTGCTTTAGCAGTTTAGATGTCGGACCATCCGCTAGATGGAGTACTGCAAAGATCAATATCCGACCCTCCGAGTTCCGCTGTCGCTGCGCCGTATCCTTATGAGTCAATTTAGCAACCTCATTGGATAGAGTATTTATTTTTTATTTGAGCTAGGGCTATTATAAGACAGGCTATAGGCCAAGATGGCGTAGTCGACAACTACGCCGTCGACTATTAAAATCGGTATATGTACCGGTCTAGATAACTACCTGGGTCCTATCCGCACACACACCTACATAAGAAACCTATATATTTGCAGGTACCTAGGTAAGTTTAGTAGTAAGCATTATTCATGTCATCTACAACAACCAAAGCCAAATAAAATCTGTAAGTAAACCTTGGCTATTTCGTAAGCGACAGTGAAAAAAGAACACATCGAATCATGGCGGCGGGCAATATCGACCTGTCAGATATTCGCGTGAAAACGCAGCCGCATCAGCCAATTCTGGAACGACTCTCCCATGCGACTCTCATCCATCTCGTCCAGTCCATAAGCGAGCTGAAGCACTGGTATGAGAGCAAGTACCACCACCACGAAAACGAGCCAAACTTATTAAAAACATACCCATGCCGGCCAACTTTACCCATAAGGTACGATGACTTTTCTTTTCATGCTGGCTCAAAAAAGAATGCGAAAGAGAAAAAGGAGAGCTGGCCAAACCCTTGACTTGTTGTGTGTCTAACCCGAAGTCTCGCCATCACAGAATATTTTTCCCCCCAGGCTACGACCCAAAAGACACCCAAACCCGCTACCCAACCGTCTTTAACACGCACGGCGGCGGCTTCTGCCTCGGCCACGCCTCCGACGACGACGGCTGGAACACGCGCTTCGCCCGCATGTTCAACGTGCTCGTGATCGGGCTGAACTACCGCCTCGCGCCCGCGCACCCCTTCCCCACCGCGCTCTACGACGTCGAGGCCCTCAGCCTCGCCGCCTTCGCCGACGCCACGCTCCCGATCGACAAGTCGCGGGTCGCCTTCGCCGGCGGCTCCGCGGGCGCCAACCTCAGCATGGGGCTGTGCCAGCTGCCCTCGATCCGGGAGACGGTCCGGCCGCAGGCCGTGATCCCGATCTGGGGGTGGCTGGACCTGACGATCCCGCAGGAGGTCAAGCTGACGACGCGCCGCTGGAAGCCGAGCCTCAGCAAGGGCTTCCGCAACGCCGGCTACGACATGCTCACGTGGTTCTACCCCAAGTTCGTCTGGTCGTACGTCGACGGCGGCTTTGACCTGAGCAACCCGCTCGTGTCGGCCGTCTTCGCGCCGCGCGAGCACCTGCCGCCGCACATCTTCTTCGTCAGCGCCGAGCTCGATCAGCTGGCCCACGAGGCCTGGTGCATGGCGAGTAGATTGGCGGGTCGGCCGGAACCGACGCTACTGGACAAGGAAGGTCAGGATGAGGTGACGGCGGAGAAGGGGAAGCTTATTCTAGATGATGAGCAGTTCACGTGGCAGCATGTTAGTGAGGATGGCAAGTCGAGTGTGGGGTGGCTACTGGTGCCGGACCAGGTGCACGGGTTCGATGCGCTGCCGCCGGGGTGGCACGACAAGGAGTCGCAGGAAGATGCGGATATGAAGGCGGTGGAATATCAAAAAGTGCTGGGACATTGGCTGTTGAACACGGTATGGAAATGAAGATGTAAACTTGCTGGGCAGAACTGGGTTGGGCTGGATTAGATCGGTGTTGGGTTCAGTCGGCGAAGACGCACAAAGATGCGGCGTTGGACGCTTGCTGTTGTGTTAATGCTACCTCACGAGACCTCGACGAATAGAATAGCTGTAATTTCCTAATCATTGTGTAACTAGATATGAAAGCGATGTATCTCATTTTTACTTTTATAAGTTTCTCCAATTCAAGAGCCGTGTATTGAGGCTACTAGGTATTCAGAGGTGTCAAAGAGGTGATTGAGACTGATTATCAAGAGACGTGCCGTTTGACTCCTATTAGTTAGGCACCCTTAAAGCCATCAGTTATTAGCTCGAATCGATGAATCTGCAATATTCCGTCACTAAAGCACGTCGCCATTAAGAAATCTCCATAATCTCTATTATCACTACCGTAATGATCATACCATGCCGGGCTAGCTTCTAGATAACTGCCCCCTGAAACGGCCTCGATCCCTTAGCTTTGGTTTACGTGCATCCGAACTTTGACTCCATCACCCGGCATCAACACCGTCATCCACGACCGTTTCCCATTGTTGCTTCCCGGAGACGGCTGCAATTCGTCAAAGTGCATGACAAACCTCGCGATCGCGTACGACACCTGCGTCATCGAGTAACCCTCTGTGTGCAATGTTAGCTTGATCTTACACTTAACCAGGTAGACAATGTCACTTACGCCCAATGCAAACCTGCGGACCGCCACTAAACGGCGTATAGTCCCAGCCCTTCCTCCTCCCATTCCACCTCTCCGGACGATACTCATCCGCATCCTCCCCCCACAGATCCTTCCTCCGATGCGTGTAGTACGTGCCCAGCTGCACCCTCGCCCCCTTCCTAACCGCCACCGGGCTCTTGCCGTCCGGCCCCCCGCCCACGGGTAGCACCGTGTCTCGCACGGCGACGCGGACATTGATCGGGCCCGCGGGGAACAGCCGCAGCGTCTCCAGGATCACCCACTGCAGATACGCGCAGCTCTTCAGCGTCTCCAGCGTGAACGGCTCCAGGCGATTCCCTTCCGTGCCGAACTTCGCGACGACGGCCTCGCGGAGCGTCCGGTAGATGGCCGGGTTCGCGGCGAGCATGCTAAACGTCCAGCCCAGCGCCCCGGCCGAGGTGTCCATCCCCGCGACCAGCAGGTGCATCGTCTGGTTCACCATGTCGCGCTGCGACGCGCCCTGCGCTTCCATCTCCTCGATCAAGTTCGAGTGCTCTTTCCCATCCTCCAGCCCTCGGGCTGCGGATTGGGAGCGGACGTCGGTGATGTACGCGTCGACCATGGCGTACAGCTCGCGACAGGCCTCGCGGAAGGCGGCGCCGTCGTAGATCCAGTACATGGTCGACAGCTTGATGCGGTGGCCCACGTAGCCCGCTGCCTGCAGGAACTTCTCGTCGAACCCGTCGAGCAGCGACTTGACGTATGTGTCGGCGGGGATCTTGCCGGCGCGGACTAGCGCTGCGGTTTGCGTTTCTGCTGAGGCGCCGAAGAGGAATTGGGTTGCGGTGTCCATCGTTAGTCGGTAAAGATGATCCTATGAAAAAGGGGGTTGTTAGTCTGTATAGGGGGAACCATGGTGCTTGGGGGTTACTACTAGAAGATCTATATCGTCTGTCCAGCCGTTGGCCCCTGGATTACCTAGGGCTGTGAACACGAGTTGCATGTGTCTTTCGCTGTTGGCGACGTTCTCGTCGAACTTTTTGCGCGTGAACTGGGGCTTTACCATGGCCCTCCAATGGGCCCAGACCGGTCTATGAAGCAGTCAGTGGTGGGTTTTCTATGCCGTTTCGAATACAAAAAGAAATAAAATGTACCCGTCAGTCGTAAAGAGACCCGGAAGAAGCATAGGCTGCGCAGCCAACGACCTCCAGGCCGGCCTCTTGTAATCTTCAAAACGGGTCGCCAACACGGTCTTGAAGTTCTCCGGCTCCACCGTATTGATCCCCTTCTGCGTCCCGAGCACGGGAGACACGATGGCATGCGTGTTGCCGTACTTCTTATACTTCCGCTGAAAGTGGCCCTCGAACAGGTCGCCGCCGACCGAGGCCTTGTAGACTTCGTACTTCCGCCCCAGACTCCATGGCAGGGGGAAGGGGTTCGCTACGACCAGAGGCGGCACGCATCCCCTGGCTTTCGCAAAGCGGCTGAAACTAAAATTGCGAATTATTCTTGCGGCGAGTCTTAGCACGGTGATGATGGATGCTAGAGGGATGAGAATCCACCAGATCTTTTGGGGCCAAGGTGTATCTGTGGCATGTCTGGTGAAAGGTTGGATGGCATGGAACAATGGGGAAATGGGTTTCCAAGCATCCATATCTTCACTGTGTCGTTGCATTCAACGCTTCAGAGTAATTACAAGTAGACAGCTTAGTTCATGTCATGTACATACATGAAGTCAAAGAACATGGTCTATGATAAATAGTAGCTAAACGCTTGGGCAGGTATCCTTTATCTCTAGAGAATGTGCACGTAGCACTTCAATACTTCATAGGTATACCGTATACCCGTTGAGCCTTATGTGCAGCTTCAAAAGGGAGGATCATACGAACGACAGGCCACAATAGATCTGCCTAGTCTAGATACTTCTATATTCAGTCTATCCAGTCTACTCGAAGCCGTTATCGAGAAAGTATTTAGATGCCTAAATGACGTGCCGCAAGACTAGCATCCATCGTGATAGAACAGACTAACTATGTACGAGTATTCCGATCTATCCCACGGACTAGCAGGGGACATTTCAGCTCCCGGGTCTAGCCCCTCTACTTAGTTTCGCGATCGTCATCCACCGCTTGTAGGGGGTTTTCTTGGGTTTTCTTGGGTTTTCTATTTTGATATGCTAGATATGATTTGCGGGTAATTCTATTGGTTGGCTCGGAATCTTCATGTACCTCTAGGGCTTGGTGGTTGTGATTTGAGATGGATCTAGATTCAATCTAGAATGTCTTAGGGGGGTTCGGTAACGATCCCGCGACCCGCTTTGATAATACGTGGGATCTTGATACAGCCCTACAACTCACCCCCAGATAGCAGGCTTATGTATACTAAGAACTAATTATCGTTATCTTGGTATCGTTACTTAGGAGATAGTATCATGGCTTACGAAAGATGCAGCTGCCTAGTATTGTGTTTTATGTATTGTTCAGCTCCTATTTATATCCATGCTAACCAACCCAACCTAGCTTCTTACCTAGGTGCTAAAGCTAGGTGCCTATGAGAATACTTCGGACTTTACATGATGTGTCATTCTCACTGTGTGGGTGTTGTGGTTCAGAAGCGCGACGGACCGCGCCGCTGCTTCAAGGTGGTCTTCGGTTGATGGCCGTACAGTTTATATATTCCTACCTTCCCTAAGCGTTACTAGGTATTTCATTTTCAATTATTCAGCTCATGCCAACCGAAATTCGACCTATTTCAGGTGCCAGTTTCATGAATACCTAGACATCTTCAGCATGCGGCTGGGCTGGTCCGTCTAGAGAATATTTTAAGGGGCCTGTGCCACATAATCACAAGTACTAGGCCGTACAACCCCCTATTTACCTAGGTAGGCACCTACTAAGGAGAGATCTACTGTAACATCATGCTTCATACCAAGCATCTCTAATAAACTACATACCTGCTAGGTAGGCAAGCTTTATACTATCAAATATCTCCATCCTCAGTAACACACTTTTAATTTCCAATCTACTCACTTGCGAGCCTAAAGCCGTGTATATCATTTTACTAGAAATGAGTGGATTCTTTGAATAGTACTGCTAGGGACCGTAACAAAGAAACCTCATGATGTCGCTCGTTGATTCATAAACACCCAAATCAGACCTAACATTCTAGCCCTATACTGCCCCCCGCCCATCCCTATAATCCAAGTTTTCTCTTTCAACCCACCCATCATTTTGCCAGCACCGTCATTACCACCAAGCTCCTTCCGTTCTTTACGCAGTGTTCGTAATGTTCCACGGGCGGCAGCGCGTAGCGGCACAGAAGCCGTTGCAGCACGGCGCGGTGAACATGCCGTTCTCGTAGCACACGCCGTAGGTCGGGGTGCAGGAGCCCTGGCAGCTGACGCTGATGATGGGCTGGGGCGGGCCCACGACGATCGACTGCATCCCGGTCTGCGTGTTGATGCTGCTCACGAGAGTCTTCTCGCCAGCAGTCGTGAAGGTGCACTGCGATAGGGCATTGTAGTCTGGTGCGTCGATGATGTTGATGTTCATGCCGTTGTCTGGGGGTAGGGAAAGGTAGGTAAGCACGGGCTTGGCCTTTGTGTATGTGTTTGGGGGAAGGGGGGGTTGAACTTACTGGTAAGGACTACGGAGCCGTCAGCTGGTACGGCGAGATCGTATGAAGCTGGGCCGCCGTGGAAGGTAAAGTGTGCAACTTGGACGTCACGGCCCTCAAGGGGGTGTGCCGAAGCGCTCGCGATGAGCCCAAGGGCAAGGAGAACTTGGCTTGTGAACTGCATATTGGGAATTTGTTTATTAAAATTAAGATATAAGGATAGGTTTGTAATACGTCTTTATTGCTGTGTGAGGTAGACTGTTTGACTACTGGATATGCTTTCCATGAAGTGAAGACAGACCTACATTTTTATACTTACAAATGAGCACCCAGAACTGCGCAGGAGACTCATCAAAAACTGCATCTTCTAATTTGTTCATAATACGTGTTAGCCGAATAAGTTACGAGATGTCATACTTTGCTATTCAACACGGGCTTTGCTTTGTGGTTGAATACGAAGCTGAACCAGAACCACCCTTGGCACCCTTTGACAGCACAGCTCCAGCTTAGGCTGGGATCTTAGCCAACTCCGTTCAAAATTATCGGAATCCAATGAGCCACAGAGAAAGCCACCCAATCAGAAAGAACTCCAAGAGAGGAGTATATAGAATGTGCTATTGTGAACGTCCAATGACGATAATGAGGAGTTTTCGGCGAGGACTTCGTTGCATTAGCTCATATCGAGGCTTGTAAGTGTAGGTATGTCCTCTGGATAGCCTACAGCAGAGTGGCTTTTCAACAAAGAAAGATTCGAAAATCTCACAACTATATTACATTATATGTCAAGTCATCATCAGCCCGTCAGCATTCCAAAGTCGGGCCACTACAAAGAGCTCAGGTGACCGTCAAATTCGCGGGATAGGTCCAATAAGAAGTAAGACTATCCCGTAATTTTGACCGGCTTGAGTTCCCGTTGCCGGTTATCCTCGTTTTAAAGCATTGTTGCTAGCAACATTACTAAATCGGATGGCAACATCCCGTAACTCTTTTATTTCATAATGGATGTGCTTTCTGCGTGCTCCGTGATGTCGAAATACGATTTTCCCGATGACAGCCCCTTTCCTAAGCCGGAAAGAGTCTTAGCTCTTACACATTAACTGAATAGAGATACCTATAGGTATTGAGGCATATACCTAAACCAATACGAATTATCTCTACAAGCCTCTGGCTCTTTCTTACACACCAAATCGCAGCCTTAGACGAGTTCTCCAAGAAGTTGCATCTTGCTTATGACATACTACGTTACCTAGCGAAGTTACGGTCAACATCTTGCTGTAGTTTCCCTTGGCACCGAAACCTATCGCTATAGACGTCTTCATCCTCAAACCCAACACACTTCCAGCAATTCAAGAGCCTGTTCGGGTCGTACTTCTTCTTGACATTAAGCAAGGCGTCGTAGTTATCGCCCCACCACGACCTGCGCCAGTTCGGCGTGAATGGGTTTGCCTCGTTTGTGTACGTGCCTCCATCATCGCCGGTCAGCTCTTCAGCAAGGATCGTAGCTCTCGTGAGAGCTGTCATATTCTGCAGGCGCTCCGCGTACGATGCGTTCCAGGCCACCGTAAGGGACGTCGAAACGTCCCAGAGAGCATCATACCATGCCGGGTGTACGGACGTCGCAGGCCTTGTACGATTCCTCACATCCAGCTTCGTCGCACCCTCATAGACGAAAGGAGTACCCACCGGACAGTAGAAGCCCCGCGGGTCGAACCCCAGTTCCCCAGCAGCTGCCAGGAAGCCCATGACCTTGGCGATGCCCGCTTCGCTTTCGAACAGCCTCCGTGGTAGGAGCCTCGATGACAGCACGCGGATGACTCCTGCTGACGTCAACGCACCTGGGAGTACGTACTTATTCCACACCGCGAGGTAACTGGGCAGCACCTCCACCACGCTCGTACCTCCAGCAGCAAGTGCAAAGTCCGTGGCGGCGCGCATGGAAGTCTCCGCGGTGACGCCGCCGTCTGACAGGTTTGCCATCGCCGGCGCTGGATTCATGTACGTCAGATACAGGCCCGCGGCGTGGCCGCCCCACCCCTGCTTACCCCAGGCCACAGACTGCCGCGCCATAAGCTCGATCCACCGCATCGCTGTATTCGCTGTGGCATTAGCAGGCAACCGGATGCTGGCCACCGCTACAGGCATTGACGGCTCCACGCGATGCGTGGCCTCGAGCACGACTCCGAAGGTGCCCCCGCCCCCGCCGCGCAGAGCCCAGAATAAGTCCTGGTGCTGGCACTGGTTGGCGACGCGCAGGACGCCATCGGGCGTCACGATCTTGAATTCAGCCACGCGGTCGGCGCCGAGGCCGTATACGGGCGACAAGACACTGTGCCCGCCGCCCTGCACCCAGCCCCCCGACGCCGCAACCGTGTGCGAGTATCCGCCGAGAAAAGTGCTGTCGTGGGCAGCAGCGAACTCGTATATTTCGCCTGTCCTGGCGCCAGTGCCCGCCGTGATAGCACGGCCCACGCTTGCGTTAGCCGAGCATCCTTCCGGCACGAAGGCCGCGTGGTAAGTGAGTTGCTGCAGCTTGTGCACCCATAGAGCAAGCGATCCTTTCTGGCTATTCCTAGTCATGTAGTCGTGGCCGCTGTTCTTGATAGCGAGAGGCACCTTGTATTTGCGTGTGAAATCCAACGCTGCATTGACGTCCAAGACATCCCGGACCTCGATGTAATATGCCGGGACACTCCCCTGGTTGCAGGACGCTCCTGGGGCCGGTGGTGGGGCTGGAATCACGGTGTTGTCCAGAGTGCACTGGTCCGAAGGATCCCCAAGACAGATTTCGCCTTGGAGATTTAGATACGCGCTGGGGATATCTGCGCGGACTGCATTGGTTGTGTAGTTATCTAGAATTAGAGAGCAAGCCGCTTCGTTGGTTTCGGCCGTGTTTCCGTTGTATAGCGAGTAGCATGGTAGCGCGAAGGGCTTGTCTGTGAAAAGACGTCCTCCAATTGAGGCGTTGAGCGTTCCCCATGCTTCAGCATTTTGCCCCTGAATAAAAGGGGCGAAATCAATAAGCAGGAAAAGTGAAGATGTGAAGTATCCTCTCATAGTAGAAGGATTTAAATACTGCATACAAGACTTCGGAGCTATAGGAAAAGGTAGTGAGGCGGGAGATGAAAACCATAAGCCCATACCGCGTATGTCTTGATCCGGCAATGTTCTTTTTTTTTCTCACCCAGACGCCATCGGAGTTATAGTAGAAGCACATAAGCAATATCATAGCATTCGGACAATGCATTGGGAATTAATCCGGGAGTGAGACATATACGAGACCGACCGAGAACTGGTATGTTTCCAGCAGTACTACATAATCCCCCGCGTCAGCCAGTGGTGAAATTGTTGAGTTAACCATTCTCATGGATTTCCACGAAGCTATGTAACGCTACCTAGTAGCTACCAACATCGCACGGGGAAGCTCCAGTAAACGATCCCACTCGGGACCCATATGCCTCATAACTGCCTGCGCAGCCCTATTCGGCCAGTGAACAAGTTGGTCAATTATGGTAGATGCGAGCACGGCACCGGTAGAAGCCTTGCGTGCCACAACGATTATTCCGGACACAATGCACAGGCTCCGGGACCGAGGGGTAATTTTACCGGGCAAGCGCGCAGATTTGGTGCCGCTGAATAGTAACCCGCTGGTCAATATATCGAATACTCGGGATATCGGCCGTGTTTGGACTGGTGGTGTAGAGTATGCGGATGTTGCAAAAACTGCCAAGATCTGAGAATAGGGACGCCCATGAAAATGGAGGGAATGATAGTAGTCGCTGGGAATGTTCACTTCAACTCACAGCTTTTAAACTGAAGCAGCTGTGTTTGCTGTATCATAGATTGAAGTATATACTAAGCGCCGCAAACCTAGCCCATTCGTCACTGCACCCTTACTACTCCCCGAATAGGGGCGCAGTAGGTGCCTGTTAAGCCTGCCCCTCCCCATCAAAAAAATCCTCATCCAACAAGCTCAGCAGCACCTTCTGGCCCTCCCACTGCTCCTCGGCCGTCGGTCTAATCAGCTCGGGCGGGAGCACAAAGCCAAACCTCCCCGTATCCCTCAGCTCAATCGTATACGCGAACTCCGCGCCGCCCACACTATACACATGATCGGGCGCGGCTCCCGTCGTGGGGTAGAGCACCGCGCCGCTGGGCCCAAACGTGAACGTCGTCTGCGCCTCCGCGCTGCCGCGGACCGCCTCGCTGACGAGCGCCGCGGCCTTCGTCCACTTCCCCAGCTCGGGCGCGTACAGCGTCTCCTTGTAGCCGAACGGCGAGAGGATGTACTGCCCGTAGCTGTGCCAGTCGATGAACAGCTTGATGCCGGTGCTGTCGCGGAGCTGGCGCACGAGCTTGTCGAGGCCTTGATTCTCGGGTGTGTCGGAGGGGGCCTCGCCTTTGTAGGCTTGGGAGCACGGGTTCGTGGAGGCGCCGAGGGGGTTCGAGTCCCAGGCGAAGGACCAGTTGCGGTTGATGTCGCGGCCGATGCAGGATTGGTTGCCGGTGGATGGGGGAGGTTGCCGGTTCTTGCGCCAGAGGCGATCGGTTGTTTGAGAATACACGAACCCTTTAGTGAATGTTTCTGTTAGTTACTGGCGGTAGGGCAACTCGAAGCTGGGCAGTGGCTTACCGTCAGGATTCACTATTGGAATAATGTAGAAATCGTAATTATCCAGAAAAGATCGAACAAGATCATCGCTGCCGAGATAGCCCGTGACTAGTTGCAAGGTAATGTATTCGATAACCTGTGAGGCTTAGCTTGCTTGGAACTGAAGTCTACTTCTCTTGGGACTTACTGGTGAAGTAATCCATTCCCTGGCATGCACATTACCATGATACAGCACTGCCGGCTTTCCAGACCCATTCGCGCCCCATAGATGGAGTCCGTAAAGATCTCGCCCTTCGTATGAAGTGCCAGAGGATATCACCTCCGAATTGTTTGGAAATGAGGCTTGGAGATCCTTAAAATATTGGATATGGTCATCGTAGGCGTGGTACGAATCAAACCATGACAAATCCCCGGTTTGCCTTCTCCCGCCCTGAACACGTCCTGAGATGGACTCTGCGCTAATTGAAGCCCCTAGATCATCATGCATGACTTGGTAGTCAAGTCCAAGTGCTTCAAACGCGGAAACCTGATCGGGCGGTACTATAATATCGATATGTTTGTAAATATCATCATTCCATTGCTCGTAAGATATGCCAGAGAGTTTTCCCTTAATAGTAGATGGATGCCCATGCGCGTTTACTCTCAAGACCTTATATCCATTATATGATATGGCATCAGCTCTAGGAAGTATTGCTGTGCAAGCAGTGAGTGATGCAAGCAATGACGTCCAGAAAAGGTATTTCATTGCGATAACAAGGCCAATATTGGTATGGATGGTGAAGAGATAGAGAAAGGGAGAGATTTCCTGTTTATTTCAGTTCAAGATCATCGGTGCCTGGCAGATTTATATGCAGCATTAGGATATCGGATAGCTGGGATGATGGCGAGATCTCTTTAGACCATGCCAACGAAAGGTGGTAGCACTAGAAACTTGGAAGTCAACCGATTGGACTTTCATTGTTGATTTCGCAGAGTAATCTTGTCTATATGCAGAGTTGCCAAGCTACTCGCATCGCCAAGTGCATCACTACCTTCCACATTCATGTGGAGCGGGCCACCCTCGCGATTTGCAGCATCAATTGCGTCAATTCGTAGCATAACATCGAGAGTTATGTATTAGGTTTTAATGGCATATCAAGTTTAAACATCAAGTATGAATAGCCTCATGGTTATTTACCTTTGGCAGAGTAAAATTCAGGGTGGAAAAATAGAATAAAAAGGAGTGAAATGCTAAGTACCAAAAATGTGGAGATGAAGAAAAGGGGGGAAGAGGGAGAAGAAGTATGAAAGAAAAAGAAAAGAATTGAAAAAAAATGCAAAAAAGCTCGGTACTGCCCGGGGGTCGAATCCAGTACCTACGAAAAACTCCAGTGATCAAATCGTACTGTCAAGTTAGCGTTTTAGTGAAGGGACGCATCCAGCATATGACTTGTCGGCGGTAGTTTTCTCTCACCTCTTGTCACCCAACATGTGGGGTCGGTTGGGAATTCTACTGCAATTATAATCTATAACCTATACTCTGGTGTTGGTTGAACCTTGGGTTAATAGTCGAGGATTTGCCGATGTGGTCTCCTGGTTTCTCCGGCCGTGTGTACACGACCTAGGTAGGCAGATGGATGCCTTAGGTTGATCCGTATGCTACTGACATTTTGCTAATGTCTATTCCTGGGGCATCAAGTAATAAGTGGCTGCTACGACACTCAAAATATACCTAGAGAGTGAGGGCTAAGCACTAGGTACGTTTGGATATCAGCTTTGAGGTTTATCTTTCTTAAACCGTTCCATCCTACGAACGTGCTCCATGTTGATAGAGAATTAATATTGCTATATCATGAGAGGTGTTCAAGATGCTTCAAGATAGAAAAAGAATGCCTATCACCCCTGAACATAGTAGCTTGAAATAACACTGTTTTCTATGAAATGAAGCTTCCTATAAAACGAGTGTGTGTCCTCTAAAGCGAGTATAGATATATATGTACATGGAACAATCCGTATCTTAACGAGCGTATGTCTAGCCTAACGTCTCTGGCAACAGCCAACCAACCTCTCCTAGCCTGTCACTACGAAGCCGCCTCCGGCCTTCTACGTACACATAACAACCCCACCCGGCACAGTTGAGAGACTGCAATAATTGCCGTTCGCGGTGCACTATATAAACGTAAGCTTCAGCACATACCAATAATAGACTCTCACTTTTGTTCGAAAAGACATACCCTATACGGGTAAGAGTCACAGTTGCCCGTCCAACCCGATCTGGTCTCGTATTCCTCATAGCAGATTCCATTTGGAGTCTGGTGATTGCCAGATACGTAGCATTTCTGGTGAAAGGAGAACATTCATCTGTTAGCTGGATTCTTCTGACTGGTTACTAGTTACTGGGTAGGTATGACTTACACCTTCGACGACCATACGAGCCTGGGGCTGCTGGCTGACGGGAGTTGCGCCGACGATTACAGCGGTAAAGCTGTAGAAGAAAAAGATGGAGGAGCGCATCTTGATGTGGGTTTTGGTAGTATAATAGATGAATTTTGGCGAAAAGAAACAGTGTTTCAAAGATACCGTAGGCAGGATAGTAAATAGAGCAGATGAACGGGTTGAACTTAGTTGTAGATAGAAACTGATATCTTGGTTGTAAAAAGAAGTTGAAATCGTGCGAATGGGTGTCTGTTATATACACCAAGCAGAGAAAGGAGTCTTATAACGATAAGTAGAAGACTTTGTGTCTATACAAGCTGCTTCACGAAGGATGACGTCGCCGCCATGTTGAAATCCCATAACCTAGTAGTAGCAGCTAGCTAAGCGAAGTTGTTGGCGATTAAAATATCTCAATATCCTTGTGGCATACCCCAAGCTTCATGAGAATAGGATCATGTTGAAGAATCCATCCTTACTTCTGGCCTGAAAATCTTCAGCGCGTTGATTCCTAACCTTGGTCCGTTTCCGCTAACGAAAATCCCTCTAAGCGGCAAAGCACGCATCTGATAATTATACACCGTTCGAAGTTGAGTTTAAAGAGATTAAGATTATATTTAGATGAACGTTGGTTCCTGGAACTACTCCTTAGAGAATTGATCGCCAAGATGCATCGACGGGATATACCACTATTGCAATGTTAAAACCGAGCAGGCATAGGTCGAAGCTACCAACATCTTACAAATAACCTTGAAACATTCTTATATTATAATCAAGCGACTGGGATATAATGCGGCTTGTAGACTCTTATACTAGACTACAACTCTTCTATAGCTGTTTACCTGTTGGCGCTAGAGCACCAACATAAGTCTTGGCAGCGTGTACCGAAGCATGGTTTATAGTCCGGGGCCAATCAGGTCTCTTCATTTCTCTTCATTTAGTATAGAAGTAAGCATTTATCTTCTTCGAGACGTTTTGACGATTACATCTGAGTTTATTTATGGTACCTAATTGTGGTACCGATCGTCGGCGCAGAACACCAAAAACTATCACCACCATGCTAACCCCTTCCCTAGCATAAAAGCATCAAGCTAATGTAAGATCAGTTCATAGATCGCCACGAGGGGAGCCAGAATAGGGAGAAAAGCAGGAAATATTATAGGATCACAAAATCCGCCGTTGGAATAGCCTCGTTCTTGTCAGATTGATGACCCATTGACATGAATATGGCAGCGTATAGCCCGATTGTCTCCATGAAGACTATTCAAATCCTTGCCGAAGGAATCAGTGGCCTGGCGAGCGTGATGTCAGTTGATGACAAAAGCTTTGCGAAACTAAGTCAACATACTGTTTGAATACCAACGTAGGCAGATAGCTTGCGATGAGAGGTAAGATAGATTCAGTATAAGTAGGACGTCAATTCCTCTTTACAAGTCTCTTTCATTCAGCATCACCATCATCAACAACAACAACTCACCATCACTATCATCAGCACCATTAACCAAACTCTTTCACTCAAACAGCTTCAGCCCTTCAACCGATTTCAGTCTTTGAAACATACCAACAAACAAAATGAAGGGTATGATCATGACCAGACAAGCCCTCCCCTTCGCACGAAGATAACTAACCTTTTCATTCTACAGTCTCAAACAGCGTCATTGCCACCATCGCCTCTCAGGTGCTAGCCCTCCCCGTAAACGGGATCCCTACCTTCAGCCAGGTCCCAGAAGTCGTCGCCGTAGCTCGAGCCACGACCCAGTCCTCAACCCCAGCCCCGCCCTTGCGCGACCAAGTCACCGCCCTCGACGCAGCCGGACTCATCAACTGGCAAGAAGTGGAGGGTGGCGGACGCGCCGCTGTGCTCTCATCGCAATTTAGCGCGGTGCAACAGCGCGACGACGTGTACCACGACTTCCCGGCGCCAGCCAAGTTTCTCTCGAACGTGTGGAACTCGCTGCACGCCGACGTGGAGGTCGAGAACTACCACGGGCGGGCGCTGTGCCCCGGCGGCGGCAGCCACATGTCCAAGGCGCTTGTGGACTCCAGCGCCAACTTCGCGTGCAACTACTTTGTCAAGCAGAGTGTCATTGGGCAGCTGGGGCTGCAGGTCTGGCACGCGTATGAGACGAAGGATAACCAGGCGACGAGCGATGGGCCTGGGTTTGTGAGATGGCTCATGTAAGTTACCTTAGCTACCTACCTACCTACCCACTCCCCTATATAGCGAGACTTGGCAGGCTTGGCTAACAGAAAACTCACTTTCAGGGGAAGCGTATCCAACAACCCGGTCCCATTAACCGAGGAGTTCTGCTCGGACCTGTGGGATGCTGTCAAGAGCATGTGCACCACAAAAGGTACAACGGCCGACACCCAGGGACAGGCGGTGTCAGCGGGTGATTGGGTCTTGTATGCCGACCCTACCTCCAACAAGCACAACACTTAAGTTGAAAGGTTGTCGAGCTTCTCGAATCATGCTATAAATATGGGTTGTTGTTATCGTTGTTGTTAGGCGATGGGAGTTTCTGTTGAAGATGGGAGAGCTTTTGTTAGATTTCTGAATGCCTGTGTATATATTTTTTTTGCTTTGTTTTGTTATGTTTCCTTCTTTGTATTATCACCCACGCTCGCTACAATCGAGGCTGTTAGCTAGTCCGTCTTATTATTCTTGTTATATGAATTCGAGGTGCCGATTGCGTTAACATCATTTTGCCTTTTGGGGTATTGAATATGAGATGTGGCAGTGTTTGATATTTTCGTATTTGCAAGATACCCGGAGATGATGATCCAAGATCGAAGGGCCGACATGCAAGCCTTGCGCTGTGACTGACCCAACGTCCAGTTCTTCAACATTATCTTTACCTAATCATCGAGTGAACGGTAACGGAGTTCACCCCTTTTCAAAAGTATAGGTCTAGGTCCAATATGACGGCAGGAAGTTCGCCAATCATCTTGGCAGGCTTGGTCCGGTCAACCGAACCGACGACACGGTTCCGAAGGCAATACCCGAGGTCAGTCACTTCACGCTACCACAGTAATTACCTGATAATATTTCCAATAAATCCAATACTTCGTTTTCTTATATAGAGCGTAAGAACAGACGCCTTGGCATATATCCAGGTCGCAAGTAGAAGCAGTTTGGGATGCCTGGACCAATGGATCAATCTAACTTTAGGGATTTAGCCATGCGCTCGGGATCAGATGCAACAGGTTATATCCAATCAAACTTGCTCCTCGATGTAGTGAGGCTTATCTGGTGATTGGTTAAGGTCGCAAATTCAATATTTCGATTTTGACTCGCGCCATAAACCAGCGGTACTTTTCAAACGACCGATAGACTGAGCTTCACCTTGCCGGGTGAATAATATCTTCCGTGAGTTAGATAACCATCCTGTTAACGTTGTTAAAGTATGTGACACCTGATAGGTGCTCCCCTTCGGCTTTGGAAAGCCAGGATGTTCTCGTCGCAATGGATATCTCTTTAAAGTCTTTATATAACTTTATATATCAACCTTAGAGATTCGATATCACCGTGTAAGATGCCCTGAGGAAAACCCGACGATCTTATATATCCCGTTAAGTTTTCGAGGCTTGATAGTAACTTGTATATGGATCTTCGGGCCTTTTCCCGGAAAGGTTTTAATACCCCTGGGCACCCAACTATGTAAGCGAGGAGGCCAAAGATCTAATTCAAGACATCTGATCTGATATTCGGGTTCTATTGTTTCGAAGGTGTGGTAGTCATCGCGTAGGTATTGGTCGACGTTCGTCGGAATGGGGCCGATTCAATTATTCCGCCATATAAAAGCTTGGCTAAGTTGACCTCCAGTGGGATTGGAGCAGTTTGCATTTAGAACTGTTTGCATTTGGAGCAGAAAGGTTGTTGGAGCCTTGGAGGTTTGGATTGGAGAAGAAATATCCATGCAAGCGACCGATTCGAGAACATAGCTGTATTTATGTAGTTAGCCCTAGTACCTTGGCTGCATGTGCAATACCTGCCAATCAGAACCCGTACATTTTTAAGGTTGTCCAAAGCTCTGTTTAGCCTGACGTCACTTTTATGCGATTTGATTTGGTAATGAGAAGAGATGCGGTTCTCCATTCAGACGAACTGTGCTTTATTAATTAGTCTTAGGCTACCAGTTATCAAGTTGGACACGTCGAACAAACTACACTTTTTATGTTAAACATTAACATGAGGAGATGAATTTAATAATCTGGATGGAAGCTTTGTATATTTCGTCGAGCTATCATGAGCACGTGCTTATCGATAAATGCTTAGGTCGCATCCATCGGCACGCTAGCTTAAAGTACTAGTTAGCTCATGTGGATACATGTAGGGACTTTTACCCCGCAATCAATCTGCGTAAATGTACTCCGTACATGATCCATCAATGATGCGGCCAACTCTCGGGGATGGGGACGAGGATATCGCGGCATCAACCAAGATCAGATCCAAAACGACAAGCTCTAATTCTCGCATTTTGACATCCCTATTATATGTATGAAATCCTTGAGTTAGTGAAGAAGAGCTCGTTTGAGGTGCTAGCACCTGGCAGACAAGAAGAAACGAATGTTGAAACTCTTCATTTTCTTCCTCGCCGTCTACATGACATCAACCGTTGGAAGTTCCAAAAAAGATTCCGGTTCAACGGGAGCTGACAGTGCAGATCCCCATACAATGCCGAGATCCATCCAGCCGTATGCGTGCGCCCGGGTGTCATGTAACCAATGTAACTATTACAGTTATGTACTGCCGGGTGTGGTCTAACCTTCCTAGGTACTTAGTGTATCGCTTTCGAGGTCAACTGGTTCTTTCCCTTCCATGAATTAGCTGCACGACTGCCTACCATATGTTGTAGCTACGTATATGTAGATTTGGCAGGTTGTCTACTAATAGGTACATGATATAGGGACACTTGCCTTTCTTCAGAATATACTAATATACCTCCCTGCAGAGCATTGAATAATCAACGGAGACGTTAAGATTGAAGGACAATACCTACCAGTCTACTATCTAGCACTTAAGTAGGTTAGGTATGTTAGGTAGACAGATAATATCATGAAAGCCAAGTCGAGAGCGGGTATAGCACTGCCTTCAACATATACAACATCATCCTATTTTTCATTCGATGTCGGTATGATGGAGATGATGCGTAAGGTAGGCATCGTACCAAACCCCGCATTCGATCTTCTCGGTACATACATAGTCCCAACTAACCACCATGAGATTAGTATGTGTATAGAAGGGATTCGACACCAATCGCGAATGAGAATCCGGGGTAGTTGTTTAGTAGCCGCGGAAAGTGGGAAGATATCCAATGTGCTGTTTGCGCTTGCCTCATCGCTTGTCGTTCTCGTTCTCCTTACATAAGTCGAAGTCGCCACACCTCTCTCTCAACTGGACACTCTTTCCTTCTCTTATCATTGTTCTTATGCTCAAAGTTGTTCAAGGTTATATAAGTTCCTGAACCTTGAATCTTTCAATATTCTTATCTTCAATGTTCCAAGTCTGGTTCTCTTAGCCATCAAATTTGAAGTTCAGGTATGTACTTATACTCTCATTTATACATACTGCACCCTACATATATGTGGTGTGTACACACCTACCCTATCCCGGCCCCGGCCATCGTTTATCACAGAGTTCACACTTGCGCACGCGCTCAACCGGCGTTTTCCTATTTCTTCCAGTCTTATAGGCACAACCGAGGTCAACCACCCTGATCCAAGTTCCGAGCTTGGCAGTTTTAATAGGAGGCTACCCAACGACAACAAGGCAGCTGTACTTGGCTTGTGACTTATTCAAGCTCTCCCTTAGATCTTAAGAAAGAGACTCCCTTTGCTTGCTACTTATCAGTCTACCCGCCTGCCTGCCTGCCTACCTTGTGCATATGCACTCATTCGTCTCTCCACCCAATTCTTTGTCTTCCCAAATCCTACACGCGTACCCTATTTACAAGTGTTTCGTAAACTTCTTGTTACCTCCCGCTTACATATTCCATCAAAATCTCCCAAGTTTGCTTTGCTTCGATTGCGTTTTGGAATATTCCTTCGGCTGACATCATCTTGTTTTCCCCCTGTATAGGAGCTCTCGCTTGTTGAGCTCAACCTGATAGCTGAGCCATCCCACAATAGGTACTCCCCGGTCTCGGTGAGCGTGCATACCTAGTCGATCCCGGGCTGAGAGCTGGTATTTCACCACCTGGGATTAAAGACCCATGTCCGGTTGATCATTGATTCTCCCTTGAGACATTGTTGCACATGTTGGTCCACCCCCCTTTTCATTGTTTTTTTCAATGCACCATTGATTTGTTTGCTATTCACTTCGGTGCTATTATTGTTATTGTGGTCACCTCGTTCTCAACCGTTCAGGCTCCGCTATCAATACCATTCTTACTATCCTATTGGTGCATCTTGAACCCCCCTGGAGTATTTCTTGGACCGGGTTGCCAAAACCATGGAACGGGGTATCAAAGAAACAATTCCTCCGTGGGATTTTAGCACCACTTAAGCAACCTTTATCCAACACTTTCCTATCTTTTCCGATGAGGTCCACATCTACCTACCCGTGGACATATATCACAAATAATCGAAGGCTTCAACCATATTACCGTCTAGCCGGCGAAATGAAGCCGATTTGCGCAGCGATTTTCTATTCACCTCGGCCATGGCCATGTTGTTCGGCGGATGTTGAGTGCATCAGCCAATGGCGTTTTACCGGACCTTCTCTGGAGTTCCCTACCTAGTCCGACTTGTGTTATAAGCTTACAAGCCTTCTCAACATATTAAGCCCGCGCCAATGTCGCGCTTGCGGACAATGTTGCTAACCATGTGTTATCTAACACCAGCTTTCCACTCCCTCTACGGATATATTCCTAGAGTCTAAACGGAGATTCCGGCCTCGTGCCCACCTACCGATCTTTCGACTCATTGCTGTCCTATCTATCTAATAGCTAGAATTATGAGCTCCAACACTCTAAAACAAGCCGCGGAAGCAGCACGAACTAAGTCGTCTACGATGACCAAGCAGGGTTCCGAGACAGTTACTGCCGTGGGGAATGACTTCCTACACACACCTATTATGCGGGCGGCACTCCCCTTCATTAACGGCGGAATCTCTGGAATGGTTGCGACGACTGTCATCCAGCCCGTAGATATGGTCAAAGTCAGACTACAGCTTGCGGGCGAAGGTGTTGCAACTGGTCCGAAACCAACTCCATTATCAGTCACGCGGGATATTTTGGCGCAAGGCAAGGCTCTAGATTTATATACTGGCCTCTCAGCAGGCCTTCTTCGCCAAGCCGTTTACACCACAGCAAGATTAGGCTTCTTTGACACCTTTATGAAAGGTCTCGCGACACGTGCTAAAGAGAAGGGTACCCAAGTCGGTTTCGCCGAGCGGGCAACTGCCGGCCTTACGGCTGGCGGAATAGCGGCCTTCATCGGAAACCCAGCCGATCTTGCGCTCATTCGAATGCAATCGGACGGCCTCAAGCCCATCGCCGAGCGCAAAAACTACAAATCCGTCATCGACGCCTTAACCTCGATCGTCAAGTCGGAAGGCGTCACGGCGCTATGGGCGGGCGCCACGCCAACGGTAGTCCGCGCCATGTCGCTGAACCTGGGCCAACTAGCGTTCTTCTCCGAAGCCAAGGCGCAACTCAAAACGCGCACCCAGTGGTCCGCCCAGTCGCAGACGCTAACCGCCAGCGCCATCGCCGGCTTCTTCGCCTCCTTCTTCAGCCTGCCCTTCGACTTCGTCAAGACCCGGTTGCAGAAGCAGCAGCGTGGGCCCGATGGCAGATTGCCGTACAAGAGCATGACGGATTGCTTCGTGAAAGTCGCAAGGCAGGAGGGCCTCACGCGCTTTTACCGCGGTTTCGGCACGTACTATGTGCGCATTGCGCCTCATGCGTAAGTTACTTACTTACTTGCCTGCCTACTTATTGCTCCTCTCCGTTTTCTTTCCAAATTGTTGTTTAACGACATGACATGACAACAAAATTCATTATCATTTAAACAAGCATCGCTGACGCTAATAAAATTACCGCAGCATGGTGACTCTTATCGTCGTGGATTACCTAGGCTTTTTGACCAGGTAAATGAGAGGCATATAAAATGATGCGATAGGCCCACTTTATTATGCACACCTACATCTCGCTTCGTTGCGACGGTTGCGTACCTACATACCTAGCCTAACAAGTATCTTTGCGGAACTGTTCATCTTATCTAATGGAAAGTTTGTTTTGGAAGGGAGAGGACAGACGGGAGACGGGGCGTTTATCGGTCATCATGGGATAGCATTGCTTAACACTACCCGTTGTCGTCGTTGTTGTTGGTTTCCAACAGGGTTTTGATTGATTGGTTGGTTGGTTGGTTCATCGATTGGGAATACCATTCGTACCTAGGTACATAGTATAGTATAGCTTCCACATGCTTCCATTAAAATGCCTCAGGCTAGGTACTCTAAGCTGGCAATAATACATGGCTGTATATTGTGTGATGTTACATGGCCCTCTTCATTTCAGCCTAGATTCTCGACACAGCGACACCACTACCTACGCAGCCCTCTTCGTGCAAATAATCCAGCTCAAATTCCCCAACGGCCACAGAAATTGCTCTCTTCCGCTCTGAACAACCCAGCCATCGCTGTCGGCGCCGCAGGTGCGCAGCAACAACTCGACCTCTTCGGGGGTGCGGGTGCGCAGACACGAGATGATGCCGTCGAAGACGAGGACGAAGGGCACGATGGGTACGATGTAGATGTAGAAGAGGCGCACGGGAGACCACCAGTACAAGAGTGGCGCGATCAGGAGGATGAAAAAGCCGAAGAGGAAGCAGGTTATAATACCGCTTGGGGATCGGTCTTGGAGCTCGAATATGCTGTTTGGGGGATGGGAGGTTAGTTTACGTATATTCTTTTTCTTTATTTTTTGGACTTGTCTAGGCAGCTAGCTTACCCGAACCCGTCGCTCGTCTCAATCGTGTCCTTCAGTATGGCGCGTGCTAGGTCGTCGTCGAAGTGGTGGAACGCCAGGTTGAAGAGCCGAAAAATGCCCTTCTTGTCGTTGCCGTTTGTCTTGGCGTACTTCCGTAGCAGGTGGGTGGGCGCATGGGTGGCGTCGACCGGGCTGCTGACGTACGTCAGGTGGTCGCTCTTCTTAGCTGCGGCCTCCCAGGACTCGACGTGGGGGTGGAGGTCAGTGAGGACGAAGTCCACGGCACCGCCGTCATCGTGGACGACGGTGTTCTTCGTGGAGGGGTTCGCGACGGCGGCGTAGCTCGGGGTCCCGGTGGAGCTGGCTTTGCTCTCGCCGCCGACGACAGCGGATGAGGCGGTGGCTGGGACGGCGCGGGATGTGGTCGCGCGCACGAGTTGGCTGTTGAGGGCGCGCTCAATGAAGGGGGTCGGCCCGCCAGCGCCCGCGCAAAAGTCTATGTAGGTGTGTCGTGACACAGAGTTTCCTAGCACACGGCGCAGGGTATTGGCCACGAGGGTGGCGGGGCTGCTAGACTGGAGGAGTGGGATGTGCGTCGTCCAGGCGTGCGTTAGGCCGGTTTGGACGTACGCCCGCAGGAAGGGGGGGAACCTATTTCGTCGGGTAATATAGCGTGGTTAGTCGGATAACTATCTGGGTAGATGGGATAGAAGTGGCTGAACATGTTATTGGTTCGGAGGGATATGATGCGTGGTCGGAAACCGAGTCAATGGCAATGGCTCACCGCCAAGGAACAAATATGAGATGGACCTGCAGCAGATAGGATTTGCAATCTGTTGAATGCAGCCATTAAATCTGTTGACTCAACGATCTGGAGTCATCGCAAATGTATACAAAACATCCAATTAAAGGCAAGTAAGGCAGGAAGGAAGTTGGCGGATCACGGACGTCCGGACTTAATTTAAATGGCTGATGGATTGGGATTCTAGGATTTTTGCTTACCAAGGCTGATCATCGATTTCCCATAAATGCATTCGGGGAATCAAAGGTTTTGCCATTGTGAATAGATACCTATGTTGAACACTATTGGCTTTTGATATAAGGCGACTTGCGGATAGACTTGGGCAACTACCTAGGTGTAGTAAGTGGCCAAAAAAGAAATGTAGAAGTCAGATTTCTTGTGAACCAGCACAACTGACAACACACTGACAATATACTAACTAAGTGCTAGTGAGAATATGTAATAGATACGAGGTGAGGGACGATAATTGAAGAATGAGATAATGAGATAATAGAGTTGTTATAATTAGGTCAATCTGTCACAATAACTTTGGAGCTTCATGAGTTTCGAATTGGAGCTCAAATGCCCCTGGCTTCATTAGAGCATCCACCTACATAGCTACCCTAGATAGGTACCTCTAGCTATTAGCTACAGAGGAAGCTAGGGGGTTATGAGCTTAGGGAACTATCCCCGCCACCAATCAGACTGTTGGAAAGGTTAATAACGTACGCCGTACTTGCAGTTGGAGAAGATGAGAAGATGTGAAAATGCAGGGGTTAAAAAGCAGCCCACATCGATCGTGCGTCACTTGACGTAAGGCTGAAACGGGGATCCCTTCACGCATATGTGTTACCTAATCAGTTACACCCCCAAAAGGCTTGTTTTTACCGTTTGACATTTCATTCGATGTTTCTCTTAGGATCATATCAATTGTATCGCGTACCTTCTTGATGTATCCCCTCCACATCATATAGCGAAGAGCCAGTAAACAGCATGGCCCTCCTAGAAGGACCTGGGCTATTTTGCTTTGGATTACTTACCGCCCTTTTCTGTTACCAATTCATTCTACGGACCCCGACTATCCGACGAAACGGCAGTCCACTCAGGTAGGTGTGAGCATTGTCTGACATTACATCCAGTGCCAACACTTATTGATTAATCCTCCTCCGATAGAATACCTCCAAATACCTTACCTGTCGTAGGTAATGGAATCCTATTTCTTCAACCACGCCAAAAGTTATTCTCCTGGTTTGTCAAGTGTGAAAAGCAATTTGGCTATGAGACCTTTCAGATTACAGTTCCAACCTTACCGCCAGGCGTCGTAATCAATGATCCCAAGAACCTAGACTTTGTTTTCAAAAACGAGAGCATCTTTGGTAAGGGTGACTTCTTCAAGCGGCTCTCCCGGGACTTGTTCGGGAATGGGATCATCAATACCGACGGGGAACTGTGGAAAGCTCAAAGGAAAGCCGGGCTCGCTTTTCTCAGCACCTCCAATTTACGAGTCTTCTCAGACATTGCCCTACCAAGGTATCTAAGCCAGGCCGTCAAACAGTTGAGAGCTGAAGCACGAGATGGACGCGTTGTGGATCTTCAAACTGTTTTTCATGAGATCACAAGTCAACTTATGGGGAAGATGGCCTATAACATGGAAATGCATGCCAATGATGACTTCGCCGTCGCTTTTGATTACGCTTCTGGTGCAACCACCGAGCGCTTTCAGAACCCCCTTTGGTTTATCACGGAACCCTTCACCGGATTCCGGTTCAGGAAGTCGCTCGATGTAATCCGCACTTTTGGTCGCAGAATAGTGGACACTAGTAGCAAGTCACAAAATGCCCATTCCAACCCGGAGACGAATTCTGATAAATTGGACCAAGTATCTGGAAGTCTGATACAGTTGTTACTGGAGGTCTTTGGTCACGATCACCAATTAGTTTCCGACGCTGCTCTCAACTACCTTTCAGCCGGTAGGGATACGGTTGCTCAAGCATTGACGTGGTGCATGTATCTACTTATGCAGCATAGGTATGTTGCTGGGAAGATACGCAGCGAAGTGCAAGCCGCTCTAGAGAATTCCCAGGAATTGTTCATGGGACAAAACGGTAGCGAGAATGGAGAAATTAACTCCCCTATCTTTACAACAGCATCGCTACCATATACCATGGCAACTTTCTACGAAACATTGCGACTGTATCCGCCAATACCTTTTGAAATTAAGCAGTGTGAGAGAGCAGCAACTCTGCCAGACGGCACCTTCCTTCCTGCGAAGTCTATCGTCTTTTGGTGTACATGGGCCATGAATAGATCGAAAGTCAGGTGGGGTGACGATGCTGACTCGTTCCGACCAGAGAGATGGCTCACAGGCGAGGGCAAACTAATTACGAAAAACGCGGCCGAGTTCCCTGTGTTCAACGGCGGGCCGCGATTATGTCTCGGAAAGCGAATGGCAGAAGTGCTATCTGTCCAGGTCATTGCGACCATGGTACTCCTATTCGACTTCATGCCAGCTTATGGTGGCGAAAGGGTCAGCAAAAGCAGCCTCACGCTACCAATGAAAGGAGGACTACCATGTCTCGTCAAGTCCAGAGCATACGATACGGAATAGTTGATTGCCACGAAAGTGATTATGCATCACCAACCCTTACTTCTACCCTCTTCCAGAAGCTACGATACCCTGTTATCTCGTCTCACTACATTCTGATCTGTCCGAACTATATGTGTGAGCACCCTTCCAGAGCGTTACCAAGACAGAATGTAGCTGTGTGGTTGACGGGGTGTATAGGGCCATGATACAATTATTCATAATCAAGACATTTGATTTTGGACCTTGTCTCCCTACATGGGTACCTACCTCCTATTCAGCAAACGACGCGTCTGAAGGTGATATCCCATCATATTACCTGGTGCTACCACATACATGTGCTGGGTACAGGGTATGTTGGTACAATGTAGGTAGAGATGGATGCTTCGGTCTAAGAAGTGGCTTCCCGTCCCGTCTATGGTCCCAATTCGGGTTTGCACCTACCCTTAGTTTAAGACAGCATGCTCGTAGTTGCCAACAAATTGATTGACAACATTGGAGTCAAGGTAATACCGTCGTAAGTGCCTAACCTAGGGTATAGTACATACCATTCAGTACCTACATACTACATATGTATTAACACATCAAACTTCAAGATATTCGTGCCTATTAGACATCCGTACCCATTCAATGTTCACTTTAGCAAATATCAAATATTTGTACATGGTCCTACCCATATCTATCTCATTATACCTTACATTTTTTATTGTCCCATTTCTAATCCATAATTTGAACACAGCGAATCTACATTCTCGTCAGCCAATATTTTACCACGCCGCAGCAGGAGTGTATGCACAAAGTCAGTACAACACCATGGCAATGAAAAATCCCCCAATATCCAAATACGACGAGATCATTGAGTCGCCAAACGATAGCAGCGGCCCTTTGACCTTTGGTATCGAGCTAGAATTCCTTGTCCCTTATCTCAAAAAGGGTATCGAAGACCCCGATCCCCAGGACAAACGCCCTCCGATAACGTACCGACGTCGTGATGATTTGCCTCCCCAATTCCTCGCAGCTCTTAAGGCCTCGGCCCCTGAAATTCCTTTTCGTTGTGGGGTCCAGGAAGCAGGTGCTGAGAATGATGGCCCTCCCAATTACGATGAGTGGCGCTTTCTCAGAGACAGTTCTGTTCGTTTTGGCCGGACGTCGGAGATTTATCAGTGGTCTGGACGAGAGATTACCTCCGTGGTCATGAGGGCTGATGATCCTGACTTCTACACTAAGTCGATCACAAGCGTGTGTCGCGCTATTCGAAGCACACGGGTTCACCTTAACGCTTCTACCTCGGTCCATGTACACGTTGGGCGCGGCGAAGAATCGTTTAGCCTCGTCACCATGAAGAAATTCGCCAGTCTGATATGGTTGGTAGATGAGATGTTGTTGAAACTACACCACCCGTCACGCCACGAAAATCGGCACTGTAGTTTGATCAAGACCTCTTCGATACTGGGGACTACAAATCTGAGTCTGCCAACGCCAATAAGCGAAGCTGATGCGCAGCAGATGGACGAGTTTATCCCAGCCTCTGCAGTGGCGCAAGTCACTGGGTTAGCTCAACAGGTCGGTTATCTATGAGTTTTCCCCTGATGCTTTTACTCAATGAGAAATCAACTCTGCTTGGGAACTTTGGGGCTAATATCTGGATTGCAAAATAGATGAGACTTATCTAGGGGACTAAGGCTATCGAAAGGCTAGCATGCTGGATGTGCAATAGGGACCCCTATCAAACAGTGTAAGTGCTGAAAGACCTTATCGCCTTGCATGAAGTAATTGCCAGCTCATCCTTTCTCGCAGGTTCAACCGGACAAGCGTCAGCTTCAGCCGGTTTATATCCTGTCGCGGGAAGGGGAACCTGCACACCTTTGAGTTCCGCCAGATGGCCGGCTGTCTGGATCCCGGCCCCATCATGCACTGGGCCCGGGTCTGCATCGCCCTCGTGGACTTTGCCAGACTCTCCGATGCGGTGGCGTTCAGGGGATTGGTGGAGAAGATCTTGAAGGGGCGCGGCACTACTTTCACGGCGTTTGATTTGCTTCGGGAGTTGGGCCTGGTGGAAGAGGAGAAGTATTTTAGGCAGAGCGTGGCGGGATACAAGACGATGTTTGGGCTGTACCCTGGAGCGGAGGCAGGGAAGCTGTTCCTGGATCCGATGGAGTGAGGGGACGCGGGCGTGCCCCTTCTCGCCCATGGTGGTGGGGACTAGGTAGGTAGGGAGGCAGTTGACTTTCAGGCCATCCATTTTTTATGGCTAGTATAATAATATATTTACAAGCTTCTTTGAAAGAATAAACTATCAGTTACTTTGATTAATAAAATACCTAAGCGTAGGGCAGGCCTCGTTGGGAAACTTGAAAAAAGGGGGGGAACAAAGAAATCAGCCCTAACCACATGGTCGGGAGGATATGGTCCCAATTACTAGCGGCGAATTGTGTGTAAAAAAACCCCCCCACTGCGCCTGCGTGTAAACGTCCTAAATAGGTAACTAACTTGTGGTAAGGCTCATGTAAGGGGCAGCTTTAAGTTATGGCGACCTGTTTCAACGAGCAAAACGAGGAAAACAAATGAGATTGCATGGTCCGAGACTCACGACTTAGCCAACAACATGATCCACTACTCGTCTTGCATTTATCATGACACCCGCAAGCTTCACCCTTCATGTACTGTCTTGGGCGGGCTTTGGTGAATCCTATAAAATCGACGGGCACCACTCAGCCGCCTCTTAGACCCCCGTCGAGGAAGCCACGCATATTGTATGCTGCTCCTAAAACGTCTCCCTCCCCCTTCCAGATGATGACCGTGATCTGAGTGATGTCGTTATCATCTGCGCGCTTCTTGAGCACGGCGGAGTTATATATGTTACTGTTACCTATGCTATGTTATGTTATAGGTACAGCTAGCCGCTTCACGAGCTCTTCGGCCATGATGAAAATTTCGTGATTATCTCAGGTTGGCGGAAGTTGCTTCTGCTGGCCATCGTAGTAGGCAACTAAGCGAGAAATCGGACCTACTGGTCTGCTTCAGATCGCATAGCCCAGGTTGCTTGCTATTGATGGCGAGTTTGATATTGGGGCCAGTCGGTTGTGTACCTAGAAGCGATTTCATCGCCGACACGCTATCATCGTCTATCTCATCCATAGGTAGGTAGACAGATAGAATTTGGCTTCGGCGGCCACGTAAACCTCTCGGCTGCGATCTCTCCGTCCATGTTCTGCAGCTTTTTGATCTTTAGTTTCAAAAATTTCCATCGCCTGCACCACGAAGTGCCCAGAACAACTTCTCTTATCGGACCCCAGGTCGACGGTGACAACGTTCCCGTCCGCGGTAAGAATCGATAGGTAACCCTAGTCTGCTTCAGCGAATCCCTCCTCAAGCCCGAAAATTCGCATACAGGGGACAAGACCACCTCCCAAATTCCCAGCGTGAAGCCGCTCAACACCCCGTGCCAAGACACCGCCCGCTAGTGATGATGCAGCCATATAGCCGTCATGAAGCCCAATTCCCACTTGCCTGCCTACATATACACGCCGCCACGTCACGCACTTGCCCTCCCTACATGCACTATGATCTTAGATTCCCATATCCAGATCGAGGGCACCCAGCTTCTTTCATTCTCGCAGGGTCTAAGTGGTGCTTTGATGACCCGGCAAGCCTAGCAACCTAGAAATGATCGTCCGTTCTTAGTACTGACCTACCTAGTGACAGACACCCCGCAAGACTTTTGCTTGTGTGGGGATGGACCTGGACAGCAGAGGCCCAACGCTTGGGTTAGGCGACGCGACGCAAACAGGTAGGCCCAGTGAAGCGGCACAAGCGATCAGCGATGTGGTAATAGCGCGTTCGTACTCTAGCTCCCCTAGTTTGTGCGAGGTGGATGAGGCTGTCCCATGTAGGTAGATTATCCGCAGCCCTCGGTCTTGCTTCTTTGTGAACCCGAGACGTCTCAGCTCCATGCTCATCTTGACAGCTAAGTCCCGTACAACAACGATCATGCGACGACCACGCTGCCAGGCTACTCACTGAAGGATCCCTGATTTTCGGTAGATTTTTCTACCAGGACGGATGTTCTCAGTGTGTAGGTAGACGGGCGGACAACTTCGTCGGCCCCTTATATGCCTAGTATGCTTGTCGTGGGCATACCATATGCACCAAGGCACCAACCAGTATGAACGTCCAGAGTCAACGACATCAGACAGCTTCAACGACCATGAAAACGAGAAAGCGGGTCTCCTCCGCGCCGGATGAGGTAATCCCAGAATATATGTACCTAGGTTAGATGCATGTCTCATACAATCTCAGTTCCAAGCTGAAGAAACGCACCTAGTCCAAGGCGCATGAACCCCCTAACCCTAACCATGCCATGCACATGCCGCAGAAGCAAAACCCGAAATCTTCATCATTCTTCAACGGCCAAAGAAGGAAAAAAAAAAAACACCCCGACATTCAAAATCAAAAGCAGACAAAAGCCCATCTCAAAAAACCCCAAGATGTACTTAAAAGGATCTAAGAAATCGAAACTAAAAGATTAAAAAAAAATTGGAAAAATTGGAAAAGACAAAAAAAGAACGAAAAAAAAAGAAACCGACGCAGGCCTGATTCGAACAGACGCTCCCGAAGGAACAAGATTTCTAGTCTTGCGCATTAGACCACTCTGCCACTGCGCCTAGCGGTAGATGCTGATTGGTGCCGTTAGTATGGTACATGAGCTGTTTGTAAGTAGAAGTGGGGCAAGCAATGTAGGTAGGTATTAGGTATGTATTAGGTAGGTAAAGTACTATGGATGTGTAGGTAATATGATGTCAATGGTGGTACAGTTATCGATGGATGTTATGTGTACCTATCGGTAGGTACTGACCGTACTGTGGTATGTAGAAAGGTACATGTAGGTTAGGTAGGTATGTAGGTGGAAGACGAAGGATCTCAGGGCAGATACCTAGCAACAAACACGAATGCCAATCCCAGTATCTCATTCTGTAGGTTGATTATATATTCTATCTATCTGCCAAGGTGCCTACCCACTCAAGACCGTACGCGCTGCTCAAAGAATACTCACACACCTACCCAAACCTCTCCCTAGCAATCCTCTTCAACACCTCCATCGTGCCCTCCTCCTTCTTCTTATACTCCCTCAACCTCTCCTCCCTCTCCGCCATCCTCGCCCTCAACTCCTCCTCCCTCCTAACCTCCCGCTCCGTCTTCCTCCTCTCCGCCGTCTCCTTTACCTTCCTATACTCCGCCACCGAGTCCCCCCCACCCATCAGCTCCGCCTCGCCCACCTCCTCCAACACCCCCGATCCCCCGGCACCGTCCCGGAACGCCCGAATCTTATCGTTGACCTCGCGCTTCTTCTCCAGCTTGCGCTCGCGCGTGCCCGGTTCCGCGCGGGGGACCAGTTCTTCGAGGCGAGCGCGTTGTTCGACGCGATCGGCCTTGCGCGCGAGGCGGAGGTCTGCGATGCTCTGCAGGTGCTCTTGCTTTGCCTCTTCCCTCGCTTCTTCCCGTCGGAGGTCGAGGTCCTGCAGGTTCGGTATGCCGGGCCCGTGGTGCTTCGTGGAGTAAGACGCGTCGCGCGTAGTGGTAGATCCTGGTGGCGGGAGGGTGGGACCGTAGTCATCCTCGTCGTCGTCGTCATCTGATCCCTTGCCTTTTTCTTCTCCTTCTCGTTCTTCTTCGTCCCTTGAGTGCGAGCGCGAGTACGAGTGTGAGTGCCCTATCCCCCGGCCTTCTCCATCACCGCTCGTATGCTCTTCTCTGCTCGCTTCCTTGCTAAACGCCCTCGACGACACCCTCTCCACGTCCACATTCACATTCACATTCCCGCTCGCAACACTCGGATAGCTCTTCCTTGCCTCCGCCAGCGTCTCAGCCTGGTACCACCCCTCCGCAAGCTCGCCAGAGTTCCACTTCCTAACGAAACTTTTCCAGCGGCCCCGGACTTCCCTCTCATCTAGGGCTGCGATGTCCTTGCACTTCTGCACCTCGAGGTATTGCGCGAACAGCGGCCTGAAGGATGACAAGTCGGAGCGGACGAGGGGTCTCGCGTCGAAGGGGAGCTGTGCTGGTGGTTGGGGCGGCGAACGGTTCGAGGTGTTGTGGCGGTGTCGGCGGTGATGGTGGTGGCGGGATGGGGAGATTGACGGCGAGCGTTCAGAGCGGCGGTTCAGGTTCGTAGCAGAATTCGCATGTCGGTCGTCTCTTCGTTTGCTTTGTGATGCGTACCCATCATGAGGACTTCTTTGCCGTCTTTCTCGATAAGATCCTTCATGTGGTGGTGGTGACAAAGATCTCTTCCTCGAGCCCCTATCACGCCTACCACTCCTATCCCTCCTATCGCCATTACCGTCTTCACTGTCGTTATCGTATCTTCGCTTAACACGTTTCATATCCTGTTGTGCTTCTTCCCCACGCGTTCGTTTGTGTTTCGAATAATGGCGTTGTTGGGCATCATCTCCTAGTCCATGGACCCGGGAATTGCTGCCAGGGTCCGCCATGGATGCAACGACAGCAGACGAATGGAACGAATAGGCGGTAATGGAGTAGGATTCTTGTGCGTCCGAGGCCGCAGCGTATGGGGTGCGTTAGTGTTGTCTCGCTTTATGACTGGGAGATGTAGTTGACGTTGTACAAGGTAGGTATGTAATAGTATTGAACTATTGTAGTATGTACCTGCATGTGGTTGCGTCACTGCTATGAACTAGGTACAATATGTTGGATGAATCGATGATGTTGTACATGTACAAAGCCTTTAACAGCGTTGGATGTCCGATGTCAGGTAGCGGGTGTACACACGTACTTGTAAGTTACATGCATGTAACAACATTCTGTCAGGGATTGCAACATGTGGCGTTGTGGGGTAACAATAAGAAATGACACGGGTTATTACATGTCGTGATAACTACATACAGGCACTTGATTGCATAAGCGGGGAAAATGCTGTGAGCTTCAAATGTTTCTAGAGCTTCAATGTTCTCATCGTGTCCTACTATGTGCGTACCCCTCTACGTACGAAGTACTATAGTACTACATACATTCTATGTTCATCACATAATACAGCTAGATGACAGAAACCAAGCAAATGAGTGGGATTCCTCTTCATCCCATATGTACTACCATGTGTAGCACTCGCAACGCTATGCCAAAATACCTAACACATATTTCATCTTGAAGTGACATAAAAACAAAGGGCCGGGGAACATGTGCACAGCTAAAGTCCTAATTCATATACAATCGTTCATTGGTATTACATAAGTCAATCGCGTGTATAAACCATCCCTTGCGATAAGAGATTCCCTAGCCAGTCCTCGCCAAGCTCTCAAGATCCTCTAGAGATCCTCTGGGGACGTCAAAAAATGCCGATTGGAGCCCCGGTTTCGTGAGGGAACCCGGCGGGTAGGACAAGGGTTGATCAGGCACTGTAATTCTACTCGTCAAGCTTCGAGTAAGCTCTGCCTCTTCCCGATGATACGCCAGGGAAGCCGATTGGAGCTTGACGAGAGTCAACAACCCCCACCTAGCGGCGGGGATGCTCGTAGGCGAGGGCCTGACATGACAGTCAGTCCATCAAAAATGCCAACTTCTCAAAATCTGTGTAAGCCCCATCATCCATTACATCGTTAGGCTGATTCAGAAAGGCCTATTAGTTTCCTCCTCTTTTTCCTCCTCTTTCTGTTTTTTTTTCATACTCTCCATATTTTCCATATCGTCACTTCGTATCTGCTCGGAAATGTCGTCGATTTGCGTTTTGCTTCATGGGTATCAACATCGTTTTCGTCCTGTTTGTACCTAATATACGGCCCAAGATTCTCGAATCCTCGTCAGGGCCTTTCACCTATAATCCTTGGGGATATCATTTGGTCTATAGATGTATCGTTTGCTGCAAATAAAGCCTCCAGTAAAGACCCCATAGGATGAACGCCGAACCATGCATAAAATGAAAGAAATATTCACGCCAAGTTCGGCGTATTATCCGAGGAATCATCCTGGACACTGTTGTTATGGGGATCGCGGTGGATCACGCAATTGATGCACTCGCAACCGTCGCCGCATCCGCACATCGCACCGCCGTAGTCCACGAACAGGAATTCGCTGGGCGAAAGATTGGGATCGTTCGTTTCTGGTGAATCCACGTCGGGCGGAGTTTGCGTCTGTGATGTCTCCCCCGTCGCCAGCGGCGGATCCGATACGGACATGCTGCCGTCCAATGTACCGTTCGTTGGATCGTTCTGGAATTCCATAATTTCTTGGATATAGTTACGGGTCGCCTGGTTGTAAGGATGCACGATGCATCCTATACAGCTGCATGATGGGCCGCAGTGGCACACGTGGTCCGTACAGGGGCCCTGAGTACCGGCGTTTCCATTTGCTCCAACCGAGACGTTTGCCGCAAGTTGTTCCCATTGTGATTGCTGCAACGGGAAGTTGGGAGTTCCAAGCGCAGGATAGCCCGGAAACATGTCTGGTGCTTGATACTGATTCATCGAATATGACTGTTGGCTGCCCAGCATTTGCTGAGGGAATGGCTGCACCATGGGGCCATTTCCTGCAGGCATATATCCCATCATGTTCGGCGGCTGTTGAGGTCCAGTCGTCAATGGTCCGTGAAACTGCATTTGGGCCTGCTGAGCCTGTAAGTGCGGCTGGGGCTGGGGTTGCCGAGAACAGCAGCTTCCGACGCCGTTTAGTGAAGGCTCTTGCGATGAAGATTCCCCAGTACTCGAGTTTGGCGTGTGATACGCCGAGTTAGAGGTACTGGGTGTGAGCATTCCAGAGCCCATGTCTGAGGAGACAGGAATCCCGTTGCTAGAAGACGGAGCTGGTCCTACACTTGCCATGCCCCCATTCATGGGAAGTAAAGGCATATTCATGATACCGCCAGTAGTAGGGTTGGCGCCTTGGTATGCATAATGATGAGCTCCATTTTGCATTGTTCCATTTTGCATTGGTCCATTCTGCATTAGTCCATTCTGCAATGGTCCGTTTTGCAATGATGGTCCGTAGTGAGCATAACCGGACTGCGCCAAAGAGTTCATCTGACCGATAGTGTTTTCTGGGGCTACCGGCAAGATATTGCCAGCGCCCATCACGTTCAAGCTGTTAGCGTTCATGCGCTGTAGGGCCGCAGTGTCCACCGATGGCTTTCGACCTGGCTTCAGCGCCGTGGACTTCTGAACTCGGAATGACCCATGTCTCATCGAAGACAAGGGCGCGTTGTCGGAACTTTCGGCCTTGACGATATTCGCGGCACCGTTTGGCTTGGGAGGAACGCTGCAGCGGCAGGGCGCGCTTTTAGGTAGCGCTGCCGTTACGCGTTGTCTGCAAGGGCAATTCTTGTCCGGTGGATGAGGGCAGGTGCTCAGGGGTCGGCCAGGCTTCCGGACAGGTACCATCACACGTTCCCCTGAGTGATTACACTTGGTTGATCGGTGTCCGCGAATGCATGGCTCACTAAACACGGCAGAGAAAGATGGTTAGCAAGAATAACTCAATCCCATTCAATCCTGACCACTTCGTCAAAAGATTGAAGTCACATGCTAGTTACACCAACTAGTAGTGTAGTATAAAAACGGTTTGCCAGGAGATGCGCGTCAAGGCTTAGCGCGAGAACCTGCAGCTTTCCGAGACCTCCAGGATTTGCCGCGTGATTTAGAAAAATTGAAGGAAGACATTACTCACCAGGCCATTTTTTGTCCATCGATAACAGGCATCTTGGGCAGTATCGCGGGCTGTCGCCGGCGCAACAGAGACACAAAGATATGTCAAATGAGGCAACGACGGACGCTGTGGACCATGTGCGAAACGGCGACACGATCCTAGGGTCCAGTCGGTCCCAACTCTATCTTAGAGATCGGCGACAGTATTAGTAATAGCCTAAATCAAGGCACGCGAAAGTGCCCCTTTTCTCATCTGGTTTGATAGTAATTGCGATTGACTCAAAAGATAATCCACGAAGACGGGATGGTTACCGTGTCATTGGATGAAATCAAGTCTTGGGAATGTCGCAATGAGCTGGAGCAAATGCTCAGTGTCTCAGGAGAACCTTGACAAGACTTTGCCGAAGGTTCGGGCGGTTATCGAGGTATATTATAACCGATGTACTAATAAGGATCAAGGCCAGAAAGTTAGGAAGGTGAACGGCCGAAGTTAGCTCTGTCCGGGAGAGAGTCAAGGTTAGGTGGTTGAGTTGAGTACTCTCGATGCGGAGTAGGATGAGCTAAAAATTTGACGGCGCTGTGGGAACGGCGCCCACTCGCTCATTCGAGGCCGCAGCCTAGGATGTCGGAGCTTCGGGGATCCGGTATGGTCTGTCAGATAAGAAGATCTGACCGGTAAATCGATCCGAGGTACAACTTGAGTCCGACAGTATCAGGTGAGATCCAGAAAGTTGGAAGGACGGTGCAACTTAGTGGAGGTTATTACGGATAAGGATAAGGAAGATTGATTGTCCAGGGAGGGGAAGGGAACCTGGAAATGAGGTAGGTTGTCTGTCGTCTGATTTCCACATGTAACGTCCCAGACCAACAAGAGGGAGAAGGTACCTCAAGTACCTAAGCCAGGACTCACTCAGGTCGAGGCTGGTGAAAGGGTAGAGTGAACACAACGAGAGGCGCACCAGTCCGGGGAAGCCTCGGTCTTGCAGACTTTTGGACCTTTTATTAGTTTTGTCTCGTAGCAACGCGGCGTTGCGGTCTGGGCACCGAATATGTGGCGGTAACGGCAAAAGAACGGAATTCCCGAATAGGGTCCAGGAAATTCCGTTACCTATTCCAACTCTCTTTCGATACGCGGAGTGGTCGAAGTGGTTGTTTTCAAGGTGTGGGAGTCCTTGCTGGAGTTTTATAATACAGTACTATACAGCACCGCCCTGGTGTGTACTTCACTACTTCTTAAAGGTATGTACCTTGTAAGTATGTAGGATGTGTAAGGTCTGTCCTGTTAATCTCGTATGTTAATATCCCATCCGATCTATAGTATCTATCCAGGTAACTGGTTGGTATGTAGGTAAGGGAAGTGAGTAAGTAGGTACGTAGATAGGGTAGGTTAAGTAAGTAGGTTGGTTAGGTTAGTCAACCAAGGACCATCCCCCCAAAGTGAAGCATACCTAAAGTCCCACCAAAGAATAAAACAGACTTGTCGGTTACCAGAGCCCATAGACAAATTCTCTGGACTGAACTCTAAGGAAATGGACAGGAGTATTAGCAAAAGTGAAAGATGATTGGGATGGTAGGTGTCGCGTTGTCTGTGGGGGTTTACCAAAACGAGCAAGTTTTGATTGGCTACTTGGCCAAAATGGTGCTGACTTCAAGTTAGATCCTTCACTTTTCCCTTGGATTTTATAACAGGGGGGGGCCCAGGTAAGTAACTATGTACTGGGTATTGGGTACCTTGTACTTACACCAAGTAGCCTTGAGGTACTGCAGCAGTTGCAAGCACTCGCGCTAATAAACGGGGGAGCGCGGGAACTTGAAGGGTCCTGCAGAAAGATGCGTATCATTAACATCCAATGACCATCCAATGACCATCCAATAGCTTTGGGAACTCGATTCTTGTGTTCGGTGGAGGGGCTGAATGGAGGGGCGGCGCCGCAAAAATATGAACTTGGTCTTGAGGAAACGTGGGGCTGTTACCTTACCTGTCCAAGTTTGGTATAACTTGAAGTTAGTATAGGTTATGATAGGTAACCTGTAGGCTAGGTAGATGATCTGTACTACTACTAGTAGTATGTAAGTAGTATGTAAGTAAGGATCTTGTGTCGGGTACCTAGGGTAGGTATCTATCAAGATTCAATGTCGGAATTGAATCTATCGAACTGAAAGTATGCGGAGGGTAGGTAAGTAGGCAAGTACTTGCATGTTTAAATAGACGCCAGGCATGCGGGTTGGCACTCCAAAGTTCAAGGTTGCATAGTACATATTGCACGTACCTGTCCGCAAGAATCAATTATAGAATCTACCGCATTACGTCATTCAATATCTCTCAAAATAGGCGCCTTGCACCTCAGCAACAACCATTGTTTATACCTATATAGCTATTTAACATCGAGTCTCGAGATGGATAGAGCATATATTGCGATATGATAAGCGCAAGTTTACACGTTAAAGAACACTGTGCTGTGTAGTTATTATCAGGCGTCTATCCGCTCGATACGTGCTCAAGCGCTCGATACTCCGAGGCAGTGAAGATATCGACGCCTTAGGGAGACATACTACATACATAGTATGTATATACCAATACCTCCTACGAGCCTATCGAGGTACCTATCTACCTACTCACAATATGCTTAATTAACATGAAAACCCATACAATGGGAATCTACGAACCCAAGTTACACGCCTTTCCTATTCAGGCTATAATAATTCCTTGTACCGAACAACGTTGCGGCTCTTCAAGGTTCCAGATGAACGGAAGAATATGCAGCCCGAAACTCTCAACCGACAATGACGATAGGTACATACTACATACATGTTGCACGCCCGCGGCCCGGTAACACTGGATCTTTAGGTAGTACATTGTACCTTCTACGGAGCCTGGTCCGTTTTAGAGCGACGTTACCAAGAATATTGAAGTCGAACAACCCAAATTAAGAATTAGGTTCAAAGTTATTTATATAACGAGGCTTAACATAATCGCACTAATCTATCGCGAATCCTAGCCTTGTTGAAGACCCCTACGGCAGCACGTGGACCCTTAAGGGGTACATAAAAGGATCTTGCTATGTAGCCATCTAGTTACGTACGTAACTAACCTAGGTGGATTTTCAAGCAATTGGGTGGGATCACAAGAAAGGAGGATAAAGCCATTATTCACAAGAATTGAAGAGTGCCAACTGGTGTAGGTGGTAGGTTGGTGGTAAGTTTCATTAGGTCTACACTGGATATATCTTGAGGGCATCTTCAACGAATAGCGGCATCGTTAATTCGGAGTTATCTAACCCCTTCTCCTGGGCCAGCTACTTCCGTGGCTTCTTCTCGTAACTTCTTTTCGTATAGTACCAGGTGAGTTTCCCGGAACGTTGACCATATAAGTAATTTTTGGATTCTCATTGAACATGTCATTGCTATGAGTGATCGGGAGCCATCGTATTGAGGCTATTTCCCATTTTCTCATTCTTTTAATCGCTTAGGTAAACTGCGATGCGAGCTTCAAATGTTGTTATTGGCGTCAACCATTGGTACATTCCATGTTTTAAAACCGGTGAGATCGATCGCCCAGCACCTTCCTTAGATTGGTGAGAGTTTGATCGTTTGATCATATTTAATCTTTAGTAAGTTGAATTACATATTTCGCATTTAGGGTCCGCAAGGGCCAACATGGTAATCTGAGCCAATGGTTGTCATCTCTAAAACGGCATTCTCCATGCTTTTTATGCTATCATCATTTTTGGTTGTCGGAATCGTCCGAATCCGCAAACATGTCTACAGCTCTCAGGCGCCTTCGTGGTTGGAGGCTGGGTTCCGACTTCTCGGGGGGCATGTTTGTTCCAGAATCCACACCCTCTTCAGCACCGCTTTGCTTATTACTATTATCCTCCCCATTCTTGTTTATCGAGGCGTCAACAACTGCATTATCACCCACTGTGTCCGTACTGACTTCCATCGGCTCTCCATCTTCACTGTCATCCATCGGAACACCGTCAATATCTGTATCTAGGTCTCCCTCATCAACTGACATGTACTCGTCCATATCCTCGCCATCCACGTCGTCATCGATCTCCATCTTAGTCACCTCATTGTCGCGCTGTGCTTCTGTGCTCGTAGAAAGTGGTATGAAACCTCTTCCTTCACTTTCGATAGTAGCCATATTACCAGCTTCCACGATTTTCCATTTGTTTTTCTTGGCTACTTCATCAACCTGCTCCTCCTTCTTTGCGCTAGGTGGATTCTCAAAGGTCTCGGCAAACAACTGTTGGCTTTCATGAGGAAATGCGCACCAGCCTTCCCACAAACCGAGTACTAATTTGACACTGCGTTTCCACTTCTCTGCTCTAAGGCGACCCCAATTAAGGCGTTCTGCTATTAGACCAAGAGTTTCAAAGACTTTGCTGTCTTTGAGCGACGCTTCAAAGAGTTGTCGATACCGCCAGGCATGTCGAACGCCGCTCGTTGCCGATGATGAGAGGATATCGTTCACAACATACAGCCCAATGAGGCTCGAAGCACTTGTGTCTTGGGCTTCGTTTGTCTTTGCGTTTGAGTCGTCGGGGAAAGGCGTAGAGTCGTGCGACCCAACATGCTCTTCCTCGTCTTTGCTAATTTTGTTATATTGAGGATTTGCTGAAGTCAATGCGAACGGCCTGAGTACGTTTGCTACAATCATGCTCACTATCTCGTCTGCTCCTTTGCTCGCGTGGGTAATAGCGAAAGTAGTCACTCGAGCAATATCGCCCTTCCGAATTTTGGTTAATGTCGTAGGCAGGCGGGCCAGAAGGTGTGTCATTCTCGCCTTGTCCAAGGGATTCAAGTAGGTTATTTCATTATTACCTCCATCCGCTGGTTTGTTTCCTTCGTCTTCGTAATCTTCTTCGTCGGACGAATTGTATTCCGGATCCGACACAAATTCGTCCATGTTAGTAGTATACTCGTACGGAAGACTCTTGTCGGGCATTCTCCATGCATGGCTATCTTCAAACAGCGGTACGTATTTTCCCTGTCGTCCTCCTTGCGCTCCCGTAATAACCTCCCAGAGCCGCCACCGATACCAGACCCCGCCTTCACTGCGCGCGTCCCAGAGCCATGCCCATTTCTCGTCCCTTTGTACATCAGATCGCGACATCAGCAGAGCTTCGAACTCTGGTCCATGGGCTAATACTGATTCGATAACCTTATGAATGAGTTGAAGTTGCTTGATGTCTCTCGGTGCTTGAACTGGAATGTGTAGGATAGTTCGGTTCATCGGGCCTCCACCCGAAGCATAGGATGATGGTGGGGCAAATCCACGATTGAATCCGCCTTGGTGGTGAGGCTTGTGATCATTGGCTTGTGGAACTGGTTTTGCGCCGAAAGGGTGTGAGGTGCTAGAAGAAGTGAGGATGGATGTCGCCGCTGTGGTAGTTACAGCAGAAGATAGATGTCTGTGTAGCGATAAATAGAAGCCGAATCCGAGATATCGATTCTGTAGAGTGCTAACAGCACCGTCGATGTCTGTTGCGGGTGTCTCTTTGGACAGAGTAACAATCGCAGCTATGGATTTCCTCTCTGTGCTGCCCTGGGTAGTAGGCGGTAATATCTTGACATTTTCTACAGTTAGGTTTGATGGCATGAGAGCCTTGATGACTCCAGGAGACGTGCTCGGCGGTAGATTGGATAGGCGCAGTGTAGGCTTTGCTATAGCCCTCTGCTCAGCCAAATCCCTAGATCTCGACTCGTTCTCATCGCCGCTCGTATCGAATACTTTTGAAAAGCCCTTTGGCCTTGGCGCGTGGCCACCATCGCTATCGTCATCATCGAGAAATCCAAGCCGGCCCCGGGCATCGTCTGCTGCCCTCCTGTTGGGCAACTGCTGGTTATTATCGAATTTCTTCTTACCAAATGACGGAGGTGTAAGTCCTAAAGACCCAGGACCGCTCTTTGACCCCGGTGTCCCGCCAGTTCCAGGACCGAAATATCTCTTGGGTGGCATAGGTCTACCCCCGTCTCGATTGGATGGATGGCGTCCGCCAAAGACGCCCTGTTGGGTAGAAGAGGCAGGTCCGGATTCGTCGTCGTCATCGTCATCGTGGTCGAAGCTTTTAACAAAACTCTCGTATACGGCGGCAGTCTCGGCAGCTTCTCTCTTGCGCTTAGCCTCTGCGTCGGCCTTTTGTTTTTCGAATGCAGATTGTCGGGATGGCTTATGGAGTTTCGCCTCGACGTCGGGGAAGTCGGGAAGCTTTTTAGGCGACATGATGAGTGAGGAGGTTGGTTTTCGCTTGGGGCTAGGTAGGTGTGTGGTTTTGCATCATGTTATATACTCTGGTCCGTAATCTGTATTGGTCAACAGATGCTTTATGCTTTATGCGGAGGATGTTTGATGGAGGATGTTTCGTTGACGGTTGAGGCGCGTAACATTGCCAGGTGATGCTTCTGGGTAGAGTCGGTACTAGTTAGTACGTACCAAGTAGCGCGCAAGGATTAACAATGAACGATTAATTGAAGTTAATAAGTTATGATTTGATATGATTTGAAGCTTATCTAATACAAGCAGTTACACCCCGCCAATACCTATTAGATAAATAACTAACATCATGGATATATGTATACATGCATGTGCCCAGTATGTTACATGCATACATATGTAGTAATAATGTGACATGAATGTGACCTGCACATTTCTCCCTTCTCCCGCAAATGCTCGTCAAAACCACCTTGGAGCGCCTTTTATGTGACATGTAAAGCCGCGGAGGTAGGCGGAAACGGAGTGGGGGGGGGTATGCGTATACTATCCTACATAGGTACTACTGTAGGTATGTAGTAGATATTCGTAACATTCTAGTTCCATATCTATAGTCCGTACATAATGGATCTATATATACCTAGGTATATATATACTAGCTAGATAGCAGTATCGTGACAATTTTGTAATATCTAGTGAAGAAAAAGTATCGCTCTCATCATCATCATCAGCATTACACACTAAACACCAACACCATCCACCCTTGTGTTGCGTATTGTACTTCGTACCTACATCATACATAATGCCGGAAGCGACCTCTAATGGCGCCTCTACTCTTCCTCCTCCTCCTCCTCCTCACCCCCGCCCCACCCCCTCCAACATCCTCATCATCGGCGCCGGCGTCTTCGGCCTCAGCACCGCCCACGCCCTAACCCAGGACCCCTCCTTCGCCTGCGCCTCCATAACCATCATCGACCGCTCCCCCGACGCCGGCGTCTTCCCCTCCCCCGACGCCTCCTCGATCGACTCCTCGCGCATCATCCGCGCCGACTACGCCGACCCCTCGTACGCCGCGCTCGCCTCCGAGGCCCAGGCCAAGTGGCGGCAGACCTCCTCCTCCTCCTGCTGGGGCGGCGAGGGGCGGTACACCGAGTGCGGCTTGCTTCTCGCAGGCGACGACGGTCCCTTGTCCACGGACGACGGCTCGCTGACGGGCATCGCGTACGTCAAGAAGAGCTGGGTGAACGCGCTGGCGCTCGCGCACAAGGAGGGGCGGCCGCTGAGCTCCGTGCGCGTCGTCAATGCGCCCAAGTACGTCGCCATGGTGTCCGGCACCGGCGGCGCCTTCGCCGACTGGGGGTACCTGAACCAGGCGAGCGGGTGGGCCGACGCCGAGGCGAGCATGAAGTGGTTGTACGAGCGCGTTGTGGCGACGGGGCGCGTGGCCTTCGTCAACGGTACGGTCGAGAGCCTCGCGGTAGACGAGGGCGCGAAACGGGTGACGGGCGCACAGCTAACAGACGGCACGACGCTAGCGGCAGACCTCGTGGTCGCAGCAGCAGGCGCCTGGACGCCATCGCTCATAGACCTCTCGACGCAGGCCGTAGCGACGGGCCAGGTCCTCGGCTACATGGACCTGACCGAGGACGAGCAGCAGCGGCTCGAGAAGATCCCCGTGCTCCTAAGCCTGTCCACAGGCGTCTTCGTCATCCCGCCGCGCAACCGCGTGCTGAAAGTCGGGCGCCATAGTTACGGGTACACAAACCCCAAACCGCCCTCCAAGCCACCCTTACGCGCTTCAGGACCCGACGGACCAGCACCTCCCGCCCTCGTCTCCCAACCGCACACACACCTAGACGAAGCGGCGCTCTCGATCCCGCTGGAGGGTGAACAGGCACTGCGCGAGAGTCTACGAAGAATCATACCGTGGCCCGAACTACCAGACCGGCCATTCTCTCGCACACGTCTGTGCTGGTACACGGATACCGCTACGGGGGATTGGCTTATCGACTACCACCCGTACTGGGACGGACTGTTCATCGCGACCGGTGGGAGTGGGCATGCTTTCAAGTTCCTACCCGTCATTGGGGAGAAGGTGGTGGACTGTATCAAACAGAATCCCCCACAAGAATTTAAAGAGAAATGGAGGTGGAGAGCAGACGGGAATACTGGAGACTACGTGGTTACCAAAGATGGGAGCAGAGGAGGATTACACGGGTTAATTCTGGACGAGGAGCAGCAAAAAAAAGTACAGTAAGGGACTCGGGAGTAGGTCTGACAAATCACAATTAATTAATGCAGTCACAAAAAGACAGTGTGTTTAGGTGCAGTGTAAAATTTCGTGCTCTACCTATTCTCCGTGTGAAGTGTATCAATGCTTCCCATAGGTCCAAAGACCACATAGTAGCGAAAGACATTGACGACTTCCCAAGTTACAAGAACGGATCATAAGGAATGCTATGCACATTCACTGTGGCCTATTGTTTCCGAGCCCATGGAATAATTCCACAAAGGGCATCGCATTTCCGTTTCTCATCATCCACCAATAGTCGTTTCCTTCCGCGATCCCGAACCATATTTCAGCAGACCATCCTGCCTGCTTCCGCCCACTATACCACCCCTTCCATCGAGGGTCGAATTAAGACGGCACCTTTCGACCAGCGTAAATACCGCCGGAAACTTGCGGTGAAATGTTAGCCGTGAAACCAGGCCATCAGTTACATTTTTGTTTTTCCGTAGAGAGATAAGACCATTCCTAGTCCATCTGGTCCAGGCCCCTTCCTTAGCGTAACGCCGATGCAATGCAAGTATGAAATATCAATGATACAAGAGACAATTAGTCATGGACCGTGGCATATCCAGACTAACGTCATAATCGTGAACGCAAGTCGTAAAATCATAACGCGAAGTATGTTACATGTCGAGTGACGTGTCGAGTGCGGTCGTTGTTCAATACACAATGGTATTGAATCCGCTGTCTGCCGAGTAAAAGGCTTTAGACCTTGCGGAAATCTAGGTGACGTTAGTGATGGAACTTGGTAATAACTACTAGAACGGAAGGGTAATCACCTTGCAACACCGGGTAGATCATCTCGAAAGCTTGATAAATCTCCTCGCGGACCTTGGCACCAGTCAAGACAATCTTGCCACTGACGAAGATCAAGAGAACAATCTTAGGCTTGATCATACGGTAGATAAGACCGGGGAACAACTCAGGCTCGTAAGAGCTGAAATTGTGATGGCGAGAGGCCAAGCCCTCGAGACGGATAGGGAATTTAATGTCGCAGCTGCCGACAATGTTCTGGATCTTGAAGTCACTGAACTTGGCATTGAAGCCAAGCTTCTGGATAATTCGCGCATACTTGCGAGAAGCAAGCTTCGAGTCATCCTCGGACTTTGCTCCAGTAACAACCATCTTGCCAGACGCGAAAATAAGAGCAGTAGTCTTGGGTTCGCGAATGCGCATGACGACGGCGGCGAAACGCTAAACTAGTTAGCACATTGCTTGTCTCAATTAGTTGGAGTATCGAAGTTTACTAACCTTAGGGTTATACTCAGCATTTCGCGCGTGGAGTGCAATAGTCTTGAGGTCCAAGCGACACTCGAGGTTGACAGTGGCGACAATGTTTCTTAACATGTGCTGTGAGTCTTATGTTTCAACAATGAGTAACAAAGGTAATACATACTGCAACGTAGGAGTCAAACCACTTCCACCTTGAACGGCAGCTGGGGTCGCAGCAGGTGTGGCGGGAGTCACCCCGGTACCGTTCGCGACCTGCATGGCGCCGGCATTTGCGGCTTGCTGGCCATTCGCCTCGTAAGAGGGGGGAGTGAGCTCACCGGCAGCTCCCGGGAACGAGAGAGAGCCTGGGGCAGTAAATGCCTTGGCCTGCGCGGCAGTGGCTGGGTGAGTCTGGATTCCCTCCATCTTGCAGATGTATACTCAGAGTAATGGTATCAAAGAATGATTGGTCAATTGAGAGACCTAAAGAAAAAATGAATGTGTATTAGTAAATATTGATCAAAGAGAACGAGTGCGCAATGATCAAAGTCGAATCAAATGATCAACAAATGATGCGGCAATGACTATTGTTGTGGGTATATTGAACGTTCTGATGTTGTGAAAGGAAAAAAAGAAAAAAATGGAGGGGAGTCTGCGAGTTTAAATAGTTTTTGGGAAAAGTGGGGCGTCGATGGTTGACGATGGTGGGGCAACTGTTGACTGGTGGTGGTGAATAGGTGCCTCAGGCCAAACAACAAACATGACGCCTGAAAAACAAGGCATGAACGACGCAGCAACCAGTGAAAAATCGAGCCTAACGCAACGCAGTAGTTCAAGCCTTAGGTTGCAAGGTTGCAAGGGTAGTAAGGTTGTGAGGACGTAAGATATCTACGGATGGGGACTCTCCACACACAACTCCACGGTACAGACAAATGCAGACAGGAACAAGAACAGTGAAAATAAAAGGCAGCCTTACCAAATCAGATGTGTAGGAGAAAAACAAGTGAATGTCTCCCCAACACAGGAAAGGCTAATACGGATGGATGATTCGGTCGGTAGATCTTTCGATCAGTCGACCTGATTGGCACAACACACGGGATGGTAGATATCAGGTATCAAATGACGGTAACTTCTCGACGATGAGGCCGGAGAAGTCGTTAACTTTTCTTCCACTGACGCGAAGCGCAAGATATACGAGTGCAATCGTGGTCGCGGGATCAGATGCGATTCGACGACGACGGTGAGATTACTCGGTCTCTCGCAACGAAAGGCTCGGGAAAATCAATTCCTCAGCCTTGTGATATTTTTTTCTTGAAAATTCGTTTCTCTATTGTTGGTCTATCTTCTTCTTGGCTACACTGCACCGTGACCTGTACGGTATCGATTAGATATGAGATAAAAAAAGAAAACTGGCTGCTGTCCACGGGAATGCTCGAGTCTTTAAATAGACGAGCAGAGCAAACAATGAACAAAAGGAACTGTTGTGGCAAACGATTCCTTTCTTCTTGTTGCTACTGACACCCTTGTTTTTTTGAGGCTGATTCAATGAGAGAAACGCTCGAGGGTGCTTGAATGTGTCCAAGTGAGACGCGGATTGACAGGATGTTCTCCACGACTAATCCTGATGATGCTCAAGTGGAAGTGTGTGGAAGTGGTTGGATAGGGAACGAAGACGTTGCAACAAGAATGTGGGGGTGAGATTTCTTAAGGTGAGGGATGATCTTAAGGTAGAAGGTACGTACTCTCTCGAATTATCACTTGTAGAAAGGAAGGTGGGTCTAACAATGGTAACCCTGCCGAGAGAATAAAAAAAAGAAATATTATTAGGTGCCAGACGTATTTGACAGTGCGGACAGCTGCTGACAAATTAATACGTGTGGCTGATGTTGCGTGGTGGCTGTGGCTGAGGGGTATTGAGATGAGGGGAGACCTTCGGGTCGGGGCTTCCGCGCGCAAGAATTTTTCGAAACATTGAAGTTGAGGGGAAGTCGCGCAATTTATAATTTTTGGAAGCAAGCGCTCTCGTGTACGTGTGCATTGACATTTGAGGTAGGGACGCCCCAGTGTGGCGGAAACCCACTAGTTTAGCTCCTTGATTCCCACCCTTAGCGTTTGAGCTAGTAACTGCCTACCCAATCATATTTTGTCGCTAGCCCCTTATTTTATCGACCTTAATCGTAATTTTTTCCTCACCTGTTACTCTTAGGTTCTCACCAAGTCCCTCTCATGTTCCTCGTCATCACCTATTTCCACCTAGCAAACCTTACTAGGTACTTGCCTCGCGCCGAAATAAAAACCCCAGTCATTTCAATCTTTCCTTTCCTCTCCTTTCCTTTTCAATTTATTTTCATCAAGCCATCACTCACTTCTTCTTTCCACATTCTTATTCTCTTCGCTAATTGTATTCCTTTTCTCAAATCATCCCATCGACTTCTACCATCTCGTAACGCTTACGGAAACGGAAAATGCATGACTCGGTCAACTACATTTCGCACCCTACGCAAAACCATCGTCAGTCAGTTTTCGAAAACCCAACTCGCACTGGGCGCCAGGCTATCGGACAGCCACCCGTCTAGGCTCCAGAAGTGCTGATGGGTGGGTGTAGGGGGGTGGACAGATGGGTTTTAGACCCCAACCACACCCTGCAAGCCTGGTTTGCCTGCCACACTAACTCCCCTTTTTCTCCCTGAAACGCACATAATGCCTCCTCTTCTACCCTCTGGCCCCCTAGCTTTTGTACTTTTCCTCGTGCTTTTTCTGTTTTGATTGACTTCTTGGCCAGTTTCTCACGTATCTCAGTCTCATTTATCAGCTTGTTTAGTTTCCATAGTGAATGGATATTTCAAACAGTTGGCCGTGATGATTACGCGTACAATCTCACCCTATCTTTTTTTCTTTCCTTCTTTCTCTGTCTCTCCATCTCTTTCTCTACTCCTTTTCTTCTCTACACTTCACAGCTAAACGAGAAGACAAAATTGTAAGGTCGTGTTGCTGTCGCACTCCAGCATCCTACAAATTTTATTTTTTCCTTTTCTATCCTTTGTTTGGCTACGATGATCCCTTTGGTTGATCAATTGCAGGTCTCATTTCGGTGGTTTCGGAGCTACCGGGCGCTGCCGCAATCGGACAATGCCACCACCCTCGATCATCGTTATCTTTTCATTGGAGTGACTAACAAACATGAAATTTTCGAGCAGAATTTTCACTGACCAAACACCTTCCGCGGCTTTTCACACCCGTCCACCAACTTAAATCAACAAGTCAAACATGATCAAAATTTGCGCGGCGTTTGTGCAGACGTCTTTATCGTTTGGATTGTCCTAGCTTACCTACCTAATAATGTAGCAAAAGCTGAGCGACATGATCCTCCAGTACTCTGTGCGCCAACCCCCTTGTTCTAGTAGCCATTATTTGGTTTCGTATTATGTCGGTACACAAGCGGAACCAGTCCTAGTGCGCGTTAGTTTCCTAGGGAATCCCTGACCGGTCGCCACCTTAAGATTGCTTTTCTGAAAATATTTCAAGGAAATTTTTGTCGGCGGCTGCCAGCCTCGCTCAGCCATACCAACCCAAATTCCTGTCATGCATCCACCCCCTTGACACACCCCCTATCCCTATGACTCATAGGGAGTCTTTTCTTTTGCAGAATTTAATGCATCGGTCGGCCATGCTTAGGTTTGTTTGTTTGTCTGTCTGCATTTTTATTTTGCATGAGTTTGTGCTTCTAACGAAAGATGCGACATCAAAATTACTTCCCGAAATCTATCAAAAGAAAAATCAGACTTCAAAATTAATAAGTGAGTCGTAAGTCTAGGCTTGAGATCCGTGGTTGAGATAACATGGCAGTACGTACTTTTGTCCAAATATTAGGTTGTGTAATGGCATTTTTCGTGTTCAATGTTGGTCGTCATGACGCGACACCCTTGGAGGCCTAAAATGGAAAAACAAACTGTAGGCTGGGCTCGGTTGGAATGCAAGCGCTCGGTACCCTGAAATCACCTGATGCAACGATGCGGTCTGACAATGCAGGCTGTACAAATATGTATGCGGCTTGGGCAATGCAAGTAGCCTCAAGTAGCCAGTGCTACTTACTGTGCGGTCTGCCTAACCATTTCCGTATTGAATATTGATTGATAGGCTCAAGAAATGATTTTTGTTATTCCACTGGTAATCTCAACAATGAGATGTTTAAAACAACACACTTATGTTCTTACCACAATATTATAGGTATTGATATGTGTGAGCTTATCTACCTGTTGTGGGTTATACGTCTTTTTTCACATATCAAATATTAGATCTACTTAATAACCTTAAGAGTTAACTATGCCGCAGATTCAACAAAGCCTAAATACAGTTGCTTCGTGATATGTACTTGGTGTAAGACCTTCAATGTTAAAGGCAACTATATTCCGCATGCTAGAGCAATAACCACATATACGGTAGAGATGGAGATGTTGTTTGCAGAACTCTATACATTTTAACCATTAAGTGAAAAGTAAAACTAAATGATTAGACGCATGTATCTAACTAGTCCCTGGCCCTTATATTTTTAACTTCCTGTGTATTATCTCTAACTAACTCCTACTAAGGCTTGCTGGAAGAGCTTATAGACTGTAGCCTCATACGTCTGCTTAATACGATAGTAAGACACACACACAAAGCTCTCCAGTAACGATATATTTCTTCTTGATATATCATATAATGCACTTTGAGCATATTTCCTGGTGCACAATTATTAACGCCAATAGAATATATTCGTGACAAATACTATAATGATTATACTTCATTTAACAGGTGCGGTAGCTTAACATTTATTTACCTTAAACTATAAATGAGGTGTGATTATAGTCTTAGATATTGGATTTACTGCTTAGATAGTTTATGTGATTTGAAGCATGACTGTTCACGAACTTTGATATGATATGTGAAATCACATCGCCACATGGCTATCGAGTTTAATGTTAAGGCCTCACGGGTTATTGTAGTATTAATTTATTTAATATCCCTGCAAAAATCGATATTGAGAGACCTTTAAGCATGCTCGAATAAAGGGGTTTATCACGTGTGGCTATCCTATCTACATCTATCTATGTAGCATCGGAATACCTCCAGGCTATGGCACTCGGCTCGGAAATAGCTGACTAAAGACTACCTCATATTGCGTCATGTTGTGTCTAGCAATAAACGATGGCAAGGCTTAGCATAAAGAAGAAGCGTATACGAGGCAATCTGGAAGCTAACAGTCCCAAGAGATGATTGTATTGGTCAAAATTGCTTGGGACGGTATAGCTCCGATGGAAATGGACCGGTCGAGGTTCAACAATGCTCTTTGTCCTCCGATTAACTGTCGATAAACTGTCGGCGCCCGGTAGTTTATGGAGCCGAGTGGGGGTGGCCGAGGTGCTTGTACTGTACCACTGAGGGGAGAAAATGATGATGTGATTATGTGGGGGCTTTTTCACCCACCTAGGTCCTAGATGGCTTCCCAAACCATCGGACCTATCAAATTATCTACGCTAGCCAATCTATACTCAATTGTCCAATAGAATCATTGTAATTTACCTTGCAGTTCGCCTGGGAGGTTGAGATTTCTCGATTTTGTGTCCCCCTTGGCCCTGAGTATCCCTGTTCTGGCCTGCCGATGGATTGAAATTTAACTAAACTTGTTGAAGTACCTACTAGCGTAGGACACACCTCCAGGGCTGCTATCATTTTGCTAACTCTTTACTGAATACATGTCCATTCAACTCCATTGTCTAGTACTAACTTATACATAGTAACTGCTAGTCACTACCGCATACTAGCAATCCAGGAATATCCAGGAATAGGAGGCGAATCAGCATACCAATCCTTAAGTAAGGCAAATCAGGAACCTTGAAAACCTGGTCTATTACGTATTGACTAAACGAATACTTGGCCATTGAACAGAAAAGTTCCTAATTCGTTACGCAGGATTTAGATATGGTGATGATGGCGACCCAGCAGCCAGCAGTCCAGCAGTCCAGCAGTCCAGTTCTGGATCCGAGCGGCTGAGATTCACACATGTCGGTGTACGTATGGTAGACGGATTGTCTTTTCTGGATCCTCTCTGTCGCGTTCGCTATATCTGTTCTTTTTTTTGAAGATACGTGTTCTTGAATGAAGGGAGCTACATTATTAACCCCCCGTCACCGCTTGTTACCTAAGTACAGGTGTCTCCCGTGTTTCCCGTGTGTACCCTCTGAGTTACTACGTCAAAGTGCTGGAGTAGGTTAACTCATTTGACGTATCTGGCGTCTGTACATAGGTTAATGTAGGTATTCCGTGTCGTACCTTCTCCCCTAAATGATACCTGGCAGTATTGAAAGTCCAATGAAGCTCCGCTTACGGCGCCGTTATTTCTGTTAGTCGCAGATAAACACTAGCCACACCCTCCATATCGGGTAGAGAGAGATAATAATACTAGTTATCTCTTGAAAGTCTTTTCAACTCCGCTCTTTAGAGGCACTCCGCTACCAGCAGAGCAGAAGACCCTCTATCCTGAAATCTGGGGCTCTCTTATGTTCCGTCTAACCCGAGCTTACGGACCTACAACTTACTAACCTTAGCTTTTGTTAGATCTCTATTTAACCGTTATATAAGAAATACTAGTCACGTGCTCTCTCTCTAAGGGGTGCCCATTGTACACGTGGAACGGCTAGGATCTTGTCTTCGGCTCCGTTCTTATTCTCACCTGGTCTTTCGTTTACACTCTCAAAATATTTGATTGGTTAGAGAAGGAAAAGATGGCCATAATTGATACCACCAAGGATCTATCCGCCCTGTTTCTTCACCAGGCGAAGGCAACACCCGATGCTGTTGCACTGGAGGATGGATCTACGACATTAACTTATGCTGAACTCGACAGCAAGGTCGAAACGTTAGCTACTCGTCTTCGACATAATGGAGTTGGCCGTGATTCTCTCGTTGGCATCTTGCTTGGACGAAGCGCCGATTACGTCATCTCTTGTCTGGCGGCACTCCGTGCAGGCGGGGCTTTCCTAGTTCTCGAGCTTGCATACCCACCGAGCCTCCTGGCTGATGTTATTGAAGATGCTAGACCAGCTGTGATAATAACGCAAAGGGCTCATGCTGGCAAGCTCACGTCGGAAGCTCCTCTCATCATCCTCGATGAGGAATCCACAGACACAGACGGGGCTGCTCTATCTAAGGGGAGTGAAAAGGAGCTGCCTCCCTTACCTTCTGAGAATGACTTAGAAAAGCTTGCCTTCGTGTCCTACTCATCTGGCACAACGGGAAAACCCAAAGGAATCGCAAATTCCCACCGGGCGGCCGTGCTATCGTATAATTTGCGATTTGGCATAAACGACGTCCAACCGGGCGATCGTGTAGCTTGCAATGTTTTCTTCGTATGGGAAATACTACGTCCGCTACTGCGAGGAGCGACTGTGGTCACTGTCCCAGATGAGACGAGCTACGACCCTGTTGCTCTCGTCGAGCTGCTTCGCTCTAAAAACATCACAGAAACTCTCATGACACCCACATTACTGGCAACAGTTCTCGCTCGACACGCTCAGCTCGGTACCCGCGTTCCAAATCTACGCACGGTATGGCTCAATGGCGAGGTTGTGACTACTGACCTTGCGCGTCGAGGCCTTAAAGCACTCCCAAAGGCACGCCTTCTCAACTGCTACAGCGCTAGTGAAACCCACGAGATTGCTTGCGGAGATATAAGGGAGATGATCAATGACGAGGATCGTGTTGTGCCGGTTGGCCCTCCCCTTGATTTTGAGCACACATATATACTCGATGAAGAGGGTAAGAGAGTTCCGACGGGTGTCAGTGGCGAGCTATTCATTGGCGGAAGTCTATTGGCACGCGGATATCTTAACTTACCGGAAGCGACTGCAAAGGCTTTCACTGACGACCCCTTTGACACGACACCCGGTGCAAGGATGTATCGGACTGGAGACACAGCAGTGATTCTCCCTTCGGGGCTTCTGGAAATCACTGGCCGTGTTGGAGCTATGATCAAAATCAGGGGCTATAGTGTACAGCCGCCGGCTGTCGAAAATGCAATTATTAAGCACCTCGCAGTTCGTACTTGTGCTGTGGTTTCCCACGGAGATGGCCTCGATCGCCAGCTGCTTGCTTACATTGTCCCGGACGAAGAGGTAGGGGATCGAACGGTTGTGAAGATCGACGAGTCTGGTTTCAGCCCTATTGCGCGTCGCGCACTGTCCGACCACCTTGCACACTACATGATTCCGGCGCTCTGGGTTGAATTGGACAGCATGCCTACCCATGAAGTATCGGGTAAAGTTGACATAAAGCAACTTCCCCCGCCATCTAGGCCTCGAAGCCCTGCATCGTTGGCCCCTGGCCAAAATGGAAACCAGAACCAGAAGATAACGCTTGAGGATATTGCGAAAATGTGGGCTGCATCTCTAAACATACCTCTGAAGTCGATAATGGCGCAAGAGCACGATTTCTTCGACTTAGGCGGCCATTCTTTGGCTCTTGTCGACCTTGTAACGAGACTGACAGGAGGCTATGGGTTTCCCGTGCCTCTTGGACGATTGGCTGGAAATCCCACTCTGAAGGGACATCTGGAAGTTGTCTGTGCTGCCCGTGATGGCCACACTGCAGCGGTGCAAGCAGATCTACCTGCTGTATTGCGAGCCGATTCCATTCTCCCACCCGATATAAAGCCATCTGGAGCTAAGATGCAGCGTCTCAGTGACGCAGATACAATACTTTTGACTGGTACTACTGGATTCTTGGGAGCCTTCCTTCTAAGTACCATCCTGGAGACAACTTCAGCACGAGTGATATGTCTCGTCCGCTTTGTGGACCTCGCGAACGAGAATGGCTCGGCTGGAATTGCACGTATCCGCAAGAATTTACTCGACTTGGGCCTCTGGAATGACTCCATCCTAGATCGAATTGATGTTATACCCGCAAACCTGGCGCGAAAACGTTTTGGTCTTTCCCCTGAAGAGTTTGGGGATTTGGCTTCGCGTGTGCAGGTCATCATTCATTCTGCAGCTACGGTTAACCTGGTATACCCTTATGCTGCTATGCAGGGCGCTAATGTATTTGGAACACGAGAGATTTTACGTCTTGCGTGCCGAGCTGGCGCAACTGTGCACCACATCTCTACTAATGGTGTATTACCCCCGTCGGTTGACGGCTGGTCTGAGGATGCCATGCTCAGTGTTGATGAAGTACCAGAGAAGTTACTTGATGGGTACGGTCAGACGAAGTGGGTTGCGGAACAACTCGTTATTGAGGCAGCTAAACGTGGATTGCCAGCAAGAATTTATCGTCCAGGAACTATCAGTGGACACAGTACCTCAGGTTCTACGAATACCTACGATCTTATCAATGCCATCATTGTGGAGTCGCTGCAACTAGGACACGCACCAGACATCGAAGGCTGGTATGCGGAGATGACGCCCGTCGACTTCGTTAGCAAGGCTATTACATCCCTTGCTGATCTGGTTGATGCGGACCAGCGCGTCTTCCACGTCGGCGACCCATCCCCAGTGCCTACCAAGGAGGTCTTTGGAATGCTGGAGAAGCTTGGGTACCCGACAACACCGCTTGAATGGAGCCAGTGGGTTCGTCTGTGGGATGAGAAGAGGGGATCTCACAAGGGAGATAATATCTTCACTGTTGACATTCTCCGTCGTGGCATGCCCACAGCTGACTTCTTAAAATGGGTCACCGTACTCAAGGACCCTGCGACCGGACCTGCTCTGGCCAAGACTGGACTTCAACGTCCCAAAATTGATAGTAAGTTGTTTGAGATATATGCCCGTCACTTCTGCGCCCGAGGTTGGCTACCACGCCCGCCCCGACGCGCGGAAAGCAATGGTGTTGCGCTGCAATCCAAGAGAGGCCCGTTGGCTGGTAAAGTCGCAGTCATCACAGGAGCATCTTCCGGTATTGGTGCCGCCGTTGCTACTGCTCTAGCCAAAGAGGGTGCTCACGTAGCAATTGCCGCTCGACGTACAGACGCGCTTGATTCTCTCAAGGACAAGCTCGCCAATCTCGGAGGCAAGGTACTGGTCCACAAGACCGACGTCACGGATAAGAAACAAGTCGAGTCCCTCATGCAAACTGCCACCGAAAGCCTCGGACCTATCGACATCCTGGTCTCCTGCGCCGGGGTCATGTACTACACAATGATGGCGAACGTGCACATGGAGGAGTGGGAGCGCACCGTCGACGTCAACTGCAAAGGTCTGATGTACTGCCTCGGGTCCACGGTCCCCGCCATGCTGGCTCGCGGCACCGGCCACATCGTCGCCATCTCCTCCGACGCCGGCCGCAAGGTGTTCCCCGGCCTCGGCGTCTACTCCGCCAGCAAGTTCTTCGTCGAGGCCACCCTCCAGAGCCTGCGCCTCGAGACCGCCGGCTCTGGTCTACGCGTCACGGCCGTCCAGCCCGGAAACACTGCCACGGACCTCCTGGGCATGTCGACGGATGCTGAGGCGATCAAGAAGTATGGCGAGCCGACTGGCGCTAAGGTGCTGCAGCCTGAGGAAGTTGCGAGTGCGATTGTATACGCTCTGCGCCAGCCTGCGCATGTGGCGGTCAATGAGGTGCTTATTGAGCCTAGGGATGAGCCGATATAAGATGAGGGGGTCTGGGTTGTTGGTGAGTGCCTAGGTATATGAGGTACTCAGGTATGTAGAGTTATCGTTATTATCAGCTTAGGTGGGCTGGGCTTTGAGGAACGAGGGAGGAGGAAGGGATGTATGAAATAGGGTTTTCTATGATTCTATTCGTGTTGTTCTAAGTATCTACCTATCTACCTACCTGTATATCATACCCACTTCCACTTAGCTACCCTACCTACATACGTGGGTATCTACTAATAATTGTGTTATTGTTACTGGGGGAGTTGTAGCTGTGACCCCCGTGCAATGAGGACGGAGACGGCGGATGTGGTGAGTACCTACGCTGAATGCCAGCGCGCGGGTGTAGTGTGCTGAATATGATGGGGTAGGTAGATGATGCCGCCTAGTTACGTAGGTACTACTTAGGTACGTATTGTCATAAGTGCTGTGATTCTAGTACGCATGGGGACCATGACGGTTAGACGGAAGGGGACATACCGACCGAGCTACCCGTCGACGAAGCGCTCATAGCCAGCGTCGTGCTCGCGTGGAAGTGCTGCGCGACCACTGGCAAGTACAGGCAGTCGAAGCCGAGGCCCGATACTGACGACTGTGTTACGAGGATCTACCAGTACTTGAGCCGAGCTAACAGTACCAGTGAGGAACATGCCTGCAACTAATAGGAGCGAGTCGACCCGGAGAAGCCAGCCGGCCGCCGAGTAGCGAGACGAGGAAGGCTTGCGTGGACCCGATCCAGACGATGCGCGAGGATGAGTGGGAGGGCAGGGGAGCTGGGAGAGCTGGTAGAACGGTTTGGAAGGTGCCGTAGGTGCTCATTAGACCCTAGTTGTTGAGGCTCAGGATGAAGGCGCACTGGATTCTGAGCTAGGCTGTTAGGTCTTCTTTTGGTTGGGGATGGGTGTTGGAAATGCGTGACAACTGACTGCGTTTAACGCTGCCAAGGACCACCCGACTCTGCGGTAACAGTCGTGGTTCATCAAAGTACGCACGCATTACGACTTGGGCTGAGCCGTGTGATGGAATAGTTACTCACCAACACGGCCGTAGGCTCCATAGATGCTTGGGGGGCTATATGTGCTTGACTGACTAACTAGCTGCTTGATAGAAATACAATATCCGCGCATCGAGGAACCATCCGGACGAGATTGAACTTGATTTCGGTGTAACGGTCGGTATTAATGAGAATTCAGGAGGGTTAACATCTCTTAGTATCCACGACTTGTTACACTGCTTAGTACGAGTATTTGGGCACCAATTGCCAGCGAGAATAATACGACACATCATATACCTAGCCAAGCAACATCCTCTACGCCATCACCATCGCCTCCACAATCCCATCCGCATCCTCCTGCAAGGGCGGCCAGACCTTGACGACCTCGAGGCCGGCCATTTCCAGCAACTCCGTCCACTGCCTCGCGGACCGCTCCATGCCCGCGTTGAAGGCCATCATGGTCATGTCGAGCATCGCGTGGAAAGCAGACGCGCCCTGTTCCGGGATGATCATTTCGTGGAGCAGGAGCTTCGAGTAGCCTGGCCTCATCGCCTTCTTGACCTGTCCGAGGATCTCGAGGCACTTCGTGTCGGACCAGTCGTGCAGGATGTGGTGGTAGAAATATGCGCGCGCGCCTAGGTAGATAAAATACCTAGTTAGCAGATCTGGAAAGACTCTATGAGTAGGTACCTATATCCTAGGTACCTAGGGATTCAATAATCAGGCTTTCTTACCTTTCACGGGCTGCTCCGTAAAGAAATCATACTCCATCCTCTCGATAGCCGGGTCCAGGCAATACCCCAGCGCATCCGTCACCACAGCCAAGTCCTGCAGCACCAGGCGCCCCCTCCCCGGGTACTTCTCATGGAACACAAGCAAATCATGTCCCTTCCCCGCACCAACATCAACCATCAAAGCCGCCTCATTCTCCTCCTCCCCCTCCTCCTCCTCCGCGCCATCGAGGAGCCTCTCCTGCACGGGAAACCAATCCACCCAGTAGCTGCGCGCGCCCATCGTGTTGCCCATGAAGGTGTGGAAGTCCTCGAGGACGGGCGGCATGGAGCCGAAGAGCTGGAAGACGGCGAGCTTCGTCTGGAAGGCGTACTGCATGAGGCCGTCGTGCGGGTCCGTCGGGCAGCGGTACCCGGTTTCTCTCAGCCATTTGGGGGCTTTGGTTGCGGCGCCTACTATCATTTCTCCGCTGGTAGATAAGAAGTTTTTTTTTTTAGCAAATCCGTGTTTGAAAACTATATGGTAGGTAGGTAGGTAGGTAGGTACTCACACCATCCTATGCCCTGCAGCGATCTCTTCCGTAGCCATAGCCTCCGTGACCGGCGTGGCCTCCCAGGTTCGCTCTCCCGCTTCTTTGACGAAGCCTATTGCCGCCAGAGGTCTCAAGACCCTTACTAGCGAAGTGTCAAAGTCTGTTTACATACCTAGGTAGGTACTACGGGTAGAAAAGAAGTGATGGCAATAAGCCAACGTACTTATCAGCAGTTCCTCGCCGCCTGACAGGTAGGCGAGCTTCTCTGAGGTGATAGGGCCATCGTGGTCGATGATGTGCTTGAATAGCCCGAGGTCGACGGAGATTCTTGCGGCTATGGCAAGGAATGGCTATCGAGATAGATTAGTTAGGTACTTGATCGTGTGAAGCTTGCGGGGGGAGGTGGGGATACCGAGAAGGCCAAGTCCACAGCAGTATTCTCTGGCTTCTCGAGGCTTGTGGTCAACTGTCTGCTTAATTGCAGGGCCTCGCTCTGGGCATGGGTATCTCCTCCCGAGGAAAGCCTCGATCTGAGGCCGTTGAGCTTCTCGATAATGGTTATCGTCTGATCTGGATTAGAGGCCATCATGAATATCTAGCCGCAGCACGATAATCTTCTGATTGTGAAAATTACCTAGATTCGCTATCACGAATAGGATTAAGTAGAGCCGTGGAGCATGAAGTGGTGGCAAGGTGTGACGTTGGGAATAAATTCCGTCGTGGGCACGACCCCTTTTCGGGTGGAAGCACCAGCAAGGCAGTTACCTACATGTACCAACAAAAAAGGTGATCTGTGAGTTACACTAGATGCAGTCATGTCTATATGTCTACCACCTTTCTATTTATATTACGGTTGTTGATGATCCAAATGACCATTGTCGCGGTGGATACATTACTAACCTACCGGGTATCACTCCACCCCGTCATATAAGCCTCCGCACTCAGTTCTGGCTTGAATGATGTGCCTTCTATTACCTAGATACCGAACTAGTTTATTCTTTATGGATGTCGTACAGAGTGAGCATCTGGGAAATTATATTGGGAGCTCTTTGCGAAGGAGCTGCGCGTCTCTTGGGTAAATACTAGGTATCTATTCAGATTTGATGATAGATATGTATGTCAGAGTCGATAGCTTATATTTTGCTAACGATTCGCCAACCCGTCGAAACATATAAATCCGGCGTATTCAACAGGCTTTCTCTGTGCGACGTTGAATATTAGGTAGTGAATACTATTTTCGGAGTTATCTGTTGCTTCATCTCCGGCAAAAGACTTTGTCATATGACATGGTAGGAATTGCACTTTCAACAAATAAGTTAAGTAATTGATAGATATCATCAGCATCATCTCGCAAAGAGAGCGTTCAAATCGTTGTCTAGATCAAGAGCAGTTCGTTTTATGATAGCATGCTATCTAGAAGTCATCGCACATCTCAAATACAGGCAGCCTCACATTCTAGTGAGAAAACAGCTAAATGCTGCCTGTCCCAGTCCTCAATGGTAGTTGTACACTGGCGGCGCAAACAGGTTATTGCGCATTGGTCTCTCACATCTCGTAAGGCGACTTGACCGCGCGCCAGTCATCCGGATCAGTATCCCCTCCCTTTCCAGGCCGGTTCCTTTTCTGGGTCCTGGCATAACCCTCCCACCACTCCTCAAAGGCCTTTCGATTATACAGGTGCTGTGGCGCGCCGTTTCCGTCGCCAAAGATATCCAAGATGCGATCGCAGTACATCCAGACGCCCTCGAGGTGGTGCGGCAGCAGGGGTTTGCGGTCTGCGCGCACTGCCAGTACGGTTCCGACCCACGACTGCCACTGCGGAGGCGCGAAGCCTGTTATTGGGTCGATCATAAGATAGGTGGCGATCTGGTTATCTTGTTCCCACTGATTCTTGAACTGTGAGTGGACGCGGTGCAGCATAAGCGGCACTTCAATGAGAGCTGAGATGGGGGACACGGGGTTCTCTTCAAAGGCGAGATGGTCCGAAGCAAGATTGACGGCAGACCAAGGCGGGTGATTTTGTTTTTCTTTCTCGCACCGCAAGATCACGGCTGGAATTTTCCCCTCGTTGGCTGGTGTCGCCGTTTGGGCTGAGCCTACTGCCGCTTGGGGTGCCGGCGGAGTTGGTGCGGTGTTTGGCTTTGGCTTTGGCTCCGACTTTGGCTTCGGCTTTGGCTCCGGCTTTAGCTCCGTATCAGAATCAGTGTCTATGTTGTCCCATTTTGAGTAATCAATTCGCGACATGGTGAAAGTCGCAGTGAGAATAGACCAGTATGGGATGGTAGATAGCTCTCGGAGTTAAAAGCGATAAGTGCAGGGAAAAGTTGTTTTGAAGAGAAGAAAAAGTGGAATTAGGAGAAGCGAAGAAGAGAAGAAGAGCTAGAAGAGTAGAAGGTACTGTAAGTATACATGTATTGAAAAATGCTGTTTGCACCTTCCACCTGCCATCTTCCACCTTGCACCTTGCACCGTCCACCTTCTACCTTCTACTTGATTGTATACCTAAACCATGGCAGTTACAAACATCGAACCTTCTTCAACATGCAGGTGTTTGACTCAGTAGGTTAGGTACCTATACATAAAGAACCACATGCTGCTGAATCACATGATTTGTTTGGCATTGTCAACTTGCATAAAAATGCTGCATACTAGGTACAAATCCTAGCGATCAATAGTTAGGACCATGGTGATAATATCTGTCAGCTCGCGGCTCTTTAAAACTTCCTCCTCTTTTTGGTATTCTGTGGAATAAGATTGGTACCTAGGTAGGTAGTAGTTTTGGAAGTGCCACTGGAAGGAAATGCCAATGATTATTATATGGACGGACACACTGGCATCCTTTCCGGGTTACTACATACTAATACATTCCTACAAAAACTGATCGACCGCTAGGTACCTACATAGCAGGGACCTAATCGATCTCCTACTCCGCAATGCGATAACGCAACAAGAGTGGTATCAAGTGACGGACGCCGCATGCTAACGACCTTGGCGGATGTCCATTCCCCTGTATATAACTACCTAACCAATAACGGTGACTTCTCGGGGAACTTCGCTGATAACTACCTGTGATAAACTCCGAGCATTTCCCGATATGTAGGGGCATATGGGTATAAACTTCCAGTTATCATATTTGTATTGTTAATAGATACTAGGTTTGGTGTGTAAGACGATAAAGGGGGAAAAAGCAATGCTGCCATACCTAACTCCCTAACCTAGATGTTTTCATGAGTTGACAAAAGAGGGTTTCAACTAAATATCGGGTTTATACAAGGTATGTAGTATTTAAATCGATGAATATTAAATTGCCCATTACCTCACGAGACTGCCAGAAAATAACGGTTTTATATACAAGTCGTACAAGATTTAAGTAGTCAAGATAAGCGAGGTCGTAGATCGTGCCTAGGAGATTAAGTTGTAAATGATTTAAAGGGGGCTACTGAATGTCATCGCCAACCTAGCTACGACTCACAGATACTCCTTGTTTCTATCGCTCCCTATCTAGTCACACAACCTCATCATTACCCCAGAATTTCAAGTTTTAGCTCATCGCATCCTATTATTAGGTACCCAAGTTGTTAACCTTCGTCTATCCATACGCAAGGTAGTACCTACTGGCACATCGTCATTTTCAAGCTTCCTTGCCTTTTCAACACATGTTAGTCAGATATCAAGATATCGTGAATCATCACTCCTCTTAACAACAGCTACAAGCCACCAGCAAGATCTGCACCCTTCGTAAACAACATCAGGTCTACGACGATCCAGGCTATGTATCTAACAATCTACAACCCTAAGCAAACATGCGGGGTGAGCCGCGTTTATCTGATTTGTGGTACCGTACCCAGAACACAAACGCCCAGTTATCTTTTAGACGCATGATGATGGCCGCCCTATACGCTAGCATTATCAGCAGCCAGTCACGGCATATGCGTTATCATCCAGGGGCATTAGCGCCGCTGAACTCCCCAACCCTCCTCACCTACTTACACGCACGCTGCAATCTTCTGAAGCATCCATCGGCTGAGAGGGGGGTTTTCTTATATACGCCCAATTGCTCTGCTGCAGATGATCTGGCATGCTTATCATCTGTTCCGGTGTCTATCTTCCGACGTGCGGAGGCCGTTATCGGTCTTTATAGATTATATCTATGCGAGGATGTGTTCATCGTCGCTCAGATGATGGATGGTGATTGTAGTGTTCATAAAGGGGTATCCTTCGAAGGAAGATAGAAGTTTGATAGGTTCCCGATGACGTATCGAATTATCCATTAAAACACCCCCCCATCATAAGACTTGGTTGCACATATAGGCGACCACCTCAGGTACCTAACTAGGATATAAAATGGTGCCCTTCGCTGCCGCCTGGCTAGCATCAGCCATCATCCTCTCCTTCCTCGGCTTCGTCGCCCTAAGCAAAAACCAGAAAGATGTAGTGTACCGGCGACTAGGCCTCCGGCGCCAAGCCAGCTCGCGCCCCAGCACCCCCTCGCTCGAGAAGCAGGCGCCGTCGAAGCCACTCGCGTCCGTCGCCGCGGACCTCGTGCTCGCGTTCCCGCCTTCCCCCCGCGGCCAGCTCAGCAAGATGGTGGGCGCGATGCCCGCTGCCCAGCGGGCGGCGATGGGCGACCTTTCGTTCGACGAGAAGAAGTTCCCCAGCTCGCTGCTGGGCTTCGATGAGAATTACGCGACCGCCGATGATGGCAAGTACAACTACACCGGCTTCTCGGTGCGCGAGCTCAAGGCGCTCGGCGACTTCCCGGACTACGCGACGCTCTCGGAGGTCCCGATGCCCCAGCCGTACCCGGAGTTCGATATTGATCGTGCGCTGCCGCGGCCGTATCGCCCGTTTCGGTGGGCGTACCATCAGACGATGTGTAAGTAGTCCCCTCCCCCCCACCATCTCCCCAAGTACCTAGTAGAAAAGGTTTAAAAAGCTGACTCCATATGCACACGACAGCCCTCACCAAGTTCGAGCCCGACTGGTGGATCGAGCTCGAATCAACCTACCGAACACGCATCGCGCAGCGCAAGGCGCTGTACGCGGAGCACGGCGGCGCGGTGCTGCAGTGGCTTCCCGGGTCGGAGCTCGCGTGCAAGGAGCTGATGGAGATGGTGCTGCAGTTCGTGTGCGCGCGGTACCCGCAGTACTTCTCCCTGTCGGCCGACAAGTCGGTGCTCGAGAACCGGATCCTCGGCACCGTGACCGTCATCAAGGCGCAGCCCCCTTTGCTCGTGCTGCTCGAGCACATCCCCGAGGACTTCGGCGTCGTGCTGCGGAACCCCGAGGACGGGCACTATTACTTGCGCGCGGGCCTCATATGCTCGGCGCTGGGGTGGAACGTCGCGAGCAAGATTGGCCTGAGGCTCGACGCCATACACCAGCCTATCCCGGACTACAAGGAGAAGATGCAGTTTAGCATGGACCGGTGAGTCTACCCCCCCCCCCCCCCCCCCAACCCCCATCCCTCTACCTCACACAACTAACTCCCCACAGCTACTTCTCCAAAATGCCCGCCAACAAGCCCATCCAGCGCGGCTCCTGGGGCCTCGAAGTCGACCAACCCCTCTACATGCCCCCGGACGACCCCCACTCCGCCTACCGCGCGACCCAAGACCCATCCCTCCCGCTCTCCCGCATCCACCTGCGCGTCGACTGGCAGACCCTGCGCCGGCTCCCTCTATCCGGCGGCGTCGTGTTCAACTTCAAGGCCCTGTTCACGCCCGTGTCCGAGTTCCGCGACGAGCCGTACGTGCCGGCGCTGGTGCTGCAGGTGCTGCGCGAGGGCAAGGAGAACCTGATGAAGTACAAGAACACGTGGCACACGCAGCACGTGGTCATGCCGGCGCTGGAGGCGTACGCCAAGGAGCAGGAGGAGAAGGGGGTCGTGGAGAGGGGGTGGGAGGTCAAGACGCTTGATGATAGCCCGTGGTTCCCGGGGTGGAGGGAGAAGTGGCATAGGCAGCAGGGTTTTTAGGGAGTGAGAGAGAGTTAAAGGTAAGGGGGCTGGGTTGGCGGTGGTTATGGAAAACATAGGTACCTACCTAACCTACCCCTAGGTAGGTAGGCTAGTATGGATGTATTAATATATCTGTAATTGCAGCTCTGTATAATACCTTAGCCTCTCGCGCATCATATACTAAGCACCTTTTAACATCGAGACTTCTACTTAGTATTTTCAGGTGATGATAGCTTTTTCAAACTAAAAATACCAAGAAGGTTATGAAAAACAGTTTGGTAACTTTTGATTGATCTGTTCAGTTGGTCCGTTAATAACAACCGCCCTCAAGCGATTGCCCTTTACCCTATCCAACTCCTACACTATGTCTCGCATATGTACAATATAATAACCCCTCCAAGCAAGCCTCATACAGACAGGCATCCAATGGTTTTATCTACATCCGCCAGTCTACCGACTGCTAGAGGGGAAGCTTTTTAATACATCGAAAAGTTGATTTCGAGTGTGTCGCCGTGAGCCGTGAGCCGTTAAATGCATCGCCTCATCAGTCCAAATCCCAGACTAGGGCCTTGCCAAAACGCCGAAACTCGTAAAATCATCGGCACTATACGAATTTGTTATGACCTTTTCTTATGTCATATAATATTTCGGTCCTTCGCCACCTTGGGGTACGGCCCAATTGATGTCCTGGTGTGGTGCTTTGATATCGCAAGTTTTGCAGTGGATGCAGCTGTGGTTGATGTTAGTATACACATTGTTGTTTTGGCCAATCTAGACAATGACTAGGCCAATCCATATAAGAATCCGATGTACTCACTTTTGGGAATTAATCTGGAACCGCACACCAAGTGGTTTTGTGTCGTCTTCAACGTATTCGTAAACACCGGCGGGACAGAAACGGTTTTCTAACCCTTTGTACTTAGGCCATGTCTCCTGGGCATGGACATCCCAATCTTTAACTTGGAGATGAACAGGCTGATCCTCTTCATGGTTCGTTCCCGTCCGAGAAACACTCGTAAGTATATCGAAGGAGATCTTTCCGTCCGGCTTGGGATATTCAATCTTTTGGTACGCATCGGCATTCTTGGTAGCGCCATAATCTGTATGCCTATGCTTCAGGGTCCAAGGAACACGACCCTTGAGAATGAACGCCTCCAAGCCAGAATAGACAACTCCGCCCAATGTCCCTAAAGGGGTTTGGAAGGAAGGTCGCATATTTCGAACTTCCTTCAACTCTTTCCAGACACTAGACTTCCGAAGAGAATCCTCGTATTGATATAAAAAGACAGACTCTTCGCTTCCTTCGGCTAATGCACTCCAGGCAGCCTCTGCAGCCAGCATACCTGTCCTCATGGCATTATGGGTGCCTTTGACCTGTGGAACGTTGACGAAGCCAGCAGAGTCGCCAATTAAAGCGCCTCCAGGAAAGGCGACCTTGGGGATTGATTGGAAGCCACCCTCACTAAGAGCCCTTGCACCATACGAAATGCATTTGCCACCTTCGAGAATAGACTTATACATCGGATGCTGTTTCATCTTCTGGAACTCGCCATACGGTGATAGCCAGGGATTTTGGTAATCCAGGGCCACCACAAGTCCAATGCTGACGAGATTATCTCCAAAGTGATATAGCCACCCGCCGCCGTAGGTATCCAGGGGTAGGGGATAACCCATAGAGTGGACGACTTCGCCTTTATGAAACTTCTCTGGTTGGATTTCCCAGACCTCTTTTATACCTAAACCGTAGGTCTGATGTTGGCTTTCACTCCTCAAGTCGAATTTCTTGATAACTTGCTTAGTCAGGCTACCATGACATCCCTCGGCAAACAACGTTACTCTCGCGTGAAATTCCATGCCCCGTTCGAAACTATCTTTCGGTTTCCCATCTCGACCGATACCCAAGTCGTTTGTCGCAACCCCAAGAACTGAACCATCGGGTTTATAAAGCACCTCGGATGCAGCGAAGCCGGGGTATACCTCAACACCAATCTCTTCGGCGCGTTCCCCGAGCCATTTCGTGAACTGGTTTAAGCTAACGATGTAGTTTCCGTCGTTGTGCATCTGAGGCGGGGCTGGTAAGGGTATCGCGTTGTTCTTGGTCAAGAACTTCATCTTGTCTCCGGCCGTTGGTGTCGCATTCTCGAATCGGTTCTCGTTTGCCTCATCGAGCCAGTCGGGAAATAATTCCTTGACTGCTACAGGGTTTATGACTGCCCCAGACAATATGTGTGCACCAAGCTCACCCGCCTTTTCTAGGAGCAGTACTCTAAAATCTTCATTGCCATTTTCGGTGGCGAGTTGCTTTAGACGAATCGCGGCGCTCAATCCGGCAGGACCTGGTTAATAGGGGCCAACATGGTCAGCTATGTAACAGGGATTAAGTGCGCATTGGGGCAAGTCAACTAAGGCATGCTCACCTCCACCAACAATACACACATCGACTTCATCGCTTTCCCGTTCCACCGTCTTGGGGTCAAAGCTTTCTTCAACACTAGCAAAACACCTGGGACGAGTGGTACTGAAGGCGCGAGAGGCCAGATGAGTAATAGGAGCATTCAGGGCAGCACTACATCTCAACCTTGGCACGACTACGCTGGAGGAATACAGTGCGTTATAGGCTCTTGTAGGGAGTTTGGACCCAATTGACGTTACTGCACTTCGCCGTGCGAGCACATGCAACGGCATCGAAGTAGACATTGTGTCGTGTAACTTGTTTGCTAACCAATTGGTTGTTTTTGTCTGTCTTTGTCTTTGTTTTGGTGCTGAAGATGAGAACTTCCCAGTTGTCAGTTGGAGGGGTGTTTACTTGTCACCGGATTCGAGACGCCATGAGACTATTATGAGTAGACCGTGAAGTGTTAGCGTAGGGTAGGCAAAGTTCGTTGAAGTGGGTTTTGTTTAGTTTATCAATGAAGAATTCCTCGGAGCAGGTGATAGAGGTGATGACATCAAATTGGTTACTTGGTATTGCTCAGCTGCTACCGAGGTTCTTCCCCTATCTAACAATGTTCATCCCAAGTCATCAGACTACAAAAACATAAAAAAATTAAGCAAAACTTTGATAAAGGCCGCTGCAAACCGTTCTAGGCCGCGTTCGGAGCATCTTTTGAGCCTATCACATTGCCGTGATTTCCAAGTTAAAAGCCAATTCACTGTGGCGGTAACTATAGATAAGCGTGGCTGGTGTAAGGTGTATTTACTACTAGTAGTAAAGTGGGGGAATGGGGCTTCGGAATATTGATAACTGATAACCTAAAATGGGAAACGTTGGAGACTGGATTGGACTTAAAACCGTTTTCTCCAACTTTTTCCAACCATGGAAGTCTTGGAAAGTCAAGAGATGAGATTCAAAACAAACGAAGAGTCAAAATAACTAGACTCTAACAGCATTAAATAGATCCTCCAAGATCGCTCCTAGCCCAAAAATATCACAATGTTTCCGGACGGGAACATCATATTGAACCCAATCTTTTTATACTATGATTTCCCTTGGCTAGATCCCCTCGCGAAATCTTTCTGCATATTAAAAACATTAAAAACTAAATGAAGATCAACGTTTGTGTGTTTGAAGCCGCCGAAGCCGTAACATGAATCGTACTATGCACGCCGCGCACACAGACATCATTCCAGAACAGTGATCGACATCAACTTTATGAATATCCACTCATATTATCAGCATCACTATGAACCAGGGAGTATTATTGCATGCGCTTTCACGGATACCCTTAGGTGGGTAAATAGTTATGAGTTTTGGTACGTTCGGGATAACCTGTTTTGTCCTAGTAACTAATAACAAGTAACAGCATTGAGTAGGTACACACAACTCTCAACCAACCCCGAAGTTGGATCATAACTTCATCTCGAAGTCATCTGGCAGATTAGGTAGCTTACCATACTATTGCTGAGTTCGCAATAGTTACCCAAGTTGGTAGGTAATACAATAACTAATAGATTGGCATGCGTCTTCTAGAAAGAACCCTCCCTAAACTGCAACCGGAAGCATCGTTTCCTTCGATGACGAGCTCGCAACCCAGCATGTTTCTATATATACAGTTTGCAGTGTGCCAAGCGAGTTACAGTGTACATTCTTCCAGCCGCATTATTCTCTCAAGGATGGCTTCAAGGAGTTGTTGGTCTTTGGTGTCATTTCACGTGATTCCTTGTTCTCAAACAGCCCTTGTTATGTCTGGGGTTTGTTTGATCTGCTGCGTCCGACGTTTGAGGGTGCTAGTCGCCCAGATATTCTAGAGCCTCAAAGCACCTAACCAAACATATTACCCAACTTATTTCAATCCACTCTTGGCACCTTTAGTTTCAATCAACGTGATCACCAAAAGATCTTCCCATTGATCCCCCCAGAGTCACTCCCAATCTGGAGATCCAGATCGGCGCTTTCTTCAACGCGCTTCGTATGATCTGCTCAACCCAGTGATTTTATTCTACTTCGCCCCGTTTTGAAAGGGACGGAAAGTCTTCTCGATGTGTTTGGCCTTGGTGGACCTACAATTTCGTCAACCCAATCATAGCTTCCTTTACAATGTTCTGTCCCTGAGCTTCTCGTGGGAGCTCGTCGTTTTCGTATAGTGCGATGTTGTGTGTGTTGTGTGTGGAGAGAAGCTATACCATGTTTCCCAACGATGTTTGTAACTACGGGGTGCTTAGGATACAACTTTACCCTTGCAATCCCATGGCATTCAATGACGGAATAGTAGATACGTCGAATGTTCAGTGCTTTTCCAATTGTCCATAAAATCAGCTCTTCCCGTGCCGTGTAATCCGAACTTTTTTTTTGTTCTTCACCCATCCACACCTATCCCAACCGACAACATTCCCTTTCTTGGTCGTTTTCTTGTTTGAAGAGGTAAGTCAGCCTGAGTACCTTACTTCGGTATTTATCATGGAGTTTACCAGGTCTTTACTAACTGAATGTGTAGCTGTGCTCCTATTTTCTTTCGTGTATTACTTTTGATAACTTCTTTCAACCACTCCCTTTTTATTATTTCTCACTCAGTATCTGGTTATACACTCTTTCAATATGAAGAACTTCGGAGCTATTTTGATGGTCTTGGCCACCGGCGCTTCTCTTGGAGCTGCCCTACCTACCCAGCCCATGCGCGGCGCTGTACAGCCCCGAGGTGTCCCTGTTCCCCGTGGTGCTCTCTACGTTCGATACCCTAAGAAGAACAAGAACGAGGAAGACGGTGCCGCTAACGCCGATGCTGCCGATGCTGCCGCTGGTGGTGCCGCCGGAAATGGAACAGCTGTTGCCGAGGTGATTATCCCCTTTCCGCATAACATTTAGGATTTATCGTGCTCATCATATTTCTAGTCCAATGTAAACAACGGAACTGGCAATGCTGCAAACGATGCCAATGCCAACCAGGGAAACAACCAAAATGACAACGCCGCCGACGAAGAGGATGCTGCCGATGCTCAGGATGCCGCTAACGGCCAGGATAATGCTGACGCTGCCAACGGACAAGACAACGCCAACGCTCAAAATGGAGCAGCCAAGCAGAACGGCAACAAGAACAAGAACGGTGCCAACAACGCTAACGCCAACGCTGATGCAGCAGACGCTGCCGATGCCGCCGACGCTGCTGATGCCGCTGATGCCGCTGATGCTCAAGACAATGCCAACGCTAAACACGGCGCCAATGCCCAGAACGGTGCCAATGCTAAGAACGGTGCCAATGCCGCTGATGCCGCTGATGCCGCTGGTGCCGCTGGTGCTGCCGACGCTCAAGACGGAGCCAACGCCCAGAACGGAGCTAACGCTAAGAAGGGTGCCAATGCTCAAAACGGAGCCAACGGAGCTGACGCTGCCGACGCCGCTGATGCTGCTGGAGCCAACGCTCAGAACGGAGCCAATGCCAAGAACGGCGCCAATGCTGCTGATGCTGCCGATGCTCAGAACGGAGCAGCAGCTAAGCAGAACGGAAACAGCAAGGCCAACGCAGGCAACGTGCAGGCTGCCTCGGTCGACGCGGCTGGTGCCGGTTCTGCCCAGCAGAGCGCAGCCAGCACGCAGAAGGATGCCGCTGCTTCTTCTCAGGGTGTCTCAGCAAGCGCAGTCCAGGCTCAGGACGCAGCAGGCAGTGACCCAGTCAGCGGTCTCGTCGGTGGCGTTCTCGGTGGTGCCGGTGGTGCCGGTGGTGCCGGCGATCTCGTCGGTGGCGTTCTCGGTAGTGCTGGCGGTGCCGGCGATCTTCTCGGCGGTGTCCTTGGTGGTGGCGACGACGCTGCTGCTGGTGGCGCTGCTGCCGGTGGTGCCCAGAGCGGTGGTGCTCTCGGTGGTCTTGGTGGTCTTGGCCAGCTTACCGGTCTCCTACAGGGCCTCCTACCGGTCTAAGCGCATTTTCTGCGATAGGTTCTACAGGGGGGTTCGAATAATGAGGATCGTGTAATATAGATAGGGGCATTAGATAAGGGTGTTATTATTATGTGCTGCTATCATGAGTAATAATAAGGCACTTCTTCTACGGAAAGCAAGCTCGGCGGCTTGGGATCATCAATCTATTCTAGCTAGTCTGGAAAACATGTATGTACGATTGAGATGTATACTATTACTATCCGCGCCGAGAGGGAAACAGGAGGGGTTGAAGAGGAAGAGGAAAGATTTTTATCATGGCGTGAGGGGTCGGTTTCGGCTTCCGATCTAAAGACGTCTGCATTTTTGACGAAAGATTTTGATAGAAAAGCAACTAAACACCAATTGAAAGCGATGTGGATGTGGGAATCTTTGATTTTCTCCAGTGTGGGGTTTGTGACTGTTATGCCTCGAGAACTTTTGATTATTATGATTTTGGACGTGTGAATTGGTGATTTAGGGGATCATGCAAATGTGAGCTGTACGGCTTTGAAAAGGGGTAAATGCAGATACTGGAGGTGCATGAGGTACCTAAGTACCTAGGTTAGGGTAATACACATGGCACCTGGCATTTAGGGGGCCTGGTTAGGGCACATGTGACTGGTGCTTCCCCTATATATAGCAGCCCTGGAGGTATAATTATTTCCGCTGGTTGAACCGTATTCGCATTTGTTAAGCCATTCAATGTTCTTCTTTTAGAGTCAGTGCTGAGCTCTCTTCTCTCCTTTCTAATGCATCCATTCTTTTGCTTTTACTGATCCATGTCGTTACATTCAATGCCAGGACAAACATGAATCAGTGGAGGTTTATTTACTTCATTCAAGTTATTTCTCCTTCCGTCTACTCTTCTCGCCATGTCCGAAAATGCACTCACCTTTAATGCTCTTTAAACAACATCCGAGGTATAGTACGAGGTACGGTGGATGGCGATCAACTATGAGACTTTGGTTCGGATTCCGAGGACCTGGTTGTGAGATTCTCTAAAATGAATGGTGACGAGACACCACGAGTCTCTCATTATTGAAGAGGTCACATGAGATACTACTAGTAGTACTCGTGGAAAGGGATGGACTGGAAAGGGATATACAATTTGTGAGGTCTGTATGAGGTAAGCAATAGGGAATAACTATTATCGACGGTAAATTGCAGCGTTGGAGATTCTATGGTGAAGACGGAAGATGCTAATATTGAAACGACAATCGGTCTATGAATAGCCGGGTAATTTACCAAACCACTGTGGCGTTCTTATGGGGCCCCTCTGTACCTAAGTATAGGCACTTGGCAGCCTGAGAAGTCCCTAAAAGTTGGAGGGATCAACACCTGAACACCCATAAGTTTAAGTTTTAAAGCCAGCCGACTTGCAAAATCCGTGGTACCATACAATTCAGTGCATCACACCTTCCGCTAGGCTTCATATTTAATTTCCAGGCCTTTTTTTTCTACGGAAAGTGCTCCTTTGGACTTGAATCTCCGAGCTGAATCTCCCTTTTAATAACATTTTGAACACTTTTTTCTTTTGTTCCACTATGGATCCATCACGGAGATACTATTATTATCATTTCAACTCATTCGCTTAACACTCTCTCCGGTGTCATATATAGGCGTCAGCAGCAATGGGGGGTTTTTGTGACCAGACAGACAGTGGCTGTGCTTTGGGAGTCCTCACCCATCATTCTTTTTTTCTCTCCATCCATAAAACGTTTTCTTGATATCCATATCAGAATATCCTGAATAATCCTATCCTCAAGTTCTTGACTACGACGACTTTTGAATACGGAATGCAAAATCCAAGATGCGATTAATCAATACCAATACGTTAGAGCTGGAAGAGTTCCAGGGGAATCAAGTTCCCCCATACGCTATTCTATCACACACATGGGGGAGTGAAGAAGTTTCCTTTCAAGAATGGCAGAATGGCAGCCAATTGCGTCGCAGATGGAGCCGCAGATGGAGTCGTAAGGAGGGCCTCAAGAAGATTTTGAATGCCTGTCGCCAGGCGAGGAAGGATACGCTGAATTATTTATGGTGCGACACGAATTGCATTGACAAGTATAGCTCGGCCGAGCTGTCTGAAGCAATCAACTCCATGTTCTCCTGGTATCGAGGCGCCGATGTCTGCTATGCTTACTTGGCAGATGTAATCCAAACCGAAGACTCCGAGAAACCTATGAGTAAAAGCCGCTGGTTTACTCGTGGATGGACTTTACAGGAGTTACTGGCCCCCAAGAAGATGGTATTCTACGATGCAACATGGAGTCGAATTGGTACTAAGACGGAACTATATTGGGGGTCCATCATTTCTAGCACCACCGGCATTTCTCTTCCATACTTGGTGTCTGGAAATATTTCGTCCGCTACTATTGCGGAGAAGATGTCCTGGCTAGCCAAGCGAACAACAACGCGGGTCGAAGACATGGCTTACTGTATGCTTGGAATCTTTGGCTTGAACATGCCTTTGCTCTACGGAGAGGGTTCTAGGGCCTTTGTGAGGCTGCAAGAGGAACTGATCAAGATCTCTAATGACCAAACCATATTCTGTTGGACTTGGTTCGAAGATTTTGACGTCCTCCCGGATGAATGGGGTAGCCTGTTGGCTCCTTATCCCAAAGCATTCATGGACTGTGATCAATTCAAAACCATAGAATCAACGCATAGAGTTGCGACATATGCCATGACCAATGCAGGACTTTCAATTCAGATGCCATACGTCAGAGCCTCCCGCCATTATTACATGGTTTTACATGTCACCAAGAAAGGACAGACGTCACCTTTCATGATTCCACTCCTGAATACACACAAAAGCGGTATATGGACACGAGAGCGGTTTCCGCCTTTACCAATCCCATGCGAGTATCCCCTTCTCAAAGACTTGGAGGAGCAACGTTTCATCGTGGAACCCCATTCAACCAATTCCAGCAGGAACTCCATACTGGTTAGACCATACAAGCAATATGGAGTACTACTCACCTTCAATAATCCAGATGCCTTCTGCCTAGATTATGACGCTGTGCGGGTAATGGGAGGGACCTGGGATCGGAGTCTCGGTGTTATTTACTTGGATGTAGACCAGAATCCCGAGGCTGACAACAGGGGCTATGCCGGTGTTGTTGAGTTCCCTCGCGCTAATCCTTTATATGGGGGACCAACCCACTTAACTATTTCGTTCTCCATCATGCCATTTCAGGATGATAGGAAAGTCCTCGAGTTCTCTTGCAAAATCCTGGACTCGGACTCTTCTTCTCACGCCGCGCCTACCGGGGTCAGATTCATCCGCGATGAAGAAAGTGACGGAAGCATGGCCCCAAGCGAAAAGAACGACCCGGAGCTAAGAGATATATCGAACTCGGACACGCCAAGGGTATATTCTAAAAAGGCAGAGGCATCAGTACTGTTGTTTTCACAGCCATTTCATGACCATACTCGAATATACGACGATAGTCGGCGCACAACCATCCTACATGCGCATATTCTAGATCATAGCCGGGACGATAGCCAGTTCAGTCGGGATCTAGCTTTCTAGATTGAGGAACTGCAATCGTTTTGCTTAGGTTAGGCCATTTATCGTGTCAAGTTGCGGTGGTTGGTGACACGGGCTGCTCTCCCCCCAGTAGCCGGGCTATACGCGGTCTTTTCCGGAACAGCTAAACCAGCTCTACTGAAAAGGTTTGTCATGCTACCTCTCAGTCCTTTCAGCGGATGTCAAACTCATCATGATGACTAGGCGTCAAAACATCGACCGCGGCTTTGCGCTGGTGGAGAAGAGGCGGAGCGCCTGCTGCAGGCGGGAAAAGATACTGTAGTATCAGTCCCGCCCATGGCGACAGGTACCCAGCAAATATGCGCTGCGCTGAGATCTTGGATACATGGAGAATATCGTCTGGATCGTCGCCTGTGAGGCTCAGTGTGAGTGCAAGTTGGTCGAAGGAATTGGCGTGCTCGGTGGCTCCTTGAAGCAATAGACTCCGGCGCATCTCCCCGGCTCGCTTCCCTACGTAGACTGGGTAGCTGGAGGTGGAAAGGGCATGATTAATGATGGTACCCACCTAGGTATTTGACGTGATAATATGAGTAGATGCCTACCTACCTTACCTGGGTGTTAATCAAGGGAGCCTACAATGGCTGACATACTAGCCTTAGGTAAATTGGAAGCACCACCTACAGCGGCGTGGTGTCGCATTATATCTGGTGGATTGATGAACTGAGGGCTGTATATAGTTTAATCTCACCAATTACATTTAATCTCACCAATTACATGTACCTATGAATCTTTCTTCATATCTAACAGTCACTGCATAGGTACTAGGTATGTAGGTACCTAGTTAAATATCAATCACAGATACCCACCCTCCCTCTTTCAACTCTCCTGCTGCAGATTCGTTACGTACACGTAGTTCAAATCCAGACCTTGAAGGCTTTGCTCAACCACACTATGTAGGCAGGTACCTAGACAAGATGTACCCGTAACCCTCCTTCCTGCCTGCTACGCAAGGTGTACCTGCAATTCAGTTGATTTCTTGATATAGGTTCGAGTTATATACCCTAGGTAGGTACCATATCACGACAGCGCCTACCTACGATATAATTACCCCCATGTCAAGCCAACTCTACCTCTCGTCGTATACTCCTTTTGAAATTATTCGTCAAACCAACATATCAACATATCTGTCCAACGGACTTACCTCACCATCAACTCTCCCCACCAGCCCACTGTACCGGCGCCCCCTGAAACTTGAAATACCCCGGATTCAACTCCTGGAAAACGCGCTGCGGGTCGTATCTCCCCGCTATCTCCTCCAACCTAGCCTTGTTCTTGCCCCCGTAGCTCGTTAACGGATCCTGGAACTGGCTCGCGTAATTCATATACAGAAAGGGGTGATCTAGCCCGCGTTCCCTTGCCAGCTCCCGCACCCGAGACATGATGTTCGACGTGGACGTCAGCACCTGCGCATCGTCCGAGCGAAGCTGCCAAAAGGGCGATGGGGTTATAAGCAAGAGCGGGTCCGTGCCGCCGCTAATGCCGAGCGCGTTGCCACCGTGGCGGTCCATCTCGCGGAGCTGGGGGACCGTTATAATCTGAAAGCTTATGGAGGGGCAGAAGCCCGTCAGATTCAAGATGGGGGCTGATTCCTCCTGGAAGATCGTCAGGATGTCCAACACCAGCTGCTTGTCCACGTACGTGGTGAGGTCCCACAAGCTCTGTCGTCGGCCGGAGGCGTTGACGATTGCGATCTCAACCGTGAGGTTCGAATGCGACGTGATCCTCGTCGTGTCCTGGAGCATGTTTTCCACACGAAAGAAGTCGTCGAAAACTGGGGGATGATGCTCCCCTGGTGGAGGCAGATCCGTGTGACCGACGATGATGGACGAAATCCACATCTTGTAAGGCTGGGCATAGGCAAACGACACGATAAGTGCCGCATGCGGATCTTGCACAGACCCCTTTTCGGCATAGTTCAGCATCGCGTCGATCAAGGCGGGCTTCGCGCTGTGCATCTCCCACCCGAGGAACCCACCCCACATCTGCTCGTGCGGGAGTGTGCTCGCGACGAACTGGGTGACGAGGCCAAAGTTGCTGCCGCCGCCTTTGAGGGCCCAGAATAAGTCGGGGTGCGTGTTGGAGTCGACGGTTAGGATTTCTCCTGACCCGAGGACGATTTCATAGCTGAGCATGTTGTCGCAGGTCCATCCGTGCTCACCACTGAAGAATGAAATCCCCCCTATAAGGTATTTCTAGGTAAGTAGGGTAGTAAGAAGAGATAGGGAAAGGGGGGGAGGTGGCAGAGTTAGCAGAGAAAGCCATAGACCTACCGCCCAGTGCCAATCCACCTACCCCAACATTCGCTGTACGACCCCCCGCCATCGTCAAATTAACCTTCTCCAACGCCGTGTACACATCCAACCAAGTGTTCCCCGGCCCAATTGCCACGGATTTCCCATCGGGGCTTATGTCTACGTGCTTCATCTGCGCGAAATCGATAGTGATGCCCCCGTCGCTATTCGAACCACCTCGAAAAGCGGCGTGACCACCCCCTTTAGCGACAAAGGGGCACTCGGTAACGCGAGATAGTAGGATGGCGACAGACACGTCTTCGGCGTCGGCCGGGCGGACGAAGCACCGCGGGTACGTGTCCTGCGACTGCTGCAGCGACCAGAAGCTGGAACGCGACGCTTCGTAGGAAGCTGAGCCGGGAAGGTCGACGCTAGAGGGGCCGAATATGCTGGCGAGGGTGTTACACTAGGTATGCAAGTGAGAAAGGTGGCGGAATTGGGGGTCGGAGGTAGGTACATAGGTAGGCAAGTTGGCGAGCAAAACTCACTGCTAGTGAACACGAGCATATATCTTGATCTTGCCTGTTTAGGCCTACGAGAAGCTCATGCAGATAATCAGACGTGATGACGCCCTTTTCTAAAAGCGCTTGACCTAGACCAGAGCGGAAATTGGAGGTTGACGAGGGCTCAACGCCACTCGCTAATGTAGCGAATAGAGTTGGTATAAGATACCATAGTAATAATAGCATTTTCGATGATTTGACTATGGAACTGTGATGAAGAAGAGAAAGGGGAGAAGAGAGAGGGGAGAAGAGAGAGGAGAAGAAGCTTATTCGCATTGCAGGAACTGCGTGGAAGCCACTTATGTAGGCAGTAGCTACTGCTGCTACCCAGATGCTGTGTCGTACGAAATGCAAGCCCATTTTCTTATTTGGACACTGCAGGTGCACATCGAAGTGCTCAGGAAGTTCCGGCATCGTGGTACTGGATACACCAACCGAGCTTTTGTAGATACCACTTTGGAATTTATAAAAAGCGCGCGATATGCTTATAAAGACGCGTGATGGATATTTGGTAAGATTGTTAAAATAGAGATTGGTATAGTTACTAGGTATATAGATGGGCACATATCCTGAGCGAAAATCCTCTACAACTACATAGCAACCATCGCTGTATATATCTAGTAGTAGCGACACTATAAATATAAAAGTCCTTATCCAGCAGGATCTCTATCTCAGCCTCAACAATTCGATACCTCGTACAGTTAGCATCCCCCACAAGTGCAAGTATACCAGCCTTGCCCAGTAATAGTCGTGTGAATCTTCCTATCCTCTCTCCCTATTTAGGTACCTGCCTAAATAATCTCCACAGTCCGCACCGGGCGATCCCAAAAGTATTTCAATCCACCACCTTCCTCCGCAAACGCATAGAACGTCCCGACTCGAAGATACTTTCCTGGCTGCGATGACGCAGGGTGGATGACGAGCCCATAGGCCGACCTGTTCTTATCTCCGATTCTCGACGACGAGTTCATGTTGCAGCACCGGTCCGAGTTGGTGGAGTACTCGGAAAAGTCTAGTGATAGTACCGTTCTCGTAACTTCATCTTCCTTTTCGTCTGCTGCATTGTTGGTTGTATCATGGTGATGTCGTTCACGCTCCATTTTCTTCTTCTCTGCCCACTTTCTTAGCGGGCTGGATTTGGATCGTCTTTCTAGAGAGTGACTGCTTTTGTCACAATTGGTGTGTGTATTAGTCCACGTCGTACATCCTTTCCCCTCGTCACCCGTAGGTAGTGGTAATGCACGTGGTGGTTTTTTACTCCAATCGGTCTTATTGTAACTTCCAAGCAGCAGTAGCGAAAGCCCTTGTAAGGACTCACCGTCTTCCGACACGTTCCAATCCAGATGAATATTCGCTATACGGGTACGACTATTGTTCCCTTCATACATAACGGCATATCCCTCGTGCGGGTGCGTGGTTGATGGGACCGGTATGACTACTCCGTGGATAGTCAATATCCCGCTTTTCACCCTGCCCAAGGGGTTCGCGCCAGCTAACGAGACTGAGGTGCGAGTTATGATACATTCTTCGTTGATGACCGACGCATAGCTCGTCTGACCTGGCAAGGGAGCAAGCCCAGCATGGCCAAAGTCAATATCGTGGCTTCGGCTGGCCCAACTCCACGATGGTGCGAGGTACCGCTTTGGAGATTGCAAGTCCTCGATCAATGTTTCCTTGCGCACCTGATATTTCTTCTTAAGCTCGGCGGACCAATATAAGTCAAAGTGTGGAACCAGATGGCCTGCGAGGTATCCCTGCGAGCAGTCACCAAGTAGTCGATTTACCAACCCTGAAACGGCCGGAAGTTTATCGGTGTCGTTTGTGAGCTTCCGTCGCGAGTATTTCTCAATCAGAAGGATCCATTCGTGATAGTCTTGTAAGTTTAGCCGGCTAGGTAGCATTCTTCCGCTGTTTGCGACTTTTGTGCAAGAACCTTCGGACTGAGTCGGTTCAGAAACTTCTGGTTCCGCATACGTGGTCAATACGTGCATTCTAGTACTACCAATCATGAGAACTCGTTGCGATAATTTGAATTCCTGGAGTGCCCATGATCGCGAAGCCCAAGTGCTATACTCGATATCCCAGAGCAGCTCAATCCATCTTGACACGAATAGATCGGCTGGGGGTTCGGGTTCTACCCTGGTCGTGTTCAAAGCTCTTTGTTGGAATCCTTGCTGGCAAGTCGTAGAAGCAGGTGTACAAATGGTTAGCGTAGCGTTCTGGTACACGAGTGCCATCCGTGAAGACTCCCTATCCCAGTCCTTCAGATCATCCTGGACTATGCAAATTGCATCGATCCAGATATATGGTATCTTCAGGGCTCGGGTGACTTCAATGGCGTCGCGAAGGATTGGGGAGACTTGGTCGACCTGGAAGCCGTTCAGTCGACTGTTCAAGGAACATCGGTCTGTTTTGAACTGTATGGAGGCGTCTTCCGGGGGACCCCAACAGTAGCTCAAGGCCGTATAGGATATCTCGGTCGGCTGCGAGAATGTGGGGTCATATTTGGTCTCAACAAGTCGACATGGATCACACGCTTCGTTCCCAACGGCGATTAGACGAGTCGGATATATATCACCATTCATGGACGATCTTTTATAACTGCTAGTTTTGATGTTTCTCATAATCATCTCAATGTTCTCGGCACATAGGGTACGATCACTCTTAGGGAGTTCTAGCCCAACCCATCGGGTACCGGTTCCTGAAATGGCAGCAGTTAGCACTGCCCATAGGTAGGTACATAATAAGTACCTAGTGCCATAAAGTGTAATAGAGGGTACAATCTTTATTAGCTGCGGTTATATTTTATCGGTTTGAACAGATATGAAAATAATATCTCTCACCTCTCAGGGGTCCATTCTCGAGGAAGTGTAGATATGTCATATCTAGAAATTCTAAGCATCAGAAAAGTGCTTACAGTGTAAGGCTTTGAAACAAGTTGGGCACATACCTATCTCATCGTTCCTAGTCCATACCATCTGTGCTACCAGCTTGAGCTGAGTAATATCACCCGATCTCCCAACTAAATCGGAGACATCCCATAAATAGAAAAAAGATATGTGAACCTTTTGATAAGAATTTCGTCCATGATTCTGGATGGCTTCCCTTAGCACAGAGCAAAAGTGGCAACCACCCCGAGCAGACTCGGAGAGCTCTGGTAAATCAGGCAATGTGTCTTGAAGCCAGTAGTCGATGGGGATTACTCCGTAGCTTGGCCAAAATTCAGTCGTGGGGCGCGTTGCTCCAGGTGTATTCATCACTGCCTCCCAGATTGAATCATTGCATTTATGAAATTGACATCTCTGGCATAAAGGCGTATGTCGAAACATTGTGGTGTAGGGTTGATTTAAGGGACAGAGTTGGTTTGAGGGAAAGGGAAACAGAAAGAGAAAGAGTAAATCGGCTCATGGCCTCTAGATATATACCTGACATGGTGATATAAGTGATAGAAGAGATATATCCATCGCATACATATGAGCGTTTGTGGAAAACCCATAACTATCAGCGAATGGAAGCTGAAATTGTACTATGTTGAGTACACACATCAATGATAGGGTAGTTGAATGTTGTAGGTTCTAGATTGCACACTAATAGGGGCTGATAGTCTAGGCGCATATTGACAGGCCTGAGACAGGGGGCCCACAAATCTGTATTGTATTGTATTGTACGGCGTACCTACCTTCTCCAAAGATCGATCTGCCTAGCACTGCCTGCCCCTCATGCGGTGACGTTATGACTTCGTTTGCTGCAGGCACAAAGGAGCTCAGCTTGCTTCATAGTGCCTACGTAATAGTACATACATAGTAGGAAGCTGGCTTCCACTACATATCCTAGGTAGTAAGGGTAGTGGTAGTATACCTCGCAGCTATCTCCATAACCTACCAAAGCATTTCAACATTGAATTTTCCAAACTTCGATCTCACCCAGATTTTAAAAAATTAAAGCACACAAACCAACAAACCCACACAGGCTCAGAAATCCAAATCATCAGCATACAATGTCGATCCCAACTTCTACCTCCGTCGTCGAGTCCGCTGTCATCAAGGCACCACTTAGCAGCGTCTGGCATCTTATCAAGAGTAAGCACTGCCCTCCCTTTGTAGTTGATGCTGCGCCACTGTGCATGGCTAACAAGATGCCATTCCAGTCCAGGACTTTAGCAACTTTTGGTCCGCCCTCAAGTCCAGCCAGTACGTTAAGGGTACCAACAATGAGGCCGACGTCGTCCAGTGGACCTTTAAAGATGGAACCCAACTCGAAGTGAAGCAGGAGGAACACAGCGTACGTTGATTCTGTGTTGCGGTACCTAGGCCTTAGCCTTCAGGGATTGGTATACACAAATTAATTCAATATTGTACTAACATTGCCTCAAGACAATCAATCACTATATCACGTACAGCGTCATCACTGCCAAGCCCGAGCTTTCGTATTCTTCGGTCCTCTCCACCATCCGTTGCTATGCGATCACATCAGGTGAACTCGAGGGAAGCACCTTTGTCGAATGGACTGGTAACTTTTCCAGCGACGCCGACGCAGGTATGTGTGATTGCCCATCTAGTTACGCCCCACCAGTGATCGCTGTGTCAATATGCTAGACACCTTTGGCATGAATGTGCTAATGAGATGACGACAGGTGTTATCCAGGATGCCAAGTTCAAGCGTCGCGATGCCCTAGCTGACTTGGCTAAGGCTGCGACAAAGAAATAAAGCCATCAATGACGAGCAAATGAAGTGTGTTAGGAGAGTCCAAAATATAACTCTGAGGTTACCTCAATAAGCCCATTATATTGGACAGCATTGTTAGACTGGATGTCTGCCTACCTACGTAGGTAGGCTATGGCATACTATCAGTATTGACACATAGTTTTCCTGCTGTTGAGAACAGCTCTGTGTATATTGCCTATCTACCAGGTAGGTATGTAGGCAGGTAACGAGCCAACCACAATGATTAGCCACCAGTCTAAAGAAGACCAAACGTGTAACTATTTTGAGCACAATATCTTCACGTCAGAAAAAAAAAGGCATTATTAGCAAAGTCAAGGAATATATGTCTAGGTGGTATTTCAGGATTCTGACCTAACCATAGACATGAGCCATACTCGTTAAGGAAGAGACCGCAACCGCAACAAGCGGCTATTCTGAAAGTGAGGGGTTGGTATCTGTTCATCATCTCCACAATCTGTTCAAGGTTCCTGCTTATTTACTCCAGTACTCAAGTGATTTACAACTTCGAATCATAGTTATCTAGATTCCTAGGCTACTAATACGTAGTTATATGACCGAATAAATAATATGGCGCCACCTTTTAGATTCGATCACGTAGGATCGCTGTTGCGACCCCAGTCTCTGTTAGAGGCTCGCTCATCGCTGTCCTCGCCATCTCAGATGTATTCGTTGGATATACCGCAGTCTATTAAGAAGGCGGAAGCCCAAGCTATTCAAGATGTAGTACAAGAACAGTTGGAGAGAGGAGTTCGACCTATTACAGATGGCGAATACGCTCGTCATATATACTACGGTGGCTTCTTCGAAAAACTCTCTGGATTCGAGGCTCAGCCAAATCTTCCCATCCCGGATGCCTTCCGAACCGATTTCCCGACGACCACGGGGCTCGCCAAGATAGGAGCCAAGACCCGGGCCGCCGTGGTTTGCACCGGCAAGATTGAATACAAGGACTCCCCTTATCTTCCGGAGTGGCTTACACTGCGAAGCAACCTGCCCCAAGAGTTGTGGCGCGAGGCAAAGCTGACCATGCCAGCGCCCAACTACCAGCACATACAGCTTAAACCCGGCACCGCGTGGACCCCGGGATCGGGCTATACATCGGACCAGCAGTACTTCGACGACCTCGCCAAGTGCTACGCCGCCGAGCTGCAAACGCTCTACGACGCCGGCCTCCGCAACATCCAGATTGACGATCCGCACCTGGTGTACTTCTGCTCCCCCCAGTTCCGGGACGGGTGTCAAAAGGACGGCACAGACGTCGACGCGCTCCTGGACCTGTACACGCGGACGCACAACACGCTCCTCGCGAACAAGCCGGCGGACCTGCACGTGGGCGTGCACCTGTGCCGCGGCAACATGTCCGGATCGATGCACTTCATCTCGGGCACGTACGAGCGGATCGCGCACAAGCTCTTCAACGAGACGGACTACCAGACGTACTACCTCGAGTTCGACGACCTCGAGCGCACCGGCGGGTTCGAGCCGCTGCGGTTTTTGCCGAGGGGGAAGAACGTGGTGTTGGGGCTTGTGTCGACGAAGACGGCGGAGCTGGAGGACCCGGGGAATGTTAAGGAGAGGATTAATGTTGCGGCGTCGGTGATTGCTGAGGCGCAGGGGGTAAGTAAGGAGGAAGCGCTGCAGTGTCTGGCGCTTAGTCCGCAGTGTGGGTTTAGTAGTAGTAGCTTGGCGGGTGGGAAGGGGATGACGGCGGAGATTATGTGGGGGAAGTTGAAGCTTGTTAGGGATGTAGCTTGTGAAGTTTGGAAATAATGCGTGTGGTGTTAGTACATAGGTATCTACATAACTACCTAGGTAGGTAGGGAGGAGGCATGTTTTCACACTCCGGGTACAAAGCCAACAACGAGCAGCTGTCCTCTACTAGGTACGAGGTATACTTATATAGTAGCCTTGCCAAGGGAAATAGAAGTAGACAAGTAAATGCTACCTTGACACACTGCGTCAGTCCCACTATCGTCCTTTCAGTGAAGTGGCCCCTATTCCCTATCCCCCCCCCCCTCTCTCCAAGTCCCAGCCTCGGAAGTTACCACAAACCACAACTCCCCCACCCCTCACGCCAACGCCGCCGCAAAGTCAATCCTCGAAGCAACAATATTCGGCGCCACCAACCCCGTCATAAACAGCCACCCCTCCCTCTTCCCACCATTAGCCTTCGGATCAATCGCGACCAGCGCCGCCGTCGTCACGCCGCGCATCGCGCTCCCGTCATCCGAGAACAGGATCCGAGGGGTTTCTTTTTCTTCTCCGGCCGATGAGGAAGAGGTGGTGGTGGAGGAGGAGATCCCGGCGCGCGCAGGCAGGTACCACACCATACTCGGCATCAGCGCGCTGCCCGTGCCGTCCGTGATGGACGCCGCGAAGTCGAGCCCGCGCCCCATGCCGGGGATCAGGTACCCGCTGTAGTCCGGGCCATCGCTGACGCCGGCGTATGGGTCGGAGAAGTAGGACGGGTTGTCGACGATGCTGTCGGAGGGGATGGAGTGCGAGACGGTTAGCTGCAGTGGGCTGGAGTTGGGATTCTGGTCCGGGCGCGGAGCGAGCGAGCCAAAGGAAATACTCCCGCCCGCGGCGTCGCCGAGCAGGACTTGGCCGTCTGGCCCCCAGGCTAGGCCGTTGGGGGTGGATAGGGGGGCGAGGAGAACGGCGGCCGTCACGTTGTTTTCGTGGATCTGCACGTGCGTCACGTCGGACCATGGCCGGCGCACCATGTCCTCGACCAACCGCAGGAGCCCCTCGCGGTAGTAGTGGTCGTTGGTCACGAGGAACTCATTCTCCGAAAGCGCGAGTAGGTCGTTCGGCGTCCGGATCAAGGGGTGCGATATACTCCGTACATGCGACGCGGTGACGCTTCCTACCGTGTGCACGAAGAGTTCGACGCGCGAGGCGGCTTTGGGTTGCTCCGGGGCGGTTTCGGTCCAGAGGGGGTTCGGGACGTGGTTTATGACGAACATGTACACGATGTTTGGGTCCGAGGGCGGGGTGTAGAGGCTCACTCCGTGCGGCACGAAGGGCTGCGATGGGTCGAAGTTGAGGAGGGTGAGTTCTTGGGATTTGAGGGTCTGAATAAGCGAGTCGGTGGTTAATGTAAGCGAGTTTCCTGATTAGGCAATTGGTAGGTAAGTATGGACGGATCTTACCGTCGGATCGATCACGACTAGTCCCCCGTAAGCCGGGTTTTCCGGGTGGGCTAACGTGCCAGCTCTGTGTGGGTTTGTAAGCATTGTAAAGAGGTATCATTGTGATTATTGATTTCCGTAGCTCCGTAGGCTAATAAACCTGGGGTCTTCAATTTTACGAAAAAAAGACCCACTTACCCCGGAAACCACCCCGCGGCCTTTTCGATGTCGCGCATACATGCGGTGTACAGCATGCCGGAGGACTCATGGTAGTGGATATCCTCGCACGCAACGGTGTTCTCGATCACGCGGTTCTCGATCCCGTGGACGTTCTGCCATGATTCGAGAGGCCTGAACAGGCCCATAATAATGGCTTCCTGCTTCACGGGGGTGTATAGGAGTGCGGAGAACACGCCAACCACGATCACGGCTAAGTATAGAAGAGCTGCCATGGTAGTGGGAATGCTAGCTAACTAGTCGCAACCTAAGCTTTTTTTTCTTAAAAAAATATCTTGGAAAAACCCCCCGGGAGAGTCGAAAGAAAAGGAAAGATAAAAGACAAGATGAGACATGTCTTGGTCTGGTGGAGTTAGGATTTTATGTAGCGGAGTGGCACAATCCCCAAGTTGAGGGGGCACGCACTAGGTACGACATTATACGACGATCGCGATCCATCTGATCCATCTATACTACCTTAGGCAAGTAATCGAACTACTTATACTACCTAGTAAGGTGCCAAGGGTCGTCGTTCCTGTAAGCTTACAATGCAGTATGCATCAAAGATTTGATGTCACAGAGTTGTGTTGTATCATAGAACAGATCGATATTATATTTAACATTGATTTGTACAAGTTTGATCTACCTATACCGCTGTTATAGTAGATAAAGATAGAAAATGCCAAGCCGACTCTTCAGCAGGCAAGTATGTCACACTCGGTGACCCTCACGATGAGATCTTCTTCGATGGCAAGCGCATGGTAGAAGGTTGACATGGGCTTCTCGGGGTTCATGAGCTGGAAGTCAAAGTATCGGAATAGCTAGAGTTTCTGGGTTAGCTATGCAACCTAACCTAGGTTATTATACCTAGTGCCTCGGTAGTTAGGTCACTTACCTCGAAGAATACTTTGTTCAGCTCCATCATTGCGATCGGTTTCCCGGCGCACGCCCACCGGCCACTGCCGAATGTAAGCTCGACATGCCGTCTCATGTCAGCGGCCGTCTTGCTGTCAACCTCGAGGTACCGCTCCGGCCGGAAGAAATCCGCATCCTGGCCGAATGCGGCCCTGGAGCGCGAAACGGCGTGGAAGTTCATCCCAACTGCCGTTCCGCCGGGGATGAATTTCCCGTCGATCATGTCACCCTCCTCGGGTACCTCCTTGAGTGTCAGGCCTAGGAGGGAGGGGCGTATTCGCAAACCCTCGTATACTATTGCCTGTTTAATCATATCGATCAGATTAGGGGCTCAATTGTATGTTCAGGTGTTTTAGGTGTCTAAGTAGATACCTAGTACCTAGTACCTACTAGGTAGAAAGGGGAAAGGGGCTGCGAACCTGGAGATATGGCAATTCTTTAGCCTCGGACATTTTGATGGGACTTGATACTCTTCCTTCCCGGACAGCGGTCGCAATCTCGCGCTTCAGCTGTTGGTATACTCGTGGTGTCGATATTACGTAGAGCATGGTGGTCCGAATTGTCGTGGCACTGGTATCGGAGCCGGCGAGAAACATGAACAGTGTCTCTACCTGACATTCGGCTTGCGAGAGGCCGTGCTTGATGAATGACTCCTTCAATAATCGTAGACATTAGTTACATTGATTTTCTTTTCTTTTTCTTTAAAAAATTGTGAAGTTGATACATACCACCATCGTCGTCGCCTTCGTCTTATCACGGGTAGGCTGAAACAGCTCTCTTACTCTATCATTGGCCATTCTGCGCGTGAATCATTTAGCAATCTTGTGTAGATGAGGTCGAGATAAGACAGAATTGAGAAGCAACTCACTTCATTGCCTTTCCAGGGCCTGTTTTGTCCTTATCACTCGGGCCAAACAGCTTCAGAAGCGGTGTAAAGAAAATATTCCGCATCCAGGAAACGTCCGACATGAAGCCCGTCATGCGCATAGTCGAGGTTAACGTCTCGTGGATCTGCTCATAGTCCGAGTTGGACTCCAAAGACCCCAACTCCTTTCCGAATGCCAATTTGAAAATCGCATCTATGGTGAAGTATGAAACCGTTGTCGCCAGGTCCATGGGACGAAATACTCCCCCTGCTTCTGGAGATGAGATGTAGTGGTTTCGAATGAGGCGGACGAAGCTTTCGACTTGGGTGTCAACATCAGCCTCGAGGTTAGGAATGTCACGGCCGCTGTATCCAGGCCCGACTTTGGCCTTGTACCTGTCGTGGGCCACTGGATCTTGGATGTTGAACATGGTCAGGGGAGCCACGACAGCCCGAGTGCCAAGGTACCATCCAGATTTCAAGTAGGTGCTCTTCACGCTCGACATGCGCCTGATGACGTCTGGGTCGTCTGTGAGAATCTCGTTGGGGCCCACTCTGATCAGTGAGCCATACTCCTTGCTAGCGGTTTTGAAAGCCTCCAGTTGGATGCCTTTGACGGCGTTGCGAATAAGCCATAGGTAGCTGAATGAGGCCAGCCATGGCCCGGGGACATGGCGGAGACGGTACCATGAATGTATTGTTGATACAATTAGCCAGCCTATGCCCAGGATAGCCACAACGACTGCGAGGCCAGTTGGGTTCAAGACATTAGACATAAGCGCCATTGTCTTGGGCGAGGAGAAAGAGGAAGGGTGAGGGGTGAGAAGTATATGTTGCCTACTGGGTAGGGAAGAAGGAAGAGAGGGAAGGGAGAAAGGTCTAACACATTATACCAACTATATCCCAAGGTACTTGGCAGAGGTATTACGGCTATATATACCTTAGTAAGTCTATACCAACTTATCCCAGACAGGCGCCAGGCACCTCCCATATCCTCATGGCCATGTGATGTACACTAATGCAGTAGACTCACCAACAGGACGTAGCCGCGCCTCTGGCCACATACCGACGTCGCACGGATGTTTCAATGCTGAGGACCTTTTGTTTTTCGGGAGGGATAATATGGCGAGATAGAAACCATGTAGAACCAGTAATGATCGATTGATTTCCAGTTTGGCAGCATTGATAGCCCTGCCTCCATACCAGGTAGGCTCTCATAGAAACGACTAGTGGTGTTGCATTGCAGTCTTTTTGTTAGTTCGGTAGCAATAGCTGAATACCACGCCTGCGGCACAGCACAGGTCAACCTCTATAGTACCTAGTTAGGCCTTTTGAGACAGTGGTAGGTATCATACCAATGACAACGGAAGATCGGACGAGATCCCGAGTAATACTCCGTGTTACCCTCGTGATGGGGTAATGTCACCCCGCGACATAAAAAAAGAGTTGAAGTGAATGCATTATTACCTACCTAGTTAGTAGGTTAGGTGAAGGAAGATAAGCGAATCAAGAAAGCCGCAGTTACCCAGGTAAGGAACTGCTTAGGTATATCATCATGGATGTCACAAGTTGCCCTCTTACTGCTTTACATCCAAGCAGGTGCCTGGTAACTAGTTCCCAAGTTATAATTGTAAGCATATATTTTAGCGCTGTTTGTCAGTACGCCGTAGTTCTCGTTATGGATGATCAGCTTCTTTCTGAACAAAGAGCGTAATAGCGGCTGCGGCGTAGCAGTGAACATCGCTTGTTTAGGCATGCCCCACGCTAATAAAAGAACTTTATCTCTTCGGAATGCCAGATATGGTGTGCATACAAAAATGTGAACATGGGTTGGTGGGCACCATCGTTTCTACTCCAGGGATCTGAATCCCATCGGATATGGGGGCTGCGGAACTTTATAGGGGCTGCGGGGGGTCACTTAATCATCCTTCGGGCCTTTACCTAAGCATGTACTAGTTGAATATGTAGGTATTCAATAGAGCCTCATTTTCTATATGAAAGGATCACTTGTTTCTAAATTTGTGTAAGGTATGTGTGTGTGTGGCCATGTGTGGTATGTACCTATGTAGAAACCAAGTCTTCACGGTCACGTGACTACCCTAAGCTTGACATAGTCCACAACATATCAACATATCGTATATCTTTTCTTCTATAAGACTAACCTCCTTTTCGTTTTCATAATCAGACTCGCATCAGTAAAAGGTATTACTCCTTGTATAAGTGAAAAAGATTCTTTATTTATCTGATTACCTCATTAGACACCTATGTTAGTAGAGCATTCTGTGACATTACTTTGATGTCGCAATATGTACTGCCTGTTATTACAGATATATCTAGATATATACCTAACCACTACAGACATAAAGGTATCTGAGTTTTTTACTATTTCCTAATTCCAATAATCTTTCTTGGCCCCTTTAAGTTATGTGGTTTCTAACGGAAGGGGCGCTTGCTTGTCGTTTCCCACCTGTACACATCCCCAGTGCACCCCCCTATTGTGCGCCCCGTTCCTGAACCTTTCTTCCTTTTTTTCCTTTAGCGTCACAAACTTCAAAGCTGTCAATTACATACCCAAGTTAAGCTCCTACCTTAGATATGTACATATCTAGTAGGTACCTACATTGACATCTTACCATTCATCTCATCTCTTGACACCAGTTCCCCTTATCTAACAATCGGCATATAAGTCTTTATAGCTTACTTAATTCCTTATTCTCTAGAAATTCATCTTTTCTTTCCACTCCAAGAAAGCCTTCGCACAATATTTGCCTAACCGCCGTTGCTACAACCCCTTATCAAGATGTCGAGTTTACCCGCCCCTGAGAATGCCGTGGAGAAGTTGTTCAAAGAATTTATTTCCCTGGGCAACAATATCACCACAAACAAGGAACGCGAGGAAAAATACCAAAGCGACCTCAAAGCCTTCTTAGAATCCGTTGGTTCATCCGAGCAGACCCACCCCGATGAGCCTTGGCTCAAAGAAGTCGTCACCAGAGTACTCGCTCAACAAAACCGCCTTGGGAGCGGGCTTGTTTTTGCGGAGGAAATGAGCCCCTATGTTGTCAAGCCGACTGAACAACATTGGGGAATATACCAGAAGTTGTACGCCGTATGTCTTCGCTGGGCAATGTGGGGGAGATATCGACCGAGCGGACTTCCCGACGTATATGCCTGTATTCAGCGGGACGCTCGCACCCTGGCACTTGTTAACCCCGGCGCGAGAAATCTCCCTGAAATTCCCGATTTCGACCTCCTTCCCCGCATATTTGCTATATCGCCAACATGTGTCCGCTGTGGGAAATTCCCCATGATGTTCTGTGACCTGTGCATGCACAAGACCAGAGGCCGCTTCACCATCGTCGATGTCTACTGCAGCAGGGCTTGTCAGGTGCGTCACTGGGCCGAACACGAGCCGATCTGCACCCGACGCAGGAAGTTCATTCGGTCGGTGATACTCATGAAGAGCTTCTTCGATTCAATCGTGACAAATATCAAGTCCGCCAAGGTCGGAAAATAGGAACACAAACCCGGCGGCTTGGTCTTCATAACGGAGAAGCCTCGATACCTTGAAGCTATGCAAGGAAGCTATGTGACGATCCCACCAGAAGAGACCATAGATCCCAATCTTTCAGCTGAGCAGAGGCTGATGAATGGCTTGGATAAATATGCCCCTGAGGTCCCGCTCATTATCAGCAAACTACAAAAACTGTTGTGGAAAGGTGAGTCAAGTTGGATTTCCAGTACCTAGGACTTATTTTTGCTAACCTCCTCACAGACCTGGTCTCCAAGGTCGAGGTCGTCAGCATCCTCGTGAAGAATTGCGGTCGCCCCATAATCCGCGTCGGACCAAATAACGCCCGAACGTCATCCGCCCTTCGGGCACACCCAGTCCTCCGCGTGACCCTCATCGGGGGCGAAGCCTACGCCGTCGATCTTGCCGGCTTCCGCTTCGGCTGGCACGAGTTGGTGATGCGCTGGAAACACTACGCGCAGCATCGCGTGTACCTGGCTTTCCCGGCCAAGCCGCTCGGCAATATCCGCAGCTTGAAGATGTCGCCGGACAGCCCAGGCTTCGCGATCGCCATGTTCCACCGCAGCATCTTGCGGTTCGCCGCCAACCGCATCCGGGAGAAGTATTGCAGTGACGATTCCCCCGTGGACCTCTCTGCCTTCCTGGGAACCCGCGACCAGGCCCGGTGGACAAGCGAAGCGCTGTCTCTCGTATCTGCCGTAAAAGAAGAGTGCAAGAGACGCGCCGCCCCCCCCTCGGGGGGCTCGGACCGCGGCTGGCTGTACCTGACGGAGAACGGAGAAGTGCGCATCAGCTTCACCCGACTTGACTACCACATCCTCTGCCCGGTCTAGCTGACCAGGGAAGAAGCGGCGCAGCATGAGGGCAAGAGCACGGAGGCGCTTATGGAGATCTGGAGGGCCCGCCTCCAGGGGCATGGCCTCAAGTTTAAAGATCCCGCGCCGTCAAAGCAGGAGTTGGAACAAGGTGTTTCGGTTTTTGAGGGCTTGGGTGATGATTCTGCGTCTGCATCCGCATCTCCACCTGCAGCTATGCTTGATGGTGAGCAATACCCTTCAAGTTCAGCTGAAAGCAGCTAAGCATGGAAAGGGGATGGGTAGTCTTTAGTCAAGCGTGGAGTTTAGGAAATACCCATCTGGATTTCAGGCAGGCATGTTTCGCTTTTGTGTGTGTGTAATGGACTGTACACTACCTAGGGATGGGTACAAACCCAGGATACGAGAAAGTCCCTTTATATTCAAGACAATAATTAATTACCCTAGGCAGATACCTTCGTAATGACTACTATAGGTAAATAATAGAAACTCAACACGAAAGTCTTCAAGTTAAAAGATCGCTTTTTAATATATCGGTATAGTTATAGGTAGGTATACATCTCTTTTCCCCTGACTCATTATCATTACTTTCCAAAGTAAGCAGTACAAATACACTCCGTCGCGATACCGTTCCTTGGACATTCTAGTACCTAAACCCAGCGTCCCAACCTTCCATCAAGCAAAAAGCAAGCCCGCATACAAAAAAAGCCCCCTAATAAACCCCCTTCTCCCCACCCCCCGTCTTCCAAATCTCGACCTCCCCCCCACCTCTCAAGATCCCCACCCTCATCGTCGACAGCAAATTATGCGCCGCATTCGTGTGCAGATAAACACCCCCGTTGAATATCCCCGTCGCGTCCTTGCCGACCGCGGACGAGATGAGCGCTTTGCCGCCGGGGTGGTCGGCGATGAACGACGCGACGTCGTGGATGACGCCGCCGATGGCGACGAGGGCGCGGCCGTCGGCGCGGCAGTTGAGCACGAAGTCGTCCCAGGAGAGGACGGGGAGCTGGTCGAGCGGGACGCCCCAGTCGAGCTTCGCGCGCTGCTGGTCGAGTTTCTTTTGGAGTTGTTGGACACGGCCTTTTTCCTGTTGGAGGGAGGGGAGGTTAGTGGATGGATCCAGCAGTGACAAATAAATAAATAGACAGACACGTACGATTTCATTAGAGGGGAAGGTCTTCAAGTCATATGCCAACCCGATCTTCTTCCAGATCCAGATCGACCACTTCGTCGGGTCATACTGGTACCACTGAATAGCATTCCTATAGTCCGACGGGAACTCGTGATGAAAGTTATGGTACCCCTCGCCGAGCGTGACCAGCGCCGTGATCACGTTATCGCGCGGCGAGTTCCTGTCGTCGAACGGCTGGTCCCCGAGCCAGTGCGCGAGCGAGTTAATGCAGAACGTCGCCTGCTGCACGAAGAAGATGCGCAGGATGCCGCCGTAGATGAAACCCCCCGCCCAGTCGCCCCACCCCAGCCCGCACACGACGGTGGGGAAGATGAGGCTCATGGTGATGACGGACTTGAGGTAGTTGGTGTGCTGCCAGACGACGACGGGGTCGGCGTCGAGGTCGGTGACGTCGCTGCGCCCGATGCGCCGGTGGTCCTGCTTCAGCACCAGCCACCCCATGTGCGAGTACAGCAGCCCTTTGTTCACCGAGTACGGGTCCTTCTCCGTGTCCGTGTAGCGGTGGTGCGAGCGGTGGCCCTTGGACCACCAGCGGATCGAGCCCTCGACCGCGCCGGCGCCGACGGCCGCGAGGTAGACCTTCAGTGGCAGGGCCGCCTTGAAGGAGCTGTGGGCCCAGAGGCGGTGGTAGCCGGCTGTGATGCCGAGGCCGGTGTTGAAGTAGTATAGCACTGCGAAAAGGAGGGTGTAGAGTTGTAAGGGCACCCAGTATGCGCCGACGAAGCCGAGTATGGGTATGAAGATAACGAAGGTGCAGTTCAGCCAGTTGATGTGCTTGTGCCAGTTGCTCCACGTCATGGGCTGCTCGCTGATGTGAGGTTTCCTGACCCCGTCGTATTTCTTCCTGAGGGGGACATAGTCCGTGGTGCCGTCGTCGAAGGTGACGGCCTTCCGTAACTTAGGTCCGGACGCCATTTTCGTGGGGTTTCGGTTCCGATCGTCGTTAAGGAACGTCGCGTCGCATGTGTGACGGAATCGAAGTAGAATAGCGCCGATATACTTCGTATATATGTTCAACGAAGTTGGCCCAGTATGGGTCCTTTGACAATGTCGGCTCTCCCCTCCACAGATCCTACCTAGGTACTATCAAGATTGATAGCTACGGGACCTTTCTCACAACGAGTGGATTCAGCTTAGGAATTGCTGCTGGAATTGGCTGTATTACATTCTAAAGAAACCTGTCCTCAGAATTACGGGAGCGCAGTTTATATTAATACATATGTTGAGAAAAGAAATCAAAAATCATATTCGCCACAATTACAGCTGAGTGCCGATGAGATGTACACGGCAATGACGAACATCTTGATGAATGCGGCTACATCAACAGAATCGGAATTCTCGACTACCAAATCGGTGTCGTGGGGCTCTAGTATCGTGCCATCATCGTCCCAGTGTGTGTCGAGAATAGCCTGGCCCTTATGCTAGGCAAGGCTTTGTTGAGAGAATTCGTTGGGAACATTGAGAATCTGGTTTCAACGCCTCGAAATTCATTCCTTCTTTCAATGTCGTGTACTCAATGTTAGATAGGTATAATTATGAAGGATTCCGGTCGTGCGGACCAACAAGTTTATGTCGGACTGATAGTAGCTTATGACTCCTGATTCTTCTCAAACAGGCTATTAAATGGGATGTGTGTATCTAATTAGACCATACCGCTGCTCAATAATGCCTACCTACATAGTGTAGGTACCTACCTGGTACGTAAATCAGTAAAGATCCATAATTGAAGACCAACAGTTTTCGAGGAATTATTGATTATTATTGGTGGTGATCTAACAACATACGATCTTTCATTCGTTATGTGGAGTCAACGAAAAGTTGGGGATATATCTACACTACGACATAATACTAGTACCTGAGGTAGTCAAGAGACCATATCACCATAATACAAGCAGTTTCAGCCCTACGCCCCTGGCTAGTCAGATTAAGAAGTCAGCTCCCATCAAAATACATACAGTATGTATGTATGTATGTATGTATGTATGTATGTATGTATGTATGTATGTATTGTACATCGAAGTAAACGTGTTCACAGAAGGCCCTCCAGAGTTTGTGTGCCCAAGTTGCACTGCGGCGACTATTCGCGAACCGTACCACCCGATGGGTGAAAGGGGTTAGCATCTACATATGTAGTTAGTTCATAAGTGAACCTAATAGTTGCTGTTTTCAACCTCCTGTGTGGCTTCAAATCGACTACAAGAATTGTTTCATATCTACTAATTTGACTACTAGGCTGTATTGATTTCTGATATGCCGTATTCTTTTTCGGTTCTGGGTTAGCGATTCTCGCAAATCTACGTGGCCGCTTGGGAAAGTTCAAAATATATCAGACCACTTACACCGCGATATTGTAGAACGAACCCCGCCTATACCTGGTACTCGTGAATCCGTCATGAAAGTGGTATCATAGATATTCATCCTTAGATTGATTCACCATACATACGACGGTCGTCGGCGCACGCAGTCCCAACGATAGGAAACCCAATCCCGCTTGCATTCGCCACTCACCAACAACTCCTCAGTATTCGTTCCTTGGGTACTCAAGGCCTGACAATTGAAAACAAGATAATTCATGACTCCTCAACAGTACTCAGGCGCAGTAATTTGGCACCAGTATGATCAGTACCCGATGTTCAGTCTGAAGCTAGAATAAGTCTTCTCATGATAGGTAGGTACCTAGGTTCCCGTCATAGAAAACTAACGTGATCATCGACAAGTCTGATGCTAATTTTCCATATTGTAAACTCTCTTATTACCACGGGATTTCTTTTCCAGAGAAGTTATCGCGGCTGGCGTTATCAATCTGGCCCGGTCAGATGCTGTGTAATATCGTAGATTTCACTGAACTGATATAAAAGTATATAGGTACTTACTAAGCTTATGATTTTCTCGGAACTATGCTCTTTCGTGATGGGCGCTTTCTCCAAGCCTAGATACTTAGCAGTATTGTTGCCCATATCGGTTGATGCCGGCAGCTTTTATTTCCTCCGCTGCTCTACTCGCATCCGTGGGCCAGGAACTTTCAAGCTTGACTAAGATCGAAATGGATGATTCAGTTGAGTAAGGCCTTACGCGAGTCACCCTGGAAAGTGGCTTGAATGATAATCAAGCTGGCTGGTTTGGTACAGTCCGACATTCGCATGATGAGAGGATTTATGAGTGAGCTTAAGTTGAATTCCTACCAGCATTGTTTGGTAACCCCATCGTTTCTCCCTTTCTGGCAGGCTCGAAAACGATACTTATGATCCATCGTGTCAGATTTTACCTACATGTATGTATATATAGATGTATACCTATACTCCGAACTATTGGTAGATACAGAGGTGTTTTGCAAGTAATCGAATAGTGTGAAGAAACCAAGCTTGAAGTTTTCCATGATGTGTAACTAGTATTAAAGAGTATGTCTGTGACGATGCCTTCTCATTTGTAGATTAACAGATCATGTGGAGATATGATGTGTATGTAAAGATGTGTATGTAAACGGAAGTTAAGAACCTTGAACAAATATTGAAGTACGTTATGGTACGCCATATCAACGAAACCGCCAACCTGCCAAAACATGAAAAAAAAGCACGTGGTATACGGCTTATCTTACAAATTTATATGGTAATAAATATACCTTGCGCCCACACCATATATACCATCATTAAAGACTTTAGATATTTGACAAAACTTATTCTAAATAGTCAATATATATATATATAGTTAATTAAATAGGTAAATAATAGCTTAATAATAGCTGAATAACGGCTGAATAACGGTTGAATAACAGCTTAATAATAGGTCAATAATAACTTAATAATAAGTTAATAACAGCTTAATAACGAGTTAATAACAGCCCTAAAGGTCTTTATAATTATTATTTTAGCCTTTAATTATTTAAATAATTATTTAGGAGAAATCTTAAAGGCTTATAACATACGTAAATACCTAAATATATACTTAGCCATTTATATAATTAAATTATTATTTAACTATTATTAAATTATTATTAAGTTGTTATTAACCTGTTATTCATCCGTTGTTCATCCGTTATTTACCTCTTTAATTAATTATATATATATATTAATTATTCAAAATAAGTTTTATCAAATATCTAAAATCTTTAATAATGGTATATAAAATGATATATAAAATGGTATATATGATAATATATAGTAATATATAGTAGGTTATATAACATTATTCCTCCTTAAAAAGGTACATTTATTACCATATAAATTTATATGGCAAGCTTTGTACCTTGTGCTTATATAATCAATATTTTTAATGTTTTGGCGGGTTGGCGGTTTCAATTGATTTGGCCCACCGTCTACGTACTACTTCCTGACATCACCTACCCCAATGCCTCCAATCCAATGGCTTAACTACCACTAATTTGGAGAAAACACGGGGTACGCTGGGTACGCTGGCTGCGGTTGGCATGTGAAGAGACGCTAAGGTGCAACGCTGGAACTTTAAAATCCTCACTAGAACAAGGGGGTTCCCGACATGTGCCTCGGCCGTTTTTGTAGTGGGCCTTTCTGACATCAGCAGTAATCGGTTCAGGTAGCTGTTTTAGCACTTGCGTCCCGTGCCGGAATGCGACCAGGCCAAACTGCAGCCATTGCATCCGAGGTCCAAATTCTGAACTTACCTGCTATCTACCAACTATATCATTCTTACCAAAGCCAACTTAAGCAAACTACTTAACTTACTGATCTCATCAACTCACTCAAAAATTTAACTCATCTTTATAATCCCAAATAAGGCCAGATAGATTATCGTCATCTAACTAAACATTTACAAGAAAAGATCGAACTTGAAGAGCACATACACCACAGACACGCGAGTAAAAATGGGTGGTGAGTACCTCTCATGTGTAACGATCATAGCAACCAAGCAAACTGACATTGCCCCCCCCCAAAAATCATAGCCCTCGATCGATTGACGCAAATCTCTGGCCAAATCGCTGGCTCCAAGACGACACGCGAAAAGCTGCTTCAGAAGAACCCAGACGACGTAAGCCTCCCCCCCCCTTCATAAACAACTAGAAGACGTCATTCCCCAAACCTCGACCGAGAACTAGTCAAAAACTAACCGCTTACATCAAAACAACAGATCGTGGTAACAGCATGTCTCAGAACGGCGTTCACGAAAGGCGGCAAGGGCGGGTTCAAGGATACCCAGGCGGCCGACCTGATGGCGGGAGCCCTGAAAGGTCTCCTGGAGCGCTCCAAGATTGATCCTTCGCTCGTGGAGGACGTGTGCGTCGGCGAGGTTCTAGCTCCTGGTGGCGGCGCCACCGAAATGCGCGCTGCCGCCTTGGCCGCAGGCCTCCCTGAGACCGCCGCCGTGCGCACCCTCAACCGCCAGTGCTCCTCCGGCCTGCAGGCCTGCGTCGACGTCGCCAACCAGATCCGTGCCGGCATGATCGAGATTGGCATCGGCGCTGGCGTTGAGAGTATGAGCACGCAATACGGGTATGCTCTTATCTCCTCCCTTCGTTCTCTCCCTTACATGTACCCCTTTTTACCATCACCTCCTCCTTATCAATTTCCCCACGCTAACCAAAATTGTTCGGTACAATTTAGCCCCAACGCCGTCTCCGAATTCTCCGAGCTCCTCGAGTCGCACCCCGAAGCCGCCAACTGCAAGGTGCCCATGGGCGTGCTATCGGAGGACATGGCGCGGGACCTGAAGATCGCGCGCGCGGACCAGGACGCCTTCGCCGCGTCGTCGTACCAAAAAGCACTCAAAGCCCAACAAGCCGGCCTCTTCGACGAGGAGATCCACCCGCTCACCGTGCAAGTGACGGACCCCAAGAGCGGCGAGACCAAGACCGTGACCGTGAACAAGGACGACGGCGTGCGGCCGGGAATCACCGCCGAGTCCCTCGGCAAGATCCGCCCAGCCTTCGCCGAGAACGGCTCCATCCACGCCGGCAACGCCTCGCAGATCTCCGACGGCGCCGCCGCCGTCCTCCTCATGCGCCGCTCCACCGCCGAGCGCCTCGGCCAGTCCATCCTCGGCAAGTTCGTCACCGCCAGCATCGTCGGCGTCAAGCCTTTACTCATGGGTCTCGGTCCCTGGAAGGCCATCCCCAAGGCCCTCGAGCTCGCCGGCGGTCTCACCGTCGACGACGTCGATATCTTCGAGATCAACGAGGCCTTCGCGAGCCAGTGTCTCTGGTGCGCCAACGAGCTGAAGATTCCCCAGGCCAAGATCAACCCCAAGGGCGGCGCCATTGCCTTCGGCCACCCCCTTGGCTGCACTGGTGCTCGCCAGGTCAGCACCCTGCTGTATGAGCTCCGTCGTCGGGGCGAGAAGATCGGCGTTACGAGTATGTGCATTGGCACGGGTATGGGTATGGCGGCTGTTTGGGTCGCTGAGTAAAAAAAAAAAAAAACACTCAAACCCGAAACCAACAAGAAGAATAAAAACAAAAACGAATATAATATAATAATATCACGGGAAGAAGAGAAAAACAGGATCTAGATAGGCCGAAGGGAAGTTGGAGATTACATGTCTCCTCGCGGCCATATCGAGGTTATTTTTTTTAAACAATCTAGTGAGGCGGTATATCATGGAACATGGAATATGTATGGTGGCATTTTTTGGTGTACATATTATAGTACCTATGTATCTCTAGTACGGCGTTTATTTACCGATCTTAGTACCTACCTAGTATTACAATCATGACCGTTACCAAGATTATAGTAACTTTATCGTCTCCCCTCTCCTGTGCATGGGTTTTATTTGTTCATTTCTCCCTCTCTAGTTTCTTCTCCGTCACAACACAACTCAATTTAGGGGTAGGTTCGTAAAAGATACGTACAGCTACCGCGTAAGCCGACGCCTCGACTTGGATCTTCTCGACGGGAACCCTACCAACGCTGACGGCGACGGCGACGGCAGCCGCATATCATCCAGGACGTGCACTTTCAAAGCATGATCCTCGTACTACGAGGACGACGCAGAGAAGCTTTCGACATGACTACCCAGCCCCTTTTCCTTGGCCAGCCGCACGACCTCAAACCCGACGGTCAAGTCCATGAGGCCGAGGCCCACGCTCTTGTATATGACGTTGCCGATGGAGAGCCAGCGGGACAGGTGATGGTGGTGGTTGTTTTGCTGCTTTTGGCTCTCCGAGGCGAGTCCTTGGTTCGAGGAGTTGCGCTTGTGCAGGGAGTGTGGGAAGCCGCTGCCGCTGCCCCCTCGGCTGGGGCTGCGCGAGGAGGACCGCTTGCTTCCGTCGCCTAAGATGGAGGTGCTGCCGGATTCAGATCCGTAGATGCTGGATATAGATGGAGATGTGAGGTCTAGCTTTTCAAAGGAATCGTTTATAGACGAGGCTTCCGTGGAACTCTGCGACGGGAGTGATTCCTCTTCCTCCTTTGTCAGTCGATGGATCATGACCAATTCACCTAATCTGATTATTTCCCCTTGTTAGCATGCTACTTTTATGTTTTAACTTGAAAGGTAGACTTACTCGACAAGCTGCCTGGGAGCCAATCCGGACTCGATAATCTCACCAGCCTCTTTCATTGCGCCGTCCAAGGTGTCCACCACGATAACTCCTCCCTCTGTTGCGTGCTTATGATAATGCAAATGTCCGGAAGCGTGGGGTTTCGTCGCTTGAAGTAGCAACTCTCGCGGCAACTCACGCATTTGCGGAGTGTAACTCCCAACTGCCACGATTAGCCTACCTTTCCTGCGCCCTTCATTGTTTGTCAGGATGCTCGCATCGAAAAGATTTTCGGTACTAGGGGTGCAGCAGTAGATAACGTCTGACGCCCTCAGATGCTCTTTTAGCAGCCTGCTATACTCGCCGTAGGTCGGGGTGAGAAGACTGAACTGCGCCTGGTCCCAGCCTTCACGTTGTTTGAGATCTTGAGGTACACCGTAAATTTTCTTGAAAGTTATTCTGGCACTTTCACTGAATTGTCGGTTGATAATGTAGACTTGGCGGATGGTGTCACCCCGTAGCATCAACGCCAAGCGAACATGCCAGTAAGCTTGCAAACCCGAGCCGAAAACCGTTATGGTCCGAACATTTGTCCGCTTTTGTAAGAGAATGGAAGAAGCGAGGGCGGTGCGGAAAGCAGTGAGTGTTTGCGCGTGCAGAAAACCTATAGGGGGTCCTTGGGGCGAGTATAAAGTTACAGAACCAGTAGGCTTGATAGTAGGTAGCTTGGGATCGGCATTTGCAGATGATAACGTCACAACTATATTTTTATTAGCTAAGACATATTCGAGGTCAAAAGTCCTGTAATTTTGACGAGCTAACCTTTTATCGCGTGGCCAAGTACGCCAAACGAAGGCATGAACAACGTTGTGGCGCCGGTAGTGGTTGAATTTACCGCAATCCGTTCGGGCTGATGAAGGACGCCATCTTGTGAGGATTGGATACCAGTGGAATACTCGTGGAGAGCATTTCTCAGCTTATCGACAAACTCTTGGGCTTCATCTGGGGTCAGGTTCTCTAATAAACTCTGAATCTGTTCATCTGACAGAATTGTTAAAGACATGGCTTCCGACTTCGGAATTCAGACTTGATTCCTGTGATAGGTAGATAGTATGGGTGGGAAGTTGTTTGATTACGGCTTATGACTAGATGATTAGACCTGGATAGGGACAATTTCGTAGGTACAAGTAGATTTCGAATAGCAGTGGCAATGGCATTGGCTATTAGTCTGGAAATATCTTTGTCTTTTAAGTTGCGTAATTAGACGTAAGTAGATTGAACTCTAGGTACTACTGGGTTCCCTAAGTAAGTAGACAGGTAAGTAGGCAAAGAAAATATTGGATTAAAATCTCGAGATTATCATTAGCTGCTCGTGTGAAGAAACATTACACCCGACCTCGGTAGGGAGAGTCGGAGGCTTGGCTGAACGCACACAAATCCACACACATCCTCTGATCTTTCTTGGACTTATTTGTTCCATAGTAGTAAAAAAATAGGTATGTAGGATCCCTTTAGCACACCATACATCTTAGCGTTAACACAAGTATTCTCTATCCCTATGAAATAAAGGATATTGAATTGGGTATTTGGATGTATTTGGAAGTATGTTTCAGTGGAAAACCTACGTAGGAACTCAGTGCATTTGATGAAAGACAACTTTTGAAGATCTTGGAGATATATGGAATTTACTAGGCCAATCAAATGATCCCAGGTATTAATAGTTTCAGACCTCCGGCTACCTACATACATATAGCACATACATGAACTGTACCTGCCTCATCTATGTACCATCTGCGTACAACTGATAGAAAGAAAATACATAACAGGAAGCTACCCCGCTGTCTATGGTTCGACTTTATCAAAAAGTGACGTACACATTGAGGGGTATCTTACAAACCTAGTACCTAGTAAGTTACTATCAATCAATTGAGTTCATATGTGGAACTGGAGAAGAGACCTTTTTTACGGCGGGGTTAGTCAATTTAACCGACTAACCACCATTGCACCTCGGAACTAAGACCAATGTCCATACAAATAAATTTCATCCATACATGTTCGTCAATATTTACATAGTATATCCTTGGAACTATGTATGGACAGTATGATACGGTAACTACCTACTACATATCTTATTGGGCCACTTATTCAGCCTCAATAAAGACAAAAAAATCAGAAATGACAAAAAAACAGCAAAGCAACAACAAAGAAACAACGAAAAAACACCCTGAACTACTATCCCTCATAGAAAAACGGCCATATAGACCGTACGCAATTTCCCCATCCCTAGAACTAGATCCCCTAGTATCAACCATCCACCAAGATATGTAATGTCGGTATATCATCCTATACCGATCCTGTACCTGCGAGTGCCTACTACCATTTGTTGGGACAACTTTCCGAGCTTCCATGCTCTACTCGTGAACTCTTTGAACGCCGCCGCCGAGAACCCATTCGGTATCAAGGACCACCGAATCCATCACACAGATATTTATTCGCCCTGTTTACTTAGTATCTTGTCCGCCATACCGAATTCACCGCACATGAATTCGAAGCCGAAACTCCTGGCTACTTAAAAAACAGTAAGCTCAAAAATGCCCACCTAACCCTAATCCATTGCCTCCGTGGCCTTTTAAAGAGCCAGCATTTCCCCGGCACCTCCGGCCCCGAAGACCAGCATGGCATGCTTGCCCCTGACCACGCTCGCACTATCGTTCATACCCCGGAGATTCTGGTGTCTCCCTTTACCATTGCCGAATCCTAGGTCGCGCATATGTCCCGTGCCGATATCGAACAGCGTGCCGTGGACTTGCAGACCCCTCTCAGCGATAGCTTCCTGAATAGATGCATTGGCCATGAGGACGTTAATGCCCGCTTCGACGTTGAGCTCGGCGATGCGAATCGCGCGCTCCTTCTGGTCAACTATAGCATCCAATTCCTCCCTGTGAGCATTGCGGACGGCTCGGAGGGGCGTCAACCACATATCCAATATACCACCAACACGGTTGTCGCTTAGCGCCGCGACTGCGCCACCGCAGCAGCTATGCCCGCACAACACCACATGCTTAACTTTGAGATGCACGACCGCATACTCGATAACCGCCGACGTATTAATGTCGGTAGGAGAGATGATGTTCGCAATGTTGCGGTGCACGAACACGTCACCTGGTTGCAGCCCCAAAATCGTCGTCTCAGGGCAACGCGAATCAGAACAACCCAGCCACACTATTGCGTTACGTTTAACCATTAGCGTCTTGTTCCCCTCATCCCTTGGGAAAACCAAGGGTTCTTATGTTTGATTCGCATATGCATACGAAATACACGGGGGGTAAGGGAGGGGATCTCCACTCAGCAGAGCCATACCAGCAGCCAAGACAGCTACCAAGAAAGAGGCTATGCTAATTAGGAACTGATTCTGTTGAGTGGGGGTTTTCCTTCCCTCATCTCAAATGGATCTCAACAAAGGTATCAGGGGGGGTAAGTGCGCTTAAAATACTATTAAGCCAAGAAAACACCAAGGAAACACCAAGGAAACAAATATAAAACAATAGAAAAACCACTTACGGATAGTAGGTGATTGGCCCGAAGCGAGCTTGGAAAAATAGTCTGGGTTCTGATGGCTCTTGTAACCAGCCCAGGCTTGATTCGAGCTCAGCGCATAACCGAAGGCATCTTCTGTGCGCATGGTAAGTATGAATGCTGTGTTTCGCAAATGGCAACAGAAAAAAGAAAAAAAAGATCCCGTTTCGTTTTTCTGTCTCTCTTTCCCCTCGCCAATCTCGGAATCTCAGTAAAAGAGATTTAAGCTATTTTTCGAACGAGATGCCGGTGCCCACCCCTGCGGATCCAGATCTAGGAAGTTTGGTACTCTTGTCTTGGCGGGGTAGGGGGAGAGAGATTTGGGCCAAGGATTTCCAAGAAGGAATGAATAGTAAGTAAACACGTACCCTGAGGAGGAGAAGTAGAAGGCATCTTGGAAACGGAAATTGCGCAGTGAGGTTGAGGTCTTTTTCTTTATACGTCGGAGCCTCGAAGATCTGTCTGTATGCAGGCGATGTGTGACGAACACACACACACAGCTCTCTTGCTTGCAAAGGCCGGCTGTCCGAACGCGGGATGTTTGGAAATATATGAGCGAATTAGGAAACCACGAGGCCAATCAGATGTAGCGCTTGCCCGCTATCACCCACAGCCAACAAGAGGAATTTCCCCTTCCCAGAATTGCTGCGCCGTTGTCGTTGAATTGGTTCGGGCTCTAGGCTCGAAGCTGCTATGACTGGTGAAAGTTTGTCTTCGTTGACACCTTGGTAATGCCGTGGTGATCCGGAGCGGATGAACTGTACGAGGGAGTTTGTGACTACCTAGGTGACGTAGGTAGGTTACGTAAGATTGATAGGTAGGCGAGGATTGTTTGTGTTGTGGTTGTGTTTGACTGTCTGGGCGATTTTCGAGAAGATGGATGGATGGACGGATAGATATAGATATATCTAAAGATGGATCCAAGATTGCAAAGGGGGGGAAAGTAAACACGTGGATACTTGCAATATGGGATATCCGAGCTACTTATGGGATATCCGAGGGAGGGAAGCGGAGAAAAGGAATTGGCATGGGAAAGGAAAGGAAAGGATGAGAGAGGAAAAAAAAAAAAGTGTGCCTGCTCTCAACAACAAATGATAATCGGTGACCAGCTGACGAACCGGCCGTCAGCACTGCACAGCACAGCACCTGTCGATCTCCTCTCCTGAGGCCTTAATATGAGAATTGCACAAGGGACACTGGCCTACATACCTAGTATGTAGGTATCGAGAAAGCGAGAGTAGAGCCTGTCGAGATAACTACATACATAAAGGGTCGGTTTGTCCGGAGTCCGGATATAGGATGCGGGTTGCACAACAAGAGGGATTACTTGGGGGCATACATAACAAATGCCTACATAAAAAAAGACCCCCGACCTCCCTCTCCCCCTTCTTTGAAAGCTTCTTATCACAACATTGTTCTACATAAGATTCCTTTCAGCTTCCTTTCTCTCCCCCCCCTGCCTCATTTTTATGTATGCATGTGTATAATCTAGATATGTAGATAGCATATTATGTACATAAATCTCTTGTCTGTATCTGTATCTGTCATGCATGGGATGATGTATGCCATTGTATGTGTACCCATAGCTCTTGCCCTGCCTATATTACCAAGACATATATGATGCAGACCCCTACCCATTCAGGGTTTTTGACGTATATCTCGCGCGGTTTATAGGTGGTTGAAACCCTATCTACCCATCAGGCGGCAAGTAGCAGACGCAAACGCCAAATGCCAACCGAACGAGCGCACAGACAAAACCAAGCTATCTATCTGGCCAAGAAAACGAAAGATGCCCCCTTCCTTCTACACTACATACAGATGCGGGACCCGAACCGGGATTACTGGATCTAAGGCGCGTTTTAACTAGGTAGGTTAGTTAGCTAGCTGGTGACGGCCTACCGCAGCAGCAGCAAATGTCATGTAGCATAATAGTATGTACATACGTACGTACGCACTACCCAGTGCCCACACATCTTAGGTTAGGTAGATTGCAGCAGAGATGTGGTTAGTTAGATACATCAATGATATGTCGTACCCATACAATCCATCACTCAGGGTAGCTTATGTGGTTGCCAGAATCCGACCAATAGCCTATCCAGCATCCAGCACGCCGGAGCTGGGGTTCCCTGTCCAGATACAGGGGTTTGTTTTTTTGGAGAGAGGTAGGTACATACATACATACATACTTCGTACACCTACAATGTAGATTACTAGGGTTCAATTTTGAAAAAAAGGTTGTAGCGTACGGCACCCGTACTACATGTAGGTAACTAACGTAGGCGGTGAGAAAAGCTTAGAAATAACTACCGCTATGCTATATGCCAGCGACCTATACATAGTACGTACTGTAGTTAGTCTGTAGTTAGCATAGTATGAATAGGGAAAAACGTGGGGGGAATCTACCTAAGAAATGGATCTATCTCAAAAACGAGATAGCCAATTCGCAATTTAAAAATAGGTAAAATGCCTCCTGATCGCCCTCTTCCAAGTGTTTTGAAAAGCTTGTCGGTTTTTGAACATCTTACATGGTTATGTCGATAGTAAACATCTTGTGTCGTGAGTTGTGTGTCGTGCACTTTACAGCTATAAGCTTAATTCTAATAAAGTTAGGAGACCAAGCGCTCGGGAACGTTTTTCGTATCACTTACTGTTTCTTCAGATCCCCAGAGAGATTGCGGAGATGCGACGTTGCAACGAGGCTCGCCTAGCTCGCTTGGACTATCCTTATGCGTCAGCCTTCAATTATGCGAGTTTTGAGCGCTTGCCAGTTTTTGCCAAGACCCAAGACTTCTCAATGTTATTCCTAAAATGAATACCACAGCAAGCAACTTGGAACTAATACCAAGAACCTATTATCAGGGCTTGGCTCCTATAATTTAGCAATACGACGAGGATACTGATAAGACTTCACTGAATTCCAAGGGTTGGATCAATTAATTCATTGTCACATTGGTCGGGGTTGGAACCCTGGGGACGGACTAGGTTTCATGCAAATCCATGTGGTTGGTATTCCATTTTACCTCCTCCAACGCCGTAACGGTGCGAATTCGCGAATTCTAGAAAATCATGACCCATAACCATCCTTACTTAAGCTTAGACCTTGATGGCCTGCTCAAGCGCCTTCTTCTTCTTCTCGATGCGGTTGTTGGCCTTGGCACCCATGATACCACCACCCCATACTCGTCGGGCGTTCTCAGAGTTGGCTAGGTAACCATCCTTGATGGCGCTAACAAGCTTGGAGAGCTCGTTCTTGTCCTCCGATCGGACCTCAGTGATGGCCAGGACGGCAGCAGTCTATGCTCTGTTAGTAAAACTGTGTTTGATACAAGATGTTTCAGACCAAATGCATACCTTCTTGTGAACGACGGTTCCAAGACGGGCCTTGCCCTTGATGATGGCGTAGGGGACACCCATCTTTCGGCAGAGAGCGGGTAGGAAGATAACCAACTCAATGGGGTCAACATCGTTGGGAATGAGGACGAGCGACGCCTTCTTGTTCTCGATCAGGCCAACGACGTGGTTGAGACCATACTTAACAGCGTAGGGCTTCTTGCTAACATCCTCCTTCTTCTTGCCCTCCTTGATGGCAGTGGCCTCCTTGACGAGGCGCTCCTTCTTCTCGGCCTTGGATTCAGGTCGGTACTTGTTGAGGAGCTTGAAGGCCTGGGCAGCGGTGTTTCGGTCGAGGACGTGCTGGAACTGGGAGATCGCTGGCGGGACCTTCAGGCGCATGTTGATGATCTTGCGCTGTCGCTGAAGACGGACATACTCGGGCCACTTCACCATGCGGGAGAGGTTGCGTCTCGGCTGGATGTCCTGGCCGATACCATAGTTGCGGGGTCGCTTCTCGATAAGAGGGTTCTACGTTGCATGTTAGCACCACCTTATAGTTGATAGAGGAGGATGATTCTAACGGGAATGTACTCACCTTAGGTGCCTTCTTGGATCCCGCCTTCGAGGCGAAGGGGGCCGGTGCGGCCTTCTTTCCGGATTTGGGAGGCTATCATTGAGAAGAAAGACATCAGCAAATGTGTACCATTGACTGTAGTCTTTCTTGAACTCTAGAGAGAAGATCGCGAGTGTGTATTTCTACACACTACGCGAAACAACTCAAGCCAGTTCCTCACCTGCGTTCGAAAACGACAGGCGGAAAATAAGTAACTCGACGAGCGAGCACCATTGTGGTTTTGACTTATGTGCACAAGCACGTCAATGTCGGATATTAGAAGCTTACCATGATTATTATTTGGTCCTGGAGTGGTGGTGTATGAGTTGTTGCGACCAGAGTGAAAGGTGTGAAGAGAAGAAGAAAATCAAGAAAAGTTCCAGAGACGGAAAAGAAAGTTGTGCGCCAGTGCAAGTAGGGTTTCCTTAGGTGCGTGGTAAAACCTCGGGAAATCAAATTCAATTGCAATTATCTAATCTCGTAGGTTAGATACTTTTTTTAGGTTAGCGCACTGTATGCCCCTCCATGAGTCCATGCTAGTACCTAAGTACCTTTCTAACTTCTAACTAATTCTTGCATCTTCAACTCCAGTGAGCCCCACTAAGATTCTTCATTGCAGTCAGTCATATTATGAATCAAGGCGACATCGTCGGATTCCATTTTCTCACATATTAGAGACCTCCTAGGTGCTTGAGAATTCTATTCATTCTTATTATTTTCCATTATTTTCTCTATTTTGAATCAAAGTCGTTAAAAACACGCGCTACAGTCTAGATGCCACCAGCGCTGTGTGTCCTCTGCAAGACAGAGCGAGCCTTAATCAAGAGACCTAAAAACTACCAAAAACTCTGCAAGGGTTGTTTTATCCAGATATTCGAAGATGAGGTACACCATACCATAATCTCATCTCAGCTATTCTTTCCCGGGGAAAGGGTAGCTATTGGTGCATCCGGTGGTAAGGATTCAACTGTCCTGGCATCAGTATTGAAGACTTTGAACGACAGACATAACTACGGTGTCGATTTAATCCTCCTTAGCATTGATGAGGGAATCAAGGGATACAGAGATGACTCCCTCGAGACAGTCAAGCGCAATGCAGTACAGTACGATATGCCGCTAAAAATAGTAGGTTATGGCGAACTGTATGGCTGGACCATGGACCAAGTCGTCGAGACTATCGGCAAGAAAGGCAACTGCACATATTGCGGAGTCTTCCGAAGACAGGCCCTAGACAGAGGCGCAAAAATGTTGGGAATCAAGCATGTCGTTACTGGCCACAATGCCGACGATGTCGCCGAGACCGTCTTAATGAATCTCCTTCGGGGAGATTTATCGCGCTTATCACGAAGCACCAGTATCATCACCGGAAGCGATGCTAGCGAAGTCAAAAGGAGCAAGCCCCTCAAATATTCATATGAGAAAGAGATCGTGTTGTATGCGCACCATAAGAAGCTTGACTATTTCAGTACCGAGTGTATATACAGCCCGGAAGCCTTTAGGGGGAGCGCTAGAAGTTTAATCAAGAATTTAGAAAAGGTCCGCCCAAGTGCCATACTGGATGTCGTTCGCAGTGGCGAGGATATGGCAAGACTGGTTCCCGGAGCCGCACAAGATCCCTGTCGTTGTGATGGAAAGGCCTCATCGCAGCAGACAAGTGTCGAGGAAGACAACAACATCGGCGGTTGTGGGTCGGCGAATGGTCGCTCAAATGGGGGCGAGATGGCAGCCATGGAGAAGCAGCTCCGAGACAATGAAGCAGCTCAGGCTGCAGGACTCGAAACCGAGATCATTGTCAAGGAGGCTGAAGTTCAGCATCGTGAGAAGCCTAGTCAGTCCAACGGCCACCCAAAGACAGCCGGGACCAATCTTCCCATCAGGTTGAAACAAAAGTTGGGCACGTGTGAGAAATGTGGTTATATGTCGAGCCAGAAGCTATGTCAAGCTTGCATGCTGCTCGAGGGGTTGAACAAGAATAGGCCTGATATTACGATATAGATTTGGGATCCGGCGTTTCGGTAGATTGGGCTTACTAGAACTGTAATTGTTGGAATGATACCCAAATAAAAGCAATGGCCAATTCGGAATCAGCGCGACAATAGTCAAGTAGAAAGGGTCAATATCAAGTGTTGTATTTTTGTGATTTCTGTACAAATGTTTGCTAGTTGAAAGCCATGCCTTCCATTTCCCGCCAGCTGCTCGCCTAATTTCTCAAGTCTATGAGATGCGCCTCTCAACCTAGACTGCATGTAAGTCTTATGAATACATCTATATCCATATTTGGGAAAACGTACTCTCCAAGGGTTGTTCAGCTCGAAGCCTGCGGGTGCAATGGGGGCGTCACTTTGCCCTCGTAAGAACCCTGTCAATCGGCGGTCTCGGTTCATCACTACAAGGTATCGAATTAGCCTTCCTTCTGTCATAGCCAAATGGCTCGTATTGTATTTCTTCGTACTTTGTCGATCCCATTGGTCCAACGATCGTCTCGCTCTCTTGCCGCCGTTCTGCCAGTTTCTGAATTTGGAGAGTCCCGCACCGGTCGCGCCAAACATCTAAGTACCTAGTCTTAGCATTCATATTTTCCTAAGGCGTCCGATGGGCGAATGATTGGATAGGAGGTTCATACGGCAAGAATGATTCCATAGGGAATCAGCGCTTCGAAAGGGACGCCCATGGCTAGATTATGAGCCTATCGCTAATCGCTAGAATTAAATATTGAAATATTATTAGTAAAATAACATGCAGTTGATGACTGTAGACAATAAAGGCTCACAGTTTAGTGTAGGTTTGCTCGTTATAGAGTCCCGTCAATCAATAGCCACTATAGTATTTATCAGAGGCTTAGATGACGAAGTTCAAAGTTGAAGATCCATTAATTGATATCGTCTGAGGCCAAAAGCGAGGAGAATATTAGGTAATCAGAGTAGGTTACATAGGTACATGTGTGTACCCACTCTGGTACTGGTGTGATGGTACGATTGATGGTCAAAGCTTCAAGGTTTCCAGGTGATTAGCTTCAAAGTTTGATTTAACTGGACAGAGTGAGTAAAGAAAGTGACTAATCTGTGGGGCACAGTAGCTAATGTACCCGCACGTCGCTACAACCTCATTCTATTGCCATTGGAAGGAGCATCTCGCCGTCCCAGGCGCAATGTTAAGCACCCGACATTTCTCTTAAACTCATATTTCTTCTAAAAGACGCGTCGAATTTTATTTTCAACTTCAATCATCCGCGACCGTACCACATCAGTTCACGGAACATCGATACTTGGCGCGTTAAGCATTCACTTCAGCTGATTAAACTTCTAGCCTACACACTCAAATGCCTTGGCCATCGTCAATATCCAGCCCCTCAGCCTTCTTTTATCTACAATTTCAACTCTTTCGACATTAGTAGACCTTCTTCGACTTTCGCGACAGGTATGCGACAATACACTTTATGACGCGAGCCGGCACGAGTTGGAGGCCTTGGAACATCCAATCCCAATCCCCAATCCCCATTCCACAATCCACAATCCACAATCACCATTACTCAATCATCTTGCCATCAGCATTTGAGCGCAAGATCTCGGACATACCTAGCGATACGTCACAACTTTCCACCCATTAGCTACTACTCGATATAGCCTCAGCTCCTTCGACCTTTACCAGAAGTTGTATTGAAGGAAATGGCCAACGCGCAACTCATGCAGGAAGAGCTACAACAGAGTGTGGTACTATCCGAAGAAGATGCTGAGTTCGAGGAGGACTTGCCGAACAACAACGCAATGATGGTAGATAACACAGCCCCCATACCTTCGGGGGACTCACCCGTGGAGGACGCGGAATTCGAGCAGCCACTTGATGAAATAGACAACTATGAAGACGAAGAAGATAGCGAGGTCGATGCAATACCCGAAGACGATGTTGTCCCACCGTACAATGAAGAAGGCGACTTCGAAGATGCACCAGCTGACGATGATGGCGCTGATGAGGGCGAGGAAGAATCCAGCAGCAATAGCGATATCCATGATGACGATGACGCCTTTGATGTTGATGCAGATGGGGAAGACGACGAGGACGTCGCTCAATCTCGAATCTATCCGAACGCAGCTTCTGGCGATGAAGAAGAAGTTGAGCAGGAAGCTGCCGAGGAGGATGACGAGAACGAAGGAGTAGGCGCAGTCAAGATTAAGCCTGGCGATACTGACGACGAAGAGAGCGATAGCGAGGACGATATTAGTCTAGCATCAGGCTCCAGTGATGGTGACTCCGCTGCAGAGTGGGAAGAGGTTGTCGAGCATGACGAAGATGAAGACGAAGAATCCGATGCCGTTGATCCTAACAATTGCATATTTTGTAAAAAGGATGAAGAGAACGACCCAGCGGATGAATTCGAGGCTTACCTCGCATGCAAAGGCTGCGGTGAACACGGTACGTTTTTTGCTTGCACCTGAATATGAATTAAGGCACTAACTTGGGACTAGCTCACCAGCAATGTGCACGATACCAAGGCGCTCTTGACCTCAAAAACAGTAAGTTGCTTGATTTTTCTTTTTTTTTCTGTGGTTTAATCATATAGCTGACTTTTGCATGCAGACGCGTCAAATTGGAAATGCCCAGATTGCGCTAGTGATGATGTGGGTTCTGACTCTGAAGCAGAGTTCGCTCGCGAGAATGCAGACATTGATCTCGAGATGGAGCTAGGCGGTGATGTGGATGATAGCGACTTATCGCCAACATCTACTAACGGATCTTCGGCCCCTCAACTTGCAAGGGATCTAATCCCAAACGAGGATTCTATGGATGGATCACGAGTGTTGAGGAAGAGAAAAACATCCTCAGCTGAAGGAGATGACGAAGTCATGTCATTGCGTAAGCGAAGAAAGAATACATCGGATGGATCTATCCAAGATGAAGCCAACCAGGAACAGGCAAGCGCAGTGGAAACTTCAACCAGGCCACGGCCTGGGCGCTCCTTGCGACATAAGACATCAAACCCAGATGCCTTATGCTCCATCGTCAAGCAGTCACGCTCCACTCTGATGGTGGTCATGCGTGTCAATCCTGCAGCACTGCAGACCCTTTCTCTGAATAAGAAAACCCGTAGGAGGCGATCAGCCTGGGGAAGTCGAGGTCGAGGTCGGGGTCGGGGTCGAGGAGGTCGAGGAAGTCGAGGAGGTCGAGGAGGTCGAGGAGGTCGGGCAAGGGCTGCCGCTTCTAGATCTTCTCGATCATCTAGGAACGCCGAATCGATACACACTACAGCCTTGGAAGAGCAATCTTCTCTTCCTATGGCTCCATTTTATCCTCCCAGCTTTTCTCAGCCTTTTTACTCGTTATATGATAAGGAGACAGACGAGCTTAAGGGCAAACCGTACGGTGGGATTTTGACAGAAGAGCAAGCTGATACGACCAAAACGTTACCCACTAAAGATGATCGTCGCCGGTTTGATGAAGCAAAACAGAAAGCCGAAGAAGAATGGAGAAACCGGCTGCTCGCCATGCAAGCTGAAGCCGAAGTGCCAGTGAAGAAATCGAGGAAGGCTTCCGGTCCTGCCAGCCAGATCGAGTGCATTGAATTTGGGGGCTGGGAAATCGACACGTGGTATGCAGCTCCGTACCCTGAAGAGTACAGTCGTAACAGAGTACTTTACATATGCGAATTCTGCTTGAAATACATGAATTCAGATTATGTCGCGTGGAGGCATAAGCTTAAATGCTACGCAAAACACCCCCCTGGAGATGAGATATACCGACACGGCTCAATTTCCTTCTTCGAAGTTGATGGTCGGAAAAACCCAGTTTACTGCCAGAATCTTTGTCTCTTGGCCAAACTGTTCCTTGGCTCCAAAACATTATACTACGACGTCGAACCTTTCTTATTCTACGTTCTCTGCGAGTATGATGATCTAGGTTATCACTTTGTCGGTTACTTTTCCAAGGAAAAGCGTGCGAGCAGCCAAAACAACGTGAGTTGTATCCTCACGCTTCCCATTCACCAACGAAAAGGATACGGCCATCTACTCATCGATTTCTCCTATCTCTTGACGAAGGTGGAAGAGAAGACCGGCTCACCGGAGAAGCCTTTATCTGATATGGGTCTTGTATCATATCGTAATTACTGGCGACTTATTATCTGCAAATACCTTATAGACCATATGTCTGAAGACAAATCGCAGACGAAGGGTCTCAGCATTAGGTGCATATCTGACGACACGGGAATGACCCCTGATGATGTCATTTCAGCTCTTGAGGCCCTTCGATTCCTCGTTCGAGATCCTACCACGCATGTTTATGCGTTCCGGGTCGATCTACCATACTGCCGCAAGGAAGTTGTAAGGTGGGAGGCAAAGAACTATGTCAAATTGAATCCCAAAAACCTCACATGGACACCATACGTCATGGGTCGTAGCAATGCGACCAATTTCGAATTAGGGCCAGCTCTTAATACAATCGCTCCCCGCGAAGAGGATGAAGAGGTTAAAGCCATGCAAAATCTTGCACAGAGTAGTATTACCACTGGGGACTTCGCTATCTCCCAATCTACCAGTCAAAAGCTGCTTTCAGGGGCCGAGTCATCCGTCCTCGAATCGACGGAGCCGAACGACAATGGTACTATGGAGAGCAAGGGGGACAGGAAGACTAATGACACCGATAAAGAAAACAGAAGTAATTCTGGAGGCCACCAGGAAGACCAGAACACATCGGGTAGCGCCGTTTCTAGCACCCAGGATGACGAGAACGGTTGGCGAAAAGTGTACGATACGATCCCGGTTAATAGATTCCAAGTTTTCCCTCCGATTAATACCAGACGCACGGGTATGTCTCGCTTCAACTCAGCTATCACCAGGGCAGCTCCGTTACCGCGAACCGCACCCGCCAGCTCGCGAAAAGTCGTGCGACCCAGAAAGATCAAGCGTTCAGCAGGCAGTACATCTGCTCGCAAGGCAAGTCAGAAGACAAGCACCAGTAAACGCAAGCCCGGTGGTACTGGCAGAGGTCCTGGCCGCTGGCCAAAGGGCACCAAGAAAAGCGACTATGGTAACGCGGATAGTGGCCCGGGCTTGCCACCGGCCTGGCTCGAACGGGAGAAGCAAAAACAAGCGGAGCTCACACCGTCTAAAACGGGCGAGGAAAGCAACACCCAAGATACAGTCCAAGTGCAAGTCGCGGAGGCTAGCAATAGCCAAAAGGGAAAGCAAACAGTTTCGCTCTCTACCAAGGTTGATGTTTCTACTACTGAAACCGAAGCCGCGCCAGTTGACAGTGCTGATGGTGATATTGTCATGGGCGAGGCTAATTACACCCAGGATGGTGAGGGCACAGGAGTAGAAGAGACATGAAGGAAGCTTCATACCTAGTGTCGCTTTCAATGCTTGGTCAAGCATGTTTTATAATAGGAAATCAGGGAGAAGGAGTCCAGGGACATTAGGGCTCTCCGTGAACATACTCGGAAGGGGCATCTACAGCTTCTTCAAAGGGGAATATGAGCTGGGACTGAGTTGGTTGAACGGATGGATGGGCGTATGGCTTCTGAGGTTAGTCTGGGACTTGCTAGATACCTTAATGTGATTGTTTTGGCGCGTTTGAATTGTATCCGTCGATGGACGATGGACGACTGAGCAAGTAAAGAAGTTGTTTTCGTAGGGGCCTGCAGAGGCCAGGTGACTGTAACAATATCAAGAATATTATAATCCATGAATGTTTTGACATTCGTGCAGCTGTTCTACTATTTTTTGTTTGATACTTGCCCAGTGGTTTTCTTGATTATGTCCGGTTAAGTACATCTACAAGAGATACTAGGTGAAGTGTTTTAACATGTAAGGCAAGTAAAAAATCACGACATATGACAGTGAGTACTTGATAATTTGCTTTCATTGTATATTCTAAGTATCATCGTGTCCATCTACCCATGCTCGGAATCACGCTTTAGTCGCAAACCCCAGACAGTGATGCAACTTGAAGCTTCCATAACCGTTGCCTCGCCCAGTCGATGTACTTAAGCTTCTAGGTAAGAAGGCACCCTGCAGGTTGCTTCGAATACAAGCTTAAAAAGCAGCTAGAAATCTATCTTCTTCAGGTTAGCAATGCTATTGACAACGCGAAAGTGCTAGGAAGCAAGAAGTAATGGTTGAGGTTATCTTGAGTCAGACTGTTGAGCTTGATTGATGTAAAGAATCCACATAATATTTCAGTTGGCTGTTCTTAGAAGTGTTTGGTCATCATAGAAAGGAAATATACAGGTAGATAGGTGTCTGAAAAGAAAAGGAATAGGCAACTTACATTTACCTTTGTTCCCGTACCCGTCTCATGCTGCAAATTTCATCACGTTGGAACGTGGCAGGATGCATGAAGGTCTCGGGAAGAAAATATGTTCAGGTACTGAATGTGATGTCAAAGACAAAAAGAAATAAAAATTGAGAAGAATGAACGAAAATAAATAGGCGCGGGACAAACGAGCCGAGACCAAGGTTTTCCCGGCAATGGTCACGTGTGAGGCTAGTGCAGCTCCACATCTTTTAGAGCGGGCATCATTAGAGGCCGAGTGGCTGATTTAAGTCGCTAAAAGTCACTCAACTTTACCGACTGACTTCACTGAAAATGCCCGGTGGACCTTTTTCTCTTAACGATTTCTCCATCACCAAAGCACGACGACCAATCTCCACTCTAACCAACGATCAAACCTACAACTACCTAACCTACCTACCTACCGCCACACACACGCTACCTACCTACGGTATATCCATCATCACATCATCCTCATTTCCCACCCCCACCATCCATCCATCTGCGATCAAATAAAACAATCAAATACGGGGGAACTGCAGAAAACACTATCGATTACAGAGAACGACGATCAGACACAAGGGAAAACCCCGAAGAAGCTCGAAACCGGGAAACAAAGCATTACCCTTTCCTAAAAACCCTATCTATACCTATCACAGCCATGCCCGCCGTCCGACCTAATACCGTCGTGCGGGCCACCCGCGCCCTGCAACACTCGCAACCCGCCGCCGCCATTACCACCAGATCCTTCTCGGCGACGGCGCGAGCGCCCTCCTCCCACGGCCCCCAGTACGACCCCCCGACCGGCTGGCTGTGGGGTCTCAAGCCCGGCGAGAAGTACCAGCGCGAGGGCTGGGAGATCCCCTTCTTCTACGGCTTCTGCGGAAGCATCGCCATCTTCGCCGTTGCCTACGGCTTCAAGCCTGACACTTCGTAGGTTTCTCTTGTTGTCTTTGTTTATATATATATATATAATGAGCGCGGATGACCGTGACTCATGCATACATATATGATATATGTGTCATAGGTATCATGTCATAGGAACACCCAGCTAACAATTTTCCTTTCTTCGCACAGGATACAAACATGGGCCTTGGAAGAAGCACGACGAAGATTAGAAGCCGAGGGCATCCTCGAGGACCCCGAGAAGAAGTGAAAGTTCGTTGGTACATACATACATAATATGGACCACGCCGCAGCAGCATAGAACTGTCTTTTTTCCTTTTTTTTTATTTCACCTATCTAGTATGTTGAAACTGGCTGGGAGAAGGAAGGGGCCGGGAGAGAGAAGGGGGGGGGGGGGGGTGGGGGGCAAATGGTATATTCGGAAATTCGCAGAACTCGACTTGTACATGATACATACATACACACATTCACAAACACACAGAAACCCCAATCCCAAACATCCGGCTTTCTTTTTATTATTTCAACTCCTCTAGTTACTCAGGTCCCCGTTCCGGTTCTTCCGTGGACGGACGGACGGACCACTTCTCAGGCTCAGACTCGATTAGAGAAATCTCATCAATCATCAATCATCATCATCATCATAGACGGATACATAAGCCCCCGCGCTACTGGTGTGAAGTGGAAAGTGGAAAGTGGAAGAGGGAGGGAGGAAGGGGTTAGTTAGGAGGGCTGCTACTCATAAAACTGCAATTGAAACTTTCTTTCACTTTACACAACTCACAACTCACGTTAGGTATATACGGTGTCATATATATATATCACCGTTCTTAAGTATAGGTTAGTAGGTTGTGAGCTCAATTAAGTTGAAGTCCTTCCCTCCTTTACTTTTTTTTTTTTTTTTTTTTACTCTCTTTACCCCCCTTAAAAGGCCTTAAAAGGGGAGAAGAGGGGAGTTATAGTGCTTCGAAATCTAGGTAGGTACCTAGATAAAAGGCCTATCCTTTCAATTATAGGTAAGCTATGTACCTACCTAGTAGGCGAGGTAAAGAGTACGCCAATCGCGCCGGATCTATAAATCGATATGCAGCTCTACCGCCTGCCGCCTGCCACCCTGCCTCAGAATGCTGAACATGCATGCACTTTTCCTTTTCCCCCTTTATCCCCCCCTTCCCCCACCCCTTTTCTCTCTTTCTCTTTTCCTTTTATTTTATTATCTTTTCTCTAGCAGACATAACTCCACTCATGCTCCTCAATGCCGTACTGCCTATCCTCTATCCAGTTCTTCATCCTCAGCGCGACCTCGCCAGATTCCTCGGTCTCTTTCAACCCGCAGTCGACCATGTTGCCCTTCCAACTGATCTTGCGCACGGGGGCGACGATGGCGGCGGTGCCGGCGCCGAAGACCTCGAGCAGCCGGCCCTCGAGCGAGGCTTCGTGGAGCTGGGGCATCGTGATCTTGCGCTCCGAGATGAGCCACCCTTCGGGTGCTAGCTTCTCGCGCGCGAGGCTCAGGATGGAGTCGCGCGTCACGCCTTCGAGGATGGTGCCGTCGAGCGGCGCGGTGATCAGCTCCTTCTGGCCGGTCTCCTTGTTCTTGATGGCTAGGAACAGGTTCATGGTGCCGACTTCGGTCACGTACTCCTCGGACCCAAACAGCCATAGGTTCTGTTGGAACCCGCGCGCGGCGGCCTCCATCTGCGGCACGATGCACGGCGCGTAGTTGGCGCCGAGCTTCTTGTCGCCGACACCGCCGGGCCAAGCACGCACGGCGTAGTCGGTGGCCTCGAGTGACACGGCCTTGAAACCAGTGGGATAGTAGGGTCCTACGGGCGAAGCAATGACGAAGAGCAACGCCGAGCCCGGCGCAGAAATACCAAGAGTCTTTTGTGTCCCAATTAGGGTGGGGCGCAAGTAGAGGGAGTAGCCACGCTCGTTGGGAATGAAGCGCTCTTCCAGTTTGGCGAATTTTGCGATCAGTTCGATGAGGGCGGTAGGGGAGAAGGTGGGCAGCGCAATACGAGCGGCTGACTTGTTGAAACGTTCCATGTTCTTGTCTGGGCGGAACAGGCGGATGTTGCCCTTGGCATCCTTATAAGCCTTCATGCCCTCGAAGCACTCGAAGGCGTAATGGAAGACACAGGTAGCGGGGTCGAGCGACAGGTTTTGGTATGGCGAGATCGAAGGCTCGCGCCAGCCATCGGCCTTGGTCCACTCGGCTGTTAACATGTGGTCTAAGTATCAGAGAGTTCTCGTTAGCATCGCTCCTCGTCTAGACTATACAGCAACGGCGTTGGTCTTATGGTATAGCGAAGCTAACTAACCAGTGAACTCTCTTCCAAATACGAGTTGTGACGGGTCCTTGGGTGTTTTTGGCGATTTGGTGTTGGTGATGGTCAACTTCTTAGGGTCGATATCTAACGGCTTTGCTATAGAAGCCGCCTCAGGCTTGATACTGTAGGATCTAGCGGTCTGCTGCTGAAACGTCGGCAAGGCATACGAGCAAGCTCGTGCGGTAGCGGGAGCCCTAAGAGCTCTCCCGCTCCGCGGTAAGAGTTGTCGAAGCATTGTGTACCTGGAGATGTGATATTGGATTCTGGGCTTTCTAATCTAGTACGACCTGATCTAATACACGCAGAGGGAGAGACAGTTGAAGATGAAGGCGGCAAGAGAGGTAGAGGGAGATTGGGAGGGGTAGGAAGACGATGAACAATGAAGTAAACGTGAGATTAGTGCTTAGTATATGAGTCAATCGGGAATAAGGATGATAACCTTTGTTCAATGAGTTATCAAAGAGAGGGAATAAGGGGCCCCGAAGAAGGAAGTAGGTAACGATCAAGCTTAATAAACAGTGCTGATCTACTGGTGTATTGTTCGCCTCGCCTCGGCGATAGCTTTCACTCTTTGCTTGGCTTGGCTAGGCTTAACTGCACACTACTAGTTTACCTGGGATGTCTGGATGTCTGGATGTCTGGATGTCTGGATGTCTGGATGTCTGGATGTCTGGGGACTCTGGGCACTAAGAAAAAGGGAGCTACAGTTATAATTTGAGTCAATTGAAAGAAAAAGTGCGGATATCAATGGCGCGGATAAGATAATGTTCTGCGAAGTCGGAAGACGCTAACGTCTCTAACAAGAAGAAAAGTGTTGTGGCGTACAATGGTAACACAATGCAGGGGTTACTGGGCCCCATGTCGGACAGGAGCTGAAGCTTTGCATTGAGTTCCACAATGAAGATAGTTAGTTAATCGAACTTGGCATCAATGTACATGTACCTAGTACATATACAAAGTACTACCTAACCTAGTACCCTGGGTACTGTAGATATTTATTCTTATCGAATCATTTCAATGGTCCAACATTGAACTTCTTACATACAATTGAAAAAAGGACAACTCGTCCCTAATAAACAGATAAAAGTGTCCGTCCCATAATCTAACCTAGGTACATACCACATACCTTCCTGGGTTCGTTCGACCGATCAAATCGTTCCCGTGCTCAGTACCGTCCAGTAGCCCGAACAAAGCCTTGTTGCCCAACTCAATCGATATCCAGGTTCCAGGTGGGAGGTTTGAATGTTTGCATGTTTGGGGATAGGAATCCACGGAAGGACGGATATCGATCACGAATGATTCTCTCGCACCACATCACACAACGACATGAGGGTCGCTAGTCACCGCATAGTACATCGTCGCCAATCATGTTCTCCTCGCTGAAGAGCTTCTCCTCCCACATCAACTCCAACTATACCGTATCGCAAACCATAACCTCCACAGCCGGTCCTTGGAAGATTTACGATGCCAAGAAAAAGTCTACCGGGAAGGCCTACTCGGTCTTCGTCTTTGAGAGGAAGTCAATAGAGTCGCATGGTAAGAAGCTCTAGGCAAGACTAGTGCCTATAATAGGTCGCGTGTGTAGTAATGTCGCATCAGGTACTGATTATGCTCAATAGGGGGCTCACTCGGTCGGTCCGGCGCATCAGCTTTCAAGCGCTCAGTAGACGAGGTAAGAAACATATTCGAACTCATTTTCCTCTATATGTCCTTCATTGGTGATTATGTATTCCATCAAGCAAAGTACTAAGATTCCGGCAGGTCGTCGAGCGCCTAAAAAAGGAAGCTTCGTCTCTCGCAAGACTGCGACATCCGAGCATATTGGAACTAGTCGAGCCAGTCGAAGAAACTAGAGGGGGTCTTCAGTTTGTCACCGAATCCGTAACGGCGTCGCTAGCGAGTCTCTTACAGGAGAGGGATGATCAGGACAGAGCTGGCGGTGTCGGGGGCCGGTCCAGTCGCTTTGTCACTGAAGACTCCGATGGGGTTAAACGGAGGCGCGAGCTAGAGATCGACGAGCTCGAGATACAGAAGGGCTTGCTTCAGATTAGCAAAGCCTTAGAGTTCCTTCATGAAAATGCCGGCCTTGTTCATGCAAATCTGACTCCGGATGCTATCTTGATTAACTCCAAGGTGAGTTCAGCCAATGTTAAATGTCCCTCTGCCATAAAAATTGCGGAATCCATTATGATGATATTTAGCTTGTAAAACCCCAACGTAGGATATACATAATGCTGATTTGTTCTTAGTCTGATTGGAAAGTCAGCGGGCTCGCCTTCTGTAGTCCGCCAGCAGGTTCATCCAGGGTAACTTCGGTTCAACCCATCAGTCTTTCAGAGGTTCTCAACTTGGATCCTCGACTACCTCGATATGTACAAATCAACCTGGATTTTACGTCCCCAGACTTCGTCCTGGACAACAACCTGGCTTACTCTGCCGATATGTTCTCATTGGGCCTATTATGTGTTGCCTTGTATAACTCGCCTCACAAGTCTCCTATAGACTGCGGTGGCAGTATTTCGGCCTATAAGAGGATATTTACTTCGTCTTCGACTGTACCGTCCTCTGGAAATGGATTTCTATCCAAGAGATCTTTACCGAGGGACCTCTCTGCTCACGTCTTACCCGGGTTGATCACACGACGTCCTGCCCAACGTATCTCAGCACGGGAATTTCAGGAGAGTGAATACTTTGACAACATTCTGGTATCAACGATTCGATTTCTTGACGCTTTCCCAGCCAAGACACCCAATGAAAAGGCTCAGTTCATGCGAGGGTTGAACAAGGTCTTGCCGTCTTTTCCCAAGTCAGTCATGGAGAAGAAGGTACTGCCGGCGCTATTAGAAGAGCTCAAGGATAAAGACCTCTTGTCCCTTATTCTTCAGAACGTCTTCAAGATTATGGATCTATTGCCAGCTTCTAGGCGAGCCTTTTCGGAGCAGATACGACCAAAACTGAAGGAGATATTTGTCATTAATGCCAAGCAGGCGCAAGAGAAGGATCCGGCCAGAGATGCTGGTCTGATGGTCTTTTTGGAGAATACCAACCAGATCGCTGAGAACTCTTCTGGTAAGGAGTTCAAAGAAGGTAAGTCTTTTTTGTTTGTTCATTTTTCAATGCTGCATCATATACATGAGTGGATATCCCGTGTTATCAGCTGTCTACGTGAGGTTGGCTCAAGTGACAACACACAAGTTGTATTGAAGCTAGCAACATGATCCTCGGCGCTCCAAGCTCATCTACTCATATATACATCCAAACATGTATTGTTCTCAAAGCTAACGAAAATTTTCTAGATGTATTACCAATTCTTCTAACAGCGATCGAGTCGCCAACACCCACTCTGGTCGATGTTGCTTTACGCAGTTTACCAGTTGTCTTGCCAATTTTAGATTTCAGCACCATCAAAAATGAGCTGTTCCCTGTCATCGCCGCTGTCTTCAGCAAAACTAACAGCTTAGCCATCAAGGTTCGCGGTTGTCGAGCCTTCGTCATCCTTTGCGGTGGTTCGAATGAATCATCGTCTGCTAATGACGGGCTTGACGGGTTGGGGCCTGATAAGAAAAAGAAGACGTCGTCATCAAGCGCCTTGGACAAATATACAATGCAAGAAAAAATCATTCCACTCATCAAAGCCATCAAAACCAAGGAGCCTGCGGTCATGATGGCTGCTTTGGATGTCCTACGAGTCGTAGGCGAGAATGCCGATGCCGACTTTGTGGCCATGGATATCCTACCGATTCTATGGAATATGAGTCTAGGGCCTTTACTAGACCTCAAGCAGTTCCAATCCTTCATGGAATTGATCAAGTCACTTTCTAGAAAGGTTGAGGAGGAACAGTTGAAGAAGTTGCAGGAGCTTTCGGTTGTGAATGGAGGAATCAGAGCGGCCTCGCCTAGTGATGACTTTATAGGATTCGGAGGTGTTGCCGGGACTACGTTTGACGCGACAAATGGAGCAACTGAAGATGATTTTGAGCGACTGGTAAAAGGAAAAACTACCAAAAGCTCCACGGATGCAAGTTGGGATGCAACACCAGCAACAGCGCCAGCAGCTTCTCCACCGTCGGTTAGGTCGCCACAGTTTTCTTGGTCAACACCAAGCCCTACTGCAACCGCTCCTCCTCCTCCTGGCCCTGGCCCTGTTCAATTTGGAGCCACTAGATCTCAAGCATCGTTCCGTACAGTCACGCCGGATCTCGCCCATTTTGGAGCTTTGACTCCTTCGTCTACTCAGTACTCACAGCCTCTACAACCTACTATCAGTAGCTCAGTAAACAATGGACCACAGAGCTCTTCCGCCGCCAGTTGGAATACCCCAGCTCCCGTAGCAGCTAATCCTTGGGCTTCGACCTCATCAGCCACGCAACAGCCAACGCCCACCTCTTCTTCCTTTGGCAACATGTCCACAGGGATGGCAAATCTAAACCTTAATCAATCGAGACCCGCCATAAGCCAATCCTCTTCTTTCTCCTTACCCCCTCCACCAACCAGTGCAAGCAGCGCGCCGAGCTTCAGCTTACCCCCACCGCCTGGAGGGATTCAGAGGCAGCAGAGTTCGACAACACCAACTTTATCGTCGTTTGGCCAGCCGTCGTCTGGCGGGCTCGGCAGTAGTATGGCTCACCAGCAGGCTGGGGGCATGAGTAGCATGATGAACACGGGGATGGGGATGGGGATGGCGCGCATGAATAGTGGTATGAGCGGTACGAATAACAACAGCATGAACAACATGATGGGCGGTATGAGTCAGCCGCCAACATTGCAGCCGCAGCCGCAGCCGCAGAAGTCGGGGTTGGATAAGTATGAGAGTTTAATATAGATGGGCTACGCTACTTGTTTACCTACTTTAGGTACTACATAGGTAGTAAGGATGAAAAATGGAGGGGGGGGAGGGGATGATTATGAATGAGGAAGTTAGAAACGTAGGATGATAGGTGTTGGTGTGGAGGTAATGAGAACTACGTCGCTTGTTGCTTTTGTTTTCTTCTGCGATGTGAATGTGAATGTGAATGTGAATGTGAATGTGAATGTGAATGAGTTGCGTACCTACCTACATAATGTGCCATGTGTGTGAATTATTTATATCAAAAAACCAATGCAGATAGTTGCCTACATACCTACCTCCTGATTTACCTAACTACTGTAGGTACCTACCCAGTATGAAGTCGTTTATTATACATACTACTAGCACCTCTATAGATACCTAGGTGGGTATGATATCCTTTTCGTAGACTTTCGATACATCAGCTATCTATCTATCTATCTATTTATCTACCTTAGTACATATATGTTTCTATACGTACGTTTTTTTTTTCCTATTCACAAACTTCAAGCTACTTCTTTTGTGTACCTACCTAAGTAGTGAACTATAAGGGATTTTTTGGTGTTTATATCATATAAGGGTAGTAGTAGGGGTGGAAAGGGAGGGGGTTTCAAAGTCGAGATAACTATACACATACGCATTCGCAATTTCTGTGTTAGATTTCTCCTGTATTACCTACTTCGTAGGGACCTGATAAACCACCCAGCCAGCCATCTATCTGCCTAGATAGACAGACGGATACCTACCTAGACAGGGACAAATGAATAGGTAGACGTATAGACATACATACATAGGTACACCTCGAAGAGATATGCTGTGCCATGCCATGCCATGTCAAGTACAAGTTCAAGTCGTCACGCCTACCTACCTAGGTACCTTTCTACTGAGGTGCATATCACGATACCTACTTACATAGATAGTCACAGAATGAATGGTCATCTCATTGAGGTTTTGCTTATTCTAGGCCTCTCTTTTCTTCAGCATCTAGTTTACATAAGTGGGAGGTAGGCACGTAGGTAGATAGACCACATTCCCTTAACATAATTCCGTTGTGTTAAACTTCATCCTATCCCCTTCTAATTATCTAAATAATTCAACTAATAACCCCAAAGAGTTGGTGAAAGTTGTGGGAAATAGGTAGGTTAGTGGTGTAATAAGTTCAACGAGAACGAATTCATTAAGTTTTGCTTATTTCATTATTAAAACACACCCATCAAATTCAAACCTCCATACCAAATTAGGCCCTTAACTCCTTGCTATGGAAAGGGAATACCGCCGAAAAAACGCCGTGGGGGATAGGTGATACATAGAGAGGTTGTCGGGTAAGCCATCTCTTTTCTATGGGATTTCATGACAAATACGCCTCTCAAAGTTCTGGGCTAGCCGACGAGTCTGTAGTAGTCGCAGTGAAAATGTGGCGACTCGTGTAGCCCTCTTCTAGCTTGATATCGACTACCTGGTCAGGCGGCACCATGCTGTGCTTGAGATCCCATCCAGCCCGACGGCATAACTCGGCCACTACAACATCACAGTCACCAAGAAGGTCGATATCGAAGTTGACATGGGTGACTGGTGTTCGTGATATGTAGATCTGAGGGATGTGCGCTGGTAGGTAAGGCACCACCTCAGATACTGGCGCCACCTTGAGCGAGGTGCCGATGACAATAACCAGATCGACAAGATCACGGTCGTGCTTAACTAACCGTTGACTGAACTCGTCGGGAAGCTCCTCGCCGAAGAAAGTAATGTCTGGTTTCATAATACCAGCGGCAGGGATATCATACTGATCATCGTCGTCGTCGTCGTCGTTTGCGCTCCTACGCCGGGTTTTTCTGCCAGTCGACTTGTTATAGGATCGCTTGCGCTTCATCGATCCATTATTTCGCAAGCTGGCGATGCAGGTAACACACCGCGGTATCCTACCGGCCTTGATGTCGGCAAAGATGGCGTCGCCTTGGACCTTGTAGCCACACTTCTGGCAACTGGCCGTGGCAAAGGAACCGTGGCATTGGACAAGCTTCTCTGGTTGAATACCAGCATTTGCTTCAATGTTGTCGATATTCTGAGAGTAATTGGTCAAAAGCTTGCCCATGTTCTGAAGCTTGGCGATAAAGGCGTGAGTTGGGGAGAACAATCCTTTGGTGTCTGGAAGGATGTCCTTGGCAACTGAGTAGAAGATGTTTGGGTCCTGCCGAAAGACGTCGATGTTAAAGACTTCTTGTGGGTCGTTGATTCCCAGGCCAAGCTTCTCCAGTTGTGAGTATAAGCCAGTTTCTTTGGAGCGGAAATCAGGTATACCAAGTGAAGTCGATATGCCAGCTCCAGTAAGCACAACAATATTCTTTGACTTCTTCAGCAAAGCGACAGCGTCATCAATTGTGTTGTAATTGACGAGCTTGGCGCGCTTCGCTAGCTCACGAGTCATAGCTAAGGTGAGCAAGCCATAGTAGGCGTGGTCTGGAAGACCTTCCAAGAAGGGTGGAGGTCGTATGCCAAATGCTGTAAGAAGCTTCTTGGCCGTGATGATACCAGAGTCTACTGTGGCCCTACAAAATTCTTTAGGTCCAATAGCTCGTAATTGTTGGCGATAACGCACAGCATCCTCAGGTGTGACGGCATCGACTAGAAGGCCATGTTAGGACGAATCTTAATGATGGTGAAGGGAAATAGAGTAATAGATAATTAGGCTAGAATAAGGGAACAAGAGGAGCAGAAGAAGAAAGCTTACCTTCGTTGAAGAATCTATCTTCAGCGATATCTTCGATAACATCCTCAAAGAGCGACTCAGTTTCCCAGGAATCACCGAGATCGTTAATTCGTTCTTCCAACTCATTCCGAGCATGACCGCGGCCGTGTGGTCTCACATTTAAATGACCAACTTGCTGGTCATCGGCGACCTCAACTCGAACTGTAGGAGTTTCAGCTTCTTTTACCGCCGCATTCTTGCGAGGTCTACCAACGGGGCGTTTTCCCTTCATCTTAATTGTTGGGGTGGTGAATGAATACGGCAAAAGTAAAGAGAGAATGAAGATAGGTAGAATGGGTATGTAACCTTGTAAGATAGAGAGAGGGCCAAGGAGGAGTTAATTGGTGAAAGTGAGTTGCATATATAGTAAACTAGAATAGGCTGACTTATTTGATTGACTAATAACCTTGGAAATAAATGACCAATTAATAGGTAGGGTCTTGCAGAAGTTGATTGGGATTAATGGATGGATGGATGGATGGATGGATGAATTCTAGAAGAGAGAAAATGTTGTTAGTGGGAGGAAACTGTGTTAGTGAAAGAAGACGAAGAAAATTAAAAAGCGTGAAGAGGAAAAAAAAAGAAAGACAGGTTGAAAGGTTGGGTGGGAGGAAGTGTAGATATGGATGTAATGGATGATGGAGGGAAACTATACTTATTACTTACCAGGTAGGTAGGTAGGTAGACAGTGGCCAACGCGTTTGTTATGTGTAATGTTTTATGTGCTATGAGTTGCGCAGGTTATTTTTATTTTTGGTCAGGTTTTGGGGGAAATTATTTCATGTAGCTGGAGTTGAGAAAAAAAGATAAGTGGTAGTAAGTCACATATGTATGTCCTCCTCTTCTTCTTTTTCTTCTTTGGGGTTTATCCAGAGTTTCAAGGTTGCAGAAGTATTTTGAATATTTCAATACTTACTAGTAGTACTTCCAAGATGGGTGAATTTTGTATTAGTTCGTGCTGTATTGAATGAATGTATGCAGAGGAAATATTAAAAGCGAAGGAAGGAGTAGAAATGAAAGTCGACTAATTAAAACTCTCCAACTGAGAGAGATCTCATACGTACCTACCTACCATACACACTATGTAGTGCTTTCCTATTCATTCCAATATGGAACATTGGAAGTTACTTATAAGAGCATACGAATACATGCATCTACCTACAATCTTATGATAACTATTGCCTCAACGAGTTTAGCGACCTGTGCGCATCTATCTCAGAAATCGAATAAAATAATTCCAATTACAATCCAAGAACTTGTAACTTTCCATCAACACCACCGAACCATCACGGGGGACTAGTTCCCTGGAAAATACAGAAAAAATATCCTTCACCTTTGAATAACATGCAAGAGTATTTTGTGTTTGCCAAAATGTACTAGTATCGAGTGAAGCAGTAAGCTAGAGTTTGGGATATTTTACCTGTCTAACCAAGTCACGATGACCTTAATATTTAGTAGATAGTTATAGTTACAGTTACAGTCATATATGCAACAATCAGAACCCGAGACCAACTTTCCCCTCGAGTTGTAAATATCATGAGATTCCCAATCGGTCGACAGCCCCTTTTCTTGATAGGCTCGTCCAAACATGCCAACCAACAAACCAAGAAAAAGGGAAAAAGGGCAAAAAATCGCATCACTGTTCTACTCCACTTTATATCAGTACCTACGCACATTGGAAAGGTATATCTCAAGCATAAACCACCCATCTAGGTCTCACTATGTATTATACTTGCAACCGCTTGTTAGGTACCTAGGTAAGTACCCAAGCAGCAAGCAAGCAAACAAGCAGTCTACCTACGCTCTAACCAACCTCCATACAGTCACGTAGCCCAGCCCAGTCCCTCGACATAAACTTGAAACTACACACCTCAGACCTAGATGCCTACAAGGCCCGATACGGGCTAACAGAACTTCGCGCCAACGGTGGCCGAGTTCTCGCCCGGAGGGGGGGGAGACAACGGGAACAGTTAGAGCATCATCGGGTATGCCCTTTTCAGGTGTGATATGTAGGATATGTGTACTAGAACCAACTTGGCCCTGTCCCTCCCATTTAATGGGATGGTAGGAATTCATGTATATAGTACTAGGGTCGCCGCATACCCCTAAGGAGGTTGTGAGGGCAGGTTCTTCCTTCCCCCCTTGACACGGCGTTGAATATGTTGACCAACCAGCCAGCCAGCCAGCCAGCCAGCCAAGTCCAGCTCAGTCCGCCATCGAGTGTTGTTGATTTTGTATTAGGTGTTTGCTGTTGACATATCCTACCCAGGGTCAAAATTAACCTACGTAGGTAGGTAATGAAGATTGTTTATGCATTAATGTGATATACACCAAATAACATCTACTTATCCTCGCAAGCACAGAGAGAGAGAGAGAGAGAGAGAGCGAGAGCGGCAGAGAGTTAGGTAGGTATCCATGGATTAGGTGTATATGTACCTACCTGACCTAAGCAAACTCCCATTATCCTAACATCTTCATCTAAACCCCACACCCCCTTTATCACCCCTTTCAACCACCATCCATCGAATATTCAACGCTCGTCATATATGTAACATGATTACTCGACAACAGGCAGGTCTTTAAGTCATTTTTTTCATTTTTCATTCCTTCATTTTTTTTTTTTTTACTACACGAAGTTTTTGTTATCTATCATCGCCCTAGTCCTGATCCCTACATACGCACATTGAAAGAAAAAGGAAAGGCGATCTCTATTACGGCCATGCCCGGCTTACGCCAACGTTCGTCTTGTCTATCACGTCAAAGCATCTTTATCCCAGACCTAAAAGTCCATAAACCCCACGTGAAGTGTGAAACATAAAGGGGCCCGAGGTGGCCCCTTTCCCAAAACTCCATACCCAATACCGAAATGATCGTTTTCAGATTCTGTTCTTGGGCTGTCGTCTCCTTACTTTCGGTAACAGCTTGCGAGGCACATACTGCTCATCCCCACGAGGGGTTATTGTCAAGATTTGTATTTTGCCGCAGCATGGTTACAAATTAGATCCCTACTCAATTATAATTGGCGCGGGTTCTGCTGGTGTAGCCAGCATAACAGGAGCAGTAGCAGGGTCAACAAATGCTGATCCCTAGCTACAAGAAGACATGGATTAAAATTGTAATACCCAATATTTTCAGATATCTTCCTCGCTTCTCGTACGTGCTATCGCTGCCGCCGGATATCTCTTGATTTCAGGTGACGTCAAGCTTGGTTGATTTAACTAAAAAAAAAAAACACTTTCATACCGCCTAAGAAATGGATTTCTGCTTTTGGGGCGGCTGTGGAACACTCAGGCGGGGCACATTAGAAGCGCTGGACTCCTCAATCTCTATTGGTTCTTCCGTCAAGACGGGGGCCGGCTCTAATTCACTGTTGGAGAGTGGCGACGGCATTGGGCGAGGCGCTGGGAAATCTCGATCTCCTGTTCTCTCTACTGGGGACCATCCAGCTGCCACACTGCCAGCGATGATACCCGCCATGACCGTAGGGGCCCCTAGTGCAGAGTTTGACCTAGACCTAATAGACCTGGATCGTTTTCGCGAATCCGGCGTTGGTGCTGGTGAGGGAGAGCTGAAACTGTCTTCACGGGTGGGAGTTTGTGGCACCCTGATCGAGTTTGATCGAGAGTGGGATGGGCTTCTCGTCTTCGCAATGAAGGCCTCGCGAGGATGTCGTACGGCGAATTTCAGATTGTTGAGACGACCACCCTTAAGCTTCTTGAGGAATGCCAGTTCATCCCGAACATCAGCAAGGACTTCAGGGTAATCGTTGAATTCTTCATCCGAGATCGTTAAGCCAGGAAGGCCGCTCTTCTTCTTGAGAGACTCAGGGATACATTTTCTGACCAATTCGTCAGGAATTAAGCGGATCACCATCCCCACAGGAATGGAAATTGCACCAAGCACGATTGCAGTCGCCCATTGGGGACCGGTCTGAGGCGGATCGGTTGTGGAAATGCTGAAAGGGGTTGAGCCAACAAAGATGATGAGGACCTGAGCACCTGACACGGCAAGATTGATTGCAAGGAAGTACCAGTTCTGCGACAAGCCTTCGAATATGTTGAATTTGTTGTCTAACCGACGATTGCTGCGAAAGTGTTAGTACTGGCTGGGTACGAGATTAGTAAAAGGATTTGTACTTACTTCCATTGGTTGAAGATCTGCATCCAAACGAAGGTGTTGAAAACCAGAGTATCACGTGGAGTGGCCTGATCATGATTATTCTCGACCTCTTGAGCTATGCCGATAGTTACCGCAGCATAGTAGAGCACGAAAGTGATTGCCAACTGATACATTGCCTGGCCGAGGATCATCTTCCACATCGTTATCGAAATAATGTTGGCACCCCTGCGTTCCGGCTTTCGGTCTAAACAACTGTCCTGGGGAGGGTCGGTGGCCAGAGCAAGCGCGGCGAGTGTGTCCATGATCAAGTTAACCCATAGAAGCTGAACGGCTGTCAGAACGGAGCCTTCATCACTACTGGAGACGGCCGTAACGAAAGTCAACACGACGGCCGTGACATTGACAGTAAGCTGAAATTGTAAAAATCGCTTGACGGCATCGTTAACAGCTCGGCCCCATTTTAAGGCTTTCACGATACTGGTGAAATTGTCGTCCATCAAAATGATAGCAGATGCCTCTTTTGCAACTTCGGTGCCAGAAATACCCATGGAAAACCCAACGTCGGCCAGTTTCAAAGCAGGTGCATCGTTTGTACCATCGCCCGTAACAGCAACAGTCTCACCCAAATCCTTCAATCGGCGGACAAGAATGCGTTTATCCTCGGGGCTAGAACGCGCAAGAACGCGGAGACGCGGAATGATCTCATTCTGTTGCAACTTGCTAAGATTTCGGAACTCTGGTCCTTCCATAACTAACCCGTCTGGTTCTAGTATGCCGCACTCCTTCGCGATAGCCTGAGCCGTAAGCTTGTTGTCACCGGTAACCATGCGAACAATCACACCGGCCCTTTGGCATTGTTTGACTGCCTCAGGGACACCTTCACGAAGAGGATCCTGGATACCGACCATACCGATAAAAGTCATGTTGTTGAAGATCTTCTCGAAAACGACCTCGTTCGGATCGCCGTCGGTACGTCGGGCATCTCGTGGGGGCCATCTCTCGAAGTCGCGGTAGATAATGCCAATTGTTCGTAGTGATCTAGATGCGTAGTCCTCGATGAGACCCTTGATGATTTCTGTGTTGTCTGGGGTAAGAGGAGCAGTCGACGTATCTTTCGTCGGGTCGCGAAGCATCAATGAACACTTGCCAAGAACAATTTCCGATGCACCTTTTACATATAAACGAGCCCCGCCATTCTTATTTTGAACGACGATACCCATACATTTGCGGCCAGAATCGAAAGGAATAAGCTGCAGGATCTTTGCGTTTGCCCGCTCCTCGCTGATAGGTCCCATACCGAGGTGAGCTTTAGCAAATTCGAGTAACGCGGTTTCAGTCTTGGATCCAATAAAAGCCTTGGCACCGTCAACCTCGCCTTCAAAAGCAGTCGAGTTCAGGGAGATGGATTTCAGTAGAATCTCCTGGGTATCCTTGCTGAGAGAAGTAGCGAATTCCTTCTCCGATGGTTCTTCGGGAGCAGGGCCGTTTTCTCCCTGTGGTTTCCCGCTTCCAAATCGATGAGAGATACCAATCGTGCCGGCCACAACAGTCATCTTGTTTTGTGTCAAGGTACCAGTCTTGTCCGAGCAAATCGTCGTTGCATTTCCCATGACTTCGCAAGCCTTTAGGTGACGTACCAGGTTATTGTCCTTAACCATGCGGTTGGTGGCAAAAGCAAGCGCCAGGGTGACAGCGAGAGGTAATCCTTCTGGAACCGCAACAACAATAATAGTGACAACGACGATGAAGATCTCAATAAACTGTTGGCCTTTCTCGGAAGGTGATAATGCCGAGTTTGAGGGGAGGCGGACCAGGAACATGATGAAAAGTACGATAAACAATAGTAGACCAGCAGCACCTCCAAGCTTCGCGATATATTCAGCAATGACGTTGAGTTTAGACTGGAGAGGCGTGATCTCAGGGTCCTCGTTCAGAGACATCATCGTTTTACCGTAGCTCGAGTAAATACCGGTAGATGTAGCAAGAAAGGTTCCTACACCTTCCATTACTCGACCACCAGATTGGATAAAAGGATCCAGCTTTCTCGTGTCTTCCCCGTTTTCGATGGCGGCAAAAACGTCGTCGGCCGGTCTCTTGCGGAGAACATCCGACTCACCTGTAGCTTGCGATTCATCGCACTTGACGTTGAAGCCTTGGATAAGAATGCCATCAACAGGGATCAAATCGCCGGGTTCCAGATGGACAACATCGCCTGCTAATAAGTCATAAATAGATATCTCTACCGTCTTGCCCGAACGAACTACCTTGACGAGGCGGTCTTGCTTCTTCCTGTTGAGTTTTGCGAATTGCCTTTCCTTCTGCCAATCATTGAGAGAGCCAACCAATACTACAATGACAATGGCCGCGATGATAGCCACACCTTCGATCCACTCGACAGATGGTGGTTCATCCGGATTATGCGGAATACCAAGAGTTTGGTAAAGACCGACGGCGAGTGAGACAATGGCGGCGATGGAGAGTAGAATGAGAACCTTGTCGTTATAGGTGATCCATACCAGTTGCAAAAAGCTCTTGCCCTTCTTCTCGGGAATTCGATTATCGCCGTAGACTCGTTTTCTGTCAATGAACTGCTCGTCGGATGCATGTTTGTGGTTGGGATGCGAATGGTCGACGGGGGTTTGTGGGCTATCTAGCCCTTCATTCGCCAACTTAGACGCCGAGCGGCTTGTAGCTTCTTCAAATGTTACTTTGCCATCCAGATGCTTCTCGTCCGGGCTCAAGCCTGTGTCTCGATTGCTCCTCAACCCCTTTTCCATGCCAGCAAGACCTCCAAGCTGATAGAAGGCGGATAGACTTTTGGGGTTGAACATCTTGGTGAGCTGACCAGGGCTATACGCAAAGGGATTATTCTCCACCACGAAATCCGACTCCTTGCCTTGGTCCGGTTTCAAGGCAGTCTCATCCTTCATTATCTTTTCGTTGTCGAAGGAAAATTTCGATGCCGCACTCTTCTCGCCCTGCCATGATGCTGCACCGGTAACAGTATCCCCTTGGGAAGATCCAATTGACCGTGCTCCATCGTCACTGTCGACGGAATTTTGCCTCGAACGATGGTGATTTTCCGGCACTGAAAGAAAAGCCTGACCTTTTTCCATTGCTCTTGAAGTGACTGGGCTAGAAACGTTATGCGGGCTTGTCGGCCTACTATCCCTGGTGCTATCAAACGAACCCGTTGGCCGCACCTCTCCCTTGGAACTGGCATTAGATGGCTGAGAAGTGAGGGTTGCGGCCGTCCTCTCAGTTGCGAAATTTGCTGTCAGTGTTGTCGGACTTATCGATTCATCGTGAGGGGATACGGGCGACTGCTGGGGAGCAGTGGATGAAGGCTCATTATCATTTGTAGTGTCAATCGTGATTGTAGGACTAGATGCAGTACTATTCGGTTAGAATACTCAATGATACCTCTAGGCAGAGGTTTGCGGGTATTATTCATGGGGCAAGCTTGACTTACGCTCTCGCTCGACGCGGCGTCCCCTCGGAACCATCTTTGATGGGATTGGGGTTGGGATCGGCCATGGCGCTCGTGCAAATGGGCAGATATGGTTAGCAGGATGCTCAAGGTGATTATCTAAAGCAGAAAATCGTGGAACAACGCAGCCTTGCAACTTAAGGCTACCACGCTGATATGGGCGAAATAGTGCGCGCGCGAAGAAACGGCCATCGACGTAGGGCACTATCTTCGAGATTGTCAAGGCGGCCCGTGTATTAACGTTCCGTGGTTATTAAATTGGTCCGGGATTTGAGACTTCGGGAGCGTAAGAGCTCTTGCAAGACGTATCTATCCAGGCTGGAGAATAGGTATGGTTAAGGTAATAATGTATCTGCGAGTTTGTTTCTTGTGGCTCTGGCGCGTAAGAGTCGTGACAAGGGGCTCAATGGATGCGAATACGGCACAGATCCAAGGCAATTATGTTTCCGAGATAGCTCTCAAGATGTCAAGTCGACAAGTGTTGAGGATCGGCGGCTGAGGATCGATAGGGTCTAAGACGGTCAAGATGGCACAGACCTTAGGACCGAGGAATATGAATGTTTCGCAAAAATGATATGAGTAAACAATACGACGATAGTATGAGAGTAAAAGGGCTATGGCATGTTTCGGGAAGGTGTCTGTAACGTTAGGCGAGGCACAGGTAGATGTCCAGTAGGCGTAAGCACCTTTGGATAGACTGTAGATGCCCTACGGAGTAAAGTTGAGAGCCCTAGAGGCAACAAGAAAAAAAGGTTCCGAGGAATGAGGCTGTGCAAAGAAACACACTTGATTCGCTCGGTTGAGTTGAGTGGTTCAGATGCCAAACACCCAAACAAAGAATAAAAATTAAGCGATGATGAGGTTTATTAGATGGAGGCGGTAGTACATATAATAGTAGGATATGTACGGCCTGTCACTCAATATATCTCCGAGTTGGAGGAGAAAGATACGGAAGTGGGTGACGGCGGAAGGGCGACGGAGGATGAGTGAGGATGGAAGAGGTTCAATGTTAAGTTTGTTTGTATGTCAGAGTCCCCGGGTCCGTTCATTAATGACCGTTGCGACCTGAGATCTGAGAGAGATAGTAATAGCAAACAAGCAAAAAAAGGAAAATCAGGATCTATGACAATCCGACTTGACGACCTTCAAGGAGTGTATGGAAGTTGGATAGAGAGAGAGGTCTGGTCTGGTCCGAGAGTAAAAAGAAAAAAGAAGACAAAAATATCTAGATGTATAATCGACATTCAAACCTATTTGCAATTGGGCCAATGGCATGGTATCTAGGTACCTAGGTACATTGATAGTTACTAGGTACGTTCTAGTCGAAATGTTTAAAAGCAGACACCCATTGATCCATGCATGTCTGTCCAGGGGTGTTTACACCTGTGTACATTCGATACATCTGTTGAGACTGTCCAAATGTTGTACCTATCCGCCCAAAGGTTGCACGGTCGAAACGCGCTAGCACCCGCTTTGGCATAAAAGTCTTACAATTCAATGTAGTCGATTGCTTGCTATTTTAGACATAATGCCTAATTGAGGCACTAGTGGGAAAGTTTATCGCGGTTCAAATATGAACCTTAACCAATAGTTGACTTTTATTTATTATAGCGCGGATTTTGATCATGATTGATACTGGGTAGGTGCAAGCTACATCTAGGGTATATAGTACTAGTATATACCCTGTATGTACTACATGTAACTATGTCCCATAAACACATAACTACTACTGGTAGTAAACACTTCCAAGTTGACTTTGAAGTCTTGAACATTTAAAAACTTACGTTATTACATCACACCAAGTTTATGCCCCCTATTCGATCATGACAACAGCACGAAGATTTATATTGTTATATATAGGCGTGTGAATATTCATCTTATTATCAATAGTATCATTGTCTTTTCTTCTATATTCTCTCAGTCTACCCAACTATCTATCTAACCTTCTATCACTTGGCACAACAAAACAGAGACCGCGTGGTTCATGACGGTAAATTACAAAATAACCAAGATATGGACCCTCAAATAAAGGCCTGATCGTCGTGTCATTACCGCCCGCGATCCTCCATACTAACCGACTTATAAATTGGACATACTTCCGTTTCTTCGCTGTTCAATGCAATATGTATGCCACGGTCCCTTGCCCAGAAAACTGTTGACGAATTAGAGGTAACCTGACAAGGTTCACCGGATGTGCCAAGGGAGGCAGTGCAAAACTTCTTCGGGGCATCGCTGACCCTCGCTACTTACATAGTACATACCGATAGGTAAGATAATAGGTATGTACGCCGTAACTACATAGTTACATACCTGCCACCCGGCCGACTTCAATTCATCTATGGTCGAATCCTGATCTAGGCACCGCGCTTGTATGTACATAGTATTAATTGCATCCTTTCCAGTGGACCTACACCTACTGGCTGTCACGAAAAGCCCTATAATACATATGATACAGTAACATTATGCCTTGGTCCTTGGGTGGAATTCCATGAATGTAGCGAGCGCTTGCGAGTTTACGAGATAGTAGCGAATACGCCGCATTGCAACTTAATTACCTACATACCTACATGTACTGTAGGTCTGTGGGTGCTGACAATGGTAAGAAACATTTCCTTTCGGGAGCGAGCTTCAAACCAGACTTTGGAATTTTATCTCATGTGGAGATTTATGTAGGCGTTTCCGGGGTAAAAGAGATCTAATTGCAGATATTTCGAGAAGGCAAATGGTCAAAGCCAGCCTCGCCTCTACACGGGCTCTCAAGTTAATATCATGAAATCCATTCGTCGAGTCTCGCTACGTTTATGTAAATAGGTATCACCCATACTCTCAGCCGTTATTCATCAACCATCCATATCAACTCTACAACATCTGGAACATCTGGAACAAAACGCAATACCAGCAATAATATGATGGCAAGCTCCTTTAGCCCCTGAGTTAATCACAAACCAACAATGCAATTGCCGTCTAAGAGACTTGGCTTATGTCGTAGATCTCACAGCGAACAAAGCAGATCGAAGAAAAAGTTGTCACGGTCTTCTATTTATGGTTGGGAAATGGCAACAGCCGTTTACCTTTCCTCAAAATTGACAGTGTTGATAATGTCTGAGGCCTCATGGAAAAATTACTACTATGTACGACTTCAGATATCAATTCTCACTTTCTACTCTCTATAATCGAGTTAACCTCTCCTTTCCTCGTGCAATTCTCCTAACTCTACACAGAAAGCTTAACAGTTCTATTGCTAAGACAATTGAATGTCTAATCTCAGTTAGGCCAAGCTCTCAGCAGAAACAAGCATCAACTTACATAAGTCTCTTCAACAACAACGAGGGAACCCACCCTTGGCAGCGTCTCTCCTATCCAGCCAAGATGCTCTAAGAACAAGTTTCATCAGGAACAGCACATGCTATACTGCATTTCGTGGTATAACCCATGTTCTAGATCGGCATTGTAATTGTTTTTCAACCAATTGCCAAATAACTGCATCGGTACTTGTATGTAGCTGTATGGAAGCCCTGTCCTAGCACCCCTTTTTCTGAAAATTGAACTCTGAGGTTGTTGCTGTTGTAACATCGCAGACGAGTCAGCCTCGCCCACGGTAGATACATATGTAAGAGCCAGCTTCTACTCGGCCAGTAACAACGTCCCAGTCTCATCCACGTGGAACGCTGGGGAGGGATATTATTGGGGGAAGGTGTGTTATGTACATACCGATATGTACATACATGCCTCCCCGCCGTGGTAATCGCGTGGCGGGCGGGTCATGTATTGATGTCTCCGTCTGCTGATAGGTGAAGGAGAAATGGCTTGCAGCCGGGCAGATGCAGGTTCTGAGGCCCCGATCGGAATCCTTCTTAAACTGCCTCTTACTTAAATATCCCTACTATAAAGTGGGTTTTTGGTCATAAAAGTCATCAGCCACAACATAAAAACAATACCTTACTCAAAACAGCTAGGAAGCTATTTGCACAAATTCTGTAAGATCCCTGTAACGATTTTAAGAGCCTCTTGGCAGGTATCTTTTAAATTGGGTCAAAAACTAAACTATAACAGGTAAAGCGTCTCCATTTTTCTCAAAAATAAGGCCTTTTTTAAGAGGCGGTTGAAAGGTAGGGTCTTACGTTAAACTCGACCTTAGAAAGTGGGTCAAATATGCATTTCATTTTCAAGAATAAACACTTTTTTAAATATATAAAATCCATTTAAATAGATAAAATTCTTGAAAAAGAAATCAATTATTATTTAATTTTATAGAGTTCTAATGAGTATTTCGTTATAAGGGTGGCTATTAAATTGAATTTTATTTGAATTTATTTGGATTGTTTGAATTTAAATATTGCGGTCGGTAACCTTAGAGGTTAAATTCTGGCTCCAAAGGTTCAATTCTGAAAGAGAATCGCAGGGGATGAAAAGATACATTTTAGACCCATATATTCTTTATGCATTTGAATGTACCTCTCCACTTTCTAAGAGGCAGTTTAAGAAAGATTCCGATCGGGGCCTGAGTAACGTTATGAGATTCGTTCTTTTCTATATAGCCATTTCCTCCAATCGTATATATTCTTATGTATCAATTCCCAAATCTATTTCGAAAGATCGCAGCATCCACCGTAGAGCCTACCAATTCTCAATTTTCACCATACTAATAGACCAAAAAAAAAAAAAAAAAAAAAAAAAAGATTTACAGCAAATAGCTACATACATAGTAGAACTGCTCACCGAATCACACATGCCCACCCATAAAAAAGCATCTGGGCATGCTTCGAATTGGTTTAGAGACATAGAATTCGCATGTGAATATATGGGGATAGGCGGATACATAGTTCCCAGTCCCCTATGGAAAGGCGCTCCGTCAGTCCGCGCCTCGGACTTCCTCCAAGTTTTTTAATTACTATCAAAGCTTTTCAATGCTAAATACCCTGTGTTATCGCTACCTACCTACCTACCTACCTACCTATGTGATAGCACCTAATATAGATCATTAGAATCCAGTAACTCCTCCGAAGTCACCTAGTTAGAATTGTGTATGGCGTATCCAGATGATTTACGCGTCAAGGCAGATTTTCCAAGCCAGCATCATCTAATATGAACCACGCGAAGATGATGACTTTCGGCTGAAGGAAAATTCATCTCAACAACTAAAGCCGAACATCGCAAATGATATTTCATGCTACAGTACATACCTCCTACAGACAAGACACAAGATGGGGAGACTCTAAGCCACCAGCGCCGTAAAGATGCCTCCTAACTTCTAAATTATTAGCATAACTAGGTTAGGTAGGTACATATGGATTCAAGTCGAAAACCTCTAACTTCGACCCCCATCCTCTTGACCGATTCGTTGTTTTGAATGAGCGGGAATTTTACTTTATCTATTTCTATTTCCTGGGGACGCGTGGATGCGGCTCGGTTGCAAAACTAACCCCTCTGAAGACTTCGTTGCGGGCTTTTTTTCCTTTTTCTTTTTCTGTGACAGACGGCTTACATGCATGCATGCATGTAATGCTTCCCTCCCAAGTTGATAGTCCCATACATATGTAGTTACTTATTACAAGACTCGATGAAGAGTTGCTACTAGTAGTACATGAAGCTGGTTATCAGATTACTAAGCACCTAGTTATTCCGATATGCAGTTGAAACATACATATATGTACACAGACTGGTGGTTTCCCCCCTATCTTCGTAATGCATCCCACATGTCTCTACACCTCCAAAAACTACAGGTAAGCCAGAAGCCGGAACCAATAGTAACAAGTCATCTTGTGAAACATCAACAAGCCTTTGAACCTAACTTGTGCTTAAAAGAAGAAAAAAAAGAAAAAAAAGAAACCCCTACGTAGATACGATACACATCCGCAGGGCTGTGCTTGAGTGATGGTGTTGTGATCAATCACGCCAGCGGTGACACAACAGCCGTCGTCTTTCGTTTGAGGCCTTCGTAATCGAATCTCTCTGGCTCTTCACCTTCAATGTTCCCAACATCAGGATTGACACCAAATCGATATGTATGTATGTATGTATGTGTACCTACCTCCCGTGCCACCAGCAGTTTCTCTTTTCCGCGTGGCAGTGCTCGATAGTCCCCAGCCAATTCATTTAACTAAACGGTTTGTGTATTATCAGTACATACATAGAGAGGTAGGTTAGTAGGTATGTAACTTAGACGTAATAACAAAAAAAAAAAAAAAACAATCCGGTTTCTTCCTAGTTACATAGAGACATATCAAGTTTCTCTTTTGCTTAGCTACGTATGTACTGTATGTACGCTACCTACATATACCTACCTACCTACCTATTCATGCTAGGAAGAGGCGTACACATGCATTTGCGTAGGTAAGTAGGTAATATACGATCGTACAATATAGCTAAGGTCTCAAGAGCCATCGTCAGATATTGGAGGCTTTAGCGCAAAGCCCACAAGGCCAACCAGAGCTCGGCAAAACGCAACCCCGGATTTTTTGACACGTCTTGGGCCCTTGGCTTTGGCTTCCCGGCCTCGTCTTTTTTTTTTTTCTTCCTCCATCTACGTGGTCATCGATGACCACATGTGCAGTTATGGCATACGAGACACGCACCTGCGTAGTCCAAACAAGCATGGCGAGGAAGGAAGGGGGAGGGGAGGGGGCGAGTGTGGTAGGTAGGTAGGTAGGTAGGTAGGTAAGCTGCAAGGCAACCCAGAAAAAGGAAATCCTGGAAGGAAGACATCATCACCTCGAAGGGAAAACCTACACCGTCTCAAGCAGAACTCGCCTTTCAGATAGATTAAGCCACCTGCCTCCTACCCAGCCGCACGTATGTAAAGAAGGCATGCCTAACCTCCATCTAATTTTCTCGTGCAACTACACCCAGATGCGAACTACGGTGTTGCGTTACCTATGAGATAATGACTCGTATTATTATCTAACGTACCTGCCTACCTATTTCACAACTTCAGATGGTCATAGATCGCTTTACCTCTACATCATTCCAGCCTACCTCTAGTTATATTGTACACCCCCAAGTCCAAGTCCTAGTCCATGCACTTACACTTATGTACACACGCACATCCCACAGATAGACGATCAACATCACTCGTTCACTCACACCACCGACACAGCCACCACCTACGTGTAACATATATATAAGCACCTCCCTGTCTACCTACATATCCTAGGTATGAAGTCTAATCTAAACAGATCTACGTACATGTATGTAGCCCTCATATTGTATCTATCTACCTGCCTGCCTGCCTGTCTGTCTGCAAACTACGCATATCAGCAATATCAGTAGCTGAATAGGGCGTCAGGCATTCATCCGCCGCGTTTAAAGCCTGGTGGTCATAGATACTGTCTACTGGTAGTAGGCAGATGCCTACTTACCTGCCTACCTGCCTACCTACTAAGTAGTATCATGTACGCCCCTCAAAGGCGCCAATATAGCCCAAGTACATGATATTTGATGATTCAGTGATTTGATATAGATGCCTAGTACCTATACAGGCACTTCTATACTTACCTACACTCACACTACGCTCCCTCCCTCCCACTCACCAACAAGAGCCGAGATTCATTTAGGGTAGTACATACATACCTACCTACCTAGGTTAGAGAGCACCAACCCTCCCATATGAACCACTTGGGTTAGGCCAGCCAAAGTCAACCATAGCTAGATCTGCGTAGTTACCTAGGTAGTAAAGCTTGAGTTGAGATATGGCTGGGCTATAATAGGTGCCGGTTCCCGTATTTACCTACCATAGGTACATGCACGTGTAGAGGAAAACCTAGGGCGTGTCGGTGGGAGAATGAGAACCTTGGAAGTGGATGAAGATAATGTAGGTATTGTACCTAGGTAAGTGCCTAGGTTAGGTAGCTTACCTGAGGGTTAGGTTATTACAACATCACAGCGGTATCGAGGACATGCAGACTATAACTGCTGGATGATTTCCTCTAATCTAGGTAGCCACGTAGATAGATACCTTCAAGGCTACTTATGTAGTTATTTTATACTTCGTTAAAGAACCGCATCTATCGTGAAATCTATGGCAAAGGCCCGATTCTAACCTCTCTGCTACATGTTGTGTCTAACCCCCTTTTTCATTTTAGTATGCCTATCCTCTCTCCAGGGCTATGCACAACCACACACACCCCTATGTAATACCTCACCCCTTTTACTTTTCCATTTCGATTCCTTTCCTTTACTTTCCCTCTCCTCTTCCATCCCTCTACCATCCCAGCTCCACCCGTCTAACCAACACCAACTCCTCGCCTTCCTTCCTCCCACCCACTTCCTTCTCCTCCTCCTCTCCCTCTCCCTCCATAAAGAACCCCCCAACAGCCCTCTTTAGCACCTCCTCCCACAAGCCTTGCACCAGCGCACTAAGCTCACCACCCGTCTGCTTGAAATCCGGGAACGCATTAACCTCCAGCAGCCACGCCCTTCCCTGCGCATCCACCAAAAAGTCAAGCCCAAAGATCTCCCACGCGTTCGGGAGGGGCCGGAAGTGCATCTGCATAGCGCGAACAGCAGCCTCGAACGCCTCGGCGGTGACCTCGCATATCTGCTTGAAGATGTCTTCTGTTAGTTGGGAATCGAGGGGCAGGTCCCAGAACCGCTGGACTGTGCCTTCGCTCACGGAGCGCTGGAGACAGGTGTTGGTGAGGTGGGCCTCGAGGTCGATGGGTGACGTGTCATGGGTAGTGGTTTGAGGGGCAGCGTACGGCTTTCCTGCGAACAAGGCAAGCATCTGTCTGTAGACGTACACATCTAGACTACCGATACACGCAACGTACGTGCGGATGTGGAACTTGCGGTTGTCGTCTGGTAGGAGGAGGGGTGGGTGAATATACGGCTGGGCCACGAAGTGACGAAGATGCGACGTCGTTATGTAGTCTCGCTCAGCGGCATCGTTGCCATTCCTTTTACCACCTGCCCCTTCTTCGTCGTCGTCCTCTGCGTCATCATCGGAATCTGGAAGGTCTTCCTCCCACTCGTCAAATATACCTTGAAGCTCCTCCATCGTGCTGAACAACCGAATGCCCTGACCCCTATCACTCATGCTCGGCTTGAGAATCCACCATTCCGTCTCGTGGTTTGGTTCCGCAGCCGCGTTCTTTTCCAAGCTAGCGCGCAAGTCAAACGCCTCAACGAGAGCATCATCGAGGAACTCGGCATAGTCGAGCTCGAACGCCTCGCTGCGTTTGACATGCGTCTTTAGTACCGTCTGTGGCCGCTTCGCTACCCAGTGCTCAACCGTTGCGGACAGGTAGTGTTTTCGGATCAGCGCTTTACGTAGCATGTAGCTATTTACTAAGCAAGTCTCTGGGTGTGATGTTACGTAGTCCCAGTCAATAGCTTCGTAGGGTGTGATTTGTAACACGCGGGTGTTGCCATTGTCCGGAAATAAATTGCTTAGTGACACTGGTTCACCTGGAATCTGAGATTCGGGAACCGAGAGCAGTGTGTACGCCTCGGGTGGGAAGAGCTTTTGCAACGCAGATAATATCAGGGGTTGGACATATGGGTCCTCGTAGGCGATTAAGGCATAGAAATGCCTTTTAGGCCGATATATCAAAGTTGACGAGGACATGGTCATCTCTTGAGACCTTGACTCATTTCTAAAAAAAGAGAAAAGTGGTGAGAAACCGAGACTAGGGAAACATACACACCGCAAGCATTCGGCATACGCAGGACACTTGACGGCCCCATTTGCCGTAGCTCACCTCCCAGGCAATCTAGAAAAGGATGAGATTTTGTCTATTTGACGGACCGGTTAGGCGGCCATGCAAGTTCCAGCTGTCTATAACGCTGTCACCTCCGTCTAAAACCGAATGCAATGCATTAAACTCACAATGTCAACTCCTCTCCATGTAGGTGCGCTGCCGCATGCCAGAAATTTGCCTTCAATGGCGTTACACTGTATAAATGGTTAGTCTCACAACGACGGCACTCCTGTACCTGGTACCAGGTCTCGGCAACTCTACATAAGGTGGTGGCTGAACTTACCTCGTGAAACCCTCCTTTACCGCCCACCCATCGTTTCCGGGTAGCGACTCTTCGACGCTCTTATGCACGTCCGTGAAGCGAGGCGCCCACTTGAAATGCCTGTGCGGATATCGTGTCTGACCATTCTGACCAACATCGCTGTTCTCTTTCGACTGAAGATCACTAGAAGAAGCCTTTACCTCCTCGCCCTCCCGTATCCGCACTTCTTCCTCATCCTCGTCTCCAATACTTCCCTCGACCTCCTCGAAGCATGCTCCGTCCGCGCCCCAATAATTCTGCAACATTTCCGTCCATAATGTTTTGTGATTCTCGACATCTTCGACTAGAGGGACGTTGACCGAGTATAGATCGACGCTCTTATCCGTCGGCCATTCGGCATACAGCTTCTCGATGATGCGAACGCTGTGCCGAGAAGCGCCGTCAATAATCAAAGAATCGTGGTTGCGGCTAAAGAAGCCGTAGCTTATGGCGATGGACTTTTTCCTACAAACAGCTGCCTCAAGTGCTCCACCTAGTGTCCCTGAGCTCAGAGCGAATACAGCTGTAGTATTCCGGCCATAATTGGGTCCTGACACTACGAGATCGATGGGTCCCTTTTCCTGAAAAAAATGATGTAGGCCGATCTGAGCGCAGCTGGCGGGTGTACCATCTACGAGGATCCATTCCTCTTCATTATTATTCTTGTTCGGGCGTGGATATGTGGCACCTTGTACTTGGGAGGCAGCACTGGGGGACGGATCGAAGGTTGCGGATGGCTTGTAGTAGAGCGGCTTTACGGTCTGGCCGATCATGTGTGCCTTCCCGATCCATGAGCGTTGGGTGTGCGGCAGGCATACAGAGACGGTATGTCCTCTCTTTTGAAGCTCACGGACTAGACTATGCACATAGGGAGACGAGGTTGGAGACGGCGGGCCATCATCGTTGGTTACTAGTATGTGCATGACTGACTGACTGACCGATTTCAAGTGTTTGTTCAGTGCTACCAGGCTCAATCAGGCCTTTACTAACTATAAATAGCCGTGGTAATAAAATCCAAATCCTTCTAAAGCTTGAGGATGGTTGAAAATGTGCATGTGTTAAAAAGAAGAAGAATACTGAAAGGATCAATGGTGAAGGAATTAACAAGGAATTAACTTATGTTATATTTCATATTTATTCTGCCAATATATGCGCATCCGAACTTACTAAAGTGGCCGAGGAGAAATGCGGCGGGGGCGGGGCAATTGTGATTTGGATTGTGGATTGCACCTTCGGCTAGGACTGGTAGGTTAGTATTAGTTATGTACCAGTGACGCTACAGGCTACGGAGTAAGCACCAACATTGAACCTTAAGGTACAGACAGAAAGCGGCTCAAAGTATGACGTGATGCTTGAAATCATCTTTAGCCATTATGTACAAAGTAGGTAGGCAGGTATGCTGCTACCTACCTAGTAGGAATCTACGTACTATGTAGGCGCAGCGTGCAGGTGGTCACGATATGAGGTAATGTTAGGAACTGGTAACGTGAAAATGTGCAGGCGGATTGATTCATAGAGTATTAGAATGTTATTTGTCACGATACTTCGAGGTATGGATCCCTCCATATACTAGGTAGCAAATATCTAGACCCATGGTTTTAAGAAAACAAACGGTTCATTCTTGATGCGAAGCTATACGTTGATGCAAAGCTAGGTATACACAGTATATGGACCACCCATTGATCAGGCTAAGGAGAATCTCGGTCCGCATACGCCTCCACGAACCCTTATCTGCCTAGCCCTTGTCGATAATGCTTGCTATCCGGTTACAACGCCTCACAACTCCGGGCGAAGTATGGTTTCCTTCCATTCCAGCCCATTGCTTTGCTGGCTTGTTTTCCATTCCCGTCCATCGCGTGTTAAGATTGCTTTGCCATCTTGTTCCTTGCTACCAAAAAAATCGACGAAAGAGAGAATGAGGATGTAACGACTCGAGCTTAAGCTCTAGGTCTTGCTCCGTGGCGTTCCACGTCGCACAACTCTGCAAATCGAACCCAAAACCCAGACATGTCTGCAGACTAAGCACGTTGGCGTTTAGACTCGCTGCCTCGAGTGAGTGAGTCGCCTTCTCTCTTCTGACCGCGCGGCGCGGCTCGACTCTTAGTTTTACGCCAGCCATCGAAGGGGCTGCGCGACTTGATCGGGGTTTCCGATGCACGGACTCTATCACTTGCACGTGTAGCTCGAACGGTGGAGGGAGGCGACGCAAGTGCAAATTGGGGCGCGGCGGGTGTACCTGGCTTTTTGCTTGTAGCGCGCGTGGGAGTAGTGGGAGCCATAGAGACTGCGGTGGTTGCAGAAGCTGCGACACCGACGACGGGGGCCTCAGTAGCCGGGGGAGCTGTGCGAGCAGATTCAATCTCGGCCTGATCTTCTTGGACATCGTTGGTAGCTTGGTCTTCAATGTCTGTAACTGCCTCTTCGTCTTCGACAGTGCTGACCTTCTGGACCTTCTGGGCTGAGGGGAACAAAAGGCGAGGCTTAATAGATGAGCGGGTCAATGGACGAATGCGGCGGGCACTGGCGAGGTTGTTGTCTAATTCCTCTTCTTCATCCTCTGCATCCGGTTCGCTGGCTACTTCTTCGCGGGTAAATTTGCGAAAGAATCTCTTTCCTCGACTAAAACGTGGATTGTTAGTATTGGGCAAAATATGGATATTTACAAATAGCGACGAGGTGAAGGTAAGGTTAATAAGAATAACTCACAATACATAGACAGCTCCATCGGTTCGCTTGAGAGCTTCCTCCATAGACTGCTGTCCTTCACCCGGGATAGAGACTAGCTTGCCCTTTCCTCGCTTCTTAGAAGGTTCGGAGGATTCGCCGTAAAATGGATTATCAGCTGGGTTGCCAATCTCTGGGATGCGATCGCGGGTATCGGTAAAGATCTCAATTGGCGCCTCATCGTTCTCGGCGGTGAAGCTCTCTAGTGTAATTCCAGTGTACTTCTTGGCCTTTCTCTTCTTAGTGATAGGCATAGCATCATCATCAGACGAGAAGAGGCTGCGCGCCATGGAAAGGACCTTGGCCTTGGAAGTCTCATCAGGTGTCTTGAGAGGGGTCTTAGCCGGGGTAGGCAGCGTGGTGCCCGATCGGGATGAAGCAACAAGAGTAGCGGAAGAGCTCTGCTGGGATGAAGCAGTACCAATTGATTCTGCGACGTTGGCAGCAGTACCCTGGCCGACCAAGGTACTAGGAGCGCGACGAACCGAATCCATGGTGGGCTTACGGTTCTTCTGAGGAGTAGTAGGTGGGTTAAAAGAGTCCACAGATGTAGATTTAGTAGATGCGCGGATGCGACGGGTGGGTCGAGGAGAAGGAGTGCGTTGGCTAGAACGTTGTGCTGAAATACGTGCAGATTTGCGGGGAGAAAAAGGTTCCCAGGAATCAGCGTAACCAAACTTTGGGGTACTTGGTGTGTGTACTCGGGAAGGTGGCGAGGGTGTAGAAACCTCAAGGGAAGCCATTGTTTATATTTATCAAGGCAACAGCCTTGGAGCTCCTTCTTCTTTTTCCACTTCAGTATCCTCGATTATCCTGTTCGGTACGTTGGTCGGACCCCAAAGGGCTCTGTGCGCGCACACGTAACAAACAAATCGACTTATCAGTGCCGAACTCTAGCAAAAATTCTTTTAACCATACAGCGTCAGCTGTGGTCAATTGCGAACGCTTCAATTCGAAGTGCGCTAGACCTCAATCAACCAATAGTGAGTGTGGAAGCAAAGGCAAGGAGCTTAGCGTAAAAGATGGGATGAAAGACGTGTAAAGATAAGTCAATGACTATGCCAAAGCTGGTAATTGGGGAAGTCACGGATAATGTTTTGTAGTCTCTCGATTCTCGGTCGGTTTTCACTTAAGCGTCGCGTTTCGACCCTCTCAATTCGCGTGTTTAAAGATGGAGTTATTATGAAAGAAGAAACAAAGAAAAGAATCGATATGGGTGATTGTATTGAATGCTTAATAGCGATAGTTGCAACAATAATTCGCGTGACGATGGTCCAAAACGAATTAAACGGCGACAGCGATGAGGTCAGTTAATGTTTTGGCGGTGATAATCGATGTCGGATTGAAGTTGTAACTGGAGAGAATTGATGGGGACGAGTCACAAGAGAGATCTGGGGGTTAGGCTAAGTTATGTGAGGTGAGGTAAAGTTAGGTAAGGTAACCGTAACCTTAAGGTTTAAGGCGATTGAGTTAGTAGAGGTTAGAGGCTAAAGTAAAGCGATAAAGGTAGTGGGAGAGAGTGGGAAGAAAAAGGGTGGGAAACGTGATGAATAGCGAAGAGCGGCGGAATGCAGGACGGAAGAAGAAAGGACGGGGACATAAAATGTGTAAGGTAAAAAGATGTAAGATGTGAAGAATACAGCGTGCACTGGGCAAGACGAGATGGAAAGTTCAATGTTCAAAGTGGCTGGGGCCGCTAGACGCCGCTACAGGCCTACAGATTAGTACAAGTACAGAATGGCTGCGAAGAATACTAGGGCTATTACTACCAGTCTACCACTGCTACAATCCCTAAAAATCACCCGCGGAACGTGGAACCTGTAAACGTGCAGTGTTCTTTAGTTAGTCAAATTATGACATTCCTATTAACCCACACCCCTGCAGCTATGTTTTGATTACTACGGAGTACCTACTCATTATACTTAGATTGGGTGGCCATGTATGTACTCCGCACAGTGAAACAGTACATGGTACATCATTAGGTAATGCTGGTCATTATACATGCACTAAGTACTATGTATTAAATTATGTATTAATATGTAAGATAAGAACGCGTGATGCAACCCTTGGACGCGTCGTGAATCACTAACCCCACCGTGAACCGTGAATAAAATTGTGAGAATTTTATCGATAGGAGAGAACATATTCATTTAATTGGTCAATTTTGGTAGCCAGCACACCGTTATCTCCACTTGATAAAAAAAAGAACACAAAAATCATTTGCTGTGCGACAACTCATGTCAACAAAGAAACTTAAACCCTATGTAGGGTAGTAATCTTATTAGAACCAACTAACATTTGATTATAGAAGGAGCACAGATAGAATCGTAGGGGGTATCTTGAAACTGACGTCACCAATAATTATGACTCTTGGTACATACACAGAAACGTCAAAAATTGTAACCTTAAGTACTGCATTCAGGGATCAAGTTCTGATCCAATAGCCGGAACACTCTAGGGCTGCTAGTGGCACTGAACATTGAATATAGCACCTAGACCTGCTAACTAGCAGCTATCAATTACCCCGCCAATCAACACTCTAGGTTACATCTTTTACTTTCCTTCACTTTATTCAACATTTTCATAAACCTTTCGCATAGCAACACTGCTCTAAAATATCAAGAAATATTCATAGGTATCCTTCAATGTGTAGCCATGTCTGATAATCTGGATTCGTCCGACCCCGAAGATCTCTTCGCATCGCCCTCTAGAAAGCCTACCCCTAGAGTATTGCCAGATCGCCCCAAGACACCTTCGAATCCTCCCCCTCCGTCTACTAGTCGCTACGATGATTCCGAAGAAGGACGCGAGGCGAACCTGCGCCGTGAACTTGAAGGCGTCCGGAACATCAACGAATTAATCGAGGGCGTGGTCGGGACCCTGGAACGGGCCAAGGGCAACATGAATGTATGACACCTTGTCCCCACCAATGCGCCTCCTTCCCTTCCCTTCACCTATATCTATCTCCCTTGTACCTAACCCTTACACACACACACACACATACATACATATACTTGTCCCTCCCTTCGACAAGCCCAAGCTAACAAACCGCGACCCCTAAGACCGTATCGAACACGGTTCAGACAGCATCCACCCTCCTCAACACCTGGACGCGTATCCTCTCGCAAACCGAGCACAACCAGCGCCTCCTGCTCAACCCGACTTGGAAGGGCGCGAGCCAGGACCTAGCCGAGGTCGAAGCCGAAGCGCAACAGAAAGCCCGCGAGGCCGAGCGCCGCGCCGCCGAGGAGGAACGCCGACGCGCTGAAGCGAGGCGCCGTGCCGAAGAAGACCAGCGCCAGCGCGAGGTCTCCGCGTCTTCGAGTGGGCGTACTGCTAGCGGCACGAGGGGCACGGCGCGCGGGAGAGGGAGACCCGCGGGTACGAGGGGTAGGGCTACATCGACGGGAAGAAGCGTGTCCGCGTCTGCATCCGCGGCTTCGACGAGTCGGCCTGGGTCTGCTGCGGATACGAGCACGGCTAGTGGCAGAGGCGCATCGGGGATTGGTAGGGGCTTTTTGAGAGGAAAGTCGCGAGGGCCGCGAGGATATTAGGAACCAAAAACGGAAAGAAAGAAGGGCATAAGATGAGATACATTGCGATATCTCGTTGTACCGGATTTTGATGGATTATCTATGTACTCACTCCTTAGTGACGATACATACCTACGAGGTACCTACTGAGTAGGGAGATACATATGTAGGTTTTCCACGTACGAATGACGAAGGCACGATGTTTATGATACACACTCCTTGCACACGTTGAAGCTTTTTTCGGTTGCTGTGATCAATGTACTCTATTATACAACCCGACCATCCCCTCTTTCTACTCACTTCATGCGAAACCCGTATATCCAACCTAGCCTCCGTAGACTTTAGCTTCAACTGTTTTCTTGCAGGTACCTATCTACAGATGATACCAAACCATACCTCAAGTTTTATTACCTACTACCTACCTCACTTCTTCGTAAAGAAATCACTCATCTTGCGCATACCCGCCGTATTCACCTTCTTCAAATTCTTGACCCCCCTGCTCTCCCCAGCCTTCTTCCGCTTCTCCTCCTCGTCCTTCCGCCGCTTCTTCTCCGCCCGCTCCGCCAGCTCCTCGTCGTCTAGCACCCGCTTGCGCGAGAAGTCCGCCATCCCCCGCGTCGCGGCCGCCTCCTGCCGCAGCTTGCTCAGTTCTTCGAGGTACGCGTCGAGGGGGGCGAAGTCGATGATCTGTTGTTGTTGTTGTTGTGTCTTGAGGAGGGACTGCAGGTGTGGGGTGAGCGAGGGTGGGATGTAGGCCGAGCAGAGGAAGTTGAAGGCGGTGCGCAGGCGTTGCAGGGCCTTGACTTGTTCGGAGGCTTGGAGGGTCGGCTGGAGCTCGGTTGTGGTGGCCGTTGTAGATTCTTCGGCAATCGAGGTTATACCTGTGCCGGCTTCGGATGTCGAGCTTGCGGTGGCGTCGGCGGCGGAGACTGATGATTCGGTGTCGCCCGACTCGACTTTAGGTGTGGATGCTTCCGAAACAGGCGTCTCGGTCTCGGCTTGCGTTTGCGTTTGCGTTTGCGTTTGCGTTTGCGTTTGCGTTTGCGTTTGCGTTTGCGTTTGCGTTTGCTGGGAGACGGCCGAAGCAGTGGTGTTTTGTCGCTTGATACCCACAACCGGCGCCTCGAGCCCCTTGGTAACAAACGCTTCCTCCAAGCTCTTTGGTAAACCCGTTTCGCTCATCTTGCGAGCTTTTGCTAGCAACTCTGCCAAGAGCTTGTCTTCGTTGTATAGAAACATGGTCTCGTCGCCTGCCTCTACGGTGTCGCATATCGCGGCCATCCGCGATTCCAGTAGTGTCCGTAGATTGCCCCATCGTAATATCTCGAATAGATGGGGAGATATTTCATGTATTGAGTCGAGATGATCGTCGCTGGAGAGAAACATGCGTTCCCCCTTTTTGGCGCTAGCACTTTCGCCGGTGAGGGCGGGTAGGAGGAGGAATATAGGGTCGATGGGCGTCGCTATGTAGAGGTCGGCGCCCTTGGTTATATGAGCGCCCAGCTCAGAGCCGTCGGCGGCAGTCCCCTGTTGGACTTTGCCCGTGTTTCCGCACTCTATTAGCCAACTTTTAGGCGTAGACTTGGGCGCACTGATCCTGGTGAATTCGTATATACCGGTCTCAGGGCAAACGAGGTATCTTGTCGGCTTTGCATATCTTGGGTTCAGGAGTGAGACTATCTTGGCATCCTTGGTGGCCTTGGTGGGAAGGATAAAGAGCTTCAGAGGGTTTACGGACTCTGGGGGTATTGTGTATCTAGACTTGGTGTTTGTGGTGGTGGTCGACTTGGAGGTCTGGGTTGTAGAGGTCGATGCGCTCGCCTTTGATCTTGTCGTCCTGGCCATATCTACTAGTCAGAATTGTTATATGGTACAATTCCTATTAATTTTATGATATCCAAGCACATTCGGGGCCAATTGATACTATGTAGGTGTCTCTTTAGGTATGATTGTATGAGATCACGAATTTCACCTGGTATAGATGCTACATAGGTACATGTGGTTACTAGTTACAAGCGTCAACATCAATTGAAAGTAAGGAGTGTTCCAAGGGTCAGCCATTAGAGGATATCGATATGGGACCCCTGCTCAACCGACGCGTCGGGATTTAAGTCGCGTCAAACGGCAGAGAGAGAAAACGCGTCTCCACTTCTCCACAACACCAATCAAATACCGTCATTTTGGATCCGATAATTCGATTGTGGCTTATCGATAATCATTAGGGGGTACTATCGCTGTGGAACTTCAAGTACCATAGTAACCATACATGTAGATGATAGATGATCCAGTGTATCCAGTGTATCCAGTGTTGCACTTGTGATACTTTGCTAATCATACAAACCTTAAAGTCGTTGCCCCATCAAACTTCCAAAACTTAACGAAGATAATAATAAATTTCTTTTTTTTTGTTTTGACCCAGAACATTTACCTCCACACCTCATATCCTACATCTAACTAACAGACGAACAATCACCACTGCCGCCACCACTACCCTAGACGATCTCCCGCGTATCTCTTCCAAACTTCTATATCAGCTGGATGCTATCATATTTAGCCAACAAGGAATATCCAACCCCTGCACGTTTCGCCTGGTGCAGAGGGGACACACCAATTCCTGAACATCTGTAAGCGCGACGGATGAAAAACAGCAGTGATCGCTAGTTACCATGCCTACCAGTCGATTACGATAACATCAACGACAATCATTCTACCATCAACACCAACCAACTTATTCAAATGGCAGGGTTAGGCGCAGACCCTGGACCTCAATGGCCCCCGCGATCACCCCACGATGTTCTATTGAGCACTCCCAAAGGCCGCGAAAAACTGCGACGAATGGCCGAGCGAGCATCACCCTCACCCTCTCCCTCGAAGAGAAGAACAGCCGGTCTCGCCGCCCGACCTGGTAATTACGCCGACGGCGATGCAATGGATATCGATGACGATGATGAAGAGGAAGATGAAGAAATGCTAGAATTGAAACTCCAGGCCATACAAGCGAGGCTAAAACTGAAGAAGCTGCAAAGCGCAAGAGCAAAAAAATCCAATGGAACGGACCGCCGACCTAGGTCCGAGTCGAATCCTATACCGGATATATCAGTCTCAAGTCGAACCCATTTTCGATCAGAACTATCACGTCCAGACCCGCCGCTACGTCCGCAGTCACAGACAGAGGTTCAGGTACCCGCTTCTCCCGTGAGGAGAACACAAATCACCCAGAGCGATGGTTCGCCTAGCCGAGTTCGCCTAGGTATAGATAAAGGAATTAAAGCCAAGGACATCTCCTTGAAGCGAGCTCCTATTTTTAGGAAACCTACGGAGCCCCAAAATACCGCTCAAGGAAGTTACCTTCGAAGATCCCGTACACCTGCTTTCGGTAGCGCACCCGAGCCAACGACTAAACAGGAACGGCCGTTGACTTTCAGTGAGAGACTAGCCGCAGCTCGATCAGAAGAGTCAAGTCGGCAAGAGAGACAGGAGAGGATAAAGCAATCAAGGAGTAATGCCTTCGAGCTCGGTAGACAGGAGATGGAGGACTTGAAGAGTAATGCTAAAGAGATACCCAACGTTCCAACACAGCCCGAGCAGTATAGCCGTGAGGAGGTCATGGCAGCTAGTCGGATAAAACGCAGCAATACCATGCCAACCCTCCGACGGCCTTCTCAGGATGAGAACAGATCAGGGTCTAGCTTTGATGGGGCACCAGGATCTCAAGCTGATGCAGCTGCACGCAACAAGAAAATGGCCCCCTCCGAAGTGCCCGAGGAAGACGCATCTGCGTTTGAACCGTACTCAGCTATTCACCTCTCGAAACGTGTAATACCACACTCTATTCTCACCCGGAACTTGGCGGGTAAGAAGACATATGTTATCAAAGACTTATTAAAACATGTCAAGGCGCCTGATTTCGAATTGCCCGAAGTCGAACAGGACATAGTAGTCTTCGGGATCCTAGCTTCCAAGTCTGATCCTCGGTCACACAAACCTGCAAATAATCTGAAGGCGCAAACAGACCAGGATAAGGGGAAGTACATGGTCTTACAGCTGGTAGATTTGCAATGGGAACTCGAGCTGTTTCTTTTTAATACTGGCTTCGACCGTTACTGGAAGCTGGTTCCTGGAACACTCATTGCCATCCTCAATCCAAACATTATGCCACCACCTCCAGGACGGACCGATACGGGACGTTTCAGTCTAGTAATCAACAGTGGACACGACACAATTCTAGAAATAGGCACGGCGAGAGACCTAGGGTTTTGTAAGTCTACAAAAAAGGACGGGCAGTATTGTAACAGCTGGGTCAACAAAAAGCGCACAGAATTCTGCGAGTTCCACATGAACATGGGACTTGCCAAGCACCGACAAGCCCGGCAAGACGTCAACGCCTTCAACACGGGGCTCGGCCCAAAGAAAGATGGAGATTCCCAGTATAAGAACTCGTATCGCTCACGTAATCTGGAGTCGAATCCCAACGACCCCAAGAAGAAGGGCCGTGGCAACTACGACCGAAACACGCAGAGCCAGTGGTTCATCAACAAGCCCAGCGCCGCCAGCATGCTCGACAACGAGGTACTTGGCGGCCAGGTCTCGGGGCGCGTCGAACGTAGTGAGGCCCTTAGACGCCGCCTTGCAACAGAGGAGAAGGAGCGCGATCTCATGAAGACGCTCGGCAAGATGGGCTCAGGAGCTGGCAAAGAGTACATGCAAAGAGGTGCTAACGACGCCTCTAACACGGGATCGACCCAAACCACCGACGGGAAGAGACCAGACGCGGATGCGCGATCGCTCGGCCTACTCCCCGGTAAAGGCTTCGAACCCCGAATGCATCTGAGCCCTACTAAGCGCAAACGGCCTCAGAGCGCCCTGTCGTCCGGGTCGTCGAGCCTGACATCCTCATTTGATACCAACAGGGCCGCGGGCACGTCGTCTTCCGCTAGTCATAGAAACGGCGCGAGCGGAAGACGAACAGCTCTTGGATGGGGGGGCGGCCTTCAGGACAAGTTGTCGCGCATGAAGGGCGGTGAGAAGCTACGGCCTACGGCCGCGCCCGCGCGTCCTCCAAGTTCGCGGCGTGATGACGGACATAGTAGTAGTAGTTTTACTACGCGCGAAGCGGGCGAAGACGGGAATAGTAGTAGCTTTGGCGGTGGTGGTGGCGCCAGGTCTCCGGCTCGCAAAAAGACGAGATTCGTGACGGAGAAGGGGATCCGAGAGGCGGGCCGTGAAAGCGTCGGCGGGGAACTCGCTTCTATTGGTGAAGATAACGATAAGCCGAGAGGCAGACAGGGTGGTGGCACTACTACTACAACTATTACCAGTAGTAGTAGCATTAGGAGGAGGAGGGGGATGGTTGTTCTGGATGAGGACGATGACGATGAGTTGGAGATCTTGTTGGATGAGTGAATTAATGGGTATTCTACCTAGTCTACCTAATTACTCTACCACTAGGTAATCAATCAGTCAACCAGTCCGCTAGCCAGGCAATCAGTCCATGGCTAAGAAAAGAGGAATCTCCAACTTAGCTCTTCCCCCTCCCCTTCTTTCCCCTTCCCCTTCCCCGTTCTCCGCCCCCCCTAAACGCCCAAAAATGACGAATACACAATACCCCTATTTTCTTTTGTAACTATTGGCGTCTTCGCCACTTACGATGGATGAAACGGGATGGGATGGATTAAGCATAGCAACCTTAAGCATGGCGTAGCGTGCGCGTGTGCGTATGCGTGTGTGGTATTAGCGACTCAACAACAAACTCTGAAATGGCTAGTGTTAGTATGTACCTATAGTTACATATTTGGTTGTCCTGCGCAAAAAAAAAAAAAAAAAGAAAGAAAGAAAGATTCAAAGGCCAGGCAGAGGAGAGGGAGTTTTTCTTTTTTCTTTTCTTGGTTTTTTTCTTGTATTATACCCACCTGCTATACCGAGGGGTCGGTAGTAGGGAATAGGGAATAGGGAGTAAGGGGTAAGGGGTAAGGGTCAGGAAAGGGATGATGAACATGATATGATATATATACCAGCCTATACTTAGGTACTTAGATTAGGTGCTGTCGTCAACTAAACGATTAATTCGATGCCTGCAAGATCTGATTACCTAGGTATGAAGTACTGTGATGATAAAATAGGGGATGAATAGGTAGGTACTACCTAGTAGTATGAAGCAACTTGTAGGAAGTTATGTGGGAGAAACTTTCGGTCGATAAAGCAATTACCTAAGTGCCTAACTACCTAGGTATTGTACATACCTAACCTACATACATGTACGTGAGAACCATTCTAAACTTCATCGAATGAATCCATACCTACCTGGGTACATACAATCCCAATGATAAAAAACTAGGAGAAACCATTCCATTCCGACTCGGAGAAATCAGGTAGTTATTCTGATTCAAGAACCAAAACAAAATTTTAATCAATCACGTAGGTACATAAGTTCCTTGACCACCGTCCCTAAATGATACATACATACCTAGGTACCTACCTGCTCACCCACCCCTCAGCATTGAGACACTACAGTGACTACACTACCTACCTACCTACCTAACCTAGGTAACCTAAGTATCTTAAGAGAGAGCCATACCTATATGAAAAGGAGCCTTGGTTTAACCTCCCTCACACCCACACCCACAATCCTATCCTAGGTAGGTAAACAAGAATTATTATTATTCCACACCACGACATTGAGAAGATAGCTCGCTCGCTCGCCTTCGCAGAGTAAAACTCTGGTGTGAAGTACTTCAGTATATCAACCTTAGACACAACACACAAGACGCGCAGTTGCGAAGACGGCGTGAGATATAATCTGCGTGGTTGATTGACTGACTACCTAGGCATATATATATATAGTTGCCAAGTAAAGCACAAAAAGCGAGCGCAACAGCGGCCTGGCTTAACCTGACCTATGTAGCTATATATATAACTTGACATATGTGCCACACCCTTCTATCTAAAGGAATCCATATAGATTCGAAGAACTATGAGTCCATGATAAGTATACCTACCTCTGTACCTCTCCACCTTTGTGGTAGTTCCAAGACGCCCAATCGCATTTGTATCTGCCCAAGGTAGTACACGAGCCTCAGTCATAAAGGCAGAAGCAGCCCTGGAGGTAGAGGAACGAAAATGCCTTATCTCAATAAGGAGAAGAACCACGCCAAAGAGACGATGATCGTAATGCGTGTCATGAGTCTACAGTTTGCAGTGTTCCTATCTGCCCGTTTCGTTTATGTTTTCGGTTCTTTTACTTTTCCTCGCCCTTTTTATATATATATTTACCGCTTAAGTATTCAAACTTAGTAGTTATGATCTCTAGGTAGTTTTAGTTCCACTTCGAAAAAGTAGCTTCTCCCTCAACCGCGAAGAAGGCAAAGAAGGAGCTGAATTGGAAACGAGATACGATGAACTAGCACCACCCCCTTCCTCATACTGTGGGAAAAAGTCAAGCTATGTATATCATTCAGTTGATCACCTCGTCCTTGGTCTCTTCAACTCCTTGCACTTCATCATCTCCTGAAAGCTTTTTCTCGACAGTCTCTTCTAATATAGACTCGCCGGCTGTATTAGTAGCGAGAGTTTTGGTTTCTTCTGTTGGATTAGGTTCATTCGCCAGGTCGGTCGGCTTAGAGTTCTCTAATTCGACTTCTGGTTTGGCCGGTGACTGATCCGCATGTTTTTCTTCGGGCTTGGTCTCAAGCGTATCTGGTTCCGACGGCGCTTGCGGTTGCGCTTCCTTAGGCTCTTCGCTCTTCGCATTATCGGTCTCAGGCTCAGATGCGGGCTCGGGTATGGAGTTAACCTCTACGTGGGGAGGTGCCTTTACCTCTGGTCCCAAACCGTCCACGGTCATTGTGCCCTCCTCATCGATACTCCACAGAGTACGAGTCATGGAAAAACTCAACACAGGTTTATTGTTAGATGCAGGAGGAGGCCCAGATGCTGCATCGCCCGGACTCGCAGCCTTAGTAGGAGCCCTCCGCTGGGGACCCCGGGCACGACCCTTTCTCGCATCGGATAACGGTGCCTTCTCCTTCTCCTCGGCCGGTTCTTGTGTGGCAGATTCCTCCTTCTTAGGGGCTTGGGGACCTATCTTTAGACGATTGTTAAGGTCTGACAGAAAACCGGCCTGTACAGCCCCGATTTTACTTGCGGCGGGCCTTGCCGGTACCGCAGGTTTCTGCTTCGCTGATGGCTCGGGCGTCTTAGACGGACGAGGGGGTATTTGTGGTTTGGGTCGATCAGGAATACTCGGCTTCGATGTTGTTGAATCATCACCTGACCCTTGCTTCTTAGGGCGTGTGGGAATTGGAGGCTTAGGCTTTGGTACTTCATCTAATTGTTGCTCCCCAGAGATTTCCGGAGTGGAAACCGTGGTTGTGTATTGCAGGGAGTCTGGCGCATCCTCCCAGACGTCTCGGCTTGGAAATCTTTGGGCTACGTTAGGTCGTGTCTCTTTGGCAAGGTGTGGCTGCTTTCCAACCCATGACGGGGGCTTCTGTTGACGGTACAAAAAGCTATCGGGTGTGACGGCCTCCGTCTCGGCAAGCTGTTCTTGCCTCCTTGCGAAGGCTTGGGCGGGGGTTTCGCCCTCTCGTGGAGGTACTTCCGATGCACCGGCGCGTTCTCTCTGGCGAGCTTCTAATAACTCTGGGGTTGATACCTCCGCCGTAGAATGCACGCTGTTAGGAGCATCCTCCCAAATATCCTGACTAGGGAATCTTTGACGGTACTCCTTCAGCTTCTCGGCCTGAGTCGTAGATTTTTTGCCGCTCTTTTCGTCTTCCGGGAACAATGGCTCGTACTCTTCGACATCTTCCAGGGGAGTTGAATGCATATCCATCGGCGGGGGGCTATACACACTGGTAGGTCGGCTTGAGGGACGACTCCTAGACTCCCCTGTTTCGCGTGACCTGCCATGTCGTTCTGCCGAAGGCTCTACGGCTGGTTGTAGATGGTAAGGCGATGGGTCCTTGGCCACCTCATCAGGGGCTAAAATTGGGTGAGTGTGCTCTTCTTCTTCATCCTCATCCTCGGTGGACTTCTCGTTGCCATATTTCGCGAACCCCTTACGCCTTTCTGGCTCATCCACGTGGATGACGCCATCACCGTTGTCATCGCTGGCAGGATTAGCACCCGCATCGAGTTCTACGTAACCAGACTTCAAGGGTGACGTAGGATCATGCTTGGGAGCAGTGGACGGTGGACGAGGGGACGTGATACGTGACGTGTATTCGTCAGTGGCCTTGTAGCCGACCTGTTCACTGGGAGTCCCGACATAATCGGCTGAAGTACCTATATAATGGGTTAGAAACACTCCAAAGTTTGTTGGCAGTTTGCGTTACCAAAACCGGCACCACGGTTGGCTGTGCCCCGGACGATCTTGTTTAGATCCTCGCTGCTCATCGAGTAATCATGGACACGTTCATGAAGATGGTTGTAGCGCTCTTTTTGTAACACGTCGGGATGCTTCTCGTAGTAAGCTCTCTCAAGTTTGTCAGTCGCTTCGACGCCATGACCATGGAGACCATAGACGTCTGGCGGAAGTTCATGGAAACCGTTACGAGAGCTGGTCTTCCTGGTATGGTGTCGGACAGGTCTTGTTCCGTCAGTACTCGCGGTTCTCGGCGCAGGTGAGGGCGCTTGAACATCGCCGGCGTTGATCAACATAGGGACGCGCTGTCCAATCTCGGGAATACCATGCCCATCCTCAGGGAAGGTCTCACTATGATGGGAAAGTTGACTCGTAGTGCTTGCCTTCTTCTTCAGGTTACGGGCCGGGTAGTTTGGGTCGTCGTAGGAAGGACGACCAATGCCAAAAGAGGCAGCCCGGTCTGAATCGGTACGGGTGACTTGAGCAACTCGCTGCTTGGCGCTCTGAGGAGGCATAGTAGGCTTCGGAGCATACAGCTTGATGTCTTCACCAATAGTACGAGTCTGCTCAGGCACATTGGATGATCTACGACTGTCCGGGGACGTGCCCAACTCTTCGATGGCTGCGGCATATTCTCTGCCCTCTTCACCCACGTTCGGCATCTCTACGCTCATGGGTCGCTCTAATTCTTCGCCAAGAAAGCTCTGGCTGTGTCGATTATTGCGGCCACTCTTTGAACCACCAAAGGCACCTTCGTTTAAGGGTGAAGGAGCAAAACGGTCGGGATTAGGTGATATAGAGCGATTTAATCGACGGTTGACTGGGCGTGGGGGAATCGAAGGCACCGAAGGGGCATTGTCTTTTTCTTGGTTCCTCGCGGGGCGAGGAGGGATAGCTGGTGTGGACTGCATGGTGGCGGCAGTCATGTTAAACAAAGCAAAGATGCTAGGTTTTTTGGGGGGAGGATTTTTTTTTTGTTAACTACAACGCTCGAAACTATTGTGACTAATAAGCGATCGGTGATAGTATGATCTAAAGATAAAGGTTAGATATATTAATTCACAAGATGAATATATTGTATATGAAACAAGTGCCGTAAACACACCGCATAAATGCCAACAACGCAAGGTATGTGAGATGTAAGATAATTCGATTTGAGGATTCTCAGGTTAGGATCGTATTTATCAGATAAACGAAAGCAGACCAGACCGAACTGGATCAAGTTTTGTAAACGACTTGTCTAGTTGACCAGCTGTTAGACCTAGTCCCCTGTCGTATCATGCGGTGAAGAGATAATAGGCACTATGACGAGAGATAGGAGGTCGTATTGGTGGTAAGTGATAAGCTAGGGCAAAGTAGGGCAAGGCAAGGTACAGTATTGTAGTAGGTACTAGATGATGTGGTGCGGTGCAGTTGCTGTAAGTGGTGCTATTAAACAACAGACAACGGAGAATGGAGACGGACAAGGCAATAAGAGCCACGTTTTTGGTCGTTAGAGAGCCATTGGAATGCAGGTCTAGAGTGTTCTCCCGTCTGTTCAGACGAGAAAACTGGGGATGAAAATAGGTAAGGAACAAGTATATGTAGGAGGGAGTAGAAGGTAAGGATATTGGGGAGAAGGTAGGTAGACCAGGTAAGTATTTTATTCAAAAAAGCGGGTTGATCGCCAACTATAACAATACAGAAAGGGAAAGGGAAAATGAGTCCGACTGGCTTGACTCGTCTCGTACATACATACATAGTATGTACATGCGTAGCCCTCGTATGTAGCAGAATAAGAGAATGGAAGGGAAAAAGAAGGTTCAAGCGATGGAGATGGAGGGGCAGAGGGGTTCTCCAGTATTCGGTCACTTACACGGTCAATTGGGCAAATGGGGGAACAGTAATGTATAATGTATTGTAGTACAGTAGTATTGGTATGTATGTATGTCAGATGCGGAAACAGGTCAGCAATGATAGCTCGATCTCGATTGGCGATGCTGCTGCTGCTGTTCTTTTCTGTTCTTTTCCCCTTTCCTTTATTTGTTTTGATACCGTTCTTGTGTGAGAAAGGAGTAAGTAGGTTGATTTTGGGAATAGAAAAGAAAAGAAAAGACCAGAAAAATCTCTTGTCGATAAAGGATGATGATAATGATGTAAACGTTGATCCGAGTTTAACCGTTATGAAATAAAAATTGCGAACTGTTTTGATAAATGTGCAAACAAAGGTGGATTCAGTTATTCAACAATTTTCAGGTACTGAGTTGTTGTTTATAAGTGATTGGATCTTGAGTCTGCGACTAAGAGGATGACGATGATGACGATGGGGAACTAAAGAGGGACCAGCTCGGACCTGAAAGGACTTAAATACTTCAATTGTTCAAGTTTATTGACAAGTACCATAGTATTTTTCTCGTCACGGTACCTGAGCCTACAGGCTGGAGGTCTCGACTCTCAAGTGCTATGTATTAGCGTTCTGGATGTCCATGGAATAATCTTGATTTCTATTAGCTACCAGCAACTCCTTCCCTGTCAATGGTTAAATCACGACAGCTCCAGCTTCTTTCAATGCATGTAGATGTATTGACTTAGGACTACATGAAGTCCGAGGTACAGGTACACATACTTCTACTAGGTACTAGGTAGTGTAGTGGGCAAGTACCCCGCGTGTACTACAATTTGATGTCTTTGTGAACTTCAATGCAGCTTGAGCTCTGATGCAAGTGAGGGGTACGTTGGGGATACAATATTTATGTAGTAGCTTTGTTGCGAGCAGCAGAAATATTGAAGCAGTTACGACGGCTCATCTCTAGCTCAGCTTCCTGTGCGTGTAAGCGGTGAGGAGACAATATTAAACTGACCAATAGCAATGGCATAGTATCAAATGCCCCTCAACACATTCCTTTTTTAGCGTCTTCATCGACGCAAGCATCTTTAAACTGAACAAGCATCTTGAACGGAGATCAACATTGACATGCAAGTGATAACTACCGGTAATAACGAGAACGGAAACGTGCCTACCATTGAAACTCCTTACGATACGGATAGAGTTCCAGATCTTAACTCTTGTGTCCAGATGTTTTTACAGATCAACAGAAGATAACTAGCCTTCATAATGATGTGTTATACATTATCTGAATACTTGAGCGGCTGTATGCGGGCGAGTACCAAGCTACTTACATAGTATTCAAGTCATGGTTCAAGTTTTTACCATCTGCACATATAATGTAGCATGTAATAATACCGTTCCATAACGTAAAAGTAGGATAAAAAGGAGTTTCCGGCAAGTCACGATCAGCCTCATCCTTAAGGCGTGACTACATCATATCCATCGTATCCACCCGCAAAACCCTAACCAACTCCGTACCTAGGTACCTGGTAGTCCTGGTAGTCTATCACTAACTATTACCACAACCCCCGTTTTAGCCTTCGGAAGAGAGAGTCAGTTGATTATGATTGTATGCTACATAATGCAGCAGGACTACTATAATAGTCACGATAGTGCGTCAGAGTTTTTACGGTGAATCGAAGCGGCATAGTCGTCACCATACCTAGTACCTACTACCTACTATATAGTACTAGTAATAAGTACATACAATACACAAAAATAGTCCGAAATATGGGACCTTTATAGTTCCATGTTGATACTTACTCTATTCATTGACGGCATCAAAACAACATTGAACATTGAAAGAAATAATAGCAATGTGTAATTTGTGAAACTCGAAAGCCGCTTTTAATAAAACACGGCGGGAACGCACAAACCCCAGGCCGTCGTTCGTGGTCATGCCCCCCCTCGCCTCGCCTCGCCTCGCATGCCTGCACCCGCAGGGACATTGATATAATAGGTACTGTACGCAGGTAGGTAGCAGCCATGACGGGACACAGCATATTTCCCCACGGTCTTAGCTTGTTGACTTACGTACATACGAAAAGGGGAGAGCATGTATGTATGTCCCTCCTATGTTGAATCTCGTCAACCAGCCATTAATGTAGGTTAGTAAAAAGAAGAAAAGGAAGCAAAAGAAACTCTGCTAATCCCAGAATTGCCGAACCGGACCTGGTAAGAAACCCTAAGTAACCTCGACGTTGGCTTTCTTTCGGAATTGAGTTCAGGGCTTACCTGTATGTAAGTAACTCAACATCTACAATATTGAAATTTGACATCCACACACACACCCACACACATAGATACATACGTACCTAGGTATACATACAACATTGCAGATTCTGGTACTGAGATGGAAATCTCATACCAATTACTAGCTAGTATCACATCCCATCACATCATCTAAGCTTAGCTACTTAGTGCCTACCTAGGTATACCGACGATGTGGGTATGTGGGGGAAACAAAATAGGGTATATGTACTATACAGTCTATACTACATATATTACTACTAAGTATGTAATATGTATCCGGCGGTGGATGTAGAGTAGGACCAGCAGGTAGTTATATTAGTAAAGCGTACTTCTAATTCTTTACTATCTATCTGGCATGCTTGAGCGAATCGTTCACGTTTTAAAGGGTTAGTTAGGTGCTCTATGTGCGTATGCTAATTCATCAATATCTAACGCGTCATAGAACTACATGTATCATGTAGCCCTTCTTATCATGTGTAGGTACATAATAACTCAACGCTAACCTCCATGCTGGTCTTAGTATGTATGTAGGTAGTGTATACTACCTAGTAGGCATATACCAATGGGAACAGTCTACGCATATGGCTTGAGCAATTTTCATTCAGACTTACGAATACCTCGGCCACTAACATGATATAAGTACATAGCACTCTTACACACCTAGTACCTACCTAGTAGGAAGATACATAGAAGTGTCAAGTCACTCGTGATTATCTAGAGACCTTCCAAAGCATACACGACTCGCAACAGCAACAACATCGACATCAACGACAGTAGCAGCACCAGACTGGGGGTATCTTGTCCATTCTGGATGCAATGACGAGACATGGGGAAGAACAAGAACATTCCGCAGCCGTCGTCGTGCTTGCATCGTATTCCGTTACGCCGTTCCCCCTTAACTGAAAATTGGTCAAAAAAATTAAAAGAACAATGCAAATCCTCCCTTTTCCCTCCCCTCCCGTTCCATCTGCGTAACAAGAGATAAGAGAACCAAAAGCCACGCCCATCCCTTCCACATAGAGGCACAAGTCCTTTTTGGGTAATCCCTAATGGTCGTCAATCATATTGGTAGCAACCTTCTCCGTACCAACCAAAGTTCCCACACGAGCTAGAGGTTCATGTAAGGGTCATCTAGTCTTCGAGATCGTGGTTGTTGTTTCGCATCGTGACCTGATTATACGATCATCTGCGCAACACCGGCGCCGCCCAGTGTCTTGCTTCCAACAAAAGCCTGGCCCTTGATTCCGGCAAAGGCGTAGCAGAGGGCAGTAAATGTGAGGACGACAGCAGCAGCAATAAGACTGCTGACGGCAACGGCAATACTGATCCACTGGATGACGGCCATGACACCGTAGGTGGCGGCACGCATGTAGTTGGTGGAGACTCGGCGGATCGCAGCATCAAAAGAGGCTGAAGTAGGGCAGATTCGGAGTAGGAGAGGGACCTCGATGAAGAGGATGACGAAGCAAGAGACGCTATGGGATCTTGTTAGATTTACCAGACCCCCTTTTGGCAGTCAATGTTCAAGGTGGGTCGACTTACAGAGCAAAGATGGAGAAGATAATCAGGAGGGGTCTAAACAGGTGGAACAGGTTGGCAATACCCAGCGCAAAGCATAGGATCATAGACAGGATGCCGAGCCTAGTAGAGAGTAGACATGTTAGCTGCCGCGATCAAAGTAAGAGATTGGCCAGGAAAGTCATCGTCGTTGGAAGCCTTGTCCCATAGAATTTACATCGGGAACAAAGGCGAAACTCGGTATTGTGATGGATCGGCATGAATCAAGGCATATCGCTTGAGCTAAAGGCATTTGCTGTGTTGTGTGCTGCGTCGCAAGGAGGAATAAGTTGATATGCTATTGAGAAGCTTACCATTGTCCATAGATACCTAATTGCGCAATGGTTAGTTACTGACACTGTCGAAGGGTAAAGGATAGAGGGATGGATAGACCCACTGAAGTTTCTTGTCGCAAACTCGTCCTTGAGCGACATCGTGAAGGTTCCTAGTAATGGAGGATTCGGGGTATTCCAAAGTTATTGGTATCGGGAAGAGCAGCGACCGTGTTAAGCAGTAATATAGCAGCCAAAATGATGCTGACGACAACGAAAGCACACGGCTGGGACGGATCGATTTGCGATTGGATGGCGATGTTAGTGGATGATGTGTATTTGTTGTAAGTGTGTAAGTGTCCCTAGTTGAGATGGTAATATGGTATTAGCGTTTGAGGTTTACCAATACGGTTGTATGGTAGTTGTAATATGCGAAGTTGAGGTCTCGAAGACAAAAAGGGTTGTCGTCGAAAAGTGGAATGTTGTTTTTTAAGAAATTGAAGTTGTTTGATGATGGAAAGGCTGGTTGGTGACTGTTGTCATACTGTATTATTTGTATTGTACACATGTACAATCTAACCTAACCTATAGATACTATGGCAGGTGCCACCTATTATAGATAAGATAAGAGGATATAGGTAAAAGGCTTGTCCTATGGGGATTGGTTTTAAACCTTTTCTTTCTTTTAATATATAGTTTGTTTGAAATTGGTAGATCTTTTTTGGTGATTTTGTTTAGGCAGTTTTTTGGTTTTAAATAAGTGTTATTTATTAATGTTTTATACGTTTTATTTAGATTTATTGTAAAAGATATTACTATAGTATTTTAAAGGTGTTTTAATATTTTTAAATTGATTTTTATCGATTTTATTAGGTTTGTTAATAATTATATTATTGTTAAGAATTATTTGATTTAATTTGCTTATGTCCATATTTAAAAGGTTCTTAAACAAATTACCTTATTAGTTTAATCTTCCCAACCGATTTATCGAGACAAATTATAATTTCCTTTTTTCTATTTTAATTTTTGCTATTTTATTAATTATTTCTTTTCTTTTAAAATCTTTTATATTTAAAATGTCGATTATTTTTTAAATTAATTATTACTAATTTTATTAGTTTTATTAATTCTAATAATATTAATTTTATTAAACTAATTATTATATATTAATAAACTTATTTCTTATATTATCATTTATAAACCTTATTATAAACTTTATAAATTCATATATTAATAAAGAATTAAATATTAAAAACTTTATCTTATTTTTATTTTAAAATATTCCGGTTAGTTTAATAGTTATCCTATATTATTTTTAAATCTTAAATTTATTAAGATATGGTTATTTTAAAGGTGGTGAGTTAACAACGAAATAGTTAAACCGCTTGAAATAATAATTTTGATATATAAGATATAATATCCCTCTTATTTTTAACATATTATAAGCGATTAATATATAATGTGAAAATAAAGTTACAATTTTTTTAAATAATAGCTTAACATTTAAAAAAATATTTAATTAAGCCGAAAATGGTATCGCCGTGTTAAAAAACTTTACAAATATTAAGTAAGCCTTAAAAAATAGATTTTTAATAACGTTAGTGAATAAGTTAAACGATTAGCCTATATTTAATTTAAATAAGCTTATTTAAGGTAAGGATAAGATATTTGCTATATATTATTTACGAATATAAAACTTTTTAAAACGTATAAAAGCCTAGGATTAATTTTAAAAGTAAACGTTATAAATAAATATATTATCGCCGGCTTTAACCGTTTTTAAGATAAATATACTTAAAATAATCATTAATTGCTTTATTAATAATTTTTAAAACTAAGTTTTATAAGTTAAATATATAAATAAGAATGTTTAAAATTATAAATCACTATAATTAATATATGACATTATTTGGAATTGTTAATTAATAATTAAGGAAAAAGATAATATTACGAAGTTTTATCGGTTTAAGATTTGATAAAAAATGTTAAAGAAAATAGTTGTTAATTAAATTAAAGTATTAATTAATTAAGTTTTAATAATATAATACCTTTAAACGATAATATTAAGCATAATAACATTTATTATATCGGCTTTTTTTTTATTTCCTTCGTTAAGCCCTTTATATTTTCTTATATTAAGTTTTTTATTATTTCTCATTATATATTAATCGATATAAGTATTATAAGGGATAATGAGATCGTGTTAATCTTTCCTTAATTAAAGTGGTAAATATTAATATGCCTTGTTAAACATAAAAAGTCCCTCGATTACTTTAACCTTTTTTAATTTCTTTAATAGTTTTAATATTTTTCATATTATTATAATTATTATAACTTTATTTATTTTATTATTAACTTTTCTTTTACGAAATGTTTTGTTTAAAAACTTAATTTATAATTAAAGCTATGTCGGATATAAAAAGATTTTATCGAAAAAAATATCGAAGAATTTAATAATAAATAGGTCGTATTAATTAAAACTATTTAAGAAAATGTGCTTTCGTTATAATAAGTTTAAATATATTTTTATAATATATTTAATAACGAAAAAACAATAATTTTTTCCATAAGAAACTACGATATTAAAGGCGATTTTATTTCCTTAAGGAAATAATGGTTAAGCTAAAGTAGCTTAAAATTTTAATTTTTGTAATATAATTTTCGATTTTAAGGGGGGCTTAATCTTAAATAGGTATAAGGCGTATATAGTTTAATTATTTTACAAATAAATCTAGGATTTTTCTTTTTAATAGTTTTAAGAATAAAGGTTAAATAAGCTTAATTTTTATATACATTTCGAGGAGGACGAGCGTATATATTAAAAAACTTAGGAAATATTATCCGATTTTAGGATTGATAATTTAAAGGTGTTAATTAAAAGTGGATTTAAGTTATAATTTTTTATGTTAATTTTAGAAAAAAAAAGTCTTATATTTTTAGGTAATTTTTTAAAAATAGAAGATAATTTATATGAGGAGGTTATCGAATTTATGTCGTACCTAGGTATAGTTTTATATAATAAGCCGTTATTAAAGCGTTGTTAGGACGGTTTTAAGGCTATTTTAATTATTATTAAAAGAAAAAAAAAAGGGGAAAGGGACGAAGCCACGGAAAAGCCTTTAATAAATCCATGGTTTTAATGGAAAAGCGGTGTTCGACTTTAAATCTTTAATTAAAAAAATATAAATTTTTTTAACGCTTATAAACCTCTTTTAAATCTCCCTTAAAACGTTTAAATAGTTTAGGCATTTTTTAACACGAAAAAATGTAAAAGTTAAAAAATAAGCCGTGTAGAAAATAACTGTTTTAAAAAGGTCGGAGGTTATTAACTTGTTAAGGTTAAAAGTAACGAAAATTAAGTAAATCGTAATGTCGTTATAAGCTGGTTCCTTAGAAATTTTAAATAATATCATGTTTAAAAAACATTAAGAAAAGAATAATAGCTTATTATGTAAATTAGTCCGCTTTTTTTATCTAAATATAACACTACGTTTTAAGAAAGGAAACGAAATAATGTTTATTATACTTCCACTTAAATTAACGTAAGCTAATTAAAAAAGCGACGTAAACGTAATTTTTAATAAGTTAATGTAATAATTTAATTTAAAATAAAAATTACTTAAGGATTTTATTATAAAACCTTTTTACTTTTTAACCTTAAACGAAAAAAGATACGAGATTTATAAGTTTATGTTATTAAATATTAATGTGTAAAGGATTTAACGTTTTATATAAGCAATTATAAAGCTTAAAAACTAGCTTAAAAATTACTTGCTTTTATTAAGAATTCCTTAGCTTTAAAATGTTTTAATTAAGTTTAACATTTAAGTAAGTACGCTTATAATTAAAGACGTTTATAATGATGAAATATAAATTATTTTAATTAACCTTTTATTAACCTTTATAAAATAACATCGTATCGCGTTTAATGCGGTAAAATTAATCGCTAATTTAATTAACTATTTACGAGTTTTACCGACATTTAAAAAATAAGCTTAAGATTTAAAGGATTTAAACGATAAGTTATCCGATTTAAATTTAATAAATAAGTCGTCGGATTTAGAAAATTAAGTTAATTTAAACATATCAAAAAACTGCGTCGAAAGAAGTTGTTTAACGGTGACGAAAATATAAATATCGTTAATATATATTACGATTAAACTTTCTTTTATACGCTTTAGTTTTTAGCGTTAGCTTTATTTAAAGTGTGGTTTCGAATAATATTATCGTTTTATTTTATTTTTATATTAATAAAAAAGGCTTATATGTTATTAGTTAAGTAAAAAATAATGCGGATTAAAATTAAAAGGAAGAAATAATTAAAGATAAATTATTTTAATAAAATGTTATTTTTTACGAAACGGCGTATCGTTTATTTATCTTTAATGTTTTAAGAAAAATTATCGGACGTAAACGTGTTTAAATAATTAATAAAAACAAGTGTTTATATTAAGTTATTAATGTTAGATAAGTTACGTTTAAAGATAATTAAGGGGATATATATATATTATAAGTTAAATGCGAAATTTATCCTTAACATTTTATTCTTAGATTTACATTAACATTATATAAGGTTAATAAAAGGGATAAAATCGTGGAGCCGGTTAAAGCGGCGGCGATAAATTGTTTCGTAAAAGTATTAATTAGATTATTTAATTTAATTAAGGCTTAATACGGGAATATATAAATCCACGAAAGTAATTAATAAGGTTTTTTTAGATTGATTTACCGAGTTTATCCTCGTGTTTAAAAATAAGGATAATTTAAATTTAAACCTTTAAGTTAAGTTACGGTTAATGTTTAATTATTTAAATGTTAACAAAGACGTTTTAAGTATAAATATTACGTTTTTATTAAACTTTTATATATATTTATCGAATTTTAATATTAAGTCGTATTTAAAATTTAACTTAAAATATAAGTATTAAGTTATTAAAGTTTATTTAAACGATTAATATTTATTTGTATTTTTAATGGCGGGGTTTTTATAGTTATAACCGATAAGGATATTTTAAAGCTTATAAACGGCGAGTTTTACGTTTATAAAGATAATATATGTCGCGTTTAAAGAGATTTTACCGCTTTTATTAAAGTTATCTTTAATTTGGTTAACGAGGTTAATATAAGTTACAAATATAAGCTTTTATATCGATAATATATTTCTTATATATTAAAACGTAGAAAAATAATAAGATTAAATTAAAAGACATTTTTTTTTTCGATTATTTTAAGCTTGTTTACGGCTGGCGTATAAAAAAGTTTATATAAGCTTTAAGGAGATTTTAGTAATAGGGGTGGTGTATTACGTGGGCGGTTGCTTATTTATTAAGTTAAAGCGTTATAAAAGGTTTTAAATATAGCCGGTTTTTATAAAATAATTTTATATTAAGGCTTTTATAGGTGCGATTAGGTTATATAAGTAATAAATTAATAATTACGCGGAGATTTTTAAGCCGTTAACATAACTTTTAAGAAATGTTAATTAAAAATAAGGCGAGGCGAAGGCGTTTGCATTTACGTTGTTAAAAGATTTAACGTCGATGGTTATTAAAATATATAGTTTTATATTTAACTCCCCGGTGGAAATATATTCCGATGTTTTTAAATAAGGCGTTAAGTGTTTTATGGTATAATTAAAAGATAAAACCTACGTCTTAATCGTATATAATAGTTTTACGTTTATGAAAATTTAACGGAATTATAATATGTATAAACAAGAATTATATATTATTATAAAGTTCTTACGACGATATAGTTTTATGTTTTAAGCTTAAAAGGTGTTAATTATCTATATTAATTATAAATTCTTAACGTAATTCCTTAATTCGATAAATGTAAATGGAATATATATTAAATAAGCGTTGGAGTTATATATGTTAAATATAAAAATTATATATATTAAAAACAAGCGAAATTAAATAATTAATGTATTATTAAAGACGATATTCTCGGGGGATAAATATAATTAAATAAAACATTTAACACCATTTAATAAAAAAGAGCTAAATAATTCTTAAGTTTAAAAGGATAATGCCGGCAAGTATTAAGCCTTTTTTAAATCTATAAAAAAGAAGAAAAAAGAAAAGATAATAAACGATATTTTTAACTTATATAGGCAAAACCCAACGGATGTTATTTCGCAATTTATTAAACTAATAAAAAGCGGTAAATCCAAATCTACTATCCGCTAACGATAAAGGTGAAGTGATAATAAAAATAAGTATAAGGCGTTATTAAAGTCGTTAAGGGGTTTAATATTAATTTTATAATTAACGAAGTTTAAAATACCTTTTAAATACGCTTAAAATAATTAGTATACGGATATATATTAGGTGTTCACGAAGGGGATTATTAACCCGTTAAATCGTGTGAGATTACGTTTTTTGCGGAATAAAATAAAATATTATAAACTTTAAAACGGTAAATTATGGCATAAATACAAGGGTTATTAGTAAAAATACTTTTATCAAGGAAAAATAATTAAAATACTTTAAATAACTTATAATATAAGCGGGCACTTTTTTAAAGCAATTACGTTAAAATAGTTAAATTAATTTATATATTAGTTTTATATAACTTAAAATATAACCAATTATATTAAAAGCTGCCTTTTTTATGCGTATTATAAGCTATCTTAATTTTTAATACCCTCGTAATTTATTATTATATACGCATCTTTATAAGTTTTAACTACCGATTTTATTAAGCTGTTTTTAATAATATTATATAAAATACGATATATTCTAGTTATTATATGTTATTTTAGTTAATATAATTGGGTTATTTCGATTAAAGGGGCCATATTAATAGATATGTTAAAAGGATTTAACTTATAAGTTGTAAACATAAGGATAAAACCTTTAGTTTTTTACCTTAACCTTAAATTTACGTTTATATCGGCGGAGATAATAGCTAAAGTAAAGTTAATAAAAATTGCGATAATTTATAAATCTTTAAGTTTACATGCTAACGTAAGCCTTGTTAAAATGTTTAATAAAATCTTCTAAACTATATTAAAAAAAATTATTAATCCGTTATTAATTAAAATATCGGTGAAGTTTATAAATTAAGTGTCTTAATTAATAGGAATAATGGTAAATATAAACTATTAACACATAAAAAGTATTAAATTTTTATTATACGAGATTTTTTACGAGAATTTACTAATTAAAACATTCGAACAAAAATACCCCTCGGAAAACCTAAGCTCATTAATACGTTATTTACGAAGCGATAAGATAAAGCTCTTCCCGGTTAAGGATTAATTTAATAACTTAATAATAAATTATTTAATAAGGTTTTAACATTATCGGGAAACGATCCTTTAATTAAAGAAGGAAAAACGGCTAACACGTAATTATATATATACTTTTCGCACGCCTTAAATAAAAAAGGATAACCTAGTAATAATTTGTTAAAAAAGCAAAACCTTAAAACTTTGGAAAAAATGGACGAGACCTTTTATCGTAAAAACATAAATTAAATAATCCTCACACTAACTCCATAATTTAAACAAATCTATTATTAGAAAGATAATATATTATAAAAATCGCTTTAAATATTTCTCCCCTTAAATAAGTTATCTTCGAATAGATAATAAATTAGCCTTACCCTTATAATCACAATTGCAAAAAAAAAGGTCAAAAAGAAAAAAAAATAAATAAATATGAGAAAAAAAAAAAACGCTTATTACATCCTTATATTTCCTTTATAATTACATTTTTATAATTTTCTTTTATTTATTTTTTCCTTTATTAATAATTTTATTTGTTTATATCCTTACCTCTTTTTTTTTTTTATTATAATTTTTTTTATTATCATTTCATTTATTGAGGTTTCTTTTATTAACGTTTCGTTTCTTTTCTTTTAAGACTTTTATTACTTTTTTTTATTTTTTTTCTTTTTGTTAGGAATTGCGAGATTTTCTTTAGGAATATTAAGCTTTATTATATAGTTTAAGGATTTTTTTTATTATGTTATCATAATATTATATTTTAAAAAATAAGCCGCTTGCCTAACTTATATCCCCCTTAATAAATATTATAACAAGTGTTATTTATTATAGATAAAATAAAAAGATATAGGTAAAAGGCTTATCCTATAAGGATTAGTTTTAAATTTTTTCTTTTTTTTAATACATAATCTGTTTAAAACTGGTAGATCTTTTCTCCTACCTAACTTTAGATATACATAACTATATAACTATGTATCCATGGATATACTATTGAAACCATTGAAACGCTGGGATGGAATGGTTTAATTGGTCCTTTAAGCTGTTCCTTCCACCAATATTCCGCAGCAGCCTGTTAATACTAGGTATACGGGGCTTGTAGGGAAGAAAAATGGGTACATTAGTTATATCGATCATGTTAGGTGCGCAAGCCACACTGACAACGTCAGCCATTTCCATCCAATAGATAAGCCGGCTTCATCTTCTTGTCACTATTTTAAAGTCTTGGTATAACTACAACTCCCTATCCCATTCTTCTTCATCGACTTTTTAGTGACAATCCTTCAACTTTCATAACTATCATGGATATATTTTCTCAGATTCACTGAATATTGCATTATTCTCAAATCATTCTCCTTCATTCTCATTCAATTCTGAGACCTTGACACATCATGTACGAATATATGTCTGATATCTTGAGGTCAAGATAGTTAGTTACTCGTAGATCCAATCTATCTAAATGGTAACTACATCCTATGGTAGGTACTAGGAAATGTAAGCAGAGTATTGTATCGTCTTGCTAGCACTTTATATCTAATTATATGTCTTAGAAAGCCTTTCACATATAGATACTCAACCACTATATCGTAAGATGTACCTATCAGAATGCCTAGAGAGCCTGTCTGTGTATGTCAGGGCTTAGGTTATATTATTTATCAACATATCTATAATAAGGGGCAACGTATAAATATGCACTAATAGGTATATATGCGTCAATAAGAAGAACGTCCTCAAAAAGGGAAGCAATTTCACAAACTTCACCAATCCGGTTGCGGGGATCCTTGTCCAAGTCACGTTATGATGGAAAGATTAGAAATCTGTTCTGTAGTATTTATTGAGTGGCATCTTCCTCGTAAAAATTTCTCATCGGGTTTACCCAAGGTCGTGTTGTGTTGCTAAAGACAAAACTAAAGGTATCGTTTGGTGTGCAACATCCGCTGTTTCTGCTAAGACAGCTACTAGCAGAACATATCAGAAGGTAGTAAGTTGCAATACTGGCTATAAAGTTACTCATAGAATATGTATAGGTAATGTAAGACGTGGACACCGAAAGTATGATATAACGATTTAGTGGTAAGTCTAGGAAAGAGCATACCTAGCTAGACGTCAAATATCATTGCTTGCTCATCTCAGGGGGTCGGCTCTACTTGCCCCCTATTCACCTTACTACGTACCATACAACTTTATAGACTCTTGAGACTAACACCTGTTTATAGATAACCAATACCAAGAACCTAGCTGTTATAAGTCTACAAAAAACTGCTTTACACATATATACCTTGAGTTTGTTCCACAACAGCAACTTCAAAAGAAGAGATAGAGAAAAAAGATAAGAGAAAGAAAGAAAGAGCCATGGCTCTCAACAACACCGCTCCAGAATGGTGGCCCTTCTTTTCCACCGGCAGCCCGATGCCAACAACCACAACCACAACCATCATCCTCGGCCTCCTCCTAACCCTCTACATCCTAACCTCCCACCTCTCCTCCCTCAAAATCCACCCCCACGAACCCCCCGTCCTCCCCCCCAGCATCCCCATCATCGGCCACGTCCTCAACATCGCGCTGCTCGGCGGGCGCTACATCAAGCGTCTCGGCCTCACGCACCCCTCCCTCCCCATCTTCACGCTTCCCGTACCAGGCGGCTCGCGTCTGTACATAGTCACAGACCCAACCCTCGCAGCAGCCGTGCAGCGCGCATCCCGCGCCCTCTCCTTCACGCCCCTCATCCCCGACGTCACGGCGCGCGTCCTCGGCCTCGATGACGCCACAGTGGCCATCACCCGGCGCGACCTAGACCCGGGACCAGGCGACCCTCACGGCTTCCTGGCGGATATCCAGGAGATGGTGTACCTGTGGCTCGGGCCGGGGGACTACCTGACTGAAGTGACGCTGGCGGCCGTGCGCGAGATGCGCGACGAGATCGCTGTTGCCGCCGCCGCCGCCGCCGCCGCTACACAAACAACATCCCTCCTCCCCTGGGTCCGCCACCTCGTCGCCTCCTCAACCGCGACCTACCTCTACGGGCCCCTCAACCCCCTCGCGCAGGACCCGTCCCTCGAGGCCGCCTTCTGGGACTTCGACCACGGGCTCAGCGGGTTGCTCCTCAACCTCGCGCCGAGCATCACCGCGCGCCGCGCCTACGCGGGGCGCGAGAGGTTGGTCGCCGCGCTTTTCGAGTACTTGGAAGCTGGGCGCCACGAGGAAGGTGCGTCGAGGATCGTGCAGGAGCGCGTGCGCATCGCGCTGCGCCACGGGTGGACGCTGCGGGCGGTGGCGCGCGAGGAGCTCTCGTTTCTGTTTGCGGGGATCGTGAATGCGACGACGTCGGCGTTTTGGATTTTGGTGCAGTTGTATGCGGATCCGGTGTTGTTGGGGGTTGTGAGGAGGGAGGTTGAGAACGTTCTGGAGAGTGAGAGTGAGGGTGAGGGTGAGGGTTATGCTGATAAGAACGGGAACGGGAACGGGAACGAGAACGGGGATGGGGATGGGGATGGGGATATGGATAGGAATGGGGAGTCAACGACCAATAAAAAGCAAACCAACCCTAAAAGAACCCTCCGCATCACACACCTCAAAGACGAATCCCACTGCCCCGTCCTCGTCGCCGTCTACCGCGAGTGCCTGCGCCTCGGCTCCGACACCTACTCGACACGCCTCGTCAAGGAGGATTTCCTCCTGGCGAACCAGTACTTCCTGAAGAAAGACGCGGTCGTGCAGATCGCCGGCGGCGTCATCCACGGCGACCGACGCATCTGGGGCGACGACGTCGATGAATTTAACCCGAGACGGTTTCTCGCGGATCCCGAGGCGGCGCTGGATCCCGAGAATCGGCACCGCTCGCGTGAGGGCGGCGGGGGAGGAAGAGCAGACGGTGGCGGGGCCACCAACAAAAACAACACCGCCTACCACCCAGCAGCCTTCCGCGCCTTCGGCGGCGGCAAGACGCTCTGTCCCGGGCGCCACTTCGCCATGAACGAGATCCTGGCCTTCGTCGCCCTCGTCGTGCTGCGGTTCGACATGCGATCGCCGCCGAGTGGAAAAGAAGACAAAGACAGCAGCAACAAGAAGAAGAAGGAGAAGAAGATCGAGGTTCCGAAGAAGAACGACGGCGTGTTGCCGGTGCATATTTTGGAGCCGGTGAGTCCTGTTGAGGTGGTTATTTCGAGGCGGGAGGGCTTGGTGGGGGGTATGTTGGGGGAGGGATTGGATGTTGAGATTGTTATGTGATGCCTGCCTAGTGAGTAGGTAGGTAGGTAGGTAGGTGATGATGGAGATGGAAACAGGGGATGGGCTACGAACGGTAATAAGAGTCGCTACGATGGATGGTTAATGAGGTATGTATGGATTACGAGAGCGATATTTCTTAATGGATACCTAGGCATCAGAGGATCACAACGGAACAGGGAAATTAATGGGTAGCAACGTTTACAGTCTGATTAATCTTCGGTGCTAGCTTACACCTTACCTGCAATACAATGACCCTCTACTCTACTGAGTAAAGGGCCCCCCCATAGGGGATACAGGAACAATAATAATACATGTGTTAGTCCATCTTCTCTCTCTCTCGAGCATCATGCCGTGCAGTGCAATATTGACATAACGATCTTGGCATCGCGAGAGTGAAACAGAACAGGACTGTTAGCAACGAGTATCCTTCTCATGGCCTTCTTTCTGGAGTCACACTGGCTTCCAGTACAGCAAAACAGCTTGATATGCTGTGTAAATAATCGTCAACGTTGGACCCATGACGATCGCATCTTCCTCCCCTATTACTCTGTCAGGTAGGACCTGGGGCCAATGTAGGCCACCAAATCAGAACATCCTGCGACTTCAACTTCTAACAACCAAGAATACGGCCTATACAGACCATAGTTCCGGCTAACAAACTCTCTTTCCACCATCGTCAATGTAATCTTCCTCCCCTTATTCATTTCGTATGCAGTAATCTGGTATTGGAAATACCAAAGCAGAACATCCTGCGACTTCAACTTCAACTTCTTATAACCAGGAATAAGGCCTCTGTAGACCATAGTTCCGGCTCAATCAACAATCTCTTCATCATTGCCACCAACGTCAATGTAGTCTTCCTCCCCCTCTTCATCCCATATGCATTTGTTCTTCCGTTTCGATGTCGGCAGTAGTCCTAACCTTTCACATTCTCATTCCTTACGGGGCTACTCCCCTCTCCACTCTCCATCATGAATCACGTCTCCCTTGGAGCCAGGTATCGAATCGGTGGCGACTTGTCCAGGCTTCAAAGTCAGGGTCAGGGTGCAGTGGGGGGGCCCGCTTAGCCTGGCGCCGAATGATGGGCATGCGCGCCGAGCGGGCGGGGTCGGTCACCAGGAATCCGGGACCTGTATCTATAACGGAGACCATTTGAAGTTGCGAACTGTGCTTAACATTTCGGGCTAATTTGCTGGACTCTCGTGGGTTATAATGAGGGTAATAGTGTCTGACCGTAATTTCGGCCAAGCGTCCCCCGAGGCCGGCGAATACGGAGGCCGAGTCATCGGACGCCATCGCGAGAGAGTAGACGGGAGAGAGGTTGTTTTGTTTGGGGTTCAACCACATATTGAAATTAGGTCGGTGGTAATCCAGTTTAGAGAGTGCGTGCCAGCGACACGGTTTTCCGTGTGCGTGCTTGCACCTGAGTCTGTCCGATCGGAAATATGGTTCCTTCACTATGACTGGTGGATGGCTGACCGGGTATGGCGTGTCATTACCGCAAGCCAGGGCATCGGTATGATAGTAACCCTTGGGCCAGCGGTAGTCGAACACTTTCAGGACCGAGGACTGGGCGCTGCCACCGAAAAACTGTTCGGTGCCGCGGGTAAGAAGGGCGCTAATGGGTGTCGCGAGGTCAAAATTATCTTGAAAGACCATGTCAAATCGAGAGCGCGTGCGAATATCTTGCAACTGAACGGTTCCATCGTCCCACGAGCTGAGAAGAGATTTACCACTTCCACTTGCGAATGAACTCATATTCAATGGGAGAAGTGCTCGAGCAGTTCTGAGCTCCCGCGAGCCGTCATTAGACATCTTGGCCGCCGAAGAAGTGTGAACTCTGTCCGGTGTGTATTTCACGTATTGAATGGGGTTGTGAGCACTGTTAAGGCTTACAGCCAGTGTATCTTCGTTTACGTATTTGACTTGGCGGATGAAATCGAATCTTCCGCAACCAGCAGGATTAGCTTTCAACACGACTGAATTTACGGGTAAAATGTATGGTTCTCGTGTACCATCGCTGCTGTGACGGATCAGTTCCTCGTCGGGCTTCGTGGAGTAGGTTAGTATGCCCTCCTTCGTTGCCGCCGCGATTAGACCTAGTTGGTAGTTGAAATCCACAGCCTGAATATTCCTTTGGATTCCAGAAAGAGAAGGTTCTCGAAACTCTACGAGCTGTTTCCCAAAGTTATGGGTAGCCATAGACATCATATGAAGTTTGCCGCTGGCTCTGCCCACTAAAACTTGGTAGTCATCTGTTGGTCCATAGTTGTACCGGACGTCCTTCAGAATGGAGACGGCCGTAATGTCGTCTCTTCCAGAACTATAACCAATCTTGGCGCCTCTGCTGCCCATCCACTCATCCCATGGACGGCTATTGGGAATATTGTGACGCAGCATACCAAAGACGTCTTCCCCGGCGCCCCAGAAGACGAGTTCCTGAGCATCCTGACCTAGGCGATGGTGGTAAGCATCGACCAAGATGTTGCAGGGAATTGATTGATTTTGGTTATTATTTTGGTTGTTGGCCTGCAATGGGGCTCGGATCTGCTGACTAGGAGGTGGCGTGAGAATCTTGACCAATACACCTCGTCGGTCCCAGTCTCTTGACTGCGCAGTCAAAACTCTGGCACGTTCTGCCCACTCCTTGTTTGACAAGACTGCGGAAGGGTTGAACAGCGTGAATCGTGACTTGACCCAAATTCGCCAACCCTTCTCCTCGATGACATGATTCATCGTTCTGCTGGTTCTGGACAAACGAGCCACGCCCTGTGCAGTGTCGATATGTTCCAGTATGTTATAAATAACGTCTGCGGGCATGTTCGTGAGACTAAATCCACCAGACGAACTTGGAGGCTGAGGGTCCGCCATAGTGAGTTGATACCAGTACGAAGACTGATACTTATTTTCGATATTTTCGATATTTGCGTTGTCAATTATGACGTATGAGTGAATCTATTCGTATGTAGTAAGGTGAATGATAATGGTGTATTGTGTATATGAGAGGTGGTCCGTAACAACTCTTTGACCTTTGGTGTTGATGTACTTAGGTGGGTTCCAACCAGATATGAAGACTGGGTGAAAAAAACACGTGTAAATAATAAGTAGTAAAGTTACATTGATGAAACTAGGTCTCAATCAGTAACTTGATAATATGGAATAAGGTGAGGTGGATGGTGTTTGTATGTGTGTGTGTGTGTAGAGGTAGGGTGATGGAAAGGTGTAGAGAATGAAGGTAAAGATTGGAGGATGGAGAGAAGAACAGAGGAAGATGGGAAAATATGAAAAGAATGGGAAGAATGGGAGGAGGAAGGTGGGTCAAGGAAGTGCAATTCTCGTGTATCGATGAAGCCTGGAAGAGTCATTCACTAGGGAGGTAGGTAGTAGGTAGTAGGTAGTAGGTAGGTACCCAGGAGGTAGGGGTGTAACTAATTACTTTTTCGACCTTGTTTATCGACAATAATGAGACCGCAAAGTGGTATTGTATTGAAGAAGAATGCTATGGTGAAAATAGTAGAGTGCTTTCATACCTATTAGGTAGGTTGGTTGGTGCTATATATGAGAGAGATGTGGCTGGATGTCGAAACATCGTGAGATTTCAGACTATGCTCGTTCTGGCTTCTCACTTAGATTCTTGTCAATGATTTCGATGTTGTCTGTAGAACTTACATGTTTGATTCTGTTCATACACAAAAGCTCATACTAAATTGGTTAATGGTTAAGTAGGTGACTGCAGTATTTACAGTAACTAAATATAACAAAGTGAAGCAAAGAAGATATAATATTTGTATTTGGTTAAGTTACGTCTTGTTGTTTCGCTATATAAGAAGTTGAAGTATTTAAAGGAGTGATTGAAAGTGTAAATGAACAAGACATCCAATGATTTCAATGTTAGCTAATATATCTATTATATACATATCTACTACCTAGGGTAGTTACATACAGGCAGGTAATATTAGTATAGACATACCTAACTGCATATATTACATTAAGCAGTACCGAATTGAATTTGGATGATAAAGATGCTCCTCACGATTTACAGAATTATACAAAGTATTGTTTGACAAGATAAGACAAGACATGGCAAGACGTAGATGTTTAGCTATGTAGTATGAACTATTACCTATTTTAATTACAGAGTAGACATTTTGGATCATTTACTTTGGTACATATCCACCTAACCTAGGTCATAAGGGGAATTCTGGACTTGAACTGCATAAGTGCATTATTGTTGGGTAATACCCCTGAAAACACTCAACCCGTCATCACCAAGTCCATCGCCCCCCTGATCATGGACGACCTAAGTATCTCTGACTTATATCTCCCAACCGCACTCGCACTTATCACGGCATTACTATACCAATATGTCCTGTATCCCGCCGTCTTCTCGCCACTCTCCAGAATCCCCAATGCGCATTGGTCCTGCTCCATCTCACCGGCCTGGATCTTGTGGGCCCGCTTCAAGAGTCGCGAAAACCGCACTCTACACTTAGCTCACCAGCTTCATGGGCCCATAGTGCGCCTCGGGCCTAATGAGTTGAGCGTGAACAGTGTTGAGGCTGTCAAGACTATCTACCAAGGTGGCTTCGACAAGCACCAGTGGTACTCCATCTTCAACAACTATGGGTAAGCCACCCTGCTCTTCCCCTCTCACCGTATATACCTACCTAGGTATCTATACACGACTCTACTAACCCACCACCACCACCATCAGCGTCCCCTGCATGTTCTCCTTCCAGCAATCCAAACCCCACTCCACCAGAAAACGCATGATCTCCCACGTGTACTCCAAATCGCACCTCGCCTCCTCCCGCGCCCTCGCCCTCCAAGCCCGCGCCATCCTAACCACCCGCCTCCTCCCCATCATCGCTTCCTCCAAGAACCTGCACGGGGTAGACGTGCACTCGCTCTTCAGCGGCGCCGCCATGGACCTCATCGCGGCGTACTGCTTCGGGCTGGGCCGCACCGACGACTTCATCCGCAACGCGGGCTACCGCGCCCACTGGCTCGCGCTGTACGCCACGCGCTCCACGCACGGCTTCTTCGCGCAGGAGCTGCCGCGGCTCTCACGCTTGCTCAGCTTCCTCGGTGTCCCGCTCCTCGCGGCTTCGTTGTTTGGCGGCGACGACGCCGATGCCGCGAATAGGGAGCTCGAGGCCTGGTGCAAGGCGCACTGCGACGCTACGATCCAGCAGCTCAAAGCTGAAGCGGAAGCGGAAGCTGGGAGGGAATCAAAGTCGAGCGTAGACACAGCCAACGACCCGGCCGTTGTGCGCGCGCTCCTCGCCGGCATCGCCAAGGAAGAAGCGCGCACCAGCACCACTACCAACGACAGCGATCTCTCCCTCCTAGTCGCCTCCGAGATCTTCGACCATGTGCTCGCCGGCCACGAGACTACCGGCGTCGCGCTGACCTACCTCTCGTATCACCTCTCTCAATCGCCTTCCTTGCAGCGGACGCTACGCGAGGAGCTGCTGAGCGCTGCTGCGAAGCCTACCACCACTACCACTAACAGCAGCAGCAGCAGGGTAGCAGTGTATCCCGATGCGCGACAACTAGACCGTCTACCGGTTCTGCACGCCGTGGTGATGGAGACAGTGCGCCGATACACACCGGCCGGGGGCCCTGAGCCGCGCGTTACGCCTCACCACCACCCTCATCAGAATCAACAGCAGAACACATCATCACCAGGCTGTCTAATCGGCCCCTACCCAATCCCCCCCGGCGTGCGCGTCTCCGCGTCAGCGTACAACCTTCACCGCGACGCGACCGTGTTCCCGGACCCCGAGAAATGGGATCACACGCGATGGCTGCGTCGTCGTCCTCATCCTCGTTCACGAGACAGGACCGGAAAAGAAGAAGAAGAAGGGGAGGAAATGGAAAGTAATGGGTACCAGCTGAAAGAAAAGGACGAAGACGTAAACAGACACTTCTGGGGTTTCTCGAGCGGCGGGAGGATGTGTCTCGGCTCGAATTTCGCCATGCACGGTATCCCCCCCCCTCTTTTCTTCTCCTCCCTCCTCCCTCCTCCCTCCCCCCCTTATCCTATAAACAAAATCAAAACTATCCCTTTCCCAGCACCTCTCAACATATCACACCACCGCCTAACCAACCCATGACCCCCGTCACAACATATTAACACAGGTATCTATAGAAATGAAACTCATCATCGCGGCCATCTACGCAAACTACACGAGCCACGTCGTCGACGACGAGGGCGTCGAGCCGACGGATGCGTACACGGGTCACCCGAAGAGCGGTTCGTTGTACCTGCGGTATGAGAGGGTTATATAAAGGTACAGGCTGTGTTGTATTCATGCTCCTTGTGTTAGCAGCAGGGTGGTTTCAAGATCTAAATTCCATGTACCATATAACTAATTTGGTACCTACTAACCTACAGTATAACTTGGCGAGAAAAACAGATTGTTGAGTTATACATACCTACCGAAGATATTTATGAGGCGGCCAGTGAAATTGACCCTATACGTTAGGCAAGATACGTAGAAGCGAGATCTGATCTTTGACTATCGAATGAATACTACCTACCTAGGTAGTCATCAGGCTGATTAGTATGTTGGTATACTATTTAAATACAATACATATCACAATCTTGAACAACAGGGCCCGAGTCTTAGCAATTTTATGCTACCTACTTTATTATGCTACATGAATGCAAAGTTCCGTCTGCACCGTCCTTTCTGCATCGTCGCCTATACGACGCTAATCGATTCGTACATCGTAGTTCTCGACCATGGATTGGTATTCTTTCTGATCCCCCAACCGTTCCCTTCGGACGAAAGTCCTGCAGACAACTAGCGATGAAGAGCAACTATCTACTATAGGAACTATATTTTTCGTAGGAACCATGTCTCTCATAGAAAAACGATCGTCAAAGTATTCTTTGCCTAATACCCCTGCGTTTAATCTTAACACCTTTGCTACATTCCTTCCTCAGTGACCTGCTCAGTCATTTCAATGACCGGTCACCACTGCCGAATAGTGCGACCAAGCAAGATCTCGTGTGTGTCTCAATAGGACATCTTCCGTCAAGGGAAGATGTAAGATGCGTTCGTGTTCCATCTAATGAAGTCTTAGCAACGTGCTTTTAGTAATGCTAGGATCAAGAATATGACTTACCTCTCCTGCCTTAGCCAAACTGGCTACCACCTTCGCCACTGCTGCTGCCATATCCGTCAAGGCAGCGTACTCAATGACACTGGATTGCGGAGTGTTGCCATACATCGCTGGTAACCCTTCGAGTAGAGCATTGACTATATTAAGGGGTGGTTGCTCGGACCGTCGCTGACAGCCCAAGAATTGTAGGAACGCCTTGTAAACTTCACCGCCAACGTTCCAATGACTGACTTGAGCATGATGACCCTCGAACTGTTGTAATAGGTTGGCTAGAGCGTCGAAATCGCGTTCAATAATGGTAATTGGGGCGACTTCTTTGATGAAAGTGCGGTGAGCATCAATCCACGACTCTGCACGAAGCAAACACTGAACCTCGGCACTCGGATCCTTCTTAACACTCCGCATGAATAAGGCTTTGGCATGCCATATCCACTGTCTAGGAATTTTGAAGTCTATCGTGAGTCTTTTGAAGCTGCTCGAGTCTTCGTTCCCAATCAGACCGGCATGCCTGCAAAGATGATCTTGGATAGCTTTGCTTCGGGCGTCGGGATTGGTAAGGTGTAGAAGAACGAAAACTGCCTCGAGCCAACTACCTTCGTTCGTTAACTGTGCTGCAAGAGAGATAGTAGTAGCATCAGTCTTTTCGGTGGCGTTTTTCCCGAAAGAGGCGCGTCCAGTAAAAGTCAAAGCTTGGCCCAACTGCCAGCACAACCGGTAATCAAGGGGAGAGAGCTGCGAGTTTTCGGGACGCAGTATGGCTTCGAGATCGACCTGGTGGTTAGAGTATAACCGTAATAACCCCCAAATTAGGTCTTCTCGCTGGTTTCTATGTGGATCGTTCCAGATGCCCTTGATGCCGTGCTCGATGAACCAGGTGGTAGGTGGAAGCTCTTTATCTTGCTCGACATCTTCTTTGTACTTCTCGACCGCATCCGCAATGCTATCTTCTGTAGAGATTGCATACCATAGCCTCAGACCAAAAGCCTGCTGCCAGTTGAGGCCAAACCTCTTAGAAATGAGGAATGATTCGGTGCGATTCTCTAGTGCTCCTTTGGTCCCCTCAGAGGCGCAAACATTTCCGCTCAGCATTTCGTAGAGTGCGCGAATCGGCTGTGAAAATTCAGAGAGAACATTGGCCTCCTGCCATTCCTTCATCTGCTCTCGTATATCCTTCTTGACCGCATCATTAGAGCCGATGAGCGATACTAAGGTGGCCAGGCGGAAATTTTTGCCATCAAGAAGATGCTTGCAAGCTTCAGCGACTCGATGACCAGATAAAGCAGCCAATGCCTTTTCCTCGCTTGAGCCTGCCATCGCAGCTGTCTTGTTAGTCTGATCCTCCACCATGCGCTCCCAGAATCGAGATAGGTTCTCTCGACGTAGCTTCTCCAAGGCATTGCGGTCGTTTTGCAAATCTGCAGGGACTTTCAAGTTGTCGAACAGTACGCTAGCAAGTTCCCAAACAAGTCTTTCGTGTTCTTCGGCCGAGTTTCTGCTACCGCTCCCAGCAGAGAAATCCTTCAAGGTAGTCCTTGGGTTTAACCTAACGACTGGAACATTATCAATAAGTTGAATTTGTGCTAACTTGATATGTGAATCAATAGCCCTGGCCGACATCTAAATTAAAATAAGAAATAATGTATTAGCAACCATGAGATGAACCTATGCTTTTATACATACCTCATTGGTGAATTTGGCGATCCGAATATCCTGAGACTCTGACACAATGCCACCTTTCATTACGGTCATTAACCCATTCTTCTCGGAAAGACGACCTGACCTGCCGAATGCTGTATTGCTTGGGGTAGCAGAGAATACAAGGGTACCGTTTGGACCCCAGGTAGGCCGCATCGTATCGTGCCATACCCGATCCTTTTCATCCATCTCACTATCATCAAGATGCTTTGTAAGTCGCTTGTATGGCCACTATTTCATAGGAAGTTAGTCAATGTAGTTTTACATTAAAGATGCTAAATACAAATTCTCCGTATCCGGTATTTCTCAAACTGGGGAGGGAATTAAAACTAGTAACCGACCTTGACGCCCTTTGGCCGAACTGAAGCTTGGAGATTCTCAACAGGGGTTCGGGCCTTTTCAAATAATGAATTCATCAGATCAATGCTTGTTGCAAAACCCCGACTATCCGACACGATCTGTTTCTTCGTGGGAGATTTACCGCGAGATTCGTTTGTCGAACGGTAATTGTCAGCCTCATTCATAGTTCTCAGAAGTGCGCGATCCCGTTTCTGAGGACTGATAGTCTTGCTAAGCATATCCATCCAATCATCTCCGGATGCGACTTGAACTTTCATTGGTGTTGACGAGCCCTTGATTGCGCGCATTCGTGCTCTCATAATACCAGCAGGGGTTTCCTGTACAGCATCAACTTGTGACCCATCAAACGAGTTATCTTCTGGCTCCGCGGCGGGATGGCGTCCGAGGGAAGCACTCGCATCTTCATGTGCCTCAGACATCGCATATTCATCGTCCGTGTCATCTTGGTCCATAGGGACAAGCGCATTGGACGGCGAACCCGCGGAGCGACTAGCTAAAAAAGACGGTCGAGATTGAGTAGCCTCTGCCATCTCTGCTTCGTTGCTAGGGTAAGAGTCATCCTCGTGATCAAAGGCCCCTGGAAGCACTGCATAACTTCGTCTGCCCTCAAAAGCACCACTAGCGTCAGAGGCAGCATCGCGCGAGTCAGCCGATGGAGACCTTGATTCTTTCTGGTTTGACGTGTGAGTTGATGGGCCTTGGGAGGGTGCAGGCTTAACGTCTTCATCATCAGACTCTTCAAGACCGTAAGTGGTGAAATGTTCAACGGAGAAAGTCCACTCGCCGGTTTCCGCATTGTAATTCTCGAGTTTGGTGTCTGGGATCCGTTTGAGACGCTCGACGTGCTTAGTAACCGAGATCGACTTTCCCTTACGCGAGGCACGAGGCCATGAATTTTCGAGACTGATTACGGCAGGCACATTTAATCCCTTACCAACTGGAGGCTTTTTAGCGGCATTGGGGTAAACAGTTGCGCTTCGAGGTTCCAGAATAACGATATTGTGGAATATGTTGTCAATGTCGACTGAGTTCAAGTCAACTGGTACCTTGAATTTGACGTAGCCGACGCTCTCACGCCCGACAGTAAAGTCAGATACTTTCTGGCGCTGGACGCGGTTCATGTTTTGGATCTCCTCCTTAGTTGGAGACATCCAATAGTCGCCAGCTTCGCCGTCCGTGGGGGCAGCCGACGAGATTCGGGGCGGTGGTGAGCCGATTTCCTCTTCATGTACAACGGCCAGTTCATTGCCCTTCACTTGTTCCATCTCGGGGTTTGAACTTGATTTAGAGCCGTTGATTCCATTAGTACTAGCCTTGGGTCGAACGTAGCCAAGTTGCTCTGCAGTGGGTGTAGAGTTAACCGAGCCGTTCGCTGTTTCCCCGTCCTCGATTGTCTCAACGTTGGTCGTATCAAAGCTGACACGCTTCGTCAGCTTTCGAGAACTATTCGGTGTCTCAGGAGAAGGCCTGTCTTTGCTGGGACTGGAGAACAAGTCACTCCGTAAATCCTTGTTAATGACAAGTTTCTTGACACCATTGTTCCCGTAAAATCGAGGCCCTGAGCTGGCGGAAAATGCACCGGGTGCTAAGAGGCTGTCTTCGATATTGAAATTACGTCGCAGATTGCTTGTGGAAACACTCTTAGCAAGTGAACTACCAGTGCTGCGAGACAGACTGCCATTCAGTAAGCTCTGCGACAAGGCGCCCGGGGTGCTTGAGGCGCTCGAAGGGCTATTCGGAGTTCCGTAAGTGCTGTAGGAGAAGCCGAATCCACGCTTCTGGGGTGTTACGAATCGAGAAGCTGACGCTGGGTTCAACTTATAAAGCGGGAGGATGGAAGGCCGCCTAGACTGTTTCCTGTTTGAGGGGGTAGCAAGAGGACCTGGGTCGGCAACCTCATTGCTCCCGAGGTTGGCGAACAGAGATCCATATGCAGTTGGGTCGTTAATGCTCGCAGTTAATGATGGACTGGACTGGTTTGCTTGTGAGCTTCCAAACAAGGAGCTTCCCATCGTGTTATTCTGGGGTTGCTGCTGCGCGGTTGAAGATCCAAAGAATGACGATCCCTGTTGTTGATTATTCTGGCTCCCAAAAAGACCACCGCTAGGGGCTTGATTGGTGCTCCCAAATAAAGAAGACTTTTGCTGGTTTTGACCAAGGGAGCCGAACATGCCACCATTTTGTTGTGGCTGTTGCTGCTGATTCTGGTTATTCTGGTTCAGCCCTCCAAACACCCCGCCACCAGTATTGTTGTTTTGAGGTGTACCGGCGTTGCCAAACATTCCAGTACCGGTAGCGGGTTTGCTGCCAAAAAGACCCCCTGCCTGGTTATTAGGTGCTTGGCCAAAGCCGCTAGGGGTACTTGTCGAGCCGCCAAACAGACCACCGCCAGTTCCGGTAGTGTTGGTGGTATTTCCAAATAACCCTCCCGCAGGTTTTTGCTGGGCATTGCTAAACAGAGACCCCGTTTGCTGTTGCTGATTTTGAGCTCCGAAACCGCCGGCACCGGCACCACTGCCGCCAAACACGCCTCCAGTGTTCTGTTGGGGATTCGCGTTACTAAACATACCGCCACTGGTGTTTTGGTTGGTATTATTAGCTGCACCGAAGAGACCACCGCCACCACCTGTATTAGTGCTGCCAAATCCACCTGTATTGCCTCCGAAGCCGCCCGTGGCATTGGTGTTGCTGCTATTCGTATTGCCGAAGCTGAAACCTGTCTTCTGTTGATTGTTGGCACTTCCGAATAATGAGCTTCCCGTATTTGCGTTGGTGTTTGTAGCTCCAAAACCAGTGCCGGTGTTTCCAGTGTTGCCGAAGCCGGTGTTTCCAGAACCAAACAGACCGCCAGATTGAGCTGGCTGGGCTGGCTGAGTTGATGTGGAAGTACCGAATAACCCACCAGTTGTCGCCGGCTTGTTCCCGAACATACCTCCACCGGCAGCTCCTGCTGTGCCGAATCCACCTGCGTTGGAGTTGGTCTGCCCGAAGGCACTAGAAGTTGCAGGAGTGCTACCGAATAGGCCACCGGTGGTGTTCGTCGTGGTATTGGAAGCGCCAAATGCGTTGGATGGCTGATTGTTTGAGCCAAATCCGCCGAAACTAGAACCAACGCCAAACGTTCCAGCACCAGATGTACCACCGAAGCGGCGACCAGCTACATAGTCGGCAAGTCTCAACTCTTCAGAGGACCACTTCTTGTACGGATCTAGAAATAGAATGTTCTGGAAAGAATTCTGCGCAGAGCTCGTAGGGCTTTCCTTTTCGACAAGGGGCTGGAAGTTGGTAATATTAGCGGTACCGGGAGGATCGCCAACTGGCCCTAAAGCCGTGCTGGCAGGGGCGCTCGATCCAGCACCGAATGCACTTCCAAAACCTGCCGATGTGCCGGCGTTGGTGGTGGACCCAGATCCAAAGAGCCCGCCACCGGTCGTGCCGGTGTTTGATGCTCCGAAAGCCGGCTTATTAGCATTGCTGCTACCAAACATAGATGTACTACTGGCACCACCGGCACCACCACCAAAAGGGCTCGAGGTCGATGCGTTATTCGTAGCTCCGAAGCCACCACCAAAACCGCCTGAGGTCGTAGTGGTAGAGCCGCCGAACAAGCCACCACTCGTCGTTGTGCCCCCGAAGGCTGGTTTTGCAGCACCAAATCCGCCCGTGTTGCTCGTTGACCCGAAGGCACCTAAGATGGGCATATTAGCAAGCCGGTCCACAACTATGTATGAAGTTGCGCAAGGGGAGGCTAGACTGTTAAACGACAGTGCGACACTTACCGGTGTTTCCACCGAAGCCAGACGTGTTCCCAGAGCCGAACAGGCCGCCTCCAGTGTTGCTGGAAGTACCGAAGCCACCGGTATTATTGTTCGCGCCGAAGCCTTCCGGGGGGGTTTACCGGGTTAGTCGTGTGTGAAAAGCAACAGGGTGAGGGAATGTTGGGACTTGACAGATGAAAATGATAAAACCTACCGGTATTGCTTGGAGTGTTATTGTTGGCGCCGAAACCACCAAACCCACCACCTGGGGTGCTGTTGGCGTTGCTGCCGAAGCCGCCACTACCACTGCCGAACCCGCCAAAGGTCGACATGATGGCGGCTCTGTATAAGAGGTAAGAGTATTAAGTCAGCTCGAGGCACACAAAATCGGGTACGAGATGGTAAAGAGCGCGTTGAGACGCGTGAGTTGATGTCTTCAGTTCGCCAAGATTAAGTAGAGGACGGCATGGAATGCGGACAGGCGGTCATCGAAGGTAGATCGTCGAGTGATTATGATGAATATGAGTAGAGTATCGGAAGGAGTTGACGTTGATGCGCAGGGGGAAAAGTATCGCGAACCAGGTTCTAAACTTTTTTTTCTGCGATCCGCGCTGCCGGGGCCAAAGGTCGAATTAATGGGAGTTTTTAACGTACGAAGAAATTTGTATCCTAGAGGGAAAAAAAATAGATGGGGGAAAATAAGTGGCAAAGACTGTGATAGAATAAGAAAAAAGTCAATGGCAGTAATTAACCCTAATAGTAATGAAAGTACCAGAGTTTTGGTTGAAGAAAGATTGCGGTTATGTAGTGGTGACGGGATGGAGCTTGAGGCTTTGGGGGGGAAGAAAAGTAGTAAGAGGTCAAATGCTCAAACGTTCCTAGTTGTCAGGTAGAGAGAGAATTGACACGGTTGGGTTGGGTTAACTCGAACTGGGACAAGGAAAGGAGAGTGGGCCACCTTTTTTTGAAATTCTTCTGCGCGTGTGTTGAATGGTGCTAAGGAATAAGAAAGAGTGGGCCAACATATGTATTTAAGTTTGCTAGTACTACATACATACGTTGTTACCTACTAGGTACTAGTACTGCACAGAAACCGTACAATACAGGGTACTCTGCATGCCTGGCTTCTTGAACCGTATTGTACACACTAGCACTTACATCGTACTGTACATATGTACCAGTGCATGCACCACGATTCTAATAACCCTACATACCCAAGGTGCTACATATGTAGGCTTTTTCATTGCTCTTAGGTTGACCATCCTCCGAATAACTATGCCTAATGAAGGTCAATGTTGACGCATACTTGCTTAGTATTTCATAGTTGCCTGCAAGACATGTTAACATCTTCGATGTTCAATGTTGGAATTGATTGAGTCTATGACTCTACCGTACAGAGTAACGGTTATTGGCCGATCAGTACTACTAGTAGTACCTAGGTAGGAATGTACCTAATTAGAACATACAGGTAACTATGTACATGTAGAAGGAGCTTGGGCCATGAACAAAGGTCACAAGATCAATGATACACTTTCAAATGTTACCAGTGACTCCCACCTCGTTTTTCATACTTGCGCTGCAAGCGCTCTTTAGCCAACCAGGAAGGACAATTCCAAAAGCATCCGGACATGTACAATATGTACATGCTGCATGTGTGTTTGACTCCAGATGTCTGGACAGCCACCCGAATTACTATGTTATGTAAAAACAAAAAGCCACACTCCAGGTCTTAATAAAGATGATCAGCCTAATAATAACTAAGCAACTTTCTTCCTTTCCTTTACTCTACTCTCTAATACGACCCCTCTAAGGTGACAGGTCATGGAGATCATGGCGACAAATAACGACAATTATAGTTTAGGTTCGACATATCTGTTCAAAGATCAATTGATGCTTATGCACATTTACTGTACATGTAACTATGTAGGTTCTAAGGTTTGCATCACTCGATAGACTTCAACCACTACCATCATCCATGTACAATAAGTTACATGCCAGGTAGTGCTTACCGATTACAGCATAACCTGTGTATTTACATGTAGGTATGCGCCTACCCTAGCAAGGCGCGTCTAGGGTACGTGTAAAAAGTACCTTAAACCGTAAATACTTAGATTTCGCGCGACTCGCCCTGTCCTGGTTGCTCCCCTGCCCCCTTGATTTCTCAGGTACAGACAGACCTTATTACCTACCAGAAACATTTTCAAGGGAAAAACATCGTGAGTCGAAGCTTGTAAGCATTTGGATAGTTGAAAACAAAAGAAACGGAAAAAAAATGAAGTTATAATAATTTTTTTCACTCTACCTACCAAGAACATAATAATTCAGGAAGCAAACTTTGGAATAAATAATCCATTGATTGACTCGGTAAATCTTAACTTGCATTCGAAATTTGCATAGTTGCGCATCTCTATCATCTTTTTTTACCCTTCCTCCCTCTTCTTCTTTTCTCTTCTTTTTTTTCTTCCCCCTTCCTCTTTTCTCCCTTTTTATTTATTAAAATTAAACCGTGCGTTGCTCATCCCTAACGAAGTACAACATCCGCTTTAGAGCTAATCGAAGCTTCTCTTTTGCAAGCGTCGGAAATCCCCGTCAGCTTTCATCCCGTGTTTATATACAGATTATTACAGTATACCGGAATTGTGAAGCTTGCGAAGCGTGCGAAAAGGAAAAGGGCTGATTGAGGTAAAGCTATATCGTATAGCCTTACTCTTGCTTGATTGGATTTGGATAGATACCTACTACGCCTTGCTTTGTCGCATGCAACTGTACACGAACCATTCGTGCCCTATTCTCTCTTCAAACTCACCACACGCACATACCCCTACGCTCTCTCTCGTTTTCTGGTCGAGCTCGCGCAGAATACCTTGGTAGCTGAAAGCGCCAAACTTCGCGTTTTGATTTGCATTCCAACGACTAGACTGATAGTTTTGTCCAACGCCAACCGTGACCGACAAACCGCGCCAGACCGCCTTAGGTTATTGGAGAAGTTGTAGCGCGTAGGCTCCGAGCAGTGCGCGCCGAGTAGCATAACTACCCGAAAAAACAACAGCATACGATACACGATGAATAACTACGCGAGTAATAACATGAACGAGTACAATGCCTCGGTGCGCCCAGGATCAACGAGAGCAGGGTCGCGATTCGCGCCTCCAGTACGAAATCCGGAGCATGCCGAGCCTTGGGATCAGATAAGCGACGAGCATCGGAACGAAATCAACGATTGCGTAAGTCACAACCTTTTTTCTTCTGTTCGAATATACATGAGTATATACAACGTGCTACGTATATAAATACATAAAACCATAAACATGGATTCGGCTTCTAAAGCAAAGCGATAATCATGCAAACAAAAACGAGAGAAACAAAGAAAAAGAAAAAGGACGAGAAGCTAACCTGCAACGGCTACACCCCATACAGTTCCACCTCTTCGACATGAACAAAGATGACCAGCTAGACTTCAGCGAGTTCCGGTACGCGCTGCAAGCCCTCGGCTTCTCAAACCTATCGCGGCCCGACCTCATCGCCGCCTTCAAATCCGCTGCGCGACCACGGCCTGGATGGACCCCCCTGCCAACTCTTCCGAACCAGCCGCCCCCGCAGACGACTCCAGGCGTGGTCGATCTCCGGCTCTCGCGCGAGGGATTCCAGGCCGTGGCCGCGCGGTATGTCGCAGCGCGCGACCCCCGCGAAGAGCTCCTCAAGACCTTCGCGCTGTTCGACCGCGGTGGAAAGGGCGTCATCACCGTCGATGACCTGCGTGGCGTCGTCAAGGAGCTTGGCGAGGATGTGCCGGACAACGAGCTGCATAGCATGGTCGAGCAGTTCGACGTCGAGGGTAAAGGAGGCGTCAGCCGTGAAGAGTTTCTAGGTATCTTCCTCGATAGGTGATGAGGGCTCAAGTAAACTCCGCTGTAGACTCGTGAACGCAACTGCGTGGTTTAGTGGCACATGAGTGATTAAAAGCCGCTGCTGCCGCTGCCAAAAAAACCAACAAACAAACAAATATTGGGCAACAAGCGGCGCTGCTGTCTCGTGGGAACAGCTAAGAATAACCTGTGTGGAGCGGGATGGCGCGGGGGAGGGAAAGCAGAGATCCAAATAACGCCACGGAGAAGAGCAAGAAGAAGCAGAAATTACATTCCCTCCTACCACATATACTCACCCACATTACCCGCCTACCCAATCTATCTATACCCTAAGCAGAGCAAGAAGCTAAGAAGAGATTTCCATCCTGCTTCACGCCGCTCTAACAAAATCCAAAAACTGAGGATAATCTATCTACCAACGCACCTACCTACCATGCCCAGGCAGTCGAACGAACTAAGCGACAAGCCGAGAGAGAAAAGGGACCGTGAGGCGGAAGGGGGGAGAGAGGGCAGAGGAAATTCAAACCGTGAGCGAAGAAACGCTGAGGTGAATTCCGTAGTGAATGGGAGAGCTACCTACTGCCTAGGCACCTACCTAACTAGCAAGGACAAGAAAATGGGAGCTTTAATACGCGGAAGGGAAGCAACGCGAGCCGTACAGGCAGAGAGAGAGAGGAGTACGCGTGGATATAAAACCCCAAAACGGGGGGTTGGCAGAAGAGGAACAGAAGAAGAGAAGAGCCATAGTTCAATGTTTGAAAAGGAAAAAAAAACCAAGAAGTTCATCCAGGAAAAAAAGAACAAATTACTCGCTCACCTCCTTTAACAATGAATGAATGCTATTGCTGAGTTGCTTCGTCTGTCTCTCCTGATCTTCGTGTCTTCGGTACTACTACATACCTAGGTAGACACGCGCGTATGCATCTGGATAGAACATTAGTTTCTCACTTTACTTTGCCCTACTCTACTTATACGATCACGTTCGAGACCCCTCCTTTCCATACAAGCACAGAATAGGCGTCGAGAGGAGAAAGGAAAGGAGTTGTATATACCCCCCTTTATTTGCGTAATGGTTTACCCCAGATAACCAGCCAGCCAGCCTTAGCTGTCCGTCTCACGAAGATGAGGTTGGCTACCTACCTACTTTTAATCATGGCCTAGTCACCTATGTACCTACTTAATACCCCAAATTAATATTTCTTTGAAATATCCCACCCGCCCAAGCTGCCTAACCTAAGCGTCTATCTATCCCATATCGTGAGACAGGCGTAGGCGTACGTGCCTACCTACCTACCTACCTACCTACATGTTGGTAATCCAGTGTCGTCAGTCCGTGTAGTTATGTAGTTATCAAAACCTACCTACACAAAAATTCCCAAAAAACATCCATCAGACATGTCGAGAAAGTTACCTACCTACCTACCTACCTACCCAGCACCTAGACAAGTCTATTATTAAGCAGAGGCAAACAAGCAAGCAAGCAGCACTGAAAACCAGCAATTGAGTTTTACATTGTATTGTATATAAGTATCATTGATCGATTGTATATACAACGAAGGACAACCAACAAAAGGCACAATAGGTAGTAGTAGTAGGTAAGGAGCAATAGTTATTTATATAAGTAGGGCAGGAGGGGTAAGTAAGTACGGGATTTTTTAGACGAGGACGACAACAACAACGACAACAACACAAAAAAAACAAGAACAAATAACTGATTCCCACCACCAACCCCACCCCCCTTCTCCCATTGTTTGTTATGTAGAAGAAAAAAAAAGAAGCATCCATGGGTAGGTAGGTAGGTAGCAATGGTACGTGAGTAAAGGAGGCCCAATTCATCAACGCCTTCTAGTATTGAATCGTTTTTTTACTATGGACTTTTTTTGCCATTAAATGAAAAAAGAACCCCGTCTTAGCTATCCCTCCCCACAACACCGCACCGCGAATGTAAGCGGACGATTTTGTCATACAGAAACGTAAAACTCTAGGTTTTGGGGGACTTTTTTTGTGCCTGATGATAAACACGGGCCCTGTGGTGTGTTGCTGACACCATCTATTTCATCGTGCCGACCATAAAAGCCCAGAGAACCCCCCCTAGGAGACCCGAAGCAGAATTGGGTATCGCCCAGCTAAGAATGCATACCCCGAGTTGTCGGTTTAAATCAGGAATGCGACATCGGCACCTTGTACAGTGCTGGAGAAAAATAATATTCTAAAATTGGATGAGGTCTTGCCCCTGGTTGTTGTTCTGCTGCTGAGGTCGTGAGGCAAACGGGTTACTTCCTCCACCATACCCATTCATACCGGCTGGACCAGTGGCTGCAGGCATCTGTGGCATCTGTGGCACCTGCATCTGCTGCTGCGACCCGTACGAGACCGTTGGCATACCGGTAAATTGTTGACGAAGAAAGGGGTTGTTGCCCGTAGCCTCCGCCGTAAGCTTATTAGCACCTACACCTGCGGAGTTGACGAATGTACCCGGTGCTGTGTGTTGAGCTGGAATACGTAGCTCGCCAGTGTTTCCGAACGTGTCCATACCCTCACCACTAGCAAGAAGAGCATTGAGTCTCTGTTCGTGTTCACTAAGCTGCTTCTGAGGTTGCTGGGTTTGGTTGTAGGATGGCTGTGGTTGGCTGAAAGAGGGCTGAGATTGGGGTTGGGGCGAAGGACTGAACGCCTGCAGGCTTTTTTGTTCGGGAAGGCTTTGTAGGCTACTAAGCGTAGGAATCGCCGGGGCTCTGCTCGATTGCGGTCGGCTAAACCCACTTGCAAAAGGATTGTTCGAACCAGTCGGCATTGGTTTAAGCGATTGGGCTTGATTCCCATTGTTCGACGCCCAGGGGTTATTACTACCAGAAGGTACGGTTGGTTCTGGAGAGGCAGTGGGCTGCGGTTGTTGGAACTGGGGTTGTTGCTGCGCATAAGGGTTATATCCAGTTGCCTGCATTTGGAATGGCTGCGGCTGAGGCTGAAGGGTGTTGTTTTGCTGCTGGCCGTATGGGTCATACATGCCGGTCTGCTGCGGGTTGAAGCCATTGTTGTACCCATTTGCATAACCATTCGTCGGATACCCAGTGTACGCGTTGTTCATATACCCAGTCGGCTGAGCCTGCATCATTTGGTTCTGATCGATCGGATTTCCAAGCCAGTCGACATTGCTGCCCTGCTGATATCCCATATTCATTCCTGTAGGCTGAGGTGCGGTACTCGTCGTAGGGGCATCGTCGAAGAGCGAACTAGCATTACTCTCTTCCAACTCGCGCCTCCTTCGCTCGTCTTCCTCTTTGCTAAGCTTAATGGCCTTGGCTAGATCGTCGTCATCTTCCTCGACTCCCTGGCGACCTTCACGTCTCCTTCGGTCTTCTTCCTCCTGATACTTGCTGGCCTCCAAAGCTAATTTGTACTCGGCGTCCTCTTCGTCGTCGCCGCTTTGCCGTCTGGGACGCTGGCGCCGTTGTGCTGGAACGGTCGGTCCTTCTGAAGCGAATTCCTCAATACCGGTGACGCGAGATTTCCACGTCTTGCGATCACTTCGCTCAGCACGTAGTCTCTCTTCGTCTAGAATCAAAGAAGTTAATTCTTTCGCGGCAACCCGAACTACACATTCCATGTTAGCAACTGCTTACTCCCCACCGCAACAGATTTACCCACCATTTTGACCCACGTCCCGGCCATCCTCATCGATGTAGACGAATTCGCGAAGGGTCTTGATGATGTATATGTTCTTGCGAGCCCAAGTGACAATTAATTCGGACCCTTCGTGCAAACAGTAGTCGAGCACTTTCAGTGCCTTCAGGACGTGCCTCCAATTCTTGCCCTTGTCGTTCAGACGTTTGTCGAGCATATCAACAATATCGTAGAACTCGGTGGACCTGGCAAATTTAGCTAGTTGGCCTAGGTATCTCGGGCCTCAATGGCAGGGGCAGAGGCATACGAATTGTAAGTTAGTTGAGCGATCTCGCTCATCTGAGTTCCGGTCGGGCCCCATGGATCATTACTCGTTGCTGGGAAGAGGAAGTCAGTAGGTATGTTCTGGTTGAGGGTGATGCGCAAGAGCATTCGCCATCAATATCTATAAAAAAAAAACCAAAAAAACAAAAGGCTGTAGGATACGGACCTTCGCGCACTTTGACCTGAACACTAGAATAGCCTTTGGTGACATTTTTTACACTTCTCATTACCTTGGACATGTTGGCGGTATTGTCCAAATGAAATAGCTACTAGTTACGTTCGGTCGGTCGGTCGGACGGGCACAATGATTGATTAATCTTGTAAAGGTAGAGGAAGCGAGGAGGAATGCGTCGAGATGATGATGATGAAATAAGATAACAATACGATCGCAGGGTGGCCAACGAGTCGGGCGCAATGAAAGCGCAATCCAGCCGGTGGATTAACTATCTCGGAACCAGCGAGCAAGCGAGAAAAACGAGAAAAGCGAGAAGAGGGAGCGAGTGTTGGCGCAAACTGGTTTTAGTACTATGTAGACAACACAAGCAAGAGCCCGGCAGCTCCGACTACAAGTGTACAAGTCAGGTATGTGCCCACTACTCGAATCGGAGATGAGGAAGTATGTAGCAAAGAAAAAGACCTCCTAGAACTTTTAATGTTAAGTGCGATAAAGGGGAGGTGGAGGGAAGTGGAAGTGGAGGTTAAAAAAAGGTAAGTAGAGGTAAAAGGTAAGAGGTAGGAAGAAGGTTGGTTGGTTTTGATTGAATAGAACTGGAGAGTGGTAACTTCAAGTTTAATTGATTGATTGATCGACTGACGAAGTTGGGGAGGGGACGCCCAGACGCCCAAAGCTGGGTTTGTTACTGAGATGTACAGCTTGTATGTACACAGGGTAACCTGGGTAAGGTCACTGCCCACTGCCCAGTGGTTGTGTAGTAACTATGTGTACACGTCGAAGGGACAAGGGCTGTAGGCGTAATAGCGGGACTTGGCACTAAAAAGGAACGGGCTGAATTCTTATGTAGCCCTGCTGCCCTGGAGGTATGTACGATAGGTACCTATGACCTATGATTTGTAGGAGGGTAGGTACAATACACATGCATACAATTAGCTACATACAATGCCATACATGTACGATTATGTACTTATTATAAGTCTAATACCTTAAGTTTGAAGATAAAGATAATGATGTAAGGTTACTAACCTAGGTAAAAACAAAGTCATAATTAGAAAAAGGGAAGCATTGAACGTGCCCAATATCAATATTGATGTACCTAGTAGTTAGTTAGCACTAAAATAAATTCTCAACGGGATTTTCAGGGACAAGGTCAGTGCCAGTATCAGTATCAGTATCAGTATCAGTGTCAGTAAGTAGTATCAGCACTAATTATTATTATTATGTATCAGTCCTGATGTTTCCTTCCCTTACTCTTCGGTGGCCACTTGTGACGCGGCAAGTTGAAGACTCCAGCTCCCATGTGCCCCAAATCTACGCGTGCGGGCTTGCTGTTGGCCAGTACCAAAGCGGCTGTACCTGGGTGGTACTAGGTGGTACATACAGCTTCAAAGTATAACACCTGCATTACCATTATATGTAGGTACATCAGAAGGTTGTAACTGTACCCCGTCAGTCCCCGTATGCAGTCAGGGATGACGTAACCTGTGGAGTCATCAATCTCTCAATTGACCCCGACAAGTTTATCGTTATGTGTGATGGCCCTTTCCTTCTGTACCTACCTAGGCATGTACCTACCTAGGCATGTACCTACTGTAGTATGCACGGAATAATTAGTTATTGGCATGCATCACTGAACTTGGTATACAAACTGTTGGCTTACTAGTGTAACGACTCACGAGAAACGACTTGAAGATGATGTATTATTGGACGAATGGACTAAATATTTTCTAAGCCCAAGACATCTAACCTTAGAGAGTATACGTCGTCAAGAGGCGTAATGCTAGTCTTCGAAGAAATTCCGAGAGGAAAAAAACCACGATATAAAACTCAAGTTATCCATGCAGTCCATAGCACTCAAAAGACGTTCTTTTTAACACTCAACCCATAATCAAATATTTCATTCCATAAACTCCAAGCCGAACGCTATCCCTATGTAAGTGAGATATGAAGTCCTACATCACTAAACCATACCTCATGTGGAAGCTCCTGAGTCTTCCTTGGGCTCGACCTCCATCATATCTAACCACTCGAGCGCAAACGCTGTTACTATTTTAGACCAGTCGCGTACAGTCGGCATGTCCAAGTGCTCGCCGTCATCCGTAATCTTATGCCACACATCCGGAAAAGGAGACGTAATCAAGTGCAAGATCGGTACACCCCGAAACATGAATGGCTTGTGGTCGTCTTCAATATGGCTTTTGTGAAAAGCGCTCGCCTGCTTCTCTGCGTCGGGGAGAAAGTTGTGCTTTGGGGTCGACTCGAGGAGCCCAAGTTTGCGCATTCTATCCTCGATCTTGGCCATCGACTTATATGCCCAGTGCGTCGGTAGAAACAACGACGGCACCGTGGGGTTAGCTTCTCCCAAAAGATCTAGCAACACAAACATGCTAATCTGATCTAACGGGTTACGGTAGAAGGACTTGGCCGGGTGAGCTGACATCTCCCATTGCTCGGCCAAAGCTCTGGATAATCGTTAGTTCATATCCCAACTCATGATAGATGGTGGTTAAGTGCGTGAACCTACCGCGCTCCATACAGTGAGTCAGTTTCTGTCCAACTCACAAACGCTTCCTCTCCATCAAGCAAGAGTATTTGCACGCCCATGTCCATCTCGACGGTCCCACCTTCACCAAGCGCAGACATCTCACTATGCATTTGAGTGACAAATCGATCAATCTCCCTGGCAACGTGCATCAAGATGGCACAAGGCGCAGCGCTGTCTGTGGCGCCGATAAATCCTTCAGGGGTCATTTTGCTATCGTAATGAGCCACGAGCGTCAGTAGATTTGACTGCCCTTCCCGAACCCACGGCGGCTCCCTCTTGAACAGCAAATTCGCAAACGGGATCTGCTTATTACCCGTAGCCGGCGTCCTGGACGTCGAATTAAACCATTCCATCTTCCATTCCGGCAATTCGTTGGTAAAGAAATTGACGAAATGCTGCTGTGCGGTTGTCTGACCGGCAGTGCCCGGGACACGTGGAATCAAGATGGGTGCCAAGAGTTTGCCATTCTCAATATTGAAATCATCGCCTCCGGAAGGCACTAGATTAAGGAAGTGATCCGATAGCGCGGTGTATGCGACGACAGGCAAGATGAGGAACTGGTGTAGAGCCAAGAGGAGCAGCGTGTGAAAGGCCATGGGAATGACGCGGCCCGACATTGTTTTAGTAAACGTTCAAGTTATAATTATCTTTATAACACTTGGTATATATTCTATATCCGCCCAATCCGCTGGCTACCTCGGACCAGCGAGGCCATTATACAGCTTAGACAGCCCTTTTTTTTGTTGTAATGGGAGACGTTTGTGTTGAGTATTTGAGTTTTTTGAGATGTTGAGATGAGATCGAGTTGAATCTCACGTGTTAGAAATGGAAATAGAAAACGGAAACGGGAAGAAACCGAAGAAAAAGGGGGATGGAAAGATAAAATGGACAAAAGTCAATTTAGCCGTTGCTCGTTAACTAGTTAGTTATTTAGTTATCAATTGGTTCCTATCTACAAGGCTGAAACATTGGGTGTCATATCCCGGTTGATTTGAATATATGCATCTAGTGGGTATTATCTACATAGAGGGTATATATTTTAAGTTACATACCTGCATGTGCTACCTACCCCTATTCATGAACTTGAACCTATTCACCCTTTACTGGCATTTCAAGTCTGAGAAATTGCCCAGGCACATAGATGTTCTATATAAGGTCATACCCACATTGGACCTATAATCCACTCAAGCAATCCTCTCAAACACAATAACCCCCTCACTCCCATCCTCCAGAAACTCCATCTTCAACCCCTCTACCGTCCCGCCAACCCCGACCACAAACTCGGCGCGGGCCAGCTGACCCGAGAGCATGTTGGGCGTATTCAGCATGTCGATTACCACAGCCCAGAACTCGCCCGACACATGGCGGAACTCGAAGGTCATCTGCCATTCCATGTTATCGCGGATCGCCTTTAATTCGCCCTTCTCCTTCACCCTTTCTCCCTTATCCGTAGGTCTTTGAGCAGTTTCTTCTTCTTTGTCTCCATCGACCAATTCTATAGTGACGTTTTGATATGCGGGGTGAGAATAAACCCCCACGTATCTCTCCAACGGGAGCGCCCTCGGCAAAGGTGGGTCTGCTCGGTCCGGGTACAGACTCTCGATAGCCGTGTCCGCGAGCTTAAGCTGAGCGTCTACCCTCTCCTTGCCCCTATTGGATAACATCAGCCTCCATGTGTCCTCAGTAGAACCTCAAATACAAAAAATAAAAATAAAAAAAATATAGAAAGCAAGCAAGAAAAAAGAAAAACTCACAGCCCAGCCCAATCAAACCCCTCCCCCTCCCGCACCCCAATCCTCTCATTTATCAACTTCCACGCCAATTCCCACCCCACAACATTACTCGTCACCGCCGTGTTCGCCAGCACCACAACCCCGAACCCCAGCTCCGGAAAAAAGTAAACCTCGGCCCCGTGCGCCTCCATGCCCCCACTGTGCATGAACACCCTGTTCCCCTTATACGTGCCGACGTTCCAGCCGAGGGCGTACGACAGCGGCGCGTCGTACCCGCGGCGGCTGGAGGGGGGCAGCACCATGCGCGCGGCTTTGAGCTCGCGGTGCGCTTCGGGCGGTAGGACGGGACACCCGTTTTTGTCGTTGTTGGCGTTGTCGCCGCGGATGAGGCATTGGATCCATTTCGCGTAGTCGAGGACGCTGGTCACGACGCCGCCGGCGCCGCTGGCTAGGTATAAGCTTGAGAACGGGACTGGGACGAAGCCCTTTCCCCCTTCTCCCCCCTTCCCAACCTCACCCAGATAATCCCAATAATACCCCCTCGCCACCTCCCACCCACCCTCCAACGCATCCTCCACGCTCAAAAAAGTGCCCCCCATCCCCAACGGCCCCCACACCAACTCCCGCATCGTCTCCCCGAGCCACCGGCCCCCCGTCAACGTCTGCACCGCGTGCGACACCACCATGAACATGAGATTGCAATACCGCCAGCCCACGCGCGGCTCCGTCGCGACGGGCAGGTGGCGCAGGGAGCGCGTCACGTCGCGGACGGTGCCGGGGTGCGTTTCCGTGCCGTTGTCGTCGTGGTGGGGGTACCGTCTCGCGAGCGCCTTGTCGTGCCGCGCGAGCCCCGTGCGGTGCGACAGCGCGTCCTCGAGCGTGAGGTGGGCTGCGGCCCAGCCGTTGCCGTCTTGGAGGGCGAAGTCCGAGGGGAGGAGGTGCGAGAGGGGGGTTTGCCAGTTTAGGGGGGTTTTCCCTTGGGAAGAAGAAGAGGAGGAGGAGGAGGATGTGGAAAAGTTCCCCGATGCGATCAGCAGGGAGACAACGGCGGCTGTGAATGCCTTGGTGGTGCTGCCGGCGTAGAACAGCGTCGAGGGCGTGACGGGGGTGGAGGGGAAGGTGGCGATGCCGTAGCCCTGGGTCGGATCGTTAGCTTTGTATGTATACCTAGGTAGGTATGCAGTTTGCCAGTAATATATCTCCTAGAGTAGCGGGGATCGCGCGCTACGTATTCTGATACATCAACCCCTTTGCCACTAAGGGTAACGAAAACCATGTACATACACCTGATGTTACATCATCAACTTCCCAGGTGAGCAATCTCCTGAGCTTCTACCTCTAGGTAAATAGCCTTTGCAACCCCATCAAACCTCGAGCCTCAATTCTCCAAGAATTAAAGAAAAAAAAAGGGGGGGGTAGGAAATACCTCAGCCCACACATCATCCCCCTCCACCACCGCGACCGCAACACCAGGAACACGCCAGCGATCCAGCTTCTCTCGCGCAAAAGCCGCAAACCCTGCGTCTAGCGGACCGTTACCCTTACCACCACGTCCCCCTTCCCCTTCCCCTTCTTCACCCTTTCCGCCCTTCAATGGTAATGAGTGGCCATCCGCTGGTGAGGAGGAGGGGGATGGTGATGACGGCGGCGACAATACGACTTTCTGCCCCGACCCTTCCCGTTGCGCCTGCGCGAGTACTAATATTGTCACCCATAGACTGAGCACTATAGAGTAGGAGGGGGGGAGGCGCATCGTGGGTACTGGACTAGATGCCTACTTGTATACCTGGGTTTGTATGTATATACAGTAAGTGCCTAGGTTAGGTAGATACCTAGTAACTACATGTAGTAGATAAGAGTTACCAGTATTTCCTAGGTATGCACCTATATACCTAGTATATATAGGTAAGTAAGTATCTTAGTCCAAAAGTAACAAAACCACTTTAATACTCTCTTTCTTATCGTGGCCAAGACATAGATATGTTGTAGTCCTGTACTATAGGTGAATTGATGATGTTGTAGCAGGCTGGTAGGCGAGGTTCATACTACGCATATAGGTATGTCAAGTAGCGTACGAAGGCTTCGTAGATCCCCACCTTACCTTTTACCTCTCACCTCTTACTCGTCACTTCGTGCTCACCTTATCGCATCACCAACCTACCAATTCAATTTCTACATAAGTTGTGTCCTAGGTCATATTAGATTAAAATAGAACATTCCTATAGAAGTATGATAAACTACTACATTACATATCACACAGAAAGCATACCTAGGTACATACCTACCTAGGTAAGCACACACAAGGCCCTATTACAATCCAAGTAACAGTTCATTCATTTATTCTTCATGCTAACACTAAGCCTAACACCCCTGACACCAGAGAGCGATAGGCTCTACCAAACCGAGACAGGCCCCTCCCCGCCCTTGTCCAGAACATGCGTGGTAAGACAAGACCCCAACATACATACAACGGCGAGGGGAGAAGAAGAAGTAGAAGAAGAAAAAAAGAAGATTGAATCGAAGAGTGGAAAATAGCTCCTGTACAACCTCGCAGTTGCCGACCGAGAACTCCTTTTTCGTGGTTCGGGTATTTCTCTATAAAAAGAACCGCACATAATGCGTAGAAAACAGAGATCGTCCGGACTATGGCCAACTACCTACTAGGTAGGCAGGTAGGTAACCATACAAATTTGTGGCAACGGTACCAGTACCAAAACAAGTACCAGACGAGTCTGGCTGCGATATGTTCAAGGGAACCAACCTCTTGACAGGATGGTGACAGGTTTGCGACAGGCTAGAACCATTATGTTCATGTAAGTAGCCGCCAGCTGGCCCATGGCTGCAAGATGCCGTGGCAATATAAATACCATGACGTGTCAACATGGTAATATCGACCGATACCTCACAGTAAGCTGTCAACTGTCAACTGCCAGCTATTCGTATCCCCTAAGCTTCTTTCCTCTTCGATCATTTCTTTTCTCCTTTCCCAAGCCTCTCAAAGTTCAGTTCATTCTCCCCTCGAGCTCATATGGCTTAGTTTGCTCAAGGTAGTCTTATAAAATGCTCTGCGCAGTCATGTATCTACGATTCCACAGCTAGCCAACCGGGAATCTTTCATGTTTCTACCTGGAACAGGCCCTCCATGCTTTTCGGGAAGAGTAATCCTATAGCTCTTCATCTTCATCTGGAATAGTGGAGTGCGCTGCTTTCTTTTGTTGGTCGGCAGTAGCTCTGCCCAATACGTCACCCAAGGCTGCTGGAAAGTTAATGGAGCGATCTGGTGTCTCATCGTCCGCTCGCTGCTTCTTCAAAGGGCTCCCAATCGTCGGGTCTCCATTGAAGGCCTGTGAAAGCAAGTTTACTGTAGAGCTGGGGGCGGCTGCGTTCGTAGACGTCGAGTCTGTGGGTGTAGAGTCCCCAGCGTTAGGACCTGCGCTAGGAGATTTGCGAGAACTCGATGCCCCAAAGCCTTCTGGTCCCGTAGAATGTTGTCGCTTAAGCTATTCCGTGGCGGTTAGTGGTATTATGGCAAGGTAATGAAGCATCGTCACTTACGCGAATACGGTCAATGCCGGCTTGTAACTCCCCGGTGAGCTTGGCATCTTCTACTTCCGGGTATGCCTTGACATCCTTGTCATCGGCATCTTCCATTCTAGCCAGAGGAATTATGTCACGATCATCATCGTCATCGCTATCCTCATCCATAAGGTTGCCATTTGTGCCGTTGCTCTTTCTACGAGCCTTTCGTCTTTTGGCGGCTTCAGCTTCCTGATCCCTGAAGGCAGAGAAACCAACAGTGCCAGTAGACTTTAACGGACCCAGCCCTGAGAAATCCAGCTGGGTCGAGCGTCGTTTGGTAGATGGCGTCTGCTGTTCGTCTTTCGATCCAGCGTTGAGTCCCATCTTGGCAAGTTGACCTAAAAAGGAGTCAGTACTTGGCAGTCTATTAGTAAAAGGGTAGCCACGTACGTTGACCACGATAGAAGAAGGTGAAGACTGCGTATGGCTTGTCTGGCCCATCAATGCCAGTAACAGTTTGAGTGCTTATCGTCTTAGGATCGAGCGTCTTGGGCTTAGCAAAACTGGTTGTATGCTCCACATCGGCATCGATCGCTCCATTACTGCCTGCCTTGTTTCCTCCATCACTCTCATCATCATCGTCATGGGCATCGAACTGGGGGGAATACTCTCCCTTCTTAATTTCGCCAGAAGCAATAACGCGAAACATGGCTACTTTGATCTGCCCCGTAGCCTCAGGGGGTTCATCGTCATCGGACATCAAGTCATGATCTGAATCGTCAGGGGTCGCTGCAGAGGACTGGTCTTCAGCGCCGTATGCCAAGGTATCACGGGCCTTCGTTGACTTCTCAGAGCTCATCTCGCCGCCATGAGGGGTAGATCTTTGGCGGCGGTGACGTCTTTCAAACTTTTGTCTTCGTCTTTCCACTTTTTCTGCCGCATCATGACCTTGGAGATCTAATCCATTCAGCCATCGCTCCAGGCCAACCTCGCGGAAGAGAAATTCGCGCTCAGCGAGGCCACCCCCTTCACTCTCGGGCACTTGGACCCAACGACTATTGACCCAAGTTTCTTCGCCTGGTCGGAGCAATGTCGCGACTTCCTCTTTAGTTCGTCCGTCAAAGTAGATGTATGCAGCAATGGTCTCATTCTCCGACTGGGTCATGGGGATATATGGTATAACAGTATTGGCATGCTTCGAAGGATCGGAGTTCATCGACGGAAGAGGTCCCGCATAGAGGGGCTTTGGGTGGGGGTTGTCTGGAGACGACTTCGGAGTTGTGTACGGAATCGGGTGACCGGGTGTTAACAGGGTTATGGAAATGGCGAACTTGGCTGCTTCGTGCTTGGACGTCTCGGGGTTCAACTTAGGTTGCGGAACAGGTATGTATGCACTGATACGAGAGTAGCGAGACTGCTTTTGCAAGCCATACTCGGGGAGCGGGGCCGAGTTCGCATGAATGCTGACGGCGATGCCCTTGAAACAGGGCATCGTGGAGGACCTTTAAGTGGTGGTATGGTTGGGATAAGGTATAGTAAAGGTTGGGCGGTCAGAGACTTGTTTGTATCCAATTCGAGGGAAGGACACGTTAAAAAACGAGGTCCAATTTCAAGCAAAGTAGACAGCTAATACTGTTTGTGGTAGAGAAAGTCGTCACTCAGTCAGAATTTAGGTGGTATTGTGTGTATATGTGCGTGTGTGCGTAGAAGTGTGTGAGAAGACTCGTACGAACGAATGCGAGATAGCGGTCGGTGTAGAGATCGAAGCTCCACAGAAAAAAGAACGTAGGACGTAGGGTAGTGTGGAAAGGGTTTGAGGAAAGAGAAGATATGATTTGCGAAGGTCAGGGTAGGTATGTAAGTAGTATGTAGGTAGCTTGGGTAGTCAAGTAAAAAAGAAAGACAATTTGCACACTCGCACACTTCGCACACTTCTTCTATCTCCGGCGGTGTGTAGACAAGTGAGTACTATATTGTATCTTCTCCAGCTTTATATGTATGCGCAATGTAAAATAGGTCATGAGCCTCAAACCAGCTGTCCCTTAGGGATATGGGATGATAATATGGGAACAGGTTGCTGTCTTGTCTGTCGTATCAGGCGTGAATGGATCTGTTGGATCTGTTATATCTTTTTGTATGGGATCCAGGGCTGTTATCTTGTATTCTGAGCGTATCGTTGTCTTTTGGGTTTCCAAGTTGAGCCTGATTCAGGGTCCGGTGCTGTGTTAACAAGGGCGGGATGGACGAGTAAGAAGCTGGGGGTAGAACCCGAGTCCCAGAAATGGAACAAGAGAAAAAAAAAGAAAAAAAAAGGTACTACATACCTGATCAATGTTTTATGGTGTCAAGATCAATATGTACATACAGCATGCTACGTTGAGTGTACATATATGTATGCAGTGTCAATGCTGAGTACTTGACACTTTTTTTTTTTTCGCAAAAGTCTCGGAACTTTGTACAAGTAGGTATGGGTATCTTGAGGTACCTAGATATGCATGTACCTGTATATCTGTCTATCCCCTCCTAGAACTGATGTCGTTGGATGAGATCGTCAGATATATACCAGGTACGTATGTACGTGGGTTATGTATGTGCAGCGTTCGCAGTCAAGAATTGAAGAGAAGTGAAGAAAAAAAAGGAAATCAATGATGGCACCGCGGGAATCGACAATAGAAGATTTATAAAAAAAAATAAAAAAGTTGAAGAAGAACAGGGTACAATAGTAACGTTAGTTAATGCAATCTCCCATTCCCAGCTACCTACTAATTACCTAAAGTTAGTAGATAGTAGGATGGATAGTGGGATGGATAGTAGGATATAGCTGGACGTAGGGAAATAACTAACCTACTAACTAGTTATGATATGTTAATTATAGTTAGTGGGCAAGCAAGAAGGTAAGTTACCTTATCGTTTCAACGGTGCTTTACTAAAGCGGCTCTTTTTATTTTATTTTATATTATTTTTGGTTTCCCTCTCTTTACTTGTGCATTTGGCGGCGGAAGCGAAGATGAGAAGTTCAAAGTAAAAATAATTGGAAGTTTCAAGACCAAAATTAAGAAAAAAAAAAAAAAAAGGTCAAGTCCGAGTCCTGGTTCGGTTGTTGACCATGGCGGGGAAGACTAGACTAATATTGATTGGCTGACCGCGATTCTGGGACCACCCTTCGTCACCTGAACACGTCAAAGTTGCTACGCTGTGCTGTCTTTGAGGTTGCGACAGTGCAGCGACATCTTATTGCTAGGATATAGGTACATGTTTAATGCTGAAAGCCTCAAGGTTTGGAGCTTACCTATTGGCTCAACAATTAGCGTACATGTATTATTGCAGTAGCTTGGTTAGGTACTTTAGAGTTAGGTATTGTATTGTACAATACAATACTTAGCAGCTACTATATAGTATAAGTACCTAACCTAGGGCCTGTACTTACAACATTGAATGATGCAGCACAATGGCGATATATGCTATCCAGATGTCCATCAATAAACAGCAAATGTTTCGATTAGACAAGTCAGGTTAAGGTGTACCTGTATTTGTTTTTATTATCTACCCAGGTGCCTACCTAGGTAGATATCTAAAGCCACTACTACGCAGAAATTAATTAGTTAAACCCGTATGTGGGTGTCATGTGTTGTCTCTCAAGAAATCATACACCATCAAGAACTAAGACCTGCCTCCTCGTGACGAACGTCTGCGTATACTGTCTTCTCCTTCACGACTAAAGCTGGTTCCAGCGGCCTGTGGCTCCCTCAAAGCATCTTCGCCATCATCCTCATCATCTGCGGGCTGATCTACCAGTGACTCCCTTTCTGGACTTTCCTCTTTGACTTTTATATCATCATCACCATCGTCTTCCTCGTCTTCTTCCTTGACTTTTAAGGTTTCCTCGTTTTTAACCTCTCCTGGACGAGAAGCAATAGGCATTGCCTGGCGTATTCTAGGACCACCAGCTATAGCGTCTCGTTGAATCCCTTGCCCGCCGCGAGGCTCCTGGTCGGCTAATAAAGAACTCAGGAGAAGCCATACCAACCCCGTCGATATTATTTCCGCAATCCAAAATATCGTCGTACATATCACAAATGAGATGATGCGGTGATTGTACATGGCCCATCGGATTCCCGTGAGCCGTGCAACAAGCGTGACAGTGGCTGAGTATACTTGCAATGTCTGCCCTCCCTGCACGTCTAGCAAGATACTGAGCGGGAGCACGTCTCTGAACTCGACGAGCTCACCCATCGGGATATTGAGTGTCGTCGTCTCCGAAGCACCGGGGTTCATGATGTGAATCAATAGTAATAGGATGCGTGAAGCTGTGCTAACGAGCGGGTCTTTATATGGGATCAAGGTGGGCCGGCGGCTCATAAATACTACATTGTCCTCTCTCACGTGCGAGTACGGGTCCTCTGTCATGGCCGAAAATGAAAAGGAAAGAGCCGGGTTCTCTGGCTGTGATTTTATCGCGAACAGCGCCACCATGAAATTGCCCCTCTCGAGGTTTCGTGGGGACCGTGGGACCGTTAGCTCCACGGACACGTCGTAGGCTTGCTCCAGCATGAGGTTAGAGGCGAGTGATGTGACCCCATAAGGGTTGAGACCGGAGCTGGGCGGCACACATAATTCATTAATTTCTACAGTCCATGGGGGAAGCGAAGCGATTTGAAAAAAAGACAGAAAAAAAAGAATATACTTACTCATACTGCAGGTGAACGGGGATGGATATTACTTTCTTAGGTACATAGTTGTAGTAGAAGACGGGATAAGCTAGAGCAGCAATAGATAACAGCACCAAGGCTGCAATGCCAAATAGCGCGGCGCTGAGATATGTCCTCTTCGCCGCCGGAGACGTCACGGCCTTATACGAGCCTGTTACATATTCCTACCACGGTTGGTTAGTTAAAGGGTGCAACTTGGTGAAATACATAACTATCCTGGGTTATGTAGGTAACTAACCATCTCCTTATTTGATGCAGAAGCGCCATTCGGCGCCGAACCTCTTAATGAGCCAGAATATATTTGTTCAGGCTTTGTGGAGACAAAACCAGGAGAATGGTTGATAGTAGTAGGAAAGTTGTTGGCTGGAATTAAACAAGGCCTAGCAGTAACTTGGTTGAAATATGTGAGGTTTGTGGATTGGCTGTTGTTGTTTTGTAGGGTTGCCAAGTTCAAGTTGTTGGTGGTGGCTCCAGCTCTATTAGGTCCAGCTTCAGGTCCAGCTCCAATTCCAATTTCAATTCCAGTAGCAGGTTCAGCACCAATTCGAGCATGTGGCATGTGAGTTCGAGTGCCATGGTTCACGGACCTCTTAGTAGCCGATATACCGTTCTGATAGGAGCTATCGACGTCATATGTATTAAAGTCAACTTTATCGTAAGTAGCAGTTGCCCAAGCATCAATTGATGATATATGAGCCAAGTCATCTAAATCACACATTTTTTAACTTTTTCAACTTTTTTGATCTTGAATGAATATTCATTCAATGCTTCATGATATCAATGATCTTTCGGTTCAGTCTTCAAGTTCACTTTACTTTTACTTATATCACGACCCTACTAGGTACCGACTATTTGCAAGCTACACTTACAAACGATTCATGTTGAAAGCAATTTGGTATTAACTCCTAATTTTTGGACAATAATGAACAACCCTTGCCTACCAGGCATCAGGCAATGAGTAAAGAGAAGAAGAAAATAGAGGTGCAAGGAAAATGCAAAATGCAAAATATAGGCCAGTATGCTTTCCTGGACCCAAAACCATTGACAATGCCTGCTATATGGACAAAAAACGGCAAAAGAGTTGAAGAAGAAACTGAAGCAAAGATACCACCGGCCCACCTCTGCCTGTCGCCAGCCTGCCAGCTCATCATATGTGCGTATCGTTTCCCCTATCCACATCACATCACTTTACATCACATCGTATCGGCCATATCCTCATGTCACTTCCATCCCCATCCACGCCCATACCCCCCATTATCTCACCCCGAAACCTTTAGACGTAGCTTTCATGAGCCGCATCAGTCTTTGTCTCATTACAGGAACAAACCCAAACAAAAGGAACACCTGCCCCTTCGTACCTTCATGTCCCCTTTAGGAGGAAGAGAGGTCTTTGGTCTCCTAACAAGCTTGTAAATAGTTGCTAGGCACCAATCCTCCTCTACCAACGCCTTGTCCTGAATGGATCTCAGCCTCCCACCATCCATCATCTTGATGTCGTAGGACAGCTAGAGTATCGCCTTTGGCAAATCCAAGCTCCTCTGGGATTGCCGCTTGGTACATATATAAGGCGCGAGCTATAGAACGGTTAGTAACTGCGTAGGTATACATAAAAATGAAGAAAAGGGGTTGTAAAACATACCATAGTGTAAGATGGCACGGCCATCTGGTGTGTACTGACGACTCGGGTCCACCACACTCTGACTTCGCTGTCTCGAACTCTCCGCAACAGGGTCTCGACCGTCATAGAAGGTCATGGCCCGCGAACTCGAACTAGTTTCCGGTCTGCCGTTGCTTCCTCGTCCACGTGTAGATCCGTACACGGATCCGTCATTTCCTACTGGTGCCAGCTGCATGGCCATCTCGCTAGCTCGGCTGGTGGGTCGGCTGTAGTCGCCTCGGTAAGGGGACGGGGACGGTGCCCGGATCGAGCTGCTGGGTGAATTATGTCTGAAGTAGCTTTGGTTCGCGTCGCGCTTTACCGACATGCTGGCTTGTGGTGAATGTCGCATTTGACTTCCACCATACGTAGTGGGTGAAGCCGCTTGGGGTGAGCTCTGCATCCTACTACCGCCATAAGAGCTAGGCGATGCTGCCCCTGGCGAGTTCCGCTGCTGGCTGGCGGTGTAGGGATTTGGCGACACCGAACGGTGGCTTTGACGGGTATCACTGCGGCGGGCTTCGCTTCGGTGGGTGTCACTCCTACGAGTGTCTGTCTGCACTCTGATAGGTTGTGGTTGCGCTTGCGGCGGTGGTTGCGGGGACGCAGCGCGGATAGGTGCTGCCGGTGATGTAGCACGAGGAACTTCGCGAGAGCTATCATTACCTCGGGTCGCGGGCCGAGAGGGACTAGCACTGTAAGATTGTGCGCTACCGTACGCTGAGGACTGGGGACGCTTTGCGCCAAACATGTCTCTGGTTTGCTCTACATATTTCCTCGACGATTCTTGCATTGCCTTGGATGTGACAGCGGGAGGGGGGACTCCTAGCCTCTGTACCGGTACTTGCTGATCGTACGATGGCGGCGGTGTACCTCTTGTAGCAGCGGATATATCAGTGCTTGCCCTTGGCGCAGGCACAGGCCGAGGCATAGGCTGAGACCTATCGGGCGCTCGGTCCGGAGCAGGCGTAGCAATCCCGTGGTAATGGTCCGCCGATATCCGGCCTGCAGACTGTTTACTGCCCGTGACACCCTTTAGTTCCGCCAAGGCCAGAGCAATGGGATCCTGTTCTTCCCTGGGAGGCGCATCATCGTCGGCAGCCTTCTTGCGCTTGTCGGTATTCGCTACAGCGAATACGTTTTGTCCAATGTTCAAAGCTAAGCTGGCATTGGCTTCGATGGGTTCCGGACTCACTGTCTTTTCTATCCTATCTGGAAGTACACTCTGGGTCTGAGGCTGAGGCTGAGGCTGAGGCTGAGACTGAGGTTGTGATTGTGGTTGTTGGAAAGCCTGAGCACGGCGGGCGATGGGCGTGCTTTGCTGAGAAGAGCTCTGACTCTGAGTGGACACGGGACCCCATGTATTCCTATTTGACATTTGCGGTCGTACATCCTTGATGCTCTTTCTGCGGAAAGGACTATGGTTCTGGAAGAAGCCACTCTTCTTCTTAATCATGCGCTTTTCAACCAGTGCAGATGACGTTGCTGCTGGTGTCGGGGCTGGCGCTGTTACTGGGGCTGGCGCCGGTGCCGGTGCCGGTGCGGACACGGGCTCCTGCTTCGTAGGCGATATTTTGCCACTTGGTGGTTCTTGACTAGAGAAGGATGTCGGATCCGAGTAATCACTATTTTCATCTTCGCGACTTGATGGCCGTGCTGACATGTTCGAACTCGTTGCCGAGTTCAATCCATCCGTACGGCAAAGCATTGTCATTCCATCCATAGGATAAGGCTCGTGAGGAACCGGCGCAAATTGGGAAGGATCGTACTGTGACACATTACTTCCTTTTCGTTCATCTTGCGGAGCTTTAACAGGCTCGGGAGCCTTTTGCGGTGATACCGCGGGCTCTCTACTAGAGGATGGTGGAGGTTCATTTCGTACCAGTTCTCGGGTTGGAGGAGGGATATACTCGTAACGTTGTGGGTTTCTGGTCAAAGCCAACTCAGGCTCATGTCGTTGCGGTTCTCGGGTAGGTGAAGGATTAGGTTCATGTCGTTGGATATCTCGAGGGATCGAGGAACTGAGATCATTACGCTGCAGATCTCGTGGGATGGAAGAACTGAGATCAGTACGCTGTAGATCTCTGCTAAGAGAGAGGTCAGGCTCATGTCGTGATGAAGGACTGGGATCATGACGCGGCATCTCTCGAGAAATTGAAGGATTAGGATTATGACGCTGTATATCTCGGGAATGAGATGGATTATGGTCATGACGTTGGATATCTCGAGCTATCGATGGCTCTTGATCATAGCGTGGCGCATCTCGGGAATCACGGGAAGCCGGAAGGTCAGGTTCGCGGCGCTGTAATTCTCGGGGATGTGGGTTAGGATCATGACGTTGTAACTCGCGAGAGAGTGGAGGAATAACAGGGTCGTGGCGTTGCATTTCTCGAGGGGCCTGCATTTCTCGAGGAACCTGTACCTCTCGGGGGACTTGTATATCTCGAGGAACAGAGGAATTAAGACCACGGTGTTGGAGTTGCCGGGCAAGGTTAGAGTTAGGATCGTGATGAGACTCGTAAGTAGATGGCTGGGGAGATGGATTACGGAATCCAGGATTAATACTTTGTGGGTATTGCTGCTGCTGCATGGCGGTCTCCTGTCGGCGGCTCTGCTGCATTATAGCCGAACTCTGTCCCTTCTGTGGCTGCATTATGGCTAACTCCCTGCTAGAAGGCGCGGGAGGCTCATAATGGGCTAGGTCTCTGGCGAGGGCGGAGTTGGGATCGTGGTGTGATTCGAAAGTAGATGGCTGCGGTGAAGAGGTGCGGAAGACGGGGTTGATGCTTCGTGGGAACTGTGCCACAGAGTAATTGTCGTCATCTGAGACTTCCGAAGGGTGATCCTCCACGTCGCCGCGGCAGAAGTTGATGTACTTGGGGGGATCCGGGATCTCCTGGCCCGTACCCTTCTCCGTGATGAAGTGCACGATATCGTTCTCCACATCCATCTTCTCGAGAGATAGGCGGATCTTCTCGCACGATGAATCGTCGCTAACGCAGACAGTCGATGCGATGTTAGCGAAGGTCCACAGGCTGCTCTTTGTGAAGTCCAGTCTCTCCTCCTCGAGGTCCTGGAACTTGTCGGCCGCGGCCTTCCACTCCCGATTCCACCTCGCGGTCGTCTCCTCGAGAGCCTTGACCGCATTCTCGTACTCGGTGTTTGTCGTCGCTAGGCTGATCTGTGTCTTTTCTAGCCGGGCCTTGTTTTTTCGCTCTTCTTGCCCCATCACCATGTGCCCTTGGGCGAGGTAGCCCTTGATTTTTAAGCAATCCTGCTCATAGCGGTCGCGGGTCTGGGGGAAGGAATAGGTTGTTAGTTGCTGTGGATCCGAATACTTGATTTTTCTCACACATATATATCCATAGTGATATTACGCACCTTGTTGACCATATTCGTCTGCTGTATCTTGACCTTGAGCAGCTTCTCGACCGTGTTCTGCACGATCTTGCGCCGCTCCTTCATGCCGCCCGCGAAGGCGGCCAACGGCTCCTCCAGCTCGCTCTTCATCTGGGCTGCTATCCCGGCGTGCTGCTTCGCCATCGACTCGACCTCCCCTCGCACGGTGTCTAGCGACCCCCGCAGGCTGCCCATCTCGTGCGTGCCGAGGGACTTGCGGCTCAGCGACATGAGCTTGCGGGCGTATTCGTCTTCGATGGAGGCACGGGCTGTGGAGGGATTTTGTTAGATATTTCTTATTTATCTCTTTTTTTCATTTTGGTGGGAGTATTTTTGAAGGTAGGTAGGCAGGTTTGTGGGTGGATAGGTATGGGTGGGAGGGGAAGGGAGCAGTACTCACCGCTGTAAAAGGATCGAAGCTCGTCGCTGGTCTGCTTCGCAGATGCCATGCGATCGAGCAATGGTCCTACGCCGGCGTCATCTTTGCCCCAGAAGTTGTTGGCAACTGTCAGGAAGGTATCATTAGCATTTTCCAACGATAGCCGGGCTTGTGAAGAGAGGAAGAGACGTACACGACAAGGAAACTGTCGGGCCTTCCGTGGCAGAAGGCATCTTCCTTGATTTCTTCTCCCTCGAGGGAGAAGATGTGTTCTCGACAATGGCAAGTTTGGCGGTAACAAAAGCACTGGGCGACAGCGCAACTTGGGAATACTTGTTCCAGACAGACGGACGGATAGATGGCCGGCCAGTCGGTTAGTTCAAAATGTCTCTAAATTCTAGTTTAATCGCTGATCGATTAGATGCGATTTCTCTTCCTCCCGGGACGATCAATGGTGTTAGAATGGATTGCTTGTTAGGAATGGAATGTGTCGGTGGACTGGACTTTGGAAGAGAGGTGTGTGAATGTTTGGTTGTGTGTGGGACGCATAGACCAGCGGTCTAGAATCGAATAAAAAAAGATGGAGCAATACCTGGGCACATTTGCTCGGATTTGGTGGAAGGAATTGTGTTTACCTTGAAAACCTGCAATTGTTGGTTGCCCCAGTGATAGCGGACCCGGGGATATAGTGGGTACTAAGTAGTACAGTGCTTGGGTACCCTAGGTATGAAGCTGATTGGAGCTGGCGGCAATTCTCCACTTCTATCCATTTCTGGTTCAGCTGAATTTCAGGTCTTTCTAACTATCACGTGCTAAGAGTGGAGACCCCCGTTATTTTTACACTTACACTGGATTTCTCTTCAAAAAAAAACCCCGGCTTGCTTTCTACTGTCCATGATCGGGATACAATCTCGGAATGCGGCGGAAACGCTTATGAGCACCCCTGCAATCGCAATGAGTAATGGCGATGACCTCAAAATACAGCGATGGGACAATGGATTAGTGCTTATCCACGAGTTCATAACCAAAGATGAAGAAGCCACCATGATCGAGGCTTTTCACAGCCAAGACGCACGGCAAAAGATCAAGAAACGCATCAGCCAGCACTTTGGGTACCACTTCAACTACACTACCTTTGGCGCATCCGAGACAAACTTCACTCCCGTCCCGAAGTACATCCAGGATCTGCTTCCACGGCTCCCCATTCAGGAGCACCTCCCGGACCAGTTTACGACGCAGTACTACCCGCCGGGAGCCGGCATCCCGCCGCACGTGGATACCCACTCTATGTTTGAGGAGCCGCTGTATAGTCTGTCGTTTGGGAGTGCGGTCGCGATGGCGTTGCGCAAATGCGACGCTAATGATGCTCGTCGCATGCGGCTTCCGAAGCGGTCCCTGGCTACCGCGGAAGCGCAGGCTCCTGTCGTACCTGCGCCGTCGTCGTCTACTCCCGAGAAGTCCGAGGACAGGAACGCGGATGAACCGTGGGAGCTACTCCTACCCCGCCGATCCCTCCTACTCATGACAGGCGCCGCGAGGTACGGGTACACGCACGGCATCCGGGCGCGGAAGACCGACCGCATTGATGGCCAGGTCGTGCCGAGGCAGGAGAGATACTCGCTTACGATGCGCACGGTCAGGAGGGCGGATGCGATACGCTGCGATTGTGAGTTCCCTGGTGTCTGCGATGCAAGGATTAGGGAGGAAGAAAAAGAGGCAGAAAAGAAAGAAAAAGAGAAAGAAAAAGAGAGAGGTATGCTTGAAAAGGGGGCTGATGGGTGATAGGTATAGCCTGTGATTTAAAATGCCTATCTAGTAATCTGCAACCACTCTGTTGAAGCATACCTCGTCTCGAAATAACTGAACCTGTGTATGATTCAAAGCCGGAAGGCTTAGGATGGTTGTCTATTCCTCTCTTTAGGAACGCCATCATCTACATGGCTTGTAATGTACCTAGTACTTCGTATACAATATGATATGTGTACGATATTGAAAATCTGAAGACGGCCTTGACTTTTTATTTTTTTCATATTGAAAACATATCATAAATTACGAGTCACCGATTTACTAAGTGGGAAAGGTATGTACTAATCCTCATGACCTACTCTAGTCTCTAGCCTTTCGTCATCTTAAGGGGATAGCATCATTAGGTAATTGTGGAGTTACCCAAATTCCGACCGTTCCTGTTAGTGCTCATAGAATACCTAGGTAGCGTTCCGAATCCCCGCCTGGTGCCAAAAAGGGGACTTGGACGGTTAGTTATAACTTACCTATGTCCGTATGTCAACGGCTTAGTTCGGTTTTGTTCGTCCTTAGTTCTTATAGTCGATTCCCGTGCCCCAGTTAAAGTCGATTTACTTATGAGTAGCTTAGAGAGTAAAGCTGGGGTTCTATCTCCTTTCTCCTCCGTGATGCGGGGAACACTTCTCTAGACTCGACGATGCCGACCGAGTAGCGTCGGCACTTGTCACCGGAGAGTATATGTGCAACCGGATGTGACTACGGGACTCGTTAACCCGCACGATTGAAAAGTTTAGGGATCACTATTTCAACTTTGATAATTATTGAACTGTAACTTACTGTACTATATTAATATATCTATGTCTAGGAGTATATTTAGCCACTTATTCAAATATAGATCTAACTATCTAGCACATAGTCAACAGTATCACAACCGTCGCGTCAACATGGACAGCTTCGAATACAACTCCAACCCCACCCGCGTCGTCTTCGGGAGCGGCTCCATCAAAAAGGTGCCCGAAGAGCTCTTACGCGCAAAAGTGTCAAAGCCCTTCCTCCTCAGCACGCCCCAGCAGGTGAGCCACATCAACCTGCTCAAAGACATCCTCGGCGACGTCGTCATCGGCACCTTCACCGAAGCGACCATGCACACCCCCGTCGAAGTGACCTCCAAAGCGCTCGCCCAGCTGCAGTCCCTCGGCGCCGACTCCATCGTCTCCATCGGCGGCGGCAGCACCGTCGGTCTCGGGAAGGCCCTCAGCATCCGCACGGGGCTCTTCCACCTGACGATCCCCACCACCTACGCCGGCAGCGAGGTGACGCCCATCCTCGGCGAGACCGACGCGGGCCGCAAGACCACGCGCTCCGACCCCAAGATCCTGCCCAGCACCGTCGTCTACGACGTCGACCTGACCCTGACCCTCCCCGCGGGCCTGACCGCCACCAGCGGCGTCAACGCCATCGCCCACGCCGTCGAGGCCCTGTACGCGCGCAACACGAACCCCGTCGTCAACCTCCTCGCGCAGGAGGGCGTCAAGGCGCTCGCGGCCTCCCTGCCCACCCTGATCGCTGGCCCGGATGACGATGATGATGATGACGCGGCGGTGACGGAGGCGCGCGGCGCGGCGCTGTACGGCGCGTGGCTGTGCGGGACGTGCCTCGGCACCGTCGGCATGAGCATCCACCACAAGCTGTGCCACGCGCTGGGCGGCAGCTTCAACCTCCCGCACGCCGAGACCCACACCATCGTGCTGCCGCACGCGCTGTCGTACAACGCGCCCAGCGTCCCGCGCGCCATGGCCGCCCTCGCCGCCGTGCTGCCCGGCAGCGAGGGCGACGCGACGAGGGGGCTGAACGTCCTGCTGGCGAAGCTGAGGGTGAAGCGCGGGCTGAGGGACCTGGGCATGCTGGAGACCGACATCGACAGGGCCGCGGATATCGCCGTTAGCAATCCGTATTGGAACCCGAGGCCGATTGAGCGCGCGCCGATTAGGGAGCTGATTCGACGGGCGTGGGCGGGGGAGGAGGCGAGGGCGGATTTGTAATTGGGGGGGTTATGTAAACCTTATGCTGCGTGCCTAGGTAGGTGGTGAGGCAAAAGAAACGTGGAAAGGATGTATATTATCACTATATATAGGTAACCTTAAGTAGATAGGGCCATGACATGACCTGAAATAAGAACAAATACTGCCTATATTCAACGTAACCCCAACCCGAACCCTGGTGAAGCCGACGACTGGGCGAGCGCTTCGTTGTCACTTCGACCCTTACCATTGCACCCTGAGCCGGCTGTTGACATTGAACCAGGCGTAGCAGGTTTATGTGATCGTTCATAGTAGGCATATGCATCACAAGACATCACAAAGCTCAAGACTTTAGTAGCATATCACGAGTAATCCCACCAACGTTTGTGACAATATTTTACTCTTTTGGCTAGATCGATTAAGTAGTAGGCATGCAGCTTCGCTCACACCACCAACTTCGGATCACAACCCCCCAACCTCGCACTCTTGACCCCCCCATCATAAACAATCTCACTAACCAGCTTTCCCGTCGCCGGCGCATTCTGTATACCCCAGCACGTATGCCCCGCCGCGACAATCAACCCCTTCGTGTCCCCCACCTGACCTATCCACGGCCCACCCTGCGGCAGATAACACGCCTGTCTCGCGAGCACCTTCCCATCCCTCCCCAGCTCGTCGCTGATCGAGCCGACCTGCCGCTCAATGTCCGCGCATCGCCCCGTGTCGACTTCCACGTCGGCGCTGAGCGGTGGCAGGGCGACGACGTTGTCGGTGGGTCCGCAGGCGTACGCGGTTCCGTCGGGCCGCGCGTAGATCTCGGGGTCGACGATTTGTGGTCCCCGGAGCTTTTGCGCTGCTGCCGAGGAGGTTCCCCGGGATCGCTCGGGCGTCGGCGCAGGGAAACCGACGGGCAGCTTAATGGAGGTGAAGAGGGCGTATGCGGATACCGGGCGCGGCGTCTGGATGACGACGCTATGCGCGCGGGCGGCGGTGACGGGTATTTCGGGTAGCACGAGGCGCGTCCAGGGGCCCGCGGCCACTACACAGGTTGTTGCGGGCAGGGTTTCCTCGTGCCCGTCCTTCTCATACGTGACGCTTTCCACGCCCTTGTTGTCTTTGGACCTGGTGATTGAAGTCACTTTGGCGCCTGTTACGATCCGCACGCCTTTATCCTCCGCTAGCTGCGCCATGCTTCTGGTGAATAGCTCGGGGTGCACTTGCGCTGTGTTATCCGTGTTGCCGATTTCATCGTAGTCAGCCAGCGCCTCGTCGGTGTCTACCCAGTCGAGATCTTCGGGGGCGCCTATTTTCTGGAGAGCTTTGGCATTCTTTCTGTGATCTTTGTGAAGGCCCTTTGTGCCTTTCTCCGCACCGCTGCCGACAGGTTCGGCGTCGCCTGCCATGGCACTGCCGGATTCAGGCGATAAACGTCCTCGCAATTCAACCTGGCTCGCATTACAGCGTCTGTATCCCCATCTCCTATCCCCGTCGTGCTCTTTCGCCAATTCCGCATGCAATTGGAAGCTTAAGGGGGCGATATTCTGTGGGAAAGCCCATTTCGCGAGCAGGCCGCCTGCCTTACCACTTGCGGCACCAGCGATGCCATCGTGGGCGGGGTTTTTCTTGGAGACGGTGGCGGGGTCGGCTAGGGTGGCAGGGTCCTGGATGCTGTCCGGGGTACGCCCACCAGCACTGGTCGAGGAGGCTTCGAGGAGGGTTATCCGATGGGTTTCGGGTGAGTAGGAGGGATGTCGGGTTAGATAGTAGGCAGTGGTACAGCCGATGATCCCTCCACCTATAATCGTGATTTCCTTTGGTGTTGAGGACATTGCGCGAATGGTGGGGGTGGTGAGGAGACGGATTGAGGTGGCTCTAATCATCCATTTAAGCTGTAGCTGTAGCTGTAACAATTATGTTTCTCCTAAAAAGGTGGCAGCTTGAATGTAATAGAAGATTGGAAGAATGGAAGAGTAGAAGAATGGAAGAGTAGAAGATGGCATGGTTGTATCCAGTTTGATCTAAAGTAACTAATACCTGGTACATGCCTGACAAACGGCGGGTCTTTGTTATCTACTATGTACTAGGTACGGCGTACTAGTGGTAACTAGGTACATGACGTATGCTACATCACGTAACACATTGCCCCACCTCCATAATCCCGGTCAAAAGTTTAAGTGTTTACCACGGGTACCTGGTAGGTCCCGCAGTGCGCTACAATTCTACAATTAAACATTGAAGGTCCACGGGTGTTTTAAAGGGGTAAACCCCCACTCACCGCCTTACAAACACTGAATTAAACCTACAATACCTAAATAGTATCTAAGGTTGAGCACATAATCTTAAGTGCCTACAACATTGAATACAATACCTACATAATACGTGCTAGGTACATTCAACTGCTGTCATTCCATTAAATGATTACCCATTCCCAATGAGTTCAAGTACAACTAAAAGATTCATCGACGACGGCGTGCGCTGCCAGGTGCTTGCCTTACACGGCGCAGGACTATCTCGCAAGCAGATCTACGAAGTCACCGGCGTATCGCCAACCGGCTTCTTCCGGCTCCTGCGAAAGGCCAAAGAGCGCGGCTACGTCGTTGGCGGCCCGGTCCTGCTTGCGTACGTGAAAGACGCGAAGCGATCCGGCAGACCTACTAAGGCGCAGCAGCCTAAGGGATCAGACGCTACTTTGGCTGAGGAGCCAACGGAACCAGCGGATCAAACGGGGTTCCTTCAGCAGCTGTTGCTTCCTGAGGAAGATGACGATGCCATTTATTAAGGAAGGGCTTGTTCCGGAATGGGTGAATCGTTTAGGTTGATAGGAGCTTGTACGATGTTTAGCTTGGAGTTTCGCGATAATGACGACACAAATGGGAATATCAATGATATGCCTTGTCGAGTCTGGGAGTTCTGGGTAACTACTATCCTCACTTAAAAGAGATAATTTCCGTCTTGCTGACAGCTTTAGGTGGTTTTATCGCGACACGTCTCTTGCAACAATGCGTTATGTGTATTATAATTGTTCAAGTTGCTGAGGTTTTGCATTCTATGCAAAGGGCATCGGATGCCTTGTTTGTACAGTAAGAATAAAACGATGCACTCTGAGACCCTTCCAGAACGCTGCTAGACTTGTACTAAGGGGTAAAAATAGGAGTAATCACATTGAACCTCCAGCCAATTAGGTGCCTGATACCAAATACCTAACTTGAACGCATATCAGAGTCACACTCTACACATAGTATTCATAAGTCAATAATTGTAAAGTGATATCTATTCTTCTGAATAAACTGTGAACTACTATATAAATATAAACATAAGAAACGTAACCGTGAAACCATAAATCGTACCCATAAGAACCGCAAGTGGCTCTGAAAATCTCTATACCCTTCACTATACCGTAACAAATGAAAACTCCACTCATAGTTCCAACTTCACCTTTTCCGCCCTTGTAACTTACTCGTGATCTCCCGTGTCCGGGATAGAGCCTTCTTCGGCGATATGCTCTTAAGCCCCCGCGCAAGCCCACTCCTAACGCTTTCCCACCTGCGATCAACTCGCGCGCGAAATTTCCCCATCATGTCAAGCCTCGAGTCGCGCCTAATTTCTGCTTCTGTCTCCTCATCCCGAGACTTATCATCATCACGACCCTCAGAACTAAGCGTCGTGACCTCGTACGCATCCTCAACAACGACGTTCCGCGGGATATCTCCCTGCATCGTCGCTCCCGCTTCACGGCCAGAGGCATCACCCGCCTGATCCCGAAGCGCGGAGAGGATGTCCGGCAGCTGGCGCACGGGGTAGCAGCTGTAGTAGGCGGGCAGCAGCTCGTGCGTGTAGGTCGGCAGACACTCGCCGTCGAACATGCCCTCGTCGGGGACTTCGCCTTCGAAGTCCAGCAGGTCATTGCTAATGTCGACAACAACGGGTGCGCTGTCGGCTCGCTCGTTGCTGTCTTCAATGTAATCGCTGGCGAGGATCTCGTACCTCACGATCTGCTCTTCGCGGGTGCTTGGCCTTTGTTCATCTTCATCATCATCATCACCGCCATCGTCATCATAGTTCTCGTCATAATCTTCATCGTCATCATCAAAAATACCCGCCTCAATCTCCTCGTCAGTGTATATCCGCATCGTGGAAGGGAGTTTCACGTTACTCGCGCCCGGAACCGCCTCGCCGAAGTTGACCTCGAGCATGTACTGGCAGAAGCTGTCGACGTCGTCCCAGTACGGCGCCTCCAGGATCTCCGTCGCCTCCCCGGGCGTGATCACGTACTGGTAGGTGTTGTACGCGTACTCGATCATGAGACTCTGTCTGTAGTCGTCGCTGCTCAGCTGCGTTTGTGCTTGTGGTGCGGTAAAGGATGAGACGACGGCTAAGGACATGGTGGGCGGTGGACGCTGTTTTAGAGGCGGCTTTGTGGGCTGGGTAAGCTGTTTTGGAAAGGAGTTGTTAGGACGAGGAGTAGGCGGTGGTTTGGTGGATGGCAAAGAGGAGGGCGAGGAGGGCGTGCCGTGTACTTATCCTCGGAACGAGTTCCTTGGTTGTTGAATACTTCGTCTTAGTTGTTGACGACCTCAAAGGCATTGTTTCCGACATTATCGCTTCACGCTCTGGTATTGGCCCCTACTATAATGTGGCGTCTATGTAATGTGGAATGAATGCTATTGTTCACTGATGATCCAGATGTTCTTTGTTCAGCTATAATGATCTACTTCCCTATATTTAAGGTTGCAATTATTCTGAAACAGCTCTGTGAACAACGCAGCTTTGTTCTTCTGTCTTTTCTGCATACGTCATCTATCGCTGCTAGCTATAGGAAGTATTTCAACTGATTCTAGCCCCCCTAAATATCAAACCTGTCTACCTCGGAAGCTTTCTTTTCGGATTTGTCGAATCACACTATAGCCTCCCCCCCCTTTTCAACCCTAACAACTCACAACTCTACCGGGTGGATCAACAAACCCTTCCCAGAGTTTCCTCCACATCTACAAACATGTCCTTTGGCCCCCGCAAAACATTCAAACGCTCCAAACTGCTCTCCCGCGACGTCGAAGACCGCATCCGCGTGGGCGTCTTCGACCAGATCGAGACGCCCTTCAACGAGGACCCGCAGCTCATCATCGGCAACCCGCGGTCGGGGTGCTACGGGCTGTGCTACATGGAGCTGTCGGGGCTGACCTTCATCTTCCACCACGCGCGCATGAAGTTCGCGACGACCTGCCGCTGCCTCATCAAGGGCAAGCGGCGCACGCGGACGATCCAGATCCCGCCGGTCCTGGACTACCACCGCCTGAGGCTCATCCTCGACCAGCCGTTCAAGATGGAGCCGAGGCTCGCGGCCATGGTCGTCATGAAGATCTTCTTGAGCTTGCCGATCCCCGATGAGCTGTGGGCGGAGATGAGGAGGAGGGAGGTTGATAGGCGGAAGGTGCTTTGCGCGCCGATCATAGAGGAGGTGGAAGAGGTGGAGGAGGAGGAGGAGGAGGAGGAAGAGGGTGAGGATGCAAATACGCAATTGCTTAGTTCGACTGATTGATATATGTACCATAGGTGTCTAGGTAGGAACACTTGCCGATATCATTTTATAAGCGTTGTTATGTTCACAATCTAAGAAATGTAAGGAGTAGCTGCAGGTGACCTACTGAACATGGTTCATCTCCTTTATCTTATATGAACATGAGTTATTGTATCATGTGGCAGTGCTTTTATCACTAACCCCTTATCCTCTAGGTAAACTAACTGTTGCCGTTTTACTTAAGCTTGATCAGACACTACTTAGACTCAGCCCTTGCCGACGACAGATAAAGAACAACATGGGAGATAATATAGCGAAGTAAATCTCTTCCTTTAGTTGAAACTGAACTATTAGCTTTTCTTGAGGTAGTAAGCTTTTGGAGTCCAGGTCTAGAGATACATCTTCGGCACTGGCCTTGCGCCTTTCTCACATAATTCAGTAAACAATATATAGTAACTGATATATAAATAGTTTGGCAAAAAGAATGCATCAACGCATGATAGAAAACCCACGTTACCTCACTAGTCATTCTCCCAGAAATATACCTCGTAAGTTACTTGAGTCCCTGATCCGCGCCCATCGCCACATCCTGACACCAACTTGGGAGCCACGTGGAAAGCACCGGCGAGGGGTCCCTCCAAACCATACCCCTTCTTCTAGAGCCAACAATTTCGTCGGCCGGGGACTCAGCAAACTCCTCTACGGAGCAGCCCCCTGACTTAGTTAGGTGCCTGCCTCGGTACCTAAGTAAGTATCAAACTAAAAAAAGCCCTGCTCGTACGCCCTCGGTTTGATACCTACCCGGGTACCTATTTCTTAGCATCAGTTTGCCGCAGCGTCGAAGAAACTCGTCACTATTTTCCGAATCACCCACCAGATATCCCCTTTCGACATTCATATCCAGGTAATCCTTCATCGCCGACCGCTTCTTCTGGACTCCCTGCGGCGCAATGTGATTCAGCCACCGTGTCCAAGAAGTCACTGAACGCCGTCGGCAGCTTCCCGTCCACGTCGTGGGCATACACTACCACTGTACTCGGCCCATCGGCCCAAAAGCAAAGCCAAGATGTCGTGGCTGCGGTCGGCAGAGTAGGCCACGGGGCCGGCGAGTTGGACGTCCAGGATATTCGGGGTTGCGCCGTGCGACAGGAGCAGCGAGATATGTCCTTCGGGACCACGAGCGGCCGCCCAGGATACGGTACTGCGCTGCGGCCTAGACCGTCCGGTTTGCCGATGTCTTCTGGACGCGCCTGCAGCTCTGTTTCTAGATCCTTGGATGATAGCCCGGTACCTAACGATCCTACGAAGGGTCGTAAATTCCTGCTCATCCGCCCAATAGCTCCCGCCACTACTCAGGGGCATCAGAATCTGCTCTGTTGCTTTGCTGACACCTTGCAGGAGAAGGTCGTTCGCCTTGCATGGCGAGGAAGCGAACGGTTTCAAACTGATTCGCATATACCTAAGGCCCACTATTTGCAAGTTAGATTAGATCCAAGAGCATGGTAGGAAACCATCGTCGATGCCACTGAAGCACTAGGAAGATGGTTGCAGTTGCTTACCCGAAGTAGAGAATAACCTCGCGTGTCACTGACATCACAAGGCGACGCTGCGCCTCTCTTGAAAAGCCCCTTTAAACCCTCGATGTCCCGCCTGATTGCATAGTCGACACAGGGTGCCCGAGTCGGGAACGCGCCGCAGGGTTTTGAGCTCGAGCTGGGCGGCCGGCGTTCACCTGGTAGGTACGACATATGAAGACTGAACAATCTTAGACCAGAATAGGCCCAGGGGAAACCAGTACTCGGCCGTGACCTCGGGGTTCTGTGCCGCTTCGCAAGACGGGGTGTCGCGTGATGGACTCAATAGGAAAAGGCCGCTATAGCCTGGGAAGAGCTGGCCAACAAACTCGATTTAGCAAGCCGCCTGGTGTGCTGGTCCGCTGGGTGGAGTGGCAGACACACCGGCAGTGGCCATTACCACAGGGAGTCCTAGTCGCGGCCTGCAGCGCTACGGAGTGAGCTTGTTGGAATGACCTTCCTCTCGGAGGGCTGCTTGTGCGCCAGGGGGTAGGCGACTCGGTGGCATGGTCACTTGCTGCCATGTCAAACATCTCTTCGACTAGGAGGATATTGTGATGCAAGATGTCGTCGCTATCTTCACTTGAATGTCTGGTTCTTGGAGGAGCTGCTCTACTTGGGAGGAGGGGAATGAGGGTGATTCATTTCCGACAAGGCGAGATAAGTTGACTCGCATGCCAACCAACTGCTGCTTTATGTTCCGGTTCTGGTCCTTAGGGACGTTAGTGCTCGCCACATTAGTATGATGTATCTATGTGGGGGGCTTAGTCCCATACATAACATGTTGACTTGTATATGCTTGTGTACCAACATTATGTATTATCACAGACGGTGGCCCAGATGACCATAAGATGCATGCGAAAATACCTACCTTTGGGGGCGGGGATACATATAAGGGGGAGAGGGGCATAAGGCTGACTGCCTAAGTTAGGTGACTAGCAGACAGGAGTGGAAAAAGAATGGGGGAAAATAGGGGAGAAACCTATGCCTACCAGATCCTTTTTGCACAGAAGCAAAATACTGGCCTTGGACGAGTTGGCTTGCTGGTAGATTTCGTTTAGCGCCAGTATGTATGTCCTCCAAACATGGACCCATTAGCTATCCATAGATATTACGAATGCTACTAGGTATTCTTCGTCTGCCCAGTGGGTACGGCCAGCTATATTTATCCACTTGATCCACACAGTCCACATGCAAGGGCCGGCCCGCATTTAGCTCCATGAGAAGCGCATCGGGTTCGATGACGAGATCGGCGATCTGATTGCTTAGAGATTCGAGTCCGTCTAACCTAGGTAAATCTTCCTTTCACATTTGACGGGGAGCACAAAGGTCTTTCCCGATCTCTTGTGTTGCCTCTATCATAGCGATGATTGTTGTGTATCGTAGCTACAGCAAAGCACCCGAAAGTTTAGAGAATGTAGATGAGGTTATCTAAGAGCGTATGGTGACTACCTGAGTATGTAGGTGGATATGTGCAGATGGTGATTGCCTATGTATGTACCTACCCAGGACCCAGGTAGCTACATCAATGATACTACATATAGGTACTACATGTACCCAGGCATGTATCATGATGTATGTGTGCGACCTCTGATGTACGGTGCCGTTGGCTTCGGGAGCCAGCCATCCAGCAGGGATAGGTACCAACCGACGCTTCAATGTTGGTAGCGATACACAGATAACAAAAGGTGCCGACTCCTTCCGTTCCATTCCATTCTCGTTTGCCTCCATGATGAATTGTGGATTATATGACTAACCTGCCTTATGTGTACATATAGTTACAAGCAGATGCATACCTGGATGCCATTATCACGGACAAGGTTGGGGACGTTATAAAGGCATTAAAGCACTAGGTTAGATCGTCAGGTTGAAAAGATTTGTTAGGTAGCGAGCTTTATAGAAGATGAATCGCGAGATATTGTTAGAAAGGATCGGGTGATGGATTTAGAAGTGGAGCATGAGTTATGTAGGTACTGTAGAGTGTGTTGGATTTCTAGTAAATTGAAGATTTGTTTTCTTCAAGATTGCGAAGGCGAAGATGCTCGTGTAGCCTTTCATCTGGCATCATCAAGGAATTTAAACCTTTACGTTCCCCAAATATAGCTTGTAGGAAGCTCCACGAGGTTATATTTAGGTTCTTGCGTTGCTCGTGTAGAATAGCTCCCAGAACTTTTCCCACGCGCCCGTAGAATGACACCGCAAGCGTTGTGGCAGCGTCTATACTAAAAAGAAAAGTGGCCGTGATGTCAGCGTAGAGTTACCTACGACCCCGTAAGTGCCAGGAATGTTGAACATGGCTGGCAATTGCTGGACCGTCTCGGGCGATAGCGTGAAAGTCTTGCAGGCATTTTTCAGGGAGGGTGACCCAAAGCAACGGATTCGATCGCAGACAGTGCCAGCAACACCTTTGGCAGGCCGGGAGGAATAGGTAAGCGCCATACTCTGGGCACAGTACACAGCACTCGCTTCGAAGCGCATTGTAGAGCTCAGATGCCGGGTGGAGATGAAGCAGCTTCGTCTGGCTAAGGGCTGCTAGCGCGTGTGGCGCATGCTTTATTACGTCTCGAAATACGGGAAGGGAACATAGCATATCCCTCCCTTGAAAAGAGACACGGGAAAACCGAATCGCTGACTGGAAATCGAGGCGCCCGAGCACCTCGTCTAGTAGTTCGGCTGGCAGCCTGTCGAGAATGCCAAGGGATGAGGCACGGTTTGGGAGGTTTGCCTCTATGAGTTTCGGGGGACCATGGATGGTAATAATTGAATAGAGCAGCTCTGGCGGCCGATGGGAGAGGCGAGAAGGGACATTTGTATGGGTATCTTGGTGGGAAGGCATACTTTAGGCGTTCAGATATTCAATGTTGTCGAGCGTGTTGGTGCTTGGACCATAGCCGCGAGGAAGCTTTGCAAATGTCGACGTTGGTGGCATAACTAGGTATCCATATGATCCACGTGACAGTTTAGAAGTCACATAACTCAGTCCTAACAATTGACGCCCAATGATGCCATAGTCATTCCCTCCAATCTTCAAGGCACTAGGTTAAGAGGTATATCCATTCATCACAAGTCAGACTAGGTAGGTAGACCAAGGGCACCTAGGACAAAAGGGGGATAAAGAGGTTTACCGGTGTGCTCGCCCGCAGCTTCACCCGTGATGATCCTCCCATCGGCCAGCACAACTTCATACCTAGTGTGCTACAATATCATCGCAGGCCCGATCAAAGTGCGCCGTGTAGAACGTATTCCCGCCCCCCGGCAAAAAGCCCCCTACACCGACCTCCCCCTCTCGGGCCCTGGCGACTGTGGGTAGGTACCTACGACCGTGCTTCTCGAGCTCGGTGTAGACATCTTTCCACTTGTCTCCGGGTTCTAGGTACTTAGGCTCTATGGGTAGTATCATCGTACCGGGCTGAGTTAAGGAGGCCCGAATCAATGGTGATGCCATCCGCGATATTGCTGCTGCCGGCCTAGTTGATGTGTCCCACCCCAATCCTAGGCGACGAAGGGCTGGCTCGTCTTTCTGAGGGTCGCAACTGCTGTAAAAATATCGTGAGAGGATTCGGGATCTGAGGCCAATGTAGACCAGGGGCTCAGCCTGTGTGTTTAAGAGGCTATCCACATCCGTCATCCTGGTATCACAGATCAGGTTTCAGGCACAAAAAAAGGGATGTTAAGAGAGCGTCCGTTATTCCCACCAGCATGGCTCGGAAGCTCTTCCTGCTTTCACGGATGTTTGTCCCTCGTGGAAGGCACTTATCATCCCCATGGGCAACGAGCCGGGCTCAACCATATTCAGGCATCCGATCTTGTCCATCAGCTCTGGGCCATAAAGCTGGACAACCAATCTCCAGTACGGGCTCATGGATTCCCAGTGTCCCGTGATGTGCTTCAACGTCCCCGGGTGTTGCTGCGCCAGGGCTTCCAAACCCTCCATCACCTTCGCGCTCGGCTTCTCGATCCCTTGCTTTCTGGGTGCTTCCATCAGCTTGTTGTAGACCCAGGAAAGATTGTGCTCGAAGTCGTGGTCGATGCTTTCGCGATTCAGCACGTAGTTGTCGAAGCTCATGAAGTCGACTGGGAGCCCGGGTTTGGTGTCGTGCGTGTCTCGCTGCTCCCAAGCACGTTTGTCGCTTTCGTACGATTCCTTCTCCGCTTCCAAGAAGGATTCTAGGAGCTCGGATGGATCTAGCACCGTTTTGTTAACCTGGGATAGGGAGATGAGGGGGTTCTCGAGGCCAAGCCCGCCTAGTTCTACGGGGAAATAGAACAAGGCGTTGGGGATGTCTAATTTTTCTGGCGCGTCTGGCTTGTCTGACATGCTAAATCGTTCTCGGATGGTGTACTTGAGGTAGTCGACAATGTTTTTCGCATATTCCACACTTCCCTTGTCGGAGGGAGTCGAAGAAGATGGAGGTGGAACTAGTTCACGATGAATTCGCCAGTGAGCACGTGCCAACTCATTTACAAGAACATACCCAAAGCAATTAACTACTTCCCCGAAGTTGGAGGTGAAGAAGCGTACAACATAGATATTCCATGCCTGAACAAATGCCAAAATACTATTTGAATTGGCCGCGAGTTTCATACGCACAACTTTTATATGCTTGTCCACCAGTTTCTGGTCGATCTTGACTATCCCCGTTTTTGGAGAGAGCTTAAGAAAACCCCAGCGAATATTGCCTTTGGGGAAAGACTGATCCCTGGGAAGCGATATACCTGGGTTTGAAGATACACGCAGAGTACCGGATCTTGAGTAGTTGATTTCAGTACCTGTGACATTAGCAAACTTGGTAATCGTCTTCCATGCTGCCTCAGCGACATGTACATCTTTCGACCAAAACCAACAGTCGTTTCGCATACGGTAGAGCTTGGCCCCATTTGTCTGCTTGCTCACGGCAACATCCAGACAGAATAAGACGGATTCGCCGAGTGCCTCGCTAAGGATATACAACTCAGGCATGCCGCGAGATCGAATTCGCGGGCATTCTGACTGGTCGTCCTCAATTAGCCTCAGAGGCATCTTCAGAAAGGATCGAAAGAAGCTGAGCCATGATTTGGAAACTCCGAGGAATGACAATACTCCCAGGATCGTTTCGTGAGGGAGTAAAGTAGTCCATTTGTCAAACAGGGAATGGAACGCGGTGATCTCATTATATAACTTGGTATTGACGGCAATTTCAGTCGACAGGAGACGCAGCAATTGTCTCTTGGTGGAATCCGGATTATTCTCACGTTTGTCTTGGATTCTGTATTCGGCTTCTTCCTCGTCCTCGGTCTGCATTTTTCCTGAACGCCCGTGCTTGTTTAGAAGAGCCATGGAATAAGAAGCTCGGTGAGAGATATCCCTGATGGACTGCACGGAACCGGTAGGATCTTGACGGAGTGAATACTGACTTCGTCGCGCCGCGTCTTTCTTAGAAACCCGTGGGGCATGGACTGCATAGAAATCGAAAAGAAAATCGCCAATGGCTTTTCTTAGTATAGTAGACCACTTGATGCCAATGTAATAGAGGATAATGGCTTGGAGAAGGTCTTCCTGCATCAGGATGTTGCATGTACCAGATATATCTCGTTCCTGATCTAACACGACGCACTCCCCCCATGACCACGAATCTAGAGATTGCATTCTCTGGTTCAAGATGTTTGAGATCTCCTCTCGAACGAGATGGTTGTTGTTGAAGTTCTCCAAAGCCCTGCGCTTCTCGTCTGAAATGAGTCTGGATGACGACAGACCACGGATGACCCAATCCAAGGTTTCTGGGTAGAATTGGTCGGGTGCTGACATTAATTCCTCAAAGTCTTCAATTTCAGTTCTCAGTTCATCTAGCCTTTGTAACTTTTCCACGTTCTGTACATCGAAGATGTCATCCAGGTATGTTCTAAGCTTCTCCTCGTTAACTTCCGCAGGCACAAACACCTTTGGCGACCATTGCATTCGAGCCTTCACCTTCACCTTTTCCTCTTTGGAGTGCTGTTGTTTAAACCTCCTTTGCGTATGTTCGTCCTCGTTCCTGGTGAGCTTATCGGTGGATAGCCATTCAGTGACTAGCCGGCCATAAAGCCTGGTGTATGAATATTTCAGGGACTGTATATCAAGATGACGCAGCAGGGACTCTTTCAAAGAAGGAAGAGCATCGTCCGCCAAACATGGATCCCACCGGACTTGGAATAAGAAACAATCAAGAGACTTCAACTCAAGTTCCAAGGAGGGGTTTCTTGGTGGTGGGGTGATGTATTTGCAGTCGGGACAGTTGTTGTCCTCTAAGCCCCAGCAGGTTCTAACCTTGTCCCCTATAATGTCGAGATGAAAGGTTGTGAGATTTTCAAATCCAACGCCAATGGCAAGAGACTTGTGATGTTCAAAGTGAGATCGACTTTTAGATATTCGCTCCAGCTTGGAGTTCGTAATCTCCTGGATTGTCTCCGAAAAGACGCCGTGCCTGGAGAAGTCCATGACGAGAAAACAGGTTAGGAGAAACGATACGACCAGTTCAGGCTCGATAGGAAATTGGGATTAAGGATGAAGAGTTACGTGCATTGAGGTTTGATGCTTTGGGAGGATACTTCCTTATACCTACCTAGGTAGGTAGTATTGTTAAAACTTCACGACTGGGCCTCAATACACCATGTATCTACCTATATCATAGGGGCGAGACCTTTGCCTGTCTTTAATCATAGTTACAGCTCCTATGCTCTGATTCGTGCTGCTTGTGCCAATTAAGGGTGCCCAGGTGGTGGTGATGTTGCAAAGGTAGGGTGCTATATTAAGACATTCGTTGGCATCATAGGAGGGCATAAAAAAGTAAAATCGTACACGATACCAACATGCACTCATGGAAGACCCAATTAGAAACATTCAATATACATTTGAAATGCATTTTCGGTGTCCTTTTCCATATTTCCGTACCTACCTACATATGTATCCAAAACTTCAATATGGAGTAAGGAGACATAAAGAAGTAGGTAGCCCTACTGTACGTGCCGTCGAGAATGCCAATAGCAGATTCTGGTAAGGAGAAGGCGGGCCGATCGTGTCAACGACGGCCAAGTTGACGATAAACTCATCGTCGATAAAAGGAAAGATACAGGTTTCAATACAGATAATATATATCAATTGGTCAGCTTATCAAGACCGATAGTATCATTGGTATGGGAGACAGTAAAGTGGCTGCTAATCTGAGGTGCAGTGGTCTATGTATGATTTATGTACTTGTACCTATATGTAGGTAGGTATGAAAGAACAAATTGATCCCGCCTTTCCGGCCCCCTTTCCGGCCCCCTTCCCCGGCTCATCTTTGTGAGATCAACTGAGCTACCTACTTACATGTATGTACTTCATAACCTACCCCTACATGAATGTATACCACAAAAGACCAGCATGATAAAAGTAAGCCAGTAAGCCAAACCATTCCAGCCAAGAAAGCGCCTGGCTTGATTTCTTTGCTTACCTATCCCGGTTACTATGAACATACGCAACAAAAGTCTGGGCTCGGACTGTTTCATTCGTTCGGGCCAGCCCTCCTTTCCTCAGCGGTTGGAACACGTGGTTGTGCGTTGCCCAAACCCATCCGTCAGCGCTGGGTTGCGTTGCGTCAGATGGACGGAAAGGAAAAAAGAAAGAAAAAAGAAAGAAAAAAAAAAGAAAAGGAAAAGGAAAGAATTGGCGTTGGAGTAGCATCTGCCCTGGAACGGGCCACGGAGGATTGGTCACACTGCATCTGGGCTATTTGGGGGCGGGAGAGGGGGATGGAAGGAGAACCAAAGAAAAAGAACCATACAAACGACAAGAAAAAAAAAAAAACACTCCCGTCCGTTCCTTATAGGCCGGTCCCCCTCCTGAGCCTGAAAAAGATCCCACCTCAACAACTTGACCCCAAACGAAATACAACACTGCCTACCTACCTAACCTAGGTAGCTACCTAATATCAACACACCCGTTTGCCTCTTTCAACCCTTGAATTTATATGCACCTACCTCTTTGCGAGTTAATAAGGGGAAGGAAGAGTAATACCTTTCTTCCTCTTCCTCCCCTTTCCTCCCGCCCCCCTTATTAATTCCTTAAATCCCCCCCTCCCCCTCCCCCCCTCTACCCCCTTGTATCCTTTACATACTACCTAGTTCCCTACCTAGTACATACATATACATACATACATACCTGACATCGCATGCCTGCCTGCCTAACCCACATAAGCTAGACAAGCTTCCACAACCGTTCTGGCGCTGATGCGAAGGACTCCCCCGGCGCATCCCAATCCATGCCCGGGCTCACCGTAGCTTCGGCCATGGCAACGTCGACCCGTCAAGGCTCGCGCGAGCCCCGTGTAGTCAAGCCGGCTCCGAAGTTGCAGAGTTCTTCCGGGTTGTTTGCCGGCCGCATCTTATGGCTGCCGCCCAAGTCCGAGATAACCGCCAGCTCCGCCGCCGCCGATGACTCCGACTCCGACTCCGACTCCGACTCCAAGCTCGACGAGGGAATGTGCAATCACCCGGTCGTAGTGCTGTCGCCCCATGCCGATGGCGGCAAGGTCGTTTATTTGATTGTATGTCCATCTGCCTAGGTACCTAGCACATATCCTCTACCCACCTTTACATCCACCCCCTTTATCCCACCCACCGTGAAGGAAGGAAGGGGAAATAGAGAAGAACAAAGAAGAAAACGGAGGAAACTCCCCCCACCCCCCTAACAAGAAAAAAAAAAAGCTTACCAACCAACCACCTCCCCCTTCCCCCCATCAACAGATGACCTCCTTCAACAGCCAAACGCTCGAGTCCCGCTTCCCCGGGCACGACCGCGCGAGCACCAAGAACCGGCAGCCGTACCTGCCGATCGAGCCCGCGCCGGCGCACCCGGACAACGGGAAGCGGCTGCGTCTCGCGCGCGGCGCGCCCGCGATGCGGAAGGAGTCGTACGTGCGCACGCGGCCGCAGCACCGCATCCGGCACGCGGTGCTGCGCCCCTACGAGCGGCGCCGCGGCCCCGACCTCTTCCTCGACCCCGACTCCTACCGCGAGCTCATCGCCTACGCCATGTACACCCCGCCGCCGCCGCACCCGGCTTCCCGTGCCGTTCCTGTTTCCGTCCCCGTCCCCATGGTGAGGGAGCGCAGCGGGAGCTACAGCGAGTTCGTGTCCGTGCAGCGGGGGCTCGAGAGCGGCGTCGCGGGCACCTCGCCCGTTACCACCACCGCCGCCGCCGCCGCCGGCCGAGGCTACGTCCCTCTTTTCACTACTACTACTACTACTACCAGGGACACAACAGGCCCCCGATACTCTCGCTACGTACCCGCCGCATCCCCACCACAGCCCAGCGAGCGGGATCGCCTGCTTCTCCACGGCAGCAGCAGCAGCTACGGCGGCGGACACCCCGCGTACGGGCACTACTCCTCCCCCCAACCGCACTCCAGCTCCCACCCCCACCGCCCTCCCCCTTCAAGCCCCGGCTCCGTCACCGGCACGACGGTATGCCAGATGCTGTTCACGATCGCGGCCGTCGCGCTGTCCGGCTGCGCGGTGTGGTATCTCGTGTCGTGGCTCATTGGCGATCCAAAGCTGCTGCAGCATCAGCATCAGCATCAGCATCAGAGTCCAGGCGACGCTATTGCTGCTGCCGCTGCCGCTGCCGCTGCCGCTCAAGGGGGGAGAGGCGCGGTGGTGAGCAGGATTATGACGATTTGGTCGAGGGGGAGGAGGGGTTTGGAGGTGCTTGGGAGATCGTGGTAGTTTTGCGGTGAAGACAAGGCCTTTTTGAGAGAGAGAGAGAGGGGGGGGCTGTGCTTTTAGGGGATGCGGATGCTACAGAGAAGAGAAAAAACGAAGAAGAGGAAATAAAAAAAGAAATAGGGGCTTCGAGATCTGTTGTTCGACTAAGAAGATGCAGGCAGGCATGCATGTCCAGAATCTCACGATTGTTGTAGGTTACCTAGGTAGGTATGAAAATTGGCTTCGAATCAGGGTCAGGATCAGGGACGCCACGGGCAAAACAGAATAATACATAATTTCCAAGGCTGTATTATACAGCCATATTTCAGGCGGGCGTATTAGGCATCTAGGGTAGGTAGGCAGGCACATATGTACATACGGCATAAGGGGATGGGATCTTGACGACGTGACGAAACTAGGAACGAGAACGAGAACGAGACTGCTATTTAATAAATATTTACTGATACCCAAATTACCAAACACCCAACCGACCATATCATTGACTCTTCGCGGGCACCTCTTCGTCAGGAACCGTGCACTCGTCTATGAGCTCGAACCCCGTCTCGGTCTTCGTGCAATCTGGCTGCAGCGTCGCGGTCGAGATGTGCTTCGGTACAGTGCTAAACTTGCTGTTCAGTAGTCACTCCCGATCAAAGGAAAAGACAGTCAACATACCCCTCCCCGCAATCCCACGTCTGATTAACCCTCAGCGTCCAGTCATCGAACGGGAAATTCGCACTCGTCCTAACCGGGAACTCCCGCCCATCCGCCTCAATACTCTGATCGCCACATTGAAACCAGTAGTCCCTCACGTCTCCCCACACGCCGCCGACCATCACATCCTGCAGGCTGCACCCTGTGAGGATGCCGTTGGCGTTGTTCAGGACGTCGAAGACGAGCTGCGTGCTGTTGATGGGCGTGGGTGCGCCGGGGGAGTAGTAGGTCAGGTGCTGGAGGTAGTGCATGTTCTGCAGGGTGAAGGTCGTGGGGTTGGAGCCGGAGGTGCAGGATGAGAGGTTTGTTGTTCTCTTATTCGTGATGAGGAGTGGTTGTGCCTGTGCCTGTGCCTCCAAGCCCTCGCCGGCTTTGGCGAGCAATGCTGCCGCCGCCGTGTATGATAGCGGTAGGAGGTAAACTAGACGAAGAAACATGGTGTCACTTTCTCTCTCTCTCCTATATTTACTTCATTCACTCGTCTTCTTCTCCTGACGACCTACAATGGACAGACACATAACTTTAAAAACCCTCATCCACACCTACCTACGGAACAGGGCCACGGACACATTTTATCTCACCATCTCACCATTAACCACCCTAGCTCACGCCACAATCGCCAAGCTCTGGTTTTACGACATATCGTCCTTCCTATCGCGGAATATTAACAGGATCTCGGTACCTGGGTGGCGTCGACACATACATGCCTAGCGGAGTCATATATCCCGGTCAAAGTAACATCGACTGGACTTTATCCGCCATAGTCGCCGCACCCAAGGCGTCCTTGAGGGTTACTTTCAACTGCCGGCTACCGAATCTGGTGAATGATTCTGATTCCATTGGTCGGTCGGTGTATGGTAAGTATTGATTTGCCTATCGTGATTAACTAGTGTCTTGGTGATGTAGACCCAACAGATGTAAGATCCCCCCCCCCCCCTTTTTTCCCCCCGTATCTAGAACCGGATTCATGCGACTACAAGGAGTTATCATGAACGGAGTTCCGTTGCTATCTGCCCATTCATTCCTGAGATTTAAACAGGCCTGAAATATTACTAGCATCGATTATCCCGGCATATTTACATAAAACCCAATTACGCCTATTACCTACCTCACCCATCAACATTGAACCTGATTCGATCAAGAACATGGTGAACAAATCGAGGCGGAGGTTTCTCCTTATTTATATCTCGAACCATACTTGCCAGTAGACTTGCCAGCAGACTTGCCAGCATAACTGCCAGTGGACTTGCCAGCATAACTACCAGTGAACTTGCCAGCATAACTGCCAGTATACTTGCCAGTATACTTGCCAGCTTTCTTTCCCACAGATGAACGAGCAGTCGGCTTAGGCAACCGATCTTCGTTCTTGAAATTCGCTGCCTCGCACGCTTTGGTGAACTCCTTCAATAGAGACTAAAGATGAAAATCATGTCAGTTTTTTTTTTTTAATTACAATGGGGGGAATGCGTGAGACTCAAGAACTCAAGAACATACCTTGAAGTCGTGATCTGCCAACGATGCGAATACCTTACTCGTGTGTAGTTTGAGCTGGATGACTCGAGGGCTTTTGATACCGAAAGCAACTCTGGCTAGGAATCTCGGGTCGTCCCGAACGTTGCACTCCTGAAGGATGTTGAATATCCCCTTTAAATTGACGGGTGGTGGCTGCATCGGCGGCAGTATGACGCGTTTTCCTGTTAGGCAGTGCGTGCAGTGGCCGCATTTAGTCAGTCCGTCTGGCAAGCTCATGCCGAAATGTTGGGCAAGGCTTAGAGCAAAGCATTTGTCACCAGTAATCAGATCAGCCACCTCTTGCGTGCGTTTCAGCGCGTCTTCTTCACGATTCTGCATATCAATATAGACCTTGTCCGTGATCTCGTCAATCTCCTTCGCCGTGTTTGGAAGCGGCTTCAGGATTTTGTACCTATTTTCAACACCACCCGTCTTGAGTTGGATGATGCCGCTGTCGTGATAATCGTTCAGCTTTCGAATGATATCGGCGCGCAACAATCCGGCAGAATTTGCGGTTGCATTTACATCGATGGTATACAACGTAATAGCCTTTTTGGCGTTTAACAAAATCGCCTTCTCCTCCTTCGAATTGACCGTACTAGGGTTTTTCATCAGGTAGCCATGCTTGGCCTCGAACTTATACGAAGTGTATTCCGGTGTTATGGCCCGGATCAGGCCAAATCGCAACTCAAGTGTTGACAGCAAAATGGCAAGGGGACTAGATCGAATATCATAATCCTGACCCAAAGCCGTCTGGTTCAGCTTGATGACATTTCCTTCTACAGCAGGAACGGCTGGTCGGTGGAATATATCATCTAATAGTCGACGCAGAGATTGCAAGGAGGGTAGGTCACCTCGAGCAAAGTTCTCTCGAATGTAGAAGTCCTCGTGGCAGAGATAGAACATACAATAGCTGGGCTTGCCATCTCTCCCTGCGCGTCCGATCTGCTGGGAATATTCTTCCACTGTGGCTGGGAGATCAAAGTGCAGGATGTTGCGTATGTCGGGCTTGTCAATTCCCATGCCAAACGCAATTGTCGCTACAACTATGCGAACTCTGCCAGCCATGAAGTCATCTTGGACTTTGACCTTGACGTCCGTTGGGAGGCCGGCATGGAAAGCGACTGCATCAAAGCCTTGTTCGATGAGGTCCGCCGCAAGGTACTCGGCTTGTTTCTGAAGTGTTACATAGACGAGAGTTGAGCCGGGATGTTTGCGCAAGAAAGCAAAAATCTTTGGAAACTTGCCTTGCTTCGTCATTCCCGATTCGGCACATAATTGTAGGTTGGGTCGGTAGGGGGAAGTGCGGAATATGTTTGACTTCTGCACATTAAATGCATTGGCCACATCGTCGGCAACGCGAGGAGTGGCCGTGGCCGTGAGACAGACGACCCTTTCTGCCTTGACCTCCTCAACGAAGCGGGCTACCTTGAGATAATCAGGCCGGAAGGAATGTCCCCATTCGGAGATACAATGGGCTTCATCGACAGCAACAAGCCGAACACCTCCTGGAACATGCTTCATGCTTTCGACAAAACCTTCATTGTTCAATCTCTCGGGTGCACAGTAGAGTAATCTCAGTTGCCCCTTCCTTATAGCGGCCATGGTTAACTGGACTTGGTCCTGGGTCTTGCTAGAGTCTATACACGCAGCCGCAATACCTCTACGTAGTAAGGCATCTACTTGGTCCTTCATCAGAGCTATCAGAGGTGACACGACAATGGTGATGCCTGACACCATACCACCTCTACCGTTGATGGCATCTACCTTCTCAAACGTGATTGCTGGGATCTTCAAATCGATGATGTGAGTAAATTCATCTCGTCGCCTAGTAAGATCATGTCTGGGCAGGAATAGAATGGAGACTTACCTGATAGCATAGGGACTTACCAGCGCCGGTAGGAAAGACGACGAGAACATTATGGCCTCGTAAGCTAGATTTGATGGCAGCGAATTGTTCATGGCGAAAGATTTCAAACCCAAAATTCTCTTTCAACGCAGTCTTGGCAAGACGTCCTAGAACTTCGTCATCAATGTCTTCATTAGCAATGGTATTGTGTTCCGTGTCTTCAGTGTTTTGTGTCTTGATTCGTTTGTCAGGCTGCTGGGTTTGTTGCTGGTCGTCATCATCAGCAGCGCGAGCGCGTTTAGTCGTGGCAACAAGACTCTCCACATTGACATCATCGAAGAGCTCGTCGCCGGAGCCGTATGAGTCGTATTCGGACATGGCAAATTTATCAATGGCCAATGCTGAAAACAGAATTACAACGTATGCCTATATTAATAAAAAGTGCATTGGTTTAACATTTTGTGTTTGTTAGAGAAGTTGATGAATTAATTAGGTATTGGGTACTGCCTTAGGTCGCGTAGGTACAATTGATAATACCTGTTTACCATGTAACTACATGTACCTACCTCCTACCCAGAGGCCAGAGCTCATTTAATTAGTAGAGTCCTTGGGTTGTTTCCTTAGGTTTCCGGGTAACCAGAATCCGTGGATTACAGGGGATCGCACTTTTATCTGTGTACAGAAGTACTAGGTACCCATAGTTATACACATCTTCAATGTTACGTATGCACCGCACGTGCAGTATCTATGGTATCAGCAGCATTTGGATTACATACCTACCTAACCTAGCATATTGTAGACACCATTTTCATATAGCCTTACCTAGTATGTAAGCTTATACTCCGTGTCCAAGAGAAAAGCGATATCTCACAAAATGCAATGCACTAACCTAAATACCTAGGTATGTAGTATAGTTATGTTACTGCATACTACTATGTAGGCGCTATGTAGGGAGCCAAACAGCAATGGACTTTTCATGGCGTGCTGTGCTGCATGTGTTGTTCACCTACCCCGAAGGAGCTCATTACTCTAACCTAGTATGTACGCCGTATACTAATGCTTCCTCTGAAATAAGAAAACGCCACCATGCCGTGATGCTCAAAACGTCCCCTCAAACATCCGATAATATATATATTTGGTCGTGCCGAAAAGCTATCACGACCTCCCTAGCTATGCATATAGAAGCAGAACTCCATAACTACCGCTAATATGCTGGTTTCATCCCTCGAGCCCATTCTGAGGGGTATGTGTCGAGTTGTAAAAGCAATCACCTAGCAAACGCTTCGCTACCTTAAAGCCAATTGTAAACACCGCAGGACCATGCCGTGCCGTGGAGAGGAACCTTTACCTCACGCTGCTGTGCCCCCTTCCTCTCTAGCCAGTTTAGTAACCACCCATGGTAAAAATATAATGTTAAGCAAGAAGAGTCTTCTGAGAAACACATTCTTAATCCACGCACTGTATCATCTTACTCGTACGTGGATGTAAGACGCTTCATCCATGCCAGTCAGTAGCATGGTAGAAAGTTGACTCTCGTAAGAGCCTATAGCAATACGCCCCAGTGTACTTCAGTAGAGGCACAAGGCACTGCGGATATGCAATACCCCCTGCGGTAAGAATGCTGAACCAGGACTTGGCAGATACGTTAAAGCCGTGAGTTCGGCACGCCTAGTTGTCTTCTTCTATGATTCTCTGCACCTCAGGGGCATTGAGCAGGATTCGTTTCCCAAGTTCCTCAGGTGATTTGCCATCACGAACCGCGCCGAAGTCAAGAATCTGCCAATGGTTAGTATTTCGTTCACTGCTAGTCAACTTGTCAATGTAAAAGATCCAACTTACCTCGACGTATGTTAGATTGTCTCGCTGGACAGCCGCTACGCATCGGCGTTCGTCAAACCTAACCTGCCAGACCCCACTAAGGTCCGTCAGAAGGTCCTGAATGCACTCGCCCGAGCGGATGTCCCACATTTTCAGAGTTCGTTCGCTGCCACTAATAACTTTCCGCCCATCATGTTGAAAACAGGTAATTGCTCCGGTGTGCGCCGACAACGTCGACTGGCATCGTCCACTCTCCGGGTCCCAGATACGCAGGGTACTATCTGCGGCTGCCGAGACGAGTCGCTCGTCACGGAGATCCAGTAAACCAACGAGGAGAGTATGCCCATCAAGGGTATGTAGACAGGTTCCGGTTTCTAGATCCCAGATTTTCACGTAGCTGTCCATGCTACCCGATATGCATCTGTTACGTGCGACGTCTAAGACGACGCTGTACACTTTCTGGGTATGGCCCTGCAACACATGCACTGTCTCCCCGGTGCTGATACGCCACACGCGCACGGTGTTATCGTAACTTCCGCTAACGAGTGTATCTGCATGCGCAGCAATGGCGCGGACCGAGTGGTTGTGGCCTTGAAGCGTGCGGATGAAGTACGGACAGTCGGCATCGTTGGCAGGTGGTCCAGTCTGAATATATCTTCTAGATCCTGATTCAGGTAGACGCCACACTCGTAGTTGACTATCCCGGGAACCGGTAATGATGAGAGGTTTCGCAGGCATCATAACAGCCTGCCCATTCTCAACCTTGCCTGTATCTGTCGGCATTAGAATTTGCAGGCAACGGACAGTACTAGTGTGACCGTAAAACACCTGCGTGCAAAGTCCTTTCTCAATATCCCACACACGAACAGAGCGATCTGTTGAGCCAGACACCAGAACATTGCCTTCGTATTGGAGCGCCCAAACCCCTCCCTCGTGACCTTCCAAACGTCGGCGGAGCTTTCCAGTCTTCGTATCGTAAACATGGATAAGCATGTCATCGCTACCAGTGATAATTTTGTCTTCGTCAAACTGGAGGCAAGTAATGACATGACGAGGGTGAGCCGCAAATGCCACATGGCCAGGCTTGACCTTGCCACTTGTCCAACTCTTACGGATCATATAATGGCGACGGTAGAGTGACTTGAATAAATGAAGTCTCCTAAGGCTTGGTAGGCCAATATGCGGGTCAGGCACGGCCATGGCGGCGGCGTTGGCGGCAGACATGGGTCCTTCAGATTTGTGTATTCTCTCCCCGGTGTAAGTTTTTTCATCTTTCGCCATCTCCTGCGCGCTTGCTCGTCGCTTTGATCGTTCGGAGCCGAGGCTATTCAAAGCTCTCTTGCGCTTGGAAGTTCGCAGCTTATGCGGCGGCGGGTCCGGTTTGGAAGAACGGATCAGTTCTTTCTCGGTAGATGTAAGTCGAGCCTGCGTGCTGTAGTCGCGTTCGCATCCATCATGTCCCACGGGATCTTGCCAACCCCATCCTTCTCGAATGGCTCTATCGAGCTCACCTGGGGCCAGAGTGAAGCCGTCCAGATCGAAAAGCTCCTTCCAGCAGGTTTCGTTACTGTCAATGATACCCCGCCAATGCTTCGAAACCTGTGCCGCACGGCACAGATCACGATGATCCAAATAAGAGAGGATATGTAAAGTCAGCTCAAGGGGTAAGTCCTTCAGGATATCACACTTTAGGGCAGGATTAACGACGTCGGCTACAACGTGGAGGGTCTTCCGGGAACATCTGCGGAGGAATTGATACATCATGAACGACTTCATCTCGGTGGGCATTGCATCGAAGCTCTCCAGCATGGAGCGAGTGTCCATTATCGTGGGCTGAGAGGATTGCGTGTCTTCGTCAAAACGCTTAACGATGGCCGATGAGGGTTCCGTATCCGCAGAAGATGGGCCGGATTCATAATCCATCGTGTTCTGGCTGTCATCGTGGAAGATCAGAGAAACGTCCTCATCTGCAGCGTTATCTGCTTCATCTTGATCAAGTTCATGAAATCTGGAGGCCTGGAGGGTTGGAGACAAGCGCGGACTAGGTAAGCTTGCATCTTGGGCTGCGAGGGTGTTAATAGGTCGTGGATGATGAAGGGCGCGAATAGATTGTTGGAGAGACTCGTCGGCATCGACATCGGCGAAGGGCTCGGCATCTGCGTCTGCATCGGTAATGGGGGGAGTAGCCACATTACTACTAAAGACGGTATGGGAGTCACTGCCAGAAGGGCTTGATATGTCGAAAAAGGACTGTGATTGACTGGTACTGTGAGACTCGGGGGTCTCGAATGATTCGAGATGTGAATGGCGTAATCTCGGAGGTCGACTGGCGTTGATGGGCATGGGTTCAGTGTCAGGAGTTGCTGGAAAACTACTGCTAGAGGCTCTACCCGGGTTGTGCCTAGAGACTTCTTTACGAGAACCGTGGGTCAAGGCACGACGGAGTTTGTCCGATACGGCGCTGGAAATGTTTGTAGTATAGGCCCGTGCGGCCTGTCTCTGCGAGCTTTTCTTGACAGATCCACCAACAATCGGCGAAGAGGCCCGGGACTCCATCTTATGACCTGCGCGGGAAGATGTTCGTAGATAGGGATTGTTGGATGAGCGTCGGGTGCCCTGAACGTTGGATGGGTCTATTCCCGGCTCTGTCTTGACATCTTGAAAAGATTCGTCACTGGCATATTGCTGGGACTGGAATGTATGCCGGGGGGTTAGTAAGATGTGGAATGTACGCGAGCTAAAGAGGGAACCGGAAATTTAAGAAAAAGAAAGAAAGAAAGAAAAACCTACGTCTTGTTGGTGGTCAATATCATCGTCAACAGGCCAAGATATGCCGCCATAATGGGAGACATTAAATGTAAAATTGGCCAACTCGGGTGGGGTGGGTTTTTGAGCCAGAGGGTACTCCTTGGTGTCGAGGGATGAAAGGGGCCTCGACTCCCTTACGAGGAGAGGTGGGTAAGATCTCTTCGTAGTTGTGGTGGTGGTGATGGTCTTAGTCTCGATGCATTCCGCAACGCCGAATTTGATACGTGGGTGTGGGGAGAGGGTATTGGCGTCGTCGAAATTGACGGATACGGTAGTCTGACTAGACCTCGGCCGGCCAGACTCCATTCTCTCGTCTCCGGACGATGCTGCTATCCTCATAATAACGAACTTTTTATCGTAATAGAAATCATGTATATGTAATACGATTGTTGGGAATTCGTTGAGGGTGAAATTCGTACGGAACAGGGTGTTAAAATAGTCAAATAGGAGCGGACGGAACGATATCAATGAATGGTTGTTATGATTGAAGTTCGGATTATCACAGTCCAAGTCAAGAATAAAACCCAGAGGTAATAAATAGACGAGTCAAGAGACAAGGCCACGAGAATTAAGAAGGGTAATAAATATTCCTTAGGCAAAGGAAGAGAAGAGAATAGAACCCCGAATACAAGGTATTTTAAGGTAGTTAACCGGCGTACTGTGTCAGTATATCTAAACGGTTTGGCTTTCGTGGTATCGTGAAATAAATTGTCGTGATTGTATTTTACACCGGATGGAAAACAAGTTTGCACAAGGATACCGTGGGCAGGCTCCGAGGCAACACGCGTATCGAGCGTATCGACACGGCGTGGGAGATGCGGTAGAAATGATGGTGATTGTGGTGTTGGACGAGAAATCTTAGTAGTGGTTTTTTTCCTTCCTATCTTCGGGTTTGTAAAATGGGCGATGGCAACAAGTGGAATAGTGGAAATAGTGGAATAATCAAATGGTCAGAAATTCGGGAATTTGGAGGGGAGGCGTATAACATGCACCGGTTGTCACTGCATTTTTTTTGGGGCTGGGGCCTACCAAAACGTAACTAGCTCGGGCGTACTAGGTATTGGATACTTTCTCACATAGTACTAGGCAAGTACCTTGCTTGACGGCTGTACTTGCCATTGGAGTGCTGGCCGTTTTCTACTTGCATACAGGGCTAATTAATACGGATTAATCAATAGTTACTACCTACATAGTATCAATGTATTTACCTACGCGTAACTACCCGAATCCGGCCTTGTATATGACAGTCCAAATAAGAAAAATCCTAGGTACACCTCATTCAACCTTGCCTGGCGGAGGTACGCCAACTTTGAATGGCCGTAACACTGCACGTACCTGACACGACTTTTAGCACTGAACGCGCCTCGCACCAGTGGAGGCACAGTCTATTATGTATGTATATATCCAGTAGCTTAAAGATAGAACATCATTGATTCAACATTCAATGTTGAAGCTACATATGCTTGTATGATAGATACATACTACATATGTAGGTATACTAGGTAATTTCTAGTATAACCCGCTTACTAGCAAATACCGTAATAATGTGGCAATTTCAACTAACATTTGAAATCGAATAAAACTCGTTACATGCAAGCTCAGGATAAACATTCCAAAGTCTGGCGCATCTTGGTGCCTAAGATATTTACGGGGTAGGTATCTCAACGTTATTGACTCGCGCCTTTCAATGTTTTCCCTAGGTAATGTTCAATATTCCTCCAGAGCAGGCAGGATTCAATGAAACAATTAATCGATACCTAGGTAATGTACTTAGGTACCTAGGCAGCTAGATGTAAGCACATGTGTATGTACCACTCAAGGCATCCGTATGTAGGTTTCATCAATGTTCTCTAACTTGAACATGACATTGAACTAAGTGAGTGAATACATAGTAGATAGAACAAGATAAACAGACTTCAAGTATTACATATTGGATATAACATGTCAAATGCTATGTATCTATAAAAATGATGGTGCTTACCGCGGCTTAAAGTGGCTGCATTGAATCTGAACTCCCCAAAATAAAAATATACTAAACTAGTACTAGGTACTTATGCATCATCTCCAACGTTGAAGTTCAAATGGGCGTTCCTGCCGAATCCACAACCAAGGTAAGTACACACTACCCGTTGTAAGAAGGGGAAGTGACAATACAGAAGTTCAGGTGATCCTGCACTTTTGCAACTTGAACTAAAAGTACTGGGTACCTAGGTACTTACATAACTTGAAGTACACTCCTTCCCTTTTCTCCTTAAACGATTCTTCTTATCCCTCTTGCTCTTCCTCTTCAATGTTTCTTCTTCCTCCTCTCCCTACTGTAGTTCGAAGCGGCTAGCATCGTGATCGTCACGCATATTATACTTGAATGAAAAAACTTGGTCTTTTCTTTTTCCTTTTTTTTTCTTTCCTTTTTTTCTTTTTTTTATAATTCATATCATCCCTCCATTTGAATATCTTCGTCCCCACCGCCTCCTAATTCGTCACTAAACGATCCCTACACCTACAGTACATATTTGGATGCGTAGATTTAGCATTTGAAATCAAATATAGAAAACAGAAGTGTTTCACTCCAAATAGTTCCAAGAAGTCAAGTGAACACGCAAAGACAGAAGCCCCCCGGGTTTAGCATCATGCAACCCCAAACACAACTCTGCCAATTCACTAACTAAATGTGACCTGATTATGTAGGTAGGTATTCTGCGGCCTGGGGACGCAATATCTGATTTGTTGAATTTGATCATTTGAGTGCCTTATAGATCCATGTTGATGCTCAAAACGAACATCTTGAAAGGCAACGACATAACTCCCTAAGGTACCCAATAAGATCTGCCTACGTGCCTACTACGGTACTGGACATGTACCTACTATGTAGGCAGATATATAGGTGCATATCCACTCCGCTATAGAAACATTCCTCAACCTCCAAACCCCTAAGTCAGGTTCGAGGGAACCATTCTTGCATATTTACCTAACTACCCTAAGGTAGATTTGTCGAGTAGCTGCAAAATATCCCCCTCCCCCCTTAGGTTGAATATGATGGCCAAGACATCGGGGAATCCGTCCCAAATATTGCACAGTAACACCCAGCCGCCACATCCTGCACGCCTTACACAAACATGGGAACCCGAGAGAAGTACACCGTCACGCGTGCGTTTTTTCTGTAGGATAAACCGGCCTGGCATACCAGGTATCTCCAAATACCTATAACAATTGAGAAAACCCAGGCAGCTCCGAGCTTGCCTAAATAAAATGCTGGCCAGCGAGCGTCGGTGCTGGCCCCCGAATCTGCTGATATCGAGGGGCACTATTGGCAAGACATCAACTGTCATTGGCATGACACTTGAATCGAACAACTCCTAACTACTTGATAGGGAATTGGTAAAGTTGAGTCCCCCCCACTCACCGGTGTTGGGTATACAGTCAAAAAAGATGCAGGCTTGAAGAAACATGTTTCATCCCTCTCCGTCGAGGGTCAAGAAAAGGTCGGTGTCGTGAGAGAGACAGACCCCTCGCTTTAGCCATGCGTGGAAACCTATTTCCGCCAATCAAGCGGCGATCTTTTTTTTTCTTTTCTTTGACCACCATGCTGGCATCTCGATGCATCGGAACCGGATACGCTTTGGAGAATATGGGGTATGTCAACGTTATCCGTCAGGAGAGTTACAATCACCCAGTGAGCCCGCATCTGCTGGTACATTTGTTGGTATCCCACCGCCCAATCCGCATCGGAGGCGAAATTTTTGGCATCGGGGGCCAACAGCCGAAGGGGGGGGTCAGCCATCGCGACGATTAACATAGGTACTGATCCGACATAAGCCAAAAAAGCTTACTGAGATAACGGTGCACTTCCTTCACTCGCGTTCATTAGTCACTCAAAAATGGAGTCATCAGCATCGTGAATCTCGAGAAAACCTTTCGGCTGGCTGACTAAAACAGGTGGCCAAACGCGGCTGTGGCTGCTAACGGCAGTAACTGGTTCCGAAGCGAACGCGTTACATTGACGACACTAGCAAAAGAGCCGAAGCAGCTGGCTGAGCTTGGCCCGAATTCCACGTACGGCTTACGGCCGCCGTGGCGAAGCCCATTAGTATGCCTGCTTATGGCTTAGGCCTCATTGACCGGCAAAATGCCACGTCTTCGTCTCTGAGTTTGATGGACTTTCCAGCAGGGAGGTTTTGAATGTCTGTGACAAGAACAGAATAGAAAGCTACGCAATGAACAACTGTGAGTAAGGTATGTAGTCGAAAGCTACGTAGGTAAATGTAGCCTAGACGGTTGACAGCACGGACGCGACATACATGTACATGTATGTTGCCACCGCGTTTTCTCATGATACGTCGTTAGGTATCGTGAATATCGGAAGACGCCTCACCACTTCGATATAGTTATATACAACTGAGCAAGTTGTCTGCTACGTATTTAAGTATTTAGTAAGCATCATTACATATACCACTCAATGTAGAATTGTGTAGAGATGTTTCGCAGGTAGCTCCAAACAATTTAGCGCTCATCGCATCATGCTCCAGATGGCAGCAAACTTGTCATATCATGATTTTTGATGAGATATATACAAACCCACTGCTTCTCGCTAAACAATACACATGACGTCCGTGGTCCGCTTAATAGCATTGCGCAGGTCAAAGTCCTTGTGCGTTATGACGGTTCGAATATCTTATCTTTTCATAATAATTCGTATAGAGTGACTACCTAAACGAAGCAGCCGGGTTCGTGCGCAGAATACAGATATTGCATATCTGTGCAAAGCGATCACGGAGTCGCCATGTATCACCTCCTTCGTTTGTTCGCCGTGTGAAAGGTGATATATCATGGCGGTGCCTTTCTGCAGTCGGGATGAGTACCTATCTCGAGTGGAGCAATCAGCAGCCAGCCGGGGGCAAGTAAGCCAATAGAATCATTCCTATATTAGTTTTCACCGAGCCAAGCCGATGGTTTGAAGCGGCTCGTGTGTTTTCTTGTCTAGTGCTGTTCAGCTGAAAAGATATCAGGTTGTACCGCGGTCTAGTACCGAAGGGAAGGAATTAGTAAGGTAGATAGTAAAATATGCCTGGGGCAGATCCCGTATGTTTTATGACTTGTCAGCCCTTACTATAGATCTAATCACATATCATTATACCTAATTAAAACTGTATCATAAAGTACCTAATTAATATACCAACGACACAATTGAAGATAAACGAATTAATATGCCGTACTACGGGTCCCAGAACCCTCCGCCGCTCCCACCTCGGAGCCCCAGACCAGCCGTGAACACAACCCCTTCCCCTGGCGGCACGCATTGGGGTTACCCACAGCCCCCCTCTGGCCAAAGCCCGGGCCCGGGCTATCCACCATACCATCAACCTCCACCACTCCCTCCGAGGCCGTCTGGGTTCGAGGTCAATACGGCATCCGGTTCATGCACACCGGCACAGCTTTCCCCGAGCTACCCTATTCCACCTCCGCCTCCGGGTCCTCCCCCGGGAATGGCGGCCCCCGATCATGTCGCACACCCTCACCTTAGAGTCGATGTAGCGCGGCCGGGCCAGAATCACGGATACTCACCGGCGCCATCCCCAAGTTCCGGGGCGCAAAGTCCCAATACCTTGATACACCTCCCTCCACCTCCCCCGGGACCACCTCCTCGGAATCCCAATTCGCCAAGCCCGAATGGTCAATACACAATCCCACCATACCAGCCTGTTCCACATGTCCAGGTGTCACCGCAGACGACCTATTCTCCCTCCATATACTCCCAGCCGTTCTATAGCCCGCAAACATCTCCAACGGAAACATCTAGCTCCCCGCCACCTGCGTACACGCCCTTTGAAGAGCCATCTAGCCAGAAACCACCGGTGACTGCAAGTTCTCCATCAGCACTCTCGTCACACCAACAGCCCGCAACGACTCCTACTCCTCAGTCACCTCATCGGCATTCATCTTCTCCGCAGCCTCCGGTCGTATCACCGCAAACAGGGGGGTTAGAGAGCCAGTTTGAATCACTAGCAGTGGAAGCTAAACCAGGCTCAAGCTATCGACCTTCTGTGCCTCAGAAAACCCCCTACGCCCACCAACCCAATTCAAACCAAAACCATCAACATAGCGCACCCGCAGCACCTGCGCCTCCAACCACATCTCCTGCGCCCAATCCTACATACAAAGCCTACCAACGTCCCACAGCAAACACGACCACACCTCAACCCACCATCCCAACTCCAGCTCCAGCCCGTTATGCATCTCCATTACCACCCCCATCATCACCACGGCCACAACCACAACCCCAACCCCAACAACCATCACAACCACCAGCAACATCCTGCATCGACACCCCCTCCCCCTTCCCCACAACCTGGCACTGGCACCCCTCCGCCCCCCTCTTCCTAATCTGCTCGCGATGCCACACCGACCACATCCTCCCCACGCCCCTCGCGACCTCCTTCACGGGTCGCCGCCTCTACACCGACGGCCAGCCCCGCGGCGGATGCCGATTCAGCAAGCCGAGGATGCGGGACCGTCTGTTCCCCGCCGCTCTTAAAAAAGGAGATGGAGAAACGGTAGCCTGGATGCGCGCGCGCTCCGGAATCCCGGACTGCAAGGGTGTCGGCGGCGTTAAGGGGGGCGACGCTTCTTCAGCAGCAGCAGGGGGAGGAGGAGGAGGGGGAGAGATAAACTGGCACCGCGCGAAAAACCACGCGATCCCCGGGCTCGTGGCGTGCGAGGCGTGCTACGAGGACTACATCCTCGCGCACCCGGGGCTCGCGACGAACTTCGAGAGGACGCCGCCGCAGCCGAGGGGCGAGACGTGGGCGTGTGATTTTGCGGTGCCGTTTATTGAGAGGGAGTTTGAGGCTAGAGGGGGGAAGGGCAGCAGCAAGGCTGGCATTAGTTCTGTTACTCACAGCAATGCCAGTGAAGGCGGAAACGGAAACGACTGGGCGGGTTTCGTCGCCGAAGCGAAGGCTAGGCTGTCCATCGCCCCGTGTCCACAGCGCGCCCAGGTCCCGACACATGCGCGGAGGTGGTTCGTGCCAAAGGACAACAACGACGGTGGGCTGCTACGGCTCTGCGCAGCATGCTACTGCGACCAGGTGCTGCACACGGGGCCAGAGGAAGAGGCGAAGTGGCGTGCGGCCTCGGAGCCCACGCCAGGGACTTACACGCGGTGTAGCATGGGCGTCTTCAGCATCAAGATCGCTCTAGCGCGTGCGCACGAGACCAAGGACTTCGCGGCATTCTGGACAGCTATGCGCAAGCTCGCGCGCGAGAAACCCTGCGACGACGAGGGCATTGCCGACGGCAGCGGCTGGTTCTCGTTGCCCTCGGACCCGGATAACTTTGGCGTGTGCGCCGGGTGCTACGTGGGGATGCTGGAGCCGCTGGGGGTATCGCGCTTCTTCGTCGCGAAGCGGCTGGCCCAGCCACCGGGCGTCAGGTGGCGCTGCGCATTCAACATGGCGCACCCGCGCTTCCGGCCGTTCGTGCAGCGGCTGCTGGAGCTGTACTATACCCACGACGCGACGTCGTTGGAGCGGTACGCTGGGGTATACGCGTCGATACCGCCGTGTCCGCGCGATGAGGACGCGAAGGGTGGGCGCTGGTACGGGTGGGTGGACTGCACGATATGTCCAGAATGCTATCACGAGTTTGCGCGGCACGGGGCGCTGGCGGCGAAGATGGAGTTGGAAAATGCGGTGCTGGAGACTAACGCGATGTGCGAGATGTACAGTCCGCGCATGCGCAAGCTGTACAGGGAGTGCAGCGAATCCTCGCCGGCCGACCCGAAACCTTTACTTGCGTTCTCGGTGCAGAGGCGGCGGGTGTGGGTGGAGACCGTCCCGCAGATAAAGATGATACTGTTCCGGGCCAAGTTGGGGGTAAACCAGCAGCAGTTTTTGAATACCACAAGTACGTTCTATAACACGATGGGCATGGTGGAGCAGACCTTGTACGGGAATACGCACACGTACGGCATGGCTGGTGTTGGACACGGCTACGCGAATATGAATCTACTGCAAGGTGCTATGTATAATCAACAAGCTATGGGAATCGGTACGACTGCTGCCGGGCCCGGTTCGGTGATGATAGTCGGACAGCTAGAACAAAAGTGGAGGGCTGTTGAGTGATCACTACGTATTTGGCAATATCGAATATGTATATATGTATTAGGCACCTAATAGATGTTAACTAGTTAGTACTACTTATCGTGAAGCGATATTTGAGAGTAATGATCAACTGCTTGGGAGTTTTCGGTTTGCTCTTATTGGGAAGTGAAACTCTGTATCGTGCATCTTCCATGCTGACATCTGCTTGAATGCAACGAAGCTGATGAGCATCTTGGCTCAAACGCACCGTCGTGGAGACTTGTACATAAGTGAATACCAAGCCTGAAGATCGAAATATTGATATTGAAGTTCTACATTTTAGTATCCATAGTCCAAGAGTATTTCAATCGGTAGAGTCCAGACTTTTGTTCTTTACGACGACATAGTATATTTGCGATGGGATCTTGTCGCTTGAATGCGATGCCAAAGTCGTAATATAGGCTGGCGATATTAAACTAAAGCTTAGTCTGCTCCCCGGATATTCATTCGCGCCGTCTTTCAGATATGAAACTTGCCCCTAAAAAGAAAAGTTAGGGTGAGCATGGAACTATTCCAAGGTCTAGAATATTTGTTCCACAGGACCGGTGCTAGCGCTAGGGTTGCCAAGTCCAAAATAGATCCGGTAAAAAGGAAGATCTATTTAGGTTAGTGAGGTTCTGGGCGGCTAGGCCTAGTGTAGAGAACTCGGGGTATCTTTGCGGGTGGAGTTAGAGGTTGAAGCTTGGATTGCCTCATTATTACTGTTGACTCTGTTATGTAGAGATGAGAGAAGAGAAAGAAAAAGGTTCATCATTCAACATTGATATTGATAGAGCAATCACATGCTTACATAACAATAGGATTACACGTGTATGCACCTAGGTTAGGCATATCTGCAACATGACGCACGTAAAGATTCCGTCAAACACTGTAATAATAAAAATCTTACTTACAGTACCCTATGTGCGAAGTACATGTAGGTACTATGTAGTAGGATGGAAGGAAAGATGGTTGATATTGTCCGGCATTTAATAACAGGAACCCTGTTTTCCCGTCCTAATTAACCAGGATGTAGGTAATCGATAGTATCAGATTTATGAAATAGGCAGGTAGGCAGAAGAATTACCAACGTTGTCCTTGTATGATGTCCACAAGGTTCAATTGTCTACAATGGTACTACTATGCCGTACAGTAGGTTAATTAATACATATCTCTAACGAAAACTTACTTTTTACATACATTTCCCTCATTACAGATTCCTTCCGCTTATTTGCTTGGCAACGGAATGAAGGGTAACATACTAATATGTACTGTAGGTACAATGTGAACCGAACGAGTTCGGATTAGTTAGTCCTCTCTGGTCCCGAAACTCGGTCTCATTCCATCAAGTTTGATTCGCTTATCTTCACATGTGGCCAACTACTACATACACATACATACATACCTACCTACTAGGTTAGGAACATAGGTCCTAGGTATGCAGCATGTAAAATGATATCTAGATGATATCTGTTTCTCTCCCTCTCTCTTTAGCATCAAAAAAACAAACGCGGATATCGGAAGAGACGCTGGCTGTCTCACGATTTTAGAGTACTGTGCTCGGCTAGAGCCGCCTTGCTTCATCTTACCTTACATACAGACATACGTAAGACAACAAGATTGAAGATCTCGAAAGAGCATTCTCATCTTTCATAGGTCGAGGCGAGTCGTACAAGACACATCATCTCTGTACCAGATCAAGTCCGTGGTTTTACATATACATACCTAGGTACCCAATTGGTCCAAACCGTACAGCTACACCATCCCTTCCAGGCTGCCATATATGGTTCGTGGCGTACATGTGGAGCGGCTGAGACGTGAGGGTGACGACCTGTCCCAGCCCAGGAGATAAATCATTAAATGAGATGCGGCGAGGTATTATACATACATAATTAAATCCACATGTCGACCTCTCTCCAGCCCAGTTCGGGGACTTGCCCACGAATTATGACACCGCAACATCAATCGTCAATGTCGCTGTTCACCCCCTCATTGTCGATACAGCACTGGCTCGGCAAGGTCAGCACATCTAAGCATTCAACTAGCCATCACGAGTGGAGTATCTGGGAACGTGACGAGAAGACCGACTGTGTTTCCAGTCGCAAGCGATTGAGGGCTAGGGCCAAACGTGCAAATTCCTGTTCCGTACTGTCGCCCTCCCAAAACATGCAAAGGCTGCTATTGCGCGTCCAGGAATACAGTCGTTGCGTTATGGCACCAGTGGAAACGAATAGAAGTGAAAGGCATCAGTCCAAAGGGTCTCTCGAGTCTCTCCTAAAAGGCCATGTCTACCTCGAAGAGCTACCGCCAGATATCGAACCTATCAAAGGGTTATTGGAGAAATACAGTGGCGTTCGCGCTAGGGAAGTCGACAGGCTTATTTACGACATTGTATGTGCAACGTTCTTTATCTTGTACTAATCTAGATTATCAAATTCTTACAATCAAGTCTAGCGAGAACGTTTATGGGAGATATACCCCTTCGCCTGCGTCGGCCACTTCCGTTTTCTCTCTCTCAAGTTTACATTAGATCCACCATACCAAATAGCGCTGAACCGTCTCCTCGCGCCTAGATCCAAGGCCACTTTCCTCGACGTTGGCTGTTGCGTGGGACAAGTACTACGACAGCTTGCGTATGATGGCGTCGACTCCTCGCGGCTGTACGGAACCGATATAGAGCCTCGATTTCTGGAAGCAGGTTATGACTTATTCAGAGACCGGGGCAGGTTCAAGGCTACGTTTGTAATTGGGGATATGCTGAGCCAAGGCGATTCGGGTAGTAACTACGGGGGGCTGAATAGGCTCCATGGGAGGATGAACATCATTCACGCCACGAGTTTTTTTCATCTATTCTCATGGGAGAATCAAATTCTTGCCGCCCAACGCATGGTCCGATTCCTCGACCCTTCCGATCCGGACGTCATGATTTTCGGGCGTCATGTTGGGACGACGACCCCTGGCGACAGAAACAGCGCAAAGGCATTCCTTCACAACTCTGCTAGCTGGCAAGAGTTGTGGGATGAGGTCGGTAAGATGACTGGGACTAAATGGCGTACCGAAATAGACGACATACAGGAACCTGAGATGCATGCGGAGGGTGGTAGCATGGACGAGACTCTTCGGCGCATACGATTCGGCGTTTTCCGGGCTTGAGCTGTGGATTTGCATTTACTTGACACTTATCTATACGGACCCATCGGATGGAGAAATATTGCATACATGCATTAGCGACGGAAATGGATTTTTTACAAAATAAAGAAGAAAGTCAGGTGCATTTATATCTAGAGGTATCACTGCGCGACAGTAGGTAGCATTTTCTAGAGGCGTATTAGAGCACAGCGAAGGGATTCGTGTTTATCATGGGCTACTTTCTGATAGCAATGCATTATTACCACCACTACAGCAGGTGCTTACTCCTTTGAAATAATGAATAATTGTGTTGTTTTAATCATCACCCAGGCTCTCCTCCACTGTGACAGGATCCCCTCGTAGGGCTATTATTCGGGATAAGCTACTCAGAGTAGCGAAGACGAGAACATCGTGAGAACATCGTAAGAACACCTTTCTAGAGTACTAGCCTACTTCAGTAGGTAGACAGCATATGGAACCACCACATAACTATTAATCAACACCCCCTTTTCTCGCCATCCTCCTCCTCCTTTCATCCTCCCCCCCCTCTCTCTCCCACCTCCCAGCCCACCAAGCAAGCACGCACCTAAGCGGCCACATACCTACTTTGCTTGCTCCACTGATCGATGGCATCACCTATCTCCATCTCTGTTCTCTTCGCCGCAGCCAGCCCTCTTAGCTGTGCTCACCCCACCTACACCTACCTACCTACGCCTACGTCTACGGCGCGCATGCGAGAGGATCTCCCACAGGGCGTCGCGGTGCTCGATGATGGCGCGGCGCCGCTCCCACACGTCCTGCGGCACCTCGTGGAAGGTGGCCGGGTCGTTGCCGGCCCAGCGGTAGAGGGCGGCTGTGTAGCGTTTCTTGGACTCGTGGAGGGAGGCGCGGAAGGAGGCGCTGTTTTTTTTTTTTTTTTTAATACGGTAGGCTGGTTAATGGGGAGACTTGTGGAGAGAGAAGGAAAGGGGGAAGAGGGGAAGGAGGGAGAGGGAGGGGGAGAGGGAGACAGGGCAAGGGCAAGGGCATTGGGAGAAGTGGAAGTAACACATACAGCTGGCGTTCCTCGCCGAGACCCTTGGGGTCGAGAGGTCGCACCGCTTTGTGGTAGGTGCCTTCGAAAGGGGTGGTAGACATGGTGGCTCAATTGATCTGGCACACGTTCTTCGTTAGTATCTACTTAGGTATCCCTCCAATGCTTCCGCGGTGCCGGTTACGAGGAGAAGGCGACGACGAGGTTGGATGTCTGGTTCGCTTACAAGAAAGAGTATGTATTGTACGTGTGTTGGGAGTAGGTACCTAGGTGCTTCTCGTGGACTTGTACGTAAATGGTACGCCTCTGTCTGTTCACGGCCGTTTGGTTCAATCAAGGTGTAGCGGTTTTTTTTTTTTTGTGCGAAGAAGAAGAAGCGTGAAATAAGAAAAGTTGAAGAGTGTTGAACGGTAGAAAGATATATAAGTAGGTAGGTGTCGAGACGCGTTCACCCTCAGGCATCAAGATCGAGTCCACGACTAACTACCCGCTACCAGCTGAGCCCCTGGACGGAACCGAGAAAATTGAAGCAGAAGCGATCATTGTGCTTGCTGGGCACCCAACGCTGTGCTGTTGGTGTGGATGGAATGGTTTATTGAATAATCAAACTGGCCGTTACGCATCGGACCGTACAAGCATGTCCACAAGATGTCCTGCGATATTTCTTGTTACAACCCATGACAAGCAACGCTCTTAGAGTAAAAGAGAGCAAAAAGGCCCATCGAAGAATTTGGCATCATGAATAACATGTCTACAAAGCTGGCAAGTGCAAGTGTTTGACAAGGTCTTTGTGGCAATATATACAGTCACCACAAGTTGTTTGCTGCAACACCTCAAAGAGGACAATAATGAGTAATAACGGCAGTTGCAATGGGATTAAAATGTAGATACATGCTCAAAATGCTGGACGCCATCGAATGCGAATATAATGCATGCAGTACAATACAATGCTGTTGAGGCCGTCTTCCACGAGACACAAAATCACCATATCCGTTTGGCCACCATCTCATACCTCATCACCTTTGACAGCCCATCATCACCCGCACCCTTCTCCTTAAACTTCTCCTCTCCTTTACGTTCCCGTTCCCGCATCTTCTTCAATCCCTCCTTATCGTCATCGTACAGCCATCGCCTGCGGTCATCACCTATCTCCACCGTGCCCCATGAACCGATGCGTTTTCCCGGCTGCGCGTAATTCTCGCGGTCAGCCTTGCCGGCAGCTACGGCGTGCTCCTTAAGCTTCATCGCAGCGTACCGTCTCCTGGACCATCGCAATAGAGCCATACCTAAGAGAAGTTTTACAATGAGGAGTACAAACCAGGCGAGGATGAAGAATACCACCATGGTTAGTAGGGCAATTGCGTCATCTGAAGAAAAAGTCCAAAATGGCCTGTCGTGGGGTGAGCCGTATGGATAACCGTATACTGCTCGGCCTAGGGCGTTCCTAAGCAGTGTGTCAAGGTGTTCTAGCGCAGCGATCATTGCTGGCGAGGATGGGGTAGAAGATTCCACCGAAAGCTCAGTAGTCGAGGTGGGAATCGGGGGATTAAGGTGTGTGGCGAGAAACATGTGATACACCTGTATGGAGGCCCGAATGAAGAGACAAGACAGCGGCAACAACGGCAAACCCAACCTCCGAGTGAGCGAGGGCGCAGAGAAAGCCTAAAAATCATGAGATACTGACACCAAAAAGAGCTGGGTGGAATAAGGGGGCTTACATTAGTATAGTAATCCTTGCATAGGATATCCAGCATCCTACTATAGAGCGTGGGTTTGACGTTGTTGAACTTGTTAATATATCCATGCTTGATCCAATCGACTATCATCTCGATACCTATGACAACAAGGAAGGGCGAGAGCACTTCACCGGAGAGTAACCAGGATGGGATCACGGTGAAACTGTCCGGTATGCTCGAGCTGGTATGAAGCGGACCAGGCTTCGAGGCGCCGTCCATGTCACTTCCAGCTCCTAGTACGGATAGCCCCCCTACCTCTACCACGTTTCTCATGCCAATGATCAATAATATGATCCATAGTTGAAAGCGTTCAACCACGTCTGAGCAAGTAAGCTGAAATAAATTCTCCTTTTCAATTCTCTTGAACACGCTCCCCTTGATTTCGACGAACTGATTCGATATGAGGAGAGTGAGTAGGGAGTTTGAGTAAGAGTTTACGGCAACATTTAGTGTGATGACTTGGTAGAATAAACACATGGTATGAGCGACGTTGTATATGAGCGAGAGGATGAACATGCCAAAGGGCAAGAGAACCTTAGACCGTCCCGAGCTATTTCTAGAAAGCGTCTCAGAGCTGAACAGACACTCTAGAATGTCCTGACCAACAGCAGACAGGAGTCGATCAGCTACCTCGAGGATGTTGTAGATTACATAGAGCTTCATCGAGGACTGGGCGCGGATAAAGTGATACATTCGGCTTGCGTCGAGGTTCATTAATGCCAAGGAGCTGCAGATGAGAACGAAGCCTTGGAGAAGATCGGCTTTGTGATAAGATGTCAAATTGGAAGGTACCGACTTCGTTCTACGATGCCGGGAACCACCAGGTCTTGGCATGGGATGCTTCGGTGGATGGAACACACCGTTGCCATTAAGTCGAGGCGTGTCTGCCGTAGACATACCCACTGCTCCAGATGAAGTGCGATGTCGCGTAGTCCCATTTTGCTGAGCGGCAGAGCTATTATCCCTCGCTCGGCTCTGGCTTCTCTCGGACTCGCTAGCGGCCAGACTACTCTCAGATCTATTTCGCGATGTGCCACGACCTCTTCTTGCTCTTTGCCAAAGTCGCCATGTGCCTTGCCAAACGTAACCAACAGTCCATTTCGCTTCTTTCCATACTACGTACGCCCACCATTTTACAAGCACGCCGAGTGCGATGAGAAATCGCAAGGGCAATATCGTAAAGGTATATAGCCATGCGTCGAAACAAGCTAGAGCACCAAAACCCAGAACGTATTCAAGGTGAGGTATCAAGTAAAACGCATTTAGTAACCTCTCGAATTTGACTGCGCTGGATTCATATGGTATATCGGTGGCATGAGAATGGTGGATATAGAGAGGACTGGGCCGTTGACCAGCTAATTCGAGTTGAAGATGGGTAGGGAGGGACATGGGCGGAAGGGGTATGGTAGGAACTATGGGAGATGGTGGCGATGGATCGGCTCGGTCTGGTTTTGGGGGAGGTGGGGGAGGCTGAGATGGAATATTCAACGGGTTTAAGGGTAGCGGGCGAGGAAGAGGATTGAAGGAGTTCCTTCTCGTAGAATTCGATTCCGTTACAGGAAGCCCTGTCGTTGATCTCCTATTGATAGGAGGGGTGGAAAGTGTTCGCGACGCAGAAGGTCGCCTGAAGTCGCCTGCGGTTTTTGGAGTCTCATTGCGGTTCGGTGTGGATGGCCGCTCCTTTTCAGCAGTAGGTGTCCGGACAACACTCCGTAGTTGCTCGGCCATAGTGGGACGGGACCCCGACTCTATAATGCCAGCAGACATGGGATATTCGGCGCCATTGGGCTTACGATGAGAGGGTTGTGGTGGGACAACCGCGATCGGTAGCGAGTCGGGCGACGACGTTAATTCTTGCATTTGGGAAGCTGAGAGTTTCCTAACGCTCTCGTGGCTGGGTTTCTTTGTCGCTGACTTCGAGGTCGATTGCGTACGGGGTTTAACTACAGCGATGGTATCGGTAGGTCGACTCGTGATCGGCTTGTCTGGGATAATGGAGGACTGTCCGTTGACACCACCGTTTTTGTTGGTGCCGTTGCTGTTGCCGCTGCCGCTGCCGCTACCGCCACCGTTACTGTTACTCGACGTTCCATCTATTGAATACACTTGGCCATTCCCGTTGCTGTTGCTCGTATTATTTCTGCTTGTATTACTTGTATCTTCAAAAGTATCGCGTTCCTCATAATTGGGTGTAACAGGAGTCGAGGCGGTGATCTCGAGAGTAGGGAAAGATTCAATGGAATGAATGGATGGGGTTGGAGTTGGACAATCGTTGATTGCTTTGACTATGGAATTATCCCGAGACTGGTCCTTTCTCTCTAAGCTCCTGCCACATCTTTCATCAATCCCTTCCCCTTCTTTCTGCGAACTCGGGCCCGGCGGGTCTGTGGGATCGACATGGCGAATGCCATTAATATGATCGTCAACACTTGAATCTCGCATAGCTAATTTGGAAATGAAGGAAATAACGTTGTTTTGCGGAAGCCCATGCTCTCCGCGATCATTATTTGCCGTCAAAACGAGAAATGCTTATTGTATCTCGGTATAATATGAAAAGCTTTAGGAGACAATAGGGACAATGTGGTTGTAAGAGGAAGAATCGATAAAGAGGCCAAGTTGATCAAAGTCCGCTAAATTCCACTAATTCCACTAATCTTAATTATCCCACAGGGTCTAGAACCTTATACCTTATCGGCTAACGGTGTAATACAGCCTTGCACCTGCCTTGCAGTGTACCTACATGCAGTTAATTGCCTTTGAACGCCAACTATTGTTCATTGGCCGCCCGAAAATAAAAATAGCACAGACATCTGCGGGCCTAGCCGTGCGATACGTCATAGGTAGCCCTGGAGGTATCATTTATACAATACCAGAAGATAGATAAACCCAAGTACCCCCCTGTAAATCACCTCAAACTCCCCCCATTTTAGGCCTAATGTCCCGCTATAAAGCCCACCCAAAATGGGGCTCGATCACACGAAAATCCGGAGTTTAGCGAGCTGTAATTGGCCACATGCTTTACAGAAGCCCACCTGATTATTTAAACTTTCAAGTCTTATTTTTTAAGTTTTGCTAGCCCAAGCTTCAAAGCTTCAATCTGCCTAAAACCACATAATCCATCATCAACCCAAGCTGCCGCTTTAATACATCCTATATCATTAGAATCGCCTCAATTAGACCTTCCAAATAATATATGTTTCAGATTGATGCAATATCTAAATCTAAAATTATTTAAATTTAAAGATTAAAAAACACCTGAAAAAAGATACATCTGTAATCAGAACCTAGATCACGTGATAACCCTCGGCTAACGTTAAAAATACTTGCTTCATTCAACCCCAAATAACTTCGCAACCACCAGTCGCGTTTCTTTAAAACATATATCATTTAGAAGCGCCGATTGAGGCGGTTCTAATAATACTGGTTGCATTAAAATACATCCATTAAAGGAAAAGTTATTAAGGATAATATGTTAGAGGCTAGCTGGAAAGCCCAGACCAACGCTATATACTAGGATGCGGATAAGCCTCCGATAGCAATTTGTTTTTAATCAATTAATAATTAAATAAGAATTAATTAAGGATTGATTTATAATTAATTACAAATCAATTAATAATTAATTAAATTAAAATAAAAATATATAGAATACTAAACTTAAAATTATTTTTTAAAGTTATATTTATAATTAATTAATAATTAATTATGATTTTTTCGTTTTTGAAAAAATAAACCTTAAGAGACAAAAAGTTAAACCCAAGTGCCAAAAAAAACAGTTGAGCCCAAGTGCCTGTCCGAATGAGGTATAGTCGTCGTCCCAAAATGGGGGGAGTTTGAGGTGATCAACAGGGGGGCACTTGGGTTCATCTACATCCTCGTACAATACAAGTACTACTTACCTACCTGGTACCTGTCCCAACCACCAAACTTTTTACAACATTGAATATCATCATCTCCAAGTTTGAAGCTGTGATTATTCGTAGATCGGCCAGCAAGGAGCTTAAATTGCTGTTTTATTTAATGGCATTGTGTCGAGTTTATCTAGGACGTCTCGTGTCGTTAAGCATCACTCCTTGCTTTCTATACTGATGATATAAACGAGAGACATCTAATGAGAGATCAATCATTCACCTTCTGGCGTAGCGGTATGTTCTGACAGATGCCATCTAATTGATCATATACTAGGCAAGCAAATGTCTTTAAATAATTACAACTCTAGCAGCCTTGTCCCTGCGGCTGGACAGTTTTCGCATTCGCTGTCGTGAAGTAGGATTCAATGGGGCGCAGTCCGAGCTACGCAGTTAGGAGCAAAGTACGGGGCAAGAAACCGACCTGGCCAATAATCGCGGCTCATATCGCTGCCAACATCTTTAGATCTTCATCTCGGAGTAAATCCCGACCTCAGATCGCTTTAATCTGCATAAGACGGTTCCTGGTTGCTATAGATAGTATCCGCAATTCACAGCCAACTTGCAATTTGATGCCTCAGTATTTCAGCTCTTCCTCCGCCTCCTTACAATCTGTCTCCGGGGAACTTTTCCTAACCCTTAGGGACTTGACCTTTGGTGGCTTAGTTGTAATGGACTTAGCAATTAGGCAGCCCTATAATCATACTTGGCCAGCACATTCGCACTTGGCTCCATCTTGCTTTGCTAATGGTACTAGCTTCTCGTCCAGAATTGACATTATATATTGCGCTGCCTAATCAAATAAACATGGCGAAGGTTGGCATATATAGAGGCATGGCCATCGATCTGGCTTCACTTAATGACAGCTTATTACGACCTCCCAGCTAACTGTCTTATCACAAAATGTATTCTCGGCCAAGTATATCCAGGAGCATCCTGCTGGCGCTTGCAGCTGGTAACACAGCTCTAGCTGCCCTCAACGGACATTGCCCTCCTCTTGGACCCGTCCTACCTGCTCCCATCAATCCTTCGACTCATGAGCCGGTCAAATCAGCTGTACAGAACGTTACCGATGACCTCCAAGATCTCGTTGCGGATCTTGATTCCACCGGCATATCCATCGCGGTCAAGTCGATACACGAAGCCAACCAACTACTAGAGCTTCATCACACACCCAGTATTTTAAACCCTAATGGAACGAGTGTTATTACTTCAGAGAGTGTCTACCGACTCGGAAGTATATCCAAAATCTTTGCAGTTCTCTCTTTATTACAACATAGCAACGTCAAGCTAGATGATCCCATCACGGACTACGTTCCCGAGCTGCTTGAACTCAGGGGCGAGACAGACGAGGTTGATGATATCACTACTGTTCGATGGAATGAAGTAACTCTCGGGTCCCTCGCCTCGCACATGAGTGGAATTAGCACAGACCGTAAGCGAATACCGCAATCTCATTGTATACCTATCCATACTAATCGTTACTAGTCGTCAGCGATCTAGCTACCGTTCCGGCAGACTGGACCAAAGTCGGCTTTCCCACCTTAGACTCAAGCTCGAAAACTGGATGTGCCGGCGTGCTGGGTCTTCCCGCTTGCAACCGAACTCAGTTCTTCAGAGACTTTGGCAAGCGTCATCCTGTATACGCCCCGTTTACCAACCCGGTCTACTCCAACGTTGCAAGCGTCATTCTCGGCTTCGCTGTTGAGGCCATCACCAATACAACCTACGACAATTACGTCAAGCAGGCGATTTTCACGCCCCTGGGTATGATGAACACGACCATCTTTAACGGCCCGGAGAAGAACGCGTGGGGCTTCATTCCCGTCAACGAGACTTGGTGGGGCAGCACCTTGGGATACGAGGACATGTAAGTACCTATCTACTAAGACCGATCAGACATCGAATATATGACTAACCAATACATATACAGTGCGGGCGGTTTCTACTCCAACACACGCGACCTCCTATCCTTCGGCACCGGCATCCTCAACTCCACCGTACTAGACGCAGCCAAAACCCGCAAATGGATGAAACCCGCCTCCTCCACCTCCTCCTCGGGCCTACTCATGGGCGGACCCTGGGAGATCCTCCGCTCGAGCACCATTACAAAGGACAAGCGCCTCATCGAGCTCTACTGCAAGGCCGGTAACTTAAACACCTACAACAACATGCTGTGCCTCATCCCCGACTACGGCCTCGTCATCACCATCCTCTCCGGCGGCCCGCAGTCCAACGCCGACCTCGTCGACACCGCCCTCACGAAGGTCGTGCAGGGCCTGCTCCCCGCCATCGAGGACGCGGGCAAGGCCGAGGCTAGGCCCAAGTTCGCCGGGATCTACGCGGATGCAGCTACGAACTCCTCCGTAACGCTCTCCCTCGCCGACAGCGACGACGCGCCCGGCATCGCAGTCTCCCGCTGGCTCGTCCGCGGCGTCGACGTCATAGAGAACTACGCCAGCTTCGCGGCGCTCTCGAGCAGCCCCAAGGACCGCCCCGTCTCCGTGCGCCTGTACCCCACGAACCTGCGCGCTCCATCTTGCGGCAAAGTCGCCTGGCGGGCGGTCTTCGATGTCGGGACGCCCGAGGAGATCGCGACGAAGGAGGCGAACTCGTTTTGGCCGGATGCGGGGTGCCATACTTGGGGCTCGATGGATAGGCTTACGTATGGGTTTCGGTCGATGGATGAGTTTGTGTTTGAGCTTGGTGTGGAGGGGGATGGGGAGGGGGAGGCGACGGGGGTGGAGTTGAGGGCTTTTAGGGTGGTGTTGAAGAGAGAGGGTTAGATTTTACAAGGGAGGGCATGAAGAAAATAGGGGATGGGAGGAGTGTTGGTATAAAGGTGGCATTTATGAGTCCTGAGTGTTAGTGTAATGTGTTAGTATAATGTATATATTGGTGATCACCTCATGCTTGCACATATATAACAACTGTGTTGTATTGACCTAGGTAGGTTAGGTGTTGTATCATTTGCCAGACAAGATGTCTTGCCTACCTACCTAGGTAGAGTTACTGAACAGTTCACGTATGCGTTGGGAGCCCAGGGAAACACACAAACTCTCAATATCAATCAATCAATCACTTAACGGATCATTCAATCTGCAAATAACAAGACTTTTATTACCATTCAAACAGCTAAAACAGGTAAACAGCTCTAGATAAACTTATCAGAGCACCTCCCATCCCTATTAATCAGTCGAGTTTGTTTTTTGTTTAGAGCATTTGGACTCCCCCCTTTTCATTCTGTCGAGAATCTGAAGAGATTCCCGACATACCTAGTCTTGTTTTTTTCATGGCGAGCTGCGTTTACTTCGCAGCTGCCTTCTCCTTACTCTCCGTAGTCGCCTGAGCCTTTCCCGTCACAGCAGTCTTCTTCGCGGGGGCCTTTGCGGCGGGACCCTTCGCGGCGCCGGGAGCCCCAGCCTTAGCACCACCCTTCGCGTGGTGCTTCTTCGTCGACGGCAGCACGATCGTCTCGACCTCCACCGGGCGCTTCATCGCCATCGCATCCTTGAGCGTCTGCATGAAGCCCGAGCGGCGCGCGATTCCCAGCAGAGCGTTGCGCTCGCTGCCCTCCAGAAAAACACGCTTAGCGTTCTCCTGGTCCCAGACAGCGTAGGACCCGAACACAGTGACCAGCTCCTTGAGATCGAGCATCCGCGGCGCCTGCAGAATCACCTTGAGCAGCGTGATGCGGCTGCCAGCGCCCAGCCCCGGCTTGCCGAGGTAGTACTTGATCTGGGACTTGGCGTTCTTCATGAGCTGGTCCTTGGTGGGCGTGGGGCTCAGCTGGCTCTGGCGCGACTGCGCGAGCGCCTTCTGCGCCTTCTCCTTGAGCCGCTTCTCGATGCTGCGCTCGTAGTTGCTCGCGATGTAGAGCTGGCGCTCGGCGCCGCGCAGCTCGCCCTTGCTCGCCTGGCTCTTCAGCTGGCAGCCGTAGCACGCGTAGTCGCGCGTCGCGGACTCGTAGGCGATCGAGGTCATGTGGAACTCGGCCTCCGTGTGCGGGTGGAAGAGGCAGAACTTGGAGTTCTCGCGCCAGAGGAGGTGCTGGTGCCCGCAGATGAAGTTGCAGCTGTTGACGACGGAGCAGTTGCGGCACATTTTGGCGGTTTGGTTTGTTACCGGTGATAAACTTTGGTTTTTTGAGAGGTTATCGGGGGTGTGGTGATTTGTGAGTATGCGAAGATGCGCGAGATTGTGTATGCTTGAGACTAGGCTGGAAGGCTGTTGGACTGTTTGGGTTGGCTCGGAGTAAGAGACTGTTGATTGCTGGTGCTGGGAGAATTCTGTTTGGGAAGTTGTGGTAGTTGGTAGATGTTCCAGTAGGTATATATAGGAAATAATCTACAGTATGGCCTCGTGGTTAAGGAACAATGGGATTGATCCCTAGTAATTCCATTGTTCAGAAGCACTGTTTGAATAACAAAACATAGAAAGGGAAGGGGCTATGGAGGTCTATTAGTACTGTAGGCATATCGACCTCTTCATGAAGGGGGATGTACATTAGGTACCTTGCAGTCGAAATACGACACTGAACAAAGATGAAGCTTGGGCCAAAGTGCCCAGGTGGACTACCCAGTATCATGGTGGTCAAAAGGGGGCTCTGACAAAGGGATTTAGGGATGCTTCTTGTGAGTATTTGAATGGTTTGTGACTATAGAAATGCAGCCTTTTGTGGTGGTATGCATGATTACAACAGATTGTTGAGCACAATGTCTTCGTCACAGTTGTTTGGGAGAAAACATTTGGACTCCATGATTTCATTCCTATCTGTGCTGGCGAACAACTCGGGGTCAGCAGTTTGACATTTCCTTCTGGACGTGTGCGACATTGTAGATTTTGTAAATAGCATCACTCGTTACGAAACTACCTTGCCAATCACAAACCCCCTTATAAGTAATATAACGGTGGTTCACAAGACAGGTGCTATTCTGAATGTATGGCATATATTCATTCTCCTATACTTCTTTGTTGAGTTTAGATTTATAGGGGAACCATGAGAGTGCCGGAGAGTACACAAAGTACATATGTAACTGTACGACGACACCATACTTGGAGGGTGCTTCAATCAACCACTGGTATAAGTATCGCACCCCTTTGTTTAGGTAAATCAGGAGGGTTTCATTTCTTAGCTGCTACCACCTACTTGGGTACTTCACACTAGCACAGATAAATCTAACCTACAATGTAGCATCCGCACTGTGTCTAGTTCGTTATAGGCAAAAAATGTCTCGTTTGTGACTCATTTTATTAGTGAGCACTTGTTAATATATATATCTCAGTAGCACTAACTTTTCATAGCACAGTTAAAAAGCTCTGTGGCGCAGCGGAAGCGCGCCGGGCTCATAACCCGGAGGTCCTCCGATCGAAACGGAGCAGAGCTATGTGTTAAGTGGTTCTTTCTTTTTTTTTTTTCCTTACGGATCCCTTTTTTTCTTTCTTCTTTTTCCCATTTCCCTTTTCTAAATCTCAAGGTACATACTACTAGGTAGTTACTAGTAGTAGCATAAAATTTATTATCCCCTTTTAATGCATTCCCAAGTTAGTTACTGATAAAATAAATATGCCTATATGAATATTCAGTACATACATATTATATATAGCCGTAGATTGGATCTCTACTGAGAGGCGACTTTCCATCACCCCCTTTACGGTAATTATCTCTACTATTCTGGACGTTGATTCGTGGCTATAATGGTTAGGTACGTACTATATGTACTTACCTCCAGGGCTATTACACATGTAGACCAGCTGTGCATCTTGCAGCAAATAGATGCAAAAGATGCGTCGCCAAACACCAATCATGAGTGCAGAACAAAACTAGAAAGATAACAATCGCCGGGATATGCTAGTTATTCCCTCTAGTCGGCGTATGCTGCCACCTATTGATGCCCATCTAGTCAGCCATGTTGGCGATCCTTCCCCGCAGAGCGAAGTACTATGTAATAGTCGTGAGCGAGTGATGATGACGCGATTATAATTCCTATGGTGATATATCCTCGAAATCATGTAATTTGGAGGTTTGTATTGCTTCCTTTATTCGTATAAGAACCACTTGTTGTCGAGAACTCCTAAAAGGTTCGGTCACCAACATCTACAATACTTACCTCCCTACCTACCTACTTACCTACCTACACTACCTACACTACCTACACTACCTACACTACCACGGCACACCCTTTCAGTCTATTACCAAACATGGCTTCCCCAATCCAAGACAACTTCGTCAAGAAGAACGCAGAGTATGCTAGCAAATTCACCCAAGGTGACCTAGCTCTCCCACCTGCCAAGCAGTACCTAATCTGTAAGTCCAGCGACACTTTGGAGAAGCCAAGCGCAGAAGGATCGCGATGACAAGAAAAGAAGCTAACCGCACCCTCAGTAACCTGCATGGACGCGCGCATCGACCCAGCAGCCGCCTTCGGCATCGACCTCGGCGACGCGCACGTCATCCGCAACGCCGGCGCCAGCGCCCGCGACGGCCAGCGCTCCATCATCATCTCGGAGCAGCTGCTCGGCACCAAGGAGATCATCCTCGTCAAGCACACCGGCTGCGGCATGCTGACCTTCACCAACGACGACGCGCACGGCCTCGTCACGAAGAATCTCGGGCCCGGCGCCGCGGCGGAGATCGCGACGCTGGATTTTCTGACGATCAGGAACTTGGAGGACGCTGTGAGGGAGGATGTGGAGTACTTGAAGAAGAGCGCGACGGTGCCGGACTATGTGACGATTAGCGGGTGGATTTACGAGGTTGAGACGGGGAAGGTGAGGAATGTGGTATAGGTATAGGACTTGTAGCGCAGTGCATTGTTTTTGATTTTATTTTTATTTTTATGTTATAATATACCAACATTGCGTGTTTCGGCTTGACAATTGGATGGAGAGGTGATAGTCCTGGAGTCCTTGCACATGTCCAAACGCGCCCTTTGAGTTGGCGATGACGCGAGAGCTACTACGCAGCAATCAATCGGCACTAATGCGTTTTAGATCTTGAAATCAAGATATCCGATAGTTACTAGGCATGTACCTGTGTGTTATGCACTTGGACTAGCTTTGCTACGTCGCTAGATTGTATTGCGTCTAGTAAATGCTGGGCTGGTATGCACCTGATCTAAGAAGAGTAACTAAGTGTGGACACGCCTGTGGGAATCTTACACAGGTGCCCCAGGTAGTTGCCTAAAAACCGTTGTAGTAGGTGCCATAGGGGCCCAAGTGTGTACCCATTCAGAGGGCGTAGGTCAGGCATTTCCGACATCGCCGCGGTGTAGGTAGATCAATGCAAACACCGAAAGGGCGCACATATACTCCAAGGGGCAAACTATAGACGCCTGGCAATCTTGTTCATACATCTCCTGAACGCCGAATTTTATCGCAAGGTTTGGTCTCTACTTGTCCGGGGAGTCGTAGATCTTCGCTGTAAAGGGGAAATGGTCTAATTGTAATACATAATATAATGGCTTGTGTCAGCAATCCCCCGTATTTTTGTAATCAACATCTCCTAGGAGAGATGGATAAATGGTTATTATGTAAATTAAAGCTATATATATCTACGTAGCTTAACCGCATCGAAACATTCCAGCTAGATCGTCACATCCCAAGTAGAAAACAGCTTCAACATGGCCTCCGTAGCAATAGACAGAATCACCGCCGACGGCGTCAACGTCTTCTACCGCCATGCTGGCCCCGTAGACGCGCCAGTCATCCTACTCCTGCACGGGTACCCAGCATCCTCCTTCATGTTCCGCAACCTCATCCCCCTGCTAGCCCTTTCCTACCGCGTCATCGCCCCCGACCTCCCAGGCTACGGGTTCACCGAAGTGCCCGCCGAGCGCGAGTACCAGTACACCTTCGCCAACCTAGCCGCCACAGTCGGCGCCTTCGTCGACGCCCTGCACCTCACGCGCTTCGCCATCTACATCTTCGACTACGGCGCGCCCACCGGCCTGCGCCTCGCCCTCAGCCGCCCCCACGCCGTCTCCGCCATCATCACCCAGAACGGCAACGCCTACGCCGACGGCTTCGGCGAAGCCTTCTGGGCGCCCGTGAAGCGCTACTGGGAGACCGGCTCCCCCGCCGACCGCGACGCCCTGCGCCCCGCCCTCACGCTCGCCGCCACCCGGAGCCAGTACCTCGACGGCTCGCCGCACCCAAAGGCCGTCGCGCCCGAGGCCTACCACCTCGACCAGGCGCTGCTCGACCGCCCCGGCAACAGGGACGTCCAGCTCGACCTGCTGTACGACTACCGCACCAACGTCGCGCTGTACCCGGCGTTCCAGGAGTATTTCCGCCAGTCCGGCGTCCCGATCCTCGCGGTGTGGGGGAGGAATGATGAGATCTTTGTGCCGCGGGGGGCGGAGGCGTTCGGGAGGGATGCGCGGAGGTTTGAGCTGAGGTTTTTGGACGCGGGACACTTTGCGCTGGAGACGAATGAGAGGGCGGTGGCGAGCTTGATTGATGGGTTCGTGAGGAGGTATGTTGGAGAGGGGTCGGGGTAGGATGGGTCGGAATGTGCTGCTGTGCCAGAAGGTGAATGATGGATTGTCCCTGCCTAGTTTATGTCAGTACCTAGTATAGTTGACGAAAAGTTACAGACGGAGAACTGGGAGGGAACTTAGTAGCTGCTGTAGGTTACCTAGATGGGGGGCAAATCAGAACGAATTTTAGTTAGGAAATTACGAGGGACCTCTTAGTGAGAACGCCGGAAAACTACGATAATCAAGAAGACTTGGGAGTAGGCACGTAAGTAGGTAAGTAGAGTGGGGTATCGTCTTATTGAAGCCATAAGGGCGACAAGACTAGGTACTTCTGAACTATCGACTATTGATAGTGGCCACCAAAGTAACAGGTGGACGATAGTAGGTACAAGAAGAGCCCCAGCCTTAGACGACTATGGCGAAGTAACAAAAGAAAACAATCAACAGGCGAACAACTTGTTCGTCTCGATAACCGTCCAAGTAGTGCCCAAACATTCCCAAAAGCGACAACGGATATTGTAGTCGAGTATTCAACGACTGGTTCGTCTCAAGACTTCGAAAGTGCTGAACAATTCTCGAAGGAAAAAAAACAAACGTCGTGGTTGATCTTCAAATGCTTCTACCCTTGGTAATTGGGAGGAGAGAAGAGGAGATGATGAGGGTGTGCGGGTATAAAGAGAGAAGGGCAGCTTAACATTTTCAGACCGTTGTACACTTGAGGATGGCGAGGCCACTTAATCTAGAAGAATCAGAATATCAGGTTAGCAACGTGAGGTCATAGTGAGTAGTAGTAAACTGTGGAATGGGGCTTCGGCTTCTTACCATCGACGGCGGTTACCTCCCACGAATATCGCCGACCGCGCCTTGAGGCCAGCCGACACTCCACGGAATCCGTGGAAGTGTCGATGGTGACCTAGCAGCGAGTTCCAGTTACGGAAGAGACGGTCTTCACAGCCACGACGGATGCAGTACCATGGGCGACTGCCATCCTGGTCGCGCTGGTACGCCGAATCCGGCGTATGGTGCTTTGTGAAATGATTTCTAATACTGCTATAGCGATTTATGACCCGAGAGAGGCACGGATCTCCGTCTTGGCGGGTGCCTCCGCATGTCCAGAAAAGACCGTTGTCACTGACCGTGCCAGCCGCAGCAATGCCAGTGTTGCCCGCTTCTTGAGCCTACAAAAAGATTTCAGATGAGGTTAGTGTGAAGTATGAGACGGGAAATAAATGAAGAGATGGAGATCGTATTATAAGTTGAAAAGAAAAAGGGCAAAGGGATCAGTAAGTACTTACATTGGCCTGCTGAGCCGTTCCGGTGTTAGGCTGGCTCATCGTGGACTTTTTGTCAGATGGGCTAATCAAGCTAGATAAAAAAAAAAAAGTCAGTTCTGGAAGCAATGATATGGTATTAATGGTAGGTACTGCGGCACTGAGGATAGGTAGTGAGGATAGGTAGTGAGGATGTGATGATGATGAAGGGGACAACGATCTCTGCATTGAATTGAGATAACTCACTGATTCTTTTTTCTTATTAATTGACGGAGCAAGCAAGATAATTAGCAGTGAAGATCGAATGATCACACAATATTAAGCGTCGTTTTAAGAAAAAAGCTCAAGTAAACGGGCCAAGCGAGGAGACGGAAAATGCTTAAGGAAATAAAAGGAAACGGAGGAGAGGGAAGAGCAATGTGTAAACATGAGAAACCTGAGAATTCAATGCTGCTCAGAAGGGAGGGGACCACTGGCACCTAAGGAACAGATAGATACCTGACGATCAAGGTGAACTCAGGTGTCAAGAGATCAGAACCAATGAGGGAAGATCAGAATTGGTTTAGAATGGTCTGTAATACTGGTGCAAAAGTTTTAGGGGCAACTGGCATGGGCTGCTGGCCAATAGCTACAGCTGTGGGAGGAAAGGTTTTTAGGCACTATGCCACCTGGAAGGGATAAGATAAGAATGCCGAGAAGGTTACCGGCGAGGAGATGGGAATTGCGGATCCTACCGACTACAGGGTTTCGAGGGACTATACGACGATAGGGGCTACAGTGCTCGTAGAGAAAGATCAGGGGACAAATTTACGAGGGGGATAGTTCTAGCCAAGATCGTGACTACAATAGGGACGACCACTGGAACGAGGGTAATGATTATAGCACTCGCAGCCATGAGTCATAATTATCACAGAAAGGGAGGCACCGCTGAAGGGGGGACACTACACGATAATATGAATAGGGCGAGAAGAATTCTAATCCAGCTAGCCGAGCGGATGTGATAATAAGATAGCACGTAACGTGGAGAGGTGAGAAAAGCGATGAGCGAGTATTATACGGCCGACTAAGTCATAAAAAACGACAGTATGACTTGCGGAGAGCTATAACTTACCTACCGAAAACATTTACTCGCTCGACGATGCGTACTATCTAAAATCATACCGCTCGTAGATCTTAATTCCTAGACAAGGGCCATACCACGTAGGTCCATTTTCAAGCGACTCAACTTGTGATATTTGAGCCCTTTCCCTTGTGCTCTCTACGAGTTCGTGTCAGTCTGGAGTAGTTAGGTACTGCGTTTGCGGGCGTGATTAATCATTCACCCTTCCTCCCTTATGTGCACCTCACACATATGTGAATCCGATTTTTTCTTCTCACCTACTTGTGTGCCAACATGAAGTAAGAATATAATTAGCCTACACTTCATACTCGCTGCTCGCCCGGCATAGAAATACCCCTATTTGAGATCGCTTTCCTAAACGGGAGTGCCTGGCCAATCAAAGCGACGCATTTATACGCTAGTTAGCGCTAGCGCTAGCGGATGCCGGACTCGGAGCAACTGCATAGTAGAAACAGTCACGTGCAGAGATTTCACGTGATACCCCACACTGTGAATCTTTTTTTTTTTTTCTCTCAACCAACTCAACTTTCATTTCGACTATAAACTAACTATAGATTCTTAAAATATTTTTCATTAGTACAAGACGAATCAATTTTCCCAGCATCAATTAATTAAATAAAGAAATCTTAAGGTTATCACTTATCAAAATATTTGATTCCGGTCAGAAAAAAATTTGATTGTATAGTAGGTGAATTGTAATGAGGAGGCTTCTAACGAGGCTTGTCGGTGGGTCTTGGTTTGAAGGTAACAATATGATCAAGTGATTCACTTAAGTAAGCTGGTGCTCGTTAGGAGCGTTTGAGGCTCCCCTATATGGTGGATATAAGCTTAGATTGATAGCTGGAGATCTTGTCTATCTAGAAGGGCTGGATATTGACTCCTTATATATTCAATTACATTGTATGGGCTCCTTTGCTCCACTTGGAGCGGCGCTCCTTTTCTCCACTTGGAGCGGCGCTCCTTTTCTCCACTTGGAGCGGCGCTCCCTGGATCCACTTGGAGCGGGTGGAGCCACTGGAGGTCACGTGACAACCAGGCCTAAGCGCTGCTGGAACAACTGTTCTTCCACGTTGGCCCGTGCCCTGGCCTGGTGGCCAGTGGACATACATATGCCAGAGTAGATCCACGTGCTTCTGGAGCTGGTCACGTGGTACCTGCCTGGACTACACGATGCCTGCAGTATCTTGAAAAAAAAAGTCTTCTACTGGCCAAATAAACTGTAGCGATGGTGCCTAATATCTAAGGAATGGATAAAATTGGAGGAACTTTAATACTTACCTAAGTACCTAGTACCTAGGTTCCAAGTTAGGTATGTAGCGAACAACATAAGATCAGGCCAAAGTTGGGGGATATGTTTAGATTTTATCCATACTGAACGTTTAAGTTAGTACTAGGTAGTAGGTACGCGTGCAATGAAATATTTTAATACTTTTTATGGTGTGACGGAATTGTAGGTGATGAAATGAATTGAGAAGTGTTACTACTCTACAGTGAATGAGCGTCTGGGGTACCACTAAGGACCCTTCAAGGGAAGTTCGTGAAGATAACATGGAGTGCTAATTTAACTCAGCACAAAGCAGAGAAATTTCTGGGAACTTGATTAAGTGTAGAGCATCTTATTCATTCGTCTAGTTACATTGTTCTAGACCTAGCCGTGACTCTTGATCCTTTATGACAGCAATCTTTCCACTAGACATGAGACGTCCAATTTTACTCACTAATCACTGAAATCAATGAGCTTGGATGGATCTTCATTGTACCCAGTGAAGTTGAATGAACTTTCACTGGAGGCATCCATCACATCCGGAATATCTCCCCAAGCCTCTGCCAGAACTTGGGCCTTAGCCATAGTTTCAGACATAGGCTTAGTCGAAGCCATGGTTTCTTCCTCGGCCTTACCCATAGCCATAGTCTCATCAGAATCCTATTCTTTGACTGCAGCCGGGGCCATCAACCCGTGGAGAGGTTTAGCGTCCTTCGGCACGAACTTGTTTGGGAAGGAGGGCTCGGCGTCGGGGGCGCCGTCGATCCAGTTGAGGAGCGCATTTGTCTGCTCGATGACGCTCTCTGTGAGGCGTGCGTAGGATCCCATGTCCTTGACCTTATCGGTCGAGGCCTCGAACTGCTCTAGGAATTCATCGTCGACGCTCGCGGTGATGATGCTGGCGGGCTCGATACCCTGGGTCTTGCAGATGCCATATGCAAGATTAGCGAGCACCGAGTGGGTGCTGCGAAGCGCGTGCGTCAGTCGAACTGTCTGGGCCGCTCCAACAGGCCCATTGTTGCCCTTGCGGGCGTGGGGGACTTCCCAGAGGCTGGAATACTTGTCGGCCATGGCGGTGGCTTTCTCATCGCCGAACTTCCCGTACACCATCTTGAACAACTCGTGGTCTTTCTTGCTCTGTGACTTTAGTTAGTGCTACTAATACGAGTATGCTTTGGTGCGATTAGAAGATGGAGTGTAAAGACGTACATTATTCATCGTATCCTCAATTGTGAGTCCAGTCATCTCGTCAGTGGATGGAAGAGGCTTCTTGACCAAATGAGACTTCTTGTTGGATGATGGGCCAGACGGCTTCTCGGGTCCAGGATTATACATCCTTTTAGACGATGAGCCAGACGGCTTTTCGAATCCATAGTTAGACATCTTGCTAGATGATGAGCGATACTGAATCACTGATGCGAGGGTTGTGTAAGGAAGAATTGTAGATGAACAACTCTTCACTCAAGACTTTGTGTAGACTCCCAAGTTCCTGGGTGGTAGGAACATAAGAGAAAAATATTTTTGTGTGTTGAATGGAATTAGAAATTATATAGTGACTGAGACCTGGGAAGAAACAATAATAACTGGAAACCAGAGTGGATCTGGTGCTTCACTGGGTACATAGATACCTACTTAGGTAGGCAGGAACGCAGACAGCATTTATGGCAAGAACAACACACAATACCTAGGTTAGTACTAAATGTTTGTATTTGGCCTACATTTGTACTAGGTATGTACTGGTACCTTAGTAGGTAAGTAGTTAGTACATACATACATAGTAGGTAACCTGATTGTATTATTACTTCATCAAGCAATCTAGACCTAATCGTTTTTACCATTCTCTCATCTACGCACATACATAAATACCTTAGATAATATCCAAAGTAAGAATATCATGTGTGAGGCCAGCATATACTTTACGATGTACATACTGAGTACATGACTTCAACTTATATACCCAAGTATCTGTCTTTGACGACATGTATGCGAGGGTACATTTCTAATTATTTCTAACCTAAGGGTATCTGGATTCTGGATATCAGCTACTCCTAGGACCTAGGTAATGATGTCCATTGCTGGTTCTAAACACACAATACCCGCCCCATCAGATTTGAGGTATCGTTGGACCAAAGGGTAAATGATTACTCATTCATCAGGCATCTTGAACCGTTAGTAAGTGCCAGAAACCTAACAACCAAAAGTCTCACTCTTTTGGTCCTGTTAGAGTAAAATGAAATCAGATATCACTACTCGTTAGGTATGTAGATAACCTTAACAAGAAAATCTCCAAATAACCTCAGGTTCAAATCGAGGTGAAAGCACATGACCGAATATGGGCTTTTGGTGTACCATAAAGCCTGACTTCTCCTAATGCCCCTCCTCCTAGGTACCTATCGTTAGGCTGGATGCTTCTGTATAAAAGGGTTCATCTATCTTACTCTGAACACAACTGCACGTACGCCGGCACACCTCACAGAGTTTTCTCCTTACCCGATGTCGTCATGCAAGTTCTCAGTCAAATCAAGTCTTCACACATTAAGGATGAAATATTCTATTTTAGATCCCCCCCCTCCCCCACAGTAGATTTAGCCTCATGGCCATTAAGCCTCTCCATATCTTCTCCTTTGGAGGCTCCTTAGTGCAACGCCTTCGACAAACAGATATTAGCTGAAGGCTATTAAAAAGGCCGTTTGTTCAGATATGCCCTCCATTTCCAGGTCCAGAGATTTATTCACCTGACTGGCGCATATCGAGCGTTTTCTGGGGTTGGGTGGGGGTTGCACTTTGATATGGCGCGGCAGAACGCGTACGGATTATCGTGGTGCTCTAGGTTAGCATGGAAACTCCTGTTTTCTCGCGGATCTCGTCGCGTGTTATCTATTGGATCGCGTGCATCTGCCAGTTTGGCATTACCAATCTCGCGCACCTCAGGCCCTTATGCGTCTTTTTTAGGAGGGGCGGCATCGCCGACCCTTGGGTTATTGTAGTCTATTTGAGGTATACCTGAGCCTTCTCTAGCACGTCTAGGTAGGCGTAGACTAGCCTTTGAGGATACCATAAGCGACGATAAAATAATACCTACTTACGAGACGATACATATGAGATCGTGATTCGCATGGATGTCGAAATATCCTAAAGGAAGTCAACAAATGACATAGGCTGCCCAGGAGAGATGTAAGGGCTTCGACGTTAGCGTGTCCCGAGCCCCTGGACTGGGATGTGATGATTTGCATGCAACAATGCCGCATTTTCACTGCAGGATCCGGGGTAGTAGGGGGGGTGTTACTTAGGGGCTTTGACGTTTTGTTATTAGTTGCGATCCCTTCTCTACGTTAAAGCATAAATTCCAAAAAAGCATGTCATCGTCGCTGCTCCATAAGGCGAGGTGGAATGATTGTCGTTCTATTAGCTTGATAGATGACTCAAGTACCAAATTCATATTGCGCGACGGAGGCATTTGGCACATTAACTCTACTTAATAACTAGAATGCCCGCATATTCATTCTAGTTAGTCGACCCCAATCAGGCGAATCAAGGCACCGGGCTAATTAACCGCATGCGGTTTCGGGGACTCGGCATTCAATCTTGGCTTCGGACCCCGAGCCAAGGCCTTGACGCGGGGTGCTTCGGGGTAAATGTTAAATTGAACATGACCGGCCGCTAGAAGCATGCAAAAGGCGGTGTTGTCACCGAAAGTGTAAATATGCATTCTAGTGCGAGGCGGGATAGAACCTTCAAAGCACGTGGACTGACATTGATAGCAATCTGGTAAGGAATCTAACTCTCCATAGCACGGCGCGCGCCGCTGGATATTAGAGTTATCAATATTACATTAATGCATTACTTGTCTATATCTATTCATCAAATGATGTCCCATAACCTTCGTCCGCGTCTATTGCCTAGTGCTCGTGCTTGTTTCATTGCTCGCCGTAATGCTCCTCGTTATTCTTCAGCGCCCACCCGCACCTCGTAAGCCAGAATATCACCATGGGCGGTGTGGTCAGCAGTCCCAGCACGCCTCCCTGAATGAGCTTGAAAATCTGCGGTGCCCACACCCTGTCGTAGTACCAGTCGTCACCCTCCCACCTGCCCGATAGGACCAGGAAGCCGATGCTGGGGCCCCAGATTAGAGGGAAGAAGGCCACGGCGATCAGCAGAGCCCGAATGATTTGCGAGCGCAGGAAGCTGAGCCAGTGCACGAAGCTCCTGACCGCATGCGTCTGCTCCGGACGGTCGAGGAACATGAACCATCTCATGAAGCGCCCCTTGGGCTCGGGGATGAAGCCGATGGAATGCACACCGCCTTTTCTCAGATCGCGATTGACGAGGAAGAGCTCGATATGCCACGTGATGAGGCATTGAATGATGACGGTGACGGCAGAGTCTCCTGCAAGTGTGTTTGGAAACATGAACAGGCGAATGGGCCGTGTTACTACGTCCTGGGTCGCATACATAGCTACGACTAGGTCAATACTGGGTGTCGCGACATGTAGGGAAGGAAGCGGTGGGATAAAAGTCGGGAATGAAGCTAATAGAATTTAATTAAATAGGAAAGTTTACCATATGCGATAGCAAAGTTGATGCCGCCAGATACAATCATTGCGCCGATGCCATCAAGGATGAAAATGTAAAATATTTGGTGGGCGGTAAACTTTGTGGTTGGTTCCTTGAACTCATATTCGACAACTTGATCTGTAATCTCCTGCCGCGTGCTACGGCTAGAGTTGGCATCGTCGGTTGGTGCTGCTTCAGCTTCCGCTCCGGCTATGGGCTCGGCTGCGGCGGCCGACGGCGCAGCTTCGACATCAGTAGCTGAGCGCGCCGACGCCGGCTTGAAGAGAGGGTTTGTTGCCCACGGCATAGTTGGGCGCTTGGCGACGAGTCGGCTATGTATAGCTGGGTAGACGGGGGGTTGCGAATGGGAAGCAAGCACTGGATACTAGCTACAGACATGCATCATAACATATTGATCAATAGTTGAGCGGTTATGTTATGGTATGTTATGTTATGATACCGATAACTATGTATGAGAAAAGGAATACAAAAAAAAATGCAAATAATTATAATTATAATTAATCAACAAGAAAAACGTTGACTGGGGCTGGGGCTGGGGGAAATCACTTTCCGCCTTAATAACTTTATACTAATAATAATCAAACTTTCTGTTTGGGTAAAGCATAAAAAAGCAGCAAAGATCCAAAGATGAACCAAGGGTCCAAAATATTTAAGGGTCTTTTACCCACTTATGTATGCCCCCCCTGTCCCTAAATACACTAACCTAACTTAGGCTGCTAGGCTCCTAGGCTGCTAGGCTGCTAGGTACCTGGTCAGCTTGTCAGACTTGCCTACGCCGCAGTCCCCGTTGGCAACTCCAGAGGCGTTGGTGCTCTCTTTAGCATTCAGGTGACGGCTCCTACCGGAAGCGTCGGGCATCCACTCGGACTGCGGCAACAAAGCACACGTCCGAGTAAGCCGGGCTATTGGTGCGTGTGACGGATCAGGCACTCGATTTGATGCACGTGGTTAGTCACCCAATCCTCATGCGACAACTTACACTAGTGTAGTTAGAAATTGTTGAATATCTACTTCGTGGTATTTATTTGAAATTGGGGAGAAAGGAGGAAATTTGTAATGTGGCCCGGGCCGAAAACTAATACAAATATGGCAGACTGGAAATTGCAAAAATCAACTCGCCAGCCTCTCCAGTTACTATTATGCAACATGATAACTAGTACGTAATGTCTGAGACGGTGAGACTTACATTAATTGTACATAGTAAATAGTTACAGTAGCTATTTATTAACTCCGTTGTTGGCTCTCGACCCAAGAATAGGAATTACTCATAAAGCCGACATCTCCGAATGGATCGCAGATGCACTCAGTCAGCAATCACATTTTTAGATCTCTTGTCGATCTTTTCAATCCCAAGAAGTTTGGCATGCATTTCCCACAGACACTAATTAATTGCACAACCACACAAGCCGAAGACCTGTTCAGAAAAGAACGAATAAAATGATGTTCGAGGCTAGACGAAAAGGCAAGAGTAACGCATCAGCCCTAAAGAAAGGAGAGCCCTTAGCCTCTCTACAGCCCAATAGTTATCACATGTAACCTAGGTAGTTAGGTACCTAAGTAATTAGTTAATAGTTATTGAATTAGAAATAATCGCAAGAAGTTATCATGTGCTAGTGGAGGCACGTGATCACACAGTGACTAATCACAGTTTTTCACTCTTTTCGCACTCTTATTTGACGACTAAAGACTAAACACGCACAATTATTAGTCAGCACCTTGGAATAGGGGTTAGCCATATGGTACTAGGTAGCTCACCACAGATCACGACAATATTCACCACAACAATAATATCGATCAAAGAACCCTCTTCTTAGCATTCATAGGCTAGTTATTTGGGTTATTTTGTGATTAAAAAAGGTAGGTACCCAAGTATCAGTGGCTAATCTCGTTCTAGTGATTCTCGAGAGCGCCCATTAGGTAGGCGTTTTCTCACAACTCGTATTATCAAAATGTAGCTGTCTTTGGCCTACAAGGTAGAAATATAACCTTGGAAGTATCTTCAAGTGATCTAGCATGCTAACATCCTAGAGAGTAGTACTAAGGTATATGGTAGATACCTAGGTAGATACCTAGCTTCGTAAGAGACCATGTGAAAGACTGTCGACAATAATTCGAGATATACTTGCTACATGAATAGAAATTCAACTACATACTTGATACCTAACAGGTTGGCTCGTAGGGATACCTGTGTGGTCATTGATCCTACTCTATGAATGGCAATATGGACTTACCTTGCACCACATGTGTGTACTTACTAGGTAGTACCAAGTCCACTGGATACATCCTTGAAATGATTGATCTTTGCTTGATGTCAATTCAAGATCACTGAGGTACTAGAATACATGTGTGTACTAGGCTCTCACTGTACCTTAGTACGTTCTTCAGCTTTGGGTCCTTATGAGGTCGTCTACCCCTATTTACCTACCCTACCTTGGTACCCCAGCAGGTAGGCAGAATCGACCTTCATTGCCATCGATTATATAAGTAACCCCTTACCATTTATCGACCTCTACAAGAATGATTAAGGTTCAATCATAACCTGGTACACAATATATCACTCGTTTGATATAAGTTTCATCTATTCCTACTGTACCAGACCTCGCCAGAAATGGACATATTCGAGGATCAGCAAGGCTGATTAAGTTCCCCAGATGCCTTCGACACCTTAATTACAGCCATGGCAACGTGTATATAGGAACTCCAGGTGATTTCGTGCTGATTTAGTGGGGAGAGGTTCAACTATATAAACATCCTCCTCTTCAGCCATTCTTCCTCTGTTCTCTCTTCTTCCCCGAACCTGAACCTACATAGCCTACATAGAAAACCGTCACCTATATCAATCGAAACAGCGATTCTCCTGTTTCTAAACCCTTCACAGTCTCCAGTGAATGTTTTTATATCTCTGATTCATGAAAGTATCTTCCGACTTGCTGGCAAGTCTTTCCATCGCGACCACCAACTCTAACATCCTATCAACGCCGCTGGTTCGGCGCAAGTATCCAACATGTCAAACGAGGAATGGGCCATTGGCCAGCCAATGCCAACACCAAGCGATCCGTGCAAGAACGTGTTCGAAGAAAGCGAATACGAAATGATCCTCGGTCATGCCAACCGCGTCTATGGAAAGGGCACTAAGAGTGACCCCCTAGTGCTCTGGATGAACCTTCCGGAGCAGATCGATCGTGATATGATCTGGTCCCACAACAACTTCGCCAGAGCGGCAGCCAAGTCCGTCGGCCTCACTCACGCCTGGATAATCAAGGAGCGCCACTCCAAGACCGCCGCCCGCGGCGAAGACGGCGAGAAGCTCTACGGCCCCGCTGGTCGGGTTATGAAAGAGGACGACATGCACATCACCGTGCGCCTCGGCAGCGGCATCTACGACTGCAACTTGTCGGCCCACATATACGTGGACCTGGACGCCGCCGGCAACCCCGTCGAGTTCATGAAAGAACCCTCCCGCCGGCACTCACGTAGCAGCAGCAGCAGCAGCTCGCGCGGCCCCATCACCTTCTGGCCGTGGCGCATCGCGCGCACGCGCCAGACCCCCAAGACGGGCGTCAGCCTCGGCGCGCAGTGGGAGAGCTACGCGAACACCGGCCCCTACCTCGACACGTACCGGCCCGAGGGCAGCGGCGCAAGGCGCCACCTCAGCCCCAAGTGCCGCTTCGCGAGACCGGACACGGGCGAGGAGGCCAAGGAGCTGGAGGCTATGAAGATGAGGGTTGATGGGCTGTGGGCGGAGTATAAGAAGAGCGTTGATGAGATGAAGGAGGCGGGCGGGGAGCCGTCGCGAGAGGAGAAGGGTCGCTTGTTGTTGATGGCGGAGAAGATTGGGACGTTGGAGAGAGAGATTGACTCGTTCCGGGAGGTGCAGTGATGGTGCTGGTGGTGTGAAAGGGAGTTGATGATCGGATGAGATATGGGAAATGAGACATGGCATGAGCCTTGGAGCCCTGGAGGCTAAGGTTGGGTAGCGGACGAGACGATACTGGGAAAGAGGCTGGCCCTTCTTTCAGCGTGTGACCTTTTAGGTATCTTTGATTTTTACAGCGGCTCATGGGCATTTTTACAGCGGGATATGGAGTTACAGGTACTGCATGGGAATATGGAAATGGTACAGGGGAAGTACCCAGGGATATGCATTATGATAGGGGATATTATCATCAGCGTTTGTTTTACATAGGGATGGTGACCTGCTGGACAGGAACCCTAGGCTAGGGAACTGCCTACGTTGAACGTAGATGCTGCTAGGCTGGCACCTAGGCAGGAAGCGAATTAATATTATTATATAAGCGAATCGCTTAAGTCTTCACTGGTTCTCGTAGTATCCAGTAGAGGTGCTTGGTAAATGCAGACAGCCTTGGAGCTCAGTAGATCTTACACTCCAGGGCTCTTATCACACTACTAAGTGCCCAGGTAGGTAATTGCCTCCAGGGCTGTAAGGTACTACTAGGTATTAGGGATATGGGTACATAGGTAGGCAGGCATGGGTAGGTAGGTACCTAGGCACCTAGAAAGCTGAGAAGACTTGACTTAGGTAACAATATCATTTAACGTTATATCCATCAATCAATAAAATACATGTGTCAGTGAGCCCTCCCCTCACCAACCCAGACCATTGCACATAGCTATCCAAGCATCTCCTCACGAGCTCCACTTCGCGCTCAAGCTATCATACAGCGTCTGGTTGATCGGCAAGATACTGCCGTGCCTCAGATTACTCGGGAACGCGGTCCTCGCACTCGCCGCCCACTGGTTGGCCTCGGGGTCCGTGCTCTCGTACGGCCTGTACCCGTCGCCGCCGTAGAAGTCCAGCAGCACGTGCACCTTCGCATCGTCCTTGTTGTCGCGGTACGCCGCCGGGCCCTCCACCCCAGAGGTGATGGTGCCGCTGCTGCCGCCGGCGCGCGTCCACGTCCCGAACAGCCCGCCCGTCGTGTACTCGAGGAAGACGGTCTTGGCGGTCTCGTCCTTCATGAAGCGCAGGTAGCTCTTGCCGGCGGTGTCGAGGGGCAGGATGTCGAGGTCGATGATGTTGGTCGGCGCGTAGTCGATGTAGGTTTGCGGCGCGCTGAAGGTCTTGAAGTCGCTGGTGTAGGCGTAGCGGATGCGGATGTTGGAGGGGGAGCCGGTGTGGGCTGTGTCGGAGGCGGCGTACTGTAGGTAATGGCCAGTCAGTTTGAGTGCTTGGGGCTTGGAGGAAGTAGGAGGGAGGCATGACGTACGAATTTAGACGCCCAGTGGACCAAGTATTGGCCTGGAGTTTTGTTAGTATTCGTGGAAGCAACATTTTGAGTCTGGGGATTGGTGGTTCGACTGACCCTTTGCGGCATCCCAGATCGCTTCGGGTGCCCACACCATGCCGGCGCTGGCATCTTCCACCTCTACGAGGCGCTCGCCGCTGAAGGTGGTGAGGTCGCTGGTGTCCCAGACGAAGATACCCCTTGAGCCAGTTCGCTGCGCCGCATCCCAGGTTGTCTACCACTCTGTTAGATGAAGGTATTCCCAATACGACGTAGGTCAGAGCAGTTTCCTCACCGAGGCGATGTTCAGGTCAGTGCCAATGATGTACCACTTCTTCCCAGCTTCAGCCCCCCCGCCTTGGACCAGATACGGATCTCTAACACCACCGGTTCCCTTTGTTGGGCGGAGGATAGGCTGGCCGCCATTCAGCGATTTAAACGAGAGCGGGTCGTTGCCGTTGCTGAGGTAGAAGTAGACATAAGGGTCTGCACCGAGAAAGATGGCCCCCAGATACCCGACAAGACTCGGATCTGCCCGTTTCTCAGGTTGCAGACCTAGCTCATTCAGGTCAATCGGGTTGGCTAAGGAGAGGCTGGCACAAGCGCCAATTGTGATGGCCTGAAGCACTCGACGGAAGAACATGCTTGCGGCTGGTTGGTGTAGCTATTAACGATAGGAAGGGTTGGATTAGGTAGGTAGATCACTGAAGTCGAAATTCCACGAGCCCGGTTCAGTTCTCACAACCTATTACCTACACCTACACGAGGGAATAGATGCCATATTTGTACTATATAGCTATTGGCGATGGTTCGGGGGATCGATATCCGAATTGGCCAATCTGCAGCCGCGATGGCCCTTACCATCCCGGCCCTTTAGCCTTGATTTTCTCCTTTTGCGCTGCTTAGCTTTTTTTTTGCCTTGCCTTGCCCACCTAACTACATACATACGTCGTACGTTCATGGCTAAAGCTCCGCACGCCGTGTCGCGGATGTGGGGAATCCTGGGCTAGAACATAAACATGGCCAGCGTTGCCGCACGAATGATGTTCGCGTGCCCATAATAAATGGTCGCATTTTAAAAGAATATGGGGGTTTGGTATGGGGTAGTCCATTCGTAGCTTGGCCTTGGGCTACGAGGGTTGGCGGGTTGGCATGTGGTCCCCTGACTAGGGACTGCAGGGCTTTGAGAGCATGATGTTTACCGAATAGCATGTCACATCGTCGAGTTTAAAATAGGTTTTCTGGACGCGTGCGAATGGGAGGGAAGAAGATCGGATATGATGGCATTGACATAATTTCGATTGTTTAACTAGTTCTTAAAATCCTTAGCATGGAGGGGACAAGCTTGGTCTATGCCTTGATTCAATACCCAGGTTTTACTCACGTCCTCATACACATCCCCCCCCCCCCCCTAAGGCCTCAAGTCAACCACCATTCCCGCAATGCCCCCCCTTCAACCCGATGACGTTCCACATCCCCCTATTCAACATCGTTATCGTCCGCGTCAATCCACCAATCCTTCTTAATCTCTTCGTCTCTACTCGGTAACTCGATTGATCTCCCCGTGCTCGTCTTCACCAGCGGCTTGCAGAAATGCAGGAGGAAGAACACCCCAAGAAGGATGCAACACACGACCATGAACCCTAAGATGCTCGTCATGATCTGGGTTTGACGGGCGGCTGATGCATCCATGGCAGCTGCCACCTCCGGCGCTGGGGTGATGTACATTATCGACATACTGCGTCGACTTTAGGCCTGTGCCTGTCTGGATGTATGGGCGTATGGATGTATTGGTGCACCGTGCATGACACGTATTCTAGGGCATGAGAGTTAGATGCTGAAACGTGTCTGCTCCGGTAAGAATTGCTCACGAATGTATTTTTCAGTCTCGGTACACCACCCGCACTATTGACTGAGAATGCCCTTGATAGGTAGTCTCAGGAACGAGTGAAGCCTGGCTCGGCTCGCTTTATTCTCGTGTGTGGCCGCTCCGGTAGAGAGAAGCCAGTACCCCGGAATCACAGATTTGCTCCCATGCATCACGAGTTTCTAGCGTCCAGCCTGACGTGGTCGAAGAAGAATCAACTAACAGTGACGGCGGCAGTCGGTCGAAGGTAGGTATAGTGGCGTGTTCATCTAGTATGAGATTGGTACCTAGGATTCGTGAATCACTGATATATAGGGGTTGACTATGGTAGTGACCACTTCCAGATGCCTATAAGAGCACAGTGGAAGCCAAGAAAGGATGAATGAAGATATCACGACCCACGGCCATGGCTGGGGGCTCTGTTAATTATGGCATAACGACTTGGCCATCTTCACTCTATATCAAAAACGACCCGCATCATTCCGGTCCTAGGGAGGTTAATCCCCCCGCTCAACCTAGATACGCTGATCATCTGATATTGCGCCGAAAGACTGGTTCGTGGGCATATATCGACTATGGATGGTATTCACTATACGGTCACTTACTAGGTAGATTACTAGCTAGGAGTACAGAGTCCGTGACCACCTAGTACTGGTGTTAGCTGCACAGGGCTACGTAGATGGAACGGATGGATCAGTCTCACGCGCATGGGTGGTAGTGCTATGCCTATTCGATCCCTTTTGGCGCTTCGGGACGACAGAATAGGCGCAAGAGGTTGCATTGCCGGATCCAAGGTAGCGCGCTAGATGGAAGTTCCACGCTCGGAAACGTGGTATTGCCCAAGCCCAGACAAGATAGATGATTCTGTGAGCCATGTGTAGCCAAGCAACAGCATCTAAGATGCCAATACTGATGACGAGATATTATTGAACGGGTCTGGTGTGCCCTGCTTTCCAAGTGACGCCGTGGGAGGCTTGGCCATGCGTACCTGGGAGTTGGGATAAGTTTACTCATTGCCTCGAGAAGCGCGGCTTGGCTTCGGGTGCCCTACCGACAGGACTCGTTTCTACCCCAGATACCCCAGAGCAAGCGTCGTGCCTCGTGCTCTACCTCAATCTATCAACCTGCAGCAACCCCCCTACTCGGTTAATAAGCGCGAGGCGGTATATTATCTTGGATATGCTAGACGCATATGAAGCCCCCTCCCTCCTTCCGCTGTCACAGAGATCCCATTAATACCCAGAAAGCACATGGATAAATCTGCGAGAATTCAGCCTGCTATTGGTTAGCCTTCACTATATACGCCGGCTCAATGTCAGGATATTACCGGATGGGCTGAAGGTCTAGAGCTCGTGACGTTTAGCCGGTCAGATGGGACTAGGTAGGTATGAGTTGATAGGTACTCGGGTAGATGGGCATATTGCGCACTAGGCATCAAGCGCGCCATGATAATATCTTGGAGGAGTGAGTAACAGGGTTGTGGTATGACCTGGTACATTTAATGTGACGGTATACCCGATATCTACCTTGACGAGAATCCGTGATGGAGTTGGTGCACTGTGTAGATGGTGCGCTGCTGATTTACAGTGATTCACGTATAAGTGCACTCCGGATTCGTTATGCAAGGCGGCTATGCAAAGCGGTAATATAGGATCGCAAGGTTCCCAGTAAGGAGATATGAATGATAGCATTGGACCCATTCAAAGTAGAGCCTTTGCTGAGACGTCATGTGCAAGTCTCTTACAGATTCATTCAGTCACAGGAGTACTTCTAGCACTAACCACGATGGCACTACTCCACCACACTGCTATGGCAACGAGACATTGAGGATGTAAATATATTAGTATCACATGTATATACATGTAAATTTGATTAAGTAATGTAATTATCTATGAACATTGCTAATTATTATGATTTTCTTCAAAGCCCTTAATACTCTAGACTATCGCGCAGTAATCGAAAAAGCCATTGATAAATAGCCCCAAATTTAACCTCCCGATGCAACCCCCTTAACCCAGCCGACCCCCTTTGGAAACTAACGCCCCGAGACGATCGATATATGAACAAGTGAAAAAACTGTATGTATGTGTATGAATAGGGCGTGATGTGCTGGAAGTGCCATTACATCGTTCTTTCAGTTGCTAAAAATATTAGCGAGTTCTTCTTCCCAACCGTCTCGGGGGGAGGCGATAATAAATGACTGTGAAATCCAAAGGGGGAGGGGGGGGGACAAAAAAGAAAAAAAAGGAAATGTAGGCAAAACGATCGATATAAGTGAATCGAATCTATGCAATCAAGTAATAGCAGCAGTCCAAATGTCCGTCCCGGGTATTGTGTACATGTAATCCATCCTTGTCTTGCCCTTGCCAAAAAGACGTTCCAATTCTATTATATTTCCCTTCTTTTCTCTTTCCTTTCCGTCACAAAGATCGTGATGCTCAAGCGCCGTCCCTTGAAAAGCGCATCAGAATCAAAGCTTGTACAGGAAGATATATATGGCGACAGGAATAGGACATATGTATGTAAAAGTTCTATGCTATGGCGCAGACAGTAGAAAAATGCAGCGTTGGAAGACTATGTAGATGGAGCATGCAATGTTACGGGTATGTGTGAAGGCAATGGGCAGAGGCAGAGGGAAAGGGGAAGGGGAAGGGGAGACGGGTAAAAGAAACGTGGGGGGAACACTCACAGTAAAGCTAACGTCAGGTCACCGTGGATGCGTGCCTTAAGCGTGACTTCGACCTCCACTATGAAGCGTGTATCAGTATCAGCAAGATGTCTCTCAACCAAGGGTGCGAGACATGTCTCAGGAGCGCAAAAACCCCTGAGCTCGCTCGCGTGGGAGAACGAGACTAACAGTTCAGATCCAGCCTCAGCTTAAGCGTATCCGACTTCCCGCCCCCGCTGTCCTGCTGGCCGCCGCCGAGCGCGCCCCCGGCCACATTCCCCAGCGTTCCCGTTGCGGCGTTGGTCAAGTTGTTCGCCGTCTCGCCGACGTTGCCGACGGGGAGCATCTGGTCCACGCCGCCGATACCACCGAGAGGGCCGCCGCCGCCGCTCTGCGACTGTTGCTGCATTGTCTGCGTCTGCTGGCGTTGGCGTCGACGGCGCTGGGGCTGTGGAGGGGGTGCCTCGCCGGCGCTGTCTTCGTCGGAGTATTGCTGCTCCTGGACATCGGGCTGGGGTGCGGTTGCCTGTCGGGACTGATTGCGACTCCGGCGGCGGCTTTGGCGGGACTTGGATTGGGATGCTCCTGAGGGGCTGGAGGACGACATGATGGGATATGTTGATATGGGTTATGTGTTTGATAATGGAGATAGCTCTTAGGTGTTAGAAGTACGATATCAAGATAGTTAGATAGCAAGATAAAGAGGAAGTTGAATCAGATTTACACTACTTATGGATAAGAGTATTTACATATCATCCGGCCGAGAGCTGCCATCGTAGCTATCCACAAAGATCTAGACATGTCATATTTGGAGAGAGTACGTCACTAGTTGGCCTGGATGGGGAAACTGTCTCGCTTGATGGCAGCCTGTGGATGTATCCATGCATGACCCTGTCTAGAACCCTGATTTCGCGCGCTTGTGAACCTTTTGCGTGTGCTCATCACGTTAAAGAATTATGCGTTGACGCCGCCGTCAGCACCTCGTTGCTTTGATACCGGGACCATGGGGGGTCTCCGCAGTTGGGTGGCTTGGACTAACTGACGTCAAGCCACAGAGTCCACGTCGATCTTCAGCTCCCACCCTATCCGTACGAGACCACATCCCGATCTTACAGGGGTATGGACAAAGGGAGGGTGTGAAGGCCATATTATTAGGTGCACTTAAGAAAAGGTTAACTGCAGACTAAGCATACCAAGCACATAAAGCATTTGATAGTAATATTAGAAGTAACTAGTTACAGCTTATTATCAGGCCACTATTAGATCCTACCATCTCCCAGACCCAGATTCCCCTTTCTTTATCCAAGATATTCGACAACTTTGAGGTGGCTCAGCTGCCTAATCTCTCGTATACCGGCTTGATACGCCAAGCTGAAGCTCACGGTGCAGATTTATATCTACCACGTCGCAATCCAAGACTTCATCCAAGTTTCCTTCCTTGTCGTAGTAAACATTCCATGTGCCCTCCTCATTCTGGACTGCTACGAAGTATTGCTCGTTTTCGAGTACTAGCCACTCCTCATCTTCTGTCCAACTCCAGGGGCCAATGGTGTGACCGGCACTCTCTGATCTTGATCCGTGACGTAGTAGCCCCGTGTCCTTGTCAGCGTAGATCCAGTTAAGCATTGGCGGATCATCCGCTATGGGCGCCACTAGCCCCTGGTGGTTCTCTGGGCCCGGGTACCCAAAATAGAACCCGTTAAACGGATAGCCGTCCACTGGGCAAGCCGGGTGGTTTAGGTAGAGCTGTCATCAATTTAGAGGCATGGTTAGTAGGAATCCAAGCGAGGCTAGAAGCTCTGAATATGCCCCAGAAGTCACACTTTTAACGATAAACTGGAATTAAACTTACCTTGTTGTTCTTGAATACTACGGATGCATTCTGTGGTGGTGATGTGCCATCATGTGAAAACTCGGCCGTCAACTTGAACTTGATTCTCTCCTTCGCTTGCTGGTTCTGCTTCTTTTGGGCGTCAATTGCTTCAGCAACGCCGATGACCGTCGGTATCGCACCGACCGTGAGTAACCCAAGAGTTGAGAGAGCCATAAGCCTCGTGATTGAGAGTTACAGCACCTAAATCCTCCACTACGACTTGGAATATCTTTCGTGTTGAACGTAAAGGGGGGGATCAATCAAAGGGAGACGTGAGCATGTGGGGTTCCGAAACAGGTTTTGAGCCTCGTCATGCAGTCGTTGGAACCGATTCAGATGATGAAATGGGGGAACACACGCCACATACACTTTGGCTCTCGCCCTATTACAGTCTAAGGATTCCAGCCACGAATGGAAGCGGACTTCCTGTTCCTAAGTATATCTTTTTTAGTCGCAAATCATGACTTCATCCTTGATGGGGTACGGGGGGGCTCAAAGCAAGTCATGGTGTCCAGACCATTCTGTTGATTGGTGACATGTAAAAGACAACAGGGGGTTTAATACCGGCTGGGGTTAAGACGCAGGGGCTAGAGTTCCATTTGGATTACGACTCAAGTCGAGCCTGTCCCATTGCGTCACAACAAGTTGAAGCTTATGTACCATAGACCAAAAAATGTTAATTCGAAGTGAGGGAGAATAAAACAACCATGAGCGCCGCCTTTGCGGGTGTGGATTATCATGTAATTCCGCATATTTGTTCCTTCCTTTCTAAAGAGTAAATATTCAATAACTGTATCAATTTAAGTCATCATCGCACTAAAACATCATGGCATCAAACGACGATAAAACGCCCCAGCAACCAGGTGCAAATGGGGAGCAGCAAGCACCACAGCAAAAAACGCCACCACCAGAACCACAGCCGGAGCAGAAGGAACCACAATCGCAAGATAAAGATAATGGGCAATTGAAGAGGAGCCCGAGTAGTGATCAGAGCGAGCCACACCCGGGAGCCAATCAGGGAGATGGAGGGGCATCAAAAGAACCCAATGTCAAACCTGAACCCAGCGTAAAATCCGAAGATGAGGATGAGAAACCTCCACCTCAACCTGAGAGGCCCGAAAAGAAGCAACAACCTAAGCCGACAACGCGTGTTGAGTCGCAAAAGCCGAGTCGATCGCGAAGACGTCGCCGCAACCAACCGACGTATCTAGATAGTGAACAAGACAACGACTACGAGAAACAAGTAGCACCTCGACAACAACGTCAAGCTCCACCAATGTACCAACCACAGCAACAAATGCAGCAACAGCAACAGCAAATGCCACAGCCTGCCAAAGCGGATGGTGGGAAGAACCCGCTGAAATTAAGACTCGACTTGAATCTTGGTATGAGATCACCTTTGCCCAGATAAGCCTTACAGGTGTAGAGCTATGCTAATGCAGGTACTTGTTATAGAAGTCGAAGTTACGTTGAAAGCGAGGATCCACGGTGATCTGACTTTGTCACTCTTGTAAGTTTTCCGTTTTTCGTTTCTGATCTATTCTCACACGATTTGATTTCTTCATCTTGTTGGGTATGCGACCCTTGTCCGGGGACGCTGCATTGCCGTACTGCCTATCACCAAGACATTCGCAATCTTGTGTTGGACATACGCTGGAGGCCTTTCTAACTGACCTCTGCCAAAGTGATAGTTGAATGAATGACATAGTAACTAACAGCATTGCTTGCTGCTAACAGTGAATAATAGTGAAGGGCTGTGAGCCTCTTGCTACGAGTCGTGTTATGCAAGGTGCCGGAATATTGGCTCGGACGTCGATTCGGGGTATTCCGCAGCAGTGATACCTATCGTCACATCATCTTTATCCACAAATTCAGTTCTACGTTGGTTTCGTTTTTGGCGTTGAGGGGTCAATTTGCATTTAGAGGGGTAGCGCAAAGAGTTGCATGCTGATATTGTTGGATGACTACCACAATGGGCTTTACGGATTAATAATTAGGAGAACGATGACAGGGTTATAATAGTGTGAGATATATAATTGTTGTATGTACATACCTACATTACAGATCTTGCATTAAGAATACATAGTTGAATGTAAATAGTTTACTACTAGATACTAGGTACTTAGTAGGTACCTAGGGTATGGAGTAACTTGTAGAACAGATTGAAGTAGATCGTGGAGAACGGGAACCTTGACCCTTGAACCTTAAACCTTGAAAACGATGCTCACGGAAATTGTTCCGAGTTCGTTAGCGTTCCTGCAGGCACCAGTGCAATGACTTTAATGCGTGAGCCACAGCTTCAAGCCACAAATCAACGAGTACCTAGGTACATAGCCCCAGTTGGTCCCAGTTAATTATTGAAGTTTCCCAGTTTCCAACTTTTTTCCATCTGTCACTTATGTCACCCTTGTCCAAATTTCCGGCAGCCAAAAAACAACATGGGAATCCTAGAAGTTGAAGCATATAAGACAGTCAATTAATGTCGTGACACCACCCAAAAAGGAACATACGACGGAATGGTACCGCTTCGGGTGTCGACCGCATCTATTTTGGCTTATGTCTTCACGAGACCTAGAATGTGCTGCGGCATGTCATGCCGTGGACCGGTTCTCCCGGCACAGCTCCAAGCTTCAAGCTCCATGTCCATGCTCCATATCACATCTACAAGTTACGATATTACAGAAACTCTGGAATCTTGCATGAAAGCATGTTCTCCTGTTCTGAGATGGTCATCTCGGACAAAATGCCCCGCTCTATCTTCAACATTCGCATCAGAAGACCAAGGGAACACGAAATATACTATCTATAGTAATAGCTTTCCTTTTTTCTTTCACAGCCTACACTATTACGAAGCAATGCAGCCACCAACCCCAAGCAACCAACCACAACTGGCTTCCGAGGATTTATCCCTGTTCAAACCCATGTAACTAACATTGATGGCCGACTGAAATCGCGATTAGCTGAAGCATCTGCTGCTAGCTACCCCCCCTTAACTCCCCCCTATGACGTAAGTGAGGTGGAATGAAGCAATTGGGTCACTTACAAAATCGAGTCCTGCAACTACCTAGGGTAAGCAACTAAACACTCAAGCAGGGAGGTTCCTTAGTCCCTAGTACCAAATAGTTGCATAGCTCGCCTGAGATACCTCGTTCTAAACTTCTTTTGCTTCACGTTTAGAGTTTATGCTCTCATTCCTCCACTTAGTCAATCTCATCTCATGACATCCCGGGAATCTCATAGGCGAATTCTACTGTGACCTACTGTGACGTCTGTGACGTTGCGTTCCAGGTTGATATTTTTAGAGTTAGTTGATGGTGAATGGATGCTGGCTCCGCTGACCGTCGACCTCTTTTACCACATTATCTTGGTAATATACCTTGTCATATTCATTTTCTTGCACGCCAATCGTATTCGCTTCTATGTGTTGGCAATGGCCGATATGATGAATCCGCAAACACCGCCAAGGAAGCTTTTTAAGCCTTCTAGCAAGACGAAGATGCCTACTCCTGTGAGGAAGAGACCCACCACCCCGACACCGTCAAGTGCTCAGTCTCATGCGGTTTTTACTCCCACTGAAACTATAAGTCGGAATACAGAACGCTCGGGAATTTTCTCAAGAAGGTCATCAGAGGCGACACAGCGCGCCTTTAGTAGTTCGGGAAAGGAAGACGACATCTCGGACAAGTCGTATAGCGCATTCAAAAGTATTGCTGGTAAACCTCGAGAAATTCTCAGTCCATCGACCGACAGTCTTCCTGGTCCTTCAAATCCCACCGACTCCCTGAATTCCCCGACCGACATTGCCAAATACTTTCTTGATCAGGGAAATACAGAAATGAGCAGTTTCATAACAGCACTAACTGGAAAGACCCCGAATGATCAAAAAAGCACTACAAGTAACAGTGGAAACTCGGACAAGGGAACGGAAGATCCAGTCGCAGAAACGAGTTACGTAGGCGACCAAGCCGGCGAAACCCCTAATACAATACAGGAACTACCCAGAGACGACGCTTTGGTGGCTTCACCCAGCGACAGAACGAAAGAAGCTATTGGTCTAGTTGATAGTGACCCCAAGTCAAAGTCTGCTGGTGGTGCGGACGAAAAGAAGATTGCTAGTGGTCAGAACACAGATACTGAAGAGCTACAAGAGTTAGCAGGCGCGAAGGATTTGGACCAAGACGAAGAATTAGCCGACACAACACCCAAACCTGCAAGTGTGTCGAAAGAGGCGGAAGGTGTCACTAGCAATCCCGAAGACCAAAGCCTGGGCGCCATGCCGACCAATACCATGGGTAAACCAGATACAGCTAGTATTTCTAAAAATGCGCAAGTTGAAGTGTCGAATGCAAAAGACAAGGTGAATGGAGTTAATCATGCTGCTACAAATGGGGTTGAACATAAGTCTGCGACTTCTTCACCGAAACCCCCTGACAATACACATGTTATAGACAACATGGGCAAACCTGCGCACATTGAACGGCGAGTTGAAATACCACTTCCTCGTCCAGAAAAAGTTGTTAGCAGCCCCCCTCCACTAGACAAGCCTGATGCGAGTAATATCGAAGCTGGTCTAGGCGACGCTGCCGACCTACCTGGTACGGACGGTCTACCCAGCGTAGATGAATTGCCAAAGCTTTCAGACGAAACGTCGCAAGATCCGCCAGAAGAAATTTTAGATCCGTCGGTACATTCTCCCTCCTCCAATATCACACCCATCCCGAAGATTCCAAAAGTGACACCCATTGGAATGGCACCACCTCTTGATCTACCGACTCTCGCCCAAAACCTGGGCGGCAACGAAGTCGACGACGTCGGGAACATTGTAGATGCTTCCGGTAAAGTGCTCGGTCACGCCACGGGTGACCTTCCTGCCATGGTTGGTAGAAAGGTTTCTGACAATGGGGAGATATATGGAGAAAGGGGGGAACTCATTGGATATGTGTCGGAAAACTTTACCAATCCACAACCACCCCCATCTGATATCCCTGATCATGTTCTCGGGGGTCTGAAGGTTGATCACGATGGAAACATTCTCGACTCGGATGGGAATATAATCGGTCGTTTCAATGAAAAGGCCGGAAAGAATGGCAATCTAGCACCTTTCCTGAACAGGTCCAAAACAGGCGACTCCCAAACCGAAGAGAAGAATGAATCTAATGAAGAATCTAAGCCGAAAGTAAATGCTCACACAGGTGGAAGTCCTTCGGATATATTTCTGGATGTTAAGTCTACGACGGATGGGATTCAATTGACCATTCGCATTCCCACGACGTTCCAGAGACAACCTCAAAATTCATAAGCCAGTACACCTCCTTAGGTCGTTACTTGGGTATCTCATTTTATTATCGACGTTGTTATGTATATTTATATTTATAATCCTGGATTAAAATCTCGTTTTTACAGTTTTACATAGGTATTTTGGGAAAAAAGGTAAAATGAATGGCAACCATGCTTGTTCTTGGGTATGGTAGCGCTGGGTCTCCCTTACGTAGCGCAGCATAATATCATGTATTTTTATGTACTTAATCAGGAAGGAAAATGACCAAGTTCATAAATATCGAACACCATCACATTCGATAAAATCCTGTGAACATAAAAAATGACCGGTTATGTTTAAAATTTCATCAACTCTCCATCAAGTTGATATCCTATAGGGGTACCATAGGAAGTTATCCCGACTTGTATCGGCCGATATATGACGTTAGTCTGATGACGACCCATGTCCAGTTGTAGGAAACGCTTATGCAAGTCAACTGGGGATGACGTTAATCATTAGCCACTCTTCACATACAAGTTGGCGAATAGGAGATTTCTAATGGTTCTAGACTCCCACCAAAAGATCTTCAAACACACTAAGAGCAGCGGGAGCTTCTAGGGGAGTTAGAGTAGGGCTAGCTGCGGCGGCGCCAAACCCAACCCAATCATCCAACTGTGAATCCATAAAGGGGTATTATTGTGGCTACGGTGGCTGAAAGGATGATATAAGACTGCCCATTGACTGGACTCTCTTACAGCCTCCAACCCTGTCGTGCAATGACTCCAAAGGACTGCGGTTGAATGTGCGCAGATGGTGTAGTGCGAATTATGGACAAAACTCTATGCCCATCGAGATCTGCAAATGACACCCCCCGGGGTATCTGGGTATCTGTTGGCCACAGCTTCGACGGGGGAATCCTGTTTTGCAGGACTAATCCGGGCAGCCTGCAGCGAATGATCGTTGGTAATTTGATCGAGCCTTTGAAGCCAAACTGCTAGTTTATACAGGAAAATAACAGGAGTCTCGAGCCGACTAGTTCGGTCACATCAGAAAAGCCACATACCTACTAGATCTATGAATTGATGGTGCACACCTGGGCGAGATCGACGGCATGCTAGCAGCCTCATTCGTGGCTTGACTTCGTCGCGAAGTTTGTTCATGGGATGCTATCCTAGTATTCCCTACTGATGACGTTCAGTGTAATGCATTGTAGGCTGAGGCCCAATGTCATGACGTCGAATGCAATCTATGGGGTCTCGCAATAGGGGGGAATGGGTAAGGGAGAACCAAGATGAATCCGACGTGCCGAAGTGAAATACATGTAGGGAGGGAGGTGATGCTCCAAACCTGTGACGTAGGTTATATTTCTTAAGGCCAAGTTATGCTATGATAGTACTTCTTCATCGCAGCCGTAACTTCATAAAAGACCAGAGTCACCATCTCCAGTTACGTTGGTAGAAAGCAGATTAATGACTATTCATCGTAACGATACCTCACAACCATCATCACAACGAACAGAACAACGTCCTACCACCATAGTTAACACTACCACACGCCAAATCATCACAGACGAAAACCCAGTAACAGTAATCCATCCAGCCGCCATGTCTGGGCACGGTGAAGAAACCGCCGGCGGACTAACCAGTCCGGCGGCCAAGCCTACAGAGAAGCACCAAGGAACGGGGAAGAACATCGCCGACACCGCACAAGAAGAAGGCGCGTCGCAAGCGTCGGTACCGCGGTCGATGCCCGAGAGCTCGGAGAACGAGGGCGAGATCGTGCCGGCGGCGGGCCGCATCAACGACAAGGGCGAGGTGATCGACGACGAGGGCAACGCCATCGGCAAGGTCGTCGAGGGCAACGCGCACAAGTTCAACAACTTCATCGTCACGCAGGAGGGCGACATCCTGAACGAGGAGGGGACCGTGGTCGGCAAGGCCGAGCCCCTGGAGGACGTCGCGTCCGAGCTCAACTACACGACGACCAAGTCCGCGAAGGGCGCCGCGCCGCAGGGAGACGAGGAGGCTGCTGAGCAGCAGACGGAGGCTGGCGAGGGTGGCGGCGGCGGCGGCGGCCTAGGCGGTGCGCTCTCGGGCGTCGCGGGTACCGCGCAGTCGGCGATCGGCGGCGTCTCTGGAGGCGTTAGTCAGACGGCTAAGAGCGCTACGGGCGTCCTGGGAGATCAAAACGAAACCCAGGGCGCGCCGGAGAGTGCTGTTGGCGATACGGTGAAAGAGCCTGTGGATGCCGCTGGTGAGGCTGTTGAAGGCGCAGCGGAAGGCGAGAAGGAAGGCGAGAAGGACTTGGATGTACCAGACACGGGTGACGTCGCCGAGGGTGCTCAAGACGTTGCTGAAGGCGCTGCTGAAGGTGTGCAAGACACTGCTGAAGGCGTGCAAGACACTGCCGAAGGCGGCGCCGAAGGAGTGCAAGATGTTGCCGACGAGGCGGGTTCAGCCGATAAGCTTGACCTCGGCTCTAACCCCGAGGAGTTGTCCAAGGAAGGGCTTGTCCCCATTGACATCCCATCACTATCCCCCTCAGTCGCGAACAAGGTCGTCGCTTTATTCGAAGGCCCATTCACTGTCGCGGACGGAGGCAAGGTCATGGACCAAAACAACAAGGTCATCGGCAAGCTAGCAGACGGTTCTGACATCCAAGACCTGGTGGGAAAGAAAGTCGACGGCATTGATGGTCAAGGAAACCTCATAGCTGATACGGGAACTGTGCTCGGGAAAGTTAACATTGCCCCTGAAGGCTCCATTGCGAACCGCATCAAAGAGGCTGTTCCTGAAGCTGTCCCACGTCTTGATGCCTTGGAACAAGAGGCTAAGCATCAGGCTGAAGAAGTCGCACCGATACAAATCCCATCTTTCGCCCCGTCTGTGGCTGACAAAGTCATCGCCATGTACGAGGGTCCCTTCAACATTGCCGAGACTGGTTTGGTCACGGATCAAAAGGGGAAGACTCTCGGCAAGCTCGCTGAAGGCCAAGACCTGGAGAACTTGGTCAACAAAGAGATCAAGGCAGTCGATGCCCAAGGCAATCTGCTCGGCGAAAATGATACTGTCCTCGGCAAGATCGACCTGATCCCCGAAGGTAGCATCGTCGAGCGCATAAAGGAAGAGGTTCCCGAAGCCGCAGAACGCCTCAACGCTCTCGACGCAGCTAAACTTCAAGAGGAACAGAAGAATCTCCCCGACATCTCTACACTAGAGGGCAAGCAGATCAACAAGGGCGGCTTCGTCGTAGACGACAACGGCAACCCGATCGGCAAGGTGATCAGCGGCGACATCAAGAAGATGATCGGCCGCACGCCCGACAAGACCGGCAAAGTCTGGGACAACTCCGGCAACGTGATCGGCGAGGTCGAGGTGCTGCCCGAGGTGATCAAGAACGTCGACGCACCGTTCGAGGACTTCCCCGGCGCGACCGTCGACAAGTTCGGCAAAGTGATCTTCGAGGGCCGCCAGGTCGGCGTCGTCGTCGGCGACGACTTCTCGCGGATGATCGGGAAGAAAGTCGACGCCGAGGGCGACATCGTCGACAAGAACGGCAACGTGATCGGGCACGCGGAACGGCAGGAGCTCGAGGAGCCGCCCGAGCCCGAGGAGGAAGAGGTCGACTTCTCGATGCTGCGCGACAAGAAGGTCAACAAGCTCGGCAACGTCGTCGACGACAAGGGCCAGATCTGGGGCCGCGTCATCCAGGGCGTGCTGAAGAACCTCGTGGGCAAGAAGGTCGGCGACCAGGGCCAGATCTTTAACGATGCGGGACAGGTCATTGGCAAGGCTGAGCCGATCCCTGATCACGAGAGGGAGGATGTGAAGGAGCCCGCGCCGTTCGAGGCGTTCCCCGACGCGGTCGTCAGCGACGGGGGCAAGGTGATGTTCAACGGCGAGCAAGTTGGCATCGTCGTCGACGGCGACCCCAAGAAGCTGAAGGGCAAGACCGTCGACGCCGACGGCGACATCCTCGATAACGCGGGTAACCAGATCGGGCGTGCCGAGCGCTGGGAGGAGCCGGAGCCGGAACCGGAACCGGAAATCGACATGTCGCCGCTGGCAGGAAAGCGCGTTAACAAAGCGGGCAATGCGGTTGACTCGCACGGCGACATCTACGGGCGCGTGATCGAGGGCGACCTCAAGCGCCTGATCGGCAAGATGTGCGATAAGAACGGGTGCATCCGCAACGAGGCCGGCGACATCATCGGGAAGTGTGAGCTTGTCCCCGAGGCGGAGCGCGAGGGCATGAAGGAGGGTCCTTTTACGGAGCTCCCCGGTTGCACCGTGAACAAAGAGGGCAAGGTCGTCACGCCGGGCGGTGATGTAGTCGGCCGCCTTGTGTCGGGCGATCCCAAGATCCTCTTCGGGCGCACGGTCGACGACGATGGGGACATTTGCGACAAGAACGGCAATGTCCTGGGCCACGCCGAGCGCTGGGAAGAGGAGCCGGTGCCGAAGGACATCAACCCGATGTCCGGGCGGCGCGTGAACCGCGAGGGCGGCGTCGTCGACGAGAACGGCGACCTGGTCGGGAAGCTGACGTCGGGCCTGCTGAGCGAGTGCGCGGGTAAGAAGATCGACGACGACGGGGATGTGGTGGATGGGAAGGGGAAGACGCTGGGACACTGCTCGTTATTGGAGGAGCTGCCGTCGGAGACGGACGAGGAGAAGGCGGCGCGGGAGCAGCGGGAGCAGGATAATAAGATCGCGGCGCAGATCTCGATGTGCATTGAGCACTCGCTCGACAAGGTGAAGCCGATATTGAAGATGATTACGGATGTAAGTCTTGACATTTCTACAGCACTTTTCTACGTTCCCTACTTCACTACTGCATTCTACCTTTCTTCTTCCGTTTCGATTTGCTAACTAACTAACTACTTAACCCCAGAAAATCGACTCCGAAGAGCGCAAACCCGAAGACGAGCGGGACGAAGAGGAGCTGGTGAACCAAGTGCGGCCGCTCATCGAAGAAGGCGGCAAGATCCTCACCGAGGCCAACGGCGTGATCCGCGGCCTCGACCCCGACGGCCGCATCTCCACCAACGCCCAGCACAAGACCGCCGCGCGCGAGGCCACGCCGGAGGAGTACCGCCTCGCCGACCTGCTGAAAGACCTCACGGGAACGGTGACGGAGACGATCGAGAACGCGAAGAAGAAGCTCGAGAACCTGCCCCGCGCGAAGAAGGGGATCAATCCACTCTGGGGATTGCTGTCCGAGCCGCTGTTCCAGATTATTGCGGCGGTGGGGTTGTTGTTGAGTGGTGTGTTGGGGTTGGTGGGTAAGCTGCTTAATGGATTGGGCTTGGGAGGGCTGGTTAATAATTTGCTGGGGGGATTGGGCTTGACGAAGGTGCTGGATGGGCTGGGCTTAGGGTCGGTGTTGGCGCCGATTACAGGGAAGAAGAAGTGAGTTTGAACAGCCGGGTGTAGTTTTGATGTTTTAATGAAGATGGTTTGGCGTTTGTTTATCTTATTTTCTTTATTATCGTTGTATACTGGATGTTTTGTTCTGTAACCATCTCTCTAGGTTAGGTTAGTGGTTTGTGATTACTAGTAGTTTCAAAAAGTCTTTCGGTTTTGTAATGGAAGAGTGAAACTTGGGGAATGCAATTATCACGTTTTTAGACTCAGAATAATGTATTCAGTGATGTTTTGTTAATTGTCAATCATCTTAGAGTGGTGTTCCAAGGGCTTGCGAATGCCTTCATCTCTTGTGGTCAGGGGTCACAAGCACCCCTGACACAAGCACCTAGCCGCCCACCTGGGTACCTACGTACCAAATGACTTGCCCGGAGCAAAAGGGCCGCAAAGTTCATGTAGTAGAAAATAAGTTGGCGACCTTGCCCCTACATCATGATGAATTAAGATTTTCGATGTACTCGTGACGTTATTGATGACACGTCCATATGGGATGGAGGGTATCACAAGTCAAGAAGGAAGCAGCTAGCCTACGTAACTCGGGTGGCCCAAGACGGTGGCTGATGCTTTTCACGATTAACATCAACTTATACTGAATATCCTACTACTCGCTACTTAGTACCTAGATAATGTTTGTGGACTCGAAATATTGGAGATAATAGCATCCTATATAAATATTATTTTTATACCTACACTCAGCTTACCGTTACTGCGTACCATCAATCCAATACGAAATAAACAGGTTGAATCATCATGTCGCGGACGTTGCTACTCTGTTTCATACATGGATTCAAGGTGAATAACCAAAGCAGAAGCAGCAAGTGAATACATTAATAGCCCACTGACGGCGCATGTAGGGGAACGATGATACGTTTCGAGAGTTTCCGCGTGATCTACAAAATGCAGTGTCAAATAAACTCCCTGATCACAATGTCGAGTCTATAGTGTACCCGAAATACGATACGAAGGGGGAGCTGGGAGAATGCTGCGCATCTTTTCTGTCGTGGTAAATATTTCATACGATCGCACTTACACTTCATACCATGGGTACGGTGCTAATAGAAGTACCAGGTTGAAAGAGAAGGTAATGGATGTGCGAAAGGCGAACACCGAAAAACCATGGCCTCCTCAAGACAGAGAAGTGGGAGTCGTCTTAGTGGCGCATTCAATGGGGTGAGTGGATAGCTGCATCTCAAAGAAATAGGCCTTGAAAGACTCACGTGTATCGTTCCTAGTGGGTTTGTGGCGGCAGACTCGTTATTCCTCATACTGGATGAGAGGATAGCTCATGGACAAGAAGATTCACCAATCTTCCCGTTGATCCAAGGAATCCTGACATTTGACACCCCTTACAATGGACTTGCACGATCAATGTTCGTCTACGGCGCATTCTCAAACTACCAAAAAGTTAGCACCGTATTCAATGTCATGACCGCTATATCTGCAGCTCCAGCGGCTCTGGGAAAGACAGCCTTGAAGAAGACAGCATCAAGAATCCCCCCCGCACGATCTACCAGTGCGGCCTGGAAAGCTTGGCAACTCGTTGCGGTTCGTACTGGGACTGTTGGTGCTATAGCTGCTGGGGGTGTTGTTGCTTATACGCATCGTCAGCGGATCATGAATGGTGTGCGCAGCGTGAGGAATCTGAACAAGGAGTCCGTCAAAGAAGGTTACCAGCAGGGCATCGATACTCTCAGTCAAGGGCTGGCATATATCAACAGTGGTAACGTGGGCCGGTCTTTTGAATACTTATCAGATCACTTCACCTTTGTTGGCACGCTCATGAAGCAGGCCGAATTGAGTCAAAGGTTAGATCGGTTAGCTGCCCTGAAGGGCATCGGGGTTCACGTCTATTACACGTCTCTGGGAGAGAATGGGATGTGGAGTGGTGGCTACTTCGTACCGGAGCGGACATTTTGCGCCGTTCCCGCCAAGGATCATCAGGCATACCCCCTATTCTCGCGACAAATCCTTAAGAATATCAAAGATGAAGTTCAAGCACACATGAGCATGTTCATCAGAGATAAAAATGAGGAGTATGAGCAGATGATGGAAGAAGCAAGCAATCTAGTAACTACCTGGTTCAACGACGATTCACCTCTCTTCGATGACCCCAAGTTTGCTTCTCATCCATCACCCGAGCCTATCGACCAACTTGTGACCATAACAGAAGATGGCCAAGAAGTGCCCAAGACAGACGCCATTCTCAAAGAAGTGGACATAGACCCAAAAATTCTTGAAGACGAAGAGGATGATGAGGGTGGCTATGGCTTCCCGTCGCCCTTAGATATCACGGCGGCTGCAGCACTCGTGCCTCTCCCAGACGACGTTCCAGAGGAGGAGGAGGAAGATGGCGACGATGAAGACGAGGGCATATTACAAGAGCCCGAAGCAGAAGCAGTGCAGCAAAGCACGTACATGCAATATCTCATGCGAGTTGCCGGACAGGCGAGAAGTGGGGTCAAGTCCTACGTGCCGACCAAAATGCCCGATTTACCTCAAATCCCTTCGGGTCCGAGTTTCAAATCCTATATCCCAAATCAGATGCCGCAGATGCCGCGGATTCCCAAACCATCAGTCCACATATTTAGTAAAAAGATATCGCAGTCGCTTATTGAACTGGATAAGCCAACGGACGAAGCAGTGAAAGAGGCCATACAAGAGTCAGCAACAGAAACTGAGACACCTGCAAGACCTGCACCCGGGGCCGGTAGGAAGAGAGCCGACAGTGGAGTGCATCTATCCTCGGAGCCTATCGGGTCAACAACACTAAAAGAGGATCTAAATACGAAGGCTTCCCCAATAGTAGCCGCCGCTAAATAAGGATATAGAGGTATAGACTAACAGGTATCGGGCTTAGCATCAGTAAAGGTTACAAATATTGCTTGTGACAGCCACCCATTCAAACTCAATAGGATGGACATTCGGAGAGAACACTCCGTACCTGTTGAAGAATGTTGACTAATTAGAGTTCCACGATAACGTCAAGATTGTGCTAGGAGTATCCCCAAATAAAATAATACGGAAAGGAAGACTGGGGTTTCGTTGTCTAGGAGAGTCGTCCAATATCTTGTAAGGAGTTGGGAATAAGGGGTTGGAAATAAACTCTTACGTACCTATATGTTTAATATTACACTTTGAATGACACCAGTCCTATGTATGCGACTATGTGGCCTCGTCCCGTGTGCTTAGGCTCAGCGGGCCGCGGCCATAATGAGGTGTATACGCGACTTTAAACTTCCAGTGCTTTGCCCGTATTCCTCGGTCGCGGCAAAGGTGACTTCATGCTTTGATCATTGGTATAACATGGACGCGTCATGGGAAGGCGGCTTTATTAATCTTTCAGTGCGATGGAAGAACGATTTAAGGGGGTAGGGCTAAGCTTCTTTTTGGTAGGGTTGGGAGATGTATCATATTCTCTTCATCACAACATCAACACCCAGTACCTACCTACTTAAACAGCTCAAAATTATTGGTTAATTGATCTTGATTTTTTTTACCATAAAAATATCCGAAAACAACATACTCGTATTTAAGACTTTCATCAATCAGAACTCCTCATCTCTCTTCTACCTACCTACCTACCTGCCTATCTACCTAGGTACCTACCGCTCAAACAACCATCACAACCATGACAGACAACAAGAAAACCGGCACCAATAGCAGCCAACAAGAAGGCGGCGTCCTGGGCAGCGTCGTGGGGGGCGTCAACAGCGTGCTCACCGGCGAGGACGGGCAGGGCGGGCTGCTCGGGGGCCTCAGCAGCGCGACGGGCAAGACGACGGAGGGCGTGGGCAAGAGCCTGAACAAGACTACGGAGGGCGTGGGCGACACGGCGGGCTCGGCGACGGAGGGCGTGGGCAATGTGGGGAAGGGCGCGACGGATACGCTGGAGGGGACGGTTAGGGGGTTGGCTGGGGGGGAGAAGAAGAAGTGAGGGATGATATGGTGGTGATGCCACAGTTATATAGGGGCCGAGGGGTGGTGTTTGAGGGTAAGGTGTAAGACTATGTGGGGGATGAAGGGGAGTTAGTTTACATGAATGGAATGGGATGGGATGGGATGGGATGTGAGACGTTGTTGGATTTCTGTTCATTCACGAGGTGGTTATTGCTCAGTGCTCTAGGTAATTGGTTGATTAACGATGAAAACATCGTGAGATCATCAAACTTTGGTCGGAGATGTAGCGACGTGAACCTCAATGTCATGTGATCCTTACACTTACTTGCTCTCGTCAGGTACCTACCTATTAGGGGTTAGATTAGGTGCAGAATTCCAAGGTTGATTCTACACTATGCTCCCTCTCCCTTACCTACATGCTGCTTTCTCCATCTCGTGCTACCCTGTACCCGTCCAGGAGCCTTCTCTAAAATGCATTTACTCATTCAATATTTCCGAATTATCAATTAAGTACCTTGGTACTAATCCAATCCCATCCTCGGCTCGCTGCTACATAAGCAACTTGGTAGTGTCACTTGATAGGCGCCCCTACACTAGTAAGACGGATGTGCGCCCCCGAGCGTGCCGCTAGTGTGGAGGATGAAGGATTGGCTATTGTGCGATCGATGTATTGTACATTCTTTTAAGAGGAGCTTAAGAAGTTTCGCTGCATCCTTGGTTGGAGTTTCAATGCCTGGGTGAACCCATATGGAGGTTCCCTTGTTACAAGACAGAGAGAGGTTGGTCACGTTGATGAACGTGAATGCATAGGTACATTGAAATATAATGCACATCGAACTCCATATCAAGGAGTATTGACAAGTCTTTTACCGTTAATTGATACTCGAGTTCATGAAAGCATATACATACCAATTGAGCTATGAGGTACCAGGAACATCGTCACATCCGCGATCTCTGCAAGCTCATCCATATTACCTACTACAGTACGACAGTTCAACGGTGGTACCGTGGTACAGTACTTGGAGGCCTTACTTGAATATCTCAGATCGTCGATGAGTTCAGAGTCGGTAGTAAGTGCTACGTAATCAGGTTTCTGGATAATCCCCGCAACTGTCTCACGGATGGGCAACCCTGCCTTGCCGCTTCACGGGACGACGACGGTGAAATGGGTTCTCGTTATCACGTTATTGAAATATATTCAAGATACTTACAAACCCATATGTTCACCTGAAGTTAAAGCGAATTTCTCAAGATTTATTTGATATATAACTGTTAAGCAGTGTTTTAGAGAAAGTGATGATCCAGGACAGCTACTACGCAATCGACCTCCTGAGGAAATGGTGGGGTGGGATCGTCCAATTACTAGGAGGTGCTAAGTACTAGGTACGATCTATGGCTGCTGCTAGGGGGCCCGCGACGTCAGTCCTCCCTAATATATATGAGGGGAATTCACACTCAGGTATAGTTCCGATTGTGTGATCTGAGGGGGGCCTCAGCAGTGCCGTGGCGGGAAAAAAAAAGAGAGTTAATAATTAGCACGACTCGTGCATTAGGGGGTAAGTAACATCGTGGCTGACTCTTTCTTAGGCCCCTCAATGATCATCATTATTTTATTAGCCATTGGGTAGTGCATAATTGGCAATTGCACTTCTCTCTTGTATGTTTATCCTCGATATTATAGTAACAGCTATCGTGAATGTTGGTCAAAGGATGGGATATATCCTTATGCATGAGAAGCATAAACAAACAAACCAACCTAGGGAATTCAACCGATAGAATCATCTAGCTTAGATGCTTCTAACGTTAGCTTCAAGAGCTCCAAGTGCTTAGACTGCTTGGACTCTGCATATGGATTTCGACCAATGCACGATAGTGGAGTATAGGCCCCCGCCGCCCCGGATTTTTACCCCAGGTTTTCGAAGCCGGTTGATGGAAATATATCCACACACGCACCAAGCCCGTTTGAGTAAGTATGATGTTACAGCTCACCGGCGGAGCTCAGCGAACCATCGTTCAGAAGTCACGCGATGAGCACACCATCAGCGTCTTGTCAACACCTTACTATGTACTGGAGATCGACCCCGCCCAATCATTCCGAAATTCTAGTTGCAGCACCTTGTATCAGCTGGTCTCGTTGATCCCATCATGGTTCCCCCTCGTATCATAGCATTGTACTGTACAATGCAGGACCGGGAGGGAGAGAGAGAGAATGCTAGAACCCCCCCTCTCCTCTCCCATCTCTTCCGAAAGCCCCCTTTTTTTGCCGTCCCTTCAAATTGCTGCTATTCCCCTCTCTGCCTCTTCTCCTTCTCTCTCTCTTTCCTCTGTGTCTCATAGGCATTAGCTTTCTGACTGTTACTGCTCCCAAAATCATCGCTATCATAAACCTTCCTATCTCATCAAGGTAGCTCTCTCTCCCTATTTCTCTCGAATTAATATTACCCGTTCTAGATAATGTTTACGGGCTTTATATACAATTTTATGTGATACTAACGGAGCCCAATACAGATAGTTAGGCCATCTAGTTCCAATCTTATATATATATATCTTTATATATAAACCCCCCCATCCATCATGGCCGAACCTCTCACCAGAGTAGACTCCGCCGTCCAGGGCTTGCACGAACCCGAATCACCCGTTAAGGATGAGAAGAACACCCTCACCAGGGTAGACTCTGCTGTGCAGGGGCTGCCCGAGTCTCCTACGAATAAGACGTTCGACAGGATAGATTCAGGCGTGGCGGACGTGTCCCCGACGTCTCCTACAGACAACAATGCCCTTGAAAGGGTAGACTCAGGCATACAAGGCCTGGAAATATCTCCGAAAGAGGAGGCCCACCACAAGAAGGTGACTCACAGGAGGAAAAGCTCGAGTGCAAATGTACTAACGATGCGGGAAATATGTAAGCATAGAGCCATGTCCTTCTGTTGTTGACTTATCGGTGTTGTCGGATCAATGCTGATGGGTATGGCGATATAAAGTTGAATCCTTCACGAAAATAGAACTGGCCCCAGAAACACAGAGGACGGGATGGTAAGTCATTAGTCTGGCAGTCTCAATTAATCCTCACAATTGCTAATATATCCACTCAATAGGAAGATAAATACGTCTCCGACGAAAGTTGAAGACAAGGACATCCTAAACAAACCACTGATACAACCGCTCGTGAAGGGCATCGACCTCCTCTTCCCAACAGGCGCCGTGGTAACGGCAAGAGCCAAGCCGGGCTCAGGCGGCATCACGATCAAGGATGCATTAGAAGCCATTAGAAAGAAGAACACGAAGCGGGTAAGTGCTTACATCCAATGTTCCCTACCGATTCCAATTCAAACTGGGTCTGGTGGCCCATGCTTGCTTCCACCATCATCCGATGCATCATCTCATAACTAACCCACCACCCCTCTCATCATTATAGTCCGATGACGAACTCCCTGAACCATACTTAGCCGGCTTCGAGTGGACGCCGTCGCACGAGACGTACACGGATAAAGAGCGCGAGGAGGGCATGGCGTGGCATCGGGCACATGTAAAGGATAAAGACTACGCGAAGTTCCATTCGGAGCCGGAGATCAGGAAGGACTGGATGCAGCTCAAGGTACACCTGTCGGCCACACCCGGTGTATCGAGCTTCGGCGGCGGCAAGAAGAAGAAGAAGAACGCTGAATAAGCGACTTCTGTGATGTATCCTTGGATATTGCTGGCCCCCTTTCTCCCCCCCTTTCCCTATGGCCGCGTCGCCTGGGGTGTACTTGGATATGTTGTTGTGATAAGATAGTTGGATAATAATGTGCAGCATCAACCTCTATTAGGACTGGTCTCCTAATCTGCCTATATAGTGAATTCAATCAGAGGCAATTGATGTTTGGTAACCTCCATTGGCTATTGTTATGTCTCTTGGCATGTACAATTGCATTGTGCATACCCGTGAATGTTGAAAAGTTACAATGTGACCAATACTCATGCAGAGTATATGTGCCATATTTACCTAAGTTCCTTTGAAATAATCGCTCAAATAATTTCTATAGTCTTCGTTATACATGCATCCAACAAAGGATTATAACTATCCAGATCTTTATGTTCGTCCTCGCCTTCCCCTCCGTCTGAGTCTTCATTCCCGCTCTCATCCTCTTCCTCATCTTCCGTATCCACATCAATGTAGATTTTAACATGGCCGACCCGGCGATACTGTGAAAGGGACTCATCAACGGGGACAAGCGCCAACCCCTCGGAATCAATCCTATCAAGATGAAGAATGGTTCGGGACCAGAACGGTACAATGAATACTTCATCGTATTGATCGTCATCCAAACTGTCAAATTTAACCCAGCCCGTTATGCTTGCATTGATAGGTGTATCGCGGCTGTGGCGGTGAATGCTGCCGATGCGACGGACATTGAGGAGAGGGTTCGCCAACTCCTTCACATTGACATCCAGACCCTTCGCAACACACGTAGGTCCTCGGAGCAAGATCTTGCCCCCGCTGACCCCGGCCACCATATTTTCACCTCGCGGACATGTCTCGACGCCGAGGACATCGACGAGCTTGCACAGTTTACTGCTGTTCCCGGCGGGAAACTCGACGGGCCCGTCAACGGAGGCCCAGGACCACGACGGCGCCCGATACCCCGACGGTCTCGTCATAGTCGGCCCCTTAACCTTCCACAGCAAGCTATCGGGCATCGTCAGCCGCCATATCCCCGCGAGGTACGCGTCGTACTCCGGGTCCAGCTCTCGCAGTATATTGCCCATGTGGCCCGCGAGCCCGGACAGCGCGACGAGCTTGTCGCTCGGGAACGTGAGGCTGCACGCGCAGTACGCCTCCACGGCCGCCGCCCACTCCGACAGCAGGTTGTGGAGGTATCCGTAGTCGGACCGGACGCTGCTGAACGTGACGTTGATGAGGCGCTTCCACGGATACCGCCCCGCCTTCGAGGCGCCCGCCGCATCGAGCCCCGAGTCCGTGCGGCTGGTGCTGGCTAGCAGCGGCCCCGCCGGGATCGTCTCGCAGCACGTCGTCGTGCAGCACTCCCAGAACACCTGGTTGCGCCCGAAGTAGAGGTTTCGGGCCGCTAGCACGCGCTCCTGCAGCACCCAGGCGCGGGTAATCAGGGGCTCGTGGCGGAAGTCGTTGACCCATGTTTTCGGCTCCTCGGCGTGTCGGTAGTGCGATGGGAGGCTGTGGTCCGGGCTTAGATTCACGATCGTGGGCCCGACTTTGGCGGGGTCGCGCTCGGAAAAGCAGCCGTCCTGGTCGTTGGCCGCGCCGAGGGCGGCGATGTTGAGGAATCCGTTCCGGTATACCGTTTGCATCGTGGCGGATTCGGCCCGCCAGTCCTCCGCGGAGTCTTGGATGATGCAAAGGCGGTCGATCCAGATGTAGCGGACGTGCAGGCGCTCGGTGATCTCGAAGGCGTCGCGGAAGGTCCGGGGAAGAATGGCGACGGGGAGTCCGTCGCGGAGGGTGGAGACGGTGGAGGTCAAGAGCTGCAGCTTCTTCGAGGGGGGCTCGGGTCCCCAGCAATGGCTTAGGGTTACGTATCGCTCCCCTGGATCGAGCTCGCTGTGGTGCACTAATCGAAATTCCTTTTCCGTCTCCGTCGTCCGCAATTCTAGAAGCCGGGTTGGTGTAAACCCCGTGAGTGACTGCTCCTGGCATATCTTGTGAGATTCGAGGCACTTGTCCAGCCAGGTCTCAACTAAAGTCCAGGTCTGGAGGTCCGAGGTAGACGACGAGAGTATAGAATTGAGATGATCGTTTTCTTTTTTGAATTGTTATTAACATGCCCGACTACTGTTGTTGGGAGATTCTTACTGACCGTCATGAACACAAAACTCGTGGGTGAAAAGCTCCATTTCTTCGCCCGCGAAGACATTCATTGTTGGATGTTCCGAGTACTCAAGAGACATGTCGACACAGAACACAGAATAGTATCCCAAACTTGCAAGATGTTCATTTACATCATCGCGATCATTGTTATCATCAAACTCATTGCAAGCGACACAGCCCTGTCGCCTAGACTGAGCCAGTGAGTCGTAGTCCGCATGGTGGCCGAAGACATAGCGCTCTGGCTCTTGCAGTTCGGCTTCCTCTATGGAAGGTTAGCAAACAATGCACCACCTAGAACCAATGCTTCGAAATACTGGGCTTAATAGCTAGCACTTACTTAGCAACTCGTCGACATCATCCAATTCGTCATCCTCGTCGAGATCTAAACGGCACCGCAGAATCTTGGGGAAATCTTGCAGTAGCCCAATCCGTTTGCCTTTGCTAGGGTCCCATATATTTTGAAGCCCCGTACGGCAGACGTCGCACAGCATTGCTCATTTCAATTCTTCGTTTTCAAATCAAGGCACTCACCATTGAGCTAGGCACTGCCATTGCCCTGCAGCAATAGGCAGCGGGTGCTCCCGTGCTTAAATGGACATCGTGGGTATACTACTACCTCAGCTTGTAGGTATTTTGTCCAGGTGGGTTTCGCACACAGCATTAATGACGTGGCGCAGCATGGTGGAGGAGGGAGTATTTTCTATGAAATCCCAGAACCAACAAACAGCAATACGCCGAATCATATCGAGTATACAGGGATTAGTATAAGAAGTACCTAGGCAGATAGGCAGCCTACTTGTCCCAGGGCCATGGTTCGTGAGTTTTATGGGAAAATAAACGCTTCACATTGGTTATGCTGGGTTATGTATGCTTGACTGAGGTATAATTGAACTCGAGAAAGTTCTACATTATAAGCGATCACAGCTTGGTGTATGGCGACGCCACGGCGCCTGGCGAGAACCTTCATGGCGTTAAGGGGCGGTAATGAATGATACCACCTCGAAATGAAATATGTCGTCTAATTTCCCTTTCAAATCGACTGATAAAAATGATATAACTTTATGCTTAATAGCAAGGTTCCTTCTTTTGGGAAGCTTGACTCGAATTAAGCAGTAGGTAGTAGCATCGTCTTCACAGGCCGCCTTTTCGATTGGAAGTGCTATGTAACTTATCAAGGTCACGTACCTCTCGAATACCGAGAGTTTGTAAAGGTATAGTGAAGCTGAAGCACCCTTTGACCGCTGACATACAGTACTAGATAAGTAGTGCCCGATAATTCTACGAACACTAAAATAACCATATTTTGTCAAGTATTAATAGACTAACCCCCATATACTCCCCCACTTACATATGGGACAGTGGCTCGCTCGATCCAGGTGGCTTCAGCTCAAGAATGCTTCTAGACTTTTTGGAAACAGGCTGAACTTTTATTATATGCGTAGAACATCGAATGGTTCAATGCATGGAAATCCCTCATACTTCAGACAAACATAGAAAAAATTATAAAGACCTACAACTTCTATATAGCAGGTATAGTGAACTTGGCTGGTCCATATTTGGAACCGAAGCCTCTCGAGTCTTGATCTATTTCAGTAGTAGTGTCCCAGCTTAAATCCTTGGATAGTAGTGGGGCAAGGCCTCTTTGTCGCGATCATCTCTCTGACCCATTTTCCCTCCTCTGTGCTTTGATCCTACAACACGATGCCCAAGACGGCGAACGGTATTGCCAGCAGCAGCAACAGGAGCAGCACTAATACCAGACCGACCGACTATTGGAAGGCATGGAACAATGGAATTCTTCGAGAACCAAGTTGGCGAGGTGCGATATTTGACGACTCTGGCTGAGACCCCTGGCTCCCTACCTCCCATGTCACCCGGCTCCCAACAGTCGCACAATAACAGCATTACACCAACTGCCGGCGCAAAGAGAAAGAATAGCCTAGATGGATCACCAAGTTCGAAGGGGCCCCCACAGCAAAGAAGCAAGAGGAACAGATACATCTCCATTGCTTGGTGAGTTTTGACCTATACCTGCCTACCTATATACCTTATCAATCCTTTCGATCGGCGCGCGCACGCGACACAAATAAAAATAAAGCGACTCGAGCTCAATCGTATTGACCAAGCCCGTCCACTTCTCTAGTAATGAGTGCAAGAGACGCAAGATCAAATGCAATGGCGAAACACCATGTCAAAGATGCGGCAACCTCAACCTCCATTGCCTTTACGCGCCCAATTGCTGCTCCAACTCCTTCCGGGACTCGGATGAATTCAAGCAGATGACCAACAAGGTCAATCAACTACAAGAGCAAGTCGACGCGCTATTCGCAAACATGACGTCCCTTAGATCCGAAGCCTTACGACTAGCCCCTATCCAAGACCGACCACCCGCTTTACCGTCGGCCTCGAGTGCTTCGTCCATCTCTTCGATTCCATCGATCACGCCCGTAAACAGGATAGCCGAACTACCCCATGTCCGGCAATCCGGCTTCCACGGACCTACGAGCACTCGCTTCAATCTGGATATCGCCAAGAACACCTTACAGAAGATGGGCTATACGAATGTCATGCCTGATGGCGGGGAGCTTGATGAACTCACCCAAGAAAGTCCGGCCCCATCTCCGAATATGAATGCGCAGACGAGTGCAAACCCCAATAGCGCCCATAGGGATCCAATATGGGACTTTGATAAGGATGAACTGATACGGCTATGCCGTCTATATGACGAAGAGATCGGTCTCATGTATCCGGTGGTCAAGGTTGAGGCGGTTATCCATCATGCAAGAACCCTGTCATCGTGGATGGAGGCGTCGAAGAAACACCATTTTGACCCCTTGTACGGCGATGATGGCGAGATCAAGGGCCGCAATACGATATTGCTGAAGATGGTGGTGTGCTGCGCCTTACAGGTCGAGGAACATGGAAATAGCGAGAAAGCTCAGAGACTTCTTCGTAGCGCTATACCGATCACCAACAGCATGCTCATGACTGAGCCGAGTGAAGTGGACAATATTCCCATTCTAGCTCTTGTGGTAGGTTTTTATAACCCCTATAAACGGGTAGTTTACCTAAATTTTATATTCGTAGACACTAATCCCGTATAGGCTGGTTATCACTTCCTCGCCAACGATGAAATCCTGGCCTGGCGGACTATGGGTCAGGTAACGCGCCTCTGCTTTGAGTTGGGGCTTCATCGGCGCGAGGCAATCCAGCGATTCCCCACCGAGGAAGAGAGGAATACCGCAATAAACACGTTCTGGTCGGCGTTTGTGTTGGACCGTCGGTGGGCGTTTGGGACTGGATTGCCGTTCACAATTCAGGATGAAGAGGTCGACCCTCAATTACCGTATCCTGTAAGTATGAGAATTTACGATTTGCCCTTGATACCGAGGTACCCACATCATACTCCTATGTATCGAATACCAACCTAGGTACCTACGAAGCCGAAACCTCTAAAGTCTAGTATCACTAACTTGTTAAAGAAATCCCACCCCTATTTAGTCGCCATGATCGATTACTCGAAGCTGAGCGCAAAAGTATGGCGCCTCGTTCGGCATTTCGAGCCTAACACCACGCTAGAACTCCGACCGGACAACATGGAGACAATCGACCGGCAAATCAAGCAATGGTATGCCGATGTGCCCCCAGAGACCCAGCTGGAGCTTTCCGACTGGGAGGCCATGCCCGCATACTTAAACCCCCCTATCCATTCCCACAAGGAATACGACATCCAACGACTGCAGATATGGACGTACCTCCGCTTCAACCAGATCCGCACGTGGCTGTACACGCCCATCCTGCACCGGCACAGCAGCATCATGGAGAACCTCGCGTTCGCCGAGCGCGTCGTCAAGCTAGCCAAGAACACGATCTGCTACCTATCGCACCTGAACAACACGACGAACATCTACCGCAAGATCCAGATCTTCTACCACCAGTTCCTGCTATCCGCCATCTCGGTGCTCTTCCTCGCGTCCTGCCACGCGCCCGTCAACTTCAGCTCCTCGTGCCGCCACGAGTTCTACCTCGCGCTCGAGCTCGTCAAGGACATGTCCTCCAAGTCCTGGGTCTCCCAGCGGCTCTGGGGCACCATCAAGTCGCTGCGCGAGGTCGCGCCTCGTTTAGGGCTCGACCAGGACCCGCACTCGACGGCGGCGCTGACGATGGCAGGCTTAGCGACGGGGCAGATGGTCGCGACGCCGCCGCTGCCCTCGGGATACCAGTCCCATCCGTCGCCTGTTGTTGCGGCGGCGACGCCCTCAGCGCCGGCACCAACACAACCACCGCCGGCGTTTAATAGCGCGCAGACGGGGCAGCAGATCTCGACGGAGATGTCGCGGATCTTCGAGGGGTACTTGGGGAAGAACACGAGTCCCGGTGGTGGACCGCTGCCGCCGTCGAGTAGCACGCCGCCTGTGGGCGATGGCACGGGCGCGGGCCTGCCGTACGGCAGTATGGGGGTGAATGTGTACCAGCACTTTAAAGACTTGTTTTGAGGAGTTGGGTTCTTGAATACCTAGGTAACTATAGCAAGCGAGCGAGCGAGCAATTATATTAATATCACTAGGGTACTGTGTATAGCGGAAATGGGGTACGCGAGAAGGATTTTTGGATGTCTATTGGCGAGACGAGACGAGTTGAACGGAGTAAACACGTTTAACTAACTAGACTTATACATAGGTAGGTATATATCCCATGAATGTATGTACGTATTCACGTATTTCTTTCTTTTATAGATGTTTATATTCGGAATCGAGTAGATAGTTGCGTCTTGCGATAAATACCCCATACTATTATATACCTACCTACCTTCATTACACGTGGCGAGCGTCTTACTTTGAAAGCATTTGAGCTATTCTATAGCCCCTTTAGAGTCTACTTCTAGGCGCAGAGCAGGTAGGATGAGTTAAAAATCCACCCCCGACAGAAGAGAGCATACTTGGGTACCTAGCACTCAACAATCTACGAGTAAATCCTCATCCATCAACGCTTGCTCGCCTCTTCCCACCCAGCAATCATCTCACCCAAGATTGAAGGATAAGTACCTACCGCTAAAGACACTCGATTTGTGCTATCCCAAGTCAAATTCCAATAGCAATCAAGCTCAACAGAGACCGACGCGTAAGCACCATGCATCGACGCCCCCCTAACCGCATCCGCCATCTTCCTCGTCGCCACCATCACCCCCACCCCCACCCCCACCGCCATCCCCACCGCCATCCCCACCGTCCGCACCGTCCTCTCCTCCCTCTCCAGCCTCGCCAAGAACGTGTCGAGCCGCGACCCCGCCGCCGCCTTCACCTGCACCGCGGGCATCGGCAGCGCGGCCTGGGACCGACTGACACGGCAACTCCATCCGGTGGGTGCGGCGGTCGCTGGGTCTGTCTTTGTGCGTGCGGGGGATGATGAGGAAGAAGAAGAGGCGGTGGGCAGGAGCTACGTCGTCGTGCAGAAGTAAGTACCTGCACGGCCTGCGCGCCTGGGCCGCCCTCTCGGCCGAGGAGCAGGAGTCCATCGTCGGGCGGAGAAAGTTAGATAACTTCGAGCTTGCTGACGCTGCGGCGGGGAGGCAGCAGTCGCATGAGTCGCTGGCGACGATCGGGGACGGGGACGGGGGCGAGATCCTGAGGGATAACATGCCGTTTGGCTCGCCCGGCGCCGGCGAGTTCGGGACGTACTTTGTTGGGTATGCGGGGAGGCTGTGGGTTGTCGAGCGCATGCTGCAGCGCATGTTCGTCGGAGAGCCGCCGGGGCTGCACGATAGGCTGCTGGATTTTCTCGAGGCCGGTTACGGGGACGGTGTTTTTTGCGCCGTCTTGTGATTTTTTGAGGGGACTGGGTAGGGATGATGATGATGGTGATCAGGTAGGTAGGTAGGTAGGTAGGTGATATTTCATTTGTTAGATGAGGTCCGGAGGGGGTGGTATTCCCCTCAGGATGCTGTCAATACGAAATTATTTTCATCATTCTTATTCTTATTCTATGAGAACTGAATTGCATTCAATGAATTCATATACAAAATTTTCAAATTGAATGTTGCGAATCATTCGAAGCTTTCTTATAGAAAAGTTACGTGATACAACATGAACCATAGATCATGCCCCTTTTCAGCACATACTTAGGTAGGTAGGTATGAACAACATCTTCACCTCAACCCTAGGTGTTCTTTGGGGCGATCACACATTAGACGTTGGATTTAGGGTCAGGTTAATACCGGACTGCTTGTGCTGCTAGGATTTGTTGGGGTACAATTGACACCTGGCTACCGACCTAGGTGATTTTTGAGGGACCCAACAACCACGGGTGCGTCCGCAAGGTCAGACGCTTAATTCCACGTCTCTATTGCGATATGTCTTAACGGGGTCATGTGATTTTATAGACGAGTTAGATCTAATAGTTACTATTGAATAGGGTATGAATCACAGACGATCTAGAGTCGCATGCAGTAAAGGTCCACTTGATATACTGACGTGCTTTTGCGTGTCGATGAGGAATCTGTCGTTTCCATTCACAATTCTTGATTTTTGAATTAATTCAACCTCTGCCTTCATATTAGTATAACCGCACAACATATAAAGTCAACTGCCTTCCCATGAAAGCTTTTTTCATCCTTCTATCTTCTCCATAAACACTGCTGTTACATTTTCAATACGAAAAGGGTAGAAAATACAACAGCTACAAAACTCAACAAAAGGAATTGGCTATCTAGGGTTTTTGTATTATACCAAGGTTAATGTACCCTTTCTAAAAAAATTGCGAAATGGAGTTATTCTCTGACACAGGCAGCATTAACCCTCCCCGACCGCCACCATGAGGTCCTTTCACGTTCTTGGGACAGCCTTGACACTGTCACTCCCGGTTATTGCGGATTGGCAATACAAATCTCGTTCGGATCTTGCTCCACCAAGACTTAATATCACCATCCCGGCGACTAAGGATGTCGAAAAGGGGTACTTGTTCGTTGCCCCATTCGCAGGATTCCCAGATACACCTACGGAGCAGCATGGTCCCAGGCAAGCTGGCCCGTATATATTCCGCGACAATGGCGACCTAGTCTGGTCCGGCTATGGAATCTACAGCATCTGGTCGACCAATTTCCAAGCTGGTCGCTGGGACGGCAAGGATATCCTGTTTAGCTTTGAAGGTGACCATAATCCGGGATATGGACACGGTCACGGCCATGTCACTATAATGGACAACCACTACGAGACTATCCGAGAACTGCGAGCTGGTAACCATAAGCTGGTAGATAAGCACGAGTTCCATATCGTCAATGAGAAAACGGGCTTGATTCAGATCTACCAACCGGTTGCTCGTGATTTGACGGCTTGGGGTGCCAGCGCTGAACAACAGTGGATCGTCAATGCCATCATCCAAGGTAGGTGCCTATAATACAATCAATATTTATCAAAGACTCGCGGTTCTAATGTATTGATAGAACTTGATATCACCACTGGTGAATTGCTCTTCGAGTGGGCAAGTCTAGACCATGTTTCCCCCGACGGTATGCTCAACAACCCTTTCCCCATAGTGACTAACGATTTATTTTCTAACAATCCACAGAGGCAATCCTACCCATCAACCCCGGCCAAGCCGGATCCGGGTACAATAGCTCCGACGCATGGGACTACTTCCACATCAACAGCGTCGACAAGGACGCCGACGGCAACTATCTCATCTCCGCGCGCGACGCGTGCAGCGTCCACAAGATCAACGGGACGAGCGGGGAAATCATCTGGAAGCTGAACGGCAAGGACAGCTCGTTCAAGGTGCCCAAGGACACCGAGTTCTGCTTCCAGCACCACGCCCGCTTTATAAGCCAGGAGGACGGCATCGAGATCATCAGCCTCTACGACAACAGCGCGCACGGAACCGAGCATAGCGGGGGATCGGAGGTGCATACTGCGCCGACGAGCAGCGGGAAGATCATCCAGGTCAATACTACCTCCTGGGAGGCCGAACTGGTGCAGGGCTTTTACCCGCCGGATGATCTCCTATCCAAGTCTCAGGGTTCCACCCAGATCTTACCCAACGGAAACGCCTTGGTGAACTGGGGGTCGTCAGGTGCAGTGACAGAGTATCTCCCCAACGGCGAGGCAATCTTCCACGCGTACATGGACTCCGGTGATCTTGGCCTGGGCGTCGAGAACTACCGCGCCTTCCGTTACAACTGGACGGGCTTGCCCAACGAAGAGCCTGCTATTGTAGCGCTCCAGGACGATGAAGAGATCACTGCTTACGTGAGTTGGAACGGCGACACTGAGACCAAGACCTGGAAGTTCTACGCCGCTACGGATAGCAATGGATCGAAGAAGTTTATCGGCGAAGTCGAAAGGACTAGCTTCGAGACTTCACTTCGGATTCCTAAGCATGCGACTGCCGTCTCTGCCGAAGCTATTGGTGCCAATGGGAAGAGTTTGCGACATACGGCAACAGTGCTTGTCGAGCAGGAAATTAAACCCGCTGGAAACGCCTACAAGGCAACCACCGAGACTACGGCGGAGAAGGTTATGGAGAAGTCTAGCAGCCGTTGGGAAGAATACGAATTGTAAACCGACCGGGTGCGAGTTTGCGACTTTTGATTGGAGGCAGACTGTGGTGTCTTGCCTATCCCCTTTTTCAATCCACCCCTATTCAGGGTAGTACCTGTAGGTACTAGGTACCTGCCTAATTAGGGGCATCATTGTGGTCGACCATCCATTCTTTGATACATCTACATTCGTTTAGACTGTTTATAGCTGACCTTAATACATTCATTTGGTAAATTCTCTTGTTATATTCCGCAAAGTGTATCTTGCCATGTATGCCCAGGTGGTTTGAGGGACTTTTCTCAACCTGACGTTTTGGGAAGAGCCGCATCACGACCAGTCTCACCGCTCCCACACTTTGAGTGGTCAACATGAACTCTGGTCCCGTTAACAAGGAGACTAGGGCGGAGATGAGTTCCGAGAAATTGAGTGCTTATTCAACATACAACACTACCTAACGTAGTAAGGTCATATGGAGCAAGTGCTCAGATCCCTAGGTAAACATGACGTTTGGTTGGAGAAAGAGTACGATCCGTTGCGTGACCATCTCAGATCCCGGAGGTAGACTTGGCAGCAGCGGGGAGCGGAACATACGGTACGAGAGATGTAAATAGACAGCAAATGAGGCGGTTGACAGAATACGAAGCGTTGTTGTTGCCGAAACGCGCATAGTGTTTCCCATGCCATCCGAAGCGGTCTGTCCAAACCGACGAATGCAACATTCGAATTAATTCGGTCAGCAGCATCAGCACTAGTTTCTCATCCCGCCTAGTAAATCATCTTATGCTTTGCATGAAGGCTATTAGAGACGGCACGTCCACAGATGGGATGCTACGCTACGTCCCGTGAAGACAAAGGGGCCTTTTTGTTAGTTCCCATTCTTTAATTTACCCAAGTTACCTGCGCCATCTCATTGTCTAAACTGAGAATGCCAAATGGTTTGTTTACGCGCCGCATACGGAAGTAACACCTAGTATAAGCGAGTTAGGCCCCTTGTCGTATGCCTGGATGGTATAACTCGTATTAGGTAAACGATTCAAAAAAGAATTCTAAAAATTATTCAATCAACGTGACTCTACCTACATGCATACCTTGAAGACATGTAACATAGAAAAACATCAATGAATTCGATTTTAGTATGCGCTTGCCTGTAAGGACGGACGTACTCAGGCCCATAGCACCATAATGATCGTCCGTCAGGCATCTGAGAGATCTTGATCTCGGATGCAAAGCACCATCACAAGACCAAGCATTTTTATTCTAGAATCCTTCTAGAAAACACGGTTCGCTTCGCTTCGTAGCGGGAAACTAAAAATAGGTAGAGAAGCTTCCCGGGCTAAGGCGCGCAAAAGTCGCAAGCGGGCTACCACGTTACAGCACCAAGCCAAGCCCGCTCTCTCACCAATCGCCAGGCGTCCATCCAGCCACGAAGGAGAGCGTGGCTTGGGGGAGACATGCCAAGAACATCAGTCGAAAGAGGGCCGGATCGCCCACATAGGGCTAGATGGACGATCATTTCCGCGTGGGGAATTGGCCTTAGACCAAATCGAGTCAGGGCTGAGGATTGAGGTGCTAAATATGTACAACGATACGATGCCGCGAGCATCCACAGTCCAGGGTCTTGGAATACGAGCTTAAGCCTCAACCTCTCTCCGCATCGTTACATCTGCACTATTATTCCCCGTCATGTGACTATGGAGAGACCAGAGAGGGCAAGACACAAGAAACAAGACAGGCTACGTCAATACGAGCTTTTTCGAACAACGAGGGTAATATGGCCTAAGACCACCAATAGTAGAGGACTAGGTTAGCCAAGTTCGGTCAGGCCATCATCGGGTTGACTTGACAGCATGGCAAAGACTTCTTCGATTCGATGATGATGGTTGGTTTTTGTTGAACAACAAGATCCTCCGTGTATAAAACACCAGTCGAGCCCTCCTGTTCATCTCTTTCCCATTCAGTCACTCTCATCCACATCATCAAGATCATCACTCATCATTATCATCATCAACATCATTCGCTACCGTATTACCAACATATCCAATAATCATTAATACCAGTAATCTCTTACTCACACCAAGCACCACCACCACAACCGCCAAAATGCAGTTCACAACCCTCCTCCTCAGCACCCTCCTCACCACCACCACCACCCTCGCAGCCCCCACCCCCGCCACCGCCTCCAAGTCCGCCGTAGCCGACGTCCCGCAATGGACCCTCGAGGCCTTCCAGCGCGTGTGCGACGCCGCCGACACAAGCTGCACCTGGTCCTTCACGATCAACACGCACCTCGCCGGCGCCGCCAGCACGCCCTGCTCCTTCGTCGTCAAGGCGGGCGCCAAGCCCGCGAGCCACACCGACTCCGCCGGCAACGCCTGCGGCAAGTACACCGTGGGCAGCGGCTGGAGCGACCAGTTCGGTCCCGAGAACGGCTTCACCACCCTCAGCCTCGTCGACAACGAGCAGAAGCTCATCACCTGGCCCTCCTACACCGATAAGGCGCTTGCCGGTGGCGCGCCCGTCACCCCCGACTTGAGCTGGCCTCCTACCCAGCTTACCTTCTAGATTATCCGCACTTAGGATAAGATAGGATGGGATGGGCTGAAGAATAGGATTGATTTGATGGGTTGACTGGATATCACGAAAGGAAAGGAAAAGAAAGCGCGTCGGGTTTCAGGGGTTGGGGAGTGTAATGAACATACGAGGCACGGTGTAATACAAGTCGCCAATGTTTAATATTTAGTACATAGCAGCATAGCCTGGGTCACACACACACACATATATGCCTATATATAAAAAAGCGGATTCACTCTTTAACAATCTCATCATATCACGATAATAGTGAAAGTCGTTCATCTTTGTTTATAAAATCATTTCTATCTTATGTAAATGCCGTTCAAAGGGTATCGTACTGTGTATCATGAATCTAAATATCCCGTAAAACCGCACCGAAATATCCAACCTGCGCTTTTTCCAAGCAACTACCTCCTACCAGTGTGTCCTGTGCTGCCCTGTCCGGTTCCATCCCTTCTAAACCTCATCCGCAAAGGGGTCCACCTTGTACACGCTCCTAGCATCCCGAAAGTCCTGCTTGAACCTGTGCGCCGTGAGCCTCGCCGCGAAGATGATCTCCCACTGCCAGAACCACATGGCCTTATCTTCGACCCAAGTGTCGAGGATCTCATCTCCGCCCTCTGGCGTGTTCCATACCCAGATCTTGGAGGCGTTCTCTTCGGTCAGGCTTTGGACTAGGCCCGCTGGTTCGGGGACGGGGACGGGGACCTCGGGTTGACTGGGCGTATCTGGAACCCGGGATGTACTGGCTGCAGCCTCTGCCACGGGTGTGGCTGGCTGCTCGGGAATTGGTGTAGCACCGAAAGATGCGTCAGGCGGGTCACTGTTACCACCGTCGAGGTCTATAAACTCGAATATTGAGCTTTCGGGGGAAAGAGGAGGTGAGGGTGTGCGTCGGGGTGATGCTGGCACATTTTCTGGTGACGTTGCCGTCGCAGTCACTTGCTGCTCTATTACTTGCTGGACAGCCAATGCCTCGAGTTCTTCCTCCACGTCATCTGCCCATGAAAATGAAAACGGCTCAGGTCTTGTCGGTAGCGGTGACAGTGGAATCATGCTTGTACCAGATGCCATGTCTGTAGCATCTGGCATATCTATATCATTGGTAGCAGCAGGATTGACACTGCTGCTAGTTTCCGCTTGGCCGTTGCCATCTATCAGAAAGCCGTTGTTGTCGTATTTCACGGCTTCTTCAGTGACGGGCGATTCATCACCCACAGTAGCTCCAGTAGAACTCGCATCACTCTCTTTCCCAGGGGAACCCACGTTGAACAAGTCATCGAAGAAATCGTCGACACTGGTGTATTTGCCTGCTATTATGCAGTCCATTTCGTCTTCGGTGATCCTGTTGTCTTTCACGAGTTGTCTCAGGTAACTCTCGCTAACCGGTTTGACTCTCCTCATGATTTCCTCGACGGCGTAAGTATCATCTACAGTCGCTAGCTCAGGTTTTCCCATTGCTTCGCGTAGCTGTGCCAACGATATCTTTAAAATATCAAGGTAGTATCTTCGGGCGTCCACAAATACTTGCTTGCCTGCAGGATCGCCCCAAGAGAAGAACTTGATGTCTTGTTGTAAGCGAGCTTGTATGCCCGCTATTTTGGCGATCTTCATGCGGAAATTATAAATTAAAAAGTCGGTTAATGAGACAAAATCCATTGCAACGGTATTGGTGGTATATATGTGGGTTTGCAGTTTTGTATAGTATAGTTGACTCCTTTATGTTGTGTGTTCCTGACTTGGGATGAATTCTTGAAGGGAAAACAGCCGGTTTAAGAAGACGTAGGGAATTCTTTCCCCGATTTAAGTAGTCACAGCTTTTGCAAGAGAAAGGCATTTGGCTTCCTCTCTATTTAAACTGTGAGTCGGTCAAAGTTTGGTTAAAATCAACCACGAGAGAATAGATCATCCTCTCTCGTCAGCACTGTACTGATATTGTATTAGAACGTGCTTAATGGCGTTTGTGTGAACTTAAACAATAGTATTGTACTTTTGTCCCGGCACCACGTGTAGATAAAATAAATAATGATGAACAATGACACTTGCGTGTGCCATGCCCTTATGCTCGGATACCATCTTTGTCTCCATATGATAAAGGGGGGTGAATGGTTTGGCACAAGGAGCAATGAACAAAACTGGTAGGCTGCCACCGCAGACAGGAGCTGGGCTTGGAAAATAGTAGATTGGATTGAAAGACTGCATTGATGCTTTTCTGGAATCTTTCAGCAACACCCATACCTTCCAAGCTGGAAGGTAATGTCAATAAGCTTCGATAATGGGGGCTACGCAGTTGCCTTAGTAGCATACCTACCCGGATACCTAAGGGATCAACTTAGGCAGTAAGGTTAAGCATCACGTCTCAAGGTCGATGCTAAGAGGCTGACTTTGGCTCCTACTTGCCTAATATTTGATATACGGTCATATACCCATAAACAATCAGGGAACTAGGGCAATTGCTAAATCTAACACATAGGTAAAGTCAAAGACAGAGCATCCTGGGATTGCCAGTCAAACTTGGATCAGTGCCAGTGGTCAAGGCTAAGTAAAGACATCAGACCTCTTATATTATGATTACATTGAAGTCTTTGAGGAAGCTCACGATAGTTTAGATTTCTTACATTATGGCCCATGTGGTGATTTGGGTTAGGTATAAATAAACATTGAACCTTCATACATAGTAGTTAGTAGTTACTCTAGGTAGGTAGGTTAAGAAACTATCCATCTAATGTTGGCTTGGACTTGATGGTAGGATGAAGCTGCAAGGTACCAAGGTTTGCCAAATTATTTGGAAACTTTGAAGTTGCGATGTCATTTGAGACTTTGAATATTATGTAATTGTTGGTATAAGTACAGTGACGCAATATGTGTTTACACCATGTAATTCCTTGGCCTTTTAAACTCTTAAAAAACCTGTTGCTGGCACAGTTTCATCGTTCTTTCACTCCCTAAATCGGGCCAGACGTTCCTACTTGTCCTACACTACACCCTTTGCCGAGCCAGCAAAGCAAGTGGGGTATTTGCAGCACTGTAACTGGCTAAGAAGCTGGGCTGAATCAGATCCATTCATTGAATTGTTTGCTGGCAGGGAATTAGTGAGATGAGACGTCACAGCTAGACGCTACAGACGCTACAGACGCTACAGAATAAAATAAGGATAAAACACCACGCGATAATCAAGTTCAGGACCCTCTTCTTCCTTCTTTTGGATTTCTAGGTACATTACATAGTACAAACCAGTGTACATAATACATACCTAGTATTGATGTATTGCATTTGATTTGTTGCCATATCCATTTCCGACGCCATTTTCTTGTTTATACTCCAACCTTGAACTTAACATTGAAATAACCTCATAGTCATCAATACCTACCACATACCTACATAGTAGGTGCTATGTACTAATCGTACATACTCACTCGTTTTTTGTCTCACAACTCCCAAATCAAACTCTGTATGACCACTTTTATGATACAGTTATTGTCTGAAGAATAAAGCAAAGCAAAGCGAGCAATTTGTTGGTCATTATTATGGCGGAGACAACGCCCCTCCCACCAACCGAGTCCATTCACCAAGCAGGCGGCGGCCAACCGGGTGGCGAAGATCGTACTATCAAAGAAGTCAAATCTACCGTCTTACGATACTTGGAGGATATTTATTCTAAGCATGCATCTCCCGCCGATAAGAAATGGCACAAGGACTCTATTATCGAGTTCCTGCATCACTCACAGGCCGACAAGGTCACAGATCCATCCGGTCATATCGCTTCTCGGGATGATCTCGACTTTGCCAGCTTCCTGCACTACATGACTTCTGCCACCGCTAATGCACAAGCACCACCGTCAGACCAGGACCTGTCCTGGCCACTAGCTAGCTACTTTATCAGCTCCAGTCACAATACCTACCTAACAGGCAACCAGCTTAACAGCCACTCTGACGCCGATGCCTACAGGAACGTTTTGCTTCGCGGCTGCCGGTGTGTCGAGATTGATGTTTGGGATGGCGACGACTCTGATTCCGAAGTGTCGGATAGTTCCGATAGTAGCGTGGACGAAGACGCCAAGGAGATTAAGGCTATCAGGAAAGCTAGCCGTAGAGAAAAGCTTGCCTCGAAGCTACCGAAATCTATTGGCAGTCGGTTGAGCAAGAGAATCACCGGAAAGAAAGAGGAGCAGCTTAGTTCAACCGAGAATAAAGAAGGGACAGCTACTGATGGAACAGCGCCGCTGAAGAAATCGCCTAGTCCCCAAGCAGGAATCGTCGAGCCTAGGGTCTTGCATGGCTACACACTCACCAAAGAAGTTTCATTCCGCAAAGTCTGCGAGGCTATCCGAGACAGCGCATTTATCGTCTCTGACTTGCCGGTTATAGTAAGTTTGGAAGTTCACTGCTGCGAGCAGCAACAAGACGCTATGGTCCGGATCATCAACGATGTCTGGGCTGGCTTCCTGCTGCCTCAGCCTCCCGATAACACTAAGTTCCTTCCTGCTCCAGGTGACCTACGCAACAAGATCCTCGTCAAGGTCAAATACGCACCTCCCGATGCGCTTGGGGCGGCCACTGATGAGATATCAAACGACCGTCTACCACCCACTGCCAAGACAACAACATCGGGCACGGCGCAAAAGCAAGTCAAGAAAGCCTCCAAGATTATACAGGCTCTGTCTGCGCTAGGTGTCTACACGCGAGGCGTTTCCTTTAAATCTCTTTCTCAGCCTGAGGCTTCAATGCCGACACACATATTCTCCCTTTCGGAAGGCGGCGTAGCGGAGGTGCACGAAAGCGAAGCAGCTAAGCTATTCGAACATAATCGCGAGTATCTCATGCGTACCTATCCTTCCGGCATGCGAATCGGGTCATCAAACTTGGACGCGCCAACATTCTGGCGCAAGGGGATCCAGATTGTAGCGCTCAACTGGCAGAAATGGGACGAAGGCATGATGCTAAATGAGGGCTTATTCGCCGGCACGGGGGGATATGTTTTGAAGCCAGAGGGTTACCGGGGTAGGAAACCCGTCACCATTATCAGCGAAGAAAGCGGAGAAGGAGAAGGAAAGGAAGAACAAGCCGCACCGATCCCCGCCCCCGAAATGATCAGGCACCAGACTCTCGACCTTCGTATCACCGTGTTCGCTGCGCAGGACCTACCGATGCCCGAAGAAGATGATAAGGAAAGCGGGTTCAAGCCCTATGTTAAAGTCGAGCTACACACGGAACCACCGCACGATGCACACCTCTCTGTCACCGGCACCCATGTGACAGCCGCTGCTGGGGGTAATGGCACGCGGGCCAAGGAAGGCGAGTACAAGGCGCGAACCAAAACGCAGCGCGGCATAAATCCCGACTTCAAAGCCGAGGCGCTAGATGTGGCTAAGGGGATCACCGGCGTCGTGCCCGAGCTCACGTTCGTGCGCTTCCTCGTCAAGGACGACGAAATCGGCCGCGATGACCTAGCCGCCTGGGCTTGTATCCGTGTCGATAGACTTCGAACAGGGTATAGGTTCGTTCATTTGCTAGACAAAGAGGGCCAGGAGAGCAATGGCGTGGTACTTGTGAAGGTCGACAAAAAACTCACGTAGGGTGTGGGTTCCGCGTCGACTCCACAAGTGAGCGACAGTAAACATGGCCGATTTAGCAAATTTGGGTGTTGCCGTGAGAAATGTGGTTTGATGTAGGCACGGAACAGTGTGTTGCCTACCCACATCATCATCATATGCCTAAAAGCATATCATAGCAAAATTTTTGGGTTGCTTTCCTCTTTCATGGTGGGCGATGTCGAGCAAGCGGGTATATAGTTGGTGGTAGCAGATTGGGACATGAAGAGAAGAAAATTAGTTTGATGGTTGATAGATATCGTACCTACATTGGGTACTAGGTTAGGCTACTAGGCACTAATCTTGAGAGTATTTATGACTTTGCATCATGGGTATCACTTGAGACTATGAAATAACATGACTTAACTAGAGATTGACCACGAATAGCAGCCCCGGCCCCGGCCCCGGATCCAGCCCCCTTAATGCCAATCCCATGCCCTCCCTCTTTTCTCCCTTTCCATTTCCATCTCCTCATATCCCCAATTCTCACGTTCACGAACCCTTGTAATTCCCCAACTCCGGCTCAACCTCACTGTGATGATCCGTCGTCGATATAAGGCTAATCCTGTTCCACGCGCCTCTACCCTCCATGTTCGCCCGCGCGGCTCGGTAGGCGCGCAATCTAGTCGCGTACGCGTGGGTGGATAGGGATGAGGTTTGGGAATCGTGGAGGAGGAGGTGGTGGAGGGGGTCGTCGTCGTCTGTGTCGGATTCTGAGTCTGGTTTGGATTTGGGTTTGGGTTTGGCGATGGTAAAGGGAGTGGGAGTATAGTCGTGCTGGAAGGATTCGTAGTTGCGTTTGTTGAGGGTGGGCGGTGGTGATGGTGATGGTGATGGTGGTGGTGGCAGTGGCAGTGAGATATGCGAGTGAGGGGGCTGGAGTAGGGCATTGGGGACTGAGGGGTTGTTTTGTCCTGCTACGCGCGGGGTCTCTGCCGTCGGCGTGGTCTCCTTGTCATCAGTCATGCTGATATTTTTGGGGTGGTGAGATGATGACATAGGGCTCGAAAGCATCCCCAAACTAGATATCGTCGTGTGCTGAGACCCGTGTTCCCGGTCTTCACTCCCCGCTCTTAGCCTGCGCCTCTCTTCGAACTGTTCTTCCATTAGGAGGTCGTGTTTAAAGACGTCGCCAGAACAACAGTCCCCAAAGAGCCCTTGGATGCTGTGGCCTCTTTCCTCCCAACGCACAGGATCCACGGTGCACGGCCAGACATTCTTGGGTTTGAAGGTGTGGACCAAATGACGAAGTTCGGGTAGTGATGAGTGTCTGGCGTACGGAAAGACGATTTGCCTGGGTAGCAGGTTGCTTGGATCGCTATCCTCGACCTTCTTTGTCGGGTTTTGGATGTCTTTGGCCTTTTTGGCGAGGGTTTCGAAGATCTTCGCCGTGGATTCCTCTTTCTTGAAATCGGATAGGTCCATGTCGAGGCAGATGTCTCTAGACCCTAGTAGCATGCTCTCGAGAATATCCTTGATGCTATCTCTTACTTTGTCCAAGGATTGGTCGCCTTGGCTGTTTCTGCAAGGCATAAGTTGATGTACGTCTAAAGGATATGGATGTTACGGCTTACTTCTCGCACCAAGCCAAGATGTCGCCGATCTCAAGGCTCGGTTTATGTGTGAGGTCATCGCCACCACCGCCAATGCCTACCTCGACCATGTCCCGCCCTTCCTTAAGATGTGCGACGATTGGCTTGATCCAGACAATTGGCTTACTCTCCACGACGGCGCAAGCCGTGCCTTTTTCGCAGCTATGGATTCGTACGTCTTCATTTAGCGTCAGACACCCCTCGCGCTGATTGTTGCCGCACGTGAAGCCTGCAAGATAGGGGGCCTCTTTAGTCAAGTGCGTTTGGGCCGCGAAACGATTATCTTTGAGTTTTGTGGCCAGAGATTTAAATACCCCCATCTTGTACGTGTCCACATGAATCTTCAGAAAAGTCGTTAGCTATCGGACCTACTAGATTAAAGGAGCTTTACATGCCTTTGAATTCAGGGCTTTGGATAGAGCGACCCAAACCTCCTCGTACCTACGAAATTATTAGACACTTATGGTGGTTTAGGGGCTGATTCAACTTACCCGTAGGTCCATGCTTGCATAAAGAAGATGGTATCTTTCGGGTACCGTGCGACTTTCTCTAAAAGCTCACAAATGCCTTCAGCTTTGGATTGTAGTGGGAAGTTGTCTACAATGGAAGTATCAAGGTAGATACAATCGAGACACTTGATCCCCATTGAGTATTGCAGGATCGTCGGATTCCTGGCAATGGAATTAACCCACCACGGCTCACTTCTGATGTCTCCGGTATATAGGATAGCCTTGCCATCACCTTCGATCACTGCCGATGCTTGTTAATACTAGTCAATAGGTTTAGCCACAAGTCACACAAACGTACGAAACATTACAGCGCCAGAACAATGATTTGCATCTAGGAGCGTGACCTGGATAGTTCTACCAGGCTCTAGTTCAACCTCTGTGGGGGTATCCAGAGGGATAGGCTTAAGCACCTTGGCCAGGTGCTTGTACGTTTGCATCCGGGGATCTTCAAAGATCCCCTTGGCGTAGTTTAGACGACATGGATACTTTTCTAGTCGCAGCAGGATTTCCCGAGTTGCGGCTGAACAATAAACGCTATATTATCGGTGGTTAGAAGCGGGATAGCAATCGAGACACATCTGGGTGACTTACAAGGGACTTCGGAGCTTGTCAAGCCCAGCAAGATGATCGCTGTGCACGTGGCTGAGAAAACAGGCCAGCGGGGGCTGACGGTCGAAGCCCCGGAAGTAATCGATTCTGATGTCCGGGAACTCGTGGATGACGCCATTGAAGGTCGACATGTTGGGCCATGGACGAACTGAAGGGTTGTAGTAGGAGATATGAGTGAGGGAAATAAGCGGCGTCGGAGAAGATCATGGTCTAAAGTGAATTGAGGGTTACATAGGTATCAAAATGGGAGTTTAAGGAATGCCCTACTAGAGACAAAAGCTCGCAAACGGAAGCATTGAGGTTGCAGGTACTGTGTAGGCAGTACTCAGTGCTTAATGGTGTCGCTGGCTCGCTGCAGTGAATATTTACAGGTACTTGATATCCACTGTATAAGGTTCTATCAGTGGAGGTTACTAGCGCTTCCCTTAGCGTTGGATCTCATTAACTGCAGGTTGCCCCTGGGTCGGCACTCAATCCACTCCCAATCTTCATCCTTAATTGCTCAATTGTCATACAGCGTAAGCTGCAGACACCTACATACACGCCGTATTCATAATACGCTCTAACCTATCTATACCCATGCTAACATCAGATTTATTGTTCCAAAGTGGTATTCTTTCTAGAATTGACTCAGCCCTGCAGTGACTTTATTTATTGCTGAATTTCACACATCATGTCTACTCCTCCACCTTCTACCATCAAGTATCATACGCTTACTCACTTGATACTCACTTGATATTACCAACATGATGGATCTGATTCCTCCGAATAACCCATATGCCAATGGGGGAAAAGTTACAATCTCCCTAACGGGTACTCGAGAGACACTCATGGGACCCTTGATAGCTAGAGCTCGCGATGCCAACATGCCCAATTCCGTCCTCAATGATATCTATGCTGTCCAAGTCCTAGACCAGATCGACCACGACATTGAAAAGTTCAAGATCAATGATGAACAGGCCACTATGCACACTCTTCGTGTCTTACGCCTAGATCGCTGGACTCTTGAGTTTCTCGCAAATAATCCTGAAGCCACCGTTCTTCACCTAGCCTGTGGCCTTGGCAGTCGGTGGCATCGTCTCCAGACGGACCTGACCAACGTTCGGTGGATCGACGTCGACTACCCAGAAGTGGTCGAACTGCGGAGTAGGCTCATCCCATGTCCGACAGGCGACTACAACTTAATTGCTGCAGACGTAACCGAGGATGCATGGCTCGACCAAATCCCTGCTGATAGACCGACCGTTGTCATCTGCCAGGGGCTTCTTATGTATTTGGAGGAGGAGGCAGGAAAGCATTTGATTCGACGTTTAGTTAAGCACTTCAAGACGGGTCAGCTAATCCTTGATTTCGTTGGCACCATGATGGTGCCTCTACAAGGTTCGGTTGGAAACCTCACAGGCACAGGAGCGTCCTTGAGCTGGTGTCTTGACGAACCCAAGATACTAGAGACCTTGCACCCGCAGCTGGAAATGCTGGAATGCTTAGGGCTTAGCGAATTAGGCGATTACTCACGCATGCCCGCGGGCACCCGCTTGATGCTATCAACCTACTCACACCTGCCCTGGTTTCGGCATGTGAGCTCTTATGTGCGATTCAAATTCTAAGGCACTAGGCCGGGTATCTGCTTGATAGATGCCCGCCTAGGTACGTACATTGGCATTCAACTGGTATCATTACCTCAATTACATAAGGATTTTCTTTAGTCTTCTTACGGTCTTAATCTAAACTAAGTAGGGCTTCATATGTTCTCGATGCAAGAGCTATCTAGGTATCTACGGAATGGCAAAGGATCAACCCTCGGACAACTTTAATGGAAATCATCACGAAGTCTAAGAGATAAGGAGTCGTTAGCAACGTATTTCAATCCTGCTTGTCAATACAACTCTTCACAGAAAACAGCACAGTCTTCAATATTGTCTCCAATGTCAACTCCCCCTCTAAACCACTCCACGTAACCGGGGGTGCCTTATCTCTCATATCCAGCGCTTCGGTTTGAGTGTCATAAGAAAACCCCATAGCCAGCCGTGGCGACTCGTCATCATTGACCCGGAACATTTGCACGGAGACCTGGTACGCTGGCGCGTGTAGTTCGTCTAACCTACGCGCCGTCTGGATCAGCGCTTCCTTCGGGTTATCCTCACTAAAGCCGGCCGTGATCACGATGAGATTCAGTGGTTTTAGGTAGTGGCGCTGCCCAGTGGGTCCGTCGATGCTGGTCTGAAGTCCCATCTCGTAATCACGCATATAACTGTTCAAGATATAACCTAGCCGACGTCCGAGCCTACAGCTCCCGCGGGGGACCACCCTGGCAAAGATTCCAGCCACGTTGTCCCGCATCTCGATCGAACCACTCGCCTTTCGAATGTGCCGGTATCCGGAGCGGTCGTCTTCGGAGCCAAGGAACCCGGATAGGCGATGCCCGGGTGGCCGGTGGTTCACGAAAAAAACGTCGATGCCGTCAGAGTCATGCTCGTTGCAAATCGAAACGATGCTCTGAAGCAGCGCAGCTATCTCTGGCCAATACTCAAACATCCCCTCCGAGTCGTCAATGAGGAATACGGTGTCGAAGTGCCGAAGGAACGCGTATGTATCTTCAGGGGTGGTAAGATGCTCGGGCGTCAGCTTCGGGCCTGGTGCTACACATTCTTTATCGTCACTTTCGGAAGACGGAGAATTGGGATGTGGGTATTCCATCGTGATTATGCTTTCTCTGTTTGACTTTGATGGAGATACTAGATTGGAGTACTGGTCCGTGAAATACTGCCTGGGTACTTATACTACACATTTCTTTGTCCACGAATCTAGTATCATGAGTTGGTGATGCTTCTTTATCAAACGGCATAAGTGACAGGAGTATATTATTGTTTCACTTCTTCACTTTGCTGGCATCGCTTATTACCTACCTTAAAGGCCCCCTGGAGTTTGCAAAGGGAACGATTGAAGGAAGGAGATACTATGTCTTGTAGTCCGTGGCGGAATGACTTGGAATATATTATATATTGCAAGAAAAGAATAAGGGAGCGTTCAATGAAGAGCCAATCTTTATCTACCTCTTGCAGACATGTACCTAGGTAAGATTTCTCTGTGGCAAGGAAAGGGAATGATCGTGGTAAGTAGTGAGTTCGTGATACCTAGCACATATTGCCACTTTGTTCACATACATAAAGACGGCCAGATCTTGTAACCACCTCACCTCACCTCCAACTTCCAAAAAGCCTACTCCACAAAGCATCATCTCTCCAAAGTATGTCTCCGCCTTCAAAGCAGCATACATACATGTCTATTTGCAAACTGCTTTGATCACTTCGGAGCGCTGCGGGACACTGGGGCGATAATTCGCTATCCCTTACCACACAGCGGCATGAGAATTTATCGTAGAGCCACCTAGGTAATATTGTTGAAGAATAGCCCCTGGGCCATGGAAGGTCATACATATCTTAACAGTCTGATGGTGATAACTTGCAAGTTCAGCAAGATTGCCATATTAATCCCTGGTAACAAGACCTACACCGCCAAAGAATGGACTGAGGTTCTCCCCATAAGCCTATTGCAGTATGATTAGGGTAACCGGTTCAAAGCCATCTCAGATAGAGATTCCAAGTTGCGTTCCGAGATTTGGCAATGGCTGTTCAACCGGATAGGCATCCTCGTCGCTCTGCCCACTATCTACAACCCACAGACTGATGGGCTCAGCGAACGACGGAATCAGGCGGTCGAAATCTGGGTAAGAAGAGTAGTATTATAAATAGATGTGGCTTGAAATACCTACTTACTTTCATGAATATCTAGGGAGGCACTTTCATTCTGTTCTAATTTGAGAGGTCAACAGGCGATTTTGATCCAAATATATTTTCCCGAGGAGAATTATTGTGATCGTGCCTAGATATTGAATGGAACTTCAGTGTTCCCACACCTTCTTATACGATATCTACCTACGTAGGTAGCAAAATAGCAATCGTCTATACAAACCCGAGCTATCGATCAATCCGGTAGTTCGGATCCCAATATCGTATCCGGACCTTTACTGATTATCGCGATAGCTTCATTGGTGGCAACCAAGCCGCCAAGCTCTCGTACCTGGACTTACCTGGTCGCCAAGGTAACAGGGGGCAGGCAACATTTCTTGACCTTTTCTACAAAGATCCCCCAGATGGGAAGGCGATAAGCAATTCACTAAGGAACTTGCTGCCCCGCGGTAGCATCACAGCAGAGTAGCCTGCAGGTTTACAGAGGGGACCATGCAATTCGCAATTTGCGCGTCTATCGCGAACGAGCTCTGCCGAGCTTTTCGCTAACCTAGGTAGGTGAATGGGATAATGCATACAAAATATATATAAGAGGGACTGTCTTGCTTCGCATTAAGTCATGCTCTCTCTTCCCTCTTTGCCAACACCGGCTTCGTTCTTTTGCCCACCAACTTGCCAGCGGTGAGAGCTACTAACAAGCACCGTTCAATTGGTTCATAATGGAACTCAAAGCTCTGCTCCTCGCCGGAGCGCTGCTCCTACAAGGGCAATCCGCCATCGCGATAGAGCCGACGCGGCAGCCGCACCAACCGACCGGCAACGGCGACAAGATCCTGACATGGAACGAGACGATGGTGAACAACGAGTTCCGCGCGAGCTCCCGCTCCGTGAGCTGGCTGACCGGCGGTGAAGACGGCCAGTACATCTACAGCGGCGACGGCGGCGCGCTGGTCCTCGAGAACTTCATCACGGGCGAGAGCTCGACCTTCGTCGCCGCCGACCTGATCCCCGAGGGGCTGGTGGAATACTGGATCCGCCCAGACCTCGCCAAGGTGCTGTTCGCGACGAACTACACGAAGCAATACCGCCACTCCTACTTCGCCGACTACTCCGTCCTCGACGTCGCGACGGGCGAGGTGACGCCGCTGGTGGATGACCAGGCGGGCGACATCCAGTACGCAGAGTTTGCGCCGGCGGGCGACGCGATCGCCTTCGTGCGCGGCAACAACCTGTTCCTGAACAAGAACGGCGCCGTCTCCCAGATCACGGACGACGGGTCCGCGGACCTGTTCCACGGGGTGCCGGACTGGGTGTACGAGGAGGAGATCTTCGGCGACCGCTCCGCGCTCTGGTTCTCGCCCGACGGCGAGGTGCTCGCGTATCTCACGTTCAACGAGACCGGCGTCGAGACTTTCACGGTCCAGTACTTCATGGATAACCAGGACATCGCCCCCGTGTACCCGCATCTGCTCGACTTGCGGTACCCCAAGGTCGGCACGACGAACCCGACTGTGTCGTTGACGCTGCTGAGGATCGAGGGCGAGGAGAAGGTGGCGGTGCCGATTGACGCGTATCCGGCTGAGGATCTGGTCGTGGGCGAGATTGCGTGGGTCACGTCTGCCCATGGCAGCGTCATCTACCGTGCTTTCAACCGCGTGCAGGACACCTCCAAGCACGTGCGTGTGGATGTGGGCGACGCGATCACCACGGAAATCGTCAGGGAGCGAAACGGAACCGAGGGGTGGCTGGACAACGACATGGGGATCGAATTCGTCGGGCCTATAAACGGTTCGACCGGGGAATACTACCTCGACGTTTCCGACGAGTCTGGGTGGCAGCACATCTACCTCTACGCAGTTGACGGATCCAGCACCACGGCCCTCACCGAGGGAGAGTGGGAGGTAGCGCGCATCCTCAAGGTCGACACCGAGCGCGAGCTGGTGTACTACACGTCGACCCAAGCGGACAGCACCGAGCGCCACGTGTACTCCGTCTCCTACTCGAGCAAAGAATCGAAAGCCCTCGTCGACGACACCGTCCCCGCCGTCTGGAGCGCATCGTTCTCCTCCGGCGGGGGGTACTACATCCTCAGCTACTCCGGGCCGGACGTGCCGTACCAGGAACTGTACGCCATCAACGACACCGCGACGCCGCTGCGCACCATCACCTCCAACGAAGCGCTGTGGAACAAGCTGCAGGAGTACAACCTCCCGAACACGACCTACTTCACTCTCACCCACCCCGACGGCTACAGCCTCAACGTGAAGCAGCAGCTCCCGCCGAACTTCGACCCGTCGAAGAAGTACCCCGTGCTGTTCACGCCGTACGGCGGGCCGGGCTCGCAAGAAGTGTTGAAATCCTTCGACTCGATCGGCTGGGCCGCGTACATCGCCTCGGACCCCGAGCTCGGGTTCATCCAGTACACCGTCGACAACCGGGGCACGGGGTTCAAGGGGCGGGCGTTCCGCGCGCTCGTGGCCTCGCACCTCGGCGAGTTCGAGGCCGCCGACCAGATCTGGGCCGCGCAGCAGCTCGCCGCGCAGAACGCGTTCGTCGACGCGGGTAGGGTGGGGATCTTCGGGTGGTCGTACGGCGGGTACCTGTCCTCGAAGGTGCTGGAGGCGGACTCCGGCGTCTTCACGCTGGGCCTCATCGTCGCCCCCGTCAGCGACTGGCGCTTCTACGACAGCATGTACACGGAGCGGTACATGAAGACGACGCAGCTGAACCCGGAGGGCTACGCGCGGTCCGCGGTCCGCGGCGTCGAGGGGTTCGAGCATGTCGCGGGCGGGTTCGCCATCATGCACGGCCTCGGGGACGACAACGTGCACTACCAGAACTCGGCGGCGCTGGTGGATCTGCTGGTGGGGGCCGGGGTGTCGCCCGAGAAGATGCAGTGGAGGGTTTTCACGGACAGCGATCATGGGATCTCGTATCATGGCGCGTCGACGTATCTGTACAAGTTTATGACGGAGCTGCTGTTCCGCGAGAAGAGCAGGGAGAGTGGGGGGTTGGCGCATCAGTGGACGAGGAGGGCGAAGGGGTGGTTTGTGGGTTAGATGTAGGTTAGGTAAATGTAATATTTGCATATCAGGGCTGGGTATAAACTGTTTTCAGATAGCTCTAAGCAATATAAATAATTCGTAACTTAACACCGAGCGTCAGGGTCAATGGGCTTTCGTGCCGATTAGTCGCCCGCGACTTATATGAGATCTACTCGTGTTTTGCGAATTCTTCGATAATTATTCTCCTATTCTATTACTTTACAACGCCCCCGCCATGCTCCGGTATCCAATGGCTAATGCGATCAAGTCGATATTAACGTGGCGACAGAGTCTATTATATACACACCTAGCAACACCCCTACTCTATTTCGCCTGCTTCGTCTTCGTCGCCTGCTTCGCCTGTACAAACGCATTCTTCGTCTCCCTCGCGGACTGGTAAATCAGATAAATCGGAATGACGATCCAAAACGCGTTCATGAGCATATAGTAGCCCCAGAAGTACGCGCGCTCCGGGCGCGAGTACTCGATGCCCAAGAAGACCAGGTCAAAAGTGCAGATCCCGTAGTACAGCACGTCGCCGTACAGCTGGCCGAGACTGATGATGGACTGCAGGACGTGGCGCAGCGGGTGGTCGGCGACGATGAACCACGCGCACAGGAAGGAGAGAGGCCCCCAGAAGACGGCGGTGATGGTCTCCATGCACACGACGAAGGGGTCGGCGGTCAGGTACCGCGAGTCGGAGAGCGAGTACTCTTTCCAGAGCTGGGCGAGGACCGTGGAGCGCGTGGCAAGGTCTTGGTGGTAGAAGGCGAAGTAGCCTATACATGGATGTTTAGTTTCACAATTGCTCATCCCATGATGAAAGACGATGCATGCGACCCGACTTACCTTCCAGCCCGAGGTGTATGCACCCGCACAGCACAAACCACAGCGCGGTAAGCATTTCCCCTCTCGATATGTCCTTGCGCGTGTGTCGGATGTATTGCCACGTGGGCACGAGGATGCTGAGGATTGTGCCCGTGAAGATTCCGAGGATCTCGATCGTGGAGAGAGACTTTGCGACGTAGCCTGGGATGGCGACCCCGAGAGGATAGTAAGGGTGCAGAGCTGCCTCGGGAACGGCGCTTGTCACGGAATCGAGTATCGTGTCAGCCATGGTGAGTGGAGGTCTCGGAGTGTGATTGGGTACGTAGGTAGGGACGGGAGCCGAGGGATACTTTTGGCGGAGAGTTGAAGGAAGGAAGGGTCGTGGTCGTGGTCGTGAAGCTTCACGATGCTATTAATTGATTTTATTTTTTTGATTTATTTTTGTTCCTTAAATTTTTGTAACATTTAATTTGCCAAGCACCCAAGTACGCCCGTGGCCGGGGCAACAACGCGCTAATCCACACCTAATCTTAGCACACTGTTGAGGATTAAGCCCCACAAATGAGATGAAGAGAGCTGAGTTGGTACCTATCAATTAAGGATCTTGGATCCATTAGGTACTTCACCTGGGTCCCAGGTACGTAAAGCTAGCGTACCTGGCCACTGACATACAGCAGTGATAGTGATTCCTGCAGCTAACCTACAGGGTTTTACAGGGTTGAAATAGTTCCAAGGTTACCCCCTTTTATTCGTCAGCCCTCTCCTTTCTCAACACCCACCTCATACACTTTGCAGCGCTTTCAATTAGAAATATCTCCGTCAGCCATCGGAAAGGTCGATGTTTTTGTTTTTTCAAATTGTGTCGTAACTGAAGAACCTTTTGGTTTCATGATGAAATTATGCTAATAGTTACGACCCAGTTTACTAATATAAGGTGTAGAAGACGTTCCTTGCCGGCATCGCTCGTAGTCGGGCAATCTTGGTCTACAGAGCCAGGTGAAAGAAGAGCACCGTCAAGGTTCAGAAGCACTCAGGAGTAGTTATAACTCTCACGTGGATCAGTACCAAGAAGTGTTATGGCATAAAGCCCCCGACCGGCGACTTGACCGAAAGACAGCCAAGTGTGGTATGCCCGTTTATTGGATGTTATTATTATGTCGATCCCAACATACAGTTTTGAAGCTCACTAACCTAGCTGTTGGAGACCACACTAGCAATCACCTCTTTCAAAGGCCTATACGTATTAACTATATCAATCCACATCGAGATATTTCTTGATGAGGTACTCCAGCTCCTTGACGGTTAGTTGTCTTGTATCCTTCCCGGGAAAGTGAGCCGAGTTGATTATAAGCGTCTCGACAGAATAAAGTCGACTCCGGTCGTCAAATTCATCGACCCGTTCGCTGCGCTTCATGTGTTTCAAGTATTCCTCTTCATACTCCTGAAACTTCATATTGTGATGTCCGCAACTCCATATGCCCATCTCCTTCTCGTGATGCGCATAATATGAGCAAGCATCGAATATGTACAGATTATTCGTCTGTTTATCAGTCCCAATATTGGACTCTCACAGGTCGCCGTGGATGAGGCATGGCTTGATGGAACGCCCGTTGGCAGTCAAGGGGTCCAGCAGGCGAGATATAAGTCTTGAGAATGCTATATGCATTACATGGTCAAGATCTTTCCAGAAGCCGTTTATCTCTGTGTCTAGTTCATAGACGCCGCGTAGTAGCTTGATGATAAACGTATTTAGAGGCAGTTTCCCATCGAAAGTAGTAACATGAAACCCGAAACAGCCATTAGGCGACTTGCTTTTCCGATGGTGTTGGGCCAGTTTCTCGCCTAACCGAACGGCATCAGGGGGCGGGTGGTGAATGTTGACAGAATCACAGAGGAAGAAGTGGGCATCTTCCCTCTCTCATATTTGCCGTATCCGTGAGGCTGCGGTGCGAAGTCCGGCGATGTAGTATAAATCTCGCGCATTGCCATGTACTCCCCAAGAACCCGCTTAGCCGCGTCCGCTGATCTCACGGTCTATCCCTTGGTTTCTCCGGTTAGCTATCTGAGTGCTTGATTTGATATTCGGCTATGTCCAGTATTTATAGAAATGGGGATACTAGCCTTGAGGAAGTAGTCCCTCGTATAGCCGTTCGCATCTTGCGTCTTAACAGTGAGGGAAGAGGCCCGGTCTGATGCCTGAAGCTGCTCTACACCTATGATCTTCTTATCGTTCAACACTGGGAACATTGTTGTTAGTTGTGCGTACGGATATGTCTTTCGTAGTTCATGGGTGTTGATAACTACCTAATGTATACAGCACCTTTGATAATAGCAGGGTCAAGCTCGACTGATACACTCATTTTGTGACATAGATATTAGCCATCTGTATTATATCTGGTTAGGTAGTAAGGAATAAGTGCATAGATCTCAGGCTGCCTCATCATATATACCTCTATGAAGACACAAGAAATACCTCCATATCCTTACCAGCACCAGAAAGTCACGCGGACAGTAAGCCAGGGATAGCAGCAATAGCCGTTAACAACAGGGCTGGTCAGCATATTGCATATGTTAATGAGGGTGGGGCAATAGAGCTCTTTGACCCGACAAGCAATACCCGACAAATCATTGCCCAAGTACCATACCTAGAGGATGAACATTACATGTCTAACGTGGAACCGAAGTCATGATCAACTCGCATTCTCTCTCCGGGACGGGTCGATCACTGTTATAAATAGGGTCACTGCAAGGAGCGTAGGGCGGCTGGAGACGTTTGCTAGAGATGTTTATAGAGAGACGGGATCGCACACAGAATGTGGTCATACACGGCAACTGTTCTTTGACGATAGTGGCAAGCTGCTCCTCGTCTACGGAGATAGGAAGACACAAGTACTTACTCTACCAGGAGGACAAGTGACAGCCGAGAGTGAGACGCCAGGGGGAGAAACATCACAATGGAGACAACACCCCTCGAGATCTAATTTGCTACTTAACATCAGGATTGAGCGTGTATCAGTCTTTACATGGAAGCTACACGAAGAGCAGTCGAATCCCCTTAATTATATGTCCGAATTATCTGAATCACTTACAATTGATGCAACATACCAAAGTTACCACTCGCGTCTACTCCTCCTACGGACTAGAAAGTTAGAATTCAGTCGCGTTCATCACAGTTTTATGCTCCTACCCACAACAGCTTCAGGAAGGAAGGCCTTACAGAGAGTCCGGCTTCCATCACACCCCTCAAGCTCTCCGAAAGGGTCACCCAAGCAGTTACGTATCCCTTAGGCTTGTTAGCTGATGGTCGCATGGCATTTATAGACAGTAGCCTTTGGGTCTGCACAACACATGTTGCCGTGATAACAGCAACCCTGGGGGACGTGACAAAACACTTCTTTATACCGCATGATTGGGTCACGAGCTCTGGCCTGAGGCTCTGCCAGTTGCTGCCAGATGGAACGGTTTATCTGTCCGAGCAAGGGAGAGGTGGCGGTGATCAAGAATGATGTAGTGGAATGGTGAGGCAACGGAGTACGCAAGATTCCCAGTCAGTAGGATAAGGCATTCACTACTACAGCAATGAAGATTAGAAAACTTTCATAGATAGTGGGACTATTAATGAGTGCACCTTGTTACTTACTTGTTGCTTAGGCATGGTGGGACTCGGCCTTCCGACAGCTGGTGTTGAGATACTCGTTCATACCTACTCTTCAAGTACCTACCTACCTCTTGCATTACACACCGAAAACTTGGCCCCCATACCTTGGATGACATACCACTTGATAGCCTTATCCACGGCATAGTAAGCAGCAACTAGCGGTGGAGCCAAGTGCAGAACGGCGTCGTGTGCAACAAACCCTAACCACTTCTTGATTATTTGCAATGGTGGTATACAGGATGATGCGCTTCTAGGGGTAGACACAAGGTGCGTTGGCCCCAGGTATATTTCTTAGAATATATAAGAAGTTACTCATTCCATGCTACGTCCCACAAGGATAATGGCTTGGTGGTTTTGAGAATACAACCAGGAAAACATATAGGCATTTGAGGTTCTCCCAAGCTACTGTCCGTATCTACAAACAAGGAGCTCGTCGCTCTACGGTATTTGCGATTGATGGAAATCTACCTAGGTACCTACCGAAGGTCTTGTTTCCCAAGCTGAGCCAAGTTCTGTTTACCCTAACTAGGTACTTTGAGCCGAGGCTCTGTGAAACAAGAGATATGGGAGTAGGACAGCCTCAGGAGCATCGACTCAGAGAACGGATGACGAGGTTAATCTATGCACTCATACCTACACCGGGGGTTATCGGCGAGATAAGCGGTTAGAGAGAGGCGTCGTTATGCCTGAGAATGTACCTAGGTATATACCGGGTAGCTTTCATGTGAAGGGGGCTACAACGTCGGTCGCGCTTAATAAAGGGGGCTGCTCATCATTTGGTGATGGGATCTTTCACCTCCAAGCTAGATACCTATATATAGCTTTCGGGGCAAGTAGCGTGGTAACATGACAGCCTAAAAGTAGATGACTTATTACATGTAGGAATTATGCGTTACACGACCTCAATATTAGTTGTCTTGTTGTCTTGACTTTAAGGGGCAAAATAGGGGTATTTGCACAGTCATCCTAGGACAGTACGTACTAGTGTACTGCGATAGGTAGTACGCACGGTGTGGAGCATTGCCCTTTTATCTTTAATTCTTAAGGTGCGCCATATCAACGAAACCGCCAACCCGCCAAAACATAAAAAAAAAGCACGTGGTACACGGCTTATCTTACAAATTTATATGGTAATAAATGTACCTTGCGCCCACACCATATATACCACCATTAAAGACTTTGGATATTTGACAAAACTTATTCTGAATAGTCAATATATATATATAATTAATTAAATAGGTAAACAACAGCTCAACAACGGCTGAACAACGGCTGAACAACAGCTCAACAACGGGTCAACAACAGCTCAACAATGGGTCAACAACGGGTCAACAACAGCCCTGAAGGTCTCTGTAGTTGTTATTCTAGCCTCTAGCTGCTTAAGTAGCTGTTTAGGAGGTATCTTAGAGGCTTGTAGCATACGTAGGCACCTAAATACATACCTAGCCACCTATGTAATTGGGCTGTTGTTCAGCTGTTGTTGAGCTGTTGTTGACCCGTTGTTCACCCGTTGTTCACCCGTTGTTCAGCTGTTGTTTACCTCTCTAATTAATTGTATATATATATTGACTATTCAGAATAAGTTTTATCAAATATCTAGAGGCTTTGATGGTGGTATATAAGATGGTATATATGGTGGTATATATGGTGGTATATGGTAGGTTATGTAGCATTATTCCTCCTTGTAAAGGTACATCTATTACCATATAAATTTGTATGGCGAGCCTTGTACCTTGTGCTTATATAATCAATATTTTTAATGTTTTGGCGGGTTGGCGGTTTCAATTGATTTGGCCCACCGTCATTCTTCCAAGGCTTTTTTTTTAACTCTTTAGTTTTTGCTGCACGTGAAAATCGCAAAGAATAAAGAAAGAGAAAAAGAGAAAAAGAGAAGAAAAAAGAAGAAAAAAGGAATTATAGGAAATACTGGCTAGTCACAAACCCCATGGAGCCAGACATCGCAGGTTTCTTCCAGGAACCGGCTGACTACTACCCGCCCTCGCCACCTCCCACGTCACAGGTCTACACACTACAGTCTGGCAAGACCATCACGCTCCATCTGGTAGGACACAGCCCCCTGGAGGCACACCACCTCTGGAATGGCAGCCGCATTATATCGCAGTACTTCGAGACCCACCCATCCGAGGTCCAGGGCCGGACTGTGCTCGAGCTCGGCGCTGGCGCCGGGCTGCCCAGCATAGTGTGCGCTATTTTGGGGGCCCAGAAGACTGTGGTCACGGACTATCCCGACCCCGATCTCGTCGTCAATATGAAGAAAAACATCCTGGGCTGCGAGTTGATTCCAGTGGCAGACAACGGCGATGTCGATAAGTCCGCTGCGATAGTCGCGGATGGCTACGTCTGGGGCGCCGACCCGACGCATCTGCTGGCGCACCTCGAGCCCGTCAAGCGGGACAAGTTCGACGTGCTGATCCTGGCGGACCTGCTCTTCCGGCACTCGGAGCACGGGAACATGATCAGGAGCATCGAGGCGACGATGAGCCGAAAAGGGACGAGCAAGGCGTTCGTGTGCTTCACGAGCTACCGCCCGTGGCTGCAGCACAAGGACCTCGCGTTCTTCGAGCTCGCGCGGGAGAGGGGGTTCCGGGTCGAGAAGATCCTGGAGGAGAAGATGAGCAAGGCGATGTTCGAGAATGATCCCGGCGACGAGGAAGTAAGGAAGACGGTCACGGCGTTTACGCTGCGCTGGCCGGATGAGATGTGCATGTAAGCCTGTCTGCCTACCTAGTCTACGGTGCAGCGCAGGTGGAATATTGTCTATTACTGCCTCTTTTCGTCGATACCTCCTCGAGAGCTTACAAGACCATGCCTATTGAATTACTAGAGGCTACCCAAAGATGGTCCCTCGTATGATGGATGCCGGCTACGTGCCATCTTACCGAACATGCCATCCTATTGTCCACTTGCATCGCATCATGAGCGATATCATTAAAATACCCAATACACGATTTCACTGCCCAGTCTCGTCATTATGCAGCCATCTTTTTAAATCTGGGAGGCCCTCATGATTCATTGTTGATCTTCCATTGCTCTGCGTTCTGCGCGGCTGGGGGGCAAAACTTATATTAAGACTTGCAATGTCTCCTGACCAGCCTCAATTGAAAATTACCTAGGTATGTGGGAAAAGACAGCGAGACCCTAGGTATGTAACATAAATATTGGAATTACGCCTCGAGAGGGCTGTTCAGGTGTCTTGTTTTCTGCACCTCGTTTGGCGTTTTTGGGTTGCGCTGGGTGGATCTGCAGAGGAGGCGGTGCATGCATGCATGCAAGTAAGTCGAGTGCTTTGCTTCATTCTCCAGCCCGTCATCAACTCCGGATTCCCCATGAGTTATTTACTACTACAGAGGAAGTCTGGTTTTGAAACCCCCTCCACGGATTACATGCATTTTATCTGTCGCCTAGGATATGTCAGTGAGCCTCACATGGACAAGTGCATGTAAAGGGGTATAGGTCGGTAGGTATGCGAGTAGGGTTAAAGACAAAGCTTTTCCACAAATAGACCATAGACTTCCAAGGAAGATGCACGCAATGACTAACCAACATGAATATTTATTGGCTTGGGCTGCATAGCTTAGCTAGCTACCCAGGGACACTTCACGGGTTACAGTTACATACAGTCCCAGGCATAGCCTCATTCCGATTTGCCCGTATCAAAAATAAACCTCTAGCCCCCAATCCAATATCCCAAAGTCGTAGGAGGGGGGCGGGGAGGTCAGTCGGTCATCCTCATTCAAAGCTTCTTGAAACACATTCTTTAACACCGCGTCGTCTTCCGTTCTTACCTACCTACGGAGGAGGAAACGAAACGAAACACCTCCAAGTCCCCCCCGTTTCTTACATAATATAATATTATGGCATGGGATTCGCTACGTCGGCCGTTGACGTTCTTGCCAAGATGGAGCTTCTCACGATGGCTTCTCGTCGCCAGGCTGCTGCAGGCGGCGGGCACGCTGGTCACCGCGCTGCTGAATGGCTTTCTGCTCGTGTATACGCATATCAACCGGCTGGGCTTTGCTGACAGTATGTTTGCGCTGGAGTTGATGGTTCGTTGAATCTAATTACCTACCTACCGAGTTGTCAAACGTCGGGTCGATTAACGTATGGCGTATCTATCTAGGCATGTGCCGCGTTCATCTACTCCAGCATCGTCTTACTCATGCAGCATGCCGGGAGCCCACGACGAAGATCCAGTGCGGCGCTAATCAGAACGTTTCTCGTTTGCGATGTGTTGTTTAATGGGCTGATGCTCGCTATCATGACTGTGCTTGCTCGCATGGGACTTCCTATCGATTGTCATGGGCTAACACGGCTCGATGGTAACATCCTACTAACATTGCCTTTTTAAAATAGAAAATTCATACTGACATTAGAATAGTCGAAAAAGGCGATGCCCCAGACAACCCACCTCCTGGCTACGACACGATCCGCTTCGGCGACGAAGACCTTCGTAGAAAAGGGGTGCTGGATAAATACTGTCCCCTAGAGCGGAGCTTCTACTTCATCGCAGCAGCGCTAATGTACTTTACCCATAGCCCTTCTAGCATTCCGTTATCCCCCTATTTGACATCATTTACTAACGCCAACAGACTAACTTACATGCTAACCGTCACCCTCGGCGCCCTGCGCCTCTTCGAGATGCACTGGAAGAACAACTGCCGGATGGACCCGCTGTACGACAACTCGAGCGACGACTTCTACCACCTTGACCGGGTCCCCAAAGTCCAGAGCCCCGTCCTCAATAGCAGGGATGTCGAGGACATCGGCCCATCGAGCGAGGGCGTCCTCACGCCGCGGTCCAGGACCAGCCCCTCGTTGCAAACCCGGGGGATTGGGTCCTCGTCGTCTAATGAAGCAAACCGGGACCGCGTATTCCGCGAACAAGCGCGCACTCAGCCCCTCCCCGTCTCCCCCGTCTCTGCCGCGTCGCCGATATCCCAGGTCTCGCCTATCTCTCCCGTCCCGCGGCAGCATCGCGGTTCGTTCATAGGCACTGCTACCCTTAACACCGCGCCGGACACTTCGCTAGGCATCATGCCCATGATTATCGATCCGTCCACGGAGTCGGCTGCCGAGGCAGCGATGGTTACGGATGGGTACCGGCACCCGCGGCAAGATTTGGGAAGGCTAACGCTGCCCCCGTACTCGCCCGGCCAGGCGAGGGGGCAGTACATGAGTGGCCATGGGGACGAGTCGAATGAGATGAGGCTGAGTGAGTATGTTAAGGGGGAGAGGAGGGCGCAGGATATGAAGGATTCGGGGGTGGGGTTGTGAGGATGTGTACGTATAGGGCTTGGGTTATGAGTTACGCTATCTATTGGATGATGTGCAAGGGTTAGGGTTATAGGGACGGTGGTAATCTGCTTTCGTGCGGTTTTGATAGGTATTATGTCATTCTCATTAGCGACGGCGTTGGAATTGGATCTCGTTCCGTCACCGAGGTGTTATGTATGCTATATATTTTACCTCGTCAGGTACGCGGTAGATACACTCACGTTTCTACTAATCAAAAACATGTATTCAAGAGATTTGGAAAATCTGGGAGCTTGATACCTGGTTACCTACCTAACCTAGGTAACTAACCCCTTTCCAAGGTTCTTACCATAATACCATTCTTGACGCCCCTATTCCTATTCCCCCCGTTCCCCACTTCCCGACCCATTCCGAGCAATCAGGCAACGTTCCAATTGCTTGGAGGATTCAGTTATTACATGCACCCTAAGCCGGCCGACACTAGTTCAAGCATAGTATCTAGGCACTGGTACGGTGTACCTAGTAGGTAGGTAGATAGATGACCCCGCAATGTAATCGAGATCATCGCCTCCACCACCTCCACTCCTATTATCATCAGATAGCTGACGTTCCAAGCAAAGATCGACGACTATACATGGAGATGCAAGTCACGTAGCTAACTCCTACCGTTGTAATAATCTTAATACCATCACCAGGCTAGATCATGACCCCAATTTCGACCTACTCCAGGTACCTAAGGAATACCTACCTACCTACCTATCTTCTTAGTCACAGCTAACCCATACATCACGATCCCTGCCACGAGGACAGACAGAAGTCGATTTAAGCTTAAACTACCTACTAAGGCAGTTCGCCAGGAAGAGTGACGTTACTAGAGCTGAGCATCTAGGCACCTGCGCAAACAACCACACCGAGTCCTGGGGAATAAAGCTACATACCTATACCTGTCCTAATACCCAACTCTTAGGTAAGACCGTCTTAGGCCCGAAGGTAACTCCATCCATCACAAGGACCTTCCTTCCAATCTTCCCACCAGCCACACCCACACACAAATTCCACACCTACACAACCCACAAACACACGTGAGCAACAACCACAATGCCCACCTCCCCCCTGCGCACGCACCTCGAAACCGACGGCTTCGTAATCATCCGCTCGCTGCTCCCCCCCTCCCAACTCTCCGACCTCCACTCCGCCGCAACCCGCACCGTCGCCCTCGCCACCGCCGGCAGGTGGCCGCACGTGCGCACGGTGGGCAAGCAGTTCCCGCCCTGGGCCTGGGCGCCGGGCGTCGGGATATGGGGCGTCCAGCACCTGCTGCACCCGGCGCTGGCGGACGCGGGGGTGTTCGCGCGGAGCTACTTCGGCTCCGGGGGTGTTCTGGACGTCGCGAAGGAACTGCTGCTGCTAAGCGATGACGGAAGCACCACCACTGCTGCGGCCAAGGACGAGGAGCTGGTGATGGAGCTGTACAACCTGCTCGTGCGCCCCTCCGACGGGAGCGACTTTGCGCTGGGGTGGCACCGCGACGACATCCCGGCGTCGGCGAGCGCCGCGGAGGAGGAGGCGCGGCTGCTGGGCGGGCCGGCGTGGCACGCGCAGTGGAACCTGGCGCTGTGCGACGGCGACGAGAGCCTGGTCGTGGTGCCGGGGTCGCATCGGCGCGCGCGGACGGAGGGGGAGAGGGCCGCGGATCCGTTCGAGGGGGAGATGGAGGGGCAGGTGGTGGTCAGGCTGGGGGCCGGGGATGTGGTGTTCTACGATAATAATATCCTGCACAGGGGGGTGTATGACGGGAAGAGGGAGAGGATGAGCCTGCATGGGTCGGTGGGACATGTGAAGGGGGGGAGGGCGAGGGCAAGGAATGTGCTGCAGCATGCTGTTGGGGAGGTGAGCTTTCGTTGCTTTTACTTACTCACTCTAGTTTTCTTCTTCTTCTTCTTCTTCTTCTTCTTCCTCGTTGGTGAACATGTCGAAAAGGGCAGGTTATACATGTATAAAAACATCGAACTATCAACGTTGCACGCCCTTGACAACTCCTACCTATATACCTACAGTGGATAAACTTGCTAACTACATTGATACGACAGTGGGTCGATCGCTGCGACTTCAGCTGTCTGGACGAGAAAGACAGAGACAGAGCTGAGGGCATGCGCGCCAGACTCGTCAGATTAGGGAGGGAGAGCGGTGACGTAGGGTATTCGTTGACGGGATAATGCCATTGAGTCTTTCAGCTGAACATGGATGAAACATCAAGAACTTGCCAAAAAGAGAATCAGTGTCCAATTAGGCACCTACCTCGTAGATTAGTAGGCGCCTATGCTAAATTGCCTACATGTAATGCACAATCTCCCCTACTATATACGTGAAAGCTAAATATGTGCTGAAGTAAAAAAGTGCAAGCATGTACACCAAGTTGATATGCGCGTGTCCGCCCCCCCAAACATAACCCCCAATATCATCATGCCCCAAATTCCCATCATATTCGTCCGCGTCATCATGAACCCCCCTTTCCCTTTCCCTTCCCGAGCCCCTAAACCCTAGCGGTAATAGTATTGGGGACCCGCCAAACCGCGAAACACCCCCTCCTGACAGCCTGTCCGCTCTCGGCGGCCTCTAGCCGGTCCTGAACAGCATGATGTTGGCGGGGAAGACGTTGACGTTGTCTTGCCACTTGGCGAGGCTCTTGCCGTCCTGGTCGATCATGCTCAACGATCCTATCGTGTTGAGCGCGTAGACGTTGACGTTGCTTACGGAGCCCTCGAGCGACACGATGCGTGCTTGGCAGTTCTCGCCTGCTTCGACTGTGGAGCAGTCTATTTTTGGACGTGGTTAGTGCAAAATGCGAAACAAGAAAAGGGGGGGACGCTAACCAGTGCTGTAGTCGTTGAAGAAGGAGTAATGCCCGGCGCCATAGATGAAGACATCTGTGGAGTCGATGATGCGCAGGCCCCATGAGTTAGCGCAGTTTCCTGAGACACCAGAGCACGCCGAGGCGAAGTCGGGGTCTTTCAGGGCTGTGACGACGGGGAATGGCTTGGTGGCATCTGGTGTTGGCTGGTAGTATCTAAATAGGGATTAGCATTTGCCAAGATAAATAAAAATAACATTGTAATTGACGTACGGTGTCTCGGTTTGAAGCATGCTGGCGAAGATGTTCTTGGTGTTGGCAAATTGGTAGTTGTACAGGTGGTTGTGCTCAACTGCGGTGCCAACAAGCCAGAAGGTACCGACGGTGGATTCGATGTCTATCATCGTTAGTAACGTTCACGAGATAGGACGGATAAGGGCGCCTTACAAAGACCTCTGCCAGAGTAGACAGTAATCTGAGTGTTGGTAGGGTCTTCAATATCGTGATCCGCAGCCCTATAAAATGTTAGCTGTGTCGCCCGTTCGTTTGCTTGTCAGTGACAGATAACTAACCATAGCCAAGTGTTCTCCATGTACAAGTTGGTTGCCTGGGGCGTGACGTGCATCATCATGTACGCGCCGATGCACTTGGAGTCGATGTTGCCAGTTCCCGGCTGCTTGGGGCACTCAGAGACAGTGAATTGTGACCCTTGGAATCCTCCAACTCTTGCGTGAACATCCCACATTCCGCTGGGGGTACCCTGTGTGGCGAGGTTCCACTCGATGAGGATGGCGCCCGGGGCAGGGCCCTGAGTTCCCACGACGAAATCCGTGAACTCAACCTGTCCAGCGTCACCAGACTTGGCTCCGACTTGTAAGAGGGGCTTCGGGTTGCTCATATCGCTAAAGGTGCTGCCACTAGCCATGATGATAGGGAAGCCTTCTCCGATGATCTTGGCGCCTGCTGGGATGCTCAGAGTCGATGTGACTTTGTAGAGACCGTAATCAAGGAAGAGAACCTTTCCGCCGGAGGCAGCAGTGTTGATAGCATTTTGGAGAGCCGCGGTCTTTCACGTTCTGTTAGCAATCCTGTATAGTATCAAGATAGGAAAAGAAGCTTACATCATCGGTTGTGGCGTCACCCTTGGCTCCAGAATCGCGGGCGCTTACGAAATCAGACGCAGCAAGGTCCGCGTACTGCGGCTTAGATCGAGAATAGTAACCATTGTCGCCAAGGAGAGCGTTGGGCCTGTTGTTACCGTCGATATTTCCTGCGAAGGTCGTAGGTCCATCCGGCGAGTATTGGTGGCCTTGACCCCATCCAGCAATCGTCGTGGAGCCACCTTCTAGCACCGTGCCGCTTGGGCCCTGAATTGCCACAGGGACATTCTGGAGAGCCAAATTCTCGATGATGACGCTTCCAGCAGTGTCGGGCTTAGCACCGGTTTGCCAGGCAGTCGCAATACCAACCGGGGTGTCCTTGAATGTGCTGTCGATGACTGTAATAGAGCCCGTCGCAATGCCATCCGTGCCGTTAGCGGTGATATCAATTCCCTTTCCGCAGTTGTTAATCTGAAGGCCGATGTAGGTCCAACCCCAGTTCCAAAGTTGAATAATAGCTAAAGATTGATAGTCAGCAATTTAAGCTTCGGTCTCACACACAAGTATAAATAACTAACCAGTTTTGCAGTTGTTGAAAACCAAGTTCCTCATAGTGTATTGTTGGTTACCCATGGATGCGCCAGTAGCACCTCCATTAAACGTCAAGTCACTCATGAAACCACCAGAGCCTAGATATATTAGTCAGATGCCCCGGAAAGCACAAATTATTGTCGGAAACTAACCGCTCTCAATGAATAATCCAACATGAACCGTGCTGGCATCTGTAGGCATATTGAACTCGATATTGATCAAACTCGTCGCTTGCGAAGTTGGCCAATGCATTCCGGTAGCCGCCGTCCCTGGCGCAATTCCGGTGGTGTCAATGACAAAGTTTCGTACTTGGCGGTAGAACACATTTGTCGAAACCCAGTTCAAGTTTTCGGTATAGTACGGGTTTCCATCAATCAAACCAAACCCTTGAAAATTGCCGGTGGCCTTCAAAACTGGGCGGTTGCTCGGGTCGCCGACCATCTGCGTGAAGTAAGGGGGGACGATCGAAGATGAGATGAGATAGGTTCCGGATGGGAAGTAAACAACTGCTGGCGTTTTCGTGGTCGATGCCTGTGAATGTCAGCTTTGCTAGTACTCGAGGTGAATTCTATGATATAAACATCAACTTACACAACCTTGTAAGCAACGGTTATCTGGGGAGTTCATCGCCGCCGTAATGGCCGCGGTATCATCTGTCACACCATCTCCTATAATGATTATATCAGCTATCGTGGATCAACCAAGACCCAGATATTTCATGATACGAACCCTTGGCACCAAAATCCTTTACATTACGAAAAACTGTATATCCTGAACCACCGAAAGGCGCCACGCCTTGGTCTACAAAACGGTTAGTTGGCAGTGTCCTAAGGCAACCTTGAGGATATCCTCACGTTTGATGTCTTCGAGCCAGTAAGCATTAACGCTTATTGTAAGGCTGATGACAGCCCAAAGGAGTGTTTTTAGCTGCATGTTGAAGTCTGAGTAGTGTATGAAAACGCAGACTAGTAGAGATATACAAACTTCTCAACGTTGAGATGGATGAGTAGGGGGGGGGGCTTATAACCTAAATGGAAACAGGGTGGTGTGTGTCGTCACCAGGCAAACGCTCCTACAGCTAGCCATGTCATCCGCCGGTGATGAAAGGACAAGATTAGCGCCCGCAAGGTAACGTGCGCTGCCCAGCCTCTGCAGATGAGGGGCGGGACTGTGTGAGGCGAGAGGCGAGATGAGAAGTGAGAAGTGAGAGGCAAGAGGTCAAAAGGTCAAGAGCCAAAGTATGGACCCCCTGCCATCGAATAACCATGCTCAAGTAGCTGACTGGGTTGCTTCGGCCGAAGCGCAAGCACAAGCACAAGCATAAGATGTCACTAAGAATGTAAGTCTAGGGTGGTCGGAGAATAGGACCTGCCAGTTCAGAATAGAGTATATTGGGTACAATTTGTTAAACAGCTCCAAGACATGGCATTCTTCGAAAGAAACGATCCAGTGAGGTAGCATTGCGGGCGAGTTTCAGAGGTCACATAGATCTAAGCAATCGTAGGTATGGAGTAGATGGAGTAGATGGAGTAGGTAGATGAGGCATACTCTTGGCTAGTAGTATACAAGCTCAACAGAAGCATAGGTAGCAGTGAGCGGGGGCCGAGCGCATCGAAGGTCATCCTTTCATTGCAGCAGAGCCCAAGATTAGAATCTGTCGGGATCAGGCTCTACCGCGGGGGCAGAGTCTCCTGCTCGAAATGGAAAGTTCCTGTCAGGTACCAGGTGAAATGTGATAGGCGCGTTGGCGGATCTGACCAGGGATTGGACGATGTGGCCATCCTAAATTGGTCAGTGTGTTCCAGGTAGAAGTGGTTGTTTCAAGCATGTGATGTTGGAGGCTTGGAGCCGCGAGACATTCCAGCCACATGAAAACCATTCGGTCGAGACGGTGGGACATCTGACGCGGCTTTGGCGCGATGAGATCCGCCTTCTCGGGAATCACGAATTTCAACTAGCCTTCGACAGTGTTCACATTAATCAGATCCATCATTACATATTTAAAACTTTCAACCTTGGCTCTATACTCTTTGACATGGATTCGAGTGAAGAAAAGGCCTGGCTCACGGCGACCTAAAACCCACATGCTCTTGGACCGAGAAGCTGACAGGACAAACTTGTCTCGTTTGGTCCGTAGGTGAAGCTAAAGTTATTTGTTTTCTGCACTGCGTTGCATTGATTTCCCAGGTCATGGCCGGTAACCATCTGCCCCTGGCGTTAAGGTAAGCCATTTCATCTATTTTGAACGGTAGACGACATGAAGAAGAGATGAAATTTTCAAGAAAAGGGGACAAACGTGATCCAATACCTAAGCTAACTTGGCCATTAGTTGTGAATTCAGGGGGCGGCCCGACTAAGGGTTTCGATCAATCTACCTACTACATAAATAGGCACGGATACTGGGTAGGTCATTGGGTAGAGATCCGACAGAAAGGGGAAGGTGGTGAATCGGTCAAATCTGGGGGAGTTCGGGTTTCTCCAAGGATTAATTGATCCATTTTGGAAGTTGTTTTTTCCAAAGTCCGCGCGCGGCATGACTTGCAGACCTAACCTACTTGGTATTAGCACTGAGATAAATACCAGGATAGGTCAGTTAACAGCCGAGATACCTATCACCTGTAGTACATAGCATTGTACCCTGGAGTACATACCTAGTACATAGTAATCGATTCTAGCTAAACTGTAAAAATGCACTGTTCCTCGCTCTTTTGCTCTCTTTCAAGTTTCAATCCTTTCGTCCCATTATAATTGACATTTTAACACTTCAACCTTGTTTTCCACGATTCTTCTCCTCCTATCGATTCTATTTCGTCAAGACTTCTGACACCGGCTAACTTTTTAAGACTCCCGTCTCCTTTTCATAGCTTAAATTGGCATTTGCGCCGCAAAGCACAATTCATCATTCTAGCCTCGTACCTACCACATACTGGCACATAGCACATATCTGCATAGTATTGCCTGGCATGCATGCCCGATTTCCATACCCCGAAAATATCATTGACGTATTTCATGCGTGAGCGCAGCTGAACTCAACCTTGAACCTCAGACTTAACCAGATGGTTATTTATCAATCATCGGATTGGACGACGACAGACCTCTTGACTTCTCCATGTCTCTCTTACCCTAACCCATGCGAGTCGATCGAGTCGATCATCTTGTACTGACCTCTCTCTGTTGGCCATGATTTGCTATAAACCTAACCGTCCCCCCTTTTTTCCTCTTAGAAGCTAGATTCAAGCTTCATTCTCAAAATCTTGGCGATAAGGCTTGAATTATCCGGGGGCTTCCAATACCATTTGCCGACGTCCCTTTCCGTCACCTTTCTCTTGTTCCGCATCGATAAATATGTCCAACAATTGCGTTGGGAGGCTTTCCTCTCTCACACAAGAGGCCTATCATGTCGCAAAACATTAACTTCGCAACCTCTTCGCCCTTTTTAGCCCTACCTATGAAGTTGTCGAGATGTCATCCGTGATCATGGGATCCCATCATGAGGTCCCGTCATGAGGCTTTTTGTTTTCCATATTCGGAACTTCCAAGCAATCAAAAGCGATGGTAGAAATATTTCAGCCACTGCCGATCACCATACCTTCAGTTGAGAAACTAGCCTAAGCAGAGGTCTCGCAAATAACCAATCCTATGCCTCTCTTTGTGATTATCCGTCCAAATATACCAAAGAAAGTGGTTGAGGACCCACCATCTCTAATTGATCCCAGTGATGGTCATTGCTGCAGTGATACCTTGGCACTACGGTTCTTGGTCTGCGGGTTTTGGTGAGATCCGGGGTTCGCTAAATGGGTGTCGTAGCATCTAATAAAGCAGCAAAGATAGGTTTATATTACATGAAGTCTCCGGACATTGAACATGAGCGGAAACGTATCATCAGATTGAGAGGAGCTTCCACGAGTAAAGCATGGCATGTGTGCCAGCGCATTCTTCGAGTTATACGCCCAAGTTGCCGTTCTAAACTACACCTCTTTTCAAGGCGGCTCTCCCCCCGTTTTTGTTCTTCCTCTTTCTGGTCTCGGTTGTTGAATATTGTCTAGATCTTGAGGTAGACACACTGAACACACAGGACACATATATGTTTAGGGTGTATGGTGTAGGTTTAATGTTGTATTGCGTAGGTTACTGGTGCTCTAAGCGAATGCGCACTTCCAAAGTTCCCAAGTTACACAGACCATATGTACCCGTTCAAATGATGAATTATTGATATGTACTCCGCATCCAAACTCCCGCCAATCCTACTCTTGTTTTCCCCCAGTTCCCCAATTCCATCAACTCCACACACTCGGGTAATCTGTAGTAGGTATTAGTGCAGTTTGCCGAATTCCAAAGGGGTGCTGTCTCCAAGAATTTCTAAATTGTATCTGCTATTGTTAGGAGCATTAAAGATTTATTGTTGGTGCCAACATTGAAGTACATTATATGTCATAGCTACTATGTATCTAGGTATACACCTATTTATATGCAAGCTGCAATGTGCAATGTTGTTCTTCTACATATGTATGTATTAGTCCCCTTTCATGCATTTGTATCGGAAAGATAAAGGTGACTAAAATGCCTCCCTACAGCTGCCGCTTGGATCTATCCATAAAAGCTATCAACAATCTTCCCCTCTTTGCCTAGCCCCTTCGGCAAACAAAGTTTGTATGTAAGTAGGCCTATGCCGATCATTGCCCCAAGAGATTATCATCTGAGAGAGATCACGCTATCGGAATGCCATGGTCCATTAAAGTTCCAGTCACAACCACGGGTGAAATATGCGTTACCGTGTAACTCAATTTGTCTGCATCTAGGCATTCCAGCCGGTAGATGATGCTTGCTGGCCAATGCCACAATGACGACATATATAATAAGCTCAACTGTGTTCATTCTTTTATTACTCATTTCTTACTTACCTACCCTCGTTTTATTATATTTGCAGCGCCAATTGAAAATTTGCGGATCGATATCATCGACGGTTAAACGCGTGGGGTGCTGCTCATTGCTCTTCACTCCAGCTTTCTACCTTACCTAGGTATGTACCTGGGGAATGATTTTCATAAAGCCTTCATCCTTGCATTTATTGATTAGGTGTATAGCATCAATGATTATGAGTATAAGAAATTCATATTCTCTCTGGTATGGGAGTATTTATAGGCGTATTAGACCAATGTAGATATCTACTATGTAGTAAGCTTAATGAGTACCTATTTAATAGGTTGGTAGGTTAGACGTACCCAGGTTTCAATAAATCAATGTCAATTTATACATACATGTATACCGCTGTGCTTACCTACATACCTACATAACTACCACATACCTGCATAGGTACATACTATGTATGTATGTATGTAATATCCAATATCACCCAACATCAATAATACCGACTATTGTATTCTCACGAGCTCGTTACTCGCTTTACACCGAGCTAATTGGTTCCCCCGCCCCCCACATTATGCTAGAGCTCCAGGGCTACAGCATGGTATTTTCTCCAATGCGGAGACGGTACCGAGGGGCGCTATGGCACAAGTATGGGGTTTTCTGACCAGGGGCTATCTTAGTATGTATCTTGCTGCGGGCTGTTATCCATGTTCTGTCTGGGGGGGCGGGGAACGCAACCTCCAGATTCTACAACCTAATGCTTGCTTTCGTTGACCAGCTTAGCAATATGTATGTAGAAGAAGCTTTTGCTCCAATTAACCATTGGCCAATTAAACAATGACCATTGGTTAGTGATATGTCTTGATTTCCAATAACTTATTCCCTCTTGCTCTCATATTCAGGAACCACATGTAATCATATGCAAATCCTGATCCTATTACACTTAGGTACCTACATAGATAACTAGGTGGGTTAGCTAGAAGGCTAGAAAGATAATGAGCAAAGGTGAGACTCACTCAGTCTGCAGCCACCAAAAATACCGCCTGCAACTCACCTGGCTTACCCATTCCTAATTTGGTGTTAATGGGATTGACCCATCGATAACATGATGGGTTCATGTAGTATGGAGTACATAACAATGGAGCAGTACATATGGAGTATAGACTCTAGAGTATGGAGTACAGATGAAAAGTTTGAACTTGAATGCCTGGATAATGTAGACAACATCGAATGCTACTACATATATAATACAAATGTCACTGGGTAGGTACGTACGGGCGTAAGGTTAGGTAGATAACTTAGGAAGGTTCAACATAAGAAACATTGAAGGTGCAAAACTACTTTCTCTTTCTGTTCGAGTTTCACCTATGAGAGAGGCTCGTTAGCTAACCTACATGTACCTACCACCAATGCAATTACCGGACAGCTAGGTACCTTACCTACTATCGTCGCAGGTTGTCTCTCACTAACCATTAACACTAACACTAACACTAACGGTTTTCCCCCATCTCCGCATCCCTACCAGATCATCCTCCCCTCTCTCCTCCATTCTTCCTCCACACACTCCTCATCTTACACATAAACAATTCAACTCAACCCCGAATTCAACCATCATCTATCATAATCGCTTTACACCATTTCATCTTATTTTTCGGATATTATTCATTCGAGCCCTTCATCTCTCTATTTGCCCTTCAATTTCCATGAAGAATATAGTTTCTTCGCCCAGTTTCTACATGAGCACATAGCCACTCTCAATTCTGAATTTTCGGTTGCAGCCTTTCGCAATACCATACTTGTCCTCCTCTCCGCCTCTCCACACGCCTTCCTCCTCCTCGGTACTCTCCCCTTTCTCCACGCCAAAAAATATAATCAATTAATCCGCCAGTAAAAGTTCACCTTGCTTCGGTTAATAACTTATCTGTCTCGGTCATCATCTAAGAGAGGCGCGTCTGGTCCCGGCCTTTCTCTATCACTGGGTGTGCCAACGGTTACCTCAGCCCTATTAGTTTTGTACGGCCAGGCAGTCACACAAACTCTGGTATCCCTCAGGTAACGAGCTTTGTTGGGGCACGCGAAGTTGGCCGCCATTTCGGCGAGTGGTCGATCTTTTGGGGAAAAGCAAACAATGGTGAAAGACTCACGCTACGTACCGAGTTATACTAAGTGTCGACTGATACTACCATCACGTCCATGAATTCATCCATCAATCTTCCACCCTGCAAGACGTTCATTCCTCTTTCCGGCATAACCTCCTGGCCCAGGACCTCGTTCCCTTTCTGCCTACCCCCACTTCCAGGTGCTGCGTGACTTCTTTTGCATTGCACCCATATTTTCTACAGGGAACTTACCTTATACTAATTACCATTCACTTATCCTGACCCCCAATGCAAGCCATGCCGTCTATAGAAGGCTCTGGTGTAACTGGTACTGCCGATGAAAACGTGGAGGGCCGGCAGCAGAAGCCTAAGACCCTACCATGTAAGTTTTGCGACAAACGTTTTAGGTAAGGCAGCCAGAATCTGTTTCTATCTTCTCCCATCTAGTTCTCCTTCCGTTGGCAATTTACTTTACTTACACGATTATCTCCTGATTAGGCGTGTTGAGCACGTTCAACGTCATGAGCGGACTCATACTAAAGAAAAGCCCTTCTCTTGTGGATGGGCTCGATGCGGGAAGACTTTTGGGCGTCGGTTAGTTAAATTTATTTCGTTCCCCCTTTTACTTTTTATGTTGGTACGTGTGGCGGCCGATTTTGAGCTCTCCACCACTGCCCAACCATTCAACGTCTTTCGTGGGCGCTAAACAACCCCCATCCCCCTCACAACTTAGATACACACAGCACATACATGGGCTTAACACATTCTTCCCCTCCTCCACAATCGTCACTCGTCGAAGACTAGCGCACACGCCCTCATTCCCCCGTTGTATCCCCGTGAATATGCTTATATGGACATCAGGGATCTTCTCGTCCGTCACGAAAAGCTCGTGCATCTTAATGAGGGTTCTAATAAGGATGGTAACCGCGTCCGGAAACCGTCGACGGCCGGTGCTGCCCAACCGCCGCTATCAACCGAAAACCATGTCGAGTCTAAAATGATGGGTGTCCGGGCTCATCCGCAACATTACCACTCTGATTCTATGTCTTCGTCCGTGGCTGTCCCTCCGCTCGCTCCGGACCCTCGCCATTCCTCCCGAGCCGCGGCCTGCAACCTTGATCTTTTATCTGATGCTGCTACCCAGATTGCCTCCGCGAACGAGGTGAACTCGATGCAGCCGATGATGTCCGATCTCGGACAGTCAGGGGGTGCATTGGCGCGAATAAAGTCGTATGACGAGCCTATGCCGTATGCTGATCGTGGGCGTGAGCCTGAACAAGTGGCTATGTCTGTAGGATTGCCAAACCCAACAGCGCCGCCAACCTTCGACGATTATAATCTCTTCTTGGACGATTTCGCAACTTCATCTCACTTTCTTCCGCAAGGGTTTGAGGTAGATCAAGGTATGAGTATCTGGCCGCGGCATATATCAGATATTCATCGAGCCGGGCTCTCAAAGCCATCGTCTCAATTTCCTTCCCGTTTTCCATCGGTAGCGCCAGACCCGAGAGATCCATCTGATGGCAATAGCAGGATACATGACGATTCGACGAGAGCACAGCCTATGAGGGTTTCTGCTATGGACCATACTGTTATCAAAAATAGGCTAGATGAATTCTCGTCTGTTTTACCAACTGATTTCGTATTTCCTTCTCGCCATACCCTTACTCGCTTCCTCGAGGGATATGTAAGCGGGTTTCACGATCATCTACCGATTCTACATCTGCCAACGATTATGGCCGCTGAATTAGCTCCGGAATTATTGTTGGCTATTTTAGCAGTAGGTGCGCAGTATCGATTTGAAAGTCATAGGTCAAATGCGTTATGGTACGCAGCCAAAGCTGTAGCGCTCGAGCAGATCCGACGCCGCCATAGTCACGAAGTCCATGGATTGTTTCCAACACCAGCCGCGTATAGCCCACACTCCACACGACCATCGCCAAGTCATGGATTTCGTCATTCCTTTAGCTCCGTTCAACAAGAGCGTTCGATGACTCAAGAGACACATCGAGAGCCGTAGTAAGTAGACCTACTCGTGTATAACTCAAGCTTTTCTTCTCATCACCTTGGATATATCACTAACCTGGTGAATCCTTCAAGTTCTCCTAATACACTACAATCTCGCATGGAAACCATACAGGCTCTTTTGTTACTCTTCGCCGTTGGACTCTGGGGTGCTAAGGCCATCCTACGCGAAGCTTTAGCACTTCAAAGCCTGCTGGCTCTCCTAGTGCGCGAAGAAGGGCTTTTATCGGAATCCACGCAAACGGCTGACTGGGAAGCATGGGTTCGGATAGAAGGAGCTAACCGCACGAAGCTCATCGCATACTGTTTCTTCAATCTTTGCAGTATTGCTTACAACATGCCACCTTTATTGTTGACTTCGGAGCTGAATCTTATTCTCCCGCACTCTTCGAAATTGTGGAGGGCGGAAACGGCTTGGCAATGGCAAGAAGCTCGTCAATCTTTCCCTAGTATGGATATCTCCCTCCAAGACGCCTTCTCGAGATTATTTAGTCGCCCCCCACAAGGCCCACCGGCGTATATGTCTTCCCTGGGTAATTATATCCTCATTCATGCCATATTGCAACACATATTTCTCCTGAAGCAGACATCTTTCAATGCTGTGTCGCTGTTTGGTGGACTGCGCCAAGATGACGTCGAAGATTGCTTCCAAGCCCTGAGGATATGGCAGATGAGTTTCGAGCAGCACCAAGCGCGAGTGACAGAAGGCGGTCACCAGAACGGCCCCGATGCATTTCCAGGAGGGCCAGTCGCGTACAACTCGACTGCACTATGGCGGCTGGCATCCATTCGGCTGTATACAGATTTGAGTCCTAGTAGGACTCTCGAGTCAAGGGATGCGGGCCAGATTGCGCAAGCATTCCACGATGCTCCATATCTTGTTCGTAGCGGGCGTCTCAACCGGGCTGTATTTCAAGCTATACATGCATTGTCGATGTTAGTTAAGGTCGGCGTCAACTACGTTGCAAGGAGAAAATCCACTGATTGGAGTATGCAACATTCACGTAAGTGCCTATGGAAGCCCCAGGACAAAATGTGCACAAGGTATAGATGATCTGACCCTGATACAGTCTGCAATCTCGAATGCGCCATCCTCCTCTCCAAGTGGTTAATGACTCTTGCTTCGATTGGACCGACGGGTGCTTCTCCTGAGCCCGATGAACGAAATCTTCTGGAAATGTTGCGGCATATGCTGGACGAGACTGAGTTCGCAGTACCCATCGACCCATCACTTTCAGGGGGAGCGCCTGGACCCGGACAATCTAATATGGACATTGCCGCAAATGATAGTACGAAATTACGACAGCTTGCGGTAGCAGTAATCCGTCTGTGGGCAGAGACGTTCAAGGGTTCGCACATTTTTGACCTCGTCAAAGTAGTTGGTGCTGGTCTCGAAGGGTATGCCGATTTATTGGAGAAGCCGCGGGATAGAACACCGCTGGGTCGTATGCAAAATCCCGGCCTAGGATGATCTGATTTTATTGCTGCGAATCCTACTGAAATCGCTACTAGGTGGCGGTTTAACACTCGCCATTAGTTGGCGACCCTTGACCATTGGGTAAATACTGGATTAGATGCCCGTCACCAAGCAAACTGGCTAGATACGAGCGCTGCATGGATCTCAGCCACCACAGGGCGGTCAATGCCGAGAATCGATATAATAGTCATATATCAGCCCCACGAGGTTGAAGCTCGGCACGACAAACGACCATGCTAGGTTTCTCATGCATCACCATTCATATCTAGCCGCACATGAGCATCGTCGCAAATCTACGATACCGATTCATTGCTGGCGGTAAAACTTCAAGGCAGAAATAGCCGCTTGACTTGGCAAGCTAAGTTTATCATTAATCCGCACTAGAGTGCATCGAAAGGTATGCCGCGGAGGTGATATAATTTAGGTAGGAAGGAGTGATACCTAGGTGGCCACAGCTAAGGTGATCTACCATCTAGGTATATAGGAACTGTTTATGTCGGCTTAGCCAAGTAGTATATATACGAGTGTGCCTAAACAATTAGGTATTAAAAGCCAACTCAAGGCATTGCAACGTAAGAAGAGTCGAGCATGATAAAAGTCGATGCCTGTGCATTTGAAGCCTCAGCTATACGAGTTTACCCCTTTTGTCCGATAAATTCATTTAGGCATAACTACCTAGGTAGTTACAATTAGAAATGCGCTTATCAATTTGCCAATTTATGGTCGGAGTCCGAGGTGTAGATCACGTGACAGCGTGTGTCTTGCCACTCTTACTGGTCGCGTCATCAACCTCTTGGTTCCAACTCTCTTTATATCTGTCTTTTGCCTTCAATTTTACCTAATAAACCCAATCGTAAAGTCAGTTAGCAAAGCAAACCCTACCTTAGTCATGCCCCCCAAAAAGCGCACCGCGGCCGAGGCCGTAGAGAATCCAGAGACCAGCAGAAGCTCGCGCCGCAGGTCCAATCGCATCGGCTCGACCGGAACAAAGAGCAACTACTTTGAAGGCGGCAAAGACGACGACAATGATAGTGAGAATACTACCGACAATTTGGCAAAATCAACGCCGCGGCCTAGAAAAGCGGTTAAGCTGCAAGCTGCTAGTACGCCTGCTTCTTCTGGACGGAGGAAGAAGGCACCGCTGAAGAAAGAGGAATCGGTCGATGAGTTGCAGGATGACGTTGATGATGACGACGATACTGATGTGTTTGTGGATGATGGGGATGATGGTAGTGTGGTAGATGAAGATGATTTCGCATCGGACGATGATGAGTCGAAAAGTGAGGCCACAGCGTCGCCGCCACCGTCGGCGTCTAAGCGCGGACGCGGGAGGCCGGCTAAACAGAAGGAAGCGCCGAAGAAGTCTGGGAAGGCGAAATCTAAGACTTTGGATAAACCTACGGTGACTTCCAAGGCAAAGACTAGTACTAACTCTAAGCCGAAAGCGAAAGCGAAAGTTGCATCGGAAGAACCGGAAGTGGATGACGACGATGATGATGAAGATGAAGATGAGAATCGGATTACCTTTATTCCTGGTTAGTACGCCGTCTATCTCGCAAGTTATTTATTCGTGTATTCGGGGGACCAAGAAAGTGCGCTAATCATTGAATATCAAAGCGATTCAACTGAGGGATCTTGACGGTGTCGACTATGAGGATGATCAACTCCATAAGAATACTATATTATTCTTGAAAGATCTCAAAGCCAATAACAATAGGAATTGGCTAAGGGGTAGGTTTTATCATCCCCCCTCCCTCCCACTCTACTTCTCGTTGGTTTTGATCCTGACACGTGCTGTTCATATTCTCAGCCAACGACGAGGAATACAGGAGAGCCTGGAAGGACTGGGAATCATTTGTGGAGACCATCACCGAGAAGATCATCGAGGCCGATGAGACGATCCCGGAGCTTCCGGTGAAAGATGTCATCTTTAGGATATACAGAGATATCCGGTTTAGCAAGGACCAGACTCCGTATAAGGTGAGTTATCATTACCTATTTACATTTGAGAACCAATCATAGCTCCGCTTGCGTGATCAATTCTAACACATGGGGGGTTTTTTTTTTCTTCCGAAAATAGCCTCACTTCGCCGCTGCATGGTCACGAACCGGCCGAAAGGGACCCTATGCCTGTTATTACGTAGTAAGTTTCCCCCCCTCTTACCAATTCTACCCCAATCACCTCCCTCCCTATCTATCACGCAAACAAGCCATGCTCACGAGGCAACAGCAAATGGAACCAGGCCACTGCATGGTCGGCGGCGGCCTCTGGCACCCCGAAGGCGACTCCCTGGCCCGGCTGCGCGCCAGCATCGACGAGCGGCCCCGGCGCATCCGCCGCGTCCTGATGAACCCGGTCTTCTGCCGGACGTTTCTGCCGGGCGCGAAGGTCGGCAACGAGAAGTCCGTGCTCGCGGCGTTTGCGGAGGCCAATAAGGGGAATGCGCTGAAGACGAAGCCGAAGGTACTTTCTCTTCTTCTTTTTTCTTTCCCGTTTCTTTCCTTCACTCTCTTTCGTAATTCGCACATAAATGTGTAGGTATATGGTCCCGCAGAAGTGATCAAGCAGAGTTAGAGACGAGCAGAACAGAGTCTACCTACCTACCCAAGGCACTAACCCTAGCCCAGGGCTTCCACCCCGAACACGCAGACATCGCGCTCCTGAAGCTACGCAACTACACCGTCAGCACGAAGCTCAAGGACTCGGACCTCACCGCGCCGAACGCGCAGGAAAAAATCATCAAGATCATCTCCGCCATGGTCCCTTTCGTAAGTGCTGAAATTCCAATTTTCCCAACAAAGTATAAGTCCAACCGACATACGCCGGGGACGTGTCAGCAGCTAGCTAATATGGTGGATGTTCGTGTGTGCAGGTCACGTTCTTGAACAATACCGTCAGGCCGGATCCTAATGCTGATAGTGAGTCTGAGTCTGATGATGATGGTAATGGCGGCAATGGTGCTGCGGAGGAGGAAGATGAGGACGACGACGAAGAGCAGGGCGATCAAGAGGATAGCGCGTAAGTTTTTTTGTATTAAAGGAAAACGGGGGTGAGCAAAGCAGTAGGTATGTATGTATGTATAAAGACCACGTTACCCGCAGCTCGGTCAGTCAGTGCTGGTTGATTTCATGGTGCTTTCGTTAGTACCTACCTACATAATATCATCCGTGGATGCCAGCACGAGTTATGCTTGCCATCATAAATAGCAAGCTTGGGTCGACTCGCATCGCATTGATGTTGTCGAGATTGAATACGTGATATAATTCCAAGTTGTATACCTATCTAGGTACCTACCTAACCTAGGGCATTGAGCAAGCTACATAGCTTGTTCATCGTGGCCGTGGGGGGTTAAGGTAAGAGGTAGGGAGAAGATGGTGAAACCAGGTTACCTACCTAGGTAGGTACCTTAACCAATATTCATCACTCTTCTACCGACGTTATCTTGTACCTACCTACCTACACTAGAAACCCCTTTTTATTCCAAAAAAGAAAAGATAGGTAATTCGGCGCTCTCGTCAAATACACATTACATGATGTTCCCGCGTGCTTCATTTCCGCGGTAGGAAAAACCCCTCCTGAAAATTGCTTAGGTAGATAGTTACTGCCAGGTTAGGCAGTTGTAATAGATAGATAGATAGATAGATAGATAGATAGATAGGTACCTACATACCTATAACTACCCCCGCTCAATCCAACATGCCCGTCGACAAGCTCGGCGGCAGATCCTCCTCCCTCGTGCCCCAGCTACTCTCCTCCTCCCCCAGCACAAACTCCAGCGTGCCCCCCTTGACAAAGAACTCGTGCGTGATCCAGCTGCGGTTATACGCCACCCCGTCCATCTTGACGCTCTGCACGTATATGTTCCGGTACCGCGGCGCGTCAAAGCCGCGCACGTTCCGCAGCGTCGCGAGCTTCCCGCTCGGCGTCTGCAGACTCACCTCCTTGAACATGGGCGCGGTGAGCAGGTAGACGTCCTGGCCGGCGACGGGGTAGAACCCCATGTACGCGAAGGCGGTGAAGGCGCCCATGGCGCAGTCGTCGTTGCCGGGGATGCCGTTGACGGAGGCGTTGAACTGGCCCGGTATGTACTGGTGGACCCAGTAGTTGCTTCTGCCGGGGCGGCCGCCGTAGTGGAACTGGAAGGTGGTGAGGAAGTTGGGCTCGTTGCCCATGTAGTTGATGCGGGAGGAGTGGAAGAAGTCGAGGCGGGCGTTGAAGGTGTCGCGGCCGCCGAGCGCGGAGACGAGCGACGCCATGTCCTGCGGCACGTAGAAGGTGTACAGCCAGGGGCTGCCCTCGTACGTGTCGTACTGCGTGTCGAAGTAGCAGCTGTGCTGCTGGTAGACGGGGCTGCAGAGGCGCGTGTTCTGGTACCGCCACGTGCCGTTGCGGAAGCGCGGCTGCATGAACCCCTTGAACTCCGACATGTGCACCGCGCCGTCGTCGTCCCGGTACCGGTCGTCCTGGTCCGGGTTGAACAGGTTCTTCCAGTTGCCGCTGCGCTGCAGGTACTTGGCCTCGTCGCTTTTGTGGCCTAGCCCCCGCGCCATCAGCGCGATCGCGAAGTCGTCGTACGCGTACTCCACCGTCCGCGAGATCCCTCGGCTCATGGGGCCCGTGCCGTTGCGGTCGTTATCGTCGTACGGTATGTAGCCCAGGTTATGCCAGCTCACCAAACCCCCGCGGCCCGTCGTCGACCAGTCCTTGGGCTCGACCTCGGCATCGGAAACCACGGCCTCGTACCCGAGGTTCCAATCTATGCCGTCCGTTAGATTCTTGACGAAGGCGTCGGCAAGCACCACATCCGCATTGGAGCCACCCTGCGTGTACCCCTTGCTGAAGCTCATGCGACAGTCCGGCAGCTTGCCCTCGTTCTTGTATATGTCAATCAGCGACCGCACCATCTTCGTCTGCACCGCGGGGTCCACAATGGTCAGCAGCGGGTGCTGGGCGCGGAACGAGTCCCAGATGCAGTAGAACGAGTCGTAGTACGGCTCCTTCGAGTCCCAGAGCGGGTTCTCCCCAGTGTAATCCTGCGGCGAGATGAGCGCGCGGTACAACCCTGACCAGAACGTGGTGAGGGACTCGTGGCTGAGCCCCGCGTAGGAGGGCTTGATGACGGATAGCTTCTCCTTCCAGGCCCTTTCGCTCGCGCGCACCACCTCGTCGAAGTTGAAGTCGGGGATCTCGCCCTCGGCGTTGCGGCAGGCTTGCGCGACGGAGATGAAGGAGAGCCCAACGCGCGCCATGATCTGGTTATTAGGCGGCCGGGCGAAGTGGATCCAGGCGCCTGCGGAGCCGGACGGGATATAGAAGTTGCTCCCTATATTGCCGATCGAAGCCCACTCGTCCGTGATGTTATCGTGCAGGAACACGCCCGTCTTCCGGATATCAGCCCCGAGGAAATCAGCGCAGAAGTGCGCTGTGTAGACCCCGGTTCCAAACGAAGGCGAAAACGAGCCGTTCCCCATGATCCTTCCCGTTTCCCGGTCCACCTCGATGTCGCCCCCGGTTCGGGAGTTGCCTAGGTCGGTCAGATCCATGAGAATCAGGGGGCTGGAAGGGACCATCACTCCGTGCGATTGCACCTCTTCGTCTTTAGGGAAGCTGAATCTGTATAGCGTGGCGTGCTCTGCTGCGGTCATCTCGGCGTAGACGGAGTTGTTGAGGCCGATGGCGAAGTACCCCGGCCGTGCCGTCGCGGAGTTTTTTATCCTCCGCACGGGCCTGTCTACGACTGTGTATTTGCATTGATGGAAGTCGTCCTCGGGACATCCTGGGTGTGCGAAGAGGGGGAAGTTGCCTAACGAAGGGCTCTATTTCATTGATCAGATTTATGTAAATATTTAGGTGCATATTGGGTACGTGATTAATGTGATGAACTCACTCCTCCAGTTCCTGGTAATGACTTAGTAGTTGGACGAGTGAGATGATATGGATTCACCATTACCTGAATCGTGCAGCTGTGAGAAGCCTTGGATCCTGGACTCGTCCGAGACAAATCCAGCTGCTGCTTCAGCACGGTTATCCACATCCGCTACAGCTTTCGCCATGCCTAAATGAGTGATGAGCGATGGTGTCCCCAGGTACGCGGTAATCACATAAGTAGGTAAACTTGGCAACATACCGTATGGCAGAGTCGCGCCAGGAAAAACATGGCCTATGATGATCTCAGTAAAGTCCTAGGGCCACCAAATGACCAATTACCACATACCTCCATTCACCGTGCCAATGAGAGGATCAATATATCGCAAGATGTTATCGCTAGATCGTCCTGATGAGCCTCCGCCAGAGTGAAAGAGTGTTTTTGAGGAATTCAACCTAGAAGACGGCAGAAGAGCCCAGACGAGCAAGGCCAGCACCGGAACGACGAAGAGGAATCGGTGCCACCGCGGGAAGCTTTTGAGGAGCGGCGGCATGATGACGAATCGAGTGAGGCAGATGCAATTTTGGTTGCAAGAGCCATCGATACCATCAATTCAATGCTCAATTCTCCTCAATGGCTTCTTCTTCTTCTTCTTCTTCTTCTTCTTTGCCGCGCAATTTTCATAGGTTAGCAACAGGATTATTCAACTTTTGTTTCTTCTTTCACTCTTTTTCGTTCGCCTTCCTTACCTGAAATTCTAGCAAACGGTTCCCCGATTGTGCAATTAGGGGGATATTCGGCTCGGCTGAATTGCTTTTGTGGTTGGGGCCATTTACACAGGCTCTTAGTATCCATACATTTCATTTATGAAATGTTACAGTCGGCAGCTAGATGGACCATCGTAGATTCATAACAGACATAGGCCAGCCGCCTGTTGATCTGCTAATGGATAAAGTTGTAAAGGTTAAAGAGCAACTGCCATGTTGGGTGACCAGGGCTGCATCTTAGGTATGTATTGTACTATCGTATGTGGAGCAGTGGAGCTTGCCGCTCCGGTTTAGTGCATCACCTATTTCAGAGCCCTGGATGTGCACAGTCTATTCTACAGTTTCTTTACAGTATGCGCACGGTACTAACTGGAGTACTATGTATCTTTATGCAACCCCCACCAGAGAACCGCCCCCCTTTTTCGTAATAAGCGATACGCGGCAGGAGTTATATAAAGATAGGCTTTAACTAGACTTTAAGCTTATCAAGAACGTTTATTCAGTGGATTGCCCGACTATCCTTCGACGGAACGGCAAGCCCCATTATTTCAAGGCCAGGTGGGTGGAACAAGGTGGAACAATAGTTAAGTCGTGCGTAGATAGGAAAACGTGGGTTTTACGCCGCAATCCTTAAATTCTAGACTCTATAATAGGCAACTCCCTCGGCTATCTGTGGTCTTGGCTCCAACAAAGGTACGAGAGAGCACCTACCTGGGAAGGTAGGTAGCTACCTAAGCATATCTGATCGTAATGAGGCTATATATTGCGATATAGATCGTATCTACTAGGTAGGTACCCACCTTGGAGCTTAGTCAGGTATAGGCAGGATTTATTAGTTAGGTAATACTCAGCGGAACAGCCATCCGTTGATTATGAACTACACCTTGTATAAAGCTTCCGCTTCGGATGAAGTAAGGGGAACCGGCGCAATCCGCAAGCCGAGCGTGAGAACATTACCTAACCTAGGTAACTATATTCCAGTTGACATAGGCTATAGGAGTTTTCGGCAAGTAAGACGCCGATAGACCATCTCCATGGCACAATATACATTTCTATAGGAATACTCTATGCCACCTTAGCTCTTATTGTCGTGAGGCTCTAAGCCTACCACGATCTTTCCTCATATCTCATGATATGCTTAAAAATCCCTGCGGTTGAAACTTGCCCAATAGGCTTAGCGGTTACGACCTTATCTCGACGGCCGGCCGCGGCTGTAGGGCTGTGCTCTGCCCTTGACATACCACCCAAGATACAACACCCCACAGTCTGCATAGCTCTCTGGGTTGATTAGTGTTCCTGCAGTCTCTCTGCTCGTGCAGGTGATGTATCGAGAATATAGTAGAGATATGACCTGTCAAGGTATATCTTTAATAAGAGAATAATATGGAAGGAGCCTGGTTAAAGTTGAACCTGGCATCGATAGATATCTGACTTACATACTTCGGTACCTAGGTAGTCAAAGTAAGGACATAGAGAGTTCCAATTTCTATATCAAATGGTCAACTGTTAAGTGAACACTGGGAAGACTACAATAATTACTTGACAAGTGGCTTACCCCCTGCCTCCTGAGTCGACTCTGTTACTTATATCTTAGCCCTCCATATTATTAGCCTACCGTCTATGTTTCTACTAAAAGCCACTGCCCCTTTCTACAAATCCTAAGCCAAGTCGGAAGCATCTCATCTTACCTCGTATAATTCCCTGAAATGGTATTTTCAAGAGGAAAATCATGTGAGTGCCTATACTATCTCATGGCGAGGGAGCCAGTTGGATCGACTGTACGGGATGAGGACCTCGAAACTAAAAATAGGTATTCGAGAAGTACGATGAAGTCAGCGGGGTCCATTTCCACCTGCAATGTTAGCCTAGATCGTGTGGGATACCCAAGATTCACTCCTTCGAATACCACCCTCCGCAAAGGACGTCGGTATGGGGACGGAGTTTAACCAGTCTTGTGGTGAATAGTAGAGCAATGTCGTCTGTAGAGAGATGGAATGATATAAATGCAGTCGCCGTCCCAGTCTATTGAGGTTCTATCTCATGTTCAGACACAGTGTCACATCAACAACACAATATCTACCTTATCCACATTGTTAACACCCTCAACACCCAGCCATGAAGCTCCACCTCCTCAGCAGCGCGGTGCTCCTCACCGCCGCTGCCACAGTGTACTCCTCACCCACACCCGCAGCCCCCTCCACAAACACAAGCGATGTCGACTTCCTCAACGACCCCGACTCTTTCAATGCCATCGAGCTCGACCCGGTGGTCGAGGATGCCTTGCGCATGAGGGAGCATAAACTACGCTTTGTCAAGCGAGACGCGTACAAGGACTTGAAGGCCTTCGATCTGAAGAACGCGAAACAGATGTGCGAGCCCACCTTCAAGACACCGGACGAGGCGTTGAAGGTCTGGTGGCAGACTGCTGCGGGTAAGACGATGTCTCCTTTACCTACTCTACAGAAACAAATTTACTGACCCCTTTGTCCACACCCAGGCGACGTCCTAGATTCCTGGGTCCGTATGCATGATACCTCCAAGACCGGTGACGGGAAAGGATGGTTCGACTCCATGCTACGAGATGTGTACAAGGCCGACGGTACCATGGACTGCACTACCATAACGGGAGGAGGCTGCGAAATACCTCCCAGACTATGCTGTACGTCTAGTATTCCAATGACTTTCTAGGAAGTCAAAACCGCTAACGAGATCCATTTAGACGACCTCGTGAAGAAAGGCAAAGGCCCATACTACTGGGTCCTAAAGGTAACATGCCCCATACCCCCCGAATCAAGCCTTAAGCAAAACCAACTAACCCCCCTATCACCCCCCCAGGCCGTGTCCCTCATGAACCTGGCCTCCGCCAACCTGCACGAAAAGTACATACAGAACGGCGCCATCGAGAACGGGCTCGACATCCAAGGGTTCCTGAAGGACTTCACGCCGCCCAAGCAAATCAAGTCGCCGACCTTCTTCGGCATCCTGTCCAGCGTGCTCCTGCTGGGCGGCGGCAGCACCAGCAGCGGCGGCATCCCGTTCCCGGGCAACAAGATCAGCCCCTGGGGAGGCATCATCTCGATTGCTGGCAGCGCGTTTGGGCTGGCGGACAAGTACGGGCCTGCGGAGGAGGATGTGCCGGATTGTGAGTACCTATTTCCCTACCTCTCTCTACCTACCTTCATGAATAGGTAGGGGCTAACCTTTCCATCCCACCACACAGTAGGCAAGATGCTCAACCAATACTTCCGCGCCTCCGAAGACTCCCTCGACGCCTCCATAGTCAACTCCCTCGGCAAAGGCGACCAGAAGAAGCTACCGCCCCACTTACTCTCGGACGGAACGTACTACCGCACCGCGACGGGCCAGTACTTCGCCGCGGGCAAGTTCTTGAAGCAGGACATCGGCATCTACATGAAGCCGATGATTGAGGCTGCAAAGCTGAAGATGGTACTTGCCTCCCTACCTCCCTCCCTCCCTCCCTCCCTCCCCCCTTACCCGACATGGCAATAGGTAACAACATAGCATAACCCGTAGCTAACACCCCACGCCCACAGAAACAACGCCTAGCCCTCTACACCCTCCAAGAATCCGGCGGCCTCTTCTTCCACGCGCAAAAGAGCCCCTGCATCGAGTACGCCTACCGGATGCGGTACGGGCGGGGCCCCACCTCCTACCAAGTGGACAGCTGGTGCCTCGTGCCGTTCTACTCGTCGCGCTGGAAGCCGGGCACCGACGTCATCGACCTGCGCAAGTCCGACGTGCCCCTGCAGGTCGAGCCGGACATCCAGAAGAAGCTGGAGGCGTACGGCCTGAGCTGGGCCGAGGTCGCCAACAACGCGCTCGACTGCGCCATCCACAGCGGGCCCGACGGCCAGGTCAAGACCGGCGTCATACCCCTCACCGGCGCGCTGCCACGGTGCTTCTTCAACGTGCCCGTCAAGGAGGGGAGCTTCTGGCCCGCGAGGCGGCCGAGGGACAGGACGTGGTGGGAGTTGAAGGACCCCAAGTTTTAGTTTAGGCTTGGGAACCACTTGTGGATCTTGGATAGGTGCCTAGTACCTACAGTTTGATTTATCCGATGTACTTGTAGAAGCGTCTAACCTAGGTTAGGCATGTTGGATATATATTATCAAGTTTCTTCGTTGTAACCTACCTCGGGAAGTCTTTGCAAATTTGATTCTAGATTGTGGTGGATAAACGATCTAGGTGACAACTTTCTAACACGTGCATTGATACATACCCGGCCTTTACCTAGGTACTCGAAAGATAAGTACTTGCCCGAGATAGCAAGTCTTTACCCTGTACTTCTAGAATAATCAGGTATATGTTATAGGCTTGCCTAGTTTACAATAAGTCTTATGATCGACTTCAAGCCACCTAGTATCGAAGTCTTATCTATGTAACCATGATCATGCAGATTTGTGCGAGGTGTGTGCATGGTGGTGCATGGTGGGTGGGTGATCCTTGACAGCCATAAGCACGATGACGATCGACGACCTTGAAAACTGGTAGCAAGAAACTGCCGTTCGGCCCCGAAGGAAAGGAGGACAAGCTTATTCTTTCATGACCACTAGGTAGGTAAGTAATAGACATCATTCACGTTATATTTATTAGCACACACTTAGGCGGCTGTGTTTACGAATAGCCTCAATACCTAATTTGACGGCCGACTCACTTGACACTACTAGGCACTCGGATGGCACGTTACCTAATGACAAGGCATCAAAGTAGAAATCATTTTACACTTCAAGACGGCCAAATTCAGAAGCCACAATAAATCTATGGTACAGCTTTTATTATTTGGGTAGTAATCTACTCCTAGATATAGGCCAATGGGGGAATCAAAAGCATGCGGTATACCCTTCAACTCCCTACCAGTTAGACCATATGCATCAATGACCGGATAATATCATCGTGGTGACGACATTCAAAACCCTCTTCCTTCTTCCATAGAAACCCAATATACATCGCCATTATTCCCCACTAGTATGCTGCGTTCTGCCTGTAAAAGTCTTGGGGCGCGCTCGGCTCGTTTCCGGCGGGCGGTGCGTAGGCCTTGTACTGCGGTGCTTGCTGAGGCGGCAACATCTGGCTCGGCAGCGACTGTCGAGAATCGAATGCCGGTCCGCCGGGATGTAGTGGAGGCGGCGTCATCACGTGAGCCGGAGGTAGAATCCCTTGTGGGATCGGAGGTGCTGCCCCCGTTGGCTGAGGAGGCGCTTGTGACTGGGGGGATGGCTCTCGACGTGGGTTATATGCCATATACTGCGGCTGAGATGGTGCCAATGGCTGGTTGCCGACAGTCAGAGCTGTTGGGACGCTTTGAGCGGGGCCGGACGGTGCGGAGGGCACGGATGGCGGGGACATTGTGGGAGCGGAGGGCGCTAGGGGAGCTGGAGCTGTCGGACTCGTAGCATATGGGTCCTCTGAAGAGTAGACGGAAGCGGAGTAGGGATCGGCGGGTCGGCCAGGGTTGTTGGTAGTTGCAACGGGGGAGTCGTATGCAGAGGTGGCTAATTCTTGTGGATTGCCGTATGTGCTTTGAGGTCGCTGCCCTGCCTGCGGGGGAGGCTGTGAATACGCCTGATAGTTTTGAGGCGGTGACGATGTTTGCAGAGGAGCTGGTTGCTTCCCCGCGGCTACTCGCGAAGGCTGGTCTCTAGGCGGGTACTGCTGAGGCGGAGGTTGGTTAGCCTGAGCGGGAATTTCTGCTCCCTGAAGATAGAACGGTGCGGGCGCCGGGGTTGGTCGTTGGAAATTAGGGGGCGGTGACACAGCCTGGAATTGGTTCTGTTCTACATATGTGTGAGAGCCGCTTTACGTAGAGGTGTTTTGAGGTTTCACATACCTTGTGGAGGGGGGCCTTGAGGTCCAGGGGTGTAATACCTTTGAGGCTCCTGTTGCACAGGTGGCGGGCCTTGCGGAACGAAACTTTGGCCCGGGCTGGGACCTGGACCTGGACCACCAGGAACTCCGTAACCAGGGTTCATGAGTGGTCTTGGTGCATACTGGTGATAGTTTGGCTGAGGCGGATGAGACATGGAAGACTCTAAGAGCGATTCATAGTCTCTTCTCGCTTTGATGAACTTCTCATTCAACTGGGTGAAGTCTTCCTTCTTTTGAGAGTACTTTTCGATCAGCTTGATCAGCTTGGGTCGAATCGCTAGGGTTTGGTGGTATAGTTTCTGAGAATGTTAGCAATTGCTTTGAAGTATATATTTGCGTCGCTTGGAACATACCGATATTTCCTCGTTGTCCTCCTCTCTCGGTGACGCATTGGATGTGCTCAGCAAGGTAAGGAGTTTCTCGACGTTCTTGATCTCAGCAAACACCTCGGCCTCCATCTGTGCTTCACGTTGTAACTCGTCAGGAGTTGGGTCCGCAAGCTTCTCAACATAGTTCAGAGGGAAAATGCCAGTTCTTCCCTTGAGCGATCCGCGCCACCAATCCTTATAGACTGACTCCAGCACTGCTATGATATCTCCCTTCTTAAATTCAAGCTCGCCAGGTTCGGATGGTACGAAATCGTAAAGGGCCCGAACTCGCGACACGGTGGCGGCAGTTGTGCCAGTTGGGTGAGAGATGATCACTTCCGGTTGTCCAGGAGAGGCACTGGGGCCGGCTGCTGAGCTCGGTCCTGCCACGGCAGTATTGTTGGGTATAGACTTCTTCTTCTCCTCTTCTTGAAGGGAGAGCTTCAGAGCCATCTGAAGCTCGTCATCTTCTTTTTGACGATCCAGCTCGGTAAGGCCAGTCTTCTGCGGAGCCGAGGGTGGTTGCAGCGTGGGGTTGGTTTGTTTGAGGCGAAAGTAGGCATCGTACATGATACCAAGATCGGCGTCCGTGCTGAACATGTCGGACCATTCCTTCATTCGCTCAAGGATCTTAACCTTGACTTGTTGATGGGTGTTGCGATCATTAGCAAGCTTAAGGAGGGCATCGGTAAACGCGCGGCTGGCAAGCTCGCGGTGCATATTCTTGCCGCAATTTTGGGAGAGGGCATTTCCGAGCTATCATAATGTAAGCTGTTAGTTTTTTTGGTGAAACTAAATGATAGTAAGGTGTGTTCATCATATTACTGATTGCCTACCTCAAGAGTATAGAGCTGAACGTTGGCGTTGCGATGCGCCAAGCGCTTGATTAAGCTTTGAACTGCTTGATTGGGGCCATTCGAATCACTTCCTACTTTGTCGCAGACCTCAATAATAGCTCCCCAATCCTCAGAGGTGAGGTTCTCGTCTGTCGCCTTGGCTAATAGTGAAGTAACGTTAGTATGCGAAGCACATTGGGGGCTACATGCGGTGCTTGTGGCGTACCGATCACCTCGTCATATGGATTGACTGCTGTTCCCCGAAACATTCTGGGCAGCGAGAGGGGGCGAATGACTATCCCGATGAATCCGGCTTGCTCAACGATATGGACGTAAAATTATTCACCCTTTATTCGATCTTATAATGTTGCGCCTCGGACGAAGGGATCCAAATAGTAGAAATGTATTGAGTTATCGTGGTTCAATAACGATTTGGTAGTTGTAACTGGTAAGAAAGTCAATAGGATTTATGTATGATGGGAGAAGTACATAAGCCTGCCTTAGGTAGTTCACATTAGGTACATAATATAGAAGAAGTACTGTACATATGAGATGACGTTGGCCTGTGCTTCCAATTAACGTCGCATTCTTTGCTGCCTCTCAGCCTTTTTTTCTGGTTCTTAGTGGGGTAAAGCATGGGTACCAGGTACACTATTAATACTGTTTACTGTGTAAGCACGCATACATTCATGGATGTATACTATACCTTAGGCATTCATCCATCCATCCATCCCATCCAAGGTATCTACTACTAGTAGTACCTAGTAGCCACTGAGAGAACGCGCAATCCAGTGACGTTCGAAGAATATTCTTAAGACTGCGCCTCGACATAAGTACGGCTGTACGTTTCAACTTAGCAGAAACATTGCACCTTTAGAAATCCACAAGGCGAAGCAAAGCCGTAAATTGCAACCAGATGTGCGAATTGTGCTCGAGCACCCGGGCATCCTTGGTTTTATATCAACCCAGGCCTCAAGTACGAAATACGAAATTACTGTACGAATAAGAATAGTTACTGAGCTGTGTATCTAATAATAGCTCTGAAGCTGTATATATATACTATATATATGTGTGTAGATCAAACATATACTTAGAATTAACTAACTTATATATATCCGTCTTCTAATATACAGCCCTTCCTAGATCCTCCAAAAACTAAATAACTGGTAAAATGTGACAAAATAAAGAGAAGAATCCAAGCCTCACATCCTGGCACAATTCGCTACATTCTTTCTATTCCATCTACGAGTCTTCCCTAAGATGGACCTGGTCTGGACCTACATAGTGAAGTCTTATAAGTAGTTTACCGACGAAAGAACAACAAACCAGTACACATCGGACCAAGCAAGGCTTTGACGTGCAGAATGCCAGCCCTATTCTGCAACGAAACCCCTCCCGAATGAACTCCAGATGGTCTTCCTCGAGCGTGTCATGTTGATACTGATCCTCAGAATCCCCGCTCTGGACTCCGGCCGTAATCAGTCACAATCCTATCCGCCCAAACTCCTTTCGAAACTTTCTGCTCATCCAAAACATGACAATGACAATCTGTGAGTGTAGTAGAAGTTTTAGGAACATGTCCCCGCCCTGTACAACAAATGGAATCCCTATAACATTCCCGGAGAATCCCTCAGGTCTTCTTACGGTTCACGGTGAAGATGGACATAATGAATAAATGTCAACAAAGAAATGAAAAAGTCCATCCAGGACTGTAGAGGAGAGGCGATTTTCAGTGAGGCGGACTGATTTACCAACGGCGGCTGCGATGGCTTGTCTCATATCCTCCCCTATCACCGCCCGATCCTGCGCTGCCGCCTCTTGTTTCCTCAAGACTACGGCGCGACTGTTCACGCGTGATCTCCGACATATCAAAAAGAAGTGGCTCATCGTCTGCCTCATCTGCAGCTGCGCCTGTAACACCCAGACCAGTAGCACCCCCACGCGAATAGCCTCTACCAAATCTTCCGCTAGATCCGGCAAGACTACCACTTCCAGAATGAGGGGGGGTTATCCCTCGGCCGGCATTACTACCGTACCGCCTACTATACGGCGAGCTGGAATATCCAGTAAATAGGCCACCGGGAGGTCGAACTTCACGCTCGACAGACTCCGACTCTGGCCCGAGAATATCGGAAGGGCTCGTAGCTCGGATATCAGCAGCCGATCGCAGACTTGGCGCATCTACAACACCATCTGCTTCGGCAGCACCTAATCCCAATAGAACACTGAGGCTAGGCGGATCACGATCATCTGCTCCAAGACTAACACTGCGATGGGCGCCAACGTCATCATCGTCCCCTAGCGCACGATTTTGATGAGCGACAGAGCTGGATCGTCTTCCGTGCGGGTACGGCCGTGGGGACGTGGGAATATCAATCGCAGTCGTACCCTCGTGTGTAGTTTGTGTAATAGTCGATGGCTCTTCTACTAGGCCTTCGACAGTCCGCGATCGCGACGTAATCCTCGCAGTTGGCGCGTAGTCCACGCTCGAGTTTTCACTCAGGCGAGATGGAATAGCTGGGGTGTGTGGGGTATGAGGCGATAACGGTTTTCCTCCCGGTGATGATGACGCCGACATGCCTGGAACGTTGGCTAATTGTCGACTAGATGAGCTAGAGGAGCGTTGTAGATGCATCGAAGAGTTCATGGAGTCTGTAAGCGCGTTGTTAGACTCCCGCATGAGTTGGAACTTGGACAGTTGAGCAGCGGTTCTCTTAGTCGCCGACTCGCCCTTCTTGGACGGCTCAAAGCTCTGCAATGTTTTCTTGCTTTCGATCATTTTCAAAAAGTCCTGAATATTGTCATCCTCCGGGGGGAAAGATGCTGAACTACCCCCAGCACCAAGCTCGTTCAATAAGCCAGAGCCTGGCTGGGCAACTGAAGACGAGAGGCTTTGTTTGCCGCTACTATTTTGATCGTCGTCTCCTCTACCTCCACCGAGGGACGGTCGGTTACGGCGGTGTGTGAAACTACTACTAAATCGATTAGTAGCGGATGGCCTTGGAGAGCCAGTTAGAAAACTCTCCGCGCCGCTGGGAGGTGGCACGGCTCGCAGGGAAGCCGGCATTCCGGCTGACAGCGAAGAACGGTTCCTCACATGCATGTTCAAAATAGGGGTTCGACTGAGAGATACAGGAGAAGGTGGGACGTCAGAGTCCTGTGGTCGGATTGAAGGGGAGCCTGAGAGAGAGCCTTGCTTAAATGGGGACGATTGGAAAGATATCGACGGACGCCTCGTTGTATCTAAATTCCTAAGGGACGGTCGTCGAACAGGGCCACTAATCGGGAGGGTATGCGGATGGGCTTCAAGGCTCGCAGGTATAGACTCAGGTGGCGAAGTGGTATCGGAGCCTGGGGCTTTTACAGCTTTCAATGCAGATATAGGACTAGTACCGATGGGCCCTGCACCATGAAACGTAGATAAACTACCGTATCGCTGCTGATTCTCGGTGACATCGTGCGTATGGCGGTGGTATGGGAGCGATCCCACTTCAGGAGCGTAGGAATCAGGGTGTCCATGTCCACGATGAGGCAAGGACGGCTTGAACATGTCATCAGAAATGGCGAGACCGATTCGGGAGCTTAATAAAGACTCAGTTTCAACAACTTGAAAATTGCAATTGTTGCGATAAGACACAGAAACGTAGAAACGCCCCACAGGAACCTCGAGATCGCCGAACATATAGTCTGTGGAAACATCTCCTCGCCCATCAAATAACGGCATTCTCAAAGTATCGGAGCCGTAGGTGGGCGATTCCCCCGAGGAAACTCGGCAGCGAATAGATAATGCCGGATGACTTCCCTTCGTCTTTGAATTTCTGGCGAGTTTCCAGGCGGGCAGGATGCCTGTCGTTGTGTAGATAGAGCGCATTAGTACGATAGCCTTCTTGTACACCGTGGGAAGAAGAAGGCCAAAATCCTCTGGCTTGTCAGGTGGATCGCCTTTCAACTCGACTCGCCATCTCTCTAAAACAACGCGGGTGATCGGCTTCCCCTGGCGCCCGGAACTACTTTCACTAGACTGGTCAGACGAATTAAGGGCTTCCAAGACATCCCACCGCTTCCCATTCTCGTCTACAATAACCAAGCTTTGACCCCCCTTCAGTCGAGAGGCGTCGAGGTAGGTTTCGATGACTAGAGGAGGGGGGCGATTGTCGAATCCACCACATTGTTTCCATACCCGAAATTCTTCTCGGAAGTCGTCTATATCGTCTGTATCGAGTTGGAACTGAGAGGGGCAGTTGGTAAGACGAAGGGCTGCGGATTCGGGATGTTCCTCTTCAGGATTTCGACTTACCCATCTGCTTGTTCTCTTCTCTTGGTTTCTACCTACTAGGACTGGGGTCACTTGCATGCGTGCCTGTAAAATGACAGTGCCGGCTTTCGAGTACACATTCTAGGTTGGCAATTATCCATCAGCATCTACGATCGCAGTGATTTGATAGATAGTTGGTCGGGCAATAAAGACAAACCTGAATGATCTGGTCCAACTTCTTGATTGAGTCTCTACTGGGACCTGCATCCCCACGACTACCTGGCGGATCTCTCTGATTATTTGTTCTTGTGGGATTTGTTTGTGACGACAGGGCCGGAGAGGCTGTACGCGGCGGGGCGCGGGGAGTTTGATGCATCTTGAAGTCGTCGATAAGTCAGGATACCGGATGGGGTACTTGGCGTACTTGGTGGGAAAAGGTGGGAGTAGATTAAGAGTCAGTTGACTAGATCGGACGATGAACAACCCCGGTAGACTTTCGAGTTGGTCGTGCCGCAGAACGTAGGGTGGGCGAGGTAGCTAGCAAGCTTAGGCGCTCGTTTACGATGACCTAACCAGGTAGTTTTAAATCGAAATGGGGATTCTGGTTCGATGCCACCGAACTTTGGCATCCATTGTTGAGAATTTCGGGTGTTGAATAGGCAGATAGGAAGGCAAGTAGGCAAACAAGCAATTAGATAGACAAATAGACTACCTAGATACGTTGGATGTATGTAACAGGCTCATAAGGAAGACTAGAGACTGCGCAATAGGTCGAAAGGGTCAAGAAGACTGTCGAAACACGTAGGCAGACATACAGGGACAGTACAGGCTCAGTGCGACGGAGGTTGAACTGTATGACTGACTGTATGGACTATACATACGAAGATCAATAGTTAGAAAGATACCAAACAGATAGGCAGATTATGTACTAGGTAGGTATGTAGGTATGTAGTTATGTAGGTATGGAGGTATGGAGGTATGGAGGTATGGATGGAGGTATGGAGGTAAAGAAGGTAAAAGGTAGGAAGGTATTGTGGTACTAAGTAGAAGACCGTGGCGGGCGGCTCTGCTAACTGGATGCGGGTGGCTGCAGGGTTGGGGGTTTAGCTATGTCTAGGTAGGTAGCCCTAGAGGTAGCTAGGTAGGATGGCTTAGCATTAAAGGTTAAGCCAATTGTGCCATGGTGATAGGTGCCTTGGATGAGGTAAATGGGGAAATAGAAAGGGGTGGATGGAGAGAAGAGATAAATGGTAGATGAAAGATAAATGCGCTGAATATGATTTTGTCAAGTGTCTAGGTCAGATAGGTAGGTTAGATAGGTAGGTATATATGAATGTGTATTGTATTGTACATGTGTATGTATGTATGTATGGTGTATGTATGTAGAAATATGTATGTTTGTAGGTTCAAGGTTGTCTAAATGTGTGTGTCAATGGACGTGCGCTGTGTGTGTTAATGCGGTTGGACGGACAATAAGTTCAAGTGTCGATTGTGACCGAATCGGAGCTCTGCATTGATTGATTGATTGGGTTGGATTGGATCGAATTGAATTGGATTAAACTGATTGAAATTCGTTGATGTGCGATTAAAAGGATGGATATGGATATGAGATATGATTTCGCAAGGAAAGAAGATTGAAGATTAAAAGATTTCAAACGATCATTTCAATCCAAAATGAATATTGGATAATAGTTAATAGGACCAATTCATGAATAGATAGAGGCTGTTTGGGAGCATAAGTTTTGCTTATACTTATGGTCCGTGACACTTTAGTACATAAGTATGCTGAAGTGCGTTTTGATTGTGGGGTTTTTCTCCACTAAAACCACGACCAATCAACGCATTTCTCGATGACGATAAGTATTGAGATGTTTGTATGTTTTATATTATTATACATACTTATGTATATGTATGAATTTAAACCGGACTGCTACCGTATTACATAACCTGTGCTGTGTAGGGATTTTCCAGGCGTTAACAAGAGGTACGGTAGGTCAAACCTAAATTTACTGCACGGCTATGTACCTTTTGATATTCCACAGATGTTAACTACCTTTTCTAAGCTTTGCAATTAAATAACTTCTTCAAGAGCAACACTAAATCCGCAGTAGGAGTACTTAGCCTTTTGTCCGCAGTATGGCGCTAGTAGCGCAGCTCCGGCGGCTCCAGTACACAACAAGCTCTCAATCAGTTGCAACCCAGTCAGACCATCTTCAAATCTTCCATTGAAGGTGTCAATTTGAAGAGCTCAATTCAAGGAGCAGATTGACCCCGGTTGCACGATTGCATCTGCTCTATTGCAAGAGTTATTCAAGGTTGGAGTTGCGACCGGTACCGCGCATGGACCACCTCCCTTACCACCCTGATTGAGGACACCATACAGTAGGGCCCGATGAGATCAATCAAAGATCAATCAATAACTCGATCAATTGATCTTTCTGAGATCTGAAACATATATCAATCAATCCGTCTCGTCGAGGCGACAAAGATGAATGTCCTTGGGTACTTTTCAAAAATTGTTTGGATGGATTGGAGTGGGGTTGAAAAGATGTTGAATTGGGTGTGGCAGAGGTACTTGTGCGCGCACCCAATTTGTGTGGGAGATCAGGTAGTACTGCGGACGAAATGCATGTACTCCTACTGCGGATTTAGTGTTGCTCTTCTTCAATACTATCTCAAATCAATTGATCAGGGCCTTAATTGAATCGCATCAATTAACTGATCAAGGATCTCAATTTGCAGCGTTTCAATTGGCCCGGTGCGGGTGGTATTTAAGGTTGAAGACCGGGAGCAATATCAGCCGAGCCGCCGCTGTGTGTTAAGCTTAGGGCGCCCACGTGACCCCTCTTGGAGCAGCCTTGAATTTAGGACAAAGGGCTTTTAGAGCCTTTCAGGGCTATTCGTATATTCAAGGCCCCTGTGGCCCCTCTGTAAGTAGGGACATAAGTAGAAATAAGCATCCAAATAGCTGCTCATGAAAAGTCAATAAGCATAAGCTATTTCAAGAAAGCTGATTGGATAAAAAAAAAAGTATTATGGTTCGATCCACAAGCAGAATTATAGTGGGTTTCAGAAAAATTATACCTCACAAACACTTTACTTATCCTTTTGCTGAAAACCCACTAAATCCCCATAAGTCTTTTTTTACTTATGCTCCCAAACAGCCTCTATGATAGGACCATAGATAGATGCTAAGATAAATTAGGTACTTAATGAATACATACCTACATGTAGGAAGGGAATAATGTTCTCAAAAGAGTCAGACGGGTTGCTCCTCGTGATCTCTTGTCAAGGAAGCTTAGGGATCTTGTGGCCATCCGTCATCGGTCCGGACCGTGTTAGGAAAGATTTGGTGGAGAGAAGGGAAACCTGGACAGCCAACCCAGCGGTTATTTTTTGGATGTGCTTGGGATGCTTGGGATGGGAAGCCGAAGCGAAGATAAAAAGATAGGATGACGAGCCGACCGCCTGATAAGAACATTGATTCAACCTTACCTCCAGTAGGCACAGTACCATGTACTTCTACAGGCCCTAACACTTTTAGCATAGACCAGAATAAGAACCGTTTATTGGCTACCTATGACGAATAATCATGTTAGCTATTTCTTTTACAGTTAGCGTTGTAAACGACTTGTATTGTACAACTGGCATCGTAAATTGCAAATTGTAAATTAGTACATAACTAGTTAGTTATTATTGTATTACCTAGTAGTATCAATTAGGTACATAATAATATTCCCAGTCTACTGACTCTACTCTCTTACAGTCCTCTTTACCTACTAAAGTGTAAACAGCAAAGTGTCACTATCGTCAATCCATCATCTCCATCGTGATGAGTCAAAATAATACCTTCAACTAAAACCAAAAAGACTCCAACTTCTCCCAGGCAGCTAGGTCGACCTACATACTTAATATTTCCGGGAACTATCCATCGGTTCTGTGAAAAAAAAAGCGGGCCTAAATGCGACATGTCCCATCGAGGATTGTTCAAAGAGATCGAACGAACGACCAGTGAGAAAGGAGGGATTGATCGATGAGTTGCGAAAACGTGGACGACGGAAGCTTGCAGCTAAGTCTTCTCCTTGATCTGATTGATCGAACCTCCCAAAGCTACATACATACCTAGGCAACCCCCCCAGGCAGCTACCTGCCTACATGGATTTCAATGGTACCTACCTACATCTCCTTACTCATAGTTGACTTTTGCCTCTCCCGTGCCTGGGTTGGAGCCCCCTTTGACGTCTTGCTATTAGTTAGCTGCCGCCCACAAAGAACTGCAGCTAGCCAGGCCACAGGCGCAGGGCCACGCACATCGGCAGGGCTTGCTGCAAGCCATCTCCACACTGCCCAAGCTACCGAGACAAATAGACAAAAGAGAACAATCGCTGCCGTAGCTATGGATACCTCTAGACTCTAGTCACCTTGTAGGCATTGTATTGTACATACTAGTATAGCATAACACCTTGCTGGCTAACCAGGAGAAAGGGAAAGCTTGAGAGGTATGTGTGTCATTCGCCAGCCCAGAATAACACATACCCACCCCCCCTTTTTTACCCTCTCTTTGGTAAACCGACATACACTCAGACTTGGTTTGCCTACCACCACCGCCCACTAGGTAGGAATCGCTACTATCTTACTTGCAGCAGCCTGGCATTTTTCTTTTCCTCTACATATCATCCTTATCTCGCCAGACATTATTGCAAATTGTCAGTACGTCACATTTACACCGGTTTATCATCTTACCACCTACGTAGATACGACCTTGGGGAACAACCCTCCTGGGTAGGTAGGTAGGTAGTAAATGAAGAAAAAGTCCCGAAGTCATGTCCATCTATGCTACTCGTTAGATTGTTCCTGCGTTAGGAAGCCTTTTGATAACATAACTAGACAGATTCGTTGCATTTCGCATTACATAAATGTAATTTGTGCTATTGGGTTGCTTTGCTCGATATCATATGAGAGCGACGTGCTGACGCCAGTGTTGCGAGACAGTCACTCGGTCGCTGTGTAAAAATAAGTTTTCAGCCGCCTGAGTGATTCTTGTGTCGACTAACAGCTTTACAAGTGTTTGAATATGTTAAATTTACCAGGCTCTTGGGTAGATACTGCTGGGCTGGGCAGATAAATATATACCTAACCTCCTACCCAAATACCAAATAGATATATGAATTTTATATCCACTCACCCTATCTACACTCCGAGACTTAATCACCTAACCTAGGTACTTTAACTATTACTGGAAGCTCGTCTCGAGTAGATGAGGCTTCCTATCCCTCAGTTCCAACAGCATCTCGCCGAACAAGCCGTTGGCCCAGGAGAACCACTCGCGGGTCCACTGCGACGCATTAAACGTGTCTATCGATTCGTGAATCAGCCCCAGCCTATCAGTCGACGAGACCAGCATGTGCAGGCCCGCGACGATCTCGCTATCGTCGTCCGAAGTCAGGAGTGACGTGATGATGGACATCGGCCACGCTTTTCCGGGCCCGACATGTGGACCGCCCGTACTGGATTTGCCAAAAAAAAAACAATTAGTTGACCGTGCCACAAATCAAAAGCCATAAACTATTACTGCGTTCGAATTATCATTTCTCATCATATATAAAATAAAAAAAACTGACGTACCCATTCAGCAATGGCCCATGCATGTAATACGGATTCCACGTCGAGAGCACGAACTTCCTCGTATTCCGATACGTCTCGTCGTCTTTGTCCAGATAGTCCAGAGTCGGCGCGCCCAGGAGACTCGGGACGTTCGCGTCGTCCATCAGGTTGCTGGACCCGAACCCGTCGATCTCGTACGCGTAGATCTCGCCGAACACGTGGTGCCGCACCTTGCCGTGCGCCTCGATGCCGGCCCGCACGCTCGCCGCGAACGCCGCCATGCGCCCCGCGAGCTCGCCGTCGTGCGCCGCCATGATCCTCGCGCATCGGCCTAGGTAGCTCGAGAACTGCATGTTGGCCGGGACGAACAGCTGGTAGATGGTCGAGTCGTCCGAGGGCCGGAACGCGCTGCGCACGAGCCCCGTGCCTGCTTTGACGGGGTTCCCGGCGCCCGTGTTGGAGAGCGTCTCCGTCGCGCTGGTGGCGGTCCGCTGGAACGTGTACGGCGAGTCGTTGACGGAGCCGTCGTCGGCGTACGTCCCGATGAGGAGGGCCTCGGTGGTGCTGAGGACTGTCTTGATCGCCTCGATCCACTGGAACTTGCCGAAGAAGGCGGCGTCCTGGGTTTGCTCGTAGTAGTCGTGCGACAGCTGCAGGAAGGCCGAGATCGAGTCGAGCTCGTACTTGCACTCGAAGACGAAGCTCGTGTTGTAGGGCGGCCGCACCTGGTCCGTGTCGGCGTACCCGTTGTCTTCCGGTGGGAGCCCGGACTCCGTGGGCGCCTGGAACGCGTTGCAGTGGGGGTTCCGGAGAATGTAGCGTGCCTGCAGGTTAATCGCACCGCGGAACAGAGATGCTAGCGAGTCGGGAGAGTCGCTGGCCTTTAGTAACGACTTGTAACTGCGTAGCTGGTTTGCACTGTCCCGGAGCCACATGGCTACAATATCCCCAGTCGTAATGAAGGTGAGCTGTAATGGGGTTAATATACTAGTTTGGACTTTGCTCACGGACGGACATATCAGTGTACCTCTTCACTCGAGTCATTTGCCGCAAAGCCCTTCCACGTCACGGTAGTGTCCAAGGTGTTGGGGAAGGCATTTTCAAACAACCGGAATAGATCTGGGTCTTTGACTTGTTCTCTCATTTCATCAATGGTGTCTTCAACCTCGGAAATATTGAATTTACGACATTCTGGTGTTGGCCTCTGGTATGAAAGCTGGTATCTTCCGTCTGAGAAGGGCTCATGTCTTGTGGTGGCATAACTGTCATAATTCGGACATTGCGCCGAAATGGTATGAGGGAGAGCTGAAAAGAGGCCAAACAGCACGAGTAGAGAAGTCATTGTGGCTAGGTCTGGTAGCAGAGACAACTTTGGAGGTAACTCCAAGTATGGGCAGATGTGAGCATACAGGCGCGAGTGGTCAGGAACATTGCAGAAAGAAAAGAGCGAGAGACCAGTAATATTTGAATCCATCTGTCTGTCACTTCCAGGCCGTGACTTGTAGACCAAGGCCGAGATGGAGGCCGAGCTAGGCCATGTGTTACACTGTTTGTTGATGAATCGGGACTCTGGAGTAATTTCTTGTTTACGGCCCTTGCATACAGATGGGCATATGACGTGAAATTTGAAAAGCGATGATTATAGTACCTAGTAGTTTATGAGATTAACAAGGGATGCAGCCGAAATAGGTCAAAGAGAATGCGGGGGGAAGCATGCCTTGCCTGGCTTGCTTGGGCGCGGGATACGACGGTGCATTCTTTGAGGGGAAATACTGTATGATCAGCACTTCCCCACTCGTGAGGCTCTATAGTAAGGTTAGTAGGTATCCTGGAAGTCCTGGAATGCTCATCTCCAAGTGGCCCCCTGAAATGTATAAATTAAGCTGTGTTTGCTCTCTCACAGAGTCACAGATCCTAAGCCATCTTTAATCAAACAAGTCTCAAGCCTTAATACGCCCGATGAGTGCATTCAAGTTGCCTAGTCCAGGCCTTAAATACTAATTTCATACTCATCATAGCCATTTGCGTTCCATTTCACTGCATTCTTGCCTGGAACCGCGTCGGCGCCAGTGATATGCCTGGTCACGTTCTTGGTATCTGAATAATCGTCCAACTAGATAAAAGATTGATGGAGTTTATGATGAGAATGGTGGCAACGGAGAGATGTCTGGCGCAAGGGTGGATGTTCGCGTTCAGATCCTCGACTCCTTTGCCGTATCCTCTCACGGTGTCGGCGAAGTACGTGGCTGATTGTGTATCATCGGACTCACCGCAACGGACATAGTCGGCAGGACCACTCTAAGTCTCGTTGCAGTCGACGGTCATAGTGGCACACCAGTCACTCTTTCTTTCCTTGAATAGGTATAAATCACCTTGGATTTCTGTATTCTAGGTGGTTACCGTAGTAGCTAACGGCTAAGTGACGATGGTATTAGCCCTACTGTCTACATCTGTTGAGTGCATGTGAAGGTCGTCTTTACTACTCATAATTATCGCCATCACCTGTGCTGTAAATCCATGTCCATAATATTGAGCTACATTAGTCTTTGTTCTCGATACTATTCTAAGACGCATCGACGCTTAGGGACACTCCTCTAGTAAAGGCCAAGCCTAGGAAGATAGAACTGTGGACATATTTATAGAAGACATCTTGCAGAGGATGAAACGAGAGACGAAGCCGATAGATGACTAAGTATAGGGGTAAGTATGCTGTAGAAGGTATACAGCATGAACTCAACGATAGCTGGCGGCACAGCCTCATCTTTGTGCCAGTTTGTGTAGTGGCCATATATAGATTGAGGTCCCATCGTGATACAGTCACACGATTCACAACTAGGAGAATATTTATCCTGCCCCCACGCCTCAAGCTTCGTTGCAATGGTGAAATACTAGTCACTATGAATAGATTTAGAGACACAAGCAGATGCTAGGTGGCAGCTGAAGTTGAAACACCTCGACTTAAGCTAGGGTTATCGATTAAGTATGCCGAGAGAAGACGTACGCCCCTGATTGCGTGTAGCAAAGCCATTTTTGTCAGATATTAGCTTAAAGAACATTCTGGCTTATACCACCACCCTTTTGGCGGAGTAGTCCATGCAACAAACTCATTGAACTTTCATTAGCAAGCCTCGCTCAACGTTGATTCATTGTTTATTTCCTTGCTTAAAATTAGGGGTTTGTGGTAATATAATTTTTGATTTGCTATTCGTCTACACCTAAATTCCAAAATCGTCGAAATGTACTGTACTTCAAAAAAAGTAGTAACCTATCTACTATCACATAAATCTTTAGACATAAACCAACCGTCTGTTACAACGCCATGAATACTAGGTATAGTGAAGCTATGTTTCTTTAAATGCTACCTAGATATTTTCCGTTCTTTCTCGCCATATTATCTTTAATCTCAGTACTTGTACTCTAGAGGGTTCATTGCCTCAAGTCAACCTCTTTCACGCACACTGTTAGACATCTATACTGACATAAACTAGAGACAAATACTAAGGATCAATTATTCAGCCTTTAGTGTAGCGGTAAAATCTTACGCATACGATCATTTGAATCAAACCCCTTTTTCAACGCCACGATCAGAATAAGCTGCTACTACACGCCTGCAAAAGAATGCATATATTAGTGTATAATTCTAACAAGCTACTAATAATTAGATCAATATAATCATTTAAGAACCATTTCAAAATCATTCCAGTGATATGATACAGTAGTATAAGTCTCCCTCGTGGAGAAAGGAAACGCACCCCCTAAAGGCCCCACACTATCAGCCGCACCACGGCAAAGAGTCATTCGGAGTCTCGTTTACAATAGGTACGTACTTGGTAGTGTATTTAGTCCATAGTAGTGCTTACGATGCGTTTCTTTGCCAAAAGGCATGATGAAATTATATAAAGATACATACTGGCATATCAAACGTGGAAGGTAACAGATCACGTAACTATAACACGGCAACCACCACATACTTTAAAAGGATGACCTTGTTAGACACCCTGCTAGAATCTGCTGTCAAAGATGACACCGCGCCCGGAATCGTGGTGATTGCCAGAGACAAGGGCGGTAGGTCCAACAACAATCAACGTTGTATATTCCTACGCAACTGACCTCCACCAAAGGCAAAGTCAATTACTCCAAGGCATTTTCGTCAGAGAACGGAACGCCATACCATCTAGACACAGTCATGGAAATATCGTCCATGACAAAGTTCCCAACGACAATTGCCGCACTACAACTTGTCGAAAGAGGTCTAGTCACGCTCGATGAAGATATCTCGCCCTTGCTACCGTCCTTTGCAAAACAAGGCGTCCTCACCTCAGTGGCCGAGGATGGAACCCCAACGGTGCGGGAACGACGGAATCCTATCACACTGCGCCATTTAATCACCCACAGCTCTGGCGCCGGGTACCACTTCTTCCACGAAGGCCTTGGCAAGGTCCGAGCGTGGCAGAAAAAGGGGCCGCCAACAAAGGACTCAGTCGACGACTCATTCGACCTACCTCTGCTATTCGAGCCTGGCGAGGGCTGGGAATACGGCAGCGGCCTCGATCGCGTAGGGCAGGTCGTCGAGAAACTCAGTGGGCTGTCTCTGGAAGACTACACGAGAAAGAATATCTGGGAGCCACTAGGCGCCGACAGCTCTACGTTCTTTCCTGACCTACATCCCAGCATCAAGGCTCGACAAGTGCCAATGGCGTATCGCGGCGACCCCGAAGGGCCTGCCGTAGAGAAGCCTGAAGTCCCGACAGTTGCTACTGGGCTCAAGGTCCCCTATGGAGGGCACGGGCTGTTTGCTAGCATGCCTGACTATTTCAGCATCCTCTACTCGCTGCTTATGGATGACGAGAAGCTATTGAAGAAGGAAACCACCGCGATGATGTTCCAGCCCCAGTTGGTGCCCGCGAGCAAGCAGGCGTTAGACCAGTTCCTGGAAACGCCGGAGATGAAGATGCAGTTTCCTTCTCCGCCGAACGAGCGCGACTATGGCCTTGGTGGCTTGCTCGTTGTGGGAGACAACCACGAGTATTGGCGAAAGGGGGCGTTGATGTGGGGAGGTGCGGCGAGTCTCAACTGGGTATGAATGAGCCTTACTATAGTCCACGTCTACCCGTGATGCCAAACATCTACTGATGACTGAATCCTAGTTCATTGACCGCTCGACTGGTGTATGCGGCATCTTCGGTGCCCAAGTTCTCCCGTCAGATCAAAGAATGAGGACACTGATCGATGCATTCCAGGCTGATGTCTATCGAAGAGCTGGGAAAGTTGTCTTGACTTGAACCTTTTGTAAGATTATCATATCTACCAAAAGGCATATATAATCATATATAGTTAATACCAGTTCAAAACCACCAAATGCCTTCATGGCAGCTTACATTGAAATAGCCTATTGGTCTGAGACCTCCTTCGCTTTACAAGGCAAAAGATCTGAGACAAAATATGCAGGCTGGCGCTAAAAGTCGTCTGGCCCCTTGGCTAGTGGATAGTGGATATGTGGTTGAGACTGAGCAATGACTCATCCATAATAACAGCAAACAACACGACCGCCCTGCCAAGTTATTGACAATGAGAAGAAGCATGGATTACGTGTACAGAGAAGCAGCAGCATGGTGAGTATGTACGAAAAAGGGGTAACCGAAAAAAAGAAGGAAGAGTGAAGAAACATGCAAAAAACTTCAAAAAACATACAACACCAGGGATTCGCTGGTCGTCACCGACCCAACTACTGATCTGGCGGTATCTGGCTTATCTATGGGAGAGCGGACGGGATCCCGAGTTTTCCAAATCCTATGGTCGTATGTGAAAGTCTGCTGCTCTATTGTGGGCTATAGGTAACTAGACGTTAAGTGTGACTGTGTGAGCCAGCCGCCTTGCCCAAAGCATGGGACGTCTTCCAACGCACAAAAGTTATTTTTCTAAAGCAACTTGGCGAAACCTTCGACAATGCTTGAGACACAGGGATGTGAGCTGAATGCCACGAACCTACAAGCTGGAGGTACAGTAGGCAAGGGAAGTTTTTACCCATTGAAGTGCCGGTGAGCCTCACCGGGTGAGAAGGACGTAGAGCTGATTCATTATCTAATCACATCTCTTCAACTACCGAAACTAAATAGCTTATTGGATAGGTACCTATGAAGCCCACACGGGGAAATGCTAGCTCGATCTCTAATAGCCGTTCATAATAGCACAAGCGTTATATGACGGTGACGATCATGTGGTTGTCACCGTCTAGAACACCCCCAACCCCACAGTATATTCGATTCTCAGCCCATCGTGCACGCCTTGATAAAGTTATCGATTTTATACAATGGGCGTAGTTTGGTCGGGCCATCCGGGTTGTTCTAAAATCCCAGGACATCGCGGGTTCTCACACGTCGCCGCCATCCTAGGATTAATGCAATAGAAGGCCTGATATTGCACTACCCGGAAGCTACCCGGAGGGCTTTCAATTCTTCGGCTTCATGGGTTTCCGAACCAGAATGAAGAATTTCACAACTAGGTAGTTAGAACTAGCCCAACGATGAAGACGGGTAGGGCAGAGTTGTTGAGGGTGAAGTCGAAGGGGTGCCCAGGTTACACTTTGTCAGATACTTTGCAGATCAAATTGAATCCATCGTGATTGAAGGAATATCTAATTAGCCTAGCCATTCCCCAACATACGGTATGTAGACACACCGTACAGCAGTACTTTAATAAATGTATGCTAGGTGTTGAAACCTCGTGTTCTCAGGAGATTTTCGTCCAACCTCGATTACCTAATCTCCATAGCAATTCATTATATTGACTTCAATGGTCACGATAGCCACTTGGGCCACGACTAGAACGGTCTGTGGATGCTTCAAGTGTAGATCATGGCTGCCAGCAACATCTATTGGGCTGGTGATGGCTGAGATTTATGTAACTACACTATACATATACCTACTATGTACACTACTATGTACACTATAGAAGAGATGTGCATGGAAGGTTCCCCAGCCCAATACCTAAATGAGTATAACAAGGGGTATAACAGGGATAAAACGCGTGGATTAACAAATCTCCATCAGGATTCAAGAGCCGCAACCTCTACCTAGGGCTGGAAAGGATCAACTACACGTGTAGAAACATTGAGAACAATAGGCACGTAGTAATTTCAACTAATACCCAGTACATTGGTAAGTTACAGCCCTAGAGCATGTAGTATTATTAGTTGGCTGGGGTAACGTGCCATTTTGTGTAGCGCATTCTCCTAACCTAGTGTATATCACTGTATTATGGAGGTAGACACAGACCTCACGGTGCCCGTTGGTTATAGAATTACTAATAACTAATACCAAAAGTCAACGTCACATATTAGCTAAGTAACTATGAATAGGCACCAACTACTACGAATCCAGCAACGCTCAAAGATTAGATTAGTAGTTATTCGTATTCTCGAGCGTCTTTGTCTTTTGTAGGTATGACGGTGACGAAGTATTAGCTCCTGTCCAAATCGCCTCAGTGCTGTTGCTAGTAGTCCAGGCTAGGTTAGGTAATTCCTCCAAGCCAATGACTTGTCGCGCCTAACTATGTATGTATAAATTTACGACATAGTACTTATGGAACCCAGTAGCTCAAATCGGATCATCACGTTCTGACTTTCAGCTCGGGAAGAGGTTAGGCGGCAAGGCGGCTACAAGTTAAGCAACTCTGGGCAAGCATACAATACAACATACGTAGGTAGCAGTGGAGATAGTTATGCCGGCAATCAAAAGTCGGGCGCCTTAAACACCTTCCCAATACGAGCGGCTAGACTGGAACGGGGTGTGGACGATTCGGCACGCAGGTCGATCCAATCAATCAGATAAATGGATTTGCATCACTTACCTAGATCGGGACCCTCCCCCCTTTGGTTGGAACCGTTTGGCGTGCTTTAACGTTCTGACACCACCAGCGGTAAGAATGCGAAGGTGGAAAGGAAAGAAAAAAAAAAAAAAAAGAGCTGGAGAAGAAAGAAAGAAAGCCAATGCGTAGCGGCTCGTATTTTCCCCACAAAGCTACCAAAACCGGTATTGGCTGCAAAAGGGGGCGGTGGTCCCGACAGCTTGGCAATCATCCACATTGTTTCCACAGCCTCAAAGAAGAGCTCATAGGGCTCATAGGCTATGTGTGTGTATTAGGTAACATTACAACTTCATGCAATGACGTCGATCCCATCTTACTATGTGTGCTATGGCATCGTGGCAAACGAAAACAGCTTCGCGAGAGCTCTACCCGGACACACAAGGGTAGCAAGGTAGAAAGGGATATCCACTTCGTCCATCGTCAGGGCTCAAACGTCGCCCTCAGCTACGATTATAAAGACATCGCGAAGTCGTCGTAGATTTCACTTTCCCTTCTCACTCTCATCCTCATCCAACAATCAATCAGCCCAACTCAACTCACTCACTTCACTCCTTACCAACTCTCAACACTCTTTTTTCAAGTCTCTAAAACTTCCCAACCCAACCAACACCATCAAGATGCTTTTCACCGCCGCCGCCGCTACCTTCTTCTTTGGCGCCAGCGCCCTGGCTGCCCCCGGCTACACCACCGGCAACACCGGCTACCCAGCTGGCCAGGCCGCCCCCGCCTCCGGCGAGGACGTGACCATCAAGAGCTTCTCCGCCCACAAGGTCGGCGCTGACGGCGCCTCCGCCGGCAACATCGACGGCATCTCCTTCAAGCTCACCGGCCGCGACGCCACCGACCTCACCTGCCTTGCCAGCTTCGACAAGGTCCAGGGCCTCCCCACCGACGTCATCAACTGCGCCGACGGCAAGTACCGCTTCCGCGTCGCCGCCGGCGCCGACTCCAACAGCTTCGCTGTCACCATCTACCACGAGGTTGGCACTGCGTAAGTTTTCCCCCCTTCCTTCCTTCCTTCCATCTTTTCCCTCGACATCAAGTACTAACAAGCCATCACAGTGCCGGCTTCAGCGGCGAGAGCGTCGTCCCCGTCAACTGCCGCTCCGGTGGCCAGGACACCGAGGTCTGCAGCCAGGTCGCGGACGCCACCTTCCACCTCGCTTAGATGGGTGCGCCCAATGTTTGCCGCCTACCTCGGCAGGCGACAAACAGCCAAGTTACTCATGTAATACGACGCGGATGAGAACTTTTTTTATAACGAGCGAGTCTTTATGAAGGCTTACGGAGATACAAAAAAACGGGGCTGCCTGCTCTTCGGAGCACCATCATTTATATAGAGACGTACACACACTTTTAGACCTTAGCATACATCATTGATTTCAGCGTTCGACAGCATCAATGTAATCTAATTCATGCCATACATACTTTTATATGCAAACTTCGCGCATCTGCTTGTGCTTTATCTTCATTTGACTATCTGGTTACATCGTAGACCTCAAGATATGTGACAGTTGAATGTACCTATATCTAGTACTGATTATTTACAAGATATATACTAAGTATGGTCCTTGATACCCGCGAAGCCCATGTCCAGTTGGGCGAGATATCCCAATTGAGCCTTTATACTTCGTGCAAGAACTTGGCGCTGAACTGATAGATAAATTGACCGAGGTGGATGATCTGATCAAGTCATGACTCTAGGTTAGACTACTAGGTATATAGGTTTGTTGCGGGTATTTGTGGTAGGTTTATATTCCGTAGTTTGGACGTAATCTTCGAGTCTTCAAGCACTGGGTTGCTTGGCCTTCGGAAGCTTTACCACAAGGCCTTCGAGCTATGGAGGCTGTCTGCGGTCTCCTATCATTGGTGATTCGGTTTGCGATTGGCTTTCATGATACTCGGGGAGAATCGTCGGCGAGTTTCAAGCAACGTTCGAACATGTCGACCGTTTCCTGTACCTTTTCTACTTTCTCGCCCAACTCGATTGACCGATAATACCATGGCTGGTCGATCTCTTGTGGGAAGTTTTTCCGTGAGTCCGCCATTCTGCGGAAGGTGCGCCATCTGCCCTCGAAGTCTCGACTCATCTGTTCGGCTCCCTTCGTGGCACCGATCTTTCTGCAGTACTTCTCAACGGCCGACATTGCTTCAAGGGTTTGTATGTGTGCTGGGCCGTATATATCTTGTGATATTTTCAATAGATCATGTCCCGCACGTAATGCCTCTGCTTGAGTTCCCCTACGTTCTTTGACCTCAAACATCAACCATGCAGCTTTGCAACGAAGGTCCGGATAAGAGCTTGATGGCTGTAATTCGAGCCACGATATTATGTCCTGAGTAACGGTCTCCGCCTTCTTCAACCGTCGCATCGTAAGACAAGACAGAGCCAGCCGGAACTTGGTTTCTTGGAGGAGGAATTCTGCGGCTTCTCTCGAGATCGCCCGCCCGGCTATCATGCCCTGAATAACAGTCTCGAGCAAATTGAACGAAAGGAGCCCCGTGCAGTGAAGTTGAATAAATACGAATGCTCCCTGAACGTCATTGGTAGTGTTCGTCTCAGTCGAGTTGACATGGCGCCCCCACATGTCCAGATAGGATTCGAATATTGCTCCCGCATGGCCTTGAATTCCAGTCATACCGGTGACTGTAACCCGCGACCACAGCTGGTTGAATGGATGCCCCGGGGGTAGCATCAGTGACGTGAGCTTCGACGCATAGTCGATAAAAGCGTCCCCGAGCCGGTGATTTTGACTAGCAAGGACCATTGCACATTTATAAGTGGCAAGCCAGAACATGGAGTCTGGCCGTTGCAGCTGCTGCTTATAATGGTCAAAACACATCCCCAACAACGAAAAGCCTTCTTTTACTCGGCCATGCCTGATCAGCCCTTGCGACGAAGCTACGTAATGCTGCCATGTGAATGCACCGCTCATCTCGGCACGATCCCCCTCTGACGCCATCTGCCACAAACCACCATCGAAAGCACCATGAATAAAATTTCGAAGAATCTGCATGCATTCGTGCGGTATCCTTAGCTCGGTAGGTTCTTCTAGACGAGGTGAAATGGATAAATTTGAATCGGCCGTATCAGGAGACGGCGACGGCGACGGCGTTCTGCAGACGATCTGGCTTACTCTTGAAGACTTTGTATCTTCATCACCCCCTTTTTCGGCGTGCATGATCTTCTCAGATACAAGCGGTGCTGCACGATAACGATATCGTTGGAGGCGGTCCGGGTCAACTCGCCTACCCCTGATATATGCGACGGTCGGTTTCCCTTCTGCAGCGCGGGCCGTCTGCTGGCGAAAGATCTCGACGGCTTCTTCAGCCTTGATCTTCTTTTCGATCCCCCACTTTTGAAATCGTGCCTTGTACATCCTCATGCTTGATAAGTAGTGAATTAGCTGAGCAGCCAATGGATGTACGACAATGTTTAGAGCTAAATGCAGGACTATATGTAAGGACTATGTGATAGGTAGCTAAATGGTACTCACGTGGCGAAGAATTGATACTTCTCCTGCATTATATGCATGATCTCTTTTAACGTCTTATTTTCATCCCTGTCTAATGGGCATGTTAATCCATGTGCTATCAAGAGAAGACGATTCCCAATCGACCCATTCACAATGATTTCCTTGACCATAAGAGGAAGTTATGGCACAATGACCAACTGAAAAAGGAAACGGAGACGTAAACGCAAAAACAATGTGATCACAAGTATGATGCTGCGGTTCAACGTACTGCGAATAGTCAGCGCACATGTCAATGCAATACTTGTCTACTCCTAGGTAAAGGGTAGGTGCGATAAAAAAAATAATAACCAAAATGCTTCAAGATCAAATGTAGTACATACCAAAGAGTGGTGATGTAGGGTCTTTGGGCGGCCCAGTCGTCGGCAGTGGCCCAGCTATTCTGGCCACTAGGGGTGGCCATCTCGACAAATTGAATGTCACCTTGGCATGGAATAAGACTTGGATATATTCTGGTTATAGATAGACGGACGGACAGACAGACAAACGGACTGACTGACTGACGGTTATTGGTGGCACGACAGCTTTGAGGTTAAACAACTTGAAGGAAGGGAGAGAAGAGGAAGTAAAGCGATGGGTAGTAGTCAGTTTTGAATGGTAACACTGCGATGTCTCTCATATATACCCGGTAACTCTAGGTACAGTAGCGAGCAAACACCTGGCGCGACAGTATCATCCCCGGCAAAGCTACTACTATGTAGGTAAGCAAGATCTGATCAGGTAGGTGACATTACTTATCGGCGATCTTGCCAATCTTGCCAATCTTGCCACATTATGAAGCGGCTGTTAATACCATGTATGTAGTACCTATGGTTAATGCATAACAAGTGTACAGCATACAGCATATAACATACATATTACATAGTATTGAATGCAACTGAGAATAGCCGAGAAGATCAATTCAAGTTGATGGCATCGGGAATTGGGAGGAAACGTGGAGAGACAAAAGAAGAGACAGGGGCTTTCAAGTTTGGAGGGGAAGAATGAAAGCGAAACCGAGATAACTAACAGCCAAGGCAAGCAAGACAAGCAAGACAAGCAAGGCAGGCCCTGGCCACCTGAGTAAAAAGATATGAAGAGAAAAAAAAATTATAAGAACAAAAATAAAAATAAAAAATCAAGTTGGGTAAAGGGGTAGGTAAAATACTAACAGTATAGTGAGACAAGACAAGCATATTGGTCCTACCATACCTATTACACCTACTAATGTATATCTCAGCGCTCTTAATTCGATTGTAAATGTATGTATGTAATACTGTAATACATGATAATTGACAGCCGTAAAGCTCTAGGCTGCCATGTTAGCTGAAGCCGTCTAACCGGAGATGGATTACAATGGATGTGAAGGCTGAAAGAGCTGAGCAAGATTTTCAGGGGATTGTCGGATTGAGGAGGCGATGTATAATATTGTATTGTAGTGTAGTGTATTGTACAGTACAATATGTAAAGGCCGAGATTATTGTCTCACCTTAATGCTCAAAGACACAATTACATAGTACTATGTAGGTGGCTTCACGCTAACACCTGACATCGGCATTTTTGCGACAACCTTGGAATCGAATAATTCGGGAACTTCCATCGAACAATTCCTACTGGCAAGGATGAGCCCTGTACTAGATGCACCTAGTACCTAGTACCGTAGCAGTGATACAATCATGTACTTGGATCATTTTGGATGTGGTTGGAAAAGTAAAAAAAAAAAAAAGAAAAAAAGTACCATGTGGCTGAATTACCTAAAATATTTGTGGCTCAAGTATAACATCAGATTCATGTTACACACAAACAAGCGATAAAGATAATCCTTTTTATTTTTTTTCAAGTGTTGGTGCAATGTGGTTGGCCAGACGAACTACTATGTCATTGGTTGCAGACGTAAACAAGAACCTATCATCAATGATCTATCATAACTCATCTTTTAGGCAGAGGAACTTGAACTGAACAAACAATCAACACTGAACATCCCCGACAACCAACAATTAACCAACAATTATACAGCATGTAAAAACAACCCTATTCCACTTCTCCAGGACATCCACCTACTTCGCTTTGCTTCTCCAGAACATTCATTGCCTGCCTCGCCTAGTAATCGTGGATCTTACCCCAGCTTTCCATGAGGTCCGTTGTCCCATCCACGAATCTTGTGCACCCACATCTTTCATTTAATAGCTGCATGTCTTAAGATCTCTCTCTACCTTACCTACTTCAATGTTATGTACATACCTTACATATGCATATACTCACAATCTAATACAGAAAGCCGGGTAACCACATTGGAGTCCAGCCAAGGAACGACTTCAAGTCGACCGACACATCGGACTTCCACGAGCCTCACCACACACAGACCACCGGTTGGGTCCAGAAGAAATTCACCGAAATAGACCGTTTTCCTACCCGAACCAAACGATCCCAGCCTAATCCACCCAAGCCACAACACCGACACCGAAATCTACAACAAAATAAAAGACCCAGCGAGCGCAGTTTCTGGACTCGGGAGAATAACGAGGAGCTAAAAAGTTGGCTGGTGACTGGTACCATCAAACGGCCTCACCAGAAATATTCCACCATGGTCAAAGAGCAAGCCCCTCCCAAGGTGCCACTGCGTCCCCTGGGATCCAATGGTAAACATAACAATGTCCCAAACCAATCGACTGAGTCCGATGACGACGTACGGGAGATCTCAAGCACGAGTATGGGCTTCACTTCTGTAAACCCCGCCACTTCTTCCACTGCGAATGCCGCCCCCAGGCCACCCGCGGTAAAATCACGAGCCTTGTCAGGAAACATGGAGGACAAATATGCCAATCTCTTCATCCAGCCAAAGAACCGTCCAGAACACCACCGGCCGCAGCGGATTAGTGGTCCGCTGCAGCCAACTTATAAGGACAAAAAGCCACCACCGGGTCCAGTATTCGATACCATGCCAGGCCCAATAGGATCGGCCAGCAATCCAATATCAATCTCAGGCGGTGATCCCATCTCCAGATACAGCCAACCTGGCGTTTTCTCAACATATGTTGACCCGAAGAAGGCTGCTGCAGATATCAAGGCTCTACTTGAAGGCTCTATGGAGGACGAGGAAGATAAAGGTGTACAGGCAAAAGACGGTGAAGATAAGGCCCATATCGAAGGTCTTAGCGTTCGACTGCTGCCGCATCAAGTCGAAGGAGTAGAGTGGATGAAAGGTCGTGAATTAGGCCCTGTCAAAAAAGGAAAGGTACCCAAGGGTGGCCTTCTTGCTGATGATATGGGTTTGGGAAAGACCTTGCAGTCCATATCCCTTATTCTGATCAACCAGAAACCCGCAGACAAATTCCCAGGGGTCGAGAAGACAACGCTGGTTGTTGCACCTCTGGCTCTCATCCGCCAATGGGAGGCAGAACTGAAGGAGAGGGTGACTGAATCTCACAGGATGAAGGTCCTTGTGCATCACGGGCCACAGCGGACGAAACGATTCGAGGATCTCCGTAAATACGACGTGGTTATCACCACCTACCAGATTTTAGTATCAGAGTTCAGTCACACCACAAAAACTCACAAGGTCGGCTGTTTCGGCCTGCATTGGTACCGCGTCATCTTGGACGAAGCACATACCATCAAGAACAGAAATGCCAAGGCCACCAAAGCCTGCTGCGAACTCCAAAGCATATATCGCTGGTGCCTTTCGGGTACTCCGATGCAAAACAACTTAGATGAGTTGCAGAGCTTGGTCAAGTTCCTCAGAATTGCACCTTACGACGATCTCCGAGAATGGAAAGACCACTTCGACCTCCCGATAAAGAATGGAAAGGGAGAAGTTGCAATGCGCCGTCTTCATGGCTTATTGCAATGCTTCATGAAGCGCAGAACTAAAGAGATTCTCAAGGAGGCCGGTGCTCTGAGTACTGGAAAGAAGGGCGAGGACGGAAAGGAGGACGCAACTGCAAGCTTCAAGGTCACCGAGCGAAAGGTAGTGACGGTCGCGGCTGAGTTCACGCCTGCAGAGAGACGATTCTACGATAGGTTGGAACAACGAACAGACAAGAGCATCGAAAAGATGATGAAAAACAAGCTCAACTACGCCAGTGCGTTGGTACTGCTTCTACGCCTAAGACAGGCTTGTGACCATCCAAAATTAGTGGAAGGCAAGCTTGAGAAGGATAAAGACGCTCTGTCCGAGGAGACGAAACCGAAGAAGGGCGACGCTGACGTCGATGCCCTGGCGGATCTCCTCGGTGGCCTAGATGTCGAGGTTAAGCATTGCGATATTTGTGGCTGGGAGCTTGATCATGAAATGCGTCAACCCGGCACAGATAAATGCAAAGCTTGTTATGAAGACCTCCAATATTTCAAGCACTACGAAAACGGAGGCGATTTAAAGACACCAAAGATAAGAAGCAGGAAGAAGAAGAGTAAGGCTAAAGAAGTTAAGAAAGCCAAGAAGGTCAAGAAAGTGAAAAGGCTCCCAAAGGTGGTAGAAGAACAGGTCGAATCTGAAGCCGATGTCCAGGTCGTGAAGAAGCGGAAGCCTAGGAATCGTCGTGCAGTACTAGACAGCGATGATGAAGATGAAGAGGCCGACTGGATAGTTTCCGGTGACGAGCAAGGCCCACTACGTCTTGGCAAGGCCGGCGGTACTGACGACGAGAACGCCGAGGGCGATGCCGATACCATCAATTCCGAAGATACGGAGGACGAAGAGTCGCAAGATGGTAGTCGATTAAGTAGTTTCATTGTAGACGACGGAAACGATACCAAGCCTGAAGACCTCCGAAAGGCTATCGAAGCATCAGATTCCGAGGATGACCTTGAGTCCGTTTCGGGAATTCAATCTGAGATGAGTAAAGTCAAACTTGAAGACAGCGATGAAGAGGATGACGATACAGAGGCCGGCGACAACGACGGTGACGACGATGGAGAGGATGCAGATTCGGAATCCGAGTCCGAGTCCGAGTCCGACTCTGGCATCTCTGAATCAGAACTTATCTCGGACACTGATTCCGATTCAGAGTCTAGTGTGGTTTACTCGCGCTCCGGTCGCAGAATGGAAAAGACACCGCCCGTCCTAGCGTCTGCCAAGATTCGACAGCTAATCACCATCCTACACGAGGAAGTCCACGAGCACAAGTTCATCGTCTTCTCGCAGTTCACAAGCATGCTCGATCTCGTGGAACCCTTCTTCCGCAAGGAGGGCATCAAATATACGCGCTACGACGGGAGTATGAAGAACGACGCGCGTGAAGAGGCCCTTAACAACCTGCGAAATAACCCGCGCACGCGCGTGTTGCTCTGCTCCCTACGCTGCGGTGCGCTAGGCCTCAACCTGACCGCCGCCAGCCGCGTCATTATCCTCGAGCCCTTCTGGAACCCGTTCGTCGAGGAGCAGGCCATCGACCGCGTGCACCGTCTCACCCAGACCGTCGACGTAATCGTGTACAAGCTCACGGTGAAGAACAGCGTCGAGGAGCGCATCCTCGAGCTCCAGGAAAAGAAGCGTCTCCTCGCCGAGGCCGCCATCGAGGGCGGCACCCGCAAGGAGAGCCTCAAGCTCGGTCTCAAGGAGATCATGGACCTCTTCAAGCACGTCGGCCGCGGAGGAGGCGACTCCGACTTCGAGGAGGACGAGCGCATCAAGGCTAGCTTGGCTACTATGCGCAACAAGCACGGCAAGGATGCGCGGAAGCCCGAGAGCGCGGTTTATGGGCGGCGGTGGTGAGGGAATGACATGATCTTATGGAAATGGAAATGGAAATGGTAGATATGTTGGTAGGTAGGGCACTAGATCGACTAGGGGGGGCGTACATAGGAAAGGATCGGTTTTCTAAGTGGGTGAGTTGAGTTGAGTTATATGCTTACTGGTACATAGTCAACAAGACTTGCTTGCGTTGTTTTAGGGGGGTGATGTGTAATCGCAAGAAGAGAAATGAATGCACAAGGAGTACCTAGGTAGGTACGGTCTAACGGAAATGATGTTTGTGTTCACCTGGGCATGGCTGGCTGTATATATGTACGAGAAGATACTAATCATGCGTACTCCGTGTCTTGAAAATATACCTACCTACCTACCTACCTACCTACTTACCGGAGTGTAAGAGGTAAATACTACGTACATACCTACCCTAGGTATTGTACATAATGTATACCTAATGTACCTAGTAGGTGTAGGTACTAGGTTAGGTATGTCAGAATAGCTTACGCCAACGAATAATTCTCAAAAGTCACGCCAGAGTTTTACATCACTGCTCACACATACATACCATTATGCCTGCCTCGTATAAACACCATAGACAATCATCATCATCTCTTGAACGGGGCAGATGGTACGGAGTACGTACGTACGTACGTAGGTATCTTTGATTTATTTACCTAGGCTAGGATATGTAGTTAAACCTACATAATCCAACCAAGCCAACTTCTAGCATTGCACTTACTTCTTTCCACCTATCACCCATCACCTATCGCCTACCTAGGTAGGTACATAGGGGTAACTAGGTACCTAGATAAGTAGACGTCACGAGCGATCCACACATCAACTCCGATTCACGCCCACCCCATGGTGCACAGGCGCGTCGGGATCGGCGCGCGAGGCCGACTCGTCGAGGTAGAACCTGAGGACGTGGTCGGGGATGGCGAGGTGGGTCGTCTGCTCGAACTCCTGGAGGCTGGTGAGGCGCAGCAGCATCTCGAGGAGCGAGAGGGAGGTTTGGATGGCGCCGAAGGGGGAGCGCTCGAGGAGGTCTTCGTCGTGGGGGTTGTGGCTGTGGTTGTTGGCGTCGTTGCGGGTTAGTTCGCCGGAGGCGCGGGAGGGTGAGCGGGAGGCGATGCTCATGCGGTTTAGTTGCGTGACGAGGTTTGAATCTACGGAGGAGCAGGGGCGTAGGCGGCGGGGGGTGGGGTGGAGGTGGCTGTCCTCTGTCTTTTCATGGATATCGTCTTCTGCAGCCGACTCTTCCTCTTCTTCCGTTGCATCGGTATCGCTGTCGTTATCAAGGTCGAATACTTCAAGCGCAATCCATTCCGGGTCTACGTCTTGGGGCAGCTTCCAATGGTTTGTTCTCGGCGCTTTGGCGCATTCGCTTTCCAGTTGAAGTTGACGGTTGGCCTCGTCATCTGAGTCGCTGTCTAACGTGCCGTTCGATGCATGGCTCTCATCCATGTCTTGGATTAACCGCGGCTGATCTATGTGAACTAAATCGGACGGTCTGTCCTGAGTTTGGGGCTTTGCATTCACGTCTCTTTTGAGTAGCAGGACAGGATGGCTGGAGGCGCCGTCCTCGTGATTGATGTTAAGAATCCTTCCGACATCTGCATAGAACATTTTCGATATTTGGCGGACAGGGATAAACTCCCGGATACCAGCGAGCGAGATACCATCATAAGGACAAGGCTTATCATGGCCTTCCTCGGACGTGTGGACTCGCCCATCGTCCTGGTCCTCCACGATTTGGAGTTGGTATGTGTAACTTAGCCCAGTGGTCAAATTCCCTAGGCCATTTGCCCCTGGGAACTCTTCATCGCGCGGAACTCTACGGAGACGAACCCGGGCTTTATGAATGACCTCTTGCCAAAGAGGCTTCTGCTGGCCTTCTTCCAAACCATAAGGATCCCCTGAATCGGCGGATGAGACGTGGGCCCGGAAGAGCATGTAAAGAGTCAACCCGAAATCTGGGCCAATCTGCATGGGCTGTCCCGGATTGACAACGTATTGCATATCTCCTACATTTACAAGCATGCTCGCCTGTAGAAGCCGGGAAGGTGAGAAGGATGAGGTCTGCGTCTGTATACCCCCCATAGCAGAAACCCATAGGTTAATAAGCGGTATGGAGTCATCAATATCAACAATCAACTGCTTGATATCTGCTATTATGCTCTGAATCTCGATACGGCGTATAGAAGCGGGAGTAGCGCTCCTATGTGTTCCATTTTGTTGTGGTTCATCTGCTAACGCAGCAATTTCAAGACGCTTCCCTAGAGCATCAACATTGGATCGTATTTCTTGTGCTGTGCGCACCACAGCCTCAAGAGAAGAGTTTCCTCGAGTATAACGGAACTCGATGGATTCTAGTATAGGTGAAACAAGCTGTACGACTTATCAGTTGGAGCTGATGGAGCTGATGAGAAAAGGTAGTTTTAAGGGGATCCAAAAGGGAAAGGGGTCATGCCATGCCATGCATCAGCGGCATGCATGCATAGTGGCAAGGCTGGGAATAATTCGGTTAGAAAAATAAGATCAACTTACCTCGATTTTACGAGCTAGGCGACGTTGCAGGTGACTCAGCTCGGCTCTCAGGGGATCATCATCGACGGTCTAGACAAGAATTAGCCTAAGCTAGGTAACTTATAGCCTATCCCTGCGATTAAGCTGAAGATAAGGAAGGATTAAACAGGTAGCAATAAGCAAGAGGCAGACGGACGCCTTACCTTGAGCAGTCTTGACCCCTGTTGGATAAAATAAGTAGAGGTCAAGGCAAGACATGATCTAATTGCATAATTGGTGGCGTGGTACGATAGTTTGGATATGAATGCATCCATGACAGCTTGTGTGTAGTGCCACACTTGTTGTCTAGGTACTATGTAGTCTGTATGTAGTCTGTATGTAGGCTGTTTGTAGGCTGTTTGTACTGTAGGTAGTGTTGTAATGTTGGTTGGGCGTGGTTGCTAATGTATTGTACCTATTCAATGCTGTCACTAGTATTCAAGTTCAAGTATTGTACTGTATCGTATTGGTCAAGCCACGTCTTATGAAATATCCATGAATGAATATGAATAGTGAATATTGTCCAGGTAGAGGAATATAGATGCATGAGAGAGAGAGAATGACGGATTGCCCCATAGAGGGCAATGGAGATAGATGCCCAACTAGTTAGATGTATTGGCTACTTTGAACCTAATATCTGTTTTGACCCAGACTAGTACTTGAAAGACCTTTCTTTGTTTTGGACCTAAGAGTGTGAGCGATGTTATGTTGAATTGATCATGGATGTTAGCAAAGTTGTTATTGTGAATGGTGAATGGTGAACGGTGAACGGTGAGCACAGCGGCGTGCAGTGCAAAACGAAAGAGAGTACATATGTAGGCAATGGAGCTTTATGCAGTATATTTAGTAAATGGGGTGAAAGGCGACAATTGCAGCCTATCCAGTGACTCAGCTAGTTAGTGTATTGTACATAATGTTAAGCTGAACCTTCAACCTTATGTAAACTTCAAGGAAGATGTACCTGTCTTATTTAGTGCATTTACCGCTTAATTAAAACAAGATCATTCAATTTTTTGATTTTTACTCGTTCATAAATTCATAAATACGTACTTACGTACATAGTAGTCCCGCAGTTCCCGTCATTTTAGGTCCACTGGTCCAGTCTGGAGGGGCAGAAAATCGAAACCTTGCTTGTTAACCCCGCTAACTCATCTTTCCCATCTTTTGTCGCACTCACTCGCATAACAGGTAACTAACTTGGAACTTCTATCTTCAAAGTTTACCAACCAATATCAGAGAGTGGACCGCCTGTTCGTGGCGTCGGGAAGTGAATTAAACCTTTCGCTTTTTTTCCTCTTCGTTCTTTATAACGACCCTCAACAACATCACCAATCGCACCTCGCGATTGCCCAATATCCTCCGACCACGTAACGAGAAAAAAAGACATCGGTCGCACAAGTACGATTTTACGGGGTTATTTCCACTACGATCTATATTTTCAAATACCCACCTGGGCAGTTTGAAACAGTCTGCCGACATACGTAGTCGTGAATAGATTTAGGATATAAGATAAACCAAACGATACCGATACAATGGCCGACCTCAACTCTTGGGAAGATGATCCCGCCGCCCAAGATGATAACCTGTCCAGACAGACTCAGCAAATGAATCTGAATAACCAACAAAACCAATACCAGAACCCCGCTGCCGCATCCTTCCGACCTGGCGCCGCTTCATTCCAACCCACTGCCCAAACCTTCCAACCTGGCCAAGGCGGCTTCGCTGGTGGCTATGCGCCTAACTACCAACAGGGCTACTATGGCGGCCAGAACTTCTACCCACAATACGGAGGAGCTCAGGGTGGCTATAATCAGTATCCTCAAGGTCAAGGTCAAGGTCAAGGCCAGGCTCAGGGCCAGGGCCAGGGATATGGTGGTGTCTATGGACAAGGAGGATACAATCAAACTTATGGTACTGTACCTATATACCTCTCCCATAATAAGCTTATGCACTAACTCCTACAAGGCCAACAGCAATATGCTCAGTACCAGCAGCCTCAATCCCAGGGCCAACAGAAGGCTAAGCAACAAGCGCAACAATCTCAAGCTGTTCCTACCATTGCCAAACGAGGCGACCAAAGCTCCCCTGCTGGCACTCCTGCCCCCGGTTTGACCGACGCGCCCAAACCAGTCGCCAAACAAGAAGGAGGAACCAAGGTTCTAAGCATCGGCGGAGATCCCCCGAAGCCAAAGGCCACCAAGATCCTATCTATCGGCGCCCCAGCAGCGCCGAAAGACGATGCTAAATCTGAGAAGGCCGACAAAGAAACCCCTGCCGACGCGGGCTCCAAGGTCACAGCAAGCAAGGCCATCGAGAAGAGCGGTGAGACTACCAAATCGGCCAAGGGCTCGTCTGGAAAAACGTCACCCACTCCATCATCTGGACGATCTAGTCCTTCGAGGGGGGGTAAGGCTGCTGCTCGCAATGCCGATGCTGTTGCAAACGAACAAGCCGCGGATGTTGACGAGGACACACTTAAGGAAATATACGGCAAGGAACACGTCAATATTATCTTCATTGGTCACGTAGATGCTGGCAAATCAACTCTGGGTGGATCCATTCTGTACGCAACTGGTATGGTTGACGAAAGGACAATGGACAAATATAAGAGAGAAGCGAAGGACCTCGGCAGAGAAACCTGGTATCTTTCCTGGGCTCTTGACTTGACTAAGGAGGAGCGAAGCAAGGGAAAGACCGTCGAGGTCGGCAGAGGGTTCTTCGAGACCGAAAAACGACGATATAGCATTCTCGATGCCCCAGGGCACAAGACCTATGTCCCAAGCATGATTGGAGGCGCCTCTCAGGCGGACGTTGGCATTTTGGTCATCAGTGCGCGTAAGGGAGAATATGAGACTGGCTTCGAAAAGGGTGGACAGACCCGTGAGCACGCCATGCTTGCCAAAACGCAAGGTGTAAACAAACTCGTGGTTGCCATCAACAAGATGGACGACGCCACGGTCAACTGGTCTCATGAGAGATATAAGGAATGCACCACAAAACTGATGCAGTTCCTGAAGGGTACTGGATACAACCTAAAGACTGATGTATTCTTCATGCCCATTGCCGCTCAACAGACGCTGGGTATCAAGGATCGTATCCCATCGGATATTTGCCCCTGGTATGACGGGCCTTCACTCCTGGAGTATCTCGATAACATGCAAGCACTTGAACGAAAGACCAACGCGCCATTCATGATGGCTATCAGCGGAAAGTACCGGGATATGGGTACTATGATTGAGGGCAAGATTGAGGCCGGCGTGTGCAAGAAGGGCATGACCCTGATTATGATGCCGAACAAAGAAAAGGTCGAAATTGCCGCTCTATACGGTGAGACGGAAGATGAGATACAGATTGCTCAATGCGGTGATCAGGTCCGCGTACGCCTTCGTGGAATTGAGGAAGATGATATCTCAGCAGGGTTCGTACTCTGCTCACCGAAACGTCTGGTTCACAACGTCTCTACCTTTGAGGCGCAGATCCGAATTCTCGAACTGAAGACCATTCTTTCCGCTGGCTTCAACTGTGTGCTGCACGTCCACTCCGCCGTCGAAGAAGTGACGTTCGCCGCGTTATTACATAAACTACAAAAGGGAACAGGACGAAAGAGTAAGGTACCACCTACGCACGCCAAGAAGGGAGATAGTATTATTGCCCGCATGCAAGTGATTGGTGGAGCCGGTTCAGTTTGCATTGAGAAATTCGAGGATTACCCTCAGATGGGCCGCTTTACCTTGAGAGACCAAGTATGTTCCATGTTCCCCATCTACTACTTTTAACTAGCTCTCGGATACTAACTATTCCATCACAGGGTCAAACTATTGCTATCGGCAAGATCACCAAGCTTATCACTGACGAGTCCGCCTAGAGATCGAGATACGTCCCCGATGAGTCTTAAAGGTGCCACCGAGCATTAGACCTTTTTCGATTTAAGAAACGGAAGATAAGGTCACATGAATGAAAAGGTGTAGATAGAGCCTGCACACAAAATATTGTGCACGAGCTAGTTTTATAGAATTGGCAGCAAGGATAAGAGGCAGTAACCAACCAGCATTAGACATGACCATCCTCAATAAAAAGCCATTCTCCCCCGCCAAAGACTAGCTGCTACTTTTTCCCTCCTGGGGTCCTGCAAGATTCTCATGATCGTACATGCCTATCATCTATAATTCAACCCGTGAATTGCAAGTGTTTATGTCACTAGATGCCTAAAAGGGTTTGCTTATAAAATGGATGCGCGTTGTTTATTAGTACATATACCCCAGGGGGTGATCAAAGTAGCTTAGCGTAGTCCTCTCCCCCCCTTCCACCTCTCTACCCCCTTTTAAAAGCGGTTGGATATGAGAACTCGGCATCTACCCTAGGTTAGGTAAGTAGGTGGGTGCATGGTAGGTAGGTGTGTTCTATTCCCGGAACACGTGAAATAGGTACGAGCTGGCTTACGGGGGGGGCCATGGGACTGTACCTACTGTTTAGGGCCAACTACGTACACATGTAGGTACACATGTACATGTCCACATGATTTGCCGTCTAGGCGAGCGACGGGAGAAACATGGATATGGGAGGACGTAGAATGTCGAGTCGAATGTGGAGTGAGTAGGGACCAGAGAAGAAGAAGGGGGAAAGAGGAGAAGAAAGGGGGGGGGGCGGTAAGCACCTAATCGTCTTTTTTTTTTTTCATCGGCGGCGCCACGAACCCGGATCCAACTTCCCGGGTCTTTGGGATCGCCTGTCAGTGTCGATGATCACGATGGAGGCGGAGAGGGGGGGAGAGGGCTAATGCATATATGGCTCTATTTTGTTTATGTGCTACCTTAGTAGGGGTATGTAGGACCTAGGTGAGAGGTAGGTATGTAGGGTAGGTAGTGTGGGTAGGTGGGTAGGTAGGTCATACCTAGCAAAGCAAAGCAAAGCAAAGCAAAGCAAAGCAAAACATCGTACATACGTCTTACCTGCAGAGAAATGCCGCTGCGGGTGCTATTGCTGAGGTGCTGAATAATAGCCGACTACACTAAGAACTCCCAGTCCCGAACACACCCCACCCCCCGTTCGTTCGTTCGTTTGTTCGTTCGTTCGTTTGTTCGTTCGTTCGTTCGTTCGTGCAATGGTGGGTGTCTGTCGGATCGTCGACAATGGGCAGAAGCGTTCGATCCCATCCTACCTGTTCTCGCTTCCCCTTTTGTGTGATCCATACACCGGGCCGATGGGGTTTTTTTATGTTGCTCCTTTCGTGCATATAAGTATGGGGTACGGGGGAAGAGGGAGGGGCGGGCGGGAGTTGCTAAAGATATTACATACATACATACATACATAGGTGCCCTCGATGCTGTGCGATGGTTACGGTTACGGGGCGTAAACGAAATGTCGGCGGTGGAAGTGGTGGCTCCTATAGGATCCGGGGACGTGTACCGCGCTATTCTGCTTTGTGGCTAGTTCCTATTGCCTGTACGTGCTTGTGGAGCGTTCGGGTCTAGCTAGGTTGTATGTACCATGAGGAGGAAAGGCAAGGCGGTGTTGGCTGGTTGATTTAGTTCCAAGATTAGGTATAAGTGAGTGAGGACGACATCGACGTGGCTAAGAGCTATGACTAAAGGCATTGTCACTTACCTAGTTCGCATTGGCAGTATAGGGGTCAGGAGTGTCGTTATCCATGGATCATAGTGTTATGATGCGCGACTTAATCTTCACTTGAAGCTACACAAGAAACAATGAAACTCGAAATTCTACGCAAAAGTCACAGTGTACCATCGTAACACGAGGGGGCCATGGTCGAATTCATTAGTATAGACCCCTAATATGTAAACCTACATTGGTGTCTTGTATGGAGGCTAAGGCTAAGTAAGTAACATTAGACTCTAACTAACTTACAGTATGCTGCTAATACATAACGCCGCAAATCTCAAAAAGCCAGACCCCTAAATGGAAATACTCTTGTTGAGACGTTTCACAGAGTGTGCGCTTTTACAACTTGCTCTGGGGTTTCGCCAACGCGAGCTTCGAAGTCAGTGTGGCCTCCGCGTCCTTCTCTATCCTTTTCAGTAAGGCATCACAAGTCGGGATGTCATGGATCAGTCCGATGACTTGGCCGGCAGTCCATACCTATCACCCAAAGCGGTTAGAGAATGGTTCTACTAGAGAATGGAGAATTGTGTGACTTACACCAAAGTTGGCATCTCCATTTATGAATACTTCCCGGCCTCGTTTCCCGCTTACATAAGGGGCGATCTCGGCGAATTCGCCGGTCTTGCTCTCCTTTTCGATTTTCACGACTTGGTCCGTAATCTTGTTACGGTACAACCGGGTGGTATTAGTCCACCTTCGCATGACTAAGGCAGTGTCGGTTTCCTGGGCGTTGACGATCTCTTCCTTGATCTTCTGGTGGATAGGTGCTTCGACAGTGCACATGAACCGGGTACCCATATTGATACCTTCTGCACCGAGACACAGGGCAGCCGCCAGTCCTTCACCATCGGCGAAGCCCCCAGAGGCGATGAATGGCACCTTAAGCGTCTGGCGCGCCTTGCTAAGCAGGATGAAATTGGTGATGTCTGACTCGCCCACGTGTCTATTTCCGCCATTAGCAATGTTTTAGCTATGCGAACAAGCTAAAAAGGGACAGGACAATAAGGAAGATTTCCATGATTTACTCACCCTGCGCATTCGAACCCGTCTATGGATAGAAAGTCGACGCCGAGCTTGATGGCACTCTGTGCGTGTCTAATGGTAGTACATTTGTGGAGAACAATGAGACCGGCGGCCTTCAGCTTGGAGATGACTGGCCCAGGGCTGTTGCCGGCAGTTTCTACTATCTTGACCCCCTCGTCGATAACGACCTGGGCGTACGCAGCGTAGTCTGGGGGCACAAGTGCAGGCAATAGCGTAATGTTGACGCCAAACGGGTATTTGGTCATCTCCCTACACCGCCGGATCTCCTTTCTCAGATCCTCAGGTGTGGGCTGTGTCAAGGCTGTAAGGATACCCAATCCTCCCGCGTTTGACACTGCAGCGGCCAACTCAGCATATCCAACGTGCTGCATGCCACCCTGGACAACAGGAATCTTGATGCCCAGGCGGCGCGTCAGCTCGGTGTCGAAGGGCATCTTGACGGCTTGATTGGTCGCCTTGTGTGAGTCACCTTGCGCTTTCTTTTAAATACGACTCTTTGTAAATAGGAGTACGAAGCTGAAGGATATGATATGATGAGATGAGATGGGATGGGATGGGATGAGATGATGGATAAGCGCCTTATTAAAGATGTTTTTTTTATTTTTATTAATTGGGATGAGAAGAATGGTAGTTGTTTTTTTTTAGGAAATAGTTATGTAGAAGGAATAGTTGATGATTTGCCAGTATACCTACCTACCTAGGTATTTTAAGGAGCTTACTTGGAAAGAAGATGCCGAGGTAAGTTTTTAGTTTATTAGTTTAGACCCACCCTCAGTGTTACCAGGGGTTTGGTAAGGAATCTGGGGAATCAAGAATCCCGCTTCGTTACCCACACAGCTTGCTAACCTTCAATGTTAGTTGTTACTAGTTATTACCGTAGCAGTAGGTAGGTACATACATCCATACCTACATAATAGCCACATAATGTGATTAACTCTCCTCTGCACTTGTAACTGCCTATTACTATGTATTAAACGCGAGTCAAGAACCTAACTAGGTACCTAGTACTAGGCTAGTAGTTACCCCTGGCTAGGTTACACAATTGTACATGTGCCTCACACGTGCAAAACCTGGGAAAAACATCTAAGCGGAATCCGGGATTATCTGTGGCCGAGCTTGGCAAAGTGCCAAGTGCTGGGGTCACAAGGGTTAAGTTCCCACTAACCTTAGTTAAGTCGTCCTGCAACGTTTTAAGTCGCTGCAACTTTGAACTTACAGTAGCTACCCTCGTCCCTACCTCACATATGTAATACATTAACCTAGTATAGAAGTAGATTCAAGTTAACTAAGTTCAATGTTTTCTTCAACAAGAATTAACGTTAACCCATTACATATATTTCCCTCACTGATATACGCAGGTGATGCCTCACATTTGACCATCTGACTATTGCACCTCTATATATGTACCTCCCTAGATGTGCACTTCTTATGTATTTCTATTACAGACATTACAGACATTACAGACGTACCTACATAAGATCTAGCCACAATACGACTCGTCATTCATGGATATGAAAGGCGATGAGCGGCGGGTGACAACGGGAACAAATTTTCGTGTGCCGTGCCACAATCAGTTTGTTATACCGGTGTGACGTCGTGTGCTGTCCAGCGAACGACCCCTCTGCAATCTATACCGGAAAATGTATGTATGTAAGCTGGGTATGTATGCTTCTTGCTTCTCTACACCTACTTCCCGAATGGGCGGGACGAGCCATAGTAGACAGATATCTCTAAAAAAAAAAAAAAAAGGAAATAGCCATGTATCTGATCCTAGTGTATATCTGTGTAGAACTATCTGTCTGATTTCGTTTCTTAGATGAATTTGAGGTGCTCTAATCCAACTTGAGCGCCCGTTGTCTACCATTGTGGCAGCTGTTGTGTGCTAATGGACTTTGGCGGTCTGAATTAGGACATGATACGAGACAATTGGACCCTTTTAAGTAACTGCACCACGGAAGGTGCTAGATTTGGCATACCTTTCGTCATATGTTCAATGTTTTGGTAAGTCGGGTTTCCATTGCGGTTATGATCCTCGGCACAAGGATAGTATCAAGACTGTCCTCAAAACATACTTTTGCTTTATTCTCGGGGCTCGATTGGTACCTACTTCACTGTGGCATCGCGGTCTAGGCCCTTCACCGGGTTTCGAATTTCCAAGTAATCTGAGAAGTATCTTTTTCCATGTTTCACTCTTCTGACTAGTCAGTATAGGCCTTGAGAATGAAGCAATAGCAGCGTCGGTCAACAACATTGAATATTTGCTTATTACCCCTTGGGTGTTAGTTGCCGCGCCAGGGTACTTGCCAAGGTGCCCTTGGAGGCTCACACAGCACCTGATGGCTTACATTCTCTAAAGATGCTCGACTCTTGGACGAGGAGTACTACACTACATATGACGATGCATTCTGCTTTTGCCGGTGCCGCCATTCGTACCCAATATATTCCATACAGAGACGTGCATACGGAGACATACGGGGAATGCATGTATGCATCTGTTTCCTAATCCACACACCCTTGTAGAGATTCACATCCACGCCCGCTCTACACTGTCTACAGGATATGTAAAGTGAGTGTGTTGAGATGGATCTTCGCAGGGATGGCCCGTCCTCCACATTAGGTACTACGGAACGCGTGGGTCTTACTCTTTTCTCCCTCTCCATCCTGCTGTGTGCGCGTGAATCTCGGCCGAATCACCAGGGGTCTTCACTATCGCGATGCGTATAATTCATGGCTTCTATACATTTCCCGTCACTGCCCTGTTCCACGTTGTTCTGTGCCTCAAAATTCCATGCTGACGGGACCTTCGCTAATCAAAACATGCGTCTATAGCTTGCTTGTTCGTCGCCAAGTCAAACGCTGTTGCTTGTACGCAAGCAGGGGTTTATACCATAATTATACAGGGCTGATATCCACAACAAGGACGCAAAAGAAGTACAAATGTACCTATACGCTCACCTGTCTTGCTGAGGATACAAATGCTTACAATAGATAGCAGGTCAGATGATGCCCATTTATCTACCTTTTAAGTGTCTCTGCCGGTGGCGTATTTCATTTGTTCTCCAGATGTCTGTCTTGGATACTAGATCGCGCATACTGACGTTTCACAACTCAGGTCATATGAGTACCTACATTACTAAGAAATACTAGTTTATGTAGGCGACTACAGACATATACATAACCTTTGGTGATCTCTTTAACGTTCATCTTGAAGGCTTGCAGTCGGGGCCACGGAAACGTACATACAGTAGGTATGTATCTCTTCCAACAATCGGTACATGCCTACTACATTGTATTACCTATTTTTTACATATCAGTTTGCTCCTACACAGTCACTTCTTAGCGGTCCCATAGCAGCTTATGACTACAAACTACTTACATGTAGATAGGGAGGAGGTTCCCGTTTGAATACTGGACATTGGCCAGCCATATAGATCCCGGGTGCTTTTTGACCCGCTATATTATGTATCCACCCGAAAGGAACCTGGCAGCTGGCTAGAAGACAGCTGATAAAGTACCTATCCATGGTTTGTATCATCATCAGCCTAGAAAACTACATATGTAGGATGCAAGATAATCTTCAGTTTCTCTCAAGCTTACATGTGTAGGAAATTATATTCGTACGATTGGGGTTTGTTTACATGTATCGAGAAGCTACCAGTGACAGGATGCATCACGCATTATCCACCCAGTTTGGTTCATGCCTAACCACATGTGCATTTACCGAGTGCCCCGGCCTAGCAAAGCGCTGAAGAAGAACACGGCTCGCAACAGCCTAATTCTCTTTACCCAAGTTGGACTTCTCAAACGAGATTTTGTGTATATCGCCGTTCTAGCAATGTCACCTGCCGTCCCTCGGCCACTTCGACCACTTCGCATGCCTGCGCTTGGTTTATCCAATCACGAGTACGAGTACCGATCAATTGGGTCGAAATTTACGCTATGCCCCTGACGGATACATTGACGGGGGGAAAAGAAAAGCAAACATGGACGACACGGCAAGCAAGAGAGGTAATTTGATTTATTTTACACTTGTCATCGTTTCGTCAGAATGTGAATGCATTGAATTAGGCAGAAAACGTGATCATCGTGATGCCTACTGGGTAGAGGTAGGTACCTAATAAGAGTAGGTATGTACATCTTTTCCTGCAGTTAGACTCGGATACATTTGTAACCTAGTAGTATGGATGGATGGCATTTGACGTCGAGTCGGACTGTGCTCCAATAGTACAAGACTCGGAGATTTCTTTTCTTTTGATGCTCAAATGCCACAACGGCAGCAGCTGGCCGGCGTCGTGGCGCAGCTCGACCACGTTGTTGGGTCTCAATTGTAACTCAACAATCAAACCCCTTTTATGACTCGAATATCTACCTGATAGCCGCCCGCTTCAGTTCGCCGTCTAAGGATATATAATATACATTATGCAGGCTCTAAGCAGGTTACATAGGTATGTACTTGCTCACTCAGCTAACTACATGTATTCGCCCAAGTACCTATTACATATAGGTATGTAGATGACCAGACCTTGGAACCCCTGTGTCTACTTTTCTACATATATGTAGGTGTCGGGCCAAAGCAGACTCGGATCCTTTACATCCAGTCAGCCACAAGTGGTCCAATTGTCGCACAGCCGCGTAATAAGACGCATACGTCTCCGCTCATATCAATTATTTACGTGCGACTTCATTCCAGTCAAATATCTCCGAGCCAAGGCAAAGAGTCCAACCAGACTGAAGATATGGCACCTTATGTCGGGTTTCGTGAGCAGCTCACCAAAGTGGTTTTGGCTCCCTATCGTATTAACCAACATTGAAAGTCTCATAGGATCTTTGGTTGGAAGCTGTTACATGCTATCCTCGGATTGGGCACCTAACGACGCAGTACCTATTCTTTCCTTTTTCTCATTTTCCCGCATCGTTTTAAACTGCTTTTCCCTATGTGATTATACTGAACGAATATGTACTGCCATAGGTCATAGGCATGTTGGTATTGCCAACCCACATCCAACGATGTCTATACACACCCCCTTCCTTTTTATCAATAGCCTTACCATTCCTAGTTTCCCTTAACATCTCCGCATCGGGTGGGTCATGTTTATTACATTGGCCATTCGCTTTCTATTACTTCCTTTCTCTATGTCTTATTGGCTTTTATATTCGGATAGTATTGATGTCATCCGAACAAACACATGGGCACAATACTAGGCTACTACACCTCTCTTCCCTCCTCACTTGGCGAGGACGGTATAGACGAGGAAGAGAGAAAAAAGAAAAGGAAAAGGAAAAGCAATCCTTTCACCCACCTCCCTCTACTGTTTGCTCGCTGAGTAGGTAAGTTTCCTGCTTGGTCCGTTGACCCTAGTAAGCAGTTGACCCTGATCAAAAAAGGAACTGGTATGCTTAATTGTAACTTACAACGGCAATGCAAACCGTCGCCCTGCCTGATTTCCTACCTCAACCTTCTCTTTCACACCATAACTCACACCTCGAGGACTGACCTATCGCTTACCTACCACGTACACATACACGATGCATGATGCCGCCTCTGATGCCAAATAATTATCCTTCCATAGCCGGACCGTTGCGCAAACTGCTAGGGAGCCGTTAACTAATCCTTTCCTGCCACATCACCCACCCGTCGCCTCATTGCAAGTCGCGACTCTCTTCATGCCCATGCGTGTACGTAGACAGTATCTATCGTCCATGCCACCGGCCGGGTGCCTGTCTTTACCAAATCGAGAAAAGAAAACGATGACAGCAGCTCAGCTTCGAATATATAAGGTATCTACGTAGCCCGGGCTCTAGCTTAGTCTTGGATGTTGGCCTTTTCTTTTATCTATACTACGCGCCCCCAACTCCTTGGTCACCATACTCCCTCGTTATTGAAAACCTACTTCCACCGCGAAAGACTAGCTTCTCTCAGTGCGATACTCAGGACTACATACCTATCCAACATGCCTTCCTCACAACAACAGCCTCCGAACACACCATGGCAAGACCGACTAGCAGGTGGGATACTATCATATTATTCGCCGGGTTCGGTAGAATATGAACTAATCGGGTTGACTAGTGGTGTGCCGCGAATGCCAGATCGAGGCCCCAATCTTCCAAATCGTCTCTGATCGACGAGGTGAGGCTCCGATCACTTTCTTCAAGTTCCAACATCCACTTAGGACATGAACTCATATGTGCGTTCAGGTGGGCGGACTGCGTGGTCTAGCGCAGTTACTGTGTACGGCAAGCGTATCGAGGCACGTTATTGGTACGATGGGAGGAACCTCACCAATGCCAGGGAGGATGCCGCGGAGGCGGCTCTGAATTGGCTTACGAGCCAAACAAACTTAACAACGAACTGGTAAATGGTACCCCTGGCGAAGGAAACCACCACGACGCATGCGTCCGACTTGGATCCATGGGTCTCGACGGATATACGTGACGACCGTTCCAGTCTCCTTCCCCATTTGATGATTGGTTCAGCTCACCATCCTACTTTCTCCGACGACGGCCTTTGGTAACTGTCACTGTTCTCGTTTTGCGCTTGAACTTCCTGTTCTGTACGATGCTAGCAAATCGGAGTTTTGGAAAGGATTCGGTTGCCCCACGGCAAGGAGACGGGATAAAAAAAAAGGAACAAGAAGAAAAAAGAAGAGAAGGGGAAAGCAATTACATCAGCATCCAATGGAAACGGCGCATATTCCCGCCCTCGTTGATTGGTTTCCAACGAATGCGGATTTGAGGGTTTGACAGGTTTCCTTTCCATTTCCACCACGCGCGTTTTCTAGAAAGCGGGGATTTATTATTTATGACTACGAAAGGGGATTATAACCAGCACGGGAGCTTCCAAAAAGAGTGGTTGGGGAGGAACAGGCGCAGGATATTCTTGGTTGGCCTTTTTCTACCTATTGGGTTTTTGGTTACTGTTGAGCAACAAGTTGCGAGATGAGTGCGCTTTGGCTTCTGGTTTGGCTTTGGCTTTTTACTTCTTTTTTTTTTCTTTTTAATTTTCTATTCTTTTTTAGAGATTCTTTTTGATTACGAGATCGACATTTCATGAAATAACGATAGGACAAACGAAAACAGAAGCATCATCGAACACTACAATACCACCCTCCCCCCTAAAACGTCAATGACACACCTTTACTGACTAAGTTCGCGATTTTCTTCATGTGTCCCTCCCAATACGAAGAAGGAATCTCGAGGGATTTTGTCAGACGGGATTTGATGGGATACCTCAACGGGCAAGCTAGTTAGCGCAGGTCAGACGGCTAGTGGGGAAGGAGGAAAGCAATCCTGTGTCTCTTGTGTGGAGAGTTAGAGATAGGAGATGATGCCGATCTCCTTTATTTGTTATGTGGTTGCTGCTTCCAGGTTCTCAGGCTTTTCTTCTGCCTCTTGTCCTTCTTCTTCTTCTTCTTCTCCTCCGCCTCTGACTCACCCGCTGATTCTTCTTCTTCTTCTGGGTTCCTTCTTCTTCTTTTTGCCAGTGTAACCATGAAAGATAAAAATTTCCGCGTGGCTTGAATTATCCCGAAGTGACGTGATGCTACCTACCTACCTACATTCATTTCCCTTTCCTCTTTGAAACATGTTTTTCTTTAGGGGAGGGATGAGGGAAGATTTGTTGCGAAGGGAAGAAAAGTATGAGTAGGTATGTTCCTGCTTACTGTAGCAATGCGTATGCATGCACTCCTGAAATTCGTCTGATCAAACAAAATACGCAATGCAACGTGAGCCAGGGGAGGAGGGGGGGGGGTTGCGGTGGCGGGCAGCATAAGCTCACCTAGGTACCCAACATTTACTAACTAACTAACTAACTGGGAATCTTCAACGGGTATGGTGTGGGTGTGGGTGTGTGTGTGTGTGTGTGTGAGTGTAAGTGTTAGAGTGAGTGAGTGTGAGTGACGGTAAGTGAAAGTGAGAGGGAAAAGGTGTGTGTGTGTGCTGGTGCCGGGAAGGATCGCGTTGGCGCACCCTCATGCGCACGCCTGGGCAATTCTGCAACGTACGATTCGCCTGTCGGCTTATAACCTTAACTGCAGGATTGGAAACAGTACGTTGTTGTAAAAGCAATCCAACCATACCATGAGATGGGGAATTTTTTTTATTTGAAAGGCTTAGCTAGGTAAGCACCTACCTAAGTAGGTATGTAGGTTGGGGGTGTACACAGATTACGCCATCGCCATCGGAGATCTGGGCCGATTAAGTCTCCCCCCCTTTTCTAGATATGTAATATGTCCATACCAGGTATGTATGTAGTAGGCGAAGTAAGCTTAGATAGACGTAGCCTCATCGACCCCTTACCTAGTACCCAAGTACCTGCGCTGCCACAATATATGTAGGTAGAATATATATTACCTAGCAGTCTAGCTACGGCACATACTTACTTGATACAGATTGGAAACTATATATATATACATATGTTGTATCTATTAGATTATATGTGAGTCGACCGGTGGAGCTTATCCGGCTTACATGGGAGCTAGGGGCTAGCAGCAGCAGCTGTCATCTGCGATCTCCTGGCCGCATGACCTTTTTTTGCGCACTCGTCGAGGTCGTATCCGAAGGATGCGCAACAGCTGAGACAAGTAAAAAAAAAAAAAAAGAAGAAGGGAGAGACACACGAAGTAAGTTGCCTTTATACGAATACCTAGCAACCAACGCCCGAAAGGCGTACAGGTTGCACATAACGGAGGGTTAGGTAGGTGGTTGGCTGTTCTGGTTTTGAAGGTTCGAATGTTGGATGTATTCCCAAGACAAGACATGACGTTCTTTTTCGTAATCTCATGCCCAACAGTAGGTATAGGCTGGGGTTCGGGGGCATATGTAGATAGGTCTTTGGAACAAAAGTATTGGACCTCTGGGGTCAGTTACGGGGATTTGGTTCCTTGCGTGATGATGGATGATGGCATGACACGACAGGAAACGTTCTTCTTTTTTCCTTTCGCCTGCTTCCACTTACAGAAAAGAAACCAACGGGGAATGGAACTGGGAAGTGAGAGAGAGAGAGAGAGCTAAGCCACTAACGAGCTTCGGAACCTCACGCGTTACCACCCGGAAGCCGGTACCGGATCATACCTATAACAGCCAGTGGCTAGGTGTCATATATTCGAGTTATAGGGGGGAAGGGGGGGTGATAGACGGGGGAGGGCTGATCGTTGTAGAATAGTACCACATCTTAATAACCTTTATAAACGTGTCTGCATGAGCTGGACGTGGTGGGGTCTACAGGTTTAATAATAATAATAACAATAATAATAATAATACTACCCACATTGTTCCTACCCAGTATGTACGTACCTGTATCCATGTAGCCCTGTTATGATCGACCCGCCCCTTACCCGCGTGGGGGATGATGGGGAGGCCGATCTATCAATCTGGGATCTGAAAGATAGGGGAGACTCTCCGTACCTAAGTATGTATGTGTGGGCTAGGTAAGATACAATCTACGCATCTAAGGTAGGTATTGTATTGTACCTAGGTGAAAGGAATGATCGCTAATCGTTCTATAAAAATAGATTAATGGTTACGATTCTATTATAAATGATTGACAAGCAAGCAATTCAAAGATAAAGGGATGAAGATAGGGAACAGGAGAAGGAAAAAGGAAAAAGGAAAAAGGAGTATGTACCATTGTACCTACCGACTAATGGATTAAGGGGAGATGCCCGAAGTTCCTCCACCTCCAAGCTCCAACAAGAACCGATAGCGATTGTAATGTGGCTTGCAGAATTTGTGGCTTCAAGGTTCACTGAGTCCCCCACCGTCCAAGTTCCGAGATCCAGAGGTGGGGACCTTTAAAAAATCGGGCCAACTCCGGCTAAAACAGCTTTGGAACTTTTCATGATTATCAGATTTCCTAACTTTTCAACCTTTTTTGGTTGGAACAATGAATTATTGAACCCGACGACAATCGCATTGAAAACCAGAGAAAGAGAAGGGTAGAAGGAACTGAGGATCTGGAGGACATACATAACCGATGCGCACAACGAAACGATAAGGAATTGGCCTCAATGTCTTGCAAACTGACGCCCCGGGGCGCTGTCGTCCTTCGGAATATCACCTTGCGAACGCGGCAACCAACTACACCCCTCCTACGATCCCATCCAGAACGCCGACCAGTACGGCAAATAGATCCTTCCTTAATAGCAAGGAGAGGGCTTGCAGACGATTTACATTCGAGAGGGCCACCGCCAGAAGACCAGTCTGGGCCCCCACCACCACCACCACCCTCAACACCCGCCGAGTACGTGCCCAAGCCGCCAGAGCTCTTCGCCCCCAACTACCTCAATGCCGAAGCGCTCGCCGCTCTAGAGAAAGCCGCGGCTGGCGAGGATATTGATGGCGAGGGCGAAGAAGGTCTGTTGTTCGGCATGCCCGAGCGCGTTGGGAAGAACCAACAGCTGCAGGACCGTTACCACCCCGTAGTGGACCAGGTCACCAAGCTGCTTATGAAGGATGGCAAGCTCGGGAGAGCGCAAAGGGTACGTTTGTTTTTCCACCACCTACCTGCCTGCATAATGCCCCCAAATGCAGTGCATTCCACAATCCCAAATCCTCTTCAAACAGTGCATCAGACGCCAATGAAACTTGAACAAATGATGTACGAGACGAGTAGAAAAAAAAAAGAAAAAAAGACTAACAACGACCAAACAGCACATGAGCCTCATCCTGAACTACCTCCGCACCAACCCCGCCCCCAAAGTCTCCCCCCTCCGCCCCCTCCTCCCCGGCTCCCCCAGCCCAGAACAACTCCCCCTCAACCCCCTCCTCTACCTAACCCTCGCCATCGACTCCGTCGCCCCCCTCATCCGCATCCGTGCGCTGAAAGGTGCCGCAGGCGGTGGGCGCGCCCTCGAGGTCCCGGAACCCATGCCGGCCCGCGCCCGCCGCCGCATCGCCGTCATGTGGATCATCGACGCCGTGTGCAAGAAGCGCAGCATGGGGTCCGGACGCAACCAGTTCGCGACGCGCTTCGCGCAGGAGATTGTTTCGGTCATCGAGGGCCGCTCGGGTATCTGGGACAAGCGCGCGCAGGTGCATAAGACGGGCACCGCGGCGCGTGCGAATTTGACCCATTTTGCGGTGGTGGGGAAGAAGAAGAGGTAGAGGTGAGGATAGGACCTGGGGTCTGGTATCAGGTATTGGCGGAGAGGGGGTTTGCCTAGAACACTCACTAGGTCCCTACTGAACCTGGATAGGCCTAGGTTAGGTACATAGATAGGATTGACGAAAAAGGGGTCAATAACCTTAACTATCAGATGTGAATAGTATATACCTACCTACTGTATACACACTGTCTAAACCAACACCTTCTAGCAATTTTCGGTCTGCCAATGGCAGCAGCAATATTCAAGTAGGCGGGGCATGTATGATATACTCAAAAAAAAAAAAAAAAAAAAAAAAGCTCTTGTATAAAAGTCATCGTATCGAGGCTTCTTGCTTGGTTTCCAGTAGGTATCGATCGACATTAGGTATTCACGGAAAGGGGTAACTTTCAAATCAAATAACTAGGTACCTAGGCCGTCTTCCTCTAGTATGTAAGTAGCATTAGTACTGTATGATGATTCGTAGCCATAGCCAGCCACGATTTACCCCAGCCGGCGTGAGAGTCAGAGTAAAAGATTGAGTTCCTACCTACATAGGTAGTTATGAGAAGAGATCATAACTAACAACATGCCCACAAACTCACTTGTAAAGCGAGAGCCAACGTCCCATAGCAGTCAAGTTGACTATCGTTTTAGTTCCCGCTCATCTATCTTTTATTTTTACCTTGCCCGTTAGCTTTACTTCATGGATACATGACTAACATATACGTCAGGGGTGGAAAGAAATGTCAAGAACGCTTTGAAATAATGTATCATCTCTATCGCTACCCATCCCCCCTTCACCTAAAATGTGCTTTTCGTCCTTCATTCATCGTCCCATGTTCATTGCCAAGCCGCTCGAGGAGGTATCTCACTATACCGCAACCACGACTCATATATTATTCATAGACTATAAAAAACGTGGCCGTTTGGGATCTAGATCCCGCACTGCATCGGAATTTCAAAAACAAGCTCGAGCTCGTTATATGTTTGGCTTTAGGGGCAATCGGCATACGTCTATGATGAATGTTGCCGTCTTGAAAATTCGCACTGTAGGCCCATGAAATCCTCTCCGTGATATCCACCTTAGGCCAACTTATCGGAATAGCATCCTCCCCGGAGTTGGTGTTGACGCAGATGCCGGCGTTCCTGGGCCGTTTATACCCGACTTCCGCACCGGTGTTGTCGGCCCACCAACTCCGTTCCCGTCTACCGGTGGCGTATCCGTCCTGGGGACGTTGGCCCCTGTGCCCAACTTGGCCGGCGGTTTGAAGTTAGACGCGACACCCTTGGCATATATCTCCTGTAACATAGGGTCAAGGATGCCAGCTTCATCAAATTCTTGATATTTACGATATAGCTTGAGGGCGGTCCTAGCATCCTCAATCGAGTCATGTGTGCTCTGTTGTATGTCCTCTTTAAGAAGTGTGTGCGCTAGGAACTGCAAACTAAGCTTGCGCAGTCGCTCTTTGATGAAGAAGAGGTCGCTTGTGTCGATGACCTGCGCCTTCGGCACATGTATGTTAATTACGCGGAAGTCCTGTTTTAGCCCGTGGCCCAGGAACTTGCATCCGAGGTTTAGTAAGATCCATATCTTTTTGTATGCGATCTTGAGCGGCACTAGATTGTGCCCCCTTTGCTGTGCCAAGTTTATGTCCAAGTCTTCAGGGGTAATTCCTGAGTATGAAGTCAAGTAATCGACGACCTTCTCTTTAATAGTGATATAGTCATCGATAAAAGGTAGTCCTTCGTCCATGCCACTGCCTCGGACAATCGATGTCCTGGCTAAAGCGTGCATGGTGGGTCGGATGATTTTGGAGTCGCCATCCGAATGCATCTCCACCTCTGGCTGAGAAATTTTCACAAATTCCGTGTCGATGGCCACGATCGTATTGGGACCTGCTGGCTCAGTCTGCCGATCCAGGGTCCGATACGTTTTATCGGCTCGATCAGCTCTATAAAAAAGTTATTAGCAATTTGAAAAAAAGCCGATCATCGTTTCAAAAATTTTATACGCACTGGAGATCTAGATAAAGTAGTCTAGAGTCAAGATTCTGCTTCCAACTAGAATCCAACTTGTTGTTGGCGGTTTTTTCCTGGAACGTAATGACGGCAGGTGTCTTCCAGGATGTGTTGAACGTCAAAGCCTCTTGTGGTGGAATCGGCTTCACATGGAAATCATTGAACAGATACCATTGACTCTGACTTGGAGCTATTGGCGCGGAATGCGCAACTAGATTGAGGTGTTAGCATATAACCTGCTGCTAACTTTTGTGAATAAAGTTGGAAACATACTATTGGCCATGGCCACAAGATGTGACCTCTGCTGTTGGCCGCCTTCAATGTTGACAGTTAACCCAGTCAATGAATATACCGTGATACTGTGGATTCCCCGTTGCAAATGCAGCTTTAAGTCTTCCCCTTCAAAGCAAAAGAATTGCCCGTTGTCTACTATAACTCCGATCTCTTCCGGAAGCCATCCAGGGGTAGCCCAAAGTCGCCGATGGTCGTTACTGGTGATTGCAGTGGCAAGCATGAGCACACTGGGGACGCGATGTATGGTCTTTCGGGTTGCGAGAGTTTGGTAGCGATGGCAGTTATTACACCACCCCTTATTGGTAGTTTCTCTTTCTACACTCATCTTCAAGACCTGGCAAAATGTTGTGCCCCGTACCCTCGGGTTTCGGTGACCAGGTTTCTAGTTCAGTAAGCATTTGCTGTGGTGTGCCTACTAGGGGAAGGTACTTACAACCTGTGGATACATCAACTCATTCACCATAGTATGGTCGGGCTTTGTAGTTTCACTTCTGCAGTTCATGCACCGTATGGAGCTCGTTGCAGAGGTTTGGAAGAGCTTAAGCTGTTAGTCAACGCCGATCAAATGAAAGTATCAAGAGACTTACCTCTTCGAAGCTCCTAGGATGGGGTGTTTCTGGGGAGTAGGGTTGAAGATTTTGAATCATCGAGCTATAGTTCTGAGCCATCTGCCTAAGAAGGAATCTTGTAAGCTGTTGAAGCATTACCGTCCGAGACGAGTGAGGCTCCTCTTCCAATAAACCAAGTTTTCCCGCTGGCGTATGCTTATTAGTGGATAGTCGACCAAAGTCTAGGTAAGGAATCACTAACCTTCGGGGTGATAGCTAAGAGTCTTTGTGAAATTGGATGCTTGGCAAGCCTCCCCTTCTGCTTTATAGAGCATGTCGAAGAGAAATCCCAATTCGCAAAGGAGACATAATTCATCGACGCATGCTGTTGCAGCGTGCTGGAGAGCAATATTCCGAACAAGTGGCGTATAGTGCATCATCTGTAATAGTGGATTTGCGTACGCGTTGACAATGTGATTTTGCAGCCCAGAATACTGTGTCTTGTTGAAATAACTGAACATCTCATTAGCAATTTTCTAGCACGTGAACAGATTCAACTCACCCAAAATCGAAATCATCGATTCCGAATTTACTGTACTTTATTTCGATATTTTGATATAAGTCAGGCACCTCGATCTTCAGACTCTCGAGCTTGGCGTCCTGTAGGACTTGGGGAATTTCCGGTATAACTTCTTCTGGTGCTGGAGTTCCCGCGGGAGACTTGGCTGCTTCTCTCGCCTTCTCGCTCAAGAACTTGGGTGGTTTTAGGGAGCTCTGAGGACTCTCGTTGTTCCGCGTGTCCTCAACCTGATTCCGTCGCAAAGGGCGAGTGTTCTTGCCAAAATATCCCCAGTCTCTTTCTTGCAGAGTCGCTAAGAACTGCTGGTCAATTTTGACTGGTGGGGCTCCGACCTCCGTCACCATGTTACTCGGCCATGCCGATAGCAATACTTCTCTATAGTATGGCATACCGACAGAGCTCAATGGTCTAACACATGTTAGCAACTATCATTGACACCGTTCATTTTGCCTCGTTCGATTATACTAACGTATCGTGATCATCGAAGTCAATCCGAGGTGCTGTTCCGGAATCGGCTGTCTCTATTGGTGTAGGAAACTCGGCGAAATGGACCTTGTTGGGCGAGCCCCAAAGATGAATGAAGCAATCCCCATCCGCAAGCGCAATCGCCTCACCTGAGGAGGCGATCTCTATCATTGAAAAGTAGGATAGACTGTTTGCTTGGCGTACATTGCTAGTGTTGGGATTCATAAGATCGACCACGTGCATCTGACCGATCTGTGACATAACGATACTGGTCGTAGACATGCGCGGGTGCATTCTTACATAGGCAGCACCCGCCGGGAACGGGATGGGCGACATGGAACCCATATTCTTCAGATCGAATACGTTTACGAATGGATCTGGCATATAATTGCCTCCGTGCCTAATGGAATATCCGCAAGTAACTATAAAGTCGTGCTGCGCATCCATGTCGTTGATAGCAGCCGTATGAGCATTCCAGATCTTGATAACCTGGAAAGTTAAAGAGTCGATAATATGGACAGCCCCTGTCGGCGTGGCTGCGCAGATATACCTACTTCTCCGCATAATTGTATATTTATGTTCCGTCGGTAGCTAATAAGCATTTGTTAGTCGCGGGAGCTCGAGCCCTCGATAGTCATTCATGAGACCTAATGTATCATACCGTTTTAGTAATCTCGCCTTTATTCGTGTCGATGATGAACATCTTGTCCTGTTCGCCAGCTACGAGTATCTCGGCGGTACCCTTAGACGTGAAACTCATACATCGTAGCTCTTGCATGTCTTCGTGTCTATATGAACCTTAAGCATTGGCGAAAGACTCTCATCCAGGACATAAATTGATTCCTACCTAATTGACCATAAAGGCGGCCCCCTCCTCAATGCCATATGGACCCCACGAGAACCAATTGCGATGACGCCCTTGTCGTTGAAGAGTATCTGGCGAACGGGGCCATCTTGGGAGGTATGCGCCTTGAAGGATGTGTACGGCTGGAGTTTCGTGCCATAGAATGACGACACGCGGCCCTAAGCAATGGTATTAGATAGATGTTGCGCAGCTCGAGTGTTCCCCCTCCTACTAGATTTCATACATATTCGTTACCTGTCCATAAGAGCTCTTGACTCGTATCGAAAGCTAAGACAGTGACAGGCGTGGACATGGCCCGGAGACCCGGTGGTGGGAAGGGTATGCGCGCAACCTATAGAGAAATACTAAAGTCAGTTTTGTATTCTATGAATGATCCACGATCCACGATCCGTAATCTATTGCGACATGTATATGGGATCTCCCGATATCATAGCAATTGCCGTATGAAGTTGCAAGATAGAATAATTAAATGCGTACCTCGTCCCAATCTCCATCCATATTGGCGGGTTTAGCATGGTCGAGCTAAAGCAATTGAAGCAATATTGGCCCTCAACGATAGGAAATTCAAATCCCGTCGCGACTTTATGAAATATCTACATGTGGTAAAAACGAAGATAAAGGAAAAGAGTTGAGATATGTAATATGTCTTGGTAGTAGCTAGTACTATACCTAGTATATTATGTACTAAAGTTGAAGAGGGTTGAAAGTTGAAAGCCTCGGGTCCATCCCACTTCAAATTGTTAGCTGACACTATCGATAATACTAGCACCACACATGATCGTCTTTACATTAACTAGGTACTGTGAATTTATGCCAGGGGAGTTGTATTAGCCGAAGTTTCTCCACGGCGTGGGATAAAACCGTTGGATGATAGTTATTAGTGCTAGTTTTATTCACTTGGACAATTCACACCGTAATTAGTCTTCAACTACTGTCACTACTGTCACTACTGTCATTACTGTCACTACCTAGTAATGTTTGCCATATTCTTAATATTTTTTTTCATTCAATGTTGACATGAACTATCTAAGTCTCGTCGAATACATTTCCTAGTACCGACGAGACCTCCAGCTTGCTACACGAGAATATCTATTCAGCCCGTCGTAGCAATTAATTGAAAAGCATCCTTGCATTCAGTTTTTGTAACGATCATGTAGCTCTCTGATTCAAGCTACTTTCCAACCTTCCTATCCAGTGTAATCGTGTAGGTTACCTGTGGTAAGTTATCCTACGGATGCGTTGTTTCCATCTCGGAAATTAATGCCCAAATAATGCTCAACTCAACTCCTGCTGGTAAAGGGAAGATGAAATAAAAGTGAGAAAAAAGGGAGGCCGCGGAGCCTTCTGCTTTTAGACTACCGGACCCGCCGCTCGAACTTCATCGGTGGCTTCCGATTCGTACTTCTTGAAGTTCTCGATGAACAGACCGCCAAGCTTCTTGACTTCCTCCTTGAATGAGTCAGTGCCTGCAGTCCAAGCCGTCTTGGGGTTGAGGAGTTCTGCGGGGACACCAGGACACGTCTTAGGGACCTGGAGGTTGAAGACGTCATACGTCTCGTACTCAACCTTAGCCAGCTCCCCAGAATGAATCGCATCGAGGATGGCACGAGTGTACTTCAGAGGGCAACGCTTGCCGCCGTGGATGTAGCCAGCACCAACCCAACCAGTGTTCAAGAGCCAGGCGTTGGCGGAGTGTGCTTCTATCTTGCTTGCCAGCATCTTTGCGTATCTCATGGGGTGAAGAGCCAAGAAAGGCTGGGCGAAACAAGATGAGAAGGTAGCTTGAGGCTCCGTTATACCATCCTCGGTACCGGCCATCTTGGACGTGTAACCGGAGATGAAGTGGAACATGGTCTGGGCGCTGTCAAGCTTGGATATCGGTGGCAATACACCACGAGCGTCGCAAGTCAACAGAATAATGTTGCTGGGGTGGTTTTCAGACAAGCATGGAATCTTGGCGTTGCTGATGTACTCGATAGGGTATGCGCTATGATTTTTGTCAGCTTGAGTTACATCTGTATGTTTCGAAATAGGGGAAAACTCACCATCTTGTGTTCTCGGTGAGGGTGGCATCATCATAGTCAACCTCTCTGGTTTCTTGGTCGAAAACGACGTTTTCAAGTACGGAACCAAAGCGGATAGCACCGAAAATATCAGGCTCCTTCTCCGCCGAGAGACCAATGCACTTGGCGTAGCAGCCACCCTCAATGTTGAAGACACCACGTTCACTCCAGCAGTGCTCATCGTCACCAATCAAAGCTCGGTTAGGGTCGGCAGACAGGGTAGTCTTTCCAGTACCAGATAGGCCGAAGAAAAGGGTTACGTCGCCATTCTTGCCTTCGTTCGCAGAGGAATGAAGAGTCAGGACGTTGTGCTTGATTGGCATCTCGTAGAACAGAACGGTGAAGATTCCCTTCTTCATCTCGCCGGCGTACTCGGTACCGAGGATGACCATCTCCTTCTCCGCGAAGTTAATGGCGACTGAAGTACCAGAGGTCATGCCCTCAGTGTATCTGTTAGCCGGGAAGCTACCGGCATTGTAGATCGTGTAGTCAGGGTGGAAATGTTCTAGCTCTTCCCGCGAAGGGCGCATGAGCATATTTCGCATGAACAAGGCATGGTAGGCACGAGCGCAGATAACTCGAACCCGGATACGGTACTTGGGGTCCCAGCCGGCGTAGCCATCGATGACATAGATTCTTGTTCGGGTGTTTAGGTAATCAACAGCACGTTCACGGTTGATTTTCCAGACCTATAAGATGTGAGTCAGTTGATTGGTCAAGGTCAAAGTATGGAATATGGAACTTGAAGTATGACAGAAGTTTATGCCGAATTGGGATGAAAGGAAAACTTGAGCTTGGCACATGAATTTGTTTTAGTGGGGAGGAATTGGGGGGCTAGCTGAAGAATGCCCCCGGCCTGGTTGAAGGGCGGGGTGCAGAAGGCTATTGCCGGATCTGAACCCAATTCCATAAAAGCATTGGCATCTTGTAGATGACGCCAATGGACAAGGGCAAGGGGGGTTTCTCCAATAAACAAAGCCTAGACTTTAGGTAACAATTACTTAGGTAACGAGACTTCATGCCAACACCACGAGACTTCTCGAGAATCAAATGATTTACGTAAAGACGTAGTCATAGTCGGCAAAACCCTAAAAAAAAAACAAAAACAAAATAAAGAATGACGGATGGTTTTTATTGCTTACCTCGGGAGCCATTGGCTTGTTAACAGGTCCCCACCTAATTTACCAAGTTAGCTATCAACTCAATTCAAGTCAAGCATAGTTTAGTTCTGTACGGGGAAACTCTTACCAGATGTCATTTTCTGATGATGCTTCCTTGACGATTCTCTTGTCTGAGGGAGATCGTCCGGTCTTAGCTCCAGAGTAGGCAGTCAACGCACCGCTTGAAGCGATAGCTGAGCCCATTTCGTATACCTTTGCATTTTCATTAGCATGAGTCGGCCATTTGTCAAGGGATATCATCAAGCATGAAAACTTACAAGAGCATCTTCGTACAACGCAGCCACGGACGGATTGGGGATCTGTACATGTTATTAGTCTCTGTATGCGTATAATAATTGCACGTGTAAGCTTCAAACGTACAATAGCGACCCTGTCGTAGTCAATGTGCGCCTTCTCGTGAAGCTCCTCCTCTGTAAAGGATCAGTGTTAGTGAATTGGTCCCCAGGAAGCAGGTAATAGGTAAACGGCTAGAGTTTCCATGCTGGGAATTTTGAGTTTTGCGAGTCTTGTATCGTACCTAGTTCTGTGTGTTCCCTCTCATGGTGGGGCCTACAGACAGCGAGTGTTAGTAATGCCTCTCTTCTTTGTGGTCTCTGCAGGAAGGTCACTTACTCGACACCACCGGGGTGGAGAGCGGTCTTGTTGACTTTATTGGTAGGAGTCACTATAACACCATTGTCAGCTAGGTACGTACGGGCAAAGGCACAGAATCAAGACGGGTATCGTCTTATACGGCCAGAACTTACTCTTGCTGTGCTGGAGGAGAGAGTGGGAATGGCCGGCAGAGAGTTGCTGAGATTTAGGTCCTTTGGATGAGGGATCGGGGTAGGGAGAAGCAGTTCTAGCGACTGGGTCTTTCATGGTTCTTAAAGTTAAAGAATTTCGGAATGGAAGACGGCTATGATAGATAAAGGGACAACTGGAGCCGAAGACGAGCCGGGAGTGTCGATATCTAATTTGATTAAATGGGGTAGCAGACGAAAGGCCGGCAATGCATGTAGACTTGAAGTAAGTTATCCGACTGCTGCTAGTCATGGGCCGAGCCCGAGGATATATAGTCGAGCTGTAAGGTGTGGAGATGGCGAACTTTGATTGAGACATTCCACTGGCCAGCTACAAGAGCTGTCATTCATTAGGCACAGAGGCACGAATTCAAACCGGAGCAATCCGGCCAGCATCATCGGGAAGAATCGAGCTGGCGAGGTACTGCTTTGTTCCCTGTCTCGGTACACTAGCAAGGGATCTTGTGGCGTAGCGTAACTTGAATCGTTCAAAGATCACGGACGAGACAGTTTAGCGTACATTGAATTACCGGAATCACAAGAGATAATGTTAAGGTGGATCAAGAGCTATGCTGGTACTAGTGGAGGGATGTATGTAGGTAAGGATGCTGGGATGTTTGAAAGTTGGGTGTTAGTTTCTGGCTGTCTGCAGTCTGGGACTCTGGGTAGCCTGGGTAGCCTGGGTAGCTTACCTAGGGTAGTTCTGGGTGTGTGGTGTCATATGCAATTGGCTTTCGTCCTATTGCACGTTGCTATTCCGTTTTTTTCCTCAGCCTCTCCAATCCCTGTCATCTTTTGCACCTATCAATCTTGGACCAGGATTATAGCCTGTCGGCCTGGACTTTACCCATCGTTTTCGTTGCATGTACTTGTATGTACATTGGGATCTGCCCCCATGTATTACAACAACGGGAAAATCGGTTCACTTATTTGATTCGATAACTGAAAATTCTATAGACATTTCCAGAATGTCATTATCGTCTTCATACGTCCTCAAACGTCGCCACCCGTTGTCGAGAACACTTACGACCTAGGGTACCTACCTACTTAGGACTTATGCATAGAAATGGATCAGGGGGGTTGTGACCGTTGGAGAAGGAGAGCACGCGATAGTACTACTATGGTGTACTATTATGGTAGCGGGAAAGTAAAGTTGGAACGAATTGAATGTCAACATTGATTATATGGATACCGTATCTGCTAACTTAGCACTAAGTTAATAGTAGACTGCTACAAGTATCGTACCTATCAGTCTAATAAGTTAGATAACCTACCTAACCTAGGTACAAGTACAATACGTATTATGTGCTCCGCCAGTTTGTCAGACAACCCCACAGTGGGGTTTTTAGAAGGGTAAACCCGGTAGAGGGGCAATGGGGAAAGGTAATGGGGATGGGGAAAGGGGCTACGATATCTTCGAGAACCTCGGGAATCCCATTGTACATACAAGTTACTTGTACAAGACTCTTAAAAATTTGAAAATAAAAATTCAATAGATCCCAATTGGGTTAGATTTTTAAGACGTGTAATTGGGTAGCTCCTCAAGTTGGGGAATTGAATGCCATGACGATTGATTTCCTCTAGGGCTATCCTTTTCGACATTTGGTACGAGCAAAACATGTAAGTCCCCTATACCAATCTGAGTATTCGATTTACAAACGAACAGCATTAGGTACATATTCACATGAAGATCAGTAAAGAAAATAGCTACGTACAGTAAATGTGAAAAATTCAACATCATATGTTGTTTATGTTTGGCGTTGTCTATTTTGTACAATCAATGCAACCTCTCTTCGTGAAGCCGACATAGCCCCTGAAAACTCGATCTATTTCACTCCCCGAGATTTTCCCTCTGAAGTATTACCTTCCCAAACACTTTAGAATCAGGTGAAGAAAACTTTGATACTGTAACAATGCCATCGAATGCAACTCAGGCACTTCAATGCCCAAGATTTTCCATACGTAAAGGTTGTCAGAAGAAGGTCGACCCTTGCATGTGAATTGCAATGGCAACCCGAATCTTTCCATCCGTTCGAGACTGCATGAAGATCATTCGGTACTTGGGTAAGGTCTTTTTTCAGCCGCCAAGACACTCATGATGCAACCCAACTATCGGACGCGGCTCGATGTGCACGGCGTAATCGTCCTTGCATCGCATATCTGTACCTATCATGCCGTTGATGAACCTTGGATCGTGATACCTATCTCACCCCCCAGATGTCCCATCTCCCCGTACACTTACCGAAGTTCATCCCGCTATTGGGCTAGTTAGATTACTACCTAGGTAGATATCTATTCCGACAATTTCCGCTTGTCCGTCTGTTGGCCCCGGGTTTGCTTCGTTACGTAAAGGGACAGGCGTCTGAGCCACAGTGGAGAAGCGGGAATCACGATGCCAGGATGTCCTCGCAGGATATCCATCCTCGTTCCTCAGCTGGCTTGTGAAACGTCATGCACGGTAGGTACCTCTGGTGGAAAATTTACGAAAAAGTTCGGGAACCGACGTGAAGCCTGTTCTTGTACAAGATTGCAAATGGCATATTTAAAAAGGTGATCATCCAGTAATTATCTTCATAGGAAACGGAGAACAAAACAAGGCTTTTGACTGGAAGGTAATTATTTAAACGCTTCTGCCGGCACGATGATGTTGTAGCTCGACAACAGCTTGATACATGAAGTCATACCTACCAGCATTTGACAGGGCTTGAGGGGCGCTAATGTGTCAATGCCAAGAAGCCCAATTGCCCAATTCCTTCGCAAAGCGTAGATCGGGGAGAACCGGGTTCGTAATACCACGACCCCATGTTGCCTAGCAGTGCCCAGACCTGTCATCCAGAACGTAAATCTAGACTTCCCCGGAAAAGAAGTGGGGCCACGGACAGCCGGAGAGCCAACCTGGACATACGGATCCGGTCCGACCCGTATCCTAACGTCACTTCCCACCGACATGCACCGATCCTTGGCTTTGCTTGATATAACGGTTCCGTGTCTACCTATGGTAATAGAAACAAAAACACAACTTCATGGCCGTTTACATCCTTTTTTCCATGCGTTGGTTCAATGGTAATGGTACGACTAGGTTTATTCTATTAAACCTACGGTTAACGCGGTTACAAGACGTGGACAATAAACATATGATCTGCACTTCAACTGCACTTCGACTTAAAGAGACGAATGTTGGTATCGAAAACTTGTTGTCCATGAGTTATGGTCCGTCATCTACTATCCCTTAAATATGAATTCTTCAAGGCGTGCACCTCAACTAGGCAATACATGGCCACTACCTAGGTAGGAACCTAGGTTTTCGAGCATCCTGAAGATAGAGGGGACAGATCATATATGTTCCGACAAAGCACACCCGGCTTGCTATTGGGCATGAGTGGTATGAAATTGTGGCTTTCACAGGGTTAAGTATAGTTAATTGGGCGGTGAATCCGCGGTTGCCTGCAGGACTCATAAATGGAGCAGCTGATGGCAGGCGTCTTTCACAGCCACACAAACCTAGTCGTCGCGATTAATTGCAGCCTGCTTGAATGCAACTACAGAAACACTTGCGGACCAAAAAAAAAAAAAAAAAAAAAAAAAAAAAAAAAAAAAAAAAAAACCATGTAAGCATTGCCTGGTCGCAACACAACTTACCTAGTAGACAACTTTAATACGGGCATGTTATTCTTATTAGATCAAAGTTTCACCGAATTTCTTCGACGGCCATCATTTACAGGCTCGCTTTCGCATAACTTGGTCCTAGATCAATCTTACCTATCAGCTTCAGCGCTGGGAAGACAACAAGCTTAGCCGCAAACCCACCCAAATAGGCAGCAATTTAAGCTTCAACCCCTTGTGTAGATCCTAACATAAGCGAATGCGATACTATTATTTCCCATGCTACTACCTTCACTATCGTGATCTCCGGAGGCCCCGCGAGTTACGCAGTCCTTACTGGTTATTCGCGTTTCTTTGGCGGGTTTCAAGCATCTCATCAGGATGCTCGGTGAGAATACTTGCGTCGAATGCAATGCATATCCAGGAACCATGGACAGTTTTGCCTAGATAATTGGGGCCAAGAGTATAAAAGGATGGATGACTACCTATTGATGTGTGTTGAACAGTATTCCGGATTCCGAGCTTTCCACACAATTTACGGTTGATAGGTCTAATTAATAAAGTCTCCGAAATGCGATTTTCCAAGTCTTTGCTCCTCCTCGCTGCCCAGGGTAGCATTGCTCTGGGCCAAAGCAATACCACCAACAGCACGAGCGACGTGACCTCTTACCCTCTGAGCAGTGATGAATACTTCTCATTCATCGTATACGAAGTTCTCGCCCTAGCCGGCGGCGGCGGCTCATCGGCAGGCGAGGTACTACGCGCTGCTGCCAAAATCGAAGCCGGAAGCCACGAAAGCTTCTACACCGAGTTCAAGTTCCTAGCCGATTCGATTCACGACATCGCGACGTCCATCAACGCGACCAAGTTCCCAGTCTCTGCTCGCGAAGCATATTTCCGCGCCGCTTCCTACTACCGGGCATCGGTTTTCTTCCTTACGCATAATCAGACGGACCCCAGACTCTTTGACGTGTGGGACCAAGCTCTGGCGGACTTTGACCAAGCGGCCAACCTTACCGATATCCGGGGCGAGAGGGTGACGCTCAAGGGGCCGGGATTCGACATCCCGATCATATATTGGAAGTCGCCCAAGGCCAATAGCGATGAACCGGCCCCCACAATCTTGATTGGTAGTGGCTATGACGCGCCCCAGGAAGAGACGTACCACCAGCTAGGCCGCGAGGTGCTGGATCGAGGTTGGAACTTTGCCACTTACGAAGGGCCAGGGCAACCGACCGTGCGCCGCGAACAGAAGCTCGGTTTCATCCCGAACTGGTGGGATGTCGTAACCCCAGTTATCAACTACCTGGAAACAAGACCGGAAGTGGATATGAAGCGAGTCGCTCTCGGGGGCCTCTCATTTGGCGGGACCCTGGCTCCGCTCGCGGCTTCTCGAGAACATCGGATCGCCGCTGTCCTCGCCATCGACGGTTTAGCTAGTCTTCAGAAGGTAGCATCGAGTCAGCTTCCTGCAGTCGCGACCACATTGCTTAACAGCGGTAACCAAACGGGGTTCGATGCGTACATGAACGCAGTGAAAGTAAGCCCGCAAGCTCCTACGATGATCAAATGGTTCATCAGTCAGGGCCTATGGAGTTTCAACACAGAGAGCCCATATGACTGGTTCACCCGTCTTGGGAATATCACCCTCGACAACGATATCTTGAGCAACGTAAGCTGTCCGGTTTTCGTGGGCAAGGGTGAGAACGACGACCTTGCTGGAGGCCAGGAGCAGGAGGTGGTTGACATGCTGGGTGATAAAGGCTTCTTATACGAGTTCAAAACGTCGCTTGGTGCTGGTGGACATTGTCAGTTAGGGGCGGAATCTCAGCTTGCGCAGGCTACCATGGACTGGCTTGCGGAAGTATTTGATAAGATTTCATGATGGCTAGTTTGAGAACATAGTTTCCCATAGATCAGTGCATTGAGGCAGTAGAGTAACCCATGGGCATCTGATGCTATAACAAGTCAATGGACACGTGCCTGAGCAGACACAGTGCATTATCTGCTACTCCCATGTGTCAATAAGCTCTTAAGTTGGCCCTGGGGGTATTTAGATTTACGCGTACCTAGATTTAGACCGGCACGTATATACTTTGAACAGCTTCAGCGTCAGCTTATGGTACAAATAAGCCAACATCATATCCATCTCTACATACTTTGACCTAGACGCCCCTTTAGATGGTTTCACAAACCCTATCTCGCATATCGACCTAGTTGCCCAGGCCGATACTGGAGATATAAAATAAATAATCTACGTAGGTAGTAATAATACTTAACCAAATCCCACAACACTCACCAGCCCAACGACACTCATCACCCTGCATAGTACCTACTTATCTAACGTATTTGAGGACTTCACCCGAATTCGTCATGCCAATATATTCTGCACTACATTGCCAGATATGGTAAGTAATTGACCAGATATGATCCCAAGTCTCAATCCTCGCCGCTGACATCGCTCTTCATAGCGGCGTTGGGTTTTCCATTCCACGCTTCTACAGACCAGACGAGGTCGCATCCGTTCCTCGCAGCAGATATGGCACCACGAGCGGAGCTCAGGCCGCAGCTCGCGTGGGGACCGGCTGCTGCTCCGAAGTAAACGGCATGCACGTGGCGGGAACCAGGTGTTACCATACTAGAGCCTACTCCGGATGGCGAGTCTTCGAGAAGGACATAAACGACATCAACACCGTCGTCTGTCTATACTCAAAGAGACGCCATTGGAGGCCTGCGCCTGGCGACGAAGACTTCGAGATCCGAGCCAAGAGTTGCGGCGTCACCGGGGTCTCGCATGCGCCTGTTCTCAGCGACGTCCTAGTCCATAGTATACAGCCTGCCAAGCACGGGATCCGTAAAGTAACAGTAGACAACAGAGGTTTACACCGTGGACTTAACGGCCCCTACGCCCTTCCCATGCATCCAGCCTGCTTTGAGATATTCAAAAGACAGAGCCTGAGGATTAAAGGGTTCGTGGATATCGATCTCTTATGGAATCTCCGAGAGGTTCGTTACCCCTCACACCTCCGAGAACTCACAGTGACGATTGCTAATACCTCGAAAGCGTCTTGGAGTAACTTCTTCTTAGTTAGTCTCCCTAGTTGGTACATATGGTTCTAGGGAGCGGTTGCTAACGTGTATCTCGATTCCAGTCGGTTTGTTGGTCTCCCAGCACCTCCGGAGTTGATCCGTTGCGCTAGATGGTCCCTGTAGGTCTCTCAACCCAGATCAGTTGAGCTTCTCCGTTACTGACTCGTTGTGTAATTTTAAGGTACCCGGAAGTGTGGAAATGCATCAACGGCACCGAGTGGCTGACAGCCAACCCCCATCAGGTCATCGGCTTGCCGCAATTACTCAGTAATAAATGCCAGAGGCAAACTTTTGGAAGCACCGTCGTATTCCCGGCCTGGGATAAGGTGACACCCAGCGATCCTTTCCGGCTACTACCAGCAGAGATCAAGTGCATCATCTTGGAGGACCTGGACCGCAAGACTGTCGGCAACTTACGACGCGTCTCGCGCAGCTTTCGCCAGATCCCAACGTCCTACTTCCGCCCTCTAGTCCATAAGGAAATGCCTTGGCTATGGGAAGTCCTCGATGACCCAAACGCAAACATGAAATACGACTGGTTCGAACTCTTCAACACCATCCACACAAGCGAGCGCTTGGGTATATTCTGGAGCAAGAGAGACGAGGTTGACGGGACAAAACTGGAAGTGGGTCCCGACTACATGGCAGATTTGTTGCAAGAGGACCCAGACATTAAGCGAGCGAGCGAAGATTTCAAGAAAATAAAGCTGGAAAACTCTCTGCATCTGTGCCACCAGCTATATCCCGCAGAAGACCCATCACTAAGGGGTCTGAGAAACCGAAAAAGGATTTGGGAGGATGTGGAGAAGATCTTTGCCCTGGCGGAAAAGGAGGGTATCAACTAAGTACCCTAGGCACTAGGTGGAATACACGAGGTGTAGAAGCTTTCGCTTCCATCATCTCTTGATATACAGACGGTGGTCTAAAAGTTTGGCGTTTAGGTTGCCTTCATCATAAAGATAGGCGCGATGGATTATAATTGATGGGAGTTGAATACCCGGTGTATCGTAGGTAATTTGATAAAGAACAGAGAAGAGACGTAGCCTTATTCCCCTGAGAAGCATAAAGGGTTTCGCTGCCCATCCATGAAAAGTTCATTGACTGGCCGAGGAAACTCCAGAAGACTCTCCGTATATCATGTCCTCAATCGCTAATATATCAGCATCAGTCCCGTAAGTTAATTCTAAAGGAAGAGGCGTTGCTAAACCAATACGATCTAGGACCCATGATACAGCATCTTCCCAATCCAGCGACTCTAGGGAGAGCGGTTTCGTCAACAAGACCGACGCCTCCATCACGAACTTTTTCGCTATCGATTCCATCCACCAATAGTCCTTATCCAGCGTATTCAACAGCACAGCCCAGTGCGTTGTTATGAGGAAAGCGAACGGGTCGGATTTGCTGAGAAGTGCAGTGAAATGCTTGCCGACCAGCGAAGGGAACGCGGTGCCGAATCCTCTCACCATACCCTTCGTCTCTTCCGCAAAGCACATCTCGAGATAATGGATAGCTAGCCCAAACAGCTCATGGCTGTTTAGCGCAGCTACTCCAAGCGTCTCTGTGCCCTCGTTAGGGTTATGCAACTGGTCGTTAAGAGAGCGTAGCCTGGCCAAGGCAACTCGGGTATCAGGATCTATCAGGTCACTCGACGCGCCAAGACGATTTATGAAAAGGCGCAAGGGGAACTGGCTGCCGAGAAGCCACGGCATGCCCATCATCCCAATGCTAGTGCTGCCATTCATCAGGTCGAACGCGACCGTCACCATCTCGATCACACTGGCGGAGCGCTGGGGTATCGCCAGGTGGACGGCCACGGCAATGGCGGAAAACATGTAAAGGACGTGGCAGTTATCGGCATTCAGGCTCCCCAAATGCGTCCGGAACGAGCTGCTGCCCCTATTGTAGAACTCCAGCGCAGCGTTGACGTACTTGGCGGAATGCGACTCCCCGACGGACTTGGCGATCTGCAAGGATGAGATGGCCATGATGCAATTCAACATGAAGTCGTACTGGAGGGAAGCGCGCGGTAGTGCAACTTGTAGGTAGTCGCAGTCTTCGGGTATGCCTACGAAACATTTATACGTTGAGACTGACCACTGGTGCATCAACTCCAGCTCCAGTAATCTACTTGGTCCCCCGTAGGCGGAGCACAGCGCGCCTATGTTGCCTTGCGGCCGTTCCACAGACGTGGGACATCTCGCTGCTTGTCTCTCCTTGGAACGTATGGTGAGAATACCACCACCACCTGGAGTGCTCTCAATGTTCGGCCGAGTGTAGACGCATTTGGCCTTTCGGAGTGTACAGTTGTTGCACGGCGGTCCTTGTTCGTCACATTTCGTGTGCCACCTCTTACAGTTCTGGCACCCGTTGCGCGATTTCTTGTGAGATCTTCGTTTTTGCATTGTGGTCTCAGGTTACTCCTTATTTAATTTGACGGAGATGCCATCGTGTACATACCTATCAGGGACATAGGGCTGTCTTTATGTATGTAATGGATTATGGGGGGCCTGCACTTATGTATGACTGTGGCTGTGTTGGGATGAATGTAACTAGAGCTGCAGGTCAAAAGCTGAAAGAGAAGTGGCTAGGGAATGGGAATACAATCAACATTGTGTCCATCCTTACTATGCCGTACAATGGCCAGTGGCAGTGGATTAGAAAAACGAGGCGAGGACTGTTGTGTGACGTCTTTAAAGTCCTGTCGATCGCCATAAAAAGGAGACAGACTTGTACTAACCTTAGGTATGTAAGCTTAGGTTCCCATTTAAATCTTACATGGACTCATGGAGAAACGATCGCCTTGGCATCTTGGCATCTGATGAGACATCGTGTCTGCGTGCCCAGTGTGTGCTACATGTCGATGAACTAATAAATCCCACAGCCCTCATTGGTCCATTTCCTCTTCATCCTAGTGATTCTTCATGGGTGCGCTGGACCCAGTTGTTGTGGTTACTGACTTGATTCCTTCATGTCTGGGCAGCTTTGGGCTAACCAGCTACTATGCAGTACTTAGCCACACCCAACAATCAATACCTGTTACAGCACCCAGTAGGACATATAGTGTATCTATTATTTAGAACTACGCCTTGGAATATGACAAGTTATAGATCAAGTGATTCAATAATAGACCGATCCTGCGCCTCAGCATCACGTGATATATTGACAAGTAGATCAGGCAGTTCTAGTTCGTTGTTTGCGCAACAACTCCATGTCTCTTCTAATAACTATCGCATCTGTTCGCTTCAAAGCCCTTCCTAATGCTAGGCAGTTCTAGTATCATACCAGCAACTCCAACTCTTACACGAATTACACTGTTCAACCTGTACAGGTTCGCTTGGCCGTGAGAAACGATGGAAGAGGACTCAATAGACTTCTTGCCGCCTTACGAGGCCATTGAGGGGAAATCCCAGATCGACGACACTAAGCCAGCGACCTTTATCCTTGTAGATCGAGTCATAGTATCAGAAAATGCGCCCTCGACACCACTCTACCAGATAAACTACGATATCACCTCTACTAAGCAACGGCACTCGTCCGTGGCATTCGAGAGCGTTGAAAACGATCCACCACTACTGGGAATTAAGGGGGGAGCTCCCATAAACCCAGAACCCCGCCCTCTATTCTACCTCGCACACCCACAAGACCCCCAGTACCGGGAGGACAGGCCACCCTACTACCTCACCTCCGTGTCTCCTGGATCCCTAGGAAACATCGCCCTCGAGATCTCCAAGTCACGGCTGCAAAGGACAGAATACAGGTTCTCACTGAGCCCGAACAGGAACTGGATGGATGATATTCTGTTCGATAGGGACGCTCAGCTACTGTTCAGCGTCAAGTCTAAATTGATAGGTGGTCGGTTAGCGTGGACAGACTCCAACGGTTTCCAGCTAGCATATGAGGATGGGAAGGATGCGCAGCACAGACTGGTGATCACGGTTCCGATGAAGGTAGAGATAAGGCATGCGCTGGTCGCTACTTGGTGTTTGAGGTTATGGCACGACACCGCTGAGAGCAGGCAGGCCAAGAAAGAAGGTGAGTTTGTTACCCAGTAACCCCCACCTTGACTGTTGCTTTTCGTACTTGCCTTTCAACTGACCGTACTTTCCTAGCGCTGGAAAGAATGACACCCCCTGAAGCCATCAGAGAGATTCCCGACAGGCAAATGGCTACAAGGATTGGGGTTATGGGGGCTTTCGGAGGGGCAGGTGCCTGACGGGCTTGTATATTAGGAGACATCGTTACTGAAATAATTTGAAATGAACGTCATACGGCTTAAGGAAGAGAGCGAAGGGTTATGAGCGACGTCCGTCGGTACGTTGACCCACAACCCCGATCAGGTATGATCAGGTGTCTAGTTGGGCAGTAACGAAGTTTACCCACCTAGTGTGTACACCATGCAATGAATATATCATTTAACATGTCGAAAGAGTATGTGATGGTTATTGGTGTTGATAGATAGGTATCTACAGTAACTAGCCGTTGGTACTCATATACTTCGAACCAGATGAATGTCATCTAATCAAAACGGTTTTGACTTATAAGCATTGTCAACTTCCTCAATAGCATTATAACCGTATAGCCACGGCTGCACAGAAGGACAAGTCCTAGAGTTGAGTAGTTCGTTAGCGAAGGTCTCAAAACGCGAAAAGCGTGTTGCTAATCCCTTACCATCGACTAGCAAAATGAGGTGGCGGATCTTTTCCTACGAATGACAAGAAGATAGCATCTCGCTTTTCTTGTTCAGGTCCATCATGCATATGGAATGAGTCCCTCTTTGTCGCAGTTAGTTAGACAAGTGTTTCTGTAATAGTCATGTTGGGGTCCGGGTAAGCTGACCTGTCCTAAAGCTTCTTTGGCTATCGCCTCTCCTCGAACTTTCCGTAACCGCTCATACATCTTGAGTGCTGGCCCTAACTTCTCACGACTAGTCACATACTTGAGCAATCGGCCAAGCACGGCCCCATCTTCTAGAGAAGAGTTTGCGCCCTGGGCGAGGTATGGAAGCATCGGGTGACATGCATCGCCTCTAACCCGCATGAAGCCAGTCATGTCAGCAGAAGCTACGAAGAGAACTTTAACGTATTGTGGTTGCGACTTACGCCATCAAGAAAGTTCCCTCGTTGTTGACCCAGGTGTCTAAAGGGGAGACTGGACAGCGAAGTGAGGTTAGACGCTGTTTCCACCGACGGTCGGATAATCAGGGGCAAGGGTAATCATACTATGCATCAGTCGCCACTTATCTACCTGATTCACGCACGCTAACAACTTGTTCAATCTGACGTTATAAATCGAGCATTAGCACAGCAGATACAAGATCGGAGTCAATAGGTTTCACTCACGTCGGATCCCACGTCTCGAAGAGCTTCCGCATCTCGTCAACATTTGCAGCTGCTCGGCTAACATGCTCTGGCAAGTCGTCGGGACGCATAAGAACGAGATTATACATGCGACCTTGGCGGAGTGAATAGCCCACGACATGAGAGTCCGGACCTATCCAGAAGTTGACGGAGGGGTTAGACACCAATTCGCGCAATTCGGGATCTCCAATATCCTCCAAGTTGAGGATAATACGATATGCGAGATCCCCGGTCGGCTTCGGCGTCAACTGTTGCTGCAGCAAAAAACTCCTCGTGGTCGACCACAACCCGTCAGCACCAAGTATCAGATCGCCTTTTACGATGCGACCATTTTTCGTGGTTACTGTGGCGTCTTTGAAGTCAACATGCTGGACATCGGCGTCCAAGACGATGTCGACACCAAGAGATTTTGCCCGATTCACCAGGGCCTCTTGTAGATCGGCACGATGAACATCCCAAAATGGCGCACCATACTTCTGGGAGATCTTCTTCTGGAAATCCTCTTCATAGGCTAGTAGACGCGTACCATCATACCGTCGGACAGCCAAGTAAGCGGGACTGGCCGCTTTAGGGCTTAGCTCGTCATAAACGCCCCAGTGATGGAATAGACGCGATGAGTTGGGAGTGACCTGTAATCCCGCACCAACCTCCTCTAACTTGGCAGCTTTCTCCAGCACGGTGACGCGGTGACCTTCTAATCGGGTGCTGATAGCTGCGGCTAGCCCGGCTAGCCCAGCTCCAACGACTATCAAGTGTAGCTGGAAGTTGGCAGGCTGAGTGCCCTCCTGGGTCTCGTTGATGGCCATTGCAGAGAATTGTGGATGGACAGGAGTAGAGGCGTTCCTATTATTAACCTGAATCGCTCGTATGTATGTCTATATTGGGTAGATATCTGAGTAGATGAGTAGGTGAGTAGGTATTAAGTTTAGTTTAAGACAGTGGGATGTGCCTTTTTGTTCTTAGCATTGACTGTTGCACGAGACTTATTTAGTCTTTGTGAGGGGCACGTGGCATGCGGCATCATCGGGAGGAGAATATATCAAGGGATACCCAAACCACAAATTGCGCCTCGGTAAGCATTGTACATATAACGATATACCATTGTCCGAGTAATAGGGGTATTGGGTACTGTATAGCGGGTAGGTACCTTTATATGTATAAAGTCGACTAGGACATTATTCTTGAACGTCATCCATCTACCTACCTAGGTACTTTTAAAAGGAGGTTTACTCAATTGAGGTTGTTGATGTGAAGGTTTCTATACAAGACATACCCCTAGGTATAGTACCATAGGTAGGTACAGTACCCCTCATAGTGGATATATCGGATATAGCAACCTTTCATCTTAGGTTGTGTAACATCTGCCTTCGGTAGAAATTAACCAATCAAGAGCTTCCGGAGAGATTCAATGCGGATGACACGCGCGACTAACATACTTACGTGCCTCATATTGTCATCGTTAAAAGCCGAGTAGCATCTTTCACGGGACTCTTGATTCTCCTGGGGAAAAAGGTAAAGCCACCAAATATTCCCAATGAATCTCCCGGTAGCCATACACTCCCCTATTTTCCCTAGTCTCTCCTGGAAATGATCCCACGTGAACCCCTATATTGGCTGTCTGTTTAGGAATGTCATATCAGAGATATCAGAGTACGTATCATCAATACGTTGGCTAGAGCCGTGTGGCGTCTTACATTTTGGATCTATGGCATATTGAGGTGGGCATATTCGTCTGAGACATTAAAGATTCATGACGTCTTGGTCACCGGAACATTCCAAACACTTACTAGACGATATAACGGTTGTGGGGGTGACAATTGAGCATCGTCAAGCCCACGATGTAGATAATCCGTGGAATAACCTCATCAACTGGGTAAGTTAATATTTGGAATCCCAACTCCAAAAATCGAAGAAGGGCAATCAAGCAATATGATTAATGAATAGATACTTAGTATGAGAACTTCTTTAAGAATCCTTTCCTGTTCGGTAATGACCACCTGCAATTCGACATATCCCCTTTAAAGGAGGTTAAGCCCAATGTTTCTAGCCTTTTGAGTCAGATCTAGGGTCTCTACTCCGGAAACGGGGTTCTAGAAGCCCAATCTTCTCATGATACCCATATACTAGGAGCAGAATAATTTGTGGATGGCTTCATCCCTGACATTTAACATCTGGTCTGATACACCAGGATAGTGTTGATAGACTCTCCCGCACCACTCAACCGCGAGTCGCTCTCATCGCATATCATCGACGTGGTAGTAGGGGAGGGTCATGCCACCGACGAGCGAGGCGTGGAAAGCAACGAATAAACTCGTTCATCGCAGCTTCAATTCATGTGCGAATATCCTTGGAAGTTTTCAAGCCTGCGCCACGCGTATCTCCCTCTTCGACCTCGGGAGGTGTGGCATGATCCGTCAAGCCCCGGTGCCGTAGTGGAGAAAGATTGGCCTCAGAACCGCCGTAGCCCCTCGCCGCGCTATATTACGGAAGAGGAAGCAGTAGCAAGATTTGAAGCTCCCCTGGGTTAGATATCTTGGGGAAGCACCTCGACGCCTTTTATTTTGTCGACAATAGAGAGATTTTGACTGCAATCCGCGTTGATTGTGCGGAACTCCAGGTTACACACTTCCACGATTGATGCCGTTGGGGGTTGAGGAACGTCACTGATGCTGTGCGACAAAAAAATCAGGGATACTTATTTTGACTAGAATACCCGCCTAAGTACCTAGGTCTGGGCTATTTTCGAAATAAAGGGGTAAAGTTTATGAGGACGTATACGTAGTAGGTAGGTACTCTAAAATCCGAACGACTTACCTCGTAGCATTTTCGCCTAGGAAATTCCACATGAGAAATTTCCTTTGGTGTGAAATACATTGGCCTCGTGACACTGAGACATAAATATAGGTATATAATACAATTATAATCCTTCGGGATAGGTGATGTTAGTAAGGTACTTACACCACGCGTTCAAAAAGCTCAACATTATGCGGTTGGGGGCGGGCGCGCGGGGTACCGGATAACACAGCATATCCCATAGGGATTGTGTGGGATGTAAATCGGACTTACAAGGCGCTATGGAATCTTACGGGTGAGACCACAAATATCCCCCTATACCTAAGCTCCCCAAAGGACTGAATTCGTCCGCACGTCGATATAGTATAAGATTGCGAGGGTTCTGGTTGGTCAATGTTAACTTCGCCTTACCTCCGTACCTTTTCAGAGAGAACACAAAGTCACATATTATGGTGACTATACGTCTGATGCGGCTCTAAGAGCAGTCCCATATTAGCGTGGCTTTCCGATGGCAAGTAAAACTATCCGAAGCAATCTAAAAAGAATGGTATAAATACTATACTGGCGTGGATGTTACTTTTCCACATATTGACTCCTCTCCCACCATCTAGACTCTACTTTTACACCCCGAGACTCAAGATATTACATCAGAAGTCCCATTATACTCAGTAGAGAAGAGCACACGGCACTATGCATTTCTGGGAGTACCTCACCTTTTTGTGGCATCAACTAACCTTCAAGGCACAACCGCTCCCTGACTCAATCCGACTCGATGGACAAACTGCCATCGTGACAGGCTCGAATGTTGGCCTCGGGTACGAGGCAGCCAAGGAACTAGCATCACACGGGCTATCTTGCCTTATATTGGGTGTACGAGACCAGGCTAAGGGCAACGCAGCTAAAGAAGAGATTGCTGAAGTCTCGCCCGGTTGTAACATTCAGGTGTGGCTGCTGGACCATAACTCATGGGCGAGCATGGTGGCATTTGCGGAGCGCGCGCATACCGAACTTGACCGTCTTGACATCGTGTTACTAAACGCGGGACTGAAGCGACTCGAATACAGCCAGTCGCCAACAGGTCATGAGGCGCATGTTCAGACAAACTACCTCGGCATGGCGCTGCTCTCCATGCTACTCGTAGAGCCGCTCCGGCGGACTGCGCAACTGACTGGGAAGCCTAGTCGAATGACCATCACGGCCTCGAGTGTGGCTTTCTGGGCGCCTACAAGATACGTCGAGAAACCACAAGGCGGGAAGGGTATCATTGCTTGGCTCGATAATCCGGCTTCATTCGTTCCTGGCACAAATCACTATATGCTTTCCAAGCTACTCGATCTGTTATGGACCCGCGCCCTCGCGAACCGCCTCAATCCTTCCGACATTATCGTGAACATTCCAAACCCCGGCTACTGCCAAAGTTCGTTTCACCGCGTGGATGAAGGTGCTCAGAATTTCTCCAAGTACATAGCCTTCAGTACTATTCAAGGCGCGTACCATTTGACAGATGCGGCAGTGCAGCATCCAGATAGCCACGGAGCATATTTGAGTGAGCAGAGAATTAGACTGTATGTTGAATCTTTCGCTACACTGCCACCTATGCTGCCCCAGCTAACGCAGGCCAATGTTAGAGTATCCAAGTTTGTGTCTTCAACTGAAGGCAACACAGTGCAACATAAATTATGGAATGAGACGATAGCGTTGTTGGTAAAAGAGTGCCCGCAAGCTAAAATCGAGGAATTTATTTGAGACGAATTATAAGTCTAATAGATGTTGGGAAGAAACATATTACCTACTATTACCAACTAGGGTATTTGCGACAATGGGCTTGAGCCATCTAGTGTGTAGCCTGAAAGCTGAAGTTCAAATTTTCAATATCTCATGAGCAGAGCAAAGTGCGAGGAGGGTATATCTTCGGACGAGAAAATCAACATGATTTGCTGTTTGCATCGAAGCACACACTCATGTGATGATAAAAGAATAAGGAAAAACAAAGAAATGGTACTCATGCAAACCAAAACGATTATAATAGACTCGGCGAGTCCGTGATGGTGATGAACAGCTTCCAAAGCATTGGACATAGCCCTGGAGTGCTGGCTATTCTAGAGTGGAAGTGTCCGAAGTGAAAGCAGAATGCTTAACCTCCTCAGCCCCTTCGTATTGAGGTTCCACAGAGGAAAAGCATTCTCGTGACCATAAACGCGCCAAGCTGCGAAACAACTGGAATACTCCGTGACTGCACCCGAATCAAATGCGGGGGGGATTTCTAACCTACCGAGATCTCATTACAAGATGAATAGCTTGAGGGGGTAGAGGTTTGAATTGAATTGAGGAAGGCCCTCGGTGGTAAAGGGGTGGTTGATCAACATGACACTGCTTTTCGGAGAGCAAGTGAGCAAAGGGGATTTACGACCTAAGAGCAGTTTCGATTGTCCCTAATAAGCATTTGGCGTCGATCCAAGCGAAATGACGAGGGTAGGCAAGATAATGCCCAGTCAGAACGATGAGTCGGAAGATAAAAGGTAGTCAGGGCGATTGAATTGAGAAGTAATCCGAACCGATCAGTCAATCAACATTGAATGAAGCCCTCTGTTCTCTGATTCCTTGACAGTGCCCGCATACATTGCGCTAACCGTACCTAGTAGGCAGAGCTCCAGGCGCGTGGTAGTGGTCATGCGCCAGTGAAATAGACAAACGTGGTTGGGGTTGAGTTGGGAAGACCGGTGGAAGACCGGTGGAAGACCCGTGCGAAAAGAACCATTGAATTTTAACTTGATTGAGCAAAAGAGTGGGTGGTATTCAGGTTGGGATAAGAAATGGAGGAAATAGATCATTCAAGGCGAAAAAGGATACAAATAGAACTTATATAACTTATACGACTCGTTAGTTGAAGAGGCAGAGAATACAGAAATGTAGGTGATAGATAGACGATACTAATAAATGTCTAGGTTAGTTAGATGGATGGAGTAGTAGATGGAGGGCAATTTCGTTGAAATTAGAAGCGAAAAATATAATGGAGAGATGGAGAGAAGGTGAAGGCAAAAAAGGGACATCCCTCTAGCTAGTACCTATAGATGTATGTAGCTGGAGGTATGTAGTAGCGATCACGGGGCCACGGGCGTTATGGATGTATTGTATGGTTAGTACCTGTATGTACCTACATAACTATCTATGTGCTATCAAACTTGATGCGCCCCTGCCCCCCCCCCCCCCCCCCCCCCCCTCCGACCAATTCTAGACCTGATTAGCCGGCCTTGTTTATGCGATATGTTGTCACTCTGGGTATAATTACTATTATTACTTGTTTGAGGTATTATTCGGTTAGGCTAGGTTAGGTGATAAGTACATGAATGAATGAATGATAGTAGTAAATGATAAGTAGATACAAGTAACAAGTGCACATGTCTGGCGGTATTAAATGTTAAATGTTAAATGTTAAATGTTAAATGTTAAATGTTCAGTTGAAGAAAGATGGGAGGGGGAAGAGCGAGGAGGGACGAAGGACGAAGGACAAGGGACGAGGGATCGAATCAATTCGTGGTAAGGAAACAACAACATTGAACACACCTCAATGCCCAGGTGCTCATGTTAAGCAAGTACCTACCACCTGCCTACCTGCCTACCTACCCTAATCTCCATCCTCGATCCCCTAATCACTTTTGCTGCCCTCTGCACTTTTCGTGCCCTCTTAATAGTCTTGTCGCCCTCTTCCCCTTCATTTTCTCTTCTTTTTTTTCCCACAATCTTTTCTCTCTCTCTATCTCTCTCTATCTGTCTCTCTCCTCTTCACATCCTTTTTAAAATCTCTCCCAAACTAAAGCTCCGCAACGTAGTTCTTTAGAGCAATAACAATTTCCCAATCCATTGTCCCAAACTTCCTACGTCGCGTCTACCTGCGCCACGCACCCAAATTCTGTAAGCTGCCCAACCCAAATCTTCTCCCCATACCTACCACATTTCTCGGTCGCATACCGTTTCGCATCCGCATTTTCTGTCGCTCTACACTTTTCGTTATTTTAAATATCACAATACGTCCTATTCTAACATTTGATATAGATATCATCACGCTTTTGTTATTACATTAAAAGCCAAGATGCCTCGTGAAGGAACGCGATCTGCCACTGGCAACTCTAAGCCGCGTGTCTTTGAGACCATTGACACTGCGCCGGCTATCAAGCGCACCACCAAGCCCAAGGCTAAGAAGCCGGCAGCCACCGCTGTTGCAAAGCCAGCACCTAAGGTGAAGGCAGCCAAACCTACTGGTGTCACTAAGAAGAAAGCTGCCGCCCCGAAGAAGGAGGGCGTCGCAACTAAGGTACGCCCATCTGTTATCTTTACCACTAGTATCTTCACCACTACCGCCACTACCACCTCTACCCCCTGCATGAAGAAGCAAGCCTCTTGTGTTTCAGAGTATGGCGATGAACCGAGATCTCTATTTATCCTGCCACTATTCATGTCTCCGTACTCGGTAGTGTTGATCACGCGCGTATCAGCACCAAATGTATGACAATATCAATTCTAACCTAGATTATAGGTCAAGGCTGCTGCCAAGAAGGCCGAAGACAAAGTCGAGAAGGCAGTAGAGAAGGCCGAAGAAAAGCCCAAGAAGGTGATTTCTTACTATAGTAATATGTTTACGAATAGCTTCACTAACATATTTTGTAGGCTGCCGCCAAGCCCAAGAGTGCTACAAAATAAAAAGTGTGATGCCACTCACCGCAATTTGACTCCAATGGCAATGCCTTAAGATCAAATACAATTGCTGGCTTGAGCAACGTGGATCCACAATATTCTACCGCCTTGGGGCTTGCATTTGATGAGCTGAGGCTCTTCAATAGAAGAACCCAGAGCCATCCATTAGATACCCTAGCACCTTACTTCGACCTAAATCTTTCCTCGCACAGTCAGAATCAAGCGTACCTACCACCCATTTCGCCTCCCTATTTTCACAGTCCACCGTTCATACGTTGTCAAAGGCGTCTACCTCCTTCAGCCTTTGGACTTTTTTCCTTTTCTTGTCCCAAGTGATGAATCTAATCCAATGAATATCCCCCCCCTTTCCTCGGGCATAGCCTTAGGGTACCAGCACATTCGGCCTTCGTGATGGAGCTATAGCTGGGGGATTGGTGTAATGACAAGAGGCTGGCACGAATGTTGGGGGTCGATATCCAAGATGCTAGCAGACGGGAGCGCAGGCACACCTTTCAGCACACATCAAGGCTGACAGGTGGCCCAGCTCCAGGACAATATTGTTGGGGTGCTATAGAGCATAGGATGAGACAAGGCCGCGGCGGGTTTATGTGACTTAGGTAGCTACAAGTCCCTTGCGGGATCCAATAGGGCTCGCCAGATGGTGGCAACCCACCAATAGAAACCAAATTTCTAAAAATATTGTGATCATGTTGACTCGGAATGAATCAGTCTCCTAAGCGAAGTGAGTACCTACATATGTAGTATCTCTGGTATCTAACATTGAATGCTTAAGTGTCACGTGTATGCCTCGTTTATAGAGGTTCGCTGAAAACCTTAATGAGTTGTAAGCCCCTGAATTTTTTGGCAGCCACCTACTCTAGATCGGTATTCGAGTTTAAATCACGGCATTGGTATGAGCATTTACTTTATGGCTATATCCCTACAACGAGGGGGAAACAATAGAACACAGGACTATTTTTGATATAATGGATACTGTAAGTGTTTGTCTACCTATGTAGGTAGGTATTTATCTATCCAAAATTCTGCATCTGTCATCCGCGTGCGCTGAAGTAATTCATTCCCATGCGTGTATGGATGCGCGTTTCCTCGTCGTCTATACCTAGAGATGAGGGTTCACACAATTAATCGTACACATTAACTCAGGTGTTCATAGGTACCTAGATATCATAGGACCTAAATCCTACGTTGTCGCGCTTTTGGACCCGTATAAGTCCTAATAGCATGTAGGTATCGCGACCATCGCGAACACGCCTAGTTAGCGTGTTCAAACGTTAATACCCAAGTGTTCTCGAGCCAACTGAACAACAGCCTAACGGTACCCCGAAGATTAGGTACACCTAGGTAATCCGCTACGATTTAACCATCCCCACTGAAATTTGATATTGACGTACGACAAAAGAGTTGGCGGTGAGTTCAAAGGGTCTAGCGAAGCATTTGCCAATAGTGGACTTTTTTTCCTTCGGTACCCAAAATTTCACTTAGATGGGTTAGAAGACTTCGAATAGGCGTCAAGCTTCTGTTTACGCGCTTTCTCGGCCGCTGCTCGAGCCGCGTCTCTCACTTCCCAGTATACATCGGGGTCCCACTTCTCACCAGCGCGTTGCGCCTCCCCTGCTTCTGTGGGGAAGTGGAATGTTTGGCCACCGGGAATTTTGATATTTCGCCAGTTCTTGTCTCCCTCACGCTTATCTACGAAAAAACAAAGTAAGTAAATCTCATCATTAAGTGACATCGGATATGGAGAGAGGGGTTGTAGAACTTACCAGGATTTATGACCTGAAATTCTCTCACGCCACAAAACATAGCATTCCGCCCTTCCCGCTGTACTAGCTCCCAATGGCCAGCATCACCCGCGCCCACCCATACTTCCTCTGTAAAGTTATCGCCCTCTTGAACCGTGCGGTGTGGGTTGTTCGTTGGTCGCGACACGAAGAATGAACCGATAGTATGCGGAATGCTCAATAAACGCTCCCATTTCTGAACCCATCGAACCCAATAAAGGGTGCTTTCCTCGTACGCAACTCGTATATAAGGATTCAAATATATTCCCAATTCTTGCTCCTGGGCCTTTCTCGCCACTGTAGCAACATCGGCGACGAACAAACAGCACTCACAAGCGTCGTAGAAGACCTCTGGCTCGTGACGGAATCGAACTGGAGCAGTCACCTGATGTGGACTATCAGGATTAATGTCGTGGCTACCAATATCCTGAAAATGAGGATCCGGCAAGGATTCATTCATATTCTGTACATATTTCGCCTGCATTGCTACCATGCCGCTCCAGCAAGCCTGTACGGGGACGGCATCTTTCTGGGCGATCATCGCAGCTCTCGAGACACCTCTCCCGACATTGGAAAACACGGGGAAAATGGGCAACCCAGTAGAGAACCCGTCGAAATCACGGGTAACGTAGAGATCGTAGAATTTGAACGGCGTGTACCAGTCAGAGGCGCAAGCTGTTAGATAATGCGTCTGACCATCTGATTGGAGATTGGTACTGAATAGTAGTTGTGCTGCTTCCATCGGCAGAAAGGAAATGTCGTTCAAAAACAAGACCTTATCGTACTGGATCGTGCCATTATTATTATTCGGATCAAAGAGGTCCAGTGGTCGTAAAGCCCGGTTTCGCATTTCGGCGAGGTAAGCTATACGCTTCACTCGCTTCGTATCGTCAGGCAGGGTAACGGTTGGGAAGTCGGACAATGGCACATGGGGGTCGTTTATGATCGTGTACCGACATCTGAGCTGTCGTTTCAAGTTTTCGAGAGCCGCGGCGCCTTCAGGGCCGCTGTCGTTTTCGTAGATGCTTAGGAAGACATTGTTATCCCCGAGCAAGTGAATTACTTCCAGCAAACGCTCGCCCCAGAGCCCATTAACTAAATGACCATCCTTATCATACAAGGAGGCGGCAATGAAGATTTGTTCGTTGTTGAGGTTGGCGCACCCAGGTTGCCGAAAGGGTCCGCGGCACCTAGCCTCTAACTCTCGGTAGTGCTGAGGGGGCCGAGTGTAAGATGGAGCAACGATCGGTGTTCCAATGAGCAGTATACATATAAACAAGATTATGTATTTGAGAAAGGCGGTTATAAACCCAACCGGGTTCCTTCGTAGTTTCCGTCGCAAAGTCCTCGGCCGAGTCAGAAACCACGAAAGTAGCCGTTTATCCCATTTCTGACGCGCACGTGTATCTTCCTTCAACAAACCGCCTGCGACATTGCCCTCGTGATCTCCGAGGAGAGCAGCAGAGGCAGACCGAGAGCCCTGTGCTTCATCATCGTTTAAGATGCCCATCCATTTCTCTGATGAGGTTTCGTTATGCATTGAGGGGATGTAGCATCAATGCGAACCTATATATGCGGTCGGTCGAATTATATCACACGAAGCACAGCTAGGATTTTGTGTAGTATATACCTACGGCAGGTAACTTCCAAGGTAATTATCTCTTGGCTGAAGCGATGCGGACTAGGAATGACAAGCCAAAAGAACCGCGTATATGATTAGGTTACGGGGGAATTCGTCAAACATTGAAGATAACGACCACGCATTAAGATTTTTTATACAAATATCGGCCGAGGATATGGTAGAAACTACAACTGCAACGCTGGCCTAAAAAGAAGGCTTGAATCGATTAATGTCGGTGCGGGATGAAGTATACGTAATCGGGCAGGGTTGGTTTAATGAGTGATGAATTGGAATAAGCTAATTGTTCGACTAAGCCTATGGTTGGTTAACTATCGTGGGAATTGGGATTGTTGTTTTGTTTTAGTTGAAAAAGTAATAATTTGGAAAGCTTCAACGCCCCAATGCGGAATTGTTGCGCTGAAATAAGCTAAAAGGGCGGTGCAGCCTTAAACTTACGTGACGAGAATGTAATTACAAGGGTACTAGGTTAGGACCGTTAGGTACATAGGTAGTAGGTACTCGTAACCCGGAGGTCCTCCAATTAAAACGGAGAAGAGCTAGAAGATTATGGACCAAAAGGCAAGAACTAAAAGTATGAGACGTGAAGAGCTAAGATGAAGGGAGGAGTAGGGGAGGAGAGGGAGTTGGGAATTCCTCTCTATTTAGGAAAAACAATTAAATGCTGAAGAAAGTCCTATGTAAGCATTGCAGCATTGCAGTTACTATTTTTGATATAGCTACGTCACAGCAGGGTCACCTGACTTGATTAGTCACATGTCTCTTTGTGAAAGACGATATCATTTGCTTACTTCTAAATAGAACATGACAAGGAAGCTAATGTGGGAGAGACAACTGTATAGGAAGCGATTACCGTGGTCTAAACGGGTAAAATATACGATACACACATGTAGTTACATATGTACGGAGTACGTGGTGAACTAACATTATGTAGATTACCCCAGATCGGGTCGCGTCTTACTAACTCCGCCTTCACTAAAATCCGTTGTTGCCGAGCCATGCGACTTACTGGGATGATTTCTAATGGAAATCTGCCGATAGCATGGCGGCCGAATTTCCTAGCCTTATGCATGAGAAGGATCTATCCGTGATAGACGCTTAGTCTTCTATATCGGACTCGGGATAATGCAGTATTAGCTGTGAATAAGCGACTAATGCCGCGAGAACGGAATTAGTAGATGTGAGGTTATTCGCCTGGGCATAGTATATGTAAGTTAGTCTTCCCCTTCTTCCAACACTATTAAGAGCATCATGGATAATACATTTTAAATATAGGGGTCTATAACTTCGAGGTGTTACTATCAATATAACTTGGAAGGAACCTTGTACTCGGTCTCGTTTTTCATATCACCCCCTTAACTGTCTGACATGCCTCCCATTACTGGGCAAAACGTGCTCGTCATCGGCGGCTCGGCCGGGATCGGTCTTGCCGTTGCCAAGATTGCCAGCGCCGAGGGTGCGAACGTTTCCATTGCCTCATCGAACTTGAGCCGCGTCCAAAGCGCCGTTTTGCAAATCCGAGAGGCCGTACCTGGAGCTCGGGTTATGGGCTACGTCTGCGACGTCAACCACGACGACGCTGAATCCAGCCTTGAAAAGCTGTTTGCGGACGTCAACGCCGCCGCTGGGGGTCAGCTGCTCGACCACATCGTCTTCACATCGGGCGTGCTCGAGATCTATCCGCTGAATGAGATGTCGATGCGCACCCTGCGGGACTGCACGCAGTTCAAGTTCGTGGTGCCGCTGCTCATCGGGAAGCTGGCTCCTCGCTACCTGAAGCCGAGCTACAAATCTTCGCTGACATTCACGACCGGCGTGCTCGCTGAAAAGCCCTTCAAGGGCACAGTCGTAGTCAGCAGTGTAAGCTCAGCCATGTCCGGGATTACCAAAGGTCTGGCTGTGGAGCTTGCGCCTATCCGTGTTAACGCGGTGAGCCCTGGTGCGACGGATACTGATATGCTAAGGGCTATCCCGTCAATGGAAGAACGTATCCCGGCCATATTGGAGAGGGCACTTCTTGGAAAAGTCGGCACTGCTGAGGAGGTGGCCGAGGCATATATCTATTTGATGAAGGATAGTAACAGCACCGGCAGTTGCGTGAAAAGTAATGGCGGTGGTCTTCTTATTTGAGAAATACCTAAATGTGATCTAGCAATACTCGTTTTCTTAGTACCTATTAAGTGGTTATTTGTGGGCATTATCAGATTGTTAACCGATGATCGAATGCTATATTTCTACCTAGGCATTAACATCTATTCCAATCCTTACGAGGATGGCCCGATTGATGGTTATACGCCTCCTAGGATAAAAAAAGGAATCCAAATGATCAAAACGCCTCTTCTTGAAGTTCAATGTTGTTGGGATAAAAAGTACAAAGGTTAGGTTGGTTAATGAAGCAACTTCAAGTTGGTACCCCACCTTCGCGTGACGAATCATCGAGACTTTGGATGATATTCGGCTCGGGAATACACATACTAATATAGGTAGCTTTAGCTGACCAGAAATCATCAAGCAGCTAGCAAGGCATTGTGGCGGAGTGGTCTAACGCGCAAGACTAGAAATCTTGTTCCTTCGGGAGCGTCCGTTCGAATCGGGCCAATGTCGCGTACTAAAATCCGTTTGAATTATCTTTTTTGTTCCCCTTTCCTTCTTCTTACCCTTTACATTCTTTTTGAAATTTGTATGCAGTAATTTGTTTTTCATTTCTTTTCACGTTGTAGAGTTAAAATGATTTCTGTCGTAATATAGGTACTGTACATACCTATTTACAAGTACATCGTGCCTCGCATCGGAGCAGTCTCCAGAACACGAAGGCATGGACAAAGGAGATAGATGTGCATAAATTTCATACCATAGACGTACGTATAAGGTGGCCACTTGCTAATGATACCGCAACAATGCCAACGCCTCAAATTTTCCCACTGACCTAACCTAATCCTTCTTCGAGCTACGGCTAAAAAAGGAACACCCCATGCCCAGCAAATTAACACGAAATTTGGATTCGTCCGCCATTATGATACATTTATGAAGAGAAAGCAATAGTAGCTATTGTCTAAGTATGGAGACTTGCTGGTTACGACTGGATAGTAACCCCCATGTCCTTCATCGCCTATAGGGACCTCGCGGATACTAATGCGGAGGACCACCTCGCGGTCTCTTTGAACCACCACCCATGTCCGAGTCACTTCGAGTACGTTTATTTCCAGACTGGAAGTTTTCAGCTGTCGGGTTAAGACTAGCACGACCCTGTGCACTGCCGCGGCCTCCGCGGTTAGCTTGGCCTCCGCGACCGCCGCCACGAGTCTGATTAGGACCACCCGGCTTCCGAATGCCCGTTGCTGGCATTGGCAGACCAGTGACCTTTGCCGGAAGTTGTGATGCTCCTGTTGGTCCCGACGGGGGTGCCGGCAAATTTGTAGGCTGTCCAAACGGATTGGTTGGACCTGTCGGTGCCAAGTGCGAATGCTCTTGCTTGATGTTTGCGAATGGATTATTTTGTACCGGGACGTTATTGGATATTGCTCCAGGTTTAGGAATGCCACTCGTCGGAATCGCTTTTGCATTTTGAAAATTCGTACTGGCGTTAGCAATCGCAGGCTGGGAGCTGGGGGCTAAGAGACTATTAGTAAAACACTCAGTTGGCATAGTTATAGCGAGAATGAACTTACTCGCCGAGGCATCTGCTACCGCTGGTGCCGCCACCGGTGCTGGAATCGCTGCTGCCGGTGCTGGAGTCGCTGCTGCTGGTGCTGTTGCTACTGTTGATTCGGTGGTAGTTGGCTTAGGAGCTGGCGGTGGTGGTTTTGCATCCTTTGCAATCTCCCAGACCTCGCCTACGGGCCGCTGTGGCGTTTGGTTTGCAGCCGTCTCTACCACAGTTAATTTGGCAACAGCAGCCTGGACTCTCTTCTCGGTCATGTTAAGCTTAAGGTTACTCTTTGAGGTGGCGAGCTGCATGGCTTGTTCTCGAGCCTGGGTAACCTTCTGTTCCCACTCCGTTTTTATAGCTTCTTGTTCCTCTCGTACCTTTTTGGTTTCCACCGCAAGCTTATTCTTAATGTTATTCTGAATGATGCTCTTGATGGTAGGATTAGTGGAAACGAGATCCCTGATTTCCTTGTCGTTTAGTCCACTGAGATCCGTTGAAGGTGTTCCTGCTGGCGTTTCAGTGGGATGTGGCCGAGAGGGGGTCGCCGGTGGTTTCGTGTCGCTAGGATCATTGGCATGCTCTGCTTCCCAAATCTTTCGCTCTTGCTCCATACGCAGCTTAAAATCGGACTGGAGTTTCTCGATATCTTGTTTGGCTTGGGCTTTCTCCGTCTCCATCTGGGCTTTATAATCTGTGAGGCGTTTATTCAATGATTCCTTCATCTTATCACTCCTCATCTTCACAATCTGCTCCTGTTTTTCCTCCAATTCTGCGGCCTTGGCTTCCCATTTAGCAGCATTAGCTATCGCCTCAGCTATTTTCTCTTCTAGAGCTTTCCGCTCGTCATCAGATAGCGGCGTTGCTAATGGCCTCTCATCCGCAGCAGCGGTCCCATTCTCCATTGTCGTGTCACCATTAGTCGTTCGGGTTTGCGCATTAGCGATAGCCTGATCTCGTTCCGCGATTGCTGAATTTAGCTGATCACGGGTACTTTGCAATTCCCCATCAACAATGGCTTTCTGCGATGAAATATTATTCAACTCAGCGCGAACCTCGGCCAGTTGCGCCTGAAGAGCGACCAGTGCCTCATTGCTGGACGAGTCTGTTGTGATAGAGTTGCTAGAGTTCTTTCGTGCCTCTGTTTGTAGTGCTTCAACTTGTCGTCTGAAGTTGTTAATTTGTTCTTCCAAAGCAAGCCTTGATTTTTTGGAGGCCTCAAGCTCCCCTTGGGTCGTTGAGAGCTGACCCGAGACTTCGCCTAGCTTGGCCTGAAGCTGGTCCCTTTCGACGACAACCTCGTTTTTCGCATTGGTGAGATTGCGAGATCGCTCCTTGGCCGAATTTATGAGCTTCTCTCGTGTCGTTGACCAACCTGTCTCCTTATCTGCAATGATCTTCTCAAGCTCCTGTATCTTCTGCTTGAGAGGCGCTTCGGCTTCCTGCAATGCAGTTCGTTCCGATTCAAGCGTTGCTACTGTCTGCTTGAGCTCCTCAACTTCTGCTGGATCCGTTCTGCCATGCTTTGAAAGAATATCTTCTGTGCGCTTTTGCCAGCGGTCGCGATCCTCATGCAGTTGTTTCATCTCGGCTTCCTTGAATGACTGTTGGCTTTGAAGTTCCTCAACCTGAGCCTCAAGCGGTTGGATAGTCGCCTCTAGCTCCGAGATTCTAGTAATTTTCTCAGCTAGCTGGGCCTGTGCTTGACGTGCCTCTGCCCGCAAAGCGGCGCTGCTTTCGCGGAAGAGATTCAGTTCTTCCAACTTGCTCATAAGGTCTTTATGGGCAATGGAGCTTCGGTCACCATCGCTTTGTGAACGACGCTCCTGCTCCAGCTTCAACCTAGCTTCGTCCAGTTGAGATTGCATATACTCTAGCTGCTGTTGAAGCCTCTTGGCCTCTTGTACCTTGAGGTCATATTGCACCTCTAAAATATCTTTCTCGCGACGAAGATAGTTGCTCAGTTCCCGGAACTTGTCAGTATCTGAACTGCTGGGCTGTGATGCGATGGCATCAAGGGATTCACCACTTGCGCTTCGACTTTGCTGTAGGGCCGCAACTTGCGTGGTTACATCTTCTAGTTGTTGATGCAGAAGCTTGTTCTGCGCATTAGCGTCGTCTCTGCGAGCACGGAGCTCCGAAATTTCTCGTTCGAATCGCTGGCGCCGCTCATCCCAGGATGCTTCGCTCTGCACCAGTGTAGCCTTTGCTGATTCGGCTTCTGCTTTCCAGGTTGCCACAGAAGTCTTAACCTGGTTATACTCGCCGCGTAGATTGGATAGCGACTTTGCAGTTTCTCCGTGTTTCATTACTTCGCTTTCGTATGCTTGCTGGGCGTGGGCTGCAATTTCGGCCTGGGCGCGAAGATCTTGTTGGTGAAATTGCGAGGATGCAGTATATCTTTCTTCCTCGTCTCTTAGGCGCTTGATCTCTTCATCTAGAAGAGCCTTCTCATCCTCAAATCGCTTGGCAATCTCTGCTTGGGAGTCACGTAGAGTCGACAATTCGCTGTTAGATCTTGCCAGTTCTATGGACAAATCCTCCACTCGCTGCTCGAGTTCTTTGATTGTTGCATCCTTGGCCGAAATCGCTGCATCCATTTCTACCTGATATTGCTCTTGCGCAGAGTTCATCCGCTCCAGTTCCTCCTCTGAGGATTGACTCATTTCCTTGTACCTTTCACTTTGTGCCTGGGCATTCTCTAAGTGTGACTTGGTCATCTCAAGATCACGCTTGAGATCCGTGACTTCATGAATCAAATCCTGTATGCGCTCATCGGTATCAGCCTGCGTGGTATCTTGTTCCAATGTAGCGACCATAGACCCTGGCCTTGGAGTAGGTCTTGGCTGAAGCCTCTCCGCGCGTTCCTCTACACTCCGAAGTTGGATGGTGAGCTCATCAACTCTACTCTGGAGATGATCACGTCCGGTCTTTGTAGCAACCAGTTCTTCTCGTATCTGACTGAGATTTGAGGTGAGCTCGTCGATTCGCTTTTGGAACTGCTGAGCATCGAATTCCTTCCGAAGCTGAGCCTTCTTCCCCTCTTCAACCTCGTCGGTTAATTTTCGTTTGGTGGCGTTCAACTCGGTTTGAAGGGAATCAATTTGAGATTGAAGCCGTCGTTTCGTTTCAGAATCGCTCAACTCGCGTTCATTCTGGAGGGTTTGTTGTGTAGCTAGAAGTCCATTGAGACGCGATTTCTCCTGCATCAGACTCTCGTTATCCTGGCTTAATCGATCTTGGATCTCCTTCCATAATTTCTTCTCGGCTTTGAGATTCGCGTTTTCGCTGCGCATACTCTCAAGCAATCCCCTCGCCTCAACAAGATCTTCAGCCACCTGCTGTGTGCGAATGTCTTGCTTGGCACCCGATTCGGACATCGCCTGGTTTCGGTTTTGCAGCTCCCTATTCTCATTTTGCACGGCCGTGAAATTGGAGTGGAGAATTTCGTATCGCTCCGACGCAAGGGTGAGCTGACTCTGCACCCTGGAGACTTCCGCTTGGAGGGAATTCCTGTCTGCAGCTAATCTCTCTAGTTGCTCCTTCATTGTCTTCCTATCGGTAGTCTGCTCGTTTCGGTAGGTGTCGAAGTTTTGCTGCAAATCTCGAAGTAAAGTGGTGTAATCAGACCCATCATCGATTGCGGTGGTGTTCTGCTCGATGCTAGCAAAAACGTTCTCTTGTGTCGAGCGACCTAAAGCCGAAGCCACATCATCGGCGGATGCTCTCGACTCAACTATGCGGCGGAACATGTCTCTCTCTTTCGTGATACTTTCCGTCTTTACTTGGAAGCCCCTAAGAGTGTCCCTAAATACCTCAAGTTCCTGCTCTAGTCGAATTCGCTCTTTGTGGTCCTCCATTGCTTGACTCTTTGCTGCGACTGCTTCTTCATTCTCCATCTTCTCGGCAAGATCGTGGGTAACCTGAAGGAGTTGCTCGTTTCGTTGTTGGAGTTCCTGGATATTTTTGAAAACGACTAGTCGTTCAAGAATGGAGGTATGCGCGTTTTGCTCCTCTCCGTCGACAAGACCAGTAAACTGGCCCCTCTCTAGCCTTTGCAGGATCAATTTCTCATCTGACGAGAGTTGATCCAGACCTTTCTCGAGACAGTGTACGCTGAATGTGAGCATCTGGATCTGTGCGCTAAGACTCTTCACTTCGTATTGCAGGAGAGTGTTCCTCTTTTCCGCATCCGCGGCTATGGCTTCAGCCTTCCGTGCAGCCTTCTTAGCGATGTCCCGCTCGCGGAAACTCTCGTCTGAAAGCTGTGACATGTTCTTCATTTCTTGTTGTAGTCGGTCGTTATCGGCTTGAAGCTCTTCAAGCTCTGGACGTTTGGCTTCCAATTGATCAATAACATCGTCCAACTCCTTTGCGAGATTACCGCTACGGATCTTCTCAGCGTTCAATTGTCCCTTGATTTTATAATAATCCTCCATTAATTGAGTAGTCGAGAGGGATTTACGTGTAGAGGCTGGTGTCGCAAATGGTGACCCTAGACGGTATACTGATCCATTCGTGGGCCGCGGAGTCTGAGGCGTAGATCCAGGTCGGGCTGGACTACCACCCGCAATCATAGCCTCCAGGCGACCGATCTCGTCACGAGAGGACTCAATCGCTTGAGAAAGCTCTTCTTTGTCAGAGTTAGCTCGGGCAATTTCTTCGTTGACCTTGCGGACGCTTTCTTCACATTCCCGCTTCACCTGCTCCTCTCTCGCCTCAACCTCTTGAACTCGTTTCTTATATGTATCAGTCTGCTGCTCTTTCAAATCCACCAATCGCCGAAGACTATCACATTCCTGTCTAAAATCTTCTTCTTTACGGCCTGCAGCTTCTTGTAGCTGCTGTATTTTTGTAAGTGAATCGTCAACTTTCTTCTGGGCTTCGTCCAGCCGTTTGCGAAGTTGCTGCTCAGTACGCTTAAGAGAGTCGATATTGGAGGTGGAATCATCGTTTAGACGCTGCAGCTCGGCAATGCGCGCCCCCTTCTCCTTTCGATACTTGAGTGCCTCGGCCGACTTAGTCTTCAGCTCCTTCTCAAAAAAGTCGCTACTGCTTTGAGCTAATTGTAGTTGTTGCTGTAGTGACTGTTCTCGGAATTTGGAGCTGTTGGCTGCATTGTTCGCATTCTGGACGGATTGCTGTAACGCCGTAATTTCTTGGCCTAGCTTCAGGTTTTTCTGGTGTTGAGCCTGTAGTTCTTGGGATAGTGCTTCGTTTGCGGAATTCTTGGTATCGATGATCGCAAGTGATTCTCGGTTGGAAGTCTCTAGGGAGGCGATACGGGCACGGAGTTTGTCGATTTCAGAACTAGAAGTAGAGCTTGACGACTTGATTGACTGTAGTTCGTTTTCCAAATTCTGGCGCTTTGTTTCTACACATGAATGTAAGTATTTCAATCTTCAAAAACAATGTTGAGACGATAAGTATGCAGTACCTTCATCCTTGAGCTTTTGACGAAGATCCTCAACATCTTTCAGCGCCTTTTTAGCTGTCTCGTTGCTTGCATCTCGTTGAGCTTCGGCGCTTCGAACAGAGGTCTCAAATTCAACTTCCAGCTGAAGTTTCTGGGTAAATAGTGCGTCGTATTCATATCCTTTAGCGGCAACGGCGGCCAGAACCGCTTTAACCAAGTCGGCAGTAGGATCGGTGGTGACAGTCGTGAGATTTGCCTCGGGCATACCCAGATGGGTAGCCAGGTAGCCGAGGTCTACCTCTGCAGCAGCCATGTTGTCAAATACTTGACTACGATATGGCCATCAGAGAGAGTACAGGGATATTCGGTGATGTTGAAGTTTCGGATCGCGTAGAGAAAGGGAGAGATGGAGCGGATGGGGGTTTGACGATTGGTTGTAATGGAAAATATTAGTTGATGGTAGGTGATCGTCTCGGAGAAAGGTGTAGAAAAAGAATGTGGAAAATTAGGACGTGATAAGGTGATGTAAAATGTAAAAGAAGTTGGAAGAGATGAAAAAGAAATATGTCAAGGAGTGATTGATGAAATGGATCTGATTAACTCGAGAGAATTGATGAGTTAAACGATCAATCGTGAATGTAACAGTTGCTCAAGTCATCTAACACCATGGGGATGGGTGGTTAATTGAGCGAAAAATGACAGTGTAGGTGACAATAAAGAATCAAAGTCCCAAGAGAGAAAAAAAAAAGATGTGCAAGTTACTAGGTGAAGAAGTTCACAAAGAAGAAAGCAACTGTTTTCGGTGGTCGGCGCGACGAGGCTAGGTACTGCGCATGTGGAGCTAAAAGCCTAACAGCGCATCTAAAAAGCTCCAGAGCCGTGCTTGCTTACCTAGCATTATGTACCTATGTACACAGTACATATCCTTTGTACTGCACAGTACTAGCACAGTACCAGTCAATCATTAGTCATCATCGAACCTTATTAGACCTTCAATAGTTAACTAACTATTGGAAGTCTTCGATTTTTTACAATTCTGGCAACAATTATTCTGGCAATTACATCTCAAAATTATTATATACTCAGCTACAACAATGGCTCTGAAATATAAATCAACTCGATCCTAATGGATCACCTAGGACCTGACACAGTATTACGCAACAATTATTGCCTCTGGTATCCGCTATCCATTTCGTGGAATTGGCCTACGGTGCCAGGTCGTATCCGGAAGCTCTGATCTCAGCTGCCCTTGTGCCTCGTGTACCATGGGCTCTTGATCCGGTGCTTCGTGCACAGGCTGGCCATGTGCTTCCTGAGGGAAGTTAAGTGACGGATATTTATGTGTTCTGCCCTTGGAGTTCCGCCATTCTGAACGGGCCTTTAAGTTCTTTCGGGTTGGAGCTTTATGCAGCCGCAGTTGACGTGTTGCCAAGCTCGGGCTTTCTGGAGCCGAATACATGGTCGGGCGGCATTTGGAATTAACCCTTCTTTTTTCGCGATCGCCGCCGTAAAAAAGAAGCCAGCAATACCGAGGATCGCAAGGCCAACTACAACACCAACTATAGCCTCCACGATTGTGCCTGTACTCGAGTTGCTAGCAGCCTCTGATCCCCCAGTGCTCGAGCTTCCCGTTTCCAGCGGCCCATAACTACCACTATTGTCAACCCCTTAGCGGCGCTGCAGTATACATCAAGACCGAAAGAGCAGGGTCGACGTTTTCGGTACCGCATGAATAACCTGCCACCACAGAAATAGAGCTACTGAGAAATCCGGACATGCCACTCTTTATACAGGCGCAAGAAGCCAAAGCTTGTGAGCCTGAGGAACAGAGGTTAGTGTCGATCGTAACTAAGCCATGTTTCTTGCCCTTTAATTATGAAAGCGGAAGATAAAAGTATATATCAAAAAACTGAAGCTACGATAGTAAAGTACCTACCCAATCGTATAGCAGCAAAAACGGAGGCCAGAGTAAGGCAAAGAGAACCCACCAAGAGACTACTAGTTGCACAAAAGATCCCTGACAGCTGACACCAGCGGGGTTCGCCAAATAATCCAACACAGGTATACTATTCAGCTTGGTTTAGAGAGGCTGAAAGACCTAGCAGGCATAATTGCCTGGGCACCTAGTAGGCTGGTTGGGTGGAAGACATCACTGATGTCTTCGATATAGTTCACCTTCTACATACAAGCCGGTACCGGTGTCAGTACTTACTTACTGCCATTGGTTCATTTTCATGATATTTTTGTGCATAAAAGCTTGAAGACGTATGCGAGAGATGTTTGTGAGATGCTCATAATATATACATGGCCATGTGCTTTCACTAATCTCACCCAATGGGTATTCAATAATAGACGCCGTGTGGCATCACGGACTTTTAATACAGGTTAAGGTCTTCGACTAGGCACGATTAGGACTGAACAGTTCAACTCTACATGCCATAAAGAAATCCGACTTAGGCTCAGATTGGTAAAGACGAGCTAGGTAATCAAAATCCGCGCCGCCTACTCCTTACTCCAACAGGCTCAAAGCATCGTCGGCTACAGAAAGCGTTGAATTGGGAGACTTCTTACTACTCGTGAACATCATATGTCCATTGAGACACTACCTAAAATCAAATTCCGTTAATAATACAACATCCTATCCAGGAATTCTAGTGTATATCTATTCTTACCTAACACGTACCTAGGTATAATACATCCATAAAAAAGGATTAGTTTATTAATAGGGCATCTATCGTAGATAATCGCATGCCGCTTACATAGAAGCACTTAATTGAGCAACACAACAAGCTTGCTACCAGAGACCGATCCTGACTTTAATCTAGTCACCCCCCTTTGGATATCTTCGAAGCATTTCCCGACCACTTCAACAGGGTGTGTCTTCAATTTATTCTCATCTAGCAACCTTTGAAACACACCAAACATTCTCGCTGCCAGATTACGCTTCTCCTCGCTTGCCGCGCGCCCATATTCCCCACCCAGTATCACTTCCTTGCCCATTCCTTCGAGGCACATGATGAACTCATGTTTGACAGCTTCTCTTGTTTTCCAGGCGGCTGGGATGGCCTCTAATGACACGTAGCGGCCGCCAGGTCTCCCAAAGGAGGCATAGCAGCACGCAGTCGACTCTTGGTCTGCGATACAGTCCAGTGCGTGGCGGAGACGGCCCTTAGTATGCGTCTTGATGGCCTGCGCAACATCCACCGAACTATAGTCGAATACGGCGCTAGCTCCCGAGGACTTGACAAGGTCGAAGTTCCGTGGTGAGCATGTTGCGATTGGATTGAGACCAGACCTGCGAAAGTTAGATCAGATCAACAAGTCTGCTGACCAGGTACTAATAAAACGGGGCTACAGCATGAGATCTGTCTAGCCCATTATGTAGCTAGCACGCCAATTCCTTCGGGGAAGAGGACAGTGAGCCATACCATTCCGAACCCAAAAGAATAGAAACACGGAGAATAAGGGATCTCAAAAGTAATCACTTACAACTTCAGCAGCTGAATCGCCACCGTCCCAGCAGCCGTGCTGCCGCCATAGACCAGCACCGGCAGCGGCTCCGTTGCCGGGTTTTCTGGATCCGGCACAATCCGCAGCGCATCCCAGAACGCAATGCAGCTAGTCAGAAGCGCGCACCCGAGCGTTGCCGCCTGCTCCAGGGGTAGGCCGGGTGGGACCTTAAGGACCAAATGCGCTTGAGCGAGGATATACTCGGCAAAAGCACCGCTCTCGTGGTCGCCGGGATTAGAGCCGTGTACGACGCCGCAAACGGCATCACCCACGCGTATATCTGACCGCGTTGTCTCGGGGGATACGGCGACGACGTGGCCCGCGAAGTCTATGCCGACTACGGCCCCGGGACTCGGAAAGGCGGCGCCCATTTTGTAGTCGCAAGGGTTAATCGCAACTGCTGCTGTTTTGATAAGAATGGTGCCTGGTCGTAGAGCCGGCACTGGCACGTCGTGTACAAGTGTTGGGATGCCATTGGAATCCTCGACGATAGCTGTCTGTGTGAGTGGAATGTCCCTATCGATTGACGTTGAGGATAACGACATTTTTTTTGAGGCCGATGATCAAAGTAGACACGACTATGCCAAGTAGTTCGAGTTCGCGGGGGACAACCCTCGATCTGTATACCTACCACTTCCGGGACTAGCTGCAGCTTTAAATGCCAGGATCTAGGTGAGTATTTGGATCATCTGTCAGCATATGTTGCCGAAAATAGATACTGATACAGGGGTTTCGCATCAGGTATGCCATTGGCACCATTGTGAATTGACTAGGCTCAGGGGGGTTATGTGGTGTTTAAGCTGAAGGACTTATTAAAGAGCAGGATTTCCTACCTAGTAGGCTTCTTGCATGTGACGGTGCAAACTAGCCCCTTATTTTATCTATCACTACTAACCTAACCTACATATATATATATAACTAACTCCCCGCGAGTCCGCGACTATTCAGATACGCTCCGTCCTCTCATAATAAGGGCTGCTCTCAATAATGGCTCTTTAAAAAAAATCTTTTTTCTTTCAATTCCTTTTGGCTGGTGTCTCTGTTCATAAGCCCATATGTAGTTTCTGCCCCACAAGATTGAAAAAAGCTTTTGGCAAGAGAAGTATAACGAAATGCTTTAGGGACTGGTCACTTCGACTATTAGAGATCATGCCTGGGAGGGCCATAAACCATATGCCTCGGCAGTGATTAGGTAACTATATGTAGCCACGTTTTGTAAAGTACGGTGATAGAACAGTCGTCATAATATGACCAAGTCTCGGGGCAAGTCGCTATATAATTTCCGAGCTGTGATGAAAGTGTGATCTAGAAATCCAGTAAGTACGTAGGTAGCGACAGAAGTGTATTTCCATGAATCCAAGGTTCTATCAACTTCTCCTCGTACCAGAGCACTGTCGTAACCCAGCCTCCTGGAACATCACGGCGCGTTTCGAGCCTGTACCCTATAGTGCGATCATCGATGACCATACTGCTACACATGCCGTTGCCGAGCGTAAGCAAGCCGGTGCCACAGATCTTACCCCATCTCTAGGCAACGGCGCAAGGGCTACTAAATCGCAGCACTACGGTGTCGTTAGCAGGTGGCACGAACAGGGCGAAGTAAGACATTATACTTCACTGAAAGAAAGTTTTAGATCCTGATACTTATCAGTGTTACTTGCCTAGGTACACATAGGTCAGCTGCAATGGCGGGGCCAACTATACCAGCACGATCCTGTTCTCGAGGAACATCGTAACGTGGTTACTTCTTGTTCTTGAAGGTGTGATCAAAACTAATCCTTAGAGTAGAGCAGGATTGCAGGAATCAATTGGGCGAAGAATGTGGTAAGTATGGTCTTGTGGCTGTAGGTGTTTCGTTTAAGGGGGCAATAGCACCAGCTATAGGTAGATATTGTTAGGAATATCATGGAAACACAGGATTCCTAGGAAAATAGGTATGTACCTATGCTGACGGTAGTAATCTTTCGTACTATGGCGTCAATGCTTACGGGAGAAGGATGTGAAAAGGTACGACTTGCAAGAGTCAGTAGTGGTACCTGCCTTTCTGGGCTTGCTCGTCAAGTTTTTTGATCCGCCAGCAATACCTAGCCAATGTAGGGTAGGTATTTCCCATAGTGAGAAAGAAATCTGTAAAGCTTGTATGTGGGCATTGATTCAAATAGTTTAGTAATTAGGTATCCTGAAACTATGTATTTACACGTTTGAGAACAAGTCTATCATGATAAGCCAAACATAAACATTATCTTGTCTTTAAATCCTTTGATATCACGGCATAACTACAACCGAACTAGCCTCGCCGTATCATACATATCATCGGCATTCAACCGATCGACACCCAGTGCGGCCAACGGCTCCCAGAGGTAATCGCCAGACAGATTCCCTGGTTTCTGTGTTAGTCTGGTTCTGAGAGCAAGAGGGAGAGTTGGACTCAAGTAAAACGTACAGTATCGGACTTTGAGCCCCGCTGCATGAGCATTCTTGACCTGCGACTCGACCTTAGATTTCTGCGCGTCGGTGAAGTCCTTTGCGCTTCCTGGGTTTCCAATCGTACTCTGGAAGTCGGCTGAGGCATAGTACGAGTTTGTGCTGGTGTATTTGGCATCCCATTCGTCCAAGCTAGCGTCGAAGAATATATCGCGGTCTGGGTTGCCGTCGCCCGTGCTGATCCGATCGAATGGGGCGCTTCCGCTTGCGACAACTGTGACCTGTTTCTCGACAAACTTGCCATCGCTGAGGTGGCTGAGGTATCCACCATCCCGGAGAGGTTGAAGGGCTTTGACGACAGCGTCTAGAGTCCCGCTGCTGGATGTTTTGAAGTCTACTAATAGCGTGATGCTCTGACTCGGCTTGGCCTTGTAAAAACCATTGGGGCCTGATGAACCCCCGTTGTTATGGTCGAGAATTGCCTTGATGGGATCAATGTACTGCACGCGCAGTGTCCTGCCCGGGGTTGGGACTGTGTGACCGATAATCACATCGCCGCTCGCATACCAAACGTCAGCTTCCAGGCCAATACATCCTGCACTCATGGCTGAGTAGATGGGGATGTCTCGGTCGTAATCATTATGGCTATGGCACGATGTCGGCTTGACGGCATTTACGGAATCTAAGGGCCACGGGTTTAGGGGTGCACCAGAACCCTTGTTGACACTTTGTGTGTCCAAAGCAGCACCAGCGAATAGTTTGTTAATTGCGTCTCGTACAGGCGGAACCTCGTTTGCCAAGGCATGATAAGAGACGCCATTGTTGCCTACTTGCCAAGTGCCACCCTTGGTATCGTGATTAGTCGCTCCGGAACATTTGCCGCCGTCAGCGCTGAGGGCTAAAAGGTAGTTTTTGCAACTCTCAGCTAGGCCATGTTAGTACAGGTAGGCGGGTAAAGATGGACAGTGAGACTGACTTGAAATGGTATGGTCTGAGCTTTCCTTGTTGTGTACCTCAACTACATGGAACTGTTAGAGTAGGTTCTGACAAAGTTTTCCATATAGATGATATTACAATATACAAATCCTAAAACACCGTAGGAAGCGGGGTCCTTCCCGCCGTTGAGGAAGACCTCCGTTGCCATCGAAAGAAAGCCATTGGACTTGACAACCTGCCCATTTGCAGCGCTACAGAAGTCTTGTACTGCAGTACTGAACCCTCTTCGGGAATCGGTTCCTTGAGCGATTTTGACATCGCTACCAGACATCCATGTGCTTCCACAGCTGGATATGCTGTCGGTTGCCTGTGTCTTCAATGCTGCGCAATATCCAAGTGGAAGATGCTAAATTTGTCACTTTGGTTAGTTGAAGTGTACTGCTAGTAGTATCTAGGAGGAAAAGGAAAGAGAGAAAAAGAAAAAGAAAAAGAAAAAGAAAAGACTGACCAGGAAGCCTGCAGCTACAAGCGCAAGCCGTGAGAGTCCCATGTTGTGTGTAGGTAAGGCCGTTCGGTCCCAAGAAAAATCCAGAGGAAACAACTCAACGAAGAGATATTTACAAAGCTTGGAAGTTGAAGATCACCTGTTATTATTCAGAGCGATGGAAGTACATACATATATATCATCACTTATTACCAATGTGCAAGACCTATTATGTAGTACAACGTATCACACGTGCATGTACCTAGTAGGCAGTAATAAAATAAGGAGGCTTCAATGTTTATTCTGTGTAGCCAATAGATCGGCGTACTTTAGGCTCGTGTGCATAGCGTGTGAACTGGAGACCACCAGGGCACCGAGGCACCGGTACTAGGTAGTAGGTAGAGGACCTAGAGGCTAGAGGTACCTACAAGGTTACACTATTCCAGGCACCTGCCAGCCCTATCCCCATAAAATCCAAGAATAGGTGCTGTATTAGTACTAGTACTAACTAGTAGTATGTTAGTAATGATCCATGAAAATTGAATTTATGTGATGGGACCTGGCAGGCAACAGCTTCAGCTTCAACATTGAACCTGGGAGATATTTATAGTTATGTAGGTACCTAAAATAACGGATTTTGTCACCGTCTTCAAACCTTGAACGGCTGAGATCATCACATTTCCTTTTTATTCTTTTTTCATGTATTCCCATGCGACGGGACCGACGATCTCCAACTCGTCCTTCCACCTCAGTGTCATATCAACCTCAGACCTAAAAATCTCTGGCCGTTTGTAATGCCCCGCCCCGTCTATATACACCTTTACTAGATCTAACTGAGAGAGATCAACCTCGCCGGTAACAAGCTCATCTTGGCTATCCGTATGCGGCCCGGCAATAAACGAGCAAAACGGGTGAATGATCGCGGTCCAGCCCCCGCCACTTTTCACCTTGTCCTGTGGGCCTAGGGTCCTCTCCATCCACTGCAAGCATCTCTCGTCGACATAACTGCTAGCGCATAACACAAACACTTGCGCCGTCAAGGCATGAGTTTTCATCAACGCCTCGATCTGTGTGCAGGCTACATCTTCGAACCCCTCGAGTATATCAAGAGCCGGCCAGCAACCAACGTGGATATGCTGACCCTGGTCAATCAGTGCCTGCCGTGCTCCGTTTATCGCGTGTTCCCAGCAAGCCAGCGCGCCAATTCGATAGGCGGCGCTCTTAGGTTTGTATGTGCGGAGAGTGTAGCCGGACCCCTGGCCCCACACGAGCCGTTCCGCCCACGTGGGCTGCACCTTGCGGTGAACGCCTAGAATACTGCCGTCTGCGTCGATGGTCACGATGCTGTTAAACAGCGTGTGACCGCCGCGCATGCGTTCAGAAATTCCGAGGGTGACGGCTATATTGTGTTTCGCGCATGCCGCTTGCACTTCATCTAGATCTTCTAGTACCACCACGCTCTGCGCTGCGTAGAGGGAAACGGTTGCAGCGTTTGGCGCGTAGCAGTAGGCAAAGTAAGGGAATCCAGGAACGAATGCCTCGGGGAAGGCGAGCAGCTCAATCGATTCATTTGCAGCCTCGCCAATTAGAGAGACAACTTTGCGCAAGCTGGCGGCTTTGTCCATGTAGATGGGCGCGGCATGCGCTGCAGCAACTTTGATTTTCTTGTCGGACATTGTGGACATGACTTTAGAGTGATGTTTTACTTTGTGACTTACATATGTACGAGTAAACACCTGTCGTACATATGTATATAGGTACGTATATAGATATGTATATATCTTCCTACTCGATATATACCTAAGTATGGAACACTGCAGTAAGTTTCACCATTGGAAAGGCGGGGTACAATACATGAAGTTCGGCACTCTGGCAATGGAAGCCACATTGATATCAGAGTACCTGGTAAGATGCATTACTACCTACATGTAGGTAACCTTCGACCCCTCTCATACCCTCCTAGTCCTACAACTTATTGCTGCTTAACCTGCGATATAACATACAATGGCCCGAGCCAGGCCACAGCAGAGGAGAAGTCCGCTTTAAGGGACGCGTTCGGGTCGGCTAAGCTCAACTACAATATCAACTGTTAGTTACCTACCCTATAGCACCTAAATTCAATATAGGGCCAAGCCTCGAAATGGGCTCACCTTGAATTTCATGAGCAACGCCGATAGACTCTTCTTCATCTGTAAAACTGCGATATTCTGTCCTAGGCAAACGCGACGCCCACGACTAAACCCCATGTGAGTAGCTTCCATACATCTTAACTGCTCGCGGTCAGATATAAGCCATCGCTCTGGGCGGAAAGTATTGACGTCTTCGCCAAAGACATCGACTCTCTGGTGCACCGCTGATGGCATGCACCCTACGCTCGTACCCATCGGGAAGAACATGCCTGCAATTGTAACGCCCCCCTGGGGAACCAGTCGCTCCATCGGGGCCGTTGGGGTCGGAAATACTCGCATAGTCTCTCTGATGACGGCGTTGAGATAAGGCAGTTTGCTTATCTGGGAAACTGTAGGTATCTCAGGCAAGTCAGCCTGCGAGAGCTCTTCTTCTAGCTTCTTAAGCGAATGAGGATGTTTGAGTAAGTAGAATATTGCTGCCGTCATTGTCGTTGCTGATGTGTCGCCAGCCCCTGATATAGTGGACATCAACATGCCAATTATCCCAGAGGTATCTAACACTTGAGGGCTATCTTTGCTGGCATCTAAGAACTTTTGGAGTAGATCAGGATGCGCTAGATCGTTGCTGGATCGACTCGCCCTCAACTTGAGTCTCGATGCTGCCGCTGCCGCCACTGCAACAAAGTCGATTAATTAGGTGCTGTGCGAAAAGAGATTGGGGATACTTGTGTGCTCGCGAGAAAGGTTGAAAAGGAAAAGGGGAGAATGCCCCCCTATATCAACATACTACTTGACGGTGCTATCTTCTGTCGCAAGGCGATAGGATTGCGATATATCAGTCTTTCCAACTGAGGTAGTGAACCCCACCAACCCCAATGGTTAAAACGGTCCCGGATCAGTTGAATAGAACCCCCTACATCACCCTCAGCCTTCAAACATCCAACCGGCTCGCCAAAGGAAAATCGCCCTGCTGCATCCATGTTGTACCAGAGAATTATTGACGAGATGTCGAAGGTCGACTTCTTGCTTACCAGATCGAGGAGTTCCTCGATCGATGCATCTATCCATTTCTCATAATCTAGCACCGCAGTAGGCGTGAAGGCGTTGGCCACGGACCGGCGCAGGGCACCGTGACGCACCTCATCCGCAGTGCTAACTAGACTTGGCACTTCTTTGCCATTTTGAATACCAATTATCACTTTATACGAGTCTGCCTATGCGGAACGTGAGAGGAATCCTATATGATGATTTTTGGGCGCTCGTACCGTAATGAACCCCCCTCGGCTTCCGTAGACGATATTGATGACCTCTGGGTCATTGATACTGATGCTACGCACGCCATACCGCACTATCGGACCGTGCTTAGAGTGCAAATCCAAGAGCTTCTTTCTTAGCTTTCCGTTGTACTGATAGTAAGCTCTCCAGAGGTCGGTGCAGCCCGCAAGAATTGGCCCAGGTGCCTTACTCAACGTTCGCCAGTTCACTAGCAGACGGAGGCAGAGCAGTGCTAGCAGCAAAGCCGGTAGGAATATGAGCAACGATGCCATAGTTCATGGCTGTTTAGAGTTGAAAACGTTTGCGGTGGTGGCATGAGTGATGCCTAGGAGGTACCAAAGTTCAAATAACAAACGAAAAAGAGGAGAATCCCGTCGCCAAATGCATTGTGCATACCTACCCGAAAGTGAGGTGCATACCAATACTGCAACTTGGAGACTTGATTCCGGGCTGCTATTTGTAACTTTTACTTGCCAATCGACGCTCATTGATTGTAATTACGATTCGTTAACCAAGTCATTCAACAGGGGGTTCGGAGTCGTATCAATTCTAGGCTGCCTAACTGCCAGGTAGGTAAATAGGAACCTATCCTATAACTATTGGATACTACATATTTACTTGGAGATGGTTTAAGCCTTAGGAATGATCAGCGTATGTTCCTTTTTAGATGTATGTAAGCACTAATATATACCTAGTAAGTAGGAACCTTGTGTAGACGGCGCTGGCAGTACTGACGGCCAAGGAATATGCAGATCTCATCTTCTCTCGTGTCTGCCTATTCCCAATGGCATGTTTCTCCAGAATGCACACATGGTCCTGTTAAACCTATGCCATCTACGAAGTATCATACTAAACATAGGCCCTTGAACTAACCAATCCGAGGCCATTTGTGTTTCTAATGGTGTATTATTGCATTATTATTCTAGAAATGCATAATGTCCCTCATAGCCTTCGTGTAAACGCATCCGCCGCTTGTAAGCACGCGTAAATACAGAGTTAAACCAAGTCACGTGATACCCCTTTTGCTACACAACACTTACATATCTCAGCCTCCAAGGTTACTCAAATGGTATAGAGACCTTTGTGATATCTTGGGACTGATGTCATAGCATAAGATATATAACCCTCATGTAAGTAGGTAGATCCATAGTAAGTAGCTTTAAGAGCTACACGCATGGAGACTAGGTATCTTGAGATGCGCTGGACATTGTATGCATCTTACATATTCCAACTACGAAGTCTCCTTTACACTATCGCGTTTCATCCAAAACTATCATATACACCCGTAATATGCTCAAACCATGGCCTGTCGAAAGAAGTATCAACTGCATCCCACCAGCCTAGACATGTACATAATAAACTCACCACCTAGCCCATCAGATGGTCACGTGGTCTGAAATATCTATCAAAATACATGACTCTACGATGGCCGAGTTACAGATGTTATATTTAACATGATTCCATCAAGAAGACATCATAATGTGAGGGGATCTAAGAAGAATGTACTATCTATTAGCAATACACGACATATGTAGCCTCTGTCGAGTACGTCATACTAGAACTAAAGCATCGCGAGTCAGGGCTGCGTTGGCATGCCAAAGTCCAAAGACCTCTTCTTCGTGATTAGAAACTCGGAAAAAATATCAAAAATGATAGATTTGAATGCAATACTCGTTACTACTGCCCCCATCTTACATCTATGGGCCTAGAAGTCTTGGTACCCGTTTCTCTAGATATCGCTGCCAATGCCAAACTGAAGTACGTGACATAGCTATGTCTCACCTCCTAGAGAACGAAGCTTCGTTCGAAACCAAGATTATCGGATTTTTCTATCGCCAATGGTTAGTATACCCCAAGCCTATCCCGCAAGGCACAACCCTCGCGGATCAGACAGCCATCGTAACCGGTTCGAACACCGGTCTCGGGCTTGAGGCTGCGCGGCAGCTCCTCCAACTGGGCCTCTCACATCTCATCGTAGCCGTCAGGTCTCAGACGAAAGGCGATGCAGCGGCGAAGAGCCTTAGAGAGCAGTATCCCAGCGCAACTATCTCAGTATGGCTTCTCGACATGGAGTCGTACGAATCAGTCATCGCCTTCGCGAAGAGATGCGAGACGCTCGAACGGATTGACATCGTGCTGCTGAATGCCGGCATGCGTACCATGTCCTTCACCCTCGTCGAAGCCACACGCCATGAGAAAACCTTCCAGATCAACTATCTATCGACAGTCCTGCTGGCCATTCTGCTGTTGCCAGTCCTAAAGACCAAGAAACCGTTATCATCGCAACACCCACCACGCCTCTCGATCGTCGCATCTGACACCGCTTACTGGGCGCCTTTCAGCACGACAGGTCCAATCCTAGCCCAGTGCGACGACCCCTCGACGTTCAGCTCGCTCATGACATATGCGAGGACAAAGCTACTGCAGATATATTTCGTGTCGAGGCTTGCGAAAGAGATCGACCCCAATGATGTTATCGTCAGCACGTGTAACCCGGGCCTCTGCACAGGTACCGATTTCAACCAGAAGCTATCACTAGGTTTCATCAACGCCTCGTTTCAGTATATCTTCGCAAGCATCTTTGGAAGGAAGGTCGAGGTTGGGGCTAGCGCCCTTGTTGACGCAGTTGTCATGAAGGGCAAGGAGAGTCATGGCAGCTATCTTAGCGATTGGGATATTAAGCCGTACGCATGGCGCACCTACCTAATCACCCCATAGGTTGCATATAAACTAACTAAAAAGATAGGTTCCCAAAGGTTATGTACACCAAAGAAGGTCAGGGTGCTGGAGATAGGGCTTGGGAAGAGACCCTTGAAGAACTCAACTTTGCCAGAGCTTCCGAGATCGTGCAGAGGGTGAAGCGTTGAAACTCGTACGGCTTGATCTGGAGCTACGATGTAAATGTCATATATAAACTTACTCAGTACCCAGATAGTCTTCGTCTGGTATTAGAGATGAATGTAAGATAACAGGTACGTCTATTCCCAGTGCGCTCATGTTGGCAAAGTGGAGTTTCCGTGATTATTGGGCACCCTAGGTACATAGTACTTGGTGGTAAGTACTACTATGTAGGTAACAACCCGTCAATAGTAGGAATAAGGAGTTATGGATGTAGCCAGTCGCTATGTGCTAAAACATTTGTAACGATGTTGGCGGTTGAAGGTTAACCAATGGTAAGTAGCTCAATTTTAGGTAATGTTCGTTTTGGTACCTATCCAACATGCTATTACTGACCCGCTCAAACTCCATTTTAGGTATCTTAGGTAGGTAGATATGTATCTTTTATCTTTAGTCATTCATTCTTGATCATTATCCCACCTTGTTCCATTGACAAAAAAGGAGACAAACGAAAAAGGGGGTGTGGGGTTAGACGGCTCTCTTCCCCCTAGAGGATAACGCTCTAGAGGAGAGTGCTCTGGAGTCCATGCTGTGATCGCGGTCCATCTCGTACATTTCCTTCTCGACCTGTCTTATATCGATATTCGCAACAGCGTCGGCGCCGTCGAAGATCCACGCAATCTCTTCTAAGGTAGGGCCCTTTGTTTCAACATAGAAGAAGTACACAAATGCTAGTTCGCAGAAATCCCATATCTAGGTAAGTATTAGGTTAGAGATGCCATTCTAGACAAGAAAATGTAACCTCTTAAGCAAGGGGTAGCGACTCACAGTATAAAAGAGCATCAAGTTCCAATGCTTTGGCATCCTATTCCAGGCAATCCTGTTGGTCTGGTTGCTTAATGCGAGTATGGCTTGCACAGTAACGTTCATGATCATCATGCCTTTGGCGCGTAGCCTAAACGGAAGAACCTCGAGGGCGTAGGCGATCAAAAGACCTGAGAAGCCGATATCGTAAAATATACCAAATAGCCAGATGAAGACTAGCTGGGCATACCCAGACGAAACGTTCATTTGGGCTGAGTTCTCGTATATCGCCCCGCAAATAGTCCAGCTCACGAATGACACCACCATACCCGAGGTAGATATCAGGAATAGGGGTCGTCGACCGAACCTATCGACATTCAAGGCGGCGAGGATCGTTACAATTAGATCCAGAATCGTTTTACCGCCGCTCAACTAGGAAAATGTGTTAACATGCAGGAACTCGTAAGAAACTGAGCACTTCTATGGAAAATAGGGGCCGTACAGCAAGCTTTTGGTCCTGGTCTTTGATTCCAGCGCCTTCGTAGACTGTGTCCATATAATTCGAGAAGAGCGCATTGCCGCTATACTGGGAGATGATTCCAAGCGAAATCAGGATAGCCAAGCGCCAGAGGTTTCCCTTCGTGCGAAGGAAGTCGAGGTAGCCAGCGCTATGGGCGAACTGTTTCTCTAGCCGCATTGTCTCTTTGATCTCGCGAAACTCGAATTGAACGAGCACGTCGTTCTTGTCTCCACCGGCATGGTACTTCGCTAGAATATCGAGCGCTTCATCGTGGCGATCCTTGGCGATGAGATAGCGGGGAGACTCGGGGATCCAGTATATAAAGGTAATCTGGATCAGCGAAGGCAGGATTTGCAATAGCGTTATTGAGCGCCAGCTCCAATCGCTCTGGATTTGCGCCGTGCCCCAACCGATCCAAGCGACTAATAATGCGCCCAGGTTCCATAAGCAGTTGTAGACGGCAGTAACTGGGCCACGGTGCTGCGGGTGGCAGATCTCCGTAAGTAACAGAGGTGAAGCCATCTGCGATAAACTGTTGCCGAAGCCGAGAATCAGACGGCCAGCTACAAACATGGGGTAACCATTACAGAATGCGGATATGCAACCCCCTATGATCATAAACACACAGCCAATAGCTATGGATGATTTGCGACCCCAGTTGTCGGCGATATACGGCCTACAAGTCACGGTTAGTGATACTTAACAATATTGAGCCCGAACATTGTCATCGAGGAGACCCTTACGTGAGGAAGAAGCTAATAATGCTTCCAATGTTGAACATATTCACGAGGAGCCCCAACCAACTATCCGCCACCTCTTGCGAACTTTCAAGCCCTTTCTGAGTCCTGGGGAAGTACTCTTTCCACCTATCAATCTGCTGTGATGTGTTGACCAACATTCCATCGTATCCCGTCGTCGCCGAAGCTATCATCAACACGCATGCCCACGCGTACAGTTTCCGCAGATGCGGCTCCTTGGTCCAGTAGACATATTCGAACTCGGGGGCTTCCCTATGTGCCAGTTGCTCGTGTTCCTCCTCGTGACCCTTGGCCACAGGCTGGCGAGGGCGGACCATCCTTTCTCTCTTTCTACTTGTCACGTTCTTCCCAACATCCACTTCGGCTGTTGAAGAAGCAAACTTACGCCGTGGGCTACGATTCTGCGCGGCGGGTATTAAACAATTTGAGAAACCGTTGTTTAGAGAAGGAGGGGTGGGTGCGCGGGCTGCAAGCACACACGCACGCACGGCGCGAGGGAGGTGATGCTATTCAAGTACTTTCTTCCCACGCCACCTAGGACCATGGGAGTTACTGCCTAGTAGCCAACAATACGACAGGCCATGTTGATCCATTCGCCAGGGTGGCCCTTGAGAGCCCATAGTATAGCCACCTACCTACCTACCCTCCTGGCCCGACGTTGCAGTGAATACTGATGCATGTTATTACGATGCGGGGATAATATGGAGAGGATCACAGACGGGCTGGACCGTACCACCCCGGAGGGTCCTCCAACCGGGATCAAACTGACTAACGGCCTAGCAAACCGAAAACCCGGGTGCCGTCCCTCGATGGTTCTTTTTTGTGGTATTGCGTAGCTAAAGGCTCCCGGTTGACAGCTTTGGATGTCGTCAATAACAGTTCAGTGCCGTTAAAACTCGCCTTTGCTTGATACCTACTAGGGAGGTACATGATGTTTACTTCTACAGGCAACATTGATATTAATAGTAGGATGTTTAGCTTAGTACACACTTGAGTAGTCGGCGCCTTGCGACTCTGCCATCTTTGTTTTTCTTTTTTCTTTTTTTTTATTAAATGCCGTGTGTGAGTGTGCGTGTGAGTATGTAGTATGGCAACCCATGGTCATATGTGCGGCAACAGTGATCCCATGACGGAACACCGATGACAAGCTACGATGAAAAAAGATTTGGCTGAGGGGAGGGATATTTCAATCATAAGCGGCAATCGCTCATTAGGTTAGGTGAGGGTACCCCTAAGTAGGGCATCTGCCCGAATCTGGGGAACATGATGGCCTGCTTATTCGTCCAAACCTAACCTACAAGAGCGCGTTGACAAAGAAAAACCCTTCTAGATTTCGGTGACTTATCTTCCATTACATGTATGCGGGTGCAATGCCGAGTCGGTAGCACAATTGTAGCTCGTCGTCATTGGGCATCTTCCAGTAGCTGCTATGGTGTGTTATGGACAGGGTGGTAGCGTAGCGGTGGACCAGAAAAGGGCCGGCTGGTAAATTGGCAAAAAGCCGGGATGAAACATCACGAATCTCCCAAAAAGGAAGCTTGGCTAAGGCTCAGTGCGCTCAAGCTGAACATTTGAGGCATGTATCATGTATGTAATAGTTACTATTAGGTACCTATGTTGTTGGATACCTGGTAGGATCTCGGCCGAATAAGACTGAGAGATCACGTACCTAGTAGGTTCAATGGTAGATGCCTGGGATTGTAGGCACCCATATAGGTATAGTATTATGTAGGGAGCTTCGGCAGTCAATACCTAACTACACTTTACTAAGTAGATACTAAGCCTGGCATCTAACATAGCTAACACCTTACTCCTTTTATTAGGGTTATTGCTAGTACTTGAGTGAAAAATAATACAACTTGTACATACTAAAAAGGAAGATCATCGCGGGAGTCCTATTCCTAATTTGTCTCATCCTGTCCTGTCTCATCCCCTCTCCTCTCCTCTCGTACCCTCACCTACCCCTAACGAATGATTCATGTCCATGGAGTTTGGACTGTGTGCATGATTCTGACCTTAAGAAAAGAATGTGTACTGAAAACGTCCTTGCCGGCATACAATTCAGCCAACTATGTCGGTTTAGCATACCTACGTCCACGTCTTGTCGGATTCGTCATTCTCTAAATGGCGTCGTCCATCTCGCTGTCGGACAGGACGGTCACATTGATAGGACGGCTGAAGCTGACGTCCATGGCCGAACTCTCTAGGTCGTTGATACTGTTCATGGCCCTTACCAACTTATCCATCTCTCCCTTGAGCTGTTCTCTCCGCGTCGCTGTGTTTTCGTCTTCTTCCATCAATTTGATGTAAAGACTTGGGTCTGCCATGACCATTCAATATTAGCATCATCCAATTCCATCCAAGAAGGGGGAGTATGGTACAACGTACCACAAGAGCCGTAGATATGAAACCCTTGATCTAAAGATTCGTCGAGTGCGTTGTCTCGGAACGTGCGGAACAGGTTGGAGTTGACGTGCATTGTGACGCCTTCTACAAACCGCGCTGCGGCCACTTGTGATGGAATCTCATGTTAGCATGGTTCGGTATTCTTGTGTTGCAGTATGTATTTGGGGGCACGTACTCATGTAATAGCCACGAACAAACCCAGCGACCTCGATCTCAGTATCGTAAGGGTCCTTGCCAACCTTTGAAAGATGATTTTCGAGTAGCTTACGTTCCTTGACTTTCTCTTCCTCCGACATCTCCTCCGGCTTTGTAGCTGGGTATTCCCAGTCAAGCAGCGTTAAAGCCTTGAGTCGGATGATTCCTCGTACGCGCTTGAGCTGCTCCATCTCCAGTGCTTTATAGCGATGGAAAGCATCATCGTTCATCATATACAGTTGGTACGTCTCGGAGTCGTACATTTCGACCAATCGAGCCTCCTGACTAGCGACTGCTCGACCAATAAACCGCCTTAGATGCTCCTGACATTCCCTGAATATTAGACGGCGGCGCAAAGCGCCAAGGGACTCCTCAAGAACCTTATTAGCTGTCTTCTCTAAAAGCTCGGCCGTCTTGCCGATGTAGGTTTCGAGCGGGCCTTTCCATTTTTTGACCGCGCTGAGACATAGAGTCTCACGAACCTCGTCTGGAACTAAGTCTCGCGGCATACCAGGACGCTTCTTCCGGAGGATCTCAGACCGAATGTCCCTAATGTCCATTGCGCATCGACCAAGGTTGAAATATTTAGTAAACGGGCTTGGGAGGTTCTGTCCCGTACCGACAACAGATGAAGCGCGAGACATGCCGCCCATGGGAACATCTTCTTGCTTGACTGGCGTGGTCACCACATTGTCCTGACGTTGGCGCCTGCTAGGCGTAGCGACGTTTCGCACTGTCGAGTCGCTAGGTCGAGGTCTCTTCGAAGGAGTCGATATAGTTGACTCTGAGTCCACACTAGAAATGTCGATTGTTTGTAGATCCGAATCTCTAACTTTGCAGGTTGGCTTCATTTTGAAGACACACGTCTGAAATTGGCTATTAAGGGTATTCCATTTAGATGAAAACTCTGTGTCTCTCAGAGCTGTCTTCATCTGAGTTAGAAACTGAAACAGACTCCGCTTCACTTCATGCTCTACGTTAGAAGGAAGTTCAGGCAGAACAGCCAGCTCTCTCTCGATTACTTTAAGACGGTTGTGGACCATATCCTTGATTGACGGAAGACTCTCGGAGAAAGCCTGTGACAGTTGGGATGACAGATACTATATTGTAAAACTCCGAGTTAGTATATTATACATTGTCATCGACCACTTACTTAGGGTCAACCCAAGACAAGGTACATAAAGTCTATAAGGAAAATGCAAAGCTTACCTTGAGTAATATCTCGACTCCACAGCGGTGTGCAAATGGACCAAACTCGGATGGCCACGCGACGGTACCAGGCACTTCTTCGTGATTGAAGAAGAGATTCTCCCATTTCGTGGCATCTTCGAGAGGTTGATCTGGTGGTCGCGAAGTAGCAAAAAAGCCGTGGCCAACCAATTTCTTCTCGCCTCGGAACATGGCTAGCCAGTTAGCGACGTTTTGAGGAGGCAGCTGGTCTGCTTTAGTCATAACACCAATGGTTCGGTCAGTGGCTTTCGCGTCGCGAATTATGCCTAGCGAAATCGAGTTCTCCGAATCAACATTCATAGGTAAGGCCCATAAGATGATTGCCTTTTCCCGTTTGATATATTCCGTAGTGAGATTCTTGACCACCTTTACCACGTACTCATCTTCCTCCTTCTCTGGGGATATGAAGACACCGGGTAAATCATAGAAGCTCAGATCTGGAAGCTCTGGCCCTTTTATCTGCAGAGCAACTATGTTCGGCGAAAACTGCGCCTCTGTATTAAGAGCAGCGTCTGAAGCGGTATGTTAGCTATATCGAGGCGGGATAAGAATGTACCTAACCAAAGAAAAATCTGTTTGGTATGGGGCTGACAAATGACCAGACTGACCTTCAAGTGATTGCTTTGCTAAGGCACCTTCACCAGGGATGAAAAGCTCGTAGTCTTGATTGTGGTTCAAGATTGCGATTTGAGCCCAGCGGAGAACCTCCTCGATTTCAGAGGGGTCGAATATTGTCTTAAACGTCTTGCTTTCTCTCGGCATCTTGACCCAAGGTGGGAACGGGTTTGTTTTGGTCACATCTGACTTTTTTGGTTTACTGCCAGGAGTAGGCTGGAAGTCATAATCCTGTTGAAGGGTGACAGTGCATGACCAATGGTCGATCTTGCTGCTGATAAGGTGGATATGAAGCGGGCAGCGTGTACACACGCCAGCACTACGGGGGAGGGTCACGCGGGCCAGACCAGACATCAAGCTCGACTTTCCAGCCGACTGGTCTCCTACCAAGACTAACTCGGGCAGGGCAGCGACATCTTGAAAGGTACGTTAGTTAGCGGCCTCACACTTGCCAAGTTACTTCCCAAGCTGAAGAAGACGGGAAAGAGATGAAGGTTGATTGAAAAAGAGACATTTATATTTAGTAGCATAGGGTACGGAATAAAGGATAGGAGTTAACAGAGGATTACGTACGGGACACGCCGAGCGTCTGAAGAGCCCCGAGCGTATCATTGCATGCCTTCTGCTTCAGACCGATATCTGCAAAGTTGGGATGCGCAAAGCTCTGCTGAGCAAAACTAGAGTCCGCATTCTGGGAAGGTGGCGAGCTATGGCGGCCATTTTTAAAGATGTCTGGCCGGCGCCTCACCTCCATAAGGATAGGCTCCGTCTCATCATCTCGTCGTTGCCACGTCTCCACACTTGCTAGGTATAAGCAATAGTATTAGCTGAATTGTATGGGTTATAGATACTACATAGTAGGTACCTAGTAGGCAAGGCATGGCTACATGTAGGTAGATTGGGCAGGGAGATACTCACGAGCATGGGAGCGAATGAAAGAGCGGGCTGTGGACTGGTTGTCCGAATAGTCGTTGGGAGGGGTTTTCCGCTTTCGTGGAGTCGGAGACGGCGGTGCCATGATGCCAGACCTCACACTACTGGTGGGTGAGCCTTGCGGCTCCGGCTTGATATGCCTACTACTGCGGGTCATATCTGCCACACTAGACTTAAGTTAGGAAAGCTCTTAGTGCAATGCATAATGGGTAGGATGTTTATATGGAAAGCGAACGCTGGTAGAAATCCAATCGCATACATTACAGAATTTCAACTTATATGAGCTACAAACGAAGAGGCTCAGGTATAATTCACTCCGTTCTTCGCCAAGTTGACGAATATACTATAAGTTGTACCTGGCTGGGGAATGGATAAGAATAAAAAAAACAATACAAATAATACTAGTTGTTAAGGGGATGTTAATTAGTTACTAGGTAGGTGTCAGACGTGAGGCTATTCGTCAATAGAGGAAGGAAGGTATGAAAAGAATCAATGAGGGAGCATATAGGTAAGTTAAGGGAAAGAGGAGAGAAAAGAGAGGATGTGTGGTTTGGCAGAGGTGAGTCAACTAAAGAGTCTGCTGGCCTACCAGGTACCTAGTAAGCAAAAGTTGCTGTTGTGAATTTGACTCTAAAGATTCTCGACGCGATCATAGTGATTGTTAAGATTAGTACTGGAACTATATGTCCCCACTAACAGGCATCATCTAGGTCAAGAGTATTAAAGAGTACGCGTGCACGGCTCTTACATACAAGACTTACATAGCACTTTACGCGTTGGGGGGATTCCCTGTTTCTGTCTTGGTGGCTGGGTATTGGGTGGGGTATAGAGAAAAATAGGGTGATTACAGGTTACAGGGGGGTTACGTCGTTAACTCGTTACAACTTACAAGTGATTGGCCGGCGGAGAAACTAAAGAAAAAAGGCAAACAGAAATTCACAACTCTCCTTATCCTCTTTACTTTATTGGGTGACTCTGCCTGAATCTGCATTGTATTTTGCATACATATGTACTACTTTTATGTACACTAGGTTACATACATGTATGTATTGCAAGTTACAACTCCTGATATCCATGTCGATGAGGCTGCTTTCTACATACAAATGCACTAACACATCTCCTATAAATTACATATATAGTCCCTGCTAGTACATAAATACCCTGTTATCCAAGTACTACTACATACATAGTAATACCGGATGTTGTATAGTATTAGTATCCAGGGCCCCAAACAATAACGATTTGATAGTATGTAATAGTATGTAATTCAATATTATTTGGATCATGTACTATTATATGAGATAAGTTCGCCCGTAGACAAAACTTTGGAAACTTTGAACTTATATAAACAACCTTGGAATTTTCGGGTCCTTTATACCTAGGTATCCAAGGTAGTATAGACCACTACATGTATGTGTCGGCTCCGTGTCTTTCATACTAAATAGGTACCTTATTACCTATTGTACTTATATTCGAAGATTCAGGACTTGATTCATCTACCTAGAGTGAACACAGTTAGTTATGCTCGCCAATTAGATTGGCCATGCCATACCCAGTATTTCGTCCAATAATAGGCCCTTCTTCTTCGTCTCGAACTCTTCTCCACCCATCACTATCTTCTATTTGCGTACCAGGAGTTGGGTATGGTTCGTCGCAGTCGCGGCTACCCAGGCGCGGCCAGTACCTGCGATAACTAAAAATGCCAACTGTGAATCCCAGAACAGACCCGACGGAGACATCGTAAACATCATGACGATAATCCTGGCAACGGCTAATGGCTATCATCGCAGCCCCGACCAACGGCGCAAGGCAAACCAATGACCGACCCAAATCTTTCCTGTCACGAAAAATCCTCAACTGGCCAGCCAAGAAGCAAGCTAGGTATCCAAGGCCGCTGAAGGAAAAGCTGGAGTGGCCCGAGGGGAAAGATCGCCAGCCATCATGTAGGGTGTGGTGATCTGTCTCGGTGCACACATCGATCGTTACGAGGGTGTTGAGTTTGGTGCCAGCAAGTGGCTTACATCGGGCAATCAGGTCGGGCCTGGGACGACCAACGGTATTCTTTACGATATCGGTAAGAAATGAGCTAAGTATGAGTGCGATGGCAAGACCGAGGATAGTGCTATGATGTTTATGGAAGGATGCTCGGGTAAAGCTATTATATAGTAGAACAAGCCCAAGGGGAACAAATAAGGCATATACAAAGTTCAGCCAGACTGGCACTCGTTCGATCTCGGCGTGGGGAAAAGATATATTCAAGTTGTTAATGTAGAACATGCGATGGAAGGGCTCAACGAAAAATTGGATCAGTAAGTAGGCTGTAAGGAGGCCGGCGAACCCAACGTAATCAGGAGCATAGGAATGCTTAAGAAGAAGGTAGTTAGCGACAATCATTCAAAAGCATGTATAAGGGGAATGTAAAGGGTTTGTCGTACTGTCCAAAATCTTGCCAGCGATCCCCAGATACCACTTCGTGTCATTGTTGCGATGACTGCAAGTCACCGTCTGCGTACAGCCTTGAAGCCACCCCACAGCATTTCCCAGGGACGATTGAATCTAGACGAAGCAGAATGGTGCTAGGTATTTCGATTCAGCAGCTCGTAAAGTACTTGACAAGGAATTAGGTAGGTATCTGGTGTACTGATATTAGAGAAGCGTATGTAGGTAGGTGTATGTATCGGGGAGGAGGGTAAGGAGGTCGAAGTCGATGTCGCGTGCCAGCTTTGGTTGGAACATTGAATTGGTTCCATGCTGGTAGAACAGCCGGACGGGCATGTACATAATCGTAATTGATGTATTAATCCATGCATGCAGTCAGTACCCACTGATTATGTATTTAGCTAAGTATCCGATTCACTTTAGGCTCTCTTCTTTTGTTGCAGCCAATCAAATCGAATTACTCAACCTATGTGGGTGAATCTTCAATTCAATCCCTACTAGCCTAGTACTCCGTACAATACAGTAACTACCTAGTACTAGGCACTGTGGTACATCCTAGGTTAGTAACTTTCGCAAAACATTGAACATTCAACTTGAATACAATACCGACTTACTATGTGCCTATTTTTACCTCTCTTTCTTTCATTTCTGTCGACTTGCTCCGCTTAGTCCATGGTCTTTTTGCCAACATGTTGAAGTCGACCTACAAACCTTCCTCGAACGTACCACCCCCTTTGCCTCCCGGCTGGACTGAGCATAAAGCTCCCACTGGTCATACATACTACTACAACACGACCACCAAAGAATCCACCTACAAACGTCCTGGCACAACATCACTTCCAGCCGGTACTGCTATCACCCAACCAGCTCCTCTTCCTGTGCCTCAAGACCCTCACGCGAACTTCCTTCAGTATTCAACTGTACCCCAGCTTTCCGATCCAAATATAGCAAATGCCTTCCTTGCCCAGTACGATCCGGCGCGTCAACGCCAAGCGCAACACCAGCATCATGGTAACCGTGGTGGACATCGAGGGGCCCCAGATGGTAGAGGGGATCGACCACATCCGCGTCCCCAACCGATAGATAAGCCAAAATCTAAAGTTGCTATACCAGGTTGCGAGCCTTGGTTGTTAGTATACACAAAGTATGGCCGTAGATTCGCTTACAATCCCGTCAAAAATGCCAGCTACTGGAGAATACCCGAGAAAGTCATGAAAGGCGTGCTAGAGCTAGATATCAATGGGATCAAGGAGAAAGCGATGGGTACCCAAAGCGAAAACGTAGATGCATCTGAGCCGGCATCCGTAGGACCACAAAAGGAAGTTTCCGTCGGACCTACAGAGGAGCCGGAAGAGATAGGTTCCGACTATGAAGAAGTTGAGGTCACAGATGACGAGGGCGAAGGTACAGGAGAGGGCGCCGAAGATGAGGGCGAGGGCAACGATGAACATCGACCGAAACGCCAGCGCACTGAAGACCAGACCGACGATATGCCCGTAGAATTTAACGAGGACGATATTGCCTACCAATTACAAGCTATGGGTGCGGAATATGGCCTCGATCCGGGCGAGTATGATGATGGGAATCCAGATGCGTGGCCCGACGGCGCTGAAGGCCTCCCCCTCTCCGACACTGACGCTCGAGAACTATTCAAAGACCTTCTCAATGACTACGGCATTAATCCATACTCACCATGGGAGAAATTAATTGAAGAAGGCCGCGTCGTCGACGATGCGCGGTACACGATACTGAACACAATGAAAGCGCGCAAGGAGGCTTGGGAAGAGTGGAGCCGTGAGCGCATCCAGATTCTCAAGGAACAGCGTGCCAAAGAGGAAAAGAAGGACCCCCGCATACCATACATGAACCTCCTCCAGCAGAAAGCGACCCCAAAACTGTACTGGCCAGAGTTCCGACGCAGGTATAAGAAGGAGGGTCCTATGCGTGACACGTCTCTCACTGACCGCGATCGCGAGAAGTGGTACCGTGAACACATCAACCGACTCAAACTATCCCCGGATACCCTCAAGAAGGATCTCACCGCGTTACTGCGCAGCGTTTCTCTTCACGTCCTCAACAACAAGTCCCATATGGAGAACCTACCGCCGCAAATTCTTACTGACTTGCGCTATATTAGCCTGGACCCCAAGATACGTGATCCCCTGATAGAGACTTACATCCAGAGTCTAGGACCACCGCCCGCAGAGGGCGAGGCGGAGGAAGAGGATGATGCCACACGTAAGGCAAGGGAGGACAGGAGAAAGAGGGAAAAGGCGCTCGAGGAGCGGGAGCGCATTGTCGCGGAGGAAAAGCGCAGACAGAAGCGGCAGCTCGAGTATGGAAAGGCCGCGCTACGAGAAGAGGAGCTTGAGCTTGAAAGGGCTATGCATGTTGGGAAGAAGGGCTTGCAAGGTCAGTTACTAGCTGCACAAAAGGCCAAAGAAGCGGCTGAGTAGGTAATGTCCAGGTTGCTACCATTTGACGTTGTATGAATATCTATCAAGTACCCAGGGTACCTATCCACATACCAGGGGTACTAGGCTTGAGTTGGTAGTTGACATGAGGCATTGTTACGGCCAGAAATAGCAACCCATCAATGATTATAGGGTTATCAAGAAACGCCCAATGTCTTTTCTTTTACATATAATGATAATTTGTCAAAGCTTTTGTTTCATTCATGATCATTAAAGTCATGTAAGCTACCTAGCATTTGTGCAGGATTTCTAGCTTAACCTCGATACCTCACTCCTCCCGAATCATAGCCAATTGTCGAACCAGGTGACGGCTTGAATGAAGGCTTGCTCTCTAGCGAAGCGATCCGTTTTCTTGTTGGGGTCACCTCGGACGGAGAAGCCGTGCTCGACTTGAGAGTATAGGTTGATCTGGTAGGGAAAGCCATTCTTGGCGAGGATTTCTTCGGAGCGGTGGCGCTTGTCCGCCGGGAATATGGTATCGGTCTCGGCCGCAGAGATAGATAGTGGCGCCTTGAATCCCTCGAGCTCGTCCTCATCCACAAAGGACGGGTGTGCCATGTAGCCTACCTGTATGCCATTCTTGAAGTGGCGCGCAACATACTGGATAGATATAAGTAACCTAACTGTATAATGGAGACAGAAATAAAATAAAATAGAATAAAATAAATGCATACCTTGGCTCCGAAACAGTACCCAACAGCTCCAAGCTTCTTAACACCTTTCTCCTCTTTCAGATACTTGATGGCAGTTTCAATTATAGGGTCAACAGCCTCCTTGGTGTGAGGATTATCACCAGTGCTACCTTTGGCCAACCAAGAGAATATGTCGAAGCCGTCAGGACGGTTCAAAGGTAACGGATCGCCATTGAAGGGGTCAATGATCAGAGTGAGATAGCCATTGGCGGCGAATTGGTCGGCCATCAGCTTGCTGTTCTGCCAGATGCTGATAACGTCGGGGATATACAATAACGCGCCGTCCTTGGCGGAAGAAGGATCGGGGGTAGCTATGTAGGCATCGTATTTTCCCACTTTGAAGGTCGTGCCCGTTGTCTCGCCCCTATGTTTCTCATGAATATGGATGTTATGCCACCAGGCACGAATGTTGGTAAATAACTCACTCGTGCTTGATACCCTTGACGCAGCACGCAGAAGGAGGGAATGACGCCATCTTGGATTATTAGGTACCTAGGTAGGTAGGTAGGTAGGTAGGTAGGTAGGTAGGTAGGTACGAAGTATGTATTAGTGTATAAGAAGGTGAGTTGAGGGTTTAGGAGAGGCGCAAAAGAAGAGCTCGGCAAAAGAAGTGAAGTGAGTTTCGTTTTATTTTATACTTGTAAGTTGTACCTGATACGTAGGTAGCTAGAGTAGCACCGAGAGGATCAACCTTCAATGTCGATATTTGCGTTATCACCGTCTCTTATCTCCAGGACTATATTATTCATGGTTAGAACTGACGTACTATATAGTATCAATGATGTAAATAGGTACTCACTTTAGGTATAAGTAAGTACCTTACTACTAGGTAGGTAGGTATGTAGGCCAGGAGGGTGCCGACTATCCATAACCCCTCCACCCCACCATTAAAATACTGGTCTAGTACTACACACCTAGGGTATGCATTATACCTACTACTAATAGTATGCACTAAGCTTTCTATTTCCCTATTTTCTTCCCCCCCGCCCCCTTTTTGGGAGCGAAAAAAGGCCGACTAAACGTCTGCCTAAGTGTACCTACTCTACAGCACAAACCTGAGCAATAGTAGGATGCGTACCTAGTAGGTCAGTATGAAGTTGCGGGCTTCAACGGCACCATTAACCACTTCTCCATCCCTTCCGTGTTGCCTTGTCTTTTTGCTTGGTAGTTTCGCCCTCAGCCGGTACCTTCAAACGGCCTGCTTCAGATGTGTCTCCAGGTTTTGGTGACTTGTCCCCATCGTCGCCCAATAGTTCTTCTGTCTGTGGTTTCGGTGAACCCCAGAACGGGATCCAAACCCTGCTCTTAGGTTCAAAGGCACGACTGTCTCGGCTTTGTCGTTCAAGATGGAGTGTCGATGCTGAGGTAGTAGCTTCAATGCCCCTAAGTTCTGGCTGTGTTGCTGACTTGATTCTCGGCGACCCTCTAGCTCCCAGAAACACACGCAAGGCCCTATTCTGTATTATCGGAGACGGTGTCTCCCGCCAATCATCGCGTGCCATTTCTTTGTTGGCGGTTCCATTACCCGGCGTCGAACTGGTCCCAGTTGTGCTCAGTTGAGTGCGAGACGTAGACAAGCTTCTTCGGTACTGCCTCTGTAGCATAGGTCTCGGCCTTTTCGATGAAGTCATTACAGTCCTATGAGTCTGTCTCGAAATATCGTTTGCTCTCTGTTTTGTTTTCAGAAAAGGTGCTTCCTGTCTCACTGCAGCACCTTTCACCATCCTCCTTGAAACACTCCCAGCTTTGCTGCTTTGGGTATTCTTCGTGACTCTGCCCTTCACGTATTTGCTTTGGCGGCGTTGCCTCGCAGTCTTCCAGATTCTGACGGGCTTATACAATGCTGTCAAGACGTCCGCATCCTCCTCCCCCGATACAGTAGCCGTTTTTTCTGAACTGGATAATCCATGCCTGCTATCTTTGCTCTCAGTTCTTTGCTTCTTGAATAGCCACCATGATCTCTGCTGGGTCTCCGGCATGGTCTCAACCTCCGTTGGAGGTTGAGGTGGAGATGTTGATGTAGTTCCCGAGGGGTTCGTATTCGAGCTTCCCTTGTGGTGTTTGTTTGCTCCTAACATATTGCGAAATTTGATCCTAGGTCGACTGGAGTGGCTATCTTCGGTCTGAGATTCCGGGGTATAGTCCTCCTTGTTTCTCTCGCGATTTGAAGGAGTATGTGATACAAGACTTGGCGATGAACTCACTTTTTTCACCTTTTGTGGCTGGGTAGGCGTATTCATTGCTTGGTCTCTTGGGGCTGTAGCCTGTTGAAGAGGGCGAGATTGATCATTGTTGTCTTCAGCACGGGTATTAACAACTTGTCCCATTTCAGTGTCATATGGATGCGTGCTCTTGCCAGGCTTGGTGTTTGCAGTCATGGATATCTGCCTATCATGATCTTCAAAAGGAGACGCCGTGCTCGACCGTTTCTGCTTCCGCGATTCGATCAGCTCCATTCGGTGATCGATGCCGTCCTGCTAAGACTCGATCTTCATGTTTATCCATTGCAGGGGTGTTGAAACTGCCTCGAGCGCCTTGACCCGTCGCGATCTAGATCTGCCCTTATGTTCCCTTTCGTCAAGGACTCGAGACTCGTATAAAGTTTGCTGGGTTGGCCACCGTTGCCTATAATCAACTACTGCCCTCTCTTTTCTCCTCCTCGAATGTCTCACCATGGTCGCTTATATTTGTCTTGGCTATGTATGGTGTGAGCAAAAATGAGAACCATTGCTCGAGCTTATAAATCACACTTATCGGAGGGGTAGCTTATTGCCATATTAGTGTTATTGTGGAATTCAACGCCTTTCAAGGGGGGGTTTGTTATTTCCCCTTTGTTTGGTGTTTCGTGATATCGTTATATTAGATACCAACGATGTTGATCTGAACAAGAAAGCGAGTTTACTTACCACTGGCTTCGAAGCAGTATGCTCGTTTAATGGGGGGTTGTAAGACTGACAATAAAATAAAGATAATCTTAATCCAGGGTTGCTCTCATCGTATCTCTAAGATGCCCAGGTAGGTACTAATCAAGTGCTAGTATTGAGGCCAGAGCTAGAAATGGCCTCAAATGTAGGCAGTTGAGAGTTTCATTGACGAGACCTACATTATATATACCAACGTGCCTAGGTTACTTACCTAGGTAGGTATATAGGTAGGCAGCTGTTGTGCTCAAGATATGCACTGCAACTTAAATCATCCCATGCTAAGACATGAATAAGATACACAATCGTTTGTAGCCCAACAAGAGTTAAGTTTCCTACATATGTAGTTTCCACTTTCCTTGAACATAAGAGTATCATTTCAATGTTGATGCTTCCATGTCCCATAACTTTAGTTAACTACCTACTAGTTGGGTACTCACCTACGAGCGTGAGTTCCATTTGATCTCCACCCCATTACTCCTATTTTCTGTCAACCATATTTACCATGTAAGCAATAGATGATTCCATTGATGATATATAACCATTCATCCGCTGATGAAGCATACACCTATATACAGTGCGAGAAATTATCCACAGGTCCCTATCATAACTCATCTAACCATCCATTATCATGTCCTAGGGATATATTGCATAGACAGTTGCCATCTTAGGCCAATTCTGCTCGATTATTATTTGTCCCAATGGAAGGATTGGTGGGTGCCTCAGCGATAGGCATTCCTGGACTCGGCATTTCCGCCATGGGCACTTGGTGTTTCGGCTGTCCTGTGGTCTCATACTGCGGTGCAACGGAATAATGGGGTGGAGGGGAGGATGAAGCAAGTTCTTGCGGGCCTGTAGCTGGAGATAATGGTGGCTCAGTCGTGGGAGTGCGTCGTTTGCGCCTTCTAATAAAAATGAAGCCAAATATTGAAAGGGCTACAACGGCAATTCCGCCCAAAACCCCCCCTATAATAGCCCCCGTTGATGTTTCAGAGTCGTCGTTTGAGGAATTCAAATCAGTAGCAGCAGGTGGTGAATCGGTAACTGTCGATACTGAGGATGTGGTAGCAGTGGAAGGCGATATGGTACTACTACTGGAGCTTAACGGCGTAGGCAAGAGCTGCAGAGCCCGAACCGTGTTTTGGTCACTACAGCCCCACGCTGTAAGAGTAGAGCTTGCGCCCGTCTTCAGTGATTCGAATTAGCGCCCAGGATCTTTTGAGTATCGAAGCCCGCAGACATCCAAATAGCTCCAGATCATGTGGAAAGTTCCAGCGGGAATCTATCATTTAAATGTCAACACTTACATTGTATAACCAAGTGATGCAGTATGGCTCTGCTGATTTGCTGGAAATGCTTATTTAGCACAAGGACGAGAGAACATCACATGGTAGAGAATAGCTACGTACCAGCAACGTGTCTTGGTAGCGCAGATAATCGTCGGGTCATAGTCTTTGCAAGAAGTCTGCACTGTTGCCGAGCACGCTATTGGATCTCCGTTACAACAGGCTCTAAACTGGCCAATATTCTCACATCGTTCGTCGCTTGAACATGTTACCGAGATCGCGGCTAGAGTACCAGGCCAGTTAACTTTCCGGCACTAACACAAGCAGCTATTGCAGATCTTACGGTTGAGAGCACCATATCCACATGTATTATAACCCGAGATAACACCAGATAATTCACTCTGCCGCCTAAGTAGTTCTACGGACGCGGAAGGCTTCGGAGTTACAGCGGGGAGTAGGTGGATACCGGCGAAGGCGCTGTACTCGGCTTGCGTAACAGCAGGTGGGAGGCTAATCTTTGAGGCCGAAGCGAGTAAAAGGCATCCGACCTGGAGTGGGAATGAAAACTTTGCATGTCTCATGGCGACGACGAGTATGCCAACTCATGAGTTAGCATGTTATGTTCGTAGAGAAGAAATCATGCATACATCAGTCCGGGGATCGAGGAGAAGAAAAGCGATGCTGTGCCGCCCAGCTAAGCCTCATATCGAAGGATAGTCATTCAACTTATAGTCCTAGGTATTTGTGCCAAGGCCTATGACAAGGAACCCCGTCGTACTCTCCATCATTATATCCCACTGATTCCACTGCGTCGTTGGCGCAGCCACTTAAAGGAAGAATATCGTCGAGGCCCAGCAGCAGGCTGACAACTCCGTGTTGGTAAGTTCATGCTCACAACTGCAGTCGGTGAAGTAGGAATTATAAAGTGGACATGTGTTTCTAAAATAGTAACAATGTCCAGGTGGTTGGTACGATGGTACCGGTCTTCTTGAAGCTTATTTACATCCCCTGACGATCCTCGTGTCTGTGAATAAGACATTGGGCTCTCTGCCTCTATTGTATGTACGTAGGTGGTCTAGCGAGAGCTCGCCGCACCCCTTAGCTTCACTTACCATCTCAAGGTCTCATTTCTTAGTGAAAATAATCAACTATTCATCTCTTTCGTAAAGAGGTTATTTACTGAGAAACGACGTACATAGGTAAGTACCTCTCTAATGTCTTTGAAGTCGTGGTCATGGCGCTGCTAGAGCGTAGTTCGTCTGAGCTACATCCGCGGGTATCAGATATTGTACGACGTACGTACTACGTATTGAGGTAAGTATTCATGGAATATGCTTAGGTAGGCGAGTACATATGTAGGCAGTAGGTGAGCGGAGTACATAGTTATGTAGATCAAAAGCAACTTCAATGTTGAACCGACATGAATGATGCCATACATGTAGGTACATAGGTAGTACCTAATGTTAGTATAATTAGTATAAAAATTGATTGCACCAAACCACGTATGTAGCTAACTAAGACATGCATATGCAGATTATGTAGATATCCATTCTATGTACCTACCTAGGGTAAGTAGGTACTAGGTTTAAGTGGGACATGAGGGGTTCAGTGCATCTCCATATTAATGGAACTCATTTTAAGTCCAATCACCTTACTTTAGTTTAAAAAATTCGAATGCGACGAACCCCACCTAAGTAAGGCTAGTACCTATCTACCTACTTATCTCAGGCTGTGATCAATAAATTTTTTTTTCCTTTTTTTCTTCTTCCTCTGTGTTGTGGCCAAAATTTTACGTCGTAGGAAATTACAATTTGACCAAAAATTGGAATTCTGGACGAAGGACCTCATCGTAGACCTAAGGTCATCGATGAAATCCAGTCCATTTCCCATCACTCTTTCTTAACTACTACTAAAGTTTCTGCGCCGGCGCCAACACGTCAATACCCCAACGCGACTCTTTACATTCTACCTAAATTTTCAACGATCTGCTACTATTCAAAATGGATCAGCAAAAGCTTGTTGAACTGCTTCAGGCATGCCAAATTCGTAAGTGAACATGATGAATCACCAAGATGTGTATATGCATACATAATGTATCGCATTCGCTGACATCCCTTCTTTCTCCCTAGCTGATACGCAGAAGGTCAAGGCCGCAACCGCAGAGCTTCGAAAGAACTTCTATCCTTATCCAGAGTCCTTGCTCGGCCTCCTCCATGCCGTAGTTTACCACTCTGAGCCTACTGTGCGCATGCTTGCTGCCGTCCAAGCTTTACGACTTGTTCCTAAGCATTGGGGGGATATTGCCGCCGACCAGAAGCCTGCCGTGCATAACGAGCTGCTTCAGGCCATCGTTAAAGAGCAGGATGCTAAATGCCGCCACGGCCAGTCTCGCGTCATCGCTGCCATCGCCGCCTATGATTTCGAAGATGGCCAATGGAGCGAGTTGCTGCCTGCTGTTACGCAGTTGACTACATCCGACAACGTCGCCCAGCGTGAGGTTGGTTCCTACATCATATACAGCCTGCTCGAAGCAAACCCCACATACTTTGAAGATCACCTGTCGCAGTTGTTCCAGCTGTTTGCAAAGACTATCAGGGACCCACAGAGTCGCGATGTGCGCATCAACACAATGTTGTCTATTAGCTCTCTTCTCATGTTGATTGACTGTGACGAGGATGAGCAATCCGCCAAAGCCGTTCAAGAATTTGTCCCAGCCATGGTTGATGTCCTCAAGGATGCAGTAGATAGTGGTGATGACGACAAGATACAGCAATCTTTTGAAGTGTTTCAGTCATTCCTGGCTTACGACTCGGCCCTAATTTCCCGCTATTTCAAAGATTTGGTTCAGTTTATGCTCGATCTCGCTACCAATACCAATGCTGAGGGTGATGTACGCACCCAAGCCTTGTCTTACCTTACCCAGTGCGTCAAGTATCGTCGCATGAAGATCCAAGGCATTCCCGACATGGGCGCTCAGCTCATGAAAAAGAGTTTGGTGATTCTATCCGAATTAACTGATGATGACGAGGAGGAGGACATGACACCAGCTAGGTCGGCTCTATCTTTAATAGACCAGCTTGCCAGCGATCTGCCTCCACGACATGTCATAGTACCCCTACTTGACGAATTCTCAGCATATGCTAGTTCACCAAACCCAGGACATCGCAAGGCCTGTGTCCTTGCCCTCGGCACATGTGCCGAAGGTGCGCCTGAGTTTGTGTCCACTCAGATAGCCTCTGTCCTTCCCATGGTTCTGAACTTGCTCAAAGACCCTGAACAAGGTGTCCGTTACGCTGCCCTCTTGGGTCTCATACGCCTCGGTGAAGACTTATCTGATAGCATGTCCTCCCACCATGACGCCATCATAACTGCGTTGGTCATGAATCTAGATGCAGCAAGCGGAAACGAGTCTGATAAGAAGAATGTTGAGATCATTCGATCTGTCTGTGGCGCTATCGATTCTTTAGCTGAGGGCTTGGGGTCTGAGGTTATGGCTAAATATGGTGAGACCATGATACATCGCATTGGAATGTTTCTCTCACATCCAGACCCTATGGTCAAGTCCTCCGCCGCGGGCGCACTTGGTGCTATTGCTGCCTCTATCAAAAGTGCGTTCAACCCCTTCCTTAAGGAGACCATGGAAGCTATGTCATCCTATCTCCTAGCTGAAAGCGGAGAGGAAGAATTAGCATTGAGAAGCTCCGTCTGCGACGCTATGGGTCGCATCGCGGTTGGTGTCGGTGCCCAAGATTTTAGCCCGTATGTCATGCCTCTATTGTTAGCTAGTGAAAAGGCACTTCACCTTGGAAATCCTCGCCTCCGAGAGACAACATTTATTTTGTGGAGTCAGCTCGCGACGGTATATGAAGGAGAACTCGGTGATTCCCTTGCGGGGATCTTCAAAGGTCTATTCGACAGTCTCGAACTTGAAGAAGAGGGGCTCGAGCTGGACGTCCCCGAAGACCAGCAAGGCCTCGTGGATGAAATCGCTTTCCAAGGAAAGAAAATCAAGGGTAAGGGTATTGGTGACTCTGACGATTCTGATGCGGATATCATGGAAGACGATGATGATGATGACTGGGATGATCTCGTCGGAGTGTCCGCACAAGCGCTCGAAAAGGAAATCGCGCTGGAGGTGTTAGGCGATGTCATCTACGCCGCCAAAGAGAAAAGCGCGCCATACATAGAAAGAGCCATAGAGCTTGTAGCACCATTCGCAGAGCATTCCTACGAGGGCTGCCGGAAGACTGCTATTGGAACCCTTTGGCGAACGTATGCTTGTGTCTGGGAGGCCATGGAAAAGCAGACTGGTCGCAAGTGGGAGCCAGGTTTGCCCTTGAAAGTTGAGCCCGTTCCTCATATTTCCAAGCTGGGCGAGATCGTCGCTACCGCCACGATGCAAATCTGGCCCGAAGAGTCTGATCGGTAAGTTTTTTTTTTCTATTCGTTCGCACCTGTGCTTGTTTTCTACTCTTAACTTCAAATGATGACTACTTCACGTTATACCCAGCTCACTCAGACGCTTAATGCGGTTGCTGAGAACGCGTTTGATCACGTCTGATGAAGTTCTCCCTATATATCATGGACGTTTCTTGCCCAGAAGCGAGTTGCATGCTAATCTGCTTCAGGGATACCGTTACGGAGATCAACCGAAGCATAGCCTCCACTTTAAAGGCGTGCGGTCCAGCAATTCTTGGACAGAAGGACTTGATGGAACAGATTATTACCATCCTTGGCACCATCATTACTCGATCGCATCCTTGCCAGTTAGATCTTGGTGAAGAAGAAGAAGACCAAGAGATCCAAGGAAGCTCTGAGTGGGATTGGTTGGTTGTAGACACTGCATTGGATGTCCTGATTGGCCTAGCTTGTGCCCTTGGCCCGCAGTTCGCCGCTGTCTGGAAGATATTTGAGAAACCCATCATAAAGCTCCTTAGTTCTGAGGAGGCGATTGAGCGGTCTACTGCGGTTGGCGTGGTAGCTGAATGCATCTCCTATATGGGCAGTGCAGTGACTCCTCATACCTCAACTTTACTGCGTCCATTACTGCACCGCCTTTCGGACGAGGACAAGGAGACAAAGTCGAATGCGGCATATGCAACTGGGCAACTCGTGTATCACTCAGAGGATGCCAAGACGTATCTTCCCGCGTTTAATGAGATTCTAGGAAAGCTCGAGCCCCTTTTACAGATCAAGGATGCCCGTTTACAAGACAACGCAGCCGGGTGTCTATGTCGCATGATTCTAGCCCATCCTGACCAAGTCCCGATCGCAGACGTGCTTCCTGCGCTCGTCGATCTACTTCCTCTGAAGGAGGACTATGAAGAGAACAAGCCCGTTTACCAAGCAATACATAACTTATGTAAGTCACACCAACCTATCTGCATGACACTGCTCCAAGATCACAGTACTGACTGCAATTTCTTAGATGTTCTGTCAAACCCAACAGTACAAGAGCTCACGCCCAAACTTCTTAATGTTTTCCAGCAGGTTCTCGGTCCACCGGAAGAGCAACTTGAGCAAGAAACCAGAGAAGTGGTTCGAGAGATGGTGCGCGTTCTGACCAAATAGGTACTCAGATACAAGAAGAAAAAAAAGAAGAAATGCCCTACATGAATGGAAAGGAAATGAAAGGAAAGGAAGGAAAAGGGAGTTGAGGAATAGGTCAGGTGGAAGAAATGGATATGATTGCACGAGTCGTATGAGTGTATGAAGAATAGAAATGTGATGGCAGCTCATGTCTGTACATAGATGATTCCCCAACGATAGATTCCCGAATGTTCCTTGCAATGCTAGGTACTTACTTACTCACCATGGTGGGCTTGCAATAATTCATGCGTCCAGTCAATTTCCATTTCTTGATAGAGCCAAATTGTGCGTACTGAAATTACCGGGCGAATCCCTGGCTACTACGACGTCGACCGCTCGTAGTTGAAACAAAATATTGTCTCTTGGAGGCTGGGCAGCACAAGGGCGTCTGTTGTGTGCTACGACAGAGTAGAAATGAGGAAGCTGACAAGGGTGTATTCGTCAAACTTCACAGCCAGCTCGGTAGAATTACTACAAGTAATAGTTATCCTGATATACTTAAATAGTTGATATTTGGCAGGCCTCCAGTCGGTGTTTTTTGGTTACCTACCTAGAGTGCCTAGGTACCCAATGATTTTCAAGCCCTCGTTGAGAGAGGGTGTGTAGGTCAGTTAGGTTAGTATTGTATTGTATTGTATTGTACAATACAATACAATACATACCTAGCAGGCAATAGTAGTAATCAATACAGTTATTATTCCCAATATATCCCCTGGCTTCTACCTGGCTCCCGAGCCGCTGCTGTGGACTTTCCATCACTTGGCGTAAGATCTTTAATCAGGGGACGGGCCTTAACGTCTAGGCATATCTACGTATCTAGTCTTTTTATGATAGAGATACTCGGTAATACCCTAACCGGTTAGGTAGGTAGTTTTAGAAAATTACGATGGGGTAATAATGTCGAGCAGAACCAAATAGCACACGGTTCTTTTCTCTCTCGACAACTAGGCATCTAACTTGTCCATACGTTACTCTTGAACACCTTAATCTCAGGCTATCGTCCACTCAGCCCCCCGTCCTTACACGTTCTAAATGTCCGCTGTCTTATACCAGGTTATATATTGTGACGAAACGCGTAGCGGTGGGAGATTCTACATCAGTATATTTTAGGAAGCAGTTTGTACAAGAGACCTGGGCCATTCGCCGATGATACCCCAATCGTAGAAACGTACCATCAATATCAGTAGCCGAAATTAGGTCAACAAGCTCAAGCCGGCTCCTAATTAAGCTTAAGACAGGCAGGAACTTAGATGGTACATGGACAAACAAGAGGACACCCACAAACCCAATGCGCTCTTACATGTGTGCTCTTACCGCGTGCAACATGAAGGAAGAGCCACGGCCATTTTCGTGCTTCACTAAGCGTCCTAGCCTAGGGTGGCTATCAAATCATGGAGAAATAGGTCTTCTAAAACGTGTAGAGCAAGTGTTTCTTCATGAACGGAGTCCTCGGGGCCGGTTCGTACATTACCTACATGTGTGTCGAGCATGGCGATGATTGACATGCTTATTTCCTTTCGCCCCCCTATTGAGCGGAGGAGGGGAGGACTGGCCATGCATATATGCAGACGGCTACAACGAGCTTTCCCCCCTGCGTATTGCGTTAGTTTCTCACTGTGACCAGCTCTACATAGGCAGGGGGTTCAGCCAATAGGCAGATATTTCCCCTCGGCAACCAGTAGAAAATGCATCGATTTATGCGAGCCTCACCTACCGTGCAATCATCTAACCTACATCATTACATAGTTCTCGCTCTGGTTGGGGTAGGGTAGCGTAGGATACATAGCGTGTGGTTGCATCCAGTATGTCGGATTTTCCAAGCACGGCCGCATTCGTGTCTGTCAGGACTGCCTAATACAGTAAAATAGCACACTGTCTCAGACTTGATAAGAGGGGTCTCTTGACTTTTAACGCTCACGTTCCCCAGACTGCGGTATTATAATACGCTACGATCCATGCCTAGTCCTCGCTGCTGCATCTTAGCATACGTAGCAGTTCGATTATGTATATGCTGAAGAGAGCATATGCGATTCATACTGTGTCGTGTATATGTACTACGTACATATGTCGGTTGGAGTTGGGTTCATCTGTATCCGTTCCAAAAGGGAAGTAGAAATATACTGCGTAGGCTAGCTGCGCGCAAGACGTTTCGTATAAATCAAAACGTTAGGGGGGTTTTATGCATGTCGTTCAATACTAATCTACCGTCAGTTTCTAGAGAAGGGAACTATTAACTACTAACATATAGGTTAGAGGTATGTATTGTACTTCGATTAGATGTTATATGTACGGAGTATATGTGACTATTCGTACATCTATGTAAGTGTTGTTGGCTAATTATAGGTAGGTAGAATTATCAAGTGGTACCATATGAACATTCGAATGCTACCAGCTTCTGTATCAAAACATTCCTTGAGGATGAATGAATATGCAGAAAAGATTTCTCAGAAAACATTCCTCAGAATCCTTGCCTGTGAAATCGCTGATGGCTTCCCAACCCCCCCACACACCGACGTCTCTAGGTTAGTGGATCTACATACAGGCAAGGAACATCATCTCCGATCTAAGGTTGCCGTCATTCGATTGCCGCCGTGCGCAGGAAATGGCGATTGGCGCATGGGGTTTACGTCCAGGGGCAAAGCTTGATTTGTTGATGATGGAGACGATAAAAAGTGAATAAAGATACGCACTGACGCAGTAAGACAAACTACTAATATGTACAATACAATACAAGCACCTACCTAACCTAGAGAGGTAGGTAGGTGGCTATTTTTGATCAACCTTACCAACCCTGTACTATGCCGTACATGTATATTATTGGTGTTTTCTTTGTTCTCAAGAAAACACGGCACATGCCAAACCAGTATACACATGACAGACAAGCAGATAGATATACATATTATGTAGTTACCTTTGTATGGGTTTCAATTATGTAGGGACATGCAGATGTCAATTGTATTATGCATGTGTAGAAAGCATGGGACGAGTCAATGTTTAATGCTGTGCTCAAGGAAAGACTTCATTACCACGAAGCTACCACAGCACGGTCGTGAAGCTTCAGCACTAGCCTACCGATCCTGCCGAGGGGGTAGAGACCATGGATGCGAGATTGATACAGCTCCTAGGCGTACATAGGCTCTTTGCAGTATCAGATGTGGTACAATACATTGCATGCTGCAGCACTATGTATTGTACATACCCATGCACTGTCAAGTACCTACATACATACCTACATAGACATAGTTATATATATAATACTTTATATATAATATTTCAAAGCTGAGAGATGATATCGCAACATTAAAGGCGTCCAAAGCACGGCCCTTTTAGGTGCCGGTAGCCGTACATATTGCGAACTACATATGTAAATATAATAATCATTCCATACACACATATATCGTAGACCTACATAGGTAGGTAGATAGGTACCTACATATTAATATCTATATTTTTCGAGATTATGTACAACATGTATGTCTACATACACAGGTACCTAGGCTGATAGGTCGGAAGATAAGAACGCTGGAACCCATGTCGATGGTGCTCCTCTTTGCCCTTGCTGGGCATTGATGGCCAAGTTAGCTGATGTTGATCCTTTTCAATTCTTTGAAATGTAGATAAATTACTAACCTAGATAAGTGCTGCGCTTAGGTGGGTACCAAACAACAAAGGATGAAGATGTACTCATACATATGTATCGACACCGAAGTCTCCAGGCATGCTGTACTACATTAGCATGTATATATATGTAGTTTCGAGCTTCGAATACCATCTAGCACCTACCTGAATGCCTTCAGAACACTAAGTACCTATACTTTAAACCCAAGTACCTGGATAAAGGATCTCAGGATCCCTATCAAGCCACCAACCTATGGTTTGGAACCAGTATCACCAGAAGGAATGACTATATAACAAACATAGGTATATGGACAAAAGATTTGGGCCTTTTGGGCCTGCTCTGTCCTTGGGAACACGAGCTTCAGCTACTGCTAACCTTTAGTGTACAGCATACATTAGACACATGTAGTGCCAGTCCTGTCTTTGAATAACAATGATGAATGATGACAGTCTGCTTTTAAGGGATACGTAAGATAGCTGGTGTGTGTGACAAGCGCAGATATTTACCAAATGTGGCTAGATGAGTTGTTATGTCCCTCTCAAACACACAGAGGTTGCTTCCGGAGTCCAGATTAAGCGGGATTACTACTACCATTCTTGACAGTACTGTAGAAAGTCATGAATATGAAATGTGAGTCAGGCAGGGTACAAGAGCCAACCCCCCCTGGCTGGAGGAGTGAGTTCGGGGTGCGTACCGCGTACATCCAGCACACCCGCATATTGATTTGTCTGATAGCTGTGAACCGAGGACAATGGCACCTCGGATATGTAGTAGTATCCATATATGTGTAGGTAGGTAGGCATGTAGATACCATATGCAGATATGTTGTGGGTACAAACATGCAGGCATGTAAGGCATATGGATGCCAACGAATAGGAGCTTGAGGTCCGCTTCCGAGGGATCAGGGTTTCGATGAGAGTCGAGACACTTGGTATATAACTGCAGAGAAGATTCTTTCCCCCTCCCTCCGTTCCTCTCCCTCTTCTCCTCTCCTACCCATCCCTTTCACTGTTGTTTACATCGGTCTCGTAATAAGAGCAGGGCAAGAGGCAAGAGACGACGAGTAAGACATAGGAGGCACCAGTCATTCGCTAATCAAATCGCCTGTACAATATTCGGCCTTTCTCAAGCAATTAAATCAACAACACAACACAATACACATACTGCCAATCGTTCAGAACTACGCAACTCGCCCAACCGACAACATGCGATTTTCGCTCGCACTCGTTTCCACCCTGTTGGGCATTGCCGTCGCGGCGCCCCAGGGTGTCACCGACAAGCTCACCCCGACTGCTCCCGCCCCGGCTGGCTGCACGGGCACTTTCGATGGTAACTTTGAGATTACTGTCGCTGAAGTGACCGAGAAGCGCAGCGTTTCTCAAATCGAGGTATGTACAAATGACGTGGGGTGATCCCAATGGCTCTTCATCGTCCCAGTCCACAGATACCACACGAGATAATGTGTCTAGATACCTATTAGCTAACTTGAATTCTAGAAACGTGCCGAGTGCGGTGCTGATGGTGTTCTCGTCTTGTCGCTGAAGGATGGATCAACCTTCGACGCCAAAGACCGAACTGGTTACATTGCGTCCAACTACCAGTTTCAATTCGACGCACCCGCCCAAGCTGGCGCTCTCTACACCAGCGGTTTCTCTGTCTGCGAGAACAACGTTTTGGCCCTGGGTGACTCCCAGACTTTCTACCGCTGCCTGTCCGGAACGTTCTACAATTTGTATGACCGTAACTGGGCACCGCAATGTGAGCCTGTCTCGATCATCGCCGTTCCCTGTGGTTCAGACACTCCCGCTGCGCAGATCCCAGATGGCCAGGTTGTCGGCACTACCGTTGTACAGACTACTATCGTCACCGCTTTGCCCGATGGCCAGCCCCAGGTGGTCACAACTTCGGTCCCTGTTCCTATCTGCCAGATTGGCGATGGCCAGGTTCAGCAGGTCACCACTCCTTGTATCTCCGTCACCGCTACTCCGACCAGCACGTATGTGCCCGTGAGCGAGTACACTGATGGCCAGATTCAAGTTACCCCTCCTGGAACTGCCCCCGCGCCGCCTGCTAGCCCGACTCCCGAGTCGCCCGCGCCATCCGCACCCGCTCCGTCAGCGCCTGCTCCGTCGGCTCCTGCCACGACAGCACCGGCACCCAGCAGCAGTGCGGTTGAGTCCAGCTCAGTCGCTAGCTCCAGCGCCAGCGCCCCAGCCAGCTCAACCTCGGCCAGCCCTACATCTCCCCCGGTTGAGACCTCGGCTCCACCGCAGAGCGGATCGTCTCGTGTCTCGGTCGGATCAGTCGGTGCCCTAGTCTTCACAGCCATGGTCGCGTTCTTCTACCTGTAAATACAACCTGGGTTCGGCGCAGATGGGCCCTTCGTTTTGACGACTTGGTAAAAATGGAAAGGAATGAAGCCATTGGCGTGGAATTAATTACAGATACCGTCATATAGATGACGGTCTAATGGGTAACGAGAGGCAAGGGAAATGAAACTCAGAACGGCGATAGTACCTAGTGAGCACTGAGCATGGTCGGAGTTGGGAAGTAATGAAAAAAAAAACTCCAGTGCATACAGAGAGTCCTACATAGCAAGTTCTAGTATATACCCACGTTGAAAACAACTGTACACCATTCCGGTAGTACGCTAGTGGTGACAATTCAGTGTGATGTCCGTATAATTCCTACCATCTTATTTTCCCCGTGTCTTCTTCAGCTGAAGACTTCTGGGGGCAAATTAGGCGTATGGAGTCATGAATTGATAGTAGATAATATATCCAAGATGAGGTATCTTAATCAGGCTAGCCATTCACCCAAGCCAATAGTTATTACGAGATATCGTTGTAGGTCTAGTGGTGAGGAGGGGGAGGAGTTTGAAAGGTAATACATATCATATATCATCATGAGGACTGTAGGTAAGAAAGCACATGGCAAAGCTAGAAATGTTGAGATTAACTAAGTTACCTAACCTAGTAGTTACCAACTAATTACTAGTAGTAACTACGGCAGCACGGCTTAGTCGTTCCGGATCCACATTAACTCTTCGCCAAGACAAATCCACGGGTAACCGCATATATTTACGTAAAGGGTCAGCAGGTCTCACCTAACATCGAATAGCAACCTGAGTACACTGTACGTAAATGTTCAACTATTCTGATATGCCACTTCAACGGTGACTGCACATAGTAAACTCTGTTGTATCCCAACTACATATCTACGCCTTTAGTAGGAATACCATCTACTCAGTTCGCCAACTCCAACAATGTCCGAATACTGGAAATCAACCCCCAGATATTGGTGCAAACACTGTAGCATCCATGTTCGCGACACCAAGTTCGAACGTCAGAATCACGAAGCTACAGCCAAGCATCAAGGAAACCTGAAGCGTTTCTTGCGAGACTTGCATCGCAACCATGAAAACGAGCTACGGGAGAAGGAGCGAGCTAAGCGTGAGATTGAACGGCTTAATGGCGTTGTTACCAACACAACCTCGGATCAGGGCCCAAGTACTGCGCCAAACAGGATACCCCCCTCGATGACGACACAAGCTACCAATACTCAGCGAAAACAACAATGGGAACAACTTGCTGAAATGGGAATTGACGTCCCCACCGAACTGAGAGGGGATTTGGCCATGGCTGGTGAATGGACCGTTACCAAAACGAAGGTCATTAGCGACACATCGAAGTCGGATGACCCAGACGCGAAACCCGAGAACATCGATGCGATCGCATCGGGCGTGCGTAAGCGACCAAAACCTGAAGAAGATGAGGATGAAGGACAAGAGGAAGAAAACGCCGTTAATAGTCTATTCAAGAAGCCTAGGAGATGGGGTCGCGATACGAAACAGGCTCCAGAAGATGACGCAGAGCTGGATGCGCTGCTTGGTGGGACTTTAACGAAATTGATCAAACCCGATATACAACCGCACGATTCAACTAAGAAAGAGGACGATTCGGTGGGCACCGATACAATAGAAGAGTCATCATCAAAAGTAAAAAACGAGGACAAAGACGATCAGCCTCTAACGGACATCAAACCAGCAGCTGCCGAAGACGTTGATGCCCCTCCAGTCAAACAAGAAGAAGACACGCAAGGCGGAGCACCTGCTGTAGTCTTCAAGAAGCGAAAACCTAAGCACATTCGACAAAGGTAAACCACGATGAACAACAGGAAAGACAGGAAAGAAATAAGATAACACCATTGCCATCACGATGGTCTCACTGTTCCCTCGGAATGTCCTTCGAAATATCCCATGGGATACCCTCATATATCCGGTATTCGGGTGGTTCCATCATGAACTATCAATACGACATATATAAGACACGCCATTGCATATTGTCGATATCCGCGCAATATGGTATAATTTCCGGTACTAAGCTACTATGTAGCTAAAGAAAACAAAACACGACACTCGCCCTTTGAGACCTCGTCTCATCTTTCTTAGGCTTTGGCATTGTCATGAATTGGGGAAGATTCGAAAGGCTCGTGGAATATTCTGTCACGAGGAGCTAGAGTAGATGGTTATTAGGCCTTGCCCGCTTGGTAGGTTACTTCCAAACCCTCTCCTGATCCCTCGGTATCAGTCCGTCTATGCCCGCGCTATATTGAAGGGGGCTGAAGGTTGCTATTAATATAAATTCTAAGATAACAACCTACCTAGCACATAGCACAACAGATACGTTGGCTTTCAATGCCTGACAGAAATAACATCGTGAAACTGGATTGCTCTACATACTGGGCTTTTACCTTTCATCTGAGAACCTCCTTATCAGTCATCATGCTTGTTCGCGACGGCAGGTTTCAGATATTATCTGATGGGCAGAATTCGTGATACATAGGTAACGCATTCAAGTTGTGCTACACATGTACCTAAGTTTAGAGAATGCTTAAAGTTGCCTACTTAGGTGCCTACCTTGGTATTTGGTAACTATAAATAGTATGTACGTAGTATATATAGAAACGTTGAACTTGAATGATGAGTCTAGTCTGTACGATAGTTTGACAAGAAAATAGTTAAGAGATACAGTATTTATGCTGTGTCCCAACCCACATTCTATATACTGTATGTACACTGCTAAACTTCAGTTCATACCAGGCTCTAATCAACATTATATCTAATTTGATTATTATATAATTACATATTAACTATTGTTTAGAAGCTGACTACTTATAATTATACTAGGTAGGAGCTCTAGAAGCATACGCACGGTTCTACAAGCATGATTTCAAGGCCTATCAGTGATGGCTGTTAGCTTCAGTTAGCTCTATGATTTTACTGCTATAGCTACTATAGGCCGGTAGTTGGTCGTTGGCGGGGTTTGATATACCGAGACATTACATGGATAGTAAGGCTCTGTAGTGAAGTTGTATTGCATTGCCTAGTGCATGCATGAACCATACTAGATCCGTCATTAAAACATCAATAGCCTACTTCAAGTTTGAAATGCTTATACATGCCTACCTAGTAGGCAGATAGCTGGGTATCTATGGATATCAGGGGACATCAGGGGATAGGGGATATGATTCTCACCTAACTATAACTAACTACGCCGCAGTCATCCCAATTAACTAATATTAATATTTAGATAAAATTGCTTCGAGGTTGTGTACATAGGTTATCGCCGTCCAAAATTATGTCTGATGTCTTCTGGTCAACTATCTACATAAGTACTACCACTATTATTCATTGAGTATACAGTAAGTATGATGCTGAACATCTCCCTGGCCTTATAATTTCAACTTTACCAGGGCGAACCACGAAGTTGCATGGACGGGTCCTTACAGCCTCATGTCATTGGCTGAAGTGAACATGGAACCACTTTGCCGGGACAGACAGTTTGGGTGAGCATTGAAGAGCAAGGTCTTGGGTATCGTCCCGAACCAGGCGATGCCACGTCGAATTGTAGACCCTTTGATATGTAGGTAATATTGTACAATCAATACATTATGACATAGTAATTACTATGTATCTGTGCTTGTCATCATGGGTCACCAGCATGGGTTTTTTGTTTCTGTACTATGTACGTATCCGTACTGATCATGGCTCTTATGCAGAATAAATGTGGAATTAGACGACACCATATAGTTATGATCGGCAAGATGAGATGAGAAGACTCCAAGTTATGTTGAGGAAGTACAGCCTGTAGTTAAACTTACAAAACTTCCATCCTCTACCCTTGGCGTTCGGCTTGGCCGTTGCTTGCTGCAGTATTCTATTGGTTGCTTGGGAATAGAATCTATTGTATAGGGCTGTTGGGAGCTTTGGTACATATTACTCTGTTATCGTTCTGTGAGCAGAATGACTTGTCACGCTGCTGTGATCTGGCGTACGAAACTTCGCCTCTCGGAACGAATTACTCTGTGATAGTCTTGTATGTACATACGTGACACGGACGAAGCTCGAACCACTGCTGCGGGATGTTACTTAATAACTATTTCTACCATGCTCAGTCTTCTACTTCTTCTCTAGGTCTGGATCTCGTTGCTAATCACATTCATCGTTGCTCTGACTGCTGATATTGATACCCTAGTAGGAATTACAGAGTCTGTGGAGAGGACCCGTCTTCTGATCACACCCCTTGACCAGATCCTGTGTAATTTTACCACTTGTACATGAAAAAGTCAGAGTCGGCCGAAGCTGGCTACTTGTTCAGCTGCTCCAGCTCCCTTCACCTCTGAACGAAAACTCTAATGGGAGCCCAATCCATCCGTCGTGTGGTGAAAATACAGATCTTGACATGACCGAGTTAGCTGACTCAACAGGTCGAACCTCGATCCAAGCTCGCCCAAGTCAACGCACACTGGCAAGAGAGCTAACCCCATCGCCGATATCGACATCGCCCCATCCCGTCACCAGCGATGATATCTCTCAAGTCAGCTCTAGGTCCCAGACCGGCGATGCTCCTGGACTCACTCGCCCCTCTCCCGCGGCATCACCAGGGCCACCAAAATGGCCTTTCTTTAGCGAGGAAGAAAGCCATCCGACTCCAAGCCCATCGATGACTTGGCCGAACGACGGCGGGTTGAGCTCTCGGTCCCTTACAGCATCTCCCAGAATGCCATCTGGATATCCCTTTCCTCCACCAAGCAGGGAAATTGGGAGCACAAAGGAGTCATCGGACTACCTGTATCGAAACCAACGACCGAGGCCAAGTCCCATGCAACTTGAGGAACTCCCTATGGGTTACAAAACTTCCGGTGGATCACCGCAACCCATAGCTTCTCCTCAGAGCCATACTCGCTCAGATTCTGCTGCCAAACTTCTCACGATGCCAAACACGCCAAACACAGCAACATGGAGGAATCCTCAAACACCTCAGCGTTCCTCGACAGAAAAGGCCCCAATCGATGAATGGTGGCACCACCGACCGGCCTGGTTTATGTATGTGTCCTTCTTCTGTGGTGTGATATTCGCCATATGCCACCACTTATTTTATAAGTATCTTGACGGGAAATATGCGGATGAGCAAGTCGCCATGCTTCGTTATGGCACGGTCTTGTCGTTTGCAGCCAAGGCTGGGCTCGTGGCAGGGGTGGTTATAGCCTTTAAACAGCGGATCTGGACTACTGTGAGAAATAAGTTTCTTACCTTGGCCGCTTTAGATTCCCTCTTCGCCGCCACAGAGGATGCTACGGCGTTTCTCAACCTCGACATCTACAAGAGTGCCAAGGTGGCCGTGCTGTTAGCGGCATACATCTGGGCAACCCCACTGGTGGTGATATTGACGAGCAATACCCTGAGCGTGGTGCCGGCTTTACGGCTAGACAATACAACGTGCCAGGGTATCCGAACTCTTAACTTTACCCACGATGAACTCGAGGTGACTAGCTTCTTCCATTGAACTTGGCGTACAGATCAATCTAACGAATGTGCAGGAGTGGAGAGAACCCACCAGAATCAACGGGCTCAACGGCCTCTCTATATCGATCTGGAATACGACGTCGATGGATGTTGCCGCACCTGATTGGTTCGATTACTACACAGGGTCCAGCAATTCGCTGATTCGCATCGCAACCCAAGCAGCCTTAACGGGACGACCGGTTAGTAGGATCGAAGCGAATGAAGACATATGTGGTTCCGACTGGGACTGCACTTACGTAGTTAATTTTACGGCACCGGCGTATAAGTGTACCGAATTAGCCCGGGGCGTTGGCTCTCATATCAAGCCATTAGGTGGTCAACAGCCTCCACGTGGGCTCGACACGAAGCTCCTCCTCCCGGAGGGCAACTATAGCTACTACGCCTACACGAATGGGGGCGATTACGCCCCTGAGCAGCTGAAAGGCAGTGGCATCGGCGGTATTCCCAACATCGATCCCCCATATCCCCAGACCTTCGGGGCGTTCCGTACAGAGCCGGTCATCTGGATAGGCTACTCGGAAAGAACCCATCCGAACGAAACAGCGCCGCAAAACAGATCCATGCCGGGATGGAATGACGCATTTATCCCCAAGATAATCGGATGCGAGCATTACGAGGCCGAGTACACCGTCTTGTTCAACTTGACTGGTGGCCATCAATTTACCAACGTACTCAAACGCAAATATCTGAACCGTGTTATGGAGTAAGTGATTGTGGCCGAAATACATACCCCCTATCTATGATGATCGGGGTTGTCGGAATCATACAATCCAACATATTCCAGTTTAGTCGCGCAGTGCTAACATACCAGTTTAGGACTAATTGGGTCCAAGGAGATGATGCCAACGATGGCACAAATGATAACACTACGGCGTATCCGAAGCAAAATTATGTTTACCCGAGAGATCTCTACAAGTACCGACGAGTTGCTACATATCATTCGATGGGTGCGCAGTTACGAGGGTTTTTGAACGGCACGATCAATTCTGCACAGCTCAATACCCCGATCGAAGTCACGAGGGCAGACCAAACCAGGCTGCTAGACCAGAGGAAGGACTTTTTCGCCGTGGAGGACCTCCCGAATGCGATACAGGACTTTTACCAGGATATGATACTGTCGTTGTTTTCGAATCAACAATTCGTCAGCGTGGTATGGGCTGCCAAGCCGCATGTGAAGCCTGGAGCAAACGTTGGAGACGCGTCAACCATGTACCCATGTGTGAAGTCCCGGACAGAGAACAGATATGCATATCGGGAAAGAGACTTGTGGTTGGTGTATAGCTTCGCCATCGCGTTGGCGGCGGCCGGAGTGGCGGCGGGTACCATGTCGATTCTGGAGAACGAAGGCGTGATACGGAGCACGCGGTTCTCGAGCATCGTAGCGGCGACCCGAGGCCCTGCATTGGAGAAATTAGGGTGGGTGGGAAGCCATAGGAGTGGCGACCTGCCGAACGAGATGAAGAACATGAAGGTTGGCTTTGGCGTCGCTCACCGACCTAACGACCCAGTTGTATCACAGGAGGGTGCGGGACACCACGGACGAGAGGCGCAAGATGCTGAGGAGTTACATTACTGCTTTGGACTGGAGGGCGACATTCGACAGAGAAAACCGACGAGAATTGGGAGCAACATGTTTCGTCAACAATGATATAAAGAGTTCCAGGATAATTAATGTGTTTAGATTTATGGGATAAAGGGAGAAGGATGGGAAAAGCGTGACAGATAGGTCTTAACTACCGACCTATTACATGTATGCATCCGTTTGTCTTGAAGTACCTGACCTAGTATATTATTACATAGTATTATTACAATTTTCATGTTTGATTTGCCTATTCTTGGAATTTGGTACCTAGGTAATTGGAATTTATGGAAATATTTGATGTAGATGGGAAAACTAGGTAACGCATTACTACATACCTAGCAGCATCAATGTCTCTACATTATGCAACTTTGTATGATATAAACATTACATGTAGCCACAATGTGGCTAATGGGCTTACATATGTAGGTTATATGTAGTTACATTTCATTGATAATAGTAGTTATGTACGTATGTAGTATTCAGGTCTCGTTCAACATATGTATGCTTGCATGTGATGCTTCATCGTTCTGTATTGTACATGAACACCTGCATATGCCATACATATGTATGCCCCGGACTCGTTGACTACATATGTAGATACATAGATCTGTCTAACCTGACCTCTGCTTGTTGTACTTGTGGATGCAGTGGATATATTACGGCATGTTGCAGCATCTGATACACAACACCAACGTTGAATCTCTAATCTCTCCAAACACATACGTACATACATACGTACATACCATAGTACAATACATACAGTACCTATCAACCTCACTCTTAGGTCCTTATCCACAAGCCTTGAAACCTAACTGGACTTTCTAGGCTCACGAGGCACAAAACGTGGCTGGCGTGGACTGACTGTCAGGCACTGGCTGACGTACCAATCTAAGATCGACTAGCCTTTAAATCCTCCGATCGCCGCGGCGGTGGAAATGAGAGGATCAGTCAGTGAGAAACACTGCACGACAGGCGATCAATAGGATCAATTACCTCTGGACCCCGATAACGGTGGGTACTAGGCATCTGAGTTGTTCTATTCGTTCTATCCATGGATTCTGTCTGTAGGTACCACAGTACTGTATCTTATAAAGATGACCTCGGAAGATGTCTTATGATAATAGAATAGAGGGACCAGTCTCCAGCCCCTAACTTTTTCTCCCGCGGGCTCTTCCCGTCGGAACCGCTGTCACGATTTATACCTAGTCTAGGTGGGCATATCTTCTCCACCGACTATCCCCTACTGGGGATCGTGGGCTTGATCGCGAGCGGGAACGATTGGGCGGTCACGATAGCTGCCACTTGTCTCCATTCAAAGCCTGCAGTTCCAAGCCCTAATTGACAAGTGCTCCTTGAAGTGCTGTTTGACCTCTCCCTCCCGCGATCAGCGTTCAATTCGCCCACACTCATCCCTAAAGTAACAATGAGGCGGACGCGCTGAGTTTTCGCTGGCTCGAGACCTTGCGACTGGTCCCAGTTGTCGTGTTCTTCTCTTCAATGTTGTTCCCTATTTCGACATAACCTCGGAACCTTTCCCTTTTCGGTTCCAGTGCGGTCTTCGGCCTTAGTATGTACTAATAGTACTTGCATTTTATGATCCGAACCACTGGGATTGTAAATGCGGCCATAGCAGAGGGCCAGAGGCACGCCATCTCTTTTGCGTAGACGCTGCGATGGAAACTAAATTGGGTCCACGAATGAGAGGCATAACATCATATTGCATACTGATCTCGCTTGTCCCATAAGGCCGTCAACAACGTGGAGCAGTGGAAGCGCTGCAAGCACGCCTGATCTACCCCCTATCCAGCCAATCGTTAATACCTAAATACCTGCATCTTGAGACCGATGGTTCGGGCTGCGCTGTTGGCTCTTGTGTGGATTCTTACTAAACAGGGTATATCTCTTTCCCTTTTGACCCTTCGTCTTCTTCATTACTCCTTTCGTCGGGTTGGATACAGTGCACACACACATATATATATGTACCATGATCATACCAACCATTCGATGTATAGACCTACTATCTAGGTATATGTATGACCCTTACCTTGGACAGCTGGGTCGGTAGCTACATGAACAAAGCGCTTCCATCGTAGGAAAAGCCACCCCCGTCGATTTTGTCAACGTTAACACTCTCATACAATTCCACTTTATTACCCCATTCGTCGTTAGCGATCCCTTCACCGCCGCGAGCTCCCTCTTCAGCCAAACGCAACCGTGCTGGCCCGCCTAGCAAGGTTGTCGCCCTTTTCCACCACTTCATAAATAATCAAATCAAGCACACGTCTTCTTCCCTCTCTCCACACCCAACTTTGTGAGAAGACTTAAGTGCTGCAAAAATGACTGTGGAAATCGTCACTGTTGTGAACTCGTCGGGGAAGATTATTAGCAATGTAAGTTGCCACCGTTATATATTTTTTTTTCTTTTGCGTCTATGCAACCTCTTATTTACCCCTCCATTACCACTGTTATGAGTATTATCACATGTACACGCTACGGACAGGTCTGCATTAGATCTCCGCAGGCATTCTACAGACACCCCGCAGAGAATAATCACTTTTTTTTTCTATTTTTTTCTTCAGTGAAGCCGTCTCGAGTAGAAACCACCACTGCAATGCGCATTACCTAACAATATTTGCTATTTTAGGGCAGACACTTAATCAACGTCCTCAAAGAGGCGAGAGCTTCTTATCAAGAAAAGAAAGCTGCTATAAAAGCAGAACGCGCTGTTAGGCGTAGCGAGACCTTTGATGTGGGACCACGGTATTACGATGGGATTGATTATGATGCTTCACCTCGCCGAGCATCCCACGATGACAACGCCTCCTTCGCCTCGTCTCGTAGGAGCTATCGTTCAAAAACCCGCGAGGGGTCTAGATTCCGGTCCAGTTCACGGCCGGGGCGGGCATTGACGGAAAACAACCTCAAGACACTCAGCGAGGTTTCGTCTACGGCTCCTTCACGCCCTCCTGTTGCGTACCGCTCGCCATACGCAGAGACCACTCCCCGGGACATGATGTTAAGTCGCCCAAGCCTAGCACATGCACCAACAGCGCCTACCTACATTGCTGAGCCAACACCGATGCATATGGTACCTGTGTCCCGATCACTCTCGGATCCGGCCATGAGGGGGAAGGGGAAGGATATTGATATGAACTTGGCATACGGAGATGTGCCTCCCGACTTGGGAGACAGGGATGACTTGGATCCTGTCGTTGAGCAACCTCCAGAACAGAAGGAGGAAAAGGCGATGACTCTGATAGAAAAAATTGAGCATCTACTGACGGAAGCTCAATGCTTGCACCATACGGCAACACATATCATTCAGCATTTGCAAACCAATCCTGACGCGGCGGCGGCCGTCGCCCTCACCCTCGCCGAGCTTTCTGCGATACTTGGAAAGATGTCACCCTCTTTCCTTGCCGTCCTCAAAGGCGGAAGCCCTGCCATATTTGCGCTATTAGCAAGCCCCCAGTTCCTAATCGCGGCAGGAGTGACGGTAGGAGTAACGGTGGTTATGTTTGGAGGCTGGAAGATCGTCAAGCGAATCACAGAGTCCAAAGAAACTGTTTCCCCGATGGCCGTTGCAGCAAACCAGGGGCAGATGGCCGAACCCCGCCAGGCTCCTTATCCAGAGTCGGAGATTAGTGAGGGCTTCGACGAGGCGCTGATTCTCGAGGAAGAACTGAGTTCTATCGAGACGTGGCGCCGGGGCATTGTTCCGTTTGGTGAAGATGAGGGGGCAGATCTGGAGCTAATCAGCCCTGAGGCCGATCGTGCGATGCGGAATCAATTCGGTGGGGATGATGCACGCACCGAGCGCAGTTCCCGAACTCATCGGTCATCAAAAACAACCAAGGCTACCAAGACCAGCAAGACCAAGACAGACAAGACGACAAAGACGGACAAGTCGCAGAAGGCGCACAAGAGCCGGAAAGAAAGCTCAGGTGACCATAGTAAGGAGGTCGACGCTGCGAGTGAAGCGGGTAGCCATCGTAGCCACCGCAGCACACGAAGTCATCGGAGTGACAAGACAGACCGCACCTCCAAAACTAAGCATTCCGAAAAAGTAACGCTGAAGTCGATCGACGAAGGCCACGGCGACCGAGATAACTCAACCAATGCAGTACTCCGTCCGAAGAAGGACAACATGCTCAAGTCTTTGTTCAAGAAGAAGAAGGACCGAGACGAGAAAGACCGGGCTTATTCGGTAGTTGAATAGATAACCTACCTACCTAGGGAGTCATTGTTTTGGCATTTACACATAGCCTTTTCCTTTCAGTTTCATGCATGACAAACAACAGAATAGTAGGATACCAGGGTCCAGGAGGGGTTAGAATCATGATCGTCATAGGAGTTTTAAGGGATATATCTTGCATATGGGCACGAAGCATATAGCGAGCGGTTGTGTCGCACAGAATTTGTTCATACCTACATAAGTCAGACGATGGATGACGTGAGGAATCTTAGGGTGTGCAATTCAATTCAATTCATGAATGATTCATGTATCTGTCTTAGCGACTTGAGCCCATAGTGAATGTCACTGCCAGCCCTACAAACGACTATAGTCCATGTACCTAGTTATAGTATGACTCCTAGTTATAGTATGACTACCCAGTACATATATGGAAGACTTGTAGAATCTTGAAAACATCCTTGAATGGATTTGAGTACCTTGCAGATATGCTGGGTAGTAAGCAGGTTCAAAGTTGCTCCATAACTGTCCCTACATACATATGTACTAATATTATGTACATAAGTCCTAAATACTACATAATAGGTAGTAACTCGCATACTTCAATGTTCTACTCGCTTTCCTTGTTCCTACATAACAAAGCTACAGATGTAGAGTATCAATAAATTTTAATTCTCAACATAACATAACATAGTACGCATGTTGGTAGATACTTGGGTACCTGGCGTACGGACTCAGTTGAATGCATGATACCCCCTCTCGAGTCTGGACATGGAAAGTGTCAGTGCTCCTCGATCACCGTTAGAGCTTGTTGCGCCTTTAACCCTTTCAATGTTTGCAAAACTTGGAGGCACATGTCTACATAATAGCCGTTTCAGATTTAGTACACCGTTAGTTATATGGAAGCCTGTACCTGTACACTACGGCGTACATACTAGGGACGTAAATACGCATGCATCTACAATATAGGGGTCGGCTAGGATCATGCTATGAACCCCTGTGAATCGAGACACCCACTTTATTCGTATTCCTATCTTCACCAATTTTCCATCTCTACACCGTACGTAGTCCATACATGGCTGGTTGAGAGGTTGAACCGAAAGTCAAAAACTACTTCAGCTTGGCCTTTGTATTCTAGAATAATCAACTATGTTTCTAAATATATATTTACGAAGGTTGTGGCCAAAAGTTTAGACCAAGATATACCTTAGCCCCACAGTTCCTCCACTTTTCTACCACTGTAAGAAATATCATCGCCAATATACTTACCTACTTATAAAGCCTTATAAATTTATTTAATAAATATTAAATATGCTATTACGTTATTTAATTAGTGTATTTGATAATAGAAATTTCTGTAATTTTTTTTCTTTATTAAATTAATGTAAATATGTGTATAATAATCTAAGGTTGTTTAGGACTGAAAGCTTTAAGTTTATAGCACATTATAGCGCTTAAGTGTGCTATAAGGTGCTATACTTTTAAGGGTTGTGGGGGATTTGACGTTAAATGTATACCTATTATTGGTAGAGGCCCAAAAAAGAGTGGCGCACTGTGGGGCGGAGGTATATCTTGGTCTAAACTTTTGGCCACAACCTTCGTAAGTATCAATCATTGTCAATTAAAGCGTCTGACATACAGAGAGAGAGGTGGGTGAATGAAAGGACCTCTAGGCTGCCACTCAACTATGTAGGTACCTAACAGCTACCTAGGTTAGCAGCTGCTATTTATGTGCTACAAAATGTTGAACCCCTTGCACTGCCAAGGTATAATTCCAACTAAGAAATCCTTCCACGCAGGTCCACGTTGGCCAGCCGCATCTAATTCGTCCCTAATTCCATGACACCCCGTCTGATTGGCCCCCTTAAAACTCTTCCTTAGTTTCGATGAGTTCTCACCCCATCTACTGCACATACATAGTATAAGAGAGGCTCGGCCTAGGAAAATTATGAAGGACCCGTCTTGGGCAGGACTAGACTCTAAAGGATAGAGCTGAGCAGCATGGACAAGGTCTAGGCTGACGGCTGGGAAATGCTGAAATAGTTAAAAAGCGCGGTGCTTCTCGATCTTGGGATTGCGCAGGGTACTTACTAGGTAGTGGATCGATACTCTCAAGTAGTTATATACATCCATCCGTGTTATTACTTCGGTTTCCCCTTTGGCAGGTCCCAGCTCACAACTGTATACATCCAAATTTGAGTCTATGAGTCAACAACATACAATAACGTGGCCCCATTGATCGTCGGCGTGTGGATTATTCGATCTTTTATGAATTCTTGGGAATAAGAGTATTGCGCAATACTAAGCTTCGCAGATCACCTCCTTTTCTCTCGAGATCTCTCTCCACCAGTCCACTTGTTCGCACGTCCTGGTCCTATCTCCAAAATGTCCGAAGACTCAGGTACCACGGTGCAAGTGGCCTACACTCATCGCAATGGCGAACCGACTCCGCTTGAAATCCCCAGTGATCAGCAGAAGAGCTCGGGGATTGTCCAAGAGGATGCGTATCCTATGTCACCACAGCGGCATACGCCAAATCCATACAGTCGAAGGAATACAAGCCTTGACCTGGATGGCTACTTTGTATGTTAAATTTTCCATTTCCACGAAATCGCTAACGATTGACTAACTTCTTCCTCCTGCAGACCGGACCTCGCGACCTGTCTAAGCATTCGAAATGGCCTCTTTTTATGCAGTTACACGGCAGCATCCTGCCAAAGATGATCATTCCGTTACTTGTCGTCGCTGCTTGGGCCACCCTCATAACGGTTATTTCGATGAAGGTCCCCAACGTAAACCTCGGTATTAGTTCCATCCTGCTCACAATTACCGGTTTCGTTGTTGGTCTGGGCCTGTCTTTCCGTAGTTCGACGGCATACGAGCGATATGCAGAGGGTAGAAAGTTCTGGGGTCAGTTGATTTTCGCCTCCCAGGGACTTGGCCGCGTCTTTTGGCTGCACGCCGTCGAGCGCGAGGGCTCTCGTAAGGAGGATTTATTGGGCAAATTGTAAGCTTTTATCTTCTTCCTTCCCTCCCATACAGGCCTGTGTCCAGATTGTGCGGCATTTTCTAACTAGGACTAGGACTGCTATGAACCTGCTGGTAGCGTTTGCTGTCTCCTTGAAGCATAAGCTACGATTTGAGCCGTACACCTACTATGACGACATTGCCGAGTTAGTCGAACATATCGACACGTTTGCCCGGTCTGCCACGAAGGAGAACACCGTTAGACCAAAATCAGGCATGTTCAAGGCAGTTGGAGAAAACCTCGGATTGTCGTTCGCGGCATCTAACCCCCGGAAGATGATGAAGAAGAATCAATCTCCTCTTGGAAATCTTCCTCTAGAGGTTCTTTGTTATCTAACCGCTTATGTGGATGAGCTTGCTCTGAATGGCCAACTCCCCATTGGAATGCAGCAGACGGCAGCCTGTAAGTTGAGCAGGAGCAAGGCCAGTATGCGATATCTGAAGTTGCTGACAGTTCTCTTTAGACAATGGCCTTCAGGCGTTGAACGACGTTTTAGTCAATACGGAACGTGTTGCCAACACACCTCTTCCTATTGCCTACGCGATTGCCATCTCGCAGATCACCTGGCTTTACGTGTTCCTCCTCCCCTTCCAACTGCTCCTCGAGCTCGGCTGGATCACGATCCCGGCTACCGTAGCTGCATCTTATATCATCCTAGGGATCTTCTTCATCGGACACGAAATCGAGAACCCCTTCGGTAACGACGTTAACGACCTGCCCCTGGATTTGTTCTGTCAGCAAATCGTAGAAGACATGGAGACCATTGCAGCGCGACCGAAACCTCGCCTCTCCGAATGGGTTAACAACCCAAGGAATAAGGTCCTATTTCCCCATAGCGATTCAAGCTATAGTGTGTGGGCGCAGCGACCAGAGACAGCGATTCGCAATATACTACGGAACAGGCCCCACGCGTATTACAATCAGACGAACGAAAACAGCAGAGACGGAGAACAGAACGTGTAAAAAAAATAGGGAAATCTTGGCCGATCTCTTTTTTCTTTTCTTTTTGGATAATGATATTCCTATTTCCAAATACTAGGTGTATGGACACATCTATCCTTGGGTATAATCATTGGGTTAACAAGGAGGGAGAAAAAAGCACGAGTTACATACATACATGCATGCCTACATGCCTACTAGGTACTAGGTTAGCGTAGTAGGATGTAGGTTGGGGGGGGAGTTAATTGGTTTAGTTCGGCAGGAGTACACGAAATCGCCTTCGATCCTGTCTGCTTACATATACATAGTAGGTTAGGCACTAACATTGAACCTACATACTACTACTATGTAGGTGGTAAGGGTATAAAAGTTACGGATGTATTCGAGTTATTTGAGTTCAAATGTTTGTATTAGGTTAGGTACGGAGTACTATATGAGGTTATCTACTTACTGGCATATGTACATTATGGATAAGCAAAACATCAATGATGAAATATTCATATTATCGAGACTTATCATCATACTGAATCTTAAGCCCAAATTTCAAGGTTGGAGATCCCATGTAAATCATATGTTACCCCAGTACTGTACACTGTGCACCTTTTATCGTGATAATAACTCAAAAAAAAAAACATACCACATAACCTCATTCATCTACATGACGTAGCATCCTGGAATGTATTATGGCATTCTATTATCAACAACTGCCTTGGCTTCCTTTCCGTTGCAAAAATTAATTTTCTCCCCAACGGTAACCCCAAGACTTAGACTGGGACTGGGCCTTAAACTAAGACCGAGACTGAGATCATTCAAGCCCCAATCTTCACTCGCTATGGCTTCAAATGAGAGGGGAGAGCTGAAGAGGCGATCAGTAGCCGGTTCTTTCCTTTTTAAAGTACCGGATGGTGATGAAAACCACCCCCAAGTGGCTCTTTTTAGACGCAGTGGCAAAGTTAGCACCTATCAACACAAGTTAGCCCCCATCTCCGGCAGTGTTGAGAAGTACGATGCCAGTCCTATGGCAACAGCCCTGCGGGAAATCAACGAGGAAACGGGTCTGACCCTTTCTTCTATCGAACTTCTACGTGTGGGGAAGCCCTACACCTTTATTGACCAAACCATTGGACGCGAGTGGACTATCAATCCTTTCGCCTTTCGTCTCAAGAGCAAGGCCGAAGGAGGCAAAGGCGAAGAGGGTATCACTATTGACTGGGAACACGAGGGTTTTGAGTGGTTCAATCCTCTGGACGTAAACGAATCAGATGAGTTTGGTGGTGTTCCTAAGCTCGTCAATAGTTTGCGAAGGGTCTGGCCCGAGTATGACTTCGGTCCAAGAGCTGGTAGGATCTTAACCTCCGGCTTGCAGAAGCTACGCGACGACCATGAAAGCGGCTCAAGGCAGCTCGCCCAGACGGCAGTATCTACTCTAAAGAACCTCATCGCGGAGATGAATTCCGATGTTGTCGATGACGCATGGTGGGCTAAGGTTCGAATGGCCGCGTGGCATCTCTGCAAGGCTCGCGAGAGTATGGGGGCTGCAGTAACTACTGCTATCGTCAAAGCACTTGATCAAGTCGAAGCTGTCTTTGTTCAGAATCTATCTCCACCAGAAAAAATACTGCAGATGACTGAAGCCATTCAAACCCAGCTCAAACAGCGCGAGTCTACGACTGACCGCCTTCGCGACACGTTTGTCGAATACGTGCGACGAAATGTAATTCAAGATGTGAATAATCCAAGGAAAACTATTTCGGTTCTGACTCTTTCCTTCAGCTCTACTATATTAGCTTGTCTCATGCGACTTGCTACCGATCTGGGTGTTTCGCTTGATCTTCGTATTCTAGAGTCTCGACCCCTTTGTGAAGGTGTGACTCTGGCTTCAAAACTAATTGAGGGGGGAAACGGTAACCCGAATTTGACCGTCACGCTCTACGCTGATGCATCCGTCGCCTTTGCGGCTGATGATATTGATATTCTCGTGCTTGGAGCTGATCGCATTAGTTCAGAAGGTGATGTTAACAATGTGCGTCGAGTTTCATATTTCATCTGCTACCCCCACCCTTACATCTAGAGAGTGATGATTCGGACTATGCCCTCTTTAGTTTTCATGTTCTTTCATTCTGGGGGCTAACTATAGATCTAGAAAGTCGGATCACTCCCTGCCGTGCTAAGTCAACGACATGTTGCGCCGCGCGCAAAAGTGATTGTAGTGAGTGAGACTGAGAAGGTAGCCAGTCCGGGTTTGAAAGAGCAGCATCCAGCAGAGGAGAACAACCCGGCAGAGCTCACAAAAACTTGGACAGGAAATGTCAAGGGTGCCAACGTTATCCAAAGCGCATTAAGCAATATAGAGAGCGGTTCAACACACGGACACGTACGCGTGAGGAACACGTACTTTGAATGGGTACCTGCTGGCTTTATTGATGTTTACGTCACCGAGGAAGGACTTTGGTCTATTGGCGATATCACTACAAGATCAAACTGGGTTGGTAACGAAGCAGATAGGTTCTTTAGGGACCTCTAGCAACTCATATAATGGACTTCACCAATTTTGTTACGATACACAACGCATGAAGCGCACTTGGGCATCTTCAATCACGAGAGCCACCCCAGCCAGATTCGTGCCCAGTGTTGCAGGTGTTTCTATGAATGAAGGAGACTCACTTTGGGTACTGCAGAAGGAATACTACTTACTTAGGCAGTCTCGTATATCTGCTGGTAGTTATGGTGACACGAAGTGGTTTGGTATATATTATCCTTAAAGGAGGTACTACCTGCATTAGGAAGTTGCCCAGATGGTTAATATCAGATGTGCAAAGTGAGTATGATGGGAGCCGGCTGAATTCAGATTCTGGGAGATTTAAAAGAAGAACGGCTGCACTCAAGTTCATCTGCGCATGTGTTGATCAAACCTGTTCCTGGCCAACTACTCTGCCCACTTAGCTGTGATGAGTGCACTACTAGAACACGATGTGATGCAGTAAGACTTGAGATTCGTCTTGGAAACTATCATATTATAGGACTTCGATCAGTCCAACATTATTTAAGTCAAGATTAAGATACAGGTAGTAATGAAACACTCCCTCCTCCTACAATCCACCTAAGACCGAAGTCACTCAAACATGTTCAGTGTGGTATGGATTAGACACTTTATTTAACAGACTCCGCTCGGGACCGTGTTGCTTCCGGTTCGTCGGCTGCTGGAGTAGACAGCACCCTGGCCAATACCACGCTTAGCGAAGGCGGTCCAACTAAAAGGTTCCAAGAGTTAGTAACTGCCTTCCACGAACAGAGTAGGTAAGTATGATCATCAAGGGGTATGGCTTACATCTCGCAGGCGTTGGCACCACCGGTTAGGGCTTCGTCAGCATCGATAATGGCATCGCGACCCTGGATGAAGTTGGGGTTGCAGGGTTGGCTGTGAGGATTACAACATTAGCATCATCCCCTTTACTTGGAGTCACAGTAGGAGCGGGGTTACTTACAGAGCCATGGCATCAGTTACCAGCTTGAGGGTCAGGTACTTTCCGTCGGTCGGGACGCCGTTGGAATCGAACTCGGGCTTGGGGCCGTCGTTCTTGCCGTGCTTGTCGATCAGGTTCCACAGAAGCTCGTAGAGAACGGTGGCCCAGACCTCACCAATGTCGTGCACCTCGTTGTAGGTGTTGAGGGTCGTGTACTGGTACGGGTTGACGTCGAGCTTCGTCGAGTATAGGTAGTTTCGGATGCCAGCAGGGTCGTTGTACACCCACGCGCCTAGGCTGTAGTCGGTGTTGCGGGTGTCGCCGGCCTTTAGGCGGATAGCCGTGGCGAAGAAATCACCCCAACCTTCACCCATGCCGCCAGACTCGAGGGCGTTCAGGCAGTTCGAGTTAGCCGGGCCACCCGTTAGACGGGTCGACACTATATCAGAGAAGATGTGGTCAGCCTCGTATCTTGTATGGCTATTTTTCTCTTGTTGGGGGTGGTGGGGGGGCTAAATGCGTTGTCACTTACAGCCATGGCTATATTCGTGGATGATCACACCGGCCTCGAACGAGCAGTCCCTGTAGGGGGTGGATTGAGTCCAGATGTACATCCTCATGCGTCCATTCTGACCATCCGGAGGGGTGGCGAAGTTGGCATTGTTAGTGCCGGAGCCATCCTGGGCGTTGAGAATGACGAAGTCGTTGCCTCGGCCGCCCTGGCCGTTGTTGTTGATCTCGAAGTTGCCGGCCTCTTCGGTGAAGCCAAGATCGTACAAAAGGTCGTGGTAGACGTTCGCCGTGTAGAAAAGCTGGGCGACCGAAGCATCCGCGTAAGTGGAGGGAGGCGTCAACGTCTTATCCCAGTTGTATTCGAACTTGAGAGACGAGCTGGTGGGGCGGTAGTTGTTGAGGTAGTCAGACCCGCCATCAGGGTTTGTCTGAGCGATACCATTGTCTGTTGACGAAGAATCCCGGGTTAGTCAACGTTCCTCAAAGATAGCGTGACGAGGGAAACCTGGCAAGCAGATCTGGTGCGAGCGATGATATAAGAGACCTATTATGTTGACTTACTTCCGCGAGTGGTGGTATAGTTAGTTGTGCCGTCGGAATGCCAGGTGAACTCGGAGGTCGCTAGATCCCAAGGATCCGTCACGGTCGAGCGTGAGCCCTCATCAGGGTCATTGATTCCCCACGGGCTAGCGATATACCGGTTAGTGAGGAATGCCTCAGGTTGGAAACAAGAAATTGAGCTCAACATACAAGACAAGGTACGAGGCCTCGGAAACATAGTCAACTACACCGTGAACTTCTTCGTTGGTGGTCGCATCAACATATGAAAGTAGCCAGTTGTCAAGGACGTCCGTCTCCACTCTCCAAGTTAGAGCGAGGCTCCCGTCCGGCTTGACGAAATATACCAGGCGAGCCTCCGGGTCTTTCTGAGCACCCGAAGTTCCCTTGAGAACGTAGGTCTCGGTTCCCTCGGCTGCTTCGGCGGATGCCTCTCCGGTAACTGGAATCTCGAGGATCTTGGTAGCTCCTGACAGGGCTTGAGCAGGGTCAGAGAAAGCTCGCTTGGTCAACGGACTCTCCGCGGGGATAGACCCTGCGAAAAATGAGTTGCCGTAAGAGAAGACCGCTCCATCAGAACCGATCTATCACGTATTAGCACTAGAAGGCTAACCCCCCTCCCTCATTCATTATTATTTATTCGGACTCACGTTAACGTTGAAGTCGGCATTGTCGATGTCGATTCCATGCGCCGTCTGCTTGAAGTTGACGTGGGCAATCCCGTTCTTTCCGACATAGTGGTCGTCGACTAAGCGGAAAGTGGCATCAGGAACGACACTCTTGACGAGTTCGGTCGCGGTGTCGACATACGAGTCGCGCTTGAGTAGTTGAACGGCATTGTTAGAGCTCGTCGAAGCACGATTGCTGTATTGAGCCGTCTCCTTCAAACGGTAAGAGTTGAGGTCTACCGTTCGTCGTCGAAGTCCACCCTTGTAGGAATGGGTGGGGTGGCCCTGGGCAGGCAGCGATGCGCCGAGAAGGCCAAGTAGCAACAGCGATCGCATCATGATGAAGACAAAGCGGAAGGGCCCTTTTTAATGAAAATCGGCCAACTTCTATGGAAGACTGAGAAAACCCGCTTGGTATGCCTGGCTTGCTGTTGACTTATTTGCGGATCGACGTCGAGCTTTATATATTCTATCCATACTGGGTAGTGAAGTCTCCGGCCAAGCCCCGAGACCTATCATGGCCGAGCTTCCTCATTGAGGAGGGTTGTGACTTGCTTGAAAGACACAGCGCTTATCGAGTAGGTAGGTAGGGGTTAAGCATTTTTTGCGCTTCCCCGCCGATTGTGGTCGCGTGCCATGGCGAGTGCCCCTTCGCTCTGCGATCATCCGCTATTCGAGGTAAGGCAGTCTCAAAATACATTGCAACAACTTCATTGGGCCGCGACACATACTGACTGAACTTGATAGCTTCCCCTTGCCTGATACGAGTTCAACAAAGTTCACGAAAGGAAAGTGTTTATCGCATGCAGCGACCTACCGCACGCCTTTACAGGGGCTTGGTGACGTTCGGGGCAAGTCTTTAGCACGGTAGGCCGGTTGCATGTCATGCCAAGAGGTCGGAGGATGAGAGGGACAGAATAGCGCCGGAACTGTTATATGTCGGCCTCAATCTTACAATACGGGGGGCTCACTAGATGGGCCTAGTTTTCCGCGAAACGGGCCTCGGCGTTGAACTGGGATAATAGTAGGCATACTTGCTAAGTGATTGAACTGGTCGATTTAGGACTTCGAAACCCGTCGCCTCGGGGCCGTCTGCCTACTGACCTGCTATGGTCACTCATTCTCATCAAGAAAGATGCAACTTGAGCATGGCATTAGCTGACTGACTTCCAATTTGAGAATGTCTTTTCTTGTCACTTATTGTCTTGCTCAGCCTCTGGACAATGACACATTCTTGTCATGGTTTAGCTTAAGCCTTTGATATTTTGAAAGGTCAGCCTTGGCAGATCGGATGACCCAAATGTCGCAATCTACTCCTCGGTAAGCCAGGACAAATTATCACGTCGACTGGCTGCGACGCGCTATGGGGGGGGGGGGGGGGGGGGGGTCCTATAAAGTTGTGAGATAAGCAAGCTTGCATCCCGGCAGATGGAACATGGGGGGTTGCTCAGGGGTTCAAGGACCTCTAGAGTGGCAGAAAGCTGCGAGCTTGACTACTTAAGCTTAAGTGCCTACCATAACTAGCTAGCATTAGGTAGGTAGGTACAAGTACAGCACCTAGGTTAGTAGGTAGTTATGGATATTCTGCCCAATTTAGTCGTGGGATGCTATAGAAGTGCAACTATAATTGATACGACTCTGAAGTTCTGCAGCATGATTGGTGCAAATGTCGTTGACCTTCCCGGAGAAGTAAGACAACCGATGCCCCAACTGCATTGTTAGGAATCAAGTGAGATACGATCTTTATTCTCTTTAGCTTGTTCTCTTTAGCTTGCCTAGCCCTACGGTATAAAAAGCTGGTTTAGAATTCGTGTTTACTGCTCCCTAGTCAAATGCTACCTCGTGAGCCGTGTTTGGCAGTTCAGTTTATACATAGTAGCGACGCCGACAAGAGCAGAGAGGCTAGAGCTGAAGTTCGTTCCAATACCATCTTACATAGCTACCTAGTACGGATGTTTCCGTCTCAGCATAATATGGCATGATTCAAACTTGAATCTATCGCGGCCAGACAGCTTGGCTTTTGCATTAACTCACTGCCTGAGGGTTGGACTGTTAATACTCATCATAAGAGGATGCTGCAATGTATTCGATGAGATAGCATCTGCTCAAATAGGTATTGCCTACCTGCCTAGACAGGTACATGTAACGTACCACTATCACGGAACACATTTGTTGCTTTCAAATCCACCTTTGAGAGCCTTTCAGTTAAGATCTCGGATCTCTAAGTTATTGGATTGTGTCCTAGGTACGTAGGTAGTGTACCATGCCTACTTAATTACTAATTACCTACGATAATACAATTCATACCTAGGTTAGGGAGTCTACCAAGGACCTAACCTAGGTATTTACCTAACATCATGGATGTCAGCATTACCAAGAATACCCCCCCTTCTCTCTCCCCCCACGTATGAAATGCGCTTGTACGGCGAATATGCATGGAATGAATAGTAGACGTTCATTTATACGTTCATTTATAGGGTGATACATGCTTTCATTTGTGGCTTTCGTATTGATTCACTTTTTAATAGATGTCGCAAAGCCTCATTTGGCGATGTGCTGTGCTGTAAGTTGATGCCCTAGGTACCTACCTACCCTGTAATTATTGAATGAGGGGAAGCCGAGGGGAACATTGAAGGCTTGCCACATGGCCGACACCACGAGTGGTGGCTTTCCCGGCTGATGTTTATGAACACTTTCTTTTATTGACGGTAATGTGATCGTACAATCAGAGGTTCTACACATTCTTACTACTTACTTTACCGATCATTCCTTACGTAACTAGGTATCTAGGCAAACAGCATATCTAGTATGAAGGAGCAAGAAGACTTGCCTTGACTGCCATGGTATTGTACACGATGTTACGATAGGCCCGCCGGCAGCGCTGGAAAGAGACGCTGCATAAATATCAGGGGACATAATCTACCAACTTAAACCAAATCGGCTCAACGGCGATAGGACCCTAGTAAGGTAGGTACGTAAGAAAACTCAAGCAGCGCATTCGTATTCAAGCCACAAGACTTTTTTTGTCCAATATAGGCACGTCTTGGGCATCGCTAGTAGTAACGGAAAACATGCTTCTCGCTACCCGTACGCGCCGATATCACACAAGTCTGTCGCTTGCTTCAACCTAACCTAGTTTACATCTTCCAATATGGAGACAATGCTCCCGATCAATCCGTTTGCGCAGGTTTCTGAGAAGGTCGCCGGGCAGAACACGCCAATGTCCATGATATCTCCACGATATCCCACTTCGACATCAATCGTATGCTATTGAATTCCCAACGTTAGCACTGCAATACACTTTATGTCTTGGAATGGTTCAAGATTCATCTTACTTTATATGCCTTTCCCGCTACATTCTGCGACAGGAAACTGGCGTTCGGCTGTACGAGGTTCCATGGTTGGTCGTTGCTGTCCGGAGTTGGTGTCGGCTCTCGAGGCTCCTCGATCATTGTAATACCACCATTCGTGTATGCGGTGGGTGCATCAAGCATAAACATAAAATTGATACAACTTTCAATTTGTATGCCAGTCCAGGTGTATATTTCCCACAGGCTGACACTCGAATTTTGAAAGCTTCCGATTTTCACGAGGTCTTCTTGAATCTGGATAGCTACATCAATGAGCGACCGCGCCAACGGTTTCTTGACTAGGAGGGGAACAATGCTCAAAGTCGGAAAAGGCGCTCTCTGGATGTCCTCGAAACTTGCTCGGTTTGCAAGATAAACTCCAAAAGCGACATCGGCATTCCGTTGGTCGGATTCCCTAGAAAGATGAAAAGCTACAAGAGCCTTTGAGTATGCCGCGAAGAAGAGTGCTTGTAGCGATGTACCGTTGGCTGAACCGAATATCTTGAGTTTTGAGACGTTGCTAATGGCGTTACGCCTAAGTTGTGCAGCACGTTGAGTCTTTTGGCTCTCTTGTACAATATCTCGCCGATCCAGTAATTGAATTATATTTGTGTCTCGAAGATAGAGTGTCCAGAAGCGGAACCTCTGCTGCTGAGTCTCGGGGAGGTAGTGGCTTGAGACGAAATCATACCATCTCGGTCTATATATATTCGATATCGAAATCTGCGAGCTCTTGTACAACTCTAGGAATCGGCCCACCATGATCGGGAGGCTCACGCCGTCGTACAAGGCATGATGGATGCGCAGATGAAGCCAAGTCTCGCCCAACTGTAAATTATCAACATGCACGAAGCTAAAAGGTGTTACCGCCTCCTCAAAAGCCCATCTATCCCGCCCGTGATCCACAAGACGATGATCGGTAGAGTTCGTTAACCTTGGTGCCATAATGATCTGTATGAATGGAATCTCCACGGATTCAGTGGCAGCGAACCGTGTTCTGAGCATTGGTGTTTCATTAACTAATGCAGACCATGTTCCCAAAACTGCATTTCGATCCAAATGCCCAGAAATCTTGTATGTGAATTGTGGGAAGAATAGTAGGCCTCCTGTGTTTTGCCAGGCACTCAACATGTGTATTTGCATGGGTAGGGCAGGAAGAACTGTCTCTATTTCAGCTTCTTCCACACCAGAGTTCTTAAGAAGAGAGTCAATATTGGCCCTTTCCAGGAATGAATCCAAGTCCAGCGTTACACTTTGTGTGCTACTTGCAGGTTGGCGAATGCCTCCCGCTGAGTAGGCTAGAATTTCGTGGATGGAATTTGCTTTCAGCATAGCTCGAACAGAAATTTCCAGGCCTCGCTTTCGAAGCATTGAAGCAGCCTTGATGGCACTAATAGAATCAAGACCCAGGTGATAAATGGAATGGTTTTGGTTGATAGAGTGCTTTTCAATTCCCGACAACTCCGACAAGACGTCCATAATGGGTGACTCCAAGCCGGCAGATACGGTTCCCTGGGTTGGTAGGTCGTATGAAATAGTGCTAGTGTCTATTCCATCATCGACCGTGTCAGCCAGGTAGAAAGGCGCCAGACCACAGACAGATACTGTTTCTGGCGTTTGGCTGAATTCAAGGACATCGGTATGATTCTGGAAAATATGATCTAGGACCGCTTCAGCATTGTTTAGGATCTGGGCTACGTCGTCCAGAGAGAAGTATTGCGCATGACCTGCTACGTGCCACATAACCGAGGCTCCCGCGATTTCCATTTCGACACATAGGGGATATTCCACAGCTGACTTCGATTGGACAGACCTTAAAATGCGACTATGGGACTCGCTCCGATGTTCCTTGACATTTTGTAAGAGGAAGAGCGTATCAAAAAGTTTTCCACCCTTGAAACGAGCTGTCTTCTGTATCTCGCGAAGTGGGAGGTGTTGGTGTTCCATAATCTCTGACATGGTGGCTTGTAAGTAGTTATAATATTCTCTAACCGAACCGTGGAGCACGATGCGTAGAGGTATAGTATTCATCGTTGGAAATAGTAGACTCTGGGCTTCCTCGGTATCTCTCCCTGACAAGACTACACCAAAAGTGATTTCCAGGGTATTGAACATCGAAGCTAGTACAGGCGCCCAGCACCCCTGAGCCAGGACTTGCGGCGTGACGCGATACCGTTGACATAAAGTCTTTAAGTCTTGTGCGCCGAGCTTCGATACTAATTCTGCTCGATGTACAACTGTCGTCATGCCATCGTCGAGCGCTCCCATTTTTGGGCTGAGGATGGTTGGACGAACGTCGTCCAAGTATCCGGCCCAAAAGCTTTCGCTTGCAGCTGCGGGGATGAAAAGCAAGCGGGAAAGATATGGTTCATATCTACTTCGTACATGGTAGTTACCCACGTACGCTGCTTCGACGTCCCTGTGAAGCAATTCAAGTGACCATCCATCGTACAGAGCGTGGGCGATAGAGACGACTAAATAGCGACTCTTTGGTGTTGTGATGAATGCGAGCTGGAATAGATGTGATTTCCCTTGACCGAGTAGTGCTTTATGGCGAGCTTGATCGATGACTGTTGTGATATCATCTAAGCTCGAAAGCTCTACTGCTTGGGGGATTTCAAGGGGCTCCTCTCGGATGACCTGGCAGAATGCGGCCTTGCTATTTGGATGATCGACCCCTACGAAAGTGGTCCTTAATATTGGGGAATTAGCATGGACTTCTATCCAAGCCGATTTTAGCCGATCGATATCCGTGTCGGCTGTGATTTCCATTACGTCGTGATTGAAGTATCGGTCGAAGTCTGAGAGCAACATCTCAGCAACCATAGAATCTTGTAATGGTGTCGGTGGGAGGACAGCTTTCATATTTTCAAGAGATCCTTTTTCTTGTAGAATATAGTCCTTCAAAAATGTGGCCGTACTATTTAGGCTAGACAGCTCCTTGTCATTGTCACCCCCTTTCACGTCTGCCATACCATGCAAAACTAGGAGGTCCTTTATGGTGGGACTTTTCATCAGTTCACTGGCTGTGACGTCAAGCCCGAGTCTTTTCAGCCTTGCTGCCAGCTTTATGGAATCAATGCTGTCCAAACCAAGCTCAAAAAAACTTGTTGTTTCCGTGACATCTTCGTCGGGTATTCCAGCTAGGGAAGCGACCTCGTGCCGGACTTCTCGAGCTTCACTGCTACGAGAAAAGATTGATCCGGCCAGGTCCTTGATATCAGAAGGATGTGCTTTTGGTGTCTGCGTAGCTTGTGATACGAGCGCGGGACCGTTGGTCGTCAAAGACATACCCAGAAGTGGTGCATCATCATCTAAGGTGGCGAGAGATCTGAGGGCTTTCCCAAACTCGTCTAGCAATGAGCTAACAATAGCATGCGTAGCAATGTCTTTCCGAGCGACTGTATTGACCTTGAGTGACTTATCTTGTAACATAATTATCTCCACCGCGAGTGGGTAGTCGATGGACCCATCTGAGTCTATGGTGGACCAGAATGGTTGTGTTTCTATTGTTGGAAAGGCATCTTCTCGATTAAACGTCCATAGAATGTCGAATAGCGGCTGACCACCTGAGCACCATTTCTGTATGTCTCGAAGTGGCGTATGAATAAATTCAAGAACTGATGTATTATAATTCTGGACATCTCGTATGAGTGAAGCCCAAGTAGTACCGCTAGAAATTTCCGCGCGGAAAGGTAGTGTGTTGAAAACGGGGCCAACCACGTCTTCGATCCCGTCGAAAATCAATGACCTCCCAGAGTAGATGACACCGAAAGTCGGCACGAAACCAAGCTTTTGTTGCAATGTGACTAACCATGCAGCTTGAAGTATAGTCTGGTGTGTTGCCCCAAGGGATAGGCGTCGAGCTTCTACCTCGCTTTGATGGAATACTCGAGACACAGAAACATCGGATGCTGCGGGATCGTCCGCAAGATTTGGCGTCGGTTGAAATGCATGATTTTCGAAGATTGTTTTCCAGAAAGGTTTGGATTGATGGTATTTGAGAAGCGGTCCATGGGGTAGGACGTCAATGAATGCTGGGCTACTGGGTGACTTTTCATGGTGGTACTTGGCATTCAAGCGTCGAAGTAGAAGCTCGAAACTGTGCCCATCGTAAACACCATGGAACAGCCGGAGGAGGAGCACTTGATGCCCATTGTATTCTAAATGGTCGACTTCGACTGTGTAGCGTAAAATATCATGATTTGAAGAAACCCACTGCTCTCTGCGCTCTGACATGAACAGGTCAATGTCTTTCCCGCCTGTGTTCACCTCAAACCAGCGTGTAGCTTTTTGTTTGATAGCCACTTGAACATAGCCCCCAGTTGTTGGAATAAAAGCCGTCCTGAGAATGGCGCTTTCTGCTAACATTTCATCCCAACAACATCTTAGACGGTTGATAGAGATCTGGGAATCAAGATCAATCCGGAACTGATTAAAGTATATTGATTGAGTGTCTGTATAATTTGACCTTGTAATCATTCCCTCTTGTAAAGGTGTGCATGGCGCGATGTATTCCACGTCCGTTTTGCCAATGCTCAGCACTCTGCAAGCCATGCCAATATATCTCTGATAGCAAGCACGAATAGATTGTTTCACTTGAATGGCATGCCGACCAAGTATTGTTGTGTTTGTCTGTTGCAAAGCTTGACAGAGACTGTTTATATGAGGATGACGCAAAATCAGCGAAGGGCTTGCTAGAGTGAACCCTTGAGACTGAAGAATCCTGGCTAACCGGACTACATTGATTGAGTCAATTCCAAGCTCAAAAATGGAAGAAGCGGGTCGCATATCAGTATCTGTGGCTTGTGTAATAACTGAAATGGCCAGAGCTATCAGCTGTTCCTTCTCACCCAGACCTCTGGAAGCCCCAGCTAAGCCCGTCGTAAGATTGCGTAGGTGATCATGAGATAGTTCCATGAAAAGCTGTTTTAGCCGTTTCACATCTGCCTTGTTGTTCGACGATAGAGGGATATATGGTACGCATAAGATGTAGGTAGGAATCATATACCCAGGGAGCTGATTCCTACAAGCCTCGTGGGCAGCTCGGGAGATGTCAAGAGATTCATCCTCAGAACAGATATGTAGCTTGGTGGGAGGAGGTAAATTCGTGGCAGGGGCTAAGAAGGATATAATGAAATCTCTATCCTGCCCGAGGTGCCTTGTAACGAAGGTAACGATATCAGTCAACTGAGTAGATAGAGTTGTCTTAATGACATGATTAATCTCTCCGATTTCAAGCCTCTGGCCTCGAAGCTTGACTTGATCGTCAGCGCGGCCTAAGAAATCAAACGAGCCGTCGTGGAGAACACGGACGAGATCTCCTGTGCGATAAACACGCTCCCCATACTCTTTGAGGGTCGGGAAGCGCTCCTCTGTGAGGTCGTTTCGATTCAGGTAACCCTGACCAACTAGTCTGCCGGACACACACAGCTCACCAACACCCCCTCTAAGCACGGGATTTTCAGTCCCAGGTTCTAAAATGTAGGTACCAACATTTGGAAATTGATTTCCAATATTGGACGACCTGCCATTGACAGGCACTCTCTGAAACATAGTAACACCTATGGTAGCCTCGGTGGGACCATACGCATTATATATCACTTCTTTCGGTCCCCATACCTCCAAGATCTCTCGTCGTAGCTGTTCTCCCCCCGTGATAAAAACCCCTCTGCAAAGGCTTGGTACTTCATCTGGGTGCACGATCTTTGCGAGGCTCGGCGTTAAGTCGATGTGAGTAATGCCTAATCTTGATATTGTTGCTGTAATGTCACCGAGTATGAGGTCTTTTGGGGCCGCAACGAGAGTAATCCCGACGAACCAAGACCAATACTGTTCTAAGACCGACACATCAAAATGAAATGAGGCAAATTGGAGCCATCTAGAATCAATATCCCAGTGTCCGGCAAATAGTTGTTTAAAGGCAAGCATCGCCTGGACAACGTTGTCGTGACTTATCAGGCAGCCTTTGGGAGTGCCTGTGGTGCCGCTGGTGTAGAGACAATAACATGTGCTTGAGGGTGATATTTGCTTCAAGGATTGGAATATTGCTGGGATAGTCAATAGTTCAGGTTCACGAACGATATGTATTGGTATGGTCGCGTTGATATCCAAGCTTTCTTTCAGGTCTGATTCAATCAGCAAACATGAAGCGCCGGAGTCTTCCAAGATATAACTCAAACGGGAGGCCGGGGCAGTCGGGTCAAGCGATAGAAATGCACAGCCTGCCTTAAGAACCCCGAGAATCGAGAAATAGGCCTCTGGGCATTTGTTGAAACACGTTGCGACGATACTTCCAGATGGCACGTTACGATTTACGAGCATGCTCGCCACCCGGTTTCCCATTTCATCCAACTCGCGGTATGTCCACCGTCGCCTACAGATCGGGTCCCCTAGTTCTTCGACAAATTCCAGAGCCACCATGTGGGGTATACGCTGCACGGTTTGCTCAACAAGTTGGTGCAAGAGTGCGCCGGGGCCGGGAAGCTGAGGGGAAACTGCTGGCAGAATAGAGAACAGGTTTGGCTTCTCACAAGCAAGTCGATTTGCGTAGCTCTGAGGCGTGGTTAGGAGATCTACAAGCACCGCCTCGAATTGCTGAAGTAGAATGTGCGCCTGTGAAGTTGGTAGAATGTCCCCGTCGTGCGTTAAATTCAACTCCAGCTTGTCCGAGTCCGTTTCAACTACTTCTAGCGCTACCTTATATTCTAATGATGCAGCCTCATCTAGCACCTCCCCGGGCATGTCATCTTTCGTAGTTGACACAGTTTGATACGATAGTATTGTGTCGAATAGCTGACTATCCGAGTGGCCTAGCCATCGCTGTATCTTGGAGAGGGGAGTTCGTTCATGCCTACGGAGGCTGGTATTGTATTTCATCATGTAGTTGAGAAGTTCGGTGTTTGAATCTGTATTACGCGCAAAAATAGGCAAGGTCGTAATCATTGGAAAGGTTATGTCCTGTTCTTCATTTGTGTGTCGCCCGTTAAGTACAATCCCAAATGTGACCGAAGATTCGCCAATATATCCCGAAAGCACGCGAGTCCAAGCCGCCTGGAGTGCTGCTCGAATTGTAACACCAGCCTCTGTCGCACCACGACGTAGGCTCTCAATCGATTCATCACAAACTCTTGACGTGTTTAATATACTATGGCCAGTAATATGAAGGGGTGTCATGATCGGAAACTTGTTCACCACCAGATCTTCGACCTTGCCTTTCCAGAATGCTTCCGAGGCAGACTGAAAATGTGTGAAATTGAAACAAGCCGATAGCGCTGGCTTGATCGACAATGCCGCTTCTTCCTCGTTATCTAATGCAACTCGCACTAATGCATGAAGTAAGATCCGGAGCGAATGTGCATCGTATAATGCGTGATGAATGGCAAGGTGCATCGTCAACTGACTAGGATCATCGTCGACAACGATAACAACCTGCCAGGGTGGTCTCGAGAGCATTGTTAGAGCCTCGGAAGCAGCTTCTGCGCGCCATTTGGAAACTTCAAATGAATTCGACGAGCAAATTGATACTGGAGCAGTAAAGTTCGCCCTAGAATAAACGACCATAGCATAGGAGGTATCTGGGTGATTGACAGGTACGAATCCTGTGCGGAGGATCTGATGGTGGGCGGTGAGATGAGCCCATGCTTCAACTACTCGTAAGGAGTTGATGCTAGGTTTCAATGCCCAGCTTGTGAAGTTGAAGTAGTTTGCCCCTTTTGAGTTAAGGAATTGAGAAATCATGCCTTGCTGTGTGGGAGAGCACGGCAACAGCTCGTCAAAACCCGGAATCGTATCTGAGATATCATTCAAGTCATTACGAACAACTTTTTCGAACTGGTCGAAATCGTAAAGAACATCGGCCTGGCCGGGTTCCTGGGCTGTAACGCGAGATGCGATTCCGGCGCATGTCGGGTTCTCGATCACGTCTAGTGCGGAAACGCTGTATGATTCTCGACGTAACATAGAAGCGAACTGCATTGCACTAATGCTGTCCAGGCCATAACGGTATATCGAAGTTTCTCGTCGAATGTTCCGTTCTGGAACTCTAGTTAGTCTCGACAATACCGAACGAACTTCTATTTCAATTTCACTCCAGTCTTCTTTGCCGGTAGGCGATTCGGAAGTCGTGCTAGCCAGCCGTGTTCGTGGTAGTTCCCTTGAGAGAGATATCTGTGCTATCTGGCGTTGCCATCGAGCTGGTAGTTTCGAAGTGGACAAGGTATGTGAAAGCGGATGCTCTAGGCATGTATCAAGGACATACTCGAAGATATCGAGAATGAGCAGGGATGTTTCGTGAGAGAATATCGAACTGTTCGCTAGTAGTTAGTAAACGGGGAGATAATAGCCATAAATGGCCCAGAAATTGGAGTGGAGCTCACGGATCACGATGGAGTTGTAGCATGACCGTGTCTTGCTCCTCCGAGGGGATAACCTCGCACACGAGGGGCATCTAATCAGTCATTAGCGAAGTTTAAGGCACTGAGTAAACGGGATTCAGAGCGTGACATACATCCATTGCGCCGTGTTCTTGCTCCAAAGACCATATATTTTCATCTAGTGGTACCGCTTGTGGTTGAAGAATTAATATGGTGTCGACAAGATGCGATAAGCCGAGTCGGGATTGTATACGACGTAAACTTGTGAATTGGTATGGTATCATCTCGGCATTCAAACGCTGGAATACCTTTATAGCATCCAGAACGAACTTGGTACGAGAAATATTCATCCGAATAGGTATTGTATTGAAACATGGTGCTACGAGGGTATCGACCTGTTCTAAGGCAATGGAACGGCCGCTCACAACGTTCCCAAAACAAACATCATCGTCATCCTGTAAAATGGACAAGGTGACTGCCCAGGCTGTTTGGCAAAACGGCAATAGCGACACACCTAGGTCACGCAGCTGAGATAAGATCGAAGAAAATGGGCGGCCAGAAGCCCTCCTAAGTACTGTGTCTTGGTCAAGGTCTCCAGTGGATGTCAATTTATCAAAACGATAGGGAGAATAAGAATGGAATTGCCTAACCCAAAAATCATCCGTTTCGGGAGGTAAAGGCAGTGTTTCTCTGAGAAATGACTCAAATGGTTGAGGAGCTGGTAGGGCTTGACAACGGGATAGCGACTCTATCTCCGCGAGCATGGATCTGACTGAGACACCATCATATATAGCATGATGACAAACAAATGATATGTATTCTGTACAGTCCTCAAGAATGACGAGAGCAAGCGAAACAGGAGGAAGGCATGAGTCAATCGCAAATGGGAGGGAGAGGCCATGTTCGTGCACAAGCTCTTGGAAGCTGGAGCTGCTAGCTTCGTAGGTCTGCCATGCAGGTAGGTGGGATCTTAGAACCACTTGGACTATCGGATACTGGGAAGATTCAGTCGTCATAAAACATGTTCGAAGAATTCCATGCCGCTCGAACATCATGTTCCAATGCTTTATCATGATCTGAGATGGTATCCGAAGTTGAAATAGCATTTGGTTGTTGTATGACGACCCAACTTTGGACAGCCGAGAAGACGATAGCATAGCCTCCTGTAATGGGGTGCACGGGAGAACAGTCTCGACATCTCCTCCCATAGAAAAGCGCAACTTGACAGTTTCCACCAGTTCCTCGGGCAGGATTGGCGTCAGTTTCCCTGGCTGTATGTGCACTGATGGCATTTCCTTGGCGATGAGAGAAGCTAGCCTGCCGATGCTTGGGTGTGATAGGATGAATGATAGGGGGATTCGCTGCTGAAAAATAGATTGCAGCCTGCGAACTAAAGGCATGGCAGAAATTGAATCAATCCCGAGGACTGCAAACGAGGTCCAACGACCAATTACCTTTCTATCGATTCGAATTGTTTCTGAAATAGCTTGTAGTATCAATGTCTCTGTTTCGGACCATTCAACTAAATCCCCGGCGAGATCCTGTACGGAGCTACACTGACTGAGGATTGTATCAGAGAGGCCCCTGGCAGATTGGTGTAGCAGGTCATGGTCGATCTTCCCAGATGATGTCAATGGCAGAAGAGATATAGGGAAAATAAAGGATGGAATCATATAATCCGGTAGAGCTACACGCAGAAGTTCCTGAATTGTGATAATTGACTGCCTCTCTGAGTCTGTGATAGGCAAGATAGTGAACTTTGATGACCTGTGCGTCTTTGGAACGAAGAACAATGCTAACTGTTGCGAGGAATCGCTCCTTAGGGTGACAAGCACGCTCGTGCAGGCCTTCGTGATATCGCTCCTTAGAACGGTTGCTTGGATCTCTTGGAGTTCAATTCGTAGCCCGCGGAGCTTCACTTGATTGTCGATTCTCCCAAGGATGATCAATGAACCATTTGGTAGCATGCGGCCAATATCTCCCGATCTATATAGACGACCATACTCGGGATGCTCAAAGAATTTGGTTGCCGTCAATTCGGCCATATCAAGATAGCCCGCAGCGACTTGGTCGCCCCCGAAACATAGCTCACCTATGCAACCGAACGGCACCAACGCCGTGGTATTTGGAGAGAAGACGAATGATGATGTGTTTTCTAAAGACCACCCTAAATATTGCGATGAGTCTCCCCGGGATACTTTTCTAACGGTGCAAATATTAGTGGTCTCAGATGGGCCGTAACCTGGTTATGTTAGCAATGCAACGCAACGCAAAGGATTGTTGGGTATAAGCCTCACCTTGCCATAGATGTTCTGCCCAAGTATCTAGCACTCTATCAGTCATCGGCTCGCCGGCAGTAACCATGAACTTAACACTAGGTACTCGGCTAGGTTCCATCAATGAGGCTACAGTGACCGTTATGCTGAGATGAGTTATACGTAAAGCTCGCACGGTTTCTTCAACATCTTCAAATAGCGTGTCATTGGTAGCTGAGCATAGGCACATTCCATTTCCCCAAGCGAAGAATATCTCGAAGACGGACACATCGAAGGCTTGAGAGCAGGCTTGTAACATTCGGTCGGAAGTCTCATGAGGGTAAATACAGGATAAAATCTCAAGGTTGCTTAACATATTTGCATTCGTAACCGAAACACCTTTCGGACTCCCCGTGGTACCGCTAGTATAAATGATATAGGCAAGGTTGGAGGAATCTCTAGGGATATCAAGGTTAGAGTCAGAATATTGGGAGAGCATGGTGTGCGAAAAATTGATGACCGAGCAAAGGGATGTCTCGGCTATATGCTGTGGAGATGATTCATCGACGAGACAAAGTTGAGGCCGTGACTGTTGCAAGATTAGTTCAACTCTCTGCTTAGGGGTGTTGGGAAGAATGGGAAGATATGCGCAGCCGGCCTTAAGTATTCCGAGGATGGCGCAATATAGCAGATGAGACTTCTCCATTACTATTGCAATTATCCCCCCAGAGACTGCACCGGATTCTTGCAGACATCTGGCGATCCGATTGGCCCTCAAATTGAGCTCCTGGTAAGTTAAGGTAGTTGCTTCGATGCCTTGTGTGCTGATAGAAGACGCGAAGCATAGAGCATCGTATGTCGGAAACCTCAATGCGGTTCTTTCTACTAGTTCGCACAAACTTGGGAGTACTTTTATATGCTTAGGACGTTCGTTATAAAAAGATAGGTTCTGCACCGGGAAGCACCGTGAGATAGTGTCGAGTGGCTCCTCCAAATTTTCGATGAAGTAGTTGACCAAGCAACTCAGGTGCTGGAACAGGGCTTCTATTTGTGATTGTGGGAATATTTCTGCATGCCAGGTAATCTGACACGAGAAATGATCCACGTGCGGGTAAATTTCAACCAGAAGCTTGGCTTCTATTGCATCTTTGTGGTAGACTTCTCGTATCGTACACTCACCCCGCCTTCGACTGATCAATGTTTCTTGATAGGCGAAGACGATGTCGTATAAATTCTGCGCAGCTGAAAACCCAGCAGCCCGCTTGATATCCACAAGAGGAAGGTCACCGTACTTGAGCGTCTTTCGGTTGAATATGTGAATGTTTTGTAAGAGTTCGGCGATGGTTTTATGTCGACTGAAGACTACTCTCAGAGGGAGGGTGGCCATGCACGGCCCCATTATCTTCTCGATCCCTACCACCGGAATCGTTCTACCAGATGACACGGAGCCAATGATTATATCATCGACGGCGTTGGTTGCACCCCATATCCAGCTCAAGCAAGCCTGGAATAGAACTTGGGGGGTAATAGAAACCCGAAGAGCAAAGTCTCTAGCATGAGTAGGGTTCAGATCGATCTGTTCAAGCATAGTCATGATATTGGGTTTCGTGGTAGCTACAGTCCTGAAATTGGGAAACGGAGTATGGAGGCTGCCCTGAAGGGTTTCTGCCCAAAATTCCTTTGCGTCCATCATCTCAGTTCGCAAGGTGGCTCCAAGATGTTGAGACACGCGACTAAACTGAGGCCTTTCGACTGGAGATTGACCGTGTGCCAATAATGAAAGGTCCTCGATTAACAAATCGATTGTCCATCCATCGTATATTGAATGGTGCATGATTAATCTCAGTTTTCGATGTGTCGCTAGAGGGTCACCTGGAATGATTTCTAGCTGAAGTGGGCGACGCAGAAATGATTCAGCTTCAACCTCTTCAAAAGGACGGGCATGGCTGAGGATTGTGACCTGTTCTTCAGCGAGCTCTTTCCAGATCACTTGGACAAGTTCGTGGTCCAGGTGTACGAATCCTGTTCGCAGAATCTCATTGGACTGAGCCAAAGTGAAGAACCATGACTTGATTGACTCGATTGGGATGTGGCTAGGAAATTGAAATTCTGTCTGGTTAACGTATAATCTTGTATCCTTGAGGGTCTCCGCTATCATCGCCTGTTGAAGATGGCTGCATACTTCCACACGTTCAATATCATCTAGAAATGGTTGCGTCGCGTTCTCGGATCGTAGGATATCCATGAGATGGTTAACCCTGTCCGGTCGATCCTGATTTATGGACTCCTTGGCAGAAATGGACGTGTAGGTCGTCCTCTGTGGATCTCTGAGTGTGTCATGGAGCTCGCGGATAGTTGATGCATTTAGAATATCAATGGGGTTGACGACGATTCCGACACTTTTAATCATGGATGCGTATTCGATAGCTGCTAATGAATCCAACCCCAGCGAGGATATGTGGGTTGATGGAATGATATGCTGGCCGAGAAGCGTTTCCGCGATCTCGCAGAGCTGGTATTCTAGATCATCCTTGAAATGTACTTCCACTTCTTCCACGTCTATATCATGAGAGTTTATCGCTTTATATTGCTCAACCAATGTGGACTTATCGACCTTGCCCGAAGGCAATTGAGGAAAGTGGTTTAAAACCCTGACATCGGTAGGGATCATGAAGGCTGGTAGCCATGATTTGCATTGGGAAATGATCGCCGTGTGTATCCGTGCAGGCTCTAGGCCTTCTTCAACTGCAGCGAAGGCCACTAAGATGTTTGAGATTACAGTCGCAAAAGCACCATGACATCCCTGTGTACGCAGGATGGCATGTTCGACTTCACCTAGCTCGATTCTTTGCCCATTTATCTTAACCTGGCCGCTACTGATCCTTCCCAGACATTCAATGGTGCCGTCATGCAGCATTCTGGCTTTATCTCCGGTCCTGTAGATCCGTCCCCAACGTGTATCGATGAACACAGCAGCCGTCTGTTCAGGTTGATTGATGTAACCTGTGGCAATCTGGCTACCGCCAACCGCAAGTTCCCCAACTTGGCCGAGAGGAAGAATTTGGAAATTAGATGAGTCGCCGTCTATCACGAACGCTGATACGGTGTCAAGAGGAACTCCGATACTGTGTTTGCCGCACGCTTTTGGGAAAGCAGAGTGTAGAGTGCTATGCTCATGTCAGTATATCGTTTATCGCAGCTGACAAAAGCATGGGATGTCAAGGACTTACCAGTGGATTGTGGCCTCGGTAGGTCCATACATACCCCAGAGTACACTGCCCTCGGACTGATCACCTCCGAATTCCTGGATTACAGGTTCTGTCAGCATCTCTCCGATAGTCAGCAAAAGTCGAAGCCCGGGAACTTTATTTCTCCTTTTCAGAAGGCTACCGGCCACGGATGGTGTGAGTTCGCAAGCATCTACTCGCATATCTCTTAAGATACCAGGCAGGTCTGTTAGCATGTCTGCGCGATTGCAAGAGATGAGCGTGGTGGCGCGAAAGAGCGGAAAAAATATCTCGAACACGGATACGTCAAACGTTGGTGCTGCAAACTGAAGAAAGCGCTTGAAGGATGGAATATGCCGGTCGTGGGCAAGTAAACTCTGTGTCGCGGCAAGGTGGGATATGCCAACACCCTTGGGCGTCCCGGTAGAGCCAGACGTGTACATGACATATGCCAGGTCACTGGCCCGCGGTATCCTGTAAGAAGCCGGTTGCACCGTTTCACCCGTGTCGAGGTATGAGGATTCATCTATGGATATAATCTTATATAAGCCATCATCTCTCGGGACATTCGATAGGAAATTGGGGTCGATAAGGACGAGCCTGGCCCCGACGTCTTGAAAAATGAATTTGATGCGCTCGATTGGTGTATTGAGATTCAGCGGACAAAAGGCCGCGCCGACCTTTAGAATAGCAAGAAGTCCTATATATAATGCGGGGGACTGTGGCATGAGAATCGGGATAACAAGATGTTGGTGATCTATCGCTGGTGCTAGGAAACGTAGGGTTTCAGACATCCGCGCAGCCAATGCAGTAGCCGCTCTATGAAGTTGAGAATAGGATACGCTGGTCCTGTCGCCAGTACCTGAACGGTATTCTATTGCTGGAAAACCATTGCTATTTGATGTTGCCACTAGCTCATGTAAAAGGGATGGCCCTGGAATAAGACGAGGTGAGGCATTGAGGATTGACAGCCCTCTTGGAGCTATATCTGACTCCATCGAATTGAGGAGGCGACTTTTCGTAATAGAATGGCAGTGACAGCAAGATGAAATGACCCGTTATTATTGCTTTTATATATGATGGCGATAAAAATATGTCTCGGAAACGTAAGCGTAATATTCAGAGAGTAAAGGAGGCTGCAAGGGATTTGCGTGTGCTTCTGAGAACAAGCGAGCTCTCTGTTTAAATAGTTACAAGTTGACGCTGCCCGCGAGAACCTTTGTCTAACGCCTACATGTAATGTTCTTGTCTCCAAGTTGTCCTTGAATGATCAACATAACAATGTATTGTTCTATAAATTCGGCCAACATTAGCCAAAAAGAATTACGGCAATGACTGCATCGTCAAGGCCTGATACAGTGCAGTATCATGCTCACGTGTAGCCTTACCTAGCGACCTACTTGCCAGCTTGAGAGGTGCTACAAGCCGACAGGGACTGAGTAGGATGTATGCGTGGTCTGTTATGGCATCAATTTGTCTCTTTCTTTGCTGCAGAGACCCTTATACCACTAGGTACATGTAGGTACGGATTATGCTGTGCTTCTTTTTGCGCCACATGTAGTAACTGGAATACAGTAACTGATGGGCATGAGAAAGGCCTTAGGCTGTCATTGAGCTGTGATCGTGCTTAACAGAGAAGAGTCACCACATTGCGCAAAAGGAAGAAAAAAAAAAAAAAAAAAAACTCTTGGTATCAGATGAAGGGAGAGTTGGCTAAGGTACCTAGGTATGTAAGTAAGGTTAGGGTATTTTCTTATGAGGCTTTTATTTTCCCCTCCTTGGTTAAACGTTGTAATTCTATTACGTTTTAGTACTTTAGAACCCGGTAAGCGCCTAAGAGAATTCAATGTCACTGCCACCTGATGCTAACGGACTGGTGGATACCAGTTGACATACCTACCTGCCATCGCATCATGATGCCAGTACCTACTACATACTAGGTAGTGGTATGTAGTTGTACATCCATGTACAATACACACCTACCTACCTACATGTAGTAACTACCTACCTACCTACCTGCACTCACATGCACTCACATGCAAGCTTCAATAAAAGCTCTTTATGACTTTGAATTACTACGAACATTGAAGGTGTCTGGGTTAGGTTACGTACTATGCAAATTGAATCCGACCATACACCAAGGTGTGAATTACCGGGTAATACATACCTACCTAGGAATCGGTTGCGTGTCACGGACATTCAACATTGAATTTTGACAGATAACTAACCTACTGGTATGTAGGTAGGGCTGTAATATCTCTTGTTACTAATCAATGATTGATGTAGAATATGAATATGTAGCCTAAGATGGCGGGAAGGGCTAACATTACCCCTACATACCTAACTATGTACCTAATCTTCCCACCAACATATATGTAAATATATACGCAGTCGGTAACGCTGTCGGTACTAATTCAAGGTCAACGGGTATCCATACCTATCCATACATGCCGAGTACGTATTCGCTTAGGGTGACTGCCCAGCAGCTCAGGTGGTGCCCACATGTGTATTGTAGCCTACCCTAGGTACCTATCTCTTTCTAGCTAGCGCCCATCACTAGGTAATTCTTCGGCATAGATTCCTCTTCTGCTCATGACCTAGTGCCGGTTCTGGCGCTCGCCCAGGATCCCTAGCAGTGCCAAGCTATTAAATTCCAGGTTGAGATCTTGAATGATCTTATCAGATCATCAGATACTTCAACCTCTTAGGCCAATGAATACTATGACTTCTCAGCTAATGTGGAATGAGCCTCCAGGTATCCTCATGCACGAGAAAAATTTTCTGCTTCTTTTTACTCAATGGTTTTTCTTCCACGAATTACATCCACTCCCGAACGCGGCGTGGGTTCATGCAGATGCTATGTTTATACCTAGTCACAGTAGTTTCAAACTGCTATCCCAATATCATCCACACAATACACCTCGGTAAGATCTTTGAGATTGCAATACCTTCATACATCAGGTACATTACTTACACTTATGGAATATGCTTACAGCGAACATAATCAGTTCAGCCCGTAAACGCGTCTTGCAGAATGAGCAACATAAAGTACATGTTTTACTATCCAAGGATTAACTATGTAGAGGGGCGTCTGAATGCAACTAGAAGACATTATTATTTGGAGTCTTTAACCCTATGATACTATACTAATCATAAATACTCAACTAAGTACGGTGCCTATAAGCTTCCAAGGTTACTTCGAGTCCAGTAGCATGGGGGCGTAGTTTCGAAAACCGGTAACCTTAGGGCCCTATTCCCTTCACCTGGTTACGAATAAAGTGTCTTCATGAAAATCGGGGAAGCCTTTGAGCACAGGTGGGCATCGCCAATCGTCCGTTCGTTGATGATACCTATTTTCAGCTGATCGACCCAACCCACGCAACAGCGTATCCTACTGGGTATCCTTGCTTCCCTACCTCGTACTTAACGAGCAGCTAACCTGAACCGCTGAGACCAGGACGTATCATTTCCTATTCCTAAGATCCATCCTCACAGTATATATCTGGTACATCTTACTATGTCAAATACATATGTAGACACTTCCCTAAGTACGAAGTAACTAATCTCGTAGCGACTCGGAAGGTGAGGAAGAAAAGGATGGAGATGGAAGTACGTATACCTGGCCGTCATCGGGGGTTACCGGTACTCAAGGGGGGAGTCTTGGATGTCTACTATATGATGCTAGGTAGGTAGGTGTCGTGCTTTCATGCACTAGCATCTTATCTGATCCGAAGATAACGCCGATGTCGCCAGTTTAATGGGCCCCTCTCAGTTTGCCCAGCTGCATCGATCATCAGCCTGCCTAGGCATGTACCAGCTACCTACATGCATGGTACCAAATATACCACCCATCATCTTCCGTACGCCCTAAACTTATCCACCCGTCAAGGTAAGGGTAGGACGGGAATATCCTGCCACGCCCAAGCTAGCCTTTAGTAATCTCCATTCTTGGTATGTCCGCCTCGGCCAGTTCCAAGAACTCGCCTATATGGTAGGTAGATACTTACACATATACAATACATCCATATGAATATAGTACTAGGTACTCTCAGTGCGGTACAGTATAGGTACTGCCGCCTCTAGCCTGACGCCGACGCTGGAGTCTTGAAGTGAAACAGGTGAGACAGACTGGATGTGCACTGCTTACCTCCATATGTACCTAGTAGTAGCTGCGGCCTTTAAATTCCAAGAAAATTGACTCTCCACGCACGATCCATCCGGTCTAGGCCGTGTATGTAATTCAGCACACACAACCGATTTTGAGTACATGGGTATCCTACTTCCTGGGCCCTAGAGCAGTTTTCAATCACCATCGCCCCCTTCTGTCCAATCTCATCCATCTACCGGTAGGGACCTACCTGCTTAGTACTAGCTCAGTAGAGCTTGTCGAAGCCGGACTGGGGACTCATAATGGCTCTTTCTCGTAATGGGACAAGACTATTCACCACCTGATATGGATGGTGTGTCAGGCCATTCGACTTGTAGCAATACCGAATCCTGGTCTTCACGTTTTGCAATATCTAAACCAGGATTCATAAATAGGTATATATTTAGGAGCTGCATCAACTTCTGGACGACCCTGTTGTAAATATTTATTAGCGCTTTTGGCCCCTCCCCCCTTTCACAAATCTTCATCAAGGAAGTCTTATTGCACCTACGTCCATCTCCCCTTCAACTCTTTTCGTACTTCGTGGTCTATCAAACTCCGCATAAAAAGGTCACAACCGCGTGGGAATTATTGTCAACGTCAAAAGAGACAAAGAAGCAAAGGATCCTCATCTGCCGAGTTTTATCGAACATTTGTTCCGCAACACTCAAGCTCAACTACGTCATTACCATCGCCTCCTGTACGAGCGAAGATAAACACGCCAGCAAATATACGCCTCAGTACTATGGCACCTCACAGTCTCCTGGACGGCCACGATGATAGCCCGGCCAGCAATGGCCATCTTGATGACAGCAATGCGGTTCAAGAGCACATACCTAGCCTTTCGGAGAATCAGTCGCATCTGAAAAGGTCGTCGTCATCGGAGGACGTCCATGATCTTTTATGTGTTGGATTTGGTCCGGCCAGTCTTGCAATTGCGGTTGCACTTCATGATTCTATCGAGAAGGGAAAGCTCTCGAAGCAAAGGACCAAGTCCTCACCGAACGTCCTATTTCTGGAGAAGCAACCACGATTTGCGTGGCATGCCGGGATGCTACTACCCGGTGCAAAGATGCAGATATCCTTCATCAAGGATATGGCAAGCTTGAGGGATCCCACTTCCCAATTCACCTTCTTGAACTACCTTCACAAGAATGGGCGGCTCGTCGAATTTACTAACTTGAACACGTTTTTGCCCGCTCGGGCCGAGTACGAGGATTACCTCCGATGGTGTGCCAGCTTCTTCGATGATGTCGTCCAGTACAACACGGAAGTCGTCTCCGTCTCACCAGTGAAGGCCCCAGACTCAGTGGGACCAGTGTCTATCTTTGCTGTTACATCTAGGAATACGAAGACGGGTGCCTTAACAACGCGTCGGGCTAAGAACGTCCTGTTAGCCATCGGTGGGCAGCCATCCATCCCGAAGTGTCTACCGTCGAACCATCCCCAAGTCGTACACTCTTCTCAGTATGCCCACCTTGTGCCAAAGATTTTGAATAAGCCAAATTACCCGTACCGGGTGGCCGTCGTCGGAGCCGGACAGAGCGCGGCTGAAATCTTCAACAACATTCACACCCTTTATCCCAATTCGCGGACGTCGCTGATCATGCGTTCTGAGTTTTTGAAGCCCAGCGACGATTCACCATTGTAAGTCTGCCTTCACAATTAATTATATTTGGTAACCCTAACATATAGTAGTGTCAACTCAATCTTCAATCCATCGTTTGTGGATTCCTTGTATCGAAGATCTACCGACAATAGACGTTCTCTCCTGGAGGATGCTCGAACCACCAACTATGGTGTCGTTCGGCTAGAACTTATTGAGCGTCTATACGAGCGAATGTACGAGCAGAGACGCGAGCTCGGCAGTGATGAGCGAAAATGGCCCCATCGTATTTTGGGCACCACTGAGGTAGTCGGTGTTGATGTGACCTCGGATCAGTTACGGCTATCAATTCGCCCACTTAGCATCGCAGAGAATACTAGTAATGGCTCTGGCCAGAATGGCCTAGGTAACGGTGTGGCGGAGGATGAGGTCTTAGAAGTGGACCTCATCATCGCAGCAACGGGCTATCAACGACAAAGTCACCTATCGATGATAAGAGACGTGGCCGAGTTACTACCCGAAGTCTCTCAGACTAATGGGTCTCAGCCAAAGAAAGAAATTAGATCCAAGTTCTCAGAAGCTCAGATTGATAATCGGGTTGTCCGAGTTTCACGAGATTATAGTGTGCAATTTGCTTCGGGCAAAGTATCCGAAGGGTCCGGTGTATGGCTTCAAGGTTGCTGTGAAGGAACACATGGGGTAAGTTTCGTACTTGTCTCGTGTCTTTTCTTTAAATCACCAACTAACTCTCTCCCTTTAGTTAAGCGATACTCTGTTGTCAGTTTTGGCAACACGATCTGGAGAAATTGTCAACTCAATATTCTGCAAGGAGTCTTAGGAAGGCGAATAGGTTTTAGGTACCTATGTTGTACCACTAGGTACCCAGGTAGGTATATATTTATTCTCTTGTCATTGTATGGTGTACTATCTGTCGCTGTTGCATTATATACCAGATAGATGTTGATGATTCGCACATAAAATGTATCAAAGAGGTGGGCTGCGAGAGGTTATGAAGCATTACGTTTCAGCTTTGAAATGGTAGAGCGTGACACACGCTTTGAGTTATCATTTCTTGTTTCTTGTTGGGAATGCCCCTTTTCGACCTATTTACTTAAAATATAAGCATGTCCCATATACTTCCACGGTCTCCGGTAATTGCTATGGCCATACAAACGTTTCTTGTACATTACTGTGGGACACTTGGGAAAATATTGCTGATCGCATGGTCGTGGCTTTTATGCATCATCTAGAGATGGATTTCGGACCCCTAGATACTAAAAGTTCAAATTATTTTTACCTTTGTTTCCCTTCTCAGTTGTGTCGCGCATGGTCGGCTCTTAACAGGCAATTGATCACTTTCTCACTAATATTGATTTCCTTCTATTGATACACCTCCCCCCCGAAGGGCTTATTACCTATGGAGGTAGATTTCCTAATATATTTTTAATGTTTATTACTTACCCAGGTATCTAGGTAGGTAGGTAGGTAGGTATACAACTGTATAAACCTTACGTAGTCTACTAGGTAGCTTTGCCGGCCAGCCTTTCAGGAACATATATCCAAACCCACCCGTGTTCACCATATATGACCTTGCACAAGTCATACTTTAGTCTTAAGAACATGTATTTGCTGGAGGCGGAAATAGGGGGTTTACTGAGAATGTATTTGTGACACGAGACAGATACAGAGCAATATACGACGTGATGTCAGCATGATGGCCTATATCGACTCTTGTCAGCTCATCAATATTGATGAATGTTAAAAAATGTGAATGATATACGGCACCTGCTTTATTGAATAGGTATATAAGTTTACTGCTCATATGTTTTAGGTAAAAGGGGTATAAGTTCAAAGTTCGAGCCATCCTTGTTCAACCACCACCAAACACAAAACACAAAATATCACACTTTACGGAAACACAAGAAATTTACGAAATAATACGTGCCATTCTATGGCCGATTTCTTTAGATGTATCAAAGTCCTCATCGTTGGGTTACTAATATGTACTCCCACACTGGCTAAGCATGCCAAACATCGAAGCTTAAGTAATCATTGATATTGTGTCCATACTGCAAGCTCCATTGGGTTCATAGTTAAGTATTGAAGTGTACTCCGTTAATAAGCATTCCTGATACTGGATTATTAGGTACTCATGCATGCCATTTTCAAGGCAATTAGTATAAGCGAAGAAGCAATTGGGCCTAGAAAACCGCGCCAAGTATGTTGGGAACTGGAAGAGTTGGAAGCTGCAGGTCTGATGGAATGTATGATATTGATTTGCCTACCTACCTACCCATCTACCTGGGTAGGTAGGTATTTAGGCACCTCTACTATGTACAGGTAGCAACTAACCTACATAGCAATGCAACTATAGCCGCCAATTTTGCCACACTCCACTCAATACCGGAGCCACGTAGGTGTAGTTCAACACAGGTTATTGGATACTCGATTACTGTTGGTGTATGGCTAGATACCTAAGGTAGGTAGAGCCTCGTTCACTGAACTTGGGTTGTAGGTCTAGAGGTACGGATGATTGGCACCAAATTAGACACGTACCTAGATATAATTGATAGAAACGAAGGTACATGATATCAATCGTAGGGATTTTATGATATATAGAAAGTCTTGAAGTGATATTGCCACCATCTGCGTATCTTGATCAATTTAATCCATTGGTAGCGCCTTACCCGACAAGAAGGTAATAATTCAAGGTATACATATGTAGGTATACCTACATGTAGTAAAGCATTTTAAAAGAACATCTATGTTTGAACTTTAATGAATATGACAATTTCTACATCTATAAATATATGCATGTGTATGTACATTGCACATACTACATGTATGTATCTAATGATGTAACTACATAGTACGCAGTCGCTGGACGTACATATATGTACATACCCGTTTCTGTGTATTTGATGTGCCTGCACCACAGATATAATTACATATCAACATAATATATCTGCAATACCTACCCAAGGTGCATACCCGCTATCGTGAAGTATAACATATTGAACTGAAGATGGGATTCTTCAGCGGATAGAGGACTACTTAGCTGGAAAGGCACGAAGCCCCTCAGCTCAGCTATTTGCCGCTTCTAGTCTAAGAACAATTAAATTCAATCTGATCGGGATAAATGCATCTCATAAAACAATTGACTGCTGCGCTGCGCTAAGAATGTGTGTGTGTATTGGAAGTGGTGAAGCATGAAGTCTCTACTCTAATGTCTCTGATCCAATGAGTGTGATATATCCATGATCGGATCACGTGACTAGCTTACACAATGTCGATGAGACATCACGAGCCAGCTCAATATCATCCTAGGTTAGTCAACTTTAACATTGAATGTTCTCACAGGGGTTCTTTGCTTGTTGTTTCTTTTCTTTTCCTAATTCCCACCCACACTTCCACCAGACTTACAGTATGTTAAAATTACATATATTCTATTGCATAATATGCATATACGGATAGACCAGCCTAATGTAACAACTTTACGGGGCGCTATTTGTGACAGTTACGATTCCTGAGTCACGGGTGCACGGGTACAGTCAATGCAGAAGGTCCCCCCTTTGTTCTCCTACTACATACCTTAGCATAATTACTACATCTATGCATCTGGATACGTTCTGAAACATACACGCACATATGTATTGCAGAATATGTGAATGCATATACCCTTGAACGGTAGCATTGAAGTTAAATTACATGCAGTCAAGACTCAAGACCAACACTGAGTATACCGCAAACGCCGTCAAGCAGCCAGCCCGAAAGCCTATATGTACAACAACCTTCCGTTCCGATCGCTTGATTCCGCTGCATACGTGTGAATTTGGTTGGAGTTTCCACTTATCATGTCTTGGGTATCTACATGGGTGCCACGAGCACCATTGGATAACATGGGCAGCCTCACTTTGAGAAATATTGATCAGAAGTCAACATATGCATGTATATCCAGATTGATCAGTACATTGGATTTGGCACTCTAACACACTTACCTACATAGCTACATATGAGGTATGTAAGTAGGTAAGTAACAAGGAGTTTCAACATGGTAAACTGCCTCTCAAAAACGACTCGTCATATTTTGCTGCTACCTGTATGTACATAGGTTAGATACCATTTGTCTTTAAACCTACACCCATATGAATGTATACTGATCTGGAGACATTAAGGGAGCTATCCTAAAATATAATGCTACATAGGTACGTAGGTTTTCAATTGAACCGAGTTCTTTCTCGCACCTAGCTTCACATTCATAGATGGAAGCTGGGCTTATCTACTAAAGAGCCATCGACCTTCAACCTCTCACCTTCTAATGATTGAAGAGCTGCTAATCCGGGGGACTTTCAGTAAATAGCTAAGTTTCTAGGCACGGAAGCATTGTTTATTAACATTGGAGGAAATATGAGCATACTTCGTTCTATCTTCGACCATCTTGTCCTCCCGGCCAAGCTCCCGGGAAAGCAAGAAGAGGATGTGGAGGCTATTTCAGACGAAATATTGAAACGTCTTATCCACGCCTGCGAAAGGAGTCACACTTTTGCTGAACAACCCTGGTCTGAAGCATTCTACAACCTCGGGACTTCCCTCAACATCTGCCGTCGACTTCATTCAGGCTGCCTCGAAAAGTCAAGCTTGGTCGAACAATTTGGCCGACTCGAGTTAAACCATATTCTGATTTTGTATGTAGTTGAGCAAAATGCCGCTCTACTCATCCGGCGTGAGATCTGGTTAGTACCTACATGTCCCTTCAAGAAATTTGCTTCTCAACGTTGCTAACTCTAGAAAATACCTAAGCAACGGTAAACAACAAGTCATTTTCGAAGCATTTGAAGCCTCTCCAACCTCCGAGCATGTTCTTGCCGGGAACAATGCTCTGATATGGGATTTTCCTGGTTGTTCGGCTCAAATTCCCCTTTCAACTTTTACCGACACGTCATTCCAAGAAAGTCTGGCTTCGTTCCTCGAACAGGCTGGTATGGAGTCTCTCTATCGCCTTCAAGCTCACGCTCAGAAAGCCCACGTGTCAGTTACCGAAGCTAGAGACTCAACCCACCCAAGCCTTATAACTCAAATGCTCATACCGCTTCTCATGGGCATCGGTGATCATTTTCAGTCTCCCATCATCCGCAAACGAGTGCGAGATGATGTCAATATCGTGGAGGGGGTTTTACCTTGGCGAAGACTTCCATTTTGGCTGATCCTGCGTGTCGCTACCCAACGGCAACTTTGCCTGTCTCTCGGCAATGAGAAAGGCCGGTTCAGTTATAAAGTGCTTATGAATTTTCTCTTTGCTGAACTTCTTAAGGACTGTACTGCAACCTTGATTCCAGAGTTGACCATCACTCTTCGCACTAAGCTTTGCCGTCGTATGACAAAGCTTGAGATGGATAGGCAATTGCAGGCTGAATCAGTCAACTCGGTTGATTGCGACTCTCTTTTCAACCGAGGTAGTCCCATCATAAAGGGCGTCATTGAAGAAGCGAGTGCTCAGGTGGAGAATGCATGGAGACTCTTCAAACAACAAACGACTCGAATCATTCCCAGGCTTCCCTCACATGCGCCTGACCAGGCCCTTCAACTCTCTCTCTCCAACAGCGGAAAATACTTCGACAATTTGCTGTCTGATATGCCGCTGCGACAGAGGCCCTCCGCATCCCTTGATCTTCCTCGACCGCTTGACCAAGCCATAAGCCAAACACAACAGTTTACAGACCACGTGTTTTGTCTCGCAACCCTAGAAATGCGGGTTAGTCAGGATGACCAACCTCGACCCTGCAACAAAAGTGGTTACGAAACTCGGTGCATTGAGCTCGCTGATCAAATAAACAATGTCTTTGACCAGGTTGGTTCAACATATGATTCCGACCCTGAGCAGATGAGCATCATGATCCTTACGCTCTTCACAATATGGATTCGTCTTGACGAATATGCAATTATGGCCTGCCCCCTGTTAGGCGAATATCGCCCTGTCTTTGACTCCGAGATTTTGGATGTACTGCAGCTTTCGACCGTATCATCCATGCGTCGTCTCCAAACTATTCAAGAATATCTTGCTGTACGGCACTCTATGTCCCAGTACGATAATATCATGACGCAAATTGGCAAGGATTCCCTAGGGGTCCGATATGTCTCCCAGTCACCTGAGATGCAGTTCCTAGGGCGACACATCGACAGAGCATCTGATCAAGCTCGTAGTGCTAAGGAAAGGGAATGGACGAAACTCTGCGGGAAATATGACGAACATACCGATGGCATTTCAAAGTATACATGCTGTTGTACGTGGTCTAATGGTAAACCTGATCATAGAGGTTGCCAAAAATGCTGGCACAGACGAACCCGGAAAAATATGAAAATTCAAGTCCACGAGGAATTTCTCCCAGGAAGAGACCCAGCCAGAGCTGCTGTTATTTTTGAGCTCGCCGTTCCTCAAGTCATATCTGCGTATCGGGATGCTACTTGGAAGATTGTATACGGCTTAGCACATCCAAACCGTCCGGTTACGAATCAGGCCGCTGAAATAAACTTACTGGATTGCAGACCTCTTCAACCTTTCGTGAGGGCGAAAACACAAAGAATCTCGTTTGCATCGAAGATTAAATGCTTTACGCAAACACACTACAAATTTAAAGCTGGGAAGATTCCACTTCGCAACTTGTTACTACCACTTGCGGCGAGGTTTCAGCTATACGACAGTGTCTCTAAATCCTGGGTCAGGGATTTTACGATGCCGTTGACATTCCAGCATCTCTGCGGTGTTCATATTCCTGGAGAACTTCGAGCTTCGGTGCTTCCAGAAGCGCAGCATCCGCCACCTACCGTTGATGGGCCATCGTCATATGAGGTCCAGGCCAACCAGACTGAATGCCCCGCAAACATGTCTGTTCACGAATTCTCGGCGTATCAAAAGTTACTTGCCGGCAACTTGCGACGTTGGCCTAACATACTAGTCGAAATGGGCTCGTCGAACCTCAATTTTAGTAAAGAGGACACAGCCCGTTTAATCAGCCAACTCGCTTTACAAGCCGGGCCACAGTCACCGGGGAATGACCTACGAGCTATTCATCTTGTGTTTCAAGAGCCAGCCTTTCTTGAACGTCTGTTAGAGCTAATCGCGAAACGCCTTACCAGCCTAGAAACGAATTGGCGTGAACATAATTACATGGATCTGCTCATAACCATTATTCTTCGATTGATTAACTTAGGACTCGGTTCACTAAGAAGTCGTGCGGAAACATTGCTGGAGGATGCTAGGAATACCACCCTGAATTGGGTTACGCAACTTCGGAAGAAGATGCAGACAGCGTTGGACGCTGATACAGTAGAACGGGCTGCAAGTTATGGGTTTTATGCCGCCTTGTTATGCAGACGAACCTTTATCGTATTTTCCGAGCCTACTAGACAAGCCTTAACTCCTGGGGATCTCATTTCTTGGGTTCAGGCGTCCATAGCATTACAGGAAAGTCTGTTGGTTGACATTAGCAAGCTAACTCCGGCATTGAGAAGCATGCTTCTTCGGGACACGAAAATGGCATATCATCTCCAGTATGCCCTCCAAGTGAGCCTAAGAGCTCACCCAGAAAGCGTCACAGAAGGGGTTATTAGGAGTTGGTACGATCCCGTCGATGGCCTTATGACAACCTTCTCGCAGTGGACGTTTCTCCCCGAGCCCAACTGCCGCTGGATAGTGGCTACAACATCAGAGCCAAACGGACAATTGACCTTCGGCCAGACTATTCATTACAACATCATTGAAGGGCACCTGCTTGTAAACGGAAAACCACAGGGTAAATTGCCGCTTCAGATTCGCAATGATGAGATTATAAAAGACATGTTTGGTAGCCAGCACCTTCTAACATACCCCTCAAATCTACCGGGAATGTCTCATCGACTGGTAAATTATGTGGAAAACCAAGAAATACATTTTGGCATGCGCGGCGACCAGGTCGTTATTCGTGCTTGCACGAAAGGCGGGTTGCTCGAGCTTGTGCCTTCGTCTATCTTTACCGGGCAAAGCGATTTTGATTTGCCATCGGAACTGGTGGATGGCTGCGTACACTGGCTCAACATCAACTCCGCTTGCCTCGAAATTCGTCGGAAGCCTGTAATCTGGAAGAAACGGTCGCGAGACTGGGTTATTAATATCCCAGGACGTCGTGCTTACCGTGGTGATGTCAGTCTGGTTGATTCCCACTCGGATGTGTTTCGTTGGATTGCGACAGCATTTCAGGGCTTCGAGCGCCCAGAGAAGTTAACAGTGTATCAACCTCGGAAAGGAAGACTTTCCGTAGAGTTACGACATCTGGAATTATCATTCTATGTTAACAACAGCTATCTTCTTGAGTGTCGACAGCTCAAGGCAGTGGTGGACCCCAACCAGGATGCTGGAACTTGGTATGGATTAGAAAGCAAAATCGTGCTAACAGGCATCGATTCTCAGAGAAGAAGTATTATTGTGCCTCTCGGAGCAATGAAGTACAAGACAAACGGTATGCATGTTCGAGTCTACGTCGAAGACGCACGCGAATATGGGACATACCTGATAGATGAGACACTCAATCGACTCTCATGCCCCCCCGAACCCCGTCTTTTGTACGCCAAGGCTCTCTGTCATGCTCTGACGTCGTTCTGTTTGCCCGATACCCTAACCGGACGTACTGGCACAGAAGAGGCGTTTCACACCCTCAAATCTTGCGCTTCTCAACCATGGACTGCACTCGGTGAAGCTCATCAGATAGAAGGCCTGAGAAATTTATGCCCGGCCAGGGAATATTATCCACCGATGATTCGCCGCTTTCAAAGAGTGAGGTGGGACAGCAACTTGACTATGACTATCCAGCATGATAGTTACGATCTTTTAGTTCGGGCTATCATGAAAAAGTCGGAGAATTATGCCCGTTTCTCTAATGTAGGGTTAAAAGTGATCGATGTCGAGGCTCCAAGTCATCTGCGTTGTCGCGGTGAAGTATGCCGGCGACGCTACGAACGCCCAATAGTTGACACAGCTGATCAAGTCACTGAAGATTTGATCTACTCCCCTCGCGACCGCATAAAGGACATTGGATCATCTGGTGTATACGAAATAGCTCGTGCAGTCCTTACGGACTGTCCTTCTATCTATATGAACATGACCATGGTTCATATATTGGAGTCTTGGCCCGTTATTGAGGGATTTCATTGCAACAGCAGCTCGTCGTTGAGGAACATTCCGCTCGTCAACCAGATTGAAGATCCAATCAATGAACAATGGGGTGATCTCGTCAAGTTCTGCTGTAACCCGGACAGCCGGTATACGCTATTATATCGCCTAGGGCTGCTGGCGTTTGCGCCAAGCCCTAACATGGATATAATTCGGTCGCTCGCCGCGTTCTCTTGTATTGAAGAGCTCAAAAGTCTTCGGCCACCTACATATCCCAATTTTGTTGAATTTGCAAAACGCGGGCGACCTTCGGCTAAACTTCTGCAGGAGCTCGTAATCCAGGCTTATCCTATTTATGTCCCTCGATATGACCGTGCCGTTTGCCCCTGGGGCCGAGCCGGGCGCAACGCACACGAACATCAAGTCCAGTGCGAAAAGGATGGCGGTAGATTTGTCAGTCACATTTTACAGCAGTGGCCGACACCAGCAGATGAGCTGTCGACCGAGGACCTAGTTCTGGAAGTCATCGACATACCTCTTGCCTTGGAAAAGGTAAAGCCTGAATGGGACCGTAGAAGAGCAAACGACGACTTGGAAAGTTATATTAGAAAGGTCCAAAGCGTTATATATTCACGGAAGGGCCGAAGAAATGTCTTCACGGTACCAAATTGTGAACAAGAGCCGCCAGCGCTGCTTGCTGGACCACACCACGCACGGATAATACCTTCAATCGCCCTAGACCTAGTGGTCAAGCAAGGACCTCGCATAGAAAACACTGATAAACTTGACCTATTCAATCATGGAATCGCTGTTGGGAACCACGAATTCAATCGAAATCCCGAGAAAGAGCATTCCAGAGAAGTCGTGGATCTGGAGCGAATTTTACACAAATTTGCGATGTCTCATGATGAATTGCGCAAGCAATATTCTCGTGACCTCCTTCAAAGCCTGGATGCACTGAAAAATACCGTTTCGGCACTTCCACGAGACCCGAAAGTTCCAATGCCAGGCTCAGAGACTATCGAGCAAGCTATAGAAGAACATTCAAATATAGTGATGATTTACTTCGAGCGCATTTCCAATGCTCTTGCCTTGAGCGACCCTCGGGCTGTGTGGTTGCAACTCGGCGAGATCTGGCCATGCCAGACTCCTGTCGCAATGCTTGAACTTCTTAGGTCCATTTCATCGCACCAATTTGGCATTGGTATGAAAGAAGCATTAATAGGCTATGGACTTGCTATTACCGAATTACAACAACTGAATCGGATGCGAAGGGCTTTGCTGCGAAGGGATGTGCGAGGGTTAAATGAAGAGCTTCGTAACAAAGGCCATGAGAATTGGTCGCCGCTTGAGCAGCCGGACTGGCTCTTGTTGGAAATTGAAAGCGACATTCTTATCAGGGCTGAGCAAGCAGACGTTGCGAGAGCCATCATCGACCCCTTATCGAAAAATAATAGCGTGCTACAGATGAATATGGGCAAAGGCAAGTAGCTTACATGCATGGCATGCCTTCAGAACGATGAAGCTAACCTGCTGGCAGGCAAAACATCGTGTATTATGCCTATGGTTGCTGCTACTTTGGCTGACGGCAAAAACCTTACTCGCCTAATCGTCCCTAAGGCGCTACTAACACAGACAGCCCAGACAATGCAATCGCGATTAGGGGGCCTCGTCGGCCGTGAGATCTGCCACCTCCCATTTTCACGCAAGACACCAACAACTCCGGACATGCTAGAGCTCTACCGCAGTATACATCGCGAAATGCGAGATGCGAAGGGTTTGATCCTTACGAGCCACGAACATGTGCTATCGTTCAAACTCGGCGGTTGGCAGCATCTTGCCGATGGCGAGATGGATAAGGCTGGGGTTATGATTGAATTTCAAAATTGGTTAGACAATAACTGTCGTGATGTCTTGGACGAGTGCGACGTCACCCTTTCTGCCAAGACACAGCTCAATTATCCCGGCCCAGGTGGAATGACCTTCTAGATCGGAGCGTTTGACCTTGTCTCCATCTTAAACCCTGTAAAAGCCCACTTAGTTACATTACCCAAACAAATTGTATGGCGATCATATCTTAAAATATGAATTATGAATGGTTATATACACTGTATTACGTACATTAATTCTTTTGAATTAATTCTTTTATCTTAAATAGGTTATTCAAATATATAGCTATATAAGTGCAACCGGTATCAATTGAAAGCGCATTGAATAACGAATCGATTGATACCGGTCTCGAGTTGGTGAGATATCTGGTTGTAAAGTTATTCAGGTAAATAAGCTAGCTGGGCGGGCGGGCGGGCGCACGTGATCACCCTTGAAGCCACCTAAGAGCCTGCACACGATCGCCTAGGGGTGTCACATGATAAGCTGTCACATGATATCTCCCGATATATATACCTAAATAACTTTGCAACCAAGTATCGCACTCATATTTAACTTATATCATTTAATGGACAATTAAATTCTCTTTTAATCGATACCGGTTGCATCATTGTAGCTATATGTTTTAAACGTTTAGGTTGGATATTAAATAATTAAGACTTTATTTAAGCGATTGTATGTTGGCCTTAAGGGTGATCACGTGCCATCCAAATAACCGGCTTATTAATCTAAATATCAATTCGAAACCGGCGTTTTACGGCCCGAGAAGGCTCTAGATTTAAGGTTTTAGGGCCCGATAGCAATAATAGGTACAGTACTACGCCGTATATGTAATTACCTAGGATACTCATACTTTAAGATATGATCAGCACACAATTTGTATGGGTAATCTAACTAAGTGGGTGTTTACAGGGCTTAAGCAGGGTTTAAGGTGGAGACAAGGTCAAACGCTCCGATCTAGAAGGTCATTCCACCTGGGCCGAATTATCCAGGAGGATCATCAAAGAGTATTGATGGCAGTCCCTTTCGATGGGAAGTGGCTATGGAAATATTGGCATTGGCGGCACATTACGTCCCAACCTTGAAGCGCGAGTTTCCTAACAGCATTGACGTGTTGAAACGCCCAGGCTCGTATCCTATGGTACACTTTCTCGACAGTGAGATAGAAGATGTTCTTCACGCGCGTATTATAGACGACATTTGCGCCGGCCGGACGATATTCCTCCGTCGTGCGGACACGAGCTTCTTGACGAAGAGATCGGTAATTCGGCGGGTTCTCACAGAACGGAAACCTGAAGAGCTCGCGTTTGTGCAGGCTTCTAGCGCATTCACCGACCCCCAAGCGGCATATAAGATACTTCTTGTTGTCCGAGGTCTTATTATGAATAGAATATTAGTTCTTTGCCTCGGCAAGCGTTGGAATGTGCAGTATGGCTTAGACTCGAACCGGCAACCCATCGAACTCGCAGTGCCCTTCGAGGCGAAAGGCATACCATCTGAACAATCGGAATTTGGCCATCCTGATGTGGCGATCATGTTCACATGCTTGTCCTTCTACTATTCTGGCCTAACGATGGAGCAATTCTGCAAAGACCTACAACATGTTCTCCAGGCAGATGATCCAGCAGCACAGTATGAGCGCTGGACTTCTAGATCCAACAGCTTGCCGGAGGCACTTCATCACTGGAATATAATAAACGTTCATGATGGAGGCCAAATGGAAGAGCTATGGAAGCATTTGCGACTAGATCGTATTGTCATAAACCACTACATGAACTGCTTTGTTTTTCCGGAACACGCCCGGCAGTTCGACATTAAACTACAGGCTTCCTCGTGGGATATCCCCCTAACTTTGAAGTCACAGTGCGGTGCCAGGACAACCGGCTTTAGCGGGACCAACGATAATCGCCTAATGCTCCCCTTCACCATTCAACAAGACGACCTCCCTAGTCTGCGACAGACAAGCGCCGAGGTGCTTTCGTACCTGTTGCAACCACGGAATCGCGGCTATCAAGTGACCACGGACAACTATGGTAGGCGATTAAGCGAAAGTGACCTTTTGCATGAATTGACTCAGAAAAATATTCGCGTTCTCATCGATGCTGGAGCTTACGTCCTAGAGATGGACAACAAAACGCTCGCCAGCTCATGGCTCGCCATTGACCATAAAGCCAAGGCGGCTGTATACTTTGGTAACGACAACAAGGTCTGGGTGCACTATCGAGTTGACATGAAGCATGACGTGCCACTCCTAGAAACACCGTTCGCGGAAAACCTAAGTGAATGTGTTGTCTATCTTGACCAGGCACACACGCGAGGTGTGGACTTCAAACTGCCAGCAGAATCCCATGGTGCGCTAACACTCGCGCCCAAACAAAGCAAAGATACTATCATGCAAGGTTAGTAGTGTCCCCCCTATTCTGTGCCCCCCCCCATCTCCAATTGAACCTACCTGTTCTGATTGCCTCTGCAGCCGCCATGCGCCTTCGCCAACTGAGCACCACGCAATGTGTTACATTCTTCGCTCCACCTGAAGTCGACCAAAGTATCAGGTATTTCTGCGGCTCAGATATTGTCAGAGAAATAGACTCGTCACATGTTGTCGCATGGCTCCTTGAACAAACTTGTCGTGGAATTGAGGATATGCGCAACTTGCATGTCGCGCAGGGCATCGACTTTTGCCGTCGCTCCAACGCAGTGCGGACTTGTCCTGGATTTCTGACCAACCCTACACACAGGAAGAAATTGCTCGGTATCCTGCAACAGCCGGAACGCCAAACATTAGAGCAGTTGTACCGAGGGGATTCAGCGGGCAACATAAATGTAGAGCGCATGGCTACTCGTGAGCTACAAACGTTTGTAGATCGACTTGGTGAATCTCGGGACAACACCAACGTCGTTCAGACAGGAGCCTTGGAAGAAGTAGAGCAACAGAGAGAGGTACATGTTCAATTTGAGCAGGTGCGCCAGTCGGAAAAGCCGCCGCGACATGGCGCCCTGCAATTCCCTGGGATTCATCAAGTAATTCTTCAATTCACACGCACCGGGATCCTCGAGACTTTGTCGTCTCATCAAGGATATCCTCCATTCGAGCATGCATTTGCTTGCCTAGCAAGGTCAGATATTGGGAAACAGCATGGCATACATCCCACAGGCTCAAGACTCTTTGTGTCGAGGGAATTTGGGAAGAGCGTTGATATGGGAAATGTTCAGAAGGTTGCAGAGGATTTCCTCGTAAGTCGTACCATCTTTCATTTACTTCTGACAGTGAAAGTCCCCGATGTAGTTGCAACTGACATTTTGAAATACAGCGTCCTGTGGAATGGATCCTCTGGAGCCCCTCAACAGAAACCGCACTCGTCATAATTCCAGAGGAAGCTGAATTACTTATCCCTACGCTACGTTCTTCCGATGTCGAATGTGCTGTTTACCTCATCGCCTACGCCGCGCCTGTAACTAAATCAATGATGTTTTTCAACACCTTCCAATACTACACCCTGCCGAGACTACCGAAGAACTGTATATTCCCCGATTGGTTCCGGATTGAAATAGGAATTCTAGCTGGGCGCCTCTATGCCGACGTTGCTGAGTGCAAATCACTTACTCGGTATCTCCGATCATCCGCCGAGGAAAAGGACGGAGAGCGGATTAGCGACGAAGGGTCGAGAAATGGGCAGGAACTCACAAAGATTGCTAAAGACCCTGCAGCGTTTCTTCTAGAGTGGCTTGCTCTGCGACGCAAAGTGGAGAACGTATTACATACACCTATGGGACAGATATGCTCAGGTCGTGAGCTAGAAGAAGAATGATCGTGTTATGACTGAGTAGGTACCTAGGTATCCAGGTAGATGTTTATCTAGATACGTCTACCTACGTACGTGATCTACGCATGTATTTGGGTCAAAATATATGTATATTAGGTAGGTACTAGGTAGGTAGGTACTAGGTAGGTAGGTACTAGGTAGGTAGGTACTAGGTAGGTAGGTACTAGGTAGGTAGGTAGATAGGTTAAAACACTGTCTGGTATTATTATGTTAGGACTCGAATACTGGAAGAGGGGAGGTAGCTAGAGGTATAAGCTGTAATATTATGTCAGTTATGCATATTGCTACATAGCTGGGGTTGCTTTTCAGGTTGGAGGGACTTATTGAAGAACCCTATTGCAACGTCACATATCTCACCCATCAATAAGATTATCTTATACCAATCTTTACCTCCTTATTTACCTTCTTCCCCAAGCATTAATCACGATTGTAGCAACCTGTTCCCCTACGTAGTTTGATGTTCAAGTGTTGTCGACAGGTCATTTCCCTGCGACGTATCCGGCCGGACATATCAGAATCTCTAGTGGAGGTGTCTTGGTCAGATCTGCCAAATAAGGGTGAGGTCGCCATCATTGTCCTTGCATGTTTCTCTGAGCCAGTGTTTAGGACTTCTATCTCGGTATGCTTACCAAAAACAGACCTACCTAACGCTGACCTTACCCTATCTTCCTTCGCATTCTTCTTTTAGCGGAGCCGGCGCTGACAAGTCCATCGTTCGTGATGCTGCATTGCTCCAGACCGTCTTCACACTCGGTTAAGGCAGTACGGCGGTTCTATGGGATCATTTGGCCGACTCCCCAAGAGGAGATAGGAAGATGGTGCTTCTTGTAGGTTTAGGCGGGTCATGTGAGCTTACTCCCACATCCGCGTTAGACATCGCATCTCTCGTAGTCGCTTATGGATGTCAACTGGCTTAGAATAATATTCCCTCAAGTTCTCAGCACGCTAGCCTTTCGCTTTATTCGCGATTTTCGTCAGGCTGTAGTCATCCGCCTAATTGAAGGTGCTGTCAACAGCAATACTGCAATTGTAACAACAATGGTGTCAGAGGTTGTTGAGGAACGCTGGTACAGGATCTTATTATTATCTCGTACAAAGTTCTACTAAGTTATTTCCAGTTACCAAGCTAAGGCATTTGCCCTTATGACCATATGTTATAATGTCGCAGCTATCATTAGCCCTATGGTAGCAGGACTATTAGCTAACTTCTCTAGCAATAATCAGTTTTCATTCTTTCGTTAATTCCCTTATGTACTGCCCTTAGGGTTAGGGTTAGGGTTAGGGTTAGGGTTAGGGTTAGGGTTAGGGTTAGGGTTAGGGTTAGGGTTAGGGTTAGGGTTAGGGTTAGGGTTAGGGTTAGGGTTAGGGTTAGGGTTAGGGTTAGGGTTAGGGTTAGGGTTAGGGTTAGGGTTAGGGTTAGGGTTAGGGTTAGGGTAGGTTAGGGTTAGGGTAGGGTTA